GGCGAGTCGACAGTTTGGGATGGCCATTAGGTAAGTATCCAGATGCATGCATAGTCTGTGTTGCAAGAAGGATGTGCTCGTCATAGGTGAGCTCTTTGGGAAGTTCAAGAGGAATTAGTGCAGGTTTTTTGGGAGGGGCCATGTCAGGACAGTATGCTGGTGTGTTACAGGGTGAAAAGTGTTATCATAGGCAAGATCAGCTGTATATACAGTTCTGGTACTAGTATACGGGCCAATGCATGTATGCATGGCAGTGACTCGGCTTAAATAAGGGCCAGGGCCGCCATGCTCTGCCAGAAATACTATATCTTGAGCCTTTTAGAAAATGTGACATGTCAGACTTTGCATATATACATACAATCAATGATTATCTTCCAGCCCTCTGAAGTACTTTAAGATCAAGATCAGTTGTTATTTTCACCTCTTCTCGCCATACCATTGTGATACCAGTAATCAGATCCTGATGGATCAATCCACAAAGTGGCAAGTGAAATTATAAATCATTATTGGGTGTCTTATAATACCAGTAATTAGCTTCAAATAAACCATAACACAGGCTGGGTACAGATGGGTATACCAACAAGTACATCCATGGGAAATCTGTCTGTACCCATACCTGCGGACTGTCACTGTCTCAAATAGATTTTTGGTGACCCACAGGCAAATACCCAGTACAGGCACCCATTGTCAGGGCTTGCGCACTTCCGCCGGGTACTAATACCTTCACTCACACCTTCCCCGACTTGACACCATTATCCGCCAGTTCGACTTTCGACTCCAGCCATATTTGAACTCCCAACTTCACATTCCCACCGCCACCGGTTTCCCTTTCCGTCAAACGCGCCCGCCGCCTGATGATCTGGCACCGTCAGATTAGGAAGGTGACATGAGACGTGCGACTTGGCCACAACTCCGCGATCTTGGATCTGCCGGGAACTCCTATGGACTTTAGGCACGCACTTGGTATTTTCAAAGTCATTGATTCTGCATTGTCGATTAGAAGTACGTCTTGATTCAGCCTTTTCTTTTGTGTTCCTGTCTGGTGGTCCCCTCCACGTCATTTCCTTTATTTCTTAATCTAGAAATCTTATTATCTTTTACTTTTCCGCGGCTTATCTTTCCTTGTCATGTGTACGCCGGTCGAGTCTTGGACTTATTCTCTACTTCACGTTCAAGCTCTAGATTTGTCTGCCAGGCTACGATTGGTTAGTAGTTAGCTTCTTGCATTTCCTTGGATCAATTCACCTTATCCCTAAGAATACTCTCTCGTCTTCAACCATTGAGCCTCTGCTCCAGTCGTCCCTCGTGCTTGTTCCCGCTGTAAGGCATTCCTCGTCCAATCCTATGGCCCAGGCAGCTTACAGTACACAATAAAGGTACACATTTTTATAACATGAGACCAATCCTATAGCACTAATACTTAGCTTTATGACACACCCAACACCAAGGAAAATGCACCCCACAAATGACCAAGATGAGGAGATGAGCTCGGTTACTGCTGTAGGCAGAGGATTTTTTTTTTTAGAGCTTTGAGATGTTCAAGGTAGTCTCAGCTGACTCCCTAGGCACCCAGTTGAGTATATCTCCAGAATGGCAGAGGCCTGCAGCACCAAAGTCGGGTGTCTTATAGCGCCGGTATTTAGTTAAGAGCTTCAAAACACTCCCAAGACCAACGGAAACACACCATAAATGACCGAGATCCAGATGGTCCTCCTCCCCTTTCTGGACAATGTTGTGAACCACTGGTACAAACCTTACGTTATTTTTTATTTTTACCTCAACACTGGTACGAACCCTCAACCTTGCCCGCCGGCCACCGTACACCCAGTTATCCAACCCGCCAGGGCACCCACCAGGTTCTAGAAGCACACCTGATACCCCCACCTAAAGCCCCTTTTCATTGCTCTCTAGAAGTCTTCTTTCCTTTGAGATATTACCCTGCCCATGGACTCTTTCACTTGACACTGGACAGGGTATACCTGTACCCATACTCATGTTATGTCTTAGCGATGAGCGATGTTGAGCAGCAAATAATGTCTATAGGACAAGTTAAACAGTGGGATCAAGCTACAGAAACAGTCCATCATACCTATAGAACAAGAGGTCAAGCTAAGCAAAACCTATCCTATACCCACGGGTACGGGTATGGCTCTTGAACATCACAGGTACCCACCAAACAGGTGCAGGTATACCCATACCCATACTTGTGTTATGCCTTACTCATCGCGCCTTTCTGGTTCTAGTTGTGGTTTTGGTTTAGTGTTCACTCTTCGCGACAGATGAGGTGCCCGGTTGAGCTTTCCTCCAGGATGGTGAGGGCCTTTGGCATAATCATTTGCAGTCTTGTAACACAACTAATCAGCTTTGAAACACACTCAGGACCAAGGAAAACACAACACAAATGATGGAGATACCAATTTCCTTCTTTCCCCCTCCCCACCCCAGGCACAGAAACCCAGTTGGGTATTACTTCAGAACAGCAGTGGTTCGAGGTGTGAAAGTTAAGCCTACTATGACACTAATTATGACCTTTAACACGAGCCCAAAACCAAGAGAGACACACTATTAATGTCCAAGATATGAATGATGCTCTCTCCTCCCCCAGCCCAGACACCTGGTCGGGTACTTCTTCAGAACAGCAGCAGTTGAGGCGCAAAGGTTGGCCGTCTTATAGCACCAATTATTAGCTTGAATACACGCTCAAGACCAAGAGAAACACACAATTAATATATGAGATATAGTCTATAGATGGTCCTCCTCGTTCCGGAATCCCCAGCCTCATGTACCTGGACGCAATCTCCTCCACAACAGCGGTGTTGTGTGGGATAAACTTTTAGCGTCTCATAACACTAATTATTAGCTTCAAAACGAGCCCAAAATCAAAGAAAATGCACCAAAGATGAAGGAGATATCAGTAGCTGTCTTCTTTCCCCCTCAACTCCAGGTACCGGTGGAGCATTAGCTTGGCATTGGCTTGGCTGATGCAATAAGCGGAACTGATTGAGTCCCAGTTCCGCTTATTGCATCATTACGGTGTTTCAAACTCCGCAGCAACGTGTTTTTGCAGCTACAAGTTTTTATAAAACCCTTTTTTTTTATTTATTTTTTTCTGTTAATGTTACTTAGAGTATTCTATATGACAGCAGAGAGGGGAGTTTGACATGAATATACTGAAAGATATCCAGGAAGTAAGTGAAAGTGAAAGCGGAGACTGAATAAATCTACAATATACCATATAAGGTAATAAGTTCTCAGTTGACTGATGAAAGAGAACAAAATGCTCGCGCGCGCTCGCGTTAAATTACACTCCGCTTATTTAAGCCGAGTAACTCCTCAATGGTCTAATAATAGTTTCCCTATCTTGCCACATGCCTTTTGCATGCTTTGTGTATCACAGAACTCGAATGAAGTGGAATTAAGGTTGGCTATGAGGTCCTGTAAAAATAGTAAAAACACACGGTAAGTTTGCACATTTCTGGTGTGAGGAATGGGCAAGAGCATTCTAGTTTTACAGTAAGTTTGTTGTCAGAAGGCCTACAATTTGAACGAGCCCTCAATCATGCTGAGAGGTGGAGATCTGCTTGATATCTCTTGAACTCATTCATCCTCTCTGTTTTTCCTCCATTTTATGAAGATTACTCATGTAGCCATAGAAAAAATTGTGTAAAATAAGCCATATAGCTGCACATACTCTACAAGGTGTATAGATTTGCTGCGCATAGCAACACATGAGGCCAGCCTACCTGATAGCATGTTAATGACTGTGGATTTAGTCTTTTTGGGTGTCTGATTCTATTCAATACATATCTTAATGGAAGGCGAGGACTGTAAGGCTTTGGCAAATGGAAATGACTCTATATACCCTTGTAATTAGCCCATGCAAGTTGTTTTGGCGGCGCACAATATCTATGAAGCTGAAGGTGCTCAAACATCCATCAGGTAGTCTCTCCAATTTAGGAAATGCCAATATAATCACTATCAATTGGGCTGTTCTCAAGGTTCTCCATTGTGCTTGATTTATTTGAGTATCAGTTTTTGTTCATAAATCACATCCAGGCATCATGTGCGTCAAAATTATCACAAAAGATTGAGGGGAGATGGGGTCATTGCCCCTCTGTAGTGATTCTGTCCAGATTCCCAATCTGTTCAGATTGATGGTCATGTGCTGTAGCCTCGTGAGTTCTGGTCTTTAGGTTTAGTTTGGTTTAGTGTTTGCTCTTCACGACATTAGGTCAAGCTACCCTTGCGCACTGGCAACACTGATTATTGTCCCTGCATACTGCTGCTACTCTGATCTTTCTGGTTGACCTGCCAATTAGGTCCTACTCTGGCAATTCTGAACCCTCTCTACCGCCAAGATTAACTGTGTAGGAAGCCTGCACTTCTGCGCTCAAAGCACCAACCCTACTCACGACTGGATCTTCGACTACCACATCGGGAAGGGACAGTTTGAGAAGTGCTCACTCCAACCTTGCCCCAAGCGATACTCTCTTCAGCCTACCCAAACTCAGTGGCAACAAATCAACACCCTTGCCAAAACAGGCATTGCTGCCACCCAGTGTACCAAATCGAATGCTTGCAAACTAAATGAAGCCCATGCACTGTCCACGTCCCCACCTCAGGAAGTCGGAATAGAACGGTGTGCGATACGGGTCGTTCTAGGCAATGGGGGCATGGCTGGACTTCACAGGGGGTGACTAGGGCAGTAGGGCTTTGTGCGTAATGCGCGTCGCGGGTGGGTGAGTGCGGATCCTTCCAGACGAAATGCGAGAAATCCCGGCAGAGGAGTCGGCTGCTGGGCGACGAAATCTTGACTTTCTTCCGGCGATGGATTCGATCAGCGAATTAGACCGCAAACCTGAACATGGCGAGGCAGGGACAACAGTGATTCTAGGACTGCCAAGGCCACGTCAAAAAGCCAAGGCTGGGTGACTGCCAGAACACCGCCCAGAACTGCGAATGTTTCCATCACATCTCGAAGAAACTTGATCGATGGAATCTCAGATTGCTCTGTGAAGCTTGGCGAAGCTGTGGCCTGAAAAAGAATGAGTATTGCCAACTTCTAATACTCGCCTCCTTTGTTCCATCAAACATGTAAAACATGGCTTCTCCAGGCGGTACGATGTTATCTTCTGAATCGTAAAAGTGATGAGGTGGGTTGGTGTGCGTCTGTTTCTGAATAGGGGTGTTCTTGCGACGAGCAAGATTTTCGATTGCCCTGCATAGGAGATCCTACTCCACATCAACTGCCATAAGCAAGGGGACGACTGATAGACGGGTGTCAATACACGTACCTGCCTGGCCTCTTGAAGCGAACCGGGTAAATACCACAGGAGAATGATTCCCTCCGAATCCACAACGATACAGGCTTCTGCAACGAGAGCAGACCTTCCATCCCTGGACTTCCCCTGAGGAAAAAACTGTTCCAGCAATTGTCTCTCGACGTCTGGTCCAATGTCGGGGTCGTGTGAAGCCACCATGGCTGTGTAATCCATAATACTCCAATCCAATTCCACTGTTCCAACGGTTAGACTACATTAAGAAGAGCCAAAAAGCTACGTATAGTGGGGGGAAGCGAACACCATCTTGACAATGTTGACAATCTGCAGCGCTTCTGACTGAAGGTGAGATGACAGATTCGGTGGTGGCTCAACCACAGTCTTCCTATTGAATTTCCGTCGCATGAGCGCCTGACAAAATCTCCCAAAGGTTTGCGCCAGACGAGCGCCTTCATGGATGTTGAACATAGTTGGCGGTGCCATGAGGGTATGTGTGTGGAAGAAAAGGAGGGTGAGTCTTGATAAGATGAGCGCCAAGCAATGTCATTTGATCGGCAAGACCAGCGCTTAACCACGGTGTAATCACATGACAAGGGGTCGGCGTTTAGGAACGCTGAAGTCAGTGAATCCCCACTGATCCGATAGTTAAATCATACCCTTTTGCCTTTAGCGCCAAGGATACTTCTCAACGAACTCAGTGGCGAAATGCCAAGTTTTGGCGGGCCCTGGTGCACTGCTGGTGGGGGGTTGGCCACGGAAAAGATGAAGTTGATTGATATAAGCCTCGAGGTGCTGAACTATTTTTTTCTGCTCATCGGGGGTCATGATTATGTAGTTGATGTGGTTCGATGGAAGGAAAGTCTGTGGAGGTTCAAACACCGAAAAATATTGAGAACACGAGCACTGGGTATTATTGTCCAAAAAAGGTGCAGGTTAACTAAGTACTAGGTAGTAAGCACTGCAAAACTCTCGGTCATCGCTTCAAGGAATGGGAGCAATGCTGCAATGCTGCGCGAGAGTGTTTCCAACGGGCTTGGCTTATGGGATCGTCCCTTATCAATAGGCTGTAAATACATGGCTTAAAGCAGATCGGAGGGCTTACAATGTGTCCTAGTTGGTGCCAACAAGCCGAGAATGTGGCTACTCCAGCCCTCAGGTTACCCTGCGGTGAGAATTGGTCGCTGTGGTCTCGCCAATTTCCCTTGGGTGAAGTCTTGATTGGGGTGGGGCTTGATTCGCAGAGATCCTGAACCACACGATATATAGTTCTCTTGCAACAGATGTCAGGGCTTGGCATCGTGTAGGATGGAGATCTCACCTGTCGCGAGTTGGAAATAGACCCTAGTAGATACCACCATCCTATAACTCCTTTGCTGCCGACAAAAATGTCTGGTTGGGTCAGAAGTCTGCGCTTTCCCCCTGACAATCTTGGTGGAGGAAACTGCTTCTCTAAACTTGAAAGGCGGGGGCTGCTGGCGGCAAGCTGGGTGTGGGGTACATGTAACATATAGTCTTGGAATTTCCATTGGAGCTTGACTACCAAAATGATTCGTGTGAAACAGATGTCAGGATGAAAACGAGGCCTACCAGGAGGAATGGAAACCGCCTCTTCAACAATGCGGACAAGCTGTGCTGCTTCCGCACGAAGGGCCAGGCTGAGGTTTGCGTGGGGTGGAAGTGTGTGTAGGCCCTCCAAACGGTTTTTCAACATCACCTATGGAAGCCTATCACGAAGATCATATTAATTTCTTCACTTCCAAGGATCATGTGACCCCCCTTCCCGGGAAGCTTCCAGCCTCTCCCCATCCCAAAAAAATCCAGGGAAATTCCACCACCAATCCACTGCCATTTTCCGGAAACAATAAACATAGATGATCAAATCAAATTCTGATTGACAATGAGTATGACATCATTTGTTCCTGTTCCTGATTGTTGTGACATCATGGTGCCTGATGATGTCAATCACTGATATCATTGATTGACTTCCATCATCAGAAAGCCAATCTTATCTTAATTAGTGTGATGTCATCCGTTCCCTCCCCCCAGTATATTCATTCATACCTCACTCATTTCTTCGCTTTTTTCAGGAATTCTTTTTGATTCATTTACTATTACTACATTGGAAACACTTTATTACATTTAAAAACCAATAGAAACCAGTCTTAATACTGAAAAAGCGAAAATAATAGTCTTGTTCCTGATTTTGTCCCTCTTTTGTGTAGTATTTCAATAGTACCTCTCCCAATTTCTGATGTAATTGCACCAACTCTGCTGTAGAGCCTTAAGGAAGGTTTAAAGACTTGTTATATTAATCTGCCTCTTCCAAAAACACCACAATACACCTAAAATTATCAAAAACATCGGATTTTCCTATAAAAATAGAACTTCTTATTTTCACTATTTTAATGTGGTACCTACAGTTTATTACTTTTACAAAAGCATTGTAATGAGACTGAGAGATATATCCAATACATCTTATTGACTTTGGAAAGGTATAAAGTAAAGCAATAGTGAAATCACTAAAAATGCGATTTTATCCATTGTATTTCGCATTTTCCAGTATGTTCCACTTCTCATAAATTTTATTGAGCGGTACCATCAAAGAGAAGGCATTTAACGTTTTTTGAAACAGTTTGAATCTCGGAAATCAGCCCAGTAGAAGCAGAGATATGGTCTGAAAAGTCTGAAAATGAGCAATAATGGAGTGTATATCAAAATTGATACACCATCACTTGGATCATCTGGTGAAAACATGGTATATCTGCCATATCTCCGGACACACTGGGTCATTTCTCAAGCAGTCTTTTGGGTTCAGTAGCTATTAATCAAGGCTTTGAATCTGTATATTTTGTATGGGACAATATACATAATGAAATAGGTGAAAATGCGAAAAACATTGAAATTTACTGGGTATATGGAGAAGTTAATGGTGAGTCTTGGAGAGGTTGCATCATTATTCCAAGCTGATGAAACAGGTTTATACAGCTGTATAGAGAGTCTTTTGGGCTTTATATTATGTAGTTAAAGAGCTAATGTTGTTTTCTCAACTTCATCCTATTGGTGCTCATTTTTGCATGTTTTTGTAATTCTTGGTGGGGTAAAGTCTATTTATCAAGGAAAAAGTGCATTAGTATATGTGTGGACATATTTCTAGATTATTGCAATGAAGATTCCAAGAAGAAAGGTGAAGAAACGAGGAAGATATATCCATATTCTCCACCAAAAATGTGTCATAATAGTGTCAATGCTTGAAAAAGTCGAATTTTGAATATCTATTCATTATTGAGTATATACAAAATATAATATATACCTGTAGCCAATGATGGTTCACACTTGAATAAAAAAGAATTACTCAAAAAAGCGAAGAAACAAGTGAGATATGGATGAAATACTGGTGGAGGAGAAGGATGGCATCACACTAATTAAGATAAGATTGGCTTTCTGATAATGGAAGTCAATCAATGATATCAATGATTGACATCATCAGGCACCATGATGTCACAACAATCAGGAACAGGAACAAATGATGTCATACTCATTGTCAATTAGAATTTGATTTGATCGTCTATGTTTATTGTTTCTGGAAAATGGTACTATGTTGGAGCTTCCAAGTTGGCTTCCCATCAATTTTGGAGTGCATCACATTTGATGGCTGGAATGGAACTGGAAGTGGATACCCTTTGTTTGGTCCACTGGAAGTTCCAAGGTGGAAGTGGAAGCTGGAAGTGAATTGGTAGTGGAATTTCCTGGATTTTTTTTTGGGATGGGGAGGGGCTGGAAGCTTCCTGGGAAGGGGGGTCACATGACCCTTGGAAGCAAAGAAATTAATATGATCTTCGTGATAGGCTTCCATAGGTGACTGAAGTGCATCGGGGGTAGGCGATGGATTGAGGTTCCGTCTGCAGGGTCATGTGTTTACGTTTGGCAGCACGCTGGGCCTGGACAGCACTAAGGCTGAACGCGGGTGCACCTGTACGGGTACCTGCACCCTTGACACAGGTACCCATGCCCTCAAAATCCATACCTGCACCCTTACAGGTATTTTTCAACAGGTACCTGTTACCTGTGGGTCCTACCCATGGGTACATGTTGGGCACAGGTCCTACAGGTACCTAAAGGTAAACCTGTAGGTACCTGCTAAAGGGATCAGTTAGAAGTCAATCCCCTCAATTATCCGTGGCTGTGGACCTTAATTAATAAGTGCATTCATTCTCTAATATGATATATATTCATTTCTGAGCAGTTTTGAAGCATTATTACAGTGGACATGGTCACCACAGGCTGGCAGGTACCCACCCACAGGTATCTGTGAGGCTAAAAGCTATACCTGCACCCTTGCGGGTATTTTGGCCACGGGTTACCTGGACCCACAGGTCACATACCCATGGGTTTCTTGGCAGGTCGGGTCACAGGTACCTGTGTACGACCTGCACCCGCGTTCAGCCTTAGACAGCACGCTCGAGCACGTATTCCTGACCCCTCTCTATAGCGTGACAAGGGTGTTGCGCAGACATAACACTGAAAGGTTCACTGAAGATAACCCAAGGCAAAAAATTAGTGACGAGAGCTTTAAATGTGGACACTAGTAACTACTAACTACAGGCCCGGTTATCTCACTCACCGGCATGTAACAACACCCGTCAAAGAGACCCAGAATACAGGGGCTATCGTGCACTCTGCCCACAGCAGACTCAACCAATTGTAGAGCGCAAGAGCTGCAAACAATCGGCCAGGGGCAAGAGAGTCGGTGTGCCAAGGTGGAATGGCATCACCAAGAATGGAGGATGAAGTTGCTGAGGAGGGGAGGGGATGAGCGAGTTTGCTGGAGGATGACAGTCGGCGCTGGCTAGCTATATATATAAAAGAAAGTGTGGGTCCACTGTGAGAGACTCTCGGTACACGCTGTGGGCGCTGTTGTGGACTGACAGGTGAGATGAAGATGACTTTGGTGAGCCGAAATGAACTCACCACCTTCCCAATACGTCACCCACAGCCGAAATGATCTTCCATCCGGCTGTCGCTTTACACCTACCTCTTGGGTTGGGACAAGATTCATGTGAGACGTTCAGGGGTCTCCTTTTTGCATAAATATATGACCACGTACCATAGATTCTCCTATTCCAGATCCCAGTTCACTCAAGTGACCACAATGAGCAACAATCCAGTGCACTCTCCCGATGCGGCACCAGCTTTCATTGATGCCGTGATTGTTGACAACTGCCTGCCAGCCACCAGGGTTGAGCCGTGCGTGTTGTTTCCTCCTCCCCAATTCCTCCCTCCTGACACTATGCTAGATGTCGCGTGTTTTTGTCTAGTCAACCAGCACAAAAATTCCGGTGCAAAGCGCACCCAGTGAATCTGCGGGCGAAGCTTTCGAGCGGTAAGCACCCACAATCTCGGCATCTTTAGTAAAGCTGATCTTGTCCTGATTTGGGTAATGTTCGACATTTTAGTTTGCAAGGGGGTCGACTCGGAGGGCAAAGATTCTTGAATGTAATCCATTACTCAACACTTGAATACATGGTAGTAAATTAAGATCGAGTATCTACTACTGAGTATAGAACCTGTGAGTACCTGTGGCAGGTACCTGCCATAGGAAAATCGAAACCCGTATCTGCATGGGTTTGTTCCCACGGGTGCCAAAATCCGCGGGTTTTCCCACGGGTTTACCTGCGAGTGCGACAGGTTTACCTGTACTCGTGCTCTGCCTTACTTTTTTCTTCCTTCCTTCAATTTTTTTTTTTTTTTCTTTTTGGCCCACCGTCATCAATAGCGAGCCAAAGAACCAGTGATTCGAGGGAAAACCAGTGATTCGGACCCTATAACGAATAACTAGGAATTCGAGTCATACTACACTGCCAATTTGAATCCAGGTCAAATTAAGACCCGAAATCTGATGTCGTGGGTCCCGCCGGCTAAGCTTAGCTCTAAGGTCAATTTTGATAGGAAATTCGACATCAAATGATCTTTATTTAATGCCTGAGGTCAATCAAAGGTTCTGGCCTGAGCTCGGGGTAGCCTTGTACTCGAGGCCACCTCGAGCTGCTGCTGGAGCTGAAACTGGCCTCGCTCTCCATCTCCGTCTGCCTTGGTTCAGTGCCTTGAATTATTCCCTTATTTATCTTATTTACGTTCTCAGAAGCTCGGAATGACATATCACAACAAACAATCAATGCATTAAGCACCATTGGCGTGGGCGCGTGATTAATACAGATGTAAATACGAGATGCGAGAGCAGGCGTGAATGACGATAAATGGTCAGTGATAATTAATCATCGAGGTCCGTAAGGTCCACCTTCCCGAAGTGTTCGTAATCCTGCTCAAGGATGGCAACGAAAACTCTGAAAGAACCAAAAATCAGATCGAGAAAATAGCACATCCGTGAAGGACTCACTTTGATAATCCCTGCCCCTTCCCCGTGCTCCTCTCGCAGGCTCTTCAATTCACTGTCAACGTAACGCCACCAGTCTTGCAGAGCCTTCGGGCTTTTCGATGCCATGACAGCAGAGTGACGCTATTTCGCTGTCAGCGATGACCTCGCATGTCAAAGGGACGACGGAAACTCACCAAGAACGCCATTCGGACGCAATGATCAATGGTCACAACTGCTCGTGCAGGCTTGCGGATCTTCAGAACTTTCTTCGTAAGGGCCAGAATGTCGAGCGGCTTGTCGCACATCGTCTTCGCACTATCGTCTTCTGACTTCGTAAAAATAGAGCCAAAGATCTGCAATGTCCATTAAGAATGAGCTGGGTGTTGAAGAAGTTAAAGGGCACATACCGCAGCCTTGATGGAACATCGTTGATTGGAAAGCTGCTCGTGGATGCGAGTGAGTGCAGCGTTGAGATATGCGGAATTGTTCTTGACGTCGTCCGAGAGTTCGCTCACGAACTGAGCCTGATGTGGACAGACGTCAGACCAATGCTTATTTGAGGAGCAAGAACTCACCTTCACGCCGTCGGGAACCTGTGGCGAAGCAATGTAGGCCGCAGCCGATGGATCAATCAATGCCTTGAAGCAAAGGTTATCGAGTGAAGTCTGGAGATGTGTCAGTTCCGTGTGCCACGAGACCGAGAGCAACGTAAAACGAACCTTTGCAGCGTCGGTGAGCGATATTTTGGCCTCTGCAGGTGCGATGTTCGAGAGCTTTTCCTTGAGGGAAAGGATCTCGGCATAGAGCGCGAGGTGTCGCTCTTGCTCCGAGCGCTGAAATAATTTGTTGGCGGGACACGGACCACGGTGACGGGCACAGGGGCTGAACTCACCTGAGATTGCGCCAGCAGCTTGCTCGAATCTTCTTTCTTCAAGCGCTTCTCTCGCGATAATTGCTTGACGAAGTCGGAATAATCCTCTGCTGGCCGTTTACGGGTGACACTTGCTGACGTTGACACCGAGAAAACTGAAGGGGCAGGACTGGAGCTCCGCTGGGTGAGTGCATCTTCTTCAATGAATGGAGTCGACCGCGATGAAAACTGTGATTGAGCATCATCCTGTGGACCATCCCCTTGCGCCCCGTCCTCGTCGAGATTCTGTGGGAGCAGCTCCGGTGAAGACCGTGTCTGCGATTCAGCTCGAGGCTGGCGAGACCGTTCAACAAGTTCTGCAAGGGTCAACATCGTCTGGAATTCGAGCCGAGACCTGAAAGAGAAATACAGAATTGGAGGAACAAACCTGAAGATGTGTGACGTTTCAAAGTCAAGCGTGAAGTGGTGTGTGACCCGGACACTTTGTCGCTTCCCTTCGGACTTTGCCTCCAACTGATCGAGGGATCGCCATTCGGTCTTTGGTCTTCGATCAAGATAAACGCAAAATCAACTCGAGAGGGCTCAGAGTGTGGATTCAGAACATCCTTACACAGCACAATGGGCGGGGATCATATGGATCTGGAGGATGGTAAGCAGTTTTGACTTTAATTTGGCAGATGACTGAGCGAACGTTCATGCACAATGCGAAACTACACGAGTTCCCATCCTACAGGAACGAGAAGAAACCACCCAGTTTTACGAGAAGATTTCACATTGAGGGGACGAACAATTCTTGATCAACACGCACGCACTTCATAACGCTGTCCTCCTTCGCGAAGCTATCCCGCGAAGTTTAACTCAACCTCTTTTGGTATTCCAGGATCGAAAGGCAAAGCACGACGAATTTGCGGCGACGCTACAAATCACGGGCCCTGCCAAACGTGCGGATACTGCTGCTAAAAGAAAGGAAACCACTGCTCGAAAATCTGCGGCCAAAGCACTCAGGGAGCAAGCTAAGAAGACGGTGGCAGACAAGCACTCACCCGTGGTTGACGAGCCCTTGGAGGAGCGTTCAGGCCCGGGAGATGAGGGCCCAGAGGGGGAAGGTATGGATGTAGATAAGGAATGAAGATATTTCCCCAGCTCTCGAGGTTAATCTAAGGTCACAGTCTAATCTGAGTCGCGTATCAAATGCAGTGTCAAATTGAGACTGTGGACTCGATGAGCCGAGTTTGACCTGAACCATCAGTCTGAGTATCGGCTGCCGAGCAACAGGTCAACACAGGACCCGATCAAGTTGGCGGTGTAATTATGGAGCCCCTCGGAGAGCCGAGAGTAGCAGCTATCTCGGAGGACGGAGATCATTCTAGATTGATGGACTATGAAGGTCATGTGACGCAATGGTGTGGGTTGATATTGCGGAGGAACTGCAACGTTCACTGAGACTCTACACGCAAATGGCATCGCTACAAACGTGGTCGTCGTCCAGCCACTTTCGACACCCATGGTTCGACACGACTGTTTCGAAACGCAAGCAACCCAGTCCACCACTACCCGATGATATGGACGACAACAACGACGGCGACTTCAATTCTAACGATGTTCGCGCGCCTCCAACTAAACGGCGGAGGTATACCACACTCGAGAATGGATTCGCGCACCTAAGCTTGGATCCTTCTCATACCTTGTCTGACGCGAATTCAACAAGAAAACAGTGGGGTGTGAATGCACCACTTGTGGAAGAGGTACTAACCTCTTCATCGTCATACCCATTTAGCCGACCTTCCGAACAGTTCGAACCTCCTTCAGATGTCCCTCTTCAAAATGTGACACTACCAGACTCCATCGAAGAAGAGGAGGCATCAGCGCCTGAGGTACAGATGAAGGTGTCGACGTGGTACGAGCCCGAGCCAAACAGTGCGTATGCCGTCTCAGGATGGGGTTTCTCAGACACTCACGGAGGATAACACAGGAATCGTTATAACCGATCTCGATGGCTTTGCAGACTCGGACGAAGAGACGGCACCAGCAAGCAGCGCAGATAGAGTGAAAGGCTTTGAAGTGCATCCCGCCTTTCTCGAACAGATTCGGTCGGGGCAGCAGCGCAAGATGGACCACGTACCGTCTCCCAGCCCCACTACGAGCCAAGCGCTCGTTCTGTTCCGCCCACCACCGCCTCTACTACGTCCAGCATCCCCAGACCAAGTCTCGAGCCCACCATCCGAAACTAGCAAGAACACGCAGCAAGTTGTTGAAGACGAGTATGCGATGGATTTGGACACTGACTGAGTACTTAGGAAGACATTACATGCGATAACTAGTTAGAAAACGTACAAAAAGACTGATAAAACGTACAATAAAAGACGGGAGAAATACATATATGCTAGTCAGTAGGTTAGTTGGATGAGCCCGGTGCACCGAATTGAATCATTTCCTCCGTTCGCCTCTGCATGTCAGGATTGGAGGAACCTGGTGGATTTATTGGATCGTTGTAGAGGGGATGATGAAAGGCCAGATTGCTGTGATGGTGTCGAGCATGCGCATGGGGATGAGGGACATGATGCATCTGGGGCATAGATCCATACGGTGAAGTGAGGTTGACGGGCAGCGATTTTGGCAGGTGGGCAAAGTTGTGCATGTGGTTTGTGGGTTTTGGCTGAGAGTTTTGGTGGTGTTGGGTAGGCAAGTGGCGAGGGTGACCGTGGTGGTGGCCTCCATGGGTGTGGTGAGAGGGCATGATTTGCTGTGGAATGGATATGCTGGGCCGGAACGAGGAAGACGAGATCATGGGTGCGTAGAACGAATTGTCCCGTTCATGGTGAGAGATGTGGTCTAGCCGCGGCGGTTCAGCGTCGATGATGTGTGGTTCTGGCAGCTCAGGAAGGTCAGGAAGAGATGGAGGCGGCGGCGGCGGCGGCGGGGGTGGCTGTTGAACCTGTTGCTGCTGCTGCTGCTGCTGTTCGTCACGTTCTGGAGTTTGCTCCATGGTCTTCTCTCCATCTTCTTGCTCCTCGCCCTCGGCATCCTTTGAACCTGATGCCTCACCGTTGTTACTCGTCCCTGCTGCTTTCTGTGCGGCTATTTCCTCTGCAGTCAGGAAACGTCCACCTGGCCCTCTTGGGCGACGCATTGCATGCTTGTGGCGGGATTCATGTAGGTATGGCTGCGGACGGTCCTGTGAGCATGTCGTGTCGGTGAATAAGGGCGCAGAACACCCACCTTTCGCTGCCTGGACAGACGATGGACTTCCTCTAGCCTTGAACGTGCGACGCGTCGTTTGAGAATACGGAAATACTGTTTTGCGTTGACATAGAGAGGTTCATCGTCTATCTGCTGCTGGTTCTGGGTATCTTGCTGCTGGTAGAGATACTGGTTGAGATAAAGCTGGTCGTCGATGGTGGTGTCCATCAGAGTCCAAGGTCAAACTTGATGCGAAGGACGACGGTGTTTAGAACGAGATTGACTTTCCCACAACTAGTCACACGCTACATTAGTGTTATACCACCATGGACGCGAAGCTCAAAGCACTCAAAGTCGCTGACCTCAAAGCCATCCTCACAAAAGCAGGCAATCCAGCACCTGCAAAGGCCACAAAAGCTGATCTTGTTTCGCGTATATTGGCTTCGGACAATGCCCAGGAGGCATACCGACAGCTCCACGAACCTCAACTCGAACAACACGACACGGTGGACGCGTCCAACGACGCTCCAGTAGAAGAAGAAGAAGAAGAAGAACAACCACCACCGGCTGAAGAGGCAGAACAGGTTGAAGAAGCTCAGCCAGAGGCTGCGGAAACTTGCGCGACTGAAGCAACCGCTGTTGATCCAGAGCTCGAGGCGCGAAAGAGGAGGGCCGAGCGGTTCGGTATCCCTCTCGTCGAGCCCAAAGCTCCTCGAACTGACAAGGGGAGAAAGGGAGACAAGCCCAAGATTACCGAGGTATTATATTCTACGATATTATAGTAGTTAAATACTAAAAGTTGTTATGCAGGACCCAGCCAAGCTCCAAGCGCGGGCTGAGCGGTTCGGGATCAAACGACCGGCGCCAGAGGAGACTGTGGACCCTGAAGAAGCGGAACGCCGGAGGAAACGAGCTGAACGGTTCGGAATTCCTGTGAGTCATTCTTTGTTTGATTCAAGGGCCATTTACTGACCGGCCCCGCCAGCTTAAAGAATAGTAGTCTATACATGTAGAGTCACAACTTGTTATGCAATCATCTTCATTCCAAACATGGATATCGCTTTGTAAGCCAAGTACTTAAGCCCAGCCCTCCATTCTCTTTCTCTCCATATTCTCCTCCTCCTAACCACACACAATATGGCCTCCAACGAAGAACCTCAACAACAGCTTTTTACCTGTCTCTCATGCAGCATCGCGTTTCTGTCCGCAGAGGAGCAACGTACGCCCCAATCTCTCTTTTCCATCCAATTAATCCTAATCTCTTCACCTTTTCAGGGCTCCACTACCGCTCCGACCACCATAGGTACAACATGAAGCGTCGTGTGGCCGGTCTGCCTCCCATTAGTGCTACCCTTTTCAACCAGCGTGTTCTCGAACGCAAGACTGAAACCGCAATCACGACAACTCCAAAATCGATGACTTGCGAGATTTGCAAGTTCGTCTTTTCTTTCCTCTTTCTTCCCCGTTCTTATTTCTGACCTATTGATTACAGCAAGGTTTATACCTCTGAGAACACTTACAAATCTCACCTTCAGTCCAAGAAGCACCGTGAACGCGAATTGCAAGGTCTGGTGGCCAAACCACCCAAACCTGCCGTGACCCGGGAGGAAACACCTGCTGCCGATGCTGCCGAGGCGACAGAACAACCCATCTCCACCCCTGACGCTCCACCTGCTCCTCCCTCTGCTCCTGCCCCCGCCACACCCGCGGCCGAATCTGACGAAGACATCGAACGAACAATCGAAGAAAAGATCGCAGCAGCCCGCGCACGTCTTTCACCCCTCGATTGCCTCTTCTGCCCCCACAAATCCTCCTCACTCGAAGATAGCCTCACCCACATGTCCCTCTCCCACTCTTTCTTCATCCCGGACGCAGATTACCTCATTGACATCCAAGGCCTTATCACCTACCTCGGAGAGAAAATTGCCGTCGGGAACGTTTGCATTTTCTGTAACGAGAAGAGCAAGGGCTTTAGGAGTCTAGAGGCTGCGAGGAAACATATGATCGACAAGGGTCATTGCAAGCTCGCCTATGATACCGAAAACGACAGGCTCGAACTAGCGGATTACTACGATTTTAGCTCGTCCTATCCTGATTCTCAGCTCATTCGTCGCAAAGTCAAGACCCCCAAGGCGATCAAGGAGTCTGAAGAGTGGGAGGACGTTACCGACGACGATGGCGAGGATGCCGATGAAGTAGTGGATGTTAGCGATTCCGAATCCGAAGAGGACGAGCTCCCAGAATCCCAGATCACGTACGGCGACTCGGAATACGAACTCGTATTGCCTTCAGGTGCACGCATCGGTCACAGGTCGATGCGCAGATACTACGCTCAATCCTTCACTCCCGTCCTCAGGGGCAAGAACCCAGACGATCCCAACTCGGGCGCCGCCCTTGTTCGTCGCTTAATCGCAGACAAGAACTCTGCTCTTGTTCCTACAAGGGGTGGTTTTGGCGCCTTTGGCGCTGGTACCGTCGCCGTCAAGGCTCGGAACCGCGGCGAAGCCAGGGAAGCTGGCCGTCATGTTAGAGAATTCAGAGACGTCCGCAGACGCGAAGAATTCAAGACCAAGGTGGCATATATTAACAACTCCCAGAAACACTTTAGGATGCCTTGTAAGTAACCCCCCGACTCTCTTCCTCGTTGCTATACTCACCAACATTCTAGTCCTCCAGTAGTCTCATCAACCGTTGTACACATATCATGGTTTTTCTGTATATCAAACATATTACGAATAAAGACATGCAAGTCTCTACTACGCTAGCTGGTGTCGAAATCAATTCGGTTTGAAAGAGTTCAACGTTCATTGGAGGGAGGTATATATAGACTGTGCGTCATAACAAGCGAATGCAAGAATAAAAAGAAATGAATGCAAGACGAGCCAAAAATAACGAGTCGACGACAAAACAAAACGAGGTATAGCGAATAATTATAATCTAGTACAAATAAGCTGCAGGAACAACACCCTCACGGCCCGTTCGGACATGGCGCGCATACCACCATCTACAAAGGTTCGATTAGCTGCTTCCTTGGCGAATGAGAGATATAAGACTTACGCAGGGTCACGGTCATCCAAAACTTCCAACTCATCACCCGCAGATATGGGCAACTCTCCCTCACCATTCCCATCGAACGAATATCTTGCGTGCGCTGGTCGACTGACCTCTTCCGCAAGCATTCCACCCATGGCGTCAGATGGGGTCTCAGCCCTTGCAAAATTACTTGCGTCAGGACCGAATGGGTCGGGTTCTGACCGAGACCTGTCGTCATCCTTCTCGCTATAGTCTTGGTATGGACTTGCTCCAAGGATCGTAGTCCGAGTAGCCGCATTGATGTGCTCCAGGAGTGACGAGGGTCGGTGGTGGGTTGAGTCTCCGTCATCTTCCTCGACTTCATACTTGTTCATCTTCTCATCCTTGCGGGAGAATAACGTCCACAGAATACCAATCAAGGCCAGCAAGAAGACAACTCCAGCTGCAATGGCGATGGAGATCAATATGACAACTCCAACCGCAAGGAATTCTGTCAAAAATATCGCTTAGTTGCAGAATTCGGAGATGCCACGGAAATACTTACTGCGTTGGTCAAAGCTGAAGTCCGCCAAAGAACGGAACAAGGATGCAACGGACCCTGAAGAGCCAGTGGTAGAGGAGGAGACGATATAAGGGATAATGTTCTTTCCATCAAAGAGAGCGGAAGAAATGTTGCCGTGCGCAGAATCGACCAGGGAACCCGAAACAAGGAGAACGCGATCTTGTTGAATGACACCCTGCTCTTCGTGAGTGTTCTGGAGAGGTACCATAGAGAGCGAGGCAATGGTCGAGTCGGCACTGAGAGTGGATTCTGCATTACATGATTAGCATGGCGGAACTATGCAACGGAGCGTGGCCACAAACCAAGGGAAGACCAGTTGGAACCATCCCAGTGGATCAAGAAGGGACCGGATTCACCCCTACACAAATCATCAGTCCCGTCCCAACACTTGAAAAGTCAACTCTACTCACTGTCCGGCCGCAAAGATACTGCTCGCATTGCGGTTGTTAACTTCAACAGCGGTAACAGGGCCAGGGAGCTCTGAACCAGTTCCAACAGTAGTCCAAGTTGCATTCCCAAATGCAAACTGGAGAACGTTGCCGAGGGTGTTATCAGATAGCATCAGGGAGCCTCCTACAAACATCACATCATCCTGAAAGAATCACATCAGCGTCCAACACCTAGAACCCCAGACGCATAAATAAAACTTACTAATGCGTGAACAACAGAAGCGACTTCTCCCTGAATACCACTGCCGAGGGCATTCCACTGCTTAGTGCCAACATCCAACGAACAAACAGCTTGACAACGCAAACTGCCAGCTTGATCGAACGATCCAGCAACGATGATCATACCCTCCCTCGACTCGGATTTGGAAATGGAACGAACGACGACGGAACCGCCTTGAAGGGGCTGCAAGCCAGAGACATCCCATTCATCCTTCTCCAAATCGTAGATGGCAATGCCGTTCACGTTGTTATTGGGCAACGTGAATTCGCCGCCAACAAAGAGTCGGTTTCCGTCAACCAAGACAGCTCGAACGACACCGTTGAGTTGTTCGCCGAGCAGTGCGCGGACTGCACCAGTTTCGGGATCGTAGATGGCGACGGATTGGGCGGGGGAAGATGTACCTGGGGCGACGAAAGTAAAGTTGCCTCCAAGGACAGCCACTTCGGTCGATCCGTTATTCCAAAAGGCGCCTGCGAGGACGGCAGGTGCAGGGGATTCAGGAAGGGATGGCAAAGGTGCAAGATTACTGGGACTAGATTGCCTCGCGAAGACCCGGGGAAGCTTGAGATGGGAAACCCACGTCCTCGTCCTTGCCCTAGCATGGAGGTGACGCCTTGCATCAGCAGAGGAACCGGAAGGCGTAGAAGACGTTTGGCGTTCTCCGGCTCCCAAACCAATCGAAAGGGGGCTGACTTGAGGAAGCCCGTCGTTCTCCGAGTTTTGCAAGAACACCATTCCGGACGCTCCGTACTTCCTCGCCGAGCCAACGTTACCAGCTACATACTGGGTCGAGGACGTGGCGTTGGCGATGAGGGTCATGCGACCAAGGGTGAATCCTCCAGGGTTGCCCCATGACGAGGAACGAACGTCCCAAGCCGCAAATCCACCGGCAGGGATCGTGACATCAGAGTCAGGATCAGCGAGCTCAGTAAAGTTGCCCAAGATCTGAACCCGTCCGTCCGTCAAGCCAACGCTGGTAACTTGGCCATTGACACCAGCACCGAGTGAATCCCAAGAGTCGCTTTCGATGTTGTAAACGGCAACTCCGCGGAGACGGCCGCTGGTGGATCCGGACTGAGTGTCGCGGAATGAACCACCAACGAAGAGCAAGTCACCCTCGATGACGAGAGAGGTAACAGCACCGTCGAGACCACGGTCGGGCAATGAAACTAATGCGCCATCACGGAAAGCGACAATATTGGATGCACCTTCAGCTGAACCCGAGGTCAACGTGAAGCTACCACCAAGGAAGATGGCACCCGAAGGATGGTGGGCAACAGCATTGATGGATAGTGGATTGGCAGTCAGCTGGCCGCCAAGGGCAGCAAAGAGGTCAAAGCCAATGCTATCGAGGGCGGTGATGCTGGAATTGGGAAGGGCGTTGGTACCATCTGCAGTGATGTCAATGGAACGAGGCCACTCGAGGAAACCAAAGGCACGCTGGCCGCCGACAGTCGTGGTACCATTTCCGTTGCCGGACTCCGAGGGCGTAGCGGAACGAAGGACCAGCTGAACACGGTCAGCAATGATCTCATAGCGGCCATCCGCCCCGGTGCCAACTGGATCCTCTGCAAGCGACATGGTGATGGTGGTCACAAAGTCTGGTGAGGAGGGTAGGATGGGGCCACTGTAGATCAGGATGGACGCGTCTTCGGTGTTTTGCTGAGATACGGTCATGACGTTGGGCGGGAGGCCTGCACCGGGGAAGACGACAACTTGAACCGATGTTCGACGGTCGCAGTCTTGAAGAATGGTACACCCTGGGATGAGGAGGTTGATGTCGTAGTTTCCAGATGCAGAAACATAGGGAACCCAGGTGAAGGTTGGTCCAGAAGCAGCGGGGGTTCCCACTTCAACGGAAGAAATGAGGACGTTCTGTTGGGTGGCTGCAATATCGGTGTTGACTTGCTTGACAGCCCAGTCGCCAGTACGTGTGGTGTTGGAGGGGTTGGGAGCATAACAGGAAATGCGATTGTTATCATCGATAGAGGACGCAAATGCACCTGAGGAAAGCAGCTGCAACATGTGCAAGCCCGCTGATTGACCTCTGAAGCCTGAAAGCGTGATTTCAACACCAGTGATGGCCAACGGGTTGCTGAACAAAAAGTCCTGGTAGAGGACAGAAGAATCGGTCGAAAGAGGGCATGGGTCGGTGCAAGTGCGGTTTTCACCAGTGGCGGGATCGAGATATCGCAGTTCTTGTGGGCCGTTGTCTGGGATGGTGGTAACCCTGGACAGATGGTCAGATTAGCGGGCAATGATGCAACAAGGGGATACCCAAACACACCTGAACTCGGTTGTCCCACGGTTGCTTATGAAGGTATTTCCCAAGCGAATGCCGTTGGCTGCGATGAACTCAAAGGCTCGAAGCGTGATGACGGCGGTGGTTCCATCTTGAGCAAACCAAGTGTTTCCTGGGCCATCATCTTCGGCGACAGGGCAGAGGATGTTGCGGATATCGCTGAAGCCATCTTCACCGGATGAGGGTGAAGCGACGATTTCTGCATCTTGGATGGGAACCGGGACGAGCGATGACGAGAATGGCGTAGCACCCGTTGAGAAGGGCACGCTGGGATTGTTGGTGCCGTTGAGTTGTCGGGGACTGCCAAAGGATGCGACGAATGAGCCGGCGAAAAAGATGCTCGAGTCGGAAGAGTTGGTTGTTATGGAGGAAACTTTGGCTTGAGCACCGGTGAGGCCACCAAAGGGCGGCTGCTCCCACTCGTTGGACCTTGGGTTGTAGACGGCGACGGCAGCTGCAGGGGACGAGAAACTTCCGCCGACCCAAACCTTGTTCTCCTCTCCGTCGCAATACAGGGCCTCGACCTCGCCATTTGTGCCTCCTGAACCTGGTGTGGAGAATTGGTTTGACTTTGGCGAGTAGATGGCGATGTTTGAGGCATCGATGCCGTTTACTGAGGAAAAGAGGCCTGCAAAGTAAAAATCGTCGGCAAGTTGGCAACCGGCGAGAATGCGGCCGCCAGGGTTGGTAGAGGCGAGTCGCTGGAGTGAACCACGCTCGTCGCGGGAGAAGAGGGTGGATGTTGCGGGGTCGAAGGCTACAGAGTCGTTCTGGAAGAGGTCGATACCGGCGAAGGCGCCAACGAGGGCGACCTTGCCCATGCGGTCAAAGTCGACGTGGGGGACGGCGGCGAGGACGCCATTGACGACGGCGAGGGCCGTTAGGATATTTGAGGACGTCGTTGGTCTCATGACATGGAGGAAAGAAAGAAAGAGAGACCTCAGGGGGGAGGACACCGCGGTGTAATGAGAAAAGGAGTGGACAGATTGTTGACAGGTAGAGTTGAACGTAAACCACGCGTGGGACTCAATCAACATTGATTCAAACAAATATTTCTATCTCAGAGCCAACTCAGAGCTTGAACTCGAGGTCCCGGTCTGTCTTTACAGTAATGTCACTCATATCTACAGTCATTCCAACACCGTTGAGGAAAGGAGATCCAGTACCAAGGCCCCTGCAGAAAATTAATATTTATTTAGTTCCACTTTGGATGAATATTTCAAATCCGACGACGCACTGAGGGTACCGGAAACGGCGGACAGGTGGCTGCATAGCATCATGCACAACCAGGGTGTTCCTGGCATCGACTTGAGAGAGAGCAGTGTGCTTTGCGTTGACAGACATCCAGTACTCCCGCGGCTTGGTGTACATGGCGATCCAGCGCGTCAAGTAGACGTCGTCGTTGGGAGCGGGGGCGTATTTGTAGAAAGCAACAGCGGCGACACCGAACAGAATCACATTTCGCCAGAGGGGAGTTCCAAAGCCTTGATACGAATGAGCATCCTCCAAATGGAAATGGTACGTCCATACGCACTTTCGGGAACGGTATAGTCTGCGCCTGCTGGCTCTTCAAAGCTATGGGATGAGGTCGAGCCATTTCGTCTGGCGGTCAATGAGCGAGGTAAGGAGCGGGTCGAGCAGCGCAGAGCGCTCCTGGCTGCGAGCATCATGCTTGGTGTGGTCGTTGTCGTCGGTCAAACCTGTTCCGCTCACTGCTCTCCCTTCGGTCGGATTCGCAGGCCATCGCCATTCAAAACAAACATGCCCAAACTTTATTGACAGCAGCACTACAACTCAATAAGTACTCTATATATGTAGTCTATGGAATAGGTTACTCATAATTTGTAGTGACCTGCAATGAGGTGAATAAAATGCTGAGGTGGAAAGAAATGGAATACTTGCCAAAAATCTAGTCGCGATTGCGCCGTTCCCGTAGCTTCTCCCTCATCTCATGGGCTGCCCGACGTGCACCCTCGCCACCAGCCCATCCTCGTGCCCTCAACCAATGAACAATTCGTGGTGTGAACGCCGCCGTGAGGCCAACGCGGACGGGCAGGAACAATGTCTTGTGGATGCCGTACGCAAGCACAATCATGGCGTACAGCCCTTCCTGCCCTGCAGCTGCGGGATTCCGTCCAGCTGGCTCCATTTCATCCAAGCCAGGCTCTGCAGGACGAGAGTGTACGAGTTCCATCACAGTCTGCTTGACTGTTGCCGCTACTCGAGACACGTATTCCGCGCCGAGCAGATTGACGCCGACGAATGCCACTCCAAAGTCGATGACCGATATCACCAGGTAAACTCCCAACGCATACCACCCATAGGACTTGATTAGATGCTTCAGCTTTTGAGAAAGCGAGGCATTGGGTGTGAATTGGGGTGTAGACGGTGTCGGCGGTGGTGAATGGGCTAGTCGAGGGGTGGTTGAGGTGAAGGGTCTGAAAAAGCGGGTAGTTTGTGGTTGTTGGGTGAGTCTTAGTCTTGTTACTGGGAGTAAAGGGGCGGCAACACGGGGAGCAGCGTTGAAGAGTCTGGATAGCGGAAAGCGGACCATGGCGGCAGAGTATTAAAACGCACTTTCCCGTTTTTGATCTTGACCCAAAACAGACTCCGCCCAATCTTATCGTCGCACCGGGCTCTCTCCCTTGAACCTCTTGACTTTTTTTCTTCCTCCCCCCTCCTCGTCGTCACCTTGGTCGTCGCACAGTTTGGAATGCCGGAACCTTTCGAGGGTCCCGAGAAGCTCCTCGAACTCTGGTTCGAGCCTAGCGAGACAGAAATACAAGGCGGTCTCCGCGGCGTCCCAAGGGAGTCTTGGGAGGAGATGCTCGACATCGTCCGCTGCAAGGTCCTCAGCGTAGTCAACGGCGAGGATCACGACGCATACCTTCTCAGGTTCGTCCTCGTCCTCCTCTCAACCATATTCTCAAAATGCTCACCAGTCACGCGACCCATAGCGAGTCTTCCCTCTTCGTCGCATCGCACAAGCTCATTCTCAAGACCTGCGGAACGACCCTCAACCTTCTCGGACTTCCACGAATCATCGAGATCGCAGCCCAGCAAGCAGGTCTTCCCATCGTGCACAGATGTTTCTACTCTCGGAAATCTTTCATGTTTCCGGATCGCCAACAAGGCCCTCACAGGGACTGGAAGGAAGAGGTCGAATTCCTCGACAAGATATTTTCAAACGGAGCAGCGTACACCGTCGGAAAAATGAACGGAGACCATTGGCTCCTCTATCTTACCGACCCAGACGAACTCTTATCTCCCAGTCCCATCTCCGAGAAGCCCTCTCAAAGTCTAAACGGCGACAGCCCAAACTCACCCGTCCATCTCGACTATACCATAGAAATCCTCATGAGCGGCCTCTCTCCGACAGCCCGCGAACACTTCTTCCTCCCCGAAGACGTGGAATCCGAGGACCCCCAACTAGCATCCGCTCATGGCCTCAAACTCTCTGAGAAAATTGGAATTTCCGACATCTTCCCTTCTCACCTCACCACTCTCGACGCCTATTCCTTCACTCCTTGCGGGTACTCTTCCAACGCCTTGATCAAGTGGGGGGAGGATTCACTCAACTCGGAGGACCATCCATTGGCACGGCAATCGGGAGAGGGGTACTATACGATTCACGTTACACCCGAAGCAGGTTGGTCGTACGCCAGCTTTGAATGCAACGTTCCCCTTTCTGTAGGCCAAAGCACAGAGTCCAAGATCATCCCAGACCTCCAATCGCTCATCAAGCGAGTGGTTTCAATCTTCCAACCGAACCGACTCACCCTCACCCTCTTCATCTCAAGCGCGGACAGTGGCGACTCTGTTGAACTGGCTCAACGCGACTTCAAACGTGCACTCGACGACCTCCCCGAAAGCGCTTTTGGATATCCACTCAAAGGACCGCCCAGACGCTACAGACGCACGGACAAAATCAATTACGAATTCGGAGGGTACGATCTCGCGTTCGCCAGCTTCGAACTCAAGTAAAAAATTCCATGTCGTCACAATCTAGAGTCTAGACCGGCTATGTATACTACCTTTTCCTTACCTATCGTGTACCATCACTCTTATAAACCACGACCTGACCGCAAATTGAGGCAACGGATCAACACTCTTCGACCGATGAATGCCCGTGATGTCATTGTCCATAGTAATACAAGAAAGTGTCGTTCCGAAGTGGGTGAATCAAGGGGTTTCCGAATCGAGAGGGAGGGAAGCATCCTGGGCCTGTCAAGGTTGTCAGCTAGGCTCGTCTAGACAATGGATCTGACTCACCATCTTTTGACGACATCGTTTCTCACACTCGACTACCTGCCGAGCTTCCTGCGCTTTCATCTCCGACAGAGGTCTTCGTTGAATACGATCAAGAATGGTATCCAATTGCACAAAGTTGCTGTCGTTCTCAGCGAACCGTCGATGCCTAGAAGACGTGACATGCTGGACCTAGGGTCAGAATCTATACATGGGCACACGGAGCACAACATACCGATTTGAAATCTTCGAACTTCTGTCGACAACTCTCGCAGTAGCCAGGTTTGCTTCCTTCCTCTCGTTTCGGAAGTTTGAGCGTATTCGTACTCTTGCTCTTTCGCAAGAGGGGTTGCCGGTTGGGAATCACTGATGGAGGATCCATATTTCCCAGTTTCTTGTCTTTGCCAAGCGCTTTGCGCGACGTCAGGACTTGTCTTTTCAACATTCCATCCATCGCAGAGGGAAGAGCGCCATGGCGCAACAGACTGCCGGACGCAGTCGACGTCGTCCCCGTTGTCGAAGTGATGGTGACACTGTTTCCAGAGGCAGCCATGTAGCCAGAAGCATTGCCTGACACAAGGAAACCGGAAGCGTTCGCAGATTCCAACGCGTCGCCGTCCAATTCACCCTCTTGGTTCTCCTTCCCCTGTTCCACCATGCGCTTGTGTAGGTTGTTCAACGAAACCGACCGTCTCAGGTCGCCCATTGCTTTGACGTGAAGCTGAGCCTGCTTCCTCGTCTGTTGCATAACCTGCTCTTTTCGATCCGCCGCCTCCGCCTTGTTCTTTGCTTTCTGCGCTCGCTCCCAACGCGCCTTCTCCTTCTCATCAAACCTGATAAACGGACCCCGCGCCTGGGGGTGACAATGCAGAATCGGCCATGGTACCTTGCCTTTCTGGTCCTTGGTTGGTGGATACTCATGTACCGCAATCGTAGCCACTTGATCCCAGATATCCTCCACAAGAACAAAGAAACTGCCCTTGGCAAAGTAACGATAGTCGTGTCGTCTCTGGAGAGGGTCGCGATCCGAAGGTCCGTGAATCTTCTCTTTCGTCAGGAGCCGCTCCAACTGTCGGGTTGGTGGTGGTTGGGGTTTAGCAGGTGCTTGAGCAAAGACAGACGTTGCATCCAAACACCGAATCAAGACACTATCCAGTTTGGTAGAATTCCAGATCTTGATGCCATAGCTGGCGGCTTTCGCCACAACCTCGTTGTTGTCCACCCTAAGAAAAGGAGGTCAGTCGAATGGCTAGCCACACGCGGTTCAACACACCGTGACTTCAGCTTCACGGGGCTCTTGATGGGATATGGCGAATGCTTGTGGTTGGGATGGTTTTCCTTCGTCTCCTCCAGCTGTGGAACAGGTTTGTCTGTAATCAGGTGTGTAACGCTTCTTGAAAAGAAATCTTCCACTTTCTATCTCAGCCATGAGTGACGTGAGGTGGAAAGGTTTAGAAGAGCAGCATACCCCTCCTAGCTGCTCAATCCGCAGAATAAGTTCATCCACGATACTCTGCTTTGCTTGGATGTTTTCACAATCGACATAGAAACTCCAATTGGGAAACGCCCTTGTGTACTTCTCCTTGAACTCGTGTCGTTGCTGCTCACGTTCGGCGTGCCTGTCCTTTTTCGATTCGCGGGTCGATGTATTGCTCGAGGTCGGTTTAACGCGCTTCTGGGCGGCCCTGCTGTCGTCCCGCTCGGGGGAGCGCGGTCGTTTGAAAGAGGGCAACAATAACCTGGGCCTATTGGGCAGAATCGTTGGCTGCATCGAGCGTGTCGACAACGCCCTCCGTTCGCTGGTCGTCGCCATTGCCAGACCGAGTTCAAGAGAAGGAGAGAGAGAGAGAAAACTAGAAAACAACGGCGGGACGAGTCACGACCGAGTGGCGGCCGACCTCGTTGAACGTCACGCGCTCGTCACGTACACGACGCGTGCAAGCAAAGGGCGCGATCACGCGACTAGAGGTCACATGGTCTCCCGTCGTCGGGTTTCCCCAGTTTGGGTCTTTGGCTTGGCTTGGAACAACCTCTTGCGCCATGTCGGCTTATGGTACAACTCGCGGAGGCTTGCCACCTTCAGGCCAGCTTGGAAAGGACAAGACAACCGACTATCATACAGCTCTATTTCGCCGTCTCGCCTGGGAAGGCACAGTTCCCATCGAAATCCGCGTCGATCCCAAGGAACTACCAGCAAACTCGGATAGAGGACTAGAATGCTATTATATCCAGGCTCCTCGAGTCAGCTACCTGCCCCTTCTCCTCCCTGAAATCAGACGATTCCTTATGGACGTCGTCTTTGATGAAACAGCGGCTTCAGGCCTCAAGGAGGAAGATTGGTGGTTTGAAACTGAAGAGGGAACAGTCATGAAATGGTGCGTGATCAATGTGCTGAAATACGATCATGACTTAGTATTTCCCCGTGAATCAGGCACTGGCCAATAGGTCTCCTGTATGATACTCATACAATATCCATGTCGTTGCGAAATCAAGGACCACACCATTCTCCCAACTCTACAGCGGCAGTCCCCCTCCGCCTCATCCTCCACCTAGCATCACCGCCTATGGAAAAGCTCCTCCTAGGACCTAGCCAGGAGTCGTGCAAACAAGCCTTCATGGGCCAGATAAAAGAAGCGGATTTCATTCGCTGGGGAAGTACCAAGCGAGTCACGGGTCTACGAAAGAACGAGCAGGATGGTATCTGGGAAGGGATCAAAGAACGTAAGGTGCAATGCACGACTTTCTTCTGACCCGTATTCACACTTGCTTCAGACAACTTTGACGACTACTGGCGTGTAGCCTCCAAAGTTACTCCCGCAGCCGCACCGTCTTCGACGTTATCTCCCCCATCTTCATCCCACAGCCGTCCAGCTTCTACCGACACTGGATCTGCGATTGATCGGGATGGTGCTTATAGTGTCCGCAGTATTCCTGTTCGAGTCTATCTTCCTGACGGTCCAACTCTGCAAGAATTCGTGCCACCACTTTTGGAAGATGGTATGCTCTACCTTGTACCCTCTTTTGTGTTCTAACCCGCCCTATTCTAGGTACACCAAACACCCTGGGCAACTTCCTCTCAACTCACTTGTCTTTACTCTTCCCTCCTCGACCCCCAGCACCACCTCCATCGCGTTCGAACCCTAATCCGCAACCTCCGTCCGTACCCGAGTTGGCGTATGTCCTCATCCAAGGTGTCGTCTCACCTCCGGAAGCCGAAATGGCGTGGCTGGGCGTTTGCCTTTCCGGCGCAGATGGATGGCTGAACATTTGCATTGGTATCAACAGGAGCTGAGCGGTAAAGCCCAACCGCGAGTCGGTCGCTTATGAGTGATAGATACCCTGTACCTGGGCTTTGTTTACGCTAAAGTCAAGGTTGTACACCATCCATAATATACACTATAATACAAGCACATATCTAGTCCTCCTCCCCCTCAGACGTCGAATTTGACTATCTGTTCCTTCCCCGTTCGATCGAACTTTAACATTCGCTTGGCAACGCAATTGTATACAATTCGCGTTGGGTTTTGAGCGAAAGCGCTAACAGACAATCCGGGATTCGACTTGGCCTTGTCCCCAAGGACTTCTTTCATTTTGTTCATAGGCATGGCATGACCAGGTACTGCTAACAGTTCATAAAGAACATAAGCTATGAGAACCTGTTGCACTGTAACAGCAGATGCATTCGTGCCCGCTGAAATGGAAGACTGGCTCGGGGAATCGGGTGCAGGGGTTTCGTTCGAAACTTCCTTCAACCGCGCGCTAGTCACATGCATAAGCACCTCCCGACAAACAGAAACTATCACAATGGCACCCACATTACAGTTTTGGCATTTGAAGAGCGAGGTAGCTGAAGTACGTCCGCATAAATTGAAACTATCTTGAACTTGACGCGAATGTCTGTCAGTCGATATTTCATCAAGATACCAATGACTGCACATACCACGATGCGGTCGACCTCGGGAGTGATACGAATATGACCGGACCTCTCCTTGGACTGAGCTTCCACCTGAGGCGCTTCTATGGGCGGATCAGGTTCCATGATAGATTTTTCTGTTTCCACCACGACCTCCGGCACAGGCTCGGGTTCAGGAGGTGCCTTGATGACCACAGAAGGTTCATCTGCAACATCATCTTCAGGGACGATTGGGTTGATTGGTGCAAATCGAGAGAAAGGTGCAGGTGCGGGCTCTCTCTGGGGAGTTGGCATAGAGAATGAAGTATCACTCAGGTCGTTGAAGTCTGCCTTCTCATCAAGGAGCAGGTTGGGCGCAAACTTGAGTGCACGCGATGCTTCTGCCGGCGTCCCCCAGAACTTGTCTTCTGGAGAGGTGGGTAACTCAGGACTCTTGACTGGAGGAAGAGGTTTAGCAGGGGTGGAGGTTGATAGTTGTTTCTTCTACACGAACAGTGAGAAGAGTTGCGGACGTAGACATCTACGAGGAACGTACGCGTCTGTTCAATTCTTCTATTCTGGCTTGTAGGGATGCGATGGCCTCTTCCTCTTGCTTGAGTTTTGACTTGTTAGAAGGGAGTTCGGGTGCAGCAGGCTTTGTGGATGGTTAGACACAGGTGTTCCGAAGAGAAGTCGCCCTTACCTGTTGTGTTTGAATGGAAGCTTGAAGCGCCTTTATACGCTCCCGAGTTGCGGACAGTCGCTCAAGGACATCCATGAGTTGTGCGCGAGCGCGAGGCATAGGTTTTATATCGTTACTGGAGTACACTTTCAGAATGCAATACATGAAGTAGGACAGTGACCTACTATCTATGAAGACATTTCAACGCGGCTTGAGCATATTCCTCTGGTTCAAGATCGCGTTGCCTGTCTTGTCTTCGTTGTGGATTCCTTCGCAAGGGTGTGGCACCCACAAAGTCTATCCGTTTCACCTGGGCTGCCTGGGCGTCTGCCTCGTATTTTGAGGAAGCAGACTCGAGAACGAAGAGACCGATCTCTGTGGAATCGACATCGCGAATGAGGTCGCCCAGTTGAGCATAAAGCACGGCATGGGTAAATAGCCGCGTATCCGGGCCTCCACTAGCAATCTGTGAGGCTGTCGACTTTATGGAGCGCGTCCTTTGAGAGAGTCTATCGATCTGGTCCGAAAGCAGAGCCGCCATTTGTGAAGAATGTCGAAAACAGATGCTGGTGCTGTGGTCGCCGACATGATCGCTCGCGTTGTTTGTCAGTGTGTGTAACTCAAGAGTTCCCCTTACAGAGTCGCCACTTTCTTGTCGACTTCCCATGACCCTCCTCGCTTCTCTTCTTGCTTTCTGACCTGAACAATCCAAGACAGTCGCCCACGACGACAGCGACAGCTGGCAACGAAAACCACAGCATACACCCAGCGTTCTTCAAGGCCCCGTCATGTGGGAGCCGCTACCGCTCATCGTCTACGGATATGCCGTCCACCCCCTTTCTCCCTCTCGGAGAGAAACCAGGATCTCCACAAGGAATAGGCTATCAACAGTCACAGAGGTCTCTGTCGATGATCAGCAAAATAGAGATGTCGTCAATCTCGAAGTAGGAGATGAAGTCTACGCATTCGAGCGATATATCCCTCCCAACGGTAGGGAGACCGATGTTTGGTACAGAGGGTCAGTACAGCATTTGTCAAATTGACTCGCTTCTTACCACTATATAACCCCCACAGATATGTTGTCTGCCCAACGAAACGTCCGCCGGTAACCTGGGCGTCTGACCCCTCGTCAGTCAAGCCGCCCGTCAAAACAGAGGAACCTCAGCAAGTGTTTATCGGAATATTCCCCGCATCGCACATCTACATCCGTGACGAGCTGTCAGATGCCGAAGGACGACTTCCCGAGCTGGCCAGGACGCTGAATGGAAGCACGGGAAGCAGTCAGGGAGGGAATTACGGCCGTGTCAGTCCCGCGGAAACCTATTTTTACTGGAACAAGGAGAAAGGCAGCATGGGAATGGATACCTTGCGCGAAGAAGACGAAGAAGACTATTATGCAGCCGCTCGAAAGTCCTTCAGGTTGGGCCCTCCGCCTGAACAGGCAAACTCGTCGCGCGCTGGACTTCCCGTCTATTCCGCTAGTATCCGCTCCGCCTCTCCTGCCGGTTCTCAAATCGCGAAGCCTCTTCCTCCTCGACCATCACTCAAATCTGGGGACGACACCGCCTCTGGCACAGTCCAGCCCATCATTGACGAGATCGCATCTGCGTTGAGAGAATGGCACAATTTGATGTTCCAGTACCTCGCCCGTCGCGATTACCAACTCTTCCACATTGTCAAGGACCAAATCGAGGCACTGCATCTTGGCCGCCGACAGTTACTCGCCAATACCTTGAGCGCGGAGGAGACCGTTAGCATGCGCCAGGAATGCGTTACCAAACTCGTCGTCGGTAACCTCATTCAAGGGCTGGATGTCATCGTTCGACACCCAACATGGGGCGCATTGGTCACTGTCGACGTAGAAGGAGAACCTGACCAGAACAGTTGGGTCAGTGCAATTCGCATGTACACCATGCAAACAGCCTTGGCCTACCTCGATGTCGCTAAAGAAGACCCCAAGCTGGGCGTGTTGCGTGCCAGCTTTGATCACAGCAACCACAACCTTACGCCTACCCCTGCTCATTCGGTATTCGCAGAAGCAGCTCAAGTTCACCGAAAAACGCGGTCGCGCTCACTCCGCCTTACAGGAATAACCGCGGTCGAAACCAGCAAGGCGGCCCCTGCTCAATTCTATCACCTCTTCTTCGAGCTACGAGCATTTGTGGCATCTCTGTGCTCACCCGGCGAAACAGTGGAGCTTTTCTTCTCTCTCTACGCCAAGGCTAGCTCGCAATTCCTGACCGAAGATTTTTGCGTAGTCCTCAACCATAATGGCGTTTTGGCGCGCGACCCGGCAAGTCGGATTCGTACCCTTTTCACAGACCTCTCTTTCAGTGAAGTCCGGCCTCCAGTGTATCTCGTCTGCCGCATAGTTCGAAATGGGTCCTTGAAGATTGGGCATGACATCAGCTCCGGGGTGCCCTACGCACGCAGAGGCTCCGAAGGACACGTTCGGGGGGATAGCTCAGCTTCTCCCATTGTCGGATCACCTCTCTGGACACCGGATGTCGGCAGCCCTTCTTCTTACAGCCCTCGTAGCCCTGGCGCAACCGATGGTCAATTTAGGCGACCATTCGGTTGCGCTGTTTTGGAGCTCACAGAACTCGCAAAAATGGTACACGACCAAGCTGACGCTTCAGCCCTACGAGAATATACCATGCCCATCTTTGTCCCTACCAATGAAATATCATTTTCGACGCTCCACCAACACATCATCAACGGCAATACCAAGGAGTTTGAAAGGTCGTCTCGGTAAGTGAAGCTCCTGATTAGCGTCGCGCGGGGTGTTGATTCTCCAATCACAGTGCCGACTCGGTGGCCATCTCGGTCAAGTCCTTCCGGGGCAATTTGCAGGCAATCGTCCGTGAAAACACTTCGACCCTGCAGGGCATCCCCCGCACCCTGCAACTCGGGTTCCCAGACGCTGTGTTCCCCGGCGAAACGCGTAACGAGCTCTACATCAAGCTCTGGTCAGGAGAGTTCTCTTCCTCAAGCTCAAGCTCAGGTCGTTTAAGTGTTTCGAGCTTCGGCCGTCAGTTAGGGTCCGTTGGCAATACCATGGAAATTACAATCGAACTTCGAGACAACGATGGAACAACGATCCCGAATTCGATAGCGCGGGGAAGTGGCGAAGAACCAATGACATATTTCCACTCGATGGTTTTCCAGAGGTTCAATGAACCCACTTTTGGTGAACTCATCAAACTCCAGCTCCCTTCCAATGGAGTACCCCAATGGCATCTCTTCTTCACAATTCGCAACCGAGGCCGCACCTCTTCCAAAGGATCCCCCGACAACGGTGACAAACCTTATGCATTCGCCTTCCAACCCCTCTTCCCTGAATCCGACACTTTCCTCGAAGATGATAGCCACGTCCTCATCCTCTACCGTGCCGATAAACTGCCTCAGATCTCTGCGGCCACTTACCTCTCGGCACCATCTCGCTTGGAGAATGGGCAGAAGATCGAGCACCTTGCCATCCCTGCTGATATGTCCAGATTCACACCGCCAATGCGGGACACTATCACTATCCGCTCCTCCTTGTGCTCGACCAAGTTCACCCATAAACCGGTGTTGTCGCGTCTCCTCAACTGGGAAAAGCAGGAACAAGAAGTCCTCGCCGGTATCTTGACCGAATTCACGTTCATTGGCGAACGAGAGATCGTCAAATATCTCGCAGATATCTTCAACTCGCTCTTCGGCATACTGGTGTCCTCCGTTAACCAGTCCGGGGAACTCGACCTTCTCGTCTTCAATGCACTCGTCACAGTTTTATCCATCGTTCAGGACCGCCGATTCAAAAACTTCCAGCCCGTTCTCGACGTGTACATTGAGAAGCACTTCAACTTTGCTTTAGCGGCTTCCCACATTATCCATTCCATGAACCGACTCTTGGCCAATCCTGCTTCACCAGAGTCGGCGACACACCTCCGTGCGGCGTTGAAGGTGTGGCATTACATTTTCAAGTTTATTGCGCGTTCGCGGGAATTGCAAAAGGCCAAGGAATTGGGAATGGGCGGTGGCGCGACAGCTGAACACTTGGAGAGCAAGTTCAAGCGAGAGCTGAAGTCACACCTTGCTGAAGTGACACGAATGATGTCTACCTCCTCGCCTCCTTCCATCATCGGTACTCAAACTATCGCGTTACAGCACTTCACCTCCATCCTGCCTGAACTCGCTAAAATCTTCAACACGGTTGAGCTCGTCTCCATCGCGACCACCTTCGCCAACTCTGTCACGGCTGTCAAGGGTAAGATCGTCATATGGAAGCTGATCATGTATCTTCAAATCGTGAAGAGCTTCCTTTTCGATAATCCGACCTCCCGACCTCTGTTGGCAGCAGCCGTTGTTAGTTGGATTCAACCGCATTTCGGACGATATGACGAGTATGCCCACACTCATATCTCCGACTCTGAAGCGACGAAGGATGCAGCACGCGTCAGTTGGTTGGAGAGTATCCGGCTATGTGTGACAATTATCGCTGTCATGCTTGACAAGCTTGACCAGCAATTGGTCAATCCTGCAGTCAAGAATGACCTGAACGCGATAAGACAGGAACAGGAGAATATCGAGTATCTCATCCCGCTTATCCCAAGGTATGTTTCGCCGCTGTTGAATGAAGCGGAGCTGACCTGAATTTCCAGGTTGTTGGATTCGTATCGAGAGATTCAAAGTCCCGCCTCCAAACATGTACTGGACCGCGTCCAGTCGCCATCTACCGCCAAGGCTGCAATCCCGGTCACCTTCCCAGAGTCCTATCCGTTCTCGCTTCTTTCATCGTGGCCGAAGGAAAGGCAGACGGGTCCGACGATCAAGGAAGACGACGGAACGTTCTACCCATCACTGGGTGAAACGGCCATCGTCTTCTTGACCCTTGTCTTGTCCGCTCCCACCGCTCATATCCTCTCGTTCTTCGAGTCAAGCTTTGACATCGAAGGTCGTGAACGCTTCGTCAACCTCGTCTCGACGTTTTTCAAAGTCGCGACCTCCATCTTGGATAATGAGGCCTTCCCCAAGACGTGGCTCAATGTCAACGTCCTCGCCCACAAGGTCCTGGTCAAGATGATGGATCCTGTTGCTACAATGTTGGTCAGGGAATTTGTTCCCAGCCAGGATTCCGAGATCGAGTTCGACGTTACTCTCTGGAAGGACGGGTTCTTTATGTTGCTCAAACTGCTCTCTTCAGAACATCTGGTGATCGAAGAGTTTAGCCCGCAGGTCGGCGCTGTTTTCATTTGAATTGGATGTCCGCTAATATATTAATCAGAAACGCCGTGCCATTTGGCGGTTGGCGGGGGATCTTCGCGGAGAAGGCGCTTCCATCTTGTTGAGCATCTGGCAAGCACTAGGCTGGTCGGAGCAAAACTCGACGACTGGGGAAGCTCTGCGATATGGGGTACGTCTCACTATTGTGTAATTGTGTGGACAGCCTCTCATCATGCCTCAGGGCTATCAAATTCACCTCCACCCTTTGGTCGGCCACGTCGTCAACCTGTGCCTCAGTCATCACGATCAACTGCGAAACAACGCTGTGCAGATCCTCTTCAGTATGGTCGTCACACAGTTTTATCAGCATGGCCACTTTGACGCCATTGAACATGAGCTTGTGATCAAGCTTGACTCCCTTTTCATGTCTGATAGCAAGGGTGACGACATATCAAGGGCATTTTTCGTTGGTCAGCTCAGGTATCTCTTTGATACTTCTGAAGTGCATGACGAGCTCCGTGAACGCGTGGGCCACTTTTTGGACTCGGTGGATATGTTCCTGGAGCTGTTGCTGAGCGTTCGCGCGTTGCCAGAGGGAGAAGAATACGCTGATGACCGAGTCATTGCCACGGTCGGTGTTTGCGTTTTTGGTTTACAAGTAGATGCTAAGCTACCTCCCATTAGCTCCGACTCATGAACTTTATCCGCCGCATCGGTCGGGACGAGATCTACATCAAATACGTCCACCAACTCGTGAACATGCATCTACAAGCACAAAACTATGTTGAGGCGGCGTTGACTCTCAAGCTGCATTCGGACCTGTATGAGTGGGATCTCAATTCATTCTTACCACCCATGGAAGATCTTGGTCTGCCACAACAATCGCACTTCCATCGCAAGGAGACGCTCTGCTTACTTATTCTGCACTATCTCGGTACGTCAAGATTTCGGTTCACGGTGACGTATGAATTCATGTCTTTCTAGGCAAAGGAAAGGCTTGGGAGAATGCAGTTGACATTTGCAAAGAATTGGCTCATCAGCATGCCGAAGTCACATTCAACTAGTAAGCATCGATGGTGCCTCATCCCCGAAAAGTCATTGACTGCTTTCAGTACAAGGCTGTCCGAGATTCTCAGACACCAAGCTAATCTCCTCGAAAACATCATGAGTGAACAGCGATACTACCCTGACTACTATCGTGTCACGTTCTATGGCAATTTCCCTCAAGCCATCCAAAACAAACGCTTCATCGTGCGCATCAAGTTTCTTCACTACCCCCAACTACTGACCTATTTTCTAGTACCGTGGATATGACTGGGAGAAGTTTGGCGCATTCTGTGAACGAATGCTCAACAAGCACCCAGGAGCGCAGCTATACAAGGCAGCAGGCGAACCACCAGCCGATATACGCTTCGGCAGTGACCAATATATACAATGCACTGCAGTCACGCCAGAGCCTAATCGCACGCTTTCTATGTTTACCAATCCTGAGGTGCCATTGGCAGTCAGGACCTACTACGAGCATTGGTGAGTTCATTGCTCTTATGGCACAAGTCCTAAGGCTGACATTACCGCAGTGGCATCAACTTGTTTAGTTCAGTGCGTCAAGTTCGCCGAACGGACCAAGACGGGCAAGAGGAAATCTGGATAGAAAAGACCTACTATACCACCGAAGAGGCCTTTCCAACTGTGCTTCGCCGGTCAGAGGTCGTCGACGTCATGGTTGAGGAGATCTCTCCCCTCGACAATGCATTACAAGAGGTGACAACCAAGACCCGGGAGCTCCAGACTCTTCAGGTCAAGTACCAATCCCTCGCTAAAACGACCCAAACGGTTTCAACCAGCGCCCTCGCAATGTCCCTCAACAGTGCAGTTGATGCGCCGCTTAATGCTGGTATCAATATCTATCGCCAAGTCTTCTTCCATCCAGACTATATTGTGCGACACCCCGAGCGCGCTGAAGGCGTTGAGAAGTTACGCGCTGCCATCGACGAACAAGTCCGCGTTATCGACAGTTGTCTCAAGCTTCACGGACACCTTTGCACGCCCGAGTTTATCCCCTTCCACGAAGCACTTCAGAAGTTCTTTAGGAAGAACTTCCGAGAAGAGATTAGGAGACTGGCAGTTGACGATGATACCCTGTTGTCTTCCCGAACCCCGGATACCCAGTACCCTCCTTCGACGTATGAGAGTTCTGTCGCTCGAAGTCAGTCGTCTTCTGGTACAGCTCGCAACCCCTTCGTTATCCCCCCTCTCAATTTGGGCCGGCCTGTTCTCACCCCGCCACTGCCTTCTCCCACAAGTACAACGCAGCAAACATTCCACAGTCACCAGACTCCATTGCAACGCCACCTGGCTCACCTGACTAAACACGGTATTACAGCGGTCTCTTCAGCACCAGGTGACGCTGCGACCAGCGACAGTATCGACTCGATCGAATCACCGCACAACTCGTTCGTCAACGTCGGGAACAGTGTCCAACCACAACATTCAGCACAAGCTTCTGGTACTTCGATCATGAGCGGTACTTCGTTTGGTTCTTTGAGGGGTCGATTTTCACGGTTTGGGAGTCTAAACTTTGGTAGACGAAACCAAAATGGGGCTTGAAGTCATCTTTCATTATTCTATTGCTTAATTTGCCTTTTTTTTTCCAATGTGTTTATTTACTACCTATTTCGGATGATACCATCTCCTGTGGACGTTGTCCTTAACTTACTCATGAAATACCACATAGAAACCAACTTGATTGCCCAAAAGGATGAACAAACGATATACATACACCACATACCAGTGCCGAAAAGTGAAATAATGATACAGAAAATGCAAGAGGAGCGACAGCATGGAATGACCGACAACTAATGCTACAGAGAGGGGCGACGCAAAAAAAAAAGGAACAGATGTTTTTTACAACGAAGGAATGCCAGTAATAACTTAAAAAGACTCTAACATGCAAAAAAGGGGGAAATGGCGGACAGCAATAATGATAGGGGTTAAGGGTGAGTAGGATCGTTAAACGGATCCGACATAGTGTTGCTCGATTAGGCTGACGTTGTCATCGTTCGGGAGGCCAAAGTTTAAGCTGTCGTAGAGGTTGAAATCCAGAGTTGGGTTATCAGTGAATCCGTGGGCCGTTTCAATGGGTTCCAAAGCATCGTAACCCCCCAAAACCCCAAGGCTATCGAGCTGGGCCAGGTCTGCAGGTAGCTTTAGACCAGGGCCCCATTGTGGGTCCTTGAGGGGCTCGGGTGCTTGAGGCGGGCAGGACGGGAACAAGACGGACGAAGAAGACGAAGAGCTGGCGGTGGTGACGCTGTCCACAGGCGAGACAAAAACGTCCTGGGGCGGAGGGTTGTTCACCAACACCTGGTATTCGTTCGTCACAGGTTCAAACTTGACAAAGCTGGGAACGTTTCCCGCCGCCACTTCAGGGAATGGGGATTGGATCGCCACAAGTTCCGGACTATCGATAGGAGACGGATCGGAAACGGGTGACGTCGAACCTGTCACTTGGCTGGGGGAGGTGTAGATCGACTATTGGAGCGGAACCGAGTCAATCATCAAAAATGAGCTTACTCGAAAAGGAGAACTCACATATTTGGAAAGGATTTTCTCCAGCGCTTGTCCAAGGAGGTTCCAATCGAACACCTTCAAATCCTTTTCAATATTGCGAGGCTTGGGATCGGGGAACTCCATGATGCGCTGGAAGAAATCGCCAAAGCCAGGCTTGTGCTTTGATACCGTCGTCGGACGCAGACCTTCCAGATTGCGCCTAATCCGGTTTTTCTCTTCCACGGGGAACTCGCCATTGGTAAGACGTTCCAAAAGGTAAATGACGTCGACGGAAGTCACAAAGCACGAGTCGACATCCTCACGATAGATGCAAGAGATGACAGCATCGGCTTCGCAGTAGTCTTCTTGTCGGATGGGCTCGCAGGAAACGATGAGCTTGCGGCCGTCTTGCACTTTGGAGAAGCGAACCAGGCGTCGACCTACACTCAGTTCCTGGGGAGTCCAGCCGGTGCAGATGGAAGCAAGCGGGGTGACGAGTTCGAGGATGGGAGTCTGGGCGACGAGTTTCTCGCCTGGAGGGATGGGGGCATTCTTGGCACGGACCAGGGATTGCGTCTTGAGGCGACGGTGGATGCGGGCCTTTCCCTGCGGGTTGTTGGCAAACGTGGAACCTGAACTGGGAAGCTGGCTAGTGGTCGCTCCTCGCCGACGCATAGTGGGTTGCGGTTGGTCTGAACCAGGAGGTGAAATCTGAAGTCGGGAGAGCTTGGATAGACTGTTGTTATTAGAGTCGGCGGTGCACCCTGGTGGGAGGAGAAGCTCGTTTAGGAGCAAATACATGTATTGTTTTACTAAGCACAAACATACCAGGAGACCAGTACGAGAATTCACCAAAGGCGACTGAATCGAGAACCGCGTTCTCATCGTTGAGAGCTTGTACCGAGATTAGGACTTTGGGTGATGAATATAGGTCTTTGTCAAAAGGCGGTGCAATTGCATCCAGCTGCCAACGTCCGTACGTCGTCCCGGGAAGTTCCCTGACCTTTGTCGCGACGGCCTTGTGACCGATAACGAGACGGACGTACATGGCGTCTGCGAGTTCAGGGTGGAAATGGATGCGGACTGTGATTGGGACGCCGCGCTCGCCCTCTGTGGGAGTGTATCCGAGGACATGAATGATGCCTGTCGGGGAGACAACGACGTTGGAGGGTGCAGCATCTGGGATAACGGGGACGGGCAGGGTAGAGTCCATCTCGCAGGGGCGACGGGACGGAGGGAGGAGGAGGAGAATGTGGTGGAAGGGAGAGAAAGAAATTGAAAAAGGAGAGTTTAATAATCTGAATATAAAAAGGGAAAGGAGCTAGATTCATGGAGGAAGGCCATAAATAAACGACGACGCCTCCACAGACATTTCCTTATCCGGTTATGCGCCTCCACCGATCGAGCTCATGCGTTAATGCAAGTCACGTGCTTTGCTTCTCTCCGGCCGGCCTTGCAGAGGCGAACAACGGGCGGAACATGGCCTTCAGCGGTCATGACACAGTTGCATACGGTGCAACCCTCCGCGAAGAGGCCGGTGTACGCTTCCAATAGATTCTGCACAGCGCCCATTAATCCAAACGGATTTCGGCAAAATTCTGGGGCACCCACCAAAATAGCCTTCAGGGGCACCTGCTCCTCTGACCGAATCATTTTTGCGATCTCCTGCGATAACAGGCGGTACACGGTGTAGTCGGACTGCGTATGGGGTGCTTTCTAGACATTTTGCATTCTTGAGACAACAACACGACAACAAAGAACAAAGGGGAGGGAATGGACAAGGGCGGACACTCACGCGCTCTCTCGGTCCAAACGCAGTGACCGTCTGAACAATAACCGTATTGTTTGTGGCAGCAGGTGAGCCGAGGGAGATGTACGCGGTGAGCACGTCTGGAATGGTGAACCGTAGCATGCGCGGGCGTTCCTGGCGCTGCTCTCTGGTTCGCTCCCAGATGTGAAGGCGACAGGGCTTGTCGGCCTTGTTGTATTCGCGGACGAATGGGACGAGACCGTCGAAGGCAACAAGTGGCCCCTGGAGGTCCTCTGGTGGGAAGAACGTAGTCGGAGTTTTCTCGACTGGCACATATGGCTGAGGAGACTCTGGAGAAGGAGGACGCCTGAAAGGAGTTAGAAAACATGGAATTTAGTAGAAAAAAGTCCCAAACCTGCGCTTCCTATGTTCCCGACGATAATTGGGGTCTATATTGCTTGGGTCTGCGCGCTTGCTTTGCTCCGCCTCTACCAGTGCCGTCTGGACAGCTTCTGAGCGCACGAGGGCAGCAACCTCCTTGACTCTCTGAAATTCGTCCCTTACACTTCTGGTTGGGGCCAGCGCAGCCGGTCTCTTCAGGAAGGACGCTGGGATGTGTCGTATAGACTGGAGCTGTGAATAGAGGTCTGAAAGGGCTGCAATTCGTTCTTGTAGTATTTGTACTTGGGAGGGAGAAGGGTCGGACATTATGATACAAGTAAAGGATAGAGAACGAGAAACAGTTTGACTGTACAATGCGCTGATGGGATCAATCTAATCTGATGACCATACCCCAGCTCCAACAAGCGCCGCCCATCCAGAGTCCCCCAATTGACCGACGAGAACGAAGAGAACGACAGAGTCCCCGAGATTGGTGCGGAAACAATATCTATGTTGCAATTTTTCCATTTCTTCTTTCCATTGCTCGAGTGCCTCGACCGGGGATGTGACCCGGAGAGTCGGAGGCAGACCTTCTGATGTCAGAGGAACAGAATGGACCTGTAAAAGTTGTACAGAAATTCCAGCGCAATAGGTAACGTTCAGACCTTGCTCGTTCTGTCCAGGCCCAGTGCCTCGAGGACATTGGAAGGATCGGCAAATCTACCTGGCCCAAGCCAGACGGCAACATCATCCCCGAGATCATCTGCCTCGCTGCCCTGGCCTGCAAGAATGCTGGCACAGGCGAGGGACGCGGCGGCCGTTCGTGTGCCAAGGCTACGAGATTCTCGAGATACTGCTGGGAGACATTGTTGAGATTGTTGTTGGAGGAAGCGAGGACAAGGGGAGAGACTGTTGTCAATGCGGGGAGGAGCGCGTTCATGATGGCGGATGGGAACAAAGAGGTTATGCACGTGACGACACGCGAAGTGGTAGCGCCAAGAAATTGGAGAGTCCCTTCTGCTTTTTGCATCGCTCGTCACCAAGTCCAGCCACAAATGTATTTCTCTCTTCTTCTCCTATTTCTTTCCTTCTAACTTTTTTTCCAAATAGCGAATGCTGCGTTCAATATCCAAGGATGTCCAGCTGTAATTATCTTCACTTGTTTTTAAATTCCACAAATTGACTCGAAACAGATCCTTGTGGACACTGAACGCGCGCAACAGCCTTAGATGCCGTCCAGCTCTCGTTTCAAGACATTATACGCCTTTGAACCAGATTCCAGACTCTGAACGCTCAAAGGTCACTCCACCCCCGCTGCCAGCGTCCAGAAAACCCAAGATTGACCTGCGTCCTGCACCCATAAAGCCCAAGAGCATCCCGCCATCGTCCAAGGCACTTCCAAATGCTCCTGTCAGATCCAAGCCAACCCACAAAGCACCCCCAACTCCGTCTCTGAACGAAGCAAAGGTCACTGCACAGAAAGACCTCACCGACGCCCAGCGCCACGGCATCATCCCTCCCCCGCCCCCAGACGCAGGCTGGGCCAAGGCAACCCTTCACAAACTCATCGAACTCCTCGTATGTCACACCGCACCCAAACCAATCATCTCACCTTAACCCATTTCAGAAATTCTACTACCGAGGCGTCAAACTCATCTTCACCCGCCGCAAAGAAATCGCAGCAATTCGTGAACGGATAAAGGCTGGTGGTGCCCCCTTGACAAGAGCCGAGTTCCGCTTTATCCAAACTCAGAAGGATGATGTGAACAAGTGCGTTAAGCTCAACCTCGTCTTGCTCGAACAACCTTGACCGTAAATCCAGGGTGGTACCGTTCATCATCATCGCATTGCTGCTGGAGGAAGTCATCCCTCTTATCGCCATCTACGCTCCCTTCATGCTCCCCTCCACTTGTATCCTCCCTTCCCAGCGTGAGCGCATCGAGGAGAAACGAGCAGAGAAAGCACTGGCCACCGTTGAGGCTTCCAAGTCCGTTTTTGAAGCTCTCAAGGAGAGAGCTTCTTCCAACCAACTTCCTCTCGTCGCTCTAAAGGAGGTTGAGGGTGCTCCAACCACCCTGTGCAGGTCGGTGCCCGGTTCATATTGTCACTTCCAATATAATAACACCCCACGCAGTGTCCTGGGTCTCTCAACACTAGGCATGGACGCCTTGCGGATACGGAGAATAAGACAACGTCTCACCTTCATCACCGAAGACGATTCCCTCCTCATGCAAGACCACGCCACCCTCTCTGATCACGAAGTAAAGGAAGCTCTGGCCGAGCGCGGGCTCTTGTACGTCCCTCCTTCCCTGTAATTCCCTTTCAAGATTTACATGTTGACCCACCTTGCAGCCCGAGCCCCAAGTCCACCTTTGCCGAAAAACGTAACCTCCTCACTTGGTGGCTCAACGCTGTCCAGAACACCCCTTCGCAAGACGCAGTTGCAACACGTCTATTCCTGATCGTCTCTAGACACACCACCTAGTCCCCACCGCGCCTCTTGGCATCATATACATCCATATACACTCTAAATTATTCTACGGGAGAAGGAACGACGCGACCTTTTCGGCCTCTTGACATTTCACCCGCTTGTCCTCTTTCAGAACACAGGTTCCCCTTACTATGTACTACGAAAAGCTTTCATTAATCACTGCACCCTGTCCTTTAAAGTCAATATCTATAGATGCGAACTTCCAATGGTCCCGAATTTCGAGACTCGAGAGCCGCCCTGCAAGCAGAGGTATATACCATCACGACCAAGATACACTACCCCTTCCTTAATAGATACTAATCTGCCTGACCTGCGCCAAAACCTTCCATCCAGTCACACCACCCGGCCTCAACATAATCGCCTTCTGCGCACACCTTAGCGCTTCATCAATCGCATTCACCCTCGCATGTGCCAGCGCTTTCACAGCCAAACTTTGAGGCCTCAACGACAATTTTAGATTCCCGTCTTCGTCACTGGGTCCTCCGGAATGCTCGGATTGGCGTAGCAAAGCAAGAGCTCGCTCTGGTGAATCAGCCTTGAGTAGAAGCGAAGCCAAGGTGTTTCTTCGGCCCTGATCAGCAGGTCTGCAGAATAGACTCTTCTCCGCTAACTTGAGTGCTTGAGTCAACTCGCCCTGTTATCCATTTCAGTAAAGCACTTCCATAGAGCGCAAAGAGAATATACGCACCCGGCTTAGATGATATTGAATCAACAAATGGTCCACATTGCGTTCAGAATCAAGCTGAATCCTCTCATCTGGAGGGAGGGCCACTATCTCCGAAACAGCGGCATCTACCAACCCTTCATCACTGCTCAAAATGCCCATTGCGGCTAATGACTTGATCGCAGCCAGATTGGTGCTCTCCTCCGAAATGCTATCGCAGGTATGAGTAACCTGGTCATACCCAGCCACTACACGGGACAGACGTACCATTTCAATAGTTCGGTCTTTGCAGCCTCCCTAAACTCTGCCTCCCCAAGGCTCCAAAGAACTTGTGCAAGGACGATACTCGTCTGACTCTTCAGTACCTCACACGCACTCTCTTCCTCAGCCACCCTCTGCGCCTCCTGGAACGTAGCCAAGGCGCTCCCGAAATCAGTCTGCATCATCTGCGCAATACCAACTCCCAACCTCGCCTGTGCCTCCAGCTTGCTCTTCAGCTCTTTGCTCGCGTCTTCCTGGACGAGGGCGAGGACACTCTCGAAAGATGGCAAGGAGGCATCAGGGTCGCCATACGCGAGGTTGAGTCGGCCCAGAGTAGCGTTGGCGATCATGAATTGACGCTCGACGATGGGGTCTTCTGTATGTTCGTAAACACGTTCGAGGATCTCGATGGCATGTTGGACGAGTTTGCGACCGAATGCGACATGGCCTAGACGTTCGCAGACGAGGGCGAAGAGGTGTAGACCCGCAGCATCGTGCGGCCTTCTCGAGCAATACCGCGTAAGGAGGTAATACGAGGGGAGAAGATCGTCCAAAACTTTGGCCGGAGATTGTGAAACCACCCTCGGGCGACTGAACAATCTATAGCTCGTATTATAATCCGCCTCGGGCTTAAAAAATCATCAGCACGATCCTCCTTCCAATGCTTATAACTCACCAAAATCTCATCGAGCGTAGTAGCATGCACGAACAACGCATCCGCGTGCGCTCTCTCCCCCCGCAGCTCAGCAGCAACAGCTTGCCCAACCCACGCAACTGTACAGTCGGGGTCAAGCGTCTGTGCCCTCTGCAGCACCTCCTCTGCCAAATCCACATCCCCATGGTGCAGATACAGCAGCCCGAGCGTAGCCCACGTCTGCGCATTCTTTCCGTCTATCTCCAGTGCTTTGACGAACGCATGCTGAGCCGCCCTTGGAGTCGTCGTGAAATATGCCAAACCGAGTGCAACCCAGTATTTATCGTTTCCAGGGTCGTGCTTGACAGCTTTGGAGAAATACTTGATGACGAGCGGACCCAATTTGTCTTCCTTGCGCGTTCGGAGTGCCCAGAGGTGTACAGACGCCCCGAGATCATACCACGCACTGTGGTCAGGGGTGCTTGATGTCGAGGGCAGGCCAATCCTATACTCAGCCGCTCGAATCGCAATCCGCAACATACTTCTCCCCTCAACGCTCGCCTCCGGTTCTTCAGGTTTCGGATTGACTTCCCCTCCAAGCTCTTCACTGATACCAGGAAGCAGTTTATCAAACGCATCATGTACCTCTTTGACACCCTCGAAATTCTCGAACGAGGAAAGTCTTGAAAGGTGGTAGGCAGCATCTGTGATCAACTTCCAAGCAACACCGCGGAAACCCGGATGAGCGTCAATGATCTTTAGTGCCAATTCTCCTACAGTGATGAACGACGATTCGGCCCTGGATCTGAAGCCAGTGTTGAGTTCCACAACGCCGAGTTGGAGATGCGCCTGCGCCAGAGATGCAATGATGCCCAATTCCAATGGGTGCTCCTCGAGTAGCGCCTTGAACCCCTGGATTGCCTCGGCATAAAGTCCGACCCCAGCCTGTGAGACAGCAATGAAGTACTGAGGCAACCAATCCTTCTCGTCCAGGACATGTGCACGCTCGAGTGCCTTCACTGCAGCAACATACCTTCCAGCCTTGCTGTAGGCCTCTCCCAGCCGCAACCACAAGTTCCCATCATCGGGTTCGGCTCTAAGCGCCACCTGGAACGCCTGGATCGCGGCTATATAGTTCGAATTTTGCTGACCCCACATCAGTTTCCTATCCCCCGGCATTGCGATTATAAAAGACGCACCAATTCAACCACACCCAAAGCCTTCCATGCCCACACATTCGTCGGGCCCTCCCCCTCCTTCGCACCTTTCATACCAGCCTCCAAACCTCCCTCACCTTCAATCGTCCGTCTAGCAATCACCTCGACCAAGTCCCACTCTTGTTCATCCGCAAATCCAGTAGCCAGCCTTTGTGCAGCCACTGTCTGCCTCGGATCCAGCTCAAACGCTTTCTGGAAACACTTGGATGCTCGGATGGGATCCGGCGGAGAGGCATAGTCGGCGTAATGCAACCCAAGAGATGTGAATGCAGCTGCATATTCCGGGTCCTTTTTAAGGGCGGCTATGAAATTGGGGAATGCGTGTTGTCGCTCGTCACCTACAGATTGTTTAGCTCGCAAGTTCGTGAAATGTCAAGAGACGAAGCGTACCACCGAGATTCCAATAGCTCTGCCCGATTCTCCACAAGCATCTGGCAAGATCCAACTCGTTCTCAATAGCCAGTCCTTCCAAACTCTTGCATACCGCCTTCAATTTGTCGATCGCCGACTGCCCAACACCAAGCAATGTCTCGCACCAAGCACTCTCCTCCTGAGCTCTCAGGACCAGCGCATCGTCATCGGAATGTTCTACGACTTGGTCGAAGCAGCTTTGAGCATCCGCCCATTCCTTGCGAGCTTGGAGGATGTAGCCTTTCGCCATCAAGGTTTTGATATTCAAGGGGGAGAAGTTGAGGACTTGTGTGATCAACTCCATCGCCTGAATGTGGTGCTTTGGGGGGAAGAGGTGGGTGAGGGAGGTTAGGAGGACAACTTGGAGTCCCATTCGTGTCCTAATACCCCTTGTCAGACAGACCACTTTGACCGGGGAGCGAAACCCACATACTTCTTCATCGTCCGGCCCAATGATGATTCAACTTCGTCTAATTTCCGCAACGCCTCTTTAGCGATAGCGGCAGCATTTTCGTAGTCCTCGATGAAGAGATATGCATCACTGAGAATCCTTCGAGGGAGTACGCCATCCGAAGTTGAGGTGGGAGCATTCTGGCAATCAGCTTAGTCTACTGTCTGAACAATTCGAGAAACGAGCACTTACCAGAAGGGTATCCAACCCTGTCTCGCTGGTATCAACCTCCTCCTTCCCCTCCTCCTTATCCCTTTCCTCGTCCTCTTCCAACCGAATATTATGAAACCAGAAATACCCTCTCACAACCTCTGAAAGTGCGTTCTCAGGGAACAGCTCCACAAACGTCTTGAGAAGCCCCTGATCGATATCCGCTATTCACAATCGCAACCGTATCAGCCACCATCCGACTGACCAAAAGGAAATTGGTCATACCTACATCCTCATAATCCTGCCAATCCAAAAACAAACACCACGTCCTCTCATCCCTCCTCTTCAACAGAATCGCACCCTGCACCAACTCTTCCAGCTCCTTCAACAGCTTCCCCTTCGTCTTCTCATCGCTCGCAGGGATTGAGTACAGATGCTTCTGCTTATACCTCAGAAGCTTGGATTCCGTGGATAGGCGGAGTTCATCCGTCGCTTTTGGGTGACTCAAGATCTCGTCGTAGAGTTCCGGTAGCTGCATTGAGGTTCAATACAGATTCGATATAGAGAACGATCTATGCACACCTTGGATGCCTCGCAAACCTCTCTATCGACATCCCTCCGAATCACATCTGGTTTGGGCGCTCCAAGCCTCATCCTCCTCGCATTGAACTCTTTACTCGTCTTCGTTTCCTCCTCCTTCTCCAAGATTTCCACAATCTCCTCATAGGTAGGCAAAGAATCATGGATGATACTCTGTGTCAAAAAGACAGTCGAGGATGTCGGGTTTGTAGGATCTGGAGGTGGGAGTGTGGAAAGGAGGGAATAATAAGGCGAGTTGGGAAGGAACAGGAGGAGAGTTTGAACCAGCTAGAAAGCCACAATTGTCAGAACGCTGATTTCACAAAGGCTTTGCGTATACGTGCTTCAGGTTTACTTCCTTCTGTCCTCCTAATCTCCAACACCCTCTGCAACGTCTCGGCAACTTTGGTCGCATCGTTTCTAAGGCCACTAGATCAGTCTTCGGTCCTTCCCAAATAGAAAAGGCTACATACGCTTTAACATATGCCTTCACCAACTCCTCCAGACTCTCCAACAATGCACCAGTATTCCCCGTCCGTTCATAAAACTTTGCAAGGCCCTAAAATGACACAATGAAAAAGCAAAGGAAAGCAACTTTCGTCCGTCATGCCATGTTCGTTCTGCAGAAAAAGCATTGAATCCATTGGAACGTAAACGTACTTGTCGAGCTAATAGCTGCTGGGGTTCGAGTTCAATCGCACTCTTATAAACCTATCCGATGGAATTAGCTATCCTAGCCGGTCTATACCGCAAAACCACAGACACACCTGCTCACTTCTCTCGTTCTCGCCCAACTCGAGCAACGCCAGTGCCAAAAAGACATGTCTAAATCCTCAAGTTCAAAAGCCACTCTCCAGAGGTCAATGCAACGGTACATACGCAGTGTAATTTGCACCCTCGAAATCTAAAATCCTCTCCGCCGCATCCCTCGCACCCGCAAAGTCCTTCTTGTTGAGCTTATCGCGAGCGGATTTGAGGAGAGCTTTAGTCGATGACATCTTGTCCAACAGGCTAGGGTCCACCGCCGATCCGACAGTTCCCGGGGACACTGTTCGTTCTGGCCAGACTTGAGGCGAGTGCGGTTCAACAGGTAGGTCCTTGACGTTTAGACCAAGCAGTCTGAACGCGTTGACGGAGCGAGCGTAGGTGGCTTGATGATGATGATGATGGTATGAGATAGATTAGATCAAAATATGGACATCAAGTTCAACCCCAGACAAACCACAAATGCCACACATCAGTATGGTAAGGGGGGTACAACGTTTAGCAACAAACAAATTAGTAAGTAGTAGTTACAGATAGATACACAAAAAGTACAACAGCAGGGCCATAACGACAACAAAGATAACCAGGAAAACAGAGTCATAACTAGTCATAACAGTAAAAAGAAGATCACAGCCAGATTACTAGGAAAGAGCACAAGACTCGGCCCTCCCAGCCTTATCCTTCAAATAATCGACATACTGCATTAAAAAGCGGACTTGTTCAAACGTCTCGACCGCTTTCGGACTCCGTCTCCTCCGCACATACCTAATCACGGTATCCACAAACTCCAACGTAGCCGCAAACTGCGACTTTTGCGCACCCATTGCCTTGGGTGCGGGTTTCTTAGCCGTTGTCGAGTTGACGTTGTCACCGCCTGAGAACGGCGTCAATGCTGTAGGAGGGTCCTTCACCCACCCGCATATACCGAGTTTGATGAGCCACGAACAGGCAATAACACCCGCTCGTCCAACACCACCTCGGCAGTGAACAAGCACAGACGTGCCTTTCAGAGTGTAATCGTTCAAGATCCGAGTCAAATGGGTATCAAGGTATTCAGGTGAGCGAGGTGGAAGGCCTTCTGGAATAGGTAACCTAAATCAGGTGCATGGTCGACATTCAGCGGGTAGGCTATTGGGCGGGAAGCTGCTCACCGTAGGACGTCGATTCCGATACGCTGAGCAGCTTTGACGTATTGAGGCCAGGGTGCACCAAGAAACTCAAGTTCGAGGTCATCCAGACAACTGAAGACATGTCAATAAAGGGAAGGTCCAAAAAGGGCAGGCTCTCACCAAATGATGCATCCAATGCCTTGCTCCTTGAAACGGGCAAGGTCCATATCAAGGTCCCGACATACGGCACTTCGACCGGTATTCGACGAAGCATCATTTAATCTGACTGTTCCACGTCAATTTTTCAAAAGTCTTGGTGATATCAATGTCAATGCTCACCTTTCTTGCCAGGGCACGAGGACATGAACAAATTTCCGATCAGCTGCTGTTTCTCAGGGGAGGGCTCCACAGAAGGGGTGATCGACAGCGGGAGCTGCAACGAAAGGGAGACAGAGATCGACGAAGAAGGTGGTTTATGATCAGGTTCATGCTGGGGAAGGGAAGAGGAGAGGGCGGTCTCCAATGCCACATGCAGTGCTCGGTTAGTCGCGTCGGTCAGCATGAGGGAGTGTGATACGATCAAATTATGAATGAAGAGCTTCTCAGGGAGGTGCAGCAATGTTGGGGATGAGTCACAAATGACTGTGGCGCGGGCACTGAGGACAGACAGGAGCTCAGGGGGGATCAGGCATGTAATGCTGCGTGAGGTTGAGCGACTTGGGCGAGTGGAGATGGGAGGAGAACCCACTTTATCGGATGAGACATGGAAGTCTTTACGAGAAGGCGGGCGGGCGCTAAAGACGCCAGAGGCTCGTCCATGGCAGCACGGAGATCATCATGGAGATCGAGGGAGAGGACATCGGCGCCAGAGGGTGTAAGCAACCGAGTGGGATGGGCTGGGGAGTCGGAAGCTAGCAGCCAGACCGTCTGTGTATCCGCGGCCTGTGTCTGGCGCAGGGAGAGCTCATGGAAATGTGTTGGGAAAGAAAGTGACAAAGGCAGGTATTTATTTGGGGCACCTGGCAGGAGGGCGCTTAGAGCCAATTTGTGGGGAAATTGGTGCCTGCTCACCGTTTAGACCGAATCTAAGACGGTTGTAGTCGCTGTGATGATGCTGGGAAGCGAGTGCTGCAAGCTGATTTGTGTCAAGAATGGATGGAATATAAGAAGGGTAAATACTAGAGTACCTGATGGTTCATGTCATGATGAAAGCGGTGTGGCCTGGAAACGGAGAGTGATGGGAAGCAAGTCACGTGAATTATCCCAGGGCAGCCTTCACGACGGGAATTGAAGATGATGAGGTGCAGCAACACAGCGCTCAAAGCGACCTCTTCTCGTAGCAGACTCAAGCAAGCCTGGTCTCGCTCATAAAAGGCTAAGGCCTTTTCCAGACATTCCTTTACATCCATGGCCCTTCGTTTCCAGAACAACTATGACTTTCAAGACGTCCCAATACCCACCAGCACAGCTCGCCAGCCTCCACGAACAGGTGCCACGATCAAGAGGGCGAAGACGTTGACGAGGCCAGAGCGGAGCGTTGCGCCAGTACCACTCATCACACCGGCTCAAGTCTCTCTACCAACTCCAGCAGGCGCCCAGCCAGACCCACAAGCCTACCCTGGCTCTCAGGCATGGCGAATAGCTTCCCGCATCATCACATTTTGGGCACCCGATTTCTTGCTCAGCTCACTCGGTGGCCTCAAGGACGCCCAGGTTAGGCAGGCTTGGAGAGAAAAAATATCTCTCTGCTTCATAATAGCCGTCCTGTGCGGTTGCGTAGGCTTTGCTACAGTGGGCTTTCAAAAGGTCCTCTGCCCTGCCTCTGGCGAGTCAGACCGCCACTTTATCAGAGTGGGCAGCGCTCCAAACACCCTCGGAATCCTGGGTCAAATGTTCAACGTAACCGACTCAACGCCAGCTCCCGACGTCGATTTTAGAGCCCTCGCAGCTCAAAGTAACGGCCAGGACATCACCCCCCTGTTTTCCAGGACAGCTTCCCTCTTCTCCCTCTGTCAGGGCCTCCCTTATCGAATCGCCACGGAAGAACCCTGCTCCTCCGCAAACCCATGTCTTCTCCCATCCATCGCTGCAAATAGCACATTCCAGCAGTTTTCCTTGCGCAACACAAACCAACTCGCTGGATACGACTGGGATCAGGTCGCTGGACTCCGGAACTACATGGTCCTCGACGGCGCTGTTCTCAACCTCACGCCCTACCTTTCGATTCACACCCGCCCCATTCCTGGAGACAACGTCGATAAGGCCATTCGCACCGTCATGGCACGGATAGATAGCGGAAGGGATGCAACTCGCCTGTTCACAAGTCGGGAAGATCTCAAGTCCGTCATCCCTTGCATGAAGCAGCGATATCTCGCCGGAAACATCGACAAGATCACCCCCGGTTGCTTCGCGTCAAGTCTCATGCTCTACGCCGGTCTCATCGTCATTCTCGCCTTGGTGTTGGTTCGCTTCGCCATGGCCTGCGTGTTCAACTGGTTCATGTCATCGCGCCTTGCGGGGCCTCCCACAAGTCAGGAACTGAACAGGTCTGCAATCAGTCCTGCGGTAATGCCCGAGGGCGCGAACGTTTCTGTCGACAACAAAAATGGCACAGCCCCCTGGGCCAATCCCAAGAAACTTAGCAAGCCAGGCAACCCCAAAGCAGGTGTACCACGTTCCATCGCATCGTCAGCCTCGAGCGCAACTCTCACCAACAATGATGGCCTTTCACCCGTAATGAGCTTAACCCAAATAGGGGCCGAGTTGTTTGCGGTCTGTCTTGTCACTTGTTACTCCGAAGGCGAAGAGTCCTTGCGAACAACCCTCGATTCCATCTCCTCCACCACCTATTCCGACGCTCGAAAACTTCTCTTCGTCGTCGCCGATGGAATGATCACTGGCGCTGGTGAAAAGCGGAGCACACCAGATATTTGTGTTAGCTTGCTCGAGGCGGATCCTCGGTTCGGAAACCCGATTCCCATGGCTTATGGGGCTGTCGGCTCAGGCGCCAAGGCAAACAATAGAGCGATGGTGTATGCTGGACATTACAGTAAGTGCCTTAATCGTCCCTTCCATTGTTGTTGCTGAAAGTTTTCTCTTTCTCCGTAGCTGTCGCTGGTCGCCGAACGCCTACTGTCATCGTTGTCAAATGTGGTACCGAACAAGAGGCCCTTCATGACAAGAAGCCCGGAAACCGTGGCAAGCGCGACAGTCAACTCATCCTAATGAATTTCTTCTCTCGTGTTACATATAACGACCGCATGACTCCCCTCGATTTCGACCTCTTCCGAAAGATCCACGTGCTAATGGGCGTTACTCCCGACTTCTTCGAAGTCTGTCTCATGGTGAGTGTGGCGTCTTCTTTTTTCATCGAGTTTAAATTCAACTTTCAATAGGTGGATGCCGACACCAAGGTCTTCCCCGATTCCCTCGGTTACCTGGTCAATTGTATGCACCATGACCAGATGATTATGGGTGTCTGTGGCGAAACCCGTATTGCGAACAAGCGGCAGTCTTGGGTAACTGCAATTCAGGTTTTCGAATACTTCATTTCCCATCATCTCGCAAAGGCCTTCGAATCCGTCTTTGGTGGTGTGTCCTGTCTTCCAGGTTGCTTCTCCATGTTCCGTTTGAAGGCACGTAAAGCGTCGGGAGATGATTGGGTTCCTCTCATCATCAAACCTGAAATCGTCAAGGAATACAGCCAGTCGGAAGTCATCACCCTCCACCAAAAGAACTTACTTCTCCTTGGTGAAGATCGATTCCTGACGACCATCCTCCTCCGAACGTTCCCTAACAGGAAGATGATGTTCCTGCCCCAAGCCAAGTGTCGCACCATCGTTCCGGATACCTTCCCCATTCTCCTTTCACAGCGTCGCCGATGGATCAACTCCACCATTCACAACTTGATGGAGCTCGTCCTCGTTCGCAATCTGTGCGGAACGTTCTGTTTCAGTATGCAATTCGTCGTTTTCATGGATCTTTTGGGCACTGTTGTCCTCCCCATTGCTATCGCCCTCACATACTCGCTAGTCATCGCCTCGGCCCTCAACCCTCCAAAGAACTTTGAACAAGCAATCCCGCTACTCCTCCTCGTTTCCGTCTTGGGTCTCCCCGCCATCCTTATCCTCATCACCACTCGCAAAGTCATCTACGTCTTCTGGATGTTGATCTACCTGTTTGCTCTACCTGTTTGGAACTTTGTTCTCCCTCTTTATGCGTTCTGGCATTTCGACGACTTTTCATGGGGTGAAACGAGGTTTGTCAGATATCTTTGCTACTTTTCGCGGTTAAAAACTAACTTGTGCGCGTCAACAGAAAGGTAGAAGGTGAAGGGAAAGATACTGGACATGGAGATGGTGGTGGAGTTGCTTCTGCCGTCCCAATGCGAAGATGGGAAGACTGGGAGCGTTCACGGCTACGCAAGATCAAGCGAGAAGAGCGACGACGCAGAGATCTCGAACGGTCTCACCCTGGTGGTCTTTTCACTGGAGGCGAGCGTGGCGAATACCTCGTTGCACCAGATACACGCAGTCAATACGGCGACAGCAGCGACACCTTCTCCGTCAACTCGTCCGACGACGACCACTGGGGTTCGCAAATCGGCGGATACAACGAAAACAATGCCCAATTCCCTCCACCACCGGTGGCGCTCTTCACCCCTCATAAAAACGAACTGGATTCGGCAAAGACAGTGGACGCTTCTGAACTTGAGGCTATGTTAGAGTCAGGGTTTGATGACCGACCCACACCTCCCGCGTCAGTGATGCGGTACCAACTATCCGATGGTACGTCACCAATACCTCCCGCAGGTGGCGGCAACGGATACGTACCACTGAACCGTGCAGGCTCGCCTGGGCAGCCACAAACGCCTAGCGCCCTCTCCCCTACGACACCCGCCATGACCCTCCCCAACGACTCATCCAACTGGAGCCCACCGCGAGGACCACCTGGCCGTGGCCCACCGCAACAACAGAGATATGGTCCTTTAGGTCCCCTCGATCCGTCAACGAAATTTTAATCATTCTTCCCGATTGCGATAATATCCAACCTATACCGCTTATTGCTTCCCCAGTCATAACAAGTATATAGCCCCTTTTTTGGTATACCCGTCACGCCCCATTTCACGCATTCGTTGTTCATCCCTTTCTGCGTCGCAGCACAATGTTTATAATTTTCGTCATGATGGATTGACCTGTGGAACCATTTTCTCTCTTTTCTCTAGGTACCTAGTATATATCTATAATACCCCCACCTCGCGGTGTGTGCGCTCTCTTTCTCTCCTTACTACTCATTAGAACAGCCTTGGATGTCGTCCTCCGTCCCGTTCGTTCCCTTGCTGCTGCTCTTCGAAGGATGGTTGGGCTGGGCTGGAGGGACGACACCATCGGACTGTTGGTTGGGTTTGTTATGGATCTTTTGGTTTCATCTTCCCCGCCCTTGCATAGTAGTACCTCGCTTTGGTTTCGGTTGAATTTCTTTCCCCCTCATGTCATTTAGTCCTGTCACAACATAGTATCTATCAAACAACACATCTTCCTTTCCTCTCCTCCGCTTTTCTCACTAAGGTTCTCCTTTCTTGCAATTCCCCCAAACGCATACTTGTTCTATATTCCAACCACCTCACTCTCCCTAAGTTAATCATCGACCTGTTGTTCTTTATTACTGTTCCTTACAAGGAGTATAGTCTTTTACTGTGACAACAATATATATATTCTGGGTTTCTGTTCACTGCTGAGTCAAGTATGGGGAAATCTATATTTAGCTGCCAGCCATGGGCGGCACGGTCGTTGCGTATCGAGCCGGCGTTAATTACAGCTTGACTCTCGACCATCATCACCAACGACTGTCCACTTGTATTTCCTCAGGGGACTGCATATACACAATCTACAACCTAAACACACGCTAGATTAATGTCCACGAAGGATGCCTTGGTGCGTGCCCACCTCTCCCCAACGCCGCCTACCCTGATGACTCCCCGCCCTGTCTCTCCCCACGACGACAGTGGGACACCGGCTATGACGAAACAGTCGAGGTCAACCAACGAGCCTTAATCGACAAAGTCCTCGCCCGATACAGCGGTGAATTCACCGTCTTCCGTGAACTACTCCAGAATTCAGATGATGCCCGGTCGGAGGCCGTCGAAATCCACTTCGACACGGATGGGAGTGTGCCGTTGGAGACGCCAGAAGGGGAGCTGAAGGATCTGAAGAGCATCTTGGTAAGATGTCGTTTTCTTTGCCTGCTTGGAATGCATGATCATGACAGGATGCGTGCATAGGTTCAACGCTGGACGTTTAAGAATAACGGTATTTTGTTCAGAGACGAGGATTGGAACCGTTTGAAGAAGATTGGTGTGTCTCTTGTCACTTTCATCACCCAGATTCTGACAGCCTCGTTTAGCTGAGGGAAACCCTGACGAAGAGAAGATTGGCGCATTCGGTGTCGGTGAGCTCGCCTTGATTTGTTGTCTATTGGGTCATTCTCATTCCCTCGTGACAGGTTTCTACAGTCTGTTTTCAGTCACCGATGACCCTTTCGTCACTTCCGGAGGTACCTTTCCCTCAATCTTACCACAGTTTAGAGGCTCATGGATCACCTAGACCAATGGATGGCTTTCTACTGGAAAGACAAGAAGGATCAGGCAAGTACATGCATCTCGCGAGTGTAAATTAACCCTGACTATACCATGCTTTAGCTCTACGCACGCAGGGGATCTCTTCCTGAAGACAAGCGCTCAGTGTGGACGACGTTTGAAATGCCGTTAAGAGAACCAGCTACCCTTCCACCTCCATTCGACTTTATTCGCTTCCTGTGCTCCTCCATAACCTTCATGTCCTCGCTCCGTAAGATCAGCGTGTTTCTAGACGACAAATGCCTCGCAACATTAGAGAAGACCGTTGGAGAATCGAAAGCGATCGCTGTTCCTTACGGCCTCAGGACGAGGACGACGAACGGAACGATGACTGTCACCGGCGTACGGTCGACTGGTACGTTTGTGGTTATGTATAATCCCGAACCACCCCTGATTGGCATCCCTCTGCAGCACTTCATATCCGTGCAGACGTCATGAAATGGGTTTATTCCGCAGGTTCTGAGCGCAAAAGGCCCATCTTATCAGTCCCAAAGATCTCCAAACCAGTCACAGGATTCTTTTCGTCCATCTTCTCGTCATTTTCTGGTTCCTCGACGCCCAAGCCTGCGTCCACGCCTCTTCCACCTCCCGTAGAAGAAGAACCCAAGAAGTCCGACCTCTTGGAGATTAATAGCACAAGTATCTCATTGTCCATCTTTACGGCAGATGTGAATGTGAGGTTGGATAAGAAGATGACTGCAGAACTGGTTAGGTCAACAAAGAAGAATCCACCTTCGAAGATGCGGTACGACTTGATCTATGTGGGTCTAGAGGTTGAACAGTCAAGACAGCACGCTCATGGTCATAATTAGACGGGTCAGGCAGATTACGAGGCCAGTATTGAAGAGGATAAGAAGTACCCGAGTTCCACGGGCAGTATATTTCAGGGACTACGTGCAGACTTGGAAGGGTACGCTGCCGTTGGAAAACGTCCAATTCACGAAGTCTAACATGCTCCTCTAGCTTGGGAACTACGCGTGTCTTTATCGTGCGTATCTCTATCTCGGTCTCCCTATCTCGGTCTCCCAATGGCCGATAGACTTACATGTATCGCAGGGACACGCTACTGCGCAAACGACGGGTATTGGCGGACATATGGCCGCGCGATTCATTCCCACTGTTGAGCGAGAAGCAATTGACTTTATGTGAGTTACAACAGTATGTATGTTCGCGGCCGCTGATGAACACTGTCTAGGGATCGAAATATTGCTGGTATGTCCCTAGGCTACTATACCTCACACCTTCAATCAATGCTCTCCTCTAGTTTGGAACAAAGAGTTACTCGGCGTCGGAGGCGTTCTCGCTCGTACCGCATACGAACATGAACTGAGCGAAATCCAATCAATATGGGACAAAAATCAAACTCCTACTTCTCCGCCGCCCTCTGAAATCCAGGAGTCGCTAACGCGACGCGCCGTACACGCTCTTAAATTCTTCACCTTCCACCAATCTACACCTTCACCCGATGTTTCCCAACTCCTCGAAGAAGGGTTTTTCACTTCTTTAGCACGCTTCCCTATCATCTCTTCTCGGGGTGTCCGATCATCCACGGAAGTTCGCATGAGGGATGAATCTCTCGCAGGGTTCATGAAGGAACTCCCGGTTCTCCCAGATCTAGTAACCACCGACTCGGCTCAAATGATCACTACCCTTCAGTCCCGCAGTCTACTTAAACCCACCGTGTTCAACGACATCCTAACGGAGCTTAAAGCTCGCCCATTACCCAAGGACGAAATGGTCACTTTCATGAAGTGGTGGATCAAGAGCGTCGATAGTGCCAGCGCCTGGCAGAAGAGTCCGGAGACGATGGCTTCCTTCCAACGGCAGCTAATTCAAGCCGCTGTCCTTCGCATCACAGGGGAACGTCCGGAAGACGAGAAATTCGTTCCGCTGTCCTCGATACGCACCTTTGTCGGGACAAAGACGATCTTACCGACAGAAGGACCTCTTCCGGAGCATGTCCTCCCGCTCCAAGTCAGCAAAGAATTCAATCCGGACTCCCTTCGCTCGGCGTTTCCCTGGAGCGAGCTCACCGTTCAGGATTGGTTAACGCACCTATGTTCCCTAATCGGCAAAGCAGGCTCTGAGCAACACGACATCACGTTGTCACCACAGTGGTCGGAGCGCGTTCTCGGTGTCCTTGCCCGCGCATGGCCGTCGATATCAGCAACAAGTAAACTAGCCATTCACAAGGTACTCGCGACAAAGGCGTGTATCCCAACCAATCTTGGGATGAAGATGCCGGCGGATACCTACTTCCCAAACGTCAATATGTTCCCGGATCTGCCTATCGTCACCTTTCCTTCAGGTAACGTTGTCCGCGGGGCAGTGGAGAAACTGTTGCAAGACTTGGGCCTGCGCAAGCACGTCGAGCTACAAGTTATCTTCACTCGGTGGGTCGACCCACCTGCATATCCCCGATCGCATACTAATACAAGTCTAGCATGGTCAAGACCAATCAATGGACGATTCCCGAACTGATCAAGTACCTTGTCTCCGTAGAATCCACTCTAACAGAGGAAGAGAAGAAAATGCTGAGAGCGACAAAGGCATTTGCCAAGGAAGGAGAGACAGGAACTGATCCAGAGGGACGGCCGTTCCGTTACTGCGCTCGAGACCTCTATGAACCTTCGGAAACCTTCCGTAAGCTGAAGTTGCCGGTCCTTGATTGGGGACAAACAGTCAGGTGGAGAAGTAACTCGGCAGAAGGTGTGTGTCGACCTTTAGAATACGACTTTAGTTGCCATTCTCACCCCCCTCTCCAGCGAAGTTCCTACACAAGATTGGCCTTCAGCAGCACCCCAGTCTAGAGACGCTGATTCAACTATGCGCATCCGATGATGTCGAGGTTGGTACTCGCCTTCCCAATGTCCTATTTGCATTCTGACTCCATGTGTAGGTCCGAACGACTGCGTTGAGATACCTCTTGGACAACATCAGCAACAAATACCAGGATTATAGCTCTGCCCGTTTCGCCAGCGTAGCTTATCTCCCTGCAATTAGGGGCACAGAAAGCCTGCTGGGAACTCCGAAAGAGGTAATAGTCGTGCCATTTTCGGTAGCCTCCCCAATTGACAATCATGGCCGCCATAGGTCTTCGCAAGTCGCATATGGGGAGAACTAGGTTTCACAGTCCTCCACCCCTCTTTCCAATCCGAGTCAATCAAGCTACAGGTCAAAGAACATCCATCATCAGCGCAATTGTACGAGTTGTTCCAGAAGCGCCCTCCGTCCGACGAAGAAGAGGCCGCCAAGATGTTCTCCATCGTTGCCACTCGCTTGAATGGTCTGTCTTTGTGTTCATCCATTGGCTACACCGTCCCATACTGACCGCCCGTAGATTTGAGCAACAACCACAAAGCCCTATTGTCACAAATGCACTTCGTTCCCGTCAAAGCGCAAGAGAAGGGACAGACCATCATTCGTCGACTACCACCTTCTCAATGTTATCTGAAAGCCAACACAGACGCAATCCACTCCAAACTGTTCACATTCGTCAACTTTGGGAGTGCTGCGAACGCTTTTCTGATGGCGTGTGGTGCACGGCAAGAACCAAATCTCGACGAGATTGCCAAAATCTTACTCGATGATCCCCGTCGATTCTACCAATTGTGCGAGGGGCCTGAGCAGTACGTACCTTTCCTCATCCCTTGCGATGCCTGCCAACAGCCTACCAGATACCTTTCGGAACTTCGCAACATGGCAGTCAACGTTCGCATGATCTCAGACACGACCATTGCTCGGATGAAACGCAACCCCATTCTCCTAGCCATGCAGCGTAAAGCCAAATCCTCTAAGAAGGAGTCCAAGGATCTGGAAGAGGAAGAATGGGACATTAGTTATGATTTGAAGAAAGGTGACCAGATTGTGGTCGTGGATGATACAGCTGCGTATCAAGTGTTTGGTGAGGATTTGTGGACGGCCCCACAGGAGGATATCCTCGAAGGTAGCTCCATCCTCTGCGAACCTGTATGCCTAAACTTACCTTCGCGTTTCAGGCTTCTACATCCATCTAGGCTCGCACAAACTAAGCTCCCTTGTCCGAGAAGAGCATCGCATCTCAAAAGAAATACCCAATCACAAACAAGCTGCAGCGATCCGGAGCCTCGTCCTCGAGCGTCTTCCGCTCTTCCTCCATGAACACACCCACACCAGACCCAAAGTGTCTCTCACCTGGCTTGCAGCACCCAACAACTTTATCGTACGTGCCTTTGGGACGCTGTCGATTATCAAGACGTTGAGATTGGGGACGTTGGTGAGGGAGCATCGAAGTGAGGCGTCTGCTGTGGCCAGACGTGAGTCGGGCTCGATCCAGTTGTGGATTGCTGGGAATACGGCGGTTGATCACTACGAGTGGGTGCGACTTGAGATTTGGAACGAAATGACGCTGACCGATAACCCTCAGGGTGGCTTTGGCGATGAACAAGCTGTTGTTCGATGCTCCGAAGACCAATGATGCACTGTTGTTCATGACTATCCTCAGCACTGACCTGGGCTCTTTGAAGCGGAGAGGATACAACGGTATGAAGAAATCAACTTCGCGATGCGCACTTTTGCTTATCCTCACCATAGTCGACCGAATTCTCAAGCAGCAGCGAATCGCGAGAGAAGCCCAACTCGCTGCCCCTCCTCCGCCGCCACCTCCGCCACGGACGGAAGAATACCCCAACGAGAAGCAAAGTTTACAAAGTGCCCCACCACCGCCACCTTCCAAAGTGCCTCCACCGGCACCCCCGCCAATTCCTCCCAAACCCGGTGCGGTGCCTCCTCCAGCCGGCTCGTCGGATGACAAGGGTAGCAGAGCGCCCATCGGTGGACCTCCCACTATGCCAGGCGGAGGAGCATTCGGTGCCTTCCAAAGTCTTCGAGAAAAACTGGGGAATATAGCTGGAACCTCCTCGTCTGCTCGGAGGTCAGAAAGTCCGGCTCCCAGAGGGAACGAGTTGACACCTCCTCCCCCTCCCGCTCATTCACCTTCTCCTTCAGCTCGATCTGGTATTAAACCAAGCGCTACACCTCAAGATCGCATCTGTACGTGATCCTTCTTCTTTCCTTCGATCAACGAGATGTCCTGGGAGTGCGGTTCCTTACTTCTTGATTGCAGCTGCGAACATCGACATGGCGATCAGGGCCTGTAGGCCAGAATCGCAGAGCCTCGTTAGGAACCGAGAGCACATGGAACAGGTCAAAGAATCGTTGAACGACAGCTATTGCGATGCTTCTGGACACAACCAACATCTTGTTTCTCTAGGTTCGTAGGACAACGAGTGGATTCATTCACTCAATTCTGATGACGTCATAACCGATATTTAGGTGAAATTGGCAATGTCAAGATCTTCATCTCGCAAGGTACGTCGGTGTCCCGGATTATCTTGAAATCTCTCTAATCCACGCGACCTCGATGGCACACAGATGTCCCTCCACAGATTTCAAAGAGCTTCCTAAAGGACAACTACGAAGCGCTATGCCGATTCATCCACATCTTGCTGCCGCTGTCTCAGATCTACAACCTGCCCGAACAATCGCTGCACATCTTTTACGACATGCACGGGGGACTTATCGCGTTCAACCGCAACTCGAGTTTATTCATGAACTTTAGGTACTTTGAGGCATGGCGTAAGTGGTTGGCTTTACCACACCCGTCACCACCGGTGCTGATAACGGAACACCCTACTTGTAGATGATGCAGAAGTTCGTGCAGGACAGCTGAATTCCGCGTATATATCTTGGTACGTGGTTCCACGCGTTGATCTCATGGGAGGAATATCTAAAGCACGTTTCCCCGACCCAGGTACTTCACATTAGCACACGAGATTGCACACAACCTGGTGCAACCGCACAACTCTGAGCACGAGTTTTACTTTTCAGCCATTTGCGAGCGACACTTGATTAGCCTTGCCAATCTGTTATCCAAGTAGCTATCGAGGAACTAGGATATAGTAAACGATATTCTTTTCCCGGGGTGCGGGGTAGTTGTATGAAGCGAAATTAAGGTTTCGGCGACTTGACGGCAACTTTACATGATGCGTGGGATTTTGTTGGCGATAGTAATTGCTGTTTGCATTAATTGGACCTGTCGAAAAGGTCTCGCTTCCAAACTGCAAACAACACAAAATCTCAACGGGAACAACTTGACTCTCCTATGCAAAAGACCATACTCTTTGTCCCACAACCAATGTCTGTCCCACAACTACTTTTGGCCAAAGTTCACTAAGGACCTTTGAATACATACAGATTCGACAAACTTATATCACCATGACCGCGATAGCCACCACAATCCAGCCCGACGCCCTCAGACCCACCACGAGCACAATCCGTCGAAAGCCATTGATCACCTACAAGTCACCCTCAGGCCCAAACTTTGGTCCTTTTATCCAGCCCTTCCCCCGCCGATCCGTCTCTTCCCCGTCCTCGTCGTCATCCACCTCCAGCAGTTCCCCAACGCCTCCCAAACAGTCGGTACTGTCCACAAACTCTCACCACCTGCAGTACAGACCCCACCCACCAAACCTATACGACCCCAACCTCCCTCTGTACCACCCCAACGGGCGCCTGGCCCTCTCCCTTCCCCCACTCAACGCAGCCAATTACGGCCTCCCCATTCTCCAGGTCGAAACGTCGCCCTCTGCATCCTCGTCGTCCATCTCTCCCGCAGGTCCCAATGCCGCCGAATCAGGCGTCAACTCCATTCAAAGAAGTCGGTCTGGTCGGATCATTCGGGCCGCGTCCAACCCTTTGATTCAGCGTGCCGACTCTGCCGAACTCTCTGTACCAGGGATCAGCTCGATTGCAGCTGTAGCAGCGAGGGAAATCAAAGACAAAGCCAGCTGCGGTAGTGGCGCTGAGGCTAAAGAGAAGGCGAGTCCGAAGAAGAGAAGATTTGGCGGGAAGAGGAAGCGGAAGAGTCCTGAAGACGCGGACGCGACTTATCCTGCGAAACGCACACGGGCTCCTCGTGGAGGCGCTCACAGCGCTGCAGCTGACGACGACCACGATGGCGATAGCGCCATGCACGGTGGCAACTCTGGATCGGACAATGACGCGTTCGAGGCTCCCATTATTCGCACCACTCGCTCAAGAACGAACGCTAAGCGTCGTGACATCAGCGAGACACCTTCCTCAGACAACAACACTACTGTCCCAGTAACCACATCTTCTTCACTTCCACCCACAGCCCGCATCGTCGAAGAAGTTAACAGCACACAAACGGAGGAACAACAAACAAGTAGCGAACCGGTCCAAGAACCACAGCCTCAAGAAAGTGTCGCCCCGCCAGTGGTGACCGATACCAAGCCTGACACTAACATCACCGACAGCACCGAATCTCCTCCAGTGGAGAAGGAAGAAGGTGAATTAAGCGACGATAGCTAAAACTCAAACGACCACTATGAAACGAACGAATTTGAATATGTACAACATGTGTACTTATACCCGTGTTCGATTAGCCCATGTATCCTGTATTATTTTTATCTCAATCTTATTTGCTTTCTGCTTCACTTGGCCATTAGAGTACTAACTAAAAGGTTGATATGAGCAATTGCGAAGTACGGTATCAAGAAAGTCCAGCCGATCCCTTGTTCAGCGCCATCCGCAATCTCTGCCTCAACGGGCTCTCTGACGCGCCAGGAGACAGTGGGTTGTCTGTGGGGACACGACTCGGTGTCGAGGGTGTGGAAACCTTTACAGGCGTTTTGGGTTGCTCGGATGAAGTGGAAGTCACCGGGGCCTGAGGTTGTTCCGCAACGACAGAGTTCAGTGCACCGGTAGCGGCGCCGTCCAAGGATATGGGAGGAGGCTTGTTGACCGGTTTGGCGCGTCTATCAGGTGTATTCTCCGGTGCTGCATCAACCACCTGGGTGAACTCGGTCAAGACCGCAACCCGTGTCCAGCGTCGGTAACGAGTGTACTGGAAATGCTGTCAGTTCAACTCCAGACGCACGGCAGAAGAAACGTACTTTGCTCATCCCGCCCTTATTGCTCTTGTTCTCCCACTTGTTATCACCGTACACCCACCCGTCCGGATCCGTATAGCTATCCGTATCTTCCTCTGCACCTTCTACAACATCTTGGCTCCCTCCTCCGCTTGCACCGCTCGCCTGACTAGCAGACGAATCCCTCCTGTGGATTGAACCGGCACTCGAGCTCCCGCTGGCAAATCGGTTGGACGCAGCCTTCAAAAGTCGGCTGCTGGTATTATTACCTCCGCCTCCCGCTCCGTCCTCGCCCTGGGGATCTTCAGTCGGAACAGGCCTCTCAACCCTACTCAAAGCCGTCCCTTCCTTCTTCACCAACACTCTCCACTCTGGCTCTTCCCAATACCACTCCGCCGTTCGCTTGATTTTCTTGGTGCTATCGCTCGGGTGGGGGATATACGTCGTGGTGGGTTCCGGAAGAGTGAATGCACCAGGAGGCGATAAAGGTGCTTGCGAAGCTGAGCACCACGAGGGCCTCTCGCCAGGTAGCAAGGCTGCTGTCCAGTCCAGGCCCATCCACCACCTCTGGTTCTCGTAAACGGTGAACAGGAACCTTAGCGAGGTTGTGGTCGTATTTGGTGTCTTGCCTTCTTCTCCTTTCGAGGAATCTCCGTCGGGTTGAACGGTAGTCGAAGCAAGCCGTTGCGTTTGAGGTGAGATGGCTTTAGGCGGAAGGGGCACGCCGGAAACATAGGACCAAGCTGTCCATACAGTCCATCGGACATACGCACTCCTCCATACGATCTTCCTAAGAACCATAGCGAAGGGCGCACGCCATGTCAAGACAACGGTACCCGCAATGGCGAAGATGAGGTACAGTGGGACATAGTACGTCAGAGCGAGGTACGGGATGTACAGTACCGCTGCTGCGCGTGCCAGTGTGGACAGGGATAGTGATGAGACGAGTAGAGCCGGTGAAGATATATCCGGAAGGAGGATGGGCAGTGTGGTCAAGTCCGAAATCGTGTTCTGGAGTAGGGTTTCAGTGACAACTGGCTGTTTCGACGTCGGTTGTGCCCCGCGTTTACGGGTGTACGCGACAAGGCCGACCACCAGTACCGGTAGAAAATACCTATCCATATCACAAACTTCAAAACAGAATATAGCAGTAAAAGGAACGCGCTCACCTCAAGACTGAGCCCGCGAAGCAGCAGAACGCCCACCAAGCAGCGACAACGAGGAAGCCATCAAACCATGAGTTTGAGCGCCAGTTCAAGACTTGGAGAACTGTCTTCAACAGGGCAATTTTGTCCGATAAACTGACGAGGGCAAATGTCAGCGGCGACGGCACGCTGTTTACAAAATCTGAGAGGACGACTGGGTTGTTGTTGGGGGACATGGTGGTCAGAGACCAACCCTAAATCACGCGCGTCAGAACTCTGCCAATCCCATGATCATCGCCGTCCTCCTCGACGCGCTCTCCAACCTCGTCCCCCTTTTCGACAAATCTCCCCTTCTCGTCACACCAAATTCTTCACCCCTCGTCCGCTGGGACGCCATCCACTTTCTCGCCATCGCCAACAACGGCTACCAGTTCGAACAGCAATGGGCATTCTTACCCGGTATCGCGCTGCTCGTACGAGCATTCAACGCGCTCTTGGGACTGGAATTTGGGGTCAAAGGTGTTAGCCTGCTCATATCCCTGCTCACACTCGACTCTTTTCGCGTACTGTACGAGTTATCGCTCATACACCTCAACTCGGAGAAGCTGGCACATATCGCGACCGTGCTGGCGCTCTTCCCAAGCAGCCCTGCAACGTTGTTCGCCGTGCCCTACAACGAACCTTTCTTTACCTACTTTTCCTATCGAGGTGCGCGACCCATTTCATGATATATTCAAAAACTAACATCATTCCAGGAATGCTATTCTGTGCACGAAAGCAGTGGTTGCTTGCAGCACTCTCGTTTGCAGCAGCAACCACCTTCCGCTCGAACGGCATCTTCCTAGCAGGATACATAATCTGGGGTCTGCTCGTCCTGCCTTACCTTTCCAACCCCTCTATCAACCTAAAGCTACTCCTTTCGACAATCTACACCGCACTCCTCACCGCACTCGTCTTCGTACCGTTCATTGGGCACAACTACCACGGCTACCATACCTTCTGCATCCCTCCACCCGCCTCGAGCACCGCGGTCACCTTTACGCCGCCAGACTGGTGTAACAAACCCATACCCTCGATATACACGCACGTCCAGGCAGAATACTGGAACAACGGGCTGTTCAAGTATTGGACTATCCAACAGCTTCCAAACTTTATCATCGGTGCACCTCCTCTAATCCTTCTCTTCACATTTGGAGTATGGCACCTGCGCCAGGTCCTTCCCACACTCTTTTCTAAACCTGCCCCTTCAACCGCCCCGCGATCCAATCGTAAGCCCATGGACGCGTCGAAGGCAGAACCAGACATAGTGAAGAAAAAGGATGAATCCACTTCAAACCCATTCACTTCGCTCTCACTCACCCCGCACGTCATCCACGCCCTGTTCACGTCCTCGATCCTCCTCTTCGCGTCCCATACACAAATCATACTGCGTCTAGCAGCGGCAATGCCCACACTCTATTGGGCTGCTGCATGGCTATGGTATGTTCCCCCTGGAACTACCGCAACGAAAACCCGCTATGCCAAGTGGTGGATATACTGGAGCGCAATTTGGGGCCTGATTTCGATAGTACTATGGGTCGCTTTCTTACCTCCTGCCTAAACTTATGGCCGCGGTCAATGACAAGTTCACGACATCTTCGATGCTTGGCAAAGTCAGAGAGAATGGCTATGTCATCGAGACAAGGTCAGTGGCTCTGCACCCAACTCCGTGACGCTGCTCCTTGTTTTGAGTAAGCGCCGACCACCGCACCAGGAAACAACGTGCTAACCATCCCACGCGGTGTTCATTTAAACAAGGTCTCCATAGTCAACGTTTCTAAGGAAATAATGTCTATTAGCTTTACAGCTAGTTCTTATGCTACATATGGTAAGCAGTCAGCGATAGTCAAAAGCGCAACAAGCTAACAGGCAGGAAGCGGGTATGTAAAAATACAGCAAGTCGGAGTCGGGCTGGAGAGCAAAAGGCAAGGAACGATTATGAATACAAACGAAGGTGTTGCTGAGTAGAGCAGAATGCTGAGAACGTGACTAAGGTACTTCAGGTAAAAAGGTGGGCTACAGGCGACTGTGCTATGCTACAAAGTTGAGTCAAATCCAAGTCTTTTCAATCATCGAAATCATGCGTGGTCCGTGAAAACATAGTGTAAAGGGATGGAACACTGCGTCGAGCGAGTCTACACTCGATGGTTGGGTCCAGCGCTTAACACGCTGTCCGGAGAGGGCGTTGAAAGATCGAGGAACGAACTCGATCCATCCGCAGTCACCGAAACAGGGAACGACTGCCTTCGGGATGAAGATTTAGATTTGGTACTGTTGGGCGAGTGGGTTTGGGCTTCCAGGTGACTAGGAGAGGCGCAGCTGGGGTAGACGGGTGCCGGGGGCAAAACCTCAATTGCAATTGTCAAATTGGTTCGAGCAAGATCCTGAGTGGCCGCAGTTGTCATATTGGAAGTAGGCTTGAAGTTCTTCTCCTCCATCGACCGGATGGTCAGGTCCGAGAACGAATCGAACGAATCGCGTTTCTTGATTACTTCCTGCTGGACGTAGATCGGCAGGTCGCCCGTAGAGCGCATGCCGTTCCCGTTTGAACTCTTGAACTTGTAGAATCTACCAAAGTAGCACTTATTAGTCGATGATTCTCCACTTAACATCTAGAAAGCGACTTACGGAGAGTTCCCGAATGAGCTACTGGGCGTGTTAACCCTCGTCCTGTCCTCGTCAAGATCCCATTTGACCCCCACCAGCCGGGCGGCCCTCTCAGCCCAAGCTCTGTAATTCTTCTTCGCCTCATCCGCAAACCCGAAGAACCCGAAGAACAACAGCGCAAACACGATTGACATCCACCTACTCGTCACTTCCAACATCACGGCAGTCGCAGTCTTACTCCTCCAGTCCTCGGCAGGGACATTCAACACGGTTCCAAACTCAAAGTGAGTGTCTTCCCAAGAGATCCAAGGTTGGACAGGAATGAGCGTGGCATTGACGATACATGTTGTGAGAGCGAGGGGGAAACCAAGGACGATCTCGACGCTGCCGAGGGCCATGAGGCGGAAGTAACGGCTGATTGTCGTGTGGGAATTGGTGCTGGAGGAGAGGATGTCGCGGAACTCGGTTTGCCGGCGCCTAAATGCGATGATGCTGAGGGTCGCGTAAACGCCCGAGATGAGGGGGATCAAGAGGAGCGGCCCATAGATGAGGGCATAAGCGACGGTCACGTTGTAGATTGTGGGGTAGCACCCAATATCTTCAAAGATATCGAAGCGATGCCCTTGTACGACGTAGTCTGATAATCAAGATCAATGAGCCGAGGACTCTCTGTGTGGTGTAACGGCACCTACGCAAGGCCATGAATATCATTGGAGCGATGATGCCAATAGCACAATCCACGAGAATCCCTCGGCGTTTCTGATAAAAGCTCGTCAGAAGTCAGTTGCAACACGGTGGATTCAACACTCACATCTTGCTTCGACTTGGTAACACTGCGAACAGTGGCAATGTAATACAGTCTTCGGTTGATGCACAACGATGCACACGGAATGCCAAACATAACGCCAATGATCAGCTTTGAGGCTGCTATAATGTTAGCACCCTGCCAGCTACGTAAGGGAGCGGACGGCCTACAGATATCACACCAAACTGGTGCCCAGTTGACGTCGTTTCCATCCCAAATGATCGAGTTAATGAAATAGTTCAGGAGTGATATGGACGTCCAGAAGATGTACAAGATAGTCCCTGTATTCCAGGCTAATACACGCCAAGTTAGTCAGTGTGCAACCTAGCCAGACAGACCCGTCAACTCACCTTCTAAATGCCAGGGCAAAGGAATCAAAACGAGGACAAGTGCGATGAACGAGAACGCAGAGAACGCGTGGTTTACAGCAGGCATTTTAAATTAGCCCGAGGGGATAGAGAATAAAATAAGAATAAAAGAGCCAGAAGTGAGAGAGAAGAGGACTTGGAAGAGGACTCGAAGAGCTGGATCCGACGACTTGATCAAAGTGGCGGAAAGGTCTTCAAGACCCCTGGGTAAGCAAGAGCAGCCTATCTCTTCACGTCCACAGCACCTTATATAAAGAACGAAGAAGGCCACTGATAGTTTGGCGTCTCGCTACCAGGGCATCTTGTTCTGCGATTTATCCCAAATAGGCGCTTGCTTTGAGTTGACCAAAAAGGAAATAGCTCGAATCAGGCTAGGCGCTTGTATTTTGTTGACGTGGAACGGAGGCGGATAAGGTGGGAAGCAACCAGAACCATACAGAGCCGCTGCCGAACGTCGAAGGCAGACGGCGAGTACAAGTTTCTCCAAATGCAGTAACCATCCGGGTAGCCTTCCCATACCCACCTGAATAAGTAGCTCGCACCACCACCGTGATAGCCCTACCAAATACAAAGCATTACTTTGTTTTCTAGACCCGACTGGTATGTCTATCCACGCTTCATTTTAGCCTTCAGCTCGGTGAGATCCAATCACGACGGGGTCCGGTCTCGCATACTTAGCAAGGGAAATCGTGTCATATCAAACCAAGGTATATTGATAGTAGCGACACAACGTACTTCAATGAATGGCCTGCACCCGGGCGTTGTTCCTTCCAGTTGAAAGCACCGCAGCGAATTCACCCTAGGCACTAGCCTGTGACTGGTACATTCGTTCCTCATTCTGTATCCCCTCCACCCTCTTCAACAGCCCTTCGACTCTCGCATCCAGCCCAGTAACGTTTCCCTTCACAACCTTCCTGTTCTCTTCCAAACTTTTCTCGACCGTATCCACTGCGGTCTGGAGCTCAACCAACGACGCTCGCACCTTCCTCTGTTCCTGCTCCAGGTCATTCAAGGTATCCTGGAACTCTCCAGCTGCTGAATGAAGCGATGAAAGCGTCCTCAGGCGGGCAAGGATATGTGGTATCTGTGGAAGCGAGGGTGCAATCCTGTTGACGGTGTTCAAGAGTTGCTCTTGGGCGTATGCAGACATAACGGGAGCGGCCCCTTGAGATCCTTGCTTCCTATGTTGCTGTGCAGCTGAAGCACGTTCCAAGTCGGACAACAGAATCTTCAATCGCCTTGAGATGGAATCGATATGTCTCGGTTGAGTTAGCAAGGCGAGTTGATTGTTCAGCTTCGTGATCATCGGGAGGAGGGGAGGAGGAAGAGGGGAGGACTGCGTGGCGCGTTAAAACATGAAAGAAATAATGATACGGCAGCACACATACTTCGTCTAGGCCAGCATTTGAAGATCCCAACAGCTTCTCCAGTTCCTCGACCCTCCGATCCACATCCAGCAGGCTGTGGTCTTGGGGTTTCGGTGATGCCTCCTTCACATCGTCACTCACTGACACGCCGGGTGGCTTGAGTTCTTTCTCTTCTTTCTCCGGACCATCGTGGAGGATGGTATCCACCAACCTAGCCCTCCCCTCCTTCTCCTTCAGAATCTTATTCAATCGCCCACGAACGTCCACAAGACCCCGTATAAGTTCTCCAGGGTCAACATTAAGCTCTTCTCTCTCTTTCTGTATAAGTGGGTTGGTAGGATCAGCCAATTCCTGTTCCAATGACGCGAGCTCGAGCTGCAGCGTCCGTAGACGTTGCGAGAGGGGTAGCGGTTTCGTCGCGTCACCCGTCGCATCCAATGCAGAAGTCGAGCCTGTAGGTGATTCAGGGTAGGAATAGACAATCCTTGGTCGAACTATGCATAAAATGAGAACTTCAAGCATCGATTTGGGCAGTTTCAAGCGTACCTGTCCGTTTCTCAGCGTTCCTAAACCGTTTCGAGGCATCTTCTGGGTTGATCAAGTTGCTTGTGTCGAGTTCCTCTTTACTATGGGTGTCACCTCGGCCTTTGAATGCCCTAGATCGATAGGCAGACTCATCGTCCGATGCATCTGCATTCTAGGGGTTATAAATTATACGGAGTGGGCCCAACATAGCGCAATCACGTACTGCATCTTGTGACGAAGGAAATGGGTCTTCCGTCTCATACACGTCTGGCGCCGTGTCCTAGACAATCTGTTAGTTGAATCTCAATCTGAGGGTATAAACTGGACCGACAATGTCAGGTAAATCAGCGTATTTGTTGCTCATAGTGGTTGCGGTAGAGACGCGGCGCCTGGCGCCTCAGCAAAGGTGGTCGGTCGAGGGTGATCCGGAATTCGGCCTCCATGGCAGGTTTGTATTCTACCACCATCTCAGTCTATTCAAATTCATTGCTAATACATCTCACAGACTACTCCGTATTCGCAAACCCCGACTTTGACCCAAATGAATACGCGAATGCGATTCTAGCAGGGGAACCCTATCCAGCCAGCTCCTCAGATCATCCTGGCAAAGGAGGTCATACAAAGTCGTCAACGGCAGCGTCCAAGGGAACGTACCAGGACTCTATTGGCAAAGAGGACATCTCTGTAGCTATATCCAAGCTCACATTCGGCATCGACGACGTCTCGAAGCAGATCAAAAGCCTGGTATAGAGTCTGCCATTTACCCATGGATCCTTCGAACGGTACCCGTTGACGCGCCTATTTGTTTGGTGGTAATAGGTCACAGCCCACCATGAACATCTCCTGGTTCAAGCTGCGAGCGCCAGCAACCTCTCTGGCTCCCTGGTTTCCGTGAGATCAGGACTCACAGAGCTGAACCATTCCCTGGAGAAGTACGTATCACCTCCTGGTTAACGCCCTGGCTCCTGGCACTCATCCAGAGCCGCAGATTGCAACAGAAAGTCCATGTTCCATACCAGAATCTCCAGCTCCTTGTTACACGCCTCCAGAAACTGCAGCAAGCCTCGGATATCCTCCGTCGTACATCTCGTTTCGTTATCCTCGCACGTCGACTGCAGCTCCAAATGAAAGAAGTCCAGGCCGCCCCCGAGGGGAAGAGAGAAAAGTCATCAGAGGAATCCTCAGGACTCGCCTCGGCTACGATTGCTGCTGGTATGGAAATAGAAGACGACAAGGAACGCGCTGTTGCAAAAGCCGCATTGACCATCTCCGAAATCTGTTGGTTCCATTCCACATGTAAGAGGTCTTCAATTCTGACTGAGAGGACACAGCAACACTGTTAGACGGCCCATCCGGACAATCGGAAGCGTCAGATGCGTCCTCAGGTATTTCACTCCGGAGCATCACTGCAGTCGCTGCCTTTGAGGGATTCATCGAAGACGCCCGTAGTCAAATCAACGATGAAATGGAACAAATGGTCATTTCAGGCTTGAAAAACCTGGTACGCTCCCCATAGCTCGCCAAACACTTTCAACCCTTAACACGGATCTCAGAACCCCACCCTCCTCGCCTCCTCCCTCCAGACCGCTTTCAACCTGGGCGTTCTCCCTCAACTGGTTAGCAACCTACTCATCGACCTGTCTTCCGCAGTCGAGGATCGTATCAAGGCAGCTTTCGACTTGTCCAAGATCTCAAAGGATGCTGTCGCCAAAGGTGAGGTCTATCACGCAACAAAACTGCGCGACCCTCCTTTAACCAATTCCCCAGAACCTTCCACTAGCCCACTTTCTCAATCTCCGGCGATCTACAAATCCAGAGTTCGAACGGAACCAACCAATGTCACTGCACCTCAATGGAGCTCAGCTTTATGGACAAGACTTGAGGGAATGTTCGACGAGATGGCAGAGTGCTGCATTAAAGTGTATTCCCTCGAGAAGGTTCTCAAAATCAAGAAGGATCCGACTACTCAGGTCAATTTCCTGGAAGATGTTGTCAAGGTGCACCTGCCGGTTTTTGTTTGTCAGGACAGTGAACTGAGGATGCCATGTTAGGTCCTAGAGAACAAACCTAGTGCAATCTTCTGGATGTCTCTCAGCCGGTCTCTCGACAAGCACTTCAAAGACTGCACGAAAGGTAGTTCCGTTTGTGCTCTCTCCCTCACGCACCATTTACACTTCTGTAGCATCGGCCTTCCTTCAACAGGCGCTTGTAACCGGATACCCCAAGCTTTTACGTCTCTTCCACCAATTCTTTAGCCGAATCGCCGTACACACCGATACCGTCTACACCGACTCTCACCAAAGGTAACCTTCTTACCTTCCTCCGACTGTCTTATGCTGAGGCATGTCATCACCGTAGTCCCGAAACAGTGCTCGTCCTCCGCTCATTGGCTAACCTCGACGCCCAATACCTCACCCGCTCAGCCAACAAGGTAAACGAAGCCGTTACTCAAGCATTCGCCGGAGGCGTCCGCGCACCACCGACAATCAACGATGCTGCTAACGTTGCACGGAATGTCACCAACGAGCTGGATTCCGCCAAGTTTGATCCATTGCTCGTCAAAGCTGTCGCGAAGAATGCGTCAGCATGTTTGGATTCAATGTTATCAAAGGTGGAAGGCATGGTATGTCGCGAATATTGGTACGGCGCGAGCGATGTTGACAGAGAGTTATAGATCATCAAGGATAGGCCGGCAGTGTCATTGTTAGGACCTTCTGCGACCCCTCAACATATACTCAATGCTCAACTCGCGACATTCCTGTATCAAGTTGCGCAGAGACTCGAGAAGCTAGAGGGCGAGCATGCTGATGGTGTCTATAAGCTCATTCAACCTTCAATCAAGGTACGCGTCTCATTGAATTTTCCAGAATGTATATCTAGAACCGCCACCAGAAAACCAAATCACTCTACCAAGAAACAGTCGAACCAATGCAAAACTCCATTCAACGTGAAATCAGCGCGATTCTCGCCAAAGTGCATCGAATCGACTTTGGTCAGACAGGTATCATGCCAGGTGGTGCTAGTCTTTGCATGCGAGAGTTGACCGATAAACTCGCGTTTATCAAGTCGGAGATTCTTGACGAGTATGCCATTGGAGATGCAGGGAGGGCATGGTGCATCGTTTCTTCCATCACGTCCCTCCGACTACTAACAGCGTGTCCGCAGGGTGACATCCATTGCTAAATTCACCATCCGGAACTTCCTCCTCCACATTTCGATTGCGAAACCACTAAGCGAGAGCGGGAAACTTCAAATGACAAGTGACATGGCCGAGCTGGAATTTGCATTGAATTCATTTATGGCTGAGAAAGGACAGAAGCGGGGAGACGAGAACTTGCAAACGATTGACGAATATCGGGCTTTACGAGCTATGCGGTAGGTTACTTCCTATCGCTGACTCGAACAAATACTGACCCTGACTTTGCAGTCCGATGCTCTTCCTCGAGAATAAGCAACTGACCAAACCCGAGTCTACTCTGTGTCTCCCCCCCATTGTGGTCCTGCACCACATCTTGGTCCGCTCGCCGATCCCGCTGCCTCACAAATTACACGGTTGGCAAGAGTCCGAATATGTCCGATGGCTAGACGAACACACCGAAGAGGAGTCCTGGACGCTAATCGACGGTGGGCTCTCTCACTGGGAGAAGATTTCTGAGACAGAGGGGAAGGATACCTCGGAGGCCACTGAGTACGCAGACTTAGCGAGAGCAGTCCTAGAGAAATGTCGAGAAATGCGTAAATAGTATTGCGTTTTTAGGAGTTGGATAGAAATGAATCATGTGATGCCGTACTTGGGAAGGAGTCACTTTGACGGAATTTGAAATTTCTGACTCTTGAGAATCGCGTCCTTGACCACCGTCCAAGGTTTCGTTCAGACCTCGTCGACGATGGCACTGTCCTCCATTTACCGCAACGGTGCACGCAGCCTCGGCCTTCAACGGTCGTCAGCAGCGCGTCTCTTCTCGTCGTCTGCGGTCGCCAGGAAACCCGACAACACCAAACCTCCAAGACCTATCGACGACTCAACCTCTGCTCTGGAATACAAGAAATTCCAACGACACAGACCACCTCCTCTACCTTCCGTAGAAATTCCCTCCAGAAGTGCAGAAGAGGCAGTCACCAACATCCTCTATAACACTCCCCCTCCTAACCAACAGCCCTTCAAGAAGTCTGTACCGTTTCCTACCTCTTTTTAAATATCATCTAACACCACCGGGAACACAGGCACATCCTCAACTGTCTCGTACAGAACGAGCCAGGTGTCCTCTCTCGCGTGTCAGGGATTCTTGCAGGTCGTGGCTTCAACATTGACTCGCTGGTCGTATGCCGTACCGAAATCCGCGACCTCTCCCGCATGTGCATCGTACTCAGCGGTCAGGACGCTGTCATTGAACAAGCCAGGAGGCAGCTCGAAGACTTGGTTCGTCTGCCTCTTCACCACCCCTCTGACGCAACCTGCTCACCACTCGCTATAGGTACCTGTTTGGGCAGTACTCGACTACACCGACAACAGTCTCGTCTCTCGCGAGCTCCTCCTCGCAAAGGTCTCCATCCTCGGACCCGAATACCTCGACCAGCAATATGCAGGTGGCCCCTTCCACGAACCCCAAGCCGCTGACCCCAAACTCGAACGCGAGACCCAAATTGCCCAAAACTTTGAACGCGGTGCCCAAGGCGAGCTCGAACCGGCTCTTACTCCCTCCCAGGCCCTCCGTCTCAAACACCAGCACTTGCACTCGATCAACGTCTTGGCGACTCAGTTTGGAGCGAAGATTGTGGACGTGAGCGAGCACAGCGTGATCGTGGAATATACGGCGAAGACGTCGAGAGTGGAGGCATTCCTGAACTTGTTGAAGCCGTTTGGTATTTTGGAGGCTGCCAGAACCGGTACATCGATTTCATTTCTCGCAAATCCATACCTCCTCATCTTCGTATCACAGGTACGATGGCCATGCCCAGAACACCCATCCGCTCCGACGAGGACGACGGACCCGCGGAGGACGAAGGCGGAGCCGTCGATGCCTCCCTCCTTCCTCCCGGCTAAACCTTTAGGACGGTTTCCGCGAGATACATCTATCCTCTTATCTCTAGACTTCTCTGCTTCTTCTACACACCAAACTACATTTATAATTGTATCGTTTTCAGAGGATTTCACCGTGTATATGGTCGTCTTTTATGGGAATATCAGGAGGTGCTGGTTTTTAGGATTTAAAAAGTGTCCCTTTCGGCGTTATGTAAGATCACGAATGGAATTCCTCCCAGCATGCCGCGGGACGAGCCTGAAAACACGCAAGAACTGACACGTTCCCTCGTAACTCCCACACTCAATTCATTAGAGCATAACGTACACGACAATAGACCCTCGTCTTCACACTCCCAGCCAACAATGGGGTTGGAGGATGGGTTTGACTCGAAGCGAACTTCCAGCCTTGCATTGTTCCCCAAAAGAGGATGAAGGTCGGTTTGATTCGTCAAGCGAGCCAGCTCGTGTACTGTAACTTTACAGCACACACCGAGACCAAGAGCGGAGCATCCCATATTTTGTTGCATTCCTGGGAGTACTACAGTACAGCTTTGGGAGTACATTCATTAAATACCAATGAAATAGGAAAAGGGGATTCAGTGTGTGTGTGTAGATCGTTACAATGTTAGTGACTACTAGATGGAGGACGGAGAAGGAAAAAAAAAAAAACATACGCTAGAGAAAAGCTGCAAACGCAATAAAAACAGCGACCATCAAAGCAAGAGAAAACGGGTCATAACTAGAACTAGGTGATTATAGGTAGCGCAGAGTGGTGAGTTGCAAGAAGATAGCGAGGGGGTTGCAGAGCAGCAGAAAAAGAAATTAGAACCCGATTTGAAAAATGGTCCAAACGACGATAGCGACGAATTGTGTTAGCGAATTTGTATGGTGGAAGGAAAGCGTTATACGAGAGACGACAGCAGAGAAACGAAAAGCAAAACGAGACGAACGACAAAACAAGGGAAAAGAAAACGATGAAAACGTTACGACGTGATAGCGAGAATTAGGTTTCTAAACTGGGACGGTAGAGGACCGGTAGTGGTCCAAGGATTCATCATTGCAAATGGGAGGCGGTTTCCAGCTGCCTCCGACGCGTCGAGTCGATGCCAGAGCCGCACCAGACGGCGGAACGTACGGGGTCTTCTGTGCCGGTTGTTGAGTGTTGCTCAAGTCGACAGAAAGTGCTGGTTGGAGAGGCGAGGGTGTCGGTGGAACGGATGGAAGAGAACTCGTGGAGGGAGAATCGGATTGAGACATTGCCGGCATGCGAGATTTCGGTTGGGACTCTTCCACCCCCGGGACCTCCTGGGACCCTCCAAGATACTGGCCCATATTGTTCATGTTAGGATCGCCATATGCAGGTGGGTCTTGGGACAAGGATTCGACAACGCAGGCATTCAGGAACTCGTCGAGGTCGAAGGGCTGGGATTGAGGTTCGGGTTGCCCGTAACTGCCAAAATTGACCACAAGCTCGCCAGAGGGATCAGCGTTCAGCATATCGGGAGTAAAGTTGTTCAAACTGAATACTTCGCCCGATAGAGCAGCTGGGTCAAAGTTGCTGGCGTCAAACGCGTTGGGATCTTGTAGCTCGTGCATTGATGCAGCCATTGCAAAAAAGTCGGCATTGACGTCGAATTGCAACTAAAAACACACACACAGAGAATCAGATAAACGGGAAGTAACAAGAGGAAGAAAAACGTGTTGCTTACAGTTTCTTGATGGAGTGGCTGTTGCAACAACTCGGTCAAACTGGGGCCACTGGGCTGCGCAAAGTTCTCAATGTCCTGAGTAGGAGCGGCATTGTCGGGCATGGAGAGGGTGGGCATCAGGGGGGTATTCGTGAAATCCGAGTTTGAGTTGGCCAAGAAATTTTGCTGAGGTACATCGAGCTGAAGGGATGGCTGGCTTGGCTCCGCGTCTTGCGGCAGCGGAGTAGGGGCGGAGGCGGGAGTGGTGGCAGGCGGCGGGGGTATCGAAGGGGCCATATACTGGCCACGGGTCGCCGCGGGGCCAAGAAGGGCGAGGTAAGGGTTTGCAGAGTTGGTTCGCGGGGCCGTTGGGAAAGGATAAGGGAGTGCCGAAATTGGAGGCTGAGGGCTAGGCTGCTGAGGTTGTGGTTCTGTTGTATCTTCCGAGGCGGACGTGGACTCTGGTGTGCTTGAGGCGGCAGGAGACGATGCGAGAGAAACTGGAGGGGACGGACCGGCCGTGCCAAAGAGTTCCATGGGATAGTAGACAGTGCCTCCCATCATCGGAGGGTAGAAAACCATGCTCGGATGAGGCAACAAGACGGGAGCAGGTGGATAAGCCATGGGCGTCGTCGAGACTGATGGCTGAACAGGTTGGGCGACTTGCTGTTGACTCTGAGCGCGTGCCTGTTGTCGCTTTAACTGCTTTGCCTGCGCCTTTTCTCTCTCCTTTGCCTCTTTTCTCTGGGCCCGAAGAAACTCTTTTTCCTCCTTTTTCTTGGGATTGAAGCGGTAGTTTGGGTATTTAATTGCATGTTCTGCCTTGGCTTCGTCTGCGCGTCGTTCGTACTCCATTCGCGTTGCATCGGATTCAGTCCTCCACATCTGGCCGATAATTCGTGAAACATCTGCTTGGGACATGCGAGGCTGGCCTGGGACTGGTTCGAAGAGTTCTCTGAGCTTGTCGCCGCGATAGAGGATCCAGGCGTTGGGCGGTCTTGGTGGGGTCACTGTCGAGGTCTGTGCGATTGTCGCGCGCGTCTCAGCCATGGCTGGTGTGCGTACAGGCCCTGCCATCGCTGGCGATGGGCAGAGACACTTGAGAGATGAAGAAAAAAGGGTGGACGTTAATGAACAACACACACACACCACCGACGGCGACGTTGAAGATGGGCCTCGTGGGAACTGGTTCAATTTCCCTTCCGCCAAATCACTTGTCATGTGATCGCATCTCTCTCTTTTTATCACGCGCCGGTTCAGCTTGCAGCTCATTTCACACAATTTCAGTTTGGACCAGCAAGAAACGAGAATCGCGTTTTTGGCTAAAATACAGAGGGCGTTGCACCACGAGTAGATATACACACAAGAAATTCGTCAAAGAAAGCGGACAGAAAACGATGGTGTGTCGAAAGCGCATGAGATCTCACAGAACCAGGGAATAATCGCGAGCCAGGAAATTAGTAACCGCCGCCGTAACCTCCACCTGAAATTCATTGGTCCATTAACCCTGCCGAGTCCAAATGAGAATCAACGTACCCTGGTTGTATCCACCACCACCGTATCCACCTTGGCCGCCCTGGTTGTATCCACCACCACCGTATCCACCACCACCTATACACGTGCCAATAGTTAGTATATAGGGATCGGGAATGAGAAAGATCGACACCGACCGTATCCACCACCGCCAGAGTAGCCTCCGCCACCGTAGCCTCCACCTCCAGAGTATCCACCTCCACCTCCACCTCCCGAGCCTATAGTAGCCAGCAGTCAGAATACACAACGGTGCAGTCACAAATAGGGAAAGCCGACCTCGAGCATTAGCAATGTTGACCTTGATCCGGCGACCGTCAAGCTCCTGATCGTGGAGGCTGGCGATGGCAGCATCGGCCTCCTCAGTAGCAGAGTAGGTCACGAATCCGAATCCACGAGAACGACCGGTGTCACGGTCACGCATGACGATGGACTACATTGGGAGGCTAGGCATCAGACATTGCTCAACAGCGAGGGATATGATGGTGGTGATGATGATGATGGAATCAATGATGGAGAGGGAGACTGGTCATCGTCGACGACGACGTCAGACAGCAACAAAACAGGAGGCGACAACTGATGTGCAGAGAAAGCGAGGAAAGGGAGTCATGATGGAAGAGAGGACGAGGGGAGAGAGAGAACGAGAGATAGCGCACATCGAGAACATTCCCATACTGCGAAAATGCCTATAATATTTTGATAAGAAACAGTTGAGATCCAGCTATCGAATAACGCAGTCTTGTATTGCTACTGACTTGGCGCAGCGAGTCGTCTGTAGTGTTCCAACTCAAGTTACTACATGAGTTTGTACTATTAGTATACAGCGCCCACTCCTCCCAAGTTTTATTTTGTGTTGCAAAAACAAAACCCAAGGGAGAAGTACATGCCTCGACATCACTTCAAACAGGGAACACAGAGACTGACCCGACATAAACCTTGGCCGACATGATTGCAGACGTTACAAAATTCGAAAAAACTTTTGGAAAAAAAGAGAGAACACGGAAACCGAGCCGGAGACAAGTCAAGAGTCAAGGAGTTCGTTATGGGGAGAAAACAAGAGGCGGGACCATTCATCAATTCTTATACCTCCTCAACCCACTTTCGCACTCCGCTAAGGGCCCCGCTCCAAGGTCACCTGGCCCGTGCTTCGATTCACCCCCAATACATTCCACCTGTCATAATGCTTCCCGCTTTACGAAACACACACCCCAAAACACTCAGCATGCTTTGCCATTTGCGCAATGTACGATAGTAATGTGCGAGACAACAGATACAGCAGTCGTAAGTAGTAAAGTAGCAGAAGAAAACGTAAAACAGCATGCATAGAATGTGTGTGTGCGGGTCATTAACAGTCGTTACAAAAGGAAATGAAAGGAAACAAGCGGTCAGAATCAAGGACTGCCGAGGGTGCTCTTCCTCTTCTTGTCCTTCTTCTTCAACTTGGGCTTGGGTTCGTCGCTCTTCATGCTAGGCGCCGGGCTGTCACTCATAACAGCGGTGATAGAGCTACCCTCTCCTCGGGAACTAGTTCCCTCATCCGTCGAACCACGAGGGGAAGCGGTTTCACGCTTCAAAACGGGCAAAATCGAGGACACTGAGCCCTGTCTGCGAGTCGTAAGTGAGATCCGGCGAGCGAGACGTTGGAAGTTCTGCGATGCAGTCCTCTTGCGTTTGGGCTCTGCGTCAGGGTCGGGGGTGCCGTTGCGTGGAGGGGAAGTGGCTTCTTCGAACGTAACTCCGAACGGAACAGGGGGGGAAACGCTGGAGGCACCTTGAGGGGGGGATGCAGATGTCTCTGGTTTGTCAAGTACTGAAGCCGAGTCAGAGGCAGGGAAGGCGATAGGGGCAGAAGCGATCGGGGATGCTGCGGAGACAGGTGCATCGGGGCCCCTGGTGGAACCGTCCTGACCGGCCGCAGTGACATTCAAGGAAGAACCACGGGGTTGCGATGGCTCCTCATCGAGAGGTTCAGACGAGGGGAAGGCCACAACAGGGTCGCTCGCCAGGTTCCTGGAAACTTCAGGCTCCTTTGGGACATCCTTCGTCTGTTCTTCAACCGGCTTATTCTCATCCTCTTCAACCTTGTCGGTGTCATCGCGCAAATCGATCAATGCCTCTTGAAAGGCGCCAGCAGGTTCAGAGGGTTGTCCAACAGGATCACCGCCGTCCAAAGTGGTAGGGCTCGAGTCAGGCGCGTTGGATTCGACCTCCTTCCTGAAGCTGCTCTTCCTCGAAATGGGGTCAGAAGACGAGACCTGATCGGCCCACATGGAAGCGAAGACGCCATCGAGTGCAAGCAACTCTGCGTGGGTACCCTGTTCGATAATTTGTCCTTCCTTCAACACCAAAATCCTGAAGAGAAATCAAATGTCAATGTCCGATGTGCACGCAATAACCCTGTGCTTTGACTCACAGATCAGCTGAGGCAATAGTCTATGGGAAAGAATGTAATCAGAAAAGGCTGGGGAAACCATCTAAAAATAACTTACGGAAAGTCGGTGGGCAATTGAGAGAGAGGATCTGCCTTGAACGAGGTTCTGCAATGCCTTCTGGATGTCCTTCTCAGTCGACGTATCAAGGGCACTAGCAGCGGCTATTAGGTAAAAACCTAACTAAGAACGTGGAGTGGCATACCTGGTCGCTTCGTCCAAAAGGAGGATGGGAGGATTCTTGAGAAGAGTTCGGGCAATGGACACGCGCTGCTTCTCGCCACCACTAAGTCGGACACCGCGCTCGCCAACCTTGGTCTCGTAACCATTCGGGAATGACATGATTCGGTCATGCATCTGAGCTGAACGAGCAGCCTCCTCGATCTCTTCCTGACTCGAACCAAATTTGCCATATCCAATGTTGTACGAAATCGTAGTGTTAAAGAGAACCGAGTCTTGAGGGACGACACCGATGGCGTGGCGCAAGCTCTTCTGAGTCACATCCCTAATAGACGAGCGGCAAACATGAGCACCCAAGTACAGAGTAATACCACCCTCAGCATACACACCTGATATCCTGACCATCAATCAAAATGGCACCTTCTCCGTCCTTGAGGTCATAGAATCGATAGAGCAATCGCAAGATGGTCGACTTTCCAGAACCAGATTCGCCGACAAGTGCAACGGAGCAACCCTTGGGCACCTTGAAGCTGATCTTGTTGAGCGCAGTGGTACGCTCATCATACGAGAAGCAAACGTCACCTAGAAAGGGATCGTGTCAATGGCGTTACAAACCAAGGCAATGGGTGGCTACTTACGGAACTCGATCTCTCCATCGGTTACAACGAGGTCGGGGGCGTTAGGTTTATCGTTGACCTCGGTGGGCTCGTTCAAGAGAGCGAGAAGTCGCTCGGTATCAACCAAAGACTGATTGACAGAGCGGTAGATGTACCCGAGTTGGTTGAGAGGGCCATACAGCTGGATAAGAAGCCGTCAGTACACGAGGCGCCCAACGTAAAACCTCCCGTGAAACACCCACCTGAGCGAGATAAGTGATGAAGATAACGAATTCGCTAGCACCCCATCGTCCCTTCACAATGCCATCCGCCACCATCATCGATCCAACCAAAAGTCCGACCGTCTGCCCGAAGGTTAGCCGAGCATTCATCCCAGTGGTCAGGAGACACTTACGATAATGAAGTTCTGGACAAGGTTGAGCAAGTTCAACGAAACTACAAAGCTGTCAATGAGGGATGCAAGTTGAAATGGGACTAGGCCACATACGGATAACCTTGAGCTCCAACTTTTGATACTCGCGCATAGCTTCCCGGTATCGCTCGCCTTCATGGTCTTCACCGCCAAAGTACTTGACAGTCTCGTAGTTCAACAGAACGTCGGTATGGATTCCACGGGTAATCACATCGCGGTCATTCATCTGACGGCGAAGTCGGGTTCGGTATTTGGTGAGAATAACACTGGCGGCAACTACCAACGCGAATTAGATCCTACTCTGTTCATAAGCGGAGACAAGGCACTCACCATAAGAGAACATAACAACAAAGATGACAGCAGCGAGGGTCCATTCGAATAGCCAGCAGAAGGCAGCGAGAGCAATGAAAATATCGACGAATGTAGGAACGATGTTGAAAAGAATAAGCTGCGGGACACCGTCAGTTTTACATCCGCATATGATATGCCACGAGAAACTCACTTCAAAAGTATGATTAATGGCAGCACCACGGTCCAGCACTCGCAAGATTTCACCAGTCTTTCTGCGCGTATGCCAGGCAAACGAAAGGTTCAAGATATGATCGAAAGCCAGCTGGGACATTTCTGCAGGAACAGTTTATCAGCAGTGCTCTTTGCTCTACGAGACTATCTAGACTAACCTCGATCCGAGTATTGCATGACAGGCGCCCAGAGAGCCTAGAATTATCAAATGTCAAAAACCAAACCATCACGCTCAGGGAAATCTTTCTTACATCACGAATAGCGGATAAACCACCGCTTCCCTGCAGATAGCGAAGACCGACGTAGCCAAAGAGGTAGGGCCATGGCGAAGTTCCGTTGCCTTCAAGGCTGGAGATGAGTTTGCCCAACGCGAGGGGCAAAGCGAGGTTGACGACGCGTCCAATGACCAGAATGACGATGCAAAGAATCTAAACGAATGACGTGAATCTCCGAGAAATGAACCGGGAGGGGACCTGGTGACATACAGCAACAAATTGCAGATAGCGGCTCTTGGACGGCCAGAGGTAGGGCGAGAGACGACGAATTCGTGCAAAGAGTTCCGACCAGGTGGGCTCTAGCGAAATCTCCGGCTTGGGTTCAAACTAGACCAGGTCAGCCACACGTACATCACAGGCGAAACAAGTAGACCTTACCCCTGGGGCGGTCGATGGAGCAGGAGTGGTGGCCCTGGTCGCCGGTGCCGAGCTGGCAACATTGGAACGCGTCGGACGGAAAGTTCCATACTTGCTGTTCTCCCCATTCAAGGCTGAAAGACCCGTGGATTGTTGATGACCGGCTTCTGGTGGCAACAAGAAGCTTGAGGCAGTCGGTTGCTGGACTTCGTCGTCGGTGGAAGGAACCGCGGTATAGGTGACGCGAGGTGAAACGAGGGAACCGAGCAAAGAGAAGAGAAGAAGAACACGGAAAGCAGGCAAAGCTAAATGCAAAAGGTTCTGAAGGGCAATGTGGCCTTCTGGAATTTGAGCTGCGGAGGGAGCAATAAGTTTTAAAGTTGGCAATATTTTCTGACGCAACATACCGGCATCGCGTAGCTCCACGCCGAGTAAGACGGTGAGGGCAATGTCGAGGAGCAAGGTAGTGGAGACTGCGGTTCTAATCCTCCTGAGGGACCAGATCTCGACACCAGCGACGTCCTTCCAGGCGCCAATGGCAGCCAGGCCAGCGAACCCGACCAGACCGACGATGGTGTTGATCGGGATTCCGCTATGACGAGGCCACTGTTTCGAAAGAACGGCAAAAACAACAAAGACGAGCCCATCAGCAAGATAAGTGAGGGCCGAAAGAGAAAGAAAAGAAAGAATAGCAGCACGACGAGGAACGGTTGTAGCGACGACCACAGAGGTTATTGGCGAGTGTTGGTCGGGATTTGGCCTTGTTGAAAGGACGGATAGGGCAGCGAGGAGGATGACTGCCGGGGAGGCGATTCTGAGGACGAAGACGGGCAAAGCCGTCTCCGCCATTGAGGAAAGCCAAAACATGGCTGTGGTCGTCGCCAACAGAGACGGTGAAGAGGATGAAGGGAAAGCTCGAGCCTCCGTTAAGCCTTAGACACAGCTCTGGTTTATTATGTAATCTACCACATTCGGGGATCCATCAAACCTCCTATTCAAACTTTTGCCTCGTGTTCATTCGTCATTTTTCTGCATTCTGCCCTTCTTAGCGAACAAGTCACAACACTAATATCGGACCCACACACACACCTGATTCAGCCCTGCAGATAGTTCTTCGTACTGCAAGCGAACTTCCTCCAGCTTTTGGCCCTGAGTCTCCAGTTCACCTCGGTCTTGTACTTTCAACGCTTTGCGCGTCTCTGCGATAAACTCTGACGAGGTCTTCACCGCTTCGTCGCCCTTATCATTGCCAGCCTCGTGTGCTGCCTCGCCGGGAAGTAAACCCGCCAAATCCACTTCGCTCGCACGGAGCAAGGCCAGGTCCCGCAAGGTTTCGGATAACGGGAGCGCTTTGATGTCCTTTGCCTTCTTGGTTGATTGTGACATACGTTACGGTGGGCTAGATGCGAAAAATGAACGGTTTACAGCGCCTTTGGGTGGTCTTGGAGAACCCGGCAGCCTGGACGCACTTGATGGTTATGAATAAACCAAACAAGCTCCGCCCAATCGATGATCACACCACCTCCCGAACGTCCCCATCGATAAACCTCCTGACTCTTCTCGATATATTCGGTCGTCTTACTCTAATGTACACCGGTGGCGATTACAATAAAAATGAACGTGTGATACAGTCCGTCACATCTAGGGATATGCAAATAGATCAAGCACATCGTCTGAAGCTTGATGAGGGTCTGAGCTCTGTATCTCATCTAAAGCCGCCCTCTTGCGTATTGGCACCCCATTCCCGCACCGTGATTGGCCCTTGCAATCAGAATCCGCCGAGCAACACGAGGGCGAATTGCGCCGGGACAAGCTTGCTGATTGGGAGGCACCACGAGGCACATTCCTCCCGTGCAATACCGTCCGGTGAGAAGCGGCATTGGCAAGGAGAGAAACAAAGTCATTCAGCGGTTTGGAAGGTCGGGGACGCGTGGGTCGGGCAGGTCTATCCGTGTCACCGAGGCCTTGGCTCTTCTGGCGCTTGAAAAGGTTGAAAGGTATGACCTCGGTTTTTGTATCACGCGACGTTGAATGTCGGATAACGGAGCGTGTCCTAGGGGTCGGGATCGCGATCCTGCGCCTTTGGACACTCTTGAGCAGGCTATCCCTATACGACACACTCTGCTGTGTCTTCTGCCTGACCCAACAACCAATTTCATCCTCCCAAGCCCAATCATCAAAGTTACGACGCGCCGGCGTCGCTAGATTGAGCTCGTCAAAGTCCGATGTCGCATTTTTCCGCATGGGTGTCGGGGCTGTCATGGTGTTGCCATCGAGAAGGTCGTCGAAGCTTTGTACTGAACCGATCACGCTCGACGAGTGAAGCAGATTCTCTTCTGCCTTATCCACCAACTCCATCACCCGCTCACGATACGCCTTGATATCGGGACGCTCCTCCACCAGACGAAGACTTGGGTCGTTCTCCAAGTTCTCTACAAAATGGAGCGCACATGTCCATAAAGACGCCTCGTGAGCGGTCAATTGACGTTTTTGAAGATGGGACGCATAGATCTTGAGTTTCTTGTGACCTTGCCGCATGTATGAGGCGATCGAAGTTGTATCATCTTTCGGGCTCAGAGTACCTTTGACCAGTATGGAAAAGGTCAACGCTCGAGGGGTGGATAGAGAAAGCCACTTGCCGAGATTATCCAGTTGCCATTGGGAGAGCGAACCAGGTGAGGCGATGAGCTGTATCGCAAGACAGCACAGTGAATCTTTCAGAACACTGGTTGATTCATCGCGAGTGGTGTTCCACGCCCCGTGCTGAGCAGTTCGAAGATATTCAAACGCGCGATCGCAGTATGGTGGTACGCCGTCGGTGGATAAAAGATTATTGGTGACACAGTCTGTCCATCTAGACAGTAAAGTGGACAGCTGACCCCGATAGGCTGGTTCCAGACTTGAGGCCGACAAATATCGACAAAGGCCCATGGCCAGCCAAACCAAGGATGGAGGGTGGATGCTCTGTAAGCGCCGGGCCAGAGTATCGAGAGCTTTGGCACTCCAGGTCTCGGCGTTTTCAGTCAGGCCGAGTGCTGAAAACAGAATGGCCATAAACGCGTCGATAGTGAACCCGGCGGAGATCCACTTGTCGAGATATTCCACAATAAACTTGGAATGGGTTGGACTGGAGATCAAGGACTGGCCATTCGGTTTTGGTCTTAGAGCGAGGAATAGCAATGCTTCCAAGAGCTGTGATGCTTCTGACTGCAGACGGTGTATCAGGGCCACATCGAGAAGGATGCAAATCAGTGTTGGATGGTGAGGGCAGGTATCGAGTATTATGGCCAAGGCATGAGACACTAATAGCCATCTAATGAAAGCGTGTAAATAAGCCGGTGTAACCAACGTGTGCCAATAGAAGACTTACGCGCGATAGGCGGCAGGAACAGCTTCATACATTTCATCAGCATAACTGATATCATTCGACGCGTCTTGTTGCTGTTGATCGTCGTCTTGGTCGTCAGGTTCTTCCCATTCTTGCAGATTCTGACCAATGGTGATGGCGCACAGAGCAGTAAGGGGTATGACACGGGTAGACACGTTTGCGTTTTTTGCCTTGACTACGATATTCTTGAAGGCGTCGCGAACGGCGTATACGCGGCGGGCGAGTTCCAGGGAACCTCTGTACTCCTGAGAGAAATAGAGCTGGGAAGCCAGTTTGTCCGGAGGGGGAAGGATGACCAAAGGATCATGTTTCTGATTGATTTGGATGAGACCAAGGCGATTGGTGGAGGTGGATGAGTATGTTGCTGATGGCCTGCTGGCGCCGGTTGCTTGGGTTGGCAATGGTAGTTTTGCGAGAACGTTGCAGCATGTTCTGAGAGGGCGAAGGAGACGGTTGATTGCGGCAGTTGTAAGGGCTTTTGGGTCGGTGGACATGGACAGAACCAAGAGACGCGCTGTGGCATTTCCTTTGGCAGAAGATGTCAACGGAAAAGAGCGGGCCGGGACTGTCGCCAATCATTTGTGATGCCATAGCAGCGGAAAAAGGACAGAATTTATAGAGAGGCTTGATCCAAATCTGACTTGTCCCACTCCCATCCAAATGCCCAATACAATACAAAATCCATCCAGGCTCTTGTCCCCAGACACAGAGACCTTCTCCACTCCACCAACTACTCCAGCAGCCTTCGCCCACACAATGCACAACCAAGATCCCCTCCTCATCCGTCCTTCTTTGTCCCGGAAGAACAGCAGGCCCTCGTCTCTGAACACCGTCTATTCTCAGAACGAGTACAAACCAGACATCGAGCTCGAGGTCACATCTCCAGGCGGCAATGGCACAACCGTCGTCGCAGCCAACGGTCATCACGATCGTCCCGCTCAGGACGAGTCCACAGCCGTCAAGAAACCAAACCCACACCACACCCCGACCCCGCAACAAATGGTCAAATCGCCCTGTTTTGTCCACTCTCATCTAGACAAGGGAGCCGATCTCACAAAGTTTCTCATGAACAAGCCCTACGATATCCATACCAAGGATCTAGGGGTAGCAAAGTCCTTGCAGCAGGCCGGTACCAGCCCCACTCACGCCCGCTTCGATCATACCGCGACACAGACCAGAAGCTTTTCTCCAGAGTCTGTCGCCTCCTCTTTTGCCTCTGGCTACGAGGTCGACGACGAGGACGAATACATTGGAAGCCTCACCACCCAACTCGCCGAAACGGCCGTCAGCGTACGAGAGATGAGCAAACAACTCGGTATGTCTCAGAACAGATTCAATACCCATACCAGATCTAATTTTTGCTTCTCCAGGTCGAGCCCGTGTTCAATCAAATATTCAGAACGTCTTGATTGTCACCAAAGCGAGGGACAACAGACTTATCAAATTAACTCGCGATCTTGCCCTCTATCTTATGCTCAAGCGCCGGCCAGGCCAACAGAGAGGATTGGTCGTGTACGTTTCAACTTTTCATTGGTTCTTACTCGTTTTCTCAACGGTGTCATTAGTTACGTCGATAGCCAGCTCCGAACCTCCCGACGTTTCGACGCGGAGGGTATCAAGCGGGATCACCCCGAACTCTTTGCCCCTTTCCCCCGTCGTCGCCCATCGAGCTCCCAGTACACCAATGCAGCCCAAGAGTTCCAAGGTGAAGAAGGCCAACTGCGATACTGGACTAGCAGCATGTGCTCCCGCAATCCTCATCTCTTCGACTTTGTTATCACCGTAGGTCATCCTCCCCGTAGAACCAGAGTTCTCTGTCTAACCGCCACATCTACTCTTAGCTCGGCGGTGATGGGACTGTCCTCTTCACCTCTTGGCTGTTCCAGAAAGTCGTTCCTCCGGTCCTATCTTTTGCACTCGGTTCTCTCGGTTTCTTGACCAACTTTGACTTTGCTGATCATCAGGCTGTTATGGATTCCGCTATCGATAATGGAATCCGTGTCAACCTCCGAATGCGGTTCACTTGCACTGTCTATCGCGCAGTTGCTACTGAGAAGGGCAAGGGACGAAAGGCAGTGAAGAAGGCCGAGACAGGCGAGATCATCATGAAGAACTTGGAGAAAGGCGGAGGATGGGAAGCGCTTGAAGGAGGCTGGGGAGGTGCTCCTGCTGACGGAAAGTGCACCAAAGACAAGGAGATTATGTGCTACACCACCCGTCCTGTTGAAAGCTTTGAGGTACTCAACGACCTCGTCGTCGACCGTGGCCCAAGTCCATACGTTAGCTTGCTGGAACTCTTTGGTAAGTTCACCCTGTTTAGAGCTTTTGCCGCCAACTAACCCCTGCTCAGGTGATGACCACCATATGACAACTGTGCAAGCTGACGGCTTGACCATCTCCACCCCTACGGGCTCCACAGCCTATTCGGTATGTTTTCTTCAAGTCAATGTCTTGGGCTCCCTAACCAAGTCTCGCAGCTGTCTGCTGGAGGTTCACTCGTCCACCCAGAAATTCCGGCCATCCTCATTACGCCCATCTGCCCACATACCTTGTCCTTCCGACCAATGCTCCTCCCTGACAGTATGGAGCTGCGTATTTGCGTCCCGTACAATTCCAGAAGCACCGCTTGGGCCTCCTTTGACGGTCGGGGCCGAGTCGAGCTTAAACGTTGGTCGCCCTCTTCTATCATCGCGTCCAGTCGCTGACTAGAATCTTAGAGGGAGACCATATCAAGGTCACAGCCTCTCGCTACCCCTTCCCCACCGTCTGCGCAGATAAGCAATCCACCGACTGGTTCCACGCCATCTCGCGCACCCTCAAATGGAATGAGCGAGAGCGCCAGAAATCATTCGTCGTCGTAGAAGAAGGGCCCGCCAAACCCAAGCGCCGCAAACGCAGTCGCGCACCCGCTGTTTCCCCTGGTCGTTCTCCCAAGGTCAGCGAGATGGACGAGGAGGATGAGGAAGACGACGAGGCATCCAGCGAGGAAGATGACAAATTCGACATTGACGATTCCTCAGCTGCAGAGTCGGATTCGACGACAGACGCCGGTGTCCAGGCGGACGACTTTTCCCATCTGAGACCGCCCTCCATGGCCACCGTGAAAGACAGCAGCGGCAGCAAGAGAACCAAGCGCGGCAAGTCGCGGTCCAAGTCCCGTCCTCGCACCGTCTCGACGCAATCCCAGTCCTCGGATGCATCCTATCATTCAGGCGTGGACTCGCCCAGCCGATACGCAAGTCCAGGACCGCACTTGTCCCATGGCCGACATGTCGAATTCAGTTACCCTGATTCGAATCAATCTTCGCCGTCCTCCGAGTCCGGACTGAACCACTCCGCACAGCAAGGCATGCGCGACGACCTGCACCTCCAGAGGTCCCCCAGTGGCCGAAGCCGTATTCCCAAAGACAGAGACATCGGAGCGGAGACGCCTAAGACAGCAACTGTTCCATTGGGGCAGTTACATGGCCATGGTCATAGCGGGCGCGGGCGAGGCCATTCGATATCGAAGCTCGACAATGCGCCGCATAGAGCGTTTGCTGTTTGGGGCCACGACGAGAGCGATAGCAACGCTAGCGATAGCGATCTCTAGAATGATCTAACCCATCCCGTCTTCTAAATTAATATAAACTTATGGAAGATCTTGCTCTAGAAGATGAAATAAAACAAGAAGCTGTCGAGATATCGTAGTGTAAAGCAAAGGAGACAAGAATTACCGACACGATGTACAATATCTATTTCTTTACATGCCATTCCATCACCTCCCTTTTTCACTCTGTTCCATGTAGTGTCCCCACTAAAATGCGGTTGTTTCTCGGTACACCAAGGTAGGCAAATCCCGGTAATCAGGTCGATCCTTTGCGATGGCTGCCAACCAAGAATTGATTCGTCCAACCGAGACATTCTGGACCTCCTTCGTCTTCTTGTCCGTGTCTGACGACAGCTGCGATGCAACGCGCGGGAAGGCATCGACTGCAGCAACAGCGGCAGCACGCAACAGATATGCCTGATCCTTCGTCACCACGAGTCCACTTACCCTAGGACTTGGAGACTCTGATTCGCTCGTCTCCGCACCCTTGTTTCCTTTTGTCCCTGTCGGTGAGCCCACTTGAGCCTTGGTCTCCAGCAGACTTTCCCTCTTTTCTTCTGTTGCCGTCGTTGGCTGCAGTGCCTCGAGCTTGGAAGATGCAGATACATCGATGATCCCAAGATGCATCAGAACACTCGGGAGAACACCATCAGCAAACGCCGGAAAGTTGTTCACTGACGGAATCGGGAAAGGCGGTGGTGAGATCGACCCAAACCGTACCGATATCGCGTTGAGCAGGAACAAGGCCTTGTTGAAGATAAATATATCTGTTGTTTCGGAAGAACGAGTCAGGGAATTGATGAGATAACACAGGAGAAAATAGAAGCGTGCCTTCGCCGTCGACGGCTGCGCTGTCGCGGAACGCTGGGATCGCACCAGTTATCTGTCATCCTTCCCGTCAGTGGCCATCCAGAGAAGGCACAGTCCTTCAAGATCTGGGTAATCAATTACCTTCTCTATCACCAAATCTGCAAACGCCTCCGGTACACCTTTGGAGCCAGCTTCCCTCTCACCACCCTTCAACGCTTCTACGACCAGGAACCCAAGATTGCGGTACCCCATCCCCATCAACTTTCTCCCAGTTTCATTCAGCACACCAGTGATACTCTTAACGAACTCGAACATCTCCCCTCCCAGCTCACCAACTGTTACACCATGCATTTGAGGATGTGGCTTCTCCACCATGACATCGACGCCCATCAAATCGGCGACTTTTGCATGCGACAGTTCCGCCATGCCTTTAGCAGAGAGGTAATCTCCCTCCGTACTGTTGGACGCAATGTACATTGAGAAGATCAAGGCTTTGGCGGCATTGGAGGCACCATGTCCCATCTGAGCGCGGAGGGTAGTTTCGAAGGAGGACCCAAAGTTGAGGAGGGCGAGGATCGATAAGACGTTGAGTTCATCGAGGGCGGAGGCAAAGTTTAAGGGCAGTGCGAGACCAGGAAACGATGAAAGTCTATCGAAAGACTCCAAGAAGGCTGGCGAGCCCAAAAGGCGTTCAATCGCAGCCTCGTCGATCTATCCATGCAGCCCTGTCTCAAAACTTGAACCACAGTCTAGAAATGACTAGACATACACACCTTGATGCCCTCCTTCTGACATATCCTACGCGAGGATTCTTTGACACTGTCAAGATACTTTCCCGAAGCAGGTGACTGACTATTTCCGGACATCGTACGCGTGCAAAGGAAAGGGACAAAGCCGCCACAACGGCCGCGTCACGTCAGGTTTAAGCGCCCAATGTCGGCGGACCGATTGATCCGTTTCTGCCGAATTTGCCAACAGTGCGCTGTCACTGCGTGTCTTCTGCGCGTCTCGTTCTATCTGCCACCACCAAAGATGTCAGTCCTCGTTTTTCGAAGCGCATCTAGCGCACGTTGCACACCAATTGCATGGAGAATTGCGGGCACTCGATTCAATGCCACTGTGGCACAGGGTACGTCAGCTGGTCATCGAATAGAAGCCTGTGCAACATGTTTTTGGGTGGAAATTGAAACGTTTGGAACTTTTAACTTCAGGACCAGACATCCGAAAACAGATCATGGATGAAATTAAGGTGGCAATGAAGGTGAGTACGAATAAATTGCCCTCTTCGCGTTAATGATAGCTCTAATATGGTCTTAATGGATGGTCAGAGTAAAGACACCGTGAAGTCCACAACCCTACGCGTACGTTTCAGCACCATAACGCAAACGCATGCCTGAACCAGGCCACTTACACCACTCTGCGCGATAGTCGGTTCTTTCAGAGGTCTACAACGCCGACAAAGCATCAAAAGATGAAAAGGTTGATTCCTCGACAATAGTGAGTAACCAGGTCACCGTCACGTTCAATCCTTTAACCGGTATGCGCCATTCAAGGTCGGAATCTTACGCAAAGCCGTTGAACGTCGCGTGAGTTCTCTCCACAATCCCGGAAAGCATGGTGGTTCTCATCCCTGCATGTATCAAAACATGTGATCGCACCCATGTAGACCGAAGCAGCTGACAAGTTCAGGGCTGCTTCTCGCGACGACCTTGCCGAAAAAGAGTTGCAGCAGGTTGACATCATCTCGAAATTCCTACCTCCCACTTTGCCGGAAAGCGAAGTAGATTCGATCTTGTCGTCTATCCTTGAGCAACTACCACCAGCGAATGGCCCTCCTCAAAAGGCTCTCGGCATGGTCTTTAAACAGTTCTACACTCAAGTGGACAAATCTGTAGTTGATGCTGAACTGGTTAAGCGGAGAGCCCAAGCACTGTTGGCAGCCAAATCGTAACTTTTACCGCCGCAACATCGTCATCGAACATCCCCTGCTTGGAATATATACTATAGATAGTGTATTGGTGCATTTATAATCGAATTACAAGGGTTCAGTACTGGTAGCTCCAGTGTCTCCTGAGGAGTCGTCCTCTGAGGTTCCTGAGAAATTCGTGGGTACTTCTGGCCGTTTTTCTTCCTTTCGAGACACCGAGGACGGATGGGATGGACCTGCATTTGGTGTAGAGGGGAGACTGGACGGCAAAGCGCTCCTCATTCGCATCAGGTCGTCGATGCAACGGTAGACAGTGTTCGAGACTCCCTCGAGCACCCTTAGGCGCTCGTCAATCGCCTCTCGGGTCAATTGGTCCAATGTTTCCAGTTGTTCATCACTGAGATGGGATGGAATGCTGGAAAGGGACCGCGACGTTGACAGAGGAGTCGTCTGCCCACCGGCCGGAACTTGATCGAACAATCCTGCAGTTTGGGGGTAGGCACCAAATGCTGTTGGGGTGCTTAGATTCCAGTTTAGCGCTGGCAGGCGACGGCTGTTGGCGCTGAATTCAATGTCGTACATCGGAATCAATGGAGGCGCGCCGTGATTGAATGTCTGCGTTGTGGAAGCCGAAGACGAAGGGGTAGGTGATGATCTTTGTCTGACCGGCTGTGACGTGGATTCAATGGCCGTGGTTGTAGGGGTTGGAGTGGGCTGAGGAACAGTGGATGGACCGCCGAATCTGCGCAGCGCAGCTTGCCTTGCGGCCTCCCGGGGTGACAAGGTCTCCAATGGTGTAGAGCCTGTATCAGATTCTGAATCTGAATCTGAGTTGTCAGAGTCAGTTGAGATCCCGCCGTTCTGGGGTTGTGTTGTTGGCGTCGACTGTGCAGGCGCGGCGTTGACGGCACCATTCACAGTTGGATTAAGCTGCCCTGGCTCTGGCCAAGCTTGCCAACCACCGTCGGGTCCCCTGTGACCACGATATTGCGGAACGGGGTTCAAGTTCGTAGGCACTTGTCCTGGATGGTTAGCGCCTGCCCTGCGGCCTTGATATTCGACATCGTATTGAACCATGATCTCCCTAGCAGGGGCTGCGCCATTGGGACGAGCGGTTTGGTCGCCTGGGGCTTGATTTTGGGGGTTCTGATTATTATTCTGTGGGAGATTTGGTGGACCAAAAAAGCGATTCACAAAACCTAGCGGGTTACCGAGAGGGTTGTTGCCTTGTTGGTTCAGCTGAGGAATAGCGCCGGGAGCAGGTGCGGGCGGATTGTTGTTTGCTACCTGTGGATTGGTTGGCGGATTGTCGTCAAGGACAGTGCGTCGACTGCGTGCTGTTAATCACACGATCGATCACAATTGAGATGAAAGACATACCATGTCGGACAGCTCTGTTGCCGTTCCAACCAAGATCGCAGACAGTAAAAGTGGAAGATGTGGCCACAGGGTAATTTCTTCGGCGTCATATTTGGTCCTTCCCGGTCATTTGGCGTCGCCTGAGGCTGATTTTCTTGGAAAACCATCTCTTCTCGGCAGATGATGCAGGTGCGGTCACTCATTGCTGCCAACTCTTGCTCATCTGCATTTGGGTAGCGCTGGTCCATATTTCGTGTGGCAGTCTGGTACCGGTGGAGCGCCCGAAGTCGCGTGATGAACGATCGAGCCGTGATGTACACATCCCTGACGATGTTGAGAGGCAGGCCGTAGAAAGTGATGATTACGGTGAAAAACACCAAGTAGACAGACAGTTTCATGAAGTCTATTGCAGAAGGATTAGTTTGCGGAACGATCAAGCTCATGAAAAGCGCGCACCTGTTGCAAGTTCGATATAGAACGTCCACATGCTCTTGTTTTCCCAAGGAGGTGCGTTCTCTCCTCCCCGTTGGCCTGCGCGACGCAATTCGTATGAAGTCAGAAGATATTTGCAGATGGTATTCATGATGCTTGAGATCAAAATGCCATACTGTATTCAATTAATACTCAGGTTGGGGGACGATGATGAATCCAAATGGCGACTCACTTCACTTGCAAATAGGACCATTCCCCCAACACCAACATTGAGGGTGTGTTCGATCGTGAACATAAACATAATGATGTCTGTGACCCAAAGGACTATGAATAGCGCGACCATTCTGCAATGGAAAAGCAGAGGCGGCCCGGGATACGGTCGTTGGTCCATCTAGGTTCGGGAGAAGATGAGAATGACACCAGAACGTTGGAAAGTTCGCAGCTCACCCATTCAATGCGATCACTAGCTAGCCAATGGAAGGACTTGACGAATAATAGGAATCCAAACATGAAGCCAAACGATACATCAAATTCATCACGGAAGATAGTGAAGGCCAACAACGACTCTGTTATGAAGAACCACAGTCGATCGTAGAGGCGCTGCAGAAGGCATAAGTACCGCAACATTCTGGTGCAAAATAGCGCTCACTTCAATTTCAATTGGCCGCAAGGGTCCAAAGAAGATTCGCTGGACAAGATGACCACATAGTAGGGCGATCAGAAAACAGAAATTGGCTAACGCCTGTAGATATATCAGTCGTGTTCCAGATTCAATCGCGAGCGAGGGACTCACAAGGACACTGCGGCTACTCTTCGAGAGGTAAATCGCGACAGAATAGAAATTGCTGTAGTTCTTGAGGGCATTGACCACGACCGCGCCGACGGCAGTCAAGGATGCTAAAGCATAGAAGGATAATCTATGCGAATTCAGAACACGCGCCGCTGCATGCAGTCTCTGTCGGAGGACGTCGTTTCCAGGCATTCAGGGGTGTTGGTGGTGTGGAAACAAGAGAGCATGACGCCGTTGTCGGCGAGAGCCACGCTGTGCCACGTCCCGATCTGTCACGCTGGACCTTACGTAATAATTTGGGCGCTAATCGAAGCAATTCTAAGGGTCGGGAATTGAGCACGCTGCCTGTCTCCCATCTGGGTTAAACCCTCAAGATCGAAATTTGCACGATATTGATAGGCGCCGTCGCTGATTCCCTATGATTCCCCACTCATGTTGCCCCAAAATGGGTTATGCACTCGGAAGCGGTTTAAAAAGGCTGTGAAATTATTCTCGCCACTCGATCCATCCACCCACCAACTTCACACCAAAGTATCCTCATCTCCCTCTTTCATCATCCCGCTGATACTAATCTCTCCCTCTCTCAAGGAAAATGGCACCTGCCTCTAGAAAAGTTGCACCTACTGCTGAGCAGAGTGCTGCTAGTAATGGGGGAGACACCCGCCAGAACGGTCGCAAAGCTGTGGCCACAGCCAACGGCAAGGGTCACCGTAATAGGGTTGACCCCAACGACACCGCAGGCGGAGAGCGAGCCGGCCTTTCCTTGGGGATATCCATTGCGGTCCTCGGGTTCCTGGGTTTAGCGGCATCTCTGGCAGCCTCACCCTCGCAGAAGCATGTCGGTCTTGCGCAACCTGGCACTTACGCGGTTTGTTCCGCGGGGGGACCAAGCATTTACACCGTCGATAATGACAATTCTCGAGTGGCGTGCATCTCCATCGCGAAAAACCGCATTCAGGCTGTCGGTTCTTTGGGTCAGTCGATTCGCCTTCTAGGACATGTAACAAAATTCTCATCCGCCGTCCCCCTCAAAGGCCATATTCGTTTTAAATGGTATACGTCCTCCTTTATCACAAATCTTTTACAGGGCTCGCCCCAGTTCCACCTCCCTGTCCACTACATTCCTCCCGGTGCAATAGTTATTCCCGGTATTAGCGGTATGTTGTTCCCCTCTTAATCAGGACCAGATCGTTGAGGCCCACGAACAGACTCGCACGCACACATCCTTGAGTTTGGGGCCACCCAACAACTCCCTTTGGAAGGAACTAAATCGGTGGAAGGTGAGTCCGTGCAGGCCCAGCATACTCCAGACTGACCGCGCCTTCTTTGCAGAAACCGTTGCCCGAGTCCGCAACTTCGTATTGTCGAACGCCGATATCTTTGAGGACAAGACCAAGCTTATCACTGGTGGTGGATGGGATCACACGTCTTGGCCCAATGGAACACTCCCTTCTCTGGCATGCACATAGTTCAGCTATTACTCAACAAGAAACGCTCATCTTCGTTCTTCACAGGAAGCACTGGAGAATGACCCCATTCTGCGAGGTCGTCCGATCATTTTACAGAGCAAAGACTGCCACGCCCTTTGGGTCTCTTCAGCCGCCCTCAAACCGAGCTTGCCCCTCCCAGACGAAGTGGAAGGCGGGGTAATCGTCCGTGATCAGAATAACCAGCCGACTGGTCGGTCTTTCAACGCGTCCATTCGCCTCTCGTAACACTGTCTCATATGCGAATAGGCGTGCTTCTGGACAACGCCCAGGACTTACTCAAACAACCAAAGCTTACCCAGGAGGATCTTTTGCGTCGATTCAAAGTCACGGTCAGAGAGGCTCACAAGCATGGACTGACGTCGATCCATGATGCGGGGTTGGACCCCATCTCTCTGGAATTCTTTCATAGGTATCATTTCAGTGTTTACGTGCGGCTGGTATTCCTCGGATACTGACTACTCCGTACAGCCAAGCAGAAAAGGCACCTCTACCGGTGAGTTTCTCAAGGCAAGTGCCACGCATCCTCCGGGACCAATGGTCCTCTCCAGATCAGGATTTATGGAATGAAGTACTTCAATGAAACCGTTGGGTACAGCCCAGGGAGCTACCCTATTGACCTTCCGGAGAAACGGCTCAGCATTCGGAGCATGAAGATTTTTGCTGATGGTTAGTTCTAGTTCCCATCATTCGTATGTCTCTACTTATCTTTTCCCGTCAGGTGCACTCAGGACGGGAGGTGCCGCTGTCAGTATATGTTTGCCTATGAACCCCGAGAACGCCTGGCTAATATCCGAACTGTGTTCGTTTACAGCTTTACGAACCCTATGCGGACAATCCATCCACAAGTGGATTTATGAGAATCGAAAAGTCCCTTCTTTACGACGTTATCCCTAAATTCTTGAGCAACGGATGGCAGGTGGTGAGTGACCATCTGACCCGAAAAGCCGTCTTCATTCCTATCTCCCTAAACCTAGAACGTACATGCGATCGGTGATAAAGCTAACGGCATCATCTTGGATGTTTTCGAGTCCGCCTTGAAGGGTATTAACGTCACTGCATTGAGGCCCCGCCTCGAGCATGCGCAGATGATGACCAAGGAGGACATGGTTCGACTAGGAAAACTTGGAGGTGAGTTGTTTTCATTGCTGTGTTCATCAAGGCCTCGACATAACTACTGCTTTTTTGCGCGGGCAGTCATCGCCAGTGTACAGCCTACCCATGCGTAAGTCAGGCATCGGCTTCCTTGGAAACACCTGTCGACTGTAATACGTGAAACAGAATTAGCGACATGTGGTATGCCGAAGACCGATTGGTAAAGTCCCTGGCCCAGAAATGCAGCCATCTCGTTGCTTATGTACTCTGCCCCTAGGGTCCGGTCAGGGTTAAGCAACTCTACGCCTTCCGATCTATCATCGACAGCGGGGCCAGAATCACCCTCGGTTCAGATTTCCCAGTGGAAGCTATAAACCCTCTCTCAGGGTTCTATGCCGCCATTACCCGCTTGTCTCTCGAAGGAACGTCCCCCCACGGTCCACAGGGCTGGTGCGTCTTAAGCACACGTTATCGAATTGAGCACTTCCAGTCTGATCATAACCTATCATAGGTTCCCGGAAGAGCGGCTAACCCGTGAAGAGGCGCTCCGAGGTAAGCGACTCTATAGGCGCCCGTGGATTTGTTTTCGAGCGCTGAGCCAAAATGTCCCTCACTTCGCAGGAATGACTATCGACCCAGCCTACGCATCGTTCACAGAGTCCGAATTGGGCTCCCTCGAGGTGGGGAAATTGGCCGATTTTGTCGTTCTCTCGGCGGATATCATGTCCATTCCCGAAAATGAGATTATGGCCACCAAAGTGCTCGCCACTGCCATTGATGGTGACGTGGTTTATGGTAAACTCTAGGGTCACCTCTGTGAGGATGGTTACACCCCTAGGTAGCCATGCGAAGCGGCTAGCGCCCAGAAGCCTGTTTTCTCTCTTTCTCCTTGTGTTTGTATGTATCACTCCGGGACTGGGGAGGCCGCTGAGGGCACGCTCAGTGTGCGCCTGCTCGTCTAGGAGTTTATGAAATACTGTGTTTCATCCATTAATCAACCCAGAGAACACTACAACTAATCAGCCAGGTAAGAATATATTACATACGTCCATACAGTGGAAGCCCCGTGGCACCCACGGATGATTGGCCTCGAGACTAATGAACAGCAAATAAAAGCCGATACGTGCGTTTATGCAATAAGCTATTTAATGTATCACCGTCCTGTCTATCTTCTCTTTGAATCTGACTGCGCGTTCATGTTCGCCATATACTTCTCTAGATCAGCCTGCACCATCATCATGCATTAGGGTCAAAACTTCCACTCAGATTCGAATGACGACGAACCTGTGCCTGATCCATATCCAGTGTTTCATCTTCCTCCTCCTCGTCCGCCTTGATGTTATCTTCATGTAGTCCACCAAGGCCCCACCCACCAACGCTCGCTCTATTCGGCAACCCCATATCCGGACTCCTACTCTGAATTAGCAGGCTGTCACACCGAGGAACACGGAGGTCAACACCCACCGTAGTGAATCAAGCAACTCTCGGTCCTTCTCTCGATCTATATCGACCACATAGCTGCCAGACGCGGATAAACCAAGACGCGGTGTGTCTTCACCGTAGTCATCTTCATCTAGAGCGGTGAAGGCGATAGCCGATTCGGACAGGTTCATCCCTTTCTTTGCAATCCGACCTCGCCTGTCTCTAGGTAGTCCGCCGGAGAGGAAGCTAGGCGTACGTGAAACTGCTCCATTCCTGAATGGCTGCTTTCGGGAAGCAGCTTGTGGGTGGGGATTGCGAACTAATTGCAGGAGGTCTGTTATGGCTGCCTCAAAAGGGGTTGGTTGTACCGGAGGTGCCGTCAGAGAAAGGACTGGACGTTGCCGGTGCAGCGAAGACAGGACGAGAAGCCTGAGGGAAAGTTTCAGGAACACATCTTGTTCCTCAATGGGCAAAATCTTACATCTGTTGCAACCGGGGTTGCTGGTACCCCGCTGTTTCCGGGAACACATCTTGTCGGTTGGGGAGCGACAGGCGCGAGTAAAGTCGAGGGTACAGTGGATAGACGACCCGGTCTCTGAAAGAGCGAAGGGCAACAGTGCGTACGTCAATGGAAGGTGTCCCTGTTGACAGCTGAGCCGTTGACTTGGAGGACTGGGCGCCCGAGCGCGAGGGTGATGTGGTTCTGTGAGGGGTCTTTTTTGAAAGCGACGAAAGCATAGGATCTGTTTGCAAGGGGAGAAGAACCTATTCATGGCGTTAACACGGTGCGAGCAAACTGACTCTATGGCACAACGTACACCTTCAACGTAGGTCAAGATTTGGTCCCAGAAGAAGCCCCATGTCTCGACCACTCGAGCCACTAGTTTCTCATCATCCACACCCATTAGTTTAGCATTCAAGGTGACCATCCCAGCGGCAATCAGTTCCGATGCATCATTCTCCAGGTTAACCAAAGCTCGTGAAGGCGAAGAGGGTACGACTGTCTGAATATGACGCTTGACAAGAACGTTGAGATCCTCTCTGTCGAACGGTGAGTAATAGTACAATGACCGCCCTGACTCGGACGCACATTGGTACTCTGAGGGGCTCCCCATTGAACAATGGAAGAACATGGACATGCAAAGCACCCCATGGATCCGTGGTAGACGAAGCCAGATTAGATTGGGACATGCTCCCGGTTTGAGGCAGGGCCAACGACGTCACGGACGGTGCTGAAGAGAGTTGTGGGGCTATCGATGCCGGAAACTGGGCAAAATTGCCCAAACGATGCATCTCCCTTGTTACGAGCTTTGAATCATAAGTGCGCCCGTACGATGCCTAATATTACGGGGAAAACGATGAGCAGAATAATTGGGGTGTTGGTAAAGGACCGACTTTGGACGGGGACGTATGGGCCTTTGCGGTATTCTGGAGAGGATTGGAGGAAGACATAGGGGTCGTCGATGTCGAAGTCAAAGAGATTGAGGTTGAACTGTCGCCTCTTGAATGGCTGTGTGCGGGGACGTATAACTGAGTTTGCTTTTGGTTGCCTGTTACAGACAACGACGATGACAGTTTGTCGGCGAGATATCCTAGTCGCTTCGATGAGCTGGCGAGCACTTCTGCTGGCGTACTTGACGTGAATACATTTTTGCTTGCCTCCTGTTCTGCTACGAACCGAGGATTGGCGGCGCTGGGGCGGGGAGTCGGTCGAGGCGTCGCTTCGCTCGACGATCGTCGATGTTCATGGCTCCCACCCGGCGACGACGATCGACTCCATTTACTTTCGCTGTGCGTCTGCTCATGCGAGCGACGTGAACTAGACGGCCACATCGGAGGCGACGACGAGAAACGAGGCCAGCGGAGTTGGATCAAGGAGGCTTTGTGGGTTGCGACGGTTATCGCGCCTTAATCCTGGACCGCATGCTTCGCTCAGCGCTCTTGGCTAGACCCAGAGTCCCACCATTGCTACCGTCTGTGCAGAAATCTCCCTTCACAATCTTAGCCATCGAGTCCTCAGCAGACGACACCTGTGCAGCCGTCGTAGATTCTTCAAAGAGAATCCTCTCAAATGTTGTCCTCAAGCAGCTCCATTTGTGAGTTGGCAATGCTTCTCCCTGCCAGTGATTCCAACTGAATTGATGTCGATAGGCACGAAAAGTATGGTGGTATAGAACCCATAACTGCCATTCAAGCCCACCAGAGAAACATGGTCTGTACATGCCAACGCATACACGGTCGAGGACTAACAACGTCGACCAGCCTTTGGCAGTCTCAAGAGCATTGAAAGAGGCCAACGTCGACATTGTTCGTGACGTCAACGGGATAGCCTTCACTCGAGGACCTGGTACGTTTGGCCCATGTGTTCACTTGCAATGCGTCATCGACCTATTGGGATAATATAGGAATGCCTAGTTGCCTTAGCGTTGGAATGAATGCCGCGCAGACACTGGGTGCAGCACTGGGAAAACCTGTTATTGGGGTACACCACATGGTGAGCCCATGACAAACTACTCCTCCTCCAATTCTAACTTGTTCGGCAGCAAGGTCATGCGCTCACACCCCTCCTAACCTCAGATGAAGCCAACATGCCTCAGTTTCCATTCCTGACCCTTCTCGTCTCAGGCGGCCACACCCTGATCCTCCTCGCCGAAAGCAACGACAAGTTTAAAATCTTAGCCGACACAGCGGACCAGGCCATCGGTCGCGTCATCGACAAAGTCACTGCTCTGCTTGCCATTCCATGGACATCTCTGGGACCGGGCGACGCACTGGAAAAGTTCTGTCAGGACGTCCCGGACAGCGAGAAGCTCGTACTCGGGCAACCCGTTATGCGGGGCAGGAAGGATTTTTCATTCTCTGGCCTCCACTCACAAGTGGAACGATACATTCATGCGAAGAATGGGATTGAACAGCTGAGTGAAGATGAAAGGAGAGTTTTGGCTTACTCCTTCCAAGATTCGGCTTTCTCTCAGTTGGAAGAGAAAATTCAACTGGCATTCAGCTGGTGTCAATCTCAGAGCATCAACGTCCGCCATCTGGTGGTCAGCGGAGGGGTGGCCAGCAATCAGCGATTGCGACAGCGGTGAGCCCGGCGTTCCTTTGTTATCCGCCAGACACATCTCTGACTCTTGGGTCGCACAGACTTGATCATTGTTTGAGCCGTATGGACCCAGACAACCCCATCCAGGCTGTTTTTCCCCCACCAAATCTTTGCACCGGTACGTCTATGTTACCTCCGATAACCATTTTGTTGCCTATCACGACCTCCCTCCAGACAACGCGGTGATGATTGCATGGGCGTCTATGCACCGATTCTTAGCCGGCGAGTCCGACAGCTACGATCTTAATCTAAGGGCAAAATGGAGTATTGAAGACCTGGCCAGCAAGGTGGACGTTTCAGACACATCTTGATTGGTAGGCATCAACGGCAAGATGCTATTCAGGATTCTGGGGTATCACTATACATATGCTAGGTAATCTACAATTCACTCCAAGACGGCTAACTATTACCTCTTTACGGTATGCTAATCTAATTAAGCGACAAGATTAATAGAATGAAACCACTACTCTAGACCACTATAACGCCATTAAGTGAGGTCTATGACCTCGTCAAGCACCTGCCTTCGCGGTGGATGACCAGTGTTCATCCGGGAAGAGGCAGATGCAAGTGGGATTTGCGAAAACAAACCCTCCTCGTCGGAATCCGACAACTCTGGGAGCTCCCCGCCATAGATACTGTACTGGCTGCTCGGGGGCATCGGCGCAGGGCTCTCCCTTCGGGAAACACGTCCCGCATCCTTGAAAGAAGGAATAGGTCTGGGGCTGGTGACCTCAATCTCCGAGTCACTGTCCTCCCGGCGGCGGCTGCTTGATTGCGAAACCTTCGGTCTGGAGTGGGTCTGGCCGCTGGTTACTACTGGTGGGCTGGTGCGATGGCGAGGCTGAGACAAAGCACCAACAGACCGCTGTCTCTTTTCCTGGCGTCGAACTGGTGAATCTGTGGCCTTCCGCTTGCCTTTACTCTTGGCGCATAGGCGAACTGGATTGTCGAGGATTTGGTCCCATATAGCCGCGAGTCTGGGGGATTGCGCGAGTTCGTCATCAGCAGGAGACTCCTTGTCTGCAAAGGGTTCCATTTCATCATCACTTTGTTCGTCCTCGTCTCCATTTAGACCGGGGTCTCGGAAGGTCGCCAGAAAACCAGTTCTTCGATTGGGGGGATCTGGATCGAAGCGGAGGTCATCAGCGCGGACCTGGGTGAGCGAGGGGTGCTGCCGATTCCCCTTCTCGGCACTGTTGGACTTGCCAGAGGTATTGGCCTCTGGAAAGGCTGACACTGAGGTTGACGCTTCAGGCGGGCGATCGATAATACCGTCATCGAAGTCGGACGTCTGCCCTCCAGGCTCCTTCCTCCGCCTTCCAGGTTTCTTTTTGGCTTTGTTCCGCTGCTTTTCCTTGTATTCCTCGACCAATTGGGGGTGCACTGCCGCAAGGACAGTCCCACAAACCAAGAATGCGTGTTTGCTATGGGGCGGTGCTGGAGGCTTGGGCGGTCGTGTTCTGTTGGACTCTGGTTCTGCCCTGGTCCCTTTGACTCCCGCAAGGGTCAAGTTGACCAGCTGGGTCGGACAAATCTCAACCTTGTATTCGAGGAGACCGTCGGTCTCTGCATGTACGCGGGCGTTGGTGATTTGGGAAAACAAGGGATTGGGATCGGGCTCGTTTGGCCTATATTCCGTGGGTTGGGATTGATGCGGTGCTCGATGATGGAAGACGTCGTCGAGGGCATCTAACCTGGTGTCCCGATGCTTCTTCTTCTGACCAAGGTGAGCAATGATGAGGGAGGGAGGGGTTCCTATGGGAGCCCCGCATCCTCCTGCTCGCGCCTTCCGATCTGCGGCTAATGCCGATCTTCGCAAGACGTGCATCGCAGCGACGGGCCAGACGTTGTTCCTGAACTTCTCCAAGATGCCATCCTTGGTCGCCCACTCGAAGTATTTCTCGCAAAAGGCCGCCAAGGCAGCGAGATCGACATCACCGCGGTCTCGCATACCGCTGGTAACAGGTCCACTTCCTCCGTTGGAGCTAATCTTGGGGTTCGCATACTTCTCTAGAGTGGTCAACGCCGGAAAGTCCGGTGGGAGGGAAGCATTTTGCATCCTCCGGGATAAAAATCCCCTCGAGTTCGTCATCAACTCAGTGTTGACTTCCGAACGCCATTGATGAAGGAAACGCTGGAATTCAGCGGGGGATTTCGTCTGGTAGGCGGCCAGTAGTTTCTCCCCAAAGCCGCACCGAGCGAGCGCGAGCGCTGCGACCTTGCCGATATTTCTGACGCCCTATGGTCCATGTGATCAGTCTCTCATGTCCAACAGCATGCGAAGTTCAATTTACCTTCTGATCATAGTCGCCTCCACAAAGAAGGGCAAAAAGAACTAACCCTCCTCGCTTTAACCCAATATCCGGGTCATTCTGTATGTCTTCAATGCGGTATACCATCGTGTGGTGCTTGTCCACTTTGCCCGCTGCATTCACTGCAGGATTGCTAGCATTGCCGGAGAGCTCCTTCGACTTGCTAAAAACTCTCCAATGAGGTGCGCGGACTTGGGAGAGATCAAACGCCAACTCACTTCTTGATGACAACCTTTGCACCGAAAATAAAGGAGTCGCAATCGTCACTCATAATCGCATCGATGATCCCCAGATTGTTGAGGTGTCCTAGCTCTGCTTCTGCCTCTCCTGGAGCCTAAGTAGGGAGGAGAATGAGGGATATTGCTATGCACCTCCTGGTTTCGTTGCGCGCTACTGACCTCTCTCCACTCAACGCCAAAAGCGTCGAGTAGTTCTTTGAAAGGGCGGGATAAATTGTGAGAGCCGGATTTGCCCATACGACTACCACGCTGTGCAAGCACAATTCAACCGTCAGTCCATGGTATCAAAGCGCTTACGCACTTTTTCTTTTGGGCGATGTCGTCCGTCGAAGACAATGAGAGGGAGGATTGGCATCTTGACTGGACCACATCCTTAGGTCAATCCAAGGTGGTCTCTCTCTTTGGTATCATGGAATACGCACGAAGGTAGATGATCTTGAAAAACAGAGTTCGAAGCTCATGATTTTCTCCGCCTTTACTGAAAGTTGAATGCTTGAACCATATAGAAGCATCTATCCCAACGCGGTAGGCGCGGCTGAAGATAGCAAACATCAGCCCACCGCCCAGGAGGTGAAGGTTGCTGAACTTACTGTCCGGAGGAATTCTTTTCGAACCCATCTGCGACCGCCATTTTGACCAGGGAGCGAGATCTTCCCGCTTTATTAATGACCTACAAATACCCTCGTTAGACCGTTCATTAAGACCCAAAGCATGGCTGACGCCGCTGGATCCTATGGACGCTACTTACATCCCATAGCCCCGGAACGCCCATTAGCGCGTCTTTCACCGCCTACAGTGTAACAAAGCCTGTTCAGAGGGAAAACAGAAACACGAAACAATAGAACCTCGCGGCGTCGCCGGTCACTGAAAAGTGGTGACGGAACGCGGAGTCGCGGACTTTGCACGCGGACCATTGGACGCGAACGTGACTTTCACGTGATCCATGGCCCGCGCAGAACAAGCGCGTTGCACCGTGGCACTGCAAGTTCCTCTTCGTTGCGATCCCGATATGCCTCCATACAGTTCCTTAGTCCCGGCGAAGAGGAGGAACGACGACGATGTGGATGGACCAAATCGTAAACGACCGTCTCTTGACGCAGAACCTTCGTATGGCAACACAAGAAAGCAGTATTGGATGATTCAATGGTGCGGTCGCCACCCAGTTGCAGCTTCCACGACTTTCGAGGCTGATCTCATGATAGGCGAAATCCACAAGCAAGGAAGCATAAAACCTGGGAAGGAGATGGGGTCCTTGTTGGTGAACCAGGGGGAAGAGGAACCCTTTACGACTCTGAGGGCAAAATGTATGCACTCGTAAACTTACACCCTTCCTGTTATTCACCCAGCGTTAGAATCGCGACCGGAAAGGTCGACTCGAATCTTTCGGAAGGCACAAACTTCCACATTGGTGGTAAAGATATTGAACTTGACCGTGCTATCACTCAAGGAGAATACTTCTCTGGAGCATGTTTTGGCAGAGGAACTTCTGCCTTCACCGCCCAACAAACCGTGCCCGCTGTGCCAGTCAGGAAACAAGCAAAGTTTATACCACCTCAGAGGGCTGCGAATATCTCCTCCTCCTCAACAGATGCCCTCACGACTGGAAACAAATCCAATATACCGCCCAACTCTGAGAAGGAAGTTGTACCATCTAAATGTCACTGGGCAGTAAATTGGTATGTTCTCGACTAGGTTCCTGGCCATGCCTTAACCACCCTCTATAGGCGGAAGCAACAGACTCGCAAGCATAAGACATGGGATGGCGATGGCTTCGTTTCACTCATGGGGGATCAATTGAGGATGGTAACCGAGGATGGAAAGCTGTGAGTGGCCCTCATTCCGCGCCGCCAGCCAAGTTAACATCTCATAGCATGGGCACAACAAAATGGAAAGGAGGAGAACTCTACTCAGGTCTAAGAGTATTTATCAATAACAAAGAGGTTGAACTTGATCGAGACGTCCCAAGCTCGCAAGTCCCAAAGGCCAAAGGACAACCACTGTCGCAGGAGGAGGATCTCATCACCGAACCCTCTCCTCCACCCACTATCGCCAAGCCTTCGACCGGTATCGCGGCGTCCTCGTTCTATGGCGCTCCCAAAGCAAAGCAGCCAAAGGGACCCTTGTAAGTTCGTTGGTGCTCGGTTTTTGAAAGGGGGCTGAGATACTGTAGACACGATCCCAATGCACCTGGTGCAGTGGTATTCAAAGCTCCGAACAAAGCGCATATGCAACGATACAACAAATAGTGAGTTGATTCATCGTATCTATCGTGTTGCGTTGGCGTTTACGTTCATCCCGAAGTGACCTTCCTGTCGTTCCTGTCGTCCTGGATCCTATCCTTGCAAGACGGATGCGACCCCATCAGATTGAAGGCACGGTCATCTGTGGGTTTGGCACGTTTTTATCGGCTGAACCTATGTCTAGGCGTATCGTTTATGTACGAATGTGTAATGGGTCTCCGCAAGCATGAAGGTAACGGCTGCATCTTGGCTGACGAAATGTAAGTGTCTCTCCATAATTCGGTATTACCTGTGACCAATACTCAGCGGAACCTGGCAGGGGTCTCGGAAAGACTTTGCAGGTGCGCAATATGTACATCTACTTGCCAGGGAAATGCTCACTCCTAACAACAGACGATTGCACTTGTGTGGACGCTGCTAAGTATGTCTTGTTGCATTCTCCACAGAATTTGGCTTCATTCCACTTCGCAGAACAGAATCCTTACTCGGGCGCGGGACCTATCGCGAAGAAGGCCTTAATTGTCTGCCCCGTGTCTCTCATCACCGTGAGCGCATTTACCACGGAATTTGAACTTCAACGATGAAACTCTCGTTACAGAATTGGAAGGCAGAATTCCACAAATGGCTGGGCAGGGACAGGGTTGGGATTACCGTCGTCGACAAGGAGAAAGTCAACATCGACGCCTTCTTCTACAAGTGAGTTCCTCCATTCCGCAAAAGTCGCAGCCCTTAGAGTTTTCCAAAAGTAAAACCCAACATGTCCTCATCATCGGTTATGAGCGACTCAGAACTGTTATGTGCGTATTCCTACTTGATAATCCCCCCATGTTCTGACGTACTGTATACTGTGTGCAGAAACAAAGTGTCAACCTCCGTGTTAGTACCGCTTTAGGCTCGTCATCGTCCTTTTCTGAACGTCTACCTAGTCCACCGATTGACCTCATCATTTGCGATGAGGGTGAGTGCTCTTACATGGTCCCCCCTTAGACCGATCGACCGACGCGACTCCCAGGGCACAGGCTGAAATCTGCTAACAACAAGACAACAGCCATGTTCAAAGCCCTCAGAACCCGTCGACGCATTATCCTTTCCGGTACACCGATCCAGAACGACCTCAGTGAATTCCATGCCATGGTGAGTCTTGTATATTGAGTTGTCGGATTGAATGCTCGCTAACCTCAACAGACCGAGTTCTGCAATCCCGGCCTGCTCGGTAGGTCGTTTCTCCCCCGCGGTGCCTGCAGCTAATTCCGCGAAACAGATGAGTACCCCGTCTTCAAACGCGTGTACGAAACCCCCATTCTGAAGAGCCGCGCCCCTGAGGCTACGGCGAAAGAAATAGAGGTCGGAGAAGCGCGTACTGAGAGCGTAAGAGTCGTCGTTTGTTCTTTCCATGACGAGTGTTGTTTGACGCCCCCAAGTTACTCCAAGTGGCCAACAGTTTTGTCCTTCGAAGAGACGCCACGCTCCTGAAAAAACACCTGCCTCCGAAACGTCGGTGCATCGCATACATCCGCATGGACCAGTACTTAATCCCATTCCCAGATGAATACGTCGTCTTCGTGACTCCAACGAGGCTTCAGATATCCATGTTTTCAGCAATTCTAAGGCCGGAAAGAATAGACGATCTGGCGTCCGGCTCGACTGCAGAATCTCTGGCGCTCATCAACATTCTAACTAAGATCAGCAACAGCCCTATCCTTCTGAAAGCGACGGCAGATTCTTACAAGGCGAGGACTGGCGACAAAGAATCGTCGTGTCTTGAACGGGCGGGCGTAAAGGAGGCTTTGCGGTTAATGCCGGAAGGAGCACAAGTTTCTGACATGACGCTGAGTGGTGGGTACCTCGGGGAATGCATCTAGCATGTCTGCTGAACCAACCTTTAGGGAAGTTGATCGTATTGGCGAAGATGCTCAAGGATATACGGAATGTAGGTCGGTTCCTTCCAGAGCGGTGCCGACGCTCACTGGATTTCAGAACACTGAGGAGAAATGCGTCGTCGTCTCCCATTTCACATCAACATTGAACATCCTCGAAGCCTTTTGTCAACAAGCGGGGTATTCGTTTTATCGACTTGATGGGTACGTAGACGAGTACAGGCCCTTCTTGCTCCAAGCTTACCCTTGACAATCCAGCCAGACTCCTCAGCAGAAGCGCCAGGAGTACGTCAACGCGTTCAACAAATCTTCCCAGAGAGGAGGCTGTAAGGATATTTCTCTGCACACGTCGACATCGACTGATTGTCGGCCCCAATAGTCGTCTTTCTCTTAAGCTCTAAAGCAGGTGCGTCCATGAAGGGATAAGCTTATCCCATTACTCACCGTTCTTCTCCAGGTGGCGTTGGTATCAACTTAATTGGCGGCTCGAGGCTTTTCCTTATCGACTCGGACTGGAACCCAAGGTGAGGGTTGGCGGCTTATTCGCTCCCGTTACCGCGCCCTGACGATCCCGTTTACAGTCACGACCTACAAGCGATGGCTCGCTGCCACCGGGACGGCCAAAAACGCCCAGTGTTTATCTATCGATTGGTTACTGCGGGCACGATCGATGGTCTGTGAACTAGCTGCCTCATGTCTCTTCTCTGCTGAGACGTTGCGTAGAGAAAATCTTTCAGCGGCAGATCACCAAGCTTGGTCTCAGTGCATGTAAGTACCGAAGCTATCGCGTTTGTCCCTGCCCTGACTCTGTCCATAGCACTCATTGGATCAGTAAGTTGACTACTTTGTTCACGTCAACTTCAGCTGACCCATTCCAGGCCGATGGCAGCGCGTCCAAAAGTGACTCGTTCTCAAAGAAAGATGTGGGTTATTTCATCATAACTTCGGTCGAGGCGAAACTGAGCTCGCTCTCAGTTGCGGGATATCTTCCGTATAGATCCCAACACAAGTTGCAACACGCACGACCTTCTCGAGTGCCCGTGCGACGGCTCTGTCATCCCTGTCCCTGGATCTTCATCCACAGACGATAATGGAGAACGAGTTGCGAGACTCAAACGGGGTTTCCAATCAGCCTCATCCGTCACCATGGCTGAAGTCGATGAGGAGGTGTGCCGTAATTTCGTACACGATGTTGTGGCTAACACTGACTTCTGACTAGTTCTTGGACAAGAAGAAAGCGGGGCTAGCCTCGCTCAGCGAATGGAAACACATTAACTGTCTCAAACCGTCGGCTGACCGACCGGCACTGGACGAAGTCATTCAAGCCGTCCTTCCCGAATGTGATTCTGGCTTCAAATCGTATGACAGCATCACAGGGTCCTCAAGAGCCGAGAGACTTTTGAAAGCAGTGGACCTGGACAATATCCAGGCTATGGAGAAGACCTTCAACGTCGCGGATTTCCCTGGTGGGACAATTTCGTTCCTTTTCGAGAAGAGCACCGAAAGCACAATTGCATCCGAAGGCTCTGACGTAGAGGCATAAATAACACCAGATAACACCATATCCACTCTGTGGGTTCTAGTGCGTCGCTGCTAATACTAATGCATATTTGCTGTCTTCTCTCTATCCACCTCTGCGTGAACAGGCGCTCGTTAACGGCATTTCGGAAAGCCTCCTGCGAGGTTTGTGCCGAAAGCAGGCAAATTGGTACAATCGATGGAGGATCCATATCATGTGGGCTGGACCCGAGGAAGCCTTGTCTGATGTCACAGCTATATTGGATCTCCGAGCGCGTTCTGCCTTGGGCCTTATAACCTGCGGAGTGTGCTCATCGCCTTTCCATCCACTGCGCTCATATCGATTTAAACGTGCCTAACCTCGTGTCACGACCAAAGTACGATAAATCCAACGATATTGGCCAACTTTCCCCGCTCCACTCCTCGAATATCTCTATACCTCTCGAGTTCCGTACTTTCTCCACCACTTCACATCCCTGAATCCAATCACCACTCGGTCGATTGTGGGCTGCCATGGCATACGTTCAGTACTCTCAACCTATTGGACAGCCAGCATGGGGTGCAGGACAGATGCCTGGGGTAACAACAACAGTCGTCCAACCTACTCCCTCGGATGGATCACTGACTTCAATCCACTAGTATCCAGGTGCATTAGCAGCTCCAGCCTTCCAGCCGCAGCCCACTTGTAAGTTTAAACGCCCGACCGCTTCCACGAGGCAACTGACCAAACAAATACAGGGGGTGGCCTTGACTTCTATCGCGCTCATGCCCCGAGCAACTACAATGACCCGTGAGCGTCATCCCCCTCTCCCTTTGCTCTCCAAGCGCAGATACAATTCCAACGGCACACTGATTCCCGACCTGGACAGATCCCTCTTCAACCATGCATGGGACAGGGTGCGTCAGTTTGACGCCGCCACGGCAGGAGGCCTGGGTGTTGGGATCCATGAAGCAAAGCACTGGCATCGTCGAGCGTATGGAGGAATGGTAAGCAGTGATTAATCTTCATATGCTGATCAATAATAGCCCATCGTCTTTAGCCTGAGCTAGCCCATCTTGGGCCAGCAGAGGTTGGACATGCAGCTGCGTATGAGGCCTATCGAAATTGGGTACGCAACCAATCCATGTACGACACTCTCGGTCCGGACATTGAAAGGCAAAGGGAAGGACTCATCGGATTGGCTGTAGCTGAGGGTAAGTCAAATGGGACGCTGACTCTGCACCTCGATTCTTAACAATGATGATCCAGCGGGTCGCTTACTGAGCTTTGCTGGGCGTTCGATGGACCATTATGCGCGCTCTGCCGCATCTGATGCTGCCGCTCATACCGCATCATACATTTTCTATCAGGTACATCATGTCTCCTGCTCTAGAGGTTTCACCTTCTGAATAGGGCTTTATCCTTCGCAGAGACGACGGGATGACGAGTATTACCATCACCGCGGAAGATCTCGGTCAAGAGGTCGCTACGATCCTGAGTGGGATGAGCTAGATGAACCGTACCGGTACGAAGACGATCATGAGACCCTCGATCCTTACCACCGCGGGCGGTCGCGTTCCCGTCATCGATCTCGTTCACGCCCACGGTCCTACTCGGCACATGCCCACATGCCCTACGAAGGCACCCCCTACCCTGGCACTCCAGGGGGATTCCCTCCTCTTGGCGGCGCACCCTCTTACGCAGGCAGTCATGGTGGTGGTCCTCTCCCTCCCCTCGGTGTCCCCTACGCAAGTAGCGGTGGCGGGATCCCCCCTCCTCCACCTCTGACCTCTGGTGGTTATTCAAGCGGCTATTCAACTTCCGGTTACTACCCGCCACCCAACTCAGGATACGGACCTCAGGGTGGCTACGGCAGTTACGGTGGTGCCTACCCAGCCCCCGGGATGCCCATGGCCGTACCTTTAGGCCACGCTGCAAGCAACAGCTCGGGATATTCTTATGGCTCTCAACCGTACTCGACCACTGGAAGTGTTGTTGGGGCACCAACGGCAGGAGTACCCCCCCAAACTATCGTCATCCACAAGTCCAGGAGGCACAAGCATCGTCACAGATCGCGGTCTCGTGCAGGTTCTGAGTAAATAGGATCTTTTTTCAGACTCCTTATCATCTTCCTATAGGACACGCTGTCTTAATATATAATATGTAGCCCCTTTTTTGCAAAATACCACTGTTGTTGGTACCTTTTTTTTTTTTCTTCGCATGTACATTCTACTTCTCAATGGTTTTCAAAAGGATAGCGAATTCCCATTTTGGATTATTACGATCGTTGCGCGGATGTTGGTCCATGTTGGTCCGCCCTTCTTCTTCTTTCCGCGTCTCCCTTGAAGCGCAAAATCCCCTTGAAAGTAATGGATCTCCTTGGATGACAACATGGCGGTGAAGCGCCCAACTGGACATCAGCGATGCACAGACAACCTGGCACTGCAAAGGCAGTGCTACTGATTGATATCACGCATCGGCGTTTGAATTGTGACTGAGGTCGTATAAAAGGTGGGCGCCCTGCATGGTGGATTCCTTGCGATAGGCTGGTCCTGCCCCCAACGTACCCAAGCTCCTTTCACAGTTTACAGAGTTGATCTCACCCAAACTACACTTTCTTTGCCTTCCAATCCTCTCAATCGACCTTTACAATGACCGTTTCTGATGTTCGAACTCGCACTTTCTGCTGCTGCATCCCGGCGAGAGCTGGTGTTATCGTGAGTTGGCAGTTTCGTCCTTTAAGATGACCTGTTCTGACTAAAAATCCACAGGTCCTCGCTCTGCTTGGTTTCCTTGGAGGAGGTCTAATTTCTGCTGTGGCTATCATGGGTCTCAAACAATCCCAAGGCCTCGAGAAATCGATGGGCCTCCAAGTCGCTGCATTCATCGTCCTAACGCTCATCTCACTGCTCGGGTAAGAAGCCAGCCTCTACTTGCTTTCCAGCGCCCGTCTAACTGAACGGTTCCTTCTTCAGCTTGGTCGGTGGAATCGCGCGCAAGCTCATCCTCGTCCGAATCTACTTTGGCCTCACCATCTTCCAACTCGCCTTCAGCATGGGCGCTGGCATCTACGCCATCTTCCGCGTCTTCAAGGACACGCCCAACTACATGAGGGAGTGTGAGCTCCCCAACGCCGACAACGCCAAAGACATCAAGGCCACATGTAAACAAGGCATTGACCTCATCAAGGGCTTGATGGTCACTGCATTCATCGTCGCCTGGTTGCTCCAAATGGGATGCTCCGTCGTCGTTCACCGATACATCCGCCAGCTCGAGGATGAGGAGGAGTCGCGATCCATCGTCAAGGATACCGAGACATGGTAAATGCCCACCCAGCGTGACTCTCTTACTCTACTTCCCAGACGATAATGCATACCATACTACGTTGATATCCAAAGAAATACACTTGTTCCTGCTTCTGAAATCTGAATTTCGAGATATGGTCGACCCGAGAAAATATCACTTGAGATTGTTTGAAGGCTTGCCAGATAATCCCATTGATTGAATTACACATACAAGTACACTTGAGACCCATCCGTCCATGTTGATTCTGTATCGCGGTTGTAATTAAGCGAAGCACAAGACCTCGTAGTTCTGGACTTCCTCCTCTCCTCCGCCATAAGGAATGAAAGCACCCTTGAGCTTCTCGCTGGCCTTACCGGGGTGGACTCCACCCTTAATGTTTGCACGAACAACAAAGAGAGGGGTTCCATCAGTGTCAACGCCGCCTTGCACGGGTCGAGCGCCGAGGGCCTGGATGTTGAGTTTGCCAGCGGCAGGGATCCACCTCACAGCACGACTGTCACCGACAAGAATTTCGTATTGAGCGAGCTGCGTCAAACAGGATCAGTGACAAGACGAAGCGAAAATAGAAAGGGCCACTCACATCGACCTCATCATGGGCATAGCCGATGACAGCGCCGGTCTTGAGAGCGGCAGAGGCTTTTCCGGGGGCTAAGCGCAGACGGAAGGTCAGGGGATGAACATTCCCGAGACGGATTCACTGGACTCACTGGTGCTGCCCTTGTGGAAGCCACGGGAAATGTAAAGAACACTGTTGTTCTCCTTTCCACCGGGGATGGCGTTGAATGGAATATTCTTTCCGTCACCCAAAACCCAGTTGACGGGGTCAGAGGACTGGCCGCTTCGGACAGCCATAGTGCGGGCCTGAGCGTCTTCCAGCCACTCTTTCTGTCTAGGATTGAGGATCATCGGGTATGACAATGATGAGATCGATAGCACGGACCTGATCCTTCTTCTTGTCGTAGTGCTTGTAGGCAGCGACAGCGCCACCGACCAAGGCAGCACCACCGACAAGACCACCAGCAAGCTGGAGAAGTAAGTCAATTTCAGGCGGTGATGTCAAACGGTAGGTAACATACACCCAAAAGCTTCTTGCTGTCCTTGTACCACTTCTTGCCACCCTCGCCGTCAGAGTCAGAATCGTTGCCAGACTTCTGAGGTTCAGGGCCTATGACAGCGAATCAGACCTCGGAGAGTAATGAAAGTACATCAGTACTGCGCACCTTGGCCTTGGGTCTTGTTATCGTTGTTCAAAGGTTGCTGGTTCTGGGGAGCCTGGTATGCAGGGGGAGCCTGGTTCTGGTGTCCATGGCTTTGTTGAGGGGGAGGGCAGTGGCCTTGCTGTTGTCCGTGGCCACCACCAGGGATCTTGCCCCAAAGAGCAGGAGTGACATCGGGGGTCCAGTCGCCCTGTCATCGAACAAGTCAGAGATCGCAATCACAACAAAGGGTACGTTCATTCATACCTGTGAGCGATGGGGCTGGATGATCTTGTAGTTAGAGCCTAATCGATATCGACGACGATACAGGACGCGTCAGACTAGTTCAACGTCGAGCATGGGTAGATCAGGGGCCTCACCGTTGTAGGACACAACGTCGCCGTGGTTGTATTGAGTACCAGGTTCCCAGCCGCGAGTCATGATGTCTAGAGATGCAGAGGAGTTAAAGGTGAAAGAGCTTTGAAGTAGAATGCAAAGAGGGAGAGGGTGTTGATTGTCCAGCAACACAGGTCCCCCGTGTTTATATAGGGCTTCGGAAGCATCCAGGCGGCAAAACCATCAAACAGGGGTCTTGCCACAGGATTGGCAAACTGATGAGATATGGAATGCAACGGTCGGAATGGTCCCTATTTTGGCCCGCCGCACTGGTTGCAGAGGCCAAGAGGCCTCACCATCAGCAAGGATGACTGCGAATGACTGTGAATACAAAAGGGTGGAGGTTCATTTTCCGACATATCGATGGAGCTAAGCGTCGGCATATCGATAGATTGCCCATCGTATAATCGAGAAGCAAGTTAGCAATTACCTCAATTGGGAGGCCATGAGGACCGTTGAGTATGTTTTTCGCTGCGATGGGAAGTAGGAGACAAGATGGCTCCGGATCCAACTGTGATAGTTCGGCGATGGCCTTGGAGTTGGACGCCATCTATACGCTCATCTGACCGGTTCCCTGCACAGTGGCTACCTCTAGGCTTTTAGACCATTGTTGACCGCATTTCACTCTGTACAGAAGATACAAAACTACCGCACAAGTCGTCTAGGATGAATGAAAGCAGAGACGAGCACTAATGAGAACACGAGTCGCGTCAAGTAAAAGTCACGTTATCCTGCCCTGTGGTCATGTGACTCATTCACCCCAAAGTGCGCTCGGTCAATGACATTGACAAGGGTCCATCGCTTCGGAGCTACCCCCCGTTACACTTGTTCCTCTTCGTCTTCGTCCCTAGACCTCGAAAAGCCACAAAATGTCGGGTCCAGCAGCTGCAGCAGGAGCTTCCAAGTTCCAAGCGTTCATGAACCACCCAGCAGGTACTCACCACCCGTCGTACGACCGCCATAAGACCTGACGTTTATCCCAATTCGCGTTTGACTGTTTTCAGGACCCAAAACGGTGTTCTTCTGGGCACCTCTGATGAAATGGTGTCTGGTTGCTGCTGGTATCAAGGACTTGACCCGTCCCGCAGACAAGCTCAGCGTTTCCCAAAACCTTGGTGAGTTCCAGCGCCTCGAGTCCCAACCCTTGTGCCTACTGACTCGTCTTGTCCCACGTAGCCCTCGCTGGTACCGGCTTCATCTGGGTTCGCTACTCCCTAGTCATCACCCCAATCAACTACAGTCTTGCAGCAGTTAGTTTCCTCATTACCTTTTCGGTCGGACAGTTGCACTTACGCTGTTATTTCAGGTCAACTTCTTCGTTGGGTTGTCGGGACTCACTCAGCTGGGAAGAATTGCACAGTACGTTCTCCTTCACCTTCCACTATGACCTTCTAATGATATATGTTATTTCAGCTACCGATACAACAACCCAGAATCTGCTACAACGGAGCCTGTCAAGGCATGATTGCGCTCGTTACCCGTATGTATACTGCTATAGACTGTTATAATGTTATACGACTTTTGGATAGAAAAAAGTATCCGTGGATCCTGCACGTCCGTCATCTCATTTTCGTCTTGCCCTGCCCATGTCGCTTGGGTGGTTTATTCGTCTGCCCGCCGCCGCCGTTACCCATCATAGCCTTCCCAGCTTGCCACCACCAACTTGAACCGTCAAAGACCTGATTCGCACTGTCGACGATGTTCTTCATAATCTTCTGAGCTTCGTCAAGATTCTCGGGGATCACCTCGTGAGGAGGCCATTCGTTGGGGCTTTCGAATTTCTTCCAAGGTCGATAGTTGGACGACGGCCTTGCTGCCCTGGTTCGCGGGGCCCCATTTCCCCCATTACCAGACGCTAATTCATTCAACCACCCAGCTGCCTTTGTCCCCAAATTGGCCAGTGCATCCTGAGGGTTTCCTCCCATGCTGTTGACCGCGGCCAGCCATCCTGCTCCGAGACTAAAGGCTGCAAGGAGGGTCCCCCATTTAATCATCCAAATGGTCAACCTGATCAGCCAACTGGTGGTGCGATACAAGCTCGAGAGCGCCAGGTATGCAGCGAGGATTGTTACAATTGGGGGGAGTAGGGTTTGTAAGTCCCATTCCTCTGGGTTCTTGGCCATCAAACCATTAACGAGGCGGAATGCAGTTGCGCATAATGCGAAGGAATGGGAAATAACGGTGAGGATGAAGTTAAAGAGAGCAGGCGGTAGGTTGTCTTCGAGAATATCGAATATGGGGTCGAGAAAACCTGGGACGAGGGCATTAACGACGTCCATGATTGCTGAAAGGCAGTCTGCAGTTGGCCTCACTGCTGCAAGGGGACTCCTCGGTCGCGTGTCAGTTCGTGGGTAAAACACTCTCTCACGTGATGGGAACGCCGATCAACCCCCGCGGACCCAGGATTCCCAAATCGAGTCCGAAAAGACCAAATTAGGTGAGACAAGATCGAGATTTGCTGTTAAGAATTTCTGACAACCCCCCGTTTTTATGTAAGTACTTCCCGTCAAGCAGGCATAAATGCGAAGCCGCCGTCTTCCGATTGGCTGAGACCTCCATAAAAAGGAAATCCAATCCCCCGGGCCGTTTTTTCTCGCGGTAAAACATGTGCAAACAAACGCTCTATAACTGAAGGGAACTTGCTCAAGTTATTCCCCCTCCCAACTCCTTCTCCAACCACTACCTTATCTTTATTTCCCTTAAAGCCCATCCCTTTCCCCACAATGGCTTTGAAGAGGAAACTCGAGGTCGACGTTGAGGATGTTGTCCCCCTCGTACGCTTTTCACTGTTCACTGCCTACAACAATCCTACTCACCGGCGCTCTGCAGAAACAGAAGCAAATGAAGCTTGTCCCCTTCCCCAACTTTGGGAGTGACGAGGACGTTGCAATGGACGTAGAGCCATTCCTCCCCGAGCAGCATCACTTGCGGGTACCTTCCGACGCTAGCGGAACGTCGAGCGCATCTGTATCGCCTCTGTCCTACTCCCGTATGTGTTCCGACGCGTTTGGGAAAGTCCAAACATATTCACAGTCGTTTCCAGCGAACTACCCAACCTATGACCTGCATCCCTCTCCCTTCTTCAACCCCGAGACGGGCTCAGTAGACTCCAACTCGCATTCCTTCTCACATTATTCCGCCCAACCTTCACCTCCCCAGGGCTCTCTCGGTCTCATGCAACCCTCTGCCAATAATTTCGTTCATCATGGGTAAGCTATGCGTCTACTTTTAGGGCGGGAACATGGTCACTGACCCCCCAGTAGTTCAAATTGTACGCAGATACCAAAACTTCGCGTAGCATGCGCTTCTGGTGCAAACGGAAAGCGCACTATGTGGAGTCACTGCGAACAATGCGGCGCTATCCAAATGGTAGACTGCGACTAACTTTTGACAGAATAGGACAGAAGTGCTTCTCGGAGGACGACTAACCTCGGCGCCCAACATGCAACGTCCATTCATCGCTCTTTGACGACTCCGACACTTTGCTCGACCTTTTTCGTTGGACAAAATCCCGTATCCTTATTCCTACTAATCCAGCAGTTATGTATTTCTGGCAGCATCTTTCCTCATCGTCATGACGAAACCGCCGTTCGACTGTATCCTTCTCTCAGCGACACCTCCCCCCACATTCGAACATTCTCTGGCGACTCTCCCTCCATTCGAACCTTCGATCAACTTCTTAGCATCACATCATCCGCCATTGTCATCATTCCAACGTCGCCAAAACACCACGCACCCACCTTATCCATCCATCCACTCCCAATTTGCTTTGTCTATGCACTCATCTTCCATCTGCTGCTTGTTGTCCCTCTCTTTCGACCTTCGTCGTCTGGGCGTCCGTTCGCCGTGTATTTTTATTTTTATTCGCTCTGTGTAACTGTTGACTTTGCATTGTGATATTTTATTTTGCGCCTTTGGATGTGAAGGACAATTGATCGCTTCGCCGAGCGTGTTTGGAGGTGTGAAATAATTGAAGTAGCTGTGCGTTCTGTCCTTTCCGATGTTGGCGAGGTTCCACAGGAAAAGGGAGCTCAGAGTTGACGTCATAAATATTCGGAAGGTCTTCCGTGGCTGTAAGCACTGGTTGAAGAAAGGAACGATAGGGAACACCTCTTCGGAAACCACAGTACTTATCCCGGGATAGTTGTGGGATCTTGCAATAGCACCCTTGATTTGCAACCATCTCCTAATTTTGAGGCACTGGCAGTGGCGAAGTCCGAGTCGAATCTAACAGCAAGTGTGATGGCTGACAAATTGGGCCGACCTAAACGCGACAAGCGCGTGCCTCACACTTTCACAATCGCATTCGCAGTCGAGTCCAAGGCAAATGAACCAAACATCGTTACTTCATTATGAGGCGCCTTGTAAGTCTTCAGCTCTTGTGTGCCATATCTCGCTTTACCATTGATCTCAAAAGGGCCGATACACAGCTTGGATTGGTGCAACACTGCTGGACCTGGTCAACAACATCGTGGACGTTCAGCCTACCGTCTGGGTATCGCCTCCTTCACAGAGAACTTTTCCAATCAGATCGCAGTCGTAGGCCTGCAAGATGAGCGGGTTCTTGTCGAGGATGACTACAGCGATTACCCCGATTTCGTGACACTATGCGAAGCACATCATGGATACCCCGCAACCAACCTCGAATGGCAGCCGGCTTCAGCAAGCACCTATCAATGGACCCAAAAGTCACCAGCGGTCGAATTTCTGGCGACCACGGGAGATGCTTTGCGGATATGGGAGTATTCCAGCGACGCCCCACCTGCAGCATCTAGCTATGTAGGTAGACAATCTCAAGCACCAACTCACAGCCTCACGAACAAAATGACACTCTCTGGGGTGAGTACTCTCGTACTTCTTTCCCCAATGCCCCCGATTTCTTAATCTTTAGCCCAAGCAATCCAAAGTCCAAAGCCAGAATTCTGGCGCACCACTCACCAACTTCTCCTGGAACGAGAAGAATCCCCACTACATAGTCACCTCTTCCATCGATACGACATGCACAGTCTGGAACTTGGATACATCCAGCGCAATGACCCAACTCATTGCCCACGACCGTGAAGTGTACGACGTTGCTTGGCTGCCAGGGTCAACGGATATCTTCGTATCAGTCGGTGCAGATGGGAGCTTGCGCGCTTTCGATCTGCGAAGTCTGGAGCACTCTACTATTCTCTACGAAACCCCAGCTCCAAAGAACGTCCCCCCACCCTCAGCTTCCCCATCAGCCAGTGCTCGTCCTCCCACTTCACCTCTCCTCCGAATTGCATTCAACCCCGCCGACTCGAATTACATGTCGACTTTCCACATGGATGGAAACGAGATTCAGATCCTTGATATGCGAAGTCCAGGCCAGCCGGTGATGGAGCTTAGAGGTCACGCGGCTTCAGTAAACGGTCTGGCATGGGGTGCGGGCGAACACCCTCTCCTAGCAACCTGCGGTAAGCGTCTGCTTATCTTACAGTCTTCAACGGCGCCTTACTCAACTCTCATAACTCGTAGCTGATGACTGCCAAGTCCTGCTCTGGGATCTCTCCAACTATACCCAAGGTCCAGCTTCACCACGCAGCGCAGGTTCTCGCCTCAACTCGCCTCGTCCCGACGCCAAGAAGAAAGTCATCTCAGATCCTTTCATGGCTTATACAGCCAGTAGCCAAGTCACCAATTTGGCCTGGTCTCCTGTGATCCAGGGTCTACAGATGAACACGGGTCACTCGACAAGTACCGGGGAATGGCTGGCAATCGCCTGCGGAAAGTCGATAAAGGCTCTCAAAGTCTAAACGATCAGCTTCCTTAATATCCTCGTTGGCGTTCGATGGACAGCAGCTCTGCGCTCTTCGTCTGCATCCGGGCGATGTCTCTTGCTTCCCTTGGAATATTTACAACTCTTCTGGCTTTTTTCGTGTAATCTATACCCAGCTTTCGTGTTCGAATTCAATTCCAGCTGTCTAAACCTGAACCCTGCACATCATGCACAGGTGACTGGTGACCCTCGCATCTACAGGCTTGAAGCGCCCAAGTTGGAACAGAAATAGTACACCAGACCCAATCGAACACTAGCATTAAGCAGAACAACCCAAAGAAGGGGGTATAACGGTATTTTACATATGTACAAGCAACAGACGATGTGAAGAATAGCAACACTATGAATTACACAAGCATTCCCCTAAAAAAGCAAAGCGGTCTTGTCAGCACCAAACCTCATCTCCGAAATACCATGATAGAAACAACTTACACAATACCAGCAGTTTGCAAGGTTGCCAAAAATCCGCAGATCATAGCTGAAGCAGCAATGGTCGCGATAGTTTTCTGTTTCGAAGGTGCAAGTGCTCCAAGAACACCAATCTGGATACCGAGCGATCCCAAGTTGGCAAATCCACAGAGGGCATATGAGGCGATCGTGAATGCGCGTAGAGAAAGTGGGTTCTCGCTCTTCATGAGCTCTTGAAGCTCAAGGTAGGCGGCGAATTCGTTGGCGACGAGCTTAGTGGCCAAGAGGCGGGACACTTGCAGGATTTCGCTTCGAGGGACGCCGATGAGGAAAGTAACGGGGTAAAAGAGGTAGCTGAGGACGAGTTGAAGCGTGAGGTTGGCGATTCCGAAGCCACGACCGATCCAGGTCAAGAGACCGTTGATCCTGAAAACGAGCGTTGAACTGGTTGCGCTGTGCCTAGCACTAAAGAAAACTTACATTGCAACAAGTGAAATAACAGTCAGGACGTTCGTACTGCACGGGCGATCAGTTCTCCTCCTGTTCATCTGGATCCATGGCGCTGCGCTTACAAAATATATCCGGCGACGACAAGACCAAAGATAGCACCTTTGCTGAAAGCATGGAGAGCATTGGCCTATTGAACAGCAGTTAGTCAACCTTGTACAGGGAGACAATAAAAGTCATACCGGCTTCTCCTTATCATTATCACCAAGATCGACAGTAACACGTCCACGAGTGATGGGCTCGTCCAATTCTGGGACCCGCATCTTGCTGATCGCCATCGAAGCGGGGATACTCATCACTGAAGATGTGACAAGGTTCTCAGCGGGTACACCGAGCAACACGTATGCACCAAAGACAGAGCCAGCGATAGTCGAGAATCCGGAGGTCATGCACAAATCTGATGAGAGAATGTGGTCAGAGGATGCCTCGTTCGTGTTGAAGTGAGTGGCACTAACGGAGCTCAGATTCAGTCATCACTGGCATTCATTGTCAGTGATAGATCGTCCCCAAGGCAGGAGAGAGAACATACAATCAACATAGGGCTTTACCAGACAGGCTGATTCACCCTGTCCGACCCAAGGAGAAGCAGAAGCAACGACAGCTTCAGCACCGGAGACACCCATGATCTTGTAGAAGAACCAAGCGCTTGTTGAAAAGGTTAGTACATAGCATCTCAACATGATCCGCAGAAATTGCTCCTCACAACTTGCTGATCACCCATTGCATGACACCAAGGTAGTACATCATTTGCACAAATGCAATGAAGAAGATGATGGTGGATAGCTACGCATGGTGGGAAATGAGAATCGAATCGTTCCTCTGTGGGAAGTGAAAGACGTACGACGTTGACGAAGAACCAATTATTGTCCACGGGAAAATCAGTGAAGAAGAACCTGGCACCAATCAAGGCTTGACCAAGGAAGTCTTCTGCGAGCTGAGCTATCCATCGGAAGATAGAGAAACCAGCGCCAGTCTTCAGAACGAAGAGCGCGATAACTTGTTGCAAGAACAAGCCCACAATTACGGTAGGCCTTAATATAGAGTTTAGTCAGTTGCCAGCAACGACGGCGGGTGTGAGAGGTTTATCACGAACCATGGGACATGCGAACGGTGTTTGGACGAAATCCAGAATGCCAGTTGGAAGACGAAGAGGCCGAGGACGTTGATAGCGCGGTCGCCATAGGTCGAGCCCTGTCGAATTCATTTTAAGAATGAGGGAATGAGAAGGTTACGGGACTGATTACCTCTTCAAGCCTAAAGCCAAATGCCGTGCCGAAAACGATGGCAAGAAGGCAGAGCCACCCGACGGATAGTCTCAGCCAATAGGGAAGTCTGTACCAAGGGTCCTGGATAACAGGGTTCCAAACACTCTCTACTGGCCGGGTAACGATGCGATTAGGGATGAAGCGGAATGCGATGATGCTAACCAAGAGAGTAAGCGACGAAATGAATCCATTCTGACCGAATTGACGCACAGAATGAAACCCCAAGCGAATAGAGTTTGCACAATCCTGATAAATAGTGGTGAGGGCGAAGATGCTCCTGGTCGACAATGAAACGCACCATCGATGCCTGGTTGCGGTCAAAACAGTCGCAGTGATCCACCACCCGAGTATGACAGCCGCAACTCCTGCCAGAATATAAGGGCGGAATCGGGAGTAGAACGACCGTTTGTCTTCGTCCTTCCCATTGGGATCAATAGCCTCCTGCGTCACAACCTCGGGGTCGTGAACTGAGCCTGCTTTACCCTTCTCCAACGAATCGGACGTCGACGTCTTTGACCTTTGCCGCTGGACAGGCTTCTCGTCGATCTCTTGCTGAGCTATCACACCCGCTGCTAGTAATGTCATAGTCGATGAGGGCCGAAGAGGGAGGGAGCAAGGAGAAAAAGGGATAAAGGCAACGGGCCCTGGAAAAGAACCAACGGAAGCCCCAGGGGACGAAGGTCGGGTCAGACGATCAAGGTTACTGCATGTGGCGGACCTGGGTATATATAGATTGAGGATGTCAGCGTTACCTGAATGGAAGCAAGTGTGGTGGGATGATAAACACTGTGTCAAACCAGATGGCACATGTGGCTACTGCCTCCACTTGGATCCATGGCATGCTTTTGCCCATCTCGGCCCAGTTTTAGGTCCATACTATTTTCAATCCAAAGAGGTCCGTTGGTACCACTGCCGACTCGGTTAGCAGCCCGTTCTCGCCTCTCCTTTTGGGCGTTTCCCAGCGCAGAGAGAAGAACGCGAGCGGTACTGCCTCGATTGCATTCGAACGTTATGTTCACTGTACAATTATCTTCTCTGGGTTGAAACAGATCGATGCTCTGATGTGCGAAGCATGAGAACACTAATTCAACCGATATCTGTCAGTGTCAAGCGTCCTTTTCGAGGAGCGAGCCATATGAACTTCGGTATGTAACATGTGTATCCGCTTGTGAAAAAGCTCACCACTCTTTTATCGGAATGTCAACAGTCTCCAGGACTGGTTCATGTGATGGGCACTGCATTGACGAGGCAATCGGTGCAGCCAAGAACCGATGCTCCAATGGCATTATGATTTCATGTCGACTGTGAAAGCGGGGTTGGGTGAAGCTCCGGGCGGGGCTACCAACGGGACAAGGAAGCACAAGACACGGGAGACCCACAGCTGATGGTTGTAGATTGACGCCATGTGGGGACATGCGGCCAATGGACGGGAAAGGCTTGCGGGAAACCTGAGCCAAGCTCGAGAGTGCATGCGGTATGAAACAAGCTCTAGCATACAACCAACCACACAAAGTAGCCAGAGGGGCAAGAAGAGCGATAACACCCCCTTGTAGCAGCGCAAGTCGACAAAGTCGACAGCAAATCACAGCGAACGAGACGAGAAAGACAGCGAATACGGAGAGGCCATTTGGTGAGGCCCATTGTTTGAGACGGAGACAGACAACGTCGAAGATCATTCACTCGGTGTCCAGAGCCGTCGTGGAAGTCGTTGGTCGTCGCCTTACCATCAAGTACCCACGGTGCTGATTACGCCAGGACACATCGAGCTCAACAAGTCAGCGCTCTCAACGTTCAACGTTCAACAGCCAGACGACATCAATGGTTGACATCCAGATTCTCAGTGATCTTCACCTTGAATTTGAACGAGGAGAAGACCCCTTGTACACGTTCGACTTTCCTGCTTGTGCCCCCAATCTCGCCTTGCTCGGCGACATCGGATGGACACGAGATGAACGGCTATTCGTCTGGCTAGAGTTCCAGCTGACGCGCTTTGAACGCGTCTTTTTCGTCTCCGGGAACCACGAGCCGTTTATCAGGACATTGGTGCGTCGGTATCCCGAGCCGAACAGCGAACTCCCCTAACTCCCGCTGCACCGATTCCAGGCGGAGAACGAGACATCTCTGGAGGGATTCGCATCCAAATCTGTCGAAGCCCGCGAAGTCGACAAGTCCAGGGGAGAATTCATATTCCTCAACAGGAGGCGATATGACATCGCTCCTGATGTGACCATACTTGGATGTACACTATGGGCGGCGCTCGACCAAGATAAGCTCGACATTCTCTCCTGGGCCGTCAACGACTTCGCCCGGATTACCAACTTTAAACCAACGGACTATATTCAAGCCCATGAGGCGGACGTCAGTTGGCTGAAGGGTTCCGTTGAGACCATCCGCGAAGAGGATCCTGCCAAAAAGGTCGTAGTCTTCACACACCATGCCCCAACGGTTCAAGGTACTGGGAATCCCAAGTACGATGGCGGGATACTTAGCAGTGCCTTTGCGACTGAATTGACCACGACTTCCTGGTGGGGTCCTCCGATTGTCCTTTGGGCGTTCGGGCATACGCATTGGTGCTGTAACTTTGAAAAAAATGGTGTCAAAATCTTCAGCAATCAGCGCGGATATGGCAAGGGTGCGGAGGGTTTTGACGAAACAAAGGTTATCTCTGTGTAACTTGATTCTGAAAATAAACAGTCAGTACCAGGAATCGAACTTGTGTACTACAAGTTAGGCTCGGCAAATGCCGAGACGCCTATTAACTCTGATCGAGTCAATTGTCTTGCCCCTCAAACCTATACCTCTGGATCTTTCTGCTTTTTCTTCTGACGATACCAGGGTTTACAAATGGCTTTGGAAAACCGAGATCCCCCGGCCTGGAGTCCACCACACCCCTCCATCTCTTCCTCCACACCGTTGGTGCTCTACAATTCATTAACGAAGACCAAGACTCCGTTCATCCCTGTAGATCCTTCAGGTCGCAAAGTAACTTGGTATTGCTGTGGACCAACAGTATATGACGCTGGTCACCTTGGCCATGCAAGAAACTACCTCACGACTGATGTTCTTCGTCGGATAATGAGAGATTACTTCGGCTACGAAGTCGAGTTTGTTCAAAACGTCACTGATGTCGACGACAAGGTCTGTTAAATCTAGAACTTGCGGTCTAACATCTAACGCAATTCACCCAAAGATCATAAAACGAGCTCGTGAACAACATTTTCTCGCAAAGTACAAAGCCGATCACCCAAAAATCGACTCACAGGTGCTAGCGGATACCAGACTAGCATACGACAAATATGCTCAAGATACGGCCGGCTTCCCCCACGATACTGTCTCGATAGAGCAACTGCCAGAATGGATGACGACTCAAAAAACACTCTTGGAGAGCCCTATCCTTGACGAAACCCAGACGATCTTCAAAGTCCGAATCCTTGCTCTCGACAGCGTAGCAAAAGCCCTCCGCGATGCCCAGAACAATCCTTCTCCAGATCCCTCGCAATTCTGGCCACTAGTCGACAGCGTCCTCTCCATTTACCTCGGGGATGTTAAGAAAAGCGAAATATCACCGGATCAGCACGCCATTTTCGCCGATTATGCTGCGTACTGGGAGAACCACTTTAATGAGGATTTGCGAACGCTCAACATTCTCCCCCCGACTGTAACAACCCGCGTCAGCGAGTTTATTCCGGAGAACATTGCGTTTGTTCAGCAAATTATTGACAATGGGTTCGCATACGCTATCCCTGGTGGGACGGTCTATTTCGACGTGGATGCGTTCGAGAGGGCTGGGCACTATTATGCAAAGTTGGAACCAGGAAATAGGAAAGGTGAAGCCAAGCAGGAGGAGGACACACCCGCTGTCGAGGCACCCACCAATGTCGCTACCACATCGGAGGCAGAGATTCAGAACGAGAAGGCTCAGAAACGAAGTCCCCGAGACTTTGCGTTGTGGAAGAAGAGTCGAGTTGGCGAGCCTGGTTGGGAAAGCCCTTGGGGCTACGGTGCGCTCTCTTGTCCCATTGGCAGTATGTGATCCTCATGACCTTCGAATAGGCCGCCCTGGGTGGCACATTGAGTGTTCAGCGATGGCCAGTCAAGTTTTGGGAGCACAGTTCGATATCCATTCAGGTGGAATTGATCTGGCATTTCCCCACCACGACAACGAACTAGCGCAATCCGAAGCTTACTGGCACAAGAACCCGAAGGAATCGCGAGGGCCTGTTCAATGGGTGAACTATTTCATCCACATGGGTCACCTTTCCATCGCTGGTAGCAAGATGTCAAAATCCTTGAAGAACTTTATCAGTATCAGGGATGCTTTGGCAAGTGGCGATTGGACTGCGAGGAAGCTGCGTATTCTTTTCATGATGGGTGGATGGAAAGGCGGTCTGGAAATATCTCAAAACTTCAGGGCTGAAGTCGATCTTTGGGAGAAGACCGTTACGAACTTCTTCTCGAACGTGGAGGCACTTACACGGGAGTCGGAGACGAGCGGTGGACCCCGCCCAAGGCATTTGTTCAGGTCGCAAGAGAAGCAGCTCTTCACCGAGTACGTCTGTTTTCCGTGTCGACGGTGTGTTCAGTAGACCTGATCGTGTCGCAGTCTCGAAACCGCCCAAAAAGATCTTCATGTCGCGTTGTGCGATTCATTCAACACTGGCTCAGCGCTTTCCACCATCCTCGATCTCATCAGCAAGACTAACACCTACCTCAAGGAGAATCAAAAGTCAGCTAGCAACCCCGACGCCTACTTCTCCCTCACAGCCGTCAGGGAGGTCGCGCGATGGGTAACAAAGATGCTTCGCATCTTTGGTTTGTCAACTTCCGCGGACCTCATTGGTTGGGGCACAGACGCGCCCGCCGGTCCCGACGGTGCACAGAACAAAGAAGCCGTCGCCCTCCCATATGTACAAGCCTTGTCGCGATTCCGAGACCAAGTCAAGTCACTTGCCCTCGTCAATAAGACCATCCCTGTCTGCCAAGAACTCCTTCAACTCTGCGACAGCCTTCGAGATGACCAGCTTCTCCACCTTGGTGTCTCTCTCGAAGATAGGGATAGTTCGATAGGAGAACCAGCTCTTATCAAGTTTGGAGATCCCGCTGAACTACTCGCTGCCCGTGAAGCCAAGGTACAGGCACAACTCGAGAAAGAGGCGAAGAAAGCTGCTGCTAAAGCAGAGGCCGAGCGATTAGAGAGGGAGAAGGCGGAGAAGGCGCGGGTGAGGCCTCAGGATATGTTCAGGACGGAGGAGTACTCGGAGTGGGACGAGGACGGTCTTCCCACGAAGGACGCCCAGGGCGAGGAGGTGACCAAGTCAAAGAAGAAGACCTTGAAGAAGGCTTGGGACAAGCAGAAGAAGTTGTACGAGACTCAGCTGGCAAAGGATGCTGCTGATGCGAAGGGCTGAATGTTTTAACGTACAGATATGTAAATGTATTGGTATGTAGAACAGAAATACCGAAGGCTTTAGGATGAGTGTGGCGATGACGGCTTGCAGTGTGAAATTGGGCGAAGGCGCCCACACTGGGGCATATACTTACCGTAAGCATGGTATGTTGACTCTAACTCTCATCACCGTTTTCACCCTCCTGGTTCAATGCATCTCAGTGACCGGTAAAGGGCCACGACCGTTGGTCCTATGGCACGGGTTAGGTACGTATACAAGCCTCTCAAGGTAATGTCCAAGCAAAATGCTCACCACTCATGCAGGAGATTCCTATGCATCACCCGGAATGCTGGAGTTTGTGCAGTTGATCAAGGGTGTACATCCAGGAATCTTCGTCCATTCCGTGTATATCTCAGAGAAATTGGAAGATGACCGAAAGGCTGGCTTCGTGCGTCTGAGTGAGTGGAGAGGGGAATGGGGAGGCTGACTGCGATACAACCAACTTGTAGTACGGGAACGTGAATGAACAAATTGCCCTCGTCGCCGACCAGCTTGCCTCAATACCTGAACTCGAAGGTGGATTCGACGCATTAGGGTTCTCCCAAGGTAGGCATTAATATCCTTTGATCATGAGGCGAGATGACACTCATTGTGAATTGTTTAGGTGGACAGTTCCTTAGAGCCTATGTCGAACGGTACAACACCCCACAGGTTCACAACCTCATCACATTCGGTTCGCAGCACATGGGGATTTCTGATATTCCCGTATGTGCTCGCTACGACTTCCTTTGTCAAGTAGCACGTCGAGCAGCGAAAGGGGCGGTCTACGGGGGTTGGGCACAAAACAACCTTGTTCAGGTACGCAAAGAGCTTCAGTGCATCGGCGAACCTTCCATGAACGTCTCCACAGGCACAATACTTCCGCGACCCGACCAACTACAAAACGTACCTAGAAGCCAACCATTTCCTCACATCTATCAACAATGAACGTCCCGACGCCCGAAATGCGACCTACGCGAACAACTTGGCGTCTTTGAACAAGCTGGTCCTTGTACTCTTCACGGAGGATAAGACTGTTGTTCCCAAGGAGAGCTCCTGGTTCGGGTCGGAGCCGGTCCCTGAAGACGACTCAGGGTCAGGATCGGTATCACAGCAACTTTTGTCGATCGAGAAGCAGATCATTCCTATGCGGTTGCAACCGCTATACAAAGAAGACTGGATTGGGCTGCGAAAGTTGGATGAGCGAGGCGATGTGGTTCTCGAGACTTGTCAGGGGGAGCATATGGAAATTGGGGAGTGTTGGGAGCGCATAGTGAGGGGATTCGCCGGTGGACAGATGGGATAGTGACGGGTGCTAGTTTTTTCTGCAATATCCATGAATCTCTTCATTCAATAATGAGACTGATCAAGGGGCCTTGAACTTGGAAGTTGAATGGGTGCCACTGCCAAAAAGGGAAAAACCATCACGTGAGAAAAGCGCAAACAGAGAGTTTGGCGAATGGGAAACAATTGCTTGTCTTTCCGTAACTCGTTGAAGGCGGCGCCGTTCGACGACCTCAAGGCCAGGGATTGTTCCCAACGACATGGACACACCGACGACGCAGCTTGGCCACAGCCGAAGAAGGCTCACCAGGACTGGTCACGTCGTCGGTGACGAGAGTACCGCGACCACTGCGTCAAGCCTGCAGGCTGGGCCATCCCGTCTACCAGAGCTCACCCAGCTCATGGATGTCGAGTTCAGCGACCTGGACAAGTCTTCCGATGAACTGGGAAGTGACGACCACGCCACACCAAGACTAAGAGCATCGAAGCTACCAGGGGAAAGCGAAACCCAGAAGCCTGTGGATCGTCTACGCGCTCTCCTTGCTCGCGTTCCCAATGGCTCCCCTTCGACTACCCCTGTGGCAACTCGACCTCCCCACTCTCTGGCGACGTACGAATCGGACTCAGATGCAATGGACACCACACATGCAACTGCAGCACCCAGCGAGGCCCAAACCAGTCTTCGCGGCGTTTTTTCTCATGCTCTGCGACCTCCAGGCGATACTCCTCAAAAACCTCGGCCACGGCGGAATAGCATTGATACGAGTGAAGTGGAGAGTCCCAGGACTGAAAGGGCTAAGCACAAGGCGAAACGGAAGAGCTTGAGCGACGAAGAGGTTGAAAACTCATATCGTGTGTCGCCTTCACTACTTGGGCTCCCCACGCCGTCTGAAACTTTCCCTGCAGGAACGTCTCAAGACACACCAGCCTCCGCAATCAAGGGCAAAGGGACAGCTTTAACGTCGCTCGAGGTTCTCCGCCAGCGAATTATGAACCACTCCAAGGCCGAACACCATGATCGCTCGCAGTCGCCGACGAAGCGTACGTTGCACCCGTGGCGCCCCTCCAACAGCAAGCTGACGGATTTCCTTGCTTCAGAGGACCTGAGCGACGATACAGCGGAGCTTCTACGGGAACTCAACTCTTCGCGAACCTCCCCTCCGGCAGCAACAAGCACCCCGCACCATTCGCTCCAGATGTCTCAATTCCAGATGCAATCCAGTAAGCCACTTGATCATTCTACTTGCACCTTGGGCTTATGTTCATCCAGATCTTCTCGACCATGATTCTGAAATGCAGAGGGCATTCGATGTTGCTGATAGTTACGAATTCCCGACAGGCATTGCAGAGCCGGGCAATGCGTCAGAAGCGAATCCCAATGTGGATTTCCCCAGCTCACCAGAATCAGACCGTCAATCTGTGATACCTCAACCCACCACCACCCCCTCAAGACCAGGTGCGGCAGATCTCCATCTATCCCGAACCATCCCCGCTGACAGGGTTTAAGTTTCATTCCCACAGACTTCCACAAGCCACACACCGTTGAACGACAGTAAGTGGCGGTTATCTCTACATGATCACGCCACTCAATCCCCCACTAGGATCGCCTTCCATTCGCAACGCCTCCAAGGCAACCTCTTCATCTCCCAAATCGCCCGGAAACCTAACACAAGAACGATCCACGAGTTCCTTGTCCCGTGCAGGGTCTCGTTCCTCACTCACCGCGAGAACACTAACACCACGGACCAGAGTCGTTTCTTCTCCCCGTTTATCTGATGCATCCTCTTCCCGCAGTAGTTCATTCTCGCAAGCGGATTGTAAGTCGCGAGTACTACGCAGAAGCGTTCACAACTTACGACGAATTCATAGATCGAGAGCGACTTCGAGAACTAGATCAAGATGAAGCGCATCGACGCGAACGGGAGTGGAACAAGCCCAACAGGACCTTATCCCGTCCCACCTCGAGTCTCAGCTTGAATTCCACCAAACGAGATGACCGCCAACGCACTCATAGTCTCACAACAGCAAACACCTCGTCATCTCCCAGACCTTACCAACTCTCCCCAGCGGTAATGCAAGCCCTTCGACGACATAGCTCACTCAACGCAGAGCGTCAGGATTCTCCAACCAGTTCGCAATACGGCAGCCAGGAAGAATATGACCCTCTCATGGAAGAAATCATTCTTGAACGGGAAAGAAATTGGAATTCGCCCCGTCCAGTATGGCATGCAAGGAGGAGGGCCGACAGTCTATCTTCTACTGGTAGTCTCGAGGATGTAGATGGTGATGATCTTTACAATCCTTCCTCTACAGCCTCGAGACTCGCCTCTCCCCGCTCGATAGCCGATATTCGCGCTCGGGTGCGATTGCGTTCGACCCCAGACTCTTCCGCAAGCTCTCCTCGCAGCTCGCCTCTGAGCAGTCGCCTACTAGCCCAACACAACGCTTCTATGACGTCTCCCTCCCACAATAAGCGACATAGTCTCACATCGCTTGCATCTCCAAGCACGAGCACGGGCAGGATATTGGGACGAGATATTGCTGCCAGTCCCTCGGCCAACCGCAGTGCTGCTTCGTCACGCGCGAACCGCATGTCCTGGCACTCGTCGACGCAGTCAATGTCGATGGCCTCAACCGCGACCCCAGGAGACAGGTCATCCCTTCGAGCACCCCGGAGGAGTCTGATTCCTACACCATCTCCGAGAAAGGCAAAGCCGGTACCCGTTGTGCAATTCCCTCCCGAGCAGCCGCCTCCAGAACAAGTTACCTCCTCTGCAAGCGAGGACGAGAGCCAGGCTGTCCACGATGGAGGGCTTCATCCGCCGTCCCCTTCTAAGGAAGATGGGTCACCTCAAGAACTAACTCCAACCCTAAAAACAATACCTCCACCCCCTGTCGATTCTCCGGAGCCGCCGCCGACACCGATAGCGCAGCCGCTAGAGGTTTCAGCAGCTGGACCTCAAGATGCCAGTCAACCCGAGTTCTTTGAGTCCGAGGTCGACGCTCCCTATAATTCCACACCGCTTGATCCCTCTAATCATGAATTACCTTCATTCACTGCGACTCCTCCTCGTGATTCCTCTTCCCGGTCATATTCCAAGCTAGAACTCAAGTCACCCTCCCATGCAGGGGTTCCCGAGCTTCCCGGTCCACCTACAGACGAGTCAGACAGCGATGTGACATGGCAGACCCCTGCGCAAACGCGACTGTTCCCGTCGGCCGCCGACTCTACGGCATTCAAGACTCCGAGGCCTCCAGGTGCTTGGGCTGACACTCCAGCGGCCAGACGCAGACGGCGTTCATATTCGGATTCCATCTCATTCAACCCGTTGGCACCTGCTTCTTCAGACGGACCCAATTGGACTGCCATTCAAACACCCCGTCCACCTGGCGGTTGGCTGGCGACGCCTGCTCCGGCGAGGAACGTCCAGTACGTTGATCAGTCGGTCGAGACAGATACGGAGCTGGAATCGGATGCCGGCGAAGGAGACTCGAGCCTTATGGAACAGCGCCAGGGGCAACCACCTGCAGGTTTCTCGACGCCGGTTTCCTCTTTTGCCAAGGGCAAGTACCACGATGCTCAGACTCCAGCGGCCCCAGGTGGATGGGTTCCAACTCCCGCTGCAGCTCGAAAGAGTGTCAGGTTCGATGCTGAACCTTCCGAGACGAGCGACGTCGGTGTTGGAACAGAGGATGATTTTTTGTTTGCTGAATCGAAGGGATTGCCACCTGTGCAGCTTCGCAACCCACTTCAAACGCCACCTGATAGTCCGCAATTGGCTCCCACGTCTCCTAGTCGTGGCAAGAAGGGACCTGGCATCCGAGTCCTCGATGCCTTCGGAAATGAGACCAGGGAGGAAAACAATGTTGACTTCAGTTCCATTAAGACTCCGCGACGACAGCCGATTAGGATGGTGGATGCGCTGGGAAATGCTGTGGAAGATAGTGTGGAAAGCGTGGAGGAGAAGAGCGAAGGAGAGCCAGCTGGAACTAAAGAGGAGGTGTTATCTCGTATGAGACAGGGACTTGACGAGCTTGTTCACGAAATTCACGATCTCGATCGGTGAGTGCAGCCTATCAGCCAGCAGTAGAGGCAGACTAATCAGAGACTCTCCATTAGGTCCAGCGCTCAAGTCAAGTCTGACCTTGCGCATATCAAAGAGTTGGATGCTGTATCCATCAACTCCAGGGAGAAGCGGAGGAAGCTGGTGCAGCAGATGCGCGCTGCCAATGACGATGTCAAGGATAGGCTTGCTTCCTTAACGAACGGGGGCACCGAGCATTTGTCACAGACGCCTGCCACCGTCGTTGTGACCAGGCTCCCAATTAGGTGGTTCTGGATCGTTTCTCTTGCGATTCTTCAGATAGCATTGGCAGTGGCCATGTATCGGTATGTGGCTGTTTTCTCCGCTCTGGAAGGATCCTAACAGCTCGATTTAGCTATTATACAACCAACTCTCGCGACGCCTTTTTGACAACCTATTACGACCCCTTCAACCCGTTGCTCCACCTCTACACGCAAAAATCACGCCGAATATTGGACAATCTCCACGAACCCACTCCTTGGATATCTCTCCTCGATCTACTCCGCCAGCGACACTTTAGAGAATTTGGGAGCAAAGCACTGGACAATTTATCCATCCATCTGGTACAATTTCAAGCTTTCGTATGGGAAAAATGGGGTGAGGATGTGCAGAGTACTGCATGGCCTCCCACCTAAACTCCATTCACACATATGTTTTCAATGGCTATCTTTTTTTTCCGAACGGTTTAATCTTGGTTGCGACGATACCATATTGTTATTCCTTTCCATAGTGTTATTAGTAGTTCTAACTTCCAACTTCTATGTTGTACTTACAGCTCCCATTTATGTTCTTTTACTGTCTGTCTTGGCAAATCGAGGATTGGTGACGTAAGATTGGATGATCAGGAAAATTAAGACGGCGAGCGAGTGTGGAGCGCTTATGATCTTGGACCTTTAAACAGAATTGTGTGAGTTGGCTTGGAATGCCAGCTCTCAACTTGGCTCTCACGCAACAGCGGCTACCATGGCCAATTCCCCTCGTTTACCTGAGCCACTGAAGCTGCAGCCCCTTGACACTGACCATGACCTCAAGGATCCCCCAGATCGCTCCCGCATGGACCATGGTTCCCGATGCTCCAGTCCAGGAACATCCACCAGCCAAACTTCCGACGACGACGACTTCGACTGGGACAAAGACGACGACAGCACCAACGTTCAGGCAGATGTAGAAGCAAAACGAGGACGGCGCCTCTGGCTGGCTTTCATGAAGCTGTCCCTTTTTGTACGAGTTTTCCTCATTGCCTGCATCGGAGTCGCTATCCTCGTCACCCCGCTTATTGTCGTGAACGTCCGGTTCCCCAACAGCCCTGCCAAGATACACGTTCACGTCTGGTCGCTGTGGTTTACCATCAATTGGGCTGCAATCTGTGGAACGTATATATTCGTGGATGCCATCCCTCACGTCGTCCTCCTCATTACCTCCGCTTTTACTAGCCGCCAGGTGGAAAGGCTCAAAATTCAGATAGACGTAAGTCCCCTTTTCTCATCTCCTCAGTGCACGGAATGCTGATGTAGTCTCCTGTAGCTATTCATGGCCGTTAGGCTCTACTTCAAGCTGGTTCTTGATGTCACCTGGGCATGGGTTGCATTGTCCGTTATCCGAGCAGTCTACCATCCACCAGGTTCCTATTGGAAGATCATCAACCAATTGATGCAGGTGAGGGATAAGCTCTCCTTATCGTCACCCCCTCGAGACTGATTAATGAACTCAGGTTTTCTTCTCTGCAGCCATGCTTCTCCTGGTCGAGAAAGTGGTCCTTCACTACATTGCCATCAACTTCCACCAAACCGCCTTGGCAGACCGACTCGCGGAAAACAGGATTGCGCTTCGAGCCCTTGATCACCTTTCCAGTGCAAGCCCTTCTCCGACCAAGAAGTCGCCTTATGGCAGGAGGACGGGCAAAGGTGGAAGCAGCAGTTTCGACATTTGGAACACCGGCATGTCACCAAAATCTAGTTCCAGGTCACTACCACCCGCCAACACTACGGCACCAAATCAACGTAAAAGCGCTAGGAGGATGGCAAACGTCATTGTTGATCAAGTTCGTTACGATTTAACCGTCGCTAATTCCGAATTTCGCTGATGCGCTCATTGTCTTGTAGGTTGGAGGTGCTATTGCGCAGGTCGCCCTCAAAGATTCCAAATTCAACAAAGGCGTCGTGGACGTTAGCGGTGTCTACTCTGCAAGAAGGCTGGCTCGCAAACTGTTTTCCGTCTTGAGTGATGTAGAACCTCCGCGTGCTCACCTCATTGTTGAAGGTATGTTCGACTATTGCGTCCTTTTCTTGTCGACTTTTAATGACACTATACCGAATTCAGACTTTTATCCTTACTTCAACACTACTGCGGAAGCTGTAAGTGCAAACGTGTCGCCGCTTTCCTTCCCCTTTCTCATGGACTTGAATAGCACGAGGCTTTTGCCATTTTCGACAAAGACGGCAACGGGGACATCACAAAACGAGAAATGCGTGATGCCGTGCAAAGAATATACCGGGAGCGAAAAGCATTGGCAGCTGGGCTCAAGGTACGAGGATGTCATCGTGAGGGATAAATTAGCTCATTCTTCACCAGGATGTTGGTTCCATAGTAGCAAAGCTAGACGCAGTCTTGCTCTGCGTTGCGATTCTGCTGGTGTTGTTCATTTGTCTGCTCATCTTCAAGAGGGATAACACTATTTCCTCCCTCGTCCCCCTGGCCACCATCGTCCTTGGGTTTTCCTTTGTCTTTGGCAACTCTGCGCAAACTTTGTTCGAATCGGTGAGTTCATTAAGGGCCGCTATCGACCTGGAGCTCATGTTTGGTCGCCTCAGTTGATCTTCATCTTTTCAACACACGTCTTCGATGTTGGTGACCTCGTGATCATTGACGACCAGGTAAATCGGTTCGTGTCAAGCCTTTGGAGTAACCACTGAAAACATTGCCAAAGATCCTTTTCGTCAAAGAATTCGGTCTCTTCGCAACCACATTCCGTCGAGTAGATGGGCAGGAAATTGTTGCGCCGAATACGTTGCTCGCTAGCGAGAAACTGGTTCACAATTTGAGGCGCAGTAAATCCATGTGAGTGTCTATAACGAGTTTCCGGCTACCGTCCTCACAAGTCATCCAGGTGGGAGACAACGAACCTCATGGTTGCTTATACGACACCTATTGAGGTTATCGAGCAGCTCAAGACCAGGATATCCGCATACATCAATGACAACAGTCGCGAATGGTCAGGCTTTGCTCTCAACATCGACAAGATGGAGTATCAGAACGCATTGCATCTCATTGTGGCCATCGAACGTAAGCGATAGACACTGGAAGTGGCTTACTGTTTGCTGACTATGTTTTTAGATCGCTCTAACTGGCAAGACTGGGGTGCGAGATGGGCCAGACGAAACGCTTTCATGCGACACCTCAAAACAGTTCTCGAAGATCTCGACATCCGTTATACCATGCCTGTTCAACCAGTTCTTCTCCCGTCCTCTAATGGCCGTGCTCCGGTTAACCTAGCACCACCATCTCCTGGTCCTGCTGGTACTCCAAGGAGCCAGTATCAAACTCCTTTGAACGACCTTGGAAACGCGGGTTTCTTTGAATCAACGGACTTTGGCCGGGTCCCGTCGAACGCTCCGTCATTCCCTCACGCCACGCCTTCCTTCGGAGGGGGTATTGCACAGTAGAATAGATCTTAATGAACTTTGCAGATATTGTTGCATCTACCATCCTTTAGATTACTGACTGTACTTACTCACGTCGCCTGCTCGGAATTTTGATGGTCGCGTCTCGCGAATTATTGATGCGAGCCTTGCCCTTCTTGTCATGCAACCAACTCAAACTCTTGACTCTTCTCTGAACAAATTCCAAGAATACAACGCTTTTCCAGAAAATGTTGTCCATTCATTCGCTTCGAAGACAGCAGAGACGACGGCGCTCCTCAAGGAACTCGTAGAAACAACGGACGATATCTCCGAGTCACTCACTGCATATGCCAATGCCCCTTGGACGAACCCAAAGCTCATCTCGCTGTTGCGACAAGGCTCGAGCATTGCACAAACGTTGCATACGGTCAGAATCTCTGGCTCTCCATTCACAACGCTGATTAACCCTCAGTGAATCTAGTAGTCTGAAACGCAGAGCCGTCATATCATTAGCGCCCTCCGCAACCGAAACAACATCAACTACGGAGAAAGTATTCCCCTCATACCCGCTCAGATCCCAGATTGGTGTATCTCTCGGTTACAAAATTGGTGCGAATTGGCGGGGCTGCAAGCCTTCCTGGACGACACAAAACCAAAGGACACGCCGACAATCATCCTGGGTGGCAATGTTATAGTGGTCGACATCGATTTTGTGATTGAACGGACAAACCCATTGAAGCCACGCGTCTCAGTATCAAGGGTCAAAACCTCCTATGCCATTCCAAGTGCCCAATCGACGTCCACGGCATTGGACGGGTTCCTGCTGAATATCATTCAAGCATTCTGCGTGGAGGTGCAACAACCAGAAGACGTCAGGGACCCGCAAAAGGCGGCCAAATTAGGAGAGAACGTCCTACTTCAACTCCAGTACCTTGTTATGCTGGACCAGTTGACCCAAAGGCAGCACGACGGGGGCTTGAAATGGTTCACGGCTCTTGACGAAGTGGGCCCGACTGTGGAAGGCTTTGCGGTGAAGGAGGCATCTGCAATAGCATCGTATGTCCGTCAGAAATTTGAGTTGATTCTCGAGCTCTAACCCAAATTCCAGTTCACTCTCGCAACCTCATGTACCGCTGGACATATTTTTGAGGCGCAGTCATGGCCTCCCAATCCCTTACCTTCTAGCTCCGTCCCTTTCATTCCTGGTCTATATCTCGCCTCTCGCGTACCTCTCGATGATATCAGACATCCCAGAAAGCCTTCAGCCACAACAGAATTCCCCGATACCGCTCGATATACCACTCCCCTTCCTCCGCTCAACTCTTGCCGAATCGCCACCGGGAACCACTCTGGCCACACTTCGACTGATCCGAGTGTTCGTGCCTTCACTCGGAGGGTCCTCAACCTTTGCCTCCAGACCTACATTCCCCCTGGTCTCTGCCGGCTCTGAAATCAACTATGACTTGCCAAAACTGTCGGACGACCTCATGCTCACCGGAGATTCCGAGACTGGGCAGTATGAATGGATCCTTGACTTTACGAATAACGGAAGAGTACCAGGAATTGTGATGAGCCAATCTAGAATGCGGGAGATTGAACTTGTGCTGAACCCGTTGGGAGGTGGGATCGGCGGGATGGATGTCATGGCATCGCTTCATGCCTTCCGTGGCAGTAGTTGGGTTGACCTGCTGGTGAGTGCCACTCGTTGAAGTGAATTAGTTTCCAGGGAGTTGACATATCGGTCTGCAGCTGAACCCTGAGCCAGGGAAATCATCTGAATTCTATGTGGCAACATATGTAGGAGTTCCGTTCTACCGAGTTGAGGCCCCCGCTAAAACCCCAGGTTAGACTTCACCATCGCAAGCACACCCTCCACTCAAGCTTCGACTAACGGCCCCGGAAGAACCTGGGTTCAGGCTTCAGCAAGTTCCAGTCCACACACTCAAAGAAGTTTGGGGTATCCTTGAGGTAGTGTCACTTCAGCTCGCTATCGACGGATTGCCTAATCATCGATTCCCGTTTCCAGATCGTACGGGAGCAGAGTTGGTTAAATGAGATGTTGAACGGGTGTGATTGGCGGCCTGAGGAACTTGTCACTCCCGATACGCCGAATGATCACGAATCGCCCGATGTCGACCTCAACTCGATTTTGACTGGTGCGTGCCTGCGCGTTGAACTCGCAACAGCACATTGCTAACAGTCGCTGGAGGCTCGTACCAACCACGACATCTCCCTATCAACGTCTACCTCCCCCATCACAACGTCTCGACGGATACTGTCTTCGACCCTCTCTCTGTCTCAACGGTCCATCGCCCCAAGATTGTCATGACTTCACCAGAACGACCGCCGATAACTGGTCTCGTTGAAATCACCGTTTCATTCGATGAATCTAAACAAAGGGGGATTGACATAGAGGTACGAGGAGCCGTTGGGATGGACATCAAGATGGACGAGTTGGAAGAGATTTCCAGGCGTGGTGGTACATTTGGGATCCCAGCAAGGATATGGAAACGGTCGCAGAGTGCTTCTCAGTAGGGATAATTTGTTCCTTTCTTCTTTCCTTTCTTCTTCCCCTTTGCCTTCCCCGTCGTTCCAACTGGTGCCATCGTATGCCCGTGTAGCTTCTGCACCAGCAAAGACACGACGTCGAAGCTCGTTTTTGTAACCACCTCGGCTAGTGCTTGATCAAGGTCCAATGCAACCTGCGGTGTCAAATGGGTTGTCATGAACTTGATCATAAGCTCATTCAAAGGCGGATATCTGGGGAGCGCTCGGTTATTGTGCCGTTGATGTTATTTTATGTCTTGATTAGACTTACAGACACGGAAACCTCCCGAAGGCCTCTTCAACTACATTCGTCTCGGTGATGTTCTTCATGATCTCCTCTAAAGCCCGTTCACTCAAGGTGCGCACCCCAAACTTCAGCGGCGTTTCAGATTTGGGGTACTTGAAAAGAGACGTCTGGACTCACCTTTTGGGCAAGGTGATACATCGACTTCGGGGAGCAAGCAATCGTTCCTCGGGCATCAAAGTCCTTCTGCACCTGTTCCCTCTTCGAAGTGGACGACAGGGGCAATAAGTTTATTTCTCCTGTTATAAGATAAAGCAAGAACGACTTCCACCTGAGCATTGATTAGCTTTGAAAGCAGAGTCGCGGGGGAATGGAATTGGACTCACGTTCTGTACGCATGTCCATTAACAGGGAGTATGCGCCCATACCGCTTCGGACCGAGCTTCAAGGCAGTAGTTGACCTGGAGCATGGTACTCAGGGTGTGCATAGATGTAGGGATAGGGTTTCACTCACTTGGCTGGCCTGGGGCTGGCCTGGGTGAGCTCGAGTGAGCTGGGGAAATCGTGAAATGCGAAGGGAAGGACCGAAGAGTTTTCCAAGCTAGATTCTTCCTTAATCTCCTGCGAAACCTCGACCATCTCAGGCCCTTCCTCTTCATCTCCCTCGAGGTCACTGTCATCCGGGTAATCGTACTCCGCTAGCTTTAGGCTGATGGCATCCCCGCAGTCGTCGTCGAGGTCGACAATGTCGGATTCCCTGAACCCATGGGCTCCGAAGAGCACTGGAGGACAGGAAGTTCAGCCAAAATACTTGTCGGAGTGTCCGACGAGATACTTACTCTCATCTAGGACGGCGGAATATCCCCGTAGTAGTTCCGCATTTGCAAACAGGGGACGAACAGCCGTGGATTGAGCCGAGCGACCGGGAATCCGTGAAAGGAGATAGAACTTGGTGTCCGTGAATTGCTCTCCTACGAGCAATGAACCCAGGGCCTTCTTCAGCTTGACTGACTGGTGCACATCATGGTCAATCTTGATGGTGCTGATGGTGACTTTCAACCGGATGAACGTTTCATAGGCGGCCCCCGGCGCGGGGTGTACTACAGTCCCAACGTGCTGACTGCTGTCGGAAAATTCGTATGAGCTGTGATAGCCATAGCTGTTATACCCTCTGCTGTGAGCGGAGTGCTGCACGTTGTAGCCTTCGGCGCCTCTGGGGAGCCTCATAGACCCGCTGAGAATCTTCTTTTTCAGATTTTTGCCTGAATCCTTGGCCTTGAACACGACTTCGACTTCGAAGGTGAATGGATTGAGCGACGCGCCCGCGAGACCACTCGGATCGAATCGAATCTGCAACGGACTCCCTCCAGGTCCGGCGTATATAATCATCCTCCACCCAAGCCCACACAACGGGGAGATCTGTTGCTCCCATGCTGTAGCTGTGGGTGTATGTTTAAGAAAAGAGACGAAGGTGTTTCCCTCTTGCATCTGATCCCCTCGATACTTCTCCATAGTGGCGAGAGCAATCCAAGGGGATAATGAGGGACATCAGGCAAGGACCAAAGCCTTATATAGTACCACAAGTGGAGGTAGCGAAAGCAATGTCCCACGCTTTTTCGCCCCTCGTCACGGTGTTGCCCTTTATGGTCGGTCCAGTGACCACACTATAAAATTAGATGCTATCGATAATCACATTCAATAACAGAACGTCAAGGGGGCAACAAAAAATGGAAGTAGGCCATTCGCCACGACGTAGGGTTAGTGGGTGCCGTGATTCACCTCAAAACGATAGCCTACGGGACCGTTCCATCTCCGGAGAAGGCTCGGGGATGAGATGTCCCACAAACAAGTGGGATGCCCTGCATCTGAGTGACCCGTATAATAAGTAAGTCTCTACAGGTCCGCCTATATGATTTTAATAGCAGTACAGGAGGATGGTAGTCGACAAGGACCCCCTATCGTGATTCCGCTTACTATAAAAGGACAGCGGACTGCTTGACGGGGTTGGGAAGTGATTCCGATCGATGACAAAAATGGGATGGCAACCACAGCCGGCTCAGCTCCCGCGACAAGTTGCGAAGGCGGGGTGGCGATTGATTGAAAACACACGCAGCTATGGGAGCAGTTTCCAAGTGGGGAGAAGGAGGGTTAATAATTGCGGATGTTCCAGGATAACGGTTCTTCACTTCTTCAACTTGTTTCAAACATGTCGCACTCGCGGTCCTCGTCTTTATCCTCCGCTTCGTGCTGTTCTGGCGCGTCCGCCTACGCTAGTAGCTCACTTCTCAACTATGGCCTCGACCTCGACCCAGCGGCTCCAGAAACCCCTCGCCCCGATTCACCCTCTTGGGCAACTCTCCAACACATGGATGCCATCGGGGACTCGTTCGTCGAGAGTTACGAAGAGTCCAGTCGGAAATCACTGCGACAAAGACCGTTAACCATCGACAGGATCAAGGAAGAATGGCGAAAGGGCTTCTTTTTTGGAGAAAAGGAGGGTGCCATCGACGACGACGAAACCCAACCTCACACGATTGAGGACCACGGCGACCACGATTCCTTCGAGGACGCGACTCTGTCCACCGACGCCACGAGCAGCCTATTGACGCCGGGAGACTGTAGCGACGCGACGTCGAGCCTCGGCCACCACCATCACCATCAAGACGAGATCGTCGACTGTTACTTCGACCGAGAACCGGCCCCAGAACATCCTCGATCATCACCGCAAGATAACGCGGTCGCTTGGTGGGAGGACGACCAAGTCACTGGGACTTCGCCCCATCTCGATCAGCCCACTCGTACGCTGAAGCGCTACACTCGTTCAGACGAGACCCATGGCAACAGTCCAAATAATTTGTTGGACGCGTTTCCGTCAGTCCCAGGGGGGCACGTCTACTACACCGGTCGAACGAAAGGACTGCACCCCGGTATCCTTGCAGACGATCAAAGGGCGACAGCGCGACCAGGAACAAGTGATTTGAAGGTCCACGATGCTGGTGAGGCCACCCGTCGAGGCCTCTACCAGTCGAAATCCGCCTCGTGTCTCGCACCAACTCTACGTCACTCACAGTCTACAAACGTAGAAAATCCGTCCCCCCTTTTCGACACTCGTCCCCTCTTGCTTGCCAGACCAGTCAAGAAGCGTCAAAAAAGCTCTGGTTCCACTTCTTCCTCCGATGTTCCTCCTTGCCCCAGCGCAGGCAGTCTGGCCGAGTACAAGTTTAGAAAGCCGTCCACAGACAGCCCTTCCTTCGAACTAGGTGGAGTGCGCGATGTCCACGCGGGGCCGCGAAGCACAACTACTCCAACAAACCCACCTTCCAGATCGCCTATTTTTCCGGCTGGACGTCGATATCACTACACAAAGCCACACCATCTTGCTGTGGGCATCAAAGATGTACACGAGACAAGCCTGGGGAAACCGACGCTCTTGTTTCACCATCCAACTGCCACTTTTTCCACACCAACAATCGACCATTTCCGAGGATTGACGCCAACTGCTTCGAGCGAAGACGTCGGAAAGATGGGAAAAATCAAAAAGCGTTCAAGTCGAATTGGGATGTTTGTCGGGAAGGTCCTCCACAGCATGGGAGGTGGATCGCTGGGTAGCCATCCGCCCCCCATCCCAGGTTCACCGAGAAGATAACGCCACCGGCCCTATGAGTAGGAGCGACGAAAACACATGCTACTTTGTCCAACCATAGAACCTGCATTTGTACCTATACAACAACACCCCCAATCTCGTTTTCCACTGACTTGTCGGCGACAAGGCCTAGTCTGTGAGTGCACTGGTCCCCTCAAGGTTTGTTGAAATCATCCTTCGGAATGTCACTTCCAGACTCCTTGGAAGGACGGGATGACCACTTGCTTGCAACGAATCCACCGGCCTGCGAGCCCTAGCCTGAGGTCAGCACTGCCCCGTGTCCGATAAACTGAGAGTACTCACCCAAGCCTTGGCTTGCTGGATGCCGGTTTGGGCCTTTTCAGCGGCCGCGTGCTTGACACTTTGAATAGCCTCTTGAGTTTCCGGTTTCCCAGCCAATTCTCGCAACTTCTTCGTTTCCCGGTTCACGATACCATAGATGTCCCGTGCAGCGGCAGTAGACCAGGTCTTATGGGCGTCTATGGTGTATTCGATCTCCTTCGCCATCCTGGAGATAATGGCGGTCGCTTCAGCTCCATGAGCGTCGATAGCGCTGTCCACGGAATCAAATGCCAGGTCCACCACAGCACCAGAAAGTGGTACTCCAGCCAAGTATGTTTTGACGGCCTCTCTCGCTAGGTTCAGCAATTGGCTAGGCTTCTTTTGACCGTCGTGGTCTCTCTCCGTTCCCGAAGCAGCCTTATTCAGAAGTTCCAGCGTCTTGTGAGCGGTTTCCACTTTCTCTTTCCACCCAGAATAGTGGTATTGGGCGCCAACTAGGAATAAAGCGTGAATCAAGTTACGAACAATGTGAAAGGGATGGAAGCCGTACCAACTACACAAATGCCAACGGCAATGCCAATGCCCAATCCGGCGCCTCGGAAGATGCTTGGTACCAAGAGCTGTTTCCACCTGAGACTTGTCAAGCTCGAATTGTATCGCCTCAAATGGTTTGTCAATTGGCCTTGGTTGGCCACCGTCAAGGCACCTCGCTGGCGCGCTGGAGTCGACGCCAACTGGATGATGTTCCTCGTTTGTCGCTGCATGGTCGTACTTTGGTGAGGAAAGCGGCCGGTTTCAAACTGGTTATATACATCTCATCGGCAACATCAGTACGTCACCATTCGGCTTCTACTTCACTTATGTACGACGAGGGACACGCGATGGATGGCAGTTGGCTCCCACAATGAAGTGTCGTATAGGATTGGGCAGGTCAAAAAAAAAAGTACAAAGCCGCCATTTCATACTTTGGCGGTCGCTGTCAATGTCTGGGGAAAACAAAGCAAGAGAACCGGAACGCACATCGAAATGCCAATGAAGATGCAAGTGGATGGAATTGCTACTGCGGTGATACAATTACTCGTCAGGAATCTCAATCTCCCCAGAGTTGATTCCGTCGATGACATCGTGTGCAGGTTGGCCGTTAACCGTGCAGCCAACGCTCTGTGCGGTACCCAAAATCTCCTTCACCGTTCCAGACAGCTCCTTCGCCAGTGATTTTGATCGCATTTGTCGTGCAATGTCAATGATTTCTTCGAGGGGGATGTTGCCAGAGTGTTTGATGTTCTTCTCCTTCTTACGATCACGAGGGGGCTCTATAGATGGTGTTAAAGGCGCCACACAAGATCAAGGGTTCACCATGACGCACCCTTGAGAGCCTTGATAACCAAAGAAGAAGCGCTGGGGACAACGGAGACGGTGGCTTGTCGGTTTTGGATGGTGAGTTGAACGGTCACCCGGAGACCCTTCCATTGAGAGGTGGCCTTGGCAATATCTTCACCGATCTTCTTCGGCGACTGGACGATGACACTTTCTTCAATATCCTCTATTGTTCAGGGTACACGGTTTGACGCACCAAACCAAGAGGACCAATCTTGGGGGCTAGTGCTGATGAAGCACCAACTTCACCACCAGTTGCCCGGAGGTAGATGATCTTGACTTCATTGGGGTCCTACGGAGCGCGGTCAGCCGTCTATTGCAATTCCAGGAGCGATGAACTAACGAATTTTGGGGCCATGGCGAACGGTGGTGACGATGACGAGCTTATCGACGACTTCACCAAAATTGATTGGTTGGGGCTGAATAAGGTTTCATGTTCCGACACTCCGACATCAACGACTGTACAGTAGGGACCAAGCGGCCGGCAGAGGAGAGAAGATCGTGGGGCTGTGCTGGGTCAACGGGTAAATCACGGAATTGATTCCGACGCCGCCTGGCATCAATCTTGATGTTCACGTTGAGGTCGTGTGCTCGTCTTGGACAATAGCCTTTACCACAAACCACGGCCGCATCGTGCAATGGATTTATGGCATCTTCCAACGCAGGAAGGGTCGAGCTACCGGCCAACTTCGAAGATGTTCCCATAGACTATGTTCTCCAGTTGATAGGTCAGTTCCTATGTTCAAACATGAAACCTTACCCCTAACATATTTTCCTTCCCAAATCTAGCGGATATGCTAGAACGACTTATGGCTCATAACGACCAGATACCCCTTTCTCCGTGAGTACTTTTCTATCCATGGCAAAATACAGCGCTAAAGCCTGTCATCAGGGAATCGTTGACTCGGTTTCATTCGAGGACACCTCCAGGCATTTCTATCATCGATTACTTGAAGCGGATTGTCAGGTTTACGAATGTCGAGGTACGCCTGTCAATCTAGGAAGCATGCCATATGTGCTAACCCGTAATAGAAAAGTTGCCTCTTCCTCATTCTTGTCTACATCGATCAGATCTGTGCACGGTGGCCCGTCTTCACATTCTCTTCTCTCACTGCCCATCGGTTCATCATCGCAGCTATCACCGTTTCAAGCAAAGGCCTATGCGACACCTTCTCTCCGAACAAATTCTATGCCAGGGTAGGTGGTATAAGTGTGTCCGAGCTCAACATCCTCGAGCGAGAGTTTCTCTCAATGATTGATTGGAGATTAATGGTCAGCATCTTCCCTTTCTTCTGCTTCTTAACCCCAGCACCCTTTACAACAAATTCTAAGTCCCTTCCAGATTTTTTGACATGCTTCTTCTCTGGTATACTTGATCTTACTTCTCGTCTCCGTTAGTGCACTCGCGAAATCCTTCAAGAATACTACGTCAACCTCGCACGAACCCACAGTGGCGGCAATTTTGTCATTGCCGGATCCAACTCCCCTCTGTCCTCTGATAGCGACATCGACATGGACAGTAGTGGACAATCCGCTCCACCTTCGCCTTCAGACAGGACAACCACAGGGCGCCGACATCGCTCTCAGAGGTCAATCTCTGAACCATCGACGGTTCTTGTAGAGCCGGGAACCAGCGTCCAAGGAGTCGTCCAACGACCCACGCTGGAGCAAGAAATGGCGTTCGCTGCGCTTCGAAATACCCAAGAACGGAGATAACATATCCTAGCTTCCAACCACTTCTATAATTCCATTGGGGCTCGCGGCCATTGACCATACTTCGAATATTAAATACAACTACTACAAGGCGTAGACTTGAGTGTATAGAGCAAGTAAAGAGAAAAAATGCAAGGAGTGAATGTTTCGTATGTATGTGATATCAATGTAATGTGTGAGTTATGACAATGACAGCGGTGCTGCACGGAGCCCGTCGAAAGATAGTACAATACTGGATAGAACAGAGAGATTAAAACGATGAATCAACGCCGTCACAAACGAATGCAGGGTATCAACCCATAACACGAGGGGATGTCCAAGTATTGACTGCGCACCGTGAAGTAGGATACTTTATGAATACAGCGCAACACGAGAATTCCTGATCCGCACCACGCACAAAAAGGATTGGGGGGCCAAACGCATTGTCCGCAAAACTACTCGCATTGGCAACATCAGTTCAACAAGAAGTCATAGGGAGCGGAAGAGTTCCTGTCTCGATACAACAGTCCGTCAGGGCGAAAGGCACAAAAGACAAAACGACACGGGACGTTCTTCATCGTCGCAAGGCTGACAACATCTTCGCGAGCGCGTTGATCTGTCCCTTGTGCACCTTCTTCACACCACCACTACCGACATTGTCCCCCTCATCCCTGGCAGCATTTACAACCGCCGGGAGGTCAGACGTGCTCGTCATCGCGTCCTTTCGGAGCTCAGGAGATTTCAGGCCCGCCGAGTTGGATGGCCGTTCAGTGATGGTGTCAAGTTTGATGTCCTTGTGTTTCCTCGTACGCTGCTTGCGAGGGGGAGGGTTACCGAACGAAGGATCGGGATGTTGTCCTCGCGGCAACTGGTCCAGTTCCCAAGGCACGCCATTCATGACTGAAAAGACATGAATCAGGGTAATTTCCTTCACGAGTCAATTCAAGGACTTACGCTTGATGTTCTTAGGGACGGAAGTATAGCCACCGGACGCTGAGTACCCGCTCGAGTTGGATGAGATCGATGGCTGCTTCACACTGGTCCTCCAACTGGTAGCTGAGACACTGGTTGCAGTGGTCGAAATACTGCGCGTGCTACCATTACTGTAGTGCGTGAATGCCGATGTCGACGTCCCCGCACTTGACGTGGTACTCATGGAGCTGCGCCAATTACTTGATGCCATGGAGGATGCACTGGAACGAATCGGACGCCCGCTTCGCGTACTGCTAGGAGAGATGGCACGTGAAGGACCGCGCGAAGGAGGGTCAACCCAACTGTCAGCCAAGCTGGGCTGGGAAGGAGATTGAAGTCCTCGTCGGGGAGACCGTCCACCATACTTGCGCACAGGGGAGGCGTCTCTTGGTCGACGGCCACGTGCCCAAGTAGATGCACCATCGTCAAATACACCTGCAGCAGGAGGAATAGGACGGGCAGCAGGAGCATCCAAGCCCATGATAAGATTCGTGACGTTGTTGACAGTGGTAGACGGAGGTGGTGGTTGAGATGGTTCAGCAGAAGCTGGTGATGCAGCTTCTTCAGTCGCAGGCCGCTCGACGGCGTTTGCCAAGGTTGATGCGTTGGCCTTACCAAAGCTGAGCTTCCACCGGGATGGCTTCTTCGTTGGAGCCGAGGGTGGTACAGGAGTGCAAGTGACAAATGTTGAAGCTTTCGTTGCAGTTCGAGGGGTAGAAGAATTAAGCAGAGGGGTGGGCATGGCGTACATGGATACGGGTTCGAGGGGCTGTCGCTTGCGCGAGGAGGTGGAAGTGCTCTTGGGTGAAGAGGGAAGGGAGACCTTCGACTGCTTGCTCAGCTCCCGAGCCAAACACTCAGAAGCCGCGGCCAGGTTGACAATTGTATCGTCTTGGGGGGATGTAGGCGACGAAGCTTGGGCACCTTTGCCTTTGCGAGCTCCGCGCTTACGACGCTTGGAAGTGGAGGCAGATCGAGAGCCAGCTTCTTCGACGCCGAGGATAGGTTCAGAAGGCTCGGGCACCTCGACATCATCTTCGTTATCTTGATCGATGACAGTGGACAGCTCTGATTTCTCCTCGCGTTCGTAGGCGGGGCCGAGGGATGGTGCCCGGGAAAGCGATCTAGTGGGCATGGCAGGAGTACCACGAGCGGCGGTCGCGTTGGAGGGATTACGGGACATGGGACGATGAGACACGGGGATGGAGGTAATAGGATGACCTTGCGTCGAACTGGTGGACAAAGTGCGCTGCATCCCATGGCCAGCCAACATCGTCACCAAGTTATCCTTGACCCAAACACCGAAATCGGCCGCAGAGATGCGTCGGCCCTCGCTCTCATCACCCTCGAGGATGCAAAAGACTCTTGAAGCCAAGAACTCAGCAACACCTCGAGTCATTCCGGGGAAACGATTGGTGAAGAAATTGACGGGATCCCGACGGTAAAGGTCGAACGACGAGCAAGCACCTTCGGCCGTGTCGGTCCATGGGTTAAAGTGATACAACCTGAATTATATGTTAGCACGCTGAATTAGGGAAGAAAGTCGTAGCGAGTCCGCACATGTTGATTAGCACGATGCCAAGAGACCAAACATCAGCATCGCGAGGTCGATAGGTGGGAGCAATGTTGTTCCTGCATTCTGACCATGTGTGTTAGTATCAACTGCTACAATATGGATACGTCAAGTTGAGCTCACCGTAGCTCATGTAGGGCGCGCTTCCACAATCGACGTCCGAAGAGTCGATGTCGGTAGTTGACAAACCGAAGTCCGTCAACTTGACAATGACCTTTCGTTCTTGACGTCCGTTCGCCAGCATCACCCAACCATCTGTAACGATAAAGTTTTCAGGCTTGATATCGCGGTGGAAGACTTGGGTGGAGTGGCAGGCGGCAACAGCGTCACACATCTGGGAGAACATCGAAGCGATGAGGCGAAGGCGAGTGCGCGAGAGCAGTTGCGAAGGGTGGAGATTGGAGAGTAAACTGGGAGTTGGGGGAGTGCGAGAGTTGTACATGACAAAATCAGAAGGCTGGGGTTCATAATGGTCACGGGCTTGTTCCAAAAAATAGAAAAGGTCCTCGCCCGGAACGTATTCCAGGAGAAGAAGTAAGAAAGAAGGGGTCTCAAGTGTGCGGTGTAGCGTTACAATATTTGGGTGGAGGGGAAGAGATTGATGGATCGTAACCTGCACATGGTGTCAACTACTGAACACACGGAGCTTCTGATCTAAACACGCACCTCAGTCATTTGGGCGGCCAGAGCCTCCTCGTCAAGGTTGGCCTTGGACAGCAATTTGATAGCGTATTCACGCCCATACTCTAGCTGAGGGGTGCCGTCCATATCCATGGAGCCGATGGTTGTCATGTGGCCGTCTTCAGAAGGAGGGGGTCGGGAAAGAATTTCTCGAACCAGGTAGACAACAGCGTAGCTGCCAGTGCCGAGGACACGCACGACTTCAAACTCCTTGGCTGGTGCAGCTGCATCTGACTCGTTCGTGGACCCAACCAACCGGAGAACCTCATTCTGGAGAACAAGGCCCTCGCCGACAATATCCCCAGGTGTTAACACGTCTTCAATGGGATACGAGCCTGAAGAGGCGCATTGGGATAGAGCCGAAGGGGGTGCTGGGCCGCTGGGTTGCTGGCGGAACGGGACGGGGCTTGCAGAAAGCTGACGGGAGGAGATGTAAGGGCTACGTGGGTGCTTGGCCGAGGCGGTTGACGGGGACGAAGCTGACGGTGACGGGACCAGATTGGTCGAAATCGAGAGTGGCACGATCGGTGCTGGCAAACGATTTGGACCAACTGGCCTGGCAGCATACGGGTCCTTCTGGAAGCGGAGGGAGCTCAATGGCTGTGGCTGGCGAGGGGGGTCATTACTGAGCAAATAAGGAATGTTATCTTTAGAGGGTTTAGAGGCGAGCTTTGCAGATGAGGAGAGGGACAGCGAGGGAACCTGAACCGGGTACTGCAACATGAGCGACAGAGGCAGCTGAAAAACGGTTCGTGGCTGTCAGCGATGCTGAGCGCAGGGGACGTAGAGTGTCGGTTGAAATCGACCGGGGTCAGAGACTATGAGGACGTTGAGGGCATGCAGGAGACCGTGGTTGAGAACGTGTCGGAGAAGGGAGAGGACGCCCCGTCGACGCCTAGCTTTGCTGTGGAACGAGAAAAGCTGGGGTAATGAATCAGCAACTCTGGGGACGGTGGCAAACGGGGCGCCGTCGACGTCGACAACGACGACGACAAGCAGCAACGCACCGTAGATGAAGAGGCCGACGAGAAGAGCGACGTTCAACGACGACAACGACGGCGGCGGCGAAAAGTTGGGAGACTGGAGAAGATGAAAGCAGAGGAACAGTGGGAACTTGAATGTAGTGGCTGGGCAAAGCCCCGTGCGACGCATGGACTCACATGGAACCTATTTGTGAACCACGCGGTATCATATATTACTCGGTTTTACGATCTATTTCTTCTTCTATATACTCGCTACACCCTTGTTATACATTTCTATGCCCTCGCCACCTTTCAACTGAGCTCAATGACTCGAGAAATTGCCCCCAAAGACCGTTGTTCTGAGACAAACGACCCGCCCAAGTATGTACCACAATTTCCAAATCGGGCCGTCCCATGTGCTGCGAACACAGCATTGGATATCGAAAGCGGCAGATCATCTGCATACTCAATTATCGCCTACTATCAACGTATTGCTACCTAGTGTTTCCATCCACCGTTTCTCCAGTTCGGCCGAATCTTCTGCGCTCAAGCACTGGCGTCCCTGCGCTACCACCTTGCTCGCTTCGATTCCCTTCCCATACTCAAGCAGCCACTTGGCCCATGCTGTCCTAGCCCCAACTTCGTCCTTCTGGCGCCAGTAGCCATAGATTTCTTCCAGAACCATCCTCTTCTCGTCGGTCCCTTTACCCCCACTCTCCTCTTCCTCGTTTCCTCCAGCGACAACCTCGAAAACCCGTTTCCAAACCTGCCCAGTCGTGAGATATCCACTTGCCATATGGCGGACTGCATCTAGCCATTTCCTCCACCCATGCGGTTGATCCGATGTCAATCCGGACTCCGGCGTTCTGCATGCCTCTTCAAGCACCGTGACATAATGCATGAGGAGCACCTCGTGTACGCCTTGGTGGCAGGAAGCCCGCAAGCTCTCCTTTAACAATTCCTGCACATGGGTTATGAATCGGTATCATTCACTCCCGATTAGCTTGTCACTCACCTCATGCAGTCGCTTCCTACCGTCGAGGTCCTCCCTGGACAACTGTTCGATGCCCCAGAGCCAGACCGGCGTCACATCTTCTTCGCTGCCTGCAACCTGTCTTCTTGCTTCTGACCATACGCTCAGCACCGCGGTATCATCGCCCTCCTGTGTACCCACAACCTTCTCAGCCTTGAGCCGTTCTAGCCACACCCGTGAGGACTGCGGTACTCTGGATGTGTACTTTTGGGCAGTCCGTCGAACCTTGGCAGGGGAGACGGACGGCGTTTGCATCAACAAACAAATATGGGTCGCAAGGAGTGATGGCGACGACTTGGTCATCTGAACCAGTCCCTTCAACGACGCGATAAGATAGGTTTTCTATGTAAAGCAATGTATCAGTGTCTTCCTTCACATGACGGAAGGTGCAAGCATACCAGGCTGTCATCATCAACTCGCGAGTACCAATTCTCCACAAAGTTGGCGTACGATTCCAGTAAGGCTTCGTCCTTGGAGTCACCAATGGTCTTCAGCATTTCTTCATTCGCTTTTCGCAAACCATCCACCAATTCAATTCCATGTTTAGAGCCCCGTCCCAACCAGCGGTGGGTTCTCAACTCCATGGACTTCGGGTCCCGAGGTAGAGTTTCTCCCAGAACATCATATAGATATTCTAAGAGGGACTCCTGTAAAGTCGGGGGTGACGGGAATTCCGAGATGACAGTCTCGAGGGCCAGGAAGAGCTCCACCTTCGGTAGCGCTTGACAATACAACAGAAAGACATCAATACGTACAATCCAGAGTTCCACAAAAACGCCACCAAGCTTACCTTGAGCGGCACTTTGGATGACAGATTTCACAATAGCACCTTCCATAATCTGGCGACGACCTTCATCACCCTCGACAGCTTCCGGTTCTTCTGCCTCATTCGTGCCCTGGTTGATGCCCGGGGGTCCCATGATAACATCGTCGTCATCCTGTAGACCTTGAAGGAAGGCACTCGGATCCGAATCCTCCTCCACGGCTTTCTCTTTTCCCTTCAGGGTTCCATCCGCAAAGGCCCTGATACCCAAGACTTCCCACCGACGTCGCAAACTCTCGATAAATCCAAGTTCCATCTTCACATACTCTTTCCATAATTCAACGCTGTCTGGATTGACGCGGATGCCGCGTTGAAGGAGGGAGCGGGCGGTCGAAGGAGAGAGATTATCAAGTTCATGGGCTGCGGCGAGCACGTAGAATATGGGATTATTGGGGTGCAGTTGCAGGGCTCTACAGATAATGTGAGCTCCAGATTGTCTCAGGTTAGTGTGAAATGCAAAGTGATATACCTGGCGGTGACGCGCCCAACAAGGGCTCTGGCGCCTTCACGTTTGGCCACCTGAATATATTGAGTCCAGAGGCCGATATCAGATTTGAACCGTTTTAGAGCTCGTTCGAAGATGAGGAACTGGCGCCGGACGAAGGCATAGTCCGAGATAGTTGAAGGGCTTTTGGGAAGATCTATACTTCGAATTGAGAGAAATTCAGGCACGCAAACGACAAGAGGACTCACCTAACCGCTCTATTCTCTTCTTGCGTAGTTTTTCCAGGTCCATCTCGTAGGAGATATACCGTATGTAATCTGACTTTTTGGCGACTCTGCGGACGAGAGAAGACTCGAAGACGGTGCGTTGCTTGATGATTTGTTTTATCTCTTTCTAGGAGAGCTGGATATATCAATATAGACATAGAAGAGCGTGTACCATCAAGACTCACTTCAGTGAACAGATTCTTCTCCACCAAGTCTTTCAACTCGGGGAGCATCTATATGGGCGTGAACTACTGAAATCTCGTGCAGTTCTTGTCAAGCAACACACCTGCTCCTGTTGGAATTGGACGCGTTCCATCGTTTCGTCTGTGTCCCTCTCTTCCGATTTGAATCTGGATATAAGGTCTGTGGTGACCGACAGAGGCGGTGGAAGCGCTATACAAGTTGGAAGCAAAAAGTTTTGACCCATCAACAAACATACCGTTCACGGACCGGGGGAGCCGGTTAGGGTCAGTCAGCGACTCTGGAGTGCGCTCGTTGTCAGAAACCAGACCATTACAGGCTCTTCGTACTCGGCATTTAAACGTTCGTTCGGCTCAGGGGGAGGGTGTATATATTTGAAAATGCCGTCTAAAGGACACCGGAGCAGCAGCACAGGCAGACTCGCACGCACGAGCTCAGCAACCAAAGTCACCAACAACCTTCAGTTCACCCAGAAGGACCTACCAGTTTCGAAGCACTCAGATAAGGGGAAGAAGTCTGGAGGATATGCCAATGATGTTAGTCTTCTTTCTTTTCTTTCTTCTTGGGCTTCTTTGGGAACCGGACAAACTGACCTCAACCCCTTTTCACATATAGAAGACCCCAGCGTTCAACCGGACGAGCAGCAGCCAACGCATTCACTCGAGAGAGCAGATGCAACCCTTGCGGCGACACAACCCGCCTCCGAAGGCCAATGGTGGAAAACCGAAGGCGGGATTCACAATCACCGCAGCTGAGGATGACGACGACGACGACGAATGGGTGTCCAGCTCCAGCGGTGTCGTTACTCCAAGTAACCAGGACTCGGACTCGGAAACTGCGTCTGAGAATGATGGCTCAGAGGTGGGGGCTCTGTATGCCCAGCACAACCAGCCGCCGAATCGCACAGGTCCCAGTGGGGCTCCGACATTGCAGAGGGTCGAAACAGCCCGACCATCCGAGTTTGCGCCGTCCACTCCCAAGAACGAGGTTCGCCTCCCAGCTCCAGCTGCTGCTGCGCCATCCCATACCCAGGGTTTACACGGCCACCCTTCCCATGCCGATGTCCATAATGCCCAGCTTCATCATCTTCAATCACAACTCAGAAATCTCGAACTCGAGAGTGCGAAAGAAACCCGCACCGATCAGGCTCCCCCATCCCGGCACGGTTCTCGACAATCACATAGCAGAAGGTCCTCGAGACCGTCGTCAACTTATTCATTTTCTAGTAAATCTGATGTTCGTCCCCACCCTCTCATTCGAGGACAATCGTTCGGCCATCTCAACGTCGCCAAAAACTCCCCTCTTACCCCTCTCACAGCGGCAGCCCCTCCACAGCTATCAACATCTCCCTCTTCCAGCATCCATGAAGACCCACGGAACTTTTTACCCAGTTCTCCGGCTTCAACGTCGGGTGGTTCTTTCATAGATAAGACAAACTTAGATCACCATCGGCGCACGTCCTTTTCTTCTGCCCGCTCGGTGGCTACCGTCCCCGTTCAGCCAGCGCTCCGTGCCGAACAAAGCCGAAATAACGACAGAACACGCACACTCTCAACGATGTCGACATCGTCTTCTTCTGCTGCACTCTCAGCCTTATCGCATCTCCCTGCAGTCACACGACCACCCTCACCCCAAACAATTGTCTTCTTCCCGCCGGTCAATCCCCACGCAAACACAGAGAACATCCACCCATTGCTGCCTGGGCCTTACCTTAATAATCATTTGACTGTCTTGTCGCGAAGGATTCCTCTGAGGGAGTCGTATGACCGCGTTATTAAAGCGAAGCAAGCTTTATGAACCCCCTCGTGTTCTGCGACATACTTATACCCTGATAATTGTATGTGTGGTGAGCACCTTCCCTTATCGAAGAAGCCTTTGACTTACTCCGAGAACGTAGTGTAAAGACAACCCTGTCTTATCTCGCTTTCGAATTGGACACTTGTCATATATGGACCTTCAGTTAGGTGTTTAAGGTAGTAATTTCAATTCAGACTAGTCCCACTGCGCGAAGAAGCTGTCGGATTCAAGTGCGACGCAGGAGCAATAAAGGTACATTGAAGTGAGAGAACCCCTATCGAAGGCGAACTTGTGCGAAGGAGCTAAGGACATTTCGGTTTTTCACTTCATTTGATCTTGGTGGACCCGTTACTGTGACTGGGATTTGAAGATCTGAGATCTGAAGGCTAATCATCTATTGTAGATTCGGATCGACGCATCTATTGCACTTAGAACACGGAGGCTTGTCAGGCTGGCGACGGTCGTAAAGGCCATATTTGTAGCTTTTTAAGGCAAATACAAGGTATATGCAATTCAAGTACTCCGGCGCACGGGTCTATGCACTAGGAGAGAGAGGGCCACTATGAGAAATAGAAAGCCGGGATTGTGAAGCCGCAGACTCACTGTATGGTACGTCTGGGCGTGCTATACGCTACCTGGGGGTTCGGCCCCAAGTAGACCCTTAGCAAGATGTTCTCGGGATCTGACAACAGGGTGCATGGATGAGACGATTGACATCAAAAGAGACAGAAGGGCGAACAAACCTATCAAGATACCCATGAACGCTATACGGGAATGCGTGCCCCAACACAACATTCCACCCCTACTGGGCAGTGGCTACAAAGCGAGATGGCGCGTCCTCCATCCCGAAAGTGACCACTGCCTAGGCAGCCAGTACCCCATACCCAGACTTGTGGACACCCAAGCCAGGATACAGGATGACTGTAGCCCACCGCAAGGAGCCAAGCATGGAGCTCCAGGGTACCGATCCCCTTCACTCAGCACGCAAGCCCCTCCCTCCCTCCCTCTTCCCTTCACTACAGTCGAATCGGTGGATCGAATCGTTCGTCGGCGGATTTGATACTGGCGATGCGTCGGACAGCAGCCAATCTCTTCCGCTGGTGTCGGATGTCGATGTCGGCGTCGGGGCTGCTGGTGTCGATCGTTCTGGAAAAGGTTACTGCCACCGCACACAAATAAGTTTCAGTAAATGGGATGAAGAGGGTCAGGCGTACGTCTGTTCTCATCGGGCCCGCTGATATATATGGGCGCTGCGCAGCGCATAACGGCGGTCCAAGACAGTTGATTTGTGTCGCACTAGAGGATCCCCCCCTCTCTGGCGTTTAAGTCGGGGCACATTCGCCCCGATGCTTTCCGCGTGCGACGGTGGATAGCTGCGAGAGACCCAGCGGGTCCGTTGTCAGTACTGTAGGCATGAGACGTGGACACGTTGGACTCACTTGGCTGTACTTGGACCCTGCTATGGCAGGTTCTACTCATCCCGGCGCCAGGATGTTACAAGGGGCCCCTGTCAGGACCATCGTTAATGTTTACACAGAAAAGAGAATGAGAAAGGCGTACGGATTTTCCATTGGTGCCCCGTTTCGAACCTGCCGAGTGTAATAATGAGGAAAGTGGACTGAAGGCTGGGTGCGCTATATATACCACTTTTCGTCCTCCTTTCTCAATAAGAAACCGGGTGTAAATCAGGAGGCCAGACATGGTACTAGACTGAGATATATTCCAGTCCGAGTCGTTCGCCTCGATTACAAGTTCCAGTTTCAAAACCTCCAGTACATTGAGTAACAAAAAGAGTAGACGTCATAGAGTTCTGAGGGACTTGGTCAAAGGCAACGGCAGTCGCGAAGCATATTCGAGTTCCAAATAGTCAGGAGTAGTTTTCAGTCAAGTATCGTTCCAGACCGACATTGACGATCCATTGCAAGTTCTCGCAGGAGCCCCCAGTAGCAGAGTCTAGAGAAGTGAAAGCAAGAGAGCCAGAATGGTTGAGAGCCAAGCTGGTATCGCATTTACGTGTCCAATAGCTTCTATAAATAGAACGCCCAATTGACACGCGACCAGATTCACAGCATCGACCGCGGCCACGACATTAATCCCGTTCACTACCATCTGCAGCGCACCCTGAAATAACCAAAAATGTGGCTCACAGATGCTCAGAGTTCGTCGTTCGCCTCGATATCTTGCAGAGAATTAGAACTCACCATGTTCATAGAAATCGGAGTCGCGCTCACCACGTTCGGAGGGCTCTTCATGCTTCTTGGTGTAATGCTCTTCTTCGACGGAGCCCTTTTGGCTTTGGGAAATGTATGTTGACTATTATGTTCACTTCACTGCCCAAGGTATCACTGACATCTTCGCTTGTTCAGATTCTATTCGTTTCCGGTCTTGCTTTGATCATCGGTCCTCAAAAAACCTTTGCCTTCTTCGCTCGCAAACAGAAAATTCGCGGTTCAATTTGTTTCTTTGGTGGAATCCTTCTTGTCTTCCTCAAATGGCCATTCATCGGGATGATTGTCGAAACGTTTGGGTTCTTGAACTTGTTTGGGTGCGTCTTGCCACGTCTACAACCACTTATACCACCATTCACTGACCCTATGCTACAGCGACTTCTTCCCAGTTGTTGTAACATTCCTGCGCCAGCTACCCTTCATTGGAAATATCCTTTCGTTGCCGTACATTCGAGGGGTCCGTCTACTCAGTGCTCTCCGCCATTCATCGCTCACGATACTGCTTGCAGTTTGTCGACCGCCTCGCTGGTTCACGCACGTCAGCTGTATAAACGACATTATCACGACTCCTGCTTATAGATATACATTACGCCTAATGAACTGCTTCGACGCCCATCCCAAGTGTTCGAATATGCCCGACAGTGAACTCAAACAAGATGCGCCCCCTCTGAACCATCTTTAACCGCTTGAATCTACGCGCAATAAACCCTACGACCCAAATGCCCACGCCTCAGATTTTGGCTGTGTGTTGTTCGCCTGTCCCACTGCCAGTCTCTGCCAGTGCAAGTGTATTCCTGAACTTTTGATGGCGGGTGAGAAGACGGACCGCTTCCCTACCATTCTTCTTTTCTTTCCCCTCGCCCTCAACTTTAACGAGCGACAATGCCACACAAAGTCCTCGCTGAGATCCTCGAGGTACCTGCTATTCAAAGATCTCATTGCACAACCGTGGTCTAATTCCTTCCTAAAGAAAAATTACGCGAGGTTTAGGCAAAGCCATCCAGAGGAAGGTCGTCGGAAACGCATTTTGCGAACATTACGCTCCAATTGGCCAGATGGATCCTACCCGATCGACAACTCAACCGTCGACATCAACCTGGAGGTTCTTTACTTTCATTTTCTTTTGCAAAACTGTCACTACAACATTTCTTTCTTCTAGGAGCTTGACTCAGATCCATACGATGCGTTCCTCGAGTTAGATACTCCAGGTATCCTGCTACGAACTGATTATTCCAACGAAGAAGCCTGGCAAGAATTCCTTGCCAAGTTTCGAGAATCAGAGCGAGAGTTGCTCGAATCTTTGCGTCCATCTCAACCCGAAGCATTGAATTCTGAAGCAGCGCCAGCGAATCCTGTTCAAGATGTTCACATGAGAGATAACAACGACGACAATGACTCTGACAACTCGGAAGAAGACGGAAATATCCCTGACGCTGTCATCTCGGTGTATAGTGCTGCGACTGTCGAGGAACGCGCAACTTTGGAAAACATCTCCAACATCACGGCGCTCGGATTGTTCAACGACGTCGATATTCGACCGGCGGTACCACCACCACCAGAGACGAAAACGCGCTACAATCCCAACAATGTCTTGATCAATAAGAACGGCTGGCAGGAAATATACACTGGCTGCACATTGTGGCTATTCGACCGCAAGTCCCTCGAAGATCAGTGCGTACGGGTTGTCACGCCGTCTGGGGATTTATATGGAACAGCAACGTGAGTCGAGATTATACCTCGTTTTCATTGAAATTGACACTTGTTCAGTGGCGACAGTTGGCGGGCAAGGGTCTCTCACATTGCAGAGCTGCAATTCAACATGACGTACCTTGGGATGCAGATCGACTTCGGTGGCCTCGACAGATGGGATCCTCAAGAAAGGTCTCGCAACCTGAACGAAACTAGTGCTTTCTGAATCGATCAATAAGACAGCCATTTCACAACCCAGTCATTTCCGTGTTTTTGAGATGTTTTTGTCATTTGCAGAAGGGCGGCTAACGAAAAAACAGTATGATCCATTTTATGAGGTGACGGTCCAGACACGGAGTGCGTTGTCAGTGAAGCCAGCGAAGAGAGTTTGGCCATCGGCGGACCAGGCGATCGAGACACACTCGGGTTGTCGGGCATCCTCACTGACATCGGTGTAGGCGGGCTTGAGCTCGTCGACGATGGACCTATTTTGAAAAGATCAGTGCGTGCCAGAAGATGCTGAAGCGTCCTACTCACTTGCTCTCAAGGTCGAAAATCTTGACGCAGCTGGCGGTGGCAGCGCAGAGCCAGTAACGGTTGGGGGAGAAGACAAGGGCGTTGACAATGTCACCGGCCTCGAGGGAGTAGAGGTGCTTGCCCTCGTTGAGATCCCAAAGCATGGTGATACCGTCCTTGCCGCCGGAGGCAGCAAGCGAGCCGTCGGGAGAGACGGCGACGGTGTTGATGTAGCCAGTGTGGCCGTAGTGGTTGGTCTTCAACTTGAACTTGGAGAGTTCCCAGACCTAAGAGAAATCATCAATACTACGTTTTGAAAAAAGCCGGGTCAAGATTGAAAAAAGCGTCAGAGATCTTGGTGGAAATGTTGTCTCATAGAGCGTGTGCTCTCTGAAGTAGCAAATATTTATTCTATGCATCATACGAACGGTGCGATTGGAATAAAATGGGATGCGGAAACTGACCTTAACAACCTTGTCCCAACCACAGGAGACAATGACAGGGTTCATGACGTTGGGGCTGAATCGCACGCAGGAAACCCTATGAATCGAAACGGTAAGAAGCTGGTCCAGTTGGCAGTCCAACGTTTACGGACCATTCGGAGTGACCATCCTCCTTGATGTCATACTTGCATTCACCGAGGGTGTTCCAGAGCTTGATCGTCCTGTCACGAGAGCCAGAGACGATTTGTCGGTTGTCAGCACTGAAGCTGACGGAGAGGACGTCGGAGGTGTGGCCAACAAAGCGACGGGTGGTCTGGCCGGTGTTCAAGTCCCAGAGTCGGAGAGTGTGGTCCCAGGAGGAGGAGAGGGCGAACTGGCCATCGGAGGAGATAACGACATCCGAAACGAAGTGGTTGTGGCCGTGGAGGATCTTTTTGGGGTATCCGTAGCTGACGTCGTCGCGAGTCAATTGCCATACAATGATGGTCTTGTCTGTCGAGATGTTGGTCGATGAGCGCGGTAATTTGAGATAATCCAGGGAAACTGACCTCGCGACGCGGTCAAAATCATGTCAGGGTTCTCCGACGACGTGGCGATGGCGGTGACCCATCCCTTGTGGCCTTCCAACGATCCCAGGAAACGCAAAGATTCGGCCATTTTGAATGCAGAAAGCTTCGTCGATGGCGAGCTCGATGGCCTCTGAGAAATTGATGTTGTCCCCTGTGTGGGAAACCCGGTGGCTATCCACGTGATCGTCAGCTACATAGCTTTCGGACATTTCCGTGATGTGCCGTGCGGCACGACTCAAACCTCCAATCCTTTCAATCGCAGTAACGCCCCTTCGTTCCACTGATGGCCCCTATCCCGGTTATAAGTAAGTCACAGCTCGTCCGTAATCATTCATCGCCGTTAACAGTCCTGCAGTTGATACAGATCCAGGCGTAGATGACATTATCGCAATGTAATCATGTTTTTAGGGAGCGTCGGTTGGCGGCTTTAACATCATTGCAGTCTTTTGGCGCTCGCATCTCCTGAGCTCGAGATTATAGCATTCCTGGTCTCTTACGGTCGGTTCCAGAGGAGCTTCTACATACATCTAGGCTGAGATGACTTACATTAACAGGTAACACGGATAGAGACTCATCAGTGTGCGTTCTTGGCAACATGTCATTCATCCGGACTTCCTGAAGACCGAGGGTCTAGCCTGAACATCTTCAAGGCCTATCAGGCTGTGGCTCGTCATCTCGAAGCATATCCAAATGATGCTTCCAGGTTCCCTAATTACAACCCCGCAAAGCCTCCTCTGTTGCTGTGTGCTGCGGCTCGTCCTCTGGAAGGCGAATTGCATAGTGCCCAGTACTTCCACGGAAGGTAAGTCCACTTAAGATTTAATCTCGGCGACGAGTCAGCGCTTAATGGACGTAGAGATGGCCTTGCCGGTATATCCGAGCGTCACCCGGACCTGAATGTCGATGATGTCGAGTCGTTCAATGGGCAGCATAAATGTGTCCAGCTGGAAGAAATGACACCAGATAATTTTCCTGCCATCGTCTCCGACTTACTTCGTCAACATCCTCCGCGTTCGGTGACGTACATAGCCCTGGGACCCCTAACCAATCTTGCCCATATAACGAGGCATGACCCTGCAGTCATCAATGAACGAATCGGACGCGTCGTTTGCATGGGTGGTGCATTGGACGTGCCCGGAAACACCACGCCGTGCGCCGAGTGTAAGTAACTCCCTTGAGAAATTATATGGCCAATGCAGCTAATGTTTCTCATCAAGTCAACTTTTACGCCGACCCTTTCGCTGTTAAACGCCTACTCCTGGACCCAGAAAACCCATGCGCTCTACCGGTGGACCGCTTCATCCTCCTCCCTCTTGATATAACCACGCCACATGAACTCCGCTTCTCCTTGTACAAATCCAAGGTGGATCCAGAGTTCGAAAACACCGCTCATCCATCCCGACTAGCAAACGGGAAATCCCCCCTAACCCATTTCACGAGCGCGTTTCTGGAGAGAACGAGGGAAGTTATGATGGAGTTTGGGAATGACGCTATCGAACTCCATGACATCGTCGCCGTGTGGTGTGCCATCGAGAATCCACCGGGGGAAGCTGACCCTGAAGCAACGAATCCCTGTTCTCTCGGTATCGGATGGAGGGCCAGGAAACGCATCTTTGATATTGAGCGGTAAATGCGTTTTACCTTCCTATTATCTCACCGCTCACCGGTCACCCACTTCAGGTACGGTGAGCTTACGCGTGGAATGCTGGTGGTTGACAGGCGTGTAGACGCTTCTGCCTATGCCCCGGGAGCCAACCGCGCTCAAGTGCAGAAAGAGTTGGGAGATCTTCATTGCAGTGAAGGATTATGGGAGTCGACTGCTGTCCCTGCTCAAGTCGACGTCGAGGAGGCCCCCGCTGTCACTGGGGAGCAGCAGGGGGTATGGTGTATGACGCACACGCCAGGTCCGGGGAAGCTGCTTGAACTGATGTTGCATCGGATTTGGAACGCTAAACTACAATAGTGGTCCGTCATCAGGGGAGTTGCTCGCCTGCAAATTGTGGGTTCCAACATCTTCCTCTGAGACTTTCCCTGGAACATTCTGTTCCTGTCTGATTAGCGTGATCTCTGACGCAAAGTCAATTTCGTCCAATGGGACGAGGGTATCCGCCAAAACGCGTCTTAGAACAAGATACGCCACCGGCACAAGGAGACTGTCAAAAGTATATATGAACGGTGTCGTCAGACCAGACGGCTTTGTTCTTCAGGCAACTTACCAGTTCAAATAGTTATACAAAAAAAGGGCACCGTCGAAGCCATTGACGAAAGATGTCCAGCCACAGGTGAGAACGATTAGGACATTCATGGACAAAGCATAATACTTTTTGGCGTCTAACCATCAGAGATCGTTACACAAGAAGCCACGCTGGCAGAGTACGCACCGTGAGATATGGCTGTAAGGGACTTTTGTACGGCAATGCCTCTCTTTCAATCCCTTGTTCGCGTAATCCGTCGAAAAACCTCAGGTACGTAATGCATATCACTATCCAAGAGACCAGGCCAGCTGTGGTCACAATGGACATAAGCCACATAAATGCTTGCGAAGCTCCACGGTCTACGCTCAAAAAAGAAACCACGCCCCATGCTGCAGATGCCAGGACGGCGATGTAGGGGACGTGATAACGGTTCAATCTGAGGAAGAAACGTGGAGCATTACAGTCCAATGCCATGCCATGTAGCGTCCGAGACGCTAAGAAGGTGCAAGCATTCGCCGAACTGACTGCGGATAGAAAGATCTAGGAAGCAAGTTCAAGCGAACCCTCGAATGGAAATGCAGACCTAGTGCTTACGACTCCGTTGCAGAGCGATGGAAGAGCCTAAATAACCATGCAAGGTCAGATGACTGGGTTTGGAAGTTGTGGATACTCGAACCTTAATCCCCGAGTGGCTAAGTGCAATAACAAAGGGACTCTGAGTGGCAGTTCCTGTGTGTAAACCAAGTCGACGGTCGTCCGCCGGAACCAAGATAGAGATTACAAAAACGGAAACGACATAGAGAAACACCACCCGGATGAAAGTAGTCTTCAATGCTGCTGGTATAGTTTTGCGAGGGTTGCGAGTCTCGGCGCCTGCGATGGCTACGACTTGCACATTGCCATAAGCAAACGCCGCGGAGATCATGGTCGACCAGAATCCGGCTAGCCGGCCCTCGTTCCCCTTGAAAATGTATTCACGAATGAGCGGGTAAGGAGGGGACCAATAACGTAGCCCAATCGCCCCGGCGCTGTCCCGACCGAAAACGCCCAGATCCAGCAGAAATCCCGAGATGATAAACAGGACTATAAATGCAACCTTCCACCACACAAAAGCTTCAATTATCCTGGAACCTGCAAATTGGCCACTGCCTTACCTTGATAAAAGCAAAGTAGAATTCGAATTCCCCATAGAGCCTTACGGGACCCAAGTTTATGAGAGTGATTGCAAACCATAGCACCCTGATATCACGGAATTAGCGCTATCTTCTTCTGCCATTATCTCCAGGATGACGCACCCCAAAGGAATAACAACAGTTAGGTTTGGGTTCCAGAAGCCGAGTAAAGTCGTGGCAGCACTAATCTCCGCTGGCATTGTCACTGCCATGGAATACCAGAAGTTCCAACTAGTCCACGAGATCAGACCCTCGTTTGGAAGTCAAGGCTTGCTACCGGAACAAAGACCTACCCAATGACAATACCAGCGCTTCTGTCGATCCACATAGCAGCATGGCGCACGAAGCCACCCCCGACAGGCTTGAACGCACTCATCTCGGCGGATATTAACGCTATATATAACATATGGGTCAGCCCGAATTCAAGCACAAGACTGGGAATACCTATTGCAGCAGTTACCGTCCCCATCTATGGGACCGATTAGAAGGAAACTCAGAAGTTTGCGAAGTTGTGAAGTAGCATACCGTCAAGAAGCCTAACACACAACCTAATGGGCCCGCTTGCGAGAGCGCCTTCCCACTCGACAGGAAAAGACCCGTCCCTATCATGCCCGCGAGTGCGATCATGGAGAGGCTGTGAGACCGAAAGTGTGTTGAGTCGCTGGCCAGCGGCGATGTCTATCAAGGAACTCGATGATGATGGACCCACTGTCTTTCCTTCAGTCTGCGTCGCGTACCGCCATCCCCCCAGGATAGTGCAGCCTCGCTGTCGAGACGGATGCCGTGGGTGGGAGATGCTGAAGGCAACGGAGTATAGCCGTGCATCGATGTCACAATCACAGTCAATGGCGGATGGAAAGCTTGAAATTACCCGAGACGAAGATGTCGATGTGGTGGGGAGAGCCCAACGCAGGTGATGGAAAAGAGCAACCTGACAATTACGGTTGACCTGAAATATGTTCCGAATGGAATTAAGTGCATATCGCCGTGTCACTACGCTTGGTGGGGGGTTCCGGTACATACAATACACCCACAGTGTATGGAAAGTGACGTTGAGTAGTCACTCGGTCCAAGGGACAACCCTAGAGAGCAAGGACTAAAAGGGAAGAAACAAGACCACTGAACTAAATGTTTTTTGAATTCGAATTTGATTGAATTGATTTGGCGGAGTATCGCAGAAGTTGAAGAAGCGCTGGTGAACTCACCGGCAGTTGCCGTATGTTCTCTTACGCCATTTCACCTCAACTTTCACCAATAAGTACGAAGTGACATACTCCATGGACTCTGTTCAGTCTCCTTCCTGGCCCACTGTCTACACTCCTCACTGGCTGAAGTCATGACTCGAGGGCGCAAGAAAGACCTCACCATCCCCCCAACGCGCTCCCTCGTCCAGCAGAGGGACTATCGTGCTCGCAAGGCACACTATGTTGCAGAACTCGAGCAGCGCTGCAAGAAGGCAGAGGAAGAGAACAAACAATTACGCCAGGAGCTAGAGCTCGCTCGCGCAAATATGTCTGTTCCATTCCTTTACAACCCGTTAGCAGTACGTCCCGCAGTCCCATCGGGTTTACGTCGATTGTTGCTTATCTCCTCCCTGTTCCAGGCAGAAATGTCTGCGGAACTTCTCCAAAGCTTAACGAGAGCTTCGGACTCCCTAGTCAAATTCCAGGACTTTGCTCGCCGAAATCCATTGGAGAACTCTACTGCATCCAGTTCAAGACTAGAGGACGTGAGGCTGCCACCTCTGCAGGAACCATTCCACACGACACCGCATCACCTGCCTCCCATACTTCCTCCTGTCCCCTCGTTGTCCTATACTGGTGGTCATCAAAGCCATGGTGGTACTGGTCACCACCCCAGCGGCCATACTGCTGTCTATCTCCGTCGGAACCATTCACCTCGGAGAGGGAGAAAGCGCTTTTGTCTCGAGAACTCTCCATCCCCTCTACCGGATGATTACCCGGATACCGTGGACCACGGATACGATTCGTATCCACAATCATCACCGGCTAGACCTGGGTCGAATTGTTGCGGGGGGTACATTGACGGCGACTGTTATTGCGACAAACGATCAGGCGCAAACGAAAGACGCGCCGATTTAAATGAAGGAGCGTCCTCCCGATACCCACCACCGCCATCATTTACTTCCAGTCGTAGCTCTTCGGGAGACAGGTGATCCTGGGGGAACGCCGTATGATGATGGAGTTCCTGTCCATTTTTCGTTGCTATCGTTCTCCGTTACACCTATCTTCGCAGCGTAGCTGCAGGAAAGTGGTCCATGGTGACACGTTTCTTCCGTACAAGTGTATTCTACTTGTGTGTTAATTCTTGATATCGAGGGCAGCGTTGGCTCCAGGCCAGTTCAGTTTGTACCGAAGGTACAGCGAGACAGGTTAGGCCAAGAGGAGGGTCATATCATGACGATGAGCCCTCTGGCGATGGGATAGATCCTGACATCAGGAAGGGAGGAAAACACTTTGAAGGGGCACTTATGTATGCACAAAGTTACACATACAATCTGTCACAGATTTGGGCCTGGCTGCAAAACCGTGAACAGAATGCATGGCCTAAGCACAACGCAGGTTGCCATTGTACCTGAAAATCCACTGCCGCCGTTGACGTGGTTGGACGCTTGTTCAGAGACGTTGTGAACGAATCTATGGAGATCCTCTTCGTGTCTGTTTCATCACAAGCAATTGGTAGCAGCTAGACGAGCTTTTAAGGGCCGGGGAAGCAGTTCATGATAGTGCCTGAGTTTACCGCTGTAAGTAACCGCGCCAGGCGAGTACCGCGTTGACACAGGTGCCGTGGAGCACCCCCTAGCATTTCCGGCCCTGTAGCCTCAGTGAAATAAATACATACATAACGAAGTTACGAAGGGGTTCTGTAGGGCCTCCCAGCGGGTGAGTGTGTCGGCCATGACCACTTCCCGTGCGCTCACATGTGTGGGTTGTGGATGACATGTGGGAAGAATTATAAGATTGTATGGGCTTTTTACGAGACGTGTAGGGTAATAAGAGGATAGAGAGGAGCTGTCAGCAACTGTAGCTGTGAGTTCCCGTCTTTTTACCAGTAACCATCGCCTACATCGCATGCCAACTTTCGAATGTACATCACAATTTAAATCCCTAGCAAGACCGAGTTTTTAAGCCGATATCCGAGATACTCTTGTCTATAGCCTGATGATACTAATATGGGCGTGTGCGATTGCTAAACACATCTGAAGCCCAACTTCGAAGTGGTTGCAAGCGCCGAGATAACGGAGTTACCTCATATCGTGACACTACATTGTGTTCTCCTCGTATGTGATCAGACGGATATCAGTTGGCGTTCTTCACGTAAATACGCCTCTAGGAGGCCAAGGGGAGACCATACAGTTTGATCAGGTTCCCAACTATGCCTCATCACCGCACTTGAAAGCGCAATACTCAGGGTCCGCATCTTTGCTTCTTTACGGTCCATCCGACCCCGACTGTATCTCTGGTTCTTGACATCTTCTTGCATCTGAAGCGTTTTGGGACTCGGAAGCCTGAGTCCGTGGCTAGGGACGGTTTCACTTGAAAGAACCTGTTTATCTCAATATGATATTTAAGTTATATATTGGTGGTTGTGTTTTGTCACAAGCATAGCCTGCCATCAACGCTGTAACACAGCTGTGGACATTCTGTAGGGCCAGTTGGAGGCGCGCTCCTTTGAGAGAAGTCAAATCTTACCGTTTCGGGCGACGGATCATGATTCCGTGGACACGGATGTGATCGCGAAGTGTTGACTCCCAAAGCGACCTTCACGGCCTTTCGCGCTTCACCCAGAATCGAGTGGGCGCTGTTATAAGAACTGCAACGCACCCTGCGAGCTGAAATCGACCGAAGGTGTGCATGACACAAACAAGGAGCCGTATCCTGATATAACTACAGGGCACCCTCAACTTTCTATTGCGTACTTTATCGTCTCTTCCTACCCAACGGTGTCTAACGTTCCATGGATAACCTCTCTTTCCCAACCGCTTTGTCCGTGTCTGCGGGTCAGGCAAGGGTTCCGTACCCGTTCCTCTCGCCGGATGAAGCTTTCGCTCTTTCTTCAAGAAACCTTGTAATCATCGCTACCGCAGCGGCAAGTGATCACTGCGTCCATTGGAGATGTCTGAATCGCTCTAACTTGCGATGTTGCAGATATGGATTTGGGATTTCGTACTGTCTCTTCCCGGGGACTACCAGCTACGAAAGGCTCACTCGATAACGCCACCCTGCATTGTCTATTTAACCTCGAGGTAGGTTTCCACAGAGCATCCTGGTTGACTTCCACCGACCTCTACGCATTCCCGCACTGCAGGTTGGCAACCTTCGGGCTCTGTGTGTATTCTATTATCTTCGCAGGTAGGCTCAACATTACCCGGTTCTCGCCCATCTTACGGAGAGGCGCGTGCAGTCCGTCCTACAGGTAACTGCGATGCCAACGACCTCGCCATTTCAGCGATAACGGTCCTTGCAATCGGGGCCTGCACATTGCTTGTACTCCTCCGCGTCCGAGCGACTTTCTATGATTCGCCATGTTTTATCTACATATATTGTGGATTCTGGCTGGCCCACCTATCATTGACCGCCGCGACATACTTCGCGATGCGTCGCCCTGCTATGGCTGTTGGAGAAACAGAATTTTGCAGCCCCAGCGGGGTCAACCGTTTGTACACGGCCTCGTCAGCCTTTCTATGCCTATATCACGGGGTGATGGTGCTCAGCATCTCATCACGCATGGCTTCGATGGCCGGCGGGGCCAATAATTCTCGCACCACGGCCACGGGAAAGGTCACTTTCATGAAGAATATCCTTCTCGGAAGTCACCTTCCGCCTTTCTCGCGAGGGATGTTGCGCAACACCCAGTTCTATTGCCTGTAGGTTTCTGAATACAGCTGATATCTACTATTGCCATGTCGCTGACCGTACGTCCCTATCTTAGAACAACCTTGATACTTGGTATTCTATGTGTTGTGTGGTCAATCGTCCACTATGATTCAGCCTACTACGGATCCCTCTTCACACTTCCCAACGTCGCAGTCATGAATATCATGGCTTGCCGTGTTTATAGGAACACCAAACTTGATGGTGTACAAGGCACCCAGCTTCCCTGTGTTGCTATGGCCCAGATCCAATTCGAGATCAACCAGAAGAGCTCGGAGTTGACGATGGATCTAGAGCACTCCCAGGGCAGGGCGAAGCATTGAGCGCTGAGCCACGGAACTAGCCAGTCCACTACCAGTGTACAATGTACCGCCACTACCTATACCCCTGATCAATTCCATTACGAGGAGGAGGTTGCAGAAATCAGTTGAATGCAGCCTTGAGTGGCACGATGCTCTGACGCGCGACGATGGCGAAAATCTGAGCTCAAAGGTCTGTGGAACACACAAGATCATACGTGCTGCTGTGGCGAAGCTCTGTTAGCGGCCGTGGAGTGGTTCGGAGGGTGGCCTTAACCAGAGACTAGAGAATCTGTAGAATACGGTCAGTTTCGCCCCAATGTGTGGCTCGGCGTAGTGGTTGTGTTTGTTGCTGGACTCGGGCTCGACTCAGATGGTCGTTGTTAGAGAAGAGGTGTTGGCGGTATTTCACGAAGGAGGCATACAGCTCGGGGATTGAGCCCCGCGAAGAAGTGGTTTCATATTGGACTAGAAGGAATCAGTCAGCGCGTCTACCAAAGGACTCGTATGGTTTAGACCAGAATTTCATTTCCACCTGTCAATTCATTGCATGGTGGCTTGAAACAGAAGTAGACCAAGTTACAAAGATCTCTACCTGTTAATTTTTGTCATTGAGGGTAACATTAGCCACAGTTGGCCAGTTGAGCTTGTGTCGGAGGTAAAGGGAGACCCAGGTTAGGGCAAGAAGCACGGGTACTTCAATGAGCGGGCCAATCGTCGCAGCGAGTGCCTGCTCCGAGTTGACTCCGTAAACAGCAATGGCCACAGCAATGGCCAGTTCCTATGACCATGGATTAGGATATATCACGCTGCAATGTTGTGATGTCTGGACTTACGAAATTGTTACTGGCAGCCGTAAACGCCTGCACTGTGGCCATCTCGTACGTGAACATACTTCGCTTCTTTTGATCCTTGTTCTTCGACAAGTAGAAGACGAAGAAAAACGTCAGGAACCACATGAGGACAAAGTAAACAATGAGTGGAACGAAGACTCTGAAAACAGGGCGGACGTTGGCGACAATGTTTTGACCTTGGTAGGCGAAGAGGACGAGAATGGTGTAAAGAAGACCCAAAAGAGCCAGTGGACCAAAGAAGGGAAGGAACTTCTTCTCGAAGAACTCCTTGCTGGTCAGCTTCCACACGACAAAGCGAGTGACGATGCCGGCTGCAAGGGGGATACCGAGATACTGCATTCCATCAGTCAGAACGAAATTCGACCTCCAAAGAACCGAGAACTCACGATCAAGACTGAAATCGCGACGTTTCCGTAATCCAAATGCAGCCTCCCATCGTCTGTATTTCCGATGACGTTGATGAAAAGCAGAGACAATGGTGAGTACAGAATAATCTGTAGAACTGCGTTAACTACAACCAGGATGGCTGCATAGTCTGCATCTCCCCGTGCAAGGTCGTTCCAAATCATGACCATCGCAATGCAGCGAGCAATCCCGACCATGATAACGCCAGTTCGGTAGGTGGGCAGATCGGGAAGTGTCGCCCAAGCCAGACCAAGCATCAAGAAGGGTCCCACTGTCCAGTTGATGGCGAGGGATATGCCAATATGGATCCAAAGTTGTTTGGACTTGAAGAGTGCCGGTAAGCGCTCGTATTGAACTTTGGTGAGAATGGGCCACATCATGACGATGAGACCGATGGCTATGGCTACATGTCTTGTCAGGCGAGGAGAGATCATAGACGACGGAGGATACATACGCAACGACACGTTATGAAACTTTGCAGCATCCAGTCCGTCTTTGATTGAGGGGACGTACTCTCCTAGCACGACACCCACTACCATTGTCACAATGATGAGGGGTGTGAGGAGCTTATCAAAAATACTGAGCTCGGAGAAGATTGCTTTTTGAAAAGTGTGAGCGACTGACGGTATCGAGACGATGCCATGCAATACTTGCCTTTGAACTGCAGCGATGACGCTCTGGGAGAGTCCTTCAATCCTTCGTCATCTGGCTCCATCCCATGGTGCACTTCAGGGGTGACTAGCACCTTTTCAGAAGGTAAGGAAGGATATGAGGACATCTGGTGGAAGATGTTGAATGTGTTTTGAGGGGACAGCAGTTGAAAACCTCTCGGTTAAAAGCAGTATCCACTTTCTCCTCCACGACTTTTGATTTTGATTTTGATTTTGAATATCAAAGGTCTTGGCAGCACTATCGACGAACGGCGCGGGTTCGATCCTTGATGGGGACGACATTTTCCAAGCAGTTCTGGAAGAGCAGTACCATAAGCAATCAACACTCGTAACACGGTCGTTATAATCATACATAAATAACAGAGCAAAGTCCGAGTAGCAGACAAAACAAGAGAGAGCCGACGATAGCAAGATAACGCACTACGATAGCGAAATTTATGAATTTATGGTCCGTGGATTGCCCCAAATTATGAGTGGTGCACTTCATATGGATGTCTGACGAGTTCATCGTAAAGATCGGCTGGAAGATCCCGAACAAGGGTCACTGCTATGCCGATCACAGGAGTGGCTTCCAGCGGAGGGAAAGTACGAAGTAGTTTCATTGGACTTGAAAGAATCAGTCAGCACTTTAAGATTAAGAAGGGAAGTCCGACGTACCTTGAAGAGGCCATGACTTCGTCCCTCATTAGTAAGAGCTGGGCAATCACGCAGAGGACGTTGAGATGGACGCCGAATGCGAGGAGGAAGTCCCATAGCTGGAGAACTTGATCGAGAGGGGGCGTACAAGCGCAGAGGGTTAAGACAGCTGGTAAGGTGTTAGCAAGAGTGTCTCCGTCGACATGACAGCCACCCACAAGGAAAAGCGTAAAGTTCGGCGGATAGGTTCTTGGACCGCAGATGGGCATATAATTCGGGGTCAACGAACTTCAGACAACGGTCCAGTAGCTGGACATGCAAGTTGAACATGGTGTTTGAGCATTGAATCGCGCCACTTACTCGTAAGCCTTTATGGACTCCTTCCAGAGTCGGTTGAACATACAGGGGACAGGCCTCTTCGATGAACTTGGCAAAGCAAAAGAATGCCTCGATTTCCGAAGGCATGGTGTACAGGAACGGCGCAGCAAGGACATTCATCCCCTGCACGTAGGTAAACCCGAGTTGATCTTCCGGTCTATCTGGTACCAAAGACAGTTTTCAGTAAAATCCTGGTGAGACATGGAGAGTCGCTGACCATGGTTCCTCCATACAAACGCATCTAGGAGGCGGACCAACATGTCCTCTCGAACGCGTTCCTTGAAACCCTTATCCGTTGCCAATGTCCTGTCAGGTACAAGATTGAGCCTTTGCGCCCACGCCTAAGAGTGGCCGACTACAGACCGGAATGTGTCGTTTCTGATCTTCTCCCTCACTTCGCATGGTCCTCGCGATACGTATCGAAGGTAAGTGTCACTGGGCAGTTCGTTGACGCGTAACAAGATCTTCCATATTCGAGGACGAAGATTGGGATCCTGTAGGGATTTTCCTGTCAAGGGTACACGGTCATGAGGGCAATTCAACATACCGTCTTGGACGGGATTCCTTCAACAAGGATCATGCGTCGCAACCGTTTCGTGCCATCGTCGACCTCTCCTGAGCGTGATTTTGAGCCTAGCTTTGGTTGATTGAGCAGCTTGTTGAATGCATGAGCGGTGGCTGCTGGGGAGTTCTCGGAAGGCATAAGGAGGCAGCAGACAAGAAGAGAACACCACCAAGGTTTGCTCCGCTTATGTCAGGCCTAATCAACCGCGACCCGGGCTTGGCGCAACCGCAACGCGACGTTGCTCAATCTCTTCCTCAACCACCATCAACCCAATACCTGCATCTCAAATGGACGTACCTTTCAGCTCCTCGGGCGCCCTAAGTCGAGCGCATTATAACATAGTCAGAAAGGTGGAGACTGCCTCAACACCCCAACAAGCAGACCAGTTATTAGCTTTAGAAATCAAGACCACCCATGAACGACTCTCGAAACGCTCTCTCACAATCGTTAGTCAAATCAAGGCCTAGGTCTAGAAATACAGACGTTTACCTTCAGGTAGAAAGAATGCAAGGAATGTCTGGTCATCCTACTTTACTGTGCATCCGCAGCTACCCCAGGATACCTCCCTCACGACACATTCGACTTTGGCCTGACCCACGCGTTAAACCTCGCGGCCGCGGGCAAGTCCATCGAAGATAGGCGTATAGGTAAGAGCGTCAGGCGACTATATGACTGCATTAGGCTCACCGCTACCACACTAGGATATTTGTATTGCACTGAATTAATGCCTGCTGACCATGAGTTGCGATTAATGATGATCAACACTATTCGCAAGGTTGTAACAATCGTCGTCTGGAGTGGCACCCTTTCTTAACCCCCGTTCCAGGATCTTGAAAGTGGGGTCGTCGGGAGACTCTGCCTCGCTCTGGAAAACTTGATTTCCATGGCAAACGAGGACATAGTGCCTGCAGTCAGGGATCCCCTGCAGATTCTTCTCTCTCATCCACAGTCAGTAGGTATACTGGCTACCTTTCTAGAACATGACGGTTGACGCGGCATTCTAGAGGACCAGTGCGACGTCGGGCTATCCTAGCCATGAGGTCGTTGTCAACTTTCGACTCTCAACTGCTTGGACATAACGCTCAGTTAATACTGAAGCGGCTCCGAGACCACGATGAATCTGTGGTGAGCGCCGCGTTGGTCGCTAGTGCAGGTATCCCATCGGTAAGCTGTCATGCCTCATCGTGCTCAACCGAGGTGAATCCTTAGCCATATCAGTCCAATCCCCATTTCCCAAAGCTCCGACACGTCGTGAATGGGATGATGTCTTCCATTGAGCCGTCGGCTCATGATCAAGCTTCCACACCGTCGTTGGCAGTTGTTCAATGTCTGCAAGCGTTAGGGTAAGAAAGGCACTCTGTTCTCCCTATTTTAATTTAACTGCGTCATAGCATGTCAGAGGAAAACATTCCATTCTGCATCGACCTGGTTAAATCAGCATCCCTTGCGCGGAACCCTGGTGGGTGCCGTCTATTAGACCTTCGCCTGCACAACACTAATACTGTGCCTTCAGCCCTCGTGTTGGGACTATGCAGACTTCTGTCGCAGCAGACGCCTTTCAGCTTGATTGAAGCGGAGAAGAAATGTGGCATGTCTCTGGTCCGCGGCTTGCAGGACTATCTTACGTCCCACAATTTGAACGACCAGTATGTCTATTTGGCTTGCTTATTGGGCTTGGACCCAGACGTTTGGGCGGGAACGTCCCCTGACCACCCCATCGTCCTCGAACCCTGGGAAGTGGAAAAGATAATGCAATATTTGGATTCCCCGGATACTCTACTTCGACGAATGGTACGTACCACCTCAAGTCTTGAATCCACCGATGCCGTCGACTAACCAATTTTCTAGACAATTACGCTAATCGCAAAGATCGATCAAGGGATCATAGCTGCGTACCTTTCCAAGTGTTTGGAGCATCTTCGGCCGGGACTGGATCTCCCCACTTTAAACGTACTCGCCATTCGATTACTTGATGTAGTCGAAGTCCTCACCGGGGACGATGGGGAGAAATATGCACAAGGCCTCAAGGATTTACTTGATCGCCTGTCATCGAATGGTATCATGGATCGACCCCGGGTTCTGGAAGGGGTTGTCGAAAACGTCCTCCTTTACATCAGAGCCTGTGAGATCTACTATGCAGCACATTCTGTTGGATATCCTATTGACGTGCCCATTTCCAGCCAATCACACTTTCCGGGTGTCTTGCGCCACCACCCTCCTGACCTACCTCATCGATTCTGCGGATGATGTAGGGCCAACGTTCCTGATTATCTGTTCGGCTTTAACGATGGAAACAATTGGCGCAACTGCCGTTTCACCGGTCGAGCTTCTTCAAGCCTTTTCTTCCAGCCTGAAGACATCTTCGCGTACGTCAATCTGATCCATTACAAACGCGCGATGTATTAATCAAGTAGAGCAGCCATTGTGCAGGACACTTCTCTGCTCACTGTCCTGCGTCTAATTGCAGAAGTCGATGAATCACAGGCTACAGGGGCACTGGAGGTTGTGACTGAGCTGGAGAGACGTTCCGGAAGGCATATACGAAAGGTGAACTCAGTGTCGTCTAAAATAGATGTATTTTGACCGAGTGTACGGTTCCAAGCGCTGTCAGCAAGTCCTCGAACTAGGCTCAGACCCAAAGGCGCTCCGCGACCGCATTCGGGCTTCTCCGTCTTCCACTGTGGGTAGTCGAGACGATGTAAGGGCTAATCTAACCTCTCATTCCCCTTAGTTACCAGACTTTCTGGAAGCTTTAGAACGCCCGCTTAAGCCAGTGCAAAAGCCCACTACAGCTTCAAGCTGTCCAGGATCACCCAGTCGGAGCTCACCTAAACTTCGTTACACTGCCTACGAGGCACCCCAGGCTATTCCTAGGTTACGGCACAAACGTTCGTCGAGTGCACACGGAAGTGTTCGATCGGACAGTGTCTCCGAGAAAGGGTTGGACCGACGCCGTTCTCAAGACGTCGAAGCCCTTCAACTATCCTTAGCTGCAGTCTCGCTCGGTATCAAGCCTGATATCCCCTCACAAGATCGAGGGTCAGAAGCTCCCGGATTCCCGCAGGTGCGTCACCCTTTTCCCAATTCTAGCCTAGCCATTTCTTATCACAGCACTGGCTGAGTTGTAGGATCCACCAAGGTCCGATCTAATCTCCTTGGACTCCCCATTTGTGTCGGAGTCAGATACCCAGGGTGACGATTTGTCGGTCTCTGAAGAGTTCGAGGGCAAATGGAACGGGTTGGGGGATGACCAGGGCGCACGAGGCTGGTGTGGCACCTCTGTTACAGCTGTGCTGCGAAGACTGCAGCAGCTGAATGGCTTTCGCCTCAAGTTGTTGCCTGGCGACATACCACCCTTCTTCGGTATGTTCCCCTTGTTCCCGACATGCACCGAAAACCTTACTGTTTCATTGTGATCAGGGGAGTTGAAAGTGATATTGGAAAATGGTGGAGGTGAAACCCAGCAGTTGGTTTTGGTCCGGATGAAGGAATCTGAAGACGACAGCTGTCTTTGGAGATTGAAGTGTGCAGATGAAAGGCTGCGAAAGAACGTGAAGAAAGTGCTCAGTGACGACGACTGAGGGGGGCCAAGACAGAAGTAAGTTGTATTAGAATCATAAGGCGTTAATAGAAGGCAGTGTTGGTGGACAGAAGGAGAGGAATGAGTCATTTTGAATGGTCGAGGGGATCTGAGTGAGGAGAGGACGGCGGAGTGGAGCCGGAGAATCGTGGGAACGTTGGACCACCCTGGATGCCCAAAACGAAAGATGGACGAAATTTGTTGTTCATCATTGAGTTGGCTCTTGCCACAAACCACGACGACGTCGCCTTACAAACAACAGCCAAACCTGCTTGCGTCCTTCAACTTATGATTCTTCCCCTTCCAATGTAAGCTTTTCTCGTTCCAGTTCCTTTATAAACCCTTACAATTCTTCTCTAGACTGGTACCACTGATCAGCACAATTATCTTCGCACCACTTGTTTGCGCCCTCGTCGACACAGACCGACCTCCTTAGGACCAGCTTGGACCCACGAATTCGCTTTAAACTCTTTCTCTTCACCCATGGGATAATTTGAATATCTCTTTCCAACCTGGTTGCCCGCCCAACTCGCCCGCCTCTAGATCAGTACAACTCCACTCCCTCAGCATCACCCAGAAAAATACAGAAAACAAACTAAAAGCATCGACTACCAAGATGATCAACGCGCTCAAGAATCCCTCTTTCTTCCGCCCCATGAGCAGGCCATCGTCGCCCGCTCCCGCCCCTGTTCCCGTCCAAGCCGAAATGGCTTTGAGCGACAAACCTGCTCACCCCCTTAACAAACTATCACTAAACAACTTCCGTCGCCCATCCCCCGCCCCAACTCCTGTGCCTGCTGCAACCCCTTCACTCATTCAGGACGGGACCTATCTAGAGATGCTCAGTCTGAAGTTCAGCGAGGCGGTGTCCAAGGCTCTGGCCCAACCGACGGGCCCGGCCAACCCAGGTGACTTGCTGTCAGGAAAACGCCCACTACCTGCTGGCAGGGGTTCCACGCTTGGGGCGGTGATTGCTAGGTATGTCACTTTTATCCGATTAATGACAACCGGGCGTCGCTTACGATGTCATTTGTAACCAGTGAGCTGAACGCAGCGCGGGGCAACGCGCATCTCCATCGAGCAATCATCAGATCCCTCCACCGCCCACTCTCTGTTCTGCTCAGCAATCTCTCCTCCATTCTTCTCCCCTTGCTGGCTTCGCCTGCCTTCCTTACACCCAAGGCGCCGACACCACAGCTTCCAAATCCAAATGCAACACAGATTCATGCCCTTGGCATTGCCAAGTTTGCAGAAGAACTCTTGGACGTCTTCGACAGATTAGAACTTGGAACCGATAGTGACCCTAGAGGGGACGGTCTGAAGGCCGTCCGCGAAGGGCTAGTGTCCTTGATTAACAAGGTTACGACGCCTTTGATCATGGGCATCCGCAACGAGCTAGTCGCGCTCGTGGAAGCCCTCGAAGTCCCGGCCAGGATTACTCTAGCCCCCAAATCAACAGTGGTCTACCACCCATCCATCACCACACTACAGACGGTCATGCCCTTGTACGCAAAGGCATTGGCCAGATATGCGTCTTCTACCTTCGCTCAGTCTACCTTGGCTAGTCTTCTCATTTTGGTCTTGTTCAAGGGGATGGTTGCGCTTGCACATAGACCCGACTTTGGTCCATCGCACCCCCCGTCTCCCGTTGTGATGTCACAGCCTGCCAGCAGGAAGCGCAGGGGATCCCCTTCCTCTTCTACCACCCCTCCTACCACCCCACCAGCATCGCGTTTCATGCTCAAATTACCCCCTTCTCGCCCTCCTTCGCCGACTGGTGGAGGTGGCGCTGGATCGGTCGCGGCTGATTGTCGCGCTCTTTTCCAACTGGTCAACACTCTTCCACGACCTTCGGCCGATAAACAGACCACCAGGTTGGCTCGAGAAGCTGTAGATGAGGCGTTCGAAGGCCTTCAAGCCTTGGGCGTCTTCCTGGATGGTCTCCAAAAGATGGATGGAAAATCTGTCACGGACGTTGTCGCCGAGTTGCAGACGTTGACTCGTGAAATTCCGACGTTGATCGCTTTACCACCACTTCTTCGCATGTTCTGTCCCCGGGATGCTGCAACGGTATCTGGGATGTTGGGTCTCTCTGAGGAGGAGTATAGAAGAGGGATCCTTACTGGGTTTGGTCGGGCCGAGGAGTGTGCTGATGCAGTTGGCCATAGGGTCCTCCAGTACCTCCAAGGTTCGCCAGAAGTGAACGAAATCGTGATCAGATGGCTCGATCTAGAAATGGAGATGGATATTCAGTCGCCCATGCATTGACTATATGGCACCCCGCGACAACCTCAACAACAACAATATCCAAACCAACGACAATCCGGACGGCAAAAACGGCTCGGTCTGGTGTATGAAGTATTTATTAGAGTTTGTATTTCCTTTTTGCTCAATGGCCATTGGCTTTTCTCTCTCGCTCTTTCTGTCCCTACACCTTCCCAAATTCTGCTCGTCGACAATGGACATGGTCCTGGTTCTCAGCTCTTAACTTATATCTAACCTAAAACCTGCTCCAATTACACGGCATAGCTATGCGTTGCGTGCATCGTTTCGGACAGATTGACTTCCTTTGTGCTCGTCCATCTCCTTCCATGGCATAGACTTTCTGGATCGCGCGGCGGCCTTGACTGGTATATAGTTAGTCTTACGGTACAATTTGGATTCAACATCATGTACAGTATGCGACAGGTGGGATAGATGCAGTTTGAACCGAACGGTTGGCGGGAATAAAATAAATAACGCAGTGTAGAAGTAATATACAGAGAAATCCCGCCAAATCTAGCTGAATTGGTATCTACCAAGACATGGTGTCTGCTACGACAGTCAGCGTGAGAGGGACCTTGAAAAGGAATAGACTGCACACCTGGATCCTGCTTGGCTTTTCTCTTCGCGTCCAATATCCCAGAAGCATGCTGGTCCAGCATCTGGATATACTTTCCCAGTGACGTTCTGGCGGCCAATTCACTTTCTGCCAACCCCGGTTTAAATTGCGCTCAATTAACAAGGTGCCGAGTTTGACGCACCAGAAGCATTATCCCCATCCACGGGAATCATCTCATCCAACTCGGTCAACAGCTGGCCCACCGTAGGCACTTTTTCTGGGTCAAACTCGTCGATTTTCGCTGGATCCACGGGCACACAGACGCGTCCTGTCTTGGGGTGGACACAGAAGGGTGCCTTTAGCAAGTGATTGCGGTGTTTGGAGACCTCAGCGTCGATGCGGGGGTAGGTGTAATGAAGGATGATATCTTCCATTGCATGCATCAGTTGTGTCTTTCCAATTGTTAGTTATAAACCTTGGCTGGAAAGGAGAGACAGACGCACCCGTTGTGGACTGTTCTTGTCAAATTCTCTGGCCTCAGCTTTCAGGTCTGCCCACTTTTCGTCTGAAGACCTATCAGGATCATTGCTCCATTTCCTTCGCAGCCTTTCCGCCACTTGAGGAATAGGCACGAATTCCAACAGTGTTTCCCAACCATTTTCTGAAGCGAAGCAATCTTGGTCACCAAGAATGAGATCAGAAAAAATGGGAACGAGCTCCTCCAGTGCATCCCTTTTCAATCAATCCAGTCTCGATCCCGAGTATTAAAGCAGAAGACCACTCACTGAAGGGGAGGTGGTAACACCTTGCTCGCAGTCCGGACATTCAACTTCTTACTCGTCTCCCTACTGCCCACATTAACCACATTCATCCAACCCACGATTGCCTTCCGCTGCGCGTCGCTCAGTTCCATCGCCTCCACGTCCGATATCCACAAATGGATGCCTCGTCGACCAGAATATACCCATAGCAGCTTTTCATAACCAAAGTGTTCGCGGATGGAGCGGTCGAGGACTTTGACGGCGGCAGAGATGAAGGTCCAGCATCGCTTGCAGATGGCGGCGTCGGAGCAGCAGGTACGGACGAGGTCGTAGTCAGTCATATCGATATCGAACACGAGCTCGCGAAGGGTAGGCGTGAAGGACCCCGGGCGTAATGTTTTCTTGTCTCGTGGCTAGCACACCGCAGCGGTTTAGCCGTCGCGAATGAAACGCTTCAGACGACGCGACTTACACGTCCAGTGTAAACAGGCCCGATTTCGAAACGAGTTGGGTTGAGGTGGCATATGTCTTTCTTGAGGTCCTCTGCAGAGTTGAAAGACCTGTATCGCAGATATACATCGCCTTGGAGAGTAAATGCAAACTCTCGATGGGTGAACATTCGCGTTGGCATCGAATCATGGTTCAGCCAGCTGTAGATTGACTTGAATGGGTATAACCGTCGGTAAAAGGTGAGCATGGCCTCTAGTAACGACATTAGTCCAGATGTATCTTTGAGCACACAAGTCAGGTACCTGGGGCCAGAAAGTCGATTTCGTTGGCCATTCGGGTGGAAGATTGGAGATACAGTCAAAACACGCGTGGTGGTCGCGAGTAAACCGTTTTTATTCATGGGCGCGCTCACTCGTCTCGCCAAGCTTGCGCGCTGATTTTCAAGAGGCTTGGCAAACACAGATAGTTGTGGAGGAAGAAATAGGAATAGATTGGCACTCGACAAAATCAGGTACTACAACATAATTATACACGTATTGTGACCAAGGTGGTTAGAGGGGAAACAGAGGATAGAAACACGCAGTCCCTGAGATTTGAGAACACATGTCCGTACATCTGTGGTAGATGTGGCTAAATAGGTAGATAATACGCAGATAACCTATTTTGATTTAGCCAACGAGGGGTGCACGTTCCTCGTCGCTCAGAGCAACGCGGCCACCACGGCGGAAGAGGCCAATGGTGCCCTTGAGTACCCAGACGAGAGCGAGGATCGCGAAAGCCAAGGCAGACCAGTGGACGAATCCAGAGGAGGTCTGGTGAGCGAAAATAGCCCACAGGGACCAGGCAATGGCGATAGAAGCGGGAAGGTCGCCTTCGGGGGTGGAGAAGGCATAGGTTGCGGCAGTTCCCTCGAGGAAGAAGCTGCAAGGTAACCATGAGCTACACTCTAATCTGAAACATGAGAACGACTTACAGCGCGAGGAAGACGAAGACTTTGGTCCAGACACCAGCATGGTGATGGTGCGCGTTAACACCAAATGCCTGGAACGCGGTCAAAACGACAAGGACAGTGGTCCAACCGTGGTAGAGAGAGAATGGAAGATGAATAAACAGTTCATCGGCGTAGGACTGAGGTGAATGATGCTTCTTCACGATATAGTAGATGTGCTAAAATGAAAACATGAGTAACCCGGGTGGCAACTGCATGTGCAGCGCGACGTACCGTGACGGCAGAGCTAACGAATAGCGCAAAAACGAAAGCTGGAGGCAATTGTGTGAGTTAAAAGACATGGATAACTGTGGTCTTGCTCCACCACTCACCCCAGGTGTAATGCTGGCTAGCCCAAAGGTTGATGTAGATGGCGTTGAGTACGGCCAACAGGGGGAAGCGCCAGGAGACGGCGTCGACGATGGTTGCCTTTCCACTGGGGAAGAACTGGTAGATGACGGTTCCAAGGAGCAGGGCGTGGATGAGGGACCAAATGAGGAATGCCCATGGAGCTGGGGTCAGATAGGTTTCCTTGCCATTGTAGTAGATTGACGAGGGCGCTGTGACTGTGTAGATATTTGAGCCTAGGAAGAAAAAGTAGGCCAATACGTTTGTGATTTTGAGAAGAATTCCGTCTTTCCAGTCCGCCATTGTCGTGGTCGTGGTTGTGCAGTGAGGAAGGGGATCAACTCACACCTCGTCCTTATGTACTCCATTCCCACTTGAAATGACGTAGTCCCACTTCATTACGTTATCACAAACTCTACAATGAACCACTGTATAGTCTGCAAGCAGAACACCCATTCCGCTAAAAGATTCCCCTTGACGTGCCGTCTTTGTCGTTCAGTCTATCACCACAGTCGGTATACATGATTGTTTCGTTTTACTTGCGTTCACTCGTTGGCCAGGATGCCACAAACCCCCAGTCAGCGACCAGGAACTGCTCTCCATGATTGGGGCAGCAGAAGATCCGGAAAAGGGCTTAGGAGGTTGGAGATGTGACACTTGCAGTCGTCACCGCGCTCCAAAAAGGTGCGGAACTAAAGCTAGAAAGACCCAGGTAGCGCAGTAATGACGAGATTCCAATTGCAGTCCAGAAGTCATTGAGATCTCCGAAGACGAGGAAGAAATGTCGCCGCAGCAGCCGCATTCGGCATCATCGCCTCACAAAAGACAGCCAGAAATTATATCTCTCGATGTGAGCGACGATTCTGACGGCGAGGTCGTCGAAGTGGACCCAAAGCTTGCCAGACTCGCGGCTGCGATCGCGCGGCTTCCACTCAAGAACGATCCATTTCAGCCACGGTCACCAGTTGCGGTCTTCCGCAGCCGCTGCCCTCCTCCATCCTATCTCCCCCCTCCTTGGGCACAACATAGCCCTCCTGATCAGGCCCCAGACATATGGGACAATGCGCGCCTCTCCAAGATTCGTTCATCAACGTCGACGTCATCACCCACCAGCCACTCTCGTAAAACTCCCAAAAGACCTGTACTCCCTGCTTCCGAGATACCCTTTGCGTTCGATGCTACGTTATGGAAGGCCAACCGAAGATAACCTGTGACCCAGAATCCCCGAGTCCCAGTAGTGTATTGAACGGTATAGTACGCTAAAATGTCCATGCCACTGTCAAAGCTACAAGTCTACGTCCGCCCTACCCATCCATTCTTGATTCCTATCGGAATCGCCGGGTCTGGCCCTGTATATCTTGGAAGTGATCGAACTAACTTGTTCTTGAATTTCTGAAGGCTTTCGGTCATTATTATGCACGCCATTACCACAAGCTGCAACTTGCCTGATAACCTCTCCTCCAACTCCTCCAAACCGGCTTCCCTTCCAAGCTCGTCGACCCACTCTTCCACTCCGGTTATTGTTGCCCTAAGCGCCTTTTTATCCTCCTCGGACACCTTTCCACCGAGTCCTTCCTTGTCCGCCATCTGCGACTTGATGCTGGAAATGAAACTCGAGAGGTTACTGGCCGCTTCACTTCGTTTCCGGTACAGCGCATCCTCTTCGGCAAACTTCTCTCCCTCCGCAATCATTCTCTCGATCTCTTCATGGCTCAGCCTATCCTTCTCGTTCTTGATTGTAATCGACGCCGACTTTCCCCTGTAAACGCGACCGAGCATTAGTCTGAAACAGCCGCTTGAGCGAAAAGGAAGCGAAGTTCAACTCACGTTCCCTTGTCAGACGCCCGAATCGTCATGATCCCATTGACGTCCAGCTCGAATGTGACTTCAATCTGTGGAACACCTTTGGGCGCGGGTGGAATTCCCTTCAACTCAAACTGCCCGAGGAGGTGGTTATGCTTCGTCTGGCTTCGTTCTCCCTCGTAAACCTGAATCATTACTGTATCTTGGTTGTCCGTCGCCGTCGAGAATCTAATCCCAAGAGTCGGTCAGAATGCCATGACGAAGCCTCTTGAACGGCACTCACATTTGGCTCTTTTTGGTTGGGATGACAGTGTTACGCTTGATTATGGGCGAGAAGACGCCACCCGTGGTCTCGATCCCAAGAGTCAGCGCGCTGACGTCCACGATGGTGACCGCGTTGGGGTCGTCATCCTTCATCCCGCCAACTACGGCGCCTTGAATGGCCGCCCCGTAGGCGACAGCTTCGTCAGGGTTGATCCCAGTCGAAGGTTCCTTCCCAAAGTACTCCTTTAACATCTGTCGAATTTTGGGTATCCGCGTCGAGCCGCCTACGAGGACGATCTGCGAGCAATCTTTAATTTCTACTCGCCACTCCCAAACGAAAGGACGTCACCTCGTCAATATCCCCTTTATTCAACCCAGCATCCTTCAATGCCTGCTTAACAGGTTCCAAAGTCCTCTTAAACAAATCCGCGTTCAACTCCTCGAACTTGGCCCTCGTCAACACCTCCACCAAATCCTGCCCATTCTCAAACGACTCGATCTCAATCCTCGCGCTCAACTCACTCGAAAGCACCCTCTTCGCATTCTCCACCGCCTTCTTCAATTTGCCCATAGCCCTCTTATTCCTCCCCACCTCGCCTTTCTGCATCCCATGCTTCTTCTCGTAATTCCGGGTGAGGTAGTCGATGACTCTGTTGTCGAAATCTTCTCCGCCAAGGTGGGTGTCACCAGAGGTGGAGAGGACCTCGAAGACTTTATCGTCGATGGAGAGGATGGAAACGTCAAAGGTTCCACCGCCGAGGTCGTACACCAGGATCTTGCTTTCGTCATCGAGCTTTTGGTCGAGGCCGTAGGCGATCGCTGCGGCTGTCGGTTCGTTGAGGACGCGGATGACCTTCAGGCCTGCGATGGTACCGGCATCTTTGGTGGCCTGGCGCTGTGCGTCCTTGAAGTCTACATCGCCGGCGTCGGTTAGTGGCTCCGTGCGAGACGCATACAGGGTGACTTACACGCTGGAACGGTGACGATCGCGTGCGTGACCTTCTCTCCAAGGTAGGCTTCGGCGGTCTCCTTCATCCTCGTCAACACCATGGCACTAATCTCTTCCGGGGTCTAGCAACGCAACAGCCAGCACCTCAGCACACAAATCAGTCACATCATTTAATCGAAACAAGACTCACAAAGTCCCTCTTCTCCCCTTTAAAACCAGCTGACACGACTGGTTTCCCGTTCACATCCTTCAAACTAAACGGCCAATGCCCCATCTCCTTTTGAACTTCGGGTTCAGAGAATTTCCGACCCATCAGTCTCTTCACATCAAACACTGTGTTCCTGGGGTTGGAGTGGAATGCATTTTTGGCTGATTCGCCGATTCTAGTAATTGGTGTGGAAGTGGTTGAATAGTCAGTATACGGGTGTAGCGAGGGGCGAGTTAGAACATTGAGACGGATACGCACAATCTTTCATCCCCGGAGAAGCTCACCCAAGAAGGTGTGATCCTGTTCCCCTGGTCATTGGCAATAATCTCTACCCGCCCGCCTTTATACACTCCAACACAAGAATAGGTCGTTCCAAGGTCTAAAATCAAGCCATCAACCTCCAACTTTGGGTCTTCTCACTAACCAAGATCGCTCACCGATACCAATGACATGTCCCATAGGCGCCGAGTCATCACTACCTGGTGTAGTGGATGCACCGGCTGAGACGGGACATAGAAGCAGAATCGAGATGGCGAGGAAGAAGATGAAAGAGGCGGCCCTGAGGTACGTGAGAGATTCGTTTCTGGTAGGGTGTCGTTTGGAGAGTGACGAGGCTTTCCGTCTGAATGGACGAAACATCGTGGTCTAGGAATCGGTGAAATGGAATATGTTATAGAAGTTGCAGTGGTTCGTAGTCGACAACGAAATTCAAAAGATAAAAAGCGAAGGTGGTGTAGGAGTTGAGGGTATGAATGAACCTAACAAGGCGAGTGTTATATATATTCCACGACCAGGCTCATACCTGACTCTTCAGGGGTACTCCTCCAACCCCGAGCACCATCTCCACCCCTTCGAATCATTACTAGCGCCCGACACGTTGCCACTTCTCGCTGCCGAAACACACGACACGTATGCGCCGTTGGAACCGCACTGAACTGCCTTCCCTACTCCATAGTACCGCCATAGGCATATGACTACCTGAAGTACCTACGTGTCCAGGTTGAAGCAGAAAATGACTCGCCCAAGGACCCAGGGACACGTTGGCCATGGCGTCGATCAAAAACGTTTAAAAGGTTGAAACGCCATCAATTTTGGCATCCGCGTTGCCGGATTGCGACCCTATCAAACGGTGGAGTAACCGCTGACCTTGTAGGCCGCCAGGGAAGAAGATTCTCAACAATTCTAAGGCCTTCTTCCATGTTCCACTAACTTCCTGTCCATGCTTCGATTGCGACAACCAATCTCAGCCGAGCTTCAATAGAACATCCAAACAGTAAATCCAGCACTAAACCAAGTCCATTAATTCAGCACTGGAGTCTAATGTACAATGGTTTTCCTTTCATATATACTCCTAAGATGAAAAATCAAGTCCATGTATGTAGGTTAAACAGCAATGCATATACGTATGAGAGTGCCGAGACCGGAATTATAAACCAGGCGAGGGAGTGGAAAAGCTAGGAGAGCAACAGAGAGGAATGGCCGAGACACGAGAGTAAAGATGAAGCAGCGAGCGAGGGTAAAGGTACAAACAAGAGGTCTATGCTAAAGATGAGAGTGATTATATGTCTACCATGAGTTCAAGCCAACGATGTGGGACTACTAGCCAACAAGACGACTTCGAGATGGCTGCTTACAGCTGAGGACCGGCAGCGCGAACCTTCTCATCAACGTCCTTCTCGTAGAGAGCAAGGGCTTTGCTGAACATGGTACCGAGCTTCCTGACCTCCTTGTTGAAGGCCTCCTTGTTGGTCCAGGCAAGGGCGGGGTTGAGGAGCTCGCGGGGAATACCCTCGATGTGGGTGGGGATGGAGAGGCCAAAGACAGGGAAGGTCTCGTACTCGGCGTTGAGGAGCTCTCCAGAGTGCACAGCGTCGACGATGCGGCGAGTGTACTTGAGAGGGCATCGCTTGCCAACACCGAACTTGCCGCCGGTCCAGCCAGTGTTGATGAGCCAGCAGGAGACGTTGTGCTTGGCCATGCGCTCGGCAAGCATCTCGGCGTAGCGACCGGGGTGAAGGACGATGAAGGGTGCTGAGTAGCAGGTGGAGAAGGTGGGGATTGGCTCAAGGACACCATCCTCAGTTCCGGGGGTTTTCCTGACAGAGCGACGTCATCAGTATGTCATTGAGGAAGAAGATAAAGCCGGAGACATACGAGGTGTAACCTGCCAAGAAGTGGTAGGAGGCTTGCTCAGGGGTGAGCTTGATGATGGGAGGAAGGCCTCCGAGGGCGTCGCAGGTCAACATGATGACGTTGCTGGGTGGACGGTCGACGATGCAAGGGATTTGAGCGTTGGGGATGTACTCGATGGGGTAGGCGCATCGAGTGTTCTCGGTGATGCTGACGTCATAGTAGTCGGGTTCGCGAGTGGCGGGGTTGTAGACGACGTTCTCGAGGATGGAACCGAAGCGGATGGCGTTGTAAATGTCGGGCTCCTTCTCAGCAGAGAGGTTGATGCACTAGGCGTAGCAGCCACCCTCGATGTCGAAGACACCAGTGTCGGACCAGACGTGCTCGTCGTCACCGATGAGGAGACGGGAGGGGTCAGCGGAGAGGGTAGTCTTGCCAGTACCAGAGAGACCGAAGAAGAGAGTGACATCGCCCTTCTCCTTTCCGACGTTGGCCGAAGAGTGCAAAGAAAGCTGGCCAAACTTGACGGGTTGCAGGTAGTGCTAAAGACAGAACAGCATGAGTAATGGAAGATGAAAATAAATGGTGATGATGCTTACCATGACGGAGAAGACACCCTTCTTCATTTCTCCGGCGTACTCGGTACCAAGGATGACCATCTCCATACGTTTGAAGTTGATCTCGACTGAAGTGGCGGAGCTCATGCCCTTTGTGAATCTGTTGGCGGGGAACTGGCCGGCGTTGTAGATGATGAAGTCGGGGTCACCAAAGTTGGCGAGTTGCTCTTCAGTTGGGCGAATAAGCATGTTGTGCTACAAAGGATGATTAGTCGGACACTCTTCGGGATGGAGGAAGTAAGAAGGCATACCATGAAGAGGGCATGGTAAGCACGGGCACAGATTACTCGAACCTTGATCCTGTACTTGGGATCCCACTGGAAAGGGAATTGTTAGAGAAAGATGTGATGGATGAGAAAAGAGCTGTGACATACGCCAGCATAGCCGTCGAAGACGTAAACGTTTTCTCTGGTATTGAGATAATCGATGGCACGTTCACGATTGATCTCGAAGGTGTCTAGGAAGAACAAGGGCAGAGATGAGATTAGGATCGACGATAAGGATGAAGACGGCGGGCGGGCAGGACTTACGTTCATCGAGCTTGATGTTGACTGAGCCCCACCAGATGTCGTCCTTTGAGGTCTCCTCGTAGACGATGCGCTTGTCCTTGGGAGAACGACCGGTCTTCTTGCCAGAGAAGTTGATGAGTGCACCGGAGGAGGAGATGATGGCGCCCTCGTTGCGGATAGCCTCCTCGTAGAGGACAGCTGGAGGAGCGTTGCGCTTTATCTGGATGCGCTCCATGTCGAAGCCAGCCTGCGAGAAGTACTCGAGGTCCTTGCCGATGACTATGACGACAGGGACTAATTAGTGGCGGCGGACGCGACGGGCAAGACTGGAGACGCACGGTTTGAGTGTTGCTCATAGTCAAAAGCCTGAGCATAGTTCTTGTGGAGGATGTGGGGAGTCACGTAGGGAGTGTGGTGAGGGAGCATCTTTACGGAGGACATGGTTGAGTTGTCGTTTGGGGAGTGAGTGTTTATAAACTGCGTATATAAATTAAGATCCGTAAGCGTGTGAAAGTGATCAGTCTGACCTGGTGCAAGGAAGAAACTGGTCGAGTGGCATGGAATAGCGGACGGGCGAATAGCCGTCGAGCATGTTTTACAACTTGCCTCTGCATACACAACCCCGGATTCCCCCGACTAGCTCTGTCCGCTGTCCCGAGTCCACAATACCCAGTCACCACCGGAGGTTCTGCTCCGCTCCTGTGCCCAGTTCCTCGATGTCGCGTGAAGCGTCGAGGTCGAGTAGAACAGCCGCAGTAGAACAGACACAACCATCACCAACGCTTCTGGCATCGTTCTCACTGTCTGCCCTTCCCTCGCTGCCGTACCTCCTTCCAGTCATTCCCATGCCTGCCTTTCTCGGACTTGGCCCCTATCTACCCAGCTCCGACGGGATGCCGATCCCCGTCCAGGATTCATCCCGGGATTCGCTGACCGCCTCATCCCACCAGACCTAGTCACAATCCAGCCAATTCCCAATTTCAAACACGGCCAATGACTGAGTCCATGATGCAGCCTCGAACAAGAACGAGTCTCTCCCCATTTTTACGGACCATCTTCAGCCCGCTTGCTATAAAATCTTTTTGCTATCTGGCCTCCAAGCAAATCCCAGCTCCAGTCTACCATGCAGTCTCTGCTCGATAACCTCGTCGTTCGTCCCATGACCTCGGCAGACGTCAAGCACGTCCGACAGCTACATGTACGTCGTTCGTTGCCTTTCGGTCATTGGCTACCCCGCATTGTTCCCCGCTTGCATTTTTGCTTCCTTTTACCCGCTCCGTGGAGACGTCAACGAATCCTAATCTTTCATTCCAGAGCAAACTACTCCCTCTCGTCACCTATCCAAGCTCCTTTTTCCTCCAACTCCTCATCATGCCCGGTCGACACTGTCTCGTCGCTGTCGACCGGGCCCAGCCGACCATTCCCATAGGCTTTGTTTCCGCCCTGGTCCACAACGATCGCACTGAACGCGAGGAGCTAGATTACCTCGTTGATCAGTATCTCGGCCGACAGTCTGCTGCGACCTCGTCTAACGATCCTTCTGCTCGAAAACCGCGCCTGGAAATTTTAACTCTGGGAATCGAGCCAGATTACCAGAACTGTGGTCTAGCGAGGAAACTCGTGCAAGAGATGGTCCGTCGCGTTCAAGCCAGCCTTCCCAAGTTCGGTTCGGCGCTTGGTGAGTTCTTTTCTATCAACTCCCCGTTCAGCAACGTTTGATCCCCATTTTCCACGCTATATGAAGGCACTTCAGCGACCGGATTAGCTCCTCCCTCGCCTATTTCCCCTGTAACGCCCGCCACTCCGGAAGAGACCCGGGGTGCCTACTTCAACTTCAACAAATCAGACGCCTCCCAGATAATCACCTACGCCAACGTCGCCACCTCCAATATACCCGCTATCAACTTTTACGAGAAACTCGGGATGTACGTCGTCCCTGGCGTCAGACTTGACAACGTCTACAGGGGACAGTCCCAAGCGAGCAGGCTTTTGAGCAACGCCAATATGATCCGCAACACCTCTGAATCTGATGGCAGCAGCAGCGGTTTCACTTCTAGGAAAATTGGAATGGGTAACAGTCGGGACGCTTTCGTCGTCGCCGGACTATTGTAATAAATTATTGGGACTTGGAAGAATTACTTGTGTATGTATGTACTATAGCTGTATCTGGAAATACCTAGGCAATGCGAATAATCGAATCTCTCCTCTCTTCGACTGCTTGCAGCCCCTGTAACAGTTAAGGTTATTGTACCTCGATGTCGGATCTGCGCCCAAAAATATCCATCGAGGGTCTGTTGCCAACACGTGGCAACCATTGCCACCGCTCCTGGCGCGGTCAACGCTTGTCCTCCAACGCCCACGACGCTGACGCGTTTGACGCGTCAAACGCACATATCAACGCGTCGAACGATCTCTATGCCCTTTTCGACACGTCCACGAGCGACACACGAACCAGACGAACCCTCGACGTCGATGTCGCCGCGCAAAGCCATAGCACTAACCAAGAACATTATTGGCGATGTCATACCCGCGACACCTTCAAAGCAGCCCTCCAAGCACCGTTTCCCAAACTTTTATTCGTGCTACTTGCTCAAGTCTATGAAAACGACGGATGCCAGGGCGTACGTTGGGTCTTTCCTCTCTCAAGGCGATCAGCAGTAATGGTGGATGGCTTTCAGAACGTACATTGGCAGCACGCCCTCTCCAATTCGTCGAATTCGGTATACCCTTTTCATAACCTCTTCGAATTCTACTTCTAAGAGAGCCTCAGGCAACACAATGGTGAAGTCGCAATGGGAGCCAAGAAGACGAAAAACGGTCGCCCATGGGCGATGCAAATGCTAGTGCACGGCTTTCCATCTCGCCAGGCCGCTCTCCAATTCGAATGGGCATGGCAGAATCCGCAAAAGTCCCGCTACCTCCGTGACGAACGCGGGAACCAGCTCTTCACGAGAAACAGCAAAGCGGTTAGCAAGGTCATGCAGTGAGTGATTTCGAGTCCTTTTTTGTCCTCGGCCGCGCTCCTGCGGGCCCTCGGCCTTCCTCATCGTACCTGCTTTGTCCTATTGCTTCATTTGGAACATCATAGAACTCACCAATCTTCGTCATGTATGACTGTCTTCCTTGAAACTGAAAACCAACCTACTGGAATGCCATCATTTGCTGCCGCCGCCGCTCCATGGAATCCTACCAAAACATCTTTGGAAATCCCTCCGGTAATCCCAACGAAATCACAATCCCGGCGGGATTCCCCAATTCACATGACCCGGCCCTCCCCTGCGCCTCCCCGCCCGCGCTACTGCGCCCTCCACCCAACCAAACAATCATGATATCACACCCCTCGGACACCTTCGTCTCCTCGTTCCTCTCCGCCGCGTTGCCGTCACATACGCTTGGCAACGAACCGTTTGCTTCCGTCCTTCCATCTCCCCTTCTACTCAACCTAAACGCCACCTGGATTTGCTGTTAACCAAACCCGCTTATCGTAAACCTGGCTTCTTCGACAAATCTGCAACTCGAAAATACGCCTTGGCGATAACGGATAACGACATTTTCATTCATTTCGTCGTTCCGAATGGATCCTATACCGCTTTTTTTCATCGATCTATCGTTCATGGTCGTTGGGCCATGGGTATGATCCGTGGTTTTTGCAAAACCCTCGTACCTACCCCCCTGTGCGGTATCCCTATTCCCTACGGCTGGGTCTTAACCTCCAACCCTGGTTGACATATTGTCATTCTCACTTACGGCCACCTCCATTCTTGCTCAACTTGCCAATCTTTTCATCAATGCATCGCCTCGCCTCTCTCAACTTCCTTTTTCCCCTCGTTCCTATTCCTCACGGCCGGCTCATACCTTCCTGAAACCACCCCATTCCTTCCTGCTGAATCTCCGAACATCTCGCTATCATGAATCGTGTGCTTGCTTCCCGGAATCGCCCTTTTACATCTATCTACATTGGAACGCCCACGTGCAACCGTGAACGCCAATTATCGCAATCGACCCGACGCGAAACCACAATCATAAACTTCCGACTACTAGAATAGTCCGCACGATGATATGCACACACCCGTTCAGCCTATGGCCTCTCCACGTAAAGCTCTTCACTGAAGAAGCTGTGAGACACTGGGCCAAGTTTGATAAAGAGAGCGGGGTTCAGACCGTCTCGTTTGAGGGCTGTTCTGAGGAGTTGAAGAGGAATTTGAGGTTGTTGGTCGCGGATGGGAATGGGTCGGGCAAAGGGAAGGGAAAGGCGAAAGCAGTGGCTGACGGGTCGTCGGGGGATGAGACGGCAGTGGTTGGACAAAGGTTTCCACCTGGGTTCGTGTGTACAATCGAGCTGGAAGGCGTGGATGGGAGGTCAGGGCACCCCTTGGGATCGGGGAGGATTGGTCCTGTAGATGATACTGATGGTGCGTTTCAGAACTGGTACCGTTCTAGGGCTGGAGGCTGACTTGTGCTATACAGAGGCTTTCAAAGCTCGAATACTGGCGAAGAACACCACCTTGATCGCCTCTGGCAAAGTACCATCTTGCGCAATTTGCACCAAACCGGTTGATACTTATGCAAAGGTATGTACCTATCTTATCAGCTTACCGTGTTCCTTTTGGGACTCATTGCCACAACCAGGAACCGTTTACAGCCGCACTCTGCCCACACGGCTCGTGTAAAAGCGTATCGCACATTGAGTGCCTATCCAGTTCCTTCCTCGCCGCATCCTCTCAGTCATCCTCCAGTAACACCTACTCGTCGACTCTTCTTCCCAGAGGTGGCAACTGCCCTTCATGTGGCGCATACACCTTATGGGGTGATATCATCCGCGCCTGTGATAGACGCTCGACAGGGACAGTCGATGGCCACAACATTCCCGAGGACGAAGACGACTTGTATACAGAGGATGAAGAGGTACATCTGGAGGTTGAAGAGGGTAGTATCGATGAAGGGCTTCTGGGGATGATGAACGGGCTTACTTTGGGTGCAACCTCATCACCGACAAAGAGGAGAGGGAGGCCGCCCAAGGCTGCGAAGAGTCCCTCTGCGTCCCCTAAGAGGCGGGTTCGTCCTCCAAAGGCCTCCCCAAGCCCCTCCCCATCCCCAAAGAGGAGAGGCCGTCCTCCCAAGGTGGCAGCGTCGGTTCCCGCTCCGGTCGCTACTCCTCCAAAAAGGCGAGGCCGACCACCAAAGACCGTATCTGCTTTACAACCAAAAGCTGCTTCAGGGGAAGAGTTTGACTTTTCTGGTGTATCAGGCTCTACTTCGGGCTCGAGCGAGGCGGGGAATGTTCGTCCCTCACCACAGAAGCGGAGAGGACCTGGACGACCGCCAGGCAGCCTGAATAAGAAGAAAACCCGGTCCAAGGAGGGAACTGGAGACAAGGTTACGTCGCCGAGGGCGAAAGTCACCAAGGCTTCTGCAAACACTAGAAACGGGAAAGCCGCTGTCCTCGATTCTAATTCAGATTCGGACTCGGCATCTTATGGGACGGCCATGGAGGACTTCCTCTCCCAACAGAGGAAACCTGGTCGTCCACGATCGCGACCCCCTGCTTCATCCACTTCGTCACTGCCTTCGACATCCTCCTTGATGACTCCCTCGCCAACCAAGCGAAGAGGCCGCCCACCACGCACGCCACCTCCATCTTCAAGAGGCTACAGCAAAGAAAGCGGTATACTCATCTCGTCAGATTCCGACTCAGACTCTTCTCCGTCCTTCGATCTCCCTGATCTAGGCAACCTTTTGGCGTCGCTGAACTTGAGGACACCAAGCAGGAATGCGGCAGCAACAGGGGGTTCAGCGCCTGTTTCGCCCGTCTCTATTTTGGGTTCGCATTATCGCGTCACACCCCAACATTTGAGGATCGGTGCGGTCGTTTTTGATGTCGACCAGGAGAGGGAAGTTATTGATATTTCTGATTGAGGACCTGTGCTTTGGTTCGTTTCGAATTCATTTCTACTGGATATTTGATTCAATTATCTTGTGACATTTGGAGGCTATACACATCTAATACCCTATCTCTTGACCTGTATATTACAGCCCGTTTGGATGGGCTCATTTTCCATGCAATGTAGTGTTCCTTGGCTAGGGCGTTGTCGGTGGCGCATCAAGTCCAGCCTGTGGGCATTGGAAACGTGAAGGAGTCCTGATAGGAGTCTGGGAAATTAACGAGACTGTTCACCTTACTTGTTCTCTTCAAGGGTCTCGAGAACACTCAGGTGCCTGAAGACCTACTTACTACATCTCAAACACTTGGTATTATGCAAAAGTCGCGTATGGTACAATAAAATAAATGCTCTAGAGGGTATAGCGATGAATGGGATGATGATGTTACGATATACAAGGAACACCGACAAAACAGGATATATGACAACAAGTTGCAAAGCAGAAAGCCGTCAGTTTCGTACATATGACATGGTAGCTAAGAAAGCGCAAGCGGGTTAGTCAGGCAAGCAAACAGCATGGGGTGGGCTATGAAGCCTTTAGCTTCTCAGCCACCTTTTCATGAAGTTTCCGAGCGATCAGTCTCGCGATTGAGGTCTCGCAGACAACGCCCACGTCGATGTTGACCAAATACTTTATGCCCTTTTGCTCTTTCAAGGTGGCGGCGACAGCTTCCTTGACGATCTCGGCGAATCCAGGTAATGGCTGAAGGCCGGGCGAGTAAGACCCCTTGGCGTTCCCGGATTGCGAGCTCGAGGCGCTGAGCGAGGTGGATGTCGAAGTGGATGCTGATACGGTTGCGGTGGACGAAGAAGGCTCCGGTGGATCCGTATTCATCGAGTCAGATGGAGGGGGTGTTGGCGGCTCAGCAGGCCTTGCAGGTTTGTGAAGAGGATGTGAGGCATCAACAATGGCCACTCGATGGTCCCTCAATACCCGGAAATCCAGAGCATGTCTAGAGGGAGTTGTCAGCGACGAAATCAGAGAGAAAACTGCGGAGCGTACTTGAGATCTGGATACAGTATACGATACCACCCAGAAGCTTTGGCAAATGTATCGACAAAGAACCCACTCTCCATACTCTCCTTCCTGATGCTCTCCAACTCGACGGCAATAGGAAGAGTATCAGTCAAGATACGAACTAAACTCTCCAAGGCCGAAGCGAGACGGTTATGCCCATGGTGAAGAATGTTGCTGAGGTAGGGCTCAGCGTCATCGTGCGGGTTGAAAGTATCCTGCTGATCATCGTCTCCATGTCTTGTGAATCGAAGATCGAACTTGCCGCCTATTATTGATAGTTGGTTTTCACAGGTGATGGAAACAGAATATCCCTAGAGCACGACGTCAACATAGTCCAGAGTCAATGCCAAGGCACTGCACTTACTGGAGCGTAAGCAAATTCCACGGTCTGTAGGTCAAAGGATAGTAGCTTGATATCTTTCCACCCTCTCTCCTTCGACATCTTGGCAATTTCACGGGCGATGACAACCATTTTTGAAACCCGTGCCCACTCTTCCAAAAATTCGTCGACACAGGTGTCCACATTTTCAGATAGGAACGAAACCACCGCCTCCTTTGTGTCATAAATAATCCGCTTGGAAGGGCGAATGACACTGCTACCGCCTCCTGCCCTCTTCCCGAACGGTTGTTGGACATACTTGAGTTTGACGCAGGTTATGACCTGGACATTCTCATGCGACGACCACCAATTTATGGGGATCACGCGAATGTTGGGCATAGCAGCTTCCGCAGCGGGTGCTCCAGATAAAATGTGCGTGGCCTGCACGCAAAGTGCGGGAACGGAACGGGCGAGAGGCGATTGCATCTTTGCCAGCTCGGGAGAGAGAGGGATGCCAGAAGTCGGAGCGACTCTCTTGAAAGGAATCCCGCGAACCTTGAGCTGCTTTTCGACAGTCATGTATGCAACACGGGCACTGAGGTACCATGTAATCAGCAAGGCCTGTATGCAGCACATATGAAAGGCAATTACCAGCAATAGCGGAACAGCTCCTTCAGCATCTGAGTTGTCAGATCGAACCTGGAATTTCCCGTCAGTGTCCACCCAGAAATCGAAGGAGGGTAATGCTCACCCGGTAGAAGCACCAAAGTCATTGGCAATCCATTCGTAGATATTGACAGGTGTCGCCGGTGCGATAGGGGCGCCCGTCTCCGAATTGGCGAAAGGTAATCGGTCATAGTCGAGGTAGGCGACGTCGTCCACTTTGAGTGGGGCCAGCGGATCTGAAGGATTTGCGCTGGCAGTGATCAAGGCGTAAGAGAAACCCTTTGTCTTAACCACCAGCACGAGGTAATGTTCAACCTGGGCACGGATGTGCAGGGCTTGCGCTTGCTGAGATTTGGACACCAAGATGAAAAGCATGCCGCGACATTTTCCGAGCCTGTCCAACCCTTGACTTGTAAAGTTGCGGCTCTTGTAGTATTGAAGTCCGAGGATTTGGGCCTTTTGCTCTGCGAGATCGAGGATTGTCTAGATACGGGTTTAGAAGGGATAGTAATGATTGCGAGAGCCAGCTTGCCTTGAGTCGTAGTGTACTCAGTCGGTCGATGAGAAGCTCCGGTGCCTGGTTGATTGTAAGGGCAACGAAGTAGAATCGAGGAGCCCTTCCTGCAACCACAAGGCCGTTGGTGTCTCGGAGGTTTATACGCCCCGTACGCGAGTCGATGTTGATGGTCACAACTTCGTCAGCACATAGACGAACAGAAAGTGCTGATACAGAGTCATTGGACGCTTTCAAACCAGAGCAATGATGCAACTTACTATCCTTTTCTGCTGTGACAACCCCCGGAGCAGAGAACTCCCCGTTCGGGTCATGCTGTAGCTTGAATGTCAGGGCCTTGAGAATCGCCGTCACATGCTTGTCAATGACTTTGAGCAAAAGCGACTCGAAGTCGAGATTGTCCGCATCCTGAATACAACGAAGTTAAGCACTGCACCTTCATCTCATCCGCATCACTCACAATCTCCAGTTCACTCGGATGGAAGTTAACTTCAGATTGGGCCACGTCTACTCCAAGGACGCCTTGCGATGGCTCCCAAGTAACGCGAAGTCTCATCTTCTCAATTGTATCAGACGGTTTTGCATTCCCCAGCTTGAGCTCTTGCTGAAGACGGGCCATGACGTGCTCCTTTGGCGTTCTCGAAGAATGCGGATCGACGGTTTCAATAGCGATAGTCAGAGACCCGCCATGCGGCGGTTGCTTTGTTCGAGGTCGCGGCTGGTTGGCTGGAGGCGGGGGCCGACTAGACATGGATCAGACAGCGGGTCATGTCTGTATTACAGAGGAACTTACAGCCAGTACGACACTTTCAGCGTCTTTCGGTCGGCCGACATATTGACGGAAAGATATTCACCCCAGCCAAGGGTTCGCATTCGTCCGGCCTGTGCCACAGAAACTCGTTCAGTAGAATGTGCAAAGACTGTTGAAAGGTGGATGTTACCTGAAACCACAAAATCTCAAGCTGGTACGACAGCGACATCATCTCTACGGTAAAATATAGTACAATGAGCGAAGTCAAACAGCTCGCTCCATAGGTACTCACGAAGGAAGTTGTAAAGTCGTATCAGAGGAGTATCCACTACATTCTCGGGCAACTTTGGTCGTTCGGGGTCCATGTCTTGGAAGATATAGTAGGATAAACGAAAGTCTGCCTCATCCGTTATGTGTCGCTTGATAATTCCGGGTGGAATCCGCGGAAACTCTGCACTGGGATGAATAGCGGTTTCCAGTGGAACAGATTGCCACTAACCTTGAAGGCCAGACAAATCGCCACCGACGTTGATCAAGAACTCCACATGTACGAAGAACCAACCGGCTGAGGAAGTTGGACCCTGGAGGCAGAGTGATGCCTCGAACAATTTTGGGACGGTGAAATGGACTCGACCGTCAGCTACAGCGACGTCAACGCATTGCCCAGAGGCGAAGAGAATTAAACGCACCAATCTTATATCTTGACATCTCCACTGGGATAATCTCTGTCATTCGCAAACGGTATAGTATCGCGCTCTCCATATCCACCAGGGTCTTCTTGACTTGTTCATCATTGAGAGGCGTCGGGGGCACCACGAGTTTCTAGTCATTTCGTGAGCCAAGTCCGGGCGAGGATTTGTGCCATTAACAACTGACTTTGATACAAGAAGGCAGGCGAAGGTATGATCCAGTCGTGAGGACATCCAAAGAGGTCAACAGATCGTGGTTGCGTACACTTTCACAGTCGTCAGCGAAGAAGTGGTTTCGCGGGTGGGTGCATACCGGTTAGGATCCAGCTCCTCCTTGATGTCGAGAAGTCCCTGCGTTGCAAAACCGAATTCTCTATTTTGAAGGAGAATAAAGCCGATAATGTTCTGAAAAGCATGAATTCAAAATTTACAGGCTTGAAAGGCTTTGTGGTGCGTACCATGCATTTTTGCACCGTCTCTGCATCGCGGGACCATTTGACAACAGCGTAGAGCTTCACGACCTGCTTTTTCGTCTTCACAACCCAGTCTGCAATTGTCCTCTTTCGCACAGCGTCTGACATAGAAGGCAGTCTTTAGAACAACACCTTCGTAAGCGCTCACAGGATAATGTGAACATGGAACATACGTTTCGGCCATTTCTGTGAGTTCTGCATAGATCGCCTGCATCATGCGGGAGAGCAGGTCTCCCAACGGTATTTGTCCTTCATGAATGGGTGGCAATTCGCGTTCGAGGACTTCAATTGGCGTGCTGGGCTCTTGAGGATGTTGAGCCTCTATCCCATTTCCGTTGGGTTGCGTAATGGTGAGAATATCGACGGTCATGTCATCTTGGCCTTCCAGGTTCATAGCGACCACCTCAAGATAGTATCAGACGCAACCAAGGTACATCTGAGGCCCCAAATCGACAGAAGAGGCGGAGACTGTCGCCAGTGATGACTGTTCGTGTACAAGACGATTGACATGGTCCTGCCGCTCAGTCCCTGACTGCCGCTGAAGCAATTGTCGCCGGTCCACGTGATCTTGATCCGATACTTCGGGAAGACCGCGGACGACGCCGACGATGATGGTGACGGCCTCGAGTCCGTTGTAACTCTCGACCACAGCGACGAGCACTGTAAATCTGGTACTGGGACGATCGTCAGGATTCCTCTCTATCTTCTGCAGAACCCAGCGTCGCGCAATCATTGAACGCAATACTACGATCATCACCACATACTATATCGCACGACTGACAGGGCCTACCTGAACGACCATGGACTACCTGAGGACGTTAGGCTCAGCTGCCGTATCGACGCTGGTGCAAAAATCAGGTCTCAATTTACCATTTACGCTTGGTGCTAAAGTTGCGACATTCGACACAATCTATACCCTTTATGATGGTACCAAACGGGTATGCCCCTCATTAATCTGGTTTCCACCTTTTGCTCAACAATCACACCCCTCAGGACGACGGATCGCCTGTTTCTATATTTGAATACGAACTCAGTGGACGTAATACACGCGCTTTGGCTCAGAATGCCCTCCGTAAACTGCGAACAACGCGACATCCCGACGTTCTGAAATTCATGGACGTCGTTGAAACAGATTCCACAATCCATATCATGACGGAACGAGTGCGCCCATTGCAATCTGCTCTTTCCTCTTGGTCGACTAAGACCGAGCAAGAACGTCAAGACTGGCTCTTGTGGGGCTTGCATCGTGTGTCTGTTCGTCACCCCTTCTATCTCCTTCGATTTGACTCCTGATTTTCACCATCAAGGTAGCATTGACATTCTTGAATGACCCTTGCTCCTCCACTCACGGTGCATTCAATACCAATGCGATCTTCATTTCACCGTCTGGAGAATGGAAACTGGGGGGATTCGAACTCTTGAGCAATCCAAAGGACGACGCAGCCGTTCTCTATGTGAGTTGCCTCGACCGTGAACTTGATTTGGACTGACGGTTGCAGACTTCGGCCTCCTTGCTTCCAGGATCTATGAACACAGCACCACCTGAAGTCAAGAAGTCCGGATGGTCGACACTCAAGCAGTGAGTCACGAGCTTCACATATCACTCTCGGTCACTGAGTACTTGCAGGCACGATGTCGCCGCCGCTGATGCATATGCCCTGGGTCTACTGTTGCATACTTTGTTTAACCCAAGCCATCCGCCTCCGGCGACAGCCCAACCACCGCACCCGCCTCCGCCGGCGTCGTCTCGCGGATCAATTCCATTGCCTATATTCCCTCTTTTCAAGAAGTTATTGACTCCCAACCCAGCCACAAGAGCTACCCCGAAGCATTTCCTCGAAGTCGGAATGACAGACGGAGGCTTCTTTGCCAACAATCCACTGGTGAAGATATGCCTGGGGCTCGATAACTTTGCAATCGCCAGTGAATCGGAGAAGGCAACGTTCCTTCGGTAAGCGCTCAGTATATTTCGACACTCGAACGGCCACTTATGGCAGTACAGAACACTCAACGAATCAGCAGCATCGTTCCCCCAGGAACTTGCCTCAAAAAAAATACTCCCTTCCCTTCTCTCGGCGCTGGAATTCGGCGGTGCATCTGCAGCCGCAATACTTCCGTTGGTCCTTCAATTTGGAGCCAACGTTTCTCCAGAGGAGTACACAAAGACGATCGTTGACCCTATTGTGAAGCTGTACAGCAGTCCTGACCGCGGAACAAGAATGGCATTGCTTGACCACCTCCCTCAGTACATCGATAAACTGGACAAGAAGACCGTCTCAGACAAGATTTTCCCCCACTTGGTATGGAATTCCCAAGCGGCCTACAGGCGCCCCTTCTGACCGCTTTCTAGCAAACTGGTTTCGCTGATACTGTAGCGGTTATCCGCGAAGCTACAGTCAGGTCTATCAGCTCCTTTGCTCCCAAGGTCGGCTCGAGGTCTTCCCGATTAGCAGAAAAGAACTAACGACGGAGTATAGCTTACGGAGCGTATCCTGAATAACGATTTGCTTCGACTGCTTGCAAAGATGCAGGTTGACCCTGAACCATCCATTAGGACCAATACTTGTATTTTGCTTGGAAGGTTGGGTCCGACCTTGGGATATAACACGAAGAAAAAGGTTCTTGTACCTGCCTTCTCGCGTGCCCTAAAGGACTCATTTGTCCATGCTCGTGTCGCGGCTCTCATGGCATTTACGGCCACCATCGACTGCTTTGAGATCGAAGATCTGGCAACGAAGGTCATTCCGAACATGTCCTTTGCCTTAATCGATAGGGAGAAGTCTGTTGCCCACACTTCATGTTTGATCCCGCTTCTGACTGCCTGGATAGGGTTGTGAGAGACCAGGCGTTCAAGACACTGGATCTGTATGTCAAAAAGCTTGAGGCCCATGCGGCTACACTGGTCAGTCGCCCGAGAATAACACTCCTATATGTATGTTGACATGCTCTCCCAGCCCGAGACGGCTAATACAGACGGTCCTCCCAATCTTCCTGAACTGAACACAACTTCCTCAACGGCCATTATTAACTCGGCTGCTGGTGCAGCGACGACTCTAGCTGGTTGGGCCATCACCTCCTTGGGCAAACAGGTGGGTGCAACAATGTCACTAAGTGCAGTCCTCTCACTTTGCGTATAGCTTGCAGCATCGGACATGCAGACAACCATTGACACCACTTCGAATCCGCTTGATTCACCCGCCCTCACCGCTAAGCCACCTGTTCCATTGGCTACACGACCCGCCTTATCGCAAACCCCGTCCAGCTCGTCGACGAAAGCCAAACCACTTCAACTGGGGGGGATGAAATCTCCGAACTCTGCCTTTAACCTGGGGGACCAACTCGCGGAAGAGTTTGCGGCCAGTGAGACCGCTTCTTCATGGGGCGGGGACTTGATGGATGTTAATGCAGACGACGATGACTGGAGTATGTGTTCGGGATCCCTAATCAGAATATCACTAATCGATATCCAAGGTGCCTTTGAGACTGCTCAAGCTCCTCCAGTAGAAGCTCCCTCGACTCCTGCAACACCCGCCCCTGTCACACAACTGAAAGTCAAGGCTCCACGTCCTTCGTCGTTACACAGGTCTTCATCGCCTCGGATACCAACCTCGGCTAGAGCACCCTCGGGGGTTACGTCGAGGTCTATGACGCCGGACCAAGCTTGGGACTCACAAGGAGAATGGGTGGAAGCCCCAAGCGCAAAGCCATCTGCTCCACCGACGCCAAGCGTGAGTAGCACAGGTAGCAGCACACCAATGACCAAGGAAGAGAAAGCGGCTGAGATGGCGAGACGTAAGGAAGAACGGAGACAGGTGAGTGTGCCTTCATTGTATACCTCATACTTTGTCTGATTTCTCCCTGTTAGCGTATTGCTATGTTAAAGGAGCAGAAGAAATTGGCGGCGGCTGGGGCTTAGGGCCAAGAGACTTTCACAGCCTGGTGTCCGAAGAACACCCGGAAGGAGGACCGCCCTATCTGTGTCTACAAGAGTACCGTTGCTTTTTTATTTCATCTTGATCGATAAGGCATTGGTGCCTATGGATCTGCTGGTCTTCATGACAGACTCGGTTCGACACCATTGGCAATTTCATGTACTTAACAGATTCTAAAATAGTATGCATTTACCCTTTCTGACTGGGCATCACGTCAACAAGAGGCTTGTGTGGGCGAGCGATCAAATTCGCACCGCAGCCTCGACGTCGGATTGGCTACGTGGTGGCCACAAAGAGGCACGCCTCCATGATGCAAGGGAGCAATTGACCTTTTATTTGTTCTTCCACTTCAGAGTTTCAACGAGCTCCTAATCCGTCCGCTCATTTTACCCCCTGTCATTTACCCATTGCAACTTGTTCCTGTCGTTGTTGATTCCGCCGGCGTGGAGGCACTCAGGGATCGATGGCCACAATCGACCGACAGAAAGCCTCCCAAAGCAACTCGACAACTGCGTTTGTAACTGCTCTCGCAGTCAATGCTGGTCTTTTGGCTGCTGAAGTTGGCGTTTTCCTGATCCTCAAGACCAAACTTTGGAGAGTTTACAGCCCACGCGCGTATCTGCCACCGCCAGAGTATGTCGCGTCTCCCGTGGTCTAATTTTAGCGACTGATACCCCGTGTTCAGTAAACGAGCCGATGAGTTACCTGGAGGTCTCTGGAGATGGTTCCCCGCACTGCTGAGGTCACCGACGAAAGAGATTGTGCGTTTCTTTGCGCGAATTAGATGACCACGTCGCTGACGATCATATAGATTCAGAAGAACGGACTTGACGCGTAAGGATCGGCTCCATAGCCCCTTTCAATAGATCCTGACGATGGTTTTGACTACAGATATATGTTTTTGCGCTTCATCAAGCTCCTTGTCTGGATTTTTCTCGCTTTCACCATCGTGACCTTTCTTGTCATCATCCCCGCCGACGCAGTCAACATCCAGAGCACCCTTACCGGGGTAGAGAGGATATCATGGAGCAAGTAAGCAACCAAATCGCCCTGTACCACCCCAACGCGCTTCCTCACCGCAGTTCTCAGTATTGTGGACCCTCGCGACCAACACCGCTTCGCTGCCCATGTCATAGTGGTCTATGTGCTCACCGGTAAGAATTCGCCGTGTGAATGGCAGTCAGCAATTCTAACAACCTTTGCCAGCATTCGTGGTCTACATGATCCATCGAGAGATGCACCACTTCGTTCAACTCCGTCACCAATTCCTTCTCAGCCCGTCGCACTCTAAGCTGGCTCAGTCTCGTACTGTTCTCATCACCTCTATCCCAGAAGAACTGGGGAACGAGCAAGACATTAAAACTTTTGCAAGTTTTGTACCCGGAGGAGTTGACAGGGTCTGGCTGTACCGTGATACGAAGACCCTAAACGAGCTGTTCGAAAGGCGGCAAGAGCTATGCGAGCTACTGGAAGCCGCTGAGTCTGCATTGCTGAAGCAAGCGACTAAGGCGTGGAGGAAGCGGGTCAAGGCCCACGCTAAGGCCCAGAGAAAGAAGCCGAGGGATGTTGAACACAACCCGACCGAGTTGGCGAAACCTGAACCTTCGATAGAATTGCTTCAGGATTTGGTCCCTCCTCACAAGCGTCCTATGCATAGAACCGGTCTCCTTCGACTTGTGGGGACCAAGGTAGACACCATCAACTGGTGCAAGGTCAGCCTTCGAACTTCGCGCTTGCAGATGAAGCCCCGCGGTTGACCCATTATGGACAGGAAGAGATTGCGAAAATTAATGTCAGCATCGCCGAACTACGCAAAGACAACTCGGAGCGTAAGTTCCTCGGAAGTGCCTTCATTCGATGCAATCTTCAGATGGGTGCACATATCCTTGCCCAATGCGTTAGCTACCACGAGGTGAAGTGACTTGTCTCGTGCTTGTTGGCCTTGTGATCGCTTACGACCGGATATCTTAGCCTTTAAAAATGGTAGACAAATGGATGGATGCACATCCCAAGGATATTGTGTGGAACAACCTGGATGATGGCGCTCTCGAGATGAAAGGGCGATATATCACATCTTGGATGGCTACTGTTGGCTTGATCATTGCCTGGACTTTCCCTGTGTCCTTCATTGGTACCCTGAGTAACCTGGGAGAGCTTTGCACTGACGTCAAGTGAGTTTCGACCCAATTCTGGCAAGGGAGCGTACTGAATCTTGCAATAGGTGGTTGGCATGGGTTTGCGACCGTGAGTTGAACGGAAATGTGTATGAGTCCCGCAACGAAACTAACACCGGACAGTGCCCGACGTTGTCCGCGGTCTCATCGAGGGTGTCCTCCCTCCCGGTCTCTTGGCCGTTCTGTTCGCCCTTCTTCCATTCATCCTCCAAGGTCGGTTCCACTGTGGCACCTCCTCGAGACCCGCTTACAGTCTTTTCTAGCACTCGCGTGGTATGAGTGCATCGCCCGATATTCTCTGATTTCCGTCAGCGTCTACAAGCGCTTCTACTTCTTCCTCTTAATGTATGTCTTGTTGCGCGAGCTCACGATTCAGATACTAACTCAATATCAGCCATGGTTTCCTCGTCGTGACGTTGACATCCGGTCTTACCAATGGTAGGTTTCCTGGCTGTTGTGCTTGAGCCGTCTCTAACCAGCATGATTACTTGTAGCAATTGGCCAGGTGTGTCACATGTCCTTCTATTGCAATATGGTGTCCTTACTCCTGTGCCCTTAGATCATCCAGAATCCTACGAAGACAGTGACCGAACTCGCCAAAGAACTCCCCGGTGCCTCTGTCTTCTTCCTGACCTACATGGGTATGTGACGAGAGGCACCATTGGACGACAAATGTTGACGGGATTCCGTTAGTTACCCAGGGATTGGCTGGTGCCGGTAACGCACTCGCTCAGTTTGTGCCTTTGATCCTTCACTACGTTCGCAAGTGGTTCTTGGGACGAACCCCACGACAGGCTTATGCTGTGACCTTCATGATGCCAGCCGTGGGTACATTCTCCCCATCGTGGCTGCGAATTGCATTTAACTACTTGAATTCGTCTCTAGGCTGATTTTGGCGTAGTTTTGCCTCGGCTGTCACTGCTGGCTACCATCGCCTTCGCCTACAGCGTGTTGTCCCCCTTGATCAACCTTTTGGCTTTGCTCAGTACGTTGCAGGCTACCTTGGACCCTCGATTGTGTTTGACATTGATTATAGGCTTTGGCATGTTCTACATCGCCTGGAAGTTCCGTGAGTAATCTGGGTTTCGGTTTTTTGAGCGAGAACGTCTCATATGGTTGTCCAGTTTTTGTGCAAGTCTTTGATCAACCTGACGAGACGGAGACCGGTGGAATGTATTTCCCGATGGCTGTTGGAAATCTCTGTCAGTGCCTCCCTTATCACCCTCATATTTTCTCACTTATTTCATCACAGTCGTTGGCCTTTACATTGAGCATATCTGTCTGGCCGCCCTCTTCTTTATGCGTGCCCCAGACGAGGGAGCAGGGGCTGTTGTAAAGGCCATATTTATGCTGGTCCTTTTGGGACTCACGGCGGTCGCTCAGCTCTTTATGTCGAATTCCTTTGACCGTACGTCCCCAATGACCCAATCCCTCACCGACATTTGGTTCTAACTTGCCTTTCCCCAAGACTTGATTCATTACTTGCCAATGTCACTGGCGACCAAGAAGATGGCGAAGAAGTTCGAGAAGGAGAAGAGGAGACGTACGGGAACTATGCTTCCTGAAGACAACGAAGAGGAACTTGACTTGTTCAGTCGTTCAAGTGAGTGGAACTATCGGTGGGCCTCTTGGATTCGCTGACCTCTGGTGCAGGAATCAGAAGCGTCCGGCGGCGAGTCAAGAAGACCGTTGAGGAGATCAAGGGCAGGTCGTCCGACGATAGTGCCAAGGCGCCGCTCGCGGACGGTGCAGCGGAAATGGCGGCGGTTACATCCCTGGAAATGCTTGAAAGGCACATGGGTGGCGAACTGCAACGCCAGAAAACCAACGACTCAACCCATTCACAACACTCAAACCATTCTAATAGGTCAAACAGATCCGATAATAAACCCAAAGTTGTCTTCGACGCGCCAGCGCCGCGCGTAACAATGTCCGACGACTCTGACGATTCGGATGAAGAGGCTGCTGATGACCACGCCTTCGACCACCCTTCGACATACCAAGAGCAAGCATGGATCTGGATTCCCAAAGATCCCCTGGGTCTCAGTGAAGTTTTGGCGAAAGACTTGCGTTCTGCGGGAGTAGATGCCAGCGATGTCGGCGCCTTCATGGACGAGCATGGTGTTGTGGAGGTTCGCCGCAATCCTCCAGATGAAGAATGGGCTGGTGGCCATGATGCCTAAGCACCGGATGGTCTCCAGTTCTGCTTGATTTAACGTTTTTACATCACAATCTATTATGATAAAGCCTATTACTGTAGTCGGCGTTTCTTGTATACATTACAACGTGCTATGCACAACAGTTCGCGTTTCTTTGCCCGGCTCGTGAGCGTCATGAAGATGTAGAATTCGCCTTTAACTCTTCGATGGGTAGTCTCACGAGCCGCTCTCCCATGATAGAGGTTTCTGTTGCACCTTCTTCCTGCAGCTGCTGTCTTGCAGACACTGCTAAAAACATGAGAGAGATGATGGTGGTTGATAGTAATAGCCACTCACGGAATTGACTCAAAATCTCGAACATTTTCGGCCATTGAGCAAGAACCTGACCATGTACTGACGGAGGTTACGCGACGGTTTCTTTAGCACCGCGTGCAACGATAGAGCTCACCTTGGCCAGCATCTGCCATTACTTCACAATCATCAGCCAACTCCATTATTCGTTCCAAGTACTGGGTACTGGCTCGCTCCAGAGCAGAAACAGCATCGAATTCCTTCTTCTTTTCTGCTAGTTTGGCCACCGCTGCCGCGGATGATACGGAAGACGGGAGATACGAGACGCGACTGTATGCCATGGACGGGCGCATGATGGAGGTTTGTTTCCAAAAGGGCTTTAGCGCGCCGCGCCTCTCGCCCCTGCACTATGCCAAGCCAATCCCGGTGAGGTCGGGCCTCGAAGCCGGCCGATCGCAGTGGTTCCCAAACAGGCAAACCGAGCGGCGCTTCTTGCTGTCCTCCACGGATTTTGAAGTTGCAGTGTCCTTAACCCAACTCTTTCTCTACCAACCACAACGACGCATGAGCGTCTCACTTGCGCCTCGCGATGCGCGAAAAGAAAGATGAACGCCGTTCAACGCCAGCATTGCCGGTCTACAAGTCCCAGCCACCCGTATGGCTTCCAACGATCCATGGAACGGCTGATCTTGGTACGTTATGCAACGGTTTATGGCCTTTCAAGTCGATTGACCTTGCTCTCGCACAAGGTTACCCTGCCTTCTATCCCCCTCGACCTGGTCAAGATGAAGATGTTCTCTCAGCCTCAAACATCAAGAATGGCTTCTTATTGCCACAGCCAGTTTCGGTGGGTTGCTGTTGCACGAGATAGCCGCAGGAAGTTAATGCACAATATCAACAGGTTGAGACTTTCAGCGCACAGTCCATGATAAATGAGAAACTGAGGAATAACGACACCCTGTCCAAGTTGGAAGAGTTAATGAACGAGGTTTTCGTTCGGCGAGCTGAGCGAACATCTCCCATACCGTGCGTCGGTTGTACTTCCCTGGAGATTCTGCTGGCTTAATATTTGTCTCTCCCTCTAGCCCTTCCTCTTTTCGAATGCCTACGAGGGTTACTCTCAACGATGCAAAACGACAAGCGTGGTTCGCCGATTTGGCCAATCCCGAAGTACCGCTTCACAAGCTGGGAAAGAGTGTTCCACATGGCGCCAAAGGGCACGATTTACTGGATCTGCTGCAGTCCCATGACGTTGCTATCCCGAGGGCTGTCTGGGTGCTCCGAGTATTCGGTGCCAATGAGACAGTATGTATGCCTCATTTAGCCCGTGGCGAATATTCATTGAATCGTCCTAGGCAGGATTGAGGAACAAACCCTCATACAATCCCACACAGTACAGCATAGAGTGGGCAAATGTTGTGACTGGATACCTGAAGAAACAACTGTATGAGATTGCACTCCCTAGTGCACCTCGACCGGGTCTAAACATCAAACAGACCTTCAAGGGTGTGCTTTCTGAGCCGGAATCCCGGGAACGATGGATATCCCGTTTCGCATACTCGTAAGCGACTGAATTTCTGACGTCTGCGATGTGACTGTGTCTGATGTCCTGTATAGCCTAAAGCTACTCCGAACCTTCTACCGAGAAGGCTTAGTCGATCGCAAGACCTTCCTGGTTTGGCTCGTTCAGCAGATGGCCATTTGCAACCTCGCTCAGGCTGGCTTTGTCACTCGGCTCGTCGACGAGTATTTGGATGATATGTTGACTATTCGGGCCCTTGCAAGACCGCTGGCGGAAGCTTGCTTGACCAAACTCGCCGAGGTGAGGGGTTTCGTCACTCGACAGATTTGCTTTATCACCTAACATGGATCATACCCACAGATCAGCAACGCATCTGCTCAGGAGGTGCTTATACACACGGAAGGGTTGCTGAAAATTCTTCTTCAGGTTGGATTACAGCTTCCCTGTTGAACATCGGCAGCTACTAACGCTAACGCAGAAACTTTGTCTGACCATGTCGGACGTATTCATTGGCCCACGTTTATGGGCAACCCACGCGTCGCTGATAGACATGATCATGGCGAACAACCTGCTAGACGCGCCGCCACAGTCCCGCGATCGCCTACTGGATGGAAGCACCCAGCAGCTTCAAGAAGCTCTTCGTTGCAACATCGCTGATGTCCGCAAGCGGAATGAAGCCCTCTCATTTCGAAACTCGCCTGCTAAAGTGTCAGCGAAACTGAGCGCAGCTGTCTCCCATGTCAAGGTATTGTAGTCTGTTCCATCGCAAAAGCTTCGCCAACCCAGTTTCCGTACAGTTTCTGAACTCGCTTTCGCGCGAATCGCAATTGTCGACCGTCTCCTATTTCGACCATGATGGCACTGGAAGTTCTTTTGCAGAGAAGTTGGATATGCTTCTGACGTGGAGTGTCACTCCTCTGCAATATGGCGATCACAGGCCGCTAGCCGTCGTCACGCTCCTCCAGCATTGGTGTAATCGCGCTTCTGAACGAGCAACACGTCGTGGATCGCAGCATCCACATGCTATACTCCAGGACCATCTTTTTACATGGCTCGATACCTCTGAGGTTGCGGGAGAAGTTGGGAACATTCAAACAGTCGCGCTGCTCTATGGGAAGCTTGTTAAGCTTGAATTGTTCTCCTATCCAAATTATATCCAGCGGCTTATCGCAAGAGGGGAACCTGGTTTGTCATATAGCGAGGTCTGTCATCTACCCCCCTTTTTCCGTGTTTCCTGTGCGACTGACCCCTTGACAGCCAAATCCTTCTCGACATAGACACTTTCTCAGTTGGATACCCTTGTTCAACTCCACCCCATCTTTGATCTACCAACGTAAAGTAACCCTTTATGGTGTTCGTGCAAGAGAAACACCAGAGGATCGCATTGAGAAGGAGATACGGAGGGAAATTCGCTCGATCTTGCCAGAGTTGTTTGGTAGTGAGTCTCACCAACGTAATCTGTCTTGCGATTCCTAACAATCGCCACAGATTCCACGCCTAAGCAATGGGCATCCACAGCTGCTCTCCTCAATGATTGCAGTTCTCTCATGGCAGCTTCGCGATACGAACAAGTGCGAACCTTTAGACAATGGTTGCTCCCATCTTTCCAGAAAGCTGTCTCCAGGTACGTGTGGTGTACGTCTCTGCGGGTAGTGCTGACAACATCTAGTTCTCCGGAGTGTTCTCACTTAGTGAGGGCCTACTACATTTGCGTCGAGTTGATGGATTTTGCCAAATGTTTCAACTCAATCCTGGAGGTACGTTTGTAATGCATCACTGACAGGTTTGTAACTGAGTACATTTTTCTCGTAGATCACACTCTGCATGCTCCTTCATGCCGCAGAGATAGATTCGATCACCTGCGTTGTTGACACTTTCCAGAGATATTCCACGATTTGGACTTGTATGGATGCTACTCCAAAGATCGTGACCGCATTACACGACACTTATCATAGATGGAAAGCTCAAGGCCTTCAGTCTCGACTTCTCCTTTCTACTCTCTTGGAATTTGATGGTCAGCGACACCTCTCGGAAGCGTCGCGTCAGGAAATCATGGCTGACATGGACGCGTTCATCCTGGTCAGTCATCACAAGTCACAAGAACCTTTCGTACTCACTCTAACACATCCACTCTGGCTTTAGGCTTTACATCCGGTGACGCAACACCCTGACCAAGTGCCTCCAGTGCTTCCCGAAGTTTATGCCCTCGCTCGTGATCCCAACCCTGAAGCTCCTTCAACATTGGCCAACAGTTTATGGATTAAATATCGGACGTCTCAAGACTGGGCTGCCAAGGTTTGGGAAAATACTCTGAGCGCGTTATCGAATGTGGTTGCCTCGAACCCGACTGGTCAAGATCTGGAAGCTATTGGCCTGCGCTATGCCAGCTTCTTGATGAAGGTGGACCAACACCTCCCAACCGGATTGGATGGGTACATCTGCCGCTGGCTCGAAACGGCCGGTAGGAATGAGATGCCCTTCCTGCAGCCGCAAGCTTGGGCTTTGCTTGAGTCTTTGTTACTATTCCTCATCATACAGGGTGCCTTGAAGACCACGACGGTTCTCGCTGGTTTGGTTTACCCGGCATGGCAACTTGTTGCTTCCTCGACCATCAACGTCGACTCCCCTCTTATCGCATATCTAACCTCAGCGCGCGTCCTCTTCCAAAAGCTTCTTCTGCAAGATACAGCTTCAAGAGACGGTACCTTCCCTCGGGACATTTTCGACATCCAGAAACTTCGAACGAGGCGGCGAACAGTCTATTACGAACCTCATTTCTCGAAGTTGGTGGAGATGATCCCTCTTTTGATTTACATCGAAAGTATGGAGCAACTACCTCAAGAACTTCGTGCCGAACTTTCAACGCTGCGTCGACATCTGTGCCAGGACCGCAGGTTCCGCCAAGGGGCATATCGAAACCTCGATGTCATTCGGGAGGCGTTCGAAACATCTCCTTACCTGATGGACACCAGCGTGGAATCTCTCCGGAAGGAAGCGGTGGCAGGCTTGAGGATGATTCTATGGGACTCTACAGAGGGTAATTCTCGCTGCATATTCACAACATTCGCGTCTAACCTTTGCTTAGATGGCGATATCGACGACTGGCCCGAAGTGTCATCTCTACTGAGCCCGTGGAAATTGGTTGCTACCACGATCCAGATGCAGTTCCAAGTCAAGCAACTGGGTCGCGCTTTGGGCCAAGAGAACACCCACGCATTCGCCAGCAGCAACTTGGACAAGTTGACCCTGATGCTCTTCCAGCATACAAAGACTGCTGAGGAAGCCTATTACGTCGGAGAGATGGCCAAAGGAGCAGACCCGACCGTTGCCACGAAGGTAAGCGACGCCCAGGCTCTCTTTGAATGGTGTAATGAAAGCAATCTGTTTTCTTTACAGTTTATCAAAGCAGGGCTGAAGTTCATGAAGGACATGCTCTCTGATTCTCAAGGGGACGAAAACTGTTTTGCTACCTCCCTCATGCGACTGGGAGAGTTACTACGCATCCTCATCCATGTCACCGCGCCTTTCCGTGACCAGTCAGTGAATCTCCTCGCTCTGGATCCTGCGCTACAAGAAGAATTCCTCCGGCTTCTTCACTCGAAGATCACATATCTCGAGCGTTCGCTGACGAGTGAAGAGAGGTCAGCCCAAGACCACAACCACAAGTCCAACTTAATCCTCCTCATCCGGCTGCTTCAATTTGTCCTGAACTTCCGGGATATCAGCTGGACCCTTGCTATGAAGGAGGTTGGGCAATCTCTTGCCACTGCCTTATTCCGACTAGCGATGGTGAGTAAGTAATGGTGTCGCACCGAAAGTTGCTAATGGTATGCCCCAGCACTTTGGAAGTGGTTCGCACATCGACGAAACGATATTCCCAATCTTGACTGATACCCTGATATTTATTTATGATGGTGAGGGCATTGCGACCAGGTTGCGACCACCTCGTACTAACCAACGCCTAGAAATGGCACCCGATCCCAAAGCACCAGCCTATGATCCTTTCAAGCATTATCCAGATACCCCGCCATCATCGCTACCGGCCGATCTTCCTGCACAATACCGCCAACAGATCCTCACGTTAATTGCTCGCAACCCCATACCATCCACCATAGCCAATCTCTCTACCGCTCATCGCGATTCTCAGGGTCATTACTCAGCCGGTGGTCCAGTCATCAACCGCCCTTGGGAATGGGTGGAAAACTTGACTCCAGACTTGCAAGGTATAGAAGACGAGCGCACACTCTTCCAGAATAAATGTACCGTCAAGAATTCCGGCTCGCTTTCCCTGGAAACCTTTGCGGCTCGTATGACAGGCGACAGTATCGTCCGCAATCTCGCCCAAGATTCCGTCAACATGCTGCATGAACTTCGCATTTTCGAAGACGGTCTTTCTGAGGAAAGCATCTTCGCGCGCGACTTCAGGGAGACGAGGACAAGTGTCGAGACTGACTTGGACATCGCCCTGAAACAACCCCTTGCTGGCTTGGAAACTAGTGCGGGGTCGTTACAGCCGGTTATTGCTGGCAAGATGGAGCCTCCGTCAAGAGCATCGCCAGCATCCTCGGTCGTATCTCGTTCCTCAGCTGCTCAAGGATCCGGTTCCTCCAAGCGGATGCAGCACAGTCCTGGCCAAATGTCCAGGCTATCGACTTCGACTATTAGCGATGCGATGGATGTCGATAGCACTGGACCGTCTGGCCTTGGGTCCCGGAGAGGGAGCACCACCAAACGTAAGGCTGACAGTGACGATGACGAGATTCAGATCATAGAGGGGCCAACGAGACCTGCCCCAGGAAAGCGAGTTCGAGCGGGTAAAGCCCCTGCTGGAAAGACTGTGGGTTCGAAGACCACTGCAGGCAAAACGAGGGCGAGCACCAGGAAGCGGTGATGTCTTTCATACCACTTTGTCTGTCTAATCTTTGCTTTGCATTCTTTTCATTCCCTTAATGCATTCTTGCTTTTCAACTGTATTATAGCAGCAACTGTTTTACACATTATTTATTGGATGTATTGTAATTGGGTTGGATAGGTAGTTCACAATCTGTAGACTACAGTAATGAGCATGTAGAGATCATGCGCTGTTAATGTGTACTGGCGAGAACGGAAATGGAAAACGCCGAATCAAGTAAAGGGCATGGTGGTGGCGAAAAGACAGACGACATGATAAGACCAGATGTTGCGAATTGAGCTAAATTTGGTCAAGTTCGCCGAGGGAAGAAACCTTCCCATACGCTCGCCCTCGGGCGAGCGGGTGGCGGTGGGATGGCCTCCTTTCGAGCGTTGGCGACCATCTGTACTAGGGACTTCATCCCAAAATTCTCCGTCGGAGCGGATTTGACTGGGGCTCGGCATTCCGGGCAATTATACTGTGGCTGCGGTGGTGAGTGGGCAGCGATGAAGGCGGCGGCTGCGGGATTCATCAGCAACTGAGGTTGCTGAAGCAATGCAGCGAGGTGTGGTCCGAGGGGTTGGTTGGGGTTGTAATGAGGATTGGCGTTGAGAAAGTTGCGCAACGTCGCGTCGAACCATTCTATCAGACACTTCTGGCAGAATGTGTGTCCACATCCAGAAAGGCTGGTTAAAGAGGGAAAAAATTAATGAGTCTTGATGCTTGGGGACGAAGATGGCTGGTCCTTTCGTACATGTACGGTACAAACATAGTGTTTGTACAGATATTGCAAGAAATGATATCTTCGAGGTCATCGTAAGGCTGCAGGAAAAGGGATGACGGCTATGAAGGTGGAATAAAGCGGTTGGAGGCTAGTACCCACCAGTACAACCTTATCTCTCCCTTCATTACTTTGCGTCTCCAGACACCGGATCTTCTGGACAGTGCTCTCCAGATCATCGTGTAATGTCTGAACCTTGCGCTTGAGCTGTTCTTTTTCCTATGGCGGGTTCGGTCAAAGGCGCTTGGAAGAGTGGGGGGCGGACGCACATCTTTCAGCCTCCTAACTTGCTTCCGCAGCTCTGCGACTGTCGAGCTCGACGGTGCCACAGATGTGCGCCGTGGTGGTGGCGGAGGTTCATCGTCATCGGACGAGATCTCGATAACTTCGTGGTGGGAGACGATAGGCTGCCTAGGCGGTCGTCTAGTGGGTGCCCTGCTCATACCGGTGGGTGCAAAGGGATTTCCTGGCGACTCCAGAAGGCTCGAGCTTGCCATTGAACTTGAGGCAACGGGTTCAAGGTTGGTGATTTCGGAGGCATTAGTTGAACTCGAGGCTTTTCTTTTCTGTTTCGGTATTGTTTGCGATGCTGTACGCAACGTTTTGGAGGTTCCTCCAGAGCGAGTTACTGGCATTCGTTCTCTGTCCAAGATGAAGAAAAACGGTTCAAGATTGCCCTGGCGTTGTTGACGAACGGTTTCGAAAAGCGGTCCATTTAAATCGCACCCACTTAAAGCCTCCACCGCCAAAGCGAAACGCCCACGTGATGACTTTAGGGGTGGCGAACCAAGACTACATACAAAAGCCGACACTGAGATGACTACTTATGAATACAGGGTATATAATTGATGAATAACTTATAGGAAGTAAGAAGAGAAAGGTCCATAGAATGATAGATCAAGAATGGCCCAGCATCAAACTGTGTCCGGAAGTCGCTCAATACAGTCTCGTATTACCCTGAACGATTCAGCTTTGTCGTAGAGCCTGCGATGGCACGTAATGTTCGGGCAGACAGCTTGCCAGCAAGCATTTGCCTCTGGCCACTCGGCCAGGCCAGGAAGAATAGTATCGCCAAGTGGCCGCTCATCGATCTCCAGGATTATCCTGTACTTGAGTTCACGCCACGTCTGGTACTCGATCCGCCCTTGGCACTGTATGCAAACAGCCGCTCCCCCAGAGACAAACGGTGGATCGTTCAGACGTTTCCGCAAACTACAACATAGGGGATATCATCGTGAGCGCGGGGACGAAACATGATGCAAGCTGAGCAATGAGCGCACCTTTCTCGCCGCCCACGGTGCAGCGCAAAGAGTTTGAGCAGTGCGGTCGATGAAAGACTTTGCAACGTCTCAAAGTGGGTTGGGTCATGCAGGTTGTATGTCAAGGTCCGGGTCGAGAAGTACTTCATCTCGGACTCCCAGCCATAGCGACTGCAAATGACATACATTCTCAGAGGATCGTCTGAGAGGGGGCTGCTCTTGACTCCCAAGCGCACTATAGACATAGGGCCAGGCATATCGTACGTTTCCGCGGCGTGCAATATTGGTTCGACCAAGGTTGGGTCCAGCGGCAGAACAGGCAGCCCACAGACCATCCTCAGGAGATGCTCTAGAACATCCGTCTCCTCGTTGGTGTAAATCACCTCCGAGCATTTTCGCCTGCGATGGGGAAGAAGTCAGAATCGCGGTGCTAGGGGTGGAACTGCTGTCGACTTGTAGACACCCACCCTGGCAAACTGAACATGCTCCTGAAGAACCCAGACGTAGTTTTCAACGTGTAAGAATGCGTCCGGAACATCATCTTGCAGTTTCTCGAGGCCAGTACGACATCGCCATCGGGGTCAGAGAAGTCTGGGTGAAAGCAGGCGTTGGATTCGTCGATAGGGGTACCCATTAGGGCGTCGGAGGAGGAGTTTGCGGTCGTTTGCATGGCGATGAGGGTGCTGTGGCTTCAGAACTGCAGGGGGATGGAGAAAGCCTCAAAGATTAACATGGTCCTATAAGACCGGGCCACAGTTGTTGATTGTATGATCGAAAACATACTACGCCGCGATGTCAATCTCTCCTTTTGGAGCGCGTCCATATCCTGACGCGTCGAGACTCAGTTCTGGTCATTCACGGTCATTTGTCCCTCAGCCACCACAAAATTATCCATGCTCCAACCGAAACCCTACCTGACCTACCCCTCGCAATTTTGACGCGAGACGCCTAGTATTGTTGCTTCACGAGTGTGGGACTGGATCCAGTCCCGGTCGGGCCTTTCGGTGGCAGCCGCCGCAACTGTCAGCCTTCTTTCCAGCGCGTCAAGCAATAAAGCCGATTCGATGTTTCGTTCTTGCGGACTTGCCTTGTCTAGGTCTTTACAACTCCACCAACGCCACGCCATGTCGACAGCAGCCCCCGCGAAACACAAGTTCCTCGTCTATGCTCCGGACAAGACTGAGGAAGGCACCTTCGAGAAGCGGCTGAGCGTCCGTCCCAAGCATATTGAAGTTGCCCATGAGCGAAATATCGCTGGGATTGTCAGTGAGTAACTCCTGAATGATGTGTTATCCCCCTTGTCTGATCTTGCTCCTAGAATTGGGCGGTGCTGTGTTGACACCTGAATCCATTAGCTCCCCGACAGCTCAGAAGAAGATGGTTGGTTCTGCCTTCATCTTCGAGGCGGAATCACTTGAAGAGTAAGGACTTTTTCCACCGAGGGGTGAACAATTGACCAAATACCACTACCCCAGAGTTAAGAAGATGGTTGAAGGAGATATTTACTACACGTCCGGAGTGGTGAGTAACCCATTGTACTCATCCAACATAACCTGGCGCTGACAATTCGTCCAGTGGGATCCGGAGAAGATTATCATCTTGCCTTTCGTAAACGCGACTCCTATGCCCTAGTTTAAGCTATCGCACGATCATACAAGAAGTCCTTCCAATCTCTATCACTGTGCCGAATCAATCGACCGATTCAATTTCACCAGTCCCTCCATCCTAAAACAAAACACCGCAGGTTTCTCCGCCACTGTCAGAATGAACGGTCCGGCGAGAAGTCCACCTACCTTCTCTTCAGGTCCGCTAGACCGTCGATATAAAGGATGAACCAGGGCCCGACGCCCAGCGAGTCAAGGCGTCCTTTATTCTCGATTCTGGCCATTCCCATAGAGTGGTAGAACAGTTCACTCGAGCAGCTCATTCATCGTTTCAGAGCAGAAGTTCTTCTACTACTCACACACCACAGGCTATCAAACCCAAGCAATATACAGTAGCTATGGCATCAGAATTGGCAACTTCTCCACCAAATGTTGATCTGAAGACCTTCTTTGTCTATGCTCCGGATGGGAAGGGAGAGGGGGCATTGGAGAAACGGTATTCGGTGAGACCGCAACACTTGGCGGCGATGCAGCCTCTACTTGCGTCGAAGGTTGTTCGTGAGTGCATTCTTTATGTCGATCGAATCTGTCCTGTGCTCACATTTGTTTAGGGTTTGGAGGCATCTTGCTGGACGACAAGAATCAGCCTACTGAAGAAGACCCAAGGCTGAGGATTATTGGATCCACTATGATAGTCGAGGCCGAGTCTATCGACAAAGTGAGGGAAATCGTTGAGTCAGATATCTACTACAAGACAGGCGTTGTAAGTCGTTTCCGCCTTCAGTACTTCGCGCTCTCAAAAACGCTGCGCGTCTAGTGGGATAAGGAGAACATCGTGATCACACCTTTCATACCTGCGACGCCACTACCATGATAGTCTTGACGCCTGTGCATTCGCAGCGCGTCCATCTGTACTATGTGGAAGTACCTCCCGTTAAGCTAAACCGTTCAAAGGGGTCGCACTCGCAACATTCTGGAAATAATTAGTAATCCCTTTCGCAAGCTACAGCCGACTGTAACCGAATTAACCGATAACCGTCTGGATATATTCTCTCAAACTAGAGTAGTCCGCTACATTCGCTCCCCTGTCTGCCTAACTGTCTAACCTCGGTCTAACTCGAGTCTGCGTCGTAGCTTCTCCGAGATGTCCAACGAATCAGAAACCAAACCTCAGCTTCATACTTACGTGGTCTGGGCTCCTGATTGCAAAGACCCAGGTGCCTTGGAAAGACGCTACAGCGTTCGGGAGCAGCATCTCGCCGGCGTAGCACCCTATCTCAACAAGTCGATCTGTAAGTGTTGGTTCTGACTTGTTCATCGATTTACCCGTCTGAACCGAAAGTAAATCACTCGGGCTCGAAGTGATTGGGGGAATGTTTGCGGAGCCAGGTTCAGAGCACGAAACAGGCCGACGCAAAGCCGTTGGGTCCCTTCTCATAGTGAAAGCAGAGACTCGAGAAAAGGTCGAAGAAATGATCAAGTCTGACATCTATTACACTTCTGGAACTGTGAGTACCCCTATCCGTATATGTTGCCTCCCTGACGCGTCGCTGTTACAGTGGGATCCCGAAAAGCTCGTAATTCTCCCTTTCTTCAATGTAACGAATCTACTCTAGTAGACGCTATACACATGTACCACCCCACTTGATGGAACCATGAACGTGAATTTTGAAATTCAAGCACGGGTAGTGACGGTGTTTGGGCTACCGCGGGCCGTTGGAACCCGATTGACCCGCGAAGCGTGAGGAACGATTGAGGTCACCCGGGTTTCTTGACCACCGCAATCTCCCAAACCAAGAAAAGTCACAATGGCCGCTCGTTTTGCTCGGGGTTCATTCGCTGTCCCATTTAGAGCCCGCTTCTCTTCTTCCCACTCTCGCCAGAACATCAACTTTGTCCTTCGAGCAAGATTCATGTCGTCAGAGTCGGCAGCAGCTGCACCTCAATACGAGAATATCCTCGTCTCTCGGCCGGAACCAAACGTCCTGCTCGTAACCCTCAACAGGCCAAAGGCTCTTAATGCGCTGAACAGTGCCCTGTTCAAGGAACTCAACAAGGCTTTGCTCGAAGCTGACCGAGATGATTCTATTGCTGCTATGGTTTTGACTGGCTCCGAGAGGGCCTTTGCCGGTGCGTTCCTGCGCGCTTCTGTGACGGAGCGACGGTGCTAAGACGCGTTTCTTAGCTGGAGCTGATATCAAGGAGATGAAGGACAAGACTTGTAAGTGCCTGGTCGCGACGTTCCATGGGTACGGTTCTGACATGTCAACATCTAGTCTCCGAGGTCTACAAGGGTAACTTTTTGGAGAACTGGACTGAGATCAACAACTTGAGGAAGCCCCTTATCGCTGCTGTCAGCGGATTCGCGGTACGTTTAATGATGGAGGAAACTACGAATTAAACGGATGCTGAAGGCTTTATACAGCTCGGTGGTGGATGTGAACTCGCATTGATGTGCGACATTATTCTCGCGTCCCCCACTGCCAAGTTCGGTCAACCAGAGATTAATTTGGGCGTTATCCCAGGTGGAGGAGGTTCTCAACGACTTGCTCACATTGTGGGTAAATCCAAAGCGATGGAATTGGTCCTCACGGGCCGTACCATCACTGCTGAGGAAGCTGAGCGATGGGGTATGGTGAGCCGCGTCGTCGGAGAAGGCGAAGGTCAAGTGGTGAAAGAAGCTCTCGCCATGGCAAAGGAAATTGCCAGCAAGAGTCAGATCGCGGTACAAGCTGGAAAGGAAGTTGTCAACGCAGGTACGCTAATTTACTTTCGCCGACCGATGGGATCTTGGGAGTTGTTAACGCTTGAAAACGAACAGCCTATGAAATGACCCTCCGAGAAGGCCTGAGATTCGAGAGGAGAATCTTCCACGGTTTGTTTGCCACCAATGACCAGAAAGAAGGTACGTTGGATTGCGAATTTTGGTGTTGCGAATTGCACTGACCGGTTTGGTGCCTCACAGGGATGGCCGCATTTGCTGAGAAGAGGAAAGCCAATTTCACTCATACCTGAGCAAGCGACGCGTTGTTAAAGCCGAACCACTCATGATAATGTCTCTCGAGATCTTCTATGTAGTGAGGAGGCGTGGATTACGAGGATATGGCGGGATTACTCTGTCAGCTTGTCAGCCCAAATTCCACGTTCAATAAATCGAATTATACGCACTTTTTGTCCACCGCATGACACCTCCAGCTAAGAAGCCTATTTGTGGAAGAGATGAATTGATGTGTGATTTTTGAGAGGGGCTTTAGCAGTCCTGACCTACGCCCATGACCGATAGCAATAGTTTCTGCGTCGGGGTGCCAGGAGCCACACGTCTCGATTGCCAGAGAGCATAACTTCCGCAACCAAGAAAGGTAACTGTTCCAACAAGGCGACACGCAAGGCAGTCCTTCGGGTTTTCTTGGCCACCAGAAGGGAGGTTTTTGGAGTCCACAGAAGCTTGCATAAGTCCTTGTTCTCTGTGTAGCGCAAAGGAAGAATCTGAGAAGCAGCAAGCGCCGGAACCTGTAGACGGGTACTCTGAATCAATACTTGCACGTGACGAACACGTGTTCTTTCATTATCCCTATCCGACGGGGCCGCTCGTTTTCTCACTGCTCCGCGAACCGCATCTCTTGCACTCGGTCTCTTTGCACGAACGCTGTGGACACCGTGTCGTCTCTAAAATTCTGGAAAGGTCGTGATCGATTTCTATGCGCTTTCTTGTCATTCTTGGTCACCAAATGGCATGGCTATTGACCATTCAGCCCTCTTTATCCTCGTGTTCGGCTTCATCTCCCTTCTCGTCAAACTGTTACTTCATCCTCCAGTAATGGTGGTGCTACACCCTGGTTTCCTGGATAAATATATCTTCCGCAATATCAAGGAGCGGTTGCTGTTCCCGTTTAAAGCCCTTCTACTTGCCGGCGCTGTACTCTCAGAAAACATGCCTCTGGAGGTCTTCTTGGGTAAACCATTAATCTATGACCAAAATAAGTGTCCACTTCCCCATACCTTTCTTGATCGTCGCAGGGATCCCTCTCTTCAACCTGTCCAAAGAACTTCGATCTGGCGATGAGGTATCAGGGCATGCTCCCCATCTTCCACAAGTCACATGGAACGCATGATGTATTTAAACGGTGTGGCCCGCTGCCTGCGGTGAAATACCACGAGAACAATTTGGGCTCCTCTTCCTAACCTTCCCTTCCTATATAGCTATCGTTCTATTCACCTCTTCGCCGACACGACCTATATACGACCCTTCATGACCATTCAAGATGCCTAACTCTACAATCATCCCTCTCAGATTCTCTCCCGTTTGGCTCGTCCGCGATATGAGTGTTTACAACGTATGTTATTATCTCTGTCCTCCTTTCTCGATGTTTATGCCCAGCATACTAGTCTATCCTCGCGGCCTTGGGCTCGTCGGTCGTCTATCTCTTCTACAAGCTCTACCGTCGTGTTACGAGAATCTCGATCGCACACGTTCCAGGGCCTGAACCCGAGTCTTTTTGGTTGGGTCAGTCACTCGCCTCCAGTCTATTGTCTACAATGGGTCTAGATGGACTAACGCATCACCTCGCTGCACAGGCAACTTACGTGAATTGTTCCAAAGTCAGGCCGGTGTCCCGGATTTCAAGTACCAACGAGAGTTCGGGGACGTCGTTCGCGTCAAGGGCGCGTTGGGGGTATGTTCTCAACGTCATGGCGTACACATGTCGTTCAACTCCCATCCCACAGGAGGACCGGCTGTTCATCTCCGACCCCAAGGCTTTACAATACATCATCCATACCTCAGGTATGACAATCGTGCCTCGAGACAGAACGTACATGTCTCACAATCCGTCAGGTTACGCGTATCCGAAGTGGCCTGAGCGGACTGAAATTTCTCGTGTTCTGATGGGACGAGGACTGCTTTGGGCAGATGGTATGTTTCATCAGACTTTGGATTAGTAGTTTTTAATCATTACTCAGGCGAGATCCACAAGCGTCAGCGTAAGGTCATGCTTCCGGGCTTTGGGGGTATGTCGGTGTGGTACTCTTGGTCGCAAAATGACCGCATTCTCAACTTCAACGCTTTTCAGTTCCCGAGTCCAAGTCCTACGTCCCTATTTTCCGAAGGGTCGGCGCAGAGGTAGTTCACTTTGCACCCTGTATCCGAAGAAACTAAGCGGTATCGCAGCTGACAGCACAGTGGTCTGACATCCTCGCCAGTTCTGCCGACCAGTCGGCGGTACTGAACGTGGCTAACTGGCTGTCTCGTACAACCATGGACTCCATTGGTGAAGGTGGGCAAAGACTTCGACGTCAGATAACAATTAACTGACGTCTTCTTCTTGACAAGCCGCCTTTGATTACCACTTTGGTGCCCTTGCGAACCAAGAGAATGAATTCATGGAAGCATACCTCGGTTTAATGTAAGTAGCCTACTAGTCACCTGTCGGTGAAACATCGCCTTCGACTCTACTCTAATCCGTCCGTTCTTCAGGTCTGATACGTTAGGATCGCCTTCGACTTCTGCCATTTTCATGCAGACCGTGATGCCGTTGTGGTATCTTCAATTGATGTCAAGGTTTTCCAGGAAGAGGAACTTGGTTCATGCCAGACACACCGCGAAGCTCGCGAATGCAGTGGCGAAGGAGCTCGTCAACTCCAAGGCAGAAGCGTTATTGCAAGGAAAAGGAAACAAGGATATTTTGTCCCTCTTAGGTGCGATCTACCCTTGATCAACTGTGTCTCGAGCCGGAATCGCTAACGAGCAACCACTCTCAGTGAAGGCAAATGCGTCCGAGAATGCGGAGACGAGATTGACCGAGGAAGAGATATACGCCCAGATGAGGTACGCAGCGGATCATTTCTTCATTGGAGAAGTCTAATCTCGTTGAAAACACCCACCCTTTTGGCAATATAGAACCATTTTGCTAGCTGGGCATGAAACTAGTGCGACCACGCTATGCTGGGTGCTGCTCGAACTCGCTCGTCACCCAGAAGTTCAAGAAAAACTTCGCAAAGAAATCCGTGATACTGAGCGAGCTATCCGTGCCCGCGGAGGTTCAGATTTCACCGCGACTGACCTCGATAACATGACGTACCTTCATGCCGTGATCAAGGTCCGTGGTTCTCCCGGAAAGGTACACCAAACAGCACAGAGCCGACGGCTAACACCTTTCTTTCTAGGAATCGATGAGATTCCATCCGGCTCTGTATCAGAACTATCGCCAAGCTGCTCGAGACGACGTTCTCCCTCTTTCCAAGCCCATTGTGGGGCCAGATGGTGAACTCACCAATAAGCTGCCGATTCCTAAAGGAACGAAGATTATTCTGTCCATCGCGGCCTACAACAGGTAAGACGAAACACGTCCTTTATCCGAGCTTCCTGCATTAGGCTAATTCAATCCCTAGGAATCAAGAAGTGTTCGGAGAAGACGCTCATGAATACAACCCCGAGCGTTGGCTGAGCGACAGAGAAAAGAAGGGACCAACCTTGGGCGTCTACGGCAATCTGTAAGTATCTCGGAGTTTTTCTATTGGTTTCTCGCATTAAACTCGGTGCCTAGGTTGACCTTCGCAGGCGGAATAAGGACCTGCATCGGATGGCGCTTTGCGCTCTACGAGGTCTTGTCATTGACGGTCGAAATCATCAGTAACTTTGAGCTGGCCCCGTCTCCGGATATTCAGCGACTTCGACGTGAGGCGTGCTTGGTTATGCTTCCGACACTTGAAGGAGAGGAGCTGAAAGGAGAGCAGCTTCCTCTCAAGATCACTTTGGCTGCTCGCGACTAGATCATTGTACAGTTTTCTCTACTTCTCCGTACTCGACGATCTTGGCTACGATTTATGCATTTGTACATACTATTATCCCACAAAAAGCATCTTTTGGTTCATCGTGACATGAGCGCTAATTTTGTTTGGCAGGAATCATTCAACTTAGTAAGCGGATTGACGTCACACAGCCAGCGGAATGGATTTGGACGACGAACGCGTCTCATCGAAACCCATTGAGTGTCCACCCCTTCGCGCCGGTTTCCTCTCACTTTACGATGCTCAGTCGCTCGCGAAAGCAACTGGCAAGGTCGCTAACACATATACAAGGTATGCGAGCTCTGGGGCTTCCTTGAACGTGGTCTGACTGGAGAAGACTATGTCCACCAGGCAGCTTATAGGCCGTGCAGATCCCAGGTTCAGTGTTTGAGCTCGCGAGCTCCATCAACAGGACCCAGTAGTATCTGGGGTAGAAGTTACTCCACGGGGCAGAGGTACGTCACCGACACTGGAGGATTGTACCTTGAACTCACCGTTAGTTCAGCAAGGAGGACCATAGTTCCAGCTCCATTTTCTTCTCTAAAGACGACCCGTGGGAGCATGTATTCAAGGATATCGCACCAGTGGAAGAACCCAAACGAAGCCCGCCTTCGCCCAAACCCCGCAGGGTCACCATGACCGCCAGGGAGAAGGAGACTATTCAGAATCTACTCAACAGGTTGCCCCAGACCCAAGACAAGGAAAAAATCACAGAAGAAGTGTTTGGGTCAACGACTGAGGCGACCCCCGAGCCTCCACTGCTCCGCAGACGACACTTTATCAAGACCAAAGACGTGGTCTTCGACGAGATGGTTGAGCAGATGGGCGAATGTAAATCAAAGGCGGAGCTGCTGCAGTGGGCTCGCCAGCACGTCTTTGATGAGTTCGAGAGAGTGCAAAAGTCCGACTCGAAACCCGACCAAGCCTTTCTCTTGCGGTACTCCAAACTAGTACCCAAGCTTATGGAACAGTTCCGGGAGCGTTTTGGGGACCCGCACCTTACTCTCACCATCTACAAGTATGTCAAGGACCGATCCGTAACTTCGTATGTCCTCGGCTGCACGACGGCGACCTACAACGAACTTATCGAAACGATCTGGGACTCATTCCGGGACTTGAAGACCATCAAGGGGGTTTTGGAGGAAATGAAGCTAAACAACGTCGCCGCAGACCGACAGACGGAGAAGGTTGTAGAGCGGGTGAACTACGAAGCAACGGAGGGTAAACTTTGGTTAGATCGCAGTCCAGACGGGGACCAGTTGGCATTGGCGGAGCTCACGAGGATATCGGAATTGCTGATGGAGTTAATGACATTTGGAGAGAGGAACAAGACCCTGCAACGCGACTGGAAACTCGCAATGTCCGCGAAACGAGACATCGACGATTTTGGCTTCTAGATTTAAACCTTTGCGGGTGCGAGTGAGCTGAGCGGGAAGTATTTATACCTGTTCTAGAGCATATGTCATTTACAGCTATAATCCAATCTTCAAATGGTCAAACTAGAGAAATACAGATACAGTAAGGTATAGGTTAGCGGTCGTAAGTAGGGCGTTTCAGAATGAATCAAGAATTGGGACGTCGAGAGTGGCTCTTCCCAGGTTTGGAAGAGCCTTTGGCGGCTCCCAAGCCATGGGTTGGTCTATAGTCCGGGTCAACCTCGTCACATTTGAGATGAAGCAAAAGGTGGTAGATGAAGATCTGCTCATACCTGCAATAGAAGGGATCATTAGTTTCAATTTCCCCAAAGAGTCGAGAAGGCACTCACTGAGCGTTCGTAAAGACGACAGACATAGAATCCGACGTGCACCGGAGAAGGTTTGGGGCCATCACGAGTGCCAGATTGGCAGGAGTCATCTTCGTTATGCTCTGTGTCTTTTCTTCCAGGAATAGTTGCAGAAAGCTGATAACGAACAGGATCACTCGCCGGTTGATTGTGGGTAGTCGATAGACGATTTGAACACACGCGTGCGGGTCCTGCGCACTCATGATGCATTCATTATACATCTCCGAGGGGACAAGAGGGTCACATAGTTCGCGGAGCCATAGTTTCATCAAGGATGCAAGGACATGCGGGTCATCCACTGATTCCAAAGTGTAATATCCTCGATCAATGCGGAGCTTGAGTTCAGAGACAGAGTCGCTGTCCCCTGGAACACGGAAGATCCCTTCAGCTCTGGGGCCTCCTAAAGCTAGAATGCCATCCGCAAGGAAGGGAAGGATGATAGGCACTTTTTGATGAGGGTAGTTCCGCTCTTGAAGGCGAATAATGGCATCAAGGGATTCTCCAAACGTTGATGGATTGAACGCAGCATCCTTTGAATCAAGAAAAAGTACTATCAGAGTGGGATCCAGAACGAACCGGCCATAGTAAAGCTTACCGCAGCCGTCTCGATTTCTTGTATCGACGGGGGCTTGCCCCGAGGTCCTTTCATTGAAATCGATGATAGACGACGAAGGCAGTATTTGGCAATGACGTCGATCCGACCCTCCTGATAGGTAGTGTGTTTGGTGATGAAAGATTCAAGATACGTCTCAAAATTCTTCGACGGCGGGAATGTCAGCAGTAGTACGCATAGGAACTGCCATCCTTTGAATATGCTCTCTCTACAGATTGTTTGAATCAATAAACGGTCACGCGAAGTCGAAACGGACAGCGTGACTTACGTGCTTGGATTGCCGGTGAGTTGTTTCATCAGCTGGCAATAGATCTCATCTCTTAGTTCACCGTGAAGCAGGCCTTCGCCGAGTATCCAGCGCTGTTGTTCGAGAACGGGCGCTGAAGGATTGACAAGAGAGGTTGACGAAGCATTGATAGATCCTGGATTTGGGGTGTCGGGCTGTAGTCGCAGCCCTGAAGGCCGTTCTCGCTCCCGATCTCCCATAATAAACTGGATACCCTTGAAGATCTTCACGGCGTCTTTGTGAAGGGTTCGATTTAGCAGCAACAAGGGCGATGCCAACGGAGACTATGAACGATGGTCAGACGTTCAGTTCGAAAATACCGGAGGTTCCACGCTGACCTTTTGCCAGGTCATGAGCTGTTCTACTGGGATCTTTCTTTTGAATATGAAGCCGCTCTTGTGCGTAGAAAAGTACTGCTTCGCATACTCCGATTCCGAGAAGAGCTGAATATCAGACACGAGGTCATCTGGAAGCACTGGGTATGAGCTGTAACATTCGTCATTAGTCGATAAAACATGAAACAGGGGATACATATTTGTAAAGATAGAATTCAGCTTACCCAGCATTCAATGTAGTCTTTGATGCGCTTGCATCTGCTACATGGATCTTCGGCACCACTGCGATAGGTTTCATGGTCTCCCTGTTTTTGACAGGACTCATCTGGAGTGTAGCCGCTTTTCACGGAAAATGATGTAAATATTATATATCCCGTTGTCATAGACGTCGTCGACTTACCATGATTGAGGACGGGCTTACTGATATTCTTTCCCCCGACCGTTGGACCTGACGGTGTCGGGGGAACAGACCTTGAAGGTGATGGAGGGATATCCCGCGATCTGGTTCGTACTGAAGCAGGCGGTGAATGACTTGGTGTCGAGTCATGGTCGTAACTCCTGGTGGACTCGCTGAGAAATCCTTTCGCACTAGGAGACGGGGAGTGAGGCCCTTCTGATTGCGAAACGTTCAATTTCTCAAGCGCAGCGTGCAGGCTTTGGGGTTGTTGAGCTCGAACGGGAGAATAAGATGACGAGGACTTTGACTTTCGAATACTCCCATCAGACACGTCTCCAGCATTATCTCCGCGATTGGACTTCCTGCTGGGACTATCCTTGCCTGCTTTGGACGCCGATCCCGAACCATCCTTGCTATCCCCCGTTCTAGCTGTTCCAAACTTGGTCGATGACGGGGATGGGGGTGCAGAGTGCTCTGTAGCATACGGCGAACCGGGTATAGGCGATAGATTTGGATGAACCTGCAAACGATTGTGGTGATGTTGTTGGTCGGACACGCTTCTACGTATCGACTGCCTCTGGCCTCCACGCGGAGGAGGATGCTGGACAGAAAGGCGATCTTTGCTTTGATCCTGTCATTGCGCGCTGTTAGAAGGGAGCTGGCATGACTTCCATCTCAAAGCAAGAACACACTTGGTCAAAGTTTTTGGATGTTCTATCGATTTGAGAAAGTCGACGTGCCAACGCGGTATTCTAATGTGTAGCGAGAGCTTGTGAACGGTGATCAACGTGAACTGAGAGTAGAACTCACCTGGAGGATCCCAAGGGGTATAACGAAGCCAGATGGACGGTCCCAGACGGTCTCTCCGGTCTTCGTGTGGTAGTAGTAACGCATGCCTCCTCTCGACTCGTCGCTCAGCTCCCACCACTCTCCTTCGGTGCTGGGTGGCAGCCTGCGATAGCGCTTCAACTCTTGAAATTCTCAAAAGCCATGGATTCAACTCACACGAAATGTCCAACAGGGGGGTCCCAGCTAACCTCTCCCGTACCAGGACACGCGAAAAAAGATGTCTGCGTCTAGAGGACAACATTTTTAAGGCGAATTGGAGAAACAATTATGTGCAAAATACCTGAGGATCAACAAGAGTAACCCAAAAGTTTGAACCCCATGTTTCCTCCGGTTCCGATGATGCCTTCCCTCCGGTTCGTGGCCGTTCCTGCGGCCTCCTAGAGTTCGAGAGTTGGTTATGGGGTGCGGTAGTTGGCCTTGACGGGTTCACAGAGTCACGAAAGTGGCTGTTTCTGGGGCTAATCGGCGTCGTGGCTGAGTTCGGTTGTCCATTTGATTTCGATGGCGAGACATTGGTCTTGACGGACAGAGTCATGGGTATCTGGGTAGCGGTGTGGTCAACGGAGTCTTAGTTTAGTGGTATCCCAGAGGTATATGGAAGCAGCGAAGGACCAAAGAAGGGGTATACGTGAGTTGTTTGGAACTCGTGTTGGCGGAAAGACTTCAAGCCCAACACCGGACCCTGACGCTAAACCCAGAAGAGCAATTGACCGGATTGGTTTGTCCAGGCCGTCACTGGCAGATAAGATGTCACTGTTGATTAGATTACACATGAAAACACGGGCTCGTTCAGACAGCAACTTGGGACTGAGTCCATGGAGATGGTTGAAAGGAGAAAATCAGAAACTGTCACTGAGATACAATGTACTGATCAGGCGATGATCGAGCGCGAACGAGACGAACCTCGCGACGATCATTACCCTTCATCACCGTGGTCTGCTCTCAGTCCTAACGCGTTCACATGTGGCTTACCCCTTCAGACATTCCCATTGCCAAGCTGGGCTAACAGCGCCCAGATCGCACCGTCAAAGGCTTCGAGGACAGGAAGAGTCAATCAGATGTCGCGTAGCGTACAATAGCATATGCACAGGTAGATCAATCTTCGTCCATAGCTTCTCCGGACTCCTTCTTCTTCTTGATTTTTTCCTTCATAGTCTCCTTAGCTTTAGTCGTTGCTGGTTCCAGCTTCCCAATTTTAGCCAGAGCTAAAAGCAACCCATGTACTAGGCTAACATGATTGTGCCGCCTGAGACTGTTCTCGAACTGAACGACTTATTGAGAGACAAAATCACGGAGCACACGGAGAGATACTCACAGCCCAATTTTCGCGTTTCGCGTTTTCGTTGGAAATCCTGGCAAGGAGATCTGCCTCTACGGCGCTGTTTCCAGCAGTCTGCGCCTCTTGCAGTTGAGACTGGAGCGTAGGAAGGGGGTCATCGTGCAAAGCCAAAAGGCTGAATTCGAGCTAGATCTAATTGTCAGATGTGATAGGGAAAGGAAGATTGAGGAACACATACAGCTCCCATTGGATAGGTATTTATCCGAGCTTCGATTACCTCTCTGATCATCATCAGCACGGGACAAGCAGCGAGCAATCACACACACACACCTTGCAGTCTTCAACCACCCTTCTCCCGACTCCTCGTACGCTCCATGCCGGACAGCATGTGGTTTCAAGCCGTCAAGCTCATACACTGCCCCCATGTAGGGCAGGTACACAACGAAGTGATAAGCCTCTTCGGCCTGTCTAGGCAATTCCAAACCATCCAAAGAGATGGCATTGGGTGGAGACAGTGCGTTGTGGGCTTCCCTCAACCAGTCGGCGCTCGTGAGGACCAAACCACGAGTCTGTGGATCCATTCCGGTGGTGAAGCTCAGCAGCTCCGCCAACTGTGGGCCTGTTGGTAGCGAGGGGATGTTCCCCAGCGCATTTACGACAGCCAGGGTTGCACAGGCGTTGTTGACAACTTGGTGGGCGAAGAACCCAGGGAAATCGGGATCGTATGTTCCTGCAGGCCCGCCGTCTGAATCTTTTGTCGGTACCCATTTGAATAGGAAGATGAGGGCGTGTATGGGTTTGAGTGCGGCCAGTGATTCGGCGTCTAACGAGTAGAGATCATCGACAATTAACGGCACTCCGAGAGATTTCAAAAGTTCCCTAGCAGGAGATTAACTTGCTCATTATTTCCTGTGACGGTGGGTGAGAGACCTACGTGAACACTCCAGGATCCGACTCTGTCAACTGCCAGCCACTGTTGCTGTCTTCGTCTGACATGGTAATGAAGGACTATCCTGGGAGATATAACGACAAGGATGAGAAGAGATGCCAATTTGAATATGATTTGACCGTGACGCGTTCGTCAATAACGAACACGTGCGGCGTGGAAAGACCAGTGGATCTCAGTCTATTCTTGTGGGCTGCCTTCTTGCACCCGCCCGTCACCATTTCGCTGCTTTCTCGTTTCCTAAAATCAGTCCTGGCGATAGATCGCTGCTGGGTGAATTAATCATGTCTGCTCACCCCGGTCAAACACCTGGTGTCTCCGCCCCAACGGATCCAAAGTCTGCAAACCGTGCAAGATTCGAACTCGAACTAGAATTCGTCCAGGCACTGGCAAACCCTTACTATCTCCACTCCCTGGCACAGCAAAACATTCTAGAGAAACCTGCATTTGTAAATTACCTCAAGTATCTGCTTTATTGGAAGGATAAAGATTACGCACGATTCATCCAGTATGTCTTTTATTGACAATGATCTGCCAGACTGACACGACCCTAACTCTCTTCATGTTCAAAGCTATCCCCATGCGCTACACCACCTGGAATTGCTCCAAAATGCTCAATTTCGGGCAGCTCTGAAAAAGGACGAATTCTTGCGGGATTATTTGCAGCAGAAACAATTCGATCACTGGCGGACTTGGTGCGTTGCATATCGTTTCGTCCCCCGCCTTCAACTTCCATTTCGCGCCTCTAACCTGGACCTTTTATCACGGCAGGCGAGATCCAAAGCACCTTAATCCGTCTACTTCCAACACTTCTAATGAAGCACCTGCTGACGAGACTGCTGCGGATAAGCAGCAGCAGGCCATTTGAGTTCATTGATTGAATTGGACTAGGACCAGGTATGGATAAATCCTACCTGTTGCGTGCCGACTGCACCTCCACGGCGACACCGATCCCTTGGAGGCTGTCTACCCTTCTACATATTCTCGCTGACGTGAGTACCTGGAGAAAGTTCATCATTTCCATTGTGGAAACGCGATAAAGAATGGTTTCAAGTTGCGATGGTACCTTTCGACGTCCTACGAATTTAGTTCGCTCATGTGTTTTTGTGAAATCGTCATAGATAAGTAACAGTAGTGGATCTGGCGTGTGTATTCTTGTGAGAGTTTCAAACTGTGGAATTTTATTGTGCCCCAAGAACACCGAGGTTCCTTGAAACGACATGTACAGGCGCTAAGTCTCCCCAGCGCTTGGAATTCCTCCGCCTTCTTAGTCAGCGAATCATGATTGATGGCCAGCGCACACGACGCTCGCGATGCTTGTTCGTTACGCTCAAACGTTCGTGCCGCAACTCAGGCGGCTCTTGGTAGCCCGATTACAGCCTACAGCGCCCTCCAGCCACATACCCGATGGATAATGGACCAACGACGACCTAATGTGGAGGAGTATGCCCTCGTTGAAAGCCATGAGTTCCGACGGTCAACCTCTCTAGATCAAGACGCCGACGATACCCTCAGACCCCTGTCTGCACGCTCAGAAGGCCTCCACTTGGCCTCACTAGCTGAAAAGAAGCGTCTCTGGTGGAGAAATGCTATCATTAACTTATTATTTATTGCATCATGGTGCGCATGCCCTCTTTCTACGAAAATGATTAATTTTGACTATGTGCAGGTTTTTCTTTGCAACCCTTTTATCTGTGTACAACAAATGGATGTTTTCACCCCAGTATTATGGCTTCCCGGCGCCTCTCTTTGTGACGACTATGCACATGTTCGTGCAGTTCGCACTTGCGTCGTTTCTCCGGTTTACCTGGCCACAACACTTCCGACCCAAGAGCGACCCAAAGCCTCGCGACTATGGGTAAGTAACGTACCCTTTTTCATTTTGCACACCTTTTGTGCATCTCTTTGGCCTGTGACGGTCATACCCCCGATCTGAACGTAGCTTTTAAACAGGACAAAGGTGGTGCCAACTTCGATCGCCACTGGTTTAGATATAGGTTTTTCGAACCTTTCGCTCAAAACTATCACACTCTCATTTTACAGTACGTCCGAGGCTAATGGCACGTTGCGCAAGTGCTGTTGAACTCATGGTCTTGTTCCCTTTCAGCTATGTGCAAGTCGTCGTCACTAATCTTCGTACTATTCTTCGCGTTCCTATTCCGACTGGAGCGTTTCACCTGGACGCTAATCGGAGTTATTGCGCTTATTTTCGCTGGTGTAATCCTCATGGTGGCTACCGAAACCAGCTTTGTGCTGGAAGGGTTCCTGCTGGTCATGTCTGCAAGCGCCCTGGGGGGTCTCCGATGGAGTTTAACCCAGGTACTGCTTAAAGATAAGAAAATGGGGATGGACAATCCGGCGGCAACTATATTTTGGCTTGCCCCATGTATGGGAATTACGTTGGCAATTGTCAGCGCCGCAATTGAAAGTTGGGGAACCCTTTTCTCGACAAAATTCTTTCAAGGATTGGGACAAATTGCGTGGACCACCGGTTGTTTAACGGCGCCCGGTGTAATCGCGTTTTGCATGGTTCTGAGCGAATTTTAGTGAGTCCCTGTTTTTTCTATTTAGGAATGGGCGCTAATAGAATTGCTCAGCATTATCCACCGCACTGGAATCCTGCCCATGTCGATCGCTGGAATTGCAAAGGAAGTCAGCACGATTACGCTTTCGGCGTGGTTCTTTGGCGACAAACTAACGGTATTGAATATGACTGGTGTTGGGATTACTGTCTGCGGTATGGAAACCTATTCAAATTGTATCTCGGGCTGACGCTCATTTGTTTCATCCAGGTATTGGGCTCTTTACGTATCACAAGTACCGGAAATCGATGGAGAGTACCGTACCTTTGGACGCGCATGGCAATCCGGTTTCCGAGAGTGATGAATACCTGGAGGGCGGTGATGCAGAGGAAACGGCGCATCTCACCGAGTTTCCTCGATCGGAGGAAGATGATGAGGTTCGTGTGGACACCGTGGAAACAGATCTGAAATGGGTTGACTGACTTGCTTGCGCTGCAGGACGGCAGCATGAGCGCAGAACGATCGAGGCCGTCGCTCTCGTCAGGGCACGAGAATAGGGCTATTGCGTTGTAATCAGAGTTTGGGACCACGAGTGAATCCGGTGACTGCGGAGCATGTGGTGAACCTGGTAGATAATAATAGTAGATATAATATAGAGGGTATTTGGGCTTGCAGCTGGGTGTATGTGGACAAGTATCGAGTGTTGCGAGGTAACAAAGGGTGGATTGACTCTTGGAATCGGCCGACATGGGATGACGAGGAGCCGCGGGTCTGCCACGTGGGCAAAGCCTGTTTCATCCTTGGAAACGAGATTCCAATTGATTCCTTTCTCCGATCGGATCTCCAACGAGATCGTGAGGCCCGCGCCGTCACTTTGCCTCTCTCACCCAAATGACTGTTTGTCTACCCATAAAAAGCCGCTGATTCCCAGTCTTTCCTCCTCCTCTCCCGGCTGCACTCATGGAATCGGATACCTTCCAGTTCATTATAGAATCTCCCCAGCACACCACAGGCCACAAAAAGCGTCCTAGGCTGGTCACTTCATGCGATAATTGGTTTGATTTTCTTTCTCTCTCCCGGTCCACACCGTCTCATACACCAACAGCCGTCTCAAGAAAATAAAGTGTCTTCAGCCCACCCCAGAGGCAAAATGCGAGGCATGCAAGACAGCAAAGATCGCCTGTCGCTTCAAGGATCGCGAGCGCTATTTTGCAGAGCGCAGTAGAGCAATTGCCGGGCCCAGTGTCACCCACAGCTACAACCAGGACCACAGGTCTGCACCGATCCTTTGCCGCGTTTTCATGTTCAAAGAAGCTCATCCCAGTCTCCCATACAGTGCTAGGCACGACCACAATCCAGCTCTCGATGCCTTTTCCGTCGCCTCCAGCTCGTCCAGTCCGTCTTTGACTCATTCCAACCCCCGGTCAAATTCCCATTCGCCAAAAGCAAGCGGTATGGTCTCCCCGGAAGGAGAACCCAACGGTCGTTACCCGTATTCCTCAGATCCTCGTAGAGGTGACGGCTATAGGTTCGTCGACCTTCTCTCCACCCACCCATGCCACTGTGTTTTGACCGTGAAATTTTTCGCAGACACAGTGCCCATTCATCTATATCTTCTACGTACCACTCCCGCAACAACAGCGGCTATGGCTACAATAATTATCCAGCATCTCCATCGCCAGTTCTTCAGCACCCCCATAATCAAAGACTACCCTCGCAACCTGACTACCGTCAAGTTCAGCTATTCGATCCCGAGCGATCCCAGTTTCCTCACCCTACCCTAATGCCTCACTTTATTGGCCTCTTCTTCGAACAACACGGTTCAGAATACACCTTCCTAATGTACGAGCAAATTTTGAACGATTTCTATGAGAATCGTTTGTCACCCGTCATTGCCAATGCCATTGCATCCATCGCCTGCAAGTACGTGTCTTTCATTTGCGTTATTGTTTTTCCGTTGCTGATGTGTCCTCCATTACCGCTAGATACTCTAATGTACCCGAGCTCGCAGTTCGCGGCCTTCACAACGTATCGGAAACATACGCCGAGGTTGCAAGGGTGGGTGATCTTCCTTGGAGCCCTGACTTTTCGCGGTCCTGATTTTCCTTGACAGAACCTCGCCGCGTCCCTGTCCCATATCGCCACGATGGAGACACTGCACGCCGTCATGCTCATTGCTTGGGCCGAATACAAGCATGGCAGGTATACAGGTGAGCGTCATCTATGAGCACTTTCCCCTCATTCCCGTGTTCTCACCCGTTCGGTCTAGCGTTCCGACAGTATTGCCAGAGGGCTATCTCTATGGCTTCCGATATTGGCCTGTCAGAGAACGACAGGGTCCTGCATACTGCCGACAACGAACAGCGCCGCAGGCAGGCCACCTGGGCTGGTGTCGTTCAATTACACCTTACTGCATCTCAGACGGTGACAACTCGCACCTAATCGCCATGTCAATCGACGTGGTGCTCTAACATACGTATATTGACCATATCGTACAGTCCTCCGCATAAGTATCGCTCCATTGACTTCTTTAACCTTTTGCTCTGCGTGTTTTCCAGCTGCATAGACGCTATCAATTTTCCTAACTCCGATACTGGCATATCATCATACGTATGATATATCTATCCTAGTCATTCCGCTACTAATAATACACCTGTTTTTGCTCTCTTGGTGACTGTGCTCCACTGTTCCAAGCCATGAGGGGTTGTGCATGATCTGTCAGCATCATCCCTATGTGATGCTGACTCGCTCACCGAGGGACACGGCAACCTAGAGTCGCCTCAAAAAATACGCCGACTTCGAAGCAATGCAATGGAAGATTGATCACGACCTGAATGTTGCAAGCGAGCACCGCATTTGCAGGGGAACCACCAGCGATCAAGAACGAGGCGCAATATTTATCACAAGTCATTCAGGTTTGAATCTTACTTGCTGTTATCACCTACACGTTGCAATCCGCAGCGGGCTATGTGGATGACATGATGTCTTGAACGACGGGTTGTTTGAATGGTGCTGGCCCATTTAACTCGGGCTTGACAAGGGGCTTGGACGTCTCTTTATTTGCCCTCGATTCAAATGTCATCATGATACTAATCACGATGATTTCTGGAGTGAAGTAAGTAGCTAATTGCGAAAATGTTGCGATCCAGGAAAGGAAAAGCAGGATTTCGATGTCCCTTCCGCTCCGACGTCCTCGTTACAGCGTCGATGGCCTGGAGACTCCTGCAAGTTACTCTGATTTCATACTCTTACCACCATCCTCGTTAGCACAGTAGTTTACGTGAATCCAAGAGATGCGAACGTGCACGTCATTTTGACCCGCTATATGTGCCGTCGGACCTCTTGGCTCGGCTGATGAGCGGCAAACGGAGTTTGACGGAGGCAACTGCTCTTGGGCTTGGCCGAAAGACGCGCACTAAAAAAGGGAATAACCCATAATCTGGACTCTTGGTTTGTTTTCCCCATGCGACATGGAAGCTGCCTTCCCAGTGATGGGAACTTGTCCCAGGACACCTGGTCCACATGCAACTAGGGGGCTAGTATTGATCCAACTTGATTGACTATCACTCTTCGAGCCTACCAATTACTACTCTCACCAGCGGTACCTTCGTGTATTATGCGGAATTTGTGACCCGATTCCCATTGTCGTTGGTGGGTAATCTCACTAGTTGGAACAGCCCGTGCCGTCAACGCGGTGTAGCTCTGACACAATAGCTCTTCTCTTCAATACATCCAGCATCCTAAGGGTGGTGTGCCATCGTCTCCGGCGCTGACGAGCACCTTTGGCTCCCCATCCCCCTCTTCTTCAGTGCCGCCTCGGCTTCACGAGAAGCAAAGCCCCTAGCGATGGATTCGCTGAGCTCAAACGGTAGTGCGGCTCACACTACCGCGGCTTACCTTCGAGTAGCTTCTCTTGCGATCGCGTTGTACGAGTGAGTCTCCCTTCTTCGAGCCCTTCGCACGGGAAATGAAAACGGGATCCACTGATTCGCTGCTCCCCATTCTAGCTACCTCGAGACCCAGCCCACGGCGTTCCGCTTCTACAAGGAACACTGGCAGAATCGTTGCTTCAGGTCAGGTTTAGAGCGGGAGTTCAAACGGAGGTCGAGTACAACTTGGGCTCACAGCTTGTGTGTACATTTAGCATATCAATGGTTCTATTCGCGTCGATTCGGTAAGTCGCGTCGGTGCTCTGGCTGGTCCTGTGGCCCGTCCTGTGCGGTTTGCGGCTCATGCGCTCATGTTTAACGGTCCCTAGATTCATCAGCGTCTGCACACTGGTCTTGAGCAATGTAGGCGATGTTTATCATTGTCAGGAACCCGGGGAACCTGCTCAGATGACGCCGAATATGTCTCGTTCAGGTGGGATTCTTCTACACTCGGTTCACTCTGGAGAGTTGCGGCCGGTTCTACCTGCTTCCGCCAATATTCAAAGGTTAGATGACCACTGTTTCTATCATCAGTTGACGCGGTGCCACTCACCTGCCGGCTCGACCTTCGATAGTACTGCAAGCTATGGTATCGCAAGCCATACTCGGCGTTCGGTGAGCATTCTGTTCCTAGATGTGGGGAAATGGTGTAGTTTCTTACCTAGTCACATCCCCAAATCAGAGCATTTAATCTGTCCAGGAGGTCGAAACGGATAGGATGGCTACTGCTGACGATCTACTTTTGCGCCGCAGTGGTAAGTTTCCGTCGCCAAAAGGAAAGCTTTGTATGGCAGTGGATTGACAGATTCGCTACCTTCAAAAACAAGCTGCAATGGATAACGACGTTGTATCAACGAGTTCGTGAGTTTAAGTTCTCTCTTATTGACCATTAGAAGGAGAGTTTGATAAACCCTGGATCGTAGCGAAGCTTGACAAAGACCCTCCAGTAAGTGCATTCCTCGAAGCGCGCGGAGCATAATTAAACTTTGGGGTCTCAATGAAGGCTACCAATGGAAAGTGAGTGCCTTTTGTGCTTCCTTTTCTCGGAGTGAGCTAAAGTTACCATTAACCTTCTGCCAGCTGCCGAGCGTTCAATGAAGGCAGACAGCTGGGCGCATGGATATTCTATGCGATCGCGATGATTTATGACGTCGCGATAACGGGGATGTCGATATACTATCTACTGAGGTACAAGTTGGTGATGAAAAACACTGTGTGAGGGAACCCCTTTTCTGATAACCTCGTGGACAAGTGCTGACCTTGCTTCAGGATGTCCAAGGTTACAAGGATGTATGCGAATTTCATCTTGAAGCATCAGGGCTTTTATATTCATAGGACGAATCCAGGATGATGTATGACGGTCTTGGTTATCTGCTCGTTCTTACGGGTAAGTATCAACCCGCTTGCATTGATTCACGAGATTCATTGTGCCCGTAGGTGTGAACATTTTAAATCTCCTTCTATATAAAACGGCATCCGAGATTCAGGTGTGTACATTCGTAGACTTGCGAAACTTGTGATCGAGCGTTAACAATTCCACAAACTACAGACTGCAGCGTAAGTTCATAGTGTAACTTGAAGCAGCTATCTTTACACTCAATGCTATTTCACAGGTCATCTTTGGGATATTGCGTGGCCTGGATCATGTCGCAGAGACTTCTAATCCATCTCTATGGTGCGTGATACGGTGTTCTACCGTTTCTATCGTGAAAATTCATCGTCGATCGCTACCAGATGCATCTCGGGAAAGGGATGAGGGTAGTTACAACGAGGCCGTCACCATCAGCCAAAATGTAGGCACTGCGCGCGAGGTCAGCCGAGTCGTCAGATCGCGCCTGGACAGTAAACATGGCGTGCCTTTCGACTTCACACGATCCACCGTCCAGGTCGACCCGAACGCGCCTAACCACCACCAAGTTACGTTTCCGGATGATGTTGGAGTTCAGGTTCGCGTCGAACGGACGGTCAGGAGAGACCGGTTCGCTCATAGATACGCCGGGTATGAGTTGGAGGACTATTCTCGGCGGAGTCGGAACGAAGTCAGATCCAGGGTCGAAGTGGTGGGGGGCAACCCATGACGGTGGATATTTGTAAACTATTTAACGACACTTACATTCGAATGTGTATGTACTATGAGCGCTCGTTGTAACATTAGTTATTGTATCATGCACTTGTAATTGCATTGTGGATAGGTTTTTAACACCCTCGTTCTCGGAGGCCCCATCCCACTGGCATCCGGCGCATCATGATCAAGGTCAATGGCTGTGTGTTCCCACGAGGACCCACTCCAGCTGAAACCTGTACTGTATGTACCGGGAAGCAAGCTTCAGCGATGGGCGCTCTCTCCAGGTTATTGACTGACCACCAGCATCGTCCCGACGTAGACCGTCAAGTGCTGCTATCTACACATCTTCGAGGCCGGTTCCTCTCTGCATCTTCGAGGCAGGATCCTCCGAATCGCGCATACCGTTACACCCTCTATTCTACAGGTTTAGAACGAGATGTCGTCTCCCTCTATTTCTGAGATCCAGCAATTGCGTTCGCCTCTCGCTGTTGTGTATGCTTCGGCAATGGAATCCACCGGCGTCTCGGTACGTTCGACCAGTTTCGTCCAATACCTCATGTCGACCCGGGAAACCTCTAGATCCTCGTTGCAGTATCGTTTCTGTCCCTTCTCGCGGTGTTCGGGCTGTTGGTGGCCATCGGTGTATGTGTAAACACTTCATGGACCCATATGAAATTATTTACCGATTAAAACGTCAGGTATCGGCCGTCAATTCGAGGAAAGTCGAAGGACAAGCGCTCTTCATCCACAGCCATGTCTCCGCCTACTTCATCTGCCTCTTAATATGCTGGATTCTTCAATGTAAGAGCACGAGTAACTCAATCGTAGATCCACCCCGTTTAACCAGTTGCCTCAAGGCCTCGGTACTGCCCTGAGTATCCAATGGCTACAGGACCGTATGATCGTGATTGGGCAATTCTGCACTGCCCAGGGTGGGCTTCCTGACTTCGCCTCCTTTGCCGGTGGAAACTGAATAATTCCCCTACAGCGGCTCTAAAGCATATTGCAGATGTTGGGATTGCTGTCTGGACACTGGTACATGGACTCCCAAGAATGGTCTGCTAGTGCTGTGGCCACTGACAAACTTCAACCTAGGTTATCGCCGGCCATACATTCTGTGTTCTATTCCTAGAACTCAGGATCGCGAACTATGTCCTCTGGCTTGCCTTAGGCCTCGGCTGGACCGTTATCTTCTTCCTGGTGGGATCCGGTCCGCTTTTCATCGCGCGCAAGGAAATAATCCCTTTCTGTATGTCCTGATTCTCCCTTTTCCGAGGAGTTCGAAAGATCCTTACGTCCGGTTTACAGACGGGATCGATGGACGCTGGTGCTGGATTTCTCCAGTTTACACGTTTTCTCAGGTCTTGTGCGTACTACCCTTTACCCATTCCTCGTGGCCTGTTCTGATTTAGGTCAAATCATAGCCTTGCCTGGGTCCCGGTTCGTGCAAATTACTTCAACATGTTTACCCCGATGTTTGAATTAACCTACCCGGTAACAGATACTCTTGGCCGTTGCCCTCAGCATGGTGCTATACACCCTGACCTTCTTCCGTCTTCGCGGAAATATCGTTCGGAATGGCTGGAAACTCGCCTTCCGTCGTATGGACGGTGATGAATCAGGAAAGTACTTCGACAACGACCAGACCATGGTCGCCGCAAAGCAAATGCTGTTGTGAGTAGCGAATGATCAATTCTCTTAGGCTATAACTAACATTGCATTTAGGTATCCGGTAAGTTTTAACTGCGAAGACTGCTCCCCCCGTTGCCTAAATTGCGCCCGACTTCAGGTAACTTACGCCATTTTGGCCACCCCAATTGTCATCGTTCAGTTCGTAAGCTGGTCGGGAATCAAGGTATCCTTCGAGTGGGTTGTGTTTAGGTTAGTTCACCGTTTGTATGCTCCACGACAAACATACTGACCTGGCACTTGCCTACAGCGGCTCTGTGTATCTATTGTCAGGGTTGCTAAACGCCATCGTCTTCACCACGACCCGACGCATTCTCCCAGCATCATCTCTCCGACTGGGCAATTGGTACTTCATTCCCAGATCTCGGGAGAACTCGACAACCTACGGCGCCTACTCTGCAGATCGGGCAGAAAAGGGAATCTCAAAGACGGTAAAGTTCGCGGCGGAGCCCACAATCTTGTGCACACCACCTGGCCGCCGCGAGAGCGGAAAGCGCCCACCTGCGCTCAGCCTCTCCCCGGGTCACCGCGACAGCATGGCAAGCATGTACAGCGCCCGAGAAGGTGTGTACATGGGCGCACCCTTGAGCTCGCACTGGAGCCCAGACACACCGCCTCTCAACAAAGCCAGCCGGCTATCCGTCTACTTGGAGAACGTGTCCGCCATCGCGCAAAAGATTTAGCCACATAGCACCGCATGTTTGCTTTCAAGCGCCAATGCAATCTCAGGAATTCCATAAGATATATATGTTGAAATTGGCGTTAGCTTCCAATACCTTTTAAGGCAGAACACGCTTTGTGGTATTTGTCGTGGATCCGAGCCGGATGAAGGAACATTAATCGCGATTCCAGGGAAGCGAACCTCTGAATATACTGTCTTCCAAACCATCAGAATCGGGGCACCAGTCAAACAGGGGCGCGAGCTCCGGTGCTGATGTATAGTAGGAATGAAACCTTGAGAACGGATTCCGTTGTCGCCGCTTGCCTAGCAAGAATGAATGACAACCGTATAGGTCAACTGAGTAAGGTTGATACCCGTTTTTCAACTAAATTCCAAGAGAGGATGAATCAGCCCGCGTATGCACAGAATTAGCACATCGAAACACTTGCCTCGCCTTCCCGAGCAATCGCATTGTGCTGGTCATCATCGGGGTCGACCCCGATATACCCAAAGCGATGTACAGGCCACCGAAGCGCTTTACGATGAAGATCCGTAAAACGTGCCCGTTTGAAATCGTAGCCTACAACGGTGATGTGTTCTGGGTACACGCCCGTGAACTCGTGAAATCGAGCGATGGAAAAGACAAGGTTCTGATAGGAGTCAAGAGCATGGTTTTCGGTGGTAACGCGCTCAGAAACAGGGTCGAGATCGGGTTCGTCGAGAAGTTTGGCGCTTATCGCAAGCCGCAAATATGATTCTGCTTCGGTGGTTGTCGAGGCTGGCCTCGTTTGACCACTTTCAGTTGCGATCAGTCAAGCAATCAACGCTGTTGCGTGAATGAATGTGCTTACCCAGAGAAGACTAATAGCGAACGGGTGTCTTTTTTAGCGAGCTTCGCCCTGGAGCAGAACAAGGTTCCAGCTCAGTATTGCCGATGAATGGTGAATCATGGAAGGGGGGAGCTCACCCTTCGACAATGTGTCGAAAGAAGACATCCACCTGGGACGTCCCTTTCTGATAGTGTTCGAGGATCCAATCATCTTCGTTGAGCCTCGAGGCCGCGTCCACACCTTTCCAGATGGCATGGCACGGCACCACAACCAAGTGGTTCAGATTGGACGATTTGCGGTGTCTGGTGATGGTCGAGAATAACCCAATTGCGGTGTGCTCTGACGATCTTGCCCATGTCGATCCAAGCTGGTGGTGAACGTTTAACACGAGGGATAGCAAGCAGATTGCCGAGAGTATGAGAACCGCAAGGTTGGTCGCCCTAGACCGCGCAAGAAGAGAGTCGAGTACTCTCTTGCGGGGCGACGTGAGCCGTCTGAAGGACCTTTTCCGAGATTCAGTGGCCGGCGCAGGCAGCATCCGTGAGCACCGGGTCCAACGTTTCACAGTCTGGGTTCAGACGCGGACGAGGTGCATCGAGGTGGCAGTCGTGGTGCAAAGAGTTAAGCGCGGGTCAGAATGTGTCAACTGCATCAACTTTTTACATCACGAATCGGTCCTGCAATTCCGGAAATCGCGAAACAGTACATTTAAATATGCATTCAACTACATCACTCTATGACAGCCCCATATCTACCAGTGGGAAACCTTTGCACCACCGGGCTCAAATCTACAAGCGCTAAACGAAAACGGGATGCAAAGACAGCCTTATTTCGTTCTGATGCGTGTCCCTCATTCATTTAAACTGAAAGTAAATGGGAACTTGTACCTCCTTCCTTAGGCACTGCGGCCGGAATGGATATGCTTGGCATATTCGCGTTCGATGGCCCATCTCACAGCTTCATCAACGTCTTCAGCGATGTGGGTAGGAGAATGCTTCGGTGGACCTCTTTCGGGGTCATAGACGCCAGTCTTGACAAGGACCGAATTCCACTTGGCTCCATTTGCTCCAGCAATATCTGAGCAACGCGCAGGTGACGCAACAAGATCGAAAGGTGAAGGGGAAAACCTTACCAGATTCAGGGTTATCACCAATCATATACCTGACGAAATGTTAGTACAAGCGACCGCCTAGGACTAAAGCACGTACAAAGTGGGTGGCAAGGGGCTGTGGCCGAGTTCTTCGCGGAAGTGGCTCGTCAGCACCTCTCTCGCGAAGTCGTAAGTCTCTTTGGAGGGTTTGCCATATTGAACGTGGGGATAATTGCTTCCCGTCAAAGCCTATGGGCTAAGTCAGTGGTCGGCACCAAGCGGGATCCGAGTGAGCGCACCTTGAAGACAGCCTGGAACGCTTCCCTGAAGGCACCCTGACCCAGCCTTGGTTGAGGAAAGTCTGAACGCCAGATGAGATCCGGGTTGCAGAAAACCACGTTGACTGGATTCGAGATGGACTCGATAGGCATAGGGGGTCCTCCGACCACGCCTCCGGACTGGATAATATCACATAGAATTTGGACTGCAGAAAAGGTCGACGGTAAGTCAGGTAAATACGAAGCTAGGGTGAGGAGGAGTACCATCAAGTGCCCAGTTCCTTGGATCATGAAACACGAATACGGCAGATATAGATTCGTTCGAGAAATCTAAGGGCTTCTCAAGCGGTTGTTTTAGTTTCAAGCATATTTTCGACGCGCTTGGAAGCACCCACCCTGGCGACAGCTTTCTCTGCTTCCGTGAGCTGGTGGAAAGGCCAGACACTTTGAGAAGTGAGATGGAAGGCGGACGCTAAACGAAGGAAGGCACCAACGCTGGATTCCAAGCGAGCACATCCAAGGTCGTATACACTTTTTGGAAACCGTAGCTGCAGGATGATGGGATCAACATGTAGTCGAGCTGGTGTTTGACCAGAATACTGACTGCTCAGCGACTTTTCGAACCTTGTCCAACTTCCCACCGAGGACAAGGACAGGTTTATTTGCGTATTGCTTGGCATGCTTCTTGAGTATGGTATGTGCTTGAATGTATTGAGATTCTGCTATCTGTGGGCAGGATGGTCAGGGCCTACATAGGTTGGTTAGGAGGAACACGCACCGGGACGCCCAATTGGGCCGAAAGGCGTTGCGATCTCTCAGCCTCTGTGACTCCGCCTCCATTTGTGAGCTATCCTGTCTGAGTATTGGCTTGATGATTCGGTGCCTGTGAAATGACACTAACCAAAATGTAGGGTATCTTCCTACGAATGCTTAATCAACATCATCTAGAGAAGGAATTGGAGGGGGACAACATACATTCGGAAGGGATTGTCTCCTTGTAGTGTGTTAAGTGCTTTTTTAGCAGCTGGAAGAACGTTTGGACCTCGGATGAGGACGCCATCCTACACAGTGTGTTGTCAGGACCAGGAACGAGACGCGAGGGAAAGACTAACAATGTCGAATACGAAAGCAAGCGGTGGTTGTCGGGGTGCTGCTTGTGTGTGTCTATACCGGAGCAGTGTAGAAGCGCGATTCAAGTTTAAACGTAATGCAGCAGCAGCAAACCTCATCTTCCTTGCGGAATCGCGGACGAAAAGCCAAGAGCAGCCGTCGACTCCTGTGATCGACCTTTATTTGGACACATTTGGCCATGTGGGCGCTTCCCCATCAACGGACCCATGCAAGTTAAGCTCAAGGTTTCCTCGTTTTTCCCTTGTCATCGACCACCGCGATGCTTTCCCTGAAATTGCGCGACTCCAAAGCCTCTGACGCGTCCCCTTCTGTTTCTCTTGAGCGAGGAACGTACAGGATGCGTGCCCCACGTTCAATGAAGCCCGTAGCCCCCCTCGACTTCCACAAGGCGGCCAAACGGTCTCGCCCAACAAATCACCAACAAGACCTCCTCAACAGGAACTTTTCGATTCTGCTAACTGTGTTGGCGTTTGCCTGCATTGGGTGCTTTGCCACGGCTTACTATCTCTTCTCAACTAGGTGGGCCTTGGATTCCTGGCGCGACCCCTCGACCCTGGCTAATGGAACGCTACCAGCTCGCGCACCGTCAGACTTGGCTGACACTGCAGACGGCCTCTCAAATGTCCTACCTATGGCGATGGACCGACTTCTCACCTACCTTCCCCATAGCGGGTTTCACAACCAGCGGATAGCGTTCGAAAATGCGGTGGTCCTGGCCCAACTTCTCAATAGGACCCTACTTGCACCACCAATCCACTTGGCCACCAAGGCCACTCGCTTCATGCAATACGACAGCCTGTTCCAGACACTGGCTCTATCAGGGAGGGAGGGACTACACCATTGCGCATCCATACCCCACTATATATTCACCCCTTTGGAATGTCTCCATTACTCCGACTCCACGACACTACCGTGGACTGCCCTTTTCGATCTGTCTACAGTTCACGCCACCCAACCTGTCATCTACCTTCAGGATTTATCCCAGATAGCTCGCATTCATTCATACTTCTCTCAGGATGCCATAGTCGTCGTCGCGGATGAGAACCCGTACCAGTATCGCTTTCGCGACGCGGGGGATATCACCTCTCATAGGGCGAGCAAGTTTGAAAGGGATATTCTCCTCTCGGAACTCCGAGAATCTACCTCCCCGCTGCTCCAGCTTGGATCCCTGTTTGGATCCCACCGACTCTTACTCAATTCGAGCAGCGCCCAAATTCAACGCAACATCCAATCTAGCATGGTCCTCCGCCACCGCGCCTTAACTCGTGCTGCAGCGCTTGTGAAGAAAGAGATGTCCGAAATTTACCTTGGTGCCCATATTCGAATTGGCGATGGCGATTTCTATGCAAATCGACAAAAAACTATATCCCGGATATGGTGTACACTGCTCCAGAGCGTTGGCCTCGAACAAGATGACATCGTCAAGACTACACTGCACCACGATCTCAAGTTTTCATTCGGAAACGATACATCTCCCTGCCAAGGTACCCGCCAGAAGGGATCGTTGCCAAACGAACTACGACAATGGACCCCTTCGAGCTCGCCCGCAAGATGCCGTCGACCCCAAATTCCTCTGTCTGGAAGCGCCTTCAGCGTCGGCGTACCCTTGTTCATTTCCACGGATGTAGAGAATCCCCGCACCCATCCATTGTTGGCACCAATCCTTACCACCTTCCCTTGTACCTTTTTCCTTTCCGACTTCGATCGCGAAACGGCAGAGCTTGCCGACCTTCAGAACCCGGTGGACGGAATTAGACTTGGTGACTTCTTCATGCCGTTCTTAGATGCGATGGTGGTTGCCAACGCAGCATTGGTTGTCGGGACTGAAGGTAGCACGTTCAGCAAGTATATAGTGACCACTCTGTGGCCATCTTACCATGATACTTGATTTCTGTGGCCAATGTCGAAGGACTCGAACAATTGAATGTGCGCGTTGAGCGCTCTGGTAGAAATCACTGATCAGTGTTCGCCAATCAAACTAAACAGACATCATGATGGATCATCAGAAATGCACAGCCAGGTTGCATCGCAACGCAGCTTTTGTTGCCACCGAATGATGTCCCAGAGCACTCAGACTTATAAAGGCGAAACTGAGCAGATATGGGTTTCTTTTGTCCCTGGTACCCCGTCCTAACCCACCCCCGCACAAATACATTGAGATCTCGCAATGTCGACCATTGAATCCGCGCCTAAGGCCGCTCCCAAGTCTGGATTGGCCTCCCTCGAAGCTTCTGGTCAAGCTCCTACTCCTGCCTCCCCCTTCGTCGAAGGTTTCGAACAATGGGTCAAAGACTTCAACAAGTACGAATCCATGCTTGTAAGTGCATCCTCCTACTTCTTCCCTCAGAGCGCTCAGCTCGAATCCGTGATTAGAGCGATGTCGCCAAGATTTCTCTCAACCCCAAGTACAAGGAGGAATTGAACACTGTCGAGCAATGTACGTGTCCTGCTTCTGGGCGCTTCATCTAAATCTAAACGAACTGGCTCTGTAGGGTTCAAGGAGACCACGATCACTGAGCGAACCGCGACAATGTACCACCTCCTCCAGATTTCCACCCAGGATCAGCTCCGTTTCTTCACTGGTGTTATCCAGCGTCTTCACAAGCCGGATCAGCCAGTCAATACCCCTGGTTCGTACTTCTCGAAACTTTCGAGAGATATCGATTTCTTATAAATGTCTTCGTTTTAGTTTCTGCCGAGCTCTCTGGCAAGCCCAAGCTCGCTAAATTGACTCGCCCGCCCAGCTTGAACCTTCCTATGCCTGGTTCCCCCTCCACCCCCACTCCCCTCACCGCCACCAAGGAGTCGGCCGTGGACGAGCGGAGCCACCTGTCGAACCTCCAGGACCCTAGTACCTGGACCAACGCTACCAACGCTGGGAATACTCCCCTCCTTCCCTTGTTCCAGAAGACCGGAGATGGTGCTGCCCCAACGTCTGCTGCAGTCCCAGGCTTGAGCACCATGAACCCCTACACTCTCAACATGCTCGCCAACGCAGGTCTTTCCCCTGAAGCTCAGCTCCTCGCAGTCCAGTTGATCATGAGTGGCTTGGTCCAACCAACTGGCGCAGGAGGCGCTGCCGCTTCTGCCAAACCTGCAAAGAAGCAGCCTGGCGTCGCCAACTGGCGCAACACACCCACAAGTGCCCGTTATCCTGTCAGCGCTTTGCGTAGCAGCGGTCTCCGCGCTTCAGCTTTGAAGAGCGCTGGCCTGAAGAGCGCCGGTCTGGGTGCTGGGTTGGAAAGCCCTGCTTTGGATTCTCCAAAACCCGAAGACTTTGAACCTGAGATGTTGAACGACATCCCAGGCTGGCTCCGAAGTCTTCGACTCCACAAGTACACCAGCTGCTTCGACGGGCTATCTTGGCAAGAAATGATCTCTCTCGACGACGCCGCTTTGGAGGCAAAGGGTGTCGCTGCACTCGGTGCCAGGCGTCGACTCCTGAGGACATTCGAAATTGCACGCAAGAAGATGGGCCTCGAAGACGACAATGTCACTCCCACCAGTACCGTCACCGCCAATTTGCCAAAGCTCCCTGAGGCTGGTGAAACCCGACCACCCCACAGCGCCGTCCCCATCACCCGTTCCAAACTCTCCATCAATTCGCCTGTTTTCACTCCTACCTCTGCGAAGGAAACAAAGGACGAGGCTCCGGCTGCTGCTGCTAATGGAGAATCAGTTACTCCGGCGGCGGCGGAGGTAAAGGCTTGAGTATGACGAGGACTATTTTTCATTTTCATCAAGGCGTCGTAGTGTACGTTGATTCGTACCGTTGCTTACTATCAGTCTGCGGGATCTCTAATGTATGCACCCTCACAAGACGACCTGTGGTCGTTTTGTTTTCTGACAACGATGCGTTTGCTGTACGTTGAGTCTGCCCGTTGATTCGAGACCACACTTTCCCGTCCACAGTGGAGCTCCAGCTGGCCCACACTAAATACGTATGTACGTACACCGGAACCGGGACCCGATGTGTGGGGCCCGTCAAGCGGGAAGTCTCACCGAGTTCTCGACGGGGCAAGAAAGAGCTCAAATTCTAAATTTTAGAGAAGCATTAAAGCTAAAGCTTGCGAAAGTCTTCCCCAAGTGGGTAAGCACCCAGCGAGTCGACAACACATTTTTTATCCGTCTCGGACTCTCAGGTGGCATGATCGTTTCCAATGCTCTCGTCAACCACGCGATCATGGTTCTCGAGAAGCCATAGCGACCACGGCGGGGCGGGTACTTAGACCAAGCACTACCAGCCTGCAGGCCGAAGCCATACAGTATACCGCGTTTGTGGAAGAGTCTCTTCACTGAGCCACTTCTAAGAGCCGACAGCACACCTGGTAAGTACCTGTCAAATGGCGTGTCGCGATATCACCCAACAAACTGATGACATCCTTTCCATACAGTCCTAGATTCAAGGCCCGTCGCCTGAAACAGGCCATGGCGAGCCCAAGCCATTCGGGTCTCCACCCTGGTTGCTGTTGCCGACGCACGGGAGGAGGCCTGTACAACGTCCGGGTTGCGTCCGGGTTCAGTGTGACATGCAACCCTCCATGGATCCATGGACGAGTTGCGTTCACACCGCACAAATTCAACCTTTGCAGTTTCCGATCATAAACTGAATACCTCCGATTAACGAAGGGTTCTTTCGGCAATCGTGTATCGTGAAAAGGTTATGATTTAAATGACAACCCTTGTGACTGTCACCCTGTTTCCGCCTCCCCCATCCCTCCTTAATCCCTCTGCCAAACATGAAGAGCCACAGACGCGGAGAATCTGTCGACCCCCTTACACTGGCTATGGCTCCCCCACCAGATGAAACTCCCGAACAGAGGAAAGAGCGCCAAAGAAGAGAAGCGGAGGCTGTCGAGGTCAGCAAACGTATCGATGCAGAGCTGAAGGCAGCCAAGGCAGCCCTGAAGAAGCGGAAAGAGGCCGTTCAGGTCCTGGTTCTTGGACAGAGCTTGAGTGGTACGAGATAATCCCTTGCGGCAATGTATGGTAAAGTCTAATTCTATCATCCTCCAAGGCAAATCCACCACTATCAAGAGTGAGCGTCAATTTGACAGCGTTACATGAATGTACCGTAACGTGCCGTGCTTCCAGATTTTCAGATGGCTTATGCTCAGAAGTCTTGGGCGGAGGAAAGGGATTCATGGAAGGCAGTGGTCCTCCTCAACCTTGTGCGGTCGGTTAACATCATCCTCGACGTCCTCAGCGAAACGATCGACAACGCCCAACTTCTCTCTTCTGAAGACTCGTCGTCGCAACAACGGCTCACTCCGCTCACCGAACACCACCGCAATGCTATCCGAAGATTGGGAGTACTTCGACAAATCGAAAGGGACTTGAAGGCTTTCCTTGGTTCCGGCGCTTCGGAAACTGACGAGAACGACCAACGAGTGAACGAGTTCAGTGTGCAATCAAATACAGGATGGAAGGCCGTCCTGGCCAAGGTTCGCAACCCTTCTGGTGGCAAGGAGTTGGACGCACAGCGGAAAGGGTTGCAAGTGATCACCAGTTGCGCAGACGACATCGACTGGCTATGGAAAGACCCCGCAACACAATTTGTCCTCAAAAGTAGAGAAATTAATCTCGAAGACTCCCCGGGCTTGTAAGTGGACACTATTGCTACGTTACACCCTTATCGCAGTTGGGACTGATACGTGATTCTTGACAGCTTCCTCAACGACCTCGCTCGTATCCTCCATCCCGACTATCAACCGTCAGATTCCGATATCGTTCGTGCACGTCTGCGGACAACTGGCGTGCAGGAGTATCACTTCACACTTGACCGAGGTAATCATCTGCCAGGGTGGCCTCCCTTCCAAACTGGACTGACCGAGGTTTTCCAGGAAACAATCATGGCCCGACAGACTGGATCATCTACGACGTTGCAGGTGAATATTGAATACTTATCAAGCTCTCTATAGCCGTGTCACAAATGATCTGCGAATGACGTGAACTGACCTCTCGTCATTTCCTTCACAGGTGCAAGAACATCCGTGAGTTCCCGATTATCGCCTCAATCCTTTCCGTGATTCTCATAATTGCCATGTTTCAGAGGGCCGCATGGGTTCCATATTTCAAGGAAATTACAGCGCTGATCTTCTTAGCGCCGCTCTCGTCCTTTGATGAAACTTTGGCTGAGGATCCGACGATCAACCGACTCGAGGACACCTTCATGCTATGGAAAACAATATGCTCCAACAAACTTTTAGCCCGAGTCCAGATTGTCAGTTCACAGGCGCTTCTTCGGTCTTCATGAGAATGTCCTAACTATTTGTTTTTGCAGATCCTGTTTATGAACAAAGTCGACATCCTGCGGAAGAAGCTCGAGAGCGGTATTCTGGTCAAGAACCACATCCCCGAATTCCGAGACAAAACTAACGATTTCGAGACAGTGTCGAACTGTGAGTGCAAAGCTGATTATCTTGTTGTTGCTCCTACTGACAATCTCCTCACTTTTCAGGGTTCAAGAAATTATTTAAACGGTTGTACTTCGCCAACACTACACCCGGTCGCGAATTCCTGGCTCATTTTACATCCGTTGTGGTCAGTTGCTACCCTTTCCTCCGCTCAATCAACGTATTCACCCAAATTGCAATGGCAGGACACGGAAGCAACAACCCAAACGCTGGCCGCAGTTCAATCTGCCATTCTACGGAACGACTTCGTGAACACTGGACTGCTCTGATTTTGTTACGGTTGGCTTACCTCTGACGTATCTTTATGGTTTATTATTTATGTATCTCTTTTCTTCCACTTTCTGGCTGTGCACCCTTGTCCCGGTTGTATATTCGACTTATAATAATAGCTACAACGAGAATAGGGTAATGTAGTGTTATTAAATGGGCCAGAGAATGATGAAGCAGTACCTCGGAGCGATAAGAAGCGGTATTTGAGGTTTCACAACTCGTCAGTACCTCTCGCAACAGGGATGTCCGTCCGCTTGTCATAAAGGTCATATTTGGGCAAGGTTCCTGCTGCTTGAAGTTCGCGTGCCGTGTTCTCTGCCTTCTTGAGAACACGGAGGAAGTTTCCGCCAGTCAAACCAGCGAGCTCAAACTTGTTCCAGCCTCGCTCGTACAGTTCAGCGATCTGGCAAGAGAACTGGTGAGTAATTGTCAATGGTATCAAACCATATTTGTGGCCTACCAAAGCTGGGTACTTGGAAACGTCTTCCAGTCCCACTGGAACGTCACCAATGCCATCGAAATCGCTACCGATGCCCACACTGTACGAGAATGGTTAGATGATCGCTAGCTTGAAAGCCGTTACGAAGTGTGGCGGACTACTCACTGCAACTTGCCAGCAACGGTTGCAATGTGTTCAATGTGATTCGCCACAGCGTCAACGTCCGCTTGTCCCGGATTGGCAATGAAATAGGGTGCAAAATTGACCTGAATGCATTGGGGACGTCAGCACTCTGGAGCCGTGGTTGCCAGTCGTCCAAGAGTGTGTACGAACCATCACAACACCATCAGTCTTTCCTTCTTCCAGACCGACTAGTTCGAGAACATCGTCAGGAACGTTTCGGGGGACGTCGTGAACCGCACGAGCAGAGGAATGAGACCAGATAACTGGCGCTTTGGTCAATCTCAAAGCCTGCTTCGCCGTTTCATCGGAGGTGTGGGACAGGTCGAGCAGAACACCCAGTCGGTTCATTTCTTCAATCAGCGCAACGCCGAAAGGACTGTCGAAATAGGTGTTTAGTTTAAATGGCGACCTGTGCATATACAGCTTACCTCAAACCGTGATGAAGAGGAATGATACCAGGAAGGAACCCGCACGAGTCCGCAAATGCGTTGTGGCAGGTGTGGGTCAATGTGAGGTATCGCACCCCTAAGGCATGATACTGTCGCAGAATGGAGAGGGAATTCCCCAATTGATGCGCGCTGTAGACAAAGCCTATGCTCAGTATGTTGCCCTCGTCAGTTTTAGGAAAGCTGAGCAGCTCACCCCTCCACACCAATGAGGCCTGCGATCTTCTTGCCAATGATGGCGTGTTCGACGTCACTGGCCGAAAGCGCGAGTTGGAATGTACGAGGGTACTTCGCTATCAAACCCTTTGCGACGTCAATCTGTTCCAATGTGTCTCTAGGGTCTCGTCAGCTAACCTGCCAAAATTACAACACTGGGCGCGACACACCTGACTCTCCAGGAGGCGTTCAGAAAGTCTGGATCATCAACTCCGTTCGGTGGACACGGGACATAGGCAGACCTTAAAGAGACGTCAATTCGAGAAGGTCGATCCAAGGGGGCTGTGACCTTACCAGAAGAAACCTCCGACTTTGCCAACACGAAGTCTTGGGATATCGACATGGCCAGGCAAGGTCGACTCCATGTCCACTGCCGTCAGATTGTTGGCAAAGCGTCCTCGGACAGCGATAGGAAGGTCTGTTGACGAGAATGAGTGACCAACGAAACATTATTTTTGAGAATTCTCACCAATGTGCCCATCCTGACATGCCACTTTTCAGCCGCGGCCTATAGACACTGAGGACCTACTTACAATGACTGGTGCGTTATCAAGGATAACCAAGGCAGCCAGGGCAGGATCCTTTGGGATAGCGCCGAACCAGGGGCCAATAAAATCATGAAAGTCTTCGAAGAGCAGCAAAAGCACCAAAGCAACAGCGAATAGAACGGTGAGCCATCCCCAAACGACAGCTCGAATTCGAGGATTGGAATCGCAAGAAGAGTGTTGTTGCTCTGGAACCTGGTGGTGGCTGCTGTTCCTGCTGCTGCTGCTCCTGGACCTGAATGGACGAAGTAAAGGGGAAGTTTCTGTCGCACCAGTCGAAGTTGGTTGGTTGCTGCTAGAAGCTGGAGCATTGTTTCCCGAAGGCAGAAGTTGCTGGACCATCCCTAGTAAAAGAGCGTTGCGTGCGGCACGACCAGCACTCGAGGAGGAACCAGAGGAAGATTGGTTGCCAGTAACGCGTTTCCACCAACGAGTCTTCTTGCCATCCTTGCTTCCTCTGCTGCTGTCGCTTGAACTCGAGCTTGACGAGCTGCTGCTCGAACTCCTGGAGCGTACCATGACGGTTTGAGCAGACCTTTGCCACCATCACCAATCCCCATGTCGTCCCCATGTCGCAACGCGGCAACGATTCCGCTCAACAAGGCCAAGAAAACGCGATAACAGTATGGCCGATGATCTCATCTAAATCACAAGCCTGAGGCTCCAAAACGATTTTCAAATCGAAACTTGCACACAAAATTTCGTGCCGGAATGCGAGTTCAGAGAGAGGGAAATAAAAGAATACAATAAATCGAAGTACTAAAATACACCGGTTATAACTTGGGTAGTAGATAAATATTGCAGTGGTAATGGATGGTAATGAGGATCTAGCAGAGTGCGATGCTACTTTTAGTCCAGGAGTGAAAGCAAGCGTTCGTCTCATGCTCATGGCTTCTTAACTCGGCCGATGACGGTGTCGGGAGCATACCGAGGGATGACCTTGGCGTCGTGAAGCATGTTGAACTCCTCGGTGGCGTCGCGGCCGGCGTAGAGGAGGATGGCCTTCTCACCTCCGGGGTGGTCAGCGAGGAAGTTAGTCACATCGAGGACCTGGCCGTCGATGATGACCCAAACATCATCCTTCGTGTTATGCTTGGCAACTTCCTCGACGGTGTACTCGGCTTCAGCAGTCTTTCCAACAGGGGCAGCGGCGGCAGAGGTGGGAGCGGCGGCGGGGGAAGGTTGGGATGAAGGAGCACCGAGCTGGCCGGCCAAAGCATCGAGACGACCACCAGCCTTGCGGACGGCAGCGCTCTGGGTCTGGAGAAGGTAGGAAGCGGCAGAGTCACCAGAGACACGACCGAAGACGACGCATCCCAAGAGTGAGGAGCCGCCGAGACGATTGGCACCGTGGACACCACCAGCAACCTCACCAGCAGCGAAGAGACCGGGGATGGGCTTGCCGTTGGTGCCGAGGACACGAGACTCGGCGTCGATCTCGAGACCACCCATGGTGTAGTGGAGGACGGGGGTCATGATAGCGACGTGGAAGAAGTCGTCGAATTTCCATTCGCCCTGGAAGAACTTCTTGCCGAAGGGATCCTTCTTGGTGCGGACAGACTGGTTGTAGTCCTCGAAGGTCTTCTTGAGAACGGCAGGGGCGACACCGAACTCCTTGGCGAGGGCCTCACCAGAGTCGAATCGCTTCATGAGGCCACGACCGACATAGTGCTTACAGTGCCAGGCGATCTCATCGGAGGCCTGGCCATTAAGGACGAGTCGGATGGGGTACTGCCGAGCAAGATGAGCATCACGCCAAATATTTAGAGGGAAATGACGTACCTTTCCATTCTCCCAGATCTTGCCGGTGACGTAGTCACGGTGCTGCAACTCATCGACGAACCGAGCACCAGTGTTGTCGAGCAAGAGACCACCGACACCGCGAAGGGCCTCAGCGGCCAAGAACTTGACCTTGGCGTCGGGCTCGTTGGGGTCAACGAGGCCAGTGGGGTGAACCTGAACCTTCTCAAGGTCGACGGCGTTGGCACCTGCAGCGAGGGCGAGCTTGTGGCCGTCACCGGTGCAGTGCTCACCGTTGGTGGTGGGCAAGTTCCAGAACTCGGGGCGGTGCTTCTTCAAGAGGGAGTCCTCAGTGAAGTCAGCGGCATAACCGCCAGTGGCGAGAACAACAGGGCCATAGGCAGTGTGGGTCTTGTCAGCGTGGCTGTATTCAACACCGACGACGGCTCCAGACTCGTCCTTGAGAAGCTTGGTAACGCGAGCCTTCTTGATAATCTTGACGCGGTCGGGGTCCGAAACAGCAAGATCCTCGAGACGCTCCATCTGTGCGTAGGTCATGACCTGGAAGAATGTGCTATTAGCGCTGGTTCAAGTGCAACAGAAGAGGGCCAGACATACCATTCCGGGGAACTGGGCATCACCACGGTGAGTACGGGGCTGGCTGTGGCCGCCGAGACGAGCGACCTTGGAGAGGTCAAGTTGGAACTTGTCTTGCAGCCAGTTGACAGCATCGCCGGACTTGTAGGTGAGGACTCGGATAAGGTCGTCACGGGCGAGATCACGAGCCTGTATAGGATATATAAACGACGGGCATTGGACAAAGATGATCTAAAAACATACGGATTTCTTGGTGTCGGCGAAGAAAGTCTCAGGAGTATCGGGGATGTTCAAATGGCGCTGGGAGTTGGTTCCAGCACCGTTGATACCAGAGGTGGCCTTGGTAGAGTTTCCACCCATGAAACTATAAAACTGTCAGACTGGGTGGGGAGATAGATGAGGTTCATGGGACTCACGGTTGCTTGTCGAGCAACAAGACGCTAGCGCCACGCTCGAGGAGAGTGTGAGCAGCAGAGAGACCGGCGAGACCGCCACCGACGACAATAACTTGGGCCATTTTGGATGTGTATATGGAGAGAAGGTAGTGGATGGAGGTGAAGTTGCAGAACGACGGAGAATGAGTTTATAAGAGATTCACGCTTTAGGCATTTCCGATGCAATTGAGTATCATGTGAAATTCGCTAAAGTTGCCGTCACATGATCATGCGGTCACCAGTTCCGGCCGACCAACCGCCAATCCTCTTCTCCACCCTTGACCAGAGTCTGTGATTCATGGCCTCCATCCGTGGCCAACGAAAAAATAAAACACACAAAAATCGTGCTCTCGCTACTCTAGCCCAACTCTACCACCGCTGAATTTACAGGACCCGAGTCTCCAAACGCTTCCGTGAATCAACGTTCATGCACCCGGTCCACAACTTTACCGGGCTGAGCACTTTGTGGGGTGAATCGATTTTCGAACCCCTTTGAATTCCGTTCCGGCTCGTGTATCATATCTCCCGGGTCCTCCTCGTATACAAATGTACAACTTTCATGTGGCCAATCAAGATCATTCCGTTGCAAAATTCCTCTCTGATACCCCGGATTGCCGGCCTGGTACCTTTCTCCAGTCTGCCTTGTTCTCCCCGCCAATGGCCAGGAAGCCCCTTTACCCCTCAAACCACTGTTTACCGGTGTCCTTTGTCCAACTCAGACCCTCCCAGAATACCAGGGAGTCAGGTTTCTGGCTCAACAATGAAGCCCTTGGCTTACCGATCCATTCTGACTAGACCTTTGACTCATTGCAAGTTCTCGATCAAATCGACACCCCATCGTTCCAGGCGGGGCGGTCCACTTGGGAAAGTCTATTTACATTTCAGGACAGAGGCGCTTCGACCCCCCAAAAGGATTTGTAACCGGGAGGTGGTCAAGACGAAAGACATGGCACCAGAAGATTTCAATGATGTCAATGTATTCTTTGAAGCCGCTGCTGACGCTACAGTACCTGAGTCGAAGCTACGCATATTGGGCTTCTAGGAAGGTTGTGATGGTTGAGCAACTTCGTTCCACAGCCTCTGTCATTGACATGTTCAGCGTCTCCAGCATGACCAAACCTTCCACCTTATTCCCAGTCAACTGCCCATGCTCTACATCTCCTTCCGTGAACAATTCCCGATGCGCTTCAATATAGGCCGGGTAGACGATGTCTTCCCAATAACCGGGCGGGTCTCTCCAAAGGGCCCCTTCTAGAAGGTCAGATTGAGCTTTGAGAGTGAATAGGTCAGACATTGAGTGAGGCCAATGGATCCCAACAGGACGCGCACCGAGAACATAGGGAGGTTGGATATGTCCCGAGATGAGTCAAAATCAGGATTGTGATGATGATGAGAAACAGTTCGCTCGGTGAAAAACTGGACTAACCAGCAGTATGATATCCATGACGCTCATGCCTCCGTTGTTTGAGGACGTCATGGGGAACACGGAGCATAATCCGCACATCTAATTGCTCGACGACTTTCTAATAGGCCGTTACAATCAGTATTCTAGACCATTGAACGTATTGATAAGAAGACCGCGCTCACCGGATGCCAGTAAAGCAAAAATCCATCCAAAATTCCAAACACAAGCTTCTCGTGCTTCTCTCCGACCACACGTTGCTGGATCAGTCTGAATTTCTCTCTCCACCTATCGGCGGACTCTGAGTCGACTGGAATATCCTTTTGGAGATTGAGATGGTCGTGGCTTCTATGGTCCTCCGGTAACTTGCCCGTGCTTTTAATGACATGGAGAGAGTCGATTAGACGATCCCAAGAAATAGCCCCTGCTGGTGCATCCCAGTCTTGAACGTTATGGATGGGGTGAATGGGTACTTGTTCCATGGGCTGTTCATGGCACACAAGGAGGGTGATCAGATTGGGAAGTGGGAGGTACACTGTGTTTTCGAGAACGCACAGGCGCAAAGTCCTGAGCGTCAAATCAACAAAGGCTCACACAGAAAGTCGAAGAATACACACATCCTGGTGTATAATGACACTGTCGGGTAGAATGCGGTTCAGGTGCTTCGCCAAAGTAGTCTTTCCGGAGCATGTCGCCCCTCTGATAGCAACTGTCTGGTAAGTTTTCACCGCCGACATGGGCAGCATACGCACCCAACCCCAATCAAAACGACGCGGACATTCTTGACTTGTTCAGTCATCGTACTTCGTTCTATGGCCGCCTTCTACGTGAAGGGAATGAGTAGGTGAGGGTATCGTTCGATTCAACATGGTCGTCTGCACTTCCCAGTTGAAATCAACGCTAACTCGATGGGTGAAGTTGATAAGATAAGATAGAGCCAGGATGATGTCATTGTCACCGCATCAATCCCCAGAGCCCAAGCTCGAAGGCAACGCTACGCGTTCACGACAGAAAGTACATGAGTCTGAATTGTCGGAGAGGAACTTCTCGGCCTGGGCTGAAATAAGGCATAAGAAACGAGACAGAGCTGGCATCTACCCGTACACGTAGTCCTTGCAATCTGCCCTGTATGCACATCCGCGCAATCATAGAACTATTCAATGCCTGGAAGGGGATGACTACCTGCGATATCACCGCGAGACGCTGGGTGCCATCCCCCGCCCTATCCACCCATTCAACTCGACTCACTCCGCAGTGCATTCCCCTACAAAGTAACTTCCATAGCCGCTAGAAAAGAGATTCCACGGTTAATTATACTGCCAGGATAAAGAGCGGCATAGTAAACGCAGAAGGGTGCCCCTCCATCATGCTTCGAAACCCTGTTTATAGCACGAAGAAGCACGCTAATACTGTACCTAAGTCCATCGCTGGAGATAGGAGCCTTTTCTTGGACGCATTCGCCGCAACCGTGACTGCATTCCACAGATATGGTAAATCCCCATCCAGGCGCATTTAACCAAGAATGCATGGTGATGAAGAAGGTCCATGTCTGGTGTACTAGCTGTCCTGCGTCGTGTTATGTTTGTCAATGGGTGGTTGCTACGCCGACACGAGGTTTCAAGCATGTCGAAGCCAAAATGCCTGCGGCAGTGGACTCCGAGAGTAGAGCGGGCGTAAGGGTGCCTTCGATGTTACCGGTTCTGAAGAAGACCTCTGCAGTCGTCTGGTTCCCACCAATCGAGAGAGGAAATGATGAAAGAACCTTGAGCGCTGATATGTATCGAGTTCATTATGATTTGCGACCGGATAAATTCCGCGAATATGACTGGGGTGCAACGCGTCAATCCAGGAGAGGAACTTCTATGGGCGCAGGACTGCGACTGGAGATAGTTGGCACTAACCAGTGCTTAGCCTTGGTCAACGTAACTTGTGATCGTTGTCAGTATTCCGACAGGGTTGACCAGGGTTGGGAGCGCAGAGTCCTGTGTCCGAATCGGCGGGGACGAAACGGACGGCGGAGAGGGGTGAAACTGCAGGGCACCATATGAGAGGGACAAGCAGCTTACAGTTGATTCCGTTTATCACAGATAGAAGCGTATAGAAGTGCACCAGAGGATATACTTTGGTCCTTCCTCACCCTTTTGGAGTGTTCCAAAGTCCTTTCCAAGGCCGTAATATCTGGTCATTTTTTCTGATTGCGTTGATGGCTGACAAGCGTGTTTTCGTTCCTGCAGAGACGTGAGGCTTGACATAGCAGGAACATAACGAATGCGTCGCGATGAGTGGGTACTGTTGACATTGAACTCTGTTGAGCGTAGAGCTCACAAGTCGTATTGAAGAGTCCAAGTGAGGCATCGTTTGATGTGCTCTTGTTTGGTTGCAGGATTCCTTCCTGTCGGCAAAAGACCCGAAGCGGCGTTTCCACACAACACAATCATCCACCTCGGGCCATTGACTGCTCCATCGAGATCTCTCTTTTGTCTGACTCTTGTGCTGGTTTCCCTCAGATCTTGGGCGAAATGCTTCTTCTTGGTCTAGACATGATCTTGGTCGAACCAACCCTCTCTCTCCAAATTCCGAGAGAAAAATCCTAGAACTTGGGGGCGACGTGCCTTCTGTACCGGCGTAAAGGCATGTAATTGTCTATCTATTCACGCCTACAGCTACTAGTGCCAACTTGAAAGAAGACGAGAAGGCGGACTACACCACTAATCTCCCGATGGAGTTACAGTGATAATATCTCTCGAAGATCGCCCCTTAACAATTCGCGGTAAATTGACCTCACTTGTTATGGCCCCCGGGAAAATGAACCATGAGTCTGTCACCTTTCCATAAATCGGTGTGCTTCTCGATCAAACGGCAACACTGACTCCATTCTTCCACCTGGGAACTCGCACTACCGTAAGCTCACAGTTTGAATACCCAACTGCTATCTGACATAGACATCCCAATCACGCCCTTCTTGCGGTCCTAGGCGCGCGAATATCCAGTTGTCTGGCTTTCAATTTTAGCCTTGGGTGAAGAAAACCTCAACGTCACACCATCTACCCCTTCCGCTTCCTGTCACCTTGTTCCTTTCACCGATCCCGCTTCCACTTGGGACGCTATGCCTCGCTTTCGTCGCGGTCACCTGTCAGACCGGCCGCACAGGCATGAAGAAGACCCCTTCGCGAAGATTCTAGCTCCACCGACCGACGAGACTATCGAGGAGAGGGAGAAGAGGTTAGCAGCGGAAGCAGAAGCCCAGAAACGCTCCGATGCTATAGACGAGGAGATCAACAGACAGAGGATGGCGGAAAGGCGAGAGCCAAAACATATCCGCATACTCTTACTGGGTGAGTCGTACCGTCCATACTTCCCTTCAAGAGCGGGAAGACTAACGAGTGGTTCTCCTAGGCCAAAGCGAATCTGGTACGTTAATTTTTTGCGTCGCGTGAGACCAACGCCAACCCGAACTCGACAGGCAAATCAACCACGCTCAAAAGTAGGTTAACATTACTGGCTGTCGATCAGCACTGACATCTCTCGCCACAGACTTTCAATTGATGAATTCCCCAAAGGTGCGGTGGGCTCCTGAACCGACTGGGCCAAATATATTAACAAGGCAACGCCAGGCCTTTCGGAATGAAAGGGCATCATGGAGAGCAGTGATCCAACTAAACGTGGTCCGCTCAATCCGACTGATTCTCAACCTAATGTCAGAGGTTAGCGCTAGCAGTGGGAATGGCCGATCGACTCCGACGTCCATGATGGCCACTTCACGCCCAGGAAGCCCAAGCGCCGATCAATTCGACAGTGGTGTCGTACTGGGACCCGAGCTTTTGAAGCTCAAGATGCGACTGGCTCCTCTTCAGCAAGTAGAAGAATCACTTCTGAGAAAACTTAGCCCACCTGGTTCTACGGACTTCGAAGCGACACATTTGGCACCTGTCACCAACCTTCCTTATGCTGTGCGCTCTGGCAAGTTCACGCGAGAAATTGCAGTCCACTCCAACTCCCAGTGGAAGGGCGCCTTCTCGAGACTCATGACCTCCGTCAGAACAAGTATCGGTAGCGAGATCGACCTCACAGAAGACCCTAATGACCCGGGGGTGATCCTTAACGCCTGTGCCGATGACATGATCAAGCTCTGGAATCACCCTATAATAAAGACGCTACTTCTGGCGCATAACCTGCGCTTGGAGGACAAGGCCGGATTGTAAGCTGTCGAACCACGCTGCTGCTTCCGGGGGTGCGCTGACAAGAGCCGCAGTTTCCTTGACTCCCTTGAACGCGTAACCTCGCTCAGATACATGCCGACTGACGGTAAGCAGAAACCAAGTTGTTCCTGGATTGCAACGTTAATATGGGATATAGATGATATTCTGCGGGCCCGATTGAAGACGCTGGGAGTGTCCGAGCACCGGTTCAAATTCAAAAACACAGGTCTGCTTCGAAATCCTTATCATTACAATGCGAAGCGAAGCTAATGCGTAGTGCCAGGCAATATGGTTAGCAACGATTGGAGAATCTTTGACGTTGGCGGAGCCCGTTCACTAGTGAGTAACCTTCCACATTCCCGCAAGTTCTAGACTGATAAATTTATCTAGCGAGGTGAGAGCACCTTCTACTAGCAATCCAACAATTTCATTGAATGTGATGTGTTCCTATCTAGCCGCTTGGGCGCCCTACTTCGACAACATGGATGCAATCATTTTCCTTGCCCCATTGTCAGGCTTCGATGAAGCCCTCGCCGAGGATCCCAATACAAACAGGCTGGTACGTGTGTTTTGATGATCCCACTGCCAATTCCATTGATGGGTGATCCAGGAGGATTCAGTCCTGCTCTGGAAAGCAACAATCTCAAATCCCCTGCTAAAAACGGCGCAAACCGTCCTCTTCTTGAACAAGATGGATATTTTTAAGGGTCAGTTTACATCCTTTAATTCTTGCCCCACTATACTATAACGAACTATCCAGCCAAACTTGAATCGGGTATTAAATTCGGGGACTATGTCGTTTCGTACGGGGACAGACCTAACGATCCAGACACTGCCGCTGCTTGTTTGTGTCATCTTGCCTGCTTTCGCCATATGTCTCTCATCCTCCGTCCCAGACTTGAGAAAGAAGTTTGCTGGCATTCATAAACAGCATTCACCCATCCCTCGAATGCTATACTCGCACATGACGGCTGTTACAGTCAGTCCAGAATTGACTTGTCGTCCCATTGAAGGCTAACCTTTCGCCGTAGGATGTCAAATCTACGCAAGCAATCCTAACGAACGGTTTGTGTTTGGTTCCGCTGCATCCCATCTGTGAAATCTGATCAATGCCTGTTCACAGTGAAAGATATGGTTCTGCGGCAAGCTCTCGAGAACACGAAACTAGTTTAACGACACGAAGCACTATCCATTCACCGTGCAGGCATAGGTATTTATATGATCCATTTATCACCGCTGTATCACTTGTTTGCTGTATTGTGGGACTTTACTGTACATCTAGCCATTGTAATTAAGTATTACTCTGTATTATGCGTTCGCGATCTTGAGCTTTGTTCAGCGTCAACGGTTGCCTCCGTGATTTAATATAGCGTGTTGGAGGCGGCGAGTCGTGACCTGAAACACGGTCATAGCAAACCTTTGGGGGGCCAGAGACGAGGCTCTATCGTTCATGATCAAGGCCTACCTAGCGGTGCGTGAGATTGCCGTAAATCCTAATAAGTCTGTTGGGGGTTTCCTTGCAAGTTGAGTGGATTCAACATGGAAACGTGTTCGGTTCCGCAGCAACCACGTTTGATTCCTGCACCCCATGACCCCTTTCGCGGCCACAACCTCCCTGTAAAACACTTCACTTTGATGGTTGTGATGATGAAGGTACGTTCTGGCCATTTGAGAGCGACGGGTCATGCTGGACCCTGTCACAAGCATTTGCATTCTGAAGGAGATTTGCTTGCAGAACTCTGTAGAATGAAAGCAAATTGAACAGATGAAGCGCTGCCGGGAGTTTTGTTGAACAGGTCGAGCGCCTGCTGCGGGCGTTGATGGCCATAAATGATTGGGACGAGAGCAAGGGCGGGAAATCTTGGCGCGGATATACTTCAACTCGGCGTTAGCCGAATTTGGACGCGGTCCCTCGAGTTTCCCTTTATTTATGAACGACTTCGAAAACCTGTCCATTTCATCTTTATACCCCCTTCTTGCTCGCCAGCGACGCCGACGCCTGAAATGACTTTGACCAACGCCCCACCAACCGCTACTCAGGCGACTGGGTCGTCTCCGAATGCTGTACCCGTCGAAGCAATGTTCAGCCTCATCATGGATGCTGTCCGAGAGTCGGTTCGTCATAACTCATCGGCAGACAGCCTTTAGGTTACTAAAAGTCCCAATAGCATAAGGACATCTCGGAGCTCAGAAAGGAATGCCATGAGCTTCGTCTGGCAAATGCAGCACTCGAGAGGCAAGTTCGGGAGGGACTTCAAGTACGTTACACCGTGAATGCAGCAATTGACGTGTCCTAGAACCTAATGTCTTCTCAGTGGAATTTGCACACATCGCGTAATGGAACGCCGGGTTTTATGACCCCTGCCCCTGCGAGTCCAAGGTTACTTCCAAAATCGCCATTCCTCAGCCCCCCAGTTCCATCGGTGCCGTCAATCACCACGTCTGGCCCTGAAACACCATACTTCAAGCCATCGCCTTTGGGCGATAATGCTCTCACCGCATTCCCGTACGGGACCAGGGATATTCCTGGATTCTACGTGGTAATCCCCGCTGGTGGCGCAGGTACTCGCCTCTGGCCGCTTTCCAGGGAGGGACACCCCAAGTTCCTTCTCGACCTCACCCTCAAAGGCCGCTCCTTGATCCAAGCAACTTGGGATCGTCTTCTCCCTCTCTCCTCCGCAGAACGGACCACCATCGTAGCCGGCCCTAGTCACGTCAGGTCAATTAGGGAGCAGCTACCCGACCTTCTTCCACACAACCTATTCACCGAACCTGGTCCCAAAGATTCAATGGCAGCCATTGGTCTTGCCGCCGCTATTCTGGCGAAACGCGACCCACAAGCCATCATTGGTTCCTTCGCTGCCGATCACATGATTTCTGGCGACGATGCCTTCCTCTCTGCCGTTGCAGAAGCAGTTGAAGTCGCGAAGAAGGATTTCCTTGTGACCATTGGTATTGCTCCGTCCCACCCATCGACCGGATTCGGTTATGTCAGGCTTGGGGATAAACTCGGCTTCAAGGAAGCACCCAATGCTCGTCTAGTCTCCAGCTTCAAAGAAAAGCCCGATGCTCGTACAGCAGCATCCTACATCGCGACGGGTAATTATCGATGGAACGCCGGCATGTTTGTGACAAAAGCGACATTCCTGCTCGAGCTCCTGAAAGAATACCAGCCTGAGCTGCATGATGGACTTATTCAGATCGCAGAAGTTTGGGACGATGAAGTTAAACGTCAAACTGTCCTCGGCGAAGTCTGGCCAGGTCTAGAGAAGATCCCCATTGATAACGCCGTCGCGGAACCCGCTGCAGCTGAAGGGCGTGTTGCCGTTGTTCCAGCTACTTTCGGTTCGTGATCAACGAACTTTTCATCCGACACCCGTTAATTGACGTTTCATTAACAGGTTGGGACGATGTTGGCGACTTCTCTTCTCTGGCCGATCTTCTCCCTGCGGAGGCCAACCAGCCCCGCGTTCTTGGTGATAGCAGTTTTGGTTTGTCCCTTTCTTCCTTCGTCCCCCAGCCATTTGACTAACGACTTTTACAGTTCTCACAGAGCAAGTAGCAGGTGGCATCGTTGTCCCAGGTTCTGGGCGCTTGATTACTTGTCTTGGAGTGGATGACTTGGTGATTGTTGATATGCCAGACACCCTGCTTGTCACGACTCGCGCTCGTTCGCAGGAGGTCAAACGTCTGGTGAAGAAATGCCGCGACGCGGGCCACAAGGACCTCCTTTGAAGCACTTCCTTCTTTCTGGGCTATATTTTCTATCTATTCAAAGGACATTGGGACTATCTGAAGTGTGACTTTAATGTGGGGAATGCCTGTTTACATCACTTTAATAATTCGTTCTGTTGCTTGGGTTGTTCCCCAGGTCCATTCTGTGTTTTTGTACATAATAATGTAGTATGTAATACTCTTCGAGAGAACCACGAGCGCCCAGTGAAATATTGCACTGTACCGGATCATATCACTGTGCGCCATTCCGACGTCATCTGGGGCGATGCGACCTAATAGTAACTGGTCACCCTCAAGCCACAGCGGCGTATCACACTAGGAAAGACGCCAGGATGCAGGTTGTAACCTGACTCTTCTCCACTCTTCGTCCACGATGACAAGCCCGCTACGACGTTCTGCCGCAGAGAGCCCGTCGAGAAGCAGCATCCAGCCCAATTACGGAGCCAGCAGTTCCAGACATGACGAAGAAACTGCTCGAGGAAGAAGCAAGCCAAGCGGTCTACAACGAGAGCTTTCTGCTCGACAAGTCCAGATGATCGCCATCGCCGGGACAATTGGCACTGGACTATTCCTTGGGACAGGAAAGTCGCTCGCCCAAGGTGGTCCAGCGAGCATGCTGATATGCTACAGTATAATCGGATTCATCGTCTACGTCACCCTCCTCTTACTAGGGGAGATGGCGACTCAATACCCCGTCGCTGGGTCGTTCAACGCCTATACAACGCGCTTCTTCTCCCCAGCATACGGCTTTGCACTAGGTTGGAACTACTGGTTCAATGACGCGGTCTCTGTCGCCTCCGACTTGACCGCGGCCCAGCTGGTAATACAGTTTTGGGCTACATCCAATGCGTGGGTGGTTAGCGTCGTATTTTGGGTGTTCCTGGTTGGAGTAAACGCGATTCATGTGCGCGCATATGGGGAATTAGGTGGGGTCCAATTTGAATCCGCTATGATGTTGATGTCGCTCATGTTTATCCGGCAGAGTATTGGCTATCCTCGTTGAAAGTCATCACCGTCATCCTTTTCATTATAGTGGGCACTCTTGTCAACATGGGATTCAATACCGAATCCAGGGTTATAGGTTTTGAGAATTGGAGAATCCCTGGTGCACCCTTTGTAGGCGGCTTTGGTGGGTTCGCCCATGTCTTTGTGACAGCTAGTTATGCCTGTGAGTAACCAATGCTCGTCCGCTCCTCTCTTGTTAATGCTCCTTTATAGTCGGAGGGACAGAGAGCCTAGGAATTACTGCTGGGGAGACACGAAACCCTACCAAGAACATGCCCAGAGTCGTGAAGCTTGTTTTTTGGAGGTCAGTGATCTTGCGCGTAATCTGAAGTGGTTGTTAAACTCATTCGAACCCAGGATATTGACGTTCTACTTGCTTACAATACTGTTAATTGGCCTTAACGGTGAGAGTTGCGTTGAATGGGCTCAAGTTCTGGTAATGACGTCCACGTGTAGTCCCTTGGGATTATCCAAATCTTTCAAACCGAAGCACCACCACCTCGCCATTTACGATCGTTTTCAAATTGGCTGGATCCTGTAGGTGAAAGATACGCATTGGATGCACCTAGAGATCTAAAGCTTCCGTCAGCTGTGGCGGCCTCGTTCATGAACACGGTTATCTTGACCTCAGTCTTATCTGCAGGAAACCATGCCCTTTTTGCAGGGACACGGGTTCTTTATGGTATCGATTTGTGGATCCCCGTACGATGCGTGGTAGTCTGACCATTTACTCAGGACTCTCTGTCACTACTCCGCCCCAAGCCCCAAAGGTCTTCTCCTGGACAACTCCTTCGGGCATTCCTCTACCGGCATTGTTCATGACAAGTAGTGTCAGTGCACTCTGTTTTGCTACGAGCTATGTTGGAAGTGGGGCACTTTGGGGATGGTTACAGAACATTGTCGGAGTATCCAATCAGGTGAGTCTGTTGAGGTTCTTGAGACGCCCGACTCATGGACCGATTAGATCGCTTGGTTGTCCATTGGACTGTCGAGTTGGCGATTCCGAAAGGCCTGGCTGAAGCAGGGAAGGGCGCCGGAGCAGCTCAAGTTCCGCGCTTCGTGGACGTGGCCCTGGGGTCCTCCGTTTGTAGTGAGTGTCGCTTAATTCAAGTCAGCGAACACCTGCTCATAAATCCCAAGGTTGTTGGGGTGACCGTCCTGATCATCGGTGAGATCCCGTCTAGCATTCTTTTCACTCTTGTGTTGACCTGTCTTGTTGACCAGTGCAAGGGTGGTCGTCCTTCGTCCCCAAGTTCTCCCCTGTGGATTTCATCTCGTTCTATATCGAGGTTCCCATAATGCTCCTCATGACAGTTGCATATCTCATTAGATCTCGTTCATTCTCACCCTCGTTAGGCGTTGCTGGAGAACAGGAGTCGGAACCCCTCCTTTCGAGACCCTGCGAGAGGGCGGTGCAACGGGATGGTTTCGCCGATCTGGTGGATGTATCTACGGTGGATCTGTACGCTGACGAGCACACGGAAGAGGAGGAAGACGAATCTACTGAGGACAAGGCTAGCGGGGTCCTCCAGAGGATATATTATTGGCTGGTATAGTATGTTATCCACAATAGTACGTTATGGTTCCAGTCGCCTTCTTCCAGTATTCTCTGAGCAATCATCGTGTAACTTTGAGCATACACCATCGAGAGTAGGCTACAACGATGTGGGTCCATCGCCACATAGTTGGTACTGTGGGCTCCAGCAGGGACAGTGACGACGGCCCAAACCGAGCTGCTCGGAGGGTACAGTCCTGTCAGGGCGCTCAGTATATAAGGGACGCCAAGGTTTCGTGTCGATCCATGTATTACCCTGACGCGCGACGTTCTGTGCGATAGAGCAACAAGGATTCGTTTGTCGGGGCCGTTACTCCCTCTTATTTCTCATCTGCGCCTCTCCGAGCTCTCAAGTTACCTGTCTTTTCTCAACTATGAACATCGCGGCGCTAAACCACCCTTTCCTGCTGTGTCTCATCAGTATCCTGTTCGGCGTGGCGTTTGCAAACCCGAAAGGCGGAGGTGGTGGTGGTAGAGGAAGAGGAAGAGGCAGCGGGTCGACCAAGCCTGCTAGACCCAGCAACTTATACAATCCACCAAGAATCAAGAGGCCAAAGAAACGCCCGCCGATTGTCATCCACACGGGTTCCGGAGGAACAAAGTCTACCATTTGCCGGGACCCTGATACGTATGCACGATCCCAGCTTTTATTGATGTTTGCCTAACAGTTTGCTTTTGCAGCAATCTGCAGGTCACCTGTCCCAAGGACAGCCAAACGGCAAAGATAATCGGCATCGTTCTGGGAAGCTGTAAGTTGGTACTCCTTCCTCATCTTCGTCTCAGCGGAACTGATCTTCGGCGCTACCTCCCCGTTCCTAATACAGTGGCTGGAGTGGTTGTGATTGGCACAGGAATATACATTGCCTACCTTACATGGAAGCGGAAACATGGCAAAGGTACTACAGGCGTCTCAGTCATGGAAGGGAGTGGAAGAGGAGAGTATAAACGGACAACTGACCATTGGAATCCGACGGTGTAACAACTAAGAGCATTGCTTAATTTATTCTGCAACATATGGCGAATTATTTGGACGGACACTGCTGTTATTTAGTTACTTCTAGCTTCGTTGGGTTATCCACACCTTGGACGCTACATGGGAGTCATATCGACACCTGGACTCGGATTGCACTCATTCGGGTCACGTTCAAGTGCCCAAATCCTTCACAACCTGTAGCCTTCGAGGGAAGCCGCCCCTAACATATGTAAGCTTGGCATCAAGTCCGGGTTTAGCACATTGCTTAGGTCCGCGTCTCTCTGATCTCTGGACCATTTCCTACTCTCCAACACCGAACGAGGCAGCCACAAAGTCGTAAATGACACGTTCCTCACAAGGCTGCTATGGTGAATCTGATCGGACTTGGAAGCTCTTGTCGAGGACGTCTTCGAACCCATCAGGCCTGTGCCTTCGTCTCGTCTTCTTCAACACTTACCAGTGCCTGCAGGCACATCATCACCCAGCTGTTCCTCTGTTCCCACTCGGAAACCAAGGCTCGATGATCACTTGTATTACTATCAAAGAGCGGCAGAAAAGGAGGAAAGAAGGGTGGACGACGCAATGAACAGGGCACCATGAAATTCACAGCAACATTGGAGGAAGATGAACGAGGGAAGGACGTTATTGCTCAGCAAGAGGCTATATCTTATCCTTCGTTGCGGTTGCAGAACTCAGCAGACCTAGCTCATTCCCATCCCTATCCTCAACGCACGCTGCTGCAGGACAGGAATCTGTACCCCTCCTGCGCGAGTGTGGCGCAGAGGGAATGTTTATGGTTTGGTGGATGGATCTACGGGGTGGATATGTCTGTGGACGAACACACAGAGGAAGAAGAAGAAGAAGAATAACAACGAGACGATTCTACAGGGGGCAATATGCATTCATGACCACCTCTCCATTTCCCTCTCGAGCGGTGTGCGAAACCCAGGGTCGTTATATCTCACAGCACACGCTGAATGCAGTTGCAAGCACTGCCCAAACCGAGCGAGTCCCTCCGGAAAGGCACAGCCTCTCTGGGGCGCTCTTCATTTAAACATAAGGAGGGCCTCCGGCATTGATCCATTACTTGTCCCTGACACCCGACAGTTTCCCTGTTTGATTCAACCATAAAACGTTGAACGCAAGGCGTTCAAACTTCAACACCCATTCCCTTTCGCTCTCTAGCCCGGCTGGTTTATTCCTCATGAATATCACAGGACTCGTTAATCCTTTCCTATTCTGCTGGCTTAGCATCTTCTTTGGCACAGTTCTGGCATATCCGAAGGGAGGGGGTGGTGGTGGGAGAGGCGGAGGCGGACGTGGCAAGGGAGGGGGGAAAGGAAAGGGCCAAGGCAGACCCAAATCCAAACCAGTCAAGATCAAGGTGCCGAAGGTGAAGAAACGCCCGCCGCTCGTATTTTCGTCGACCTCTGGTGGGAAAACAACAACAATATGTCGAGATCCTGTAACGTATGTCCTCATGGAGAGTGTAGACTTGGTATCTACTAACCGCCTTGCAGCAACCAACAAGTGCCTTGCCCGAAAAACAATCAAACAGGAAAGATCGCGGGAATTGTTATTGGAAGCTGTAAGCCCGAAAACTGGTTTAATTTGGCATGCTAACCCATCCCTTCTATTTCTTACAGTGGTTGGAGCAGTTATCCTCGGAATTGGAGTGTTCTTTGCTGTTCGCTGGTGGAAGAAAAGAAAAAGGACGGACGATACCAATGTCAACACGCGGACCATCCCAGATGCTGGAGAGAATAGTAGAGGGGAGTATAAACGGATAGAAGACCCATGGAATTCGACGATATAGTCAGACAGACAGTTCAAGTTAACTTGTTGTGTTGGCCATATCCATTCTGAGATGGGTAGTCGTATCGGTCTCGTTGTAGCTGGCCAACCCGAGAGTTGCCATAGCTTCTTGCAAGCTCAAGCTCAAATACGGTCTGTAAGTAAGTGGGATGTGTGGAACATTTGAAGGTAGATATGGTCGACGCCCCTATCATGTAAAGCTTGGCATCAAATGCTGATAGAATGACCGCATTGCTTCCGCGTGCCTCTGAACTTCAACCACATTGACCACTCTCAAAACTAAACGCGAGGTAGGCATACTGGCCTCTGCTCCATTCTCTGTCTCGACGGATCTCTTGTCTTCCAGCCGTAAATGACACGTTTCTCACAAGGCTCATTGCGCAATGCAGGAAACCCGGACGACGATGAATCAGATCGGGCGTCCACAACAACCTCAAAGCAATCCGGAAGCTCAGTGTCGAGGACGTCTTCGTACTCATCCAGTGCTTCATCGTCAAGGTCTTCATCAACGGTGACTGGTACGGGCACATCGCGATCCGGTCGTTCCTCTGTTTCCTACTCGGAAACCTCCAGCAGTAGGACTAGGTCCGAATCGTATCGAGATTCAAGGTACAGCACGGAGACCCGCTCTTCAACAACGTCCTCGATCGAGATACGCGAAATGGAGGACTTGATATACAAGTTTAAAGACCAGCTTGACTACTACAAAAGAGCGGCAGAAGAGGAGAAAAGGAGGGCGGACGACGCAGTGAGGAAGGCGCAGGAAATCGCGGAGCACTTGAAAAAGGTGAACGAGGCAAGGCTTGTTGCTCAGCAAGAGGCCAGCCGAGCCAACGAAGAGCTCAGGTGAGCGGAATTTGCTCCATTGACTCGAGGGAATATACTTATTGGGCAAAGGCTATACAAGTTACAACTGGAGTATGCACAACGAGAGATTCACCGCGCCCAGGCAGTGTTGGAAGCAGTGGACAAGCAAAGGTTCGCTGCCGAAAAACAAGCAGCTGATGCGAGAGCGAAGGCACGTCGTTTGAACGAAGAACTACTCGTTGAACAGGCTAGGCGGGAAGGGCGCCGGCAGGGTATGCAGGAAGGGCTCGAACGGGGAAGAACCTTGTCTGGTCCGGATATGGTTCGCCCAATGCCAGGACAAAGATCCTCATTCCTTGAGCAAGCTTCCTTTATGAACAGTGACATCAGTACGGAGGATGGAAGGTCGATAGCTTCGTCCTCGTCCTCACTTCGATCATCTCGAAATTCGCAACGAACAGAGAGTAGACCGCAGTCGCAAACTGAACCTGAGCCTGTCCATCAACCTGAGCCACCCCGCCAACCACCGTCGCCATCACCTCCTCCAGTGGCCATCCCTGAACCTCGGCCAGCTTCCGAACTCATGCAAATGCATACACCGTCGGTGATGGGAGGTGCAGATCTTCCACCCCCACCTACATTCCAGTCGTCACGTCCGCATTCGAGAGCAGCATCCATGGTACAGTCCGAAATTAGGCCCCCCAGTTTCCGACAACCTTCTCCAACCCCACGAATGACCCCAAGTCCGCTTCCCCCTACCCATATTCCTCCTGACAATTTTATCCCTTTGGTCGGTGAGGACGGTTCGATTGGATTGCCGGCACCGCACGAGTTTAACAGAAGAGCACGAACACCTGACATCGGAGGCTCTCCAAACCCCTACTCTCAGGCAGGTTTGGATCATCCCCAAAGACAATCTTCAATAGACTCTGCTTCGACTGGGATGTCTCAACTCGACATGCTCAATCCGCCTATTCATACGCACCTGACCCCTGCTTTGAGTGTCATTCAAGAAGTTAACAGCTCTGCAGCAACCCCCATGTCGATGGGATACTCCGGCCAGGGGCTTCATCACCAGAGATCCATGGTAGGTCTTTCCAAGCCCCAATCCGTCGTGCTCCGATATTAACGCGAACACAGAGCGGGAATTCATTCGTCTCAGGCAGAGGTCAAGAGCTCTTTGGTGGAGGCGGAGGCCCGCTGGAAGGTTCAGCGTTGGGTATCAATGTTGACGGGACAAGGACGCCTGCAAGTGTCGTTCGTTCGGTGCATTCAGAAAGGTCCCCTGCACCCAGTGCCGTCCATTCAGTGCACCCTGAAATGACTCCTGCACCGAGTGTCGTTCGTTCGGCCCATCCGGAATCCCCTGCGATGAGCGCCGTGCGTTCCGTTCACCCTCAAGCCACGCCTGCTATGAGTGCCGTCCGCTCCATCCATCCACAAGCAACCCCAGCGATGAGCACCGTGCGTTCCGCTCACCCTCAAGCCACGCCCGCCACGAGTGCCGTCCGCTCCATCCATCCACAAGCGACCCCAGCGATGAGCGCCATGCATTCAGTCCACCCACAGGCAACTCCGGCGATGAGTGCCGCCCTCTCAGTCCATCCTGAACGAACCCCTGCCCCTAGCGCTACTCGATCTGTCCACGCAGCATCACCTGCCCCTAGCGCTACACGTTCCAATCTACCAGAAAGGACGCCTGCAAGTGCGGTCCGATCTATTCACCCGTCGAGACCCCCATCCGCACTGAGCAGAGTGTCAGCACGACAAGAACGTTCGGATCAGAAGCCGCCTAGCATCGAGATTGAAGTTCAACCTCCAGTGAGTATCCACCCTGTTCCAGACTAGAACAGCCATTCATCAGCCCCAGTCTCGTCCCATATCCGATGGCGTGCGAAGCATTAGATCTCATCTGAGTCCACTGAACTCAGGCACAACACCTCTGCCATCCGTCCCACTGCCATCGTACGCCGAGTCGAACGTCGGAAGTGCGATGCCTGGAGGCATAGACGACGGCGGATTGGATACACCGAATGGCGACGCCGTCACCCAAATATCTCAGCGTCCCAAAGACGACGATGCGATTTCATCCGGTCTCAGTGGCGACGAGTCCTTGACGACGCCTCCCCCGGCGAAAGGTCGAGCTTGGACTCCTCCGCCGCAGTCAACGGTGTCATCCGTAACGGCTATGACGGGGGTGTCCGGCAAATCAAAGGGAAAAGGGAAGAAATCTAAGAAACGGTGAAATCCACTTGTCGATGGGAAGGATGAGCTGCAGAGAGCTAATGTAAATAGGGATGTGAGATCAATATACAGATTACTACGCGACAAAACAAAAATAATTACCAAGACTGACCATGTCTCAATAGTCCCTCCTCCGTTCAGAATCTCGACGGCTTCGGTCATAGTCGTAGTCCCTTCGCCGACCTCTGTCTCTCTCCCTGTCCCTCTTATTATCCCGATCTCTATCCCTGTCTCCATTTCGTTCTCGATCCCGGCCACTCTCCTTGCTGCGTCTGTAGTCCCTGTCCCTATCCTTATCCCGACTGCTTCCATAATCGTCCCTATCCCTCCTTCGTTTGGAGCTATCGTCGCGATCGTACCTCGACCTGTCGGCACGGTCAGGAGAGCGCGAAGTATGCCTGGAACGAGTGGTTGAAGAGCGCTTGGGTGACCTGGACCTATCTCGAGATTGGGGATCTCCAGAATCAGTCCTCTCCAATCTGGCAACGGGCATATAACGCAGTGGAGGTTTTCCGGACTTTCGTTTCAACTTGCTTCCATCGTCATAGACTTCCTGTTCTTTGGCCCCGATTCCAAGGAGGGCTGGCCGCGCAGCGGGAATATAGGGCTCGATCATGCCTTTTCCTTTGCGAGATGCAGCTTGTCCCTCTTTCCATCCCATCCCACGCAACATCGCGGCGCCGAATTGTGACACAGGGACGCGCTCATAGTCTTCCAAGGTCGCAACATCGGGTAGTTCATCGACATCTTGCTTCAGGGCATCGGCCTCTGAGATAGGTGTAGGAATGGCAGCAATATAGGCGTCGTCTTGGACCTGGCCATTGGCTTCCGCGAGCAGTGCTCGCAAGGCGCGTTGTTCTTCGGTTTCTGTCACTTCTTCCTCCTGAACCTCCTCGTTCATCACGACGTCACCGTCCTCATTTTTGACTTCGACTGTCTCTCGCTTTTTCCTAACCTGCAAGCCAGAAATGACGGGCCCGGTGTTTATGGTCTCCCTTGTCCCAAGACCGCCGACACTTCCATCGGCACCAGTGGATGTTTTGGCCGAGTCAGGCACAAACTGCCCTTGGCTGCGACGCTTTCGAGCGAGTTCTCTCCAGTCCTTGTTTTTCAAGGCGGGAATGACGAGAGGACCTTCTTTCGCCTTCTTCTTTTCAAAGGCCCTAGATCCATGTTTCCGATAGAAAACTTCGTGAGTTGACATCACTGCGAAAGTTTCGACGAAGAAAGAGACACACCGCTGAACGCCAAACCTGTCAAAGCCTGTTACTAGTTCATCCTGCAATTCATCATCTTCATCGCTTGAGTCGTAATCGTCATGGGGCCTTTCTTGTGCTGGATGAGGAGACGAAGTCGAGCTGCGTGCCAAAGGACTTCCAAGTGGGGTGGACTCTGTTGACAGGTGTTTCGGAAGAACCGGGATTTTGAACGATGAGCCTACATCTGAGCCCGGAGATATTCCTCGCGATTCTGGAGTCGGCCTGCGGACTGTGAAAGAAACCTTTTGTGGTGCTGAGGACGACGACATGGTGGACTGGAGTCACCCTGCACAAAACCGCCAAGCATCGTTGCCGCGACGGCTCTCCTACACTTCCCACGATTTCGGTCTCCGCAGACAAGCGGAAATACGCGGAGTTTCATTACACCACGGCGTCTATTGCTTTCCCCTTTCGGTCAGTCCCCCAACTACCCTTCGAACTCGACTTTCAATGCTGTTACAAACTGGCAACTTTTGTATGGGTCATTAATCTCACGAATGAGTCAAATGTCTTAAAATACTCGTCAAAAGAATGGGAGATGGAACCCTGCGATTTTGTCGAGACTCTCTTCGTGTTTCCGAACTCATGATGAAATCGCCGCCTTCGCACACACATACTGGGAAAGGTGGGATTATTTATGTGAAACGCCGGACTGCTCAAAGGCTTCTCTATTCTGAACCACCATCCAGGACTCTCAGCTGGCGCCCGTCATCACCCTGCCTCCGGCGTGCCCAACCGCCCATGAACGGTGGGGACGTCCCCTCCCTTGAGGAGATCTTGTTACAGGAAAGATTCGATGTGGCGAGGGCCGTTGCATGTGAGCTTTTTCCCGGATTTGATACTGTCGCCAACGTCACGGCTCGCTGAAACCAATGCTGTGGCAGTTGCGGTCCTCGCTTGTCTAAGCTGGGAGGCTTGCATCAACCTTTCATTCGACGTTGATTACTTTTGGGCGTGAGTGGATAGATTCGGGTGCTGAATGATATTCGCACTGACAATCCGCACATTAGGAGCACGAGGGGTATTGTCAAGACTATCCATTATACTGCGAGATCGTTCGGTGTTCTCTCCCAAATGTAAGCAATGCTCTGTATTTGTATCACAACAGTCCTGACAATGCCTTTCGCTCCAGAGGCAGCGTATACATCAAATACTACTTCAAGTACCTCGAGAAACCCACTGATTCAAGATGTCGGAAATGGCTGATCTCCCAGTTTTTGGCGCTCATTTTGCTAATGTTCAATCTGGAGGTTTTGTTGATGACTAGAGGTTAGTCAAAGAGCCATGAATATCAACGAGTAAACGACTCTGAGGCTAACGTCGGGATATCAGTTTACGCACTCTACGACCGCAACTATCGCGTAGCATGGGGTCTGGGGATTTTCACAGTCCTGAAATCTACCGCAGCCGCTGTCATTGTAGCATTTACAATTATGAGGGCGCATTTCGGACAAGCGTGCATATTGACATGGGTGCCGCAGGAGCTCATAGTTGGACTATCGTACGTCTCCCGTACTGACCTTCCCTGGCCTAACACTGAAAAAGTACGATTTCAGGGCTGTGGAAATTGCCACTCACTGCTTGATCATTGGCTTGACGGTTGTGAAGTCGCTCAGGTCGGCTGGGGGCCGACCCTGGTGGTCCATTTCCCTTCTGAGGATGGTCATCAGGGACTCTATTTTAATCTTCGCCACCTTGACCAGTACGGGAGACACTTTCTTCTTGCTTACTTATTCCTTGCTGACTATTCGGTCTAGTTCTACATGTCATGTTAATCACAGACATCTCCGGTGATGGAAAATTCATTAGCATGATTCTTCCGTGAGTTGACCCACTCAGTGCCTTGCATGGTCTAGTCCTAACGCATGTGGACCAGGGTTAGTATAGGCGTTTGTTCCATTTCGGTAAGTCCCACTTGTCCATCTAAACCATCGGAGACATCTTGAAGGCCAAGCTGCAGACCTGCCGTATCATCAGAAATATGCGCGATTTCTCTCCTGGGATTACCCTCCACTCGAACACAGATTATTGCACAGAACTCACTGTTGTCACGACCATCCCATAGGACGGCACTGTTCCGGAATACCCTTTAACTGTATCTATCAGACTCTCGCTGTATCCATAGTCATTCTCCCATACCCTACTTACTTCACTCTGTATCCTAAGCTTCAAGTTTCAATGCTCAATATCTCTTTTAGAGTCTCTGGTTTTGGCTTTTGGGTTCGCCGCCCTATTGATTCGGGCTTGGCGTACTGACTAAGCACCGGGTAAGTTGAGAATTAGCGCTCTTCCGATCCTTGCCCTTCAACGACCATGTCCAGCTCCAGAGTCTTTCAGTCTCTGCGCTCTCTGGCCCGGCTCCCGCACAGGCATCATATATCGTCAATACCAAACCGCACCAGACAGCCTCTACAGCAGTTGACGACGACAAGGCCAAACGTAAAGTCGTTCTCGGCTTCTGCTTCATGTCGAGCAGCGGTCGCGACACAGGTGCCTTCTCAGCCGACAGTACTGCAACAAACACCTTCATTACAATATCTAGAAGAAGAGGAGATTGATGTTGAACCCATACCACCAGAGCAAGTGAAGCTCGTTATAACTGATAGGGCAGCTGAGGTATGACGTCCACCCTTTTGGTGATGGCTCCTACTTACAGCAGAGGTCGCATATAGCAACTTAAATCAATAGCGAATCGCGAGAAGGACCCCGAAGCTGCGCTACGGATAGCAGTAGAGTCAGGAGGATGCCACGGGTATCAATACAAGATGGAGCTAGCAAAGAGTCGTGCTCCTGATGATTAGTGAGTTTCTCCGCTTGAGACCTTGCTTCTGACGTGACGTTTCTTGCCAATTAGTCATTTCACGCATCCAACGATCAAGCCAGCAAATATATTTGTGGACGCGGTTTCGTTGACGTTACTGAACGGTTCTACTATCGACTTTGCAACGGAGCTCATTGGAAGCAGCTTTAGAGTCGACGACAATCCTCAAGCTAAAGGCGCGGGATGTGGATGCGGTGTCAGTTGGGAACTCAAGGACTCATGATTAAGATATGTTTTCGGTATGGATTTATGGAAATATAATGTGTACATCTGTTTCAGCCTTTCGCACCTCGCCTGAAGTTTCCGAATGGGACGAGGACAAGACTGTGGTACAGCGCGTCATCTGGTATCATAAACTTGGTCATCAAAGGTTGACCGTCTTTCACAACGAATGTGAACGTGAACAGAGTTTCAGAGTCTTGCGGTTCGCCTTATGGGATCGAACGGCGCGAACATCCATTTGCTAGAACCCAGGTTAGTGGATTGGCGTTCCATATTCGGGAGTAGTCTCTGACCTTTCATTTCCTTGGACCATGGCAGGTACAGCAGCAAGTCCTTCAGGCGCCATAACAGGCCAATACTTGGACGTTGTAATGTCATGATGAGCGATGCAATAGCTGTGAATCCACCATTAGCCTGGTGCTCTGACACCGAATGATTGGACGCTTACGGGATTAGGACAGCAGTATCGCTATTGCTGAGCAACCATTCAATGTTCTCTGGTAGAAGAAATCAGTCCACCTGCTCGGGACGCGCTTCAATATCCCGTCCTTACCGAATACCATGTCGTGCATTTCTTCCTTGTCGAACTTCTTCGACACAATGTCGGGTGTGATGCAATGAACCTTTCCATAACAGAGAACAACAGTGAGTACTTCCTCTTCTAACGCTCCGCCATGCTTCTCACCAATTCAAAGGAACCCTTCATTAAAGGAACCTCCATTTCTTCGAGTCGCTTCCTAAGCAAAGGAGCTTTATACGAAGCCGGCGCCTGTACACATCCGACACACAAGAGTCAGCGACCACGATCTCCCTATGCCCGTTGCTTCGAAGAAGCTGAACGGCGTCAAGAGCCACGAATGTGTACTCACCGACACCCAACCATCGACTTCACCAGTCCAGGCCTTGATCATCTCCAACAACTTCTTCCTCTCTGAGTTCTTTGACCAAGCGGAGCCGAGAAGCTCGTCCAGCGAGGTATTGTTGGCACCACGTTTGGTGAAGAAGGCTTCGTCGCCTTCGACGTGCAGCCGAAGCATCTCGCAGACGATTTGTACGTATGAGAGGAAGTGGGCGATTGATGGGTGGGTGCTGTCTTGGATGGTTGTGGCGAGGGTGTAGATGGTGTTGAGACCGCGAATCAACGCGTTCTGGACTCAGAATTTAGGACGGATGGTGGATGGACGAGGACTGACGACTGACCTTCATGAAGGAGTTTTGGTATCGCAGGGCTTCACGCGCACTATAGGGAGTCAAGGCCCGTCAGAAGGTGACAGCGAGGACAGCCAGTCGTACATACTCAAGCGCGGACAAGTCTTGATCGGTGACAGGGAGAAGAGGGAGAGGGAACATGGCGAAATTAAGAGTAGGGTGTTAGAGGGTATCACAATAGGTTAAGAGTATGAGAGAGGCGTGTTAGTGAACCAGCCATGGACGTCTGTTTTTATAGGGTTTTACGACTGTGGCACCAATATTGTACTTTCAAGCCACTCCTTTGTCTGGATTAAAAGGCCATTTGTTGACAAGCCCTTTTCGCAACGACCTTGTTGGCCACGCCTCCTATAATAGACGTTGTCCAGCGCCTCGTCACGCCTAAAGCACCAAAGGAAATGTCTAAGATTCCTGTCAGCATCACAGTCCTATCAGAACAGAAGAAAAGTTCACCGCCATGATCTTACAGGAAGCACAGCCGGACATATATTACCGCAGCTTACGGAGCGGTGGCGAAACGCGTTGGTGTCCAAGAAAGAATTGGATTAAGCCGTAAAAGGACTTGAGAATATGCGCAATGAGGATAGCCGTTAAGAGAGATATACAATAAATCAACGATAGCAATACGAACTAAAAAGGCACCAAGCTGAGAAAGAAGAAGAGAAAGCGTGTCCGGTCATATGAAGAGAAACAAAAGTGGAGGGGTTCAACCAAACGCGAACAGCAGAAAAACTCGTGACACACGTTAACACTGCATCCATAAACAGTCGCTCTTCAGCAAATGACACAACAATTCCACCCCTTTCCGTCCTCACTGTCGGGTGACGCAACCTTGCCGCTACTTCGTCTTCGATGATGCCTGCCACCATCATCTGTAGGTCCGTGAGCCGGGACACCGTCTCGCATGAGCATGCTTGCTCTTGTGGCCGCTTCAAAGACCTCATCGACGCCTTCAATTTTGAGCGCTGAGCATTCTTTGTAAGCTCGAGCACCAATTGCATTGGCTACTCGTTCGCCTTGTTCGCGGGTGACCCAGGGCAAGGGCTGGTCTGGTGAATCTGGTGGAGGGTGGTCTGGTCGCAGATCCGCCTTGCAACCGACGAGAATCACAGGTATTGTTGGGCCACAGATGCTTCTGACTTCTTCGATCCACTAGTTAAGCAATGGGTAGACGCGCGGAGTCAGCCGGATAAGCCAGTGCAACGTGGACGGATGGGACACTAACCTTGGTGGTGACGTTCTCGAGAGAATCTGGGGTGTCGATGGCGAAAGCAATGAGGATGACGTGGGACTTGGAATAGGACATGGGCCGCAGACGCTGGAGGGTGGACGTGAATGATCGAGGAGGACGGGCGTTTGTGCTTGATGGTTTACCTCGTATTCTTCCTGACCTCTATGATAGGCTTAGAAACGAATCAGGGGATCAGAACGGAAGAGCATACGCAGTATCCCACAGTGCAAGGTGGACAGGCTTATCGTCTAGACGAATTTCGGCGACATAATTGTCGAAGACGGCTGTTACGAGCGTTGGTTCATGAGCGTGCGAGGCATGAAATGAGCAATGAAGCCTACTTGGTTGCTAGAAACACAGATGCGCGTTCGAATCCGCTGTCAGAAAGAAGGATGAAGGCGGAGACGCACGTATTCTTTGGGAAATTCACCCAGAGCAAACGAGCAGAGTAACGAGGTCTTCCCGCAGGCACCTGTAACAGTGTATGAGCTCAGCGATGGCTGTGGTCGAGCAACTGTGAAGCTACTTGCCGTCGCCAACGATGACCAGTTTCCGTTTTATCTGTAGAGGAAATTAGGAATTAGTTGTGGTGGGGTGTTTTGAGAGAGAGGAACGTACGGGGTTCTGCGAGGCCATTGTGAAACGGACAGCAGACCGGTGCCTTTGAGAAGAAGGCCGTCGTGTTAAGTACGAGTTGAAAGATGGAGTTGAAGAAGGGTAACCTAACAATCCTTGCCGCAAGCTGAGAGTACCGTCCTTACACAGCCTCCGGCTTCATTTAGCCATTCCCCCTGATGTCATCGACATCAATCCCACTGGTTCTTCTGAAAATACTTCTCTTCTTTATTCCCTTGCAAACAACCTGCAACAGCTGCAACCTCGACACACACGTACAAAAAATTATCTGCAGGTGAAATGTATTTGAGCCCGCCAAGCTCCCGAAACCCGCCAAGTCTTTGCCAATCTACCCCTGATTGCTTGTTCCCTCCCTGCCTGCCCACTTCTCACCTTCAAGCCGAACAAGTCCTCTTGCGGGCCGTACATAGACAACTCGAAGCAGCTTCTGTCTCATATCACCGGTCCTCCAAAATCCCCGGAACCTGGTTTTGGTGGCAGGTCATCGCACATATAGGATGGAACATTGTATCATAAGGTTCTCGGCCCTTGACAGTTCCCAATACCCCCCTTCTGCTCCACAGAGATTGCTAACACGTCCAAGAGCGAAGATCATCACCCAGAGGAAAGCAGGTCATAATCTCATGTTATTGTTAATCCTCCTTCGAAGTTCGAGATCTCGAGGTCGCCAGAACATGGATCATGACGTGGGAGGGACCCCATCGGGTGCTGAGCGGTGGTCGCTACATCTTCCCCCGCGCACTTCACGACGGAGACATATGGCACTAGAATTGTATAGCCATTCGTAAGTAAAACATCTTAGCATCGCTTTCGCTTCAGTGTCTTCTGGATGAACAGGGGGCTCTGTTCCAACGCTTGATGCTCGGGCGTGTCGCACTCTATCCCGAGTTCCTCTTCCAGCACCGCGGCGTCTTGAGGTGCGAGAGCATCGGCTGCCAGTCCCCACAGGCTATAACTTCGCGTTAGAAGGGTCTACCAATACATAAAGATGGAAAGAACCGACTTTTGAAACACCTTTCGCCGCCGAACCCATTCCGTCTTCCATTTCTCCCAGTCAGTTTGTAATTGCTGCAGTTCCTCTGGCGAAATGGGCTGCGCGCCTTGCCTCAATGGTAATAGTCGTGAATGGATTTGGGCGTTCTATCAATGGGATATGAATCATGCTCGGGTGTACAGTGACCTTAGCTACCTCGGTCTCGAGGTTCTCGATTTGCGCCGACAATTCTTCGTTTGTCAGAGACGACTTGGCCTTTGTCAGTTCTAGAGGATGAAGTTATTGCGCGAAGAGAACGTCAAACAGCCATAGACGCGTACCTGAGCTTAAGCCCTTGACATCCATCGCCAACTGTTTGTTTTCCTCCTCCAGCGTTTTGATTTCAGCTTCCAGGGAAGTCAACTTCTCTGCTGCGACCACCTCGAGCGTAGACTGGTTGACAACGAAGAACGTAGTTTTGCCTAGAAAACAGAAATTCAAACATCCGTTCAACATAGAAAGAGGCACTGGTTAGACCATATGTCTTCTGGACTAATTCGCCCTTCTCGGCTAAAGCGACTAAGAGTTTCTGAACAGTTGCTTTCGGTATAGCACCTTTGAGATTCGCTGCGACGTCGACAGCTCCGAATGGCCTATTCATCTAAAACGGAAGTCATGAGAGAATCTAGGACAAATCTGCGCATATATGCACTTGTTTGAGATAGCCTAGAATCTTGGCTTCCGCTGAGATGGTTGTGAGGATTAACGCGTCTCCTTTTCAAGTTCATTGCCACGTCATCGCAAAGTCACCTTCCTGTCCTTTCAAAGTGGGTACTTTGGCGTCTTTCGCTTTGGAAGCCATTTTGTCAGGAATATGGTGGTGGTTCAATGTGAAGAAGCGCCGGCAGGAAATTGATGACGTCGTCAAAGCATAAACAAACAGCCGGGAGCAACGTGATATTGCCGACTGTCGTCCCAATCCCTTCCCCACAAGATCCGGAATCCAAAAAATCCAATTGGTCTCGCGTTTAGTAACTTTCCTCAGTCTCAACGTTGACGGTGCACGCGCGGTGGGGACTTTGACGCAGTGCTTTTGGATTCCGTGAGTTCTCTACCTTTTGTCACCCACTCGAGACCATTTTCTGACGTTGAGCTCACCGCCGTTATCGCCCGCTAGGATCCACATATGAGTCCTAATGCCGCTGCCAGTGCACCACCAGACAAACAGTCTTTGCACTACATTGTACGGTCCGGGATAGCAGGAGGAATTGCAGGTTGCGTGGTGCGTCAGTCTTTTGTACTTTCTGAAAACATCTGACGACGGTGAACCGGCGATGCATTAGGCTAAATCCGTTGTTGCACCCATAGACCGGGTTAAGATTCTGTTCCAAGCCTCGAACCCTGACTTTCGGAAATATGCTGGTACGCAAAACCCCGCATTCTAGTATTCAAGACAACTGACTTGGTTATCACAGGAAGTTGGGCAGGCGCTCTCCGCGCTGGCAAGGAAATCTACGACCATGGTGGAATAAGGGGTCTCTTCCAAGGGCATTCAGCAACGCTGCTGCGAATTTTCCCGTATGCTGCTATCAAGTTTATGGCCTATGACCAGATTCACTATGTGAGTGCTTGAACGTCACCAGCGACGCGGGTTCTAACCGTTTCTCCAGCTTCTGATGCCCACACGCGAGCACGAGACCAATTTTAGGCGCTTTGCGGCAGGAGCCCTGTCTGGTACAGTTCCTACTGTATTCCGAACCCTTTTAGTCAACTCACTTGGTGATTTTAATCGACCCCAGGTGTAACATCTGTCTTTTTCACGTATCCATTAGAAGTCGTCCGGGTCCGCATGGCTTTCCAGACTAAGAACCCGAACAGCACCACCCGGCCCTCATTTATGACTGCTGCAAAACATCTCTATCATGAAGGAGCGACATCACCGGCTTCAACACCCGCAGGCAGAGTTCTGGAACGATTTCCGATGCTCAAGTTCTACCGCGGGTTTACAGTAACTGTGGTCGGAATGGTTCCCTACGCTGGTGTCTCGTTCCTCAGCTGGGGCTTCCTACGATCTCGTTTCCTACCTCCCTCCAAAACTGGCCATCGACCACCGACACCCATAGCCGACCTCGCCATCGGGGCTGTTTCTGGAGTTGTAGGCCAGACTGCCTCGTATCCCTTCGAAGTTATCCGACGCCACATGCAAGTAGGAGGAGTGACGCGACCAGACCGGTGGATGAAGTGGGGAGAGACTATCCAGTCTATTTGGCAGAGTTCCGGATTTAGAGGGTTTTATGTTGGGTTGACTCTTGGTTATTTGAAGATTGTACCCATGACAGCGGTCAGCTTCGCCGTCTGGCAGGGGTGTAAGAGGTTGTTGAATGTCTAGATGTCTGACCCCCGAGGTGCGCTCATGGGAGGGATTTTTCTCATATTGCAGAGTCATGATAGACGCCATTAATCTAAGTGCTTGTATTCAGATGTATCCATAGGTTCAAATCGAAACACTCTCCATGCGCATCATTCAGGAATGCACCACAGGGGGTCTGCATTTAATCAGGTGCTCTTTGGTTGTGATATGGTGGCTCTTCTTGACTCCTTCGCCATTGGCCACTGTATTCAGGGACCTGCAAGCTGGGGCCACCGGGAGCGCTAAGCCCTAAGCCACAAGGCCTAGGTGATTAATGAGAACCACTCCGAGATGAAAGGTCATACTGGCACATAACCATCCTGGCGCGCTCCAGGACGTGCCAACCCCGCGATCCACGATGAGAAGACATGGCTCTGGCATGGATCGGCTTCTACCTTACCCCTGCTCACCGGCACCTCTGACCGGTCCATCTAAATTCCAATGGAAAATCCGCATCAAGTCTAGGACGCGGCCAACATGAAGCGCTTGCTGCTCATCTTTGTTGTTCACCCGAATCCCGGTGGGATGTTCGCGTATCGATTGTTGATGCGTACCTGGGATTGGTAGATGGAGATATGTCATGTCCCTGGTCGGACTCGCTGATCCTCAATGTTGCAGCTGAAACTATAATCAAGCCAACGCGGCTCTGCTAGCGTTTGGCACCTTGCAGTTGGCCTTAGTCGAACGACGTCCCTCGTTGAGTGCCTAGTTGTACTATAGCTAAAGAGCAGTACATACGTCAGACTGAGTCCTTCGGGTCCCTTGCTCATTTGTAGCCTGATGGACATAACTTTCCTTGATTAATTGGGTTTTAGAAAAATCCACTTGATATGGGGGAAGTTCCATTCCATGATCCCAGGAAAAGCGAACCGCGATTGGCTGGCTCGGAATGCGGGGGTTTATTGAAGGGACCAAAAAGGAAACCAGTGGCCCTGTGGGTCGCACAGTTCTAAGTCCGGTGGTAAACCAGCTTTACCACAAACTCCCAAGGTCCATTCTCAGGACTACAAATGTCCCTCTAGATCTCTCTTCTCCCTGTATTCTCCTCATACGAACCCACCTCAGAGGCCCTTCCCAAGGCGCTCAGCCCATCGACGAACACTGAAACGCCCACAAAGTCGCTCAAGAGATCCACTGATTCTCCTTCATCTTTGTCTGGCTGGTGTTCGCCACTATGCCTGTCCCTCTGTGGACCACCCCGAACAAGGCTGAGGCAAAGTACAACGTCGTAACCGAGTGTGAGTCGTCGTCGAGATATTAGATTGATTCACTTTCTAACCGACGGCACAGTCCCACAGCTTGGTCTTCATGCCGCCGCTGCCTCCGGCAATGTCGGGCTCGTGGAATACGCTCTTGAACATGGCCAACCTATCAATTCAGTTCTCGACGGCGTTCTCCCGATTCACGCTGCGTCGGCTGGCGGCCACCCTCAAGTTGTGAAGAAACTGATTGAGCACGGCGCTGACGTTAACGCTCCACGGTGCGTACCCGGACACCACCATCATCCCTTCTCGGCTAATTACCAGCTCATTTTCTATCGTGCTATGTATACTCACTAGGTTACCAAGACGCTACTTCAACGACAAGAACCGAGACGCATCTGCACCGATCGTTGGAACCTCTTACTCAACTCCTCTCCACTTCGCAGCGGCGAATGGTAACACTGATGTTGTTACTCTTCTCCTACTCCACGGCGCCCATCCAGATCGAGAAGATAAGCACGGTGTCACCCCCGAAGACCTAGCTCGAGCGAACAATTGGATCGAATGTGCACAGATCCTCCGGGACTGGGTAGTCAACAAGGACCGTGACCTACGAGAACGGGAAGTCTTGTCTACCAAAGACGGCAATGGTGCGGCTTCGTCGTCCAGCCAAGCGCTTCAGTTATCCACATCCCCCGAACCCGAGTCTCCTTCCTTCCGGCGTCGACTCCATGTAAAACAGTCCATCGACACTGCCTTGAACAAGTTGAAGACGGGGAGTTTCTCGGAAACCTCGCTGAAACCTGGGCCAGCCGTTTCCATGGGTTCCCCTCCCCATTCGCCTATGAATTCTTTTGGGAACTATTCTTTTGATCCTGATGCGAGAGAAAACCATAGCACGCACGAACCGGCCTCCCGCCGACCCTCCCTTCCCCAGATTCCCCAACCCTCGCCCGTTTTGGACGAAACTGGTCGAAGGAACACGACATCATCTGGCAAGATGCGACGTCCTCGATCTGCCGGAACAGGCGCGGAACCATCAGGAGAACAGGATGCTTGCTACACTCCATATGGAAGAGGAGGCGCTGGGCGTAGACTCGCTAGCAAGATATCATTGTTGGGCATGTTCAAGAAAGCCCAATCCAGTGATACATCTGAAGGGATTTCCTCGGCTAACACGACGCCTGTGAAGGGCTCAGCTTCAACCACAACCCTCCCTCTCACCCCGAACGCCCCCTCGCATGGTCGAGGTAGCCCAGCATCAGCATTTGACTCCTCCGATGTCATCGAACGCGACCATTCGCGCAATCATGCTTCGAGCGATGCTTCCGGGAAAGGGCTCAAAATAACTCCACAGCCTAAAGCTCATCTCCGACCTTCAGCGTCCTTCCTCGACTTAGACTCTTCGGCCCCTCCATCTCCCTTGCCACCATCCCGCCCTCCGTTGCCATCAGCAGTGGACTTACACAATGCGATAGCTAACCATCAGCAGAAAGGACCCCGGGATCGCTCGAGATCCAACGCGACTGCAATCAGCACCTTCTCCGAGTTCGACTCGGATTGCGAAGACGATGGCATTCACCCACCCACGACAAGGAACCAGGGCTCAGTGCGGCGACCTTCAGGCTCTTCCTTGAAGCCGAACCATTTCTATGGAAATGCATCGGAAAGTAAATCCTCCTTAGTTCCCACTCCCGAGGAAGGGCAAAAAGCAACACCACCGTCAAGTATATTAAGAGGCCACCGCCGTACTGCTTCCTCTAGCCAGACTTCCCCATCTCCAGCCCGAGCGTTAAGGTTCGACTCAGTTTCAACGCCCGATCGAATACGAAAAGAAGGCAGTTTAGCGGGAAGTTCCACCAATCAGTCACCTCCGTTGAAGGCGACGGCAAGTTCGCATTCTCTCCGATTAGCGAATAAGGACGACACACAGGGAGGGCTTTCGCCAGACCCAATTGAGCAACCTCAGGCTGAAGATACGGCGCCAGCTTTAAACGATAAGCAAGAGCCTACCCAATCTAACCATCGCCCTCCTGATGTCGATGTGGAAGGAAAGGGTAAAGATGCCCACCAATCTTCCGAGCCACAACCACGACCCAGATCCTTTGGGAGTGCATCGCGTTCCTCACTCTCCCCGGTCTTCACCAACGACAACACCGCCCAGTCGCTTGCCGCATTGCAGAGCGATTTCCCCTTCAGCATCCATCAACCACCGCCCACCGAGAACAAGTCACCCATGAACCGTCAGCTCCAACTACCTGAGGTAGGGCGTGGCAGGGGCGACTCTTTAAGCAGTACATGGACATCAGACAGTAGCGGAATGCCTCAATACAGCACCGGTGGATCGACTATCAACAGTTCCCCAAGTCCAGTCCTCCATACCCCTGGCAATCATACCATCGCCCTACCCACCTCCAAGAAAATCTCAGACGATGAAGAAACCTACAATCACATTATTCGATCGGATTCCGGAGGTTCAGAATCGGTTCGCCAATCCAGCCCACGAAGCAACGGCCAGATCACTCTGAATGAACGACGGGCCCATTCACCCTTGGATATCGACATTGGGGCAATATCATCCCATGAACAGGCGAAGGCTTTGGTTGAGAAAACTAGACAGGATATCTTGGAACTGGCCAGTGGTCAAGACGTCGGCCTGACTGTGTCTAACACTGGATCTACACCACTAAGCGCCAAACTTGCGGCTTACGGCGAAAGTCTTGCTCTGCAACGAAGGCTGGAGGAGCAAGAAAAAATGGGACAAGAATCGACGCCTCCCTCGGCTGACGATATAATCAGTGCACCCGCCCGCTTCGTTGGACATGGAGTCGAGCGCCAACTCAGCCTCGATAAAGCTGGCCGCAATCATAAACCCAGGACCAGAGGGAAGGATCCTCGTCGCCCGTCGACTGCCGATGGCCGTGAGTGACATTTTCAAGCTTTTGGTACTTTAGGCCGGAATCACTGACCTGTGTATTTAGTTTCTAGCAGAGGGCCACACAACTCTTTTTTCCCTGGGGAGCACATTCGCACGCATCAATCTTCTATGTCGGTCTCCCCACCAGGCATTGCTCAAGCTTCCAGCACGTCCTTTGATGGGCGCGAATTCCTTTCTTCTCATCAACGTTTCCCTGCCTCCATAACGCCATCGAAGTCGCTGATGACAGTTCCCGAGCCTTTGCTATCCCCTATCACTCCCCACCCCATTGCTGAATCAGATTACGGCTCTGAAGCTCCTTCAGATTTTGCTGACACGGAAACAGAATCTTCGCCTTTTCCTTCAAGGCATACCGCTTTGGTTTCGGCAACAGGCCTGCCCCGCAACAAGCTTCCAGTCATGGCGAGGAGTCATAACAGTGCGAAGAAGCTGAACCGAATGGGATTCACCGTGGTTGATCAGGTCGCTCGTCCTGTTGCTCAGCCCCACTCCGGAAAGCTACTCGGAGGTTTCAAATCCATCATGCAATCCCTCAAAGGAAAATAACTCACAAGCACCGGTACCTTGCTTTTCTCTGCATTATCGTCCGGTGCCAATCTGCTTCATTCCGCTGTGCCGTGTTTCTTTTCGTGCACATTCTGTTTTATTCATCGGGCTCTTCCGTTTTTTATTCGTTATCTGATCGTCAATGTGCTATCTTATGCTTTGTTATCACCGCCTTCATTTCTCTTCATTCGTTTTGTATCTTTTCTGGTTTTTGTAAACATTGTACTATCTCTCTGCAGTCCCCTCACTTGTATTATTGTAACGAGTTCGTCTGGTGCCCCCATTCCCCAAATTCCCTGTACATACATAACTCTGACCGCCAATGAACAATCGCGCGGACTCATCCATTATGTCGGCACTTAAGCCATGGTTAAATAAGCGCTCGTCATCGTGGGAGCGTGAATGGAAATCACGGTGTCGGATGTGCGAATCGAAAGCCGGAAGATATTGCAGCCGGGTCAATCGCGAACGGTTATGGATTGTCACATCTCAACTCTCCCCTACGACTTCCTCATTCCACGATTCGACCACCAACATGGCTAGGAAGGCTCGAATTCATTTTTTTCCTCTCAAATCGTCGCTGGTGAATCTTCCCATATCGATATATGGGCCTCTGCTGGAGAGGGGTGTCGTGAGTCGTCTACTTTCAGGAACCTGATGTCCACGGCTGAATCGTCTCCAGCGACCCCAAGGACTGGCAGTGCATCTGACGCTTGTCGAACGAGGAGGCCAGAGAACTACCACCAAAGCAGAGGCTTATGTAGGGTGGACAGGCATGGCATCGGCTTCTTCGTTGGCCCAATTCAATTCAGCGCAAGGAGGTCAAGTTGGATTCGAAACCATTGAAATCGACCCTCAATTTGCTCAGGGTCTGGGTTTTATGCAAGGGGACGTCGTGAGTCTACTGCTTCCCCTCGTTGTCTAGTACGACTCTCACGAGATTTTCAGGTCGAGATAGGCCTCTTGCACGACCTGAGCATTGCCCAGATGGTTAACACAGAGCCAGTTACTTCGGATGACTGGGAGATCATCGTAAGTCAACCTTTCATCATTTAGGTGTCTGTATCTGACTCTCGTCTAGGAAATACACGCGTCTCATGTCGAATCTACGCTCCTCTCCCAGGTGCGCGTTGCGAAGATTGGGCAGGAAATCAATGTTTGGGTCTTGGGTAGAACGCGTGTTCGGTTAACTGTGAGTAAGTAAACACGCGCTTGGATGATCTACGCTATCTTAATGATAATGTGCAGCTGGACTCGAACCGCAAAACAAAGGAAACGCGTTGCTGTTGACCACCAATACCGAGGTCAGCATTGCACCAAAGCTTCACAAGTCTCAATCACCAGCAAAGAAGCCAGTGAAACCAGACGGCAAGCCAACTCCTCCGCAAGAGAAACAGTCTGCATCTGAAAGCTCGTCCAAGCAACTCCCTGCAGCTACCGCGGTCTTGCGAGTGTTGCCTTCGAACCTCTGTCCTGGACTGGACTTCTCGGAAACGAAGGATTCAGAAATCATGGCCTACGTGTCTCGAAAATCATTTCCGCAAGAAGCCTGGCCGTCGAAAGGCAGGGATGCAGAAGGGACGCTTTATGGAGTTCAAATGAAGCGACTGACTCCCCCTGTCGACCCCTCGTCTTCAAAGCAGCTTGAGCCCGAAACTCAGCCCAAAAGCATATCTATCGGAGCGGGAGCAAAGACGGATACTAATGAAGACAAATTCACCACGCCTTCTAATCAGATATTCATTGGACACGACGACGATCTCCCAATCAGCCATATAGTCTTTTCCGTTCTACCCGAAGGAGTGGAGGAATGGGATCTCGTCAGGTCTGTATCGCAAAGAATCGTGTCTTCCTTTCCTTCTGAACTTTTCTCGAAGGATTTCCATTGGAAAGGATGCGAAGACCCTCGTCATAAACCAGGACAGCGGGGCATCTACCTTGAGCTCGCCCATATTGTACGTGGTTGGACATTGTCCTTCCTATGCTGTTCTCATAATACCGCCTTCCAGACCCGTCGAACCTCCGACCTTCCTCGCCGGGGTAGATGACATCCTAGAACATTGTGTCCAATATTGCTCGCGAGAGTATCTAAACCAATCGAGCTCAGGGACGGTTAACGGGGGTGAGAGAAAATATATTTGTCTTTCATTGCATTAACTCAATGTATTCTCCAGTCCCCGGTCTCCTCGTCACTGGCCTTCCGGGTTCTGGGAAGTCGTCGATTGTTCGAAGTGTCGCTCGGTCTCTTCAGCAAAATCGAGAGACTTTGGCCTGTGAGCCTTTTATTCCAGGTCCTTCGAAAGCTCCACTCACTCTCCCGAAACAGTCACCTACTACGTCGACGTTTCCCGCTATGCAGAATCGCCCATTGCTAATGTCAAAGCTCTGTTTACTTATTGGTTTGACCGCGTATCATGGCATCGACCTGGCGTCTTGGTCCTTGACAACCTCGATAAATTACTGGGTGCTGAAGTCGAGGTAATATCTCTTCCCGGTACCATGCTTTCGGGAGAACTGACGTATTCTTGCAGCACGCGGATTCATTCCGCTCTCGACTCCTTACCGAGGTCTTCCTCCGCACATTTTCGTCTGGAAGTCGCCTTGCACCACTTAATGCAAAGGGAATTGTAGTCATCGCCACTGCCAGCTCTGTTGCAGGTCTGCATCCCCGTTTGAACTCGTCGCACATTTTCAAAGAAGTTGTAAACGTCAAACCTCCAAATCGGGATGCCCGCCGAGATGTATGGCCCTTAGGTTCTATACCCTCGCATAGATTTTGACCTCTGTGACAGATTATTTCAAGGATTGTTAATGATCGCCTGGAAGCAACGCAGGATATCACTGCCAACCCCAACTTGAACTTCACAGCTCTTGCCACACAAACTGAAGGCTACTCTGCGTCTGACCTTCAAGATCTAGTTGCACGAGCAATTCATCAAGTTGCAATGAGAATCAGTTCAGATCCTTCAGCACATGTGGGTTGCCTCGTCCGTCTCGTTGGAGCGTTCTGACACCATTGCAGGGCGAGTTATCATATGAAGATTTCACCAAAGCGCAAGCCGAGTTCGTCCCCCTAACCTTGAGGGATGTCAAGTTGGAGAAGTCGAGTACCTCCTGGAGCGATATTGGAGGTAAGGTCCAGCGTCGCGAACTTGGTGTATTCTGACCCTCTCCTAAGGTTTGTTCGAAACCAAACGCGTGCTTCGGGAAACCTTGGAATGGCCCACCAAATACGGACCTATCTTTTCTCAGTCCCCGTTACGATTGCGCTCAGGGTATGCTATTGTCACTTGGAGGCTTCGCTGCGCTGACTTGAAAATCTAGCCTGCTTCTTTACGGCTACCCTGGTTGTGGCAAGACGTTGCTGGCGTCCGCCGTTGCGAAGGAATGTGGTCTCAACTTCATCAGCGTCAAAGGACCGGAAATCCTCAACAAGTATATCGGTGCCAGTGAAAAATCCGTACGTCTTCCTGACTTTCATGGGCGCAGGCTTCTCTCAGGCTCGATATAGGTCCGCGATCTCTTCGAGCGTGCAAGCGCTGCAAAACCTTGTGTGCTATTCTTCGACGAGTTTGACTCTATTGCTCCCAAGCGAGGACACGATAGCACTGGCGTCACTGACCGAGTGGTCAATCAGTTGCTCACTCAAATGGATGGTGCCGAAGGACTAGATGGTGTTTATGTACTCGCAGCCACAAGGTCAGCGCCGCGGTAGTACCATTGTTGCAGCGTTAACCCCTTCGCTTTTCAGCCGACCCGATCTCATTGATTCAGCTCTGCTTCGTCCTGGTCGTCTGGACAAGTCCGTTCTCTGTGACATGCCAGACTTGGATGATCGAAAAGACGTAAGAACTCCCGCGCCCTTGATCGACAATATGCTCAACAGCCTCGCAGATCCTACGTGCGGTAGCGAAAAAACTGACCTTTTCCGCGTCTATCAACCTCGACCGTATTGCCGAAATGACTGAAGGTTACTCAGGCGCAGACCTTCAGGCACTCCTGTACAACGCACATCTGGATGCAATCCATGCGAGCCTGGATACCTCGCCGATATCGCAAACATCATCCCAAGAGACGGAGATTCCAATCAAGTATCAGGTCATTGGTGGTTCCGGAGACAAGGCTACCATGAGTCGCGCAGAGACTTCGGCGTTCGAGAGAAGGGTATGACGGTTTCATTGAAATTACCAGAGAACGAGGATTGACAACATCTCATAGCTCAAGCAAATCCAATCTAGTAGAGCCTGCAGGTCAAAGACTGCCGGTAAGAAAGAAGAGACAACGAGGCCTACATTTGAGAAGAAGGTAAGGGGATTCGCATGCATTCTCGTTTGGATGCTGACATTGTAATAGACTGAAGTTCAGGAGGAAGATATCCTGAAGGCGATGAAGACTATGCGTCCGTCTGTCTCTGTCGAGGAACGTCGGCGTCTGGGACGAATGTGAGCGTTCACTTGTCTACCGTCTTTGGGATTCGCGTTCTGATTGTACTTCCAGTTACCGTGCATTTGTTTCCGACAGAAGCGGAGAGATGCCAGTCCCTCCTGAAGGTGGTGGAATAGGGAGCAGAGCCACTCTCGGTTAAAGCGTAGTTCGTGCTATGCCCGGGGTTTAGGAGGGAACAGGCAGGGTATATTGAGTGGCCCTCACTAGTGCCGCTGTACACTACAACTTCCATACATACAAGTTTGCTAACTGCTCTGCAATGTTGACGATTGCGAACAACCATTCTGCCTAGAAATCATTGAGTGATCTCTCTGGGTGTTTGCGACCAAGAAGCCAAAGCTTTCTTTGCTTCGGACTCCAATACATAGAAAGCCTTGTGGACGTGTTCGTCCGTGGTTCTTGCAGAACCAACGACGAATCTGACGCAGTTCATGCCGTTGAGACTGGTCTGAGTGACGAAGAGGTCCTTTCGAGCAGAAACGATGCTGAAGAAGGATGCGTTCAGGGAGTTCAGGCTTTCCAATGACGGTTTTGTGGTGCTCTTCTGGTTGGGAACGACGCGGAACACGGTCAAGGAGAGTGCAGGCTCGGTGACGATCTCGAAGGCCTCCGACTTAGCGACCAACTTGGTGAAAACCTTGTTCTTCTCGATGCACTGGTTCAAGGTGAGTGAACTAGAGAATACTTGGTCACAAGGCGGAAGGTTGACATACATCGCGGATATACTTCTGGAAGCCGGAAACACCATAACTTCGGAGAACGAACCAGACCTTGAGGGAACGGAAGCGTCTCCCCAGGCTCAGTTGCCAGTTGCGGTAGTCGATAACAGTCCCTTGAATGAAATCGTCAAACGCGTCGGCGACGAGTAAGGCGAGAATACCTACCTGCGTCAGCCTCCTTTGTCCTCAGGTATAAAGGCGTGACGTCCAAAGCATCGGTCAGGAGCTTCCTGTCCCTGATCCAAAGTCCCGAGCAATCAAAATTCACCAGGCCCCACTATTGGAAGAGTTAATTCAAGGTCATAATGGACGTGAAGAGAGAATGCTTTACTTTGTGGAAGTTGGTGCAATAAGAGGTAGCGTATTGGTTAATTTCGTTGAGACCTAGCGACTCTCTGTACTCGGGGCAGGACATGGCAACACCAGCCCAGGCGGCGTCAATGTGGAGCCAGACATCGGGGAAGTCCTGGACTGAAACCACCGTGAGCCAAGTATGGAAAGTAATTTTTGGTTTGGAGCGGGACTTACGGATGGGACCGATCTCCTTGAGGTTATCGATGGCACCGGAAGACGTGGTTCCGACAGTGGCGACTAAATCCAGTTGGTTGAAGAGAGCGAACAGTTCGGATTGAATACCAACACGCACTGAAGATGAAGGGCTTGAGACCAGCGGCAATGTCTTCCTTCAGGGCTGTTCTCAGGCTATCTCCTCGGAGACCAAACTCGTCCGTGCTGTCCACCTCCAAGGACTTGACCTGCAACCCCAAGATCAAACCAGCCTTTTTTCCAAGTGCATGAGTCTGTGTGGTGGTGTAGATGACCAATTCCTCCATCTTGACGTCGGGGTGTGTTCTCTGGTAACGAGAGCGCGCTGCAACTACGGCTACAAGACAGGAATCGGAAGCCGTAGTCTGTGGACATTGTTCATTCGAAAATGAAGCATAAACGGAACGCTCATGCTCACCTGGATCACTCCACCACCGACCTCAGACGAGTTGTAGAAATCCGGGGACAGACCGAACAATTTCGCGGCCCAGTCCATCACGATGACCTCGAGTTCGGTGCATGCAGGGCTGGCAGACCACTGTGATGACAATCAGACCCATCATCCACGGTCAGGACTTGAGAGAACACTTGCATTGAATCCAGGATTGGCCACACTGCTAGCGTACAGGTCGCCGAGGATACTCTCATAGGTGCAAGCGGTCGGGAAGTAAGCAAAGAAGGAAGGATGTTGCCAAGGTGTCAGACCTGGCGCAATATAAATACACATAAGCTTCAAATTGGGTCCGGATAGAAGGATAGGCAAGTAGTACCTGGTAAGATGAGATCCCTGAAGTCGTCAGCAATCTTGCCGAAGTCTTCCCCCTCTTCGGGTGCATGCCCTGAATCGAAGTGGGTTATGGGGAGTTAACGCCATTTGAAACAAAGGGGCGTACGGGGGACGAGTTTGCTCAAGTAGCCAGGTTCAACTGAAGGAACGACCGGCTTAGATTCGAGAGAATAGAAGTAATCGCAGATACGATCAATAGCCTGATAACCGGCCTTTCTGAATCTAAAGGTGAAAGATTAGATGACAACAAAGTTCGAGGTCGAAGGTATAGTACGAACTGCTCGATGTCCATGGTGGCTCGTAGTGGGGATGCGGGGTCAAGTCGCGTTATGGTTTTGTCACCGTTTTCGGTGGGCTTTTATCCGAGGGCGGATGTTGACAGTCGTTATCCGTGTCTAAGCCGTGAATTCGTGGGTATCGCAGGCTTTTATAAGCACACTCCCATAAGGATCTACACTTTCCACCTTTGGCGTTTGTTGCACATGAATCAACGTGGATTTTCAGAGGTGTGACAAAGCAACATGCGACGAATCTTGCTGGGAACTTAGGGGTGCGGGTGGGTTTCCACCACCCACAAGACGCAAGTGTCTTCAGTTTGAAAAGGTATGTGGCCCTGTGAGATAGTTCATCATACGATTAATCGATGTCGCTGAGACCATACATGTCACTGGCATTAAGCAAAGCAACTCGATTGACTTTCAAAGTAGCGGGAACTTGAAGGACTCGCGATTGACAATTGAAGGAGACCAATGTTTTGCCTGCTGGAACCAGAGTAGCGATGTCCATGACCAGGGGTCATCTACGTACTCGTGGGACGAGCATCTAGAGACGTACGTTGGCACCCAAACCGCCAAAAAGCAAGCCTGGATGCCTGGTGCATACTTCCTTGGGCCATGACCGAGATCATGGACGACGCCTTATCCGACTCGGTGGCAATAGTGACTTTCTCACGACGCACGAAAATCACGCTATAGTTCCTCCGTTGTCCAGCGCACCATCGTCACGATACGCGACTCGAGCACAGGCGGTCATTCGCGTCGACATATATAAGATGGAAAGTCTCATTCAAGTGCAAGACGTCGTGCAGCGGTTCAGTAAGTGATTTTGGAAATACTACTCTGATCGTATTTTCTAACCATACGCCCAGTTCGCGAGCAGCCTTGCTGGACCACGTTCCTTCTTGCTCTGGGATCGTTCAATGCCCTTCGAATCATTTACCAGACACTGTCTGTGGTGCTTCAGACGTTCGTTCTTCCCGGAACTAGTGTGAGCATTTAATCAACACTATTTTGCGGAAGGCGCTAACCCAATCGCGCTCAGTTGAAAAGATTCGGGGCCAAGAAGGGAGCATGGGCTGTTGTCACAGGAGCAACGGATGGAATTGGCAAGGAATTCGCGATGCAACTCGGCAAGGCAGGATTTAATGTCCTTTTGGTCGCAAGAAATCCTGCCACCCTCGCTGCGACCGCTGGTGAAATCGGTAAGACTCCTTGCACATTGCCCTATCGCCTTTACTGACTCCAAGTTTCCAGAACAAAAATACAAGGTCCAAACGGGAACTTTCTCCATCGACTTTGCTGCTGCTACCGAGGAGAAGTACACGGCTCTCGGAGAAGTCCTCACTGGATTGGATGTCGGCGTTTTGGTCAATAACGTTGGCAAGTCCCACAATATGCCGGCTTACCTCGTTGACACACCTCGGGACGAAATGAGGGACATTGTCGAGATCAACGTCAACGCAACCCTCCGAGTGACCTATGCTATACTCCCAGGAATGGTCAAGAAGTGAGTGGGCGCTCATTACTCTCGTAAAGAACACCGTCTTATAATCCTGCAGCAAGCGTGGTTTGATCCTCAATATCGGTTCTTTCGCTGGTGCCATCCCGTCGCCTATGTTGGCCACCTATTCTGGAACCAAGGCGTTCCTGTCCACCTTCTCCAGCGCACTCGGAGAGGAAGTCAAGAAAGACGGCATCATCGTCGAAAATGTCAACACGTACTTTGTGGTGAGTGTCATGAAACTGAGTAAATGAAAGCATGATTGATTGCTGTCCAGGTTTCCAAGCTCTCTAAAATCCGCAAGTCGTCCTTGCTTATCCCTACGCCCGCACCATATGTCCGCTCCGTCTTGTCAAAGGTCGGCCTTGCCTGCGGTGCTGCGTTCAGTGGTCGTCCGAACACTTCGACTCCCTACTGGTCGCATGCTTTGTTGGACTACGCCATGACGCTGGTCGGGATTCCCAGCCTGTTCATCCGTTACACACACAACTTGCATATTGATATCCGTAGGCGTGCGCTTCGCAAGTTGGAGCGGGAAGCCAAGGCACAGTAGATTAGAGTCTCGTCGGAGGCTTTATAGCATTTAAATAGAGTTTTGATGTGTTTGTCACTGAGGGAATGCCATGCTGCCAACATGCGCCTGTTCGGGCAACCACGACCACAACCACTTAAATGACTTCTGCCTCGCATTAGTCTTCATTCCACTCCTTCACAATGTCCATGAAACGAGGAAACTCCAGGGCTCCGTCGCCAACGCCCACGTCGTTCTCTGGCATCTCCAACTACCGCAACACAGACTCGTATCGAGCTGGCCGTGACAAGAATGCCCCTGGTGTTCCCCCAATCGACTACCGCCAGATCTCCAAGACACATTTTGAGGAACTTTCCAAATACTTAGCAGCGTACCTAACCCGAAGTATGTTCCAGAACACTTGCTTATTCTCATGCAGTTCATTAATGTGATTGTGATTGCAGCCCAACCAAACTCGCGGTCATCCGCAAGGCAGAAGCTTACCCGCTTGACCATTCAACAATTCCACGAACTATCGACGGATGTCTATGATGAGTTGATGAGGAGAAAGACCGAACAGCAAGGCGCGTAATGTTCCAATACTCCTCGTGTTTCAGGGCCTGATTCTTGTATTTCGTGCTTCTAGTCCCTTTCCTCCCTGTGCGCGAAGACTTCCATCCCAAACGCAACCAGGCACGCCAGAAGCTTGCCACTCTTCCTACCTCGAGGTTCGAGGACCTCTCCAGCGATGTTTACTTCGAACTTGCACGCCGATACCCCGAATTCAAAGAAGATGTGCGTCGTCATCCATCATGTATTCGATGCAGGTTGCTAACAGATTCTACAGCCCTCTGGAAGGGACAGCAATTATGACGACTACCCTGCACCTGACTTTCCAACTAATTCTAATGGTCCGTCTCGCACTGGCCCGCCATCCAGAACCTCGACCGATCGACCATCGGACAGCGGTTACAGCTCTGGACGAAGATCGGAGGATCGACGCCGACCGAGTGAAGACTATCGTCGTGGTGATGACAACCCGTACTCAAGCCGTGGAATGGACGGTAGCTATTCTCGCCGGAAGCCTTCACAAGACATTTCTCGCAAGTCAGAAGATCGCGAACGAGAACCATTTGGAAGACGGCCAAGTGCGTCTGCAAGCAACGCCAGCGATGGCACTGCAACGGCTCCGCCACAGAGCACAACTGCAACCAGTGCAATGATTATTCCCATCAAGAGTACGATGGAAGAAGAGTATATCGAAGTTCCCTACGGAAGGGAAACACGAGAAAGTAGTGGGACGCTTGACACACCTGGGCCAGAGGCACGGGATGCTCTTCTCGCTGAAGACAGTGCTAGTGATTACCCCATGAGTCCTAGAAGTCCACCGGGTGGACTGAGCGGGCTCAGTGCTCGGTTGAAGATGGACGACGAAGAGGATGATGGCCCCGCAGCAGGAAACAAGAGCGGAGACGATTACTTCGATAAGTACGGACGTTCGTCCGTCAATTCAGACAGATCTGCAAGTGGTCGGGGATTCGGAGGTCGCGCCAGTGTTGGAGGTGATGCAGATAAAATACGGAGGGACTACGAATACAAGATCGCAACCATGCAAACCCAAATCACGAACCTCCAGAGAGAGGTCGATGACGCGAAGAACAGGGAATTGCAATGGGCGGACGCACAGTCTCGTGTCGACCAGCTGGAGAATGAGTTGGACAGTGTTCGACGGGTGAGTCATTAAGTACTTTCCCTGTTGCGGGACCGTCTGCTCATATTTGTACAGAAATCCGAAGAACAATCTGCGACTATCCTTAACCTTCAGCAGGAACTTGAAGACCTGCGCGAAACACGACAACGAGAGAAGGAAAGAGAGGCACGACGGATTCAAGACGACGAGGAAGAGCTTCAAATTCTGCGGGATCGTTGTGAACGCCTCGAATCTGAGCGCGGTCAAGGTATCAGTGAGGTGAGTTGGTCAATCCATAGTGCGTTATCATACTAAACGGCCGGCTCCAGGGAGATAAGGACCTTGTCGAGCAGCTGCGAAACGATATGGAAGGCCTCCTTGTGGAGCTGGACAACCTCAACCGGCGCAATGACGAGTTGATGACTGCAAAGGACTCTGATCTAGCTGTCATTCGCGATCTCGACGCCCAGTTGAAAGAGTACAAGCGCAAGTACGAGCAAGCCAAGACGGAATTGCGCAGTGTCAAAGGTAAGCTGGGCACAATATCACATTTCGGGACACGGGCTAAAACAGTCTCAGCTACGTCACAACTGTTCCTTCCAACCCCCAAGTTCGAGAAATCGGAAGACCAACTGCCTGTCGCTCCAGACGGCGGTGTACTGGATATCCACATCACTGCGTTTATGACCGCTATCGACGCGCTGCTTACCGCTGGCCGTTCGAATGCCCCTACCCGCGTGCTCACTCCTATGAAGACGGTGGTCAACGCGGTCACCAACATCGTAGAAGATGTCCGGTCATTCGAACGGAAGCCCAATCGTGACCCCGAAGTGGATGTGGATGCCTTGCGCGCCCTCCGTGATAGAGCCGAAGCGACCCTGAGCAATCTTGTGGCTGCGACCAAAACCCACGCGACAAGCCACGGCATGTCCCCAGTCAGTCTTTTGGACGCTGCAGCCAGTCACGTCTCGACGACGATAACTGAAATTGCGAGAACCGTCTGCATCCGAAAAGCAAGCAAGCAAGAACAAGAGCAGTTCTCGTATAGCTCTCCGCCACCAACGGCGACGAATGGTTACGCACCCAACCTGCGGTCTGTCGACGAAAGTCAGTTTACCCCAAGTCACCAACGAAAGGCTAGTCAAGCATCGTCCATCTCGTCAACCAGAAACCGTTTCCTAGAGTCTCCGCCATCACCTCCTACTAGATCGTAAGTTTATTATCACGCTAGACAGGCGAGCATCACTTGACTCTTCTTGGTAGACAACCTGGACCGAGCGCAGGTGCCCAGAACGAACACACCGCGCCTGTTGAAGGAGAAGATGCCTGGGCGGAACTCAAGGTAAGAACCGACGTGCAATCGAAGTAATCCAACATTTACTTATACTTTGCCTAGCCATACCTCGAAGCTCAGACCGAATCCATTGTCTACGCCATTCAGAGCGTTCTTTCTGCTGTCCGGAGCCCAGCACCACCGCCGACGTTGAACGAAAACCTGACGCAGATCATAACGATCGTGTCAAGCATCGTTGCAGTGTGCAACGATAATATTCCTTCTGCCTCTGTGCAGCAAGGGAATGATTACCTACGGGAGCTGGTTGAACATGCGAACAAGCTCAGCGAAGTTCAAGCATTGCCTGATATCACGAAGGAGTCACGACAGGTTATGGCTAAATCGTCGTTCGCTATTGCGAACGCAATGAAGGGTCTCATGAAGTTGTGATTATGGATTCTTTGGACTCGTTACATACACTGCAAATACCACTGCAGGCCAGTTGTGTCTCGATTGTTCACCAGATTGGGCTTTTTTTATTTCTTCATGTATGTCTTTATGCTTCACCCTTTAGCTTTATACCTATCCGCATGTGTCACTTAGTTGGAAACGTAGTCAACGATCCGTAATATGTATTGTTTCTCACTCTCACCTCTCGGATGACGCAGGATAGTTCCAAAGGTTGGGAGGCGCGTACGCGTCGACGCGTCTTTCGCAAATTGTCCGATTCGGAAGAAGTCACATGAAGCGATTGCGCAATAGCACGCAATTGATGGCTGGGTGCGATACATATACCGCGTCGAGAGCAATATTCCAAAGCCTTTCGTCCCCTTCACTCACCTGTTTTCACCGCTGCTTTATCCCTCTCGATGTCCTGGAACGCCCCACGACTTGATCAGCATTCGAACTGTGTCTTCAGCTGCGCCAGTTCCCAGCCGAACTTCGCCAAAATATCGATCCATCTATTCACCAAGGACGTGTCGATATATATTATCTTTCAAGACTAATTGGACTTGGCCCTCTTTGTTCAACGCGACGTACTTCAAGTGCACCTCTCGAACGTCAACGATGGTCGGCGACGACCCCCTATCGATCGCGTAATCAGGCTTTGTCACGGTTGCAGCGTCCCCACACTCTCGGAACGTCGGGCCTCCTGTCGGTGCAAACCCTTCCATTCGAGCGTCATGTCTCATGGGTTCCAGCCTCGTGCTTCGTCCTAGCGGATCTTCTGGCCTATCACGTCGTGCCCCGTGTCCATTCGTCCTCTCCAAGCGGTCCCTGTTCGTCATGGAAGTCGTTTTACCTCCCGGCTATCTCGAAATTCGCAATCTCAGGCGCTTTGGGCCCCCTTCTTTGGTGTTTTGGGTTACATTCCAACGGCCTTGGCTTGCACAATCACTGCATTCTGCTTCGGAGAACTCTTCCCCGTATCAAATTACTTGTCCGTGGACCAATCGCGCTTCATTCACATTTCCTTTTTGGCCTTTATCGTTGGCGGACATCATTCGTCCAATTACAGGGTATTCGGGGTCTGGATCGTCGTATCGGAATCGTGGTTGTCGTGGCATGATACGCGGGATAACTCTTCTATGGTAGTGTGTGTAAATAAATCGATTTTAGACGGGTATATAACCTCTGTTCCTCGCCTCTCGCCTCCTCAGCTCGAACTTGCAAGCTTTATTCCAGTCGCGAACATGACGTCTTACTCCTCTACTTCCTCCAGTTCTCTGAGTTCTCTCAGTCCTCCGACCTCGAGGGCGACCACTCCTGCCTCTGAGATATCCGATATCCAGACGGTGAAGCAGGTCGTGCTCGTCCCCAGCCACGAACTCTGTCCTGAAGGGTTGCGACAGCTTTTTTCTTACTACGGTGGCTCCGTCGGTCTCGTCGTGGACCGTGAATCCCCTTCTCAGGGGGATGACCACTGGGAACGACGGGAAGCCGACAATGGCGTGCCGCTACACTTCAAAGCTCGCCATGGGTTTGAAGAGTTGAGCAGGATGGTGAGCTCTAAGACACTATTCATTTTGCCAATGTCTGATTATGTCGACAGAGCCTGCTCTATATTTCCACCTCCAAGGAACATGCCCGCCAACTCAACATCATCAATACCGCCAACCTGCGTAGCGTCGTGTCAACACCGCTCAGCCCTACCCGCATGCTACATATCCTCGAACGACCATCCTTCGTCTTCCCCCCTGTGTCATCAGTCAAGTCCTTCTCCCCTCAAGGAACGGAATGCCGCGGCAACATCCCCACTTTGGACGAATGGCGGTCGCTGTGGAAAGCATGGGATACTATCACCCTTCAGATGATTCCAGAAAGCATGTTGCACCAGAAACCCATCGACCTGAGGCACAAATGTTTATTCTACATTGGCCATATTCCAACGTGAGTATTTTCCGCCGTCCACTCGGACAATTGATAACCTTTCCACTCAGTTTCTTGGATATGCTCCTCTCAAAGTCTATTGGAGGCAAGGCCACAGAACCTGCCTATTTCTGGAACATTTTCGAGGTGGGTGATGATCCTAGAAAAACCACTGGACTTGATGAACCTGACGGATCTTGAACAGAGAGGCATTGATCCCCATGTCGATGACCCCGATTATTGTCATGTAAGTGGAACTCATTCACGCCTTTCCACCCGATTAACGCGGTGCCACTAGAACCACTCAGAGGTCCCTGAACGCGATGAAGATTGGCCTACACTCGACACTATTATCAGCTTCAGAGATGGTGTACGCCGGAGGTTAATGGGTCTCTACGAAGATCTGGCGAGCGGGAAGCGGAGACTCAACCGCAACATTGCTCGGACTCTTGTGATGACACTAGAGCACGAAGGCTTCCACGTCGAGGTACTTTGGTATTCAATCAACATTACATACCTCGTGCTAACTTGATGACCGCAGACCTTGCTATACATGCTCATTCAGCGCGCCGGGTCAGGAACGTTGCCTCCTCCCGGATTCCAACAGCCCGAGTGGTCTTCATTAGTCGAGCAATGGGGTCAGATCCCTGCACCTTCCACTTCCGCGGTTGTTGTCGGGCCTGCTCAACTCACCATGGGACACAACGACTCGGAAGCAGACGACAAGCTACCACACAAAGCATCGGATATTGTTGATCATACTTTCGGGTGGGATAACGAGAGTCCCGCTCGGGTGGTCCGAGTCGACGCCTTCAAAGCCGAATGGAGACCTATCACCAACGCAGAATACGAGGCCTTCTGCAAGCGGACTAGTCGCGAAGAGCTGCCGAAGAGCTGGGTGAAGGAAGATGGAGAGAACAAGGTGCGTTTTCGGTCATCGAATCGCTTGCATTACCACAGTCCTGACCAAACTATTAGGTTCGAACCTTCTATGGCCCTGTGTCAATGGCGATCGCTGGGGATTGGCCACTTCTCGCTTCGTACGACGAGTTACTGGATTATGCCCGTTCCAAGGGTGGGCGCTTACCAACAGAACCCGAGCTACGGTTGTTCTTGGATACCTACGATATCGGTCATGAAGGTGGTGCCAATATCGGCTTCAGGAACTGGCATCCAGTACCGTGAGTCCTCCAACTGTGTGACCTTTGTTGGTCCCGGCTCGAACTTACCGCCGTCCTTTTCAGAGCAACCACTGGTATTTCCGAGTTTGATGGCAAAGGTTCCAATGGTGGTGTCTGGGAATGGACTTCAACGCTCTTTGATACGCATGAAGGTCTGGTCCCGACAAACATCTTCCCTGGGTACTCCGCAGATTTCTTTGATACCAAGCATCATGTTGTGGTGAGTACTCTCTTGGCTTTGTCTTCAGACTGTATGTGCTCACTCACATTCTTCAGCTGGGAGCTTCATACGCGACCATTCCGCGACTCGCTGAGCGTAAGACTGTCAGAAATTTCTATCAGCACAACTACCCGTATCCCTGGGCTGGCGCTCGTGTTGTTTATGACTTGTGATCACACTATCTCGGTTTTCGTTGTCCTTTTCTTGCCATGTATTCTTGACCACTGTAATACTAGACATGCAATCAATGAGGAAGCTGTTCACAATAGCAAGCGGGCCTATAGAATTTCGGCATTGAAGCACCTCCGTCTGACTCTGGTCCCGACTATCACTACAAACAGGAAGTTGAGTTTCTCCACATGGGACCGGCTCAGAGTTCACCGAGCCGGAAATGCGTTACGAGAAAGTCGGTCTTCAAATGAGTTCGGTATGGTGGCCTCAGTGTTTCCCTCCACACTCATCTCATGTCGTCCTTGCTATTGACCAACGAAACCCTCTGTTCCCCACGCCCATCGGCGGTGAAAGACAGCGGCGACACTCGCACACCGGTTGTCATCAGGACTACTCTGAATGTGGATGATATCGCAGACAACCACATCGTCATTAGGGTCGACCGCTTTGGCTTCTCCGCGAACAATGTCACCTACCAGGCTCTAGGTGAGCATCCACACTTCAGGTGAGCCACCTATTATGATGTCTTTTTCTCTGTCTGACCGTCAAGACATTGACTACGCACAGATACTTTGATTTCCACCCGGCGCCTACGCCTGAGCTTGAAAAGACCCATGGCTTGATTCCGGTCTGGGGCTTTGGCACGGTTGTGGTGTCTAAACACCCGAAAATCCCCGTTGGAGAGCGGGTCTATGGGTACTTTGCTCCTTCCAAATACCTCGTTGTTCCAGTATCACCGTCGGACGTGAACAAATACGCGTTCTACGTCCCGAGACCACGCCTTCCCGAAGGTGAGATTCACCACTACTCACCGCCTTTATCCCTAGACTCATCACAGAGGACATTAAGACCGGCGACCCTACAACCAGATCCAACGCTGCGGTTCTGATCCAATGTACGCCCCGGGTTTGGAGGCAGAGAACCTCACCATGCTCTACCGGCCCCTCTTCTGGACATCCTACTGGTGCGAAGATTGGCTGCACTCAACCGGTTGTTACCAACCCTCCGCCCAATTCAATCTCTCCATCCTCATCTCCTCCGCTTCCTCGAAGACAGCCTTCTGCCTCGCCTACCTCATCCGAAAGCGCATTAAATCTGGTGAACTCAAGAATGTCAAAATCATCGGACTAACGTCCAAACGGAACGTCACATTCACTCAGAAACTTGGCCTTTACGACGAAGTGTACGAGTACAACACCTTCCGCCAGGGCAAGGCCTTTCAAGGCGAAAAAGAGAGACAGTGGATTTACGTGGACGTTGCCGGAAATGACAAGCTTAACGACCAGGTGCGAGAACACTTCAGCTCGCCAAGTGTAGGAAGGATCATCAAGAACGTTGCACTGGGTGTGACCAATCTGCAACCAACGACATCTGCCAACGACGACATGAAGTGGGCACACAACGCGTTCGACCCCACTGCCCCGGCCCTCGCTGCTCCACACATCCGCTGGCCCAACGTCGAGCATTTCTTCATGCCCGAGTGGCTTAATGTCCGAAAGCATCAGCTGTCAATTCAGGAGATTTTCCAGCGACAAATCCAAGCGTGGAGCGAGCTGATGAGGGATTGTACGCATTGGGTGGAACTTCAGCCTGTCTATGGGGCAAATGAGGTTAGGGATGCGTATATTCGTCTTGCGAAGGAGGGACTGGGACCCGACAAGGGACTCATTTGGAGCCTCTGGGAACAGGAGTCGTCGGACAGCATTAATGCGAAGCTATGATAGTACGGTGGGAGCTCGGGGTAGTCAATGCGATGGGTATCCAGATCTAGAAAGAATGGATATAACGGCACGTGCAGTGTGACCAGGTTATGAAGTATCAAGCAAAAATCTCCACAGTCCGAATAGAATATTGACCAGGAAGCCAATAACCAGTCCCATTTGGGTACGTCGCCTAGAGTCATCGCCGTGAGTTGGCTACCCATAGAAAACGACATGGACGCACGTGAAGATAACATTGGATGGTGTTTCCGCCGGTGTTCCATCCTCCCAGAACACCGCTGGCTTTCTCGCTCGCATGAAGAAAAGGGGTATCAATGGGAAGAAGAAGCCGATCACCACTCCTTGGAGGACAGAGGCATGAGTCGAATTGGATGCCTGGGACAGATTGGCAGTGCCCGCATTATCAAGAGAGTCGATCCACTGTTCCTCTAAAGCCCTGGCATGTTCGTCGTCTAGCATATTGTCAGAAACGTCGTATACCTGATAGAGTAAATGAGACGTACACTCTTCCTCCGTTTCAAAGTCCATATCCAAGTAGTTCATCGAGGATTGGCTATGAAACTGCCGTCTAAAGTTGGCGATGTCCTCCTCCGTGAATCCTACCGAGGCCAAGCGGTCAAAGCCCCTTACGGGTTGTAGTTGTCCTGACTGTAGTTGCATCGAGATGAGACGAACATAGTGTGCCTTGACCGAATCAACGAACCGTAGTGTCCTCTCGCAATTCATCCTCTGGTGTTGCAAGTTTAGGCCCAATGGAGCAATGTATCCATATCGTTGACGGCTTCCAGGAGAGGCCGTCTTCATTATTAGCTTCTGCCGCCCTCCTTTGTCGTTCTTCCAGAGAGGCTAGCCACGAGTAGAGATAGGTGCCGTCTGTCAGCAGCCGTCCGAGATGAATTAGACGCAGTTTCCGATCTTTCAGCTCTGGCCGAGTTGCTCGTATCTGAAAGGTCTTCTGTTAGATTTCAATACATCGATAATAACGACAAGAGACGCGCCTGTTGTTTTACATCCCGTACTGTGTCCTCTTTCCCAACCGACACCGTCAAGTCTGCCCCACCTTCTGTGAATCGTATCACCAGCTCTCGCGTGGCGGGCTCGTCGTCGGACTGTGTTGAATTCGAAGAATCATTCTCTGGAGGATCGGATGCTCGTTGCTTTCCTTTCGCCTTTTCACTGAGCATCATCGTCCTGAAGATGTGAAGGGGAGTGAAGTACGGGAAGGGAAGCTGGTGTAACCGACATCGCGCGCTGCCCAGCACTCTGATGGCCGGACACGTTTAGTTGCCGGGTCAGGATCGACGCCTCGAGTTCATAAGTTCACGGTTCTTAATTGGAAGGGCTTCCAATATGTTACTTTGGAAATAGACAACACACTCCGAACGGAATTCCCGGTCGATTCATAATACAATTGTCTTACGTCCTACGGTAATACATCAAGTCCGCAGCCTCTTACCCTTGTTGATTCCAGGAAGATGCTTTTGTCGATGGAAATTCTTGGCTGCAGCTACAGCAGTGAAAGGAACAGGAGGGATAGGCTTTCCAGGTGGCCCAAACGAAACATTAAGGTTCACCACCTCCCCGGTGTCTTCGTCGAACACGAATCCGTGGACGTAGACATCCAACTCGGTCTTTTTGGCTCGTGTTGTAGCACTTCGCTGATATGCCTGTTCAGAACCATGTCGATGAGTGCCTAAAACTTACTCTATAACCCGCGAAAGAGCTACCTTGGCCAAAAGTGAATCCTCCTTCATGGCTTTAACGGACCTTCGGACGTTCTCTTCGACGACAGCTCTGAATCCAGGATCGTCAAACTCGGGAGCGGTCTTGATACCATTCGGCAATCCTCGCCGAGGCAGCCTAGAATCTCTGAATTTGACAATATCGTGCCTATACCAACCGCCTATTAGTCTCCTCGGACATGAACCGACTCCATTACCCACCTCCGAGAAATTTTGTAGAATTCAGCTATAGGTTTGATCCACTTCAACACAGAGTTATCTTCCTTGGGAGGTGCTATGGCTTTTTGAACGCCCTTGCAACCATAGTGTCCTAGAACGATGATATGCTGGACTCCGAGCTCTTCGATGGCGTAGGTAATCGCTGCGTCCCTAGACTAAAGGTGAGCAAGCCTCCCGTGGCATCGCGTCGGTTGGAGACATACGTGCTGACATCCTTCTTCGAGTATTGGTTCCCAATGTTGTTCTGGGTGATGATAGAACCAATGGGGGCTTGGAAGATCGAGGCAGGGGTCAACCTGTGGGGATGTCAGTCAATGAATCCAAATTTCTATTCCGGAAAGCAACGCACCTATTGTCGGTACACCCCAGGAACATGAACGAAGGTGCTTTACACCGCAGAGTAAGTCCCTGGAATGTACACAGAAACAAACGGGACGTACATTCCTCAACCAATTTCGCCACTGCCTCCCGCTTCCTACTCGTCCCTCGCCGGAATCGCTCATTTCCTTTGAACAAGCTCTCAAGAGAATTATAGCCCGTAGTTCCGGTCTTCAAGGTTGCCTCGTCAGCGGTTCCACGTTGTGATAGCACTCCTCCCTCTCCGTTCGTCGAACGAGCAACAACCGAGCCAAGAGAGAACAAGATAAGGACCAAAGCAAGAATCGAATACGACCGTGTAGCAGCGTTGAACATGACCAGCAAGTCGTGACTGATATTTTCTGCCTAGATTTTCTTTGTTTGAGCGCCAGGCTTGCGACGACCAGCGTCGAGCGGGGGTGACGAGGATAAATCAGTGCGGTAAAAAAAAAGAGGACAGAGGTGGCTTTAATAGGCTCATGATAGAGGCTGTACACAGCGGCATCACTGAAGGGCGCATCGGAAGCAACTTCCCATCCCACGACACAGTATTACGAGTTGGAAAACCCTGGAAATTGTGAACAACAACAGCGTTAACTTATCTATGTAAACATGACTTCGTTAAATGTATCAACAAGAATTCTGAATGTCCGTGATAACGAGGGACCCCACAACACAACAAAACCGAGAAAACGAATCTTCATGACTACATACAACAATAATTATACTACACATCCGCTGAACAGGGCGCTGACATCCTTCGCAATACCTTCATGATCAAACACAGGGAGACCACTCCCAGCCTGAAGGTCCTTCATGTTTATATCGTTGAAATTAAACAACGCAGCCATGCCATCATCCCCAGAGCTGCTACTAGCAACGCCACCATTAGCTGGGTCAGTGAGCATATTGCCCTCCAACACGGGATTGAAGGCCCGCCAGAAAGAGGTCAAGTCAAGCCCTTCCAACGTCATATTGGCAACTAGCTGCTCACTGCTCTGCGAGCCGTCAGATTGAGCGTTAATGTTGGTGAATTGCTCAAATATGTCGTCAGATAGCATGGGCGGCTTTTCCTCCTTGTCCATCGCAAAATAGGCTGAGAAGTCGCCTTCTGCAAGTGTGTCGTCTTCCGAGAATGCCTCATTCATAGATGAGAAGCCGCCTTCAAAGTCCGTCTCCATGTCGGATGTGGCGACGGGGAGCTGCAAGTCGTCCATATCCTCGTCATTGGTGTCAGAGGGATTTTCGGATAGCAGAGGCGGACTTGAGGGTGGCAGCGGCGATGACGGAGGAAGACCTTCCCAAATTTCTTTCTTGCGATGGATTGTTACTTCTTCATCTTCTTCCTGATCGTCATCAGGTTTGAATTCGTTCTCTGGTTCTCCCGCCGTCGACTCCGAGAACGGCACCTCGTCAGTTTCGACATCGCTAGCGACAGGTAATGAGCTCGAGGGACAATCCAAATCTTCGAACGCTTCGTCTAGTTCTCGATCCAAGTCCGTCCCCTTGTCCATCGGCTCATCCGCGTCCTTTGACGGTGATCGACTTGTCGACGGCGAACGGAATAGGGCCTTAGGTTTGAGGGGAGAGTGAGGAGAGGAGGTCCGAGGTTTCTTCCTGTTCAAAGGAGAACCAGAAGGTCCGTAACCGACCTGAGGAGAGAGACGGAGAGTTCGAGCACTTCCCAGCACGCTTCCGAAAAGACTCCCTCCAGTCTTACTGAGAGGAGTGAATAAAGACTCGGCATGCAACGCAGAACCATGAGGTGTAGCCTTCCCCTTCGGCCTTGTGGGAGTTTGGGGAATATGCGGAGTACGAGTACCAGGTGAAGGAGAGGGTGATCGCCGGCCTGGGCTGGAGAATAAGTTTCGCAGGGGCGAGATGTTAGCGGCGACGAAAGGAAGGCCCTTGTGGCCTGTCCCAGTTGTAGAGGTGGTGGTTGCAATGGTAGTGGTGGAAGTCGTTGTAGATGTGATCCGCTGCACAACGGTCGAAGACGAAGAGGGAACCGGAACGACGTGCTGTTCTTCTGCCTCTTGTTGTTGCCTCCGCCTTGCCTTCTCCAAATTCGCTTGCTGCTTCCTTCTTTCCAATTTATCTCGCTTCTTCTTTTCCTCTGCCTCCTTCATGGCTCTTTGAGCGTCTTCGGATAGCCTTGGTTGCATAGCGGTGGTCGTTTTGGCCCACTCTGGCACTTTGTATTTCTTACGCGGTACTTGGTTTCGTATGGGTGAAGATTGGGCAATGCGTTGGGGACGCGCCGGAGAGCGGTTGAGGGCATGGTTAGAGCCTTTGGTTTCACTGTCCGCAAGGTACGGGTCATTGGACGCGATGTCTGCATTTGTTGGTCTCGCTGGGGAGGAGTAGGGTAGCGGTTGTCGATAGTAGGACATGGGATTATCGGATTTGGGTAGCGCGCTGTCGTGCATTCGGTAGTGGCGGTAAACGTCCACAGGTGGTTTGGGTTGCAAGAAAGCTCCACGGTGAGTTTCTTTCTTGTCGCGAGACTTGCCCTTTTCCTTGTTCTTCATATTTTCCCGTTCGTCCATAAACTCGCTTAGCGTACGCTTCCGCGTGGAAGGAGCTGAAGGAAGTGGGTCGGTAAAGTTTGGCGCCGGCTGTGGGGGAGAAGCACCATTGGATCGCGTGCCCAATGCCGCCGGTCGGATGGGTTGACTCTCCCCAGTGGCTCCGTTGAGAATTCCCAGTTTGCTATCAGATAAGTCTCGCTGTGGCCTACGGGTAAAGAGTGATGGGTCGAGATTCTCCTTGTCCAAGATAACAATTTCATCGTCGGGTGCGTTTGAGGTAGGCACCGCAGGCGTGGTTGAGGGAGCAGGTTGAACAGGCTGAGGCGCTGGAGGGGGAGGCATCAAGGCCGCAGGGTTCACATAATAGGCGAGTAGTTGCCTCAGTGCAGCAATCAGCATCGGATTTGAAGTAGTGTTCGCGGCATTATTTGAGGAATTAGAATCGATGGCACCAAGGGCAGCAAGGATGGCTGAACTCTGCGCCATATCCTCTGGGGAGCTCCCTGACATGTTTTTCAGTAACTCTAGCACCTTGGCATCGTCGTCTTGAGGCTCCACTTTTACTTCAGATTGTAATGGAGGATGAGAAGACGAAGGCCATGAGTTCGAAGAGGTCGGATTGACGGCGGTAATACGTTGAGTTTGGTCCCTTTCACAGTCGATACGGATGACGTCGCTGGATTTAGGTTGGGTTACGTTCGACTGTCTCCTAGATGGAGCTGAACTCGAAGTCTTTGAGTTCTTGGGGCGGCCCTTCTTCTTTTGGGGACCAATGTAAACATGCGGCGCGTCCAGGAATTGGTCTGAATCCGTTACTGGAGCTGCTCTCCGTGGTTTCGAAGTTTTGACCTTGGTTTCTGTAACAGCCGAGGTGGAAGCAACTGGCTGAGAGGTTGAATACCGTGTCGCGCTCGAGGATGATCGAATAGAGGAATTGGCCTAAAGAAGGTTTAGTGTTGGCTTTTAATGACAAAACGCCAAGACGCACAATATGGGACGAGGTGCGGTTCATGTCTGCGTACTGCGAGTTGTGTGCTGAAGGAGCACTCCATGATGGTAGAGATTGTGTTATCGTCTGTCGAGAGTTAATGTCGGTCGACGTTCCCAAAAAAACGGACATACTTCGCGTAGAGCAAAGACAACCTCCAGTGACTCTGAGCCGCTCGTTCGAACAATTGTCCCCACAGCTTTAACCGAATCATCGTCTGCCCGCAACGCCCAGGACATCAGCCCAAATCCAACTGCAACTCCCCGGACAGTCCCTGAAGGTACATCTGCTGATTTCGAGCTTGAGTTGGAGATTTGGACTGGCGCTGGAGCAGAATTCGATTCCAGTGGGTCCAGTACGTAGACAGAAAAGTCTCTTGAGCTGTCCTGGACGAGCTCTGGACTGGACCTGCATATTGTATGGAGACAGTGCTTGAGGGCTGTTGACGCGTAGGCGTGCGATATGGAGGTCTGTGCGTCGCTGCGGGGGTCGTTGGGGCTGGGGATGAGGTCGACGGGATAGGCGGTGTGCGAACGGGCAAGGATGTATTGGGGCGAGCTGTTTATTGTGTAGAGGATTCGCAGGGGCAGCGATCTGTACTGCTGCTGTGGTGTCGCCATTGGGAAATAAGCGAGAGCTAGGCGTCGTCTGTAGCCACGCCCGAGTCCGACTCGCCGTTGAATGTCACGGCAATTTCCCGCGCATTCGATCTCAGCCAACAGACGCGTCAATAACAATCACACGCCCACCGCGTGATCGCGTAAACAAGCGCGCGTTGCACACCGGCCCGCACAGCCACCGCCGGCCGAAACGGCACAGATTTCGTTGTTTCTGCACCACCACCACGATGGCGACCCAAGTAACGACGCTGACCGTGCTTGGGAAGCGCAAGAGCCCAGGATCTCATGTCGGAACCCTGAGACTGGTCGGGAGTGCATCAGAAGTATCGTGCTCTGAGCACTCCGACTTTGAACCAGAGATCGTCAAGAACACCGCCAAACCGGTCCTGATCAACGGCAAGCTCACGACTGGCACCAAAAAGCGCTATCAGTGTACCTACGCTGGGTGCAGCAAGGCTTATACAAAGCCTTCTAGACTGGCGAAACACGAGAGGACGCACACAGGAGAGGTGCGTTCCCTGCCCCTTCACGAAAATCCACCCTGATGTCCCTCCAGAGACCCTTCGTCTGCGACACTTGCCAAAAATCCTACTTTAGAGAATCCCATCTGCAGGCACACACTAGAACACATCAACCCGAGGCATCTCGACCCCTCGCATGTGATGTCAAAGGCTGCGGTAAACGGTTCTGGACTACTCAGCACCTCAAAGTCCACCAGGACTGGCACAATGGTGCTAAGCCATTCCTTGTAGGTGATATCTCTTTGCGTCCTTTACCCTATCTCAACTATTTTCTCAGTGTACAAAAGAGGATTGTTGCGAGGCATTTTCAAAACACCACCAACTGCGGGCTCATATCGCGGAATTCCACTCCCCGCCCGGGACCAAACCCTATATCTGCGACCACGAAGGATGCACCAAGTCATTTAGCACCAATCAACATCTAAGAGCTCATAAAAAGACCCACGATCGTGCGTTGCACTCCACTTTTGTAGTTTCTGTGCATTGACCCTCGCACGCAGCTCACAGATATACATGTGTTCACGCCGATTGTCTCGCCAAATCGGAAGAAACACCGAACTTTTTTCCAAACTGGACTGCTCTACAAAATCACATCCGCACTGCCCATCCACCCACATGTCACCATGATTCTTGTAGTGGCCGAACGTTCGCCTCCCAAAAAGGCTTGAGAGCTCATCTCAAGCTGCACGAAGAGCGGGAATTGGAAGCGCAGATTCGTGGACATGTTGATTCTGACGCAGAAGAGGATCTTGGACCTCCCAAGAAGCGGAGGCGTGGTGGTGAAATAGGGCGAGACTGGAAGTGTGATTTCGACGGGTGCACCAAAGACTTCAAATCTGTAGGTTATCCTGCCCACTAATGTCCCCGCCAACTAACAACCATCTTCCTGTGAAACAGAAAAAAGCGATGACGATCCACAAAAACGTCACGCACCTCGGGAAACGCGATTTCGTATGTCCAGACTGCGACAAAGCCTTTGGGTACAAACACCTTCTCCAGCGCCACACCGCAAAATCCCATTCTCAAAATAGTTCGGACGAGGAGGGAGATTCAGAAAGTACAACCTCAGACGATGAGAAGCCAAATCATATCGAACTTATTACCGGCAAAACCTACTCGACCCAAGCCCAGCTCAAAGTCTCCCAAGGCAAAGCAGCGACTTGTCCTTTCCCTGATCTCGAAGGCCTTGTGCAATACCGGATACCCAACACTGGCGACATCAAACCGTGTGCGCACATTTTCTCAAGGCTGTACGATCTCAGGCGGCACTTGGCCGCCACCCATGGTGTCAGGGTTGAAAAGGAGGTTCTTCGGGAATGGATGGAGAGGCGGAAGTCTGCGTCGTAACATGTGTGTATCTGGGACACTGTGCAAGTCAAGTGCAGGTAGATATTTGCAGCATTTTATTTTTTCCGTGAACTCCGTACAAGCCGGGCGATGAAGTGGAGACCAGCATGCGATATATTCAAGGCGCTATAGTGTAGTGGTTATCACTCGGGATTTTGAAGAGGCGCGTCTGCCTTTAAATCTTCCCGAAACCCAGGTTCGAACCCTGGTAGCGCCTGAATATCAGCTTCGATTTTTTTATTGTTTTAGCTGGCTCGACTAAGCACCACCACTGACTTCACGAACCAGCATCACTCGCCCTTTGGCGATCTCATGGAACTGGCCAAGAACTCCCCTTGCCTAACTTGTTGTGCAAATATTTCTGGTGCCTCAAAAAGACGAGAGTCTATATCACAGCCTTCTCTTGAAGTGTTCTCGCATGCTATAAGAAGGGCTAGTGGCAAACCCGGACAATCACCCTATGCAAGGGGCCTAGGGCAAGACTAACTGGAAAAAGCTAGGCCAAAGAACTCGTCGCAAAAAAGAATTGATACTTCCTTCTAGCCGACTCGAACGACTGACCTCGTCATTACTAGTGACGCGCTCTACCAACTGAGCTAAGAAGGATTTATTTGTCTGCACCGACATGATCGAATCCTCCTCCATGTGATTTCAGTACCGAGTTTGCGATGTACATTCCACTGGGGTCCAGACTAGCAACTAATTCACGGCGACTGCAGTCAGCTGTGCAGCCTGTGCCCCTCCATCCAATTCGATCCCGTTAACCGTGCCATTGGCAACCAATCCGTTCACATTCCTCTTCCTCAACTCCATTTGGGACCTCTCCACCTCTTCTTGAACGCGTTCGATGGATTTGAAGTACCTGACGGTCTTGACGTGTAATTCTGGAAATCGGGCACACCGGCAATAAGAATAAGTTGTGATCTGTCAGACTGAAACTGTGCGCACCAAGTGTGGCATCCTCATCGACGACCATCAGAGCCCAGGGGTGATTCTGAAGCGCGGACAGAGTCCACTTGTGAAGGGTGTCAATCTTCTTTCCACTTTCAAAATGAGCGGTCACCACTCACAAGATGATTCACACCGTCCTCTGCATTTGGATCATCAATCAGGCCCAAGTCTTCGCATTCGAAAAAAGGTGGGTACCCACCGATAGCTTTGGCGATTGCAAGGGCTTTGCGTTGTCCAGTCCCAATCACGACCACCTCCCGACTTTCAAGTACGGTTTTAACACCGACTGTCAAGGCCATGTGTGGGACAGCGGCGATGTCGTCGTTGAAGAAACGAGCATTGGCGAGGATGGTACCGTATGCGAGGGTTTTGATACGTGTTCGAGACGACAGGGAAGAACCTGACCACGATAAATCAGTATATGCCAGACCAGTCACGCCACGGGAAACTAACCGGGTTCCTACAACCACGAGGAGTAAGCTCTCTGCCAGCATGCGTAAAGCCAATGGAGCTCACATTGAAGGCGATGTGTCCGTCTTCACCGACTCCAGCGAAAAAGAGGTCGACGCCTCCGTAATCTTTGATACGCTGTTCGTATCGGTTGCATTCCGCGATGAGGTCCTCGGCGTTCCCATTTAGCATGTTGACGTTGTGCGGAGGGATGTCAACTGTTAGAAGTTTAGAATGATGAGTAGTTTGGGGACGGGTAAAACCGATAGCCTACTTTGACTGAACAATTCTCTAAACATGAAACTGTGGTACGACTCGGGATGATCTCGAGGGAGGCCTACGTATTCATCCATGTTGAATGTGACCACATTTTGGAAGCTGCACTGGTCGATGAGGAACAGCTGGACGAATAAACTCTAACGGACTGACGAAAGCTTCCCCTCCTTCACGAGACGAATGAGCGACCTGTAAGTCAGCACAGGTGAAGAGCCCGTTGGAAGTCCCAAGACAAAGGGTCGCTCAGGAGTCGGGCCAAAGTCATTGATCCTGAATGGTGATATAAGACCTTGACGAAGACTGGGATTGGCTCTATCCTCACCGTTTGCAGATGTAGTTGGCAATATAATCCCCGACTGCGCTGGGGTTTTCACGTATTATCAGACCTGTTGACGAGATGAGTGGTCATAGAGAGCTGCTTCACGTTGCCCACGCACGCATGTTCGAATAGGATGGGTTGTGGAGGTCGTATCGAAGAGTGTAGCAGGCCCAATGGCTATCTTTAACCACGGCTGGTACTGGACAATCCTTGCATATATAAGTCATAGTCCTCCAGAAGCCAACCGCTTCAACGTGTGACCCATTCCATTCCAATAGGAATCAGCCGAAAGGCAGAGTAACCCAAGCTCCTTATCGATAGACGGAAAACGAGAAGTAAGCCATTTACCCAGCGCACAGTCAGCAGGTACAACTCACCGCAAGGTTGTGTCCGCAAACCATCTTCGCTAGTTGCTTGCCATCCAGTGATTGAACCAGTCTAATCTCACGATGGTTCTCAATGCACAGAGATCTCCATTCCCAGAACCCTCCATGGCGGTGACCTGTTCGCATTCGACCATGGCACATATGGTAACCGGTCTCTCAATAGATTTGTTGGCGAGCTGAAGCCTTGAGCTCGACAATTTTGGGAAAACACGCGCAACAAAATTGGGAGAGAAGCTATCTGGAAGACGCAGGGGAAGCTCTCGGCAAACGGCAGCTAGAGGTATTTTGAGAGATTAGATTATTCCGTTCAAAGGCACACAGATCTAGAACAAACACTTGCCTTACTCCTTCTCTTCCCAGCGCCTCAAAGCTGCCGCGCATATGCAAACTTATCTTTGTCCACGCTGGCAATCTTGCCACCGTACCGCTATTGGTGCGCTCAGCCGATCATGGTTCCTCCGAGAACCCCCACCCTATATTAGTGAACGGCCACTTTTCAAGCTCCACCAGAGACCTTGCCGCGAGATGTCCACGCGAAGCGACAGCCATAAAGCTCCAAATGGTACGCCCACCCAATTCGAACAAGAAGATAGATATACTTGGTATATCCTTTCCTCTTGTGCCCACTTTTGAAAGAGACAACTGGTAGAGCTGAGCCTCCTCAAAACAGACAACGCCGATACGTGGCCATTTGAAATCTACGCTTCTGAGCGAGTATCCGACAAACGATCTGTGTTCCTGGCACATGCGTCCAAGCTCCCATCCGCAGAGCAATTTCCAGCATTCCTAGATTACTTGACGAGTCGTCCGGCACTTAAAAAGGCGACGCATTGCATGTACGCGTATCGGACGACGGACCCATCGAGTTCGCAGCTGGTGGTAGGACAGAACGATGGCGGAGAGAGTGGAAGCGGCGACCGGTTATCTCGTCTGCTCGAGCTGTCGAGGGCAGACAACGTGGTGGTCGTGGTCTCACGGTGGTATGGAGGTGTGAAACTTGGGTCAGATAGGTGGAGGAGGATATCAGACGTCGCGAAGCAAGCTTTGGAAAGGGGCGGATTCGTAGCCAAGGGCGATGGCGACTCGACCAAACGCCCTGGTAAAAGGAAAAAGTAGAACACGTCCTTTATTATTGTGGCGATAACTATGAACGGTTCTTTAATATACGCGATAAATTACTGAAAAACGCCTTAGCGCGTTGGCTCTCCCTGTCACGGTCTCTGATACAGTCTTTGATTTTACGCTTCCCCTTGGCTTGCCGGTAAGTGCGATTGGTATCAATATCCAGAGGTAGAAAGCTTATGTTGTATTGTTCGAGGATCGGAGGAAGGATCCGGTTGTGAATATAGACTGAATGGAGAAGGTCGACCTCAGGGCACAAGTATAGATTAACACGGATCTTACCTTGCGCGTTGTGAAAGAAGGTCCACGGGTCTACATTGATAAGTCTGGGAGACCAGAATTCACGAACTCGGGGAATGTGTATCGGCAAGTCGCGGTTGGTGCATTGCGTGTTAAGAGACCAGTGTCCTTGCCAGATGATCATTTTGGTCCTGATTTCTGCGTCCTGGCCGATTGCTTCCAATGTGTCGAGCAAGGATGGGAGAAACTTGGACAAGGTTGTCTCTAATGCGACTTGAAAGGTCGAATATTCCAAAGAGTGTGGACCCAAAGAAGGTATGATAAAAGACGCCATGGCCCTCGGAGACAACAAGTCGGAATAGGATCGCGCGGGTGACGGGATGGGGCCCCTGTTCAAGATCACGATATGAGCTTTTCGTGCCCTCCTGAGCCAGTAATAGCTATGAACGCGGACTCCTGTGGCAGGGTCGACGTTGGGGCGAATATAGACAGGGTCATGTTTGTCGTTGACGGCCGACAAGGCCGATGAGAGGGAATACTGAACGAGTGCAGAGTTGGTTTCCCGGAGTTCCTTGTTGCTGGGTAGTTTGAGTTTTCGACCGTCATATGAGCCGGCAGCCGAAGCGTTGGCCTTGAAGTTACAGATGTGATGAAACGCACAATATTGTGCGCCTGGACAATACAGCGCATGGTCCTGATATTGCTCCATGGATCTGAGCCAGAGATCATGAAGGTGGTATGTCGTTTCGGGTCCTACAAGTAAGATCCGTTTTCCCGCGAGGTAGATACAAAGAGACTTTGCGTCTTCTCCTTGCCCTGCGAATTCCCCTTTGGCGTAGGTGTGCTTTGGAGGGGCTTTGCCAAGTAGACCGTGAAGAGCGTTGTCGATGGCCAGATCAAAATGAGCACGAAGGGCTTGTGCTTCTGAGAGATGGCGTTCAGACACGTTCCAAACGTCGTAGTACAACAGTCCGACGACCCAGAGAGCAGACACAACCAGAGCTTTCTTGGTAGCGCGCAGGAGTATCATCGTCAACGACAACGAGCGCTCGCTGAAATCACAAGCTTGATGGCTGACGCACACAGCCACTGATGGGCGCCCCTGTGTGTAGCCTCCACTCGCTCGGAACGGAAGCATCGTTACGACTTTGAACCCAACTTCCACCATCTCACCCAACTTATGGCTAGGATACCGCTAATCGGTCGTATAGGCCTCAGAGACTATGTTGCTCTAATAGGTGGCTTCACCGCTCTCGCTATCGAATCTCTCCTCCACATCATCATCCTCTTCCTCCCCAAACCCGTGATAAATTGGTTCTACAAACGTTCGAGGGAGATATTCCACAAGCTTAGCGGATCGACTGGGACGAAGACACCAGAAAAGGCTTCGGCTACTGCAGTATTGAATGCACGAGATTTCGAAGAGCTCTGTGCGATCCACGGCTACACCCACGAGGAGCATGTCGTATTGACCAAGGACGGATACTTGCTGGGATTGCATCGGCTGCCTTGCAAACGCGGGGAGCCCAATGACCACCCTGGGACAAGTACAGGCAAACCTGTGGTCTACCTCCATCATGGGTTGTTGATGAATAGCGAAGTATGGGTCTGCCTCACGGAACCGGAAAGGTGTTTGGCTTTTGCATTGGTGGAGCAAGGGTATGATGTCTGGCTGGGTAATAATCGGTGCGTTAGACGTCGCTCGAGTTAGCGAGTTTCTTTACTGAACAATTAAATAGAGGAAACAAGTACTCCAAGAAGTCTATACACCATGGTCCCAACAGCGCTAAATTCTGGGACTTCAGGTACGCGACTTGTCACGTCATTTCCAATCGCACACCCCACTCATGGTCACTGCGTTAAAAATAGCATCGACGATTTTGCATGGCACGATATTCCGGATTCCATAAACCACATTCTCGAAGTCACCAAAGTCCCAAAATTGAGCTACGTCGGGTTCAGTCAGGGTACAGCGCAGGCATTCGCTGCGCTCAGTATCCACCCACAGCTCAACGAGAGGGTCAACGTCTTCATCGCCCTGGCGCCTGCCATGAGCCCAGCAGGTCTCTCCGCTTCACTCGTAGACAGCCTCATGAAATCATCGTACGTTCCTATAGTTTCCTTCACATGCGAATCCGACTAATCCGTTGTCATCCAGTCCGACGCTCCTCTTTCTGATCTTTGGCAGGAAATCTATCCTGTCTTCGGCGACGATGTGGCAGTCCATCCTGTACCCGCCCATCTTCACGCAATTCATCGACTGGTCTCTCGTTTGGCTCTTCAACTGGCATGGGCACAACATCTCACCACACCAAAAGATCGCAGCCTACGCCCACCTGTACTCGTTTGCCTCTGTCAAATCCGTGGTGCACTGGTTCCAGATCATGAGGAACGCTGCGTTCCAGATGTATGATGACGATGTACTCTCTCCTGTCGTGAAAACGAGTGTTAGCTCGTACAGACCGGCACGGTTCCCAACGCGAAACATTGCAACGCCAATTGTCCTACTCTGGGGCGATTCCGACAGCTTGGTCGACATTGATACTATGCTTGCCCAGTTGCCAAGGCATACGATCGAGAAGAGGCTGAGAACATATGAACATTTGGATATCTTGTGGGGAAAAGATATTGACAAGGATGTTATTCCAGAGGTCTTTTCTGCGTTGAATCGTTTCAGAACAGAGCTCGAAGCCAAGCCTGCACTTGGGTAGATGAAAAGGGTCGATGGTAGACGGCGGAAGGTACAGAGATTGGATATCGGTCTGGTATTCTACACAAGGTAATCTAATCACTAGAGCACCATAATCAGCCATCTACACAATGAATGGACATGGATCACCGTAATGCATACTATGTCTTTTTCTCTTTTTTGCTTTTCTTCTTTTTCTTCGACTCTTTCTCTCTCTCTTTCCCTGCGTCTTCAGCGTCCCCGCCCTTTGCTTCCGAGGTAGCAGCTTCTGCCTTGGCAGCTTTCCGCTTTTCCTTTTCAGCCTTCTTCCTCGCCTTCTCCTCTTTCTTCAGCCTCTTGCGCTCTTTTCTCTGTTCCTCCGTCTCTTTCTCATCCTCCTCTCCCGTTTCTTTCTTCTCCTCAGTCGCAGGCGATGTCGATTCCGATGTGGACGATGAGAAAGTGCTGGAAAGGAATGTCGAAGACATCAACGATGAAAACTTGGAAAGTCCCATCCGAAGGGTATCACTCTGTACACTGGTCGATTCCTGGCTCTCCCACTGCACCCTCGCAAAACCTAGTCCACCTCTAGGTTTCTCCTCCGCCTCGTCCATCTCCTCATCCTTGGTCGCACTGGGTTGAGGAGTGGAAGCACTCGACCCGGACGACTGGGCTTTCGCATTGGCCTTGGCAAGTAACCGTTCCTTGAAGTAATCAGCCACACTCTTTGTAGATGTGGTGATTTTTTCGAGTTCGGGAACGTCCTCGGAGATGACGGTGAGTTTTCCTTGGTCCGGAGGTGCGGGTGAGATGGAGCCTGAAGCTGCGGCAGAGGTGGTAGAGGATTCTGGAGCAATGCCCAGAATTTCCGAGATGTGAGTGGAAGATTTCATGGAGATGGATTTAGCTGCAATGGCGCGTGCTCGGTGACTGTAAAAGAACATTTAGGAATTGGAATACCACTGAGACAAAGCAACACTTACGCTCGATGTCGCGGTACAAACGCCTTTTTGGGCTGTTCAGAGGGTGTAGAGTCTGAGGACTGAGGTGTAGGACTTGCTTCCTCAGTTTTCATCTTTTTCTGGGAACCAGATTCTTCGTCGCCGTCGACTTCAGACCGTTTCCTCTTTCCCTCCTTGTCCTTGTCCTTCTTTTTCTCCTTGTCCTTCTTTTCTTTCTTCTCCTTCTTCCTCTCCTTCTTTTCATCGACATCCATTTCGTCCTCCTTCTCTTTCTCCTCTTTCTTCACCTCAACCTGAACTTCCTTCGTCGAGCTCACAAACCCACTAACCTCTGTCTTGACCTCAACCTCTGCACCACCCTCCCCACCAGCCGCATTCAACCTCTTCAACAAATTCTCGAAATCCCTATTCTGCTTCCACGCAATCCCATTGGGATCTTTTTGATGAGCAGCTCCGATACCCAGCATATCTAGCTTTTGGGCTACTTTGAGGTGAGAGGTCCGGCCTTCGCCTTCTGCTCCAAGCCCTTTGGATGCATCCCACCCGAATCTGGAGAGGTAATTGGATCCGAATCGCGCAGCATCTGCAGTATCGTTTCGCAAAGTAAAGGCACGTTGGAATTGTGGACAAGGTGCGTAGAGTATATGAGGACAGGAAAAGATAAAATTGTTTGGCGGGGCGTACCATCAGCCCAAGACAAGTTCCTGGGATCGTTGCCGATTCTTTGTTTGACTTTCCTTCCACTCAAACCCATGTTGGAGTCGAGGCAGAGCTACAGGGACAGGGCTTGGAGCGACAGCAGCCTCTAGAACAGGGTCGTGGTTTTACTGCAACACAGACCCGCGGACGTTTTGATCAAAACCCCTCGGAGGCAATTTGTACAGTTACTTGATTCGCCTTCCTCGAATGGACAGCCCTCAACACTACGAGCTTTTCTCCCAGTTTTCGCTTATATTGTACACCGTACTATGCAAAGAGTTTTACACACGAATTGAGTTCCCGAAAACTATGAACATGAACACCATCCGGAAAGCGGGTAGCAGCAAATTATGATGGAAAATCACCAGTGAGAGGAAATGAGCGTGGTGGAACGACGAATCTAAGGGAAAACCAAAACACAAGCGACGAAAGGATAGTGGGGATAGTAAGATACATACATAGAGACTAGAGCTAGAAGAAGCAAAAGGGTATGATATAAACCATGAACATGTTAACAGAGCCATGAACGAAAGTAGTGGAGGTAAATGCAACATAAACCATTAGATGTCAGTGCACCAAATCTCGAGTTTGCCTTCAGCTCTTCCTTTGGCATTCTCACGAGCTGTTTCAATGGCGAGCTCATAGTCAGATTCGTCTCGCAGGGTAACCTTGCCACCGTCCTCGTCCTTGAACTTGAGTCCGAGTCCACTGAACGATTTGTTGAATTTGGCGGTGATCTTGACAATGAACTCGTTGAATGTGAGATCGGGTGCCAAAGTCATTCCTCGAGTTTCGTCTTGATAGTGCAACTGGAATAAATGTCGTCAAGAGGCGTTCGTATTGACCAGAAATTGAGGAGTACTGACTTTGACGCGAATCAAATTCATCTCAAATGGTCCATCGTCATAGTCTCCGCTCCCATACCCTTCTTCCTCTTCTTCATAAGTGCTTCCAATCCTATTCTGTTGCCTTGAGGTCGCTCGTCGCGTCGGTTTCCTCCTCATCGAGCCGCCGCCATAGGAACTAGGAGCATATTGACTATTGGGGGCACTTCGCGAGGTGGATCGAGCAACGCCAGCAGGATATGCGGGGGTTTGGCGGGCCCATGTAGCAACACGGTCCGCTGTCGGTGGGGCAGAAAGCTGGGGTACAGGTGGCTGGTCTTCGTAGGAATCAAGGTAGTCGTCATAGAATTCCGTGATTCGTTCTGGGGCAGGAACATCAGGGAGGTCTGCTTTCGTCATGTCAGCATGAATTCGATCGGGGAATGAGGGATGCCTTACTCTTAGGAGGAACCCGTAGAGGGTTAACGGCGCCTCCAGAACTGGGGCTAGCAGCCCTCCTCACGCTCATACCGCGAGAGGGTCCACCCATGCCGGCACTTGGCGACGGTCGCCCAGGTGTGATCTGAGTGTTACTTCTACCGAGAGCACCAGCGGAAGAAACGGGAGGGAGACGGGACGATGGGGAGAGACTTTGTGGGGATGTTAATGCACGGGCATTGCTAGGAACGTTGATGGTCGTCTTGGATCGTTCGAGGCCTGCAGACCTGATGGATTCCGCGGGCCCTAAAGATAATCGGAAATTCATCAGCGACTATGAGACAAGTAAAGTGATATTCGCATACGCACTGGAAGCAGGGTAAGATGATGCCGGAACTGTTGCGCTCCGGGACACTGCGGCACCAGCAGGGGTATCGATATCAGGCCTATCAATATAGATGCCTGCAGGGGATATTCCCATCTTCAAACGTGCGGAGCCTACAAAGGTTGTGATCTTGTCGTCAGGGTCGCTCGATGCAACCAATTTCTGGCAGTCGAGTCAGCAAAATCTTGAGCATTACGAACGATATAGTGGACATACCGCTTTGCCCATATAATCCTTCTGGACAGCATTCTTGAGTTTCTTCTCTGATGGTCGGTATAGAACGCCGACAGGCTTCAAGGGGGGATGAGCAAAACTTGGTTACACTAGTGATCCGAGCGCAACTCACAATGCTGAACACAGTATAGCCTCTCCCCTGATCCCTAATCGCCTCATCAATAACGTTGTGGTCTTCGGTCGCCTTTTCCCGCCGTGCAGCCTCAAAGTTTTGAAGCCCCATCTCGATTTGTCCCATGAAGATGAGTGACAGGCCCATGTTGAACAAGACTTCTGCCGAGTACAACTTGAATTGTAGACCCAATTGCTCATAGTTACTGTTGAGACCGTCGTCAATGGACACGTTCCTACGGTAGGCAATGGTCAACGCACATCGTCTGGTTCTGCCTGAGGTGGAGGAGAGCCTCTTCAAAGTCCTTGAGGGCGAGTTCGTAACGTTGCAGAAGGAAGTTTGAGACACCGCATTGGAAGTAACTTGGGAGGAGTTAATGGTGTGTACGATGAAGGGAAGGGTGCTGTCACATACGCCACGGCCAAATACTGATCCATACCCGTTGCCTCGATAAAGTGCTTGACGGCCTCTTCATGTTCACCCAGGGTAGCGTAAATGAGTCCTATGTTCGTATGGATTTTGGAGTTGTCCGCAATTTCCTGTTTGTTGGATATTAATAGCCGGCGCGAGGTGGACAGGGAAGGGCAGACGCACAGAGAACAACTGCAAGGCCTTGTCAAAGTCCTGATCATCGTAAGCCTTGAGAGCAGCAGCCCATGTTTCGAGTTCGGCCTTAAGAGACATGTCGTTCTAGGTGATGGTTTAGCTTGAAGCTCTTGAAACCCGCTGGGCGTTCCGGACGCTGTTCTGAAAATCGAATGTAAAAAACGGTGGCCGAAATGAATGGAAAAAGCGAAAGAAAGGGAAAGAGAGACTCTGTCTCTATAGAAGAAAATAGAATGAAAAGAAAGAAGAGAAGAAGGAAGGGACAGAGACCTGGAGGCTGAGAAAGTTGGATTGACTGACGGCCCTTTGTAGTTTCGCGACCTGATTTTGACCTGATTGTTGTTAGGAGAGTTGCTCGGTTGACTCCGACAACTTCATCAAGGCAATTCCGCTAATGTTTCCTCAAACGACTTGGCAAGCACAAACAATAATACAACATACAAAATCATCCAGATCACCTCCCCTAAAATTCTGGAGCTCCCCAGACCGATCCCGCCTGAAACCCTCTTCCAGAGCCTCACCGCAATACCTAACTCGTAGTACAAATCAAGATAGCAACAGACAGCACTCAAGTAACTCTAGCAGCGATCATTCTTCTCATCATACACCAACGTCATACCATGGCAGCACCCCACGTCCCGCGCACGAGGCATATCTATCCCGTTTAGTCTCCACCGGCCTTGTCATCCATCCTCGATCGACAGGCCAAGAATCTTCGACAATTAAAGAAATATCCAAAGCTCTATTGTCCCAATACTGTACCTGAACTCGAGATAATTAAGATATGTGCATGCCATTAGAAATACACTGTCCGGCTACGCTAGCGCTGAACAGAGGTGAGGGAATAATTGTAAAAAAAGTCACTCTAGTAACCCGATGGCCGTGCATCTGCTTTCGATGTGTCGTAGGCTCGAATGATTTTGGCCTGATCTTGTCGTGCATTTTCTGTCTGACTGAACGCGAATCCACGGTTCTTCCGCATTCGTTGTGTTGCACGAACTTTCTTGATCGCTTTCTGGAACCTGGATCAAATAGTCAGTTCCTGGCTACCCAAACACGAGGCAACACGAAAGACGCACTGTTCTTGTCGTGGTCGGTAATCAGGGATGTTGTACTTCTGCAGCTCCTGAGCGATATGGTATGATGATGGCATGTATGTTCTTCGATAGCTGAAAGGTTAATCGTTGATTAGCCCATTATCAAATGGGAGAGGAAGCTTCGAAGACGTACTATTTCCACGCAAAGTCCCTGACGAGGCAAACCAGCGGGACCAGCAGGATCATCAAGTAGAAGACACCGTCGCCCCATAACCGCGGAACGAGCCCAATGTACTCAGTCGAGAACCCAATGGCGGGCGCAACGATGGCATAGACGGGGAGGAACGCCATCGTGAAGATGAAGGATCCCGGAATGGCTAGGACAAGCGCGGTTCAATTTTGGGAAACATTCTCCTTGCACGAAGGACTCACCGGCCACCGTGTACTTCGTCCAAATATCCGATATCAGTGCGGCTTTACCCAGAACCGTAAGAAGGACAGCCAAATACAAGGCCGTGCCCCAGAACCAATGCCCGCTATCCAATCCATTTGCAAGCTTCAAGTCACCCCAGAAGAGAATGACAGAGAACCCGAATAGAATCTAATAATGGACATGAGCATAAAGAACGAGTCTTGCAAGGTTGTCCCGCTTACCAGACTGTGATACAAGGCATTGGCAATCCACATCCAGAATGCAGTCTTGGTGAAGAATTCGTTCTTCTGGCCGAGAATGTACAATTGCGGATACCGGTCTAGGATTCGAGCCGACACGAATTGATCGAACATGCCGATGACGAATGGCGGTAGGACTGTGAAGACGACGTTGTAAAGTGAAAGCGTCCATGACTCGTAGGCGATTTGTCCGGAGAAATTGTTGAAGAAGGAATACTGAAACGGAAGCGGTTCAGCCGCCGTACGAAACAGGGGTCTGAAGACTTACCCAAAACTGGGTCATGTACAACACAATGTTCTTGTAGAACGAGACTACATCGTTCTGTCAGCACATGATTCCCTCCAGTCATACGAGGGACCTACAGAGAATCAATTTGGACAACCGCCTATAGCTCCAGGCCCCGTGAACAAGAAGCAACTTCTTGAGGAACCGGAACTGAGAAATGGCCACATCAGCTGAACGAGCAGCTTGCAAACCCTAGAACGGTAACGAACAGCTCAACACCACGCCAATAGACAGGATGTTCAATACGATCACCATACCTCGACACCCGAAATGCCAACGCCGACATGAGCAGCTTGGATCATACTGACATCATTTGCGCCATCTCCAATCGCCAAAAGGATTGATTTTTGATTCTTCTTCACGAGCTTAACGACCAAGGCCTTTTGAAGAGGAGATACTCGACCTAGTGTCATGTTTGCAATGTGATCAGTTAAACAACTCGCATCAATCAGGGAAAGATAAACTTACAGCAGATGACAGCTTTACACAGGATTGCGAGTTCCAAGAACGTCTTTGAGAGTTCTTTCTCTAGCGCAAAGCCCAAGCTCTTGCCGTCTGCCGCAATCAATGTCAGTTACACCCTGACACCCAGCTCCGAGTACAGTAATTCGTACCGATAACGAGAGCCAGGTCTTCCAATTCACCCGAACTACGCTGATTCTTGATGGCTGACAACCGTTTCGTGAGGAATTCTGCCGTTTCCTGCGCAGTCTCTTCGTTGACAGTGACCTATACAGCACGGTTATTCGAGCCCGTCGGGGGGTGTGCGTAATGCTTACAATATTCATAGACTCGGAAATCAGTCGGCACGACATTCCAATGTTGATCGCAGTTTCTTGTCTGTCTCCAGTAAGAACCCAAACCTGTCGAATTCCATTGGCATTTTCAATCTCCAAAGGCAGAATAATCTCACCTTGATGCCTGCCATTTGCAACGTGTGAATAGTATCGGGGACACCATCTTGCAACTTGTCCTCGATGGCGGTGGCTCCAAGGAGGAAAAGATCCTTCTCGATGAGTTCAGCAGCAGAATCCAGAGCCTCTCCTCGACCATTAATGGTAGCAGCAGCCTGATCGTAGATCGCGGCCCACTGGCGATATTCTTGCTCTGGGATGTCACGATAGGCGATACAGAGTGTTCGAAGTCCCTCCGTTGCATAGTCCTGTAGAATACCTGGTGATTAGAAACGACATAGGTCACTTTCCTCATCGTGGGCGAGAACGAACCTCGAGGTGGCCCAGAGTCTTCTCCGTAAATGGCTGGTGCTTCGACAGCCGTTCCAAAATAACGGTATCAGCGCCCTTGGTGTAAAGCTTGATCTTGCCATCCGGTGTCCTAATAACCGTCGACATCCGCTTCCGGGACGAATTGAACTCGCAGACGTTCAAGATCTCGAATTCTTGTGTCTGGCCGAGGATGTCCACGAAGACGGATTTAGGTTTGCGCGTCTATCAAAATGTCAATCGATGCCAGAAAGGAAAGGCCTGGCCAAAACGACGTACATGGAACTTGAATCCAAGGAGCTCTGCTCCGGCCACCAAAGCAGCCTCATCGGGGCTACTCGCCTGATACACCATCTTCTCGCCCTTCATCTCAGGAATAACAGTATGGCAAACCGCAAGTAGGGTCAAGAACTCCCGAATAACTTCCTTTTCAGCACCAGAGTCCGGAGAAGATGATGTCGAAGGGACATCGACGAAGGGATTCGCATCTTCTTCAAGAATCAGTCGCATCTGGGCAAAGGTCCGCCAGCCGCCCTTGCCATCGACATCTTCTCGCTTCGATTCGTCCACGGTACTGGCATAGGCAGTTCCGGCAATACTACAGCACTGGAACTCCATTTCGTTACAAGTGAGAGTTCCAGTCTTATCGCTGAATACGTATTCGATCTGACCAAGCTCCTCGACGAGAGATGAAGTTCTGCAGAGTGCCGGCGTGTCCGTCTTGGCGTAGTACATGTCCAAATCCCAGTTGATGAACTGCGCTTGTTGGAACTTGACCACTTCCATGGTGACGATGAGCGAGATGGGAATCAAGTTGTTGTACAAGATGATAAACGTGAGAATGTCTGCAGAGTCGTCAGTACGAATCGTGGCAGTAGTGAGTTTGTGTGACCTTCAATGAAGCCCTTGGCTGTGAAGAAAGGGTGATGAGCAACGGGGCACAGAGCCTACAAAACAAAATGCGCACCTCTTCCAGACAGTGTGGTCGTTTCTGATAGGTACCACTGTGAACTCGCAAAGAACCATGACCGAATGCTGCTGCCGATGGTGGAACCAACAGAAAGCGCCAACAATAGGATAAACAAGAAAACAATCTGAATGTTGACTTGACGCTCGACCGCTGTCCTCTTGATTGGGGCAGCACTAAAGCCTTGTCAGACAATCTTCTACTGCGATCAATGAGACTCACGTTGCGTTCCGCATCAACTTAGTTTCGTGACCCGTAAAGATAGTTAAACCATAAACCCAGGGGGTATTTCGTATCTGAGCACCTCGTAGCAGAATTTGGTCAGGCCCCAGTGGTACTTGCTTAGGAACTCCGCGATCGGTGATCAATTCGAGTGTGCCTTCATACGTGTAAAGAGAGTTGTTTGGCTGTTCTGAACGCAATGAGCCATGAAGGGTGTTGACCAGCGCGGGAGACGTGAAGGAAGAAGTATGTGGCGAGGCTTGTTTGATCTTCAAGTTCGTTTCACTGAATTCAAGCGTTAGATGCGAAGAGGAACTGGGCGATAGGACATACCCGTCAAGGTTTGACGTTTCGATGTAGCATAGACCCTCTGGTTCGCTCGTACTAATGACCACCACATCAGCCGGAATAAAGTCATCGCTTTCCATCCGAATCACGTCGCCAACTTGGATATCCTTCCATTTCTTCTCCGCAAAGGTTCCTTCTGGCGTTAACACTTTGGCTTTCCTTGAATTAAGCTCGCTATCGGATTGATGTCGTTTCTGGAGCCAGGTATAAGCACCGCTATACGCAGCAGAAGCACATCAAACGTACCAGATCCTCTTGAACCTCCTTGAAAGCAGATGCAAGAAGCACAACAGCAAGCGGTGCAATGGTAGTGTATCGATTCGTGGGGGAAACTCCAGGGATTTGTTGGATGCAAGCGGTGAATAAGAAGAACAAGTTGGCGTATTTCGAGAATTGCTCTGGAATTGGATTAGCTTCATAAATGCGAATGATTTGTTGGGCAACAGACCGAAGAGGAACTTGGGCAAGAAGGTGACAAGATTATATTTGCTTGTCGATACAAAGTTGGAGCAGTATTCGCTGTTGGCCGCACTGTTGTTGAGGGCAATAATCCTCTCTCCGGTCAGGACCTTCTCCTTCTCCCAGGGCCATTTCCACTTGCGTGACTTGATGGATTGTAATGGTGAGCGCTTCGGTGGAGGTTTCTGAGGGCCCGGAAAGTGGTCAGATCCAGCGAACGGTCGGCTGTTATTGGCCGGCAAGTCGTCGTCGTCGAAAGTCCACCCTTGAGGAACTCCGTCACCCAGAGTAACTTTTGAATGCCCTGCTGGTGCTGCGGCCGACTTTGCTAGAGGCATCCCACTCCCCTGTGACTCCATTGCTGTGTTATTGGCCCCAAAAGCAGAGTCAGGAACGTTGTCGTCGTCATCGTCAAAGAATGGATCCATAAGTTGGGGAGACTGGTCGTTATACGCTGCTGTCGATTGGGAAGGCGGGTATCCGTTATTGGCGGGTTGGTATTGTCTGGCTGCGGGATTCGCCTGCGAGACGAGCCGCAGAAAGTCGTCGGTCATGGTTGGAAAAGAGTCCCAACGGCCTGCGCTGCAGCGTCGGTGGTTAGATGTTCATGCGTAGCGTTCAGAAATATATCCGACCCCGGTAACGACCAAGGCACAGGTCACAGCGGCTGCCAAGCAAAAACAAACTTGCAACTCCGCTCACAGCCGTTACAAAGCCGTCTCCATGAAACGCGGGCTTCACTCGGGCGCTCGTTTGCGTTCAACATGATAGAAGACAGTAATTTGATGCTAGATAAAACAAAAATGTACACTACAGTGTCCGATAACAAGTCCAAGTATGCATGGTATAAGTTGCGAAGAAAGCGAGAATTCACTGCAAACTACAGCCATTTAGACAGTCGTTTTGACGGGGACAGGATCGTAGGCAGTGTTTGTCGCTGGCTTGTTGGAGCCAAACGAGTTGCTACCATCAGTGTAAGGGTAGGTCATCTGTGGTTGAGTCAAGGGGAGGCCTTCGTCACCCTTTTGCTGGACAGGAACGTAAGCAGGGTTCGACCGCAGGTAGTTCTTGCTTTCTTTCTGTTCCTTGAGGCGCTTGATGTAGTGGTGGGTGACATAGATCACGTCTAGAGACGCATGGTCAGATTTGAATCCATCGATATGTGGCAATCGATAACTTACATGCAGTGATAAGCGTGGACACCACGAGGGGGGCGATAACCCATGCAGGGTGCACTTTCTGCAGGTTCTCCAAACCTTCACAGAAGTCGAAGTCCTCGTCAGGGAAGATATCATCGCAGTCATCGTCGTCGGCACGGCGTCTTGCCCTGAAGAAGGTAACAGTGAACCAGATACCGCTGCCGATCTGGAAGAGCCACTCGATCCAGAGGACGGCGTAGTAGGTTTTCACCAATCCATTCTTCCTGAAGAGAGCGCCCAAGAAGCTTTCGGTGATGTCAATATGAGGTTCAGCCCGCTGAAAACAGAGAGGAAGTTACCCAAGAAGACCGGTGAGTGAAACGAAACTGTACACGGCCGCGATTACAATGACCGCGATTCTTGCGTATTCGGCCAAGGCATGCCCTGTAAATTAACGATTGGACTCTGAGCTTGCTGATATTGGAGGAAAGGTCCTTACATTGGTCAACTGTATCCGGAGAGAAAAGAACGAACCACAGAAATGCGGCTGAAGCTCCATTAACCAGGAACTGGAAGAGCGTGAAGATGAATACGCCCAATCGCAAAGGCAAGCAGCAACAGAATTTGGCGGCCATGTCTCCCTTGAACGAACGATGGAAAGGAACAGGAACCTGGGAGGAGGGTGAAGAAAACGAGGCATCCGTTGCCCTCCTTATATAACCTATCGGAATCAGGGATGGCAATCTCCAAGACACTGCCCTGGAGAGATCGGCTGTGCCCCCACAGGCCGTGAATCCCAATTCGCGATCGATTACGGCTAATGGTCAGCGGGTCGTTCTCTTCAAACGTCACCACGTTGGTCCCACACCCCACAGCCGGTGGAGAAAAGATATATACCTGCAGGGTATGTGCAACGCTACCTTTGCCATATTCATTGGATCCAACATCAGCGCCCATCCAAGCCAAGGCGCGCCGGTAAATCCGAACGTAGCCAATACGGCTCTTAGCTCAGACCATGGTACAGAAGCGGGTATGGCGGTTCTCTGTTATTCTTGGCTAGGCGTCTCGCGGCCGACAAATTGGGTTGCGGGTGGCGGCCATGGGCAATGCGCAGCGAGCGCACAGCTTTGCACCCAACCTGTCGGTTGAGCGGCCTCAAATGCCCGCAAACCTTCATTCGAGAGAATCCTTCATGGAGACCCGGGGGCAATGACCATTTTCCTCTTCCTGGATTGGAGGATGGCCTGTATCGGTGTCCAACTTCATCGGTTGGGGTGTGGTGTAAACGTGGTGGTGCCAAGAAAGTGGCGGTCGAAAATGATCCTTGAATGGGCACGATGTCGAGGTCCAGCGGATGAGAACGGCTTTGAAGGAGCGGTAGACTAGCACTGTCGACCAAAACGCGAACAGGGGCGCCAAACTGACAAGGTGACGACGCATTTGAGAATTTGCAAATTGCAGAAGCATTGAAGCAAAAAGCGTCCGTTGATGCAGGATCCCGGATCCGTGAAGCTCAAAGCGGTGCACCGTGTTTGCCCCTATTTGACACGCGCTGACAAAACCGATGGCAGTGCCTAATCGGGACTTAAGCCCGCCCAATTAAGAGCCCAACCACCTCCAGCAAACTATCTAGCCATCGGCGCGTTTATCTCCAGGAAATCGCCTGAAATCAAGAGAGAAATGCAAAGAAGATCCTTTACCGCTCTCAACTCTGTCTTCTGTGTCGATGCTCAATACGAATTCGTAAAGGAATTGGGCCAGGGTGCTTATGGCTGCGTCGTAGCGGCCAGACATCGTCAGACGGGTGAAGGTTGCGCTATCAAGAAGATCACCAATATCAACACCAAGGTATCTCAAGCTTGCTGCGTGTAGGATTAAGATAGACATTAAACCCACTTTGCTTGGAAATAGCGCATCCTCACCAAACGATGCTTGCGAGAGATCAGGTCAGTGTCGCCTGTAATTGTGGATACGAACAGCTTTGTGATGAAGGCGAGATAGACTGCTGCACCACTTCCGAGGTCACAAGAACGTGAGCCTTTGGTCCTTTGGCTTTGACCGAGTCCCATCGCTGATGAAAAGACCAGATCACCTGCCTCTACGACATGGACATCGTATTCCAGCCCAATGGCAACTTCGACGAGGTCTACCTCTACGTGCGTTCACTTGACCGCCTGTTCAAATCCACAGTGTACTGAACGGTCCCTCCAGGAAGAGCTGATGGAGGCTGATCTCCACGCTATTGTAGGTCAAACAGTCTTCGGTTCCCGTACTCCCCGCCGTTCAACTGTTTTTGGTTAGATTCGTTCAGGCCAGCCCTTGACGGACGCCCATTTCCAATCTTTCATTTACCAAACCCTTTGTGGCCTGAAATATATCCATTCCGCCAATGTCCTTCACCGCGATCTCAAGCCAGGCAACCTTCTCGTGAACGCCGACTGCGAACTCAAGATCTGTGATTTTGGTCTCGCTAGAGGATATACCCCGGGAAGCGGCACGTCGCGTGCAGCAGGAAACCAAGGATTTATGACAGAATACGTGGCCACTAGGTGGTATCGCGCGCCAGAAATCATGTTGAGCTTCGCCAACTATGTAAGCAGCCTTTTCCTTCCGAAGATTGGTGGGACATTCATCAAGATTGTAGTCAACTGCTATTGATGTTTGGTCTGTCGGTTGTATCTTGGCCGAGCTACTCGGTGGACGGCCCATCTTCAAGGGTAGAGAGTAAGCAAGTTCCTATGACACTCACTCCGATCTGCCTTTGACACAAAGTCAGCTATGTCGACCAGCTGAATCAAATCCTCCACTACCTTGGCACCCCTTCTGAAGACACCCTCCGCCGAGTCGGATCTCCCAGAGTGAGTTACCCTCAATGATCTCGTCTCGATTCCTCTAATACGTTCGCATAAAGGCCCAAGATTACATTCGTTCCTTGCCAATCCGACCAAGGATCTCGTTCTCTACGCTCTTCCCCCAGGCCAATCCACTCGCCATTGATCTGCTTTCACGCATGCTCTGCTTTGACCCTGCTCGACGTATCAGCTGCGAGGAAGCTCTCAATCACCCTTATCTCGCCGTATGGCACGATCCTGCTGATGAACCCAATTGCGACTCTGTACGTATCCCACCTTTTACTCCGTCGAGCTACGCGACTCATCACGCCCTTCAGATCTTCGACTTCAGTTTCGAAGAAGAGGATAGTATCGAGGGAATGAAACGACTGATTGTTGAGGAGGTCAACAACTTCCGCGCGGAAGTTCGGGCGCAAGCGCGTGGTTCTGCACAAAATCATCGCAGTACCAAGGACTCGGACAACCTAGGTATTCCGTCTCGAGACGAGATTATCAGCTCCCCCGTCAAGGAATTCGGTCCTCACCCTGGCCATACGTCCAATTACACCACCAACGCTCCCCGTGCTCCGAGCCCTATTATGGATGACCCCAGTGCAGAGCTCGAACGCGAGCTTGCTAGCACTCATATCTCCAAGAAATGATCGATCTTATCGATCCTTTCATTGCTTTGCGAACCGAATCAATCTGCAAAGGATATACGTGAACATTGCTGTATAACTCTAAACAACACCTCTCCCCTCCCGCAAGATTGTTGCTGATGATTATAATGGATTGGATATGGGATATGGATGACATTTGCTACGAATACCGAGGCCGGATACCCTTGGTTACTACTGTGTACAATAGAGATGATGCTTCTCCCAAATTCTCGGCCGTGAAAAATCCCATATTATAGGTATACTACTATCACACACAGACAAAGCACTTTCAATATTTTAATCTACGCGAGTAAGTGCTAATGATTCCACGCGCCTTTAGGCAGCGATGCCATCGGTAGCATCCTCCTCATCAGAGTTGGTTAAACCCTTGGCGGCGTCGATGAAAGCCTGTACCTTGGAGAGGTCCTTCCCGCCCTGAGTGGCATTCTCAACACCTCCACTGACATCCACAGCCCAGGGTTGAACCTTCGAGATGGCAGCAGCGACGTTGCTGGCAGTCAACCCGCCAGCCAGGATGATAGGCAAGGGATAGTTGACGGATGCTTGTTTGGAAGTCTTCACCTGTCCGTTCTCTTCTTCGTCGCCAGCTTCCTTCCCAGCGCCAGCATAGGCAGCGGTTCCCCCGACGTTGATCTCGCCAGCCGCGACGACCCGCTTGGCAAGGTCCAAGTCAACGACCTTTCCACTCCCACCACTCATGCCAGATCCATCATCGCGGACGCTGTCCAGGAGGACGAATTGGTGAGCACCTGGGCGAGTGATACCCTCGAGACCCTTGCCATCAGCGGTGACATGGAAGACGCGGATGACGGGCACCGGTATCTGCTGAGCCCATTCGATAGGTTCCGAACCGTGCAGCTGAACCATATCGAGTTGGATCTCAGCAACAGTCTTCAAGATCTGCGAAAGGGGGGCATCCTGGAAGACACCGACGAGTCGAGGGCGGGAGTTAGGGCTGGATTCGGAGAGTCGGTTGGCGTGAGAGGTTAACCAGGGGGTGTTGGGAGTGTCGGGGGTCTCTTCGGACACAGCAGGAGGAGCGTCGAATCGAAGTTCGCGGATGGCTTTGGAGATCTCCTTCGCGGTGTCCCAGTCAACCCGCCTCTTCGACTTTTCAACGAACATCAACCCGATCATGTCTGCACCGGCAGTGGCGATCGCGACAGCCTCGTCCTTGGAACGAACGCCGCAGATCTTGACCAAAGGGAGACGGGAGCGCCATTTTGGTGGTTGAACCGGAGCTTCGGGAAGGGAGAAGAGGTCGCGAATGAAGGCGGAAGGGTCTTCAGCCCTCATAAGACTCTCACCAATGAGAACGGCGCCAACACCTTCAGATGCATAGCGGTTGACATCTTCGGGACCAGAGATGCCACTGAGTGCACAGAGGGTGACATCGTGGCCCTTGGTCATGTCCGCCAATCTGCTTGTGGTGTTCATGTCGACTTGGAAATCGTGGAGGTTGCGGTTGTTGACGCCGATGACCTTTGAGCCAAGGGAAAGGGCGATCTCCATTTCCTTTGCATTGTTGACCTCGACGAGGGGCTCCATACCCAACTCGAGTGAGTAGGCATAAAGGTCTCTGAGGAGCCCTTCAGGAAGCATGCTGACGATTAGCAATACAGTATCGGCACCCCAGATGCGAGCTTCGAGGATCTGGTATCGACTGAGGATGAAGTCCTTGCGCAGGATAGCTGGCCTATTGGGCAGGTGGGCAACACTGTTACGTGCGTGCAACATGTCCTGCAACGATCCCAGGAACCACTTGGGCTCTGTCAATACGGAGATGACGGCAGCTCCTGACAATGCATAAGTCAGAGCCTGGGTTGCTGGAGAGGTTGCCACGGATATAGGGCCCTTGGAAGGGGAGGCACGTTTGATTTCGGCAAAGAGGGAGGGTCGACCAGTTTCCGACTTGATACGCTCGGTGAATGAGATAAGAGGAGGGGCGACGTTGAGAGCGTAAAGGGTCTCGAGATCGGCCAATGTGGTGCCAGGTGTCCGCTGCGCAAGGGCAACGTCGTTGAGACGTTGAGCATAGATCTTGTCGAGGATGGAAGGGACCTTCTTTGCCGCAGCGGGGTTGGAAGAGATTTCTCTTGGGAGGTTTTCGATGGGGAACGGAGGGAGGGACTGGTCAAGAACCTGTGCTTCGGGGTTGACCTCCCAAGTACCGCCCCGAAGTGAAAGAAAGTTGCGGATGAGTTCATCGCCGCCCTCACTCAGGATGCTTTCGGGGTGGTACTGGACAGCTTCGATGGCATATTTCCGGTGTCGGACGCCCATGATGACCCCCGACTCTTCGGTAACGGAAGTAACGGCGAGCTCGGCAGGAAGGGTAGATAACGCCGCACTGAGAGAGTGATATCGAATAGATTTGATTCCTTGAGGGATGCCCTTGAAGCAGCCCCGATTGTCGTGTCTGACCTTGCTGACTTTGCCGTGCATGATTTCTCCGGCGTAACTGAAATTTCGGAGTTAGCCCCGAATCGTACAGAAGCAAGTCATTTATTGAGGCAAGACGGCCCTGCGTGAAGGCGAGGTAGGGGAGGGACTTAAAATTAGAAACTCACGCAATTGTACCGCCATAGACATCCACAACACACTCCAAACCCATGCACACTCCAAAGATGGGGACCTTGCCCTCGAAGTATTTGATCGCGGCCCTCGAGATACCAGAGTCGGTCTGAGGATGGCCAGGGCCCGGCGAGATGATCAAGTGCTTTATCTTGAGCAAAGGCAGCTGGGATTCGTCGATAGCATCGTTGCGGATGACGGTGACATTCGCCCCGGCGAGGCACAGTTGTTGGTAAAGATTCCAGGTGAAAGAGTCGAAGTTGTCTATCATCAAGACATCGAGCTGGCCCTGAAGATGAGGGGGAAGGGTCGACTGGGTTGCGGACATATCGAATGCGTATGTGGGACGAGGCGAAGTTGGGAACGGATTTCTGGACGAGACCGGGGATTATAAGGAATTTCGGATTTGCAAGATCGTCCGTCCAATCAGGATTCTTCGATCGTCACTGTCAGGCCGTAATAATTGCCCAATAAACGCTTGTTTTATAACGAGCCTTCCAATAACACTGTCAGCCTGGTTTGCGACTGATTAGTATTAGAACTGGACGGACGTACAGGAACCTGGACGTGAGGCTTGCCCTGGAAATGAACAGTCTTCGTCAGCCGACAATAATGGCTGTCTCTAGCTCAACACAGAAGACAGTCGGTGTGTGAGTGAATGTGAGCTAGATCGCTGTGAATTCGTGAAGAAGGAGGAACAGCGGCCGGATTCAAAGGTAAATGACTCCTGCCAAACATTTCGGCCAAGGGTAAATTGATGGAATTTCCTTATCCGGTACTGTGACGCCCATTTGGTGGACCTGCATTGGCTTGCTTCTTCCTCAGTTGCCCTTCACCAGAGATGTCCTCTGATCCTGGCCACCACTAGCACCATCTCCGACGCCACCCCAGACGACGACGACGACCAACACAAACCGACGACGAGAAACTCGACTAGCTCTTGGAGTGGTACTCAGCCATGGCGGAAGCAACTTGTCACAAGCACCGCAGTGCAGAGGACCCTCCCTCATTCTGGCAAAACGGTGACGCCGTCTTCCAAGGTATGCACTCACTCGTCTGCACGACGATCTCCTTGATTAATTGGCATATTTCTACCAGCCCACCATGTGCGTAGCCAATTAATTTTAGCGCACACTGACCCTGAACCCTGAATGACGCTCGGATCGCAGGTTGGTTGGATCATTTCTGGTACATTCGCGGCTGTGGCGACCGGAGTGTCCTTCTGGCTCATCGACAAGCATCTTCAGTGGTATACAAATGTGCGTTGTCGCATTCGTTTTAGAGTCGTGTTGGCTCATGTTCTCTGTAGAAGAAAGAACAGCGGTGTACGAGCGGCCATTTTCTTCGCAACGACATGCAAAATCTCACGACACGCCCCAGATATCGTCCGGCTCCTCTTCCTTGTTCCAATATACGCTATAATCAGCTTTGCATCGTTCCTCTTCTGGGTATGCCATTCCCCAACTCCCAACGAAATCATCGTTACTGACTGCGCCGTAGAACCAGTCCACCCCATTGATTCTTGTTAGAGATGCATACGAGGCTATCGTCCTTACGGCGTTCTTTTACCTGCTTCTTAACTATCTGTCGCCTGACCCCGAAGAACAGAAGAGGGTTTTTCTCAAGGCTGGTTTGTCCCAGGTCAATGACGCCGCGCGCCTGCAGAGAGGCGAGAAGCTTCAGAAATGGATGTGGCCAATGGGATTTGTCAAGTGGAAACCAAAGGTACTGTTTCTCCAATAACGTACTCTGCCCAGGTCTCAACACCTCGCGGTATGCATAGGACGGCCTATACTTTTTGCAACTCATGAAATGGGGCATTCTCCAATACTGCGTCATACGTCCTGTGTTCGTACTTTGCATTGCTGGGAGTCAAAAAGCGTGGATTGACGTTGTTACAGAGCCACTCTTGTCGCTGTCATATTGGACTACGTTGGTCTGTACTGCGAATCGTCGTGGGCGCCTGGCTGGGGACATCTCTGGGTTCGTTACACCCTTCTAGGTTTTCTCGATTCCTCAAGCTTGTTCAACTCAAACAACGCAGATTGTTCTCATCATCTCCGTCTCAGTAACCATTGCTATGTACTGCCTATTGCAACTGTACTTTCCAGTCGACAAACAGCTCAAGCCTCATCGACCTGTTCTCAAGCTCTTCGCGGTCAAAGCTGTTGGTGCGTAGCTACTCCCACAAATTCAACCAACCGATGTTTGACGGTTGCCGCAACACAGTTTTTCTCACCTTCTGGCAAGCGACGTTTTTGTCACTTCTCAGTCTCGTCGGCGTTGTCAAAGATGCAGGTGCTCGCCTCTACCTTGGTTGTGCAGCCTCTTACGACTCTCCAGGGTAAATACATGACAGCAGAAGACATCAACATCGGCATAAGGGCTTTGTTGGAGACTTTCGAGATGATGTAGGGCTTTTCAAACCTTTCTTTTATTCGTTCCTGCGATTGATGACCCGAGTGCTCAGGATATTTGCATTCCTCCACGTGAAAGCGTTTACTTACAAGCCGTATCGTCCATACTACAATACGGAATCCAAGGATTCCCCTCCGAACAGGACTCCGCGGTTGCGGTCGCTGGGACATGTTCTCGACTTTCGGGAGACGTTCCGTGAGATATGGATCGGCTGTATCTACCTCTTTGATAAGATGAGAGGAAGGGAGCCTACTCCTGACTTTGGCGTTCGAAGAGCTGCCCACTACGAAGAGGCCTTTGGCAGGCCCCGACCATCAGTGCCCCCTCAGAAGGCGGCAAGGAAATCAAATGCTCCTAAGAAGATGCAGAAACCAAGGCCTGGTGAACCCATGGACATCACAATTAATCAACAGGTCGAAGTGGAAGTGGGGGGCGAAAGGCAATGGCTGGGTATAGGCGATGACTATGGCTATGGCCTGGGTTATTTCAGGCGGGAAAGGAGCGAAGGTCTTAGTGCGCAAATCGAGAAAGAACTACAGAATCGAGGCTACTCAAGTGAATCGTCTCTTTCAACTTCTTGTGCTGGAGCTGACTTGCCTTTTTTATCGCAAAGGTGATTCAGTCCAAGGCATTCAAGACGCTGTCCCGCCAGAGCGCGGGCAACCAAGCACGGAGCAAGTCAAGCGAAGGCGGTCGGGTTCATGGTGGCGCAATCTATATGATCGAATCTCCCAAACCGGGCATGAAGATGATACCAACGATACTTCTCTGACTCCCTCTATGCCCCGGAGACTACAATCCAAGCCAACCCGGTCGCGTCGGCATAGCGAAATGCAACGAAGTTTACTTCAGGATACAGAGCACGATCTCAATGATCCTCCGCCAGTTTCTTCCTTCCGACGACCAACGGGTCTTCCCGTTCCAGTCATACGTCAGACACCCAGCTCTGGTAACGATTATGCCTCAGGACAAGAGAACGACGTACTTGCTCCGTTGTCTTCGTATCGCGAACGGAGACGGTCCTACCGACCAAGACGTCAACGGGGCGATTCCTCCTCTGCGCTTCTGCCTCAGCCATCCCCGCCATCTCCTCCGCCCCACTCCAACCCAGACCGACGATCAGACGGGGAGCATCATCACGATATGAGGGAGCTGGGTGTGCGCCAGCCGCACGAGTTTCTTTCAATCCCTGCATCGAACAACCGCTCCGACAGCCTTCTCAATCGCCTCTTTCCTCCGTCCGAGGCGGGATCAATGAACGACCTAACGCGGGAAACAGATAGCGGATATTCAATGTCTGTGGGCGATCATCACCTCCATCAGCCTCGAGGGCTTCCCAGCACCACTTTCACAGGTGGGCGCTTTGACTCATCGTCATCTCTAGAAGGAGTGACGGGAGATAAGCGGCTACAGGTGCTAGAGAACGTGGTACATCCGTCCAGGAGCATGGCAGAAATGCACACTCCGTGGACCGCTGATATCATTGGTCTTCATTCCCAAACCAGCCTCAACCCAGATCAACCCCCTGTCCCACCAGCGAAGGACTACATCCCTTTGCCTCCACGACGATCTCATCGACGGGAATCAGCGCACCATCTGTCTCGCGACATGGATACAGATTCCCTACCTTCGCTACCTGAGGGAGTGCAATTCATTCCCCCCAGCCCTCCGAGTCGAACTCCTTTCGACTCGCCTTCGCCATCTACGGCTTCCTTTGCGTCTTTCTCTGAACAGAGCGCCCTCAGCTTGGTCCCAGAACCCAGATCTCCGCCCATTTCACGTGTGCGAGGCGCTCGCAGACCACCCGCTGATTCTGGCGGGATGCTGTCGCCCAATAGCAACAGACCCATAAGTCAGCGCCATTCTCGATCCATTGCAACCCCAGCACATTCGCCGAGGAGCAGTGGGCATTCCCTCAATACGGACCCCTATACTAGTCCACCCGGCCCCGCTTCTAGGATTGGTTCTGACAGCCAAGATCGGTTGAGGCCACCTCCAGCTCTTCGACGAGTTCAATCGACCGATTCTGATAACTTATCTGATGTTTCTGCAAACACTTTTTATACTGCCGTTTCTCATGGCTATGATTCGACACAGACTTCACGACGATGAATACTTACGACCCTATTCACGATTATCCTTATCGACTTGGAATGTCTCTGGACCCTCATGTACTCAATTGGTTTTGTTCGCTTTGCAATGTATACAGCCACTGCTACACCTCCGATCTGCGAGGCTACCGTCGTCATGTGGAAAGACTAGCGTGGAAAGTGAATGCAATATTGAACCGCAGCACAACGCTATAGCTACAGGGAAGTTATGAATGTCAATTAAACAGAGAGCAGATGATATCAGGTGCGGGAACGAAAGCAAGAACAATATGAAGTGATAGCAGAAGTAATAATCGGTCTAAATCTGCATCTCGAGCCTAAGGCATCGACAGAAAGATGGTGTCCATGTAAACAAGCGAGAAGTAATGCAATCATGGCAAGAGCAAAGAATGTCCCTAATGCGTAGTCTTTTTAAGTCCAAGCTTCCCCCGTTCCAAGATGACAACAGACCCTTCGAGCGGTTCCACTTCGAGATTGTTGATGTAGTATTCCGAGTGTAAAACGCGACGTGCGTTGATTTTGTTGAGAACCATCTTCGTCTCGGCCGTTCTCTCCGTATCAGAGTCCTCTTCTTCTCCAGAATCATTTGGAAGGTCCGAGTCAATCGTAGCAATGGTAGTGGTGACGACCTTGGCGTTATGGCGCCGCTGAGTTGACTTGATTGCGTGTTCTAGAACGGCGGGATGCACGAGAGGTTTCGAAACGTCCAGCAGGGTGTGCTCCAGCTCAGCCTTCTCAGCGATCTGTCGATGCTGTTCAGGGGACGTTGGGTTGAAGAGGTTGACGCAAAAGTCGAGGGATTTTTGAAGTTCAGACTCTGACAGCCGAGCACCCATATCTGATGCGCCCTGGATAACTGAATGAGCCTTGTCAGTACACACAGGCTTGGGGCGCACACGAGAGTCATTCGTACCGGGACGAAGAAGCGCGAATGCTCGATCGTAGTTATCCTCGTCGATGTCAGACAGAATACCCTCTGATTGCGAGCGAATCTGCTTGTAGGCACTCAGCACCACTATCTGGAAGCTTTAGACAGCGTTAGCTCCAAAGACATGGCTAGACCTGGTATCCAGGTACTTACCGAGTGTAACTGGTGCTTACGCGCCGCGTATGCCATAGCGCCGCTTCGGTTTCCGTGCAATGACATCGAAGCGAGGCGCAGATCGTAGCAGCCGCAGACAAGGCAGAGGTCATGGCTAAATGGACCCCACTCGAGAAAAAGGGGTCGATAAAAGCTGGATAGCTGAGCTCAGCATCGAGAAGAAGATTGGGAAGTTCGATGGTGCTCACCCCCAGCATCGCCAATTATCCGGTAGCCAGGACCTGCGTATGAATTGGCCGAGTAACTGAAATCACTTGCGCTTTTGACGCTTCCTTTTTGCAGGGTTCCCGATTGTGTGATTAAGTTCACGACCCCGGGAGCAAGCGAAAGACTTGATAGGTAGCGGGACTCCAACGAGGCTGGACCGTCATTGGCTGTCGGGTCCGAGTTGAGAGTTGTTGGCTCTGAGGGCCGTTTCGTACGAGCACTGTATTGTTTCTCGTTCATTACCACACCGACAGAGGTAGTTCCATTGTGCAAAGGAATGAACCAAGCCCATCCCGATTCATCTAATAGGGACCAGCAGATCAGCAATCAGTTGGTGCTGATAGAGGTGGGGCTATTCTTACCTGTCAAAGCTTCAAACCAAGGTGCACCTTCACGATCCGTGTTTCGACCATATGTGTCAACGTCACTCCAATACCCCCAGACAGCGATGTTCTTCAGCGACGCGTTGTAATGCCTATTTTTGAGGTATCGCGTCGATAGCAGCCCAGCCCGTCCCGTCGCGTCAATCAAATGAGTGAAGCTAGTTGACCCCTTGATTCGTTGAAGTCCTTCAGTGTCAGGCCTAGGGCTTTCAGAGGAACTCGAGCAAAAGCGGGAAAAGGGGGATCGTCTAGGCGAGGCTGGAGGTGACGGTGGGCGAGGTGGAGGAGTGTGCGTCCATGATACCGATACTGGGCGGTCGGGCTCGATGGCGGAGAATTCGACCGATTCGACGCGCGTTTGCTCATAGACAGATACTCCACAGGACCGAGCATGATTCAGCAGCATGAGGTCGAATTCAGAACGAACCTGCAATGAATGCGTTAACGACTGGTCGACAAGATAACGGGTCGCGGGTGGGATGAAATGGCGCACTTACAACGTTCCAAGCATTGTTCTGGTGACCAAGAGCGACAAAATCGGTATCTGTGCCAATCCTTTAGCAACGGCGGCAACACTACAGACGAAAACCTTACATCCTTCCCGCTTGTATTGGTTGAATTTTATAGCAGACCCGGGCTATACGAGGATTGGTTGTCTGCCTTAAGGCTTAATGGGAGACTAACCTTGCGGACGAAACCCATTGAAGCGAGTTTTTCTTCGGCTCCAATGAATCTGAGGTAGTGTCGAATGGAAGGTATCAAGCTTTCCCCGATGTGGTAGCTGTAAAAACTCGGTCAGACAGGAAATCAAGTCATTGAAACGTTGTTAACCGTACCGGGGAAATTTGGACGCCTCGAGAAGGGTGACGTCAATACCCTCGCGAGCTAAGGCGGCAGCAGCGTACGCGCCTGCTGGACCACCACCAATCACGAGGACCGAAGAATGCTAAGTGAAGGTTAGGTTAATGACTCGAGGAACGGAGAGACAACGAGCGTACTTTTGGTGGAATAGAGGTAACGATCATCGAGATGCTAATAATTAAAGGGAAGGAGAGTACGAAGGAGAACAAATGGGAGACATGGATTTTATACGAAGTTGCCTAGGCTGATCGCCAGATTAATAGCCACAAATAGTCCAAACGGAGCGACCCTCTGAAAGGAAGTCTGCTTTCCAAATAAGGTTAGGCAGGAAGTCCGAGGACAGATGCATCGAAATTCTTGGAATTCCTGCGGTCCTGTAGAAAGTAAGGGCAATTTTAGCATCCATCGATAATTCTGAACTCGAAAGAGCTTATACAGAATTCTTCGGTGAACAAATTCCACGTGGGTTTCGAAGCTTCCTCGGAAGCTTCTTTGTCGATTCCAATCACTGTGCCCACTTGCCAGGCGATCTGATTGACGCGCTGCAGACGGTATCATCCCAAGCGACAGCGAAAGGTAGCGACGAGGAGCTGCACGTCGCGACAAACAGATGAGACTGGCAGGACTTGGAGCCCTCGTTCTCTGCACTCCTATCGGACCATGCGAATGAAGATTCTTTTGCCATGACAAATGATCGATAACTGCCAGCTGCGCGCCCGCTCAGCGGTTGGTATACCGAGAAAGAAGTCGAAATCTGCTTCTTAGGGGCTCGAAATCGAATGACGGAAAACGTGGAGATAAAAACAAAAACTCCCAATTGGTGCAAATCTGGCCCGCGGAGATGGGAGCAAGAGACAGTCCAGAGCATGCCTTGTTTTCTTTTTTGCATTGAGACTGCGCTTGGCTGGAGCCTTCATAATCGGTCCTTGCGAAGGGCTATGTACTTTTAGCCTCGCCGAAAATGTGTAAACATTAAAGCCATGTGGAGTTCCTTCTGCCGGGCAGTTTGCGTCTTGGGTAGCGTTAATCCTGCGAGAAGCGGGTTAACCAAGTGTATCACTCAATAGCGGAAAGTTACGAGGACGGGCACCTGGTGGCCAGGGGTAGATAGCTCGAGTGACGCAACAGGCGGCATATGCGTGACATGTCACAGTATCACGTGATGGGACATGTTCGCGTGCCTCGTGTAGGTGCGCCAAGGCGAACTTTGACCGGGACCACCAGCGTGAAGCAGAATGGAAGCAGTTCTTACCTATCTCGAGGACCTAGATCTGGAATCCCCTGTTTCGTCTTTCTCTCCAGAAAAACAGAAGAAAGTACACAGTATGTCCTTCTCTTCGTGGATAAGCCCAGGAATGCTAACATAATATCGTCGGGTGGCAGATCTGGTTCAGCAGGCGCTGAAGAAAGATGATCTCAGGAGTAAATCCGTCCCCCCGGATATTTTGCGATATGCCGTGCTCGCAAACGTCTTTCCAGAATACGATGTTTCAAAGACGAAACTGATTCTTGCCCTACTCACGTCATTGGAAGCTCAACGCAAGGTTCATCTCGATTATTTAGAGGGCGAACATCCTTCCCTTCTTCAACCGGACGCAAGTCAGCTAGCTAACGACGAGGGCGGGCTATTGCCCTCCCCGGAACTGAAGAAGCATATATTTGAAATGAAGGAGTTCGATTCCGACATGCACGAAATGTTTCTACGCATCGTAGAGACGGCGACCTGCTATGTACGCCCAGATATTTTCTTTTGGAAAATCAAACGCTCACCCTGCCTATAGCATGCTTATGATACATGGCTCAATCACTCCCTTCCTGACTTTTGGGAACGGTTCAATTATTACTTCCCTGCATTGTCGGGGACCGGTTCTCCGAGATGCATTTTCTACAAAATGATGTCCCCCGCTGAAGACCAACGCCTAAAATCGGCTGGCATGTCATGCCTTCACGCCATTACAGAAGGCTTTGCTATTGCCAAGGAACTGAATGCCACATCAGAGTACGTGAGGTGTCCGTAGTGACTGAAGAATCTAACCCTGTGACTCCAGACTTTCTGTCAATGACATCCTCAAGTCAGATGAATTCAGCACTATCCACACTCCCGATTTCGTAACCAGGGCCGGCGGTCTGCAAGCCGTTATCAAAGCCTATGTCAATACTATTTGCGACGATCACAGAATAATACAAAAGCTGATGGGGTACTAAGTGAGGCTTATCGTAGGATTTAAAGTAAAGTCTATGATGCACATCCAAACCCCGTATCAATCAATCCTAACTCAGTCCCACTGTATCCTTCTAGCATACTCTCGAATGTTCGAAACAAAGTGTTCTTCGACTTCTTCACCGGCTCCTGTTGCAACCTTCAAGATCAACTCGTTTAACCCTGTTGATCCAAGGATATCGACGTGGTCGCCGGTGCTTGCTCCTCCCCTTGGAATGGAAGCGACAGGCCGGTGCTCAAACTGTCCGAAAATTAGCTTCCAAGTCCACGAAGAACACCAGAAGAAACATACCTCCACTGTCTTGATTTTGATTCCAGCGGGATTCCATCGAGGTCGCTTCCACCCCTCGACACACATAGCCCCGAGGCTCAGCAAGCTCACAGTGCCATCCCCTTCACCAATCTTAACGCCATTCAGGATCTTCGGCGACGCGGTTTCGTTAGTGTAACCAAAGTCGATCCAGCTTTTGCGGGAGAGGAAGAGGTTCGAAGCATTCGAGTTGGTGCAGCTCTGGCCCTCGGGGCAGTTAGGGGATAGTCCGCCGGCGGGGACGTCGAGCTCTTCGTCGTGTTCTCCGCCCGCGTACCTAGACATGACTCGGTTTAGTTGCTATGCAATTTATAAATTGGAGGTAGTTACCAGTATGAACGCTGTATCCGTGCAGAACATGATTAACCATAGAATCCATCTCATTGACGTACACCTACCTCGGTATCCTTTCCGACACCATATGTGCAATAGATCTTCATTGATGGCGCATAGGGCAATCTAGACCGAGTCAACCACTGATCCCTTATGTAGCTTGGGAGACATCCACTGACCTGACTTCAAGTGGGTTGGTCCATTTCCGATGATCCAAGTCATTCTTCTTCAACGTCTTTTCGTCACGCTCAATTCCATACGAGTAATTGGTTTGCATCATGCGCTAGAGAGGTATTAGCCTTCAATGGTTCAACAGCGCGGTATTTGCCGTATTTACCTGGAATGCAGGCGGTGTGTGCTGTAGTATCCAGTTACCAGCATCTTCGGCCGTCATATTCCTGAGGCTAGGATCGACGAAGCTATCCGCAATAACTTCTCTGGCCCTGAAAGAGATAAGCTCCCCGTGACTGCACGTTGAATTGGCCATATCATCCGGCGCATGCGTCGAATTTCCCCAGATTGCGTTACCTCCCTGCCACGAACCATCAGTCAGCGATGTCTGTCATTTCCTTCCAACCCGCGCGGATACGATCTCCGGAGGCGCACCTTCATCCACATGCTCGCACTTCCTGCCCAACTCAAGAAGAGTCGTTTCCGTTCCTTTCTGGAGAAGAATCGTTCTAGCACTAGAGCCAGTGGGGCAAGAGTCAGGGTCGGAAACAAAAGGGGGATGGATTGGTGTACCGTATGCTCCGGCGGGGTTCATTTGGACAGTATCCTTCATTTCCCCTGACAAGAACGCCGCCATGGCTTTTGCCTGAATGAGGTTTGTCAATTCGAGTCTCGAAGATTTTGCTTTGGAATCACGGTACCACTCCCTGAAAAATGCAGTGCGTCATGAGTGAGCTGTTTGTGCTGCTCTAACGGAAGACATATGGCCTACCAAATGCGTTCCGGCAACGCTGATATATGCTTCGACGTGGTCCTGTAACAATGCAGGTCCAGGAGTCTAGTATTGCGCAGATCCGCAGAGAACACGGACCTCGACCCATCTATCTCCTCCTTTTCCATGTAGTGGTGATTCCACCCATTTGAAGCTGGAGAAATCAAATAATTCATCTTGGGAATGCGGGCGCAGTTTGGTCAAGACTCACAAGTACTGTAAAAAGTATGTCAACTAATAGTCAGTCAAACCAGCATGACGCATACCAACATGACCTGCCATCATCATTTTCAAATTCAAGGTCAACAGAAGCAACGCTTTCACTTACAGTCGCGCCCATCGAATGCGCAGTAATGACGACCTTCTTGTCATGACGCTCCCTTTGTCGCTAGTCAGTTGCTTGATTTGTGCGCGCGGTGAACCCACTCACTTGAGACTCTCTATAGTCTGCTTAAGCTTGCTAAAGTAGCCGTCGCGTTCTTCCAGGTTATAGTACGACAGTCGCCAGTCATAGGGTGCAAGATATAGGTTGTTGGTATCGTAGTTGACAACTGCCAAGTTTTCTACTATCTTTGACCTATTCAATGTTAGCCTGGATGATAATGATAGTTCGGGACCGCACCATATCCAATAGCCTTGAATGAATGAACTTGCAGCGTCGATACCTTCTGCAGCCCTGATTTTCACACCAGGTGGATCAAGACCGGTGACGGGATCCAAGACCATCGCAGAAATCCATTTCTCCTTGTTGAATGTAACCTGGGACAGCATACCGAAGCCGCCCCACATCTTCTGGCGGAAGAATGCCCTATATTCTGGAGAAGTCGACCATGAATCCAGTCCCTAGTGACGTCAATAGAAACTCCGGTTAGCTGGGCAGTATTTTCTGCATGAATAGCGTGCCGCACAGTCGAAATAATGCCTGGTATAATGATAACGGGGAATTCAGCCTCCAATCCGCGGGCTTTCATGGCATCTCCGACTTGGAATTCGCGTCCGTCATTGTTGAACTTCCAAACCTCTGGAATGTTGCTCCGTATCCTCGCCCATTCGGTTTCCAGTCGAGAGAAGTCAAAGTCAGGGAACTGGGGTAAATTGAGGTCGTATTCGCTTAATATGAGGGCCATTTGACCGTGTAGGTCTTGGATGTCTTGTGGTTCAATGAACGAGAAACCTAATAGAATCCCCACTGGGTGTCGATGTGTCAGGTTGGGAAATGGACATGCAAGATCTCTAACGTACGTATGATTCCCAGAGGGAAGAGAAATCTCCCTGTACGGTACCATGGCTAAGCCAGAGCCCTTAGCCTACAAATTTCAACCGAGCGTCGATGCGGACCAACCTTCCTCAGCTTCTTCACTTCAACCTCCAACTCGCGTCTCTTCTGCTCCGCGTCCTTTGGTTCTTGTTCATCAATGACCGCGTCGTCAGAGTCATGGGCATTTAAGGTTGACTTCTTGCGATGGATCAAGACCATCCTCGACGGTCGAGGTCGTGAATACGAAAGTGGATGTGTGGTCGCTCTGGGCTATGTATGCTGCTGCAGATGAAAGGACAAGGCGGAACTCCCTCATCCGACTCCGCAGAGCGACTGACTGCCATTGATGGGCCTGATCCGATCTCTCGGCAGTACTAACGCGAAAACGACAATCTCGATACTTAACTTCCAGGTAGTATGAATTTACAAGTACATTCAGGCGCAGATCATGACGTGTAAATAAGACCTCCCTACGAACCCCTACATTTCTACTCCCCACACTCAGGGCATCCATGGTTCTGCAATCGGATGTCAGATCTCCTCACCGGAAAGCATCACGAAGAAAAGAGGTGCGTACGGGTCCAACAGTGTATGCGTGGCCATTGAAACAATGTCGCCAGTGGTCCTTGATCGAATGAGCTGGACGAAAAGTTAGCCACTCGAAGATAATTGTAGTAGAAGGAAACGTACAAGTCAAGAGGGATGGAGGGATATGCCGTCGCACCCAATCTATAGCAGAAGGGTCATACGTCGTCGTACCGAATTTGACTGCTCGCTCGAGGGACACAGCCGCCGCATCGAACCTGGTAATGGGCGTGGAGAAATTCTCTTTGAACCATATTCCGTCCTGTGGTAGTAACGCCAGATGTCGTCGGATGGCGTCATGACTAATGCGCTCGGTGGTAGTCTTGTGTCTTGCGATGGCACCCAGAAGCTGGCCGCTAGCCTCGGCAACACTTCCAAATCGACTGGCCATGTTGTAGGAGAAGTGAAGGTACTCGAGTTCTGCTCGAAGGACGTAAAGTTGAGATAGCGTTTGGAGGCGGTGCGCATCGCCCTCCTTCGCAATTTCGGCGGCGGTGAAGGTGTCCTCGCTGCAGGTCTCATGAATGAAGTGGCAATAAGTGGTCCATGGTTGCAATTCCAGCCTCGTTACAGGCTTGTCGGCCAGGTGGTCGAGAAGCAGGATGACCAGGGAAGCAAGGATAAGCCTGGTATGCACGCTCAACAATATCGCTTCAACCAAAAGTTGTTGATGGAAGCGAGGCTGATGCTGCCCGACTTGAGCTCGTGCAGCGCGCGCCGCCTGGTCTCCCGATCCGTTTGCGGGGTCAACTCCAGCACTGCCAATCATGTTGACCTCTTGATCCAGTAAATAGGAGTATGCCGAATCCCAGGCTGTCGTGTGCAAGGGGCGAGTATTGGCTACCTTATTGAGTCGGACCAATATGTCAAACAAGGGTCGCGTCGCCGCTCTCCATATCTTGGCAATCTGCGGCGATGGGTTGGGCCCTTTTTTATTCATTGGGTCCAACGACTGAACTGGAAACGGGCCCTTTCGACCAGCCGCAGCGGTCTGGAGTAGTTTACGACCGCCGTTATACCTCGCTAGTTGCGTGACATTCTTGATGCTCATGATGCTGGCCGAGTCAAGCTTGAAGATGGCCTCCTCGAGGCCGAGCTCGATTTGACTGGGGGCCATATGGCGGACGGATACTTTGCCGGAATTGAGGGAAGGGATCGTGAGGTGGATGGTGTTCCGTTCCAACACAGCGAGGCTGGCGGCCTTGTAGACACGACCGTATCGTGCAGCAGTGATGGGCGTTCGGCATGTAGGGCAAAGAGGAAGGATTGGAATTTCGCCTGCCGAAGACCTGGAGTCGGGAGTGCGGAGCCCGGTCCATCGGCCCAAGCTGTCATCGTAGATGTACCATTCCTTCAGCCTACAAGCAGTGTCCAGGACGCTGACTGTGAAAATATGTCGACAGCCGGGTAGTGTGATGATGAGGTCTTCGATCGTCAATGCCCGGGGAGGTAAGCTGTCGAGTGTACGTTGAGAACCTGGATCGACAACTGCGCGCCTGAGTTCAATCGGAGCACATATAGGACAGATCTGGTCGACACATGTCTCGCCGCAGACTGTGGAGAGATAAGTAAGATAGCTTTTCCAAAGGTGAGTTTGTACTGACCTGATGGGCAACGATGACCGCATCCTAAAAGGCGTTCACAACGTTCGTCGCAGGGTAAGCGAGTACAGACCTTAGTTAGTTTGTCAGACCTGGAATAATGGCCATTCACAATGAGCCTAAGAACGTACCGATCCACATGGAACGGGGCATCGATGATGAGGGCAGGTCCTGTAGGAGCGTCAGAAATACTCGCCTTGAGCAACCTACTGGCAGTATAACTTACCATTCGCAGGCTTTTAAGCATGGCGAACACAGATTGCCGCAATACTTTTTGCATTGTGCATGTGAACAGCGTTGTAGGCACTGTTGTTTACAAGCCGTACTGCACTCGTGGTTGGCAGAACAAGGATTCCCGCAAGGATGGGCACAGCGAAGGAGCCGTTGGCAAGCGTGCTGCTGATGATTCTCTCTGGGGACCCGTCCAATGCTGCCATACGAGAGGTTGACCTTCTGACAACTTGCGCAAGACGATTTGCAGGGACTACCGCAGCATGTCATCGAGCGTCCGCACGGACTGGTGCAAACCACGGAAAGGGGATCTTCAGAACATGCAATGAGTGCTTCGTGCTCACACGAATCGAAGCGTCTTGCCACTTTGCTGTTGCATCGGACTGTATCCAGCGAGTCCAACTGGTAACTGAAAGATAAGCCGTAGCCGTGAGCAAGTTGACAGGGATCCGAGACGAACAAAGATTTACCATGATACAGGCGCCACGTGGCCACAGGGTAGCAGTACATCAGGATACTGGAATCGACATGGAGGACAGTCGCGAGAGCAAGTGTCACGACAAGGATGATGACGACTGCAGACCTTCGAACATGGGCTGGTGCAAACCGCGGAGCTATGATCGTCCGAACACCCGACGAGAGCCTCGTGTTTGCACGAATCGAAACGTATCGGCACTTTGCTCTTGCATTTGACGGTACCCAGTTTCTCCATCTGGTGGCTAGCAGCGAAATGCAGTCGGTGAGTCGAGCAAAAAAATAAAGATGAACGAATGTTATACCAAGGTACAAATGGCGCAACATGTCCACAGGGTAATGGAACATCCTTGTATTGGAATTGACACGGTGGACAGGGCTTGGAGCAATCGCTGCGACAGCGATGCTGTCGACTGCAAACCCTTGCGCATGGTTGCCTGCACTTCGATTTTACGTGGTTCCTATCGTCCGGGTGGCACTGCAAAATGTGAAAGAGTAAGGCGTATATATGCCCCAGGGTGAAGAAGCAAATATACCTTCAAGGGACATTGGTGTCCGCAGCCAAGAGCGTCGCCGCACGGTTGAAGACAACCACCTGCATGACGGTTAGCGCCGCTTCTCGTCGTGAATTCTAACTATCCCGACCTTCTGGTGCGACTTTCTCCAGCGTACCTGGTGCAGAGATGTACTGACGATAACCAGGGTGCCTTGAGCACTTTATCGGGATGCCGCTGCCTATCCAGCCATTCTGGTCCAGCTGGTCAAGAATGCTTCTCCACATACGACTTTTTGAGGCCAGTAGTGCGCGATTGCCAAGAATAAACAGACCCTCTTTGGCGCGAGAGAGAGCCACTGGAAAAAGAGTTAGTGCAACGGATCACCAAGCAAGGCTGTAGGGAGAGAACCATTGATTCGATTTTCGGACTGCGCCATTCTTCACTTTAGCATCCGCACGCTGCTCTGGATTGGGGATACATACTTTAAGAAAGCCAATAGTGGAGCGGTTCTGGTTCTCGGCGTCCCACCGGGATGTTGCGTTACGAACAAGGGAGAGAATCACAATCTAGAATAGATATCAATGTGGTGGAATAGACTATTCGGAAATGTCTTTACCTTAGCCTCCTCTCCCTGGTAATTGTCGACTGTACGCAACCGAACCTGATACAAGCTGAGCATTAGTTGCAAAGCAACTAACGGAAAAGCACTGACCCTCTTAGAGACCCTGAACTGTTCGACGGACGGCGTCGGATCGTCGTTTTCATTTCCATCTTCTCGGGAAGCCAATTCATCTTGATCACGCTCGTCGATGACGACTGCGACAACATCTTGCAGCGCATCTCTAACCTTGGCCAGCTGTCCGAGGTAGGCACAGAGAACGACAATGTCACCTTCTTTCGAGTAACATCCTTGCCTACAGATCGGTTAGCACTGGAGGAGCGTAGCCGCGACTCGGAGTCCGCGAGACGTACTTCAGGAGATAGAGAACGAGATCTCGAATCATTTTGACCTGGGAGAATAGAGCCTACCGTTAGCATTGCGTTCGGCAAATAGACAGGCACCTTTACTTCGTAGTCGTTGTATCTGCTACCGCCGTCGTCAATGCCTCCAGCTTCTGGGTTTTGGTGGTCGAGGAAGAAAATATTCTCTGCAAGGCCTCGGACGTTGGGGTAGGTCGTAACAAGGTCATTATCGACCAGGTTGGGATACAAAGTAGTCCTGATTCCGGTATGGTCCGTCAAGTGGCAGGAAGGTCTCACAAAAAGGACCTACCTTATGAGGTTCGAGATGGTCGGCCGCATCCTTCTCTGCACGTCGATTTGAGACATGGGGAATCCCGAGGATGATAATCGCTCCATGAGCGACATGTCGAACTTGAAAAGGCGGCTGCCTTGCTTGCTGTCCATTGAGAGAGCTGCGCGCCAGGAAGTAAGACCAGGGTAATCGTAGAGTTGGGAGAAAACGTACAATAGTTATTCAAGGTTGGTCGTAATTGCAAAGGGTCACCTATCAGAATCATGTGTTCGATTGAAGGTACCAGGCTGCCTAATATGTGGGCCTCAAGAACCTGACCTGCTTCTTCAACGAGCATGATGCGCGGGCCTACACCCTGTAGACGAGTTATTTTCAGCGTGGTTAATATCTCATCATTGCGAATGGTACTGACTCTCAACAGCGACGTCAATTTAGCAGCGCCTAGTACTGGTGAGCCAAAGTTGCAAAAAATTAGTTAGATACTCACCTGTGGTCGTACATCCAACTATATCCACCCCTTCAAGTAGCTGTCGTCGGACCTAAACACATCGGTTTGCCTCAGGTGGGAAATACTGCTGAGACAAGACCCAGCACGCACCTCTTCTTTCCCTTCGTTGTAGGCCCTCAAAACCGTGTCATGATCTTGCTTCAGACGGTCGAACTCGGATGCGTAGAGTTGTTCCTTGGATCGGCGAATCTCTTGCTTCCAATAACCATCCAGGGTTGCCCGTTCAGTGCGCGACATCCGCCAAAGATTCCAATCCTCCAAGAGATTTTCCAAGGGTCGATCGAGAGAGGGAATCGAAGGTACTGGCTGGTCAAATGCCTCAAAGAATACGTCCAGGTTCGAACGGCGTGGAGGTTCAACGGGTGGGTCCGGTGAACGTGCAAGTCCCTGGTCTCCAGAGCGGTCTGCTTGGTCGGAGTTCATTGAAGGATTGGACGTCGATTCGACCTCAGCGCCGGAGGCAAAGAAGCTTTTTTGCCATTCAGGAAGGTCCCCGACAGGACATACCTCGTCGTCTTCGTCATCGAATGACCCCACTTGCTCGAGGAGGTCGAACATGTTGGTGGATTGGACCTCAGAGTGACTCTCCCGCGGTGGGTCGAGCTCTTCGTACGTTGGAGTCGAAAGAAATGCTATGTCTTCATGTCTTGACCAGAAGCTGTAGAGCGAGTCATCCCGAGGGTCATTGCGTCCCTGGTTTCTGTTGACTTCGGTCCATCGATCTTGGTACGCTATTTGCAACTGTCGATGGAGCTCGCGAATCCAAGCAGGAGGGTCTCGGATACTTTTGCCATGTTCCGGGAATTTGTCGAGGAGGAAATTCGTCACGTCCTGGGAGCTGGTATACGGTCTTTTGATTTTGGCCAACAGCTGCTCGAATTGACGCTCGACATCCTTGAGGTTTCGAAAATTCCTTGAAGTAATAGATCCCAAAAGGCTAGACCTGTCGTTTGAGTGCTCGAGCTGCTCGATGGAATAGGAGGATACGCGTTCGTCGGCAGACCTCGAGCCTAATCTGACGATGTTGCTGGTGATTCCCGCATCCAGGACGCCGCTGAGAAGATGGTCAAGGGCGTGATTGGTGAACGCGATCATCAAAATGGGAGTCGCGGTTTTGACAAGAACCCTCAGTAGTTCGATCCCGACAAATGACTTCCCGGTCCCAGGAGGCCTACGGGAAAGCTGTCAACGGGAATCCACAGAAATCCTGATGAACCGAACGCTTACCCCTGAATTAGGGAAATTTCACGAGTCAAAGCGTCGACCACGGCCGTTGCTTGACTGGGATCCAGACGGCTGTTGTCTAACGCCGTACGAGCCTCGCTGATGGAGTCTTGCTTAGTTGGGAATAATTTAAGATCGGTCACTCCAGAGGACTCTGGGAACAATGGGGCTAGTTGGTAGTGGAACCCGGGCATGCGTGCGTATTTCGGAGGGGGAACTTCGCATTTGCCAAGGAAAGATCTTGGCCGATGAACAAGGTATTCTTTGAAGGGAATGGACTCCGGCTCCACTCGGAGGGCTTCGAGGAAAGGTCGAACTGCCTCGAACATGACCGGGGACTCCACCAACAACATGTCTCCAGTGCTCTTCTTTCCCCCGAATTTCAGTGCATCGAGTGCGCGAACATCGAGGGATGAGTCGAAGAAGGCTACCCGGATGGCAACTCGGTCGGGGTTATTCCTAACGAATTCGGCAATCTCCTTGGCCGGGGATGCAATGATCCCCAGATGGACGGTTATCTGTCCGCGTTCCCGCCAGACGAGGCCAATGAGGCCTCCTTGCATGAGGCGCTTTCCGCTCGAACTTTCCCAAAACTGAGCCCGTGCATTTGGACGTTGTGACCTTGCCCGACCCGGGGGTGTATCGAAGGATATCTTGACAGAGAGGCCGCGTCGATCAGGAACCACTTCCTCGAATTTGACGTTTGTGTAGAGGTTGAACAGTACGCTGTCCTGGCCATTTTCAGTAAGTCCTTTGTACCTGCCGCCGTTTCGCTTGCGCAAGTCGGACAGCGTAGTTTTGGTCTTTGTGTTGTGAAGGTCGTCGAGAACACATTGGATGCTAGTTCTCAGTGGGGCCCTAGTAGGCAAGTGGTTGAAAGATCGGTTAAGCAACGTATTTCAACCAAAAACTCACGTTAGTTCTTCGCGAAGCAAACGGAATTGTGTGTCCTGAAGACGCTCCATACTCTCTTGAGGATGGTGATGTGGCGCGTCGTATACATTGATAGGAAGGTACGGTGGTATCTTGCAAGCCAGTTCCTCATGTGTCGGAGCGATGCGGATATCATCAATGTCCGCGAAGTCGTTATCGTGGCGCGGTCCTTTCTTAACTCGCCTGGTCCCTCGCTGGCGGCCTTGATCAGAGATTTGATGCTTTCATCGTTAGCCCCACTTCCCAGAAGCGCTGAAGGGACATGCTTCTCATGAACACGATCCACCTTTGCCATTTCCCTTTCCGCGATAGCAAGAAGACGATTGATTTGCTTCTCGATGTGTGATACAACGACTCGCTTCGCGTCGGGATTGTCGCACAAAATGTCCTGAAACACTGGCGGAACAGAGGTCATGCCTTGGATCCAGTCGGATGACCACAATCTCAGCTTGTCGATGATCTCGACGAGCACGCGGCAATCGATGATGGCAGTTTTGAATCGGGACATGCACCTGAGATGGGCGGAAGTTGGTATTTCTGTCTCTGAGCGAATCACCGACGTCACTCACTCGAAAAGAACAGTCGCAAGACAAGAAAATAATTCTGCGCCGGACAAAGCCCGTTCTTGCTCCGCATTTGGGTCCTTGAAGCTGCATGAATTCACCATGTCATCGATGGCCGCTTCTAAGTGGAGCTTGATGAAGTCGAAGTTATCCAGGAATGTTTGATAGAGTGTGCTAGACAGCGACATGAGGATCAGATCAGCGGGGTGAAGGGCGTCTTACTTTGCACATTTTGTCATAGTGCTTTTGACGATGAAGCCAGAGGCAAGAAACTAATTTAAAGAGGTGAGCCAGAGTATCAGCCAAGCACCAAAAGACACCCACGCGGATTACAGGGAAGTACCCTCGTTGGAAAGAAAGGGTGGTCCGATCCGTACCAGCGTTGAACTCGACATCCGACCACAGCAAGACATCCGTGATTCTGGACAGACCGTTGCCCTGAGATGTCATGATCAATCAAAGACAACTGGGATGAACAGAACCGAAGGTAGCTTACATCGGAAAGAGTCGTCAACAGAAGCTTCACGCAGTCGGAGGTTAGGATGCATTGAAGGAGAGAGGAGAAACAGGACAACGAACTTGGCTATCTTCACCTGACTAGGAGGACAATGAGACTGAGAGCGTATGTTGAAATAATGTGACCCACCCATCCACTCGCACTTTCGAGGGGCGCAAGGAACGCGTACACGTCACTTGTCGATGAGAATCGATATCCATCGCGGAGGAATCTTTTCAAAGCATTATGGGCCTCGTTGGATTGCATGACCACAGAGGGAGGGGATTGGAAGGCATCGCTCCCAAGGTTCCCGATCTTTGAGTAACCGCCCTCCAGGAGCGCTGGCATCGATGAGGCTCCATTGGTTGGTTGAACGTTGGATGGCAGCCCGGGGTCGCTGGCGATATGTTTGTATTGACATTCGAAACCAAGCCTGCATCGGCCAGTTCCCCAAAAGAACCTGCACACCCCGCCAGGGGGAGGGCGAGAGGATCTCGCTGATGGTCTATTGGATCCACGTGTACTGGGACCACCTCTTGTGGGACGACCGCCACGGCTAGCAGTAGTAGGAGTGGTTGCATCGTGAGCAAAACGGCAGTTACTGCCTTCTCGACATCCACGACTCGTCCGAAAGAATCTGCAGGGTTGGGTTGACTTTCGGTGGCTCATCGTGGTTCTCTGGAAGAGTCATCTTAACCTCGTGTAGGTTTATAAAGGGCAGCTGCGGGCGTCTAAAGAAGGTTTGGAACGTTGCCCGATAGCAACCCAATTCTGTCAAGAGAAGCCCACAAGCCGGGAGCAGGTGACCGAGTGGTGTCGTATAAGCTTTCCGCGTGACATCGATAAAAAAGAGCGTGGTTCCATGTTCAAGTTGGGGCTTTGACGAACGAATGCGATAACAAGCGGTGCACGTCCAAGTCGTCGAGGGGCCAGCGAGCCAATCCCGCCAAGGTTCGGAAAGTCGGGCGTGGGAATCTAACGGTGATGGCGGGTTTCGGCATTCCCTGGCATTTTCAGGAGCTTAGGAGAGTTCGGAAGGATGCTCCGTGTATTCGACGTTAGGCAGAAACGATGATGTTGCGGACTACAGCAAGAGTTTGGCGTCGAGCCTGCACCCGCTCGTACGCGACAGTTACCCAGCCCCATGCTCTGGTCTTTCTTGAGCAACGCCAGGGCGTTCTCGAGCCTGGTTCTCTCTCGGCAGTGACCGCTGCAGGCCAATTGGGTGGTCAGGTCTCCGCATTGATTGTTGGCGACAAAGCTCATGTCGCAAGCGCAGTCGAGGAGGCGAAGAAGTATGTTCGTTTTTTCTTCAACTACTTGAATGGTCCTGATCGTTGCTCAAGGTTGAAGGGTGTCAACAATATCTTGCACTCTGCAGCCCCAGAGTATGCCGAGCCTGTTACCGAAACGCTTTCGCCTCTCCTCAAGACTCTTATCTCGTCGTCTGCATTTACCCACGTCGTTTCTGCGACCTCTTCCTCAGGAAAATCTTTGCTTCCCCGCGTTTCTGCTCAATTCGACGCGCCGACGGTGTCCGACGTGACCACCGTAGCCCACGATGCTTCAACAAATAGCACCACTTTCACCCGACCCATCTATGCCGGAAATGCTATTGCAACTGTCGAAGCCCCCGCGTCGATACCCGTCAAGTTCTTTACAGTCCGTGGAACCGCCTTTGCACCGGCAACTTCGGATGGTTCTTCAAACCCCGGTGTCGAGACCGTCAACCCTGTCCCTGGAGAGGGTGTGTCCGAACACTTGAAGACCATTGTCGTCAAGTCGGATCGCCCTGACCTCGGAGTCGCTACCCGCGTCGTTTCTGGAGGACGTGCACTCAAGGACGCGAAGACCTTCGAGGAGACTATGTATCCCCTCGCAGACGTTTTGGGAGCTGCTGTTGGTGCTTCCCGTGCAGCCGTCGATGCAGGGTACGCGGACAACTCGCTCCAGGTTGGACAAACCGGTAAAGTTGTTGCCCCACAACTTTACATGGCTTTGGGCATCTCCGGCGCAATTCAACATCTTGCTGGAATGAAGGACTCGAAGCTCATCGTCGCTATCAACAAGGTCAGCCTAGTTTATTCAATTGTTCAATTCCCCACTGACCAGATATGTAGGATCCTGACGCTCCCATCTTCCAAGTCGCAGATGTTGGCCTTGTTGGAGACCTCTTCGAGGCAGTCCCGAAACTTATCGAGGAGCTCAAGAAGGATTGATTTGTATCTAAAAGTACACGGTGCTATTGAACTCCTTCACAAACCGCTCTCCCAATTCAGTTCGTCGCCACAAGCGCCATCAGGCTGAAGCCCAAGTTCCCATCCCCTTGTTTGATATAGTTTTTCACGAGCTCGATACCCGCGGCGGACAAGAGATCTTCGCTCTCTTGCACGACACCCGTGTCAATGGGCCCTTTGACGGTTCCATTCAGCTCATAGATGTGATTGTTCTTGGGCGAGCGGGCGAAGCAGATATAGTGGAAGTCGTCTACATCATCTTCCGCCGCGGGTGCTTCTGACGAGCCGCGCTTAGCCGCAGCTGCGTGGGCGGCTTCGATTTCGCTCGATGCCTCCAGCGCTAATGCTCGTTCATACGGACCCAGCGGGATGCATGTCTTCAGTAAATTATCAAGGGGTGATCCGGACTCTGAAGCATAGTGTCAGCTACCGTGAACGAGGGGACGAGGGCAGACGACTTACGAATGCTCGACCGGGGGATGGCATTGGACACAGCATGCAATATGGCATACAAGCCGCACGCATTTTGAATGCTTTGAGAGAACCAGATTACAGGTTCCTCCTCTCCCTTGCCTTCGTAGACCTTCCTATGAGCATCTGCATCCTTGAGACGATTTTCAATCTCGTCCAACGTGGGGAACACAAAAACAAATGCGAGGACTGGTCGAGGAATGAAGGCGAGAAGATCCGGGTCTTCCAGTGACAGTACGTCTTGGAACTCGTACCCTTGCACACCCAGATTCTTGATCAAATCTGTGAAGATCTCTGGGTCTGATTCGAGTGGGACATAGTGTTTTCTGTAATTGGGTTTGGTTCTGTCGTACAGAGACAGTTCTGTTTCCGAGGTAGCAGACATGGTGGTGGGTTTGATGAGAGATTGTAATGAGTATGACGCGGTCAGCTTATGACGCGTAAGTGCGAACCACATTTGTCGGAAACGCCCATGACTTTCATCTACCCGCTAACTCAGTTTAATCTTTCGGGGAAGACCCTCGTCGTCGTTCGTCGTTTCGCCTGATTTCAAATCAGCTAGACGTTGACAAGCCCTCTGCAGCCCATCGTCTCCACCGCGAATGTCGGCCAACTTGCAGCGGACCTGCTCATTTCGACTCTATCATTGGAACGGATCGCGATCCTAGATCCAAGCTACTCAATACCGGTGGTGGGAGCCAGAGAAGATGGCTCTGTCGGTGTGACAACACCACTTGAACGTGCGTTTGGTCCTCGAAGGCTGAACAACGAGTTTAACTTGACGGAAGACAGTCTTTGCCAAGTCTGGTCTTGATCTTGTGGTACTCCAGCAGCGCTCTCCCATCCTTGTGGTAGGCGTCTAGCTTCTTTGAATTCCATTGTCACTCACATCAATGGATAGTCTCGAAAACAAGAGTTTGTGGATGCTCTCATCGACTTCATCCAAATCTCGCAGTTCTCTGCAGTTCTCTTCCTGTCCGGTGTCGATCCCACCAACAGAGCAGACTCTCAGATGTTGTAAGTGACAAAAACGGCTCTGTTGGATTGCTCCAGGAATAACTCGTACTCTCAGCACCCCCACCTTCCAGCTACGCGTTCCTCACAGCCCTGCCTTAGCCGATACCACTCTGCAATTTCTGGATCAGAAAATCATCCCACCGTACCAGCAAGATTCCGATTCCAGCGGCAAAGCAGAAGTGCCTTTCATTCCTGGTGGAGGACTTACAAGGCGGATTCTATCCTCGATACCGGAGGGCTGGGCCGTCCCAGCAGGTTCCCTCCTACAATTCGTCATAGAAGGTGACAATAGGGCGGACGCCACCCTTCTCGCAACGGTAGTTTCAAAAGTGCTTAAGATCGAGTCACACATCGGAACCCACTGGCGTCCGCCTTCGTCATGGGCTGTCGGGCTGTTTGGTTCTCCTCACGAACAAGACTTGTATGGATGAAAACCAGACCAAAATCATGCAAGTATCGTAAACAGCTAATACACATACGGCTATCGCTTCCCAGCAATGCCAATTCGGCCCCTCCCTCTCTTTGCCGCTTGCCCCAGAGGAAGGTAGGCATATGGGTCCATACCCTTTTTCTTGACATCTCCGCCTGCTTTCTGTATAAGCCGTGAGCGAAACATGGCAAGCAACGGGTCCCAATTCTCAACGCACCTTGGCTTTGAACTCATGTCCCAACCGCGGTTCATCCTTCTTCCTAGGCTTCTTCGCTTTGCTCTGTGCCATAACTTCATCGGCGTCCTCCATCTCGACGTCCTCATCTTCATTCTGCCTTCGTCTCTTTTTGGTGTCCTTGTTGAATTTTATCCTGCCGTTCGGGCCTCTAATGAAGCCATCGACTGATGTCAAGCTCTCCTTGTAAGCAGAGCCAGCGACGTCGTGAGCAGCGACATGAGTCTGTGCGACCTCGTCCTCAGAATCCTCGTCGTCGATGACCATCTTTCCAGTATCATCGTCAGTCTTGAACCGAGAAGCATCTTGTCCAGGTTTGCGGCGACGATCAGGCGCAGCGTCTAGTCGATAGTGAGTAACTACAGCGACACCAAAGGTGGGGAAAAACATACTGGTGACTTTGGATGAGATTCCTTGAAGCAGGTCAGTTGGATCGTCGTCGTCCACACGCAACCGCACGTGAGATACATCTCCTCTCTTTTTGGAAGACTTGGTCTGCGCCGCAGGCGCTTCGTCTTCTTCGTCATCCTCCAGCTCGCTTTCACTACCGTACAGAACATCCTCGAAGGCATCGCCCGCAACAGGTTTGGATACGGGAGCAGGCATCTGTAGCAGCGGAGATAAGTATCGGCTGTTCGACTCACGCTACGACTTACATGTCCATCCTCTTCCTCTTCTCGTGCAGCTTTCTTCCTCTTGGCCCTATCCTTCCTCTTCTTGATGTTCACCAGCACTTTGGCGGCCTCTTGATCCGCGACGCAAGCATACACCTCGTCGAAGTCGAACCGTCTCAAAAGGCGTTCAAAGATATGTCGGACTTTCACCTTGAAGTGATTTTTGTGATCATGGGACCAATTGAGAAGCGATGAGACGATTTCCTTCAGCTGGCTTCGAAGGATATCGATGGGTAGAGTATGGATGGCGAGTTTGACGAAGCCAAGAGCAGATTTAACAATCTCGCGGTTGGCAGAAGATAGGAAGACAAGGATAGTAGAGAGGATCTCGGAGTGCATCGTCGTAGAAATGGTGTCTAGACCCATTTATCAGTCTCAAATGAAGTGAGTCACTGAGGCTGATCTGACCTTTGAACTCGAAAACAAGGCGCGAGATAGCTGTAATTGTTGCGCTGATCATATGCGGACTGGCACCAGCTAAACCACCAGCCATCATGGTCATGAATTCTTCCATGCTCGCAACAGCTGTTTGCAATCGATTAGTATTGCATGCTCCCATGGCGTCTCGAGGAAACTTACCATCGGGTGCATCATCCTCATCCATACCGTCGATCATACTGCGCTTAACCACACCTCCCTCGTTCATCTTTCGACCCATGGAAACAATAAGTTCAAATGCTTCCAATCGAGCTTTCTCAGAGGGCTCTTTAGTACCAAGAACAGCTTCCGGAATCAACGAGGGGATGGCATGGAGTGAGGTGGATGGAAGTCGACCGACGAGGACTGCGAGGAAGCTGAATCGGTCCTATAAAGATGTTTAGTCCCAATAATCGGCAAGGTTACATGTCATGCCCCTACCTTTTTGGCTGCGGGGAGCAACCCGTCCACAAATGCATCGAGTCGCTTCAACACTTCTTCCACAGGAATGTCAAACGTAGATCCTTGAACCAGCTTCGACAAAATCTTGTAACCGCGTTTCTGAATGCCGTTGTCCTTGTTGCAAAGAGTATCAGCGTTGAGGAAAATTTCGAATAGCTCCTGAGAGGTAGCAACGGGGAGGTGGGGAAGAATGAGGAGGAGGATATCTTGGGCAGTCGTAGTCATGTTGACATCGTCGTTCGAACCGGAATTTGGTTTGACTTTCTGAGTTTTGACAAGATGCGTCTTGTACAATTGGAGAACCTTGACGTATGCTTTAACAATATCCTGTTGGCCAAGAGGGTCAGAACGCAAAACATGCAATATCTCTAAATAGTCCCTACCTCCTGGCTCGTGATTGAAGCCCAGGCAGTGACAGTGTCACCGACCATTCCCCTCGAGTCTCTGTCGACACTTCCGAAGACATTGAAAAGCACTGCTAGCCAGCTTTCCGCTTGAGTCTGGAGGAACTTGACGTTTCTCTGGGCATCCTCCGCTGTGATGACTGCAGTTGGTGTCTTTTCAAAGTTACCCGCCGCCATTGCCGTGTTCGAATCGACCAAGGTCCTGAGAGCCTTCAGGATAGCGGGCCGAAGTTCGGGTTGGCCGTACAGCAGCTGGGATAGAAGTTGAGAGAATGTGGCGTCCAGGGACTGAACACCATACACTCAGTACCAGGAATCCTAGGCCATGATGGAACGTTACCTCTTTGAGATCGGGCGTTCCCCAGCAGTAACCAACAAGGCCAGACCAGGCTTGCCCAACGAGAACACTCCAAACTTTGGCCTCCGAATGACGACCGGCGCTTTCGGCCTTCTGTTGCAAGTCGAACATTTGTTCGCTGAGAGGAACAAAGTAGGTGACAAAGTGACGCAGCGGGGAGGGATGGGGTTGTCCGAGAAGTGGTAGAAGGAAAGCACGGGGTTCTTCGCCTGCTTGCCTAAATTCTGCGTTAGCATGTTGAGTCATGGCTTTTTGGATCTGTACGTACCGAGCAGCCGGGTCAAGGTTGAGGGGCAGTAGGTTAAGGAGGACCTCAGGTCCGAGAACGTGCATGGCGACTCCCAGCACTGCATCTGCATTTTCCTTGAATTCGAACGTCTTTTGGGTTCGTAGATCGCCTATTTTCTTGATCAACGGCGATAGCACCGTTTCCGCTGCCGAGGGAGACTGTCTCGTAGCACGGTGCCGAAGGCCTTGTACAAGGGCAGCAATGACCGTCAGGACATCAGGGATGGCACGGGAGTACGATATCGAGTCTAACGCATCTGTTGCTTGCGCGACAATCCTGTGAACAGTCGACTTCCCGGAGTTCTGCACGTCGGCGAGAACCCAGTCTTCAGAGAAGCAAGTTGTGACTTTGACAAGGGCGAGGGCTGTTGCCTGTCGGATTCCTGTCTCCGTGGATTCCAAAAAGCCCCACAAAGACTTCCAAACTTTGCCAATGTGAGACCCACAGCCAGCGGGGTTGACGGTGCTGTAGGCCACCATGGCTTCACCAACCGTCGAGGTCCATGCCAACGGAAGCACATGGTCAGATTTTGATGGCGTCGAAGACAATAGGATTGAAAGGACTTCGGGTAACTGGTCGTGGAAGCTGATCGAAGGATCTTCAACGGGGAGGGCGAAGATGTCTGTGAGGAGGGAATAGGCGGCTTGGGTGAGATACAGGTTGCCTAATCTCGGAAGGCTGAGCAGCTGTTTGGTGAGGACGGGCAAAGTCTATTGGGAATTTGTGAGACAGGATCGAATGCACTCAGAGTAAACAGGCTTACAGAAGGGGGAAGGTGGGCAAGTGCTGGGTTCAGGAACTGGAGAACATGGATACCGGTTTCCCCACCGTTTGTACCTTGTTTTCCTTTTGATTTGGCGATTGGGTTTGAAGAAACCTCTGCGAGAATAGATATTGCCCATTCTGCCACCCTCTGGGAGTAAGGGTGAATCGAAAGTGGTGCCGGGGGACAGGAGATAATGTCCCTCACGACCTCTGCTGCCTTCCTTCGAACTTTGGGTCGACCGTCGATACATAACTGCAGGACTGAGGCGAATGACTGGCGTATTCCTTGAGCTTCCAGTTGTGACCTATCGATAGACTTCAGAAGCCCTTGGTAAATTGCAAGTTGTGAACGAAGAGCCGGTGCGTGAGGTTCCAGAGCAGGGAATAAGGGTGCTGTGAGCGAGAGAATTGTGTTCAGATTTGCACGAATGACCGGCGGGGAGACAAATGGGATGATGAAGGCCAAAAGGTATAGCTCTGCTGGTAGTACGTCTCCATCGTTCAGCGACAATTCTTTCTTCTGGATTGTGCCGTCCAAAGTCGTCAAGAGCGCGGCGAAGTAAGCCGTTGGTGTCGGTTCTGCCTTCTGTTCCTTCAACGTCGATTCGACGGCGACCAGAAGCTTCGCAGGCGTCCTCTGGTGAGCCAAATTTGAGGACACATGGGGCCTGATTTTTGCGAGAGCCTCCTCCATAGTTTTGGATTTCGATAAGCTCTTCGATTTGCAGGACTGGGCAAAATTCAGTATTGATTCGCTTAGCTAATTGATGGCGGGGTCTCAATTAAATGCCGGGCTCATGACCAGCGTCCATGCATCGTTCTCCTCCAGCGTTACACGACTTGCCTACACACTTATGCCTGGCCGTCCGAAAGGCTCCTCTGTACCCTGGTCCTATGTCCTCATCCGGTGCGAATACTGCAGAGTCTAGCTAATTTCTTCTCAACGCAATCACAGTTTGCTATTCCGTTTCGTGCTCAAGATTTTCTATGGTTCCATCGTAGTGGAGAACACCGAATTCATTCCTGAAACAGGGAGACCATGGTATGTTCTGTATGCTTGCTGGTCAATGGATTCTAGTGACCTTCTTCAAAAGCATCGTTTGCGCAAACCACAGTAACTCTCTGACAGACGCGCTGTAAGCTCGATTTGCCACCGCCCCTGTCCCTGGCTCATACCCCAACAGGATGATGGTGACATCTGTCCCGCCACAGGTAACCCACAATTCTACCCCAAGTATTCGACGTGCTCTTAAAATACTAGAAACGGAACATGCTTCGGATGACGGCCAAAGCGTCAATATTCGGCCAGAGGAACTTCACCAGCTGGCTCATTGAAGCTACAGGAACAGTGCCCATCAAGCGAAGGAAGGACAACCCAGAGGACGCCGACAACACAGAGGTCATGACCAAACTCATGGAGGCTTTGGAAGGAGGGGATGCCGTCTGCCTGTTCCCTGAAGGCATTAGTCGATTCCATCCCGAAATAGCCCCCTTGAAGACCGGCGGTACGTCCTGCTTTCCCGCAATTGAAGGCCTCGTTTAATATCCTTTTCAGTTGCTAGGATGATTTCCGATGTCTTGGGTCGTAATCGAGACAACCCAGACTTTGAAATTGCTCTCTTACCCTGCTCTATCACCTATATGTGAGAAGCCCTGTCCACAGGCTGTCTACGTTGCCTGACACTCGCTTAATACAGGCATCGACAACACTTCCGCTCAGATGTCCTTGTCAGTTTCCAACGACCAATGATTTTCTCACCGAAGGTACGTTCTTCGCTTCGAGTCTATTTCCAACATTAATTGGATCGTCTTTAGACCCATCCAGAACTAGTCCCACCTGTCGACTTTGCTCACATTAAGGCCCTAACCAAGGATCTCCAGGGCAGCATTAGCAGTGGAACATTGGATGCACCCAAGTGGCATCTAATCCGAAGTGCGAAGCTTGCCGCGAGGATGTATGCCCCGCTCGGCACGCTGATGCCCCTTGGAGAATATGTCCGTTTGACGCGCAAATTCTTGGAATTGTTCAAAGCATGCCAGCAGGACGAAGGGAGCGGGACTTTACCTCAAGAAGTTGATCGTGCTGCTGTTCGGCAGATTTGCGCAGATCTTAAGGTAACCTTCTCTTTCGTAACTGAGGTTCTGGAATGGTCACTGAAATACCCTTTAGGCATATCAAGACCAACTCGCTCATTGGGGAATTAAAGATGACCGAATACGGCGGCCCATGCGAAGATCCACCGCTTTGTACAGGATGTCCATCCGACTTGCTTGGCTCTGCCTACTTGGGTCTATCTCGCTGCCAGGCTTGCTATTGTGGGCACCGATCTTCGCCACCACGTATGTCGCCGTCCGGAATTACAAGAAGACAGGTCCAATTCTCGATACTTGGGATGAGATCGCCCAATACAAGCTCATCTACGGACTCCTGTCGGGTGGCATTGTTTATGCCGTCGTCGTTCTGATGACATGGCCCATAGCGTTCATCACGATACCCATGACTCCGGCGCTAATGTGGATCACCCTGCGATGGTTCGAAGACCTGGTGGCGACGTTCCGTGCCTTTGTCGCCCTCTATCGCCTCTTACGAGTCGGAAAGCCCGCGTTGAAACAAATGCGCGAACGGCGCCTCGACTTGTACAGTCGCGTAAGCAACGTTGCTGTGAGCGCCCTCGGTCTTCCGGATGAACCAGAAAAGTACTTTTCTCAAATCGAGGGAAGGCATAAAGGGCGTATCCTCGGAGAGTGGGATGGGCGTGCGCGCTACTTTTCTCTTAAGCGACGAAGGAAGAGGGATTGGGACGAAGTTCTTCGACTGTATGAGAAGGTTGACTATCCCTCAGAGGACGATTAGATAGTAAGTATCATATATAGTACTTGTGTTATCAAATGCTCTTTCTTTGGATTCTTAGTGGACTTGTGTGTAATGTATGAGATTAACTCGATCTCTTCTCGTGTTGTGATTCCGACACCCAATCGCCACGCCCTGTGCCTATTCAAGGCAACTGGGTGCTATTTCGAGCCTTCCGAATCCGTGTGCGTGTGACCCCGACAGTTCCGGCACGTGGAAAGCGGTGCAGGTGGCGGTGTCGGCGATAAAACTTATCGACGACAAATTTGAAGAGAACCAGTACTTGCTCACATCTCTTCTTCTTGACAATTGTCAGGATCCTAGATCCTACAGTTTCTTCCTCCAATAGACTCTTCTCATAGACATCTACGACGATAACGACCTCGTTCCGACCTAATCAACAACACATCGAGCGTGAACACCCGTACTCGACTGCGTTTCTATACCAGGCCCACAGACACGCTTCATACTAGATTCAATATGGCCGATAATGATTTTCCTGCGCTCTTTGAAGCGCTCAAAACAGCGCCGACAGCCCCTGGTATGTCCCAGTGGGTCCCAGATCCACAGCTAGCTTACACACTTCACTGCAAGATGCAAGGGCTGCTGCTGATAGACTGGCTCGTCAAATATTGAAGGAGGGTCCCCAATCCATGGCGTGAGTTTGCTACACCCTCCATAGGAACGACACTGTTAATCTGTCTGTAGCGACGCCAATGTGATCTCGACACTTCATTCATTTGCAACCAACAAGAAATCTGGCTACGAGCGAGAATCTGCTGCAATGGCTTTCCATTCTCTAGCAACTGTTATAGGCGCCCCTGGCGTCCCATTGCTCCTTCCGTCACTTCCTGTTCTCTATGACCTTCTCATGGACAAGGGAGATGTCGTCCGGTCTGCTGCGTCAGCAGCCATCAAATCAATCCTGAAGCTCTGCCCCCCGGAATCCGTGCCAGTCGTCTTCCGCCAGTTGGAAACTATCCTCGACACGGCCAAGTGGCGAAGCAAAGTTGGTGTGTTGGATGGGCTCAAGAGTTTTGTCGCTTCTTCTCGGGATGTGGTTGCTTCAGAGCTAGGCAAGGTTTTGCCACATGTCGAAAAAGCGATGCATGATACAAAGTCGGAGGTCTGTCTGAACATGCTATAAATCAGCAACAGTCTAAGTCATCACCAGGTCTCCTCGGCAGCAACCAAATGCGCCACAGCTTTGTGCACCACTCTCGCCAATCCAGATTTGACAGCACATATTCCAGCACTCGTCAAATGTATGGCCGAACCGGGATCGGTCCCTGCATGCATCAAGTCCCTCTCCAATACCACCTTCGTAGCAGAGGTCAAGGCTCCCGCATTGGCAGTCCTTGTTCCTCTCTTGCAACGAGCTTTGAATGACCGGAGCATGGAAGTGCAAAGACGAACAGTCATCGTCATCGACAACCTTGTCAAACTCGTGCGCGATCCTCGTGTGGCTGCCACTTATCTCAGTCCCCTCCTCGATGGTGTGGAGAAGATCGCCCACGGAGCCTCTTTCCCGGAGGTGAGCACTTGGCCGTTGCTTACGAGTTTCCTTGACAGACCGTCATTTCCTAGGTCCGCGCGTTTGGTCAATCCGCGCTTGAAACGCTTCTTAAATCCGGCGCTTCAGCATCTGGGCCTCCACCAGAGCATCGTGACATCGAGACGGAAATCAAAGATGTCCTTGTTGCACTGCGTACCTTGCTGCCAGAAGAACTCAGGAGCCCCTCCCCGAATTCCCCCAACGCACCGTCCGAAGTTAAATATTCCCTTTTGGAGTCGTCTTTGAAATTCGCGGCCTCTCTTGCTGCTGATCTGGTTCATGACCGTCGATTTACCGATCAGAATGCATGGAATCGGTGTATTGGCGTTTACATGTCACTCTGGATTGAGAAGCCTCAAGCTGAAGCCTTTGCTGAAGCTGCCAGAGCCCATTTCCATGCAATTGACCAGGTGTGTACCTTGCTGTTACTTGTCCATAGTACCCGATTCATCGTTTCTAGGAGAAGCACAAGGTTGTCACTGGCGCCTCGTCGGAAGAAGGAGAGCTGCTGTGCGATACCCTTTTTTCTTTGGCTTATGGAGCTCTTCTCCTTCTTTCGCACACGACCCTTCGCCTCTTCCGCGGACGTCGTTATGGTATTTTAGGTGCAAACGGATCTGGCAAATCCACTCTCATGCGTCAGCTGCGGGATGGGAAGGTCGAGAACTTCCCCCCTCCCAGTCAAGTAAAATGTGTGATGGTTGAACACTCCCTTCAAGGAGAGGACACGTCCCTCAACGTCATTGATTTCATCGCCTCCGGTGTGTCCCGCCTGGTTGTCTCAGCAGTCAAGCTTGCTAATGGATCTGCAGACCCTCAACTAACCGGCGTTTCACGCTCGGAGATCCAAAAGCAACTCAGCGATGTGGGATTTGACGAAGAGCGTCAGCGTGAAATTGTCGGTGGCCTTTCGGGCGGCTGGAAGATGAAGCTAGAGTTGGCGAGAGCCATGCTGTACAAGGCTGATCTTCTATTACTCGATGAGGTATGCTGCATTCGTCCTGTTTGAGCGAAAGAGGAGCTAATGTCTGCTTTATCTAGCCAACCAATCATGTAAGTTTCGCCGAGCTGAAGTGTCTCGGGGTCCTCGCTCACTCACCTATCAGTTGGACCGGGCCTCCGTCAAATGGTTGGAAGATTGGCTTCTTGCGCAGAAGCAGGTTACCTGTCTCATCGTCAGTCATGACTCAGGGTGGGTTATTTGACTGCTGCCCTTGTACTTGACCTCACTCCTTGCAGCTTCCTGGACAATGTGACCTCCGATATCATTCACTACGAGCAAAAGAAGGTATGGCCATGTCCTCGGCAGATTAACAGTCTGTTAAAGCTGCCTTGCAAATCCAGCTCGTGTACTATCCCGGAAATCTTTCGGCGTTCGTAGCCAAACGTCCTGAAGCCAAGTCGTACTACACTCTAGAGGCCAGCTCTGTCAAATTCTCCTTCCCACCTCCCGGCTCCTTGATGGGTGTCCGAAGTAACACTCGTGCCATCCTCAAACTCCAAAATTGCACCTTCACCTATCCCGGCCGTGATAAACCAAGCCTTTATGATGTCTCCTGCGCACTGTCGCTGTCAAGGTTCGTCGTAATTTCCTGTCCTCTTCTTGATTGACTTACCCTGCCTCTCAAGTCGTGTTGGGGTCGTAGGGCCGAATGGCGCAGGGAAATCCACGATGATCAAACTTATCACGGTAATGATCCCCTATGAGTAATAGCGTGACACAGCCCTGACAAGATTCGCGTCCAGGGTGAAACTACACCTCAAACAGGCACGGTGTATAAGCATCCAGCTCTTCGGGTTGGATACGTCTCTCAACATGCCACCCATCACATTGGTGAGTGCTCGAGTAACGATGTAGCAACCACTTCTTTTTGACCTATTGAAATGGCCCTGTCTAGAACGACACCTGGAGAAGACTCCAATTCAATATATCCAATGGCGTTTCCAGGACGGACATGACCGTGAGTGCACATCCATCAAGTTCATCCAGGATAGCTTGCTAACTAAAAGCAGGCGAATTGCTCGAGAAGTCCACCCGAGTGCTGACTGACGAAGACAAAAAACTACTTGATCAAGAGTGGGTGGGAAAGGACGGAAGCAAGCGGAAATTGGAGGTTTGTAGATGTCTTGTTTGCCATTGTCGTTGAAAGGATCTTGATTTCGCTTTGTTAGCTCATCATGGGAAGACAAAAGTTGAAGAAGTCGCTCCAATATGAAATTAAGTGGAGAGGTTTGGACCACCGATTCAACACCTGGGTTCCTCGGGAGGAGCTTTTGAAGAAGGGCTTTTCCAAGATTGTTCAACAATTCGATGATCTTGAATCTTCTAGAGAGGGTGCTGGAGCAAGGGAAACTAGTACACACCTTGTTCGAAAGCACTTGGAAGACATCGGTCTGGACGGTGATATCGCCCAATACAACGAGATCTCCGGTCTCTCGGGAGGTTGGCACTTCTGCCTCTTGTTCGTTTGACAATATTGAGCGCCACCGCTTTTCTAGGACAAAAGATCAAGCTCGTTATTGCCGCTTGCCTTTGGAATAACCCACAGGTACGCTTATCAGCCCATCTATGAAATCACTCTTTAATCGATATGTCACAAGATATGTGTCCTCGACGAACCGAGTAATTTCTTGGACCGTGAAGCCCTCGGGGGACTTGCTGTGGCCATCAAGAATTGGACTGGCGCTGTGGTAAGCACTTTCATTTATGTCGTTATGACACCAACGAGACCCTCGTAAATACCAGGTCATCATTTCGCACAATCATGAATTTGTCTCTTCACTCTGTACGTTTCTCCATGCGGCTTTCTCCTTGACGTGGTCTCATGTTTTGCAGGCCCGGAAATTTGGAACGTCGAGAATGGTCGCATGGTGCAGCAAGGAAAGACAGCCGTCGTAGAAGATTTCAATGAGAAGGCGGGAAGGAGTGGAACGAATACCCCGGCACGATCGCGCCTTCAGACGCCAGCTGCGTCCACCGCTGGAACACCCGCAGGTAGCGGTGCGGAGAACGCTGCCGAGGCCAGACCTGTGGTGAAGAAGAAGAAGAAACTCACTCGGAACCAAATCAAGGAACGGGACGAACGTCGCAGGCTGCGACTCCTCCGCTGGCTTAACGAGGGTGGTCCCAAGCCTGAAGACACGGATAGCGACTGAGTTGCTTGTTACTCTGTGTACTTTCCCGTTGCAAGTTGCCCTACTAGTAGGGTACTGTAAATGTCAAGTGTACATGTATGCCAACGCTACAGTAATAATCGGAGTCAACTCAATATTCCAGGTATTTTTAAATGTGTGAAGGACGGATTGTCTACCACCGAGATTGTTTAGCACAGTCTGCGATTGGCTTTGCTCATCTTATTTGACAGACGATATCCACAGCGCCACAATGTCGACGTCTACTCCGCTGTTGATATCTATCCTTGCACGTCGGTCTTCAGACGCCCAGGTCTAATGATCTTGAACCAGCACCCACTCAAGCACTGGGTGTTTGTTTAAAATTCGTCCTACACGTACAGAGGCAGGCTGATCTAGGGTCGCTCCAGATTATTTGCTAGGTTGGCCACGCGTGCACGCGCCGATCCAAGGCGAACTCGATCGAGAGCTTGCATCATAACCGCTTTTATTGATGCAGTGAGAACGACCAGCCTCTGCCTCGAGGCAGGTTACTGGTGAACAACGAGGCCTGCCGCCTGTGGTACAGTGGCCTTTTCCTTTCTACCACTTCATACATCCTGAGTCTCTCCATGGATATCTTCTTGCTCAGCCTGTTCCTCCCTCTGTGGTGGATTCAAGCCGCTGCTGGACACGGCTTCGTTCACAATGTCGTGATTGGAGGACAAAGTTACCCTGGGTGGAATCCCTTTTCCGATCCGTAAGTTCTATTGTACCATTCTCGATTCAACGAGCATACTCAAGATCCCTCGGGTTAACCACCAGGTTCAACAACCCTCCTCCTCGGATTGTACGCAAAATTGTCAACGACGGTTTCGGTGAGGTCAAATTCCTTTATGCACACGTTTTTACTGAGTTGGAACTGTTCGAATTCCCGTCGTTAGTTTCTGCAGGGGATGCAGATCTGGCTTGCCATCATCATGGAGATGAAGGCACAGATGCCATTGCCGAGGTCCCTGCAGGATCTGAAGTGACATTTGAATGGGTTTATGTGAGTGTTTCTCATGTACACTCCATGTGGATTGCGACTGACTCTCGACTCAGTGGCCAGGAGGTGTGGGGGTGCATTCGTTGTCTTTACCAGGTCATTATCGCTGATCAAAGCCCTCAGATCACCAAGGTCCTGTTTCGACGTACATGGCCTCGTGCGAAGGGGACTGTGCTACCTTCTCAGCAAATAGTGCAAGGTGGTTTAAGCTCGATGCTGCCGGGTATTTCCCCGAGGACCGTCAGTGGGCTGCAGATAAACTAAGGGCCGGTGAGTACAAGAAGTAGTGTCGTGAAGTAACCCAATTAACAGGTTTCGATTGACTCGCAGATGGCACTTCTTGGACTTCCGTCATACCGGCAAACCTTGCACCGGGAGAATATGTAAGTCCAATCGTCCCTCTTTTTGAATCTTGCACTGATGACCCACGATAGCTGATTCGAAATGAAATGTAAGTCTAAATCTAACTACCTACTACCTGGCATATTTGAGACAAGCGCTCCTCTGCACACCAGCATCGCGCTACATTCCATCACACCCCAGTTCTATCCAAGCTGCGCGTAAGCATCCATTTCCATCGCTGTGATTGACCTCTGACAATCGCTTCAGTCAAATCAAGGTCACTGGAAATGGATCCGGTTATCCATCTTCCAGTGAAATGATGACCATGCAAGAGATCTACGACAGTGTAAATTGGCCCAATATCTACCTGAGCTCGAGCTCTGACCTGGAATCCTTCGTGGTTCCAGGACCAGACCCCGCTAGACTGGATGGCACTGCCCCCCCACCTCCTACACGAACGCGTACCAGAAGCACTACCCGTGCAGCTCCTACTGGGGAAACGACGCATACTCCTTCCGCGACTGCACCCGCCAGTCAACGGTGTTTCCTCTCTTCTCGTCGGCTAGTGAGGAGGAAGATAGATCAGCTTTGACTCAGGAGCAAGGGATCTTCTTTTCTCTCTCTCTCTCTCTCTCACACCTTTGCCGAAATGAACTGTCGAGACCACCTGAGCGCGGGGATTCGAGCCTGCGTGGATCTTAGATGTTTGCTTATTTGGCGTCCATGTACCGTTCCTGGCCAGTAATATTTATAGTAACGGTACACGTTATCCCCGATACGAGATGAAGGAGTGACTGTGGTCCTACTCGCTTATTTAGGATTGAATATTATTACCGATCTCTCTTGATGTTTTGGCGTCGAGCTCTGGCAAGACTCCCCATTGGGTTGCGCGATTCACCAATCACTTCTGCAGATGTTGCGTGGGCATAAGGCATAGAATTGGATAAGTACAGAAAGAAGTGTGATACATGGAGTGATCCAAAGTGCCATAAGAAATGTTGCATGTCTGCATGGGAGTGCGGTGGGTATAGGAAGCATGACGAGGTCGTTAGATAAGAGAATAAAATGAAGCCAAATAAGAAAATAAAAAGCTGCCGCGCCCTGTCAAGACAGAGCAATAAGTAGAAGGAGTAGGAGATATTAATGAACCAATTAATACTGACGCTGTAAATTAGAGTCAAAGTCTCTATGGTTATAAAAAGAAGCCCGATGGAAGAAGTTTGTGAGCGGATGTAACTATGCGAACCCAGAATGAAAAGTGAATCAAGCATCCTGAATCTCAGTAACCGCGAGGCCACCGTTGAGCGTCTTCTTCAGGGCCTCGCACTCGGCGATGCGCAGAAGATGAAAGGGAGGTATGTGAACGTGTCATCGCGTCTTGCACAGAGCTTCCTGTCATGTAAGGGGTCTCCGACAAAGTGATAGAGCCGCCGTAAGAAGATCCATGGGTCCCATCGTCCAACAACCTCTCGTTGTGAGAGCTCTGCAGCGCGTACTGCTGTTGATGGCCAGAAGACGAAACGGTAGACGATTGGCGGTTCGTCTGCCTCATCGACTGCCGCTTGTTCTGGAACCTGGATCCTTGTTAATACGGATGGCAAAAATATATAAGGCACCATGATGACGTACCAAATCTGAACACTTCTGGCCGACATGTCCAAACGCTTTGCAAGGGCCTGCCGTTCTTCCGTGGATGGGAAAGCGGTGCGGGCATAGGTCTCATTGAGGACCTTGAGCTGAGCAGCGTCGGCACGCTTGCGCTTTTTCTTGATGGTGGGCTCCTCCGGGGAAATGGGCGATACCGGTGGAGGGGTGAAATTGGTAGAAGACAACTGCGTTTGGGCATGGGTACGCCCATAAGGCGAGGTTGATCGAGGTTGTTGGAGTCCGACAGAGTCGATATCGTCAAAGAGGCCTTGTTGGCCTTGGGGGGTCATCGCGAGCGGATCGTATGTTGACATATAGGTGTAAGTACCTTGGTTACCGCTGGGATAGGTAACATACTGCGAAGGGTAGCTCGCAGTCGGCGAGCGAATGCTATTGCCGGAGGGGTAGCCATGGACAGCGGGCATACCATGGTTGTAGTTGGCCGACTGTTGCCATCGATCGCCACCAGGGCTCGACGACGTCGTGAGGGGAGGGAGCCTGCGAGGATCTGTAGGGTTCATCGGAGGAGGCGAGGTTGTCCGAGTAGTGTAACCGTAAGTAGGTTGCGGAGAGTGTCGTTCGTGGAGATGGCCGCTCGTCGTGTCATAGTTGGGGAATGCGGGGGTGAGTGGCGGGGCTATTGGCGCCAATGGAGATAATTTGAACACCATGGAAAAAAGGAAATTAATGAACGTACAGTTCCCAGTCGGCCATTGGGGGTAAAACGCTTGAGGATTGATGTCGTACCCTCTACCTGGAGATGAGCGAGGCGCGGTATATGCATTAGGATAGGGCCCTGTAACGATGAAAGATGAAGGTTTGAGTGTTTTCGGAAGGCTTAAAACTACAAAAAGAGACAGACCTGGAAAAGGTAAGTTTGGAAAGGCCGTAGAGAAAGAAGGCAACACTGTTCGCCCACCCTGTCCCGTCTGGAAAGAAAACGGATTGCCTTGTGTATCACTAGGGGAACTTCTACGAGACTTCCCTATAGTACCAGGATAGTACCGATCCTTGTTTGCTGACGCCGACATATTAGTGGAGAAAGAGAAAAGTAGTAATAAGAAGCGGGGAAGAGGGGAAGTGATATTAATGGGGTTGAAATGAGTGCCCTGTGACTTAAGTATAAAACTAGGCAACCCTGAAGAGACGACGAAACAAGGCGTGTATCGCCGAGAGAGATCCACGAGGTTGACGGAAGGAGTGCTGGTCAAGGGTTGGTTGGAAGGAAAAAGCTGGGCAGATTCGAGATTGGTGCACAGGGCACTGCAAGATGAGAGCAGGGTGTTTGCGATGAGGCAAGCTGCAAGCAGGTAAGAAGAAGAGAGAGCTGCAGAGGCAAACAAAGAGCTTGTTTGTTAGCATAGTCAATTAGGTAGAAGGAACGCAAATAGATCTCACCTAACTCGGTGGGCTCATGTTACCTCGCGGCTCCTCCGATATTCCCAGTTAGTAACAGTTCTTCGGTTAAAGAGAATACGATGTCATCTTCGACGCGTGGAACTCGGTTGTCAGTTAATTTGATTGTATGAAAACCTCATGTTGAGGTCCTGGAAAATCAGCGATCTCTCATAACACTGAGTTAATCAGTGCTGTACCTTCCCAGGCCAACGTAACTTTTTGACACTGTATGCGATGCAGGAGGCCCAGTATTCAGTCAGCGAAGCCGGATATTCGAATTGGAGGATTCGACAGCAGACACTACAGCAGCCCAATCGGTGATCGGCAGTAATCCGAAGTTGGAGCGGAAAGCAGCTTGCAACGTTTTAGGGTTGATCTCGATTGAGGTGCACCGAGTCCCAGGGAAGATTGGCTGTTCCTTTCAGTGTCGAACACGCCTAAAAGGGCGACAAGCGTAATGCTCGTCGTAGCAGGGAAAATAGGAGCCAAAACAACGACCCCGCTACACCTGATGGAGAAAACTGGACACTGAACACGACGTATACAATCGAACAGTCAAGATCAGGACTTTCCTTCTACCTGCAGAGTGCTGAGCATTGCTTTGATCTCAGCATTTTTTCCTCCCAAAAAGGCGGCGCGTTGAATCCACGAGGTGGCGACATTTGAAAGTCGAGGAAGTGACGGCATTCTGTGTCAATCGTATCACTGTAAGTGACAACTCTGCGTAGAGAAGCGTTCCAAACGAGCAATTCCCGAGAAATGGCCTGTATTGACATTGCCTTTGAAAACGAGGCGCGCAAACGTTGGGCGGCAAGTTCAAGTCTAAGATTTGGTCAGAAACATCAAACGCGCCTGGCGCCGTGATCACGTGGATCTGCCAAGAATAATGATGTCGAATCGCCGCTTCTTTCCCAGAAGACGACTGGAATGGGTGAACGGCGACAGTGCCTTGTGCGTTAGAGACGGTTTCTTGGGTGGAATTCAGGGTCTTCCTCAACCCACCAGCATGTCCTCGAGACCACTACCGAATCCCCCTTTTCAATATCCTCAGAATTACTGGGGACCGGTCTATGGCGACTCTAGGAATAATCATCACTACCAGGACCAATACCACAACCCCTACGGATACCCCAATTATGCCCACCAGCCTCCTGACTTCGATGAGCAACCTGCGACGTCTTCCATACCCGTCGGGACCCTTCTCCACAAAGGGTTTTACGATCTCCTCGCGATGATTCCAACCCCTTCTCCATCCCGGCTCATTTGGGGGAGTCCTCCTAGTCCCAATAAGAGCTCAGATCTGCAAGCTGGTCCCCGATACGAGGAAATAGTACCTCCAGCAAACGCTGCGATCAAGGCGACGCCAAAGAAAGGGCGGAGAGTTAGCAAAGACATGGTTTCAAAACCTACGGGCTTTGTGTATGTCACGTCGCCCTGTTTCAAACCATACATTCATTTAACAGCCTTTCTTCCCAAATAGCCACCTAGTACATGCGTCAGACGCGGACCAATATGAAGCTCTCCTAACCAGGTGGGGTCCGGATGGAATCGGCAAACTGGGAGGTCAGTACAGCAGCGCTCCTTCCAATCGCTCCAATGCGAATTACCCTGCCCACAGATCCGCAGTGGGCAAACCCGATTAAGAACCGTGTAAGGATGCTGAACCAAGCTAAGGCTGTCAACGAGGTTGTGAATGCCTGCAAGCCCTCCCAAGGCAGTGTTTATGGAGATACCACTTTTGGACAACTACATGTTGTCAATGGTATCAGCAGCGCGACATCTTCGTCGCTTACCACGGGCGCCATAGAGAATATGAGCATAGGTCCCTACAGATACGACGGTCTTCCGCAACGCTGGGGTGGAGGCTCTACTTTGCGTAAGGCTACGGGAGGGTTGCAAACGCACCCCGAGGTATACGAAGGCCAGGATCGGGGCGCTTCTCCCGTTATGGACCTTCCTCCGCCGCCCCCTGCCAAACCGATTATACCGTCACTGACAACACTGGAGAAGGCAGTGGCAGCCAGGATTTACTTCGAGAACATCTATTTCTCCCTTTTCCGCCACGTCCCGTCACGCGAACAGAGACGCCTTGCGATGGAACGAGACATGGCAGCGATGGGTCTTGATTCTGCACAGAAGGAGATATTGAGGGCACGTTGGCGGCAGAACGAGACAGAATACCTCCGCCAGACAAGGCAAAAGTTGGATGCAAGCGCTTTTATCAAACTGAAGACGATAGGCCATGGTGAGAAGCGCTTCTAGACTATCATTTACCCTGACTCTGATGCCGGAATATCAACAGGTGCCTTTGGGGTCGTTTCTCTAGTCAAGGAGAAATCCAGTGGAAATCTTTACGCTATGAAGCAGGTACCACATGCTCGAAACCCAAATTGACTCGTCGTATTCAATCCTTTCACAGATGCGCAAGGCAGATATGCTACGCAAGGGTCAAGAGGGGCATGTGCGGGCAGAACGTGACATCTTGAAGTCTGCTTCTCTCGTCCATTCCCCGGGGGGCGCCGAGTGGATTGTGAGACTCCATTACAGCTTCCAAGACCGGGATAATCTTTATCTGGTCAGTCTTATTTGCCTTCCAATGTCGCCGTGTGATTCTTTCTCATATCATTTTCATTTTATCACCCCTGCCTTCTCCCCAACCGGTGTTAATATAGATCCTGGAGTACATGGGCGGTGGAGATCTCCTGAATTTGCTGATAGAACGAGATATATTCGAGGAGGACTTCACCCGATTCTATGTCGCCGAGGTACATCTGTTTTGTTTATTTTATCATGACGCCACCTTACTGACCTGGCTGCAGATGATACTCGCAATCGAACAGTGCCACAAACACGGGTTTATCCACCGCGATATTAAGCCAGACGTGAGCCTCCATCTCACCGCATCGACTGGAGAATTTTAACACTCCATGTTTCACGGGTAGAATTTCTTGTTCGACCCAGAGGGCCATATCAAATTGAGTGACTTTGGTTTGGCGTAAGCACTCCCATTCCTCTTATTCTGTCTTTCGGTCGGCTCTCAACGACCTTCCATTGCACCAGGACCGATCTCCATTGGGCCCACGATACGTCTTGTTCGGAATTCCGTCAATTCGCCTCGAACGAATTTTTCCTGACTAGGACTAACAGACTACGAACAACAACGCCTGCACCTACTGCACAAATACGGCATTGATCTCGAGGACCCCAATGGCATTGCTGACGGTCGGAAAACAAAGAGACTAGACCCAAAGCAGATTGAATTGCTCATGGGAGGAGGAGACGGCAAGACGGGGATCTTCACTTGGCGTGAAAAGAACAAACGCAAGGTATGCTCTCCGCCGCGAAATTTGAGCGTACTTCCTTTCCTGACCATCGGTTCTTGCGAACGTCCAGCTGGCATATTCTATGTAAGATTTGATTATCTGGTCTTCCATAGTTGATTGACTCGGGCCACATTAGTTGCGGCACCAATTCATACAGTAAGGTTTTCTCACCTCAGAAGCAAGGTTACGCCTCACACTCCCCTCTTAGTGTCACCAGAAGTGATTAGAGGACATGGTTACACCTATTCGTGTGACTGGTGGAGTTTGGGTGTCATCATGTTCGAGTGTCTCTACGGGTAGGTCTTCTGCCCCCACGACACTCATGTTCACCGCTAACTTGTCCTTAAGTTACCCTCCGTTCGTCAGCAACTCCGTAGGTGGTCTGAAGTAAATCCAGGACCCAGCATTGATATATGTATGCGCAGCGACACGTCACCAGACAGAAAATCTTGAACTGGAAGCAGTCTCTCCGTTTTCCTTCCCGTCCCAGAGTTTCACCTGAAGGCGTCAATCTCATGCAGCAGTTGCTCTGTGAACCTGAGGATCGATTGGGATCTCAGGCCTCGTCCTCTGTTTTCAGGCCCGATTCCCTGGTCGTCCAAGCAAGGCGCAGCGGTTTCATGCCTCAGGCTGGTTCAACCACTAGCGTTGACGGTGCCCATCTCATTAAAGTAAGATCCCCGCTTCACTCTCCGTCGAACGTTGCGTCCCGCTCACGCCTTGTGGAACAGGCTCATCCGTGGTTCAAAGGGATCGATTGGGACAACATCCACAAGTACCCTGCACCTTACCGCCCGGAACTCACCAGCCCTGACGACACGCGCCATTTCGATTCCGATATCCCACCTGAGGTGCGGGCCCAACCTTCCTTATTTCCTCCAACGCCATGATGACCCTGACGGTGTTTCAGCCACTGGCACCTGCCAACGGTGCCCCTCCCGATGCAACGAGGGATCCTATGTTGAAGGACAAGGTCCACGGAGAAGACATTCTGAACGTCCGCAAAGCCCTCGCTTTCGCTGGATTCACTCATAAAAGCCCAAGGGCTATCGAATACGTCAGGGTCGACCGAGCATTTGACCCTATGCCCACACCACGAGGCGGCGGCCATGAAGATGCTCTAAGGGGTCGCTCTCCTGTTCGAGAAACACGCACTATTGGCAAGGGTCGGGCGATCTCGTTATAATGCGCGGTTGTTTGACTGGTCGACAACACCGCTTCCGCTTGCACCAAGAGCGATCGACTACGATTATGACGGACGGCGCCTAACCTATCAAGGCAAAGACGTCTTTGCTTCTCTGGCCATCTTCCTTTGTATGCAGAGCTCCCTAGCCCTAGCGCTGCGGATCGCCGCTCGTATGCCCGAAAGGTGAGATCATCATGGAGGGGAGGTGTTGCGAGTTTTCCATACCAGTGTTTGTGATGGTCGCACCTATATGTACATGCAAGAGCTGTTCTCGGATGACGGAGGACTTCGATGTGCAACACCCTGTGTGCTTGACATGCTTATATTTTGAATGCTGTATAAATAAGGTTGTGTGTAAGGCTTTACTACTGTAATTGTGGGCGAAAGAATCAATCAGTTAGTGAGCTGTAGACAAATTCGTTATTAGGAGAAACACTCGGCCATATCGTATGAAATGATATGTCTGTATAAATAATGCAAATCGTAGAATCGCGGCTATGTCACTGAATTGAGGCGCAGGTCAAGTTACGCGCCGACTTCGCTTTTCCGCAGGTCGATGGTCATCCTCGTCGTCCTCGTCATCACTTGAAGCACTTCGACTGCGGCGGGAAGAGCTCGAAGTCGAGGACGCAATGCTGCCTCTTCGTTGAAGCCATTTTGGATCGTTAGACGGTCCCGAGAACCCTGTTTCAGAATTTGAATGGGAAGTCGAAGAAAGAGCACCCTCATCGCTAGAGGCCTCCTTTTCCTTGCCGGCGTTGGTTGTATGCACCCGAGCATGCCGCCGCATGTTGCTGAGAACGCTGAAGCTGCGGCCACAGCCTTCTACGGGACAGGCGAAAGCTAGTTACAGAGGTCAGAGTGAAATCTGCCGAGCAAGTTCCCCAGTACTCACGTTTTTCACCGGTGTGGCTATTGAGATGAATCTCAAAGTGGGTCAGTATTCTACTCTACAGTGGAATTTTGGCCAGACAGGAAACATACTTTGAGACTGCTAGGCCTATTGAATCCCTTTCCGCAATAGTGGCATTCGTATTTCGAGGTCGGCACTGGGTTGCTCGGCCGAGGTTCGTCATGAGGCGGATACCTGTACGGGTGGAGCGACTGAGTGGGATAGCGCGCTGTTGGGGTTCGGTCGTCGTCTTCCGACAAATGCGGCCTATCTACTCTAGTAGAAATGGGCCATGGATACCCCCGGGGATCACCCATAGATTGCATGCGCTGGCTTGAGGACATCGGGGGAGGGTATGCCGGAGATAAGGTGAAACGCGGGTCATGCGTAACAACGCCCCGAGGTTGAGAACCGTGGTGGTAGTCCGAAGAGCCCACTGATCCACGGTGATGGTGATGTCTGGCTTGCGAGCTTGAAGTATGCTGATCGGGGTGGTGGTAGGGCCTCTGTTGAGCGTCCCCTACTAGTTGATGGTGTGAATAGGAGCGTTGCAGCGAAGGATGTTCGTAAAGTGAACTGGATGGTGGGTGTGAATATCCGCCATGACTGTGTCGTGTGGAGGGATTGGGTCCCGATAGGCTCTATTCGTCGAGTTTAACATTTTCCGATGCAGAGGAACGGGTGGACATACCCGGTGAGGAGGGTGATAATGGTATGCCCTGGAAGAAGAAGGTTCGCTGCCAGGTCTGGGGGATTCTCTCCCAAATCGGTCTTCGTCGTCACTGACACGAAGGCGAGCCAATGTAACCTGAGGTGATTCTATCGAGGCCTGTCCGAGCTCATCTGTTTTCATCGTCATTCCCGACAGCAACGTCCCCAGAAAAAAAATTATATACCTCGGAATAAATCACGAATTGGAGGGAGTGTTGGACGTTGAGAGTCCTTTGAACTGCTGGAGGGAGGCATGTTGAAGGAAGGTAATGAATGGGAAGTGGGCGCCAACCTCGGAATTAGAGACGCATTCAAATAGTCGATTTTAAGGGATCAATCTGGAAGTGGTGACGAACCGTCCGGGTTCCATGTCCATCTTTATGTTTCTAAGATCGCATAAACGATTTGATGTAACAACACACAGCCCTGAAAGCCGCCATTTCTGGATATCCTGTACTGGCAGTAGTCGCTCTGTGCATGGCGCAACTGATTGTAAGGCATCAAGACATCACCCAATCTGAGATGTCCTGGGACCTTGAGGTTCTCCAGCGGGGATGACACTCACGGCAGATGGGAGATGCGAGCAATGCCGGAGAGGATCGTGGAGCGCGCATAGTTCATCAATTCACAAACCGCGAAAATCAACTTTCATTATTCCAGTTGGCAAGAGCGCGTCGCAGAGAAGGGCGCGGTGGAGGATCGACAGCAACTAGTTGGCTGATTTGGCCTGAATCTCCTCCTCAGTCTTAGTATGCAGAGAAAGAGCATGGAGTCCGGAAGCGAACTCTTCATTGAGAAGAGAGTAGATCATGCGATGTCGCTGCATGGAGGTCTGAAGAAAGTAGAGTAAGTGGCTGCTGCTTACGTCGAGGGTGACTGATCCAGAACTAACCTTGCCCTTGAATTCATTCGATACGATATTCAAAGTAAAGTCTGGGTAAATTCCGCCAAAATGAGAGATTTGAAACGACGTGGTTCGATTAAATGGACGTACGGGTCTCGCCACTCCCACCATTCTGGTCTCTCATCGCTGCGTGGTGCCTATGCCGCCAAGAATCATTTGTTATGGTCAGGGAAGCCGGGTTCAATGCTCCAGTTAGCTAGAGGTACGATCTCAGTTAATGGATTATTCACAAACTTTAGAAGCGACAGGACTACTGACCTTTTCACGGATTGAACGCTCGACTGGACCTGGCTCTGAAGCAGCAGAAGTGCTCATGGCAGATACAGGTACTCTTCGAGACAAGAGGTTGAAAGCCGACCGGCTTCTGAGGAACATGAGGAGACGGATGGAACCAGCGCTCTGCTGCCGTCGCCGCATCGGAGACTGTGTTGGTCCCTGTTTGCCCTATCCACTTTCGGAAGCGACTCCAGGCTGTCGTTCACCGTTCACCATTTCCCGACGATTTGCTCCTCCAAACACCCCCGGGAAATCCAAGAAATCGAGGCGCATCGAGCTTGACTACAATTCAGTGGATAATGCTATGAGTTGAACGTCACTTACGACGGTTTTCTTACCATTAAGACTTGTGAACGCCGGATTCCATCATCAGGCGGAATGATCATCACCGCCCGCCCAATTTGATCGATGCGCGTTCTCCTTGCAATCGTGGTGTTCTGCAAGGTAACATCTTTGCCGAAGAGAAGGCGCCTACGAGTCAACATCATCCTATGGTGGGTTCAGAATAAATGGGGAGAGTTAGTCAATGAGATTCAAATGTGCTGGGGAAGAACAGGGCTGATGGCCGGCCGGCACGCCAATACCTCCGTGGTTGGACGCGACCATGAACAAACACGTCTTTGACCGCGGACTACCACTATGTCATCCACCGTACAGGCAGAACGCGAACTTGGAAACAATCAACGCGGACTGGTCGACAATATCATTGACGAAAACCAATACGAAGCTGCCATCAGCACACTTTTTCAGTTACGCTCACCCCAACACAAACCATATCCGTGCGTCTGCCTTCGAGAGAACTGGGGACACTGTTGACAATTGTGCTGCGTTTAGAGCCCACATTCAACAGCTTATATTTTTGGGTTTGCATCCATCCATCCCTACACCTGAAAAGGCGCCAGGCACTATTCACGAAACCCCGAGAAGGGCCAGACAGACAAGGGTTCAATTTCCCATAACTCCGAAAGCTGTAACTTCCGCTCTGGATCTTTTGACGTCTCTGATTGCCACCAACTCCCCTGAATCTATCGGACGTGCACTTCCCTCTTATTCAACGCAAGAACACAATCATGCATCCGACGACCAGACAGATTCCTTACTCGCCAAGCAAGCACTATGCATCAAAACTGCAAAACACTGTTGGGAATTTTTAGAGGAGGGCTATATCCACAGCACCCAGGTTATCACGTCTCCTCAAGCAAAGTCCAAATTGCGCAGGGATTCCTCATTCGAAGAGGCTCTTGGACCCAATGCGGTGACGGGTGAAGCTCAATTAGTTGGCCCAGATGCGTGGCCGATCCTTAGTTGGCTCGTTTCACTGTTCGAAAGGGACGAGGAATTGAACGAGCGGAATGACAGTTGTATGTGAAGCTTGTTCTCTCTCTGTGCCCTTCAAACACCCGATAACGTCGCGTTTCACCGACTAGCTCGCTATTCTCGCATCTTACTCGAACAGTTGCCGCCTCCTCGCGGTGGCAAATCTGGCACACGATGGGACTTCTCGGATATTTTGAACATTGTCGTCCACTGCTTTGATCAAACGGATGTTAGAAAGAAAGATTTGGGCTATCGACTAATGGCGCTGGTATGTACAACGGCTGTACTTCATTTCCAAGTGCTGATCGTTCCCCAGCTCGTCAACCTGACTAATTCGAATAACGTCGAACTTGAGACCCTTGTCACATCTGTGTATAAACGCCTTATGGCGGCCGGTCGTCCCGACTTCTTCGATTTACTGCTCTCAAATATCCCTGTGTCGGAGAGTGTTTGGAGGTTCAAAGCTTGTCTGTGCCTCAAGGTCGCAACGGACGGGATTTCTTCCAAGAACGACAGCGCGCGACTGCGACCCCGCCCACAGCCTAGAGCTCCACCGAGGGCGCGCCCTATAGCCCCTGACAGTCCAAGAAAGCATGTGAAACCCAGAGATGAAGTACCCAAAATAGCACTGCCCGATGTAATGACTATCGTCGAGTGTCTGGAGTCGCCAATTCCGGACGCACTTCCGGAACCTCTCAACAAAGCGCTAGTCTTGCATACCAAATTTGAACTTGTGCTATCATTCGCGTCCGCCCAGAAGTCAAATCTAGCAGTTGAAAGCCGTCTCGAATGGGATCGCCTGATACAAGATGGTCAACTGTCGAAGTCCCTCAACATCGGATTCGGGCCAGATTCTGGAGAGACGGGATCTCTGTACCTGGGACTGCTGCGAGAGTACCTACGGCTTGGTAGCTAGATGGTACGCTGCGTACTATGGGTGTACGTCTACGTATGATATCGCGTAATTAAATGCGTTCGGAAAGTATCACTTGATCGTCGGTGAAGATGTGAGTCATGGGCTCTGCCGCCTGGTAAATGTCCAGCGGAATGTAACCAATGTAGTGAAGTCTAGACCGAAGCTCACTATCAGTCAGAAGAATGCATTGAGTGCTTCATTAGCAACCTACCCTCCAAAACCACCGACGAAGTAGACCGCCTGCAAAAGGGAATAGCAGCAAAGTTTTGACGATCTGTCCACCTGAAACAAAGAAGCTTGAACGTACGTGAGGGTCGAACCTCGCCCAATATGCCTACAAGACGACACGATCAGTCATGTAGAAGGTAGGAGCTCGGCTTCTAATTCATTTGCTCACCAAATGGGCAGCATCATCGTCATCGGGTAACCACCATTTCGCGTCCGGATGTTTAGCAAGGTAGCATTGCTTGATTGTTGCAAGATCGGGGATATCGTTGGTAGTTGTGAACACAGTGACGTTTCCCATTAAAGAGACGCGGGGTTTGCTAGCAGCAGGAATTGGCGATGCAACGGAAATTGAAGCAAAGTGGGATGGGGCACGGAGAATGTTCTTGCTATGCCGGGAGATGGGGAGGAAGAGTAACGTGAGTGACCCATTGGAGTGGCAACTGTTGATATAACCATAATTTCAGCAAGACATTCAAGGAGACATATCCAGAATACGAGCCTGGCGTAGTATTCCTGCATCGAAAACGGGTAACCTGTACAACGAGACGATATTCATTGGGTTCGACCGTTCCTTGGAGCCTGGATTTAAATAAACCGCGTACTGGGCAGATTGGTATCCTCGTCTGGGAAGACCGTTGCCATCGTTCCAATCGAAAGCTTCGAGTTGTCCACTAGCGTCCTTGCAATCCTTGCTACGAGGGTAAAGGTTGTCCTTGAGAAGTGTCACGAAACGTGCAGGAAAAACCTTGCCCGACCTGCATCGTACACAGTTTCGGCTACGTCCCTTGTCGGCGAACAGCCTACTATGTGAAATAAGAGAGACAGTAGTAAAGCAGTAGCTGTGAGATTATGCAACATCGGTGAACGTCGATAGCGAGAGGTCGGCGAGCTCAGGGTTGAACAGCGAATTGGCAGTGGCACAACCCCTGAGCTCGACCCAAGCGTGATGGGGATGGCCGACATGGCCGAGTCGGTACGATACCCCGGAACAAGCGCCAAGCTCAACCAATCGTGCCCGCACCAGCGTTAGCACAGTGAGGCCCTACTTAATGTTGCTCTAATGCCTGTAGCATTGAACAGTAGAATAGAGTATGCTTGTGATATATTAAAAGTAAAATGGCAACCAAATCAATCATTCGCCGTCCGAGCGCTCCTCCGACTCGTATGTGCTACCTTCCTCTGAAACACGATCTACAAGATCCCCGTCATCAGCGCCTGTTACCACTGGTTTACCTTGCTGCTGACTGTAGATACCGGCCAGAAAACTGGGTGTGCTAGCTTGTTCAATGGATTTATCTGGCCGAAGCCTGATAAATCTAGGGAACCGCAAGCTGAGTCCTCGGTTTCCGGCGATGAGGCCAAGTGCCGCGAGGGAGACGGGACTCTCGGTGACACTATATCAACAGATGTGAGTGAGAATTAAATAGAACTAGCCGTCTCGACGCACTCTGCGCCACGAATTTCCCATACTTCCTTCGGCTTGAAATACACATCAGGACGGAACCCTAAGTGGTGAGGGAAGGCATGAGCGCTGGAAGCATGGTCTTTAAATATGATTGTCGCTTACCACCCAGCTCACAATCCCAGCGGGATTGATCAGAACAATCGTCGGAATTCAAAGAGTAGGATTCGGATAAATTCTGAAACGCGATGAGGTTAACCCGCCGATCCTTTCGAGGCGAACATGTCTTACTTTATAAAATGCATCAGTAAACCCTTGAAACAAGAAGTTAGGGAACCTTCAAATGCCTTCAGTGCCGTGTAAATGGGCTCGGGACGTACCGGACATGCACTTGCACATGGCTATCACCCTACCCGCTGAAGGATCCCAAAGTCCAAGTAAAATCGGACTCCACCATCCGGCCTTACGGCCGTTCCCATACCATGCACCAATTGGCACCATGTCGAGACTGTCCCCCATCCCTTCGATGTAGTCCTTCTTCAATTTCAGCCAGGCTGATGTGCGCTTGTCAGGTTCGTAGGTCGCTGGGAGCTGTGACTTCCGAGAAATCCGGGAAGCTGGGGGGCTACTGTCATTATCACCCATGGAGTCCAATACCTGGATCTAACTGAACGAAGTTCTGGCAATCACAGATTGTAAGGGCACACCTTGATCATCAGACCTTCACACCGACTGGACACAGCCTTTTCCCAGAACTCAGTGACTGCCGCCTTGCCAGCCGTGCTTTCACAACTGTCGACAAAATCAAATCGAGCAAGCGTTTTGTCGTCTGGATTGAATGGGGAAAATTTACTCCTCAACAGCGCTCTTCTTTCTCTGAAGGGCGCCAGCAGTAAGGACTAAAACCCATCGAAAGACATATGAGCGTTATTCGACTTGTCGATGAATGGTATAATCAACTGACCTGTTGGTTATAGTACATGAGGTCGAACGCGAAGACACCGACAGCGACTTTGATGTTCTCGAGTTTGGCGCCCTTGCGTGGACGATTGGACAGCTCTTGGAAGGACTTGAGCTCTCCTGTAGTAAGGTCGATTGCGACGATCTCCGAGTCGAGAATAAAGGATGTGGTGGCAGGCGCATCAAGCAACATGCGTTCAATTGTTGCTACAACGTCGGGATACTATGCCCACCTTCAACAACTGTTTTTGGCAGATGAACCACAGCCCCACCTTTGTCGTCATGTCCTCGAGGTGGCGGGAGAAGAGCTTAACATGGGTTTTACCCTCTTCGTCTCGTCTCGCATGGATTTGAGCACGCTGACCATCATATTTGAATTCTGCAGTGAAGGGAGCACCTCCCAGACGATCATAGATCTCGTCAAAAGATCGATTCGGTGAGCCGAGGGCCGGGTGTAAAGGGATCCCTTGAAAAAAGAAGATGTCACTGAGTGCCAGAATCAATTCTTGACCAGCACTGGCACCAACCAACTGTCAGCGGCACACTTTGTGCCAACTGAGGAAGCCCATGCTGCAGGAGCGCGGAGGCGATGTCATCATAGCAGGGACGTTGGACATACACCTCTTTGACGAGGGTTTCAGCCCGGGAAAAGATCTCCTTGACCTCTTCCTGATTCGACACCTCCGACGACGACTTCTTTCCAGAAACCCGTGCTGCCCGCTCTCGTAGAGACTTTGAGACATGAAACAGGGAAGTTGACGAGGAAGATTGCTGAGGTGGATGTAAAGCAAACGCTCTGGCCAATGCTGTCAGTATCGAAGTTCTGACTGCACCAACTCGGAGGTTCTGGGCCAGTGTCCGTACGAGGTATCGGATCTCTTCTCCATTTCCAGCCACCAGTAACTGTTCAACGATTTTCCCTTTCTGCTGAGCAGCACCCTGTCCCTTGCATCTTGCTATTTTCAACAGAGATTCGTAGACGCCCTTCACTGTGAGAGGAGCGTGGGGCACGAGAGTGCGGACCTTGGATTTAGCCGCGAAGGCAACGTCCCCGACATCGCCTGTCGTGTTGTACAGCCTTTTCAGCGCTGGTGCCGACAGCCCCGACACGTGTTGGATGGCCTTTGACAGCACGGAACTGCCTATCCCCAGTTCCAGAGCAGCATACGGCGGGGAAAGGGAGTTGGAGAGTAGGTAAAGCGCCGGGAGTAGCGAGGGGGGGTGGCGAGCAATCACGGTGACGAGCGTGTTGACCAGAGTGTTAATAATCGCAATTCTTGACCTGGTTTGAGATAAGGTCGCCAATGCATGGCATAGGAAAGAATACGGAACGTCCGCTGACGTCCATGGTTGATCATCAGGAGAGTACAGCAGAGGATTGTTATCCAGTGGTGCGTAATCCACAACAGTCGGCCTTGAGTCGCGTAATTGGAAGACCTTCGCTGGAGACCCTGACGGTGACTTGGTCTCAGCCGGATGGGCCGGGAGGGCGGAAAGGGTGGTTGATTTCGTGGAAGTCTTTAGGGGTCTGTCCTCAAACATATCGACATTGATGATTTCAGGAGTTTTGATTGGGGACCGAGTCGTCCTCGTGTGCGAGGTATTAGATGCACTGCCCGATGGTGCTTTGGTTGGCGAAAGGAAGTCATCCAGTCGCATTTGCTTGCTGCCATCGACTTTAGATTTCTTTTTCGGCGTCGAATGATCGCCAGCCGTTGCTCGTTTAGCCATTCCAGGCAGAGAACGTGGGTTTCAGGAGGCTTCTTGGAATGACGATGGTCAGAGGCAGATTCAATTGCTTGGCACCAGCCTCGGTGCGCGAAATAATTGCCTAAACGGGGACCGTCCCGAGACGGGCCGCCGTACAAGTCCAGACCTCGAGTTGAAAGCGTGCAAGCTTTCTCTAGGGCATATTTTGATACAGATCCAGCCTCAGGTGCTCCTCGTGAGAAACTGCAGTTCGAAACTCACTAAGAACCGTGTAAATTTCGAACTCTGCCAACTTCTGCTGAGAGGATTCCTCGAGACTCGCGGGGCCGAATCCTGACCGCCGGTATGTCCGTGATCGGTTAAACGCCTCCCCCGCTCACCATCAGCGCCATACAGTCCTGCCACCGATGGATGTACATACCATTCTCGGTTCAGCCACAGCATCGAATCGAGAGGCAGTCTGAGGCAATTACGGGGAAGACCAGGTTCAACCAAAAGGTACACCAAGTAGAAGAAGCTGGTGCCGGGTGTTCATTAAGTTTTCGGATTTTTTCGTCCTTAATCCAATAATTTCCATTTGGGAAAGATTACTTGGAAGAGTCCCTTATCATCCCATGTATAGGAGGCCTTGTGGGAGTGGAGAGGACCGAAGCGAATTAAATCATGACTGCAACTGACTGTCCAAACAAGCGTCTAGATACTTACCAGACTAATGGGAACATGCACGACTACTTTGAGAAGCCTTGAAAGGCGAAGGAGTGATGCTCGGGAGGGCAGCTGGGGATCGATCAGGGGCCTGGCACTGGCAGGATGATGGGGACCTGACTTTGCTCCGCAATCCATTCAATCGTCCTTCCAGTTTTCTACTACCCCCACTGCTTTCAACTGGTCTTGTCAATCCAATGTTAACCTTCACAGCCGTCTCAAAATGGTTTCTAACGCCGCCCAGAAGCAAGCCGCCCCATCCCGATGACATTGGGTCGAAGGCTTTCATTAAAAGTCGGTAACCATAATTTATGCTGGGCATCTCTTCGAGTTGATTAGATCATGTCAACCCATGCAGAACCGCATTCAGGGAGCAACGAATCGCCGACTTGTAGGTGCATAAGGATTTTTACGGAAAAAGAGCATTTTTTGTTGATCAATGACCAGGAACGAACGTGAAAGGCATAAGCAAACAAAGTATGATCAATTCGGACAGACCAGATGGAGAAAATTGTTCTTCAGCAGGTTGCTTCAGCATCGTAATGGAGTGAGGTGATAATAACTCCTTTCTTGTACTAACAACTGAAGTCAGCATATGGCTCCTGCGGCGAATTGTCAACGGACATATTCGTTCTGCGTGCTGCATTGAATGACCAAGACAGAGCGAACGATAGTCGGAATTCGATTCAGCATTAGACCCTGCTCGGACGGTCATTGTCGGCGTCTGGACGAATTTCAACATTTCTGAGTGCACTGGTCTGCCTGTTTTTACCAATTACGGGGAGTCGAAACAGTCTCGGGTGCGGAAGCGGACAGGCACCAGCTTTCTTGGAGGCTGGATGAATCCGACCCAGGCGCCGGGACGCGGGACTAATCTTCACAGCCTACAACAAATCGACGTGTGCCGGCATATCTCTTCCGCCAGGCACCAAGCCTATCCCTGCTGGGCGTCATAGCCTGGTTTTGACAATTTAAATCGTTTGCGAATTGACCGGATTGAATCTCAGTCTCGTAACCCTCTCGACCTTCCGACGCACCTACTTAAGCAAGCCCCATGCAAACCGGCAGGGTAAGCTCTCAAGTCCCAACCCCCCAGATCACAATGACCGAACGAAGATATTCCTCGCAGTACCAACAATGGAACGAGGTGGCGCAGCCATACCTCAACACGCACAATTACCCCTCGAGCACCTATCACTCCTCGGGCGGACACCATTCCTCGAGCTCTGCGGTTCAGCACCCTGTCTACAACGACGAGAGCTCCTACTCGGCAACATACTACCCGACGTCGACGAGTGGCACACATTCCCCTGATAGCCCCGTCTATCCATCGCCCATTTCGTCGAGTGGGTCAGACGGCTATTCGCGATATCATGACCCGCCTCGACCAGATTCTACGCGACCAATGTCTCATCATCCATATTCGCATTCACAGTCCTATACATACTCACCTTCGTCATCTTCGCCACACCCGCCCAACCATCCATACGCACGCCCCCGCTCCCATTCTCAGGCGTACCCAACACATGAAACCATAAGCCTTTCACCGCCTCAGAGCTCTCATTACCACCAACAAATACCCCTTTCCCCGGCAATGCCCAACGCACAATACCCAACCCCTCCAGCAAGACCGTTCGCATGCGACCTCTGTGCACTTTCTTTCAACCGTCAGCACGATCTGAAACGACATCGCGAAACACATACGGGCGAAAAACCATTCCTATGCAATGGGGGATGCGGGAAAACCTTTACACGGAAGGATGCATTGAAGCGGCATCAGGTTGGTCCCATTTCCATCTCTCGACGACCACGCAGCCAGAAACTGACATATGGTCCTTCAGCTGGTCAAAGGTTGTGGCAAAGTCGAAGACGGTCGATCGTGATTCAGTACGATATATTGGCAATGTAGATGATATGAACCACGCGTAGTAATGGAGGAATAATTTTAATTTTTCTTTCTTGACTAAATCGCCCTAAGTAATACCCAGACATCGTCAGCATGTGCTCAACGGATGGAACCACAGGGGACGCACCTAAGATTCCCCTAAGACTCGGCGGTCACACGTTTCTCCAGCACCCACGCATCCGGGGGCGAGATTTTCTTGTAGTAATCCTTGTGGATGCCGACCTCTGTGAAGCCATGACGCTCATAGAATCGTTTCGCGTCCTCATTGGACACTTGCACATGCAGGTATATTTTCTGGATCTTTGGGCTGTGCATCGCTGCAGCCTCCAAAACCGACTCGAGGGCCTTTGACCCGACTTCTCTTGATCGATAGGGCTGAGAAACAATTTTTCTGTCAGAAAAACTCATTTGATACGCGAAGGGGGGAGATCTCACCGCCAGAACGCCCATGGTCATCAGGTACAGTTGCTCCTGATCGTCCTTGTTCTCGAGTCGACAGCAGATGGTCCCTACCTTATTGACAGAGGGTGGGCGACTCGATTCTAATACCTATGCAGACAGGCCGACATACGGGAATATCATTATAATAAACTGGGATCGTTCAGCAGGAAGAACGCCGAATTTGGGAGCATTTAGGGTACGCGTACCTAACTTGCAAAACTCCTCGACCTCAGGCTTCAGGATATCTTGGTAGAACTTTTCACTGTATCGTATTGGAAATAAGACAGAGTTCAATTTACGAACAGTGCCGAGATTGTTCTCGGTCAAGGAGGAGAACGAAACGCGACTCGATTTGGAGGCTGCGGATGGCATACTGGGGACGGTGGACAAAGAGCGTTCTTGCCGATGCGTCAACGTTTCACGTCGTTTGGGCTTATTTGCCTCCGCGTCCAACCAGCGGAAAGTCGCGTCTGCCGTGCGGTTAAGTTGCTCCTTCATTACTCAACACAGCGAGCTCAGCTTCACGAATAACGGGCTCGCTGGGCTTCTTCCAGCACCTAGACAGGGTTTCTCGGCCATCTCAAGGCCATCTTCAACAGGCGCACATCGCCGGAGTTTAGATGAGCGTCCATACCGTAAGTAGTAACTCCTTCGCAACAAATTCGCTAAAGCGACCTTTTCTTCTTGTCTTTTCCGAGTCAGTCAGGGTTTACTTAGGGCCTTTATTGACGTTTCGACATTGAATCAATCATTTTTGGAGGAATTGTTTTATGACCCACCCAGACTTTGGCCAGTACCTCACCTGTCATTGTCAAGTCCTTGGATGGGGGCTTCAGTCACTGTATGTCCCTTAACGGGTCTACGGTCCTTACTCCAAAATTATCATCGGGTTTGTTGCGCTTGACATCGGCTCTCCAGAGGCTAAGTGTACGGTGACCTTTCGTCAGCCTGTATCTCCAAACTTCAAAGTGACTTGTACCCCAATATGTGACAGACCCCGAGTCTATTGCATCATGTGGTTCGTTGAGCCTTTTTCGACACTCATTGTTGACCACAGGATCTGTCATCTCAGTTGACCACCGCACGGGAGCTCCGTCTAACTCTCCGCCGAAACGACGTAGATGAAATCGTCATCAAAGCGATGAGTCCTTTCCCAGCTGCGAGGCCTGAATCGGGGACAATCTTTGGCCTCATGGTCCTCTCCATCAACTCCCAGTCATGACAGAATCAATGGGCCAACACCGTCCTTTCTTTTTCCTGAATCTTCCCTTCCGTTTGGTCGAAGTCGAACCCGACATGACCCGCATCCGACCCCCAACTTGGCCGCCGGGACCCACACCCCGCTGAATGCCTGTTCTTTCTGATACGTATTCGCGGTACTTCATTCGCAAACTGACTCTACTTTCCAGATATTTAATTCATCAATTTCCTGACCTTCCTTTTGCAGGAGAGCTGCACTAAGGTACCATCTTTTCAATAAAAGTTGGCAGTTGCGTCCGTGAAGAGTTGGGACCTAGTTTCCCGCGAAAGAATCCTCCTTTCCAGAAATGCTGCGGGCTCTCGACCTCTCTCGGACCTGTGCGATGGTGCTCTGGCTTTGATCTCCCTTGTCACTCTTGTTCTTGGTGTTACTCCCTGTCGACTTGGATTACCCCTGATCTCTGAGGAAACGGTATAGAGCTCCAGCAGGAACGTCGCTGTGTTCCATATAGAACGGGTCTCCAACCTCGATTCGAACCACTGGCGAGTTCTCCGAAATCGATTTCGTCACACATCTGCCTCAAAGTATAGCGGAATGTCGCTTCATTCGATCCACTGACAAGGATGTTGCTTCCCTCTTGTCTGCCGACACCACGTCCCAACGTTCTGCAAACTTTAGTGACAGATTGCCCGTGCTAATCGCATGAGTCCCAGATCCAACAGAAGTACTGTAGAGGATATCCAGCGCGACCGCCACGTTAGGAATGCAGTAATCCTCTCGCCGATTAATTCGTGTACTATTCTCGGAGTTGCCTGGAGAACCTGGGTGGAAGACGCATATGTAACACAAGTACCGCTTCTTTCAGTCCGTCTAGACTGCTCTCGAATGAGGTACCTACTGTATTGTGTAAATTGAGTGGTTTACCCTTCCAGTATACATTCCGTGCGACTGCCACCTGCTACAGTGAAATTAGCCATGTGACGGACCCGAGGTACACCGTTGGGGAGGTATATGCAGATGGCTACAATACTAGGTTGACATACAGTTCCAAGTTCAGTCGTTGGTTATATCGGTGAGTCGTGAGTTCGCGAGCGAGAGGATCGGATGTATCAACATGGTGCTAATGAAGCAAGGGGGTGTCGGCCAAAAAGTTCCGGCTAGAGGGTCGAAAAATCTTTTCTCAGGATTTCAACCTGAACTACCTAGGTAGAATATAGGGGTATTACCATATTTAGCAATGTTATTACGTCACTTCCGCGCCCTTTGGCCTCCTCCCCTGTCGGACCGCGCATCGCGTTGAGAGGAGCGCGATAAAGGAGGAATCCGCAAGGTAACTCGGAGGCCCTGTGGATTGTCAGATGGTGTTGAATATCTGTCCCAGATGGTTTGAGCTTTGAGGGATTTGAATTCAGAACTCGCAGCTCTGACCAGAGGGACAGAGCGTCCGTACGATATTGCAACAGAGTCCTTCTGATTATCTATGCTTCCATGAGTCGAAAGCTCAGGATTTCGAGCCAATCTTAACCAGCTTACGTGAACGGTCAGACTCCAGAGCGGATGAGGGTTGTTGGCGCACATAAACTCGCGATAGACCTTGGATGTAGGTCAAAAATGTGTTTTTACCTGGATTTTCTGCTCTTCTGGGCGCACGGGAATGCTGTTTGACTCAGAAAGGGGCTAAATTTCTATTTTTGGAGGCCCTTCCAAACTTTTTTTCTGGCCCTTCAGGCAACCTTCAGGGTGGAACTACCTCCCTAGGTCGGTGTCCGGGATTTCTTTCCCACGACCCCCTTGTAATGAAGGCGTTTATTTAGAGCAAACGATGACACGTACGCCGTGGCTGGCGCTTCTCAGCTGTCTTGTGCCGGTGGAGAGTCACCTTTATCACCTCCAAAAGTGAGCCCAATGTCAAGGCCGCCGTTGAATACATTTAATCTCAAGACTGAAAACATTTTCTGGTGCCTCCTCAACATTGGGACTTCGCCTTGTCCGGTAGTAAATGTACTGTGCATATTTCTGATCAGGAGATAGCGGGAAGAGCTCCTGCAATGATAACCGTCTACACCACTTGAATCACAAATTTGCTTCACTAATCACCATGGTCAGCGCACGATACGAGTAACTGTGGATGAAAGCAGCGTATGGGATGCGGTGGGATGGTGTGGTTCTTGGTCCTGGATTGCCCCTATGATGAGGCGAGGCACAACAAGGACAAAGCTAACAGCGCCGAGAGCCAGTGCTTGTGCATCGTCCACAATCTCTTCCACAGCCCAGTCGTTGTCGACAAGATCGTCCAGATAATTTCCACGATTTAGTTTCGCCGTCGAGATAGAGCATTAAGGAACGCTGCAAACAGTAAGGAACAATAGATAGCATTTTTTGGTTAATGAGGCGCTAACCCCATTTGTCAGGTAACAGCTACCAGAGTTGTCGGCGCATCAGGCTCGTTGTATCTCTCAACCTCAACAATCACGATGGAAGCCAAAACGACTACCCTGCCACGTCCCATGGGTCCAAGGGGCCCGACACCGGGTCGTAGGCCTCCCTTTCCGACGATCAGGACGACAGGCAATCTCCCGACGTCGCCAATACAACCAGCGGATCCCCCAATGCTCGCCCCGCCCACTCTAGGAATCCCACAGCGAGGAAAGAAGCCGATATTGGGCCTCAAGATCGACAAAAACAACACTTCATTCGAACTTTACGCTGGAGGGCCTAGTGGTCCTCCCGAGTCGTATATGTCTCCGGGCGATGATGCAAGAACGATCAGACCTGGGCCCGCGACAATCCAACCAGGCGGTGACACCGGCACAACGACTGTCCCTGCATCCAAGCCTGGTGCATCTGAACCTATCACCCGAATTCAAGATCTACTTCGTGACTTGAATTTGACGCAGCCCCCACCCACAGTTAATCCGTCGCCAGGCGATTCTATCTTGTCCAAGATCGAAGACCCGTCGTCTACACAGTGGTCAGATGAGTGTTTCGAGGAGATTTCCAGGCTCGGTGAAGGCGCTGGAGGAGCTGTCCACAAGGTCAAAGATAAGCGCAATGGGATGATCATGGCGCGGAAGACGATCACGACACGCGAGGCGCCAATGAAGCAGTTGCTTCGAGAGTTGACAATCATGTCTTCAACCAAGCATGTCAATATCATCACCTTCTATGGAGCTTACATGTCGCCGTCTTCGAGCGAGATCAAGATCATTATGGAATACTGCGAGGGAGGGAGTTTGGAGTCTGTGGGGAAGAGGATCAGGGAGCGGGGTGCGATTGTCGGAGAGAAGATTGCAGGTCGGTTGGCCGAAGGGGTACGCGCTCACTTGCTCTCTCCTTGCAGTTAATCATTTCAAACCATCACAGGTTCTCCAAGGACTCTCGTATCTGCATTCAAAGAAGACGATCCACCGTGATATCAAACCCTCCAATATTCTTCTGTCGAAGGAAGGAGTGGTCAAGCTTTGCGACTTCGGTGTCTCTGGAGAGCTGATCTTGTCGCAAGCTGGAACGTTCACGGGAACGAGCTTCTATATGGCCGTGAGTTGAATTGGAATTAAACTGAGGCTTAATGACACTGATCGCTTTTGTAACAGCCTGAACGTATACAGGGCAAAGAGTATACCATCCGTTCCGACGTCTGGTCAACCGGAATCTCGCTCCTCGAACTCGTCCAAAACCGATTCCCTTTCCCCCCTGATCTCCCGCCGATAGAGTTGATGATGTACATTACGAATAGCGAGGTAGGCCTTCTACCGATTGTTACCGCCGTCATTCTGATCACCCGTCCCTTAGCCCCCCCGCCTTGAGGATGAACCTGGCGTCAACTGGAGCGAAGAAATGAAAGACTTCATTAAGCAAGCGTAAGTGGTTCAGCAGTGAGGCAAATAGTTGCTGACCACGTCACATTTCAGGCTCACCGTGGACCCTGTTGATCGGCCAACCCCGAAGGATATGTTAGAACACCCGTGGATTAAGAATATGATGAAGTACGAGAACACCATGGGAAGATGGATTGCTCAGGTCTGGGGCTGGTCGCGGTCGAAGAAATCCAGGGATGAGTAAGTTCGTTCGAAATACCGACCGCACAGTTGTGCTAAAATCCATCGTAGAAGCTCTTCACGACCGGGTACAGCGTCTGGAACGCCTTGAAATGTATTACTCTTTCTAGGTAGCTTTCGACTAATCTTCCCAATTCCACTGGCATCTTTGCTTCTTTCTCACTTACACTATCTATTCGCTATCGAAACACACTTCTTGCTATCGTCTGGGCTTCTTGATTCCTTTTGTGTCATGCCAATCTCCAATGTGCTATAGAACCCCTTTTCGCGTTCGTCTACTGAATGCAAATTCTTTGACGCTGTTCTCTACCAAAAGAAAGAGAGCAATCCACCTGGCTGGGAGTCAGAGTGGGTATGCTTTGCAATACGCCTCGCCATGAGGGGGTTTTGGGGCCCTCCAGCGTCCGCAGCGAGTGTCGAACCTTTCACTATATGCTACGATCGCCCGCGATTACCTTTCGCGTAGGGACTGCCACCCATTGCCGATATTCCCGGTTCGATCGAAGAAAATCCACCTAGCCGAGAGCACAACGCGTCGCCTGGCGAGCAGCCCAAGGAAACACGGATAGTCGTCGCGGCAGGAGCGCCACAGAAGAAAGCTCAAGGATGAGTGGTGAGTATAGTTTACCCTCCCGCTGGGGACTCTCTTCTAGGATTGTGGAGCCATCGGGGCCCTTGGAAGCTGGCAGACCCCCTTCTTCGTATTGCTGACACAGTTCGGGATGATTGGGACTTCTAATTCTTCGATTTGATGACCATTGAGAACAGGACGGGAACCTCCCGTCGCGCGCTTTTGGCCGGATCTACATGAACACGAGTATGGGCGGCAACTTAGGGTCCTCCTCCCTTGACTACATATTAATCCAGGAACTCGTGTTCAAGTCCAAAAGGCCGTTCTCGTCGAACCTTTTGGAGTCAATGTATTAACAGTTCGATCCCTGGATATCTTAACGTAAACAAGTCGGGCACCTGGGATGATATGTCGAATTCAAAATGCCGTCTCAAGCCGAAGCTCGGATTCAGGGAGTAGGCCAAGCTTACCGGCATATATGAAGGCATTATGTACAAGATACCGTTGCTTTACCGTGTTTTCGTGCGTACATACAGTCATACGGGTCGTGGTCTAAATCCTTGATAGGGTCTAAGCGACAAAGGGTAGTTCCAGACAACAATTATGGCGACTCTTCAATTAAAAAACGATGCCACCCATGCACGAAGCGAAGACGCTGGAACACGAGGCAAAGGAAGGTCGAGCGAAGCCGTCTTGAGGGCGGACTCCCCAATTTCTTCTCCCTTTTTTCCTTTGACTGTAGGCTTTGTTTGCTTATAACGGTTTTGCGTGCACCAAGGGAGACGTCTCCAAGCAAATGTTTGGCCAGACTGGGCATATCGATGGTTCAGGACTTCTTCATTTGCAGGCCGGAATCTTCAAGGCTAAATGTGGAGTGTCAGAGTAAAATTGTGTAATGCAGCTGCTTCGTGGGCCTCAGAAGATCATCTAGACTTTAGGCATGCGCTTGCATCGTGCGGAAGAAAAATGATGATCTACAAGATGGGTCATAATCCAATGTTGGGACGAGTTAACCTCTGTCAAGCAAACCGCAGAATGCTCGTGCAGAGCATGTTCAGACCCCAATGCTCAGCATTGTAAAACAGGAGGCTGACTAGACGTACAATCTCTCGACGGGCGCGTTGTCGTGCTTGGCAAAGTCCTAGCGTGCAAAGGGCGCTTATAGTGGGCGCATCCCGTGATCGGAATTCCGTTAACGCAGCGTGGCCTCTAGATCTGGCCGAAAACCCTTGCTTAGACCTCCCGGGATTGCATCCACCTTTTGTAAGGGGTTCTCTCGACGACGAAGGCGGCCACAAAGTAGCACAAAGAGTGCAAGGACTGCTTCCCAACACTACACAAAGACGAGTCACCGCGTCTGACCGCTCGACTGACGGATTAGGCATAGTGTTTCGGGAGGTACCTGGAAAAAGATGACAGTATCCATGATTCGCCCAGACCCATCCCCACAGCATGGAAGCATTTGGTACCACCAAGAAAAAGCCACCAAGTTCCATGTTCGTACCGGCAATTGACCCTAGATCTGACATTCGGGGATCACAACCGAGTGACGGACTTTATTTTGGCTCGTTGCCTCGCAGCCTCCATCTGAGCTGCTATATAAAACATTTTCGGAGCACGAACATGGTCTGTACTCGACCTTCTTCACCGATATGTCCTTGTAAGTGACCACATCCTATGTCTTTGCCACGTCCTCACTATCGTTGGCAGTGCCAGAGATTATATTCTGCCACCTCCACCCTCCATGATCCATGACGACGCGTCGTCGACGAGTAGCCGAGGCTCCTCGACACGTTACGATAATAATCCGAGACGAATGGGTGAGGTCGAGAGGAAGCGCCCCAAATACACTCGAAGCAAGACAGGATGTCTGACATGCAGGGTGAAAAAAGTGAAGGTGCGTACGCCCTTGTCATTCCCATTGCATCTCGTTGACCACCACCGGTTCAGTGCGATGAGGTGCATCCTGTCTGTACGCGTTGCGACAATGGAAACCGAGACGTACGTTCTGCTTACTCCATTCATTTCTCCGGGGCACTCAGGAGTCATGCGTAGTGCACATGGCCTGAGAATGTTCCTACCCGCAAAAAGACGATTGCCTCGAGAAAAGATTCACTTGACCGCTGCTCCAATCCCGACTCCTCAGGACTGTCAGACATGTCCACGCCTCCCACACGACATCATTCGCCTGCCCCAACCAAATTACAAACGTCCGACTCTGGTGCTTTCTCGCAACCCCACTATACACGGCCACCGCACAGGTGATCATCTCGGTGGCTAGACTTCACGAAATGAAGTGCTGACCTAGTACCAGTGACTCGCATGTTCATCGACAAGACGTTAAACTCGAACCCATCCCCTCTCGGGTGCCACCGTGAGTCTTTAGTTACTACCCCATCGAGCCCCTGCTAATTTCTTTCCTTTCGTTCCCAGATCATTCAGTGAAGACCGGGTCCATCTACTTGGGAGTTCCAGTTCGAGCTGCCATCTTTCATCTGTCGGACACCACGAGCCCCAGTACCAGTCCCGATACAGCCTGACGCCAGTGCCCAATTCTATGCAGGACTCGAGGGTGCCCAATCTGCCTTATCGTTCGTCGTACTATGGGCACGACGAGGATGCCTGGCATACACCCTCGCATTATCAGGGTGCAAGCGTACGTCTCCTCTGAAACTGCTTTCGGGCCGAATGCTGACTCTTTGCCAGCAGTACAGCCATCACCTTGTACCAGACAGGTCCTTCATGGGTCACTCCTCGAATCAACTGCAGTCTCATTACAGATATTGAATGTCCTTGAAATGCCCCATTATGTTCTCCCAGTTACCCTCGTATCCATTGCACTCAGTACCCCTTAGATCATTGCACTAACTTAACCTTTGCTCTCGTTCTTGCTTTCGCATTTTAACTACTAATCGTCTTCAGATAATCGCAAATGACTTCATGATCTTTTCTAATGTACTCACAAGCCTGGGCACCTTTTGCTGTTGTATATATCGAACCGTATCCGGCATGGAACTAACTAATCTGTATGTTATGGCTAGTATATGCCTTATCACATTGGCTTTGCTCTTGGATCAGATCTGCGGTGGTGTGATTGGTGTGCTGGGAATGATGAGAACGGCCAAGAGAGGCGATGTCTCGAGTTGCAACATTGCAAATTAACCTGGAGTAAGTCCTGCAACTGTTTCATGATCGTTTCAAGCCCTTGGAATTTGATTCATCCAATGCGCACTCATCGTGTCATGTATTAATTTGCAATGGGCGGCCGAAGTTGGCCCCTCGTCGAGACGCTTCACGAGCACAGGAAAAATGATGGTCATGGACTTTCAAAACTGGGCGATTTGCAACTGGGAATTTCGCAGCCGTGAAATTCGGTGTGTATCATCCTATGCAATTTTGCCTGAACTTCACCGTGAAACATCAGGCGAAATCTCTGCATAACTCCGTGGTTTTTCGAATTGCTGTTCGACGAGGGGCTTAGCGACCTTGTGCGTCACCGCAACGTCTCGAGTCCCACTCCAACTATTATGAAACAACATGTCAGCAAAACTAAGCCAGTCGCAGGATGGAGGTGGTCGCCAGAGGTGTGGCTACTCGCCCGAAGGTCACAGTTGGACATTGGATTTTGGGGTGCCAAATTGCCTCCTGCATAGCGAGAGGTTTGTCACGTCTGATCCCGCCGGCAGGGATCGCCACGGGTGACATGGCTGCCGATCCCTAAGCAAGATAGTGAAGAACCGGAGATGAATGCTAGTGACGGAGATATGGGCCTACATGCACAGTAGAAAGGCTGGCCCCCCGTTGTTTGTTTCTATCTCGCACTTCATTTCGCGGAAGATGAAATTGCTTTCCTAATTCGGGGCATGTCTTCTTCCGGGAAAAGGGCCAGTACCCCTATTCGTCGTCGCGACTCCCTTTGACTACCAACGACCACCACACACACACACTTGACCCACTCCACAACGAGATATCCGAGAAACCATGGGCAAGCTATTCTTCCTCATTTTTAGCCCCCAATTCGTCTCTAACAAAGCTTACCTGTATCCAGCGTCGGCGGAAATGCTCAACTTTGACGAACCTCGCCCACCTAAGCAAACAGGGATCGATGCGTTCAACTACATCCTTCCCACTATTAAATCAGAGATCGTCAAGTCACGTCGACACTGGGACGCACATGAACCCAAGATGTGGTCGAGGGCCCAAGGCATCAGCGATAAGGATTTGGTAAACTTCACCATTGAGGATGATCTCGTCGAGGTGCGCGTGCCTTCAGGAACTACTAGATCAAAGGGAAGGAATTAGAGCTGATGATCTCCATTGCGTCCTGCGCAGATTCGAAGCGCCGCTACGAGCTACGGCTACATCATCCTTGGGAAGATTAGGCTGCCCGCCATCAACGACGAAGAGGGAGAAGGCTATGTGCATGTCCGGTGAGCGCTCGCGACGGACCTCCTCTGCAACCTAGCTCCTCACACACTCTTCACAGAATCCACGACCCTCCTAACAGAGTAGGCTTTTAATTACCCTGGACACGTTTTAAAACCCTTCTAACTTCCCGTTTCTCCCGCCTTTATAGGGACAAGAAGACGTGATCTTCCACTCGCTTTTCACCGACGAGGCCGATCGTGATGAAGACGGCCGACCCACGAAATGGCGCGCTATCCAGACCAGGGACTTCCCGTTGGAATTCTTTAACGAGTGAACTAGTGCAACTTTAAATTTAAGGAATAAATTACAGGGGACCAGGGGCAATCTAAATATGATCTAGGATTCAGAGAAACCCTTCCAGCGCGCGCGTTGATACAGATTGGTTCCACCAGATTGAATAAGCGAATAAGTTAATCGGGGTTCAGGGAACGACTCCTGCAAGCCGCGAGCGAATGCCATCGACGAAACACACATCGGAGGCAGAGTATGGAGACCACCGCCGATTTGACAGTTAAAACACGAGCGCCGCGGATGTCAACGAGGAACTGAGAGCAGCCATCCGCGAGCTCGTGGTACCGCGCATTGGTACGATTGCCGAAGTGAGTTTACCCCGCACCCGCCGGGCGCACGACAGCACAGTCCCATCCACATCAAACACCGTTGTCCATCCAGGTGTCACTGTCAGTCACTATCAGAGAGAGGGTCGTGCGGGCGGTCATCGTCTAACTGCGGGCGCAGAATATTGATGATTGCAACAGCGACACCCATCTTTGTCGCTGAGGCTGATGTGGAACGGTGCAGGGGTATGTGTACCTGCTTAATCGCTCATCAGTATCGTAAGCAAGCAGATGCCACTGTCCACAGATATCTGAGTAATGTCGTTTGTTTCGTCGCGTCGTCGACCAGCATCGATTCCGCCGTGCCTTGCTCGGATTGCAAGGCCCGCAACGATAAAATCCATCCATCCATGAAATGACACACTGCCGACAGCGACGCCGAAAGCAACCAATAAAGAGAGGGTCGGGTGGTGGTCAATAGCAGCGTCGACTGGATGGACCACCTCAACTCGCTTATCCGTCTTCCCCGGTTCTTCTGAATCCAGTCAAATGCCGTGGTCAACGGTAGCGCTATGCTCCCGATAGAGCTCCGCCCGACGGTGAGAGGATCGAACCGCAACGAACACCTCGGTGTTGGGAGCACAAGCGAGCCAATGAGCTTGATATGCCGTGTGGCTGGGCGAACTATGTACACCTTTAGCAATGGAACACCATAGGGGGGATTGAACCTACCAAGGCAACCAAGTACCCATTCCTCCTGAACCCGACATCGCTCTCGTCTTCGTGCGTCTTGAAAGTCGTGGCGCCAGCTTGAAGTCGAACTGCAAGAGAAAGGGTTCATTCATACCACGACAGGAAAACTACATAAGTACAAAAAATCACAATAAAAGAGGAAAAAGTACGGTTATCAAGATGAGGGGAGGGATTTCGACAATCGCCACCAAGAACTTGTGCACCCATTCCACGTCCGGAAAAAGACACCAATGCACTTAGGGTAAGGAAGAAGGGTTTGGAGATACAAGCACAAAATTGGAAAGGCAAATAGGATCACGGAGAAAAAAGACGCAGAGATGAATGAAATGGAAAAACTGAATCTGATTGTTTTTTTTTTTCGTAAACTGGAAAGGTGGTTTCTCGCGCTGCTGCTGTTTACAGAAAGAAAAAAGAGAAAGAGGAGAGAAGAGAGAGGGAAAAGTTAGAGTACACACACAGACAAGATACAAGACAACCAACAGGAAGTCGAGGTCAGCTCGAGCAAACGAGCCGAACGCAGAGGGCACACATAGGACAATAGAAAGGGAGAAAGGAGAGAGGAGAATATCACCGAGGGCGATACTGGCGCCCAAAGCTTATTGCATCGAGACAAGATAACGGCCTTCTCCATTTCCAAAGCTTCCTGAGGGATCGAAGACGTGAATGTTGTCCACCGGAGATACTTTGGGATGATGATACGGCGGAGAAGTGATAGACTCGAGTGCAGGATTATTGAATATGCCCACCATGGGGGCTTTGCCTTGGAAAGCGGAGAGGCCATTGCCATTCAAAAGCTTGCCGTTGATGATCGCAACCGGAGACGAGGAGATACCATCGAACCCGCCAGCAAATCCAGTAGGATTCTCGCCTTCAAGCCACGTCCAGGTCTGGGACACTTCGCTGGTCGTCGGCGGTGCCATGTTATCATCCAGGAACGTCGACATTTGGATTGTGCGCTCGCCGGAAGACGAAGACTCCGTTGACGATGGCGAATAGCTGAGGCCGGGAACGTCGGAGAAGGGGCTGGTGCTGGAATCCGATTTCGCAGGGGGCTGGACAAAGCATCAGAGATTGAACGACAACCAAGATAGCGCTACTGACCTGGAGAAAACCACTATCCGAACTTGAATCCATCGGAACATAGTGATCTGGGAATTTGCCAGCAGGGAGCGTTGAGGAACGGCGCAAGGGGAGCTTTCGTGCCGGGCCAACATCCACGGTTTCCATGGACTGATCGGCACGGAGGGTTTGAGGCGGCGATCCAGTGAACGAGAGTGAAGGCTCGCTCTGAGAGCGGGCAACCGGTTTGTTGGGCATGGAAGAGCTCGCAGTGGGCACTGCAGGCGCTGCGGCTTTACCAACCCAAAGGCGCCACTCGAGCGCGTTACCAAGGGCACGTTCACAACGACCAATTTCTCGTGGAGGGAGGCCGGAAAGTTTGGCCCATGCGCGATTCGAATAGCACTTGTCTTGAGTGAACTTTGAGGCGAGAATGAGGGCCGCCAAAAATGCGCGGCGCGGACAAAGAAGCGGGGATGGAAGAGGAGGAGCCGGCGGTAGGTCATTGCTGGATGGTTTCGGCGCCGGTTGACTTGGGCGGATGCTGGGAGGACAAAGCTCTTGAAGACAAGGTATATCTGTTTCGTCATCCGACACGCGGACAGTGTCGAGGATGTCGTCGGTGGTTTGATCACCCATGACGACGGTGTCGAGCTCAGATTTAGCGAGTTCTGCTTCATGTTGAAGTTCGGCCTCACTCGCCAGGGTGATCGAACTGGTTTGCTCAGGCTCCCCTCGCAAACCCACTCCTTGTTTCTCCCGCTGGATCAGTTCACGGAGCTTTGGGCGGATGGCCTCGAGGTAGCAGAGTGCGGTCTGGAGAACGCCTCCAGACGTCTTCGATCTGCGGAGGACGTCATGGACGAAGCCCCTAATCGGGACGAGGGGGCAGGGCGTTTCCGAAGTTCCTGTTTGAATGAGTACTGGTGCCGTGGGAGCGGGAGGCTGTGAAGCAGAGATGATGGAGGAGGCGAGAGTGTGCGAGGCGCTGGAGCTCTTTGCTAAGAGCTGGGTTTGCCATGGATGGGCGATAGATTCGCCAGGAAGCAGGGTCTTTGGGCTTGAATAAACTTGTGGAATGTCCTGTGGGCGCCAGATATCGCAAAGGGTCTTGACGGATTGATCTAGAGAGGCTGGGTTCGCGGGGGCTCGGATAATGATAAGGCAAGGAGCGCTGACGTACCGACAAGGGTCAAGGCGAATTTGGTTCTATTTCCATCTCTCGAGGAATCCTTTGGGATGGCTGGATCAGAGGCGGGTGTCTTGTGAGCAGGCGGTGTGTTGGCTGATGTTGCTGGTGTGTATAAATAAGAGGCTGGGGATATTCTTGCAGAGGAAGCTGAGGACGATGAAGAGGCAGAAGAAGAAGATGAACAAGAGGGAATAGGCGCATAGGGCTGCCACCGGCCCCTTGTTCTAGAGGCTGGCGGAGCCCTGTGCGCGAGTGTGTGGGTGAATGCGTGCATTGAGCGGTGGTTGCGGTGTTCTTGGTTACAGGGTCGAAAGACGAGTTGGGGTTGTCAGACAGTCAGGAGTTGGGGTTGCAGGCCGATATTACAGGTTTGAAGAATATTATTCAGAGGGCGAAGCTAGCATTGACCTTGTTGAGATAGTAAAGTTCAGATTCAGAGGGGAAAGAAACAGCAGCAGCAGCGAGGAGAATTGCGTTGTTGGCGGCGGCAAATGGGGTGTTCTGTCGTTGGCACATCGTGGGCAGAGAGGGGAATGGGATCGCCCAAGTCTATTTAGTAGACGTTGGGTAATCCGAGATCACAAAGTCCTGACTCTAGCAGTGACTTTGTGTGAGCTGGTGCGGGTGTTGTCTGGGCGGCTGAACGGAATGTAGAGAGTTCTGGATTCGGCGTCGGGAAGGTTGACGGAAGTGAGTCGTTGGGTCTTTAAAACGACAGGTCAATCTACGCTCAAGGGCTAGTCACTTCTATCTCTAACACCGCCAAACACAATGACTCACGAACAGTGCAACTCGGCCGCTCTCCGTTCTCGGCAAAATGTCCCCGAACCACACGCACTGCTTCCTCCGGCACTCCTCCGGACATGTCCTCCATTCTCCCAATCTGACTCGTACTCTTCCTTTTCTTGTTCCCCGAATTCCATGGGGACCACAGTCACACATACCCTCCGCCCTAGATGAGGCGCCATGCTCAGACCACCTATCGCAATATGCGGTGCGACTAGTGCAAACCAGCGTTAGCCTTTTGACCGCCTTCATAATGACTCACAGTGAACCCCCCTCCATGTCCCGCCATTTGTAACCTTACGCGTCTTGATCCTAATCGCAAGGAAATGTCATCTGTGACTCCCAGTCATCCTCTCTAACTCACCGCTAAAATGCGACCAAGTTTGAGGATGAGCTCATTCTTCCTACACAACAATCATACCATTCTCCCCTACCCTCATTATGACTCCCGACGACACGTTCTCCCCAACATTCCTTCCTTACCACGTACCCCTTTGACCATCTGCTCCGTTCCGCTTCTTTCCCCCTCCATCCGGGACTTTCTGGCCAACTCGGGTATGATCCATTTCTGCCCTTTCCCCTTCGCGCTCCAGGCGCCAGCTAGGATCCATCTACAATTCCCATAATCCTCTCTCTCTCCATACATATGTCCAACCGCAGCACGGAAGGAGTGACATAGACGCGATAACCGCCCGTAACCGTGGCGTTCTTTCCGTCACATTTTCAACTTGTACAACTTGGACGAGTACAGTGTCAAATCAGAATTGCTGTTGAGCATCATATGCGCCGCATGTCCATGTCCCGGTTCATTCGAACTGTTACCATCTCTTCTCCCGAGCATCTTAGCGAAGCCACTGCTAACACTGTCTACTCTGCCACTCCAAGTCTGGGAACTGAGAGATCTATATCAAGAGACCCCTTCCATGTATGTTAAAAGTTCGCGTGTGCTGTTTTGCAAGACGTCCTGCACTTGACATGACAAATCGCGATAACTCATCTACTGGTTATAGTCAAATGAGTACCAACGTCCAGTCACTGTTACAATTGCGTTCAGATCAAAGTTTCAACGGAAAGGCTACATAAGCGTCGGTGCATACCATTCCGAGGGACTGAAAACCCCCGATGAAACCGTCGGCGTCATCTCCCCCTCTACACAATCCGGGGTACTACGGCGTTCGACACTCTGTCCACGTCACTGCCAAAAAGCGAGTGGATCCACTATCATCACGCCCATTCGACTCATTGGTCCGACCTTGGAGGAAGGAACGTTGGAGCCCATCGCAGGTTTGTATGTAGAGTGACTCTAAATAGTCAATTGGTCTTAAACGACGGCCGATAACGGTTCGAATTCGGGCATCTGTTCGCTCCTTCTGAGTGCTTATAGAGTGAGTAAGACGCCCGACACACAGCCCAATGATCATCCAGTCAACCGGCCCCTATTCTGTGGACAGCCATCCACAGAGGGCACCGTCGGAGAAAGGTTGGCGAAGGGCACCTAGGCGGCATACAAGGATAGCTATGCCAATACGTCATGGGCCTCTTCCCATCCCACCAAATCACACACCAGCCTTCCAGTGCTCCGAAAGGTGATTCCACTCCAACCCCCTCCTCTAGATGACCTTCCAAATCCACCCACAGAAAGCTAACACGGCCTCCAATGCACAACTTCTAGAAAAGAAGTGGTTCACGAGGTACAACAGTTAAACTCTAAAAAAGAAGGGGAAGAGTAACGTTAGCTAACCACGGCCTCAAACGGACACAGGAGGAACAAGTTGACATATACGGGAACAGGTGTTGAACGTAGAGACTTCGTTTGGGGATAAGTTGATCTCGTTCTGAAGTTCTGGAGAAGGCCAGGTGATGTGCGGGTTTGTCAGTATCTTCCCGAGTAACAGTGTCCTATAAATTGCAAGTCGTATAGAAGGCGTTGGAATGGTTCATTAGATTTAGAGGGAACCTGATAAGATGGAACTGGAAGGAGAACCTAGTTTAGCCCAGGTTCGTTATCATCGCCATCGAAGGGGCAGAAAGGACTCGTTTCCAGCAGGTGTTTCCTCGCAAGTTCGACTGATAACGAGGTGTAATGAAACCAGTGTGTTGTGCATGGTATTTCGGACTAGAAGGCGAAACGCATGCGCTCAGGTGACGAAGATGAATCGTGTCCAATGGATATGAGCTCGATATGCCAATAGCCAATCAATTTTAGTCCGATGCCAGGGGTAGTCAAGGGAAAGGTGTTGCGAGAGTCGTAGGGAATAGGGTTTAGACTTACACGCACAGTTAATCTCCGTCGCGCAAATATCGTCGAATAGCCTTCGATCTCCTTCAAAGTGTTTCACCAAAGGAACGCCTTCTTTCATCCAGATGTCATGAACATTTTGCCTGCCTGTTATCAGTGCGCCTGTAATTTGAAAAACGTGATAAAATGGCTATACAACGTCACCGCATCGTGGACATTGCATGCACCATGGGCTCGGACGCTATGATGGTGATACTAGACACACATACCGATAGTGACTCCGAGTCATATGAAAATAAAATGAAACTTGGTGTTAACTGGGAGCGAGATCTTCAACCTCATAGCCTGCCATGAGTGTCGATCATGATCGTCCCCCCGGTTCTCGAAAGAAGTGAAAAAGAACCAGCCATACAAACTGCATTGCAGTCTGAATAGGAGAAATTCATATCAATGTGAATACGGAAGAGCCACGACGGGCAGAGGCTATGCTCCCCAAAGCCTGGACACAGCATACATTGCATCCAACCAGTTGCATCCACGAGATGCGCCAGGCGCCAATCCCGAGTACGAGTAGACCTCGACTCGACTTTGCATGTCACGCGCAACGTGTCCGTAGAAGCTGCGTGGAAGCATCGGAAGACCCCGACTGTGCAGATGAAATGAAATCAGAGAAGGAGAAATCCCTCCTTCGGAAATCACGACCGCTTCGCGATCAGAGTGGTCGATGGGCCAACGAAGAGCATAGCACGAGGGTATCGGGCGGAAAAGGCGTGTACAGGCGTCGAAAACAGTAGGAAAGGAAATAGGATTTGGCCCGAGGCATTGTCATCCGATTCGCCGGGTATACGTGGGCTGAACGTAAGCGGTAAACTGGCTTAAAGTCCAGATGTCAAGGGCATGCATGGCGGCCAGCAACAAGTCTCCAGTGTCGGGTGTCGGTTAAATTAAGGTTACGCGAGGCAGTCGTGATCGAGTCACGGCTGGCAAGACCTTGGGTCCAGCAGTCGGTCAAGCAGGCCACGAGTCCAGCTATAGTCGGCGGTTTCTCGTCGATGTCGAGAGAGTTATGGCAAAGAGGCGCTCGAGGAACATCGTTGTGGCTTAAGTGAAAGCGCCCTTCTGCACGTTTCGGGTTTGGCGGTCCCCCTTTTGGTGCATCATGACACTGATGCGCTTGGCACTTACTGTAAGTGTAGTGCCTTGGCGTTGCATCCTCAGTGACATTGCCCACGCTGCTGCCCCTTTTAGAGGAAAAGCTTCGACCGCAGCAACGATTGCTTCTCGAGAAAGACTCCTGAGCGCACAGAATTTTAAGGCGCTCAAGTTAGTATTAAGCTCTATGCCACTGAGGAGTCAACAGGACCTGCCTGCGGCTAACAGCTTGTATGTTCAACGATGCCAAGACTGCTAGCGGACGCATAACAACGGCTTGTGCTGATGATGAACGGACTTGGATGCCCTTGACTTCATTTTTATGGGCTTGTTCGCTTGGCCGTAACATCAAACCAAAGTTCCCTCCTCAACTCCTCCGCTCCCGACACGTATATTTTATTCCCCTCTTCTTTCCCCTTCTCTCACTCGCTCTCCACCTTCCACGTCCTCTAACTCACTAAGAACACTTCGCACCGGTTGATTCTCGGTCCTACTCAACTTAAATCTCACCACAGTCGCTCCTTCATTTCGAGTCTCCTTACTGTTTCCTACAGTATGAAGTTGACCGCAGTCATTTTGGCCGTCTTCTTGTCCGCCGCCACGGCCAACGCCAGTGTCATCAACCACGGCGGCAACCACGTCGCCCGACACGCCGCCATTGCCCGTCGCTCAGCTCCCACCAGCCTTGAGAGCAGTGCTACCAAGGTCCGCAGGCGTTGCCGACCCAGGAGCTCCTCCAGCGCTGTCAGTATTGCTTTAAAATCATATTGGGTTTTGCTCATTGTATTTCTACCGTTTATCCTATGGTTTGATCGACTCGATCGAAAACATTAGGCGCCTCCCGCTCGCAGCTCTCCTGCTCAAACTCCCGAACCAGCTCCCACCCCTGCGCCTGCTCCCGCTCCTGCCCCAGAGCAGCCCCCGCCACAGAACAACAACAACAACAACAACTTCAATGGCGGCGGTGGTGGAGGAGGCAACGGTGGTGGAATGCTCTGGCGCGACACTTGCGGTGGTTCTCGCCCAAGTGGTGAGTGACGCTGCAAACGTCCGTGTGATCTCCGCTAACCCCGACCGATTTCAGCTCACACCACTAGCGAGAGCGGTGTCAACGGTCACATCGACTGGCTCAACTGTGGTGTTCACAGCCCTGGAGGATGGCAACCACCTTACATTTCCCTTGGCGAGTTGAACATGAGGCCCCTCGGTAGCGCTTTGGAAGATCCCAACAGCCCCTTCCATGCTTGCCGCGACTTCATCTGGATCTTCGAGCAAGTCGGTGGAGAGTTCGGCATTCCTCCTATCATGCTTGCCTCGTTCGCCATGCAAGAGAGCTCTTGCCGCCCCGACACTGTTGGTGGAGGTGGCGAACAAGGTTTGATGCAAATCACCCAAGACAAGTGCGGTGGCGCTCCCGGTGGTAACTGCAGGGAACCTGTACGTTTCGTTTATTGCTTTCATACATCTGGGCTCGCATTGATACGGTTCCCCTCTTTCTCTAGTTCTTCAACATCCGAACTGGTGCTCGCTATTTCGCCCAGACCTTGGCTGCCAACAACGGTGATGTTTTGATTTCCCTTGGCCAATACAATGGCTGGAACCGTGGAATGACCTTCGAGCGTGCCACCGCCGCCCGCTACTCTGCTTGCTGCAGGTGCCAGAACAACCTCGACTAGTGAGTGTCTTGTGGTTTCTGAATATGGGACACCACGCTAACCTGGACTTTTAGTCTCCACCAATTCTTGAACGGCTGGTGCCAGAACATCAACGCCTACAACAACAACAACCGTCTTGGAAAGTACTTCAACCTCGACGTCTGCTAAGCAGTTTTTTGCGTTGGCTATCGCTCCTTCGTGCCTCCCTTTTGATGATGCTTTACGATCCCAACATCAGCACATCTCTATCCCCTCTCCCTGGCTTTCATAACCTGCATATCGAACATTGATTGTTCAGCCATTCTTCTTACCTTCGGATCTTTCTGGATGAAGTTCTGGTTTGGAGGATGGTATATACCCTCGCATCTTAACACATCCATAAAGTGATGTTGTCTCTTAAATGCAAACGATAGGATTCTCTTATTGATCTATAAGAGCTAGTTTTGCTCGTAACTTCATAATTCACCGTTAATCTCGGTACAAAAAATTGTTCAGAGTGAGCAGGCTCGAAGAGTTATCTCGCAAACAGGGGTAAAATTCATTTGAGATCTCGTGAGAAAGCTTATGCTCAGGGGAGCTTCCTTTGGAGAAAGGTTTTTGATCTCTATCCTGTCAACCGGTAACTGCAACAATGAGCTCGGCATCGTCTACTGGATCCTCGCCTGCGCTAACGGCCTCGACACCCCCTACCTCTGTTCCAGGGTCACCAGAGATCCAATCCTTGAGCATCTCGGACGTGACCAAAGAGGTATCGGAAGAGGAGAAAGCCGAGGCCCTCAAGATCAAGGGCGAGGCCAATAAAGCTTTCATTGGTATGTGCGTCTTTCATCTCTACGACGTTGCAACAACTCCACGAGCTTGCCTTAGCCCATGACTTCCCTAATGCTGCGAGGCTTTACACCCTCGCGATTGAGAAGAATCCCAATGACGCGACCTTTTGGTGCAATCGAGCTGCTGCACGAATCAAACTGGAGGAACATGGTTATGCTCTCGCGGATGCTTGTACGTTTTTGCGTTCGATCTTTTCAAAAGCCTGGTGTAACTGTGATTCAATAGCTCAGGCCATCGTCCTCAACCCCCAATACGCCAAAGCCTACTACCGGTACGCGTCGTAGATCGCTCGAATGGCGGGATGTAGTTGGCTCACTGCGACACTCCAGTCGCGCGACATGCCATCTTCAGTTGATGAAGTTCAAATTGGCGGTTGCGGATTTCAAGAAGATCCTACAACTAGAACCGAAGAATGACTCTGTTCGTTCCCAGCTTGCTGAGACGCAGAAGCTCATCCGCAAGATCGAGTTCGAGAAGGCGATCGAGGTTGAAGGAGAGAAAGACCCAATTGAAAGATGTCTGGAAATTATTGCTGAAGGTGTGTAACTGTATCACGTTTGTCGTCTGTAGTAGCTGACCCCATTCCTTAGGCGGTTGCGATGTGGACAAGTCGTATTCTGGTCCAGTACTTCCCCAGGAAGATGGGAAATTCTACATGACTCTCGACTTCATCAAGCAGATGATCGACTGGTTTAAGAGTGGAAAGACTCTTCCTAAGCGATATGTCTGGGAGATTGTCATGGGAGCTCATCAGTATTTCTCACAAGAAGAGAGTTTGGTCGAGGTCACCATTCCTGACGGTGTGACTATCGATGTCATCGGAGATGTACATGGTGGGCCTTCAGGTCTTCAGCGAAACTACTCGTTACTCACCATCTGTTATAGGACAATTCTACGATGTCCTGCATCTCTTCTCTTTGACGGGAGAACCAAGCGAAAAGCACTACTTGCTTATGAACGGCGATCTTGTCGACAGAGGCTCCTGGTCAATAGAGGTCATCCTCCTTGCCTTTGCCTACAAATGTGAGTTGTGTCCATTCCAGACTCGAAGCTAGCTAAACCTTTACAGGGCTATATCCCAAATACATGTACATCAATCGCGGAAACCACGAGGCAAAGGAGATGAACAGAACATATGGATTCGAAGGCGAGGCTAAGCACAAGCACGGTGAACAATCCTATAAAGTCAGTCAAGATCCCCATACTGTTCCTCTCCCTTGACTGATTTCATTATCAGCTCTTCGCCCACGTCTTTACGACTTGTGTGTATTCGTCTCCCCGATTTTGTCTCATAGAAATGCTGACCTCGAGTGCAGTGCCCTTGTCGACCCTCGTCACCGCAACTAAGCCACCTGTAGGGCAAGAGGCTGTCGACACAATCCTAGGACCAGACGGGTTCAAGCGTTACTTCGTCGTCCACGGTGGCCTCTTCAGTAAAGATGGTGTCACACTAGACGAGATTCGCAAGGTTGAGCGGATAGGGAGGCAGCCCGGCCAGGAGGGCCTCATGTGTACGTCCGTCGACTGACCTCCAGATCTCGATTGGACTAACTGTGTGTTTAGGCGAGGTAAACTGCGAGCATCCATTTTTCTGGTGATCTGATCCTAACGACGCTTTCACGATCAAGATGTTGTGGACCGATCCACAGGAACTACCAGGCCGTGGTCCCAGTAAACGGGTAAGATTGAGTTTGGGGTTCATTGCAATGTGTCGATCCAAACTTAACGTGTTAACTCGTTCCAGGGAGTCGGCATTGCATTTGGACCCGATGTTACCAAACGATGGTGTACATTGAACTCTGTTTCTGGTATTATTCGTAGTCATGAGGTTCGACAAGGTAAGCCGACCATCCCAGAGGCCATGTACCCGCCCTGACATAGTCATTCACAGACGGATATCAGATCGAGCACAACGGTCTCTGCACCACCGTGAGTGACCCGATACATCTCCAACGTCCACAGGCTAATCCCACTGCACAGGTCTTCTCAGCCCCCAATTATGTCGATCAATCGGGCAACAAGGGAGCTTTCGTGAGTCTCTGCCTCTGGGGAATCCGGAGTTAATGAAGCTGACGGACAATACCGTTTACAGATCCGGATAGATTCTGCAGGCACACGAGAATACGTGCAATTCGAGGCCGTTCCTCATCCACCGATGAAGCCCATGGCATATGTCCAGGGCGGTCTCGCCAACCTCCTTATGGGAGCATAGAACTTCGCACTTTGTACATAGTCATCCATGTTCCTGGGCACGTAGTGCTACAGGGTTAAAGGGGTGAAGGTCAAAAGGCTCTTTTTGGAAATGTCCGATTTCCTCGGGATGATGTCAGCAATGTCTTGGTGGCTGTTGGTGGATGGGGTGGATGTGATGGCACAGAACCTTTTACCTCTTGCGATGTCACCTCATCGTACCATCCACTCCTATAGCGCTAGGGCCAGCAACTCTGGGTTATGGGCCCGTAGTAGTACGAGCGCGAGCCCGCCGCTAAACGGGCGCCAGCGAGTGCACTGCGAACAGTGCTTTACCCGATTCAGAAAGCCCAGAAACCGCAACCAGTGCAGTCATTTGTGTGTGTTCTCCGTCAAGAGTTTGGTCCCCGTATGAGTTGAGGGGGGTCCTGTCCTCCGAATGTCTCGTCCGTGGCGGGATGGTCCGATTCTGTCTGTGAGTTGGTGGGTCCTGTTCTCCCGAGTCCCAATGTATGTTGCCGCGCCCCTTGGGACGCGGCGGGGTGGGAGCGTTGTCTACGGTGCCCAGGTCCGCCCGGAGGAGCAATTCCTATCTACACATATCACCTTCAATTACTTTGCTCATTACAGCCAATCAATTCAGATCAATTGTTCATTTGAATAAGCTTACCGTGGGAACGCCCGTTTGAATCCATTCTCAGCGCTTGGCGCGTGCTGGCTTCGTTTCTAGTTTCCTGCATACCATACCGCTATAGGCTATTCTAGCCGTACCTCCAGAGAACAATCGCGCACGGGGACAACTTCCCTGAACACAGACACAACATGGACAAGACCAAGTCCAAACTGGCGGCCTTCTTTGGCGACGACGAGGAAGAACAGCCCTTCCCAGTGCGACGGACTCGAATTTATCTGCTTTCGTTCGCAAACTTACCTATCCTTTTCCAACGAACCAGCAAAAGTTTCTAGATGACGCCAAACTCTCCCAGTACGCGTCAGGAAAAGTGCGAAAGTCCCGGCGAGAGAAGGAACAAGAAGCAGCAGAGGCGAAACGGAAAGAAGAGGAAGCAAGCGCTGCACAGGCGTATGCTGAATTCCTGGAAACGTTCGAAGGGAAGGAGTCCTCGCGCAAGTCTGGCTCAGCTTTCGTTAGGGCAGATACCAAAACTGCATATGTCCCTGCCGGAGGATCTTCCCAGCAGCAGCAGTCTTCGACTGGCGGTTTCTTCAAGAGGGTGCGCCCTCTTCGTCCCTTTCTTCGTTTCGAATAGTGACCAATCTGTTGCAGTCACCTTCACCCACCGTTTCTGCGCCCAAGCCGAAGGGGAAACGTGCCATGGACTCTTTCCTGGAGGAGATCAAGAGGTGTGTCAAGATACTTTGGCACTGTTGTGCATGGCACTAATGGCGGGATATCAGGGATCAAGCAGAGCGTGAAGCTAAATACGCAGGGAGAGGTAGCTAGACTGCAGATTCACTCAACTGTCCGGTTCATAATTTCCTGTTCTAGCCGGTGGGCGATCCGTTACCGCCCTCGCCGCATATGAAGGTCAAAGTGGAAGCAAAGACAGAGGCGATCCACTGGTAAGTGTCGCCTCACATATCGATTGACTTGTCCTAACAGTACTGCCTTTACCTCCCTCCCCAGACATCGAACATATTTGTGGCCAACCTACCGCCTCATGTCACTGAGCAAAGCCTGGGTCTCTTCTTCGCAAAGGTGGGACCAGTTGGATCGGTAGGTCAACACCTTTCGTCTGTCACCACATTCCTTACAAGATGATGTCCAGGTAAAGATCATGTGGCCTCGAGGCGACGCATCTTCAGGCCCGGGCGCAGACATGACTTCTACGCGGAAAGCAAAAAGTGCTGGACTGAGCGGCTTCGTATCATACATGAAGAGACGCGACGCAGAAGAGGCGTTGCGTGAGTTTGACGGGTTCGATTGGGGTGGTTCTATTCTGCGAGTAGGCTGGAGTAAGGCAGTCCCGGTAGCGGCCAAACCCATGTTTGGTAGGTGGCATTCCGCGTTAGGTCTTCCTTCTGACTCCTAATAATCCACCAGTTTCAGATCGTTATCGAAGCCGAAGCCGGAGTCGCAGCCGTTCACAGGATAGACGGCGTTCTGCCTCCCCTCGTCGACATCGACGATCAAGAAGTCGTTCACGGGACCGGTCACCACGTCGAAGGAGATCTTATAGTCGTTCCCGAAGTCGCTCTCGCAGTCCACAGCGGAAAGTGCTGGATGACGATGATGTCACCGACACCTTTATCAGGGCAGTTGCAGCAGAAGTCAAAGGTCACGGGAGCAAGTACGAGCAAATGCTCAAGGAGCGGGAGAAGTCCAACCCCAAATACAAGTTCATGCTAGAACGAACTGTAAGGTTATCGCAGAAGCTTCGGCCCATGTATGCTCACATCGGTTTCAGCATCGACGGCATGCCTTCTACCGTGGACTGCTAGAGTCCGAAACGTTCAATGAGCCCGAATTCGACGACGATGTAGGTGCTTTACTCGTGCCGGTGAACATCAGATTTACACTCGCCAAGGGATACAATTCCGTTTACTCAACCGATTCTGGAGAGGAATCTGAACGCGAACGCACGCGTAAAAACGTGCTAGGCAAGCTGGCTCGCAAGCGTTTTGAGGCAATGCTGCGCGCAATGAGTGGTAAATGTGGAGAAGTTGCCCGTTGCATGGTCTTCTGTCTGGAACACGCAGAAGCAGCGCATGAAGTCAGTAGCTCTTGCTAACGTACCCAATGGTCCACTCAAGCTTACCCATTCTTCCATTAGGTGGCTGATATCATCGTATCCTCGCTGTTGGTTGACAGCACGCCGGTTCCGCGAAAAGTGGCACGACTCTATCTGATATGCGACATCCTCCACAACTCTGCTGCTCCAGTGCCGAGTGCATGGAGGTTCCGTCAGGAGTTTCAGTCCAGACTCGGCATAGTCTTCGACCACCTTGCGAACATTTACCATTCCTTCCCCGGGAGAATTACCGCCGATTTGTTCAAGAAGCAAATTACGACTGTCGTCGATATCTGGGAGGACTGGATTGTATTCCCTCCGGATTTCACTGCAGAATTGAGAGAGCGTTTGGAGGGCCATGTCACCACGACGGCTGAGGGTACTGGAAAAGTGGCTCCTTCAGATACCGGTCCCGCCACCACTCGCGGTCTTCCCTCAAAATTCAAGGCGGCAGGTTTCCAGCCCGCTACCGACCCTGTCACAGAATCGAAACCCGCTTCCGAAGCTCCGAGTGACGGCGAACCAATGGATGTCAGCGACGGCGAATCAAGCAAGAACGATTTGGATGGTGAACCTGTGAAAGAGGACCTGGATGGCGAGCCCATGGAAGATGTGGATGGTGAACCTCTGGAGGACGACATTGACGGTGAACCGGTCGTGGACGATCTGGATGGAGAACCTGCCGCAGAAGACCTCGACGGAGATCCAATCGACGACGACTTGGATGGCAAACCAGTGGCTGAGGATCTAGACGGTGAACCATTGGAATATTAGATACTTCTTACATGTGCCCTTGATATAGCCCCTATCCAAAATCCCTTTATTCCATGAAAACAGATCGTAGCAAGTACTATAAATTGCGTGGCCTGCGCGAATTAAGAACTACAGGCGGATTATCGCGGTCTCATTATCCCTTTAGTCATTGCGTCGACCACGGCCGGAATTGGACGCCAACTTCAGGATCGCTGTTTTGGCGTCATTGATCTCGGTTTCGGATCCAACGATGACGATGGTGTTGTTCTCGCGTCCGACAGTAATATCAGCACCACTCTCGTCACGGAGACGAGCGACGTTGGCACCCTTGGTTCCGACGATGCGGGGGAAAGAGGAGCGGTCGGCGAGGGTAAGGAAGCCGACGTGCGTCTTCTTGGCGGCGTTTTCGATGGCTTGCGAGAGGAGCTTCTCGGCTTTGGCAATGGAAGCATCGTCACGACCCTTCAAGGTCCAGGTGGCATCGCCTTCGTCAGCGTCAGCGTAGTTGTCGACAACCTTCCATTGGTAGGGAGGAGCGTCGGCCTCATCTGCGTCGTCGTCGATGCGGGCAGTGCTGGCGGGGTCAGAGGGAGGCGAAGGGAGAGCAGGCTTGGCGGGCACAGCCGAGTGGTCAACGGTGACGCCGTGAGACCTCAAGGTACGGAAGAAGTTGCCCTGCTGGGCAATAGCGTGGTGGTACTTGAGGGGAACGGAGACATCCTTGGTGACGGCCTCGGGAGGAGGGGGCTTGATGTTGGCCTTCAGGTTCTCAACAGCAGCCTCGACATTGGCACGGGAGCCAGTGACCTTGACGAGATTGGCAGGGTCAACACCCTCAAGGTCACCCAAGTTTTCGGGTTCGCCGATCTGGTTGTACGACCTCGATCCGGGGATCTGGATCTGAACGTCGAACTTCTTCTGGAGAGCCTCCAAGTTCTGACCTCCACGACCGATGAGGGCCCTGTGCTGAGCAGCGGGGACGTCGACACCGAGGATGATACGATCGCGGAGCTCAGCGACGATCTTCTCCAACTCGGCCTTGAGCTTGGCGACCAGCTTGGGCTCGCCACGGAGACGAACCTCATCACCAGTTTCACCTTGACGAGGGCTATGAAGAAACAATGAAATCAGCTACCGGATTCAATACCAAGATAGAGAGAGAAGCGTACAATCGAATCAAGCCAGCCTGGAGTTTAGCATCCGAAGGACCATTGCAACGAGCAATGAGATCCCTCAAACCCTGGCCTCCAGTACCAATGATGGAACGGTGGTACTTGCTCTCGACTTCGACAACTGCGGTAGTCTCCTCCGCAACCTGATTTGCGATAGCAAGGATAGCAGCCTTTGCATCCGCAATGGCCTTCTTGGTACCGCGAAGGGTTATGCCAGTGCTGGCACCATTGTCCTCGGAGCCCTTCTCAACGTCAATCATGGCACCAGTGTCGTCCTTGATTTCGTTGATGCTAGCACCACCCCTGCCGAGGATACGAGCAACGGAGCGAGTGGGGACGGTGAACTTGATAACATTGTTGTTCTCCTTCTCGTACTCCAAAGCTTCCATCAACTCCGACTTGGCCTGGGCGACACCGCGCTTGCCACCCTTGACAAGGACTTCGTCAGCCTTGAGCTGTTCACGGGTCCTGCCTTCACCGGAGTCAGAAGACTGGCGAGGGAAAGTAATCTTGACAGCATATTTCTCCTCGAGCCTGATGGCGTATTTGCCGTGTTGCCCGATAAGAGACGAGTGATACTGGGCGGGAATCTTCAGGATTTCGGAAGTTTCATCGGCCTAGATATGACAATTCATTAGGTTTTCTTGGGCTGTGCAATATAGTTTCGAAACACCTACCAAACGTTCAACATGGGCAAGGATACGCTTCTTAGCCTCCTCAACGTTCTCCTTGCGACCAGTGATCTAATACAGTCCATGAACTCTATAGCCCTTGTAGCTGGTGAAACATATACATACCGTAATCTTGGACTTTTGATGAGCCTTCTTCTTCTTGCCAGATTCCTTCTCATCAACGTCGTCGGATACATCGACCTTGACTCCAAGTTGGTCACGGAGTCTGTTGACACCCGCGCCCTGGGCTCCAACAATACGACCAACGTATTCCTTGTCGATTTCAAATTCGGTTGACTGAAAGAGGGATCCGAGTTAGTTGAGATGATTTGGCCTTGAGGGTAAATCAAGACGTACGTAGCTGCTCAAGATTCGGTCATTCTTAGCATCCTCCACAATCTGGTTGATCTCTTTGACGACACGGTCAACGTCACGGCTGATTCCACGGACGACGATGATGTCCTCGGTCGATTCGCCTGCATCTGCGCCGAGCTTGATGGAGAGAGTCGTGTCTTCGCCAATGATACTAGGGGGAACCACTGTCAGCATCCGCAAAACCCAGAGTCGAACGAACGCGCTCACGCATTCAAAGTAGTACCGCCGCTGCCAAGTACTGCTTCGTGCCATTCCTTTTCGACCGAAATCTTCTCGGTCTTGACATCCGCAGCGTCCTTGGCCAACTTGAGCAAGTCCTTCTCGACATCGTCCAATTGCTTCTGTTTCTCATCCGGAATCGGCGAGGCATTCGCCGAGAAGGGATCATAAACCAAAAGAACAGAAGACGATTCGGCGGCTTCGTTGGGGAAGAAGACATGGACATTGTGCGTGTCGTGGTATGCCTTGATCCTGTCGATTGCGTGAGTTTTGTCCTTATTAACACGAGCCACCTGGCAGTACAGGACTTACTTCTTCGCGTTTTTGCCTTGAATAATCCGGTGGAGGACCCAGTCTACGGTCACATTCCTGGTTGCTCCGATGAGTTTGCCAATCAATTCCGAGAGTTTCCTGACGAGGGCGTCCGTGTCAGACTTGTCTCCTACCAAATCGACCGAGAGAGTGGAGTTGGTGGAATCAACCGATGGAAGGAAGACTTCGACGTTCTCATGACCAGCTTTGAGGGTCTTGACGTAGTTAATGTGGTTGAAGTAGGTGACAAGTTGTTTGGACGTGGTGATAGGGCCGGGAAGGGGGAACTCGTGGATGTACTTCGAGTTGGCTTGTTCCATGACGGCAGCGAGACCAGCGGGAAGGTCTGCACTCTGGCCCCAAACAGTGACTTCTTCACCAGCCTCTTCGGTGGGAGGAACGATGACAGAGCACTTGCTCTTGGCCATGACCTCCTCAGCAGCCTTTCCGACCAACAACCTGTGCTGACGCTTGGGCAAAGTCATCTTGATCGATGTCAGTGACGTCTTGAAAGCCTCAATTGCGCTCTTGATGGCGTCCACAACGCGTCCGACGGCTTCACGGTCACCACTGGCAGTAATCTCGCGAGCGGGAGCATTCAAGGAGAGATTGACATCTCCACCCTGAGCAGCAGCCAGGAAGTAGGAGCGACGGGTGATCAAGAAGGGCAGAATATGAGCAGGGATGTCCTTGACACGAGACGAGGTGCGGGAAGTCTTTGACAAGATGATCTGGTTGAGCATCACCTGAGCTTCATACGCCAAAGGTTGAGGGCCGACTAGAGTAACAGGGACGGTGGGCTCTTCCTCCTCTTCATCGTCAACGGGGGAGGCCTTGCCAGAAGCGTTTCCATTAGCGTGTCCGTTACCAGCGATAGTCTCTCTCTTGGGGATATCAACACGAACACTGGTCTGGTCGCGGATGGCCTTGAGAGTCGCGCCTGGTAAATCTGTTTAGGCTGAAGCTCGTCAAGGCAGACCGAATGAACACTCACCCTTTGCACCGATGATGCTAGGAATGGTGGAAAGAGGAGCGTTAATAACGAGTGTGATCTGGAAAGGAACTGAGAACGCGATATTGCAGAGAGCGTGGAGTAACTTACAACCGGGCTGAGTAACGCCAGGAGGCTGCGTTTGGCCTTGTCCAATTCCTTCTGGGATTCCGCCTTGATGTGGAAAGTGGTCTGACGGGTACGCTGGTTGCCAGATGCCTCAATCTTAACCTTGTACTTGGTCATGACGGTCTTCATGACTTCACCGAGGGTAGCGGGCTTGCCATCTTTGCCAGCGTTGGACAAATCCATGGCGGACAAGGTGAATGAATCGATAAAGACGGGAGCCTTTGCAACTGGTTTAATCCTGGGACCTGCACCCCATGCTGAAGCAGCTGCGGCACTAGGGGCGGGGGCGGAGGAGGGAGCCAGAGAGGGAAACGCGACCTCTGAATCGGTGTCCAAAGTAGCAGCCTGGTTGGGCTTTGGCTGCTGCTTTGGGGCGGTTTCAACGATGGAAGGGAAAGGATCGGGAGCTCCTTCCAACTCGTGGCGACGCTATTCAGGTGTGGTGAGTCTGGAGGGTAACGTGGTGTATGGATTTGTTCTACCTGGAGGTCGGCTGCTGAGAGAGCCATGGTTTATGGTTATCGGGTGTCCGAGAAGCGAAAAGCCTTGACGGTGAGGACCTAAGAGCGACAGCAAATCGAAACGAAATCTGTCGCTGAAGGGGGAACGATAGTTGTGGTTGTAGAGCGAAAACTCGAGTCCAGCGAAACACTGATCCCTTCGAAATGGCCGTGGGAGCTTCGATCTATGAATTGACGTGGCATCTGGCCTATGTTTTCTGCCTCCTCTCAACCCTCGCATATCGCCCAAGGGCAATAAAACAGAGAATCTACATCCTATTCTTTTATACAACCAAAGTACAACTTCTATTGATCGGAGTCGTCGGGACAGGAACAGGTTCCTGTAGTGAACAGCGATCCGCTCTATTCTGTGCCTGCGGATGTGCCCAATGTATCCTTCCTTGGTCTTCAGGAATTTTCTAACGCCTCAGGAGGCTCAAGTCGCGTCCCACCGTACCTTCCGACGCGCCCCAGCACCTTTGGCAACTCACGCCATCACAGAACGCCCACTGACCTCGTTCTCTACATCGCTTCCAGAAGAAACGTGGTGCTAGCAGGCTGACCCGAGGTCGGCGGACACCCAATCCAACGATGGAATGAGCCTTCAGGCACGCTTAATACCAGGTTGACTCTCAACCATGGTGTCACTTCCCTGGATCCCTCTCGTATTGGCAGTCCTGCTCAGCGGCCATGGGCTGCGGAAGAAATCCCTATCACCCACTGGGGCCTTGACTGCATTCTTCGTCGGGTTTCTGTCGCTGGCTGGAGGCACGTACGCATTTGGTGTCACGTTGCTCGTATTCTACTTTACGGGAAGTCGAGCCACGAAATGTACGTTCCGTCTTCGAATACTCTCGGTAACAGGTGTACTAATGCCCGTCTGGATAAGACGGGAAGAAACAGAAAGCTCAATTGGAGGACGGTTATCATGAGGCTGGTTATCGAGGAGGGTGGCAAGTGCTGTCCAATAGCGCTACGGCATTGATAGCAACTTTCCTTTGGAACACCCTCTTTACTCCATCCAGTCCTCATGCTGCCTTGTCGGCATTCTTCGGATTGGATATCGCCAGTCAATTGGGTATTGGCGCAGTACCGACGTACGACAACGGTCCAGAGGGTTGGTGCCCTTTGGACGTCACAATCGCAAACGGTTGGAGTAGGCTTTTGGTGTTGGCAATTGTGGGGTGGGTGGCGCCTAGTTATCAGTTGACCTTCCTCTGGAAACTCACATTCCCGCCAGACATTTCGCGTGTTGTCTTGGGGACACTTTAGCTTCTGAGCTGGGAATTCTGTCCCGAGCCCCACCGCGCCTCATTACGACCTTCAAGCCTGTCCCTCCGGGCACGAATGGCGCAATGTCGACAGGGGGCACCATTGCCTCTATTGCTGGCGGCGCTATTGTGGGATTGGTGATGGGTGTCAGTTTGGCGCTGGAAAACGTGAAATGTTCTTCAGGTCTTGGTGGCGTGTTGTTGGGGACAATTGGGTGGGGAATGTTCGGAGGCGGATTCGGCAGTCTGGTAAGCTTTTTTCCCTTCACAGACCCAGACTTTTTGTGATGGCCAGATTCGCAGCTGGACTCGCTGCTAGGAGCGACCATACAACAGACACAGTACTCTGAGAGCAAGAAGCGAATTGTGCAGAACAAGGACGCGGAGACAAAGGTTGTCTCAGGACTGAATATACTGTCGAATAACCAGGTAAAAATTCGACCGCATTTTGGAGAATGTAATTGCTGAAGATGTCGCCCAGGTGAACGTTGTAGCCTCTGCGGTGACTGCTGGGGTGGTCGGTATGTGCAGCGTTGTGTCTGGCCAGTGACGACAGGGGCTACGATGTCGAAAAACGGGCTTCAAAAGGGGACGACTTCTGCGATCTTGATGACGTCATCTTCTGCCCGATATATCACTTAGTTCAATAGTTCGAATAAAAGGGTTTCTTGGAAATATTTAACTCCTCGGCAACGAATCGTTTCTCTCTAACCTCTTCCCCTTTCACTTTCTACGCCGCGACTCTCTTTCGTGATGTCCGAAGTCAAGAGAGATGTCCAAAACCCAGTCCTATTCGAGTGCGCCTGGGAGGTCGCCAACAAAGTTGGCGGCATCTACACCGTCATCAAGACTAAGGTCCCCGTCACCGTCTCCGAGTTTGGCGACAGGTACTGTTTGATTGGCCCTCTCTCCTACAAGACTGCCCCCATGGAGGTCGAGGCGGAGGAGCCAACAGACGAGCATATCGCCGCCACCATCGAATCTATGAGGTCCCAGGGCGTCAAGGTTCTCTACGGCAGATGGCTCATCGAAGGCAACCCCCACGTCCTTCTCTTCGACACTGGAAGCATGTATTCCAAGTTGGACGAATGGAAGGGCGACCTCTGGAACCTGGCCGGCATTCCCAGTCCCCCAAATGACCAGGAAACCAACGAGACCATTATTTTGGGCTATCTCGTCGCCTGGTTCCTCGGAGAAGTACGTTAACGGTGTCATAAATGAACGATTGTCGGCCCTGACACCGAATCCCTCTTCAGTACGTCTCCCGGCAGCTCACAAAAGCCGTCATTGCCCACTTCCACGAGTGGCAGGCTGGTCTCGCCATCCCCCTGTGCAGAAAGCGCCATATCGACATCACCACCGTCTTCACCACACACGCTACACTCCTCGGACGTTACCTCTGCGCTGGCTCAGTGGACTTCTACAATAACCTCCAGTACTTTGACGTCGACCACGAAGCGGGAAAACGAGGCATCTACCACCGCTACTGCATTGAACGTTCTGCGGCTCACTGCGCTGACGTCTTCACCACCGTTTCGCACATTACTGCATACGAGAGCGAGCATCTCCTCAAGAGAAAACCCGATGGCGTCCTACCCAATGGTCTTAATGTCGTCAAATTCCAGGCTATGCACGAATTCCAGAACCTTCACTCGCAGAGTAAGGCGAAGATTAACGAGTTCGTCCGTGGCCATTTCTACGGGTACTATGACTTTGACCTCGACAACACCCTCTACGTCCGTGTTCCCTTTCTTTCCGATTTTTCACGATTTGTTGACACATCGTTCTAGCTCTTCACGGCTGGACGCTACGAGTACCGGAACAAAGGCGTCGACATGTTCATTGAATCCCTTGCACGTTCGTATCTCGGCACATCATCGGTTATGAATGTTTCAATGCAATTCTGACCTCTTTCTTGTCCACCAGGTCTCAACTATCGATTGCAGAAGGCAGGCTCAAATGTCACTATCGTCGCCTTCGTCATCATGCCTGCGGCTACGCACTCGTACACGGTCGAGGCTTTGAAAGGCCAGGCTGTGACGAAGCAACTGCGCGACACCGTGACTGAAATTCAGAACCGCATTGGTGCTCGACTTTTCGACCATGCAGCACGATTCCATGGGTAAGTGGCGATTTCCCCTTGTTCCTGAGACAGCTTGTTCCGAGCCATTCGATTAACCCAAATGGCGAACTTAGGGAACAGAAAGCGATTCCGACACCTGACGAACTTCTTTCGGAAGAAGACAAGGTTCTCCTCAAGCGCCGCATTTTCGCCTTAAAGCGGAACTCTCTCCCACCTGTTGTTACACACAACATGGCAGACGACGCGAACGACCCGATCCTGAATCAGATTCGACGCGTCAAGCTCTTCAACAACACACACGATCGGGTGAAAATCATCTTCCATCCTGATTTCCTTAACAGTAACAATCCCATTTTGGGATTGGACTATGAAGAATTCGTGCGAGGGTGCCATCTTGGTGTTTTCCCCAGCTACTACGAGCCATGGGGATACACTCCTGCCGAATGCACTGTCGTAAGTCCATTGATTATCGATTAGGATTTCCCATCCTCACTGAGTGTTCTTTACTAGATGGGTATTCCCTCAATAACGACGAACCTCTCGGGCTTCGGATGCTTCATGCAAGACCTGATCGAACGTCCAGAAGACGAAGGATGCTACATCGTCGATCGCCGCATGCAATCCGTGGAAGACTCGGTCAACCAGCTCACCGACTATATGTTCGAGTTCACCCAGAAATCACGCCGACAACGTATCAACCAGCGTAACCGTGTTGAGCGACTCAGCCCTCTTCTTGACTGGAAGAACTTGGGAATCGAGTACAGCAAGGCCCGTCAACTGGCTTTGAGGCGCGCTTACCCTGATGCCTTCTATGGTGAAGAAGACGTTGACGGATTCGGTGCTGAGAATGACTATTTCGGTGGTGGAGTTGAGCGGATGAAGCCAACGAACAGCATGCCGGCAAGCCCACGTTTGAGAGGAATTGCTACTCCTGGAGATATTGCTACTCTTACTGAAGAGGTGAGTATTGCGTCATTGATGTTACCCCGCTTCTAAATCCATAATCTTTTTCAGATGCAAGCCCTCAATACAAGCGACTACCGCGGCTACAACTGGCCTGCGAACGTGGACGAAGATGATTCCTACCCATTGTGAGAGATATTTTATTGCGTACCGTTTGGTTCCTATTTCTGACTCCGCCTGTCTCATAGCCCGCTTGTCATGAAGGTTCGCTCGAGGTCTGGATCTGTCATGAGCGGTGCAAGTACTCCTGGCGGTGGAGCCTTCAGAGGCTTGAGTGAAGGCGACCTCAAGAAAGCGGATGCTGCTTTGAGCCACGTCAACGGCGCCTCAGAGGCCAACGGTTCGTAAATGCATACTGAAAGTGCTATCGTGCTAGACTGGTCAACATCCTCTGACCGGCCTTGTTTGATTGCTTCGAGTTCTTCACCGTCCCTATTTCCTGACATGATCCCTTCTGTGCCGTGCACATTCCCTCTAGATCCTACTTAGACACTGGCTCCGACTAAATCCTTGTTTCTATGGACTGTTTTCTCTTCATCTCTTTGCTCCACTTGAAAACATCTATGACCACAATGTACAATATTTCTTGTTTCGTCGATTTGGTTAGGCCATGTCAAGCCACAATATACGGTTTTCAGTTTCAGCGTTCTCAACATACAGTATATGTACTGCCAGAGCATTTCTACTACTGATAGTTGCCGTTATGTAGATACACGCAAACTACGTCCGCACCCATACTCCTACGAGAACCAATATGAGATGATTACAAAGATAGCAAGTGGGTAGATGGCGATGTCTCTAATATCAAGCAAACAGTTGAGACAGGCGTTGTGTCTCCTCCCCGTGCCTCGAGGGTAGAAGCAGAAAAAGAGTTTGGGCCAGACCGGTGGTTTGTCCGACGACTTGACATTTCTATCCATCGTCGCGGAGACAGGCGAAGGAAGATAACTGCTTCTCCTCTCCGGTGACCGACTGAGCTTTCCGCTCTCGTAGTCCTGGCTCCTGGTCAGCCTGTGCCTCCTCCTACTGGCCTTCGATCTCCAGCAACATAGGTTTGTCATGCAGACCAGCGCCACTGTGAGCACAAACACGGGAAGGTAAATCCTAATGTAAATCCCTAACTGGTCGGGGAGAAAGCAGGGTACATCGTCATTTGGTTTGTATTTGTGGTCAGGGTTGCGGAGGGGGGTGGGTGCGAGGGACAAAAGTTGGAAGCCGGGTCGCTTGATGCCCATCGCGATTGAGAAGGATTTGACAGAGATTTCTTTCGCGCTCCCGGGGTTTGGATTTTCCGGTACAGAGGGGACGAAATGTCTGTAGTAGCAGTAGTCGTGGTCGTCCCCGCTAAGAAGAAATGCATGTCAGTTGAAATCCCTGAGAAGGGTGAAGCGGAGAAGATTACCTGAGGATTAGAGTTGGGAAAAGGGTGGTCAGAAGTTTCTCACTTCCGTCCTTTCCAAGAGTGTTCTGATAGCCTAAACCACCGCCTGGGCGAATTCTCCCCCGCTCTCTGAGGCGGCCACAGCCATTACCGTCAGGTCTATACAAGGGAATGTGACTGAGGAGGATCGTAGGTTCATTGTCCGCTGAAAGAAGTTCGATGAGTTCTCCGTTACAGTGTATTCTAAATCGAAAATGAACCAACTCCGTTTCCAGTTATTGATGAATTCTATAGCTCCGCCAGGGAGAGGATCCCAATCCTTGAATGTCTTCTTTGCAACGGTCATCTTGTGTTCTTCATCGGCCCAGCCTGGTGCATCGATGAAGACCAGTGTGTGGTTGGCGACGTGGACTTCATAGTTCAGTTCGCCGAAATAGGATTTATAGCGGTCGTAGCGATCTGGGGAGAACCATTCGACTATTCCGAGGCTAAATGTTGTGCTGTCAGATAAGAAGTGAGATGGAAGGACGAAGAGGAGCTTACCCTGTGTCGTGGTTGCCGGGTATATAATATTTGGGTATAGAAGAGTCCAGTTGGAATATTCTGTTGAATTGCCCAACATAGCTTTTGTATCTGAATAGAAGTTCCAACTGTAAACCTTGAATGACACGAGAAGGACAGGCAGAACGCACTCTGAATCAGACATGTCGAATCGACCTCCGTCCAACAAGTCGCCTAGGAATATGACGGCGTCTGGCTTCTTTGACTTTGCGACCCACCAGTTCTTGCGCATGTTGATAGTGACGATGAGTCGGGTTATCCATGATAGGAAGAAGCCTCTCTCTGGGTAGGATCTGTGGTCTAGGATCTGTGGGTCGGCAATGACCAGGATATGGTATGGCTTGACGGTGCTGTCAGAGCTCTATTTCCTGATTATTAGTTTCATATTGGAAAGGTCGGCATTAAATCTTACTGGTAAGAACTTGCTGTCTGGCCATGGACATTGCTTTCCATCATGAGAGAAGCGGAAGTACTCGAACCAAGAAACGAGGCAGATCCAGAATACACTCAGGAACGTGACAACGACTCGGCCTCTGGGAATGAGCACCATGGCCTTTTCCCGCTTGCAACGCGGTCTAGAGGGATAGTAGAGGCTTCAAGGTCGCCTCTGAGGCGTCCAGGGATCCAGGTCGTGGCTTTTGCCTAAGTTCCACATCGGCTGTGCCTCGGGACATTGGCGGTGGAAGGACAAAATGATGCAAGGTCTCACGAGCACACTCAATGTCAAGGTTCGAAAGACAGTGTCAATTCTTAAAATGCGGGGTGTTACGAAAAGATAGCCCTTGGGGTTCTATGTGTTCAGTTGCGTCTAGTTATGTACAGTCAAGTCTCCAAATCTTAGGGTCCGGGAACTTCCAGCTCGTTGGTTGAGAGTTGGTCGGGTGGTGAGCAAAACTGTCGATCGTTGAGGAGTGTAGGCATGTTGTGGAACCTGGAATTCAATCGGTCGACCGAGAGGCTTCATGCTTGAGCTGTCGTTGGTTGGACTGGGGGATTAGTGGTGCTCGCTGTCCCATGGGTGTTTGCCCTATACAGTCGTAAGTGACACCGTTTCAATTAGAATAGGGCAAAAGAACTAACCAAAAGCTTTGCACCGTCTTGTCTAATTCTAACGTGAGTTTCTGGAACTTTGAATTGCTGCAGACCACGTACCGGGCTCGGTAGAAGATGAAGAACCACATTGTTGCGCCTAGGGCAGTTCCAAGGAACGTGTAGCCCTTTCCAGGGAGATGTGGGTGGAATCCTGGTGCTGTTACGTTTATTCCAGCATTAGAAAGTGGTCAGAAATCCACCAGAGAATCCAGAACTCACCCCTTGGTCCTCCTGCCATGGTGGTATGTGGAATAAGACGGATTTGCTGTTGTTTGTTCCGACTTCTGCGACGCGATCAGACGTTTGACATCTGCCTTCGCCCCCAAGTTCCCAGCAACCACTTTACTCAAATAACGGCACAGGCGGTTTCAAAGACCTCTTCCTTCCAACGAAACGCGACCTTTCTCGTGGCCACGGCCTCCCAGTGTCGAACGTCAGCGATTATCGCTTTGGTGCGACCACTCGGACGATGGAGAAAGGCTTAAAACGGAAACGAGAGGAGGACTATCCTCGAATTACCTACAATGCCGGTCCTAGGACATTCGATCGGTTGTTCAAAGGTCAAGATTCTAATATACAATGCTAGAAACGCGTGTGCTGAACTATTATCTACAGAAGAGTCCCTGGAGGAGATGAAAAATGTCGTCCGAAAGAAGCTAGGGTATTCGAAGGACGTATCGCTTCAACTGGCTCAGTTGCGCGACGCTAGAACCGTGGACCTCGAGGACGGTGAGGATTAGCCTTCTAGGTCTATGATACTTGAACTGACCCCGGCTACTTGACCTCAGACGACGATTTCGAAGCGTTCTGCTCAGCAGCTCGCACACTGCCTGTTATCGTAGTTCAAGTCACTGTTCCTAATGATACCGGCTCTGAAACGCCTCTTTCCCCAACAACCAGAACGCCAACACCCGTCACTGAAGTAAGTTTGTCATTGAAATCGGGGGAGGCATCGCGCGTTTCTGATAATAATTACATAGTCGCCCAAGAAGAAGCGCAAGAAGCGAAAACATACTGCCGACGAGGCTGGGGAGGCATCGGGGAAGAAACGCAAAAGCCCCGGAGACGAGCAAACAGAACCTCCTGCCGAAGTGGACGCTCCGCCTCCAAGGAAGAAAAAGAAGAAGGACAAGGCGAAAGATGCCAATGGCGAGAAGACCTTGGAGAAGGAAAATGCCGCCCAGAAAAACGCGTCTAAGTCGCCCGATAAGCCGGAGAAAGCGACATTAGTAGCAACCAAAGATTCTAGCAAATCGACCGACGATGCTACTACGTCCAACCCGAGGGCCAATAGCGACGTCGCGACTGCTGCGCAACCTCCATCTATCACCGGAAAGTCCAAAAAGGCGCTAAAGGAGGGGAGAGACTCCATTGTCGACACCTCCACGGCGAATGCGGCTACTTCAGGCGGTGACAAGGACGCGGAGGAACCACCGGTTAAGCCGAAGCGGAAGAAAGAGAGGAAAAAGCCGTCTGAGAAGGCGAAGGAAGGGGAAGGTCTGCCTCAAAAGGCATCAGAAAAGACGAAGGAGCGCACGAAGGGCGGCAAGCCTTCAAACGACACTGAAGAAGAGCAGGCGGATGACGAGAGGGGTGAAGTCGAACTCGATTTTCTGCGGTGTCCGGTCGTTAACGTCCAGATAGACACCCCAACCCTCGAAAAAGTAACAGAAAAGCCTTCCAAGGTACCAGCATCTGAGCAAGATGCACCCAAACAAAAAAAGGGCAAAAAGAGTGATTAAATTCAACCTTTTATTCTGATAGCCACTCATCTCCTCCACAGAAGCTAAGGAACCTACTCCGCCTCCCGCAAAACCCACAGGTGAGTTGCAAGAACACTCTCGATGTATGTGGCCTAACGTATTCTTTCCCTTTAAGAACCCTCAGGTAATAAATCAGTTACCTAACGGTGAACGTTTATCTGACTGTCAGTCTAACAGAGAGCAGCTCAGACGGGAGCGATGGTAAGCAGCGCTGTAATCCATTTCCCGGGGTCGCCACTCATCAACCGTAGATAACGATGAATCGTCGGAAGAGGAAACCCCGCCGGCCAAGAGCAGTAAAAGCAAGGGGGAGTCAAAGAGGTCATGTAAGGAATAGATTTGTTCATCACCACAAAGCCATTCTAATTGCTGTTGGCAGCGCATCCAGGTCCTTCGACACAGGATCGCAATGCGCTTGACGCCTTGGTGGAGGAGCTATTCCGGCGGAAAGCACTTGAGAAGCAGCAACAGCAATTGGTAGACAAATCGGTTGAAGAAGTGACAAAGCCTGCTTCGAAGGTGAAACCTGCACAGCAAAAGCCGGTCGAAGCAAAAGATAGCGGGTCGTCCGAGCAGCCTGAGCCCGCCAGCAAACGGCAACCCAAGACTAAAAAGTTCAAGCCGACCCCAGCGGCAGCGAAGAAATTGAAGGACCCCGAAAAATGTCACATCTGCCTTCGCTCCCCGAATCATGTACGTTCGCGTTGCGGCTATGTCCGAAAGGCTGGGACGCAGCTGCTCCGAGAACGACTCGCCCAGGTCCAGGGCGAAGAGTGTGAGGACCCAGACTTCAAGACTGCGCTCATTCACGAGATTCAAGAACTGATCGACAAGAAGGAAGCAAAGGAGCCGCTATCCACGAAGGTAGGATCACAGTGGGCTCCCGAATCTCTCCCATTGACACTGGTTGACACTCAAGGAATAGGTTGCCGCATCCAGTGTTTCGATTTCTGTTCCTCCGCTTTCATCTAACCCTACCACTGGTTCTACTGCACCTGCTGCCGAGAAGCAAACGACAAAAGCATCTGATGCTCCAAACAAGGAATCGTCTGTCGACGAACCGCTTGCAAATACAGGCTCGAAACCTCAGGCTGGTCCGACGAAGCCAACTGTACATACATCCCCCCAGGACGAGGGCCGCCACTCATCCGCGTCGGATAGTTCTGATTCCGATGAAACACCCCCCCTTTCGAAACAACCCCCCGCCCAGTCTAACCAATCGATTACCGCCCCTTTAGCCAGGACTTCCCAACCACGGAAGCCACCACTGTCCTTGAGCGCAAAGGTACAACCTACACGCGTAGTCGGCCACGATAGCGATGGTTCATCGTCTTCTGAAAAGTCCCCTTTTGATGCTGCTGCTTCATTGTCTGCTTCCCTTTCGCACCTTGGATCAGCCGCCGCCCTAGATGCCGAACTCGATGCCATAATTCGTGGACCATCAGCGCGCATCCGAGTGGCTGAGATAGCCTCTAGCGATAGTGATCAAAACGGAGAGGAGAACGAGCTAATGGAAGAGGAGCCAGAAGAAGAGGAAGAGGTCGTCTCACGCTCTCGACACTATGCTGGGGTTGATTCTTCCAACGAGGAAGAAAGTGACGCCTCGGACGACGATAGCGGTATCACCAAACCTCCCATTGTGACCACTTCGACTTCTCATTCATTCTCTGAGACGGAATCACCCGAACCCAGCGAGTCGGAGGATGACAATATTCAGATTGAGCGGTCCTTTCACGACGTGAACAAGTCTGCATCTGGGCTCGAGATCGACCGGGCAGGAGACCGGGCAGTGTCTGAGGCTCTTGCCGAGGATACGGCCGTGTTCAAGCTCGCCGTCGAGGACAATGGATCCAAGGAATCCTCGGCAGAGTCGGAAGAAGAGAGAAGCGAAGAGAGTGATAGACCCATGGCCACTAGATCGTCGAAGAAGCTACCCGCCCCCAGCACCCCTCTGAAGAATTCCGTGTCTCGTCGAAAAGACCCTATCGAGCAGTTCGAAACTCCGAATAGACGCCCAACAAGCCCCATCGAAGCCAACTTTGAACGGGACGTGCAGCTGCAGTCAACACCCCGCTTGATGGACAGAATGAAAGATCGAGCTGGAAGGACGACACCTAAACGACCAACATCCAGCATCGATAAGGCTTTGAAGCTTTTGGACAGCGTTAAGGAGGTTGCGACGGCGACGGAGAATGGCCTCCCAAGACGCACACGATCGTCAGCTCGTTTGGCTTCGGCAGCATCAGCCGAATCTTTCAAGGGCACTAAAAATACGGCCGCCTCTGCGAAGCCAACGTCTAAAGCCCAGAAACCTGCGTCAACTGCTTCCCAAAGACCCAACACGAGAGCGAGAAAGGCCGCACTTCAAATGACCAAAGAGGTTGAGGAGTCCGAAGAAGAGCACGGCGAAGGGCCAGCTGCTGAAGGGGACGTAGCTTTGGATACTTGGGCTGTTCTTGAGGAAGCGTCGCCTCAGGAAGGGGAGACATCGATGATGGATGAATTGGAGTCGATGAACGAATCAGTGCCCAAGATGCCTGCGAGTTCTCAGGAGCCACAAGTAAACGGCAATGAAGATTCGGAGAACGAGTCCGACGACGAGCATGAAGTTGAACGAGTAGTGCGACAACCCAGACCATCCACCCATCGCCACTCCCAGTCTTTCCGTCGACTCACCGACATCGCCTCGCAGGGGGCACCCTTCCAGTCGCAGATCCCGACGCTTCGACCAGCCACCTTTGAGCAACCCAAAGCGACGGAGGATCAGTTATTCGGCCTCAACAATGATTCGGATTCTTCGGATTCAGATTCAGATGACTCGGGTTCAGACGACGACAAGAAAAGCTCTCACATCCCCAAGACTCGGCGCGCGGGGGCAGCCACTTCCAAGCGATGAAAACGCCCTGGTGGCAGCTGGAGGCCCTGAAATAAACCCGCACTAAACACCAGCTGGTGAACACAAGGACCACACGCATATTTTGCTATGCCGGAGTTCGGGATTTCGGATCCGATGTTGCATGCACATATTGTTATTCTTTCTTGCTTTCTTGACCTCAGTACTAGCATGGACCGTCTTACATCTCTACGCAACGCTTACCGCATATTTCAGTACAATCCTGTATGTTTTCTGTCCGCACAATGGAATCAGGCGAGGAGGGAATTTTGAAAGGTCGCCTCGAGGCGCGGGATTGATCGAGTTACGTAATATACAGAAGGGATAAATTTTGTTCGGGCCCTTGGACCACAACTTTCACCCATCGCGCCCAGGAATTTTCGCTTGCTGCCTTTGCCGGTGTACATGCCCTTTACTCAAAATACTAGTGACGAGTCAGTCCCTTTTCTTCTTTGCCTCCCGCCACCGTCCTGACTGTCTCGTAGCTACCTCAGCGACCTAGTTTTCTCGCTTCCAAACCACTGAATACCCACGACGAGCCATGTTTACTCGACAAGCTATCTCTACTCTCCGACTCGTTCGTCTCTCTCGAGGCCTGGCCACCCATGCCAATTCTGGCCTCGCCGTGCCAGCCTCTCTGCACTTGAAAACAGGTCAAACGTTCAAGGGAACCTCGTTCGGTGCTCCCAGGAGTGTCTTTGGCGAAACCGTCTTCTCGACTTCAATCACATCATGTCGGTGCACTACCATGTCTCGAATTTATCTTTCAACTGACGGACATTCAACATAGACACTGAATCCATGACTGACCCTTCTTATCGCGGTCAAATTCTCGTCTTCACCACTCCCTTGATTGGGAACTATGGAGTTCCCCACAACGTAGCACCCTTCGATTCCCAGGACGTGGGGGTCGTCCTCGAGTCTCAGGGCATCCAATGCGCCGCTGTTGTCGTCGGCGACGTGGCCGAAAAGTTCTCTCACTACACCGCTGTCGAGTCCATTGCATCCTGGTGCAAGCGACACAACGTTCCCGGTATCACGGGTGTCGACACGCGTGCGATCACCACGTTGCTCCGTGATCAAGGTACCACCCTCGGACGTGTGGCCGTTGGTACCGATGCCTTGCTCCCGCCTCCTGCAGCAGAGGAATACTGGGATCCTTCTCTGGAAAACCTCGTCGACCAAATTTCCACCAAGCAAGTCTACGAGCTCAACCCCACTGGCAGCGTCAAGATTGCCATGCTCGACTTTGGCGCTAAAGCGAACATTCTCCGATCCCTTGTTCGCCGAGATGCTGCCGTCACAGTCTTCCCATGGAACTACGACTTTAACAAGGTCAGGGACCAGTTCGACGGTCTCTTCCTCTCCAACGGCCCCGGAGACCCAAAGCAGTGTATGGAGGCCGCTCTGAACTTGCGACGAACCATCGCCGAGTGGAACAAGCCTATCTTTGGCATTTGCATGGGTAACCAGATTATCGGTATGGCTGCCGGTTTGGACTCTTACCGGATGACCTTCGGTAACCGTGGTCACAACCAACCCGTCCTTGCCCTTGCCTCGTCTGGCTCCATCAAGGCTGGTCGTGTTTATGTTACTAGGTTCGTTGTTAATCGTCATTCGTTTCTTCGGTGCACTAACTCGCCTGTTAGCCAAAATCATCAGTACGCCCTCAAGCTCCAAGAGCCCTTCCCCGAGGGATGGGAGCCCTTCTTCATCAACTGCAATGATTCGTCCGTCGAGGGTATCAAGTCTACCGACGCGTCTGGCAAGCAGGTTTGGGGTGTCCAATTCCATCCTGAGAGCGCTGGTGGTCCTCTTGACACTATCGAGGTAAGGTCGTCGTTGCTCCAATTAAAGGCAGAATTCTAAACTTCTCTCTAGATGTTCACCGACTTTGTCTCGCATTGCAAAGCCCAAAAGGTTGCCAACTACCAGCCCGCAGATGTCAAGCCTCAAGTTGGTTTGGAAACTGAGGCGCCCCGAGTTGCTGCCACTGCTTAATCAATAGTCTGGTTCTATATTTCATACTTGCTTCCCTACTTGGTTATAATATCCTTGGTTTTCATCTGGCCTCGGTAATTTGGAATTTTTGTGTAGTTTTAACAGACAATGTATATTGTATTGCATGCCTCCTTTCCTTCCTGATCGTGCGAATAATTCCATCACTGTCGGCATTCGCATCACGACGGCGCGTTCGCCCTACGACCTCTTTGGCCATGAACTTCTTCGATACATGGGACATTGCTAGGGCTTCAACGCCCCAACCACCAACGAACGATGTTGCACAGCAGGCGCAGCAACCCAGCCTCAATGAAGAGGTCAACGAGGTGATAGGACAACTCGGTCGGTTCTGGGGAGGTTTCAGGGCGCAGGTTGGTACGCTTCATCACAGTGTACGACTACATTCACAGATAGGGCCTGGTAGAGCCAAAAGGTTTTGGAAACAGCCAAGAAGGACTTTGGAGACGTGGTTATCCAGGCCCAGAAGGAAATTGGAAAGCTGTCTGCGTCTGCACCACCGACTGAGGGTGAACCTTCAACAAGATCAGACCCTATTAGCGCTCCATCTTCCTCTGAATCGACGACTGGGGGAGACAAAACAACGAAGGATTCTGAGTCGGGCTCTGATTCGGTCGATCCATCAACACCGACTGCATCCACCAGTTCCGGCACCCTATTCTCCCGACTCCAAGCTGCCCTCCCTCCTAATCTCGTTGCAACTGTCCAAAGCCATATACCTGAATCCATCAAACATGCCTCGGAGAACGTTGACCTCAATCAGATCCGTTCAAACCTTGTCGCTGAATTCCAACGCGTTCAGGGTATAACACGGGCACAAGCTGAAGAATATGCACACAAGGGCGAGGCATATCTTCGGGAGGTCGTGAAAGAAGCCAATGAAGTCCTCAAAGACGCTGTCAAGATCATCCCCCCTTCTCCAACACAAGAACAATCTGGGCTAGTTTGGGATGGAACGGATATGTGGATGTTGCCTACGACTGAGGCCAGCGCTTCTGGTTCTGGAGGGAATGGTTCTAGTGCTGGACCTTCAAGACAGGTCGGAGAGATGCAGACTGCTGTCGCGTCTCGTGCACTTGCTCTTCTTGCTCGTCTTCAGTCGGATCCGACCATTCTCCAGCATGACCCTGAAGCGGAAGATGCTGTCAAGGATCAGTATCGTAAATGGCTCCAGGATGAAGTCGAATCCAAGGGCGGTATCGATGGACCCGAGTGGAGCGAGAAGAGCGCTGCGCTACTCAAGGAGAATACCTCGCTCTATGAAATGTATACTTCTCTTGGTATGTTCCGTTGAACATTCATTAGAGACTTTACTGATCGTTCACCTAGTCTCAGCTGAGCTTTCTAAGGAAGACTTTTGGCAGCGATACTTTTTCAGAGCCCATCAGATCAAGACCGAGGAAGAGAGGCGGAAGGCTCTTCTCCAGGGTGTGTGGAAACGCAGTGATGTCGAGTTCTAAACTGATGGCCGCTGCAGCTACAACTGAGAGTGACGAGGACTTTAGTTGGGAAGGTTCAGACTCGGAAGAGGAAGAAGACGATGACGAGGAGGAAGGCTCGGATACCGATACCTCCTCCAAGGCGTCTGCTCCTGTCCCTCCAGTAGGCAAGACGGTCTGTACCTTCGCTTTTGTTGCCGTAAGGCATCGTTCTAATGGCAATATAGACGCTCTCACCCAAGGACGCGACAACATCTGGGCGCCCTTCGAGTGAAGAAAGCTACGACGTGGTTTCATCAACGAATGCCAGTATTGCTGGAGAGCCATCCAAGAAGCAGGCAAGCACTACGGATGATTCTGATAGTGATTGGGAGTAGGGTCCTTGATTCGTCGAATGTATTAGAACAACCTATTAGCCGGACTTGGGACGTCCTTCAGGCGATGCTGAAAGTCCCGTTCTGACGAGTATGGTGAGCTTGAAGAAGAACGGAGAGGGAGCTCGAGGGATTGAAAGGATGGTCTCGCCGAGACTAGCGACTCTGTGGCACATCTAGCTATCCTGAAATCGATAGTAAAATGAATGAAGTTGAGGATAGGGTCGGTAACACGTTGAGAATCTGGATTCATCATTACTTGGGGGGTGGAGATTGTCTTTCTGGCGTCGTGGAGACAAGACACAGGTGCTTGCCTTTTTCCTAACGATATAGAACGCAAAAACCATCGATCCGAACGGTATAAAAAGTATGACAACAGAGGGATTCGAACCCTCGCCCGTGAAGACTGGATTTTCGATCGCATGACCTAATTCCAGCGCCTTAGACCACTCGGCCATGTTGCCTATGAAAGCTGACTTAATGTAATATGTATGGGGTACCGGTTAAAAAGCCCCTATTTCCCGACCGCGTGATCAGGCTTCCGTACTAGACCCGATGCCTGCTTCCTGGTACCGTACCTACGACACCCCATGGAGCCATGGGCGTTCACGGCCTTACAACCTACCTACGGGAACACAGACGAGCCCTTTCTTCTACTGTAAAGCTCGGCAGTCCTTCTCCAGATCGAGTTTCTATTGTTGTTGACGGCTGGTCGTGAGTCCTGTTCTCCAATTAAAGGATGATCTTTTTTGACTGTGCTTTAATCAGATTTATCTATGCGATATCAACCAACAATTCCAGTCTTCCATGGGTATACGGCGGAGAATACCACGAATTCAAACGGGCGGCAAAGGCCATCGTGGAGGCTTGGCTCCGTGTTGGGCTGGACATCCACTTCGTCTTCGATGGTTTGTCGCAGCAGATATCCTCCGGTTCAGCGTATCCAACCTCTTTTCAGGTGCCTACCCCGACTTGAAGTTTCCAACTCTCGTAACTAGGCTTGGGCAGAGCCATATCCAACCGGGCCTCCTCTTCTTCAGAACCTCGGTAGTCTCGCGATCAACCCCAAGGTCCCTAGCAGAGACATGGATGCTCCCTCCCCTGAGCTATTCAGTCTGCATAAACGCATTGAAGGAGGTTCAGGAGACCACCACCTTTCTTCACCTGCACTTTGCAGATGAAGAAGGTGATCCCTACGCAGTTGAACTCGCGGGTCGAGTTGGGGGCTACGTCGTCGGAAACGATTCAGACTTTGTAATCCTCAACTCTGAAGGATACCTGGGGTATATACCCATCGACGAAATGGTGTGGGAAGCGCCATCTTTAGAAGAAACCCCCGCAGTTGACGACGACGATGCTGACTTTCAGATCGTTCGTAAACCCAAGTTCAACCGGAAACCACCTGTCCCAATGGGCATCCACCCTCCCGAAACGGGGGATCTGAAACTCCACCTCACAGCCTACAGCCCCACAAAACTATCTACCCATCTCAATCTACCCGTCACCCTCCTTCCATTGCTCGGGGCGCTCGTAGGGAATGACTTCTCCTCGGAATCCGAAACGCACCGACGTCGACTCCAAAATCTATTCTTCGAGCGCACCCTTTCCCTTACACAGCGCATCGACCATGCCGCAGCAGTGGTGCGCTCCATTCTCACCCCAAGTCAAAATCGCCGCAAGGCGAAGCACGAGGTCGGGAGTGTCATGGACCTCATCGACAAAACTGTCAACGCCCTAATGGCGAGACACCTCACTTCTATGGGTTCAGGCGAGATTGAACAGATCATCAACGGCGTTGTGGAAGCTACACTGCAGTATGCTATTCCCAGGACAGATCCCCACGACGAACCCCTATGGCCTACCGAAATCTGTGCCCTCCACATGCCCTCCACATGCTCACTTCTCCCCATTGTTTCCCGTCGGCTTCTGGAACAGCTTCGAGCCGTCGACGAGGAGGATCAAGCCTTGCTCGAGATCCGTCAAGCTCTTATACATGCCTATAGAAAGGGTTCCCTTTCTCCCAAGGTTATGGACTCTCTCAACACCTCTTCTTCGTGGCCCAGACCTTTCCTGGAGCATCCAGATGTCGAGAACGTGAACCGTAGTATTGGAAGGCCCATCCGTGCATGGATATACTCTATTTTAGACGATGCTGTTGGACTGCCGGATCCACCCACCGCGCCCGAGGAAGACCCCACCGACTCCGTTCAGTCCGATGAAGAGGAAGAAGACCCCGACGAACTTATCGACGTGGTCGAGTCAGATTCAGAGCAGGAAGACGTCGACTATCTCGCTCCGTTAAAGGGTGAACTAAACCGCCTCCAGGGTCCTGAGGACGAATCCGAAGCTACAGAACCGCCCCCCTCTATCACGTCCTCCCATCCTCGCGAAAGAACAAGCCCTGCGATTGTTGCCGAGTACATCCGTCGAGGGACTCGCGTTGCCGCCGAAGATGTCGAAGTCCCTTCCTTGCAAAGTTTACTACAATCCGTCGACCTCGAGGACTTCAGCGAGGAGGGCAGTGCGCATCTCCTTTTACGTCAGGAAGACGATAGATTTACGGTCCTCCTGCGGGCCTTGAAATCTGACACACCTGCCGTTCGTGCGTTGTCGCCCATTGAATTAGCTCCCGTCCTTGCTGTTCGATGGACAGCATTGATGCTATTCCAGCGAAGCGAGGAGACTGGTAGCAAGGAGCGTGCCAGGGAACGCTGGGCCCCTATTGAAGCACGCTGCTGGCTTGCAACCTTCCATGCCGCCCATACCGAGTTACCCCAGCTAGATCTCAGCTCAGTCACCGTCGCTGATAGAAACATTCAGCTAATGGCCCAGATGCTCGTTGCATTGGAGTGTATCGATCAGCTTGCCCAAGTTCTGTTCTTAGAACAACGTGTGCCCTCGCCCGCTCATTTGCTGTCGGGAAAGCGATTCCACGCACTCCTCAACAACCCCGATGCTTTAGTGGACTTGGATGATTTGGATAGGCTGTGGGCTGCTGTGGGAGAAGATTTCGCGCCCGGGGTCTTCCAAGAACAAAAGACGAAGAAGGTTAAGAAGAAGAAAGGATCCTCGGATGCGATGCCTGCCACCAACGGATACGGGCGTCAAAAGCAATACAACTCAGCGGGTACACGGAAGGCTCAAAACCAGAGTTTTTTCGCTCTGCTCGATTCAGAGGCGATGTAATTGTGTTAGCTATTGGACTCGCCTACTTGTATTTCATAATTCACGTCACAGATATTGAAGTTATGGCGCCGGTGACTGTTAAACGCTAACAATGATCGGTGACTGGGTGTAAACGTTGAAGGCTATGTATCTTCTCTGGAGCGGCGATTCCCAGGCTTCTCGGAACCCTCAAGAGAGGATCTGGTGCTGGCTCTACAGCATTCGAGCGTTCAATAACAAGACTCGGTCAGCACAGCCCTTAGTGCTGTACAGTGGGCGCCGAGTACACAGGACCTGTTGAGCATGCACCAACAGCATGAACCATAAAAATTCAACTATCAGTGGCACTGCATCTTGCCTGTATATATACGGGAAGCCGGGTCCTCCTCCACATCCTACGTTACCACTCGAATCTATAATGTCCCAGGGAATGTACCGTACAGGACCACCCGTCCCGGCAGACATCATCACCTACCGACATAACTTCAAGCTAGTCTATGTCAAACCAGCAGAGACTTACGACGTACGTGAAGTACACCCAGCGCTTGACACCCATTAACGGACAACTTGCAGAAAGCCCTCGACATCGCCCAGCAAGAGTACGAAGAACTTTCCAGCGTCCCCCGACATCGAATAGGGTTCTCCGTCACCTCGACTTTTAATGGCCAACGCCAGCCAGTGAGAATCTCCGAGAGCGCGTGGTCGAGCGCCGTCGGGAGGCTACTGAGAGGAGAAGTCATCGACATAATCATTCGGGCGGACCCAGACGGCAAGCATTCCCCACCGCCCCAATACCTCGAGGTCCCCTCCCTGGATTCCAGGCCACTCGAGTCTCGAAGCAAGGCCAGGTGCAACTCGGGAAAGCCAAGGCCGTCAAAGTCGAACCCTGGCTCTCGGTCAACGTCTCCCTCTCCCAATGAGAAAGAAAAATCTCGGAGATCGTGGTTCTCGTAATTTGAGGAAATATCTGGCTGTTGTTGTTCTGTTCGTTAGATAACCAGAACCTAAAGACAAGCACAATATACGAGGCTCGCCGTTGGTTGCAGGTGGACATTCATGAGAAAGGGGAATATGTGTATTATGTCCACTATTTTTAGCCTATCATTGTAGTATATTAGCACAATCGAATTAATGAAGCCTGGAACGACGCTACGATCAAGCCTGTCCACCCGTTGTCCAGTATCCTTTTTATGAAGTCCTGCTGTGTCGAAGTAACGCTTTACTCCTAAACGTGGCGTTGTATTGCAAGAGGTTGTTGATGTCCCGAACCCAGTCATCTTCCTTTCCTGGGCCGGCGCCTTCTCGGTGCTGCATTTCAGCAGCAACCTCAGAGTCGATGATCGAAGATCTGTTGATACAGGGAACGGGGAATGGCGATGCTTGTACGGTTACGGATTCTCCAGGATTCAAGATATGTGAAGTGCGGCCGTCCATAGAGACGCCAGCGGGTGCTCTACTGCGATCTCCTATCTACAAACAGTGGGCGCCAGCGGTATAAGTATCAATTACATTCGATCAAAACCAAGTAAGTACGTACCCGGAGCGTTATGATGGACGTTGAGGGGAATACCAGTGGTCTGAATGATAGACTTCGGGGACAGATGGGTGTCAAGACCAGGGCGCTTAGTGAAGGATGCACTATAGGTCCACCAGCTGAGAGGGAATATGCTGTTGAACCTGTGGGAGTGGATACAATGAGGCCGTCCGACTGGTGTGAAGTCAGAAATGTGACATCCGCAGGGGCGGTAAAGGTACTGACCACTGCCTCTGTGAGGTGTTGTCCGTCTACAAATATATCGATAGTGTTGAGATGAGGGCTTGCTCCCCTGTGTAGTGCAATTTCATTCATCACCTGCCAATCTAGAGAACAGAAGGTCAAGAACGGGTGAATGACGGAAGAAGGCGCGGCACAAACCATGATCGTTCTCCTTCTTCTGGAGTTCGTTATCATAGAAGGCACAGGCGAGTCGCATGCGGTTCAGAATTGTAGCTTTTCCCGTAAACACGCTTTCAAGTGCTTTGGCATAGTCGTCCATGTCTAAAGCCAGGGTCAGCCAAGGTAATATCTAGCGTGAAGGGAGAACGCACGGAATGGCAGCAGGAACCCTAGGGTACCCATTGAGAAGCTTAGTACGGGAGGTACCGCCCCTGAGCTGAAAAGCGAGGATGCATGCAGTATTGTCCCGTCACCTCCAAACGTTACGACCAAATCAATGCCAGTCGAGTTAAGACCTGCCGGGAACACCGATGTAAGCAAGTCATTGCGAAACGTGCAGGACAAACGGGGCCACCTGGCTTCCAGACTTCAGCTCCATGTGGGATATCAGGTCTGTCTTCATGGAATACCCTGACATCGGGATAGTTTTCATGGACATGTCTAGAACAAGGTAAGCTGTCGGGACTTTGAGATTCCAGGACTGACGTACTCGAGGAAAGCGTCAATAGCGAGTATTACTGGCTGTGTCCGTAGTTTGTTGACAATAAGGATAGTCTTTGGAGGGGCTTTAAGTTGCTTTTCCGGGCTGTCTTTTCATCCAAGTTGAACGTGAAGCGACAAGAAATGATTGAAGAGGAATACTGACGTCGGTGGACGACTTGTGGATGGAATTTGGAACGAGGCTTTGGAGGAATTGTATGATCTCTTTTGAAAGGGAGTTGGAAGACAAAGGGTTGTCCGGCGGCAGGCGAGAGGCGCCAGTTGCCTCAGCGACCGAGGTAATTGACGGAAAGAAAGCATCGTTCCCTGAGTCAAGTGCAAGTTGCCGCCGGAAAAGGACCATGTGGTAAACCCACGTGACAGGAATTCCAGGTTGAACAATTCGTCGCGAATAATTGAGCGCGTCGTCTCTCGACCACCTCCTTCGATTCTCTGAAATCGTCAAGACCTTTATCACTATCAAGATTCCACGATTTCAAGGGTGATTTTGTAGAGAAAAGTGACCTGATACCGTTCAACGAGTCCCGCGAAGCTCATAGCCACAGATACAATGGGCCGCCGTACGACTCGATCCCAAGTCACTTTGCCCGATGAAATCCTCCAGGTTTCTCAGCATTCGCCAATGAAACAGGCGAGAATGTCAAGGAATGCAGCAGCGTCGACAAGCAAAACCAGCCCAGACGACATGCTCGATGTCAGCGGCTCGGAAGACGAACTTTTGCTCTCCCCGAAGAAACGTGCCAACACACCCCCGCCGACCGCGACAGGGAAGCGGTCAGCGTCGCCCTCCTCGGAGAATGGACTGGCAGAGGGATCTCCGGAAGAGGGTAGAGGATCGAAACGCGTCAAACGGGATGCGGAAGAGTTGCAGGAACCCAGGACGCACGAATCGAAAACCAGGGCTGGGACCGCGCATACAAGGAACCATTCAGACTCGAATGCCATCGCCAACAAACGGTCAAAGCGTCAGACGTCGAGGTTACGCTCCGAGAAGCCTAGATCAATCGCCAGCGACCAACCGTTGAACCGTGAAGCTTCGTTACCTCCGGATGACCATGGACGAGCTCAATCTGTGCCATTGCTGTTCCCAGCGACGTATTCCTACCCACATATCGACCTGGCCAACCTACCTCCTTCTCCGACACGTAGCAAGCCAAGGTCACGCTCGCCGTCTAAGAGTTCTAAAAGCTTGACCCCCAAGATGCGTATAACACCTCTGCCTGTTGTTCCAACCCGTTTGCCATCCATACCGGATGAATCGACACGGGAAATGGACGTGGATCAGGATGCACAGTCCCAACCCCAGGAAACTGAAGTGGACATGGTGGAACCATCCTCAGAAACAGTGTCGGGCAGTCCAAAGGAGCGGGAGCCTCCTTTGAAAGTGATCACCGAAGTGTCAATACCATTGGAACCATCCGACCAAGTTGGCCCTCAAGAGCCAGAACCTGTTACCCCAGTCGCAGAAGATGATACGGCCCCTCCCTTGTCGCCCCTTACTCCTGCTCCCGAAACCCCTTACCCTGTAGCGAAGATCCCGACAGCGGTGACGATTACGACTCAAGAAACCAAGGTAGCGGTCAGTCTCAAAGTATCCTACCCGTCAAATCTGAAACTGACACGAAAATGAAGTCCGTGAAGGAGAAAACATTCCCTTCGAAGCCTGCCAAAGAAAAGGCACCTCCCCCTGCACCTCCCAAGATCGACAAAGGCAAACAACCTGCAATCATCCCCTCGAAAACCGACAAGTCAGCGCCGCAGCCCGACAAGCAAAATCGATTGCGTCGGCTGACCACCGCGATGCCTCGTCCCACTAAAGTAGCACCCCGTGCCATGGGCTTGAGCACTGCGCCTCCAACTGGAAATGGGTCGGAACCTTCTTCAAGTAAGATACCGATGGCGGGGACTATAGGCACTGGGCCTCGCAATGCATTCAACCTCTTGATGAACAAGGCGGGCTCTTCAAAGACGCCAGCTGCAGAAAGCAAGACTTCTGGCTTTCAGCAAAAGGTAAAGAACATCTTCAACGTGTCCTCTTCGTTGGATAAGGGAAAGGGAAAGGCGGGAGGGATCAAGGCGAAGATGAAAGGAAGAGTAAGGCCTGAAACTCAAGCTGCACCTGCTCTGATTCCAGTTCCTATGGACGAAGACGAAGAAACACACGCCAATCTAAACGATGAAGAACCTGTTCCACCCACCCCTGACGAGGATGGTCAAGATGATGCCCCTCGGCCAGAGACTTCAATATCGAGACCCGCCTCTCCTCCAGCACATCCAACACAATCGGAACCTGTTCAAAAATTAGCCCAGACGAAAGAGTCGATTCAACCTGAGGTCCAACCTGAGGTCCAAGTTCAATCTCCAGAAGAGGCCGTCACTGCGAACGATGTCACCAATCCATCCGTACATCCACCCACGTCGAACGGAGAGCAGGACGATACCCTGATTGCTCCAGAGCCTCCTCAAGACGTCGCGATGGGGGAACCAGAGGCGGAGCTCGATGTTCCTCTATCAACCGAACCTGTGACAGTTGAACCAGTGCCTCCGACTACTGAGGAACCTGAACCCGAGCCCGCCCCAGCAAACCTTGAAGTCCCTCCAGAACCAGGACCGTCGAAAGCTGCAGCGTTGGGCAAGAAACGAGTACCCTCAGCCGTGCCCGCCGTTGGTCGCGTTACGAGGAGCAGTTCAAACCGGAAAGCCCCGGTCTCTGAATCGAAGCCTCCAGGTATTGGCATTGCGACCTATTCTGACCCGTAACTGACTTTTGAATGTTTAGTACCCATGGCGAAGACGAGACAGACCACCCTCAACTTCGCAAAGGCTACTCGGTCTGCCTCCCTCAAACGAAAGACTCCTGCCAATGATAAAGCTACGGAAGATTCCATCCCCACTGGAGACACTGCAGCCCCGTCGATATCTGTCAAGGCAAAATCAAAGTCTGGTAGTGAGCAGAAACCCGCCGAGGAACCTACGGCCGGCCCTAGTCGAGCACCACTCGCTATTGAGACATCCAAGAGTCTACCCAGAGGTTCTCCAATGAAGGTCAACGAATCCCCTGTTCGAAGATCGCCTAGGAATCTTGCCACTTCACGGTCGACTCCCTCGCTCAAGACCCCCTCGTCGTCCCCCGCCAAGTTGAGGAAACCTTTCCAGTCAACGACGCCCGGTTCACCATCGAAGAAACTTGCTCGCTCTGCGTCCATGAACGCTGGTCGTCGAAGTGGTGAATATTCCTTTTCGAAAATCATTTGCGCATCTGCTAATATTATCGTTCTTTGAGCAGCCAACCTGAGCGAGAACCGGTTTGCGAAAAATGGATCCACACTATCTACCCTTTCAAACGCCTTGGAGCAACTCCGAATGCCCGCGCCTTCTCGGCCGAGTACGAGCATGGGCTTCAATCGCGACGGCAATGGGAATAGTGATGATGATGATTCTGTCGAACCCAAAAGCCAAACTCAGGACGACTCCGCTGTTGGGAAGAAGACGGTAGGAAACTCCCACTCGACTGGTGCTGTCGGACGGTCTGCGACTCTCGGTGCCAACCACTTTTCCAAGGCAACAGGGCTTGCTAGACCACCTGGACGAGGTCCGTTTGCAGGCCGTGCAATGCGTGGGCGTCCACTGTTTGGTGTTGGAACAGGAACCCTTGGGCGAAGGCATACGGCAAAGGCAAGCAAGAACCCGACGTTGCCCAGTGTCATGGGTAGCCCGGTGAAAGGTGGGGGTGATGCCGACGTTTCAATGACATTCGACGACCAAAACGCCGTTCAACCTCTCAACCTCGGAGGACCTTCAAACCAGAATGACTCGGCATTGGTTGACGATATGGACGTTGAAGAAATCGAGGTGTCTAATGGGAAGGGCAAGGAACGCGCCACAGATTCGGACGAGTATTCGTCTCGTCGGGCGTCGATGGCCTCTCACTTCCTCGCTCAATCTGTTTCTGCATTCCGGGAATCCGAAGCAGCCACTACAGGCGGGAAGGGACTCATGGGACCTCCACCGCTACCCTCCACCGTCAAGCAGAGCTCGAACAACTCTTTACCCTCTACCGCTGCAACGGCTGGAGCTGACGACACCTCGTCCAATGGTACGCCCCCGGGACGGAGAAGCACTCGGTCAGCGGCCCTGGCTGCTTCTCAGGCTATCGCAAATGTGGCTGCTAGCTCGAGGAGGGCGCCTCCCCAAGAGGAGAAACCTTCACCGGATGATGCTCTCAAGTTCCTCAAAGACTGTAGGATCTTTGTTGATGTCAGAACAGAGGAAGGGGAGGAGGCCGGTTCCCTGTTTGTTGAAATGTTGGAGGTTGCTGGCGCTCGGGTATGCTGTCAATATGGTCGTGGGTTAGTCCAATGACTGATTGCTTTTCGTCTAGCTGCTTCAACGCCCCGGACAAAGCTGCACTCACATTGTCTACAAGAACGGTTTGCCAAGTACGGTAAACCGTTACAAGTAGGTATTCTTTTGAACCATCGTGGTCTCGTTGGCTCAGTACACATTATCCAGGATGCTCCGAGATCCTAAGCCACTGGTCGTGGGTATCGCTTGGGTCGTAGAATGCGTTGAACAACGTAAAAGGGTCCACGAGGAAGAGTACCTGATTGATCTCGAAGTGGAAAGCCTCTTCCAAACCACCGGCAAACGTCGTCGTTCAATGATTCCCAAGCTCATCTCTCGCGATTTCCTCATGGAAGCGGGACCTTCTGGAGACGCAGCAGGAGACGAATCCAACGACGGAGACGTTAGCATGGACGGCTCGACATCTTGTAAGTGTTTTGGTCTCTCAGCGGAACGAAAAGTACTCATTGAACTAGCTCTCGTGGACGACTTGACCCCGCTCGAACGAGCCCGTAGACGCAAGAGTGCCATTCCGCCTCAACTCTAATTCCACCCAATTCAATCCATTCTACGCCCCGCGATGATTTTACAGTAACGATCGAACCTGCTACTATGTTAACGACTTTCTCTCGAATCCGCTCTTTGTTTACGCATTTGTTATTCCCAGCAATTGAACAGCCCTAATTTAAATGACATACAATACATACCCTTCTTGCATTCATTTCTTCGAGCCCGATTCTAGCTTGACATTTTTGAGCGTAGTGGTTGCGTTTATTTAAGTAGCATGCTGACATTTACCTTCTTTTCATTAAGTGCGATGTATATTGGTAGCTAGTCTCGGGAATAGGAATCCTTACGTGTTCTGAGACTGAGGGTGGATTCAATATTCTGAACGCTGCACTTTGGAAGGACCCTCCGGCCACAGGGTGACGGTCTCACTTGGCACTGCGGGCCATACGAGTTCATGAGACTTGCATGGATACGATGAGAAGGTCATCACCCGCATCCTCGAGAATTCCACGAGGATACCACTGTTTACCTTGGGCACTTTGAATCTCGTGGTATCGCGCTTCAGTTCTCCATCGAACCATCGATGGTGGCTGAATACATGAGAAACCCCTTCGGAAATTCTGGAAGATGTCTGTGTAAACGTATCAGGACGACATCGACACGTCGACGTCGCCCTCGGTCAATGTGGAGGCAATCTAACGCGGTCCCGAAGCATTGCGTTCGAGCCAAGGTCACTTGGACGGCATTGCGGGGCTGGAGATCGCGATAATCGCATGCCCGGGGTAGTACATATGCCACACCAAGTCATCGGAGACGGATGGTTTGGAGTTACGAAACCGCTTCAGAGAGAGATCAGCATGAAATGGTCTGGGAACGAGTGGATTCCATACAAACGAGGGGGCATAGAATTACACCTAATGTACATACATCCAGCCATTACAAAAACTCGGAAACGAAACTGACACTACAGAAACAAAACCTATATGCATAATGGGTATAACGGCTCCTCGAGGGGGCCTCAGCGGACAAACGGTGCAGTGTTGATGATCAGCGGGGCCAGTTTCCTTCTTTTCTCCGCGTTCGTTTCTTTGCGCTTCGGTGGTGGTACCATGAGGAAGGGTACCTACAGTCTCCCGTCAGAAAATGCACGGGAGTTACGCGAAATAACTAGGGAGACGTACGCCAATGTGTGACATGAACTTGTTCATATCTTGAACATGAGCTTCCAGCTGGACGTCTTCTTCCTCCACATCAGATTCTTCGGGAATGCTAGGTTGCTGACTGGCAGCTGTTGCCGCCTTGGACTTGTTCGATGACGCCCTCCTTTGCATTTTGGGTGCCCCTAGGTTCGCTTCTTCTGCGGTCGGAGACGGTGTGGTGCTTTCCAATCCATATTCCTTCAATAGAATTTTCGTCGCATCAGGACCGAGTGCGAATAGAGACTTCAGATCTTTGGGAAACAGAGCCGAAGGCGTCGGTGCTACGCTATGGTTGTTGTGTTGGTAACTCTGGCTTCGAGATATGGGCCCACACATTCCGGAGAACGCTGATGTGGAACGTCGGATAGGTGTAGGTGCCGGTGCACTAGAATGATGGGGATAAGCAGACAATGGGTAAGCGCTGTTCAGTCGGGAACACGGAACAGAAGTAGCAAGGTTGGGGTATGGAGATTGCTCCGGGGTAGGAAGAGGTCTCAATAATGGTCGAAGAGGAACCTCCAATGAGGCCGACTGTAGACTAGCGTTATATCTCCGGGCCTCCCTGTATTATACGTTAGCAAGAACCTTGATCAGAATGCGAGAGGTCTTACGAATTGTGGATGCTGGATTTAACCTCTTCAATCTGACGATGATGAGCTATCAACTTCTCCCGCAGTTCCCCAGGAATTTGCGCCATTAACTGCAAAGGGGGGTCAGGCGTTGATGACGTCCGTTCAGCTCGTGACATACCTCTCCATGAACCTTGTCTTGGACAAGTTTCGAGATGGTCTCTCTTACTGATTCGCGCATCCTTTCCTTGATCAATTCAGTGAGTGCAGCCTTGACCTTGACTGCTAGTGTTTGCTCAACAGTCTCAAGATCCGCCTTCTGACGAGCAATCTGCTTTTCGACCTCGACGCGAAGGAGGTCGATCTAAATTGAACAGGTGATCAGGTTCATCCAGACATACCCAGAGACAGGACATCCATACTTGCTCATGGACTTTGATGTCCACACCCAGCTCTTGCATGCGGCTGCTTTGCTCTTCGAGCTCACCGATCGTGGTGGATAAGTTCGCCAACGCTTGCTTGATGGAGGCCTGGAAATTGGCAAGGGCAAGGAGGTCTGGTGATACAATGGCTGTCGCATTCAGATTCAGCTCTTCGGCAGGGGACTTGGGCGAGTTAATGACATCAGAAACAGACGGTAGGGGGGCTCTCTGGGACGGCGGGGAGGCTGGCGGGGTCGTGTAAGCTGCATGGCTGAGATTCGGCTTCTCTTCTGAAGAGGGACCCTGGGTGGACGGGCTAGGAGTAGGCGGTATGAAGATCGATGGGATGGGCGGCCTATCCTTTCCCGTTGGTGACAAGGGCGACTTTAGATCAACTTTCGAGGTCCCCGCTGTGGTGCTGGTGGAGGGCTTCTTCTTCTTGGCCATGTCGGTTTGGATCCTGACCAAACTTAGCAGAAACTAAGCGGGATGTCGATTGCACAGTCGTGAAACAAGTGAACAAGCGAGAAAGGGTCTAATGGGGTCCTTGAGGTTGCTGGCTGGTTCTTGAATGTTGACGTTGTGAAGATCACGGTGACAGTGGGTGTCTGGCCACGAGGCCTCCGCGAGGCAAGTCATCTACGCGAAAATGACCTTCCAACGACATCACCACAAGTGCAATTGGACGGCTGGACGCAGAGCACTATGTCGTCCTCGTCATCTGTTGTATTACCCGTCCAGGTCGACATTGCATGATACAGTGAAGGCAAAGTTCTGGAGTCGGCCAGGTCGTGAAATAAGTGCTCATGACCGTATGAAGCTTCGAGATCCAGCACTTCGGATTAGGTCGGGCAATATGAGAAACCAGGTGGAAAGACACTGGCTAACGAGCAAACTGGAGCATTAAAAGATAGAAAAGATAGAAAAGCCTTGCGTCCTGGCATGTCGTCCATTTCAATCTCCGATTCAAGTCGAACCGGGTCGGTGACCAGCGCAAGGAAGCACTCTTTCCAGGAGACCTGAACTGTGTTTGGTGCTTTCTCGAATTTGCAGTTCAGAGCCAAGGCAAAAAGTGTCTCTTCTCCCATAGCTATTGTCTAGACGGTCCTCGTGACCGTTGAAATAGTGTCTACACTCTCAACAGCTTCTTTTCAAAAAGGAAAGCTGTTAAGCAACTTCGGCGGACGCCAATCCATAATGGTCGACTTCCTCAGTTCCAGCGCCAATTCCAACGCGATGGTCGCACTCTTATCTCGTTTCTCGTGGGCAACTGCAAGGCGTTTGGAGCACCCTGTTGCTTGTCTTCTGGATTTGGGCAGGACGTAGTCACGCTCAAGATGGCCCACCCTATCTGACCTTGTCCTCAGAATTTATGTTGACACTTACGGCAACGACCTGAGGTATGATACAAATCTGCAAATTTCCGGACTGAAGCGACTGCTGACAAGATTTCCCGCTTTTCGACTTACCCTCGAGGGGCCGCGCCACGATACGGAGGCCTACCCGTACGCTCTTAGCCCCTTCGTGCCTATAGTATCTGCTGGGCCAACACTATGATATACCTCGCATATCCAACGCGAAGAAAGACTCGATTGCGTATTCCTTTGCTTCTTGCTTCGACCCCGCGCTCCACACCAGCTATGTTTAGGTATTGGCTCTGGAACTCTCGGGCATACTCATCCGCTGTAGGACATCGCTCTACCTCCGAATCCCGCTGCTTCTCTGCCAGTGGCTTGATGTTCGGTTTGTTTTTGCAGAAACACGGGATCCAAAATAGTCAAATCTTCTGCTTCTCTTCTTTCACCAAATACCGTCACCAGGCGGGCTAGAAATGGACCCTGTCATCACATACGGTCGTTTGGAAGTCCTTCGTTGGGCTTTCGCCTCCCCCTTTACATCTTGACTATCGACATGGCCATTGGTCGAACCTGTCAAATCCGACTGCATTGACATATTTTTGTCGTCAACCTGTTTGAACCGGGACCTAGAGCAGAACTCGGCAAGCACAGTGCTGCCCTCACACGTCAGAGTGCAGCCTCTTGTTTTCTTTCTGGACGACGACTCACGAGGATCTGTGGCTTGTCCTCGCCTGATACGACTGCTCGTCATTTTCCGTCACTTTGCCTTCTGGAATCTGGGGTATACATTATCACCCCAGGGTGCGGTCTGGAGCTTGGTGTCTTGACTTGGATGGGATGGCGAACATTGTTTGAACGACATTCGGACTCACGAGCCGTGCTGCGGGTTCTGAGCCAGTGGAAGCTTGGGTCACGAGGGCAACAGGGGCTGCCTCAAGGCCAGGCCGCCTAGGATTACCGAAAGACCCGTCCATGTGGGCTAAGTCGATGGGTCCTCTTCTTGCGGCTCGGGTATATAGGGTGTCACAACGTCGCCGCATGTTCCAAGAGTTCTAAAGATGTCGAGTGCCGCTCAACAAACGCTCGAATGTGCCGTCATAGGGCTCCCTCTCTCTTCATTTTCATGAAGAAGGGAAGGGCGGAGTCGATGTTTGTCGGCATTCTCATGCACAAGTGGGACCGGTGAGCGTAGCACGTTCTCGACGATGTCCAATCGCTCTGACGCATGTCGAATGAACCCAGGCTTGCTTGCGCCCACACCCAGTCTTCTCAGTGTACATGTACGTGCCCACCAGTCATCCATACTACCGAGACCCACCCGTTGATTTACGTTGGACGTTGACGGGAGAAAATCCACCGCTTTTTACGAGATTCCTCGCCCTCTTCCACCCGTCCTCAACCCACGATTGGCTGCTCGACGCTACTTCGTCCCATACCGCGGTGCCAGTTTTACGTTTAGACATTTTCCAACCGTTCAAACGACCTTAAAACCGCGTGCCAGATAGTACTACTGACGGCTAAATACAATGGCCTTTTTATATCCACGAAAGCTACAGGTTACAGTGGCGAGCCTTGCCGCCCGGATAGCGACAAGTATACGCGTAAGAGTCAAGTTAATTCGACGCCTGAGTCGAAGCGGACAGAGGCTTTAAAGCGGTAAGGTTCGTTCGTAAACTTGGGCCGGGGTTCTGTCAGTGAATGCGAGAAAAATAAGGCGATTGACAGTCCCTCCTCTCTCATGTTTCCCGGCGAGCCCATAGTTCCGTTCGCTTAATGGCGTACAGTCTATGGCGTCAATAGTCACCGTGCCGACGAACTCAATGACCGCCGTAAAAAATATACTTCCTTGTCATCCTCCCACCCGCTACACACCAAGGTCCAAACAGGTGAAAAAAGCCAGTTCGAAACAAAGAAAATCTACAACACACAGGTTTATGCACCGGCTTCAGGGAACCACCTTAGCTGAGCAGGGTCCGAACAAGAGCCCGACCAGAAAGCTCAGGGAAAGACCAAAATGGTCAGGTGAGGGATCAGCGACAGAGCAGAACGCCCCTCACCGGGGGTCGGGAGTCGGATGTGCATCGCGCTTATCGTAAAAATTCCCATATACGTTATTGCGATTCCCCAAGCCTGAGCGAAAGCTCCCAAGTGGGCGTGATTTGGCTCGATAAGTGTGTGGAGGCGGCGGTGTGATTTCGTTTTGATGAATGCATTGCACCGGATGAGAAGATTCGCTTTGCAATTGGGTCCCCCCAAAGTCGAGAGATGACAAGTCCAGAAAGTCGGTGAAGCTTGCGTGCAAATCAAAAGACGCGTTCTCTGAGCGTTCAGGTACCGCCGGAGCAAGGTTGAAGCATTCTGAAACGCACATACCCAGACCAGGAACGCGATTTCAAGGCAAAGCAAGCACGGCGGTGATAGCTTCGTTGATGTGCTTTTGATTGATAGGTATGGTGAGGGACGAGCTGCAAGGTAGTTGGAGTCTGGCGTCTCCCGAAGTTCAATTTCGCCGTGAATCAGAGTGAATCATCGACCGTGCGCCTACGATAGATGATTGGATAAGGAAATGAAAATTCGTTTGAATTGGCTTCAATGCTGCGAGCAGCGGACTACCCGACAACAAGAATTAACAGGAGAATATTGTAACGATATATCGACTACACATTTACTTTGTACACTACCGACGAGTCAAGCAAACGGACAGGATACGAAAGGAGACCCCGAAAGAGTGTTTAAGGAAACGGAATGGCAGGAAAAGATTGACAGGGGCCCTTTAAAAGTGAATAGGGAGAAAATGTTACAACGAGAGGCCTAGGAATAACAGGTTAATAAAGGTAGTTATAAAAACAAGGCGAAGGTCGAATAGGGAATTACAGGTAAGTAGTACATAAGTGTTAAAATCCGGTCGCGAAACAGCGTACAACGGAGATACGAAAAAAAATCCGCAGAGAGAACGGAACGAAAGGAACGAGAAGCGAATAGCAAAAAGTGAAAAAGAGTAAAGGATTGTGATGTTTTGAGCGCTAGTGATGAAGGATGTGGAGTTGTGACCTGTGACCGAGGGGGAGGGATAACAATGCACGGCGTACTGCTGGGAACGAATGAGCGTGATGTGATGGCGAGTTGAAGGAAGGGAAGGAAGTCGGATGTGCGATAGGAGATGCATGGCGCAACCTGGGTGTAGAGTAATTGGTAGTTGATGCGATTAAAGAGAAGAGAGAGCGTAGCAGTAGTTGGCTGATGGATTAGGGGCGAGCGAGCGAAAGCGAATATTCCGGGATAATAGAATTCAAGACGATGGCGAAATGCTGAGAAAATAGGGGTCCGACGAGGCCGTTGAAGCGAGCTAGAAGTCGAGGATGTACCTTCCTTGATATCAAAGCGTGTCCAAGAAAGCAGCGAGATTTCCAAGCAAAAGATGGGGGCGAGTACATGGGAATCAAGAATAGGCAGGGAACGCCTCAGCGTTGTGAGCCACGCTGTTGTCAATCGACGATAAAGCCGACATGTTAAGCGAGTCGTTGTAGACTTGATACAAGGATGGGTTCACGGGCACAGTCGTACCATCCTGAGTGTAGACGTCCGAAATGGCAGGATACGTCGGGTTGAAAGGCCCTTGTGAATGTGACGAATCACCACCTTCTACATTGCCTTGATAGATTAGCGTCGACGATTCTGAGGATGGGGCAGCCAGATCGCCAGAACTGGGTTGAGAAGTCTGGTCTGTTCCAAACGCCAGATAAGCGGATTGATTATTGTCCTGCGGAGTCGTCATTGACGGCGACTGGAAATACACTTTACAGTCAGTTCATCAAGAATCTTTACTGGATTAGTAGTCGGGAAATTTTCAATCACCTTTTCCGGTTGGCCTTGGAGTGCAAAGGCCAGTTCGCTGGAACGTGAGATGGGCACCGTTGATGGAACAGCGATGGTCGCAGTTGCTGGATCCAGGTTGCTTGAGGGATTGTTCTGGCCCGAAATTGCAGTCGTCGGTGAGGGATAGGGTTTGTTACCGGCTAACTCGGGAACCACGATTCCTTGGGGCCTCGCAATACCAAAGTCTTCCTGAGGATAGCCTAGTGGGCTGTTCTCGGTTAAACTATAGTGGGCGCTCGAATCGAGTTCAGGAAATTCGATGAACTGGCCTGGGGAGCTGTGACAACCGTTTCAGTACATCCAAGTTCCAGAAGGTGGGATGGCGACGAGGGGCGGTCGTCTCTCGCCATCTCCACGGATAGAAATAACTCACCACGAGTTTCGACGACCATGGATATCTGTCGTCAGATTCTGATCGACTCTAGGACCTCCGATTTCTGGGTAGTACGAACTGGCGATGCTGGACTCGCTGGTCGCGATGGAGACAATCGAGCCAAATCTGGAGTAGGCATCGTAGGTGGGAGACATGCCGCCATCGTCTTCACGATCGTCTGTTCCAGGGAACGAGAACGACCGAAGCGAATCGGGGGAGTTGCGTTCGCTATCTGCAGAGCTCGGGGAAGTCATGGAGGGGGTGCTCGCTGCACCAAAGGAGAAGTTGGGTGACGGCAGGGGACCCGGAATAGGCGAACCCACTTGACGCGAAGATACGGCATAGAGATTGCCATCAGGGAGGGATGCGCGACTGTTGATGTAAGGAGTGGTTGCCGGAGCAGGCGAGAGTGCAGTTGTTCGAAGGACCAAGCCCAAGCGCCGAGAGTCCATGGAGGATCGACGGATGTTTACATGAGGCACGGAAGGACAGTGGTGGAGTGGAGGCCGGGCGGAAAACTGGCTAGACACGCGGTTTGTGCTGAAACGTCCAGGAGACGCCACCCCAAAACGTGGTCCAAACAAGGCACTGTTTTTGGTGCGGGCGATTGGGGCGTAGGGGTTTGAGGCCAGGCGCTGCAGACTGGCGTCAACTGATCGACGGCGTGAAAGGGGGTCGAACCACTCGACTGACGACGGACTATCCAACGGTGTAGAATCTGAGGAATGCGGGAATGGGTTCACAGGCAGAGAGCCCCTGCGGAGGCTGTACAAATCAGAATTGTTGAAGAGAGACGCTCGGGAATTGTGACTGAGGAATGTTGCGCTATCGGGTGGGCCGTCGACGGGCGAGTCCTGCCAGGCTGGAGGGTTCAACACATCCGTGATGAGGTGCAGCTGAGGGGGGGATACCGGTTTGCTGACTACCGAGGCCTTCTGGTGCTCCGCGACATCAACAGGAGGCGTCGACGCTGTGCTGGTTTCCTCCTGTTTGAGCGCCTCGGGGCTCTGTTGCGATGATGATGACGGCGACGAAGATGATGGAGAAGTGGGGGGTGCGTCTGTTGGTGAGGCGTCCTTGCCAGCAGCTGCAGCGGCCGCGGCCAACTTGGCTGTCTTCGTCTTTTCTTTGGCACGTCTAGAGAGAGATAAATTTGGGTTAGGCGTCTGGTGCGAGGGACAATATACGCGTAGCTCACCGATTCTGGAACCAGACCTTGAGAGGGTAAAAGTTTAGACAAAGGAAATGGTGTAGAGGATAGCCCGACTCACCTGCACCCCTCTCGCGGTCATATCCAGCTGCTGTGCGAGCTCGTTCCTCAGGGTGGCATTGGGTTTTGTGTCGCGTTTGAATACGGTTTCGAGGACCTTGAGCTGGGCGCTGGTTGTGCGCTTCCTGTGCTTGACTTCATTGGGTGTGTAGGGGTAGAAGGCGCGGAAGTCGACAGGGTCGTGGTGGGGAAGAAAATGTTGTGTGTCGTAGCGCATTGGGGTGTGGAGGGGATAGGGCTGGGATGGAGCAAGTTGCGGCGGCATGTTATAGGGAAACTTGGTCACGTTGAGGAGAGAACATGGAGAAAGAAAAAACGGGCGAAAAGAACGGCGAATCGATCCAGTCCCAGATCTCAAAACCGAACTGAATCCGAACCGTGTTGCCAGGAACACCCGCCTGCTTATTTGGGAACAGTCTAGCCTAAACAAGCCTCCCAGCTCACACACCCACTCCCCCGTCCAATTCCCGATAATCTCTCATTATATTCTACATCCAACATAGCATGTCATGTAAATCAACAATTCCTATAGTACTGTGTAATTAAGCATAGTGTCCCAGTTGCAAAGCGAAAAAAGCAAGAATAACAAATCGACAATCATTATCTACATCCCCTCGGCACCGCCCCGGGAGATTCTGCTACAAACTTTCATCCATCGCACTTGAATCGCGCCCCAGTATCTCCTCCAGAAACCCTCGAGGGACACTTGCCAGCGGTGATGCCGCAAAAACAGTACTTCCGTTGGCTTTGGCCTCTGCATATGTCATCTCCATCTTCTCTCTCGCACGCGCAACCACACAGTGGTTGTATACCTCTTGGACATCGATCCGCTCCGCGGGATCGGTGCGCATCATATCCTGGATCAGGGTCAGCAACTCGTTGCTCCCCTCCCAGTCAACCTCTGAGAAATCTTCTCGTCGAAGTCGATGCCACGATTCTCCTCTGGAAAAAGACAGACGCAATCCTTCAGTATCACAGCAACGGAACGGACGGTCCGCGGGAAACACTCACTGATCAGGGACCACGATGTTGGTTGCAGTTTCCAAGATTGTCATGCCGAAACTGGAAGGTTGACATGAGAAGGTTGTAAAAACAGAACACCGATGGAACCGTGCGAGGCTTACCTGAACACATCAGCAGCTTTGCTATACCGCCCTTGTAGCACTTCTGGCGCCAAGTACAGTTTGTCGCCTTCTCGCTCGAAGCTGCTCGTCGTTTCAGAACCATCAGCTTCGACGATCGCCATTCGCGGCCAGAGCGATGCCATCCCAAAATCACCAATCTTGAATCGTCCCTCATGCGTCACGAAGACGTTCGAAGGCTTCAAGTCCAGGTGGATGACGCCTGATTCATGGATGAAGCGGAGACCCTGGTGAATAAACAATGTTGAGCACCGACGTTGCTGTTGAAAGCGAGCGAGATTAATTACTTACGTTACTCAGATCTACCACACACTTCCAAACTCTGGCTTCGTCCAATCGCGGGAACACCTTGCCGTATTCCCATAAGAAGTGCGCCAGGTTGCCCGACTCACACAACTCCGTTTGGATGAAAAGCGCTTCGTCCTCTTCCCAACTGTCGATGTACGCCAAAACGTTGGGGTGTCGGCCGTCTAATCCACAGAGTTCGGCGGATTCAGAGAGGTGTTTGAGGACCTCAACTTCTTCCCATAGCCGCAGTCTGTCACAAATCCCAAGTCAGCGCTCCATTTCCATAACAACCGAAGAAGTTGAGAAGATTTTTGTCGTCATTCCTCATTCGCATAGTGCGGAGGCGGCCTCAGAAGTCCCGAAAAAGCAACTCACCTATGTTTAGCACCCTCGAATCGCTTCGATCTCTTGATTGCGTACACCTTGTTTTCATCCCCGCCTTTACTTCGAACTTTGATGACACTGCCGAATTCCCCACTGCCGACTTCATCGACAGTAACAAAATCGCGCTCAAAACGTCCAGATTGCTCAGTCAAGGATGGCTCTGACAAACGTCGATTCACCAGGCTAACCCTCGGTGGTTTGACATCCGTTCCGCGAGTTGAACCACCCTTGCGGTTCGTAGGCGAGCTCGCAACGCCTGAACTCGTCGATGAACCGGAAGCGGACCGTTCTGTCAACTTGGAAAATGTTCCGGACGGCGACAGGTTCGCCGCGAGTTTGGGAAGTTGCCAGTCTGATAGGGGAGGGCAATCATTAGTGTACTGAGCGAGAATTACAGTTAAACAGACTTACCTATTCCTTTCGTTCGAGTCGGGGTGTTGGCCTGAGAGGTGGTTTCGCTACCACTGGAGAAGGCACCGCTGCTGCTACGGCGCATGAGCCATCGGGTTCGAGGATTGGCGAAAGGGCCGCTTCCCCCAAACAACCCAACAGGATGGCCCAATCCCAACTTGGTATATCGGCTATCCTTTTTGGCGCTCGGACTGTCTTCTTCGTCTTCAGTGTCGGTGCATTGGTCCAAAAGGCTCTTGCCACCCATGGGCATCACTGCTGGCATGCTCTGGCGGGGTATCTTCCTGGTCCTGAGAGGTGCAACATCTTCCTTGATCCCAATCTTAGAGGCAACTGCGCTTTGCCATGGCCTGTCGGGACCCAAGAATGCGGTGCGAACTTTCTTCACGGGAGTGCCGGGAGGCCTTTTGCTTCCCGGTGCAGGTCCCTTGGTCGCAGCTGCTAGTGTCCGTACGATGAACTCGTCGACTTCGGCTTCGTCATCTGTGAACCTGGGCCGATGATCGTCCGAGTCTTTATCGTGAACCTGCGGTCCCGGCCAGTTAGTCGGTGCAGTGGTCAAAGGCGTAATGAGACCATCGTCAGATCCGAGAGAGCTTGAACTGGTGGAGGCTCCTGGCATGACAGCGAGTGAGCCACCGTAGGGCCGGCTGACTGACATTTCGTAGTCGCCCAAGGACCGTCGTTTGATTGACTCGAACTTCCGAGGGAGAGGTTTCTTGGAGCTCGGGGACGGAGTGCTGCCAGTGAGACTGAAAGTGAAGGAGCTTTGAGCAGGTCCTTCGAACGACATTTCCTCGTCCTCGTCGGTACTGATGTAGCTGTTGTCACGTTGAGCCGCTGGGGGCACACCGTACATAGGGGATGGGGAGCTGGGGTGGGCAATATGGGCCCAGTCGCCACTGGTTCCTGTACCGCCATAGCTATGGCGGTTGGGGGCTTTAGAGCGAGCAGACTTGATGTCAGGGTTGGGAATGCCAGTGGAAGTAGTGGTCCGTGTCCTGGCCGGGGATTGCAGTGGAGCTGACTGCGGAATAACGGGGCCAAAGAAGAGAGTAGCCGCACTTAAATTGTCCTGACGACTGATAGGCGGGCGGGGAGCGAATACGGGTGGTTTAATATAAGGTCGAGAGGCGACGTTGCTAATTCTGCGACGAGGGGCTGGAGAGCCGGCTTCGGACGAAGAGGAACCACTGGGTGAAGCGCGGCTGCGATAGGCATTCGAAGAGGGAAAGGCAATCGTTCCACTGTGCCTTGGACGCGTCTTGCTCAGGAAAGGCTTCTTTAAAGACGCGTAAGGGCGGGCCAAGCGACGTTGTAGCACGTTACATACCTTGACCGGCGAAGGGGACTCGAAAGGCTGTTGGTTGCGAAGCTCGGCGGACAGGGGTCTTGTCCGAGCCCTTCGCTTCACAACACGCCCGCCAGGGGAGACAGCCTCGACAACTTCTTCCTTTTCCTTCCCTTTCGACGCAGTCCTAAACAGGTTGGCCCCAGCTTCTTCGTCAAAGTCGCAATCGGAATCGTTACTGGTATCCATACGATTGTCCCTATCGCTGAGCTTGAGTTTTGTGAGGGTCGCTGTCTGCTTGCGGAGGAATTCCTCGGCCTCGGCCTTGCTGTGCGGGGTCTTGGTGGCGAACTTGGGAGCAGGGAGAGGGCCGAGTTTCTGGAAGCTGCCCGAGGCCTCTATCTTCAACGGAGTGCATTGAGGAGTGACTTTGCGCTTGGTGCCGATCCCTGCGCGCGAAGTCAGCATCGGACCATTGGATGAGGTGGCGATGGGCTGCGGTTCGTTGAGGTTCCTGTCGGCGAGTGCTACGCGTCCAGCGGTGTTGTAGGGTGACTTGAGGGGTGTAAAGATAGGCTGTGAGGTTGGAGAAGATAATCGAGGAGAGTTGGAGTTGGAAGAGAGGAAGATGCGACCCTCCTCGTCATCCGCTTGGATAGGTAGTGGTTTTGTCGAATAGGCTGGATTCTGGAAGATATGCGCCTGCGCTGGAGACCTGTAGGGGGAGTTTCTGAAGAGGTCGTCGATGTCCTGGGCATCATTGTTGAATTTTGGGGAGAATATTGTCGGTTGTCGCAGGGGCGAGGGAGTGAGCATTGGCGAATCAAATGGGCGAACGGTGTCTGCGCATCGTCTGGGCGGTGTACAATGATAAGTTGGAGACATAGTGGAGTCGTAGGGAGAAGAATGGTGGGAGAAATGTTTTGTCGGGGTCGATAAAAGCATTGGATAGCAAGGCGGTGTGGGTGATGTGGTGGTGGGTGGTGTCAACACGCGTCAGGACCAGTTGTCAGGCTCCGGCCTGGGATTTGGTGTTGGGTTCTTGTTAAATAGTGGTGATAAACGTCGAAATTGTCGTGCGCGTCGTGTCGAACAGCGAGCAAAAGGAAAAGGAACGTGCTTTCGGCGTGTTGTGGGTGAATAAATAACTAGCCGCTGCTCCCACACGCTAGCCCCTCCTTGCATTCAACAATATGTACCTCCCCCCACGTGATCGTGCCGCCACTGTTTGGTCCGCTTGGCTTTGTTGCCTCTTTCGGGCCAACAATCCCCGAATAATCTGCTTCCGTCTCTGTCGCCTTTCCAGGGGCTGTTCAATTCAACATCCAGTTCGTCATCGCACTCATTCTGCTCTTCTTAATACACTTTAAGTCTATTGTTCAGTCTCTGAGTCTTTCTCTCAGCTTTGTGGGCCCTTCGTCGTCTGACTTTTCTTTTTTTTTCTCGGTACGGCGTCGTACGATATGCTGAGTCAATTAGGCACTAGTCATCCCGAGTCGCGCTCCAGGCGTCATCCAGAACGGTCACGCAAACTTTGGGGAAAACATGCCGAAACGCGCGTCTCTGGAGTCTGCAATGGTTATAGCACGAAACCAGAATACACATCATGATACTGCCGCTTCTACTAGCGCTTTCTCGAATGCTGTACTGGAATGTTCAAGTTCCAACACCTTGACCCTTGCTCCGTGCTTCTCATTACAACTCGACTGTCTCGGAACTTGCACCCCAATTCACGTATTCCCAACTCTTACGGAATTGCAGCAAATCAATGCGACCTGCGCAACCTGTCCCGTCCTCTGAATGCAAGACATTCGTATTTCGACGCGTCGATTACGATTATTTCCAGCTTGCCCTTTAGCGTCATCTCGTATCCATTCATGGCGCTTCATCAATGGCTACGCTACGGACGACGGTTGCCCTGTGCACCCTCCGTCACCCGAATCCCGAAGGCACTGTGTGCATCTGATCATCGCCCTCGAGCCGGAGACATGGCATGATCAACTGCTAAACCTGACACAAGCACGATATCCGCGGTGCAAATCCGCTATGTAATGATCAAGTGCTGGGTGACCGACTGTTCGTATCCAAAAGAATGCCCACCTTCTATGAGACTGTGGCCGATATGAACGCTACTCGTCAGCAACGATGGACCCGTGTATTTTTGCATGGTCATCTTGTGTTGTGAAACTCGTCGCTTTTTCATTCCAGCACCGAGTGGGCAAATCGATTATCCCGTCCAGTGTATTGGGTCCTGTGCGAATGGGCAGCGCCGCGCATGTATATTCTTTCTCATTCCACAGCACCCCATTCGATGTTGCGAAGTGAGCGCATTCTTAATGCCGTACACCTTCGAGTAGGTCATTGATCTTTTGAATCATGTCGTCCCTGTTACACATGATACTGAGGACTGTTCGCTTCACCACGATCATTTTCTTCTCGGTGACTATCCTCCGCCTCGAGGTAAGTCTGTGTATGAATGTCGCATCTCACTCAGGCGGTTCCGTCGGCCATGAGCTTCCATTTCGCAACTGGCCTTCAATTCCCGAAACTGCGAAACCTGGGATCTGTCAGCGGATGGGCCTTTGGGCGCCTAAACGCTTGATTATGGGGTTAGATGATGTACCCTCTCCGCAATTGTATACCCATGGATCATAGTAGGACGCGAGTACTGGTACGTCCTTATTTATGAGCCCCCCTGCGACGCGGCACCGGAAGACCGGATTCGATCAGTAGCATACATTCCCTTCCACTGCGTAGACTCCTATCAAAAGGCAGACCTCTGTAAATCTGTACCACAGACACACTGGAGTCTAATACCGCCATTCTCCATACCTGAAGGTTTCGAAATAGTGATGGGACACCGTTGGAGAACCCAGCTTTCCAAGGCTATCCATTGTCATCGCAGTGCCCAAAACACCGCACATCCAAAAACAAACCCACCACTTTCTGATGCCGCTGAAAGGTGTTGGTAGATCTACTACATATCCATTTCCTCGACTGAGCCACTTGACTGGTTTCATGCCAGGTCTCAAGAAAGGGGTCGACAACACCACAATGGGCGCTAGAGCGGGGCACAGTCCAAGATCCAACTATAGGCCGGGCCAGAACTGCTCCGTACCACCCTCATTCCAATTTAACTCGCGTCCGTGAACTCCAAAGCCTTCCAATACAAATGTCTCCAACAGTTGAATACCGTTACTACATACCCCAGACTCGGTTGCAGCGTGACTACGAATCACCCGAAAATAACATATACACCGTACTTGGATAAAACTAAGCCCGAGGTTGTGTTGTACATCCAACGCGTACACGGGATACTCTGTGATAGCCAGTTACTGGCACTGAACCTGGCGCGGCGAGTTACAGGGCCAATAAGGAAATGGAAACCGAGCTGGTTTGGGCGCTTATGCAAAGCTCGGAAAATACCACAGGAAGCTATATCGAAGTGATAAGATAATACGAGTGGTGGTCATTCCGAGTCGACGCAGATTGATTCGGGTGATGCAGGAGGGGTGTTAGGGATCGTTTCTCTGAAGGATGGATTGGAACTAGTAAGACACAAAGACCGACGGCAGCGCGACAACCGTCCCTCAAAGCGATGAAGATAGATACCACCGCGTAGTGATTTAAATTTAGGAATTCCTCGTTGCCCATTTCTCTAGGTCTCCCCTGAGTACTAGCCTTGACCGCGATCAAGACGAGACTGCGACAGCGCACTCACCGTGAGGCTTGCTAGTGGTTGATCATGGCGCCAGAGAGCGGGTACCTGCGGGAGATGATGGGATCAGACCGGCAATGGAATTATCTTATCCGGCATGGCGGAAGCTTTCAGTTGCTCCCTTCAACGACCTCAAGACGACCTCGACCCAGGTAAATCTCGCCCTTTTCCAACTGCCACGTCCAGCAAACCAAAATGGCGTCTCTTGAAATATCGTATGTGAAGGATCCTCATTGTTTAAGTGAAGTTTTATTATGGAAAAAACCTTTTTGTAGCTCTGTGTTGCAAGGCGGATACCAACACCCCGTGGCTCGCTCGTGGCAAGGTCGACGAGGTCTCGCAAAGTCCATGTTCATGTACCCAATCTTCATTACCGACGACCCGAATGCTTCTACTGTGATCCCTTCACTTCCCAACCAGCGCCGCTGGGGACTCAACAAGCTTGAAGAGTTTCTCCGGCCTCTCGTGAGGAAAGGTCTTCAGAGTGTGATTCTCTTCGGTGTACCTCTCAACTGCACCAAGGTAGACTCCTCGTACTTGTGTGCTTGCAGGAAGGCTAAATAGCACTCTATAGGACGGCCGAGGCACACCAGCAGATGACGAACAAGGCCCTGTAATCCAAGCCATCAAGCTAATCCGCCGTTGCTTCCCCAACCTCTACATCGCCTGCGATGTCTGCCTCTGCGAATACACCGACCACGGACACTGTGGTCTCCTCAATGAGGATGGATCCATCAACACCGAACCCTCTGTCGACAGAATCAGCGACGTTGCGGCCGCTTATGCCCGAGCTGGTGCTCACTGCGTCGCGCCTAGTGATATGATGGATGGTCGAATCATGGCTATCAAGAGGAAACTCATTGACGGTGGATTTGGGAACAAAGTGACGCTCATGAGCTATTCTGCCAAGTTTGCTAGTTCGCTGTATGGTCCTTTCCGGTGAGTCCATCCTCTTCTTCCACCCGGGAGGGACCGCTGAATGATCTGTATAGAGATGCTGCAGGAAGCGCGCCTTCTTTCGGAGACCGTAAATGCTACCAGTTGCCTCCCGCAGCCAAAGGACTTGCTCGTCGAGCTATCGTGCGTACCAGTTTACTTTCTTCTTCCACTAGACTCACCATTTACCCAGCTTCGAGATGCTAACGAAGGAGCCGACATCATTATGGTCAAGCCCTCTCTTCCCTACCTGGACATCATCGCTGACGCTGCAGAGCTGACCCCCGATCATCCTATTGCTTGCTACCAAGTCAGCGGTGAATTCGCCATGATCCACGCAGGTGCCGCAGCTGGTGTATACGATTTGAAGACCATGGCTTATGAGAGCGCCGAGAGCATGGTCAGGGCAGGCGCGACTCTTATCTTGAGTTATTTTACCCCAGAGTTCCTCGACTGGCTGGAGGTTTAGGATTAGGGGTGTCCGATGGCTAGCGCTAATTGGAGCATGGCAAATACAAACAAGTGTACATCATAGTGGATCAAAACGCGCCTTGTAAAACTGTAACCACAACCACATACATACCACCTGGACATGGGTTTCCAACGCTCAATATTCTATCTCTTATCCACCATAGTGTTGGTTGGAACAGTCTACTCGGTGCTATACGACACATACCTTGATACCTCGGACCCCTTCCTCACCCATCTGCCTCACCCTCTCAGCCATTCCCATTACTTTGCCTCCAAGAAGAACTGGCTCAACGTTTATTTCATCAAGAAAGCATGGGGCTGGACGTCCGCAGTCTTCCTCTTGAACTGGCTGACAACGCCCACATTACCAGCGTCACCAGCGTCATCGCCTAACGCGACCCGAACAACAACACGGACATCCAACCGCCTCCTCCTCACGTTCCTTACACTCACTGCAGTTTGGATCCTGTTCACGAACTGGTTCTTTGGTCCTGCACTCCTCGAACGCGTTGTGCTGGCCTCTGGAGGCCAATGCATGCTTCCAGGTCCAGGAAACACCCCCCTCGTCCTCCCCACTGAATACTGCTTTACCAAATCCACAATTTCAGCTGAATCACACCCAGACCTCTTCCAATCCCTATTCACCACCCCCAATGTCAACAAAGACGGTAGCCCTGGCCTCAACTCAGAAGCAGTAGGAGTCGCCACCTTCACCTGCCCTCCCACCGAACCCGACTGCATCCAAAATATTCGCGGTATACCCCGATTGCGTAAAGGACACGACGTCTCGGGACATTTGTTCTTGTTGACGATGAGCGTTCTCCTGTTGAGCAAGCAGCTCCAAGTTTCTCTCGGCGTCTCGAGGTCGCAGGGAGCGTGGTCGACGTTGCATACTTTTGCCGTGGCTTTAAACGGAGTGTTGCTGGGACTTTGGTTGTTGGCTAGTGCGACGACGAGTGTCTATTTCCACTCTCCCTGGGAGAAATTGACTGGCTTCCGTGAGTGAATTCTCCCTTTTGTTAACTCATTTCTGCAACATTTCTGACACACCCTTTCCAGTGCTGGGTGCTGTGGGATATGCCGTCTCCCAAGCGGTGACGTCAGTCATCCTCCCAGAACCAGCTGGCGCTTACACCAGGACCAAAGTTCAATAATTCTCGACACCCTTTCACGACTTTCATTGGACGAAATCTCAACATGATCTCGGGTTTCAATGTATCTTACACGAATAAATTAGAGGTACAGTAATAGATAATGTCCATCCCCCAAGCCCAAAGTCGAATGTAGAGAGCGAACTTGGAGCTTCTACTACTAGGAAAGGCACCATGCAATGAAACACCAAGTTAACACGCCGGGCCAGGAAACGCTCAAGTAGTCTACAACCGTAACGGCCAGCAGACTCTGCCGTTTTCTGTGTAATCCTGGGCCTTCAAACAGCGAGACCAAATTCCGCAGACCTGCAATATCAGGAGGTCGCAAACTGATTCTCCTCCTCCTTCCAGCCAGCTCAAAACTCCAACTCCATCCACGCTCGCTTGTCGACCCGCGTTTTACACCCTTGATGTATGGCGCTGAAATGAACTCCGAGAACTTGCGCTTGTGTTTCGAGTGCGAAGAAGGGGCTGGAAGGAACGGTGCTTGTTGATCATCTGAGGTTTCATTGTTGACCATGTCATAGTCTTCCTCCTCTTTCAGAGCCATGGACGACGTGGATGCTGACCTCCCCATTCCACCCACGTCCGACCATTCTTCGTCATGGTCGTCGTGGTACCGCCTTTGAGCAGATTCGCGTCTCAAAATCGAGTTGCTATACTGAGAAGGTTGCATTGGATCTTCATCTTCCTCGTCCACACTGACTCCTCGGAACGGTGATTCCGGAACAACCAAAGATCCCCCTAACGTCGGTGTACCAGGTCTGGAAGATGCTCGAAAAGTAGGCGGCCCGGTGGAATTGAACCCACTCGCACTATGTGGAGTGCGCAGGACGCCCGGGAGACCAACGTTGTTGCCTGGCCGGGGACTGAGCGGCGTATTGGGAGAATACGGCGACCAAGTGGGCGTTGTTGCCCAAACCAACGTATTCGACGGCGCTCGAAGGTGAACCGGGCTGCTTCTGCCACTTGACGAAGTCGAACCTGAATCGCCTGCACCGATACGAATCGGAGGTAAAGAATTGTACCTATACCTCCCCCGCCCCTTCCTCCTTGCCGTGTAATTAAGGAGGAATAATGCAAGGACAGTGAGGATGAAAAGCGGAGTGTAGAATGATGTGTAGATTTTGCTCTGGTTGGGAAGGAAACAAGGGGTATCGGCGATAGTGTTTGGATTAGGGTTCGCCAGCGGAGTGGAAGAGTCGGAGGGGTCCATTATCGAAAGAAGCTGGAACCCGGGTCGTTGAATGTGAACAGACATGGAGAAGGACTTCAGCGTGACTTCGCGGATTGAGTGCGCGTCGTCAGGGTTCGTATGACTGTATTCGCAATAATCTCGGTTGTCGCCACTGTTAATTAAGTCGAAAGCGTGGTCAGTACGCGGTTTTGGAAATGTCACATTTTAATAGGCAGCGACCCGAGGGAATGTATTGAAGGAACGAGGGGAAGCAGTAGAATGGGGAAAACGAGGGAGGCGATATCGAATCAATGGAGAAGAGTAGGAATAACGAAAGAAGCATTTTGACTTGCCTGAAAACAGCAACCGGTTGTAACGTTTTGAGCAAAAAGGTCGTCGTTTGACGTCCAAGCATGCTTTGATATCCATGCCCTACGTCACGGCGAATAGTGCCCTTTTCACGAAGTGGACCGCAGTTCGCCATCTCGGGTCTCGCTAGAGGAATATGACTGAGCAGGATCACAGGCTTCTGTGATTTACCCTCTTTTTCACCTAGAAACGCCCGATTAGAATCAGTAATCCGACAATGAGGAATCTGCTGCGAAAGCTCAGCGGGATAAATCATACCATCTTCGGCGTCAATCTTAGATGCGATATCGTTCACGAAAGCGATAGGACCGTCTGGGATGGGCGTCCATTTAGCAAATGAAACCCCTCGACCTGCTCGTTGGTAGTCTTCATCGACCAAGCCCGGAGCATTGAGTATGACGAGCGTGTGGTTATTCACATCAAAGGCTTGACTGAGAGGGCCAAACGACTCGGTAAAGTACCCTCGAACGCGCTTCGCCACTGGCGTGATTTCTCCCATCCTATCCAAGTGGAGAGTCAGTTCCAATGACGCACTTCAAGGTGAACTAGAGCGCACGTAATATCGTTGTTACCTGGTACATAATATGTCGCTACGCCGGCATCTGTCTTGAATATCTTTTTAAATTTTTTAACCGCCTTGGAATAACTAGCAACAAAATGCACCAGAAGACATGTCAGGAAGGTTTAACGTCTTCTTCATTAAGCCTCAATTAAACACGACGAACACACCTTTCTGCGTTCTTTGCTTGCTTTCCATTTGACAGCATGTCGCCGAGGAAAATGACTACATCGGGTTTCAAGCGGGTAGTGACATGCCAACTCTTCTTCAGATTTAGATCATAGAAGAACCGGCGAATAACAGAGGACCAGGCTTCGCCTCGACTTTGCAAAAGTGGGTGCTTGACTTGGGTATCGGATAATAAAAGAACGTGTGTTGGTCTTTTTCTGTTATCACCCTATAAGAGCGAAATTGTGAGGCAATTATAAGACTTAGGAACGACGAAGCAGGTGGGTGTGGGTGTGGGCGTGAAAGCGTTGAAGCACATACCTTCGCGCCTTTGGGCGTGGGCCATCGACATCCTCTGAGAGTCCAATAAAAGGCACCAATTTCACCCCATATCACGACTATTATCCCCAGAATCCTGAAGACGTTCTTCCTGACGGCTGGGGAATAGAGGTGACTCTGGCCAGCAGAACGGTTCGTGAGGACTGCATTGCTCTTCGCCATTGATGTTCACATATGCTGGACGTTGTAGGTTACTGTCGCTGCGATTTGTTCAGCCTATATGTTATGAATGTCCTTACCTGGAACGCCGTGGTGGTTGTCAGTGAGATGCTTGTCAGCGTCTTCAGCGTCGTCCCCCTATTTACTTGTATTTACCCCGGGGTCCTCATCAATCAGAGACCTGTCTCGGCGCGGGCGCGTCGATCCATCACCGTTCCTCAGAGCAAGCTCTAAACGTTGAGAGCACTTCAGGCAATAAGCGACTCTAGTACAGTGGATGGGTAACGAATGTCGTTATTATGAAAAGAGTAGAGTGGGTAAGAATATCTATACAATCAAATGCTGCACATCTATGTATGTGATAGCCCGTTGATACAATAAACGAAAACTATGCAGTCTGCCAGTCCATGAGTGGTGCCAATAATACAATGCAAGGTATCAATTAGTAAGTGTACGTTGCTCAAGTCGAGCCCTTCTTGCTATCATCCTCATCCGTCGCATCCTTCTCCTTCCACCGTTCGTAGGTGCGGGTGAGAGTCCGCCGCGCAAGAACGAAAGGCTCATCCGTGCGGGCCTTCTCCCAAACGCGAAGTGCAAATTGCTTGTGTTCCCCAGATAACAAACTCTCCTTGAAGATGGAGAGCACCTGGCGAGACGGTGCCAGCAGCTTGTCAATGCGTTCCCACAGTGATGGCCATTCAGGCGGTATGTGCAACAACATCGACTTAGCACTGTGGTGATAAGAATTAATATCTTGGCAGACGACAACATGGAACATGGGGGACGTACCGGTCCTCTGGGGAAACATGCGGTGGAAAGATTGAACCCGAAAACTTGCCGCCATACCGCTGTGCCAACTCCTCCTTGTCAACGCCACCTTGCTTCAACCGGTCTTGGAAGTCTTGCCACACCTCCTTTCTCTGCTCTTGCTGTTGTCTGTACGCATTCTGCTTCTCCAAATCGAAAGACATCAACTGCATCCTCTCCAACGCCGCTCTCCGACTCGACGACGTCCATAGGTACCAACCCTCTTCCCAGTTTCGTGTATTGGGGCTTGACTTGGATGAAGAGGGCTGATCGTCAGGATCCTCAGGGGCCTTCCCACCAAGTAGTCGAGGAAGATTGACGGGCTGGCCTTCCGCAGGGAGGGGATAGTGTGCCTTGCCTTCTGCATCCACGTTGGAGTGTCGTTTAAAGGAGACGATGTTCCGAACTTCATGGGGAAAGACTTTGCGAATGCATATTGACCTGCAATTGGATTCGCGTCCATGTATCCGCCCGCTAACCGTCTGTGTGCAGTAAGTGAGGCACCATTCGTCGACTTTGGGCGAGAAACGCCCTATAAACGAGATCAGGCTTGATTGGAGGGGATAAACATGGCCGACTTACCCTGCGGGGGAGTCAGAATCTTTATCGTGGGCCAGTCAGCGAACGGTGGCTTCCTGACTCGCTGCTGCTGCTGTTGTTGCTGCGAAGATTCAGACTGCTTCGAGCCCGAGGACGGTTGTGGTTGAGACTGGGACGACATAACTGGGAGTTGATGGGGTTGTGGTTGGAGAACAAGAAAGAAAAATACGGCAACGCACTAAAGTCGTGCTCACCGATCTTTCACAGCCTCCGGAGTCAACTTGGCTTCTTCTGGGGTCAAGCCGTCCCGACATACACGTAAGCGATCACCGATCAAAGTCACGCGACACCGCGAATCGGATCTCCAATCGGAGACTGAATTGAAACAGGGTCATTTTCTTCGCGCATTGATTTTCTTTTTTCCTTCAAACTCTGCCGCTGGAAGAATCGCTGTCGCAGCTCACGTACTGAGAGCCTCGAGCTCTCTCATTCTGCTGTGGGGAAAGTCCCCGGAGGTGCAGAGAATATCCTCGTTCTGCAATGGAAAGCTGCCGATTCCAAGCGCATCGGTCCAGGGACGTTGGGATGGCGAAGGTCGATTTGGATGCGTTCTAAGTTCGCGTTAGCGGTCTCGTTTGCATCCTCCGCTTCGTCCACTCTGCTGCTCAGCTGAAGCCTTGTCGCGTCGGTGAAGGCGGGAATGCGCAAAGATATGAGCGCGTTTCTTGCTCGGCATGACGGGGTAACGGCTGGGCATCTTGTTGCTCATAGTCATAGTTATGCGATTGTAGACTTGCGCAAGCGGTCGTTAACTCAATGGGGCTCACTCTCCAACGGCAGAGCCAATTTTTTTCCTCCTTGGAGCCTCGTCGCTCTTGTCTGCTATGGGTGGTTCATGGAAGGGTAACGGGTGAGTCCTTCTCTCCTTCTCTGTTTATGATGTTCGATTCTTTGAATTGAATTTCTTCATGGAGAACACCTGGCCAACTTGATTGGCCAGGGTAAGCCCCAGAAATGACACCTCTGAACTTTGCCCCTCATATTTCGTTTCACACTTTGCTGACAATCACTCCCAGCCTAGGTCCTCGGCATTATCCTCCCGCTCCGTGTGTACTATTTACAGGTATTGGAATGGTATAATATCACTTGTACATTGCTCGTTAAATCTGCTCGGACTCCCGAAACCCCAACATCGACATCTAATACCATCCTTACAACTTGGCCCTGATGATGTCGTCCGCTGGATCGCGTCCTGCCAGTTCTTGCTTGGCCTTTTCGCGAAGTTCTCTTCGCAGAATCTTCCCCGACGCACTGCAAATCACAGTCAACAGGCAAATATTTTAAGGACCTTAAACCCTGCGGACCTCTTGGGAATAGCATCAATGACCACCACACCTCCCCGCAGGAACTTATGCCTTGCAACCTTCGTCTGGATCCATTTCTGCACGCTAGCTGCAAAGGCCAACTTGTCACTATCTGACTTGAGGGCAGTCGGGTTCGCATGGACGACGTAGGCTCGAGGAAGCTCCGTTGCTTCCTTTGCACTATCCACGCCAATGACGGCGGTGTCTGCGATTTCGGGGTGGGTCAAAAGGACGCTTTCGAGTTCTGCAGGCGGGACTTGGAATCCCTGTTGGACGTTGGGTCAACATTTGAAGGATGTGAGGCGCGGTCTTTGCGAACCTTATACTTGATCAGCTCTTTCCGCCGGTCTACGATGGTATAATAACCCTCGCTATCTCGGATGGCGATATCACCAGTCTTGAACCAACGGTCATGTGTAATCGATTCTTTGGTGGCCTTAGGGTTGTTCAGATAGCCCTGTCGTACAATGGTCAGTAGACAGGTAATTATGCGCTTCGGTGTAACACCTACCTTCATGACGGAGGGTCCTCGAATCCAAAGTTCACCTGGTTGGCCCTCTTCAGCATCAATGTTTCCGTCTCCCTCTCCGTCCACGACAAGTCTAGCCTCGAGGTTGGGCAAGAGAATACCGATACTTCCGACCTTGCGAACTGCATCCGGCTTTTCCAAAAGGTGAGTCGTCGGGGAAGTTTCTGTGAGACCATAGCCTGTATCCAGTTGCCTAATTAACCGGAGCTATTGCTGAGGTGGGCAGTAATGGGCTCACCTTGAAGAATGTAAACTGGTTGACCGTTCTTCTTCCTGGCCTCCAGACGCTCCTTGACCTGCTGCGTCAATGCGGCACCCAAAGGCGCGGCACCTGAGAATAACACCTCGAGAGTAGACACGTCATATTCGTCGACAGCTATGGTTGTATGTATGCGTTAGCAGCCGAAGAAGGTCACGACGCGCATTCCATACCAGGATGCCTGCTCAACACGACCAAGACGGGAGGGACGATGAGCGCCATTGTGATCTTGTACTTTTCAATGTTCGCGCAGAACTGCACGGGGTCGAACCGAGACATGATGACGAGCGGTGCGCCGCAAAGGAAGGGGTGGTGGAGGAGTTTGATTGCGCCTTTATGACAGCGTTAGCGTTCAACAAAAAATAAATGCTTGGGTGTGGTCTTGACCCACCATAGATGTGATAGAAGGGAAGCACTCCGAGCACCTTGTCGGTATTGGAGTCGAGAGGGGGGAAAGCTGGCCTGACTTGGTCCAGGACAGAAGTAAGGTTTCTGTGCGTCGTCTAAGGGGAATATGATCAAGATCTCAGTCTGTGTATCCAAGAGTTGCTGGCTTTTCGAACCTCGACACCCTTTGGCTTCCCGGTTGTACCTGTCGTCGACTTCAGAACGTAATTCTGCGTGGACCAACTTGAAAGTAGACTCACCTGAGCTGTAGCAAAGGTACGCGGTTTCGTTGGCCAATTCACCATCGAACTTCTCCTCCGCCTCCAAGGTTCCCAACTGAAGCAGACTAGCCACAGTCGTCAAGCCCCTGGCCGCTGGGGAAACAGGGATAGTCGGACCTCCTGCCCAATGGAGGCTGGTGGTCATAACGATGATCCTCTTCTGAGCTTCAGCGCTTGAAACGCCCAAGCTCTTAAACATCTCGAGTACAACGGGAATGCCCTCCTCACTGGTAAACAGGAGGTGAGCTCGGCTGTCGGTATACTGGAAAGCGAGTTCGCGAGCATTGTAGGCACTGTTTGCAAGAGTCGCCCTCAGACCCGCGGCAACTAGGGGAAAGTGCTAACGTTAGGCCTGAATTAGGTTCGAGTGTTAACGGAGCCTACCAGAGCCAAACAACGCGATCGGCCAGGTCAAGGAGTTCTGGGAATAGATCAGGACAGTGTCTCCGCGCTTCGCTTGGAGATTCCGATGATTTCGAAGCCCGTAGGCCAAAGCCAACGAGAGCTTCTTCGTCTGTCCTCTTGTGATAGTGGTTCCCGAAGGCGCGTCGATGTAGGCAGGAACCGACTCATTCCATTGACCGATATGGGCTGGAGGGGAAGTGGGAGGGAAGAGATGAGTGAAGATCGACCGGTTGAAGACAGGAACGTCGGGTAGAGGAGACCTGTAGATTTTGGGCGCCATAGGAGGTCAGAGGAAGAGGGTCTAGGGAGAGAAAGCTGAGATGGGGGATCACGCGGGTGCGTCGTCGGGTACGGGCCTTATAAGGCATGGTTGCTTGCGGGGTTTTGTGGGGAAGAGTCGTTGTGCGTCCGGATATCGCAGATACCCGTTGTACCCGGTATTTCTGATCGACTTGATCCAATCATCCACCCGCTCGTTGATACTGACAGCTCTCAATTTGGCACTCTCTTCTTCATGATTCGCGTTCTAGCTTCTTAGCCCTGGCGTTTTGACTGGGGTAGAGGTTTTGGCATGGACTCCAACTACCTTCCAATGTTGCTGGCTGACGATAGGCACTGCCAATCAGGTCTTCTCAACACAAGCTCTTGGCGAGTGTATCGACTCGGGCTAGTCAGGGGTCGGATCGTCGATTCTTCGACGGATTATCGTGGACAGGTTCCTAGAGGGAGTCGCTATCGCCGTGCACCAGGGTGCCTCTGAGCCACTGTGAACATATTTCCTTGTTCCTCGCTACGCTGTGCCCTCTGGCAGAAGTGGCGTAATCCCTCATGCAGGCGTGTTAGCAATGTGACTCCAATTGACAGCAGATTCATGAGCAAATTCCAGGAAACAGCCTCGAGAGAAGAATTTGAAACGCAAAAAATGCCTAGTCACGCCTAATAATCTCAATACATACAAGTCAACATGAGCACGCTCACTAGAGCAAGTAGCAGAGCCATCGCGGACGCCTGTCGTTGACAAGAAGTTGCGTCCGTGTAGAACATCGAGCACAGCCACATGCGCGTTGTTTGGAGTGGACGTGGCTGTGCCTAAATCGCTTTCTGGCAGTCGCCAACCCAGTTCGTTCTTACATCCGACGCTTTCCTCTTTTTTTTTCTTTTGCACCAACGTTTTATCTATTCATTATTATCCCACCATTATGACCTCTTTGCTGGAACGACTCAGCGCACCGTCTGCGACAGGACCTGTCCGCTCAAAATCGAGTTCTGGCCGAGCTTCAGGCCCATATGTGCGTGTCCCCTCTTCACGCTTCCAAGAACCTCAATTCCGACCGTCGAAGATCCATCCAGAATAGAAATGACAGACCACCAAAGGGCGATATCGATTCACAATGGTCCCATGATCTCTTCGAATCCCATAACTCATTATCAGCCCGCCTCGGCAACGAACCTGTGGCTCCCAAAGCCGGCTTGAACAACCTGGCGCAGAAAGCCCTCCGCGAGGCCACGGGAGCCGGCCAACTATCTATCAAGGGCGCCTCTTCAAAAGGCAATGTCGTTGACGTTCGCGGACTTGCAGCAGGGACGACGGCAGAGGATGTGGCGGCCATCTTCAAGCAGTGCGGCGCCATTACAGACAGGAAGTTGATGGAGGGAGGAGACAACCCAAGGGTTCGACTGCATTTCAAGACGGCTGCTGCGGCGTCGTCTGCTGTTGCCAAGTTCCACAATCAACCCGCAGATGGCAAAATCCTGCAAGTAACCATGGTTGGGACGTCGACGGCAGGGCAGAGTTTGGCGAGTCGGTTCGGGGAAGATGGGTTGGGCTTGGTGAGGGAAGAGGGTAGTGTGGATGTCTTGATGGACACGGGGGAGACAAATTCTGGATCGTACGTATATCTCCGCTCTGCACCACCGGGACAATCCTAACTCGATGTATTTTCCAGAAAATTGAGGTCCGACGCGTTACTGCAGACTGACCCCCGTGCTCAGGTCTTGGTTGCACCACCAGGCGCAAACCCTGCAGACTATGTTCAGGGCTCGAGGGGAAGGCGGGGTGGTGGTGGTCGAGGGGGACGAGGTCGCCGTGGTCGTGGCGGCAAGCGAGGTGGTGGTGGTGGGGACAGCGGGGGAAGGATGGACACGGACTAGGGTTCGTTGGCAACACCTTATTGTTTCGTTTCTTTGCCTTGTAGCGATTGTTGTTGTTCAATTCACCCACTATTTTGCTCTCCATCTTGTCGCTATACTATTGTACTGCTTGTATATTGCTTTTATTTCCCCTCGACTTTGGCCATTCGCTCGCTTGCTCAAACTGCAATCCTTGGATCCCAATGAACACGTCGTTTTCAATTGCGTGAGCACTTTCGTCAAAGTTACAAGCAATGTGAGCTTGACTCGAGGAAGGATCACGGTAAGAGCCGCAGAGGCACGCGTCGAGTAGCGATCAGAATCCCAGGACTGCCAACTGACGTTCACCCTTCTCCACCGCGCGCCAGTGGTTCTTTCTTTCGTCCCCCCACTTCGCCCTTTCTTCCTCACTTTCAAATATTCTTCCGAGAGTTAAAATGAGTGGTATGGCCCCTTGGTTTTGTAGGAAACACGAGCGCCTAACTGAAGCAAATTTACAGGCTGGTTGTTCTTGTTCGCCGTTCTGTACTCGGCTGGTCTGCTTTTCGGGATGGTCTTCTTTGTAAGTTTCAGTCTTTCCAAGTCGCTAAGTACTTTGTTGAATGGATATGGACATAGGTGATCATGTTTTCGGACCTGGAGAGCGACTATATCAATCCGATAGACCTCTGCAACAAACTCAACCAGGTTCGCTATCGAATCTACATCGTTTCGTTTGATAGGTGCTGACCGTGAATCTCAGTTTGTATTGCCCGAATATGGTGCACATGCCTTCCTATCCCTCTTGTTCCTGCTCTTCGGCCAATGGACCGCGTTTATCTGGAATCTCCCCCTGATTGCATACAATGCCAATAAGTGAGTGGCCACCCTCAATACACTGTTTCTTCTTTCTGAAGTGCCTATCCAGGGTTATCAAGAAAAACCATATGTACGATGCTACAGAAATCTTCCGAACGCTATCTTCGCACCAGAAGGAGACCTACTTCAAGCTTGCTTTCTATTTGCTTTCGTTCTTTTACTACCTCTACAGGTGCGCCGTAATCTCTATCATGACCTTTGGGACTCTCTGACATATCTCGTTCTCCCTCGCTAGGATGATTGTCGCCCTCGTCGCCGAAAATCCATGATTATCCCTCCTCGCGAGATGACGACACCGTTCCTACCCGGCACCGCGTCAGCGTCCCTTATACGTGTTCTGTTGCGCAATCCGCGTACAACCATTCACAATGACTCTGTATACGAACTTTCGAGATTGCGACTGACTACCACCACATTAACGACACTTTGATCCAGCTTGAGTATATGATGTAGGGTTAAATGCAGACAGGGGGGACGGAGCTGGCCAAGAGTATTGAAGGGTACTTCACTGCAAGTTCGCAGTCCATTTGCGCTGGACTTCTCCTAGTTGCTTCCAATATATCATATATTTCGACTATTCACCCATGCGCTCTTGTCCATGAGGCTAATTTGCGGTTCAAAGTTCACGGTGGGTTCGATATGAGGCCAAGTCACACAATCACGCATCGGCGCGGGTCCACGTGTGGCACGAAACGTCACTGGCGAGAGGAGCCGCGAATTTCGAAAACGTCCTGAGCCTGCCAGTCGACGTTCATACCAGCCTACACACCACAACGCTCTGCGTGCCCTTTCGGAACGCCCAAGTCTCCTCTTTCAACACGCTGAGGACCAGAGGCATTTCTGTCACGACCGTTTTCTGACTCACGAAACGATTCACGAAATCTTGAAGCTTAAAGGATGGGCGGAGCAGGTATGTTTTCGGCCGGTTTCCTGCAACATTTACGAACAACTCACAATCTCTTTGCGAAATCACTTTCCTGGCTCCCTGCTGCTCGTATACACATTCTCGAAACTCCCACTCGCACACCGCGTCCTGCTGTCTCTTCTGGTCGCATGAGCAGGATGGTTGTTCTTGTTCGCAGTCCTCATGGCTGCAGGACTGTTGTTCTGCATGGTGTTCTTTGTGCGTATTCGTCGCGATATTGGTTCAAACGCCTGCTCATCCACAATTTCCACTACTAGATCATCATGTTCTCGGATTTGGAGTGCGACTATATCAACCCGATTGACCTGTGCAATAAGCTGAACCAAGTACGCGTTCTTTTCACCCTCCTGCCCCCTACGTGTGCTGAACCCAGCGCGTTGCTTGCAGTTCGTCATCCCTGAACATGCCGCCCATGCCTTCCTCACACTCCTCTTCCTCCTTTCCGGCCAATGGATGGCGTTCATCCTCAACGCACCGCTAGTCGCTTGGAATGCCAATAAGTGCGCTCGTGTACCCTGGTTTGCTGGACTTTGTCGCTGAACTTGTCTTGCCTCATAGAATATTCAACAAAGTGCATATGTACGACGCGACTGAAATTTTCCGGACGCTAGGAGGGCACAAAAAGGAGACGTTCATCAAGCTTGGGTTTTACCTCCTCTCCTTCTTCTACTATCTCTACCGGTAAGTTGTGGCCTTGCTCGTGACAACGACATGTTGAGCTGACGATTGGTCTCGTCAGAATGATCGTCGCCCTCATCGCAGAGAGTGAATAGATGACCAAACCTCTAATGTTATTATGAGGTGATGTGCCTTTGTACAACCTTGTGTGCAACTTTTTGCTCGCTTCAATCCGATAGCATTCTGTTCTCTTGCTCCTTATGTTTGTGTTGAACAATGTTATTCGCATTGAAGCTGTACTCATTTAGACGATATCCTACGGACTAATCCAACTATGGACACATTTCACCATCCTGGCTTTGAATGAAAGGAGCAATAGCTTGGTGAAGATTGTATGTATGAACCACCGACCCATCTCCTCCTTGGGGAGAAACAAAGACGAGATATGGGTGCTAAGACGTCCAGTATTGCTCAGAGCACGGCCTGACACTCGAACATCCGCGTGGGCATCGCACAAAAGTGCGATGAGCAGACATGAGCAACATGGGGAAGATATGGCCGTGCCGCCGCACGAAGAAAAAAAGAGGCGTGGCGCGAAGGTTTATATGGGATTTGAGACCCGTGGGAACGTTAGGGCAGGCCTTACTGCGGCCTGCCAGGGTCGACCGATTGAATCACAGGTTAAGAAGCTTCAAGTTGCTGCATGGCGCACTGAGGGTTTCTTATCACAAGTTTCTTGTCGAACAGCATATTGACCTCTCTAGACGGTTATGGATGCCTCAGGCAGTCATCTTCCAATTCAACGCGCAGCGCATGGCGGACATGAACCCAATCGCATGGTTCTCGGCTACCCTTCAGTTGACACGGGGGAATAAATACCAACTTGGCGCGACTCCAGTCGCATTTTTCTCCCATCTCCCTCCGCTATCATGTCTCTCTTCCTTTGCGTCGACTGTGGTGGAACAAAGACCGCTGTAGTCATTGCAGGTTCTTCTGGCGCCATTGTTGGCCGTGGAACTGGAGGACCATCCAACATCACCTACCTTTCCATCGACGCTTTCATCGACTCGATTAATAAAGCCATCGTCCAAGCACTCAAAGAAACCAGACCGTCGGATCCATCGATCCATGCTTTGCCATTCGCAGAGGGCATAGTCAGCCCATTCGTAGCTGCATGGTTTGGTGTCTCAGGAGCGGACTCTCCGGCTGCCATCGCCAAAGTTACCCCAGCCATCTCCAAGCTCATCGGTATCCCTGCTGGTCCCAACCTCGTAATTGCGAATGACACCCACCTGTTGGCCGCACCAATGCGGATGTATCCCGACATCGACAGTGCCATTGCCGTGATTGGAGGGACTGGGTCGATTGGTGTTAGTTTCAAGATAGGCGCTGAGGGTAAAATCGAGGAACTTGGTCGTGTGGGCGGCTGGGGATGGATATTGGGGGATGAAGGAGGGGGATATGATGTTGGAAGGGAGACGTTACGACAAATTCTGCGCGAAGAAGACCATGCTTCTGTCACTGGACAACCATCGCCACCCAGTAAACTCAAGGATCGCGTTCTCAAACGGTTCGGAGTGGACCACGTCATGGAGATCTTTGGCATCGTTTACCATGGCGATCCTACTCCCTCCTCTCCCTCGGAAGATGCATGGGCAGCAGACGATTTGCGACGGTTGCCCAAAGAGAAGCGGATCTCGTCGCTCCCGCGATTGGTGTTCCACGCGGCGTTCGAGGAGGATGATTGGTTGGCAAAGCAGATCCTCAAGGCGTGCGCCGCCAATCTGGCTTCTCAAGTTGCAGTACTGCTTGGGGAAGGGACGAAGGATGCGCAGAAGGTTGTCAAGGCGAAGGACTCGGTCATCTCGTTTGGAGGTTCATTGGTGGGAGTGGAAGGATATAGGAAGCTCATTCTCAACGATTTGGCGCAGCGAGGATACGTATTCCCCCACATCCACTATGTCGAGGATGCCGCTGCCACTGGTGCGATCGCGTTGGCGACTGCCTACATCTCGAAGCAAGACAAATGAAGGAAGGGACGCCGAATCTCAAATCCCAGGAGACAATGGCTCGAAAGAGTAATTCAGATACTGTATTTACCCGAATCGAATTTTACCACGTGCTTTATCCATGACCGCTCAACTCGGTTACCACTTTCTCACCACGCACTGGCTTTCATCATCTCGCTTTAACCAGCTTTCGCCGACGCTCGATATCTCCACCGCTGTCGTTTCAATCAAAAAGAGCGGCGCTATCATGAAGTTCTCTCGGGCGGGATACCTCCTTGTCGTCGGCTATACAACTGTGTCCGTTGTCCACACGACCAAGAGTCTTTTTTCTACTCTTCTCTCAAGCCCGGTCAAGGACATTATTCCGCCGTTCTCAAGCTCGCCCTTACGGATAGCCAAGGAAACATGGGATCCTGGTTTATCCAGACCATTGGACAGTGGTGTAAAGTCAGATCACCATCATCGGGTGCAGCTGAGCTCTGGGGAATTGCTAGGCTCTTATCTGGCAGACAACTCGAATGGCTCTTCTGGTTCCTTCTCGCACGATACTGGCCTTCTTCGCTCAACCTCTGTCGATGACGTTCTGTTTTCCAAAGCGTTTGCTACTTCGATGCGACCCAGTCAAGTTGTACCTTATTTCTATCGGGCGACTGGTCCCTTCTCGGAGGATGAAGTGACGATCACGAGTATTATCACTAGCGACAGACTGGATGTCTTCGCACGACTTGTCGAGAGATATCAAGGTGAATTGGAATGACCTTCGTCCCCTCTCGCATGAGCTTACTGATTCCCGGGAACAGGACCGATATCCGTCACCTTCCATGTCAAGAACAGCACGCAACAGCAAGTGTCCCAAATCCTGGATTATCTGCAGAAGATCGTCACAGCCTCGGAGACTGTGGTCCGCTTCGCTGACATTCACCTGGTTCTCGACTCTTTTGACCGGCAGTTCAACACTTGGAGGAACATCGCTCGCCTCTTCGCTCGGACAAACTTTGTCATGATGCTGGATATTGATTTCTACCTGTGCACAGATTTCCGTCTCACTCTTCGAAACAATCCGTGGGTGCGAGCTAAGCTGGAGGAGGGCTTATCTGCATTCGTAATTCCTGCCTTTGAATACACGGATCCTCGGCAGGAAAAAGGATTTTCTACATTTCCTACTACAAAACAGGTGAGTTATTGCCGTTGGATATGTAACCTCGGGGTATTCTGAATGTGTTTGGTGATGAAAGGATCTTCTGTCAAAAATCAAGGCCGGAACAATATCCATGTTCCATGCGTCTTGGAAGCCTGGACACAATAGCACGGATTATCCCAAGTTCTACAATGCACCAGCGGGCGACGTTTACAAGGTGACCACGTACCAATCGGCGTACGAGCCGTATGTCATATTCAAGAAGGCTGGACCTCCATGGTGGGTCGTGGCTTCTCACAGCTTCTTCCTTGTCGAGTTGCTGACGCCTTTTGACAGGTGTGAAGAGAGATTTGTGGGATACGGGGGTAACAAGGCGGCTTGTCTCTTCGAAATGTATCTTTCGGGCATGAACTACTATGTACTTGCGGACCATTTCATCATCCATCAAAAACACTTGTACGAAGAGTCGGCTCGTCGTACCGAGGTGCGTATTCTTTCTGCCACTTCTGTACAGCTTCTTGGACACGTACCAACCTCTCATTAGCGCAAGTATAATAGAAAAATCTATGCGAGCTTCAAGGAGGAGGTTTGTTTCAGGTATGTGCCCATTGCCTATACTAGGAGCGTTGGGAATTGATTGACAATGTGTAACATTAAAATAGGTATCTCAGAAGTTACCGGGACACTGGTCGGCTCAACACGACACGAGCGAGGAATGCCATAAGCGAATGCAGAAAACTAAAGCCGATCAGAATGGGGGCACCCCAGGTGAGCGTCTGTCCTTCCAAAGGGGCCACCTTTTGCTAAGTAGCCGGTAACAGCTGCTGGGTGATTAATTCCCATAAACGGTTCTTGCGGATTAATAGATGTTTGTTCAATCTCGTACATACATTAGCAATGCCCACAAAGAACGTCACTTGACGAGGTTGTCGTGGGTTAGCTGCACGAATCACAATGTGAGAGATCCATCATGTGAGGCATTAGAAGTGACCGGTCTTCATTTGAGGTTCGTTTCCAAATTCTCGTCTTCGTGGTTTCTGATTCCTGGAGCGAATACGGCAGTATGCGCCGAAGTCAATTCTGCGACCGTCGTCCAACATATGAAGCTCGTAGCTCGCCAATCTCAGTCCCACGAGAGCGAGCGATGAAATGACCCAAATAGTGATGATGGCTGCAAGCCTCGAGGCATGAGTCGTGTATGATGTCACCTGAAACCATGATTAAAAGGAGGACCAGTACCTGAAAGTTGACTCATGGGAAGTACCGAGAGTGATTGTTCCCAAGAACAAGTGCCGTTCTAGAGAAGAACGGTAGCATACCGGGGTCGCCGACATGGAGGCAGAGTGCCATCGGATCTGATGTATAAAGTTGTGCACATAGTTATCAAGTTCTACCGTTCTCGTCGGCAGAGAACTGGTACGCCGGTGGGTCTCCATCTAATTCGATTGAAGCGACGACTTGAATTCAAAAGCATGACATCACGATCGCGAGTCGGATGGCATCCGGTGGTGCTTTGGGAGCGACGCGAGGCTTGGGACGAGGTGGCATTGTAACAAGTACTCCCCGGTGGGTCCGGGAGAGTACACTGGAAGACGAGTTTCAACTCAGGTCAAGGTTTCCACGAGTTGCAGACGCCACAGAAGCGAGTACACGAGTTCTGGCCGGAGGGACTAGAGCGGCCGGGCGGGCGGTGCGGTTCCCTATTCGGAAGGCAAAGCGCCCCTATGTCAGCGGTTTTTTCGGTTACTGTAGAGGGAAGATTGGCGTTTTTGCCATTTGAATCCATTCTTCTCCGATGATGGTCTTGACTTGTCGTCCCCTGACTCTTTCCAATCCCCGGTGACACTTATTAATATTATATATACTCCTCCTTGGCCCCAACTTCCCATCACCACACCTCATCCCACCATGCCTCCCAAGGTCCTTATTTGCAGTGAGTACCTCTTGCTCGTCGTCGTACACAACGAGCTCACCAGTTGGCTATAGGCACAATCGTCTGGGCACACAACGAAGTCAAGCAACTTCTCGGCAATATCGCGGATATCGTCGTAAGTGACCCTTCCATCTCGACACGTCCCCGACGTGGCCAGTGACACCGAAGCAAACAGTACGTCGACTCGCCCAACCGCGCCGCCTTCCTCGCGGAATTCAAACCCGGTGGCAAGTATGCAGGGACTGTCGGCATCTACAGAGAGAACGAGTCCGCGAAGAAGCTCGGCGTCTTCGACAAAGAACTCATCGATGGGCTACCGTCATCAGTGCGATGGATTGCTCACAACGGGGCGGGCTACGACCCCGTCGATGTCCACGCTTGCATAGCCAAGGGTAACAAACCTCCTCACTTCATTATGGCGACATCCTCTAAAGTCACTTTGGAATTCCAGGAATTTACCTTTCGAACACACCAGGAGCTGTCGATGATGCGACCGCCACAACGGCATTGTACCTTCTCATCTCCACCCTACGCCAATATTCAGCGGCAGAACGGTCCCTGCGTGCCTTGAAATGGAAACCAGCTGGACTGAACAGGATCTCGCATGATGTAACGGGACGAACCTTGGGAATTCTTGGACTCGGAGGAATTGGGTTACGTTTGGCGGAATTGGTGCAGTCCTTCCCCATGAGGGTGGTTTACCACTCGAGAAGGAGGAACGCCAATGCTCCCAGCTACTGCGAGTACTTTGAGAATGTGGAGGAGATGTTGGCTCAGACCGATGTGCTGAGCATTCACGTTCCCCTTCGTGAAGACACTGTCGGTCTTGTCGGCGAAAAGTGGATACGCGCTCTGAAGCCTGGTTCAATTATCATTAACACCGCAAGGGGGAAGGTTATCGACGAGGAAGCCTTGATCAGAGCACTCGAAGATGGGCATGTGCGTACAACCTGGATCTTACCTTTTACCCCGACTTCATCGTGACCGTTAACTTTCCCTTTCTCTTTGACTTTTAGCTCCAAGCAGCCGGTCTCGACGTATACCCAAACGAACCCGAGGTCAACCCAAGATTACTCGAATTCCCTCAAGTAACTCTGCTACCTCACATGGGCACCGAAAACCAGGATTCACAGAAGAAGATGGAAGTACGGGCCTTGACCAACCTGAGGGACTTTTTGACCACCGGAGCTGGGAAGGATTTGGTTATCGAGTACAAGCAAAAGGGGCTCATCCCTGCGACGAAGGTGAACTCGAAATTGTAAGGCCTTTCGCGCGCAGGACGCTGACGCTGCACATATTTCGCATCTACGGAAGAATTGATTATCGACTGTGGAGCCTTCGTATCAGAACCATTCGTTAATGTTATTAGTCGTGGAAATCCTAAATATCATAAACAATACAACTTGTCAGATGCCTCAATGGGCCACGAGGTATCCTCGAGGCGCGATAGAAACTGCCTTATAGAACCGTGGCGGCAGGCAACGTCGAACGCTACAGAAGACTATCATCATGGCCACTACGGGAAACGCTGTAACCCGGACAGTCGCAGCTCAGAATCATGGAGGAGGGCGGAAGGCTGTTCAAGTGATCAAGGGAATGACACAGAGCGCACAGAATCTGTGAGAACAACATTCTCGTTTGCCTTCATCACTTAACCATTATCGCTCTAGACATGTAGCGTCGTCCCAGCTCCAATCACAATCCAAGATATTGAGTAATCTTCCAGTGAAGTCTGTAAGGCGATGTCGTCGTCGGTCGTGCACAATAGCTGGAGGCTGATCCACGCGGACCTCTAGGAGGATCCTCTTCAGGAGTTGCAGAGACTGAGGCAGCTCTTGCAACAACACGACGTTGAACACACTAAGAAGATGCAAGACATGAAGCGACTCTTGCAAGAAGAAATCGAGACTGGATCGGTGGAAATCTTGTGCGTATTGGAACGACTCTAGCAAGTTCCGCCTGCTGACTCGAGGACCAGGAAGGAAGTTCGAGGAGAGCTCCGATCCATTATTGAGGATGAAGTCAAGGCCGAGGTCGACGCACAGATTAGAGAGCATATCCCCGTTCCTCTCAGTCAGCAAGCTGAAGAAACCAAGGAGCAGCTCCGGATAGTCAACGCGTCCCTACAGAATTCGTAAGTGACCGAGCCCATAGCCTACTTGAAACCTGCATTGCATGTGCTTACCGCCACATCTCCCTATTGACAGTCGATCAAGGATCGCCAATGCGGGGTTAGGGGTGTCCAATCTTTTCGATTCCTTGGCCGTGGTGCTAACACCTCAGGGGACTCGGAGCAAGTGGTGGCCCGCTGACCTGGGTTCCCTCTTCGCATACGACCGTAAGTTCTCTGATTGCCGCTAACCATGGTCACGAAAAAGTTGACAGGAATGCACTAGTGGAAAGCGCGCGCTTGTTGGTCAAGGATTTCGGGCTGGTAGATTCTGACCAGCTGCATGTCAACTTTCAGCGCTTTTTGGCCCATATCGGTGAGTAGGGTTTCACTTGCACGCGATGCTGTCGGTAAACGTCGATTTCCAGGGACCGATGCTGAGCAGTTCCTTCCAAGTGTGAAGGACTGAGGGACTCGAGAAGATAGCCATCGTGTGTCCGCGTCGAGGAGCGCTTCGCATTGATGAAACTTCCCAGCATGATTGGATATCAGCCAGGGCACATGTCGTTATCTTTCAAAGAACCTAAGTAGCAACGTTAGCATGCTCAAACATTGAGTGTTATCTTTCCACACACCGTAACACTACCGCCGCTTTTCCATCGACTTCGGGGTTCTCAAGTCCACAGGCAGATTTTCCCTCAGTACCACCGTGCGAGTACATTGAATACAGTTCCATGATGTGAACACTCCAATTGAACGTCTTAACGACTTCTTCCTTCAAAGATGTCGATGTCCCGGTTTCGTTCTTCCAGCCACCGTGACGAGCCCAGTGTCATGCCCCAGGCAGCTTCAAGGTCACCCAGCGCAATGAATATAGCACCTCCCAATCCATCTGAGCCAGCGACAGCGGAGCTGGCAACCTCCACCAACCCCATCGCTGCTGGGATTGCAGAGGTACTCCAGGCGATTGCTACTGCAAGTAGTCGAGGACAGTCTCCTCCTTCGACGCCAATAATGATCGAGTGTGGTGAAAGGGTCATGGCCCTGGGCAGAAAGCGAATGGCAGCAATGAACGGTCGGGTACGCACGCTCCAACCCTCCTGGTTCCCTGGTCCTCGTTGATGAATGGTTCTTCAGAACGCGTTCTTGTACTTGAAGAGCAAGTTTGGGCTGCTGAGCACGTCGAATGCATTGTACCTCTCAGCCAGTTTCGTAGGCGACTCCCAGCAACAGTTTGTCGAGGTGGATATGGATGCTTGGGGGGAACTCGTACCGTATATCGAGCGTTTGAGGATCGTCTAGCGCTTGTTGTACATGGAGATCTGTAATTGAGTTGCGAATGTTCCGGGATGATTGTCATAGTTGTGGTGTAAGACTCAAGAGGCCATTTCTTGGAGTGCCGGTAAGGCGGAGCCGCACGTGCCTGGAATTTGGTGTGTTACCACTGCCAGGGCCCAGCTCTTTCTTCCAACCACCATCCACTTTTCTGTATGAATGGCGGTAAGTCAATATTTCTACAATCTCGACAGAATTCTGACCTAGATCAGCATGAACTATCACCTTTGGAACAAGTTCAAAGGGCTTATTCCAAGTTCTCGCACTCGGAACTCGTGCTTTTCCTCAAAGTCCGCAACCTCCCCATAGCTGGAACAGAACATGACCTCGCTTCACGACTTGCAAACCACGACTTTCATACTTACCATTTTCCAACGATAACTCATGACCGTTCCCAGACCTCTGCCCCAAAACCCTCGCCCTCTCTCACCACAAAACCACGGTCCCACCTGAGCCCCGACTTGCCCATTGAAATCATCGCAGATATTTTGGATCATGTTGGAGACTGGGAACTCACAAGGGCATTGAACGTACCAACCTCGCTTCCCCGTCCAACAGATTGGACTCGAGCAACCAGCACCGATGAAGCTGTCCTCAAAGGGGATGTCCGCGCCATTCGTCGAGCCAATCCCAGTGCCACCAACCCCTTGACCAAGCTCGGTGCAGTGTCGGCCATCCGCTTTGGCTACGTCAATGTACTGGAGCATTTCCTCTCTCACCACCACAAAATGTTTCTCGCTGCATTCAAGGATGACCTCATCCCCATAAAGGCATCTCGGCACGGCAGAATAAACGTTCTCAATTGGTGGAAGCATGGCTTTCAATCCCATCCCGACTTGGTCCCTGCACCTGAAGCATCGTCAATATCAGAGGCTGTAGACGGGGCATCTCGTAATGGGCAGGTCGCTTCCCTGGATTGGTGGCTCAACCATGGTCCGACGTTTGACTACACGGAAGCTGCACTGGAGTATGCGAGCGCGAAGAACCAGCTTGCGGTGCTCGACTGGTGGAAGGAGCAGTATACCCTTAAGGGTGTGCCTCTGAAGATCGGTCGGGTCATGGATATGGCGAGCACTGCTGGCCATGTGGAGGTTCTGGAGTGGTGGGCAACATCGCAGCTGGAGTTCAAGTACGACAGACACGCGCTTCAGCATGCAAGTTGCCACGGGAAGGTGGAAGTGCTGCAGTGGTGGCTTGGAAGTGGGTTGCAATTGATCTTCGACCAAGAGGCCCTTACCGGAGCCACGAGACATAATCGGCCGGAGGTATTGGAGTGGTGGGATAAATCTGGATTGCCGATCCAATATCGGATGTGTGATATAGAGGAGGCGCTGGAGGATGCGATTGGTGGCGGGGACGCCGCCAGAGCTTGGTGGAAAGCCAAGGGCGTAGACTTCAATGCCAACGACAAGGAGTGGATGAAACTCCAAACGCTTAATTGACCGCTGATAGTTGGCTTTCGATGTTAGTTTACTCTTTCCTCCATTCGCTTGTCTTCTGCTATTGCTCATCTCTCGGTTTTCTTTGGTCTAGTGGGACTTTGTCTGGCCTTCTCTCTCCTGTTTCCTCACGCCCTACTTGTAACTGTTACTGCTTTCGCTGTCTAGTCCTCGCATATGTATAGTTATCGATTCACATTGACCTGTTTTGACCTTCGATGCGAGATGCCATGGTAAGCACGCGCATGGCTTCTACGATACACCACAGGCCGGCAAGGTAGCCAGAACTACTCGACTCTTCCGCTCGTCGGTTTTTTTAGATCAGTGGTCCGTGTTTTACCCAACAATTGCGCGCAATCTGATAGCCCAATAGACATGTTCCAATTACGGGTCGAAAGCGGTTGGAAATTCCTATTACCTCGTGGAAGTCTGAGACAATATTCATACAGGCATAAATAGTTATCTATCATCATTTGTATTGGGTGTTAGGCTCTACAGGACAGCCGTAGCCGGTGGCTCTCCGCAAGTTCCCGCCACCTGGATATCGTGTACACTCTCCAGGCCTACGCCCCTGAGAATCTTCCCAACCGTCTCCTGCTTGACGACTTCCAACTCTGCATCACTCTTCACCAATAGCATCCCTGCGAAACCCAACGAGTTGACAGAAAGCTTCTCTCCATTCGACAGTGTGTGATTCTCTTGTTTGCGAGGGATGAGATGGAGGTGGTCCAGGGTCAAGATGGCATTGTAAGAAGGGCGTCCGGTAGGGTAATCTGGGTCGTGTCGGATGGTTGAGATGGTGAGGTCGAGTAGTTGCATAAAGGCGCTGGAAAGAATTCCTTCTATTTCCTCTGCGCTATAAGAGCTTAGATCTGGTGGGAAGCGGAAGGTGTGACTGGCGTATGGCAAAGACGTCAGTGCGAATGGTCTCCCTGCATCGAAAGAGTAAGAAACGGGATAGATAGCGGGGATCAGAGCCTACCTTGGGATTCTATTTGTGCCCTTCTCGCCAGTGTCTCGATGGGTGGCCCAGAGGCGGTCGCAGTGGGAATGAACTGGACATGCTTGTGAGGCTGACTGGCACCACTGTTATCTCCACCTATACAAGTTGAACAACAGATGGTCTTGTAGTAAACCCAAGATACGCACAGTTATAGAAGGCGAAGAAGTGTTTGCCCGCTTGGCGAGCAGCTGCCAGAAGGCGGTACGTCTGGACAAGTTCGGAGGGAAGCAGAGGTGATGCCTGCGAGGAGAATTCTGTTCGACGACGATAAGATTTATATCCTTTTATGGCGGGCAGTTGCGAACCTTTGGTCACCAGTAAAAAGTGCTGTGGAACGACGGTGTATTTATTGAGCTATATCAGGGAATACGATTGCTAGGATTAATGTTTCGATCGAGGCGAGGAAAAGCGGATGTGTGCGCACCAAGATAGCAAAGCGATCCTCCGTCAATTCATCGACAATGTCCCCCACATACAGCTGAGGATTATAGGGAGGGGCGAACGGGTCGAACTTCTTGTTGGCGGGAGTTCCAGCATCACCATTTTCTACGCTCTCAAAGTGAGGAGTGGGAAGAGCAGGCTTATGTTGCAACGCCGGGCATAGTGTGATTTCGAACTGCAGGCAACGAAACCCATAAACCAGGGAACCCAGGTTCTCGTTGGAAAGAACGGGCTTACTTCAACACCCAGTTCGTTATGCTTGACGACGGTCGAGGGAAAATAGAACAGATCGCCGGATTCTCTTGCGCTTTCGAAGGCTGTAGGGATTTTCTGAATGATATCAGCGTGAGTTGACGGCTGGGGCTCGGACATTGTAGCAATATGTCGGCGTTGCTATGTGGGTGGTAGTTGAGAAGGACAGTGTCGGCGAAAGCGACGATGAGCTCGAGGTCGGGGTGGGCTATCGGTCGAGACTTGTTCGAGGCGGATATGGTCGATTTCCAGGCGTCTCGCGTCAGAATTCATCGCGCTACAATATCAGCGGCCACACGATCACGGCTTTGAAGGCTCCAAAAACACCAGCCTCAGTCTGAACTTTGAAGGACCCAGGATAGCCATGCGTTTAGCATCTAGAAATACAAATGTCCCTGAACGAGGAAAAAAGAAACGGAGGCGGGAAAACGGCCGTTATGGCCGGCAACTAGTATCATTAACGAGAGCGAGCAAGCAGGTACTGGTCCAAACTTTGGCTGATATTGCGAAAGAAAGTGTTCAAAAATTGTAAAGAACGGAAACCAAAAGGAGTGGGTTGTTAAGACCAGCCTAACGTAAATGAAGGTGAAAGCTTGCTTAGTTTTCCTTCTCTGCGTGAAGATAGACATGAATGAAGGGGAAAGCGTGTGCCACGAGAATTAAGCAGTCCAGCAACGTGCCTATGCTGGACTACTTTAGGCAGCTCCTCCCCTTCCCCTGTTCTCTTTCGCTTCTTTCATCTCTTCTCCTAACATAACTGCTCGCGTATAACAAAACATTGCAAGGAGCGAATAAACGGCAGCGTTGACTCCCTATCGAGGAGTGAGTACAGGCTCGCCAAGATGTTGGTTAGGGGACATACTTGGTAGAACAGGATCGTTAATATGAATTGAGCCGCCAGAAGGACCACCCGAACGATGAGATTGCGATATATGGACGTGTTCTTGATCAACGGGAGTGGGCATTCCATACACAACATGACCAAGCCGATTATCATGGCGAAGACTTGGATGACAGGGGCCTTGACGATCATGGCAACCATTGGCGCAGCGTCGGGTCCGGCTCTGCAGTTAATTGGTCAGAGGCTCTTCGGTGGCAGGAACGAAGGTTGAGACGTACTGGAGTCCTCCAGGGTCACGGAGGCGGCCGTCAACGAAGTCCCAGAAATACTTTCGGTAGAAAATACCCCAGTATCCTGCCCAGACAGCATCTAATGCGACATCAGTGTGTTAAATCCACCTCGTTACCATGAAGTTGCATTTCCACTCACAGACACTGGCAGTAATCGAAACGTAGCGCGCATATTCGTGCCAAATGAGATTGCCCATGGTGATAGATTCGACGGTTAAATCGTTCTACGACTGAATTGGAGGTATTGAAGACGCTGGAACTTGAGAATTAGGCTGGAGTCGAGATGCCCTATTGTATGGAGACCCGGCTCGCAGTTTGAGGGATTGTTTGCAAAAAAGCTTGAAGACCAGTAAAGAGAGGACAGAGATAGCGACGCGAGAAACGGTTAATCCAAGAGCAAGACCTGAAGAGAGCTCAGCTCTCGAGAAAAGAAAGAAAGGTGGAAGAAGAAAGAAGAAAGAGACAAAGGGTAACCGACAACGGCGGCAACGAACGAACGAAACGGGGAACACAATGAAGGGCCATCATGTTCCTTTGAGGCAGGGGCGGAGTCCGAATTCCTGATGGTCCATCCCACAGACGCCGGTTACCATCGCGCGCAATAGTTACATCCTTCTGCTATCTGCTGAACATGATTGATGTATTTCTCATCAAGAGAAAGGAATTACACTGTCTAGTAAGTATATGCACAGTGAACGAAAGGCTATGATAATATGTGCAAAGTCCAAGTGTCCGTGATGTTGGTCCAAAGTTCGTACAGCGTCATTTGAAGTCCCGTGCGTTAATTGGGCTCCCAACCATTGAGGACCGGCCATCGTCCAACTGTCGGCCACTAAAAAGGTCGTGGAGTAGAGCGATTGGCCAAGCGGTCCTGTGCCAAATCGCATTGAGATAAGTAAGCTATATGGGAATGACAATAATACAGTACTCACTGATGATGCCACAAAGTAATCATTGGGCCTGGACACTTGAGAAGGCGCAGGGCTACTAGGAAGGCCCCAGTTTGGCGGGATAGCAGGAGTACGAGCTGGTGAGCGTAGCAAAGGGCTATTCGACGAAGCAGACCGCAAACTCGGGGCCGGTGACTGGAAACGGACGGTCGGGGCCATGGGACTCAGTCCATAGCCATACGACGAGTACCCTGTGTTGGGAATACTGGGAGATCCAAACCGCGGCATTGGAGAGAGCATTGGAATGCTGCTAAGAGAAGACGTTGGACTGGAAATCGAAGATTGGCCACTTATGGGACTTCCGTAATAACTGGGCGCGATCGAATGTCGAGCGTTGTCAACCGGAGGGCTGGGCTTGGCCACAGGAGGCGGAGGCGGCGGCGGGAAGACGAACACAGAGTTTTCAAGTGGCCCAGAGATCATGGCCCGGTCAATCTTTTTCGGATCCTGCTGCATAGGCAAATCGGGGGAGACGGGGGAGGGCGGTATGAAGATTCCTGTTCTGCCTTTCTCTCTCCGCCTTCGCCGCCAGAAGAAAGCAAAGGCGCAGAAGGCTATGCAGAGAATAAGCGCTATAGCACCACCTATCGAAATGCCAATGATGGCACCCTTAGAAAGACCAGAGGAGCTTTGTGACCCCGTCGTGGCCGAGCCCAAGGTGTTGGTCGGTGAGAGCGTACCGGGGACGACTTGACTTGGCCTTGGACCATCACTCGAAGACGCGGTTGACAGCACAGCAACAGCATCTATATCAAGGAAAGGTGCCTCCCGGGTGGGGTTTTCGGCAGCCAAAGTAAAGGTATGTTGGCCGGGACTAAGTCCACTGCGGAAATACTGTGGGCTGCGTTAAATGGCGTCCGTAGGCAAAAAATTCAAACCATCTCACCAAAAGCACTTTGGTATGAAGACGCGATGCATGACCATTCGATCCACCCGTGAGGATGGTTTCTTGTCCGTCGATGGTAATCTTCATGTTCGTGCGGTCCGGAGACATCGTGCCATAAAGGGCAACAGCCTCGCCTGCAAAGCTCATGGTCACGGCGGCGTCTGGCTCTTGACTGTAGCTGTAAAGACGGTGTGATTTCTCCGGTAACCAGCCAGTTTGATAGGGATGACATACTGCAGTGTTCCGCCTTGGAAAGCATCGCGCCGATTAATGTTCCAACTGGCGGTAGATGGCAGGTAGGTGAAGACAGGAGATGCGTCATCATGGTTTTGCACGCGGATTTGAGATCTGTTATCAGTGTAAATGGTGAGTTGTTGGACGCCAACAATGGATCGGGAGCCAAAGTTACCCTGGGGAACCAAGCTGGTCAACGACAGTGACAGAATCGATGTCTATCGGTGACTCGTCGAGGTTGGTGAGCACAGCACGATGGTTTCCAAGTGCGAGCCCAGAGACAGTCGCCAACACTTGGTTCGTCGAGTCTTGAGCACTGTCGGCATTTCCGTTGGCAATGATAGTCTGCCCGTCAACGGTGACCGTGTACCGTCCATAACCAGGCCTTCGTCCCCCAAAGAGTGTGATTCCAGTTCCTGATGTCGTCTTGTGAGCCTGTCGGATACGATCCCCGGGAGGCTACCTACCACGGAAGTCGATAACTGCAGAGGCACCTCGAACACTGGTGCGATGATAGTTTTGTCCAGAGTAAGACTGTCCCATCCCTGTGTCAATTCTGGTGGCGTTCAAGAAACAGGGAGGCGCACTTGAACGAGCGTATCATCTGACGGAGAGTCTTGCCAGGCGCCAGCTGGGGTGTAAGAAAAGAGAGGGGAGCAGTCCTCAACTTTAGATTCCTTGAACTCAGCACTTTCCAGTTCCGGTCCAAAGGTGGATAATACTCACTGGTCAAATTGAAAGAAGCCATCTAGGCGAAGACAATTCAGGTATACTGGACCTGCGTTAATATACCATGAACTGGGAGAACGAAAGAAAGCCCCGGGCTTGAAAAGAACGAGGTGAGAACGAAGAGGAGGAACAAGCCAAAGAAGACCCAAGCTGGCAGTCTGTGGACAGATATCGACAGTCGAGCACACGAGAAGAGCATTGCCTCGTCTCTTTAACGCCTGAGATCGCAGAAGATGACATCGAATTCATTGATATTCCCCGCTGGAACAGTTGGACAGATGGATGTTAGGAATAGACCGAGTGTCCCAGACGCGTCGTCAGGCTGGTTACGATCAATTAGCCCCTCCTTTTCTCAGGACACCACGCTTGGGGATAATGAGCCCAAGTGCCACACTAATGATTATCTCTCGTAACAAGAGGTTATCAGTATGCAGCTGTATAGTTCAGAGCTTGAGCTTGTGGACCCCTCGAAAGTGACAGAAATCCTCTGGGAAACAGCAAATACAATACACCTGACCGGAACAGGCAAAGTACAAAATAGAGACAAATAGGAGTGCCGCAAAACAGCAATTACTGTTGAGGCAAGCCTCAGCGCTCATCCTGAAGGGGTTTCTTCTTGTCCACCACCATGGCACCGAAATCCAAACCAGCGACAAGCAAAGCTCTTACCACAACAGGCCCCAAGGAGGTAATCTCGCACCCCACCAAGGGCAAGAAAAGAGAGTATGTTGAAAAACCGACCACGACCCGTGCCCTAATTCTTCGCAATGGAAAGCATGGGGCGATGGGGACCGGCGAAATCATCGCCAGCAACAAGATCACAGGTCGCGAAAAGCTTGACCTTTTGGCGGGTGGGTTTTCTGTGTTCCTCATCCAGGCGATTGTTCTGATGGCCTATTTTGCTAGAGGAACTCATCGAAAAGATGAAAACGGCCGTTATGACCCCCTTCCGTTTTGAGAATGCCCTCAGACTATCAGACTCGCAATTCGGCAGTAAGTATCCACTTCTTCCCAGTTTGTTGTACGGTTTCCCAATATTTTGTATACAGTCTACCGTGACGATATCGTCAACTTGAAGGACCCGGATCTGTTCCGCGACATCATTGAGGGTGAACTAGTTGCTCGAACGCGCCCCAATACTGAACCGCGACGCAATGCCACTAATGTCGCCAAGATAATCGGTACCAGGTGAGTGGGCCTTCCCTATGGTCCGTCCCATCATGTTTTCATCGTCTCGTCAGAGTCCACAACTCGTATATGCTTGCTTCGGCATGGAAGCTTGTGACCGACACTTTGAGGAAGGTCCAGAGTCAAGTGGTGGACGAGAAGATCTTGAAGTCGAAACTCAAGACGGATCAGACGCTCAGGAGCGAGTACCTGGTCCTGTTCGATTTGGTAAACCATCTGGTGGATTTGTCCCACAACTACTTATCGGTGTTGGCCACCACTGCCCGTAAGTTTCATTGGAATACACGGACTCCCGTGACCAATCGTCTGATCTCTTGTCAAAAGCGCATTACTCAGAATATTTCAAGACCAGGCCCAGCGAAGGGTCTGGCGAGCCAGAGGTCATTTTTGAATGGAACGACAAAAAAATCTTGCGATCAGTTACCCAGTCCTTCTTGGACAGCATCATCATTGAGCTCTGTTTCCCCCAAAGTCCATTCCCGAAGGCGGTTCTGTACCAGCTTCTGAAGGAATGTCTTGATGAGGCACCCCACGAGGGCAAGCGATTTTCTCAGGCAATGGCTAATGCGATTGGCGACCTCTCGGTGAGCCACCCTGTTTCATGGATCCTCTGTGTCCTGATTTATACTGTCAATAGCGTTGTGTCGAGCTTCAGACCTTGTTGGAAGAGCCTTTGTTGGGTCCGGAATACGAACAATGGCGGAATGAACGCCGTGAGATGCCCGAAGCTTTCGAGAGGTGGATTGACGCCGGTATCTTCTCGCGCCAGGCTTCAGGTGAAATCGGCAATTGGAAGGACCTAGTTTACCCTCTTGGTGCCACCAAGAAGAAGGAGGTCCTTGAGAAGATCTGGAAGGGTATCAACTTGGTATGTTATTTGCAGCATCTCTGAATCAAGCTCATTCTTGTTGCGCCAGAACTATATCAAGGAAGCCGGTATCGATATTGACAGACTCTGGGCTTTGGACGAATCATTGACTTTCAAACCTCAATGGTCTTCTTATTGGTTTGAGAAACTCGCCGAAGATTCGGATGAGGAGGACGAGGACATCAACGGTCTTCCGCGCGCCAAAGGACAAAAGAAGAAACTCCTTGCTCTCAAGGGCCCCGATGACGACGATTCTGCAGACTCCATGCCCGCCTTGCAGTCGGTATCTAACAGTTCTGACGACGACGACTATTCTGAGATCGACTCTGACGAAGAAGACGATGACGACGATTACGAGACAGGCGAGAGCGACTACGATACAGACGAAGAAGACGAGATCAGAGAACTTATTCGTGAGGCCATGGAAGCAGGCCATGAAGTAGATTGGTTCGATTCAACACCCGCTGACCCTGAGCTCGATCCTCTCAAGGCGGACGAGAAGAAGGGTAACCCTTTCTTAAAGGCGTTGGGTTCACTTCGAGGCAAGTCCGTTGACTCTCTTCTGTGCACCTGTTCTTACAATGGGCGCTATGTCTAGGTCGTTTATTCAAGTCTGACCCCAAGGTGAAGCCAACCGCAGCTCGAACCGAGCCCAGGCCCAATGCTCGTGGTGCATTCCGAGCAACCCCTACTGGCGTGCCTAAGCCTGTGCCCAAGACCGCGCCACCCAAGCCCACTCCTGGTAAGTCGAAGTCGATCAAGGTTTCGTACGACTTTTAACACTGTGTATCAGCTTCTGCGAAGCAACAACAACAGCAGCAGCAAGCCCCTGCTTCTCACAAGACCACTATGGAAGAAGTCGAGGACGAAGACGCAGTCACACCTTCCGCCGGCAAGAAAAAGAAGAAGAAGAAGCCCAAGAAGAAGAGGACTGGCGATGAAGCAGAGGCTCCTGATAGCCCTCGGCCTGCCGCTGCCCAAGCCGCGCCTACGTCGCCCACTTCGCCAACGCTTGGTCGCTCGACCATCGGCGCTTCCGCTTCAACTCTCAACATCCCTGTGGAAACTACCCAGGCACAATCCTCGCACTCGTACCTTAAGCAACTTGAATCAGACTTCCAGCAGAAGGCTAAGATCAAGTCTCGTCCTGACCATGCCTCTATCTTCTCGGGTTCCATCCACGAAACCAAGAAGGGCGGACTCTTGTCGAAGATGGGCTTCGGCAAGAAGGAAGAGGATCACGGTGACAAGAACCCCAAATACACTTGGTTCTCGAGGCTGAGCAAGAAAGCCACCGATTCCATGCATCAGTTGCTCAAGACTAGTGAGGATGCGGGTAGGCAGCCTGCCCCAATGAAATGGGAGACATTCTTGAAGGTAACCACAATTTTTGGTCATGGTTTCTGGCGCTAAACCAGCGCTTCAGCTTATGAGGGAGATGGGCTTCGAGTACGATCCCAGTACAGCAGGCTCTAGTGTTCGTTTCGACCCTCCTGACAAGAGGGACAGGGTGAGTAGTTGGCTATATGCACTGATTCCTTGACTGACCGGTGTGCGGTGCGTTGTTATAGTCCATCACCATTCACAAGCGTACGTATTACTTCTCTTTCGTAGCATCATTCTGTGTTGACCCTCTTCCTTCCGCGTAGCCCATCCTGATCCAACTCTCAATCCGATCATGCTGAGGAACATTGGCAAACGCTTGAAGCGTTACTACGGGTGGAACGAAGAAGATTTCATCAAACAAACACAAGAAATTAGTTCGAGAAAGTAATTCCGTGGAAGCTGCTGGTACGAAAGACGCCAATGTTATTCTCGAATTGCCATCTTCCCCTCTCTCATCGTAAGCCAAAAACTAGACCTATCGCAACATGCACTGACTGAAACGGTCTCACTCGTTTCTGAGATAAAGAATCCACATAAATCCACGTCGTTGTGCACCTATTTACCCTCATTGAAATTGCCATTATATGTTACCCCAAAAATAAAATCCAACAGGAAACTGCCCAATTCGCTCTTACTTCTTCCTGCTCTCCTGTTTCACCCACTGCAACACCCCTTGCCTGGATCCTGTTGAGGCGTTTTTGCCCTTGGCACCAGTCGGGCGCTTGTGACTCGATTTACCCAAGTGAGCCGTGATCCTCTTGCCATCTCTATCCTCGCTATTGGCTCTCGCATGGCCAGAACGGCCGGCACTCTGAACAGTTTCGGTCTGAGCGTCCCAAATAGCGTCTCGACTGAGGCAAAAATCGATATGCGAGTTCAACCCCTGATTATCGGTCCGTAGTTTTCGCCCACATATAGGGCATTCCTGTAAGTCTTGCTCAGGCGGCTCTTCTGGCGGCGGTGGTAGAAAAACGCCGTCTCTCCCAGCAGATTCGCTTATGGGCCCGATACTGATGGCCCTCGTCCGCACAGGGGCTTGGTCGGTTTGGGGGGGTATGTGATTTGGCGGGCTGCAAGCCGGGGCCGATACAGGTGGCCTAGGTCGTTTGGGATCCTTGCCAGGACCATGTTTGGGGGTGTGTGAGATGGATTTCGGGTCTTCAACAATAGCAAATCCTTCCTCCTCGAATCCGTCATCGTCGAATGCTGCCAGCTCGATGTCCCTTTCATCGTGTTCGTGGAAGCCGGGCATACAATCTTGCGACCCTGGGGGCTCGTCGTCTGCCTCTTCAAGTTCTGGGTCAAGACGTCTCCGTTTACGAGGGCCATGAGCATCGTCTCTGTCCTGCTGTTGCTTAATGGGTTCGAAAAACTGTTGACAACAAGGTTATTGAAGAGCTTGCGGAAATGCGATCAATACGTACTCGCTTGATACCCGTAGACTTCGACTCCGCTCGCAGGTCTTTCAGCCTCGTCAGCCTCAAGCCTATGAGCCTGAGTCTTAAGGGAAATCTTGACAACAGTAACTCCTTTCCCGTCTGTCGAGTTGTGGGTGAGTATGCGTACGTTGGACAACAGAGCAACTTACATTAAAAAGTTCTTCCTTCGTTGTGATCCACTTGGAGAACTGCTTGGCCCTGGTGAACGTTTGGTAGGTGTCTAACTTGTATTTTAATGTAACTGTTTTTCCAACCCAGCCTTCCCTCTTCATGTCCTCCACGAGCTCTTCAGCCACTTCTTCGAGCTTGGCCACAATGGCGACGCTTCCTTTCTTTGGATCTGCATGATTAGAATCCAGTGTAGAAAACGTTCTCTCAGCCCCTATGCTCTTTCTCTCCTCGCGAGCGTGAGGAGCGACGTGATTCGAAGCAATTCCAAGATAAACGCGAAGGAGGAAGTCTAGTCCGAAACGTTTGTCCATCAAGGCTATCACCCCTCGCTGTTGGTAGATATCCCCACACGTCTAACGTATGGCTGAGCATCACCTGTCAACGAGCTTCACAAATGACTTACTCTGATCCCTATCGAGTCTAGAAGCCGTTCGTTGACCCTCCCGACTCCAGGTACTTTGCGGATCGAAAGAGAATGCATGAAAGCTTTGATTGAATCAGGCTCGAATTCGAGCTTGAATTGGCCATTAGGTTTGTTCTATTGGACCTAAGTCAATGAACCAACCCATGAAAGGAGCGGCAGAATAAAGCTTACCTTGTCTGAGCAAATCTAAATTGTGGCCAAAGTTTAGAATGATTATACGAGGATACCACTGGTGCATACCTTGGCTAGCATCTAGATAGAGAATGGATTTATCGCTCATAGTAGTGGCGGCACATAGGAACTAACCTTGTTGGGTGCTATCCCGGCACTGACAGTCAGCTGAGTCTCGTCAAATACAGCTTTCCGCATTTCGGAGACGACTTCGTCCACGGTTTTGCCATGCTGTTTACAGTAAGCGGTGACGCTTACATTCAGAAAATCAGTGACATGTTTCAATGGGAAAGAACAAATGGGAGACCAACTTCAGATACGCTTCATCAACACCAGCGGGACACATAGTTGGGTCGTATCTCCGGAATATTGACATGATTTGAGCGGAAGTCTTCGAATATAAATCGAAGTGCGCAGGGACGAAGATGAGCTGGGGACACAATTTCTTGCCAATGAATCCTTTTACGGAAGAGTTTCAGCCAGGCAAAGCGTACGAGGGGGGGGAAGACATGCCTGCCATGCCCGAGCGAACGCCATACTTGCGGGCCTCGTACGATGCGGTGCTCATGACCCCGCGACCAACCTTGTTTTATTGGTCAGTAAATGGACGAAGTAGGAGGAGTCCTGAGACGTACAGCAAACGGCTTTCCTTTGAGACTGGGATCTCGGAGAATCTCGACATTCTGCAATTCGTTTGTATGAGCCAACAAACATGAAGAGAGGAACTGGTTCCACCAACTGCGTAAAACGCGTCCATGTCAACGTGGACAATGAACTGGGACAGGTCTCGTTCGCTTTCAAGCTTCATAATCTACATGGAAGATTAGCATGACCTCCGAAGTAACAGGTCAGGATGTTGTTTGTCAGTACCTGCTGATCGGCCATTGCCTCCAACTTTGCTAATTGCACTGTCATCCTAGATTGCCTGGAAGAGGAAGGCGAGTATTACCCATGTCTGCCCCGAGCATCGCTTCCTCCTTCTCTTGAAGTATCCTATTGATCTTCTCTGTCAACTCCTTGTCTTTGCGTTTCTCATTCTGAGAATGTCACAAACTGAGAGGAAGGTCCAAACGAGCAGAAGGGCGGCGCGAACCTCGTAGAACTTGGATCCCTTGGAAGCCTCAAGGATGATGCGGTTGATTTCAGTTTGGTCATGAGCGAGCCTATTGTAGTTTAACAATTGGTTAAGCCATGGCCGCGTAAAAGTCCTACTAGCTCACCCTGCCTTGGTAACTGAGGGGCCGGCCAGTCGCCTGGTCAGAGACTCGCTCTGTTGGGAGGGTTCAGGGAAACTTCCGGTGGATGTCATGTTCTTGAATTTGACATCCCAATTTAGTTTCTTTGGCTGAGAAAGGACGACGATGAAAATCGTTAGCACATCGTGGTTCGGGTTCAAGAGTGGGTTCGCCGCGTCCAGCGGCGCGTTCCTTGATTACCGACGCGCGCGATCATGACGTGTCACGTGTAACTGGAAAAGTCTCGAGTTCGATCCTCACTCAAGGCATTCTCTAGGTCGCATCACAGAAAACGAGTGAACATTAAGTAGCGCGTAAAGCATACCCCAGTGACGATCATATACGTGAGTTAAGGTCACCGAGTCTATACAAGTCAGATATAAAGTTCAACGTTCGAATTCATTGCAAAAACGACAGGGTACAGGAACGAATCCCAAATGCCATCCAGATGCCCACCCTTCTTCGTGAGGATTGAAGTCCTCTCGAAAAAGGATACCATAGAGCTATTTGGTGACGGGGGAGGCGGTTTACTGCACCTTGAGGATGGGGACTGGGAGTCATTGAAGAAAGCCAGGCTCCCGATTGGATTCGAGCATAGTAGCAACTTGAGGTATCCGAACTTGTAAGGAAGTCCGTGAGGGGAGAGAAGGTGGGTATGCGGATGGGAAGGCCAGTTGAATACAACATCCACGATTCCGCCTGGCGGTAGTGGCGAAGGAGGTGCCCGAACGCGATTGTTCCTGTATGATACGTCGGTATCTGCGTCGTCAAAGTCAGGAGGGGGTTGATAAATCAGGGCCATCGTATAAATATCAGGATCCATGGCAAATACATAGGGCCACAGGGGAAGTGTCGAGAAGTTCCGGATGACCATATTGAATGCCATGTTACTTCTGTCATCATAATGGATTATCGACTTGCTATCGCGGTTGAGAAGATTGGGGCCTACTTTGGAAACAGCATGTCCGTCGACATCGTGCAGCTCGACCCGGATAACATTCTCCAAAGGTTGGGAAGGGTTGTTGGAATGTAAATGTAGGTTGAAAGTGGCAGCATCGTTGATGACTTTGACCGCGTCCGACTCCTCTAAGCTGATGACATGAGAACCATTCAGGCCCATATTATCATGCCTTTCCACAACGACACTGCGTCTCTGAACCTTGATCGATATGTCGGCCTCGCCTTTCTCTTCGACTGCTTGTGTGGTCACCCCGGAACCCCTGAGGGTACGCAAAGCGTACGATGGTAGCTCCTTTTTCAACCTCCAGATAGCCACGATAGAAGCAATGGAAGCCTTCAACTTGACTCGGAAAGGGGGTTCATTGTTCCATCTGGTTATTCGAGCCCAACAGGATTTGGGTATTTTGAGGTCTTGGGTCTTGATTTGAGCTAAGCTCCACGTCGGGTGCGCCTCCACGACCACGACCGTGGCCAGCGAGGGATTCCTCGACCTCCGGTAGTTGTGGCTATGAAGGGCAAGTTCGCACCCTTCGATGACGCCGTGGACGGAACCAGCCTCTACTCTGACTTCACGCTTGGTGCACAAAGCGACGGCTAGGAACCTCCCGTCGACAACGAAGGGGATGTCATCGAAAAAGATGCGATTTCTGTGTTTGCCAAGACATATCGCTTTCTGGCCCTCCTCCAGGGCAGTGCGGTTGATGCAATCGAACAATTGCGCATACGTGGTTCGGTGAAGGGGGACAGAAGAAGCGGCCTGGAGGAAACTGGCAGTGAAATGACCACCCTCCCTCCCCTCGACTGCGATATTGCCCGGTGAACACGCGATGAGGACGACGTATTTAGTCGGAGAGGGTTCCAAAAATCCGAATCGAGGATTTTGAAGGTCAGCCCGTGCGGATGGCCAAAGCCCGCGGTAGAGGTCTTCACTTGAGGTCTTGCCCGCAGGGGTCCATCGGGTACGGCTGCGTTCCCGAATATTCTCTGGGGTTTGGGACGGGTTAAAGCAAGTGTCGAGAATCAGAGTGATATTGTCCCCTTTGACGTCGGCAAGCTCGTTAAGCATGGCGTGCAGGGATCGGTCGGATATCCCTGCGACACGTCCAAGTCCTTGAGCGTCCCTGGTGTCGAAGTCGTAGGTGCAGAGGACCTCCACGGTCCTTTGTTTGCGCATTCCCCGATACCAGCCCTTCGGTGCGGACACCTGACTCCCATGACCTGAAAAGTAAACCAAAATCGCGTCGCCTTTCTGTATTGCGGTGTTGTTAACGAGGTGGTCCCTAAATGCGCGCTCGATATCGTCCTTGCAAGCCTGGCCATCCGTCAGAACCTTGACGTGGTCTTTGGGTACGTCGAGGTCTTCATAGAGCCAGTGTGCGACGCGTTCAGCATCATCAACGCAATAGTGGAGGTTCCAGATACTGCCTGACTTGTAGCTGTCGATGCCAATGATGAGCGCGAAGACGGCAGAGGCGGGTGAAGTCATCTAGGAGGAGAGTCAGACTATTACATCGTTTGGAACAGGGTTACTTACATTGAGATCTAGACGGGCTAATTGCTGCTTATTGCGACTGCATCCAACTCAACTTATGTACAATGTGAGGTTGGAGTAAGAGTGCACCATCCCACCTCCTCTGCCCATCCGTTTGCCGCGTGTCCGTATCAGCCCCGCGACGGATTGGAGATTCATTCGCATTGAGATGGTGGTTCTAGAAGCGACCATTATCCTCCAACTGTTGGAGTTTCAGGGAGGCAACCTAAACCGCTAGCTACGGCTGGATCTCATCTGTGTAGAAGGATATATGGAACACCTTTGACTTGAAAGAAATGTACAGGTGGGGTGGTGAGTCAACACGTTCCATTTGACGAAATGTGCTCGAGTTCTTTTCGTTTCGAAAGGCGTGAAGATGAAAGCAGTACCAGTCAAAAGCCCGAGGCACTTGCTGAGCTCTCGCATTGAGGCGAGGCCAAGCAAGAGCAAACATGCATGGACAGCCACTGTCGGGCCGGGTCTGTGACTTGACCATTGACCGTAAGCTCAAGGACCCACGACTTGGTTTCAGTTTCGCAATGAGTTACGGACTGGTTTGCCAGCAATGTAAAGAACCGATACAGGTGCGTGGCTTCAACCTTACTTGTGCACCCGCTTATTGGAATTCAACCAGCTAGATGCTTCTCTCGTAGATCTTGCCCCTGGCGCCTATGACATGATAGCGGGCACCTTGCCGCCCCCTCCACTGATACCCAGTTCCCAACAAGGACAAGAACCGGAGAGAACAGCCTCAGCGATATCCAAGGGGACATGGCAAAGAACAACGGGATCATCGTTATCCTCCAGGTCGAATGTCCCATTGTCGCCCCGAGCTCAATCGAAGCAACCACAACGTGATTCACTTCCGAACGAATCGTTTATCGTATTGCAAGACAGTGTCATCCGAGCGATACCCCCGCAGCCCGTGTCAACCCCTAGAGCCAAGAAAGCCCCGTCGAACGTTAGGAGCGACTCCAATGCCACGCACCCATCGACCGTGGCAACGAAGACTGCTGAGCCAGAGCCTGAAAGCCCGTCCCCCCTCTCTCACCATCTGAGATCCACCGCTCGACTGTTCAACCTGCTATCAACACGCACAGAGATAGATCATCCGCTCTGCGCGGAGTGTGTGCAGATCCTCCTTACAAGTCTACGGAAACAGCTGGAAGAAACGAAGAAGGAGCGGGATGGGTATATCGCGTTTGAGAAGGAAGTCCGGAAAGAACGCGAGCGGGAAGCTCAGGGGATGACTCGCGCGGAGGCTGAGAAGAAGATTGAGAAATTGCGCGTCGAGGAAGCTTTGGCTATTGAACAACTGAAGGAAGCAGAACGAGAACGAGAGATGCTCGACGAAGAGCTCCGTATGTTGGAACTCGATGAGAAAGCGTTGGAGGCGGAAGAGGCTGAGTGAGTGCGACCGTTTGGTCCCTTGCTTGAGAAGAGTGCTGACTGCTCGTGCAAGGTTCTGGAGGATGCATAACGACCAGCTTATGGTGAAAGAGCAGCAAGCAGCCCAGCTCGCAACCTTGCGAGCTGCGTACGCCGCAGACGCCGCGACCCTAGATAGGCTCGAACGGACTAACGTCTATAACGACGCGTTCTGTATCGGACACGATGGCGTTTTTGGCACAATAAATGGCCTAAGGCTGGGGCGCGTTCCTAGTGTGCCTGTGAGTGTTCCTATCGGTTCTCGGGTCTACGCCTTGCTGATGAAACGAAAGGTGGAATGGGCTGAGATTAATGCAGCTTGGGGACAGACGCTATTGTTACTACATACTATCGCCAGAAAGCTGGACTTCACATTTGAAAGGTGACTAGCCTCCCGCTGCCAAATTCTCGACCATTGAGCTAATAAACTTTCAGCTATCGCCTAGTCCCTATGGGTTCCTTCTCCAGAATTGAGAAAACCACGGGTGACAAGGCCAGTTACGAACTCTACGGATCTGGGGACCTCCACTTTGGGAGATTGCTTCATAATCGCCGCTTTGACATCGCGATGGTCGCTTTTCTGGATTGTCTGAAGCACCTGATGGACCACATCAAATCCCAAGACGCGGGCATCGACTTTCCTCATCAGTCAGTCCTCGTTTAGTCAGGAAATGGACCTCAGCTAAGCTACCTTCCAGAATATCTAAGGACAAGATCGGGGATGTTTCCGTGAAGCTGCAGTTCAACCAAGAGGAAGCGTGGACAAAGTCATTACGACATGTACTTCTGGCGCTCAAGATATGCTTGAAATGGGCAACGAATGGTGCCAATGGTTGACCCCGTGGCAGCTCTCCGATAAAAAGTCATGACCGATGCCTTTGTATAACTGTCAGTTCCGCAGATAGTTCGCGGGTACATTTTTGTTTTGTGCATATTGAACTAGAGTAGTAGTCCCGCCGAACTGATGATTTTGATTTTGATCAGCTCTATCTCATTTGGAATGAATGACGCGATCTCATGCCACGATGACTCTATGCTCTAGTCTCTCCAGAGTGAGCGCCACTCTGAAGTGACGGTCACGAATACCTCTTCCTCTGCCTGATCGACCCACAAGGGCCTTGAAAAACTAGCCCATCGAATGGATGACAGAGCGTTACTGTCTTCCAAACTGAATGTATTCGGGCCGGAACAGCGCGACTAATTCCGTCCGGCAAACGGAACCTTCTCGCCCTGCATTAGCAATCTTACAAAGCTGCTCGCCTTCGAGATTTCTCCTTCTTTTAGTTTGCTTTTAGTCCTCTGGTAAGGCCCAAAGGCCATCCCCACTCACCTCGGGTTGCCTGCAATGGGTCTGCTCTCTGTCGGAACTCCTCTCCCATGGACAGAAGCCAAAAAATATGCAGACCATGTCAGAACTCATGGAATCACCCAGTTCCTCCACATCTGGGATCGTTTGAAGGACCGTTCAGGCGATGAACTGCTTTGGGGAGACGAGGTCTGCACCTTTCACCATGCTACATAGGGCACAACTGACAAAGCCTGCGTAGGTCGAGTACATGGTGGTCTCATTTGATAACCAGCAGAAGAACGCCAAACTCTCCCTGCGTCAGACCGAGATCCTCGAGAAGCTCAGCTCGATTGTGGACGATATCTGTGCGGACTGTCCGGACAGGTGTGTTCAGTGCTACGACAAGAGTGTGTCGATTTTCACGCCTTTTTTTCAGCGTCTCGGTCCCTCGGTTCCACCCTGAATATGGCCGTTACATGCTCGAATCGACTCCTGGATCGCCATACACCGGGTCTATTCAAGATCTCCTTTCTGTGGAGAACAACATGCGCTATAGGTGCGTTTTCTATGCTGCTTGGACAAGGATAGTTTACTGATGCATGGGCTATCAGACGCAGCCTGGCTCGTAAACACTTAAACCCAAACGAAGTACCACTGACTTTCACCTCGTTCCCCCGCCTTGGTGCCCCAGGGCAGTTCACAGAACCCTATTTCGATCCCGCCGACGCTGTCTCGAGCCACAGCTTGTTCCTGCCAGAAGAAATTACCAACCCTCATGCACGCTTTCCGTACGCTGATTCTCTTCACTGCACCTTTTTGCAAATTTGACGTCACTTTTCAGGACGTTGACTGCCAACATTCGGAGCAGAAGAGGCTCCAAGGTAGCCATCAACCTCCCGATCTTCTTTGACAAAAATACGCCTCGCCCATTCATTGATCCAACGATTCCGTGGGACAGGAACATCTATCCGGAAGACCACGGTGAGTAGAAGATATTATTAGCCGGACTTTGTACTCATAGTTTGGTCAGAGGCGAAGGATGGGGCAGCCTTGCCTGACCACATCTATATGGACGCGATGGGCTTTGGCATGGGTTGCTGTTGCCTGCAGCTAACCTTTCAATCTTGCAACGTCTCAGAAGCGCGGCGAATGTATGATGGACTCATTCCCATTGGACCGATTCTGGTACGTGTTGCAACTCTCCGAAATTCCTTCGCCTCTTCACCTGTTCACTACAGTTGGCCCTGAGTGCAGCAAGCCCGATTTGGCGAGGTTATCTTGCTGATGTCGACTGTCGCTGGAACGTGATCGCTGGAAGCGTCGATTGTCGCACAGAGGAAGAACGTGGGTTGAAGGTGCTTCTTCTCACTTTGCCATATGCTTCTGCGGGTTCTGAAACGTGGAATGAACAGCCTTTGAAGAACGATCGCTTCCGTATCCCGAAGTCGCGCTACGACAGTGTGGATCTATACCTTTCGGAAGACTGGACGAATAGGCCAGAGTACAATGATACCTACGTGCCGTACGATGAGGCTATCTTTGAAAGGCTTCGCAAGCATGGTGAGTGATTGCGAAGTAGTGCGGTGTTCGAAGCTAACAGCATGATAGGAATTGATGACCTCCTCTCCAAGCATATTGCGCACCTGTTCATCCGGGATCCCATCGTCATTTTCCTTGAAAACCTAGACCAGGACAACTCCACCAATAGCGACCACTTCGAGGTACGCCCGCCCCGGATTGCATCAACATTCTTCCGACTAATACAACGTGCCGACCCACTAGAATCTCCAATCCACCAACTGGCAGACGCTCCGATTCAAACCACCGCCACCCAACTCGGAGATTGGGTGGAGAGTTGAATTCAGAAGCATGGAAGTGCAGATGACAGACTTTGAGAATGCTGCATTTTCAGTGTTCGTCGTGCTGCTGTCACGGGCGATCCTCAAGTTCCAACTCAACTTTTACATCCCGATCTCGAAGGTGCGTCTCAACCCTGTTGGCTTCATCGAGAAACAAGCCTCTTAATATTTTAATAGGTCGATGAAAACATGGCTCGAGCACAGCAGCGTGATGCCGTGAACGAATGTAAATTCTACTTCCGAAAGGACGTCTATACGCCCGGAAGTAGTGCCGCTTCGACTCGCACACCTTCACCAACGTCATCATGCAGCTGCAATAGCGGGACGGGCCCCAAGGAGAAAAAGTTGAGAAACTGCTTCTCTCCACCTGTGCTCCCCGAAGACGGATTTGTCAACGGACATTCCGTCTCCGACGAGTACGAAGAGATGACGTTGAACGAGATCTTCAATGGGAAGGTCCGTACATGGTCTCCGCTTCGTTGTCTTCAGCCACTGACTGTCTCTATTAGGGCGACCAATTCCCTGGACTGCTTCGCCTTGTTGAAGCCTATCTGGACACCCTCGAAATTGAACCCACTGCACTAACGAAGATCCAACAGTACCTTGACCTTGTTCGTCGACGGTCGAATGGTAAGTGATGTGGCTCATGCACCATCCATGGCTTACTTATCGTCGACTAGGGTCGTTGCTAACGTGCGCCACTTGGGTGAGGAACTTTGTACGATCCCACCCTGCCTATAAGCACGACTCGGTCGTGTCTCAGGAGATCAACTATGACCTAATGGTCGCGGTCGATGAGATGTACGTGCTACTTACGCTAGATGGGAGGTTTCTCACTAATATATGCTTACAGCGAACGAGGAGTCAGGAAAGCGCCCGATCTGTTGCCTGAATATTATACAGGCGGCAACAAAGACCAGGGACACCTGGATGGTATTTAGACGAGAATGCATAGACCCGGGAGAGTAGAAGGTGTCTATTGGATATTTATGCTCATGCTTTGCTTGGTTTTGAACATTGTACTATCTAAAGATATTGACTGTATCATGAAATTGGGAAAAACCATGACCAGACAGAAAAGCACAATCTTGTGAGGTGAACCGCTGGCAAGTCAACGAGGCGCGTCGGATCAGCCCCTATCCCAAAGACGGAGGCTATTCGGCAGTCATTTCCCACGACTTTGAGCGAGCCGGCATTGGCCGAGAGGCATAACCGTCAGCACACGAAATTCGTTGTCGACCAGCTCACAAAATGTCGTCCTTCCGATTGCTGTCCTCTGTCGCTCGGCGCGCACCCGCTTTTGCTTTGGGACGACGTGGTTACGCCGATGTCAGCGACAAGTTGAAGTTGTCGTTGGTCCTCCCCCACAAGGTCAGTACCGCGCGTTTTTAGAGTGTCTTCGGGTTAACTGGAACGACGACGACGACTCTTTACAGGCCATCTTCACATCACAAGATGTCGTCCAAGTCAACATTCCCGCCGAGTCTGGAGACATGGGTATCCTCGCCAACCACGTTCCTTCCATCGAATCCCTAAGGCCCGGTGTCGTTGAGGTTATGGAGTCCTCGGGAACCCAAAAATTCTTTGGTGCGTGCATCTTCAGCATGGAGGACTGGAGGCACGGCTAACGGAGTACTCTTGGCCTCGTTTCTGCCGACAGTTTCCAGCGGATTCGCCACCGTCCACCCCAACAACAAGCTCACTATCAACGTTGTTGAGGCTGCCCCTCTGGAGGACTTCTCGCTCGAGGTGCGCTCCCGTACAACCTTACGTATTGTGTCTTCTCCGGTCCTGACTGTGGAACGTGTTCTTTCGCATAGGCAATCCGTGCCAACCTCGCTGAAGCCACCAAGGTCGCGTCTGGAAATGGCTCCGAAGAGGTCAAGACAGAGGCCCGCATCGAAGCCGACGTGTACGAGGCCCTCCAACACGCTCTCGCAAAGTAGACATGTAGATAATTATAGCATCTGACTCTCTCTATACTCTCTTGCTGAACTCTTTCATTTCCTTTATGCTGAGGGTCGGGCCTGAGAGTGATGTCGTTCTGGTTACCATTCTGCTTGCGCAATATACACATGGCATGTAGCGCGTCGTCGCCGTTGACACGGGTCTGTGGACCCAACGGGTGGATCTGGAGTCCGACGCCTTGCTCGGGCCGCTCCTAAAGAGGAGGTTCACATACCATCATTGACGAGTTTATTCCTGAACAACCACCACCATCCCACGTAACCCGTTGGAATGCCCCTCTTGCTGGGCTTTATCCTTGACCATTTGCCTTTTGCGAATTCGCCATGAACTTCACAGCCATAGGGAGTCAAATCCAGCTCCCGCCGTTCGAACCCGGTCTGTTGAAACGAATCGAAAGTCTGCCGGTACCGGAGGGGTTTCCGCACGAGGACCCTAAGGAGAAAGCCAGGCGGGAAGAGCTGTTTAGCACATTACTTCAGGGACTCGAAGCCAAAGACCCAACTGTGAGATTTCAAAAGAACCTCCATGACTTGATGGTTGATGGCCCAGTTTACTTTCGTAGGCGCAATGGGAGAGATGGGTTCAGAATACGTACCAGCGCCTAACCGCCTTGAGCCTTCCAAGCCATTCTCGCCCATATGAGAACCGAGATCGAGGCGGGGTATTCTTGATTGCCCTCCAATACACCTGGCTGTCGACCAACTCCAAGGATGCTCGCCTTGGACTTGACTTCTTGCTCCATCACCAGAATGAGCTCAGAGCCTTTTGCAACAAGAACTGTAAACCGAGGATACCTGTCAACCAATGGCGAGGCAGCGATTGGCACCTCAATAAACGGAAATATAACGATACTGGGAATCAATACTTTCCACAATCCAAGTATCCAAAGTCACATCCCCACCAAGGCTATCCGCAACAATATCGCAATAACCAGCATTGGGCGTATCACGACTCGTGGAATCGACTTCATTGTCCTCAACAACCACCTCCCCCCTTTTGTCCCAGCAACAGGCCAGTTATTCCCAATCCCACGCGAGCTACCCCGCATTCTACCTGGAAACACTCGCAGCATTGGCAAGATCCCGGAAGAAACGCAAGATCGTTCCCGCCCCGTGTCAATGACGTGAAGCCAACTAGAAAGGTAACAGCTTCAGACTCTGTCTCTCATGACACAGCTCCGAGTCATAACCACACCACTGGCAAAGACTCCGTTGTGTGCCCAAATTCCAACCCTAACGGGAACAGGAGCAAACCATTGCATGATTTCGACTCCCTCGCGAATACGCCAGTGCCGCCTTTGTCCCCCGTCCAGCCGGAGAGCAGACCTTCTGCTCTCATCGCGACTCACTGCGAGCTTCCTTCCAACACTAGCGAGGCCGTTAATCCCCCAGCTCTTCAGGCTATCGTGGGCGACGTGGGCGAGGAGGTTGCTTCAATCAAAGACGGGCCAGTCGCCATGGTATGCGACGCTGCGAACAAGGTGAAGGAGGAAGCTTTAATAGCACCGCTTGCCTTGCCAGGAACCAAGGTAGTCCTATCGGCTGTCGCGGGCGCACGAGAGGTCCCGACTGTCTCTACATCTACTTCATCGACTTCGAAGTCTATCAAAGCGTCTCTTCTCAGTTTCCCTCCCATTTGGGCACAGGTACGCCCTGCAACATATATAAAACAACTGAATTCTGACAAGGTGCGCTGTAGACTCGACAAGAGGTTTGTGAAACCTTCGAATGGTTTAGGAGTTACCAAGGGGGAGTGTACTTCTCGAATGATATTGTCAAAGGTTATATGCTAGGGGGATTTGGCGCAAAGTGAGTGGTTGCCAGTTTACCACTCGGTTCGTTCATCCGTCTCAACATGCCCACAGGCGAGATATTTTTGCTCACGGCGGCCGGTTGATCATCTCCCACGGGTAAGTATTCTCAAACACGGCGCTAAACCGTTCTTTCATCGACGCTTTGAACTGCAGCGGAGGCAAGGCAGAAAGTACGCACATGGAAAAAGGAAAGGCCACCGTCAAAGCAGCTGGAGACCAGGAAGCTACCGATAAATCCGTTCGAGCTCTTCTCAGGACGTACGAAGAGAAGAGGCCGTTGGCTTTGGTCATCGACGATCGCTATTCTTGGTTTCCTTTTGACTTAACATCCATGGGCATTGCATACACCGTGCTGGGGTTCTATATGATTGTGGACGCGTGGGGTATGTGCTTTCGGAGTTGGTAAGAGGGAGTTACTGATGGTGCTCATCCCCCAGCTGAATACGAGGAGAAAGTTGAGACTGAACAGGGCCGAGTGGTTAGGTTCAAGTTTGCTTTTCAATGGTGTGAAGGACAGGTTGGTCACTTCGCTTTTCCTTCGGTAACTCCCGACCCTGACTATTGATTCCAGGGTGATCCTTGGTGGATAAGGGAAGCGACAGGTTAGAGTCGAAGATATGTATACACTCGTTCAGGTCATTGAATTCCAGCCAAGAACCAATTCCGTCACGGTTTGACGATGACGAGGACGTAGATGCGGGCCCCCCTGGTATATATTGAGTCCCGATGCGGCATATTCAAGTTCTGACCGCTTGGACAGAGAAGCTGGAAGAATACGCGGTGAAACATGACGCTGACAAGACCGAGTGAGTGAACCTGTATACCTGTTGGCGCCCTTCTCTGACGAAGTCTTCAGCACCCCGGATACCATAAAGTGTCAGTTCTGCAACAAGAAGTCCCCGCAAGTGTTCCAGCCCACTTGGGCTTGCTTGAATTCCAAGTGTACCATGTTCTGGAGGTCCCCGGATACTGCAAACTACCTCCCGGAAGAACTGGAATACCATCCTGAATTTCTGAGGCTGCGGGATGGTTGCGTCCTGCCCATGGGACACCAATCACTCAAGCCTTCTCTTGTGGCGGAACGGGCGGACGGGGTGACCACATCGACCGCATTTACGCGGGGATTCCACTGTTCAAAATGCGGTCGCCTATCTTGCAGGTGAGGATCTTCCCTCCCAGTGTGTGTGGACAGTGCTGAGTTTCCTTCCTAAGGACCGAATGGCGGTATTGGAAATGCAGTACGCAAGGTTGCGATGTAGGCACAGTCAATCCTCCCCAATCTCTGTTGCCGCATATTAACCTGGCCTCGCTTTCAAGCAAGTCTACCGCGTTCCGAGTAGGATTCATCAGGCCAACGAGTTTTGCTACCAACCTTTGAAGATTGACTTCGATGCGGAATGGATAGCACCAAACTGCGGTACGTATCAGTAGTTTCATATGTAGTCTGATCTAAATCTTCTCTCCCAGGAATTATCAGGGAACGGTTGCGCACGTTTCCTATCGGCGATTCTGGTGCAGTCGGACAGATCCAGACCATCGCACTTCCGAAGAACAGGTGATAAGCGCCTGCGTGGCCCGTGCATAACATGAACGCTTACAATTGTCTGCTCACAGAGGCTACCTGCATCATATCAAGTGCAATGCGCCATCTTCGAAGGACCAAGTGAATGATATCTTCAAAGAGTACCAGGACCAGGCGAACAATGGCGAATTGAACTTTAGACGATGGCCTATGCGAGCGGTGAGTACCTGGTATACCGCTACTCTTTCAAGTTCTCAACGCCACTTTCCTCCAGCACAAATGTGAGTGCCTTGGATTCTCAAATCCCTTCGAGTTTACATCTTAATGTCGGGTACCAGGTCGCGGGGCCCTTCTGACCAATTACTTCTCGCACAATGGTGAAGTTATCGAACTGCCTCTAGTTGCCGTTGGCCTGACCAAGTTTTTCACTGTAGCTGGCGTTCCGTATCATGTATGTGGCCTAACCCCCAAGAACATCGCGATGCTGACGCTGCTTCCAGTATGTTGGCGGGACAGAGAATACTGTCCCATTTGACCAAGCCCCAATGGCTGTAATTCATGCGCGAGAACTCATCCAACGGCGGATATACGAGGCCCTTGGGAAAGGCGTAGAGTTCAATGAAGTTTTGACGTATGTCGACAGTCCTCCTTTTCGATGTCCTTCGTTAACGAAACCCCTGCAGAGCGGCCTACATGGAATCACAGAAGATGGCTGTACAGTCCTTCCCCCGTTCATGTGTACATTCATATTGATTGCGACCACCCCCAGTTCCACAGCGATGATGAAAAAGGCCTCGGGCCCGTCGTTGCAGGGTTGTCATTAGGTTCTCCTGCTCTGATGCATTTCCGGCTTCAGAAAAGATACAGTGGCGACAACCGAGCTTGTCTGATGAGCTTTGTCCTAAGACACGTTCGTGGTCTCCTTTTTCCATGGCTGTACACGTTCCTTACCTTGACTTTAGGGAGATATTTTGGTCATGGACGGTTCGGGTGTTCAGGAATATTACGAGTAAGTCGTGCAACACTTTTCTTCGAGCTTTGCTGACCGCATAGACAGACATACCGTTGTCCCGACTAACTTCCGGATCGCCGCAACTGCGCGTTTCATAGACGAGGGGCGTAGTCAAGTCGAGACTAGGGACGCCCGAACACACTCTCCAGTTCCTGTGTCGATTAAAAAGACCTGGACCTAAGTCTCCCCGTCAGGCATATTGTTATTCGCCACCTGTGCTTTATACTATATTATATTATGTAGATATTTACCCCCAGTGCATCTCCTTCGGGAAAGGAAGCGGTCTCTCAGTAGTGTCGGATACCTTATAATACCTGGGGTCGAGGCTTTGATGCCTATGCCTTCTTGACGTATCGATATCCAGCGGTTTGGTCGTCGCCGTAATTTTGGTGGTTTTGGCCTCCGCAGGGCCGGTGCTGTTGTTGCGCTGCAAGTAGGGGTTTGGAAGCTTCGTCTCCGCCTTCTTTTTGGAATAAAAGGTGAAGAGATCGGCAATCTGGTGCTCCACGTCCTGCTTGTCGCGTTGCAAGCGTTCCAGCTCGTTTGCCATGGTCATGACTTCACGACCAAGCTCCTTTTTGAACTGTTCAACGTGTTCTAGGTTCAGGGATGAATGTCAGATTTTGTTTGAAGTGTGGCATACGACTTGCTCACGCTGAACGTTGATGGCTGTAGCTTCTCTCATAGCCTCTACGAAGCGCAACCGTTCGCCTTTAATTTCCCCGGATATCTCTGTGGGTTGGCCCCAGTCAGCGAGAGTAGAGGTAAGGTGAGATCAAGCACACCATTTGTGAAGGTTCTCAGCATCACTTCTTGGTTCCGTTTCTGAAGCTCTATCATCCGTGCCAGTTCATTGGAATCTGGGATACAATCGAGTTAGAGCTTTTCGACCAGTGAAAAGGGGCCCCGTTTCAAGTCGGTGCTCACCAAGACGACTCTCGGAGTTGAGAACAGCGATAAGGTCATTGACAGAAGCCTGCAAAGAAGCCATATTTTGATCCCTCGCCTTCATCCCGAGGACCAGTTGGCGGACGTTGCTCAGAAGATGGGTGCTTCCAGGCGCTCCATGTTGTTGCACACTTCCCGTGCCATCCATACTGCCACCACCATCGCCATCGACGCCAGGAGGTAAAGTGACAGGCGTTCCTAGCTCGGCGCACAGTGCATCGATATTCGCTGCCAGCGATTGGATCTGCGATGTTCCGTTATTAACGAAAGCCTCTAGCCACTGTCCGAGTTTGCGTTCCGAAGCATCATGGAGGTTGTTACCGCCCGACAGACAGAAGTGCAAGGAGTGATGGGTTAGGCGTCAAGGTTGGTTGGTGAGGTTAAGATTAAAAGTTAGGGTTTGTTCGAGCGTCGAGGTACGGCACCAAGCGGAGTCGGAGTATTGAGAAAGGCACGCAGAAAACCTTTGAATGCGCGTTGTTCATAGAAGCAGTTAAAGCTCACTTTGTTGAGTTCATTCAAGTAGCGGACGCTGTCAACCTGTTGCAGAGCCTGCTGTTCGCGATGTGTGACATCATCTTCCAGCAAAGAGACAATTCCTGTGACCTGTTTAAGGATGAAACGCCGATTAGCTCATCGTTTCAATAGAGCGAAACAAGGGGACTTGCTTCTTGCTTCAACTCCCGGCTGGTGGCAGCAGAATCGGCATGATTGGTGCCAACTATACCCAGAACCTTCTCCAAAGTTGTCTGCAAAGGGATCAAATCAAGGGCTAAAGCGGTAGGACGAAATTGAGCATCTACGGTGAACGGACGGATCCCTCCTTGAGAGGGACGAAAAGGCGACTTACCAGCTTGGTGAACTGAACCAGGGCTGGTGACATCATGGGTTCGCGACGACCGAGAACGATGATCCTCCTGCCTCCTTTCAGCATCGGCTACATCTTTACTGAGCTCCAAGATCCTGTTATTAATCACAGGGAGCTCAGAAGCCAACTGCATCTTGATGTCTCGCAATAGCGCTCCCAATTCCTCTGCCACACCATTTGCCACATCCCCATCAGCTCTGTCAACCCCGCTACCATCTCGAGCCCCATCAGAGCCACCACCCCGACTGCGATTTCTATTCATAGCACCCTTATCATTATCACCTTCGCCCTTCCTCTCGCGGCCATGCGCAAAGTCGATCCCGGAGCCTCGGCTAAAATCCAAATTGTCGCGGTCACTCGAGCCTCCATCCCTGCGGGTCGCAATCCCCAACCGCCTCTCCATACTTTCCAGCGCCTCTTTGACATGCAATAATGTCTCGTTCGCAGTATTGAGGCGGTGATCCAGACCGAGCGCGATTTGGTGTATGGTTGGAGCTCCACCTCTAACTATAGTCGGATTGGCGGCCCCTATCACGACGCCTACTCCTACTGCAGTTCCATTTCCACCGAGTCCATCTCCAACGGCATTACCGTCACCAGCGGCCAAGTCCGCTGTTGATACGACATCTGCGCTGGACCCGGTCCTGATTCTCGCACTCTGGCCCTCCCCGGTTACACCCAACCCTCCCAAGACGAGCTTGATCTCTCGCACTCCACTCGCTATCACTTGCAGCTCATCAAGCCCGACCTGTCTTCTCATCTTCTCCTCCCGACCAACAAACGTCTGAGTATTCGATACTCCGGGGTCCATGGAAACCACTCTAGTTTCTTTCTCATTATGACAATACTGCTGATGTTCGCCGTCCCCTTTCAAGGTCGATTTATTCTGGAAATACACCGTTAGAAGTGCACCGTCTCCACAGGAGTGGGTTCCGCTTGGAACCGTGGACTACTTACGAATACGATTGCTCCAGGGTAAGCTCCTAACACCGGTGCAGGATCATGGTGCGGAGAAAGCGAATGACTCTCGTCCTCCAAATCCCCTATGGAATCTTCACCCCTCATTCGAGTCGCATTGGATGATAGCCCAGCAGGATCAATACCTGTCGGACCTCGCTCCGGCAGAGGAAGCCCCGAGACGGGAGGCATTTCATTACCACCCCCTGGGGCAAATCCTGCATCACCAGCTGTAGCACCAGTACCTGCCTTCTTAGTCGCCTGCTCCTGTCCCCCCTTCTTCTTCTCCTGCTACAAGTAGTGAGACTGAGATAACACCGCCATCGTACGATTTCATTGCTTCCACTCACGTAGGGGTTCGAATTCGAGCTTTTCGAGCCTTTGGCGGTGTCCGAGGTGGAGCTTTGGTGTTGGAGGTTGCTGTTGTTCCTATTGTTGACTTTGCTGGAGAAGCCCGAGCCTGAGGTGAAGATCGAACCAGCTCGCGTGCCTTGGTGAGAACCAAGTGAGACCCCACTGGCACCACCTCCCGCCCTCTTTCCATTTCCGTGTTGTGTTGGCGTAGGTGGTGTAGTCGCATCGCTTCCTTTTCTCTCCATCTGGGCTACCCTTTGTTTGACCACGGAGAGATGACTAAGGTTTGCGATACTCGAACTGGGGGGTCGGCGAGCCAGACCAGTTGACGCAGTGCCAGAGCTCGAGTCGGAAAACGTAGACGATAGTGGACTCCCTCGCGAATAGACACTACTGCCGCCATCCGGCGAAAGCATCCCGTTCTTTACTTTCAACCTCCCTTTGCTCGACTGCGACCTCGATGAAACCCGGAGTTGAATCGGGGTGGGAAGTTCTGGTATGGAGCTGGCGCTACTGTACTTGCTGCTAGCCACACTACCTGCCATACTATTGTTGCTATGCGTCTTGACGATCTCATTCGTGATATGCTTAAACGAGTCGTTTGGTTTGGCGGGAACTGACCGCGATTGCGAGCTGGAGTTTTGGCGCGAGACTGGGAGGGGAGGGAGGGATCTGTCAGTACTCGTGCGGCCTGAGATGCGAGGCGGAACGGGTGTAGATAGAGATGGCGGGCGAGGTTTCATGAGCTCGTCCGACTTCGAGGACATCGACGCGTCGGGATAGGGTTCAGGAACTTCGACTGCCTTCGTCTGGTGTGGGGTATCCCCAGATGGAAGGATAGAGTCCCTATTAAGAGATGGGCGCTCGATCATTAAAGACATCCCAAAACCCAATGCTCACCAGAATGCGCTAATCCACTTTGCTCTTTCACGAACGCTCCTGACAGCGAACACCTCCCTTGGCTTCCTCTCGAAAAGGATCTCGAACACCTTGAGTTCGTCCTCGTCCTCGCCTTCGCCAGCGTGTCCTCGGCCTTTCCCTGCAGAGCCCCACGCATCCAATGCTTGAACAGCAGCAGGATCGAGCGCGTTTAGGTCAATCGATCGAATGTCTGAGCACCCGACCAGATCGATCTCGTGAATGCAGGGAATCATTGTCGTCCCTCCACCATCCGTATCACTGAACCAGGAAACAGTGATTTTAGCATCCTTTAGCGTAATCGTCGATGTCGTCCACAAAGGAGCAGGGTGGACTGTCCGCTTTCCATCAGAATCGTCACCTCCAACAGGGGACAAGGTGGTGAGATAGATGAGGGTCCCTGTCTGAGTCTGCGACCGGGAGAGGAGAGGGCGAGAATCATCGCTTAGTGCGAGAGGCAACAACGGGAGTTCTTTGGAGATGGAGTGCCTGTTACGTCCCCCAGTTTGATCTCGAGAATTTGTAGCTGAGAGACCGGGAGGGGGGAAGATAGGCCTGTCTTTATCCAGATCTTTAGAACTCGATCCCAGTTTACCCTTTTTGAGGATAGTGAGGAGATTTCGGAAGGAGTGACGGAGAGGGTTATCCTTGTCTTTCTTGGCTGGGGGAGAGGCCAGCCCAGTCCTGTAGTGCGGATACTGGGAGTCGGAGTGGTAAGTGGAACGTTTCGTCGCTGCTGGTTCACCCGCGGCAATATTCCGCACAGGACGAGAATTGGTCGAGTGTGCTCGCGAAAGGCCTGGTTGTTGTCCACCACGGCCGTAATAGACTTTGGAGCTAGCAGCCTGTTCCTCGAGGATTGCATCTTCGTATTGTTTGACGAGTTGTTTGGTGCTTTTCCGGTGTTGGAGGGTGGGTCGCTTCGGGCCAGAATCCGGGTCACTTTGCGACAGAGCACATTGCCTGCTCATCGATCTAGGTCCGACCATGTCTTTTACAGGGATGAAGGCAAGAGCTTAGAATTGTGCATGCTCCGAACGCGAGACATTATGTGAAGCAGACGCGTTGTAAATTGGACTAGAGCGCGTCGGGGTCAAGTGATACGCTTCGGACCTTCATGGTTGACCAAGCGTGCATGATATATTCTATTCCGGTTGGTTATGACAATAAACCCGCCACTGCAGAGAAAACATACAGGATTCCCGTATTTGAGCCAGCTCAGCCTCGAGTCAGATAATGAGAATGCTAATCGTCATTGCAGTGGATATGGGCGGTGCTGTTGACTCGACATAAAATGCAAAGATAAAGATCCGTGGTGGTCGAAGACAGCATCGTTACATGCCGAGAAAGGTGTGGAATGCACCGGACGAGGTTGAGCATCGCATTTTGCGGTGGAATAGTTGGTCGGCGAGGGCGGTTCCCACGGGCCATTTGTCGGATCAGTAGATTTGCGTCGGGCTTGGCACTATGACGGTATGACGCTCTGGGTTGCGGATATGACGAGTGGGCATTTGGTCTAGGCCGTGGAGATAAAATAATATTTTGTAGCAGTAGTAAGTAATGATAGGAAGAGGAAGCAAACATATGGGCTGCTGTTAGAAGTTCTTCTAGAGTGTGTTGAAATCAAGTCAACGACGGGCATGGCTGGCTTGTGCAAGCGATAACGACCAAAATTCGATGGCCAAGTTGCCATTTTGGGAGATAGCGGCGCTTACACATGACGATGACATCATTGGGTCGATTTTGCTGGGTCGTTGTTTCCAAAAGCATTAACCGGGCCAGTTTGGCTCCTCGCACCAATCCCACAAAGCAACAAAGCCACTCTCTTATTTCCACCACTCACAGGCACTTGCGTCTCTCTTCCTTTCCACCAACTTGGACAATGCCAGACCTCACCAGATCCACCAGCGGTCAGTTCTCCTCTGCTCGTCGCCCATGCAGCCCCTGCTCATCGTCGACTCTAGGCTCCTCATCACCCAAGACACCGACACCCAGGTACACAAAACGCAATGCATCGTTCAGCTCACCGAGGGAGGTGCCATTACCGTCGCCGACAGTTGTGAACGCAGCAGAGTCGTATTTCAGCGAGGGAGTGGGGAGTGAGCGCCAAGAGAATCATACAGGATCCGGATCAGACCTCGTGGAATCCTCTCCGGGCCAATTTTCAGGCTCGTTCTTCAGGTTCTCCTCAGCCAGTCTTCCCTCAAACAACCAAATCCCTTTTTATGCTCTCCCGGACAGGAAACCCATGCAAGACTCCGGTAATGAAAAACGAAATCCACTCTGTCCACCAATCCACGAGTCCTCTTCTTCCTCAGATGACTCTATCGCTTCCGGCTCTTCCTCATCATCCTCTTCATCGTCGTCCTTCACATCCGCAGCAAGCTCCAACACACACAATCATACACACATCGACTCTGACCGCAAACCACCCCCTCTAGACCGCCCAGTCAGCCCAGTCAACAACTTCCCTACCGCAATGCGTCGCTCGTCGCCAGCACTCTCCCTGCCAACCACCTTTTTGCCACCAGAACCCCCCAGAATCCTTGAGAACGAACCAACACCTTCAGAATCTGCAAATCGCGTACCAGCACCCTATGAATTCTTCCTCAACAGCAGAGGCCCGCCGCCAGCGGACAGCTGGCTCGAAATCGAAACACTTCACACCGAGTACCGTCTCTTCGCCCGCCTGCCAGGTTTCAGCAGAGAAGGAATCACATTGGCCACGAAACGCAGGCGGATTTTGCACTTGGTAGCGGATAAATGGGACAATGGCGGTGGTGAGTCGCCCTTTGTCGTTGAGACCTCCCGAGATTTAACACGTTTTTCTCCCACAGGGCACTTTGAAAGGCGGATATCATTCGGATACGATGCAGACCTGGTGCAGGTGCGAGCAGAGTTTGACGGTGAGATGCTGAGGGTCACCATCCCTCGACGGCATAACTGGTCAAGCTCACGGATTGCGTACTCGGGGAGAGCATGCTAGGCCGGTTGCCATCGCTGGCCCAGCGATCAATCTTTCCATCCTCAACACTCCCGTCGCTGCGCAACGACCGTCCGCACGACCACCAACCCAGCGACGGCGCCAGCCCTCACCTCGCCCTCATCGACATCGTGCGAGGAATCCCCGCTCTTTTGGAGCGGATGGAGCACTTCGCTCCTCTACCGCACCACAGCTCCCAACCTGTCCGCAACTCCCAGGATCCCTGCAAGTTACCGATCTCCCGGTATATTTGCGCATGTTCTATTCTTGCATCCCGTCGGCCTCGTTTTCTACGCAGCTGTTGCACCAACCTTTATGTCATGAAACACACACATCGCATCGACTTGGTCTCGCATCATCATCCGCATCGGCATTCGTCATTTTCACCAGCAGCAGCAGCAGCAGTTATATCTATCGCAACGCATGTATCATCCACATCTGTATATTTTCTGCGCTTTCTTCTTTCTTTCTTTTGCCTGAGATAGGGGGGAGATCGGGGTTTTCGTCCTTTCTTACAACGTTATTCCTGTCCAGCCACGGCTCGCCTACACTATCCTATTCCTAGTACCTTACTATCTATCGGATCACCTCGACGACCGACCCAACCCTTATACCACACCACAGACACTGCACTCCACCCCCTTTTCGGCCCCTTTTTTATTGTCCACCCACGACCAAAAGAAGCAGAGATGGAAATGGCAAGTCGATACACGCCCCAAACCCAGCGAGTCATACCTTGCGAATGCCATGACATCCTTTTTTCATGATATGTTGCGATCATCTGCTCTCTTTATGATCAGAGATCTCGATGTAACAGATGCCTCGTTGCACACTCGCCATTTGTGTACTTGGGTCTTGACTCCGGTTTTTCCATCTAGCCATCAGGACTCTCTTGGTCATTTCTCTTGGGACTGTGGTCAGTTCGGGACTCGGAAGCTTATCAACCCAGCTACACTTTTTCGTCCATTCAGTGAAAAATCTCTCAGGGCGCACGGTTTCCGGGTTCACCAGTCAGTCATTCAGGGTCGTAGGCCGTTGCAACGCGTTTTCCGACTCAGCGCTATGGACCATTCGATCGCATGTGTCCTGCAAGCAACCGTCCGACTTTTATTAGGCTTCCACTAGCCGACCGGATTTGTGGGTGACCGTCCCCGAGGTTGAATTGCGCACGGACCCTTCCACCCTGAGCGGCGGCGGCGACAATGTCCGTTCGCCGGACGCAGCGGGCGCCCCGCCTCGCCCCACGGCCTCGACTCCCGAAATGGACTCCTTCAATCCGCCTTGCTGCCCTTGCAAGAGTCGTACCCGACCACACATCTGACCTTCTATTCGCTTTCCATTGGGACCCCGCTCCAACAAGCGCCATGTTCACATTGGTTCTCTTGTTCCCTCACTCCCGCGAACACATACACTTATCCCCTTCCTCGTCAATGACGATGGATTGATCTGATTGGTCGACAGTTTGTTCATTGATTGCGAATGGGGAGCTTTGTCTTTCCATAGAGAAAGAAAAGATATGCAAAAACCAGTGGTTGCTGATTGGCCGGAGGTGTTTCTAGCGTTCTTGAACTTACAAGTCCGTCGGGAAGGGTCTCTTTCATCCATCTCACTTCCCTTTTGCCTTTACCTTATGATGCTATTTATAGCGTCATGACGAGAGTAATGACCCTTTCGAAGGGCTTTATGTTGTGTCATTGGTTGTTTCTTTCGATGGTGATTGGTCGATTGGTTCTGGGCCTGGATTCGGCGGTTGGACGTTGACTGGGTTGGGTGGCGGTTGGCCGTGGTTGTGGGGCAGGAAAGGGCTATTTTTACTTGTAGAGGGACCTCTGGGCAGCCGCTAATTGGTCGGGGGTGAATATCACTTTCCTCCATCCGTTGTGGTTTTCTCTCACATTGGCTGCTCCTCCTTCTCTTCTTCTTTCCCCTTCTTCATCCTTCTATCCTCCGTCTCCAGTCGCTTTCAATTCATTCTAGTCATGACATACACGCCTTTATCTTGAGCCTATCGTAGACACCTTTTCTAATTCCCTGTATAATAATCGTAACTTTATATCCCCTCCTCTGTCAGAACTCACACTCCATATCTTCTATAACGGCACACAAATAGTATATATGTAACCGTTTTCCAACTCGAATGATCTCCCCTTCGAACTCCTTGGCTGTGTATTAGTACAACAACGTTCCTCGTCACAAAACCACGTTCGTCTGTCACAATAATCCCACAGACGAAGCATACTTATAAATGACATGCAACACAGTGAGCAGCTGCTGTTTAGATCGAATTCGATGCCGTCTGAGAGAGGAAAGTAGAGTGATAGGCAGAATATGTATTACTGTGGTAGTGACAAGGAACAAGGTTAGTACCCCCGATGTACGACACATACATGTGCGGCGCAGGGACCCTGAAAAATGACAGAAATAGACGAAAGAAAGGCGCATGGGTTGCGCGAGGGGTCGACCTCGACGACGAATGGACCCATGGTCATGATCGGATGACCTCCGGTCACCGGTAAGTGCCTAGTGCCTCGAGCCCATGTTCAATCGAGGGTGACCACGTTCTTGAAATCGACGAACAATCGCCGACCGACAGAAAGTCTTTCAGGTCTGGATCGCTATCCCGACAAGTCACCTTCGAGGCAACCATAACACCTCTGCTTCTTCTTTTACCCTCCAACCTGTTCACAGTAGGGTCAATCGTTTTCATCTCCAATGCGCTTCAAGTCTCTTCTCACCGCGCCGCGGGATCACTATTCGCTGTCGATCAAAAAGTAGGATCGAACACCACTGGTGCTGGGTCGCAAGTTGTGTGGGTCGCTCGCGTTGCTACTAGCAGCAGGCCACACTGGTCGTTTGGCAGGTCGGCGTTGTAACCTGGTGCCGCAGGTCGTCCTCGACGTGATATCCTGCTTTCGATTAATCGGATCGCCCTTGCTTCTTAGCACCCTCGAGCAGTCCCTCCTTCTCTTCTTTTTCGACCGCCATCGCCGTTGTAGACCGAGTCGGTCCTGAACCAGCAGGCGAGGGAGAAGAGCAGCTCGAATTGCTCGGTTCGAAGTCGGTGGATTCAGACATCGTCGTGTCCGCAATACCCCACACATGTTCAGCTCTAATACGCGGTGCAAAGGGCCGATTGACCATCGCCTCGGCCGATGCATATGTGGGTACGACCTTGGTTCCAGTGCTGGTTCGCTCTTCCTTCATTTTATCTAAAGCTTGGTTATCAGATTTTAAGAAACTCCGGATTACGGTCATGCGACCCTCGTCTAAACCTAACTCACCTGAACTAGAACCTTTTATTGACGACCTCGAATTCAAGCCTGAACCTGAACTGGAAGCTCCGGAGCGTGGTTCACCAAGTGCGGAAGGCGTATCCCAGACAAGGGTGGTGGTCGCATTAGAGTCGTGGGTACCAAATTCCACCCTCGAACCGGAGTGCCGCGGTTTTTGTCTCTGCTTTTGTCGTCCATGGCCAGTTTTGTCTTCGAGATCCGTCAGTGCGTTCGGCCTGCCTGGACTATGACGGTAGTCGTGTCTGTCGTGACAATTCAGGTGATCTGGTTTCTCGTTTGCCACCGCGTGTGGGGCATTTGCAGGAACCGAACGATAGTTCCCGTCCTTTAGGCTCGCACCAGTGACTGTTAGGCTTTCGCCATTTAACATGCCAAGGGATACGGCGTCGTTCATCAAAGCCGGGCCCCCATCCTGTGCTATTATTCCAACCCCGCGTTTGGATCTTCTTTCCCATTTTCGTTCTTCAATGGGAAGAGGCGTCCACTCGCCCACGTTTGCGTTGTAAACCGCACTAGTCATTTCCTGGATTCTCGATAAAGCTCTTTTGAACGCGAATTGTTCATCTTGACCCGAAAAAATGGATAGCTCGTCCAATGACTGACGTTTATGCCGTGGCGAGTGGGAGGCAGCCTCGACATTTCGTGCGATTTCGACTTGCATTTCTGGTGCATCGTACGATGAGACGTTGGGTCTGTAGTACTCTTGTGATTCAGCGACACTTTCAGCCAACATTAGATCTTCCGTCGAATGATCTTGTAGGAGAGAAGCAGTGACGGCGAAGGCGGAGGAATTAGGGAAGAAGATGGATTCAGGCGGTGCGTGGGCCAGGCAAACCAGTTTGCATCGGGATTCATAGAGCGCGTCAATGAGCGAGATGAAGCGGCGTGCTTGGTTCTTTGCCGAGAGCGGGAGAACGGGGATGTCGGTAATGACGATATGGGAGAATGTGGATGCAAGGGTGAGGTAGTCTGCTGCACCCAGGGACTGATGACATGGATGGTTTAATTAGGAGGGCAATCAGTGAAGACGGGATCGCATACCTCTTCACAGAGTTCCTCGAAGGTGAATTTACAAATTTCGCCGTGCGACCATGGGACGTGAACGCTGCGACCAAAGACATTGAGGTCACGACGTTTGGGCTCTGAAGGGTATGCTCAGGATCCATCTTGACAGGACGTACAGTGTTTGCTTACCTCCAGGTTGAGCACTGGCTAAGCGCACTATAAATGATTCGAAATCACCCTTCCGACTCATAGTGAACCAAGTCTTGTCATTTGACCCTTCCGTCACACCCTTGCTCATCTCTTCTCTCCAATCCTTCTTGACGTCAAGCTCTACCACGGGACACCTCGCCTTCAAGGCCTCGACAAACGGCTCTAGCCTCTCCTTCTGGACGCCATTTTTGTAGAGATCATCGGGAACCTTATTGGAGGTACCAACAACGATTCCACCCATACGCCAGTACCATGACAGAACGTCGGAAAGCAAGCCTGCACTAGAAACGTCCAAAAGCTGGATTTCGTCAAAGACTAGGAGCCAGTATCGGAGAACTAGGCGTTTGGCGACTACGAATGCGATCGTCGGGTCCGCATACGCACTAGAAGAGCGAACATGGCGAGTCCATTTGGACGGCAATCGGTTCTTGAGCAATAATTTCTTCCATTGATCTTTTATGACCCTGTTCCATGGTGCACGGCCTTGCGATTCGTGAAATGTCGCGTCGGCGTCGGTGGAGGGCCCTTTGGTCAGGTTGTGTGCATGCATACGCCGTTGGGTCTCTTCCCATACACTTCGATAGATCTCCAGAACCAGCTGGTTGTAGTGTTTGCGAGCTTTATAGGGCGTTGATAGGGTGCTGTACCAGAGATCTATGATAAAACTCTTCCCAGAGCCGGGAGGCCCGGTCAAGAGGATACCCTATAGGGCGGGAAGGTTATATCTTGTTCAGGGGACCAGCAGAGCAGAGGATTAACACACTTTGGGTGTCGTCAAGGCGGCTATCTCCTCAGCGTGGGTCTTGCGAGTTACGAGGGCTTTGACCTCCTTGTCCAGATGCTCTTCCTCGGGCGAATACTTCCACCACGGGAGTTCGTCCTCGTCGGCCGGTTCCGGTAATGGGGACTGGAGTAACCGGGCAGACAAAGCAGGTGGTGCGTAGTCCACTAGCTCTCGCTGAAGCTTTCGAAGCTAGGGTCGCGGAGGTTACTGACTTTTCCTCTTTCCAGGGTGGATGGACCGTGTAACATACCTGCATGATAATCCGGATCTGGTCTTCATGATATGTGATCTTTCCGAGGGTAGTCAGAGACTGGTATCTCTCCAGGAGGTCAACCTGAGCTGGGAGGTTGCTGGCAGCTGCCGGGTGTATTTGGGCGAGTAAATTTGGGCTACTGTGAAGTTCCCGGATGCATACAATTGTCTGGGACCGTCGTTGAGAGTGTTGAGCCTGCTGCCTAGCAGCACCGACAAGCGGAGGCCGCTTGACCAAGAGCAACAGACGCAGTTGGCCCATCACAGAGCGGTGAAACCAGGAACTGGTCGCTCGCTGCCCATGAAATCGACGGAAGCAATCCCGCGTCTACCGCGCGTTCTCGATGACGCCAGAGAGTGCTGTGTATACACTGGCGGCTTGTGTCCGCTCGTCGCTCGTAAATCGCGAAATTGCAACTTTTTTTTTAAGGAAAACAAGGGGCAAGGGAAAGGATGATTGATGTCAGGCACAGGGCGATAATTTGCAATGCAACCGCCACTTTTGGGTGGCATCAAAGGGCAACCATGCATGAAGTTTGGCGTCTTTAAACTTGTCTCTTGCCCTTTCACGACTCGCCCCCAATCCACAAAAATTACACGTCGACGCACAGCAGGAGGAGCATGCTTCCCCCGCAATCTTACATAGCGTGGAAAGGTATCCATACTCTTTTTTTCCTGGCCTATTACTGACCAACTATCTTTCAGTATGCCTGACGATCCTCCATGCTGTCGCCGCTAGCTCGACGTTCCTCAGACTCTGGGTCCGCTTCCAGACGCGAAAAATGTGGTGGGACGACTATGTGGCCGGCTTTACGCTGTTGCTCGATATCGCATATGCGATAATGCTGTGGTTCAGATTCCATGTCCCAAGTGCGTCCCTATCCATTTCGAACGAGTGGCAGGGAAATAACCAACCGTGAAAACTTCAGACCCGACACGAGAACAAGAATTAGACACCATCGGCATATCCTGGGTCCACTCTCTTTTGTATTTCACGATCGTTTGGTCAGTCTCTTTCCCGATTCCCCGGAAAATGCCCACTCAAACCTTTACGTAGGTCTAGCCGTGTTAGCCTGTCGCTGGCGATAGCCAGAATCTTTAATCCGGGAACAAGAGTCCGCCAGTGGTTACTCGCCCTCACCGGTTCCTTCGTCGCCGCCTATGTCACTGTCTGTCTCTTGACAGGCTTAACCTGCGCCTCTGGAGCAGACTGGCCAAAGTTCCAGTTCGATTACCGATGGTGCAAAACGGGCCTCGGCGGCTACTACATCTCAGGTCTCGTCTCCATCTGCTGTGAGTTCTTTGTTCTCATGTTGCTCTTCGACCTTGCAGATCCGAATTCTTGTTGATCATCAAACTCCACCAGTTGATTTTATTGCAGATATCTTGCTCGTCGTCTGTCCTCTCATACTCCTCTGGCGCGTCAACCTGCCGACAATAGAGAGGAGTCTGGTGCTTGTCGCCTTTTCTGCGAGTATATTTACCGCCTTGGCCGCGGTTGTATTTTGTATTTTTTGGTATGGCACATTCGACGTTGGACCCGACCGCCGCATCCTGATGGCAGGAGCAGCGCATATCCAGGTACGCGCTTCTCACCCCACCGGTCGGATTCTTGCCCCAAGTTTGGCAGGTGAACTCACTCTCACATCCCTACCCAGGCCGCCGTCTCCCTCATTGTGTGCAATTTCCTGGTCAACATCATGTACGTCTGGAGATGCTGTTGTCGTTCCCGACGTGCAGCAAATCAACAACCATCCCCCTCCGCGGAAGAGGAAGGCTCGAGTACCGTACCCCGCATCCAGACCCTCGAACTCCCCGAACGAGGCCCCGAATTCCACTGCACCTTCACACCCATCTCAGATCACAGCTTCAACACCAACTCCCAAGCCCGCACATTCACGCCCATCACGACGCACGACTTTTTGACCACCCGCCCTCTTACTCTTACTTCCACTTTTGAATCGCTCGTCCGTCGCGTTGGCATCGAGAACACACCGTTCCGCATACGCAAGCACAGCATCGAATGTATCAGATCCGTCCCATAGCAGTTGTAACGCTTGGACTAATTGTAAACTTGGACACCTAGCACTAGCAGCAACCACTTGACTTATGCTTCACTTGTACATCTTAGGTATTTGTTTAATACTCCTCTCACTTGTACTTGTATCCTCCATCACTTGTCGCTTGTCCATCTAGCAGCTACCTTTCATCCCACTTGTAGATATATCCATGTTACCGATACCAATAGCACATTTGCAAAGACAGCAAAAACATCCTTCATAAAATAGTAAACCAGGCGTTGCAAATCATCAAAGTCGTAAGTATCGTCAGTCAGGTGTTCGTAAGTCTGAAATCTAATAGTCCGTGTCCATGAGATAAATCGCCTTTCCCCGGGGGGAGATCATGGCGGCAACTTTAGAATGAGCGTCGAGAAGGTCACCACCGCGGGTAGCAACCAATTCGACGAGATCCGGGTCCCTTTTCACACCCAGCAAGGTTTCAAGGTTGGTCGAACCAATGGCGAAAACTTCTTCGCGAGTCATTCGGCCACCAGCGTCTATCGCAGCCTGAAATTGTGCCTTTAGCATGCCCCTACTGGAAAAGATCGCAGCAATTGGCTCAACATACCCAAGTCAAATCGAAGGGAAGGTTCCTGGCCTCCCATATCGACAGGCACCCGATACCCACCAGGACGCCCTCGTCCAAAAGCGTTGTCAGTGCGGTCTTGTTGGTCAACGGAGGTCCAGGTAAACTACGCAAGCGAATTTAGTGGAAGTCAAGAGTTCAGCCAAAACTCTACTCACATGCGACGATCTTCCCAGGTAGCGGGGAAAGGGCGAGAAGGTGACAGTACTACGCCAACACCCGCATTGGCGAGCTCCTTGGCCAGCAGATGGGCTTCCGAGGCCCCTGTGATTGTCATCTGTATAGACTTGCGGGCATCCAACTCTACTTGTTGCTTGAGAATGAGAAGCGTCGCAATGACATCGGCACTGTGAGCCTCAACAACGAGTGGAAGACGTCCCTATGAAACCAAACTTAGATCAGCCCTTCAACAGTCACAATTTCGATGTGAGATATCCTTACGTCTCTCACTTTGCCAAAGTAGTGGCCCGCCGCTCCTTCCACTTTGCCAGACAAGAGCCTACGAAGCGCCGCAATTTGCGTGCTGACGCTGGGCTTCCCGATATGCTTGATAGACACATGCATCGCCGTGACCTCCTGGAGGACAGCTCCAGGTTCTAACCTGTTCCTTGCACCCGTGGAGAAGTGGACTCCAAGCCCCCCATAAAATCCGTCAGACTTCGGGGCAGTGACGGCAGTAGTAACCCCAGTCCGATATGCAAGGCTGGAACAAAAGTTAGTTGTGACGACTGTGACGACTGGAAATGAAGCAATAACATACAAAGCATCTCGGCTGGCAAATTCAAGACCGTCGGAAGCCCGGACAATGGCAGTATCCCCTCCCATAATGTTGGGGAGGCTGTTGACCAGCGGGTCGAGGATGTCCCCGTCGTTGGTCGACGCTTCAGCTGCAATATTTTGTAATCCGAGCGGTGAGCCAAACGTCAAGAATCCCGGAGCGATGCTTCCACCATCGAGATCAACGATAGGAGGGCGGATACCGCCGCTGTTGACAGCTGCAATGTCACAGGCGATGTGTGTGCCTATGCAAGTCATAGTTCCTCCAGTTACCACCACAACACCCGTTCCGTCGCCTTCCTCTACAGAGAGCACTGAAGTGATTCCTTCCCGTGTACGTTTGAAAACCGACTTGACGTTCGTAAAGACAGTCGTTTCTTCCGATGATTGCTTTGGTTCCAGAGGTGGCAGGCCGTCATACTTCAGAACTTCGGCCGCCTCCTTGTCGAAATTGGGCACTTTGGGTAGTCGTTGGAAGTTGTGAGGCTTTCGAGTCACCTGTGGCTCCTCCAGCTGGGGAATTCCATCGATGAAGACTTGAGCCGGGGTCGCACCCAACGCCAAGGGGTGAGAATCCCAAACGACAATGTCAGCGTCGAATCCTTCTCTGACATAACCGATGCGGTGACTCAGTCCCATAACCTCTGCTGGATTGGTGGTCACAGAAGCCAGAGCGAGATTCCATGGAAGACCATAATAGTATGCTTGCTGAGCCTCGTACAACAAACGGCGGGAGTCCTGGAGGGGATGGTCGCTCTGGTCAGGTAGGCATTAGCGCGAATAGCGAAACGAATGTACTCGCTCACAAACCTTCATTACGACAGTGATGCCGTTCTGTGCGAGAATACGAGGGGCGAATTCTGATGCACGGTATGCTTCTCGTTTATACCTTCTCAGAGTAAGGCAAGAGTTACAATAGATCTCTGGAAGGGAGATACTTACCGAGCGGCACTGGCGAACAGGGCTACAGCAGGCGTTTTCCCTTTTGATCATGTATGAGGTTGAGAAGGCAATGGAAGCAATGTTTGCGTACCGTGTGCTCTTTTCAGGACTTCCGGGACCAGATAAGCCTCGCTAGCATGATGGAAAGCCGCGATTGGAAACTTGAACTCGTTGGACAACCTGACCATCGCATCAAGGTCCACTGCTTCGTAACAATGAACATTGAGCTTTGCACGAGCGGAATTCAGCACAACTAGTTCAAAACATATGCAATGGAATCTACCTTGACTCTCCCTCTTAGAACATCCACCAGAGCTTCCCATTGGAGAGGATCAGGGAATTCGCCAAGCTCTTTCCAATTCACGTTTTTCGAAAGAACTCGAGAGCAGAATTGGTCCTGCTTCTCTTTGATTCTCTTGGCGGTGTTGTAACTGAGAATAATTCTTTTTCCTGAGTTTTCCTACAAGATGAGAAATGAAGAACTAACGCCTCTCTGAATGCCCACATCGTATCCATCCGCGTTGACTTGAAAGCTTCGTCTACGACAGAGGGTGAGCTTACAGAAGGCACACAGAGAGATGGAACATACGTGGGGTTTCACCTGATGATCACGAACACCGTTATTCAGACTGTAGATGTAATCAAACAGCACGTACCGCACGCGTGCCTATGAAATGTCAAATCAGTGCGAGCGCACGAGGGATGACAATCAGCATGATACATACTTCATGTAGCGCCACCTTGGCGGGAGGTTGGGGTTGGGAAAGGATGTATTGATGTGGTACGGAGGCTCTACGAGCATTGCGGAGGGAGAACGTTCGGAAGTCTCGCGAAGCTTCACCACGAAAGCTTGGCCACCTGGAGGGTCAACCGATGAGCAGCGTGTTCGAGTAGACCATTACCTCCGTACCTATGGCGGCCTCTGACCCAGGCAAGACAAGGGCGGTTGTCACGCCTCCTGCAATGGACAAAGGGTACGACTCGTCGTGAGTGTTGAGCCCGTCTAAACTTCGAAGCCAGGGTGCCGCAATATTCTTCAAAGAGTCAACGTCGTGAGCACCGTCCAATAGAGGCAATGGGGCGTTGCCAATGTGAGAATGGATGTCAACGATTCCAGGTGTTATCCAAGCGCCTTGGACATCCGCAACGAGGAGGTCATCACCAAAAGTCTCCTGCAAGGATGCGATATCCAGGTATCCAACCTCCTTGATGATCCCTTTGTTCAACAGCACGTCGGCGTAGATGACCTCTGTACCATTCCTTCGACCGGTCCAAATCTTCCCGTTCTTGATAAGTACAGGTTTGGTACCGCGTTCAAATCTGTCTGATGTTGTGCGTCGACGCCGGAACTCTTCCCAATAATCCACGTCCGCCGTCTCGGTCTTCGCTTGCAACTGCTGACACCTGGCGACGATTTCCCGTGCGTTTGGCGGTTTGTATTTAGACTTCTTGTATCGGTGCTTTTGAAGGACAACCGAGAAGTCATCATAGAGTTGTGAATAGCAGAACACCGTGGCGAGACATGCGAAGACGACCAGCGCGACGAATGCACGTGTCATCGTGTACCAATGGCGACGACGACGACGATGGGGAGTCGACAAAGAGGATCGTGGAAGCCCAGCATCGTGCTGGCATTTCATTTTGTCTCGACAACGAGGCGAACGGCGAGTGCACGATGTGGTCACGGTCTCGTGGAGGGGCTTGCTTTATGCCAATGACGCAGGATCTCAGAGACCCGGGAATCAATTCGGCAATCACTGGGGGGGACGGCCAGAATTGAGTGAAGGCCCCTTCGGACGCGAAAAAGTTACCAAGTGAAATGGGATTTTGAGGCAAGAAAGCTTGCACAGGACTGAGAATCTGTCATGTCGAAATCGAGTTCCCGTTGGGACCCACGACAGACTTTTCCGAAACAGATCCAGTCGTTCAAGGGGGGATCTTACGGCGATTGTCGTGAAATGCCTGTGGTCTGCCTAGTTAAAGATTTGTGAGTCGACATCCGAGTCGATACGGTTCAGCAACAGGAAATCATGGATTGGACAGAGGCGTGCCGTCGAGGATGGTGGGAGTTGCCGACATACGTGATGCGAAAAACGCGTCGAGCAACCAGCTCCGACAGAAGAACCGAAGCGTTCCGTCCAACGAGAATACCACCGTGACCATCGACCAAGCCTGCCCACATCTCCTAGCTACAAGGCAGGGTCCATGGCACAATGCTCAATGCGTAACTCAACCACAACACGGACATGGGGCTCTCTCAATCGCATTCGCTCGAAACCTAGCATACCCAGCCCGCTCGGGCCCTCTTCAAGTCGGTGCCGGAGGTTACAAGTCGATGCGACGAAGAACGGGAATTCAAACGGCCCTCAGGAACCTTTGACGCTATGGCATAAAACGTCTAGTGTCGTGAAGAAGACGTTTGAGAGCCAGGGAATCGCGTCGGGGTCTCTGTTGTCGGTTGATGCACTAGAGCGCGTACTCTCGAGAGCTTATGACGATCTCTCGAATGGAGCACAACGACCAGTGAAACTACTCGGTGAGCATTGACCTGTGTCTCGACCTAAACTTTACTCACTATTCTGCCCCATGAACAGTTCACGCCGTAGACCAGTGGTCGGGCGCAGAGGATTTCGTTACGGCTTTGGTAGCCGATCCATTGGGCTCGGAGGAGCATTGGAAAGCGGTACAACAGCGGTGGAATGGCAATGGGAATGAATTGACCATCGCGTGAGTCTCTCATTGGTCAAACAACGTTCGATACTAATGAAGTTGCCAGTCCAAGCTCTCAACTGTCGACGCAAGGCAGCACACTAAGCCTACCCTCAACCTATCTCCAGCGCTTCCCCGTCCCAATAGAAATAACTGAAATCCGCCACACATCCTCCCCTTCCATTCTCATAGACGCTGCAACGCTCTCAAGACTCTACGAAGCCGATGTGCCCATTCTACTCTGCAACCCGCTAACCACGCCCCTCAACAAACTTCTCTCCATTCCTTTGCCGCAGGGCACTATCATCGTCGTTAGAGCACCCCCTTCTCAACCCATAGACGCGAACCAGCTCTTGTCAAGCGTCCCTTCATTCGCACCAAAGCCAACCATCATTCTCGCGGACCCGACCCGTGCAGTCAACGCTGTCGACCTTATGCAAAGTAATCCAGCGTCCTCGTCATCCGTAGTTCAACGGTTCCAAGACGAGTTTACGGGATCCAACGTCTCGGCCTTCACACAGGTCTTACAGAAGATCCTTCATGCACCGGAAGTAAAAGCATCGCCCAAGCAGAAACAAACAACAGCTTCGGATTACCTTCGAGTCAAGTTCGCCATGCACAAGTTGGAGGACGCTCTATCGTCTTGTATTGCTTCAATAGAAAACCTCAAAGCACGACTGGATGCAGCCTGTGTAGATGCAAGTCGGTTGCGCGACAAGGTTGAAGAGACAGGTGCCAAAGTGGAATACCAAGTTCTGGGTCCCTCCGACCAGACGAATCTCGGACGGAACGCACGAGGAAACGAAGTGACCGAGGCTCTTCGACAAGCCGAAAAGCAAATGCAGGCCGTCATGTCCCGCTTCACCTGGTGGAAGATGGTCTGGAGAGTAGACGAAGTCACCAACCTCGTCGCATCTGCCTTGCAAAGAACTTGGTGTCCTGAACTCGAACGCAAGGCAAGTACATCCTTCTACTCTAAAACACCGATATATATTGAATAATATACATAGCTCCTACTCCAAACCGGCCAACTCTCCGCATTGCAAAAGGAGCTGTCCCAAAAGTCCTTCGAATTGCTATCCAAGCACGACGTTGTCCAATCCAACGTCCTTCGCAATACATTACTCCAATTGCAATCATCGCCCAACTTCAACTTGTCAACAACTTCTCTCACCTCCGCCATCACTTCTCGCCGAAACCAAATAATCGAATACCCAACCGCAAGACTTCATTTGGCGGGCCAAAGGGCGGTGCTGGGGATGTCAGCCGGTGTTGGCGGAGGCGCTGCCATCGGATGGGCTGGTTGGATGGGCTGGCTTGTCCAGAACGGCGACGGTTTGCTCGGATCTATTGGCTTGGACCCGAATACTGCCATGGCTGTAGGTGCTCTGAGCGCAGTGACAAGCATTCGATGGGCTGTTGGACGATGGGAGAAGGGCAAGAGGAAATGGTGGGCAGACTGGCAACGAGTTGCTGAAGGTCTTGACCGCGATCTGAGGGTATGTCGACTGACCATTTTGTCGAATTATTTGCTGATGATAATAATACCAACAGAGCGCACTTCATCGGAACTTCAAGGACCGAGTGTCGTTATTGGCACAAACATCGTCCAATGGCGTGCGGAATACCGTCCAACAGCGAGAAGAGGAGATTGCTCAAGTAAATGACGAAGTTGGGCAGCTTCGAAAGGAAGTGAAGGCGGTCATGGAACAGTCATAGCGTGGACATATAATCGGACTACTTTTCGTGTGGAGAGCAGTGAGCAGCTGTTACGAATCTGCTTCAACTAGCTTCTTGCCGTCAGCCTTGTTGTTGGTTGCATCGGCGCTCGTCGTTGACTGCTTTGATGGATGGCTGCTGGGACCAGCGCTGTCGCCCTCTTCATCGCTGTCACTGTCGTGGCCGATATCAAACACCTCTTCGCTGTGTGGTTGGTCGTTCCAATCGTCAGCGAAACGGACGCTCTTCTTGTTCGCGCTCTTCGGTGGACGTGTATGGGTTGGGAGCAAAACGGTACCGGCACTAAAGACGTCCTCTTCTTCGTCCGAGTACTCCGCGTTGAGAGGTCTATATAGCCGTGCAATCTAGGGAAGCGTGAGCGGGTGCGATTGTTCACGACTCGGGGTGGGTTTACCTCTCTTCGGCGGCGATAGTATTTCTCGAGATGAAACCCGGCGAAAAGCCCTACAGACGACCCTAAGAGATTGGCCTGCGGTGGTGTAAGCTCCAGGTATATATTTCAAGGACAGGGGAACGCACAACGATGTCGCCGAGGTCGAAGTCTTTGTACTGGAGTAAAGATGAGAATGGAATTCACGGGGCGAAATGGAGAATTACCGGAAGCGCTGCTTGGACGAATTCGCTGAGGATGCCTCCGCAGAAGAAGCATATTACAGTGGTGAATATTAGAGATGAGTATCTCCAGAACCATATCCGGCGGGCTTGCCTGCAAAACAACCACAGTCAATTAGCATTCAGCGACGACCTTGGACCTCGACCCACTCTTCAACGTCTATGATGAAATAGAAAACAGTCGTTGCCAGGGCAAAACAGAAGAAATGTAGTAACTTGGTGTTCAACGGTAGTGACTTGGAGACATTTGTGAACCCCAGAAAGGCGAGTAGGATCATAATTAAGCAAGTAAAAGCCAGAAACCACTGGCGAATTATTTGATTAATCCTTGTTGGTAAAGCCTGCAGGTCGAACAGGGATGCTCACTGGGCGTAATCGTATCGGCATATCATATCTTGGTATTGAGACTGGGTGCGACTTCATTATCGACCTTGACAGTCTTCCGACCCAGTTTCGGGGTGGCATTGTGAAGGGGGAGCGAGATAGTAATTAGCGAACCCGCGACCGTTGCGGGAACGGAGTTACCGATGTTGTTTGCCTTGGGCTTGGGATCCAATTAGGATCTCGGATCATTTTATGCCGATGTAAGTCCGACTCGCTCTGGCCAGAGCTGAGAGCACCTTTATCGCAACCCGCCATGAGCCATTCAACAACGTCGACATCTGCCTACATCATACAAAAATACTCAAAGGCGTATACCAAAAACAAAGGCCAAAAACAGCAGCAAGCGCCCGAATGGCAGCATTTTACCAACCCTGCGCTGAAGGTCGTCCTGGACAAGACGAAGACGCGACAAGGCGAAGTTGAATCTCTCAGGCTACGAATTATCTGGACTATGAACGACGACGATGGTGAAGGGATCTCTTCACAGTCTCCGGTGACTTTTGCACGTATCTTATGACGCATACAACCCTTGTTCTCTGTCCTGACCGACAAACACTTGATGTTCTCTTTCTGTTTGAACTGACAGGAGGACCTTGATCTCTTCTCGTTCTCCAACTTCGACAACGCCCTACCTCAGACGAAACATACAGAAGGGCTACCACTGAAGGCCGTGTACCGAGACACGGTAGTATGCATTCGGTATTTGCACCATCAAACTCAGGTTCACTCTACTTGTATGCGCTCACAACCCGTTCCGTCTGACGATTTTCATCTCTTCTGGACTGTCTACAGACATACAGGCGCTTCCAAATCTCGTTCGGATCGTTGGCTGACACGACCAGTTTTATAACGTCGATCCAGTTCGTCTGTCCTTGTAAACCCCTCCCAGCCAACCCTCCCAATGGGATCCTGAACACCGCTGGAACCATGGTTAATCCCCTTCCTTCCCAACCATCCGCATCGCGGATTCAGAGGACCGGTACTGCTATTCCCCAGCCTCGCGCGAATGCAGAGAAACAGGGCCAAGCGATCACACAACGGAGGACGTCTACGATGCAGCCAAACGAATCCATTCCTCCCCCTCCTCTTATCTTACCCGTTACTTCTGAGACAGATTGCAATTACGACGGCCATATCACCCACCAGGCTTCCATGGGACCACCCTCCTTCATACCGACAAAGCCCGGGATGACTACCGAACGAACTGTGTCGGGCTACCAAGCTTCCTCGCACCAAGGGCCGGGAACAGCTCGATTACCCTCGTCCTCCCCCTTGCCTCCTTCCTCGGAACGTGACCAGCCCAACCCAAGCCCAACCCCTTCCAGTGACGAGGATCCTATCTTGTCTGCACTTCGAGAACCCACAGCCCTGTACAATCTTTCACCTCAAAGCCTCGAACATGCAGTTGCAGAGATCGTCCGTGAAGACGGATTCGTGAAATTGGTTCGTGGCTGAAAGCATATCACCTCCTGTTGGCAACTGACGCAGACACAGATGGAGAATCTATCTTCAATGTGGAGGGTCCATGCATTGACAGGATCCCACCTTTCGGTTGATCGCACATGAACCAACATAGGCCGCGAAGGCAATTTGCGTGCTTCGAACCTGAAAGCGTGTTCCATTCTTATAGATACATCCAAAGCGTTTCCGTTGTTTGCAGTTGATTCCTCTCCACAGAAGAATAAATACGAATTTTCGACCAGGAAGATTGGGATCTGTTGGGTGGTCGTGTTCCGGTATTGATTCTCTTCGTTCAATGTGACGTTCCTGTATTGTCGCTCGGGACGGGTATTCGTGTTGGTAGCGTGATGTGACCCTTTGGTTACTTTCCACCGAAATGGCTCTGAGCATTGTGCCAGATAGAGTTGAGGAGGAAGGCTTCTGAGAGAAGCATCTCTATCTCGTGGTCGCCCCAGTCTTGCGTCGGAAGGGACTGCAGGAACATGATGATACCCTGACGATACAATGCACAGTCAGGTCACAGCCCTGTCGTTTAGAAAGACGGTTTTACCTGGAAGTCCATCTGTTTGAGCTTGTCGCTCCATTTCACAAGGAATGCACAACAGACATAGAGATGGAATTGCGAAAACGCGTCTGCCCCTTCTGCCTGCGACCACAATGAGTTCACGAATAATCGCAGGAGAATTGGGCAAACTTACAAGGTAGGTATCCCACATCCGAATGGTGTTTTGCACACTGATCTCCCGCATCAACAAGCAATTCATCCACCTAAACGAGAACTGCATAAACTCCACGTTTTGGGACTCTAGATGGGCAGCCAACGGAGCTGTGAAAGAACACCACAGAGTTAGCCTACAGTTACAAGCCACGGTAGTTGTTTGCATACCATCTATTCTTTCAACCAGCTCTTGCATTCTTCGAACACTTCGTTGAATGCCAGGCTGAGCGAAGATATAGTTGTCTTGAATCCCATCTAGGAGTTTTGAAAGACACCAGAACGAGTCGGCTTCAATGGCGTCGACGACTGATTTGGGGAGAAGACCTGGGTCGAACGATTCGGGATCTGCGTCTGGAGGACTGTCAAATCAATGAAGGAATCTCGCAGACGGAGGGGTCATACGTACCAATGTACGCGGACAGGAACACCTGGAAGAATGGGGTTGCCAGATCGTTGATGCCTTGCACATAGCCACTTGCAGGATGTCGGATCGCCCAGACGTACAGTATCCGTTCGAGGCACTGGTATGAGAGTGGCTAAGCCACTATGCCAAAAAAAAGTCAAGTGTATAGACTTACACGCTGCGTTGTTTCGAACATCCACAGCTGCACACCGGGACGCGTTCGAGGAACGTCGATCTCAATCTGGTGCCAAATCTGCTGGTCAAGTCCTTCTCTCCCCCGAGCAAACGTCGCTTCACACATCGATTGGTATTCGCTGCGTTTCCTCGCTAGCGTGGTGACTCGGGAATCCGAAGCTAGCGGCAAATATCCCTAAAAAATGCGACTAATGTTAGTCTCTCTGACCCGACATAGAGGGAATCGATTTCACCAGCAGGACTTGCCAGGCCATAGGCCGGAGCTCTTGAGGGATGCCGGCCCAAGCCAGCTTCCGTAACTCGTTCATGTTGATATCTCGACTCGACAAGCATTCGATGAACTTGTGTTTACGGTTGGAGCGTATGGAGCGCTCTCGCATGAGCTTCTCGGTCGATTGCTGGCGTTCGTGGGATTTCTTTAGTGAAGAGCTCGTTCGAGGGTCTGCATTTGCGAGAGGAGAGTGAGAACGAGAGGTGGTGAAGGTCGTTGGCGGTGTCGTGGGTTTGGGAGATGGTGCTATCCGTCTGCGTGGATTTCGGATACCAGTGAGGGGGTCTGTCGAGTGATTAGCAAAGGGCACAAGAGAATTAAGACAAGTGAATGGATCCACACCGTTGACGATATCAACAGCTTCAGGTCTGATTGAATCGAGTGCCTGGTTTTGCACCTTGTTCTTTCCTTTATAATTTATTAGAACTTCGTCCTCGTCGTCTTCAATGCTCTGGACAGAACCTGACAGGTCGAGTGCGTCCATTTCACCGACGATCATCTCTCCATCGACATCCCCCTCTGATTCCAATGCTGTTGGGGACGCACTCCGTTCCACCGATCGACCCCGGACAATTGTCCAGCCTTGTTTCGGTGCACCGTCGCTGGATGATGGATCCTGGCTCAACCGAAGATCTGCTTCCTTGCCACGTCCTAAGGGTGAAATATCCGGTCGTATTGGTTGAGGCTCTTCGGGCAGGGTTTCCCCACGTCCAACACCAGATCGTCCGGTTTCTAGTTCTCGTTTGGGAGGGTACGATGAAGGATCAGGGGCACTTAGATGGGTATATGAAAAGGCGAGTGTTGACGTGCTAGAATTGGAGTCGTGGTTTCCTGTCGTTGCGCTGCGGGTGCTAGTCTGGCGACTCATGGGTACCGGTTTGCTGGATGTCATCACTAAATTTGGGCAGGGGTTGAATCAGTTGGTATCTACACGGGGTTGGCGATTGGTGAAGGTCAGTCAATACCTCTCAGTGTCGAGAGCGTCGATGCTCTGGGAACTTCAGAGTCGGAAGCAGAATCCCAAGGATCCTCTTCTGCCCATGTATCTGAGCTCGCCGTCGCGCTGTGGTATGCATATCCTGTGGATGCTGTTCTCTGTATGGAGTCGCCCTTGTTCTTGCCCGTCCCTGATGATGCTGGATGCATGATCCCGAGCATGTTGCTGTGAGGACGGGCTGGAGGCGAAATGGGCATTTATGCGTACAAGGCGAATGTCGATGTCGTGGCCGTCGTGTCTGAAGATGGACCACGTTTTGGGAAAGTTAACGATCTGAGAGACGTCGCAATGATTAATGATGGAACCGTTATCTAATCCTGTACTGGTTATGCTTCCACCTCTCATGGCCACAACAACCAGGACAACCTCTGTTCTCAGCGACTTCTCGACCTGCGAAATTTCAGATGCTCTCATAAAACTCAAGGTTCCGAATGGAGGCTATCTTCCGGATGTCAACATGCTGGCGGAGGGTAAGCATAACTCCTCTTGCAGCATCACAGTTATTTATATTGGCACGACAGGCAAAATATGTAGTCCCGCATACACCGTCAAGATGGTAATGGGCTCGGACACGTCGGCACCCAAGTTTGAGGGCGGTCATTTCGTGGACGGGATCACAGAAGGCCATGTTGTGGTCATCGACGCTCCTTCCGGTGCGTGGACGCCCGCCTCCGATCCTCTCTACACAACAGGCTAAACCCCTTGCAGAGGCGAAGAATGCGGTCTGGGGCGGGTTAATGTCTGCTGGTGCCCTCAAGCGTGGTGCAACGGGAGTCGTCATTTCTGGCAATGCTCGGGACCTAGCTGAACACAGATCCCTCAAGTTCCCTGTTTATGCCAGGGGTCACTCGACTTTGGGACAGAGTCCTTTCACGAGGGTGTCCCAAGTTGGCATCCCAGTTACTATCGAGCCACGCTACCCTTTAGCCTCTAACCAACACCTCTCTCCTTCGTTCCCTGCCCTGAGAATCAACCCAGGAGACTGGGTAATAGCGGACGAAGACGGCGTGGTATGCGTCCCGAGGGATCTGGAAGATGAGGTCATCAATGTCGCAGCAAAGGGTCGCGCCGTAGACGAACTGTGCATGCAAGATATACTGGCAGGACGTGGGGTCGCAGAGACCTTTAAAGATAGACGGGGAAAGAAGTAGAAATTAAATTAAACTACATATCACAAAGAACTTGAAGTGTGTGACGGACATGGGTGACTTCTCGGCACCGCCACTGCCAGAAGGCCTTATAAGAATCCAACACGTTGTCTTTCTCTCCTTCCGCTCTTTCCTTCCGACCACCATCATCCCCAGTCGAGCTTCGACAGGGTTCCACATTCCCCTGTTTTAGAAGTTCTCAACTGTAGACGGTGTCAACTAGGAACGATGGTAAAACGTGCCAAATCGCCAGATCTTGTCGAAGATGCTCGTTATCTCGTCGTGTGGCAGCCGTTCCCGCTTAACGCGAATTGGCAACTGCCTGACCACTGCTTGGAGTTCTTGTACTGGGTTGCATCGGTATTAGGAAGTTATGATCACATCCTTGCCATCCACCACAAGCCCAGTGTAAGCCACCGTTCCTTTGACCCTCGGCGCTTATCTTGGCGCTTAGATGATTTCATCGTAACAGGCCCGGTCGACTGTGATAGTCGAGATCGAGAAGCAAGCAAAGCACAATGGACTACTGGGCGAACACAGATGGGCTGAAGTGCTGAAGAGACCTTCCAAAGAGGACAGAGAACGCGTTTCCCGGGTGTACTACTGCATTTACCGCACCACCCGAGAAGCACAGAAAGACGGTGAGTCTGCCCGGTGTTGAGGTGGTATGATACTTTATACCTCCACAGGCTGGAAAAGAATCAACGTCGAAGCAGAGTGGTTCATCAAATGGGACCCGGAAGAGGGGTCAGTCGTGCATTTCCCTCTGGTAAAAGCCTGGTATTAACAATGTCCCAGGCGGTACAAGAACCCGTATCCTGCCTCGCATTACTGCGACCCTTTGCCAGAGGACCCGACAAACAAAAGCATTGCTCGCCCACTTCCCGCGAAGGCCAAACCCAAACCAGTCGAACCGCCCCCTCCCGGTAAGGTCCTTCCAGGCCAGAACGATGGGCTATCACTGAAAACTCCGCACGTTCAGTCCCAGGATCAAGCCAATGGTTTGAAGCGAAGAAAAGCCCACCTCAGCCATCTTCCCAGCAACTCCGCAGCGATGGGCCAAGCCGAGGAACTCATAACGGCAACGTCCCCACAAGAGGTCGTCCCCCCATTCTTCAGGCCTCTCGCTCAGGTCCAGCTAACGAGTCCCGAAGACCCGCTGGTAATCCCTGTAAGTCCCGTCGCTACTCTCAATGGCGAACTATAGCTGACAGCAACCTAGGGAACAGTTCCGATGCATTTGGGCCTCCACTCGTAGCCACGAGTTCAGCTCCTCGCACTCCTGCGAATTCCTCTGTATGGGGAGCACCCAACCCCGCCATCAAAGCACCAGCCCGTATCGCAGCGACCGCTTCCTTGCCAGCTTCCCAGCGAAGTCGCGGAACTTCCGGCCCCCCTGGATTAACTCGACCGGTACCTCCTCGCCACACGACAAACCAAGCCTCCTCCAAGAATGGGTCGGCTACCGAAGTTCAACGCTCATCTAGTGCGATGTCAGCATCCACCAGAAATGCACCCTCTACAAACGGTAAATTCTCCTGGGCAGACGATATCCCAGATGGACTATTCGACGAAGACGGTAGCGATGACAATGACTCTCTTCCAAAGGTAGCAGAAGCGCCTTCTGACAGCGAAGAAGAGTCATCGGACGACAAGGAGCCTGTATTCCGCCCCTTGGAAGATGATTCTGACGAAGACGACCAATTGGACGACTTTTATCTCTCCCCTGAAGACATCCGAGCAGCAATCACTGCGACTGCGAATGCAGGCACTACCCCTCAAGGCTCTTCACCCGGAGGGTCCAGTGGAGCTTCCGGAGTCGATACACCAGCCAAGGCTGGTGGTAAAGATGGAGCTGACGAACCAGTCAACCTCTGGGCAGGTTATGTCCCTCCTGCATTCGCCCCAGCACTGGACGACGGGATCCCGATCTGCTCATATCACGGAAAGCTTTGCAAGAGGGGTATCTGCGACGAACGAAAGCGTCTCGAAAGGGAAGCTGAGAAGAAGAAAAAGGAGCAGGAAAAGGCGGAAAGGGAGAAGGAGAAGAGGCGGCTGAAGTTGCAAGCGAAGAAGGATCGACAGAAAGCCGAGAGAGAGGCGACTGCTACAGCAGGTGGAGAATCTCCTCAAGACAGTGACTCGGGCGGCGATTGGGGCGGAAATGCACCTAAATCTGAGCAGCGCGGACGAGGTCGGTACCGTGGAGGACGAGGATATCGAGGTAGAGGGAAGCAAAAGGGAACTGGTTCTACTGCAACCAATAGCACTACTATCTGAGAGGATCCATTTCTACATGTCACAGATTTACACTGCTTCATCGATCGCTGCTTTCTTTTCCACATTGCTTCAAATGCTTATGTCTATGGTCTCCATATCCTGCCTTTGCCCAGCTCCCGATATCGACCTGTAACAACACGTGCACATCATATTTCAGACCACATACCCTGCTGTTTGTCAGATTATACAGCGTATACAATATCCCAGAAAACAAATCGAATAGCATTCACAGCGAGAGATGGTGGCGAAATCAGTCTCGTACATAGCAACGAAAACATACGGAAAGGATAAGTCTAAGCGCTCTCCTTGGCCTTGACGAACTCGATCTCCCTTTCAAGAGCTGCCTTGAGTTCTACAGCCTGTTCCTCAGTCGCAACCCTCACAGTATATGTCTGTGCAACACCGTTGGTATCGTGTCCGACAAAAGTCACAGCCTTCTTCGCTTGCGAAGGCTTGAGGCCAGAGTAGAGTTTGAAGTTCTGTACAGACTAATTAGTTTCTGAAGAGAATCACAGCAAAGGAATTATAGCACGCACCAGGTTGATCTTCCCAGTCATGCTGTTACGCAGCAAGACTCTCCGAGACTCAGTCTCCTTGTGTTTCTTCAACCTCAGGATGCCGGTTCCTATTTCCACCCACCCAGGCCCACCCTTTTCGTCCGCCTTCTTCATTCGATAGGCTTTGCTCTTAATAGCGTGGGTGGTAACCTCATCCTCCTCTCCTTCACCTTCCTCATCGTGAGGCTTGTTGCCAAAGGCAGACATCATGCCTTCAGAAGCAGCTTCACTAGGCGCCGCACTACCTTCCTTGCTTTCCTCCGATCCCTTTTCCTCATCCTTCTGAGTAGCAGGTGCAGAGAAGCTCCCTGACCCTGACCCGAAGCTGAACCCAGACGATGAAGTGGAGCCACCGGCTGCAGAGCCAAAGCTGAAGCCGGACTTGAGAGTAGGCTCAGACCCAAGGGATGGCGTGGTAGTGGTTGATGAAGAGGAACCGAATGTAAAGCCAGTGGTTCCTCCAGATGCCGGCTTTCCAAACGAAGTCCCAAAAGACCCAAACGGACTACTGGTGCTGCCGGACGTCGACATAGCTCCAAAGGTGAAGGGGGTACTCGAAGCTGTCTTGTCGCTTTCCTTCTCGTCTTCCTTTTCCCCTTCTTTGGCTAGACTACCGAACACACTCTTCGGAGGTTCCTTCGAACTGGTTGATGGAGCGAGCTGGAACGGAAGAGAGGCAATCGGGGCGTCCTTGCCACCCGCTTCCGAGGGTTTCGCAAACGAAAACGGCAAGGATGAAGGCGCCGATGAAGTCCCTGAGCTTCCGAAAGGACTTGAAGAATCTTTGTTCCCAAAGAGAGATCCACCACTTGAAGGTGTGGTAGAAGGGAATGAGAAGGGGCCCGAAGAAGGAGCAGTTGGTGTTGAGGATTTCGACGCGTCGGTTCCACCGAAAAGGGAGGTCGATCCGAAGGGAGAGCGGGTCGCTGGTGCAGCCGAGGACGTGGACTCCTTGGTTTCTGAGGGTTTGGGGAAAGATCCAAATCCAGCAAAGCTTGATGGGGGAGCAGGCATTGAAAGACCAGAAGGGGTGAAGCCGCCAGTCGCCGGCTTCTCGGATTTCGTCGTAGAGTTGGCACTCGTTGAGGAACTGCCTCCAAAGCCAGCAAATGTTGACGGCGGTGTCGGCATCGAGAACTTGGGAAGTTCAGCCGGCTTCGTTTGAGATGTCGACGGTGATGCTGCTCCTGATGTGGATGCCGATTTCGCAGAATCGAACTTGTTTTGCACATCCAAGCGCAACTTCTTGTATTGTTCGAGAAGTTCGGAAAGGTCGGTGAATGGGTCCTCGTCTACATACTTCTTGATGGCATCCAGGACCGAAACATTCAAGCCTCGCAGAGAACTGTAGTAGTCTACAGAAGAATTATTCGACTCTGCACCCGTAGATTTAGGCGGTGCGGTAGGGAATAGATTCGTTTTAGTCTCCGCGGTGCCATTGGTGGAAGGTGTGCTGAGGAAGCCGGCGAAGGTTTTGGCAGTACTCGAGGGTCCATTAGATGCGGTAATGCTAGTTGAAGGAGTCGATGTGGCCGGTGGGGGTTTGGGAGTGGCGTCGAAGGATGTAGATGCTGGTGCGGGGGAACTGAACGTGAACGATGAAGTTGCTGAGCTCGGTGCTCCGAATCCCGCGAAACCACCGAACTTGGGTGGCGCGTTCTGCATACAGCGTTAGTGAGACCGTCGCTTGAAATCGTTAACTGAAATCGTACTGTGGCAGCCGCCGCTGAAGGAGTAGCCGCCGCATTGAAGCTTCCCCCCGCAGCTCGCTTGGGGAGCGCACGGATTCTAGAAATTGGTTTAGAACGTGTCACTCTAGAAATCTGAACTACACTTGCTTTCGTGTGGCTAAGACGGCCTCGTCTGCTTTTCTGAACCCAGTTCCAGGCTCTCCCGTGTCGTTGGTTTCCTTTCAGCAAGTTGGGTTCATTTCAGGCCCTGAACCGAGCAGAACGTGACGTACCTCCACATCCGCCTCCTCACGGATGAGCTGCTTGTCAGCGACACGCTTCATTTTCCTCTAGACGCGTCGAACCCGTTACTGATCACTCAGAATGAAGCGAGAGCGACGACACGGACGACGACCGCAAAGTGCAATGTCACAGCCAAATCTCAACTTTGGCGCGTTGCACCTGACGAAAACGCAGCGGGCCACAACAAGGCCAAACTGAACCCATCCAAGAGTTTGCAAGTGGAAAGGCCCACGAAACATTTCTTCCTGATTCACATTCCATAAACTGACTACTTAAAAAGAAAGTTCTACAAGTAATAAAACACACTAGAGTACACATAAAGATCCTACGAGCAGAAATAAAAACGAGTGACCATGGACAAAACAAATACAGAAGCTCATCAGTGAGAAGCAAGGCGAACGAGAGAGAGAGGACAGAGAGAATTGAACGAGTGACACAGACGTGCGATAGATCTAACGGTATTAAATGTTGGTCAAGAGTTGGATTAGTGCGACATTGTAGATTTGTTCGAGACGGTCTTAATCGTTTGGAAGGCAAACCGGGCCCCAGTGTGTAGGGCCCAAACCATTGAAACTGGACAACAACGTCAATATGCTTGTCCATTCAAGCACAATAGAAAGACTCACGGAAAAGGATAGGAAGCCAGAACCACATAAGCATTCTATCATCTGTGATAAAACGTCGGTAAGCAACCCGACTACCATGTCTTGCTTCAAAAGACCTACTCTTCTTGTAGCCTTTCGGCTTGCGCTTGACGATTGGTCGGTAACCAATCGACTCAGACTCCTGTCCGGAACTAACGGAAGGTTCCTCAACCACAGAGGTGGGCGGTGTTGGCACCACCTCAGCCGCAGATGGACGTTGGCGAACATGCGTCACCGTCTCCTCCACCGCACTGGCAACCGCCTCGGATCGCTTCTGCGTAGTTTCTCCCTCAGATGGCCGCGCGGTGTAAACAGGGGGAGGGAGCTCCTCATGTTGCTGCTGTTTGGCAGTCGCGGCCGCAGCCATTGCGACCCACTTCTCCCACCAGTCATGAGCAGCCCGCATTGCGGATGTGCCCACCTTTCTATCCCCTTCCCCTTTATCAGAGTCTTCAGAGGCACTCTCTCCGCCCAAGAAGGATGGCCAGCCAGTCGTAGGAACAAAGACGGGGAAGACCATTGGGATCTGGGGAAGAGCAGCCCATGGCATGTTCGGGAGATCGGGGAGATGTGGGAGCTGAGGAAAGAGACCTTGAGCTGGTAGCTGCGCAAGTGTCCGTTGAATCATCTTCTCCACGAACGATGCCGCCTGTTTCTCGTCCAACCGAGGCTTCTCTAGCGGCTTCTTGACGTCGCTCTTGCTGTCATCCGCAGAGGTATGGGTTGGAGGGGGGAGAGGTGGTGTCACCGCCCGAGAGATATCATGGGGTGTTGCTCGGCTGGACGTCGGTGCGCTCCGTCGCAGGGCGCGAGTCGAAGCGCGTCGTCGCAAGCTGACACTTCGAAGCTCCTCGACCGCATCCTCTTCACCGTCGCCCCAGTCGGCCTCTTCGTCCTCCGAATCGCAGCGGTCGTCTTCAGAAATGGTAATTGATATTACGTCGAAGAAATCCTCCGGTGCTATCTCTCGCGGAATCTTGCCGAGAGAGTTAACGATTTCTTGGTCGGCACCAGCCTCTACCAAGATCTTGGCGCACTCGGAGGAGTTAACAAGGGCAGCGAAGTGCAATGCGGTATAACCATTGCGGTCTCGTGCGTCAATGTCAATGTCATGGTCAATCAGCCATCGTACGAGCGCTGGGAATTGAAGGAAAGTCGCCAAGTGAAGGAGCGTTTGGCCCGTTTTGGACGGTATCGACAAGACCTGGGAAATCGGTAATGATGACGCGGCGATGTCGTCGAGAGGTGTATCGAGCAGTGCAAGCAAGTCAAGGATCTTCTTCTCCAGGTTAGAGGTTTCGTTCGGCCGAAGTAGGGTCGACCCGAAATCCCCTGTCGAAGCGAATGTCGAGGCTAGCTGCATTGCACTGGTGTTGCTTTGAGAACCGGAGTTTTCTGATCCAGCAGTACCAACAATTCTCATCGCGACATTCTTGGCGTCCTCGATTTTCCCGGTCATCTTGAGACCCACCACCTGCAATGCCAACTCCATCCTGAGGGAGCTCAATATTAATGTATGACAACCTCCGAGCATACTGGCCCACTTACAATGCTCTGTCTGACTCGTCAGAGTACGTGAATAGCGAAGGAGGGGATGCTAGATGGTCGTCGACTTTAGGGAACCCTTCGAACCAGACTGCGACAACGCCGGGAGCCGCCCGGGGTGGCAACATGCACACCAAAGTGTTTTCACTCCAGCGTTGCGTCGAGCTTGCGGCTGAATCTCCGAAGACACAGTTGAGTTGAAGCGAAGAGTGGAAATTCGCTCCAAGGATAGTGACTTCGATTCCGCCATGGGTTGGGCCCATGTTCGGAATGAGTCGATGTATTGTGGGTAGCTGCAACTGAACGGATTGCGATGATTGATTGGTGTCGAACAAAAGGAATGGCATCGAGTGCGCCTGTGGAGGTATCATCATAGAGGGTATGTTAATGGGCATGGAAATCGGAGGTTGTGTCTGTTGCTGCTGAGCATGCTGTGACATGGCTTGAAGCAGGTCCTGGCTAACCTGAGGCGACTGCGGAAGTTCCGGGATGAAAACATCAGAGTTGTTATCCAGCGGAGTCGCAAGAGTGTCGGGAGAAGAGGTTTCCGAGCTTTGCGCTGACGGTTGGAGAGGCGGAGGCTGGGAGAATGCAGATGGAACTTCTGCATTCGCCAGGTTTTGCAGAACAGATGGCGTAGGAGATCTAGTGGGAAGGGACGAATAGGTAACGGAGGGAGAGGGAATGCTCGCGACACTGCCTTCCCGAGAGGTCTTCTTGGACTTATTGGCAGCATCGTAAGGCTTTGGACGAGGTTTGCCGCTCATACTGCTGATAGAATCCTTCTTCCGCTTCGACGGCGCGCGGGTGTCGATGACAGGCATTTGCGCCCTCAATCTCTCCTGAGACCATTCTGAGCGCTGTAAACCCGAAAGTGAAGCAGCGAGTTCCGCATTGCGTTGAGCATTGGCGCCAGTCGTCTTATGGTCGTCAGTGATCATGATTGGCCTCGACATTCCTGAGCCAACGAGTCGACCGGTATGGTCGGTCAACGTAAAATGGACATTGAATCCAACCTTTTCGCGATGATGACGGCAGTAGCAAGTAATTCGAAGCGGTAACACAGTCGTGCCCCCTTCGAAGTCGATGATTTCGGCACAGTTGAACTGGATGATATTCGTCGTATCTTCATGGTGCTTGCGGGGAATTCTGCCTCCTTCGCCATCCGATTCGGATTCGGACTTGGCAGGGCGAACACGAGCGGCCAGCTTTTTAGCAACCCTCTTTGCCTGAAAAAGGGTCAAATTACCGAAACTAATTCGCAACGTGCAGTGGCTTACCTCGCGGACTTGGCAGCTGGAGCAACTCAAGACCCGATTGTGAGGTGGAGATGCACATGTAACGCTGACTGCCAGCTGGAGCACGTCTTCAGGGTCAGGGTCTGGAGTTCGATGCGTATGTTAGAACATGCCACAAATCCCACCAAGGACGATAGTCATACCAATCTTGCCCTGCTTCCGCGTTCGCTTCTTTGTTGCAGTCCCAGGAGGCAGTCGTATCCATTTCCAATTGCCTACCCTATCGTACTTGAATGGATCCGACGAAGAGCTGGGATCGGCGAGTTCGAGGGTAACTCTGATCTGGGTTTCAACGCGCGATTTGGTTCCTCCCTCCGGAATGCTGGGAAACATGATTGGGAGGCTTGAAACGAGTGGTTAGCCAACGAAGATCAATCTGAGGCGAGGAACGTACTTGTAACATGACTCCTTGGGAGGATAAACGACCCTCTGGCTCCTCGACGATAAATCTGGGTTCCTCTGTATTGATGAAGGGGGAGGGATAGGCTTCGTGATTGATATGGGGCCACTGTGTGAAGCAGGAATCATAGGATTCGGCCGAATCTCCGCTTGCAACGGTGAAGGATGAGCGTGGTGGGTCAGAGTTTCTCTTGCGTGCGTTGGCGGCGAAGGGTGTGCGCTCGAGGATGCAAAGAACGGTGACGGTGAGCTGCGTAAATCGTGAGTAAATTTAACCTGTACAGCGACATTGGTTCCACGAACTCGTCATAGGCGTCTTGCTCTATCAACTCGTCAAGCTGAAGCATGTCGTTATCTTCCCCTTTGTTTTGGGTGTGGTAGAACGAGTTGTCGACGCCCCACAACTGCTGGGCCTGAGCTTTTGCAGCCATGGTCATGTACCACGAAGAGGATAGACCGACGTCGCTCTCGATGGCGACCGCGTCAGGATAATCGTAAGCTTCTGGAGTGCGTGGTGACGGTGAACGTGGGCTCGAGACTGTTGCAGACGGTGAAGACGACATGAAATAAGGGAAAGAGAGCGCAATCGACGACGTCGACTGACGACTGGCCTGGTGGAAGAAGCTCCTCTGCGTACCGTGGGAGTATTTTGCAACCGCGTGGGCTGTGCACACGGCCATTTTCCATTTCCGGAAATGGCCCTGATGTCGGCAATTTCTCTTTCTCCTCGTGCCGCTCCAGTCAAATGATAACCGTGTCTGTCCTCCCTACTTCCTCCTATCTTCTCGAGGAATCTCTACTGCGCTTGGCTTACCTGTTCTAAACCACCTTTTCTCTTCTATCATACCCTAGTCTCATTCTTATTAGGAACACGAGGTAGCGAATGTCGACGTCCGCCGGATTTCGGCCAATTCGAAGCAAGAGTTTGACAACCCTTGATGATAAACTCAGACAGGGTCCTCAACGACAGTGCAGCACCAGATGTTGCCCAGATGCATGTTCTTTCGCAAATCGGTCACCTTATCAATCCCTCGTGTCGGCGAGGAAGCATACTCTGTTCCTTCGTTCGTTGCATCCTCTCTCGCGGCGTATTGGAATCTCGGCCTGTAGCGGTCCTCGAGTCCTATTCCCGGCGGCTTCCCCACCTGGAAGGGGAATAAGCTATTGACTATGTAGACTGAAACGCGTAAGCCTCCGGGTGTGACTTTCCAAACACCATCCAATTGCTGCTTACATGTCGACCATCACCTCGTGTCGACGGACCTTACCTTGTCAGGGCGGCCACATTCATCCATCTTCTTACTGCGGCTCTTGCCACCATCGGACCAATTCGACCGGCGAGCTAATTCCTTGCAGCCATGGCAGGAAGATGCCGATTGACTGGGCTGCTCGACTTACTCCGAAAGGACGTTACATTGCCGCCGCTCCACTACCGTTGAAGGTCACCAGGATATCACTTTTCGACACGGGAAGACGCATGAGAATTCTACTTTAAATCGTCGAAATCTTTCCCTTCTGTCACCTAATGCAGCCTGACGCCATAGCCCCATCGTTCCGGAAGCCATCCGAGCGGATTGGAAACCGCGAAGCTCGTCGATTTCGAAAGCGTCACGCAATCGACCATATAAATGGTCGAGTTCATACCTGACCTACCTAAGCGCCCTCTCAGCCTGAGCGACTCCCAACTGTGAAAGCTGTTTCCGATACCATGTCCATCCCTGAAGCAGACAAAGTCAAGATGCCCTATGGTGCGTCCCCGACCCTGGTACCAGTTCTGAATAGTTAACTCCTATCCTGTCCAAAGTCCGTTTGGGCAATTCAGGCCTGAAGGTTTCCAAAATTATTCTGGGGACCATGTCCTACGGAAGCCCGGAGTGGCAGAAGTGGGTGCTTGGCGAAGAGGAAGGTATCCAACATATCAAATACGCGTAAGTCAGGCTCTGAGCATTTGCGACCCGACACGCTAATTTGTCTATTAGATACGAAGCCGGAATCAACACGTTCGACACTGCAAATGTAAGTCCATTTCCGTTTCACAATTGAGGCAACCTTTGTCTAAGCGGTATTCAGGTGTATTCCAATGGGTTGTCTGAAGTCATCCTCGGCAAAGCTATCAAACAGCTGAACCTACCCCGAGATGAGATTGTGGTTTTGACGAAGGTTTATGGCACTGTTGGACGAGAGCCCTCAACCATCTTCGGTCCTTCGAACATTAACCCAGACGAATACCGCTACGTTAATCAGCATGGGCTCAGTCGGAAGGTAGACCAATGACAATGCTCCCTTCAACGCTTAGTCCTCATCAAGCCCGTCTTAGCATATCTTTGACTCGGTCAAGCACAGCCTGGAGCGATTGCAACTCGATTATATCGACCTTCTTCAATGTCAGTCGCTTACGGCTCCAGTGCAGTTCAGATATTAACTGAGGGTGACCTTCCACACAGGCCACAGGTTTGACTACAACACGCCCATCGAGGAAACCGTGAGTGCCTGGGACACGTTTTACATAGTAGGAGAATCATGTGGCGACGTCCTCACCTTCACTAGATGCAAGCACTCCACGACGTCGTCAAGGCAGGATACGTTCGCTACATCGGAATGAGCTCATGCTACGCCTGGCAATGTAAGCATGGCGTTCCAATTGTCCATGGTTAATCTGACAACACGTCGCAGTCCAGGTCATGCAAAGTAATTAAATTGCCCACTCTTTCTTCGCATCGCATCCATATCTCATAATCTTTCTAGACTATGCCATCAAGAATAACTTGACACCTTTCATCTCCATGCAAAATCACTACAACCTTGTCTACCGGGAGGAAGAACGGGAGATGTTCCCGACACTGAAGGTCAGTATCTATAGACATCTTGAACAAAAGATTAGCCGCTCACTCAGTGGGCCTACCTGAAGCTCTTCGGTGTCGGCTCGATTCCGTGGTCGCCCCTGGCTCGTGGCCTCCTGACTCGCCCACTGAGCGAGCAAACAACTCGTGGGTCGACGGATTTGTGAGCCTACACCAGGGTGCTCCGTCCATACGCGACTGACCGTTTCACCTTAGCTCGATCGGCAAATACGGTGCTGGTGCGGGAACAGAAGCCATTCTCGAACGGTGGGTCCCGATTTATTCGAAGATGGATTCATTGGCTTACATACACCTTTGGGCAGAGTTGAAGAAGTAGCCAAAAAGCGAGGGCTTACCATGGCTCAAGTCGGCGTTGCATGGATTTTGTCCAAACCAGGTGGGTGCACGAATGGAACTTGCATTTTGCCCGCATCGATTAACATCTTCTCGCACTCACCACTTTAGGTGTGACAGCACCAATCGTCGGAACCACCAGCTTGAAGAACCTCGAGGATCTCCTCGGTAAGTATCACTGGTACTGCAGAGATCGTCGCGCAGGATCTCATAAAGGCTGTCATAGCTGCCGTCCACATCACACTTACTGAAGAAGAGATCCTGTACCTCGAAGAACCTTACAAACCACAGGCAATCATTGGACACACTTGAGCATGTTTCCTACCTTGGTTACGCCACAACAATGTAAAAGCTCTGGAATCCTAAGCTTTAATACATACTATTGTACGATCGATTGAATTGACAGTCGGTTGTGGGCATCAGCGAGTATAGCAGTGTGGCGCGTTGCAAAAGATTTCCGCACTCACGCGAGGTGGACTACGAAGATGGCGGTGACGTACTCACGATGGACATGCTCCAGTAATTATCCCTCTCTGAGTCTAAATCTCTATTATCGAGAGAAATCGAAGCACGGGCGATCAAACGGTGTCTACTGCGCTCAAGAACAGCTTGTGTGGCGCCGAAAGCCTGTGCTTGGAATCAGGGTTTATCGCACACATCTCAACGCATGTAGAGAAGAGAGTTTGAACGTTCTCGTTTCGATTGAACGAAGGGGGCTATTGGGTTTGTTTGGGAGACGCGAAAAGATCGGCTAGTCACCGCGACAGAGCCCCTAACTTGTTTGTCCTGGCCATCAATTGATCACTCCGAGAAACCTACACCTGCAGCACACAACGTTTAAGACGACGATAATGTTGGCCCCTCCGACCCCTTGCTGACCTCGCATCGCCTGAATGTCAGAGCTACCCACCCTTATACACGATATGTCTTTGTTCGACGACGATATACTACCAAACCCTTTTGCACACGACGCACCCGACCCCAGAGCCTTTTCACCAGCTCCAGACGGCAATTCGCAGTGGGTCGCTCGTTCCTTTGTCTTGGGGAGACAACACATTGGGCGCTCGACTAATCAGATCTCTTTGGTAGCTCTACCCTATGGCCTGATAGGGAGCAGATAGAAGGTCCACCCGCTACCAGTGGATCCAAGCGACGGCCGTCATTTGGCGGCATTGTGCATGTCCACGACCAGGACTATGACATTTGCAAAGACGACTCGACAAATGGCACAGAAAGCCCAAAGCCTTATAGATATATTGGCGCTTTGTACACCCCAGGGGAGTCTTCAAAGAGTCGAGGGGTGTCGCCAATGATATCCAATTTATCGGGAAATTCGCTTGTAAGTCCTATCGAGACCACGTCTGGCTGACAAGGGATTCATAACCGCTATAGAGGGATGCCTTTATCAATTTCCCGAAACCTCCGTCGCCTCTACGCGACGTTTCCTCGCTATTGCATCCCAGAGATGAAGAACTTATATTCCCGGATGACCTTGACGATCTTCGGTCACTCAAGTTACCCCCGCTCAACGGCAAGCATTGGCTAGCCTCTGCAACCACGGGGCGCGATGGCCACGGAACACCAATACGTGACGCCAAACCACAGGCAGTGTACGAGCACAATCGCCGGCTATGGAACCGCATCGACCCTGAACGCCCTCCAGAACGACCACGACTGCTGGTAGATTCGCTGGAGAAAATACCACAACACATTGGGACCGGGCCTCCGACAACAGAAGTCTCAGAGAAACCTAGAGAAAGACCTCCAGTTCCTCGTCTACCGCCTCTAAGAAGCCCGTCCTTACCACCGCCACTCTCGATTCCGCCGGTGGCACCGTCCTCACTACCAACACAGTCACCCGCCCGACCCCCACAGGCCAAGCCAAGCATACCCTCACATCACCTACCACACCCTCTGAAAGCCTCGAGCTCCGGAAGGTCAACAGATGACAGACTTCCCCTTCCCGGCACCAGCTTCCGACCTACACTCAGAGTGAACCAAGTATCTGCATGGAGTGATCCTCGTTCCAAGGTGCTGCTACCAGAGCCTGCAACATACCGACCACCTCCACCGCCCGAACCTCCCCTTGTCCGCACTCAACCCTACCCACTTTCTGTGTCCCCGCCAACACGTCTACCACCGAACCACACTCCTACTGTAGCCTCGTCATCATCACATCCAATCACGGAACAACCACGAGAACTCCCCAAACCCCAACAAAAGACGGAATTAGCGCCTATCAGGACACAGACGACAAGTCGCACGAAGCGTCAGATCCAGAAATCTCCGAGCAAAGAGGCATTTCTGGCCGCTGCTTCTATCAAAACCTCGAAATCCACCTCCAAGCAGCGAGTCTTGTCTGCTGAAAAGGAGGGCGGGAACTCGGACCATGAGGATGAGGACTATGAACCAGCAAAGGCGACCACTGCGACTGCTTCCAAGACAAGCATGTCTCGATCTTCGAGTGAAGCAAAGGATTCTGGGACCAAAAAACGGTATCCCTGTCCTGTTGAAGGTTGCGACAAGTCTTTTACCAGGAAGAATGATGTTCAGCGTCACCTAAAGTCCTCAGCAGCACACAGGAAACTTGAGGATATCGACGATGACTCTTTGGTGCGGTGTAAATTGTGCAATCGAATCCTTTCTCGAGGAGACTCTGCGCGGCGACACGAGTCAGAGGGCGCGTGTGGAAAACGTACGCTGCGTTCTGAGCGAGAGATACAGGGCACAGTTGCTCCTAAAGACAGACCTCCAAAGCAGAAGAAAGGCACATGACGACTTGGTTGGGTTCCCAGCTGCAACTAGGTTTCCGCGTTGGATTAGTTTACTTATATCTTATGCATTTAGGTCGGACTACATCTTCGTTCATACCTACTACTAGAATTCGGTGCACGGACTTCACTGACGGTCAGCCGATATTGGAACGAGAAATGAAAGGCGAATACATATTGGCACAGTACGGCAAACCACAGTAATACAGAGAATATTACAAGAAAAGACACGAAAAAGACCATGGAATTGCATCCGGGACCTGAATACACCGGGTACGAGTATAGATGGAAGCGTCGGATTTGGAGCGCTCAGCTTTCGGGCTCATGGAGGTGTCTGAAGGTTTCAAGAACGTCAATAAATTGGCCCATTGTGCGAAAAGGAGACACTTACTGGCCCAATACCTTGTTCATCGCGAACATGTCGATTTTGTCGCGATTGAAGACAGCTTTGAGAGAGGCGTCACACATAATTTCGCGCTTGTTCTTCGGGTTCTGGAGGTCATTGCCTTTAATGTACTCCCACAGTTGCTTGACCACTTGGGGTCTTGACATCTTTTCAGCCTGGACAACAGCTGACAGTGGCTCGCTATCATACATTTAGAGATGCATTCAGGAGAAAATGTAGATGAGAATGACGTTACCTCAGAATGAATTCTTTTCCAAAGCCTCCCTTCGCACCTCCAGCGCCTCCTCCACTGCGCCTTTTCGACTTCTTCTTGGGTGCTTCATCTTCGTCAGATTCACCTCCAGAGTCGACCGTGGCCGCACTCTTCCTGACCCGTCCGCCTTTGGACGCCTTGGTTCCACGAGCCTTTCCACCAGTCCTTGTCGTGCGTCCATTAATCTCGTTGGAGAGCTTCCTAGCCAGCTCTTCGTCGCTAAGCTTCTGGCTACCTTTGGCACTCTTTTTGGCCTTCTTTGGTGGCGGAGACGTATCGTCCGCGTGGTCTTCGTCACCGTCGTCTTCGTGGTGTCGTTTACGCGATGTATGGGATTCGTCCGCTGAGTATGTTTCCTCGTCCTGTTCCTCCTCCTGGTTCGCACCCTGCTCGGCGCTGACTTGCTCAAACACGGCTGATATCAGAGTATCGAGCTCTTCCCTATGTTCCTTGATATATTCAGGAGTCAATGTAGAATCGATTTCAAGAAGTTGGCGCCGAACGCGCTTTGCGCTGATTGTCGACAAGTCGGTTCCTGGAGCCGATAGAATTTGGTGTATCAGGGGTTCGAAACGGGCGGAATCGAGAGTCATAGCAGCGACTGTTGGGACTTATAAACAAATACAATAACTTAGAAAGAAGGAAGATGGGACGGCAATGGACGACTCGGAGGACGGGATTAGAGAGATAGTACGCACTACTACTAGTGATGACACTTGTCAAAGACCCTTCTTTACCATCACGTGACCTTAGCTTAACCCTGGCCGAGGAGAAACTTAAAGCATCCCAATGTAATACAGTAAAAAGGTCTATTTCTCCCCTTAAATACAACACATATCATCGTAGAATAGCCCAGTCAGCACGCGCAGGATCCCCAGGAGGAGGGAAGACACCATCAGGGTTCCCAGCGTTGCGGTTCCGCTGGTTGTTGTCTTCCTGTTGTTGGTCCCGACGCATACGCTCCACGATACGTGTCCGAATGTAAAGAAGTACGGAGATCACCAAGCAGAGCAAGACCAGCAACATGGTCTCTGCAAATTCGTCTACCCCACCGTCTTCCACCCTTCCGCCTCTCAAGGCCCCTTCAAAGTAATCCTCCGGGCCGAAGTCGCTGTCTCGCTCCCGTTCTGCATCTCTCCTCTCTCTTGCCCACTCAATATGGGGTCAGTACCTGCCAGGAGAGAAAGAGAGGGTGGTGCCTACCTGAATAGGATCTTCTTCACCTGGAGGAACACGGTTGGCTCTTCGGCGGTGGAATTCTTCTCGAGCACGACCAAAATACCAAGGCCCATCATCGTCCTCACGATAGGCAGCTTCTTGACCTTCGCCTTCTTGGCGTCCATCAATGCCTGGCGCTTCTTCGTATCTAGGAGTACCCTCTAATAGAAGATTAGCACCAAGGCGATCATGACATATTTGGAGAAAAATAGCTTACCATCGGTATCGGGCGGGTCAGGGCTCCAGATGCTCAGCCCTCCGCTGCCTCCCATCAGGGTGTGCCATATACTCCGGGCGTACAATTTCACCAGCGAAAGCATCACAGGGAGATACGCTTCCGAGTTGGTCTCCAAAGCCAAGTCATAGTGCCGTTTTGCAAGATGGAAGTCCTACACATTGCCATCATGGTTAGGCATCGAATACTGGGGGTGCGGTTGAAGGTATTCACCTGAGGCACGCCGATGCCGTTTTCATACATCCACCCAAGGTTCCACATCGCAAGGGCACTCATCTGTGTGTCAGCAGCCGACTGGTAGTACCTTGCCGCCTTTTCTAGTCGACTCTGCTCCGACTCTTGGCTTGATACGCCCAAGCCATGATAGTAGTAATCGCCAACCTTTACCAGAGCATCGATATTCCGTTGACCTGCTGCTCGAATCCATTGAGTCAAGGCGAGGCTGGCGGTGTCATTTGAAGGGGTCATAGGCGAGAACCGAGTGAGACGCAAGATACTCTTGTCTATCCGTTGGTCAGGACATCTCTCGGTCTCGTAGATACAAGAAAGCATGACTGACCTTGGTCAAGGACGTAGCCCAAGTTGTTTTGGGCGACTTCCAGGCCCCGTTCGGCGGCCAACCACCATTTGAGCATGGCGACTTCTTGATCTTCGTCAGTCCCAGCCATCCACGCCATCTCCGCCTCTCGGAGAAGGTCATCGTCCCATACACCGCGTTCTGCCACTATTTTGTAGAATGAGACAGCCATAGCGCATGAGCCGGAAGACACATGTTTCGGTACGTTGGGATTCGTAGCTTGCGATGCCTGTATCTCCGCCAAGTAGTAGTATGCTTCGAAAGGCGCTCCGTTGCGGACGGCATTCTCAAAATATGCCACTGCAATAGCTATTTCACCGCGGTCTGGAGCAAGGGTGTCAGTCGGGTCATGTGAAGTGATGGATTAACTCACTGTAGTGATACTTCCCCAGGTTCACCTGGGCTTCTGGGAGGTCTTGCGTCGCAGCCACTTTGAAGTAATTGTTGGCCCTCTTGATATCAGGTCTGCTCCCAGGTACCAACGCGTCTCGATAGATGATGCCTAACCCGTTCTGGCATTCGCGCTCGCCAAGGGCAGCACCTCGTTCAAACCATGCTTTGGCAAGGATGGGGTCTTGTTTGACACCTTCGCCACGAAGATACATGCGTCCCAAGTAGGCAGCACTGGCGGCGGCATATCCAACTGGCTTGTTTTCGCTCTCTTTGGCCTGGGCTGTGGACGGCGGGTCATTCGGCCACACTTGGCGCGCGATAGACAGGAAGTAGTGTCGGGCACGCCTGTAGTTCCGAGGAATGGTACCAACACCTTCACTTCCGGACGAGATTCCACCTGCAGACGCATAAATACTGCCTTGGTAGAAGATCTTGCCAAGTCGGTACGCAAAGTCGATTTCACCGCGATCGGCATTGAACTGTACACTTGTTAGAATACAGTCAAAGCAAGAAGACGCGTCGACATACCAGGTAGTACTCTAAAACGTCTTCCCAGGTCTCTCCAGCTGCTTGCGCCAAACCTGCTTTGATGGCAGGTCGAAGGCCATTGATACCCGTCGATGCAACACTAGCACCGGGTCCATAAATTCCACCAACCAAGTCGGAAAGACGCGTTGCAGTTTGTGGGAGGGTCCTTCCACCGGGAGGTCCAGAGAGGAACTTTGCCATAGCCTGTTCAGCGGCGTAACCGTACCAGAGTAGAGCTTTGTCGCAGCTGTCTTGCGTCCCGATACCACTCCAATATCTGTACCCTAGGGCCATTTGTGCTCCCTTGTCACCGCCGTTTGCTGCAAACGTGTAGTAAAGTTGTGCCTTTGCTTGGTCGGCGGGGACTATGCTGCGGTAGCCCGAGGCATGGAAGAAAGCGAGATAAGCTTGAGCAGACGCGTTTCCGGTGATGGATGCATGAGTCGAGAGTGATGTATAAGCCAACTGAGGATCATGTTTGAAGTACTGGTTGGGCGGGAACTATGGCAAGTTTCAGCAAACTGCTTCCCAACGACCCAAGTAGTTCCGACTTACCAAGGAGACCATAGCCAAGGTATAAAGTGCGTCCAAATTCCCCAGCTCAGCCGAATGCTGCAGCAAGTCCATGACTTTGATGGATTTCCCCCTCAGCTCCTCATCTTTCTTCTTCTTGCCCGAACCGCCCAAACCTAACCGCTCCTGCCCGAATGCGGATGTCGCAAAGTGGTGTAGCTTGAGGATGATACGAACGGCACTCCCAATAGGTCCTTGACCTTGTAAGTTGGGGAGGAATGAGTTAAAGATGGATTTCGTATTTGAGTTCCCTGCAGCCAGCGAAGCATCGAATACGTATTGTGACGGGTGTGGTTTCAAGGCGGAGAGTGTCGCGAGAGCTTGTTTGTACGCTCGTGCAGCTAATAGAGTCGTAAATGAGGAGGCCCCGTCAGAAGAATGAGGTGCATGATTTGCGAATTCAATGAATACCTTCAGCTTCTTGATCCAATTGCTGAGAGCGAGAATCTGGCTAGGAACCTATGAGAACTTATGCAAAGCCGGGTTGGGAAGTGATTACCTGCGGTGTGGTGGTCGACGTCAATGACGAGGCTACATTCGAAGACGGCAAGGCTGTCGGTGGTGTTGATACAGTCTACAAAGGCGTCTTTAGCTTTGCTGTCGTCACCGGGGACGGCAATGACCTACGGTGGTGGTTGTAGTCTCTAATGAGACTCCGGCTTCTGGGTTCGTCGCCGATGCCACAATGGCGCAGGCTGCAATCCCAAAAGCCAGCCAGCTGGCCTTCCGAGGGCAGAGCTCGCCTCTGGATTTGACCATAGCGGTTTGGAAGAAATCAATCGAGAGATAGGGTCATGAAAGCTGCATCCACATTGGCTGCATATGGCAAATGCCGTAACGCGCGGGCGGCCCGTGACACGACTCGACACGTCAGGGTCGCACGATTAAAGTTCGAGAACATCACACAACCACCTCCTGACTCTAGCAGGGTGTGTATAAGGATATCTACTGTTAACGAGAGCTGAATGTACATCTGGAGGAAAACAAAAACATCTTCTTAGGGGTACAATCCATCGCATAATCGATTCAGCAAACAAAGTAGAAACAAAAGAAATGCTGCCCTCGCTCGCGAATGGCAGAAGAAAGTTAAACATTATTGTAGCCGCCATAACCCATTGGTGCTCCAGCTTCGGCAAGCTTTTGCTTGCGGAATTGCTAAACACCGTCATCAGCATCCAGTATGGCAAAGAATCGCAGCACTGAACACTCACTCTACGATATTTAGTCCTCTCATAGGTAACCAAACCAACAACGATCAGAGCGATAACTGAGATACCGGCAAAGACACCGAGACCGATGGGGAGAACAGTCAACGTCTTTCCAGGGAGTTCGAAACCTTCCTCCGCATCGGGTTCAGGTGATTCCGACGCAGCAGCAGATGTTCCGTCAGTAGGAGTCGAGGCTGATTCGGAGGAAGCGGGTCCTTGTCCAGAGTTATCGGTAGGAGGAGGGTCCTGAGGAGGGTCCTGGGGAGCGTCTTGCGGGGTGTCCTCGGGAGTGGGTGTGGACTCGGGCTGTTCGACAACGAGAGTGGTGGCGGGAATTTGCTCAGCTGGGGCCTCGGTAGAAGCTGGCGGTTCAGGGGCGTCAGTGGGTCCCTCAGGCGCTGGTGCAGTCGACAATTGCTACGACAAGAAACGTCAATGACAGGAACAAATACACATCGACTTGTGACTCACAATAACAGTCGGTGCCGGTGCAGACGATTCACCAGCAGCCTCTGTTGCGCTCGGGGTAGCCGGGGTAAGAATGATTGGGGCAGGAGCGCTTGACTCTGCGGGCACTGATTCCTCAGTCGATGAGGTCGGTGCAGGCGCCGGAATTAGGGTAATGGCCTCCGATGAAGGGGCGGGTGCACCCTCGTCAGAAGGAGCAGCAGTTGACTCTGGAGGTACATCCGTTGCTGAAGGGGACTCAGTGATTGGAACCTCAGTTGGGGCATCAGTTGGCACAGGAGCCTCCTCAGAAGATGAAGAAACTTCGGTGCTGGGTTCCGGAGGTGCCTCAGTCGACGATTCGGTGGGAGCAGCAGTTGACGAGGCAGCTTCGGTGGATGAGGTCGTTTCTGAAGGAATGGTGGATGTGGCAGCGGGTGACGTCTCCGTGGTCGCGCCTTCCGTGCTGGACACAGGGGCATTTACTGGCTCCAACTTCACCGAACATTTGGTGACCTTCTCGACAACATCAGCTCCGGTGGCATCCTTGACGGGGGTGAGGATGATTTCGCAGGTCTCGATGAGCACTCCAGCAGCACTGTCAAAAAATAATTTAGACTCCCAGGCTCCGATTCCCGTAAATATGAGAGCAACTCACGTCTCTGTGCGTTGTGTGGTTGTTACTGAGGTCGAAGGAGTTTGTCGAACTTGGAGAGGGAGAGAATGAACTTGAACCGAAAACAAGAGCAAAAGAGCGACGATAGACAAGAACGTGGGTTGGGTTGGACGGATAGCAGCGAACATGGCGATAGCTGAAGTGGTTGAAATTCCGGTCCTGCCGAAGGAACGTCCCAGCGTTCGAGATCTAGTATGAAATATTGAAAGCGCCCACAGGCAAAAAGAGAGAGAACGAGGAAGAGGAAGAAAAGCAAAAGTCTCTACAACTCGAACGCTCTTCTCGTCGCCCCGTCGCCACAGCCATCATCCTCTCTTTAAACTCCGCCACGGTAACAATCAATCTCTTGGTCCAGTCCCTTAGCCGCCTGACTCGGCCTTGAACAATGCCCCCCATCTACGAGAACAATAATGTTGTTCACCACAATGAAATATGCGCATCTAACATGAAATATACAGGGCTCGACAACAATGTTCAGTGCATCCCTCCCTCCACAGCCTTGTACGCTTTCCCTTCCCGGACCTTCCACCGGTCTCTGTTCAGCCATCGCTGGATCCCACCGATGAGGTGGCTCGTGATCTCTGTTCCCCACTTCTCAAAAGCCATGGAAAGAGCGACGTTCGCTGCAGCCACCATGATCAGTGTGAACCTCCCTGACATGGGCAATGCCATCAGCGTCAACAGTTTCACGATCATTTTCGAAGGTGAGAGCAGCAACCAAATGTTCACGGCCAGCAACAGGCCCATCGAGAACATGAGCCATCCTGCGCGTAGACCATTCGGTTAGCAACGGCCTTATATGCTCCTGATATGGAATACATACCGTTTGTGTACATGGGCTTGCGATATGGAGGGCCTATACTGAACACGGCAGCAACAAGGATATACTGGAAACATGATATCAAAAACAATGTCGTGTTTTCAAAGTTGGTGGATTCGAGACTGTTGCCCCCCGTTCGCGGGATAACTTCCGGTGGAGGTGTGTACCTATGGACCAGTTAGCCAATTGTTCCAAACGTCATAGCAGTCCCCATACCATGGTTGCCGTCTAACCCAAAGGTATCCCCACCCTTGGATACCGCTTGTGATTAAAATTTGGCCGATGATACTCGCCAAAACCTTCTTTGATACAAGGTTTGCGGTCGGTCGTTTCGGATAGATACGAGGATATGGCAACGTGCGCGCCACTAAAGGGAATTAGTTCAGTTGGCAGAAAACCATCAGTGGAAACCAGCTTACTGGTAACAGCGATGGGTATGATAATGAACAGATCAATGTAAAGGAACTAAACAAATGGACAATCAGGATGAGCCACGACAGTGAGCGGTACCAACTTCCTACCTGGAAATCTCCCAAAGACGAGGCAAACGAATACAATAGCGTGACCGACGTGAACTGGATGATCGAATACAAGGCCCTGCACATCACATAAGAGCGTCGGTATATAGCAATTTGGCAAAAGGTATGACTCACATATATTTGAAGCAGCTGAAACTAGTTACGAGGGCTGCTCGGCCTTCCCGAATCACGTCAAGGACACAGCCGATATCCGGTGTATTGGAGGTAAATGGCGCTGCTACGCTGGCCTCAGCTTCTGACAGAGAGATGCCAACATCAGCAGCCTTAAGTGCTGCACAATCATTGGCACCATCTCCGCACATCAAGACGGTATACCCAAGTGCCTGAAGGCGTTCAACGATTTCGTTCTTCTCATCGGGCGACATGCGAGCAAAGATTTGAGCCTTGACGAGCATCTACAGGCGCGGTTAGTGCCAGTATCATTTCTTGGATACCAATACGTACTCTTTGCAGAGTTTCCAGGGGGGCGTAGTTAAGCATCCAGCGGAACACGTCTCCTGTGAGCACCAGGGAGTAGTCCTGATAGGCAATTTCTCCTTCAACGGTATGGTGAGGCGGGGGCGTCAGAGGTTTCAGGCTATAAGAATCTAGCTGCCAGAGAGGGTCGTCCATACAGCTCCATTCGAGTTTAGAGGTCGGAATAGATGCATTGCCTGCGGAGTCCTGTTTCAGTATTGCCTCGTAGATGTGCTGCGACAGACATACCATGGGAGAAGGTAGGATAAAAGACATGTGCGGCTTGGCTGATCAGTGAGCATTCTCTTGCAACACTCACAGCAGTGAGAGGATTGTCGCCTGTGATCATACGACATGCCAAATTCGCCGAACGCAGTGCTTGAATAGCTGGTGTCGTTCCTGGCTTGAGTCGGTTCTCGAAGATAACCAATCCTAAGAAACGAAGGCCTGCCTCCGCTTGCTCCCTTCGAGGCCATCAGACACGTGATGGTATATGTGGTTGATGGACGCACCGTTTCATCCGCTGGGCCTTCAACCAGGACAGCCCTTCGATGCTCTTTCCAGCAACGGCAATGACTCGATAACCACGCTTGGTATAATACGATAGAAGATCGTCATAATCTTGGGGGACTGTTCAAAGGACACAAGTTAGCCCGAATGATAATCGAGCAAGTCGTCCGACGTACAGGAATCCGGTTCGCAAATGTCTGCCATGACCTCAGGTGCACCCTTGACGTAGATTTCCATGCTGGTGCTTTTCAGTCGCTTGACAATGACGCTCATCCTTCTCAAGGCTGAAACAAACTCGAAAGTCCGGATCACGCCTAATTCAAGGAAATACGCGTGCTAGAAAAGGAGAGAGGATTTGCCACGGAGCTGGTATCTGGGGAGAGAAAGTGTACATACCTTGGCAGAACCTCTCAATGCATCCTCCAACTTGAACTCTGCTCCACCAGGGGGCCGTACAACAACTTGAACCAGAGCAGCTTGGTCCACTACCGCACCCTTGGACTTGATATTTCCGATTCCAGCACGAGCTTCCTGGAGAGTCCATTTGGTGAACTCGAACATCTTCACGTCGAGTGGGTCACCGATCACTGTTCCATCAACCATCTTGAGGGAATGGCAAGTCGCGAGGGCATATAAAAAGTTGGCTTTCTGATTCCCCATCGGAAGGTCATGGATGTCTTCAAGCAACTCTCCGAACTGTTGGACATTTCGTTCCAAGGGTCGAATACCCAGAATGTCCAAGCCATCTTCCGTGAGGGTCCCTGTCTTGTCGAAACAGCAGACATTGATTTTCCCGGCGACGTTGACTCTACTCGGTGAGATGCAGAATATACCTGACTTCCGTAGACGCCCGATGGCGAAACTGGTGCCTATGGATAGTGTTGCAGGAAGAGCTGGCGGGACCACGACCGTGATGAGATCCAAGGCGCGGACGATGATGGTGTGCCATGGAATCTACGAACTCGAAGATTAAAGCAGTGACAATTAAAATGCGCAGAGATTGCTCACCCCCATTCTGACAAATTGAACGGCGCTGAAAGCGAACCCCACCATGGCGATACATGCGAGGAAGCCAATGAAACGAACGGAATCGCGATAGAATTTGAAGCCTATAGGTTTCGGGAATAACATAGATCGGACAAGAGATCCTTTCGTTGTGTTGAAACCTTCAATATGAATTGATCAGACGCAGGCAGTCGCACCATCAATACGGTTTACGCACCTGTCCGAACAACCATTCCAAGAGCTGGTTTACTGGTGCCATCTGCTGCAACTATGCCGCGGATGCGGACAACGCGAGTTCCACCATACATAAATGACCTTGGATTTTCAGATTTCTCTTCTCGCCATTGAACGAGGTCTTCATCTTTCACCGGAATCTTGCTGACCGGAACACTCTCCCCCGTTAACATACTTTCGTTGACGATGGCATCACCGGATAGAAGATAAATGTCTGCTGGGAGTGTGGTGATAGTTGATGTGGACAGATTCAGGACGTCTCCGGGAACAAGATCGATCGAATCCTTCTCGACCCCTAGAACTCCAAAATTAACGTGTGCGTACCACACGACTGTAAAGGAAAGACTTACATTCGCCATCCCGCAGAACATTCACATTGCACACGATCCTGGACATCTCACGCATGCGAGCGATTGTCTGTGAAGAAGATTAACTCCCCGCGCAGGTTATATTTGTGAGGCAACCCACCCTCTTCGTGTCTACCAGTGTAGAGGTGATGCTCGCCGTAGAAATGAGAGCAATGCAGAAGGCGTAGTAGTAATAGCTGTCTAGAGACCAAAGTATGATGCTGGCGATTTGGAAAACGTAGAAAGGGTGGATGACCTAAGAGATTGCGAATTAGTGGCCGGTTTGAAGCACTCTAGAAATTTCATATCAACCTCTTCAACCAGTAGTGTCGGTGTAGATTTAGTTTCAATATCAATCTCGTTGGGCCCAAAAAGCAATTGTCGTTGGTGTTGTGTATGACTATCAACGCCTTGAAGCACAGAAGCTGCTGTCCATGACGAATCCCGCCAGTCTCTTTTTTTTTGTTCATGAGGACTTGAACTCAGAATTAATGTTACCACATACCTGACAAGGCTGAACAAGCCCAGCCTGGGATCTAGCGCGAACCTTGTGTAGCGATAGTCCACAATCAATAGGCGCTTCAAAACTCCTGTGGCCTCACTCCAGTCATCCAGGGATGCTTTCAGAAGCTCTTGACCGGGACCCAATATAGGTTCTTTCGGAAAGACGGTGTCCAAAGGGTAGGGGTATGGAATAGATCGGATTGGAAGTAGTGTAACCGCCCGATAAGCTGCCTTCGGAGATCATTACGACGTACATCTGGAGTCAGAGAAGGCTTCTTACCTCGACGACCACGAACCCATTTTTGGCGTCAATGAATGCCTTTTCCCGGGCAACCCAGTTTAGCCACAGGTTCGGAAACCAGTGTCCAAGGAGAGCAAGGATACCGAGGGATAAAACACACCCAACTCTCCAAAGGAAAGCCCTCGAAGAGATGGTTTCGTATCCAATGAAACGAATGGTACTATCCTCGTCCGGGATGTAGATGGTTTGTCGGCTCGGGGGGCCTATTGGAGGAGGCTCCAATAAAGTCGACATTTCCATGTCTACTCGGGCTTCTCCTCCAAAAACCGGGTCTATGTCCATCATCGGAAGTCGCGTCTCCCCTTCGTGAGTGCTGTGGAAATCGGAGTCGTATTGCATGCTCGCGGTAATAGATTCGGTGTCGCCCATACCAAGCCCTGTTTCTTCTTCTTCTGAATCCTCTTCCCCGGAAGAATAACCCCAACGCTCCTCCTCATCACTGTCTGTGAGCAGAGCATTTTCGGATGCGGCGTCCAGTGATCTTCGGCTCCGCCGAGACGCACGACTGGAAGATATCGACCGCCGTCTACCGCCACGCGGTGGTGGAGATTCTGCCCGAGAGAACAGATTCGCGAAACCGCCAAACACAGAACGTGAGGGAGGAGAGAGGGATTTCCGTGCTCTTCGACGCTTGGTGGAGGTGGACGCGATATCCCCGTGGCCTATTGATAGTCCGTCATCGCTATCGGCACTGTTGTACGAATCGTCGTCTCCAAATAGTGAGGACCTCGCCGCGCTTCGGCCTGAGTGGCGTGAATGCGACCTCCTACGGCGGCTGGATTCGATACTCTTCCTCCTCGACCGCATGTCACTGCTCCTTCTCCCAAGTTCAATTCTCGACATTCTGGATACACTGCTTGGGTTGGCGCCATGACCGGGTCCAGAGAACATGGACCCTTCGCCTTCATCGTCGTAGTATGTGCTGTATTGTGAATCCCGGCGGGACCGTCGAGCATTGACTAAGGCTTGGTTGATTTCAATAGGTGTCGCCCCTTCCGTATAGTCGTACACGGGACGGTCCCCGGCGTTGGAAGAGGAGGCCATGGGAGCCAATTCTATGTCTTCGCCCGGGGAGGCGCTTGAGCTGTTGGCAACTGGAGACAGCTTGTGAAGGCAGCTGGAGCCTTATAGGTGGTGGTGGTAGTGGTGGTCACGCAGAAAGCCAGTGGAGGTGCCGAGCGGAGTCGCCGCGGACCGTCTACAGCCGCCGTCAAAGAAAGTGCAATCATCGTTTTGCTCGTTCCCGGCGTTCGTTCGTAACACGATGCTCAACAACGTCTGCGCCTCTTTTCGCGTTCCCTCCAACAGCAACTGCATGATTTTTCTGCGCCGAGAGGCAGACAGGGGACGTGCCTCCATGGACAGTCCAATTACGGAGTTTGATTTCAGGGATCCGGTCAATTTGGTCAAGCAGTTACCGGGTTCCCGAAAGACTGCTCCCTGGAGGCGACCATATATTTGGGCATACGGGGCCAATCGAAACTATCTCACCCCCACAGCTCTCTTCACCTACCACCATGTCAGGATACGATAAAGTCAAATCTCAGCAAAAGAGCGCCGAGGAACACTACCAAAACACGGTTGCAAGGATCCAACAAATCCAATCACAATTCAATGACTCTCCCGGCAGTGGAAAACTCAAAGGAAAGGTCGCTGTGGTCACCGGCGTTGGCTCTCTGAAGGGCATTGGGTGCGTTTACTTGCTTGGCCTCCTGACACCGTGCTGATCAACTCCCAGTCGCGCCGCGGCCATTCTATTCGCGCGAGAGGGTATGATTCATTCCTACAGACTGTATGTCACCAGTGCCTTCAACCGTATATCTAGGTGCCACCCATCTGTACCTTATTGATTACGATGGCACGAACCTCCCAAACCTGAAGTCCACCATCGAGTCCAAGTACCCGCAAGTGAAGGTAGGCCCCCTACTGGCTTCAACGCGCTTCTGTATTCTGATACCCACCTCGGAGCGTAGGTCACAACGATACAGGCGGATGCGGCAAACGAAGCCGCCATCTCCGGCGTCTGCGAACTAGCCCTGAAGGAAGCGGGCAGATTGGACGTCTTCTTTGCCAATGTATGTCGGTATCGGGTCCCTCAGGCGCTCTGGCTCATCTCCTCTTCAAGGCTGGACTCGCCTCCATGGACCCCCTTCATGACACGACTGTTGAAACTTTCATGAACATCATGAGAGTTAACGCTCTTTCGTACGTGGTTTTTCCATGCCAAGGACCTGCCTTCTAATTCTTGTCGCTGAAGTTGCTTCCTCGCTGTGAAACACGCATCGACCGCCATGATGAAGACGAACTCTTCTCGGGGCAAGGATAAATCAGGTGGAAGCATTATCCTCACCGCATCCAGTACGTGACTTCATCCGCTCCTTCTCGTTCAGAAACTGATTTCTTCCTCAGCCGCTGGTATCCGATCAGGAGCAGGGACTGTCGATTGTTCGTTCTTTTTCGCTTTACCTTCGCTCGCAGTCAGACTAATTGACTCAAAATAGACAGCGCCGCAAAAGCCGCGTCAGTATTCTGGAATTCCTCTTCGTCCTTCGACTGGATCCTGACGCCGTGAATGCCACTTTGTAGCGTGAACTCAATAGCCAAGACCTCCGCATACCAACTGCAGAAGACTGACATTCGTGTCAACACCATCTGCCCTGGCCTAATCGAGACTGGAATGACTGGCGCAACCTTCGACTACGCCAGGAAACGCGGTACCGCTGGTAAGATCGGCCAGCTAAATCCTCTGGGGCGATATGGTGTCGCTGAAGGTAAGTAAATGCCATAATGAGTGCGGAAGTTACACATAATAAATCTTGAACGCCCAGAAATTGCGAATGCTGCTCTGTTCCTTGCATCTGGTGAGAAATGAAATCTACGTTCTTTGAATTAGACTCTGATTCACGATTTGCCTTTCCAGACGACTCGAGCTATGTTAACGGCCAGAATATTGCGGTGGATGGAGGTTTGTCGGCCTCTCACCCCGTCGTCCCCGGTCGCTGGGCATGATTTGAGGGCTGAGTAACTTTGTCCAAGTTTTGGTCTGGAGGATAATTTATTTGGGACGAAGATAACTTTATGCCGTGTGACGATACGGCTATGGATCGCATTCATATCAAGTGGTCGATAGAATTCTGCTCGATATGACTTCCTCAGATCTAAGTAGTGCTGGGCCCTGACATCTTATTCTAAGCTTTAAGTACAACTCGTGCTCACGTTCCTTCTTGAATCTCGAGGTTAATGGACACCCAGCGGTTTCATTGCCTGTTCATCCTCACATTACGCTGGGCTTTGACTGACTTTAGCACGTAAAGATGACCCATTCCACCTGCCAAGAACTACTGGTATCAGTGTAAATCGGGCGAAAAGCGAGATTATGTACTACATGTGACTATGTGACTATCCACACATCTAGACAGACGACGGAGGGTTGCTGTTACGAGGACATTGTAATAGCCATTGGGGAAGGGGATCGAGTACTTGCTGCGAAATGAACGCAGCGCAGGCGTTCTCAATGGGTGGCTTGCAATTGCTTAACGAGCGGATGATTTTCGAGACTCGCAGGCGCCGAGCCTGATTATGGGTACTTGCGTCTACTTTCCCCATGTGCCAGCACATTCGGTGACTGGAAGGGGCCGACCCCTCTCCACTCCGTTGGCCTTAGCGGTCAACCCGACTCGGAGGTCGGCATGCCGCTTCCCTGCGCTCGACTCCGAGGATGGTCAAGCTTCGCATTGTGTCGCTAGGACATCCCTTGTGCGTGTCAACCTGCGCTCCGTGGATAACGAGAAGATAACACCGGAAGCGAAAGATCAGAGTTCACAAGGGTCGATGTCCTTTCCAAACCGTTTGCGGCGGTTAGGTTGCGGCCTATTAACGCGGGCGTCCATACAGTAGCAACTTAACAGAATATTCGGACAACAACAGCTTCCCTGCGCATCATAATGAATAACTCTTCGTACTATACAGAACAGTAAGACAGGCCGTAGACACTACATCGTAGATTACAAGGGAACAGATACAACATACAAACAGAGTTTAATTGGAATATGGATACAATTCGTAATCAGGGACATGTAGTACACTCAGTCCCGCCTCGTGAATACAAGAGGGACTCGAATTGGCCTGTCATGGGAAGGAGGCCAGTGATTAATACTGGTCCCTCAACTATAGCGAGAAAACGTACGTGACCGTGATACCCGGCTTGTTCCTTAGCACCCTCTCTTTCCGTTGCTCGAACGTCTCGTAGGCATACTGTGGTTCCTCCTTGACCGAGATCCGGTATCGGCTCACAAGTTTGGTGAGCGTAGCGATGCCCTCGCATTCGAAGAACCTTGTACCATGTATCAGCACGTATGGGAATACATACCGCCAGTCAAATTACACTCACCTCTTTCCAAGACAAGACCGGACACCTGCAATGGATCCTTATCAGTGAAACTAGCACAGCCGAAGAATTTCAGGACGGGAGCAACGACGCCAACGCACCGGAGCTGAAGGGCAAGAAAGCATCCTTGTTATATTCCTGCAAGAATCTATCCGGATTGAATTCATGCGGGTCTTCCCAGTAGCGCGCTAGCAGCCGAAGGGTTGTGAAATCATCAGATGGTGTCACGGATGTGTTACCTACTACTTACGATTATAATGGAGGCCTGCAGTGTTGATGGCAATTTGAGTGCCTTTGGGGACCGGTATAGTCACCCTTTCTCCAAAGTCATTTGTCAGGGTTAACGTCGTGTCTTCAGCACTTTCTTTGGGTATGTTGGTAACCTTGGAGCACCCTCAGCACCTGTTCTGTCCTGGAATCCCATGGTGGCGTGTACTCACCGGGGGAAAAAGACGCATTGTTTCATTGAATACTCTGACCAATAGGGTCAGGAACAGATGACCCCTCGAAAGCACGAGGGATAGGTACTTACGCCATTGCCCTGGTCAATTTCGGCATGTCGGAAAAGGCCTGTGTCAGAAGTAAGAGACGAGGACGAAAGCCGGAAGGGCGGGACAATACTCACGATTTCTCCATCCGGACATACAGCTTTGATTGATTGGAACAACAGCTCTTGTTCCTCTGGGTACAAGGCAAGAAGGGCGAAGGTGAAGCAAAGTGTATGGGCAGCCGTCTGGGCGGTGATACCAGTCAAGTCTGGAGGTAACCTACGGGATGGCAGTAACGCACCTCGTGGCCGGCGATGAGGAACATGAAAATATTTCCTGTACGTAGGCGTTGTGGCAGAGTGTGAGATCTGCCGCATATATATTGGAGTGAAATCATTCACCTGTTAGCTCCTGTTCTGTGAGCGCATCGATGCTGGCGTCGCTGTTTGATTCTAGAAGAATGCTGAACAGATCATTCCGTTCCACCTTTTCTCCGTACAGACGCTCGTGGATCATCTCCTTCATGTACAACTGTAACAGGTCAAGTAACATCAGAAACCTGTACATTGAAAAGGTGCTCAACTGACGTCTAATTCCTTGAAAGCCAATCGGGCAGTTCGGGTGCGCTTCGTCAGCCCCATTGCCCACTCTGGGACAGCAAGCTTGACAAAGACGTCGTGCGCTACTCGTTGCAGAGATTCCTTGAATGTCATTTGATGTCCCTCTGGGCACCTGTCGGTTTCTGTCCAAGGCATCCGCTGGCCAAAGCCTTGAGAGGAATGATGGGTAATTACTGTCAATGTCATCTCAGCAGATTGACAAGACATACCGGCAGCACCAATAACAAATAAGGCTATCTGCGGAACCAAGCCTTCTCGGTCAGCGTGCAGCTGCATACAGGGATGGAAGGAAAACTGACGGGCAAAGTGATATCCAAACAGTGGTCCACAGTTAATTTTCGCTCCCCTCGACCATCCCACAGGTCGAACAAGCCATCCATCACTCGGACAGTCTCGTCCCAGACGAGTTTGCTGTTTTTCTGGTGTGGAGGTCGAGTCAAGCGAGTCGACAAGGGAAACGCTGAGGGACAACGAACCTCAGAAAATGCGGGAGCCGATATTCTCCTGTACCGTTTCCATTCATTCCCCTCAGAGGCCACGATGTTTTGGCCAAAGAATAGAAGGGACTTGTAAAGGGCAATGGCCTTTGGGAACTTTGCACGAGCGGAAGTCACCTCCTGGGCCATACAGTTAACGCTGTCCTTGACACAGATCCACAGATACTCCACCGACTTTTATAGCTCCTGCGTCAGCCAGTACAAGGTTCGTTTTCACGGAAGGCCAGAGTGAGATCTATTAGACCGTTCCTCAGCATACCAGGCCCAGCTGTCCCTTGGGCACAGAGCGTACTATTGAGTAAACGGAACTTCCGAAATCTTCGTACTCTACAGCATGGGACTCAGAACAAGAACAGCGACCCGAGACTTAACGGAACTCACTCTTGAACTTGTTAACGAAAAGATAATTCTTTCCCGCACTCAGCCATCGAACGCTGGGCATAACAAAGTTGGAGATGACGCCCCCCGGGAAAAGGAAAAATACTTCGCCAGGGTGGAACCTGAACGCGGTGATATCAGGTGCAATATCCTATCCCACTAAACCGTCGACATACCCAATGGCCCGCTTGGCCTTGAGGATTGAGACCGCCCTATGGCATACGAAGGCTATCACTGGGGCAACGAAGAGGATGAGGGAGGTTTGTACGGTGTAAGGGTATGGCGATGGCCAGAAAGGCATGGTGGAGGGGTGAAGACAAGAGGACTGGACCGGGAAGGTGACATCGAAAGTTATATGCCGATAAAAGATGACAGCACTGCAAGAGGATTGGCAAGAAGTTGAGGCACAGAAACCGTTAGACAGCAGTCCCCTTCCATGAGTGCTTCCATCAGAAGATAAATCAACCCATCTCCGTCCCGGAAGCAAGTCCATCAAGGTCATCGCTCTTAAAGTGGAAGACAAATGTAGACCTCATTGCATTCATAATGACAGCTGTTAGATCACAATTCCGTATACATGAGCAAGACCACGCAGGACGCTGCAGGACGGCACAAATGCCAATTGATTTTGAGTGAATCTGTGGAGACAAGGTAGCCACCAGATGCCGGGGCAGTGCGCATATTTACGCAACCCCGATGAGCTTGACCTCTGTAGCCATGGTCAGTGGGCCGATTGGGAGTGCCACATCGGAAGAACTTACCGAACTTGAGAGTAGCATTCGGGGGAATTCCTGAAACTCCCTTCTTGCCGTAAGCGAGGGCTGGTGGAACAGTTAAGATACGCTCGCCCCCAACACGCATGCCAGCAATTCCTTCATCCCATCCTAATGGCACCTGAAGTCAGAACTCATAGCAGAATGGCGTCGAATGAAACATACCCTTGATGACACTGCCCTTTCCGATAACGAATTGGAACTAGAAGGTGTATAGTCACCACCAAAGAGGATCAGAAAAAGAAACGAAGATCATACCGGCTTGCCCTTGGTGTTCTTGTCGAAGACCTTCCCATTTTCAAGTTTTCCGATGTATCGAACAGAGACCTTGCTGCCCTTCTTGGCTTCTGGGCCTTCTCCGACCTTGGAATCCTGAATCTTCAGCCCGCCAGCGAGCTCCTTCACGTTTGAGCCTTTGGTCTTGGTGTCCTTCTCCTTTTTCTCTTTCTTTTTCTCCTTCTTGTCGGCCTTTTCAGCAGTGGCTTCGACAGGGACAGCCTTTCCATCCTCAGCCTTCAGCTTCTTGCTCTTTTTGTCCTTGGCCTTGGGAGCTTCCTCTGCCTCGGAATCACGGGAGCGTTTCGCAGACTTGGGAGCGGGTTCTTCAATTTCCTCGAATCGACTGGTAGCCGACGGAGTCAGGATTACTATGTGCTTTCGATGGCTAGGGCAGTGTCACGAACCTGGCGTCGGTGTCAAGATCGTCGAGGCCCTCCAGCTCAAGTGGATCCATCTCGACATCGGAGCTCACTTCCCGTAGGTCGTAGGCATCCTCTTCGTCAGAGTACTCCTCCTCGTCGCTGTCGTAGGGTGGTTCATCCATTTGTTCTACTAGGAATCAGAGAACTTATAGGAAGCGAAGTCGACAATACTTTCTTACCAATATAATTCCCTGTGAGGTAAACAGTGCTAGGAAGGGTAATTAGTATATGGATGCGGGCAGACATTTCTAGGGAGACCCGTGCCTACTTTTTGCCAGTGTTGACCAGGACATATTGTCTGTCTTCCTTAAGGACAACATTAAGGGTGGTTTGCTCAATCTGATTTCCTTTCATAAGCATGAGGCATAACAAGGGCGAACGCGGGTTACATACCCTGCCTGCGGTCAGAGCAGTAAGAACAGTTTCGGCAAGCTCTCGGTCCTCGTCCTCGTCCTCCTTCTCCTCATCTTCATCCTCATCCTCGTCGTCGGGTCCAGACAGTGGTTCATAGACAAGCTTGACAACGGATCGACCGTTGGCGTCGGGCAACTCCTCTCCAAAGGCAGCGTTCGTCACCCGGATGTCAGCTGGAGGGGAGATCTCTTCTTCAGCGCCCCCAGGCAAAACGAAACTCCTACATGGACATTAGACTTTCGACTGAAGCAAAACGCGCTGATACACACCAGAGTTCGACTTCAGCCATTGAAAAGACGTGTTTTTTTGAAGTTAAGAATGGAAACTGTGAGTGTTCAAGGGGCTTTGGCAACTTGGACGCGGTCGAAAAAAGTTCGCGTCTGTGAACAGCCGGCAAATTCCCGCGCATTCAATCTCCGCCGTGATTGCTGGGAATTGGTCGCGCGCAGTGAACATGGTTGCAACAATCTAATCGACGACCATGGTGAGTTGCGTCCCTCCTCGACGTTGAGCATGACGACAAACGCACTCTGCAGTCCAACAGTCTCAGACCCTACCTGGCTGCTGTGAGATCGACACTCACGGCCGCTCTCACCTTGGAGAACTTCTCGTCGCAGGTGTGTGTTGGATACTGCGAGTGATATCATCGTTTGCCTAATTGTCGATGAAGGTCGTCGAAAGGCATAACAAGCCTGAAGTAGAGGTGCAGTAGGTTCTTCCCGGTGCATCTCACATACCTCTTGACCCTTAGAATCGACCAGGACATCTAAGGAAGTACTTCTGAACCCCCTTACCATCTCGCGAAACGAAAACGAACGTGTATTGGTGGAACCATCGGTCAACTCTGTTCGAGTGAGCATCAGGATTAAGCAGGCCGATGAAATCGAGAGGATCCTTTGCCACAAGTTCACTCGATTTATGACCCAGCGTGCGGAAAGCTTCGTCGTTCTGCGACGTAAGCCTGTACCAGTGAGTAACGTCATGGATCTCAGAATCACTGCTCGCTGACTGTCAGTGAAGGGCTACGACATCTCATTCTTGATTACGAACACCCACACTGAAACGATGTTGAAGCACAAGATTGTGGATTTCATTATCCAGTGAGTATTGCGTCGCCATATTCTGCCAGTTCTGCGAGTCTCATTCCCTTCCAGGTTCATGGAGGAAGTCGACAAGGAGATCAGTGAGATGAAGTTGAGCTTGAATGCACGGGCGCGTATCGTTGCAGAATCCTACTTGACTGCTGTATGTTCCTCCATCCTACATGGCTCATATGTGCTCACAATTTGTACAGTTTAACGCATGATTACCTGCGATATATACCCACAATGACACATATTCTATCCTTCGAACCACACAGATCGAGAAAAGCGAAGCTGAAGGTGAGGAAATACCGAAACTATTATGAGGTACATCACGCATCCTTGGGCAGTCCAAGCCCCCGCTCCTTCATCTTCTTCACCAAGGAATCCTTCACCCGATCCTTCCACTCGCTGTCCAGAATGGCATATAATACGACGTCCAGATATCCACCAGTTGGCTCCTTCCAGCAATCCTTGAACGTTCCTTCCAATCGTGCTCCTGCCACCTTCTCCAACCAGCCCCTCATCGGCGCGTTATCAACACCGGTCATGAACGTGATTCGGTGCAAACCCCTCTGTTCGAACACGTGCTCCAACAACATATACAAGATGGGAGTCGTCAATCCTTGACCATGACGATCCGACGTGATCCAGATTCCCGCATCTCCCCACATGTGAATCTCGTCAATGAGGAAGACGTTGCAAAGGCCGGCGAATTGGTACTCTCCCTGGGCATTGAGGGCAGAGACGATGAAGTCCAGGTTATGTGGGTTTTTGGCGCGGCTTTCGCGATATTCGGTTACTTCGGCGACGCTGACGGATTCGGGGAGGAAGCGAACGTATTTGCGGCAAATGGGATCGGAGCGCAATTTGGCGACTGCTTCATCGTCGGCAGGTGAGGGGAGAGTGAAGCGGATCTTCTTATCGGGAGAGTAGAGTGCGAGCTCAGCCATTGTGAAGGGTTGCAAAGTTGCTTAGGCGGATTATTGGTGGCACGACGAATTACTCTCGTTACTTATAGGAAACTTTGTGGTGCTGACGGGGCCGTGTGACTGATGGTGGGTGCAGAAGCCGGGAGAACCTTTAAAATCTGGAACCGCCATGTGAATCCACGGGTTCGGAAGGATGGCTGAAAGAGCTCCTTGCACCCTTCTCTCGGATCGATTGACGCTCGTCCCTCTCACGGGCTATCTGATAAAGCACATGGTAGATCTTCTTTATCAGATAATCCACAAATGATGGGCCCAGCCTCGCACAGCCAAGGACTTCCAAGGTAATTCCAAGGAGGACTGATGCCTTTTTGTCTCCTTTGCCAGCCTTTGCCTCGTTTTCCAAGCTCCAGCGCTGGCTCTGGGGTTTTGAGTAGTGATAGGTCCATCCCAACGTGAATCTTGAACCGGCATCAAAATGGGGTGTGGGTCCAGACAGCACCTCTTCGGTATGCCACCAAGGTCACGCACGACCTAGGTTGCTGTTGGCGCCGGCTCACCACCGTACCGCCATGCATTCGGTCGATTAATGCTAAAGAGGTACATATCTTGAAGGCATTTCTAAGAGACATGGTCGTAACGCAATTATTACGATAAACTTGCTTTAGGCCTGTCCCGAACCAGATGCGTCCCGAGTCTGAGAGAGTTCAGTTTGTCGTCGAATGCCAAACAATTCCACCAAGTCTAAAGCGTCAAATGAAATCAGAATTTCAATTAGGATAGGATGCAAGGAGAAGCCTACCTTGGAGCCGTGCCTCGCGCTGTTGGCGTTGAGTTTCGCGACTCTTAATTCCAGAGAATGCCTGAAGAACGGAAGTTGCGGTCTTCATAGGAGTATCAAGACAAATCAAAAACGAACCTGCTTGACGAGTTGTTTCTTTCTATCCTGGATTTCAAGGACCTTCGATTCGACAGTGTTTTCTGCGATCAATTGATAAACATGGACAGGCTTCTTTTGTCCAATACGATTAACCCTATCGACGGCCTGGCTTTCTATTCCCTCCTGCCACCAGCTTTGGGATCAAGGTGAGGATAATACGGAGGGCGCAACGTCAACTGGGACAGACTTACGGATCCATGCTAGAAAATATACATTGGTACACACTAGCAGCAGCTAAGAGAAATGAGACGACGTACAGATATACATGGTTGGCGACCGTCAGGTTAAGCCCGAGCGCGCCCTATGTGACTTTGGTCAGAAGGTTGACGTGAGGTGAGGAGTAAAAAGGGAGTATACCGCCTTGAGAGAGATGAGCATAACACGCGGATTGGATTCATCACGGCCTGTATCCAGCAAAGGTTCAGGTTCGACATCCCCCATGTCGTTGTCATCGAAGTCGTCGACATCCGAGCTCTGACTCATAGGGTTGTAGTCATCATCACTGTCACCGAAAGCTGCATCCACCGCGAAGGACGTAGGCGCAGATTTGCGGCGAGTGGTGCGTCTTGGTCGACCATTGTCGGCTTCCGGGGGAGCCTGTTCAGCAGCTGGATTAGTGTCTTTGCTGGAGGCTGTAACGGGCACGGAAAACCGGGCTATGGCCTCCTGCCGACGTTTGGCAGACATTTGTCCATCGAAGCGGACGTAGGGAATCCTAGGATGCCTGATAAATTCACCATTCCTAACGCAGATCATCGGTACTCACCCTTCAGCTTCCAGCGTCTCTCCGACCTACGATCCGGGAGGTCAGGGTCTAGCTAGGGTCGGGATGCACTCGACGTACTTGCCTTGTCGAGGAATGACGTGAATTGTGAGAATACGAGAGACTTGTCTCCCTGTGGTGCCAATCGCAGCAACTGAACCAATTGGTCAATCTTCGCAGAGGAGCCAACCTGGAACCCTTCTTTTTCATCTGTGTCACGAATCGGCCGCTGCGTCAACTCCGTCGGTGGAGGCGGCTCGAAGAGATCTCCCATTGTGAGCGTACGGCGATCCTGTTGGCCACAGTGAGAAAACTGGAAAGGCACGCGGTGAAATCACTGACCATCGGGCACCTAGCGTCACGATTAATGGTTTCAACGATGCTACGAGAACCAAATATTAGCGCGAAACGGACAGCGAGGAGTAATGTACGAACCACGCCACGCAGAATATATGGGCACAACTGGTAATTCGCCCATCCTCGACCACGCCGAAGCAGATAGGACATTCTTCGCAATCCTCGATGGCTTGCGCAAGAAGGTTTTGAAGGCGGAGTTTCTCTTCTGGGGTTATTGCGCGAGCTGGTTCACTCACCATGCCCTCAGCCGCTTCCGCTGCGCGAAGCTGTTCCAAGTACTGCCCAGGCACCAGACCAGGATGTAACGCTATTTGCCTCAGACGGGTGAGCATGCTAAGGACATTTGACTGGACCTAGATTCCATGTAAGTTTGTGTCACCCTGCTGATTCCGACACTTACAAAGGCGGGAGCGAAGGATGACATCATCTTCTCGATTCGCTGCTGTGAAATTTCCTCGATCTGGTCGTAGATGCGCTACCAAGCACGCCTGAGTTTCACGCTCGGTGTCAACGGGAATATAAACGTACTCTGGCATCGGGATCCAGAGTGACAGGGACCCTGATCATTTCCACAGGAGGTAAGCCGATCAAAGGAACACCATTGGCGTCTTGCATCTGGGGTACACTGTCATCGAGAGCTTCGCTAATCTGGGCCACAGTGGACATACCTCCTTGGTACGACGGATGCAGACATGACTCATGAGAGCCTGGTCAAAATTTGAGCCAGTGAGAATCCAAATGAGGAGATTGCGGACATACCTTGAGCAACTCAGCACCTTCCGGATCTCCATTCTTCAAGGGGCGGATAAGAAGTCGTTTGAAGAAATCCTCATTGTCCAGAGGTTGGCAAATCCTCAGGAAGGTCAACATTGAGCCGAGGTCCTATTGAGTTTATTAGGCTATGCTCCTAACACCGTGTCGAATCACATACACGGGGAGAATTTATCTGTGTGCGGTGTCAGTGCATGGGACTTAACCAGTGCGAGGGACCATTTACAATGGGAGTTCCGCTGAGAACCCATCGTCTATCAGCAGTCAGTCCAACCACCGCGCGAGCCATCTTCGTCTTGGGGTTACGGATTACATGACCTTCATCCAGGATGATACGCTATGCCCAGAAAAATAAGAGAGGGAATAAACGGTCGCGACTTCTCGTACTTACCTTCCAGGATATTTCGAACAAGGCCCGTTCACCGACCTTCTTTCTCTTCGTGCCACTCGTAGGAGCACTTTCGGCATGTTCACCTGTGATCGTTTGGTAAGTCGTGATAACCACGTCATACTTCTTCAAATCATCTGTGCTGATATTGCGGTTGTTTCCGTAATAGATGTAGGACGTGAGTGCTCCCGGGACGCAGTGATCGGCAATTTGCTTCTCCCAATTTGACAGAATAGAGAGGGGGGCAACTATATGCCCCTTTAGTTCTGGAGTCTAGCGACGGCGGTATGTGATCTTACCAATGAGGGTGGATCTTGCAAAATTGGGATGGTTTTCTTTCTTCGTGGCCAAAATCAACGCAATCATTGTGAGGGTTTTGCCCTGTCGCCCAAATGAGAAAAGTGATTTCCTTTTTCGACGAGAACGTACCAAACCCTGTAGATAACGTAATTCAGTCGTGAAGGAAATCAACGATCAAGAGAGAACCTACCATGGCGTCCGCACAAAGGGCCCCTTTACCCAGCTGGGGGGGTTCTCGCTGAGGGGTTTTGGTGGCAACTGTACGCGAATGAGATCCGGTTGGTGCAAGCGTTCTGTTGGCAACTTACTGTTGAGATAGTACGGAGTCTGACGATTGTCGTGAGTACCAGCGAAGGAATCAATCAGGGACCACATACATTGTTATTTCCCTTTCTAAATTGCCAGAATTGCACAGGTGGATCACTTTCTTTGGTTGGCAGTTTGGGATTTTCCCTGTCGATACACCATTGAAGGGCTTGAGACTAATAACGGGGTTAGCTAGGTCCTGCGAGAGAACTGATAGAAAGTGAACCTGATGTTTCAGAAGATCAACTTTGAGTTCTCCACTTGCTGTCCCGGGAGGGTTTGGATGGTGGGGAATATTGAGGATGTCGTCTTTGGAACAGACAGTGTCGAGTAAGGAGTTTCGACGTCCTTCGTCGTCAATCTTCTCCAAGCTATCAAGCATTTGTCGCAGCTCAGCAGCCTTACGTAGGGCTTCCTGTTGCTTGAGTTGCGTAGGGGTAGGTCCGCGTTGCTGCGAAGAAGCACCCGCATAGCCGTACCCTTGAGAAGATGCGTAGCCCTGTGAAACTGACGGATATCCCGCTGCGGGGCGGCCTTGGGCGTTGGCCGTGCCGCCACGGGCGGCTCGTGCATTGCTGGCAGAAGTGCGAGCAGGAAAACCCCTCTGCCCCGGAGTGGCCCACACAAGCTGGGGCTCGAGTTCGTCCCGCTTGTCGGCCGGGGCATAGAATTTGAGTGTGCTTGGAAAGAGCGTTCAGCCAAGGCACACACGTTTGAGATATGGCGGAACTTACATTGATAACACATAACCTGTCCGCCCACCCACTAAGAAAAAATTAGGCCATGTCTGATTTTTGATGCTATGGCACTCACAATTCCCGTCGTTAATCACTCCCTCTACGTTTACTGCCCTCCGATCAAGCAAAGGAGCAAGCTTCGAGGCAACGGTCCTTGGTAAATGACCAACCTGGACATTTCGGATATTCTTGACCTGTATGGCATTTCTAAAGGAGGCGTTAACGAATGAAATGAAGCAATATGCTATACGAACGCGTCATATTTATTGTGAGGCTCCCGAACAAGCATCACTTGTTCTCCCGGACCGACAAGGCCTGTGAGGAGGTGGTTAAGCGCTGCACGGAGGATTAAGGGAGAACGCTTTACCTTTGTAATACTGAATCCCAACCACGTTCGTCACCATTACACAGTACAACTCGTCGCGGACTTCTTCCTCCATAGGAAGATTCTCCTCCTCTTCCTCTCCTCTCCTTCTCCCAGGTAGAAGATCTCTAGGAATCTGTGCGGTTACACTTGTAGCCGGTATGGTTGGAGGAGCTCCCGCTTTACGTTTTTGGGAAAGCTGCGTTGGTCCTGGAGGGGGACCAGACGTGGCTTGACCTGACCGGGCAGTTTCAGGGATATCCGAAGGATCTATCCGGCGTAGGGAGATCGCCATACTGATTTTCTGCTGGTCCGAGGGTCTTAAAAGAGTCAAAACACTGTCTGGGGATGGAATAGGGGAGCCGTACTTGAGCCTGTTAAAGTCCACGATATTGTGGACGGTAACAAGAGCCAACTCGTTTAGAATGTCTGGAGTTACGCATCCCCTATAATAAGGCGCTTAGGGTAAGGCCTCTATATGAATTCCAACAGGCAGCTCACCAGTGTCGCCATTCCACTTGTTCGCCTGTCGCTGACGCGACGGCCTTTCCATACCGCAGAGCACCAACCAGTATGGCTGAGTTCTGTTTAAATAACGTCAGATTTAGTACTCGTCTGCGGGCTTTCATGACGAACCTTGCAAGGCGGTGGACCGTGACATCGAGCTCTAACACTCTTGCTATACTGTAATTAAATTAGCTCTGGTCAATGCACCTCACAATCCAAGACTTACGCCAACAAGATGTGTGGTCGCCATCTCTTCCGCTAATCCTGATAGCTAAGCCCTGGTCTCTGCGGGCGCGTTCTTCGAAAATGAGCGCGTCTGACTGTGACGGGACCAGCTTGGAACGTTGAAACAAATGAGTGGGCTGCCGCTCAGCGCTTCCATCAGCAGGGTCACGCGAATGTCACGCGTCGTGACAGCAATTAGCGCACGCAGTAGCGGCGCAACCACTGTGGATCATGACTCTGCTCTTCTCCAACATCGACCAGGTCTACTCATCGTCCACAACAGAAATGTCTAAAGACGTAGAAATGGAAAATGAGGGCGCGTTCTCTTCCAAATATCTCTGTCTGCAAAGCCTAATGAAACGCGCAGACCTCGTGTTTGACCCAGACCAAGATCCTGAGGAAAAGCGCGCCGTTCGCCAAAATTACCGTGCACTAACGAAGAAGTTTGAAGGTTAAGAAACTATCAATAACGTTACGAAACCGCTGAACGACATGAAACAGAGCAAAACCTGAACCCAAATGATTTCACGCCGCAGGCCCTCATGAACCATGTCAAGCAAGCAGACGCGTTGTTCAAGAAAGGTCCGGTCGTACTGCACGTCACACGGCTTCTTTTTCTCATACGTTGCACCAGTAAAGGAACCGCAAGAGGCCATCCTTGACTCTCGGATACTGCTGCTCGCTTCCAATGCCAGTGCACAGAAGGTCCGATCCTTAAAATCCGGGACGGGGTCATTCGATGTCGACGAGTTTGTCGCGAAGCTGGCCACTTTCATGGGTGGTCAGAAGCAAGTCCGGCAAGAAAACTTCCCCCAAGAGGCAGGCTCTGATGTAGAAGAAGAGGACATGCACGATTACCCGCTAGACTGGGCAAAGATTGGGCGAAAAGCCATGGCCAAAAGTCGACGAGCACCTGCAATGAGCTTCATGTTTGTGACAATATCTGGTTTGTCGTCATTCCGCACTTATCTATCGGTATAGGCTGGGCCCTCTGTCATTGGAGCAAAAGAAACGTGCAAACATGAAGCGTGAAAAGCATGAAAAGAATACCGCGGAAGAAGTGAAACCACAAGAACTCAAAGAAGAAGATATCCAGCGTTCAGAAAATGAGACGACGAAAAACGTCCACGATGTGAGTTGCCGACATTCCATCCTGCCCTGTCAGGTTGATTCTGATCGTTTCGCTTCAGCTTGAAGAGCTTCTAGGGAAACACTGCACAATGGAAGACGAGTCTATTGAACCAGTGAACCTGTTCAAATTCATTCTCAATCCGCACAGCTTCGCCCAATCCGTCGAAAATGTGTTCTATCTCTCATTCCTTATTCGCGATGGCCGTGTCGCTCTGGAAACAAACGAGCACGGCGAACCTGTAATATGTAAGTGGACACTTGTTTCGTTAAGAAAGCCGGCTTGACTATCCTGGCCCAGATCCCTGCGAGGCTCCCTCAGACGCAGATTATGCCGAAGGGCTAAAGAAGAACCAGCTCGTCCTAGAGTTTGACATGCAGGTGTGGAAGGTTAGAGGGTCATACTCCTTGATTCATTTGCGGCGATGCTAACGAAATATAAAGCGAGCCATCGAAGTGTTTGATATCAAGGAACCCATGGTCCCGACACGACCAAAAGCAAAAGTGAAGCTGGGTGCTTGGTATGGTTAAGGTCGCTCTCTTCGCCTCGCTGCACCATTGTTTTCCGGGCATATGTATATGTTGTCTGTAATTGCACATTAATTCCTGATCAAATGATAGAGATTGGTTTTTCAGAGTAGAAGGGTATATGTGGTTAGTTAATCAAGCTTGTGGGCGGATAGAATGCATTACATCGAGGCCGAGTGGAAGCATTTGATGGTCTTTCAGGTCATCGGGTGACCAAGACGTATTCTGAAGCTACTCGTTCCTCGTCAGTGGAGCCCGATAAAGTCCAATCCCAAATCAAGTACCTGGGCAAGTGCTTCTTCAGAAGACACTAGATTCATGTGGTCGGGGATATTATTATGATTCTGTGAAGAAGTCAATGCGGGACCGTGCACTGGAGCCGGAAGGTACACACCAGTAACTCCTCGTCGAGGTCACGGAAGTGCAGTCGAAGATCAAGAGGGAGCTTGGACGGCAGGATGACAACGTGGACATTGGGCGTGAACGGTCGTTCAGCCGATGCTCGTTTGGCGAATTCCTATAGCACCCTTTCAGCTTACAGCAGAGGGTGGAGGCTGAATTAACCTTACCAAGGCGACCTCTAGCGCGAGTCGAATGTCTCTACGCGACCCACGAGCGTCAGGGCCGACCAAAATGAAAAGTTCCCAAATACAGTTGGCGATATAGACGGATTGGCAGGGATTGGCCACTTGGCTGAAGAATTCCACAGGTACAAGCTTGATGAAACACGTCAGACGCAGCTGGGATAGACAAAGGAAATGCACGACATACAGTGTTAACACGCTTATTAGCATCAACTCTCCACATTGTGGGATCAGCGGATGGCACGGAGCCCCTCCATTTCCAATAATCCGCATTTGCATACGCGTCGTCACCAAGGATCATCCAGAACATCGAATCGTCGCCTTCAGATTCTTTCCCTTCGAAAAGCTCGATAATCGCACCACCATTGGCAAGCTGTTGCGCATAATCGGTGGCCGCTTCACGTTCAGTTGCGGAGGAGCCAGACCCGTGCCAGATGTAGACGGTGTTCAAGAGGGTCACGCAGTAGCTGAATGCAGAACACAAGTTTTTGATGCTCTAGAGTGAAACCTGCACTCAGTCCCCGTCTTTCTTTTAGTCGAGTGGACACCTACGAGATCGTGCTCGTCGATGGTGATCAACCCGCGGGTGGATCGAACGAGGTGCATCGCAGTATTCTCTGGGCTCCAGTGAGCTCGAGAACCCTACAAACACGTCAGCGTGACAAAGTGTCCGAAGTAAAGAAGGCCTTACCTGTCGAATAGCCAGTCTTCCGCCAACCAGTCCGATCAAATGAGCGGATTCACTGTATTGGCGAACGATGATCTACGAAAATGTCAGTACAACCAGAGCGCCAGCTAGTCATAGCTCATAACCCACAGCCGTTGTGCCATATCTCCTCGCGATCTCCTGCACCTTCTTTTCCTCCTTCTCTCCGTACTGCGATCGTTTACCAAGCCAACACCAGACAAAAGTATCCACTAGACCACTAGGCTGGGATTTGCTCCTGTGAACAACGGCTAACACTTCTGTATCATAAAAGATGGCAATATCTTCCGTCAAGGTGGTAGTCGAGGTGCCAGAAACAGACATGACATCCACAGAGATCGTCCTTGAATCTGGAGGAATCAAGGAGCTTGGGGATATAGGATGGAACATGACGGAGACATCAACTTGAGGTAACGGGAGGTCATTATGTGCTAAAATGTTGAAATTTAGAACGTCGCTATTTCAGAGGACGAGATAGTCGTACTGATGGACACTTCTTTGGGCTCTTTTGGTGTTCTTGGTTCGCTTGAAATAGGATGAATAAATTCCTTGGTACGCGTCAAAGTCCCCGCTGGGGATGGTGCTGGTGTCGCTTCTTCCTTCAATGGAGGCAACGTAATCACCGAGAATCTGTCGTAGCTGGACTTTCTCTTCTCCGCTTGACTGGAAGGCGCAGGTCGTAGTCGAGGTGGAACGGGAGCATGGTCCTCATCGGGAATAGGCGGCGTTTCTGAAACAGCAGGTGGAGGCGGTGCTTCAGGTGTTTGCGCACGCTCCTGCAAAGCTTGAGCGACCTCCATTACAGTCGCCCTGCTGCCAGTACTAGGAATCCTTGGCCTCGGTGAACTCGGAGCTCGGTCCATTGAAGGGCTCATCGATTGAGGAGGTGTCTTCATTTCTGGAGTCCTGGGTCGAAAGGAAGGCTCCTTTGCCATGCCAGGCAAAGCATGTCGAAGGCCAGGGTATTTTTTGGTCTCGCGAGCTGAAGAGATGTCTTCAGAAGGACGCTCTGTTGGGGTATGCCGCGGCAGGATTGGCCCATTATTGCTCCAGGCCTCAGCAAGACGACTGATTTTAGCATCGGAACGAACATGGCTTTCCGGGATAGTTGTTCTCGACGGTTGTGGCATGTTGAATGAATTTGGGACAGGAGATGGTGCCGGCTTGCCTTGTTGCTTGATCTCCTCAGGTTCCTCCGTCAGACGACCTCCGATGGTTGCATTCGTCGAGTTTTTCTTCGGCCTCTTAGCTCTGTTCTTTGTTGGCTATTCACGGTCGCAAACGCAACAAGGCATGAAAGGGTCGTAAAATTACAGGCCAACGAGTATTGACCGGTTGAACATACATAAAAGAACACGGAGAAGGAAATACGTGAGCACGAGTCCATGATCATATTATTCCCAGGATTAACGCACATGTATCAACGGTTTTCCAGTGGGGCCTGGAATTTCCGAAGGTATGTGGTGCTTCTGTCTCCCAGCCAATTGGCTGCGCGGTATCTCGTGCTTCACCCCAAGTTCATCGACAGCGGATATCGAGGGCGAGGATGGCAATTTCTCCACGAACATGGTGGTTGCCGAGCCTATTTTACCTGTGGGAGCCGACATCTTCTCTATATAGCGAGCAGTCGTCCGGGGTGTCAAGGGTTCACGGGAACTGGAACCAGGAAATTGCTGTTGACCACTTTGCTGCACTGTAGGCACTGGTGCCGGAGAGGCGGCAACAGACCTCGACTCCGCCAGTTTTGTCACGTTGGGGTCGGTGGTGGCAGCTCGGCGAACCTGGACAGGGGTTTGTGATTTGGTGGGGGACGGCGGAGGAGAAGGGGAGCGCATGTGCGGTTGCCAGCGATCCAACACCGATTTCTTGCCACCACTAGCCTGTCTCCCCTTCTCCACGGGGGTGGCTTGTACTGATGTCGGCGCAGATTGAGACTCGAGTTGTAGACTGGCTTTAACCATGTTCTGAACGAATCCGCGGCCCTGCAATCGGCTTATACTCGGGGAGAGGTCTTTCGCAGTCTCTTGCTTTCTGAAAGCTGGGGATGGGACGACTGCAGCAGCGGGCAGGATCGGTACATTAGTTGGCACGCGGGGCTCTGGCTGTATCGGTCGAGCCAGGGATGGCGGGGGGTTGACAATAGATCTGCTGGGAGTATGGGTGGCGATAGGTGACTTGGGCAAGAAGTTCGGCGTGGAGATGGTTCGTTCCCTGATGGAAGGAGTAGTAGTGGAAAGATAACTGATTGGACGTGGGGCCATCACTGGCGGGGTCCTGTTATTAGTCTGTCGCGATACGCTGCTGGCTGCTTTCTCGCTGGCGACTGGATTCACGGGAGTGGAAGACTTCGATGGGTCCCTACTCCATGAATTCTGGGACTTCAGCTCGGGAACAGCGGATTTCGGCGCGTCGAAGCCATAAGTGCGAGTGATTGGTTTCTCGGGGGATGCTGGTCGTGATGAGGTTCGCTTCTCTGGAGATGACCTCCCGAAAGGCTTGGTTGGTGACGTAGAACGTGTATTTCCGTAGAAACCAGAGCTGGACAGCGGACGTTGCTTCTCCGCAGTTCCGCTCGAAGAAAAGGTGCTAACACTCTTCTGGGATTTAAGCACGGACGGCTGAGGACTAGTGGAAGGCCTATATCGTTCAAAGTCTTCACTTCCGACGACGGGGGGCGCTATGCGTTCTGAACTCTTCTGAGAGCGTAATCCTGGGCTCCCAACGCGCTCTGAACTCTTCTGAGAACGCAGCGAGTGCCCAACGATAGAGTATCGGTAGCCCCCGTTATCTTTATGACTCGTTTCTTTGACCGACTCTGAACTCTTCCTTGCTTTCAATGGTGATTTAGGTGTTGGACTTGCAGAGGGACGATATCGTTCAAAGTCCTCTGTTCCAACGGCAGGGGTCGGGGAGAGGGATCGACGTCGTTCTGTGGCGGTAGCTGGTGCTCGGAGATTGTTGGACTTGGGTTGGTCGGTCTTCGAAGTAGACAATGACGACGAACAGGCAGGTTTGGGAGGAATACGACCATTGTTAAGGTCCTGCTTGGACACCATTCCTGGCATCGCCACCCCGCCCTTCCCAAAAATGGGGTGTGGGGTGCTAGTGTCGGGTTGGTTGAACTGTGTGGGGTCATGGGCATCCTGTTGCGCAGAATGCTTGTTCAGCCGTGGCCCTGTAGCACGTCCTCCAATAAAAGATGCGAGCGAAACGGCTTCATTGGGAGCCTTCGGCGGGACGTGGACCGCGTTGTTCCCCATGAGCTTCTTCAAGGCTTCGTTCTGGTGACCGTAACGATCAGCACTGTCGCGAGGTCGGTCATCAGACAACACGTCCGTAGTTGGGCTCGCCAAATTCCATTTATCCGAACCACCAGCTACAATCCGAGACCAATTGTCAACGGTTGAATGTCAGGCGAACGATGAACGCTGTGCTTACAAGGAGAACTGTCGAGGTTCAGTCCACGGCCACTAAATCGACGACTGCGTCTTAGGCGGGCTTGCCTCGCAGCTTGGATTTCGGCCTCCAATCGCTTCTGTTCCGCCTCTTCATCAGCGTCGACCTGTCGCTGCAACGCCTTGATCTTAGTTGCCCATTCTGCGAGATCCGATTCAGGCTTGGGATAGTCGACCAGTGATCGTCTAACATAGCTGCGACTGGAATCCATTTCGATAGTGCAAATAGGGCATAAGAGGGAGAAACGACGACGGCCGTACTGGCTGTTCAGAAAGACCAGCCTGGTCCTGTTCAAGTCCAGGGCAGGTTGGGTCCGTGAGGACGAACCACCATCAACCCTAACCCTACGCAGTGATGCATGTATTCTCAGTTTGAAGTCCGCGATGAATATTTCAAATGCTTCTGGAGTCCTTAAGGTACTGGCAAGCTCGATACAGGTCAATACAGGGTAATTATATTCAAGTCCATAATCCTCTAGTATATACGTAAAGACGTGAAAGGGTGTGCTGGTGCATAGGTTCCAGCCCTATCGTAATCACTGGTCATGACTCCATTGTTCAAAGGAATAGAGTGAAGACGGTCGAAATGGCAGCAACGGAAGAAGCAGCAAGACCGAGGTATACGTTTTGGGCGTCACCGGAATCCCCATCGGTGGAAGATTCCTCGTTAGAGGATTCTGAGATGTTTTCTGGGGTATCGCCATCTGTGAAGAAATCGGTGAGTAAACGGGTTCCAGCAAAGTACGACTTGGAGCATCATCATGGTCCACGAGGAAACCCACCAGTGAAATTGGCGCCACAGAGAGACTCAGCTCCACCTGTGAGACCCCCAGAACCTAGCTGAGGGATATCTTGTACAACGATATTGTACGCAGCCTTGACGCAGTCGGTGCAAATAATGTCCGAAGCGATCAGCGACGAGTTGAGGCCAGTCGCGATGATATTGTCGAGGGTTAGTTCTCCAACCTTGGCCTCAACGGCCTCGACAGTCTTGACAACACAATTATCACCGCTCCTACAAGGCAAAAATTAGAATAACAGCATTCATAAGATACCATAGGGACTCACTCTTGCAAGCAAAGGACCTTGCGGACAGTAGGGTAGTATTGTTGGATAGTGGTCAATACTCCACCGCCATCCTCGGTGAGGTTGTAGGCAGCAAAGTCTTCTGCACATCCAGTAGTAACGTTTTGGACGACTGCAGCGAGTGTTTCGTTGCTACAAGGAGCAGCATTGCACATGCCAGTTATCCATGTCTTCAAAGTTGGAAGAAGGGGGGAAGACGAGTTTCCGGTGAGAACAGAAATGAGGGGAACAGTATTCAAGCAGGATGCAGCTTCAGGATTCAGCGCAATCTGCGAGAGTGCCGCCGTACATTGGTCGGATGGTTGGTCGGTCCTGAAATTTGTACATAAATTATGGAAACCAACGACGAAGCTAATTTGAAGGACTCACTGGGCAGAAACATAAGCTGCCAGAGCTGATACAACGACAAGGCTTCGTTTGAACATTTTCGCAGTGACGGTGGAAAGGAGAAATGCGATGCGGGGGAGAATAGCCGTGTCTACGGGGTCGCAACTATTTATACCCTTCCACTGTCTCGTCGCCAAGGGTAGTGACCACACGTGTCCCGACCTACTACTGGGACGAAAATTTCTGAGAACTGATTCAAGATCGAGTATCTTCTTCTTTCTCATTATTCATTGCCTCTTCACAGCAGTAATGGAGGGAGTTTTCAAGGATCGCAGAGGCTGCAGACAGGGGAATCAAAAGCCAAATTTGGTCCATTTCGCTTGGCGTGCACAGCATCGGCAAAGTGTCTTGTGTTAGCCGCCCAGCTTGTTCTTTTTGAAACATTCCTCCGTTGTTCAAGGCCACTTCTCCACATTATTGGTCAAAGAACACCCTCGTTATGGAGCCTCTATCAGCGGTCTTACGAGTCGAGAATGGCACCGGAGGACCGTTCGACGTCCGCCAGCTGCTTGCACGATGTGGAGAAATGTATGTCTTTCCGCTGTTCACGGTGGTGGGTGTGGTTAACGGAATGGACGGCGTTCCAAGACCATTGCTCTATCCCTTCAATGGCGGCTCAGCTGGATCCGCAGTCTATTTTCTCAAGTTCTCTACCGAAGAAAGGGCGGCGGTTGCACAGCAGCTTGGATCCAAGACACCAGGGATCAGTATCACAGCTATTCACAATTCGGCGGAATGGATATCTCATTTCCGACTGGCTAGCTCCACTGGCAACTTGTACCCAGGGTCCGGCACACCCAGCAACGATTACGATCCTTTACGAAAGGTGCACGGAAACCCCTTTCATGGCTCTGGATTGACCGTGCCCGACTCGATGCCCGGCAATGCCCATAACGACCTCCTGTTTCCTGCTTATCCCTCGAGTTCCAGTACACCTCTATCTTTGGCGGCACCTCTCTGTCAAGTCGATTCTCACCCAGTGTTTGGCACTGGGAACTGCTACCCATTCTCCTTCACTTCGAACCCTATTGACTTGGCCTCGAAACCCCCATTGACTTCTTCGGACTTGCTCAAGGCAGGACTGACCTACCCACACTCTCTGGAGACTTCCGTACTGATGGATCTACGGAGCGGCATCGTTGCATATGACCTCGAGCGCCTGGAGGACGATCCTGCCTCGGCGATTCATTTGCTGAAACTCACTAAGAGCGATATCCATATCTGGATGGTCATCGCCGCACATTATAGAAGGACCAAACGGCCGCTTGCAGCCATTGAGGTGGTTTTCGCGATGATGGAAGGTGGGCTTGAAGATAGAGCCTCCCGCGATCGATTGCCCTGACGTTTTCTAGGATTCCCTGAGGCCGATCAACCAGGGCGTAAGAAATCCGCTCAGCTATTGCTGGCCGCATGCTCGACAGACTTGGCCAGAGATGCAAAACGACTTAACGACCATGCAGCCGCTTTTCGTCATGAGGCTCAGGCTCATGCTTATCTTCAGGCAGTGTATGGTCGAGATGCTAGCCAGGCCCTTCAGCCGCAGGCCATTGGCGCATCCTCCCAGCTGGATCATAGTTCTCCTATCGGTTCAGCAGCCAAATCCTTGTTAACCCGTGTAAACCAAACACCTACCCCGACTTCATCGCAACACTATCCTGGAGAGAATGGATACTACCCTCGTGGAAGACGGAGCCGCTCTCCATCACCTTGCCGAACCAGATCTCGCCACCGACGTTCTCTCAACGCGAGCATCACACCAAAGCGGCAATCTATACAAACACCCGGCCGTCCCAGAGGTAGGCTGATCAAACAGGAGCGATCTCCAAGTCCTTTCCTTTCATTCTCGCCATCTTCCACTCGGAAGCGTAGGCACGACGGCGACTTGGACAGCGATCGTAAGGTACGACGAAGAAACGACAGCATAGATCGACGAGGGTATGGCAGGAGTGGAATGACATTCGAGAGCCAGGATTCATTGTTCCGCAGAGCAGTAGGAAATAGCTACGTTCCTCACAGCCGACATAGATACAGTCGTAGTCATAGTTCGAAGAGATAAAACAGTCCGGTGGCCCCTATTCTAGAGCGAATGCCGAATGATCCGTGCTGACTTAAACTGTACAATTCGCGCAAGCCTCAAACCTTATTTTTGGATCACTGCCTAACACGTGCAAACAAACGGCGGAAAGGCCCAGTGGATTGCTCGTTATTGGCATCGACGTCGCCCTCAAAATCTAACGCCGCCTGCGTCGCCTAGGTCAACGTCGCCACCGTTCGCAAGACATTCAAAATGGCCACCGGTACTCTCCCCAAGGACGTTTCCAAGCTCGGACAGGAAATCAAGCTTTTCGGCAAATGGGATACCCAGGAGTGAGTTGCGCAACTCCTGGTCGAAATCCGGTGTCTGGAGGCTCAATTTTGTTCTATAAACAGTGTTGAAGTGAAGGACATTTCCCTCACTGACTACATCCAGGTCCGACATGCTGTCTACCTTCCTCACACCGCTGGCCGATACGCCAAGAAGCAATTCAAGAAGGCCCAAATGCCTATCGTCGAACGATTGGTTGACAGGTGTGTTTAGACGCCTTAAAATCAAGATCGCAGCATATTCAACGGGCCCAGCTTGATGATGAAGGGCCGCAACAACGGCAAGAAGCTCATGACCGTCCGAATTGTCGCCCATGCTTTCGAAATCATCCACCTCCTCACCGATCAGAACCCCATCCAGGTGCGCTTGGAACCAGGTCGCGTTCATGAATTGCGACTGACCAGCAACACGCTATAGGTTTTGGTTGATGCTATCGTTAACACCGGTCCCCGTGAAGACTCCACCCGTATCGGCTCTCAAGGCACCGTCCGACGACAGGCCGTTGATGTTTCGCCACTCCGACGAGTCAACCAGTCCATCGCTCTCCTCACCACCGGCGTGCGTGCTCATTGTCTCTGCGCGGGATCCATTTGTTGATTTTTGACTAGACCCGCGAATCTGCTTTCCGCAACGTGAAATCCATTGCCGAGTGCTTGGCCGATGAGCTCATCAACGCCGCAAAAGGTTCATCGAACTCCTATGCTATCAAGGTACGTGACTTTGTTCCCCTCGGCGGGGCCCAACTGATACACGTTGTCTGTTATACAGAAAAAGGACGAGCTGGAGCGTGTCGCCAAGTCCAATCGGTGATTGGATTTTTCGGTCCTCTTTCTGTGGTTGGGCGACGGTGGCGAACATGTCAGGTGGTTCAGAAAGTCTTTTTTTGCAGCAATTCAATATGTTCCTTCTCCATGATATGTATGTACCACCTCGCCGACATCATAATGGCCTATGCTATGTACCCTGCAAACCCTCATGCGATCTCTTCCGTTGTTGCAACCATTGCTCGGCATCACAACCTATTTATCGCTGACCAGCGCACTGACGTTTGTCTCAAGGTTCGGTGGTCATTCACCGTCCCTCCCCTTCGTTGTGGATCCGATATCTCCCCGGTGACCTAGACCACGTTGGCATCGTCAGGTTTTACCTCGCGTGAACAACTTGAACTAGGCCACCCCGCAGGAACATACGTTTAGAGGCTGGTTCTCTGAGGTCGGGAGCGATACGTGCATTATCCTCGGTCTTTCGCGATGAGTATAGAAGTTAAGGTTACCTTCATATTAGAACCGCCGATTTACCGAAATTGCCCAGCAAGTGATGTTCCATACTATGTTCTCTTGGGAACGAGCCATCCCAATTTCATCAGAGGGATGTCAATTTCGCTCAGTATTGACCGATAAAGTGAGCCGTTAGGGCTATAGATCGTTCACAGGCTCTCAATTCACATATGCGCACACGGGGAGAGGAGGATGGAATCTCTATGATAATTGCCATTGATAACTTTAAAATGCTTTTTCGACTATACAACTGTTTATGGATGACTACAACAACGTTTTGTATGTGAGATTGGATTGAGGATATTGTTCTTGCAGCTTGATACAGTGACGACAGATAATGGATGCGAGGACTATATGAAGCAGGAGATATAACGGAGGGACGTAAATGAGGTACCAGGAGATTATCAAAACCGAGACAAGCAGCGACCACGGAGTGAGAAAAAAAAAAGGTGAAGGGCGACACCACAGCTTTGGAGACGCTATGTGCGAAGATGGGTAAAACAGGATGTGCACGAAGATGACAGGAAGAACCGGCCGTGCCAAAGGGCGAAGAATCGGCAGATGTAAAAAGAAACAAATTATTCCACAGGGTATGATGAAATGCCAGGACGGTAAGCTAGGATATCGTGAATAGAAAACTAGGGTGAAGAAGCGAATGCAGCAATGATAAAGACGAGAGCAAAGGAACTGGAATGACGAGGGAAGAGCGCAGCTTTGGGCAGTGGGAAATAGTGGTAATGAAATCCTCGTGGAGGATAGGCCGGTGGGGGGTGACGAAGGGTAGAAAATTGGAAGGGCTGAAAGCGGGCGTACAAGCGCTCGAGATCCAGTGATAGTAGAAGAATAAGTTAAATCCGAAGCGAGTGCGGCGAAGGAAGGTCCTCTTCCGGCATTGTCAAAGATCGTCCAGAACGGAGTAAAAGCGAGATCGCATATCATTTCGGTCCGTGCGGCGCATGACTAGAAGAGTCTCGACGATCGAAAGGAGTGCTGGAAGCCGTAGCGCGGTCGGCTGTGTTGTTTTGTTGCCCAGACAATGAAGCGCGGCCAGAATTGTCCACTGGGACTGGTGGGCCCAAGACTGGAGTAGGTTACGGTCATTCGTCCGGTACATAGGTTCTCTTGACGTCGAGGGGGGCATTGAAAACGTTTTGAATTCCGAGCGTGCTCTTGGATTGAGTTTAATGTGATGAAAATGGACGCCGTGGATGGCAAATGGTGATGTCAGTGGAATGACGTGACATGGAAAAGTAGGCAGGAAACATTTTGCTATTTTCGTTGCAGGTGTCGTAATCTTCGTCTAGTTGAGGGGTGTAGGAGGTTTGTACGGGGAGGCCACAACGGTCGACCCTTTCAAACGTTGGCGGTGGCGAAGGTATCCGTAGAGATCGGGGGCGCTGCAATCGTTGAAACGAACGATCAAGCCCCGGAACGTTGAAAGGACTTCCATTGATGCTATGTAGATTTGAAGTCGGCGGGCTTCTCGTATCAACCGAACGTCGTCGGCAGACGAGTCGAGCGATGGGGCCAAGGCGGTCAGCCCGAGAAATCCCAGCTGGGTTCCCAAGTACCTGAGCCATAGAAGGGGAGACGGGGAAGTGAATGCCCAAAATCATCGGTGTCCATGTGCGCTAGAAGAGTGGCCGTGAGATGAGGGTGTCACATTGGGCCGAGGGGGGATGTCGTCTTCGGGCTTGGGTTTGGGAACGACACCGTCAATGCCTTTGTAACCGTACGCTTTACCAAACTCCTTGATCATGGCCTTCCCCATCAGACAAACCCAACCTAGCCCTTCTCCCGTCACGAGCTGACCGGGCCAGAAGAGTTCGCCCTCTTCGTCCTCGAAGTCAGGCTCGTGTTCGTCGGTCGGTAACAGCGTGGTATGCATCATGCGATTGAAAGTGGTAGGGAAACAACGCATCATGATTGGAAGGTTGAGGGTTGCGTGTGCGGTGGACATGCACCAACTGGCTCCGTTGAAGCCGGATACAAAGTCTCGCAGGTCTTGTGCAAGGGTAGGGCCGATAGGTTCCGTAACCTGTGCCATGGCATCCATGGTTTGAGGCGGTATAGGGTTGTGGCTGTTTGCGAGATGAGGTGGCAGAAGGGCGAACGGCACTGGCGATGGACCACTCTGAAAGCGAGGGCCGCGTTGCTGCTGATGCTGTTGGTGTGAGGACGCATTCAACTGTCGGGAATGTTGGTTGTGATTGGGCGTTCCATTTTCGCGGTATGTAGGTGTCGAATTCGCGCTGTTGGCCGGTGCTATGCTCGCGGGAGAAGGAAGCATGATTGGTGTCCCACCGGACCCAGGGTGGAGGGCGCCAGCTGAAGCCTTCTCTGCGTCTGAGGCTATTTGTGCAATCTTGCTCTTCATGCCTTTCGTGACCTTATCCATGTCCGCGTCCAGATGATCCCGCACGGTGTACATCAACTTCCTCCCGTGGATAAATGCCTCGATCATCCAGCTGTATGAAACATGAAACACCAGTCAAGCTGCAGCATGGATGTACTTACATCAAGCCAATGAAAGCCTTCTCAGCGTCGTTGATTCCCTCCTCAGCCTGCCATTTCTGTTTGCACCAAATCAAGAAAGCCTCGATGGTGCTCCAGGTTTCCTTGTTGCATGACCGTCGACCGTAATCCCTGTTCCAAATTGCATATGCAAAGGAGACCAATGCATCCACAAGTTCCAGCCGTGCAATGAGTCCACCATGTTTGTGATAGGGCGAATTCGGGGGAGGAGGATCCGCAAGCGGACGATATTCCCGATGTGTTGGGGGGTATGTTGACCAGAAACGAGCGTCTCCCGAGTACTTGAGCATGCGGCCTTGATTGTGGTATTTCTCGTGAAGGCCGTCGAAATGACGTAGTCCTGGTCTCCCCCGTTTGGGGCGACGTATCGGAACGTCGATGGAAGCCTTGAGTGGAGCAGGTATCGAAGGCGTTTGAACGGACAGACTAGATTCTTCCCGCAATTCTCCTTCCTCGGGTTCCGGCCGCGAGGAGGGGGTTGGGGGGTTTGGTGACTGTGAAGTGGAGACGGCTTGTGCGCTCGGTGGCTGAAGGCTATGTGGCGGTTGCGCATGATGTGAATGATGCCCTCCCTGGTGCACTTGATTCCCCGTGTGCTGACCGTTGCGCCTGTCCGACAGCGAGGTGGTCCTAGGACGCTTTGAAGAAGATGAAGCGTCGAGATCGGGAGGGGAGTCTGATTTCCGTTTGTAACCGGGGGCCGGTGAAGAAGAGCGTGACGCTGGAGGCGATGGTGGAAGAGTTGCTGGGAGAGGGCCCTCTAGCTCGTCCAACAACTACAGCGCGACTTGTTGTTAGAACGAACCTTTGTTGAGGATGAAGACCCTGAAGCTTACCTGGATGTTCCTGAGTAACTGTTCGCGGGTCCATCTCCTGTGGGGCGGTCAGAAAGGGTCCCATGAGGCTGTCACTGTGACTGACCGTCTCCTGGGCTTTGTCGACGACGACGACGACGACGACGATGAGGTATGGTGGGTATGTTGGTGGATAGCGGACATTTGTCGCGCGGGGGGAATGGTGGTGGGAAGAGGACAAGAGGCGGTCTGGAGGCAACAACAATCGTCTGAGAGAACGGACTTCAATCACAAATGTCGGACTTCAAACGGACGTTACCAAATCCGCCACCGAATCCCCCAGTCACGTTGACAAGTAACTAACAATTAATTCACTTCTCTATCCAAAATAATTATCTTGTTTCATCCCCCATTCTCTGCCCTAATCCTTATTTATCCCTAGTCCACAGCCTATTCCAGCTCCATCCTAGTCACTGTCCACACCTCCTCATTCCGCCGTCCAGCCGGCTGCTTCACCGAAAATGCCCCGTTTCCACACCCAGCTTGTAGAATATTCTCAAAACCCACTTGCGAGAACCCCGTCCTGTGCTGGGGCCCCCTAGACCATCACTTATCCTCCCACCCAACAATAGTTATCCCGTTCTTCTTGGCCAGGCACGCCGAGGTAGATAGAGGGCGCATAATAAGGTTCGTAACGGCCTAGCGCTGCTCACGGAAACATACCACCGTCTCTGGCGCTTGTCCCCTCTAGCCCTCCATTCCCCTAGTCATTCTTTATTTTCTTCCCTTATTGTCGACAGAACAGCACCGCCCACAGCACCATCTCACCTCGCAGCTCGAGTGCTTAATCCTTGTACTTCTGCTAGACTTGGTTGTTGAGATAGCCTGGAGTAAATCCATCAGGAACGACGGCATATGGTCCCGGATCCCGCTTGGCCCGGTCGTAGCGATCTCAGATCTCGCCCAGCCATTGACTTGGACCTCCTCGTCCTCCACCCGTCACATCCACACTAAACTTTCATATCTTTCCAATTCTTTTGTCCCCCATGTGTTCTACCCACTGTTGCCTCTTGTCTAGACTGAAGTATCTCTTTCCTTGCACGATTCCTACCTCTTTTTTCGAATTTCGAAGCAAGTTTCGAATTGCCCCCGTGGGGTCACCGCTCCCTATTTAATGAACCTCGCATGAAGGACGCTGCGAGCTTCCGACGATACATCATGTCAGAAGGGTCTTCGCGTTTCTCACTCTGATACTTGCACACAGCTCTTCATTATCTCATCAGCCGTATTAATAACTACCGCCTTCGTTTCAGCTCGAATGCCAAAACGGCTCTGCCATCCATTCGCATGCCACAATATCATGGAAAATATCATGCTCAACCCATCTAGTAACCGCAAGATTGACGAACGTTCAGAATGGCTTTTTTTGGTAGAACCAGGCTCAGCCTATTAATTAATTGGGACGACTGCTTCCGTTTACGAACTCTGACATTCGCAACTGGGAGTTTTGCCGTCACTTGTACGCTTTCTCTCAGAAACTCCCGCCCTGAGAACAGTGTGATCTCCCCGGCCCCCTTTCCAATCCCAAGAACGCACCTGGTTTTACATCCTATATCGCCAAACCCAGAGTAGATTAAGCATTCAGCGACGCGCATCATCCTTGGAAATAAATGTGAGCGCTCCAATGAACCTGTGATCTCTTGTTTCTCCCACCACCCACCTTTCGTGTTTCCGACCGAACCTCAAGAAGGATAGTGATCTCACCCGTGTAAGGTCTGCGTAAATTGACCGGGCTAACAGCACGCCTTCCTAGCAATGACCGAATTCAGGTTTCGGTGACGCCAATCCCCCCTGGGTGCGTCCTTAAATGCCCTGTTCATTCGCAACTTCTCCACCTTCCTCTCGAAACAAACGGGCACCCGGGCTCGAGTAAGCAACAACACACGACCCAGACTTCTCAGCCCGAATGGTTCCATACTAGGGCATCCTCTACAAGATTGATTTATGTTTTAGCATCCAAAGAATGGCTGGTGTACATCATTCTGACATTCATCCTTCAAGCTTCAATGTTCCCAAGCTCTGTCACTGGGCACTCAACTCTGTTACAGGTGTTCTGACCCCAGCATACTTACTTGTCTTCCTTTTGGTGGCAATTTGTCATCGGTTCTTGCTAGGGTGCGTAAAGGTCCATAAATTGTCATCCCGAATGGTTGGTACTGTCGGAAGAAAGACTAAGTAAGGGGACCGGCGCTGCATCCATACCGGTGCCCTATGACAGGAGATAGTATTTTGTATATCCACCTACATACTTCCTTTCAGTCTTGGGTGCCGAAGAGAGCCCTCCTGAGTATACGCGCTTTCAACCGAATCCGGCCAGTACGACGAGGAGGTAGCGTTGCCGTCGGGGTTTTTCCGAAAAGCTGACGAGCTCCATTGCTCCTTTCTCCCAGAACAAACCCGAAGTTATTACATACTTGGTTGGGATTGGCGGGCACTGAGATAGCTAAGTAAGATAGTTATCACTCGAGTGCCTGACCTTGATACATGTACTTAGTACTTACTAACTGGGTGCGCACCCTAAGTTCCCGGAGCGGTGAACCAAGTGCGCGTTTCATAGTAAGCGAGCCTGCTTGTTCTCCTCAAGGGAGGACATAAAATCTCGGGACACCCGCTCTACGATGTTTCCAGCACAGCACAGCCCGCGACTGGTTTCATGCTGGCAATACCAAGACACCCGAATTCGCGAAAGTTCAGGAAGAACCCCACACTCTCACATTTCCTCTTGTGAACGTCTAACCTAGTATCCGGCGGGACGCTGAATGATATCATCACCCCCTCAAAAAAAAGAAAGCGCCTCAGCCGGAAGGCACGCATGGCAGCACCCTACTCCACAATAATATTAACTGAACGTTCGGGTTCACTTTCCCAGCTTACTTCACTCGCATTAATCTGTTTCCGGTATCTACAGCCCCTTCCTCCAGACTCCCCTGGGTCGGAACGTCACCCGCACGTCCTTTCACGCTACTTGGTTATCAAGCGCCCTTATCTGAGTTCAGATTTGCAATTTCGACCCAACACATGCTGAACGATGACGACGGTGGCCCCAGATCAGTAGCTAGGCTCAACTGGCACTAAACCCTATTTCCATATCCTGGGATCATGAAAGCTTGTGTCTCAAGAGCCGTTGGGCTACAGAAGTGGATAAAGTTGGCCAAGCGCCTCAAGAGCGCCAGGGAGAAGCGGCGCGAAGTTGATGAGATAATCCGATGCGGATTCTATCGTCTTCCCTTCGCCTTTGCCGCGCATTTCCAAAGCAGCTCCGAGGACTCGAGGATAGCTCGCGGGGAGCCCCTTCTCCCTACCTTCCTGCCGGGTCCTCCGACCAGGTTTCTCCATTGCATGCACCTTCGCTACGACTCTGGGATTCCCTCGGGCCCCACGCGTTCCCCCCTATTACTTGGGCCAACCTGTCCAAAGTCGTCGAAGGTATTTCCGAACTAGTGACAAGTGCCCATCCATCGCAAATGGACTCTATTTCCGCACCCAGCGCTTCGATCGTTGGGGCCCATGTTCCCGCACTCATTGAATTTGCCGAAATGTTTCAACTCTTCAACACCAAGACTCACAGCTCATTGCTGCCAAAGCTCACATTTACTTCATTCACACCCCATAGTCAGCAGATAAGGTATTCATTCATAGCGCTTCGGCTCTTGGGATTAATAAGATGGAAGATTAGAAGGCCGAGAGATTACTGAATATTACCAGATGGATGGCCTGTCGGCCTGGAACTACTCAAATTCCCTCACGTTGATAAGAGAAACCTGACAAATGATCACCCTTGTAAGGACTACCACCGACTGTCCCTGCGACCAGCTCGCAACTTGCTTCCAAAGTCCAATGTAACACTCCCTCACCTCGTAGGAGAAAGCAGAAACTGCGGATGTAACATACATGATACCCATACAGGAAAACGTTCTGAGGAACATAACCGCTCCGAGTTAGCCGCTCCTCAGGCGATATAGGTTTGCCCAAAAAAGAACAACCAAGCGTCTAGGCCTGCCTAAGGTCCTCTGATAGAGCACGCATGTGCCAACTATATAGGGAAAATGAGCTTTTGTTTTGGCGAAAACTGGCACCAATGGCCATCCGGGTAAAATGCAGTGTGCTGGTACGATGATGTTGCTGCACAGCACGGGAGGACACCGGAAACCAAATAGCACTGCCGTGCGGACATTAAAGCATGCGTCGCCTCACATATCTCTCAGGATGTTGACGACTGTTTGCATGACAGTTCTTTCTGGTGCCCATCTCTATAATAGTCCAATATGGTCAATGGTCATTGCACATCTGACGGTGGCAATCACACCGTCAAGACATCGTTCCCTGTTTATCAGTTATCAACAGCTATAGTACGTGGATAGAAGATCATTACCCAATTATGAGACAGCTAGGAACTGGCTGCCCGATGCTTACCGAATTAAGCGCCCAGAACCTGCATTAGGCGCCCATGGCGGAATTTCCGTCGAAAGCGTGTTCTCGGCAGTCGTCCGATAATACGATGAGGAGTTTTGTGTCCTGCGCACGAAGCAGGTATTTCACACCAATGACAGGATTTTTTAGGCATCAGCCTGGCACTAGTACCTGTGCTTAGATGGGCATCTGCCCAAAAGCTGGCGCAGAATGCAGACGACCGAGGTTGGCTTTATTCCACTTTCTACAGTGCTATAGAGAATAACCCTTGGAAAACAAATAGGTAAATGCCATGGCCTCTCTGGAAGCCAAAAGACTACCGCCCGTCTTCGGCAACCAGCTGCAGTTCACAAGGTAGGCGGATAAGCATCGGATCTACCGCTGCGACCTGATAAAGTTACACAGAACGCGAATATATAGCATTGTCCTAATGTTTTAACTTCCGTACCTATCGCTACGAGAGAGAGTCGAGCGTCGCAGGTGGAGAAAGAAATTGGTCCGAGGAAAGATGTATCCCTCCCATAACCCCCGAGCATTCTTCATACTCACGAATTGCACCCGTTAATCGTCGAGAGAGCGACAACAAGTCGAAGCCGCGCAACATAAAGGATTGGTACCTTCGCGCGACATTGAGTCAGGGTATTGTTACTCTCTCTCCCTTGCCGTGGATTCACCGAAGAGAAGCGACCCACCCCCCGGCAGGGAGACTTTCCCGTACATGGTTGGTTCCAAAGCCCCTCTAACACTTGCCGGTCACTTGGGAATGTGGCTCTTAGACAAGCATCGTCACCAAGGAACAACGGGAAGGAGCTCCTCTTGATCTTGGTTCACTCCAGGTGCGCAACCCAGATCCATGCTACTGCCGCTCCGTCGATGACGATGGCCTGCAGCACGAGGCCCTTGCTGGATACAGTTTGCCGCATCCTAGTGCATCTATATCAAAGATGGCGGGGATTGTCAGTGATTATCGAGAGATGCTGGGCATAGGGTACAGCCTGCGACAAAGGGAAGCTTGTACTCGGGTATCTGAAAGGGAGAGGGACGCTGAAACCTTAAGTCGCGGGAAAGCTCGCAGAGTCGTTCCATGTCTTGAAACTGAGCGCGAGACCTTGAGAAAATCTGTAGCCAGGCCCCACATCTTCCCCAGGTTAAATAAGTGGTCGATTGATCGATTTCTTCTGAGGTTAGTGACATCTGAAGAGCAACGCGACGAGGAGGGGGAAGGTATCCGAAGAAGGAGAGGAAAGGCAGTCTTTGAAAACGACCTCTGTCTGCGTTCGCACGTATTCATCGGCAACCCATCACGAGAAGTAGTCTTGAAGCTCGAATGTTCGAAGACGATAGAGATTCACGAGCCAAATATTCCGACGAACGTGACATTCCAACGATCGCGGGCCTGGAAGACTGAAGTCATTGAATTCACCAGTGAGGAAAGCTCCTCAGTAAATACCTTTCAAAGATAAGGCTTAGGAACATTCTGATAGAATGGCAAATGCAAAGCGAACCATTCCGAGCCTCTCGTCCGCCTTTCTGAACCGTATCGTCCAACTAGGCAGGTCCCACCCAACACCAAGTGTGGCATTCCATGGACATTGAGACCTGGGACACATCGCCCGCATGCCGGTGCGAGTTCCTAGATGTGCAACGATCAGGCTGCGTGGAGGGTCCCCTGAGCTGAACGCTGCTGAGAACAATGAGCCATAAGGAAAATAGAAGATATCACCACGGTGCTCTTCCGACTGGGTTTTGGCTTCTGGGTCAGGCTTAACATACGGGGTTGCGCATCGGAGGTGCTTATTCTACCCAAGAATCAGAATCCCCGCCAGAAGCTCCCAGCTGTTCCAGCCGCGCTGTCGACCTGAAATGAACGTAACATGAGGAAAGTCCGATTTGAGCAAGGTAAAAATGGCCTGAGCTGGTTTCAAGGCCACAGGAGGCCTATCCGTGCGTTAGGAGTCAGTCATATTCAGCATGCGAGACAGAACGAGGCCGGGGTCTAAAGTTGCCGAAAAAAACTTTGAAGGCTCGCTCACATCATCCAATTCGCACTTGCCCTAATGCCGATGGCCTCGAAATAGTGGGCATTCCAGCAGAGCCAACGAGAACGACAGTAGGGGCTCCACTATTCGATCATCTATGGACCTATCTTCGAGTTCGCCTGAACCCGATCTATTCGAAAGGTCCAGAAAACTACAAGTCTTCGACCGATCCGGCTACGGTCCACAGCAACATGCTGCCTGTCATGTTCTTCCAACTCAATGCCTTTCAATAATCTTGAAAGCAAGGTAGTTGTGTCGAAGAAGCCAGGACACGCGTTGGTCGAGATTGTAAGGCGGCCTAAAGACCGTAAGTAAAGTTGTCAAAATGCATCGAGTTGTTCGGGTTCAAGCGATCCTCGTGCTGTTCATTTGATTTCCAATTCGACTAGAGGCACCCAGTAGGCGGTGGGGCACCGTCGTCCTTGACAGCATTCGTGAAGTTGAGGAAAGAAATGAGAACTGGAGCCAGTGTCGTGGTTCAAGTTGAGCTGGGGGATGGCCGCTTTATCTCCGACGCAAGGCTGAAATGCGTGACGTCATGTCACATGCACCGTGTCAAGCTAGGGCATCTCGGAGACCATCCCGCCTTGAACTTGAAAGTAGTCACCAGGTACATCCGAGGACGTAAAAAGAAAAGAAACATGTCTTACCAAGACTGGCGGGGACTCTGAGAGAGAATCCATAGTTTATTGACATCTATACGATAAAGAGGATGTACAACTTCGTCACGTTACAGGCGCGTTTACACAAATCGAGAGGGGCAGAGCAACAACATAACGAGGACAACGAGAAAGAGTCAGGAATAAAACAAACAAATCGAGAAGCAATTGAAACCCGGAAATAAGGCTGAATCAATAATAATACACGGCTGATGAAAGTAAAGGGAATTGTCTTTGGTTTGGTTCTGGAATGGGCCAGGGATGATTATGCCAATGTGCTAGTGTGCGGTGATGAATCATGTGTGCGTTAGGATGTCGTTCCAATCGTGAATCCTATCCAAGCAGGAATATATGTGTCCTCCAGACTGAGATGGTTGATATATCGTGACGGTAGGTGAAACTGAGGATGGCTGATGATCGTGCTAGGCCTTTCGTGCTCGCTTCTTGCCAGGTTGTGAGGCTTTGGTAGCCTTCCCCTTGGTAGCGACAGCGTCAGCCGGGGTATGCTTTACTTGCTTCTTGTTTCGCGCCGCTCTGGATCGAGTAACGGCGACCTCTTCCTCTAAGTCGCTCTGTTCTGCGTTATTGGAGCCTCCTTCCTCATCGCCAGGCTCTTCGATCACATCCGCTTTGCGCTTTCCGACAGAGGTAGCTTCCCCTGTGCTGACGATGGTAAGGCCGGACAGTACTGAGCTGCTGCGGGAGGTGGTAGGTTGGACAACGGTATCAGCAGAGCTGGAATCGGTGGAGGTCGAGCGGGTTCGGGTATGCGTGTGGGTTTGGCTGGCTGGAATTACGGCAGGGGCGAGGAGAAGGGATGCTTCCACAAGGGCTGGAGAGATCTCCATACCAGACGATGAGGCATCTCGATATCGCGATGAAGGGTTGGCATTACGCTTTCTACGCGAGGGCGCAACAGACATGTCGGGCGAGAGATCGATGACATCTGAAAGTGGAGTTAAGTCTCGCTCGGGAGACATGGTCAAGATGCGTGCGTTAGGCAAATCTTGTTGTGCTGATGGAGCAGGTCTTTGCGTTGCAGCCTTGGGCTTGGAACGTCCTGCGCGTGTCCTTGTCGCTTGGCTTCCAGCAGGAAGATCGGTTGTTCGCTCTGGACTGTTGGCACGGCTCGCATTTGCTCTCGATGCTGGCAATTCCTCCAAATCGTATTCAAGGCCGGGAGATGGTTCTTTGAGAGCCCCAGGCGCCATACGGCGCCTGCGCAATCCGCGGGGTGGGGTGGAGGGTTTGGGAGGAACGAGGATGGTGTACCAATCCTTGGATTCGTAGATCTCCTTCCAAGCGCGCCCGTGCTGGGTGGCGAGCACGGCAAGGTATTCATGCTTGCCAAACCACTTTACAGAGGATTTAATGAGAGGTGGATCGTGTACTGTATTGCAATAGATCAGTCCGTAGTTCATGGTGGATGAGCTGTTCTAACAGTGCGTATGGACTGAAACTTACACGAAATGTCATTTACGATGTCTGCAGTAACATCCTTCTTCTCATCACTCCAAAACATCCAATGGACGGGATCCCCCGGATGATAGAACACCTCCAGTGCCGCAAGGGTAAAGACGAGATTGTTAATGGGCGAAGGGAGCACCAGGGTCTCCCTGGCTTCCGCAAGCAGTTTCTGCACTTCAGGCAGCGCAGAACAGAAGACCGTTGTCTCTCCGTCTGTCCAAACTCCTGGAGAGACTTGAGAGCGTACTGGGACATAAGTCGAATAAGACGACAGAACTGGCGAGGTGGGTTCCGGTGGACTGGTGTAAAGCTCGTTGGGCTCCGTGGTCGTGCGCCGGGATTGACGATCGGTCGGCGGAGCCTCTGAACGACAGTCGGAAACAGGAAAGATATCTAGAGTCGTCAGGGAACCACACATATCTTGCATCGGTAATCTTGAGGACGACGGTGAACAATCGCTGTACATGCGGGGGAGGAATGGCTAGAGATGTAGTGTGTTGGGCTGTAGTGTGAGGTGAACAAGAGAGACGACGAGCTAGAGTGTTCAAAGACGTTGTAAACGACGAGGGCGTAGGGTTTGACGATGGGCAAAGACGATGAGTGTGGACGGCAAAGCTGGAACTCGAGGCGTCCAGTGTCAAAGGATGCGATTGCTTGCCTTTTGCGGAACGCACCAGTCCTCGATTCCGTGGGACCTATTTCGGCACTTGTAGTGATCACTCGACTCTCCGACCGCGTTTTGCGCTTCAAAGATATCCGACTCCCTTCGTTTTTCTGCGCTCAATCGAAACTTGTCAACTTTTCCCTCAATATTATCACAGAACACAGTCCCTCGACAGTCCCAAACGACAACCAGAGGCTTCACATCTCCTCGTGTTGCCGAACATCTCTTGGCACATCTAATCTAATCCGGGAGGATCGACACACTCCGGCCCGTCATCTGTTTGACTCTACAATATCACAAAATGCCTCAAGCAAGTGCAGACAAGAGCATATGCGTATTCGGCTGCAAGACAACAGAATATATAGAACATTCATAGCGACAAGGATTGAAAAAGAAGGTCAGGAAAGACACAAGTGCTCAGGCGGCCACTCAATGAGTGGTTAACCCGGGGTGACCGGGGCGACATCGGCGACATGCAAGCTGCTCTGCTCCTCCTGCCCCTGAACGTCGTCCACAACCCTATTCCACAGCTTGATATCCAAGTCTGCAGCTGGAACCACCAACAGTGCTCGAAGTTGTATCGCCCTACTGGGAGGCACCACGCCGACGGGGAGCTGACTCGATTCAGGAATCTCTGACTGTCGAAGGAAGCACATCACAGTGGGGTTGCAAGGTCCGCCCACGTCAATATCCACTCGAGACTGCTGGATGTTGGACTTACCGGAGGTTTCTCGAGGTAGCCAATAACGACAACGGTACTGAGTCGCTCATTCACCCATTCCTTACTCCGATCGTCCAGAGCAGAACCGATATCGACAGAGATAGTATGTTTCCCATCGAAGTCAAGGAGAACGGCCACCCCATGGATCGCATCGTAAGAAAGCACTCTGATCGCCATAGAATTGAAAATTGAACTGAGTTGGTGCCAACGTCGCAAAACTTACCGTCCTGCAATCCTCAGTTTCCGTTCAATCAGCCCTTCATGTATTCCGGATATCTTCGTCGGGGTCGCATGCTCCAGTTGCCTGGACATCTTCTCGAGCCTCAAGGTCGCACCATTGAAAAGGGGGAGGATCTGATGTAACTGAGAAGACACAGCAAAGGAACGGAGGGCAAAAAATGATACAGACTAGTCCTCTGTGGGCGCGTGCCACTCGTCAAACCAGACGCGTCACCTCACGTGCTTGAAGGCTGAGACACTCGGAGGCGAAATGAAAGGCAGCGGCTTGGATTAGAATTATATAATGTGGTAGGTAGAGAAGAGAAGGGCGCATGTTCCACAGCGCCCTCCGCAACTCGTAACTAGCTACAGCGAAAATAATATGCGAACATCGGAAGGCTACGTACAATGGGGGATAAATAAGACGAATGTCGAAAGCGGATAGTAGAAGTACAGGGTGAGTGATGGGATGATTGCGACAGTGGTAGAAGTACAGCGAGGGGGTATGTGTGGGTATCCTGGTGCGTGCAATGCAGATAATAACAGAGAAGAGTGCGGTGCGTGGGTTGGTGGTGGTACAATGGAGCGGCAGATCGATCCGTCCATAATAAACGAATGATTTTGATTTATCTTCAGCACTGAGCGCGTCGTCGAAGAGGATGGCGATGAAGGCGATTATGGTGGCCCACGTTTCTTCGACTTGCGCTCAGCGTCTCGGAGAGTGACTCGCACGCCGTACTTGGATAGTGACTGGAGGGAGTCGCGTCAGAACATCGCGGACTACTTTGCAAGACGAGGACCAGACTTACCCTAGTGAGGTCAGTCGAGGGCTCTAGACCGGGGAATTCTCGTGTAGAGTAAACTCGGAACGGGCCTCCAAAAACTTCAGCGAGGAATGGAGGTTCTTCGGACTCTTGAGTTCGGGTGAAGATGTCGAAGACGCGGTATCGAAGAATGAAAGAGCCTTCTCGTTGGACGGCCAAGTCCTGCAAAGGTAAAGGAACCATCAGTAACTGCACGATGTACGTTGGCAACAGTCACTTACACTGAAGACAAAGACAAGGGCTTTTTGTCCCTTGTAGTCAACCTGCGTGGGCTCGATGAATTTCTCGCCCACGAGCGCAGGGGTCATCTTGGAAGATTCGGTGATGAGGTGGTTACCGAATCGGTAAACGACATCCTTGGGAGGGTCGTTGGGAGCGACGGGACTAAGTACTGGTTGTCGTCGGGGGATCTGGAAAGGCGAAACGCTGATTTCACGACCGTTCATGTCGGAGGTCTTGAACGGATGAAGGGGGTAGTAGGTCAAGGTTGCTGGTTCAGTATAACCATGGTAGCTCCCCGACCGATACACTGGCATGGGCATCGGGGGAGTGGCCACTTGCAAACCGTTGCTGCTGAGATTCGTAGATTGTTCTGGGACGGGGAAGAGATCGACGGTACACATGATTCCGAGATTTCGAATCTCACTGCAAACCGGGACAAAACGGGCGTGAATAAGAGAAGGTTTGAGGATAAAAGTACGACGTGACCCACTCGCATGGTAGCTCTCGCTCGAAGTTTAAGCCGGCACTGGTGGTCTTGATCTGAAAGACTCGAAGGAGAACGACAGGTGGCGGATCTAGTGGTCGACGATCCACTCGAGCATACCTAGAGACCCAACGTCCATTAGCAACGGTCCCTCACAACTATCACATTGAATAGTGAGGGGGAAGGCGCGCAAAAGGGGAAGGGATGAGCGAAATAGAGGTTGATTCGTCACAAATCACATCACGAGAAACCAAACGTGGCTGGATCGACAATTAAAAATAATGACTTACTTTCGTCCTAATTCCGCTTTCTGCAGTTCTTGAAGCTCAGCGCGAATGGTTTTACCGCCAAACTGCCCTGAGATGACAGTCTGGGGTGTTCCAATGAGTCCCGACTGGTAGTCGGAAGAACCGCTCGTCTGGCGGAAGTCGTTGACTGGCATCGGTGGTTCCATATGCTTGAACATACGTGACGCTGGGGAATGACGACACATGTTAGTTCGCGGACTTGTACTTTCACCCTTCACACGGGCACAGAAAGGCGAAAACGAACGCGGGAGAAACTGATCCATACATTTGTGCCTGTCACCGTCGTTGGTTGCGAGGGAGGACAAAGGTGCTCTGTGGAAGGCCATTCTGGAGAGCTCGTCGTTCATCGTGGAAAGGGGAGCACAGGTGGAATTTACTGGGGAGGCCGGGGTGTCGGAGGAGTGGGATGGTGAGACCAGTTGAAGTTTTCCATATTTTATAGATTCCACTCCCGCTGTCTCCAGGTTGTGCAAAGGCTTGCATTGGGTTCGGTTTGCCACGGGTCGATCCGCACGCTGGAACAGATAGACTCAGATAGAGGATCTAGTCAGGTCTGCTTCGCGGAAATTGTTCTTGATTGAAGGAAGCGAAAATAGCACTGTACGCTTTGGGTATGTGCAGCCCGAAAGTTCAGAGCGCAGCGGTGGTATCATGCAAGCAATAGCCTAAACGGACTATGTGAAAGGTCATTCGCGCCGCAATAACTCTCTATGACGCACCTAGTTTGATACTCCTCCACGGATCTTGCCCCTTTCGAACATGATGAAGGCGACACGAGGGGCGAGAGGAAGATGTATTATCAGGAGTGGCGAGTTGAGTGTTGAGAGAATGCGTTGTGCCAGTATTTGGGGCGCGACCTTCCTATTGAAGTTCCGAAGCGCGTCTTAACTTCATTCGGAGAAATAAGTCATTGCGTCAGGCCTTGACAATTGCGGGCTTGGCTTCGTCGACCAGGATCGAACTCAAGAATAAACTTGTCTGTTGTCGCTATGAGCCTGCTGTTCCGTCGTCGTCGATTAACTTTTAGGAGAGTTTAGAAAACATTCCCATTAAAGATGACTTGGTCGCAGAGGCGAAAAGCTTGAAAACGAACGCGGGACCTGGCGGAGTCCCATGGCCTTGTGGGGGTCATCATACACGTGTTGGTTTATCTGTCGTAACCGAGCGATTCTAAAAGTACACGAGTGTTATAATACAAATTCCAACTGGGACAGAACGATCAGAAGGACTTCGTCCGATGAGGATGATAAGGAGGACGAACCTTCCCAATGAGGCAAAGGCAAACCAGTACTAATTGGCCGAGGAATGAGCAGCGGGACCCTCGAGACCTGGTCCTGGACTATCAGATATCGAACCTACGAACGACAACGTTGCTTTCAAGTGAAGATATGATCCGTCTCTCGTCGAATACTACCGTGCCTTGTCGTGGTTTCGGAGGAATGCCTATCGCGGGCTCATCGCAAGCAGCAACCTCAGCGCCGGTCCCATTCTCCAGGTCCCATACCCAAATGCTTCCGTTGTGCGCGAGGCTGACGCATCGACCGTCTGCGAGGGCAAGGGCTGATACAGGGCCCGATTGTCCGTGGAGTGTTCGCACAAAGGTCAGCTTCGGTGGTGATGCCGATACGGAAGAGCTGTGGGGAGGTAAACTCAGACGATAGAGTTGTAAGCCTGTTTCACTCTGCATTGGTGACGCCTTCATGACATTCGTAGATTGAGTGGTGGAGGTTGCGCCGACAGGGGACGTACTGGAACTCGATGGGAAAGGCACATGCGGTGGCGTATAGCCGGCAAGGTACGGTACTTGATCGCCTGGAGCAAGCACGATCCACTTTCCGTCAGTTTGAGTATCCGCAATCTGGGACAGCTTTCGACCCCATTGTTCACGCATTGCGCGAAGTTTTCGTTCATCAATCCAACCTTGAGGAACATCGATTGAGCGTATTGTGCGCGTGCTTTGAACGGTCATGGAGGAATGGAGAGGGGATGGCGTATCTGAGGAGAAACCTAAACTGGGCGCGCTGAAGGATTGAGATGGTTGAATGGAGGAGCCGGCAATGATAAGTTCCGTTGCACCAACAGACCAGTGTGCTGGATACACGGGGATGGCATAGGCCACTACAAGTTTGTAGATGGTGCTGGATGGGGTTGATAACACGAGTGAGGTTGGAGGAAACGAGGTGAAGGAAGTTAGACTTTGGGTGAGCCGGATGATGTCAGAGGAGACATCGTAAATGGAAAGTGTGAATGACTGCGACAAAGTTACGAGGAGAGGGTGGTGGTATACTGCTTTGATGATGGGTGATGTCCTTGAAGTGTTCGCGGGAGGCCTGTAGCTCACAGGTGCGGTGCGGTATTGGGGATTGGTATAGTTGAGTCGGTGTATTAGGAATTCTCCGGTTGAGAGAAACGCTGCAACTCGTATGCAAGAGCCTGCCGGTGGTGACTGATCCATGGCCATTGCTGTGATATGGGCCATTGTTGGAGCAGCCGGACTGCACGGTATGTCCAGGCCATCTCCGTTCGAAAAACCATTGGCATGAATTTGGGGTGTATATGCTGGTCTGGACGAGGCGACTATCGTCAACGGTCCGGCAAGAAGGATATGGGTTTGATAGGCTTGTTCGTGACAATCAAAGCGCGATGGGAATGGCAATGGCACATCCTCAACGCAACAGCGACCTGGAGGCGAAACATTAAGAAACTCGAAGTTGAAATCAAAAAGCTTATCTGAACACACGCACCGTTTTTCCAGTTCGACGATATCCGAAACATCCATTTCCAGTCCTTATGCTCGTCTGATTTAGCTCGCCCTGGCAATGGTCTGATTTCCCGACCATCCGAGCGAGTTATGAAGCCTCTGGTTCCCCGGAGCCTGGGCCGACCAAAGACTGCGAGATACTGCTTTCGCCACAGTTCGTTGTCAACCGCGAGTCTGGCCCAGTTTCTACTGGTAGCTTGTGCTGCACATAGATCAGCCCATGAGAGGTGCGAGAAGATGCAGAGAACGAGCTCGTCGTATATCGAGTTGTCGAAGGTCAGGATGCTGCGGGGCTCTGTGGCCGCCCCACTAAGCGCGCGAAACCGTTTTGCTGGGGGAAAAGAAGCCGGGGAGAGGTCACGTTTAGACATGAAAACAAAACCAAGAATAAGTAGGAGGTCTACAGCAATGACGGTGTTCAGTAACGGATGTGACTCAGTGAAGTGTGAAGAGAAGACTTGCTCCGTTCGCTGCTATGACGATGACTAAGATTTCTTGTTCTCTGACGTCGATGTCCTCTCGCGGACCACAGCCAATCTCAAGAAATTTACATGTCGTCCTCAAAAACCACAAGGGCGCTGTCAATGTTGCTCGATATGCGAAGGGGTCAGCGAAATACATTTTGACTGGTGGCCAGGACAGAACAGTCCGCCTTTGGAATGCGGCGTCGGGCGCAGAGATCAAGACCTTTGCGGCTCATGGGTATGAAGTCCTTTCTGTAACTGTGTAAGTCCTGGGCTCAGTACTCTATCCGTCCCTTAGATTTACTCATTTCATCCTAGTGCTCATGACAATGCCAAGTTTGGTTCTTCAGGAGGAGACCGTTCAGTCTTCATTTGGGACGTCGCGACTGGAACCACAATCCGCCGATTGTCAGGACACATGGGCAAGATTCATGCAGTCGAGTTCAATGAAGACGCAAGCGTCATCGCCAGTGGTAGGAGTTCATTTCCTCTACTCCGCATGGGCGGTGATTAAAACCCTACTCCAGGTTCGTATGATTCAACCGTCCGTCTCTGGGACCTCAGGTCAGTACGTGAACCCTTCATAGACCACAGGTGGCTTGAGATTGACCCCGGCGACTTTGCTTCCGCATCCAGGGCCCAATCTCGGCAAGCTATTCAAACCCTGGAGGAGGCGCGTGACACCATCCAAACGCTACATGTTGGGCCAACTTTCGTCATAGCGGGCTCTGTCGACGGTCACGTTCGAACATATGATCTTCGCAAGGGGGAATTGCGCTCCGACTTCTTAGGACGTACGTTGCTTATCTATATGGCTATCTACGCGCGTTGCTCACAAAACGTTGTAGATCCGGTGACGTCTGTGGTACCAACCCAAGACGCGACAACCTACCTTGTTACAACGCTCGATAACCATGTTCGCCTCATGGACATGGGGACGGGGAAGATGCTGAACGACTTTTCCGGACATTCGAACGAATCATATCGATGTCGTGCCTGTTTTGGATATGGCGAGGCAACTGTCCTCTGTGGAGATGAGAAGGGCCTAATTTGGGCTTGGGATCTACTCGATGTAAGCTTCCAAGTATGCGTGTTTCTGGAATCAGCGCTGAAGAAGAAGATAGGCCAAAGTCATGCCGCCAAATCCACCACCGAAAGCTCATCACAAAGTCGTTACATGGACGGAACATCACCCTATCGATATGAGCGAGTATGTTACTGCAAGCGCTGACGGGACCGTCAAAGTCTGGAAGGCGCCGTCGACGGATTCAACTGAATAGAGAAGGCCTGGAGAATACCCACAACCCACTGCACTGACGTCTTCATCGGAAGAGACTGGGTCACCAGTTCTCTCGCCACAGACATATCGGGTCCATCGGCATTCGCTGGGTGTGAATCGTTAACGCCGACGCTGAGTCTATTTCCCTCGACCGGCCAATTGGGGCACTGTGCACAACTCGTTCTGGCCGTGAGTCTGGGGGGTTTCCCCACGATGCTGTATTGTAGTACACGGGTAGTAGGGAACATGTGGGGTGGAGTCGATAATAACCAGTGCGCCTAAAAGCTAGGCAGGTGAAACTCCGGCCCACGCATTGCGCGCATTGCAGTCTTCCCGTCCTCAACTTCTTCCAGAACTTGCATTCAGTTGTCGTAGTGCATGCCCATTGCCCTATGTATATCTCATGACGATAGATCCAGAACTTTCTCATGCAGGCCGAGAGGAGAGATCATCGTTTGGCTTGGTTCGCAGCCTCTGGAAGAAGGCGAGAAGATGGTGAGATGAAGTCGATTCGGCCAAGGGAGAAGGCAAACACGAACCTCTGCGCGTAGCATCCTCCAGTAGCTGTGTATCAACGTGTTCAGCAGGAAGCTGAACATAACGGACGACGGATCCTCGGATAAAACAGTTCTTCACGGCCATCTGCACAGAGTTCAATAGTGAGCAGGATAGAACACCCAAGTGTAGCGCACCATGTGAGGATGCCGTGCTTCATCGGAGACCTTGATATTGTCCAGACGAATGTTCAAAAACCTTTTTTTGCCGCAGTGAGTACCTGAATTCCTCATTAAACAGGAGATAAACTCACTGGTCGACCGATTTGAGGACTCCAGTGATCATTAAATCATTCTTGAGCTCGACTGTGACCGTTTGGTCTGTCAAGGTTTTGAAAACTGAGAAAATGAGCTGATGGTTTGGATCATTATCGAATGAATTGGTAGATAAGGCGCGGGCATACCATCGTTAGTCCCTTGCGCTCTTGATGATGCTGGACGGCGAGCAAGCGCGGTCAATGGACGCGATGTCCAGCTTCGGCTTGGCACGTTTGTTAGGCATCACCGTGCGAACCAAATATTCTCCTCATCGTACCCCACCAGTTCTGGCTTTCAATTGAACTGCACTGTCAACTCAATTGATGACATGCACTCATCAAAGCTTATGAAAACACACTGCGTCTTGGATTTCCGTTTAACCGATTACACAGGGTTCGAGTGATAAGGAGGTAGGTGATCCTCTCTGTGTGGTTAGTCATGAATCTGGGGTGAGTCCTCTTTTTCATCAAAAAAACTTGGGTGATTTATCACCTGAACAGCGGCAACAGTTTCGCGTCCGTAGCAGTTTCAGTTACTCGGTGAACCTAACAATCTCGATGTCAATGCACTCGCTAGAAACCCACAGGCTTCCTTGTGGCGCTCCTTTGACCGTCTCGCAAGTGTGTATACAACGTCCAATGGCAGCCAAGAATAATGTCATTGTCGTTCGCGTTCGGAGTATTCGATGTGTTCCCACGTGCCGGCAGCGGGATCGCGTACTCCAGTCCGAGGTCATAGGCTGTCATAATATTTACACTTTGCAACGCTCACTTCTCTACCGCAGTCCTTTCTTTCCCTTAATTTACCTTTATACTTTCTAGTGCCCATCCCCTTCTCTCCAATACCCATTTCACAATGCAGCTCGCCAGCTCAGTAGCGCGAAGATGTGCTCCCCGGCTTTCGCGCACAATGGCTTCTGCAGCGCCAAAGAAAAGGCATGTGCCCTTCAAACTCTCCACGTATCGCATACTGACAATGCATCTGCAGTCCAACAGGCAAGTCTTTTGACCTTTTGAACCAGTTCCGACATCGGTAACTTTGTTGACAGCCGTCGTAATGTTGAATATGGGAGGTCCTTCGACTGTTGAGGAAACACACGACTTTTTGAAAAACCTCTTCCTCGACGGCGACCTCATTCCGTTACCGTTCCAACGCTTCCTTGCCCCGGCTATCGCTCGCCGAAGAACTCCTAAAATTGAACAGCAATATGCCGACATTGGAGGAGGCTCTCCAATTCTTCGCTATACCCAACTCCAAGGCGAAGGAATGGCCAAACTTCTCGACGAGCTACATCCGGAAACCGCCCCTCACAAAGCATATGTTGCATTCCGATATGCACAACCCCTTACAGAGCTCACAGCTCGACAGCTGAAGGACGACGGCGTTACACGGGCGATTGCCTTCACCCAGTACCCTCAATACAGTTGTAGTACCACGGGCAGCAGCCTTAACGAGCTATACCGACGCGGGAAGGCCGGTGAAATGGGTGACATCAAATGGAGCGTAATAGACCGATGGGGAACACACCCTGGATTCATCGAGGTAGGGTTTTTAACATTTAACTTTGCGAAGAAACAACTTGCTCATCTCCTGGCTGTAGGCTGTCGCCCAAAACATTGAAGGAGCATTAGCCAAGTTCCCACCTGAAGTCCGGTCAGATGTTGTATTGCTATTCTCAGCGCACTCCCTACCGATGTCTATCGTGAACCGCGGAGATCCATACGTGTTGGAGGTATCTGCCTCCGTGGCCGCAGTGATGCAACGGCTCGGGCATTCCAATCCGTATCGCCTGGTTTGGCAGTCGCAAGTCGGTCCCTCGGCCTGGATGGGTCCTCAAACGGACGATGCTCTCAAGGGTCTTGCGCGCTTGGGAAGGAAGCGCGCGATCCTGGTCCCAATTGCTTTCACGAGCGATCACATCGAAACCCTATACGAACTAGACTTGGAATATGCTAAAGAAGCCCAAGAGGTAAGCCCACCTCCACCGAGAGCCTGTTTCAACCCGTCTTCTTAACTCTATCTTTTTCTAGATGGGCATGGAAGTACACCGAGCCGAGTCCTTGAACGATTCACCGGTGTTCATTCGTGCACTGGCAGATATTGTGACAGAGCATCTACGCGACGTAGAATCCGGAAAGCCTCCGACATCACTGCAGATGGGACTGCGGTGTCCAGGCTGCACGAACTCGACCTGTGGCCAACAAAAAGCGTGGTTTGCTCGGGGAGGTTAAGGAGCATATGCGAGCTGTTTAGCTATGTGTTAGGACTAGTATGAATCATGGAATTTTGGGTGGAATTACGTTTTGAAAGTGACAAACTTCAAGGATCCGCCGCGGTGGATAAGGACTATGGTTTGTTAAGTAAGCGCAGGCGATCCACCATCACTCGTCCTGTTCGACGCTGAGTTCGGTGCAGAGTATAAAAGAGCCCAACCTCAGGTAGAATCCAATGATCCATATTCCTGCCTTTTGACTTCCCTCATAATGACAAGGACTACCGTAGTCTCTGCTCCAGGAAAGGTTCTCGTTGCTGGAGGCTATCTCGTTCTCGACCCTGCATACTCGGGCACAGTCGTCTCCACCTCTTCTCGATTCTACACCGTCGTGCACGACTGGAACAACCCCAACACGATTCGCGTCCGTTCCCCTCAATTCCTGAACGCGATCTGGACGTACAAGCTCTCGATCGATGACTCTGGCGTACATGTCGAAGCGGCCTCTACCAAGTACGCTCCATCGTACCATTTCGTTTGACAGGATTATTTGGCTCACTGCAACGGCTTTCTGCTCTCTGATCAGCACCAGCTCGAACAAGTTTGTTCATTTAGCTCTTCAGAAGACAATTGCACTCGCGATGGAGTCCAAGGGATCTGTTGCTATCAACTCTGCGCTTGCCAATGGCCTTGATGTCGCGATTCTAGGCGACAACGACTTTTACTCTCAACGAGCCAAGGTACACTGTTATCCATCTCTGCTTACAATTCCTTACTCTGTGTCCTAATCATGTTGCCATCTCGGCTCATTCCAGCTGGAAGAGCTAGGTCTGCCGCGAACAATCCAATCCCTCGACAAGATCCCACCATTCTGCCCGACGAACGTCGCGATCTCCGAAGTGCACAAGACCGGCCTTGGATCTTCCGCTGCACTCATTACCTCCCTCACCTCCGCCCTCCTCGTCCATCTCTCCGTCATCCCCCAGTCGTCCCTGTCCGAAGACGACAACCCCGACAGACGTCTGGCACATAATCTCGCCCAATACGTACATTGTCAGGCTCAAGGAAAAGTCGGCAGCGGGTTCGATGTCGCTGCGGCTGTCTTTGGAAGTCACTTGTACACCCGCTTCGACCCTGTGGTTATCCAAGATCTCATGAACGATACAGAGGTGTGGATAGGTTTTTTGTCCCGGGAGTGAATAGACTCTGATATCCGCACCTTTCAGGCCCGCCTGAAGCTCCTCCCCACCCTCTCGCCCTCGAATCCAGCGTGGGACTACCGCATCGAGCCCTTCAAACTTCCGCCCTTGACGCGCATTATGCTAGCTGACGTGGATGCTGGCAGCGACACCCCATCATTAGTTGGAAAAGTCTTGAAATGGCGTAAAGAAAAGAGCCTCGAAGGTCAGTGAGATGGTCAAAGCTGCCGTTTCCGTCGTTCGTACCTTGCGCTGCACCCGTCTCGATAGACGTCATTACGTCTGATGTCCAAAACCAGTCTTGATCTCAATCTCTTTTTCATTTCGTTCTTTTCATGACCTCCATGCTAACTCGCATTTAAACAGCTGATGCGCTATGGAAAGATCTGGACCAACTTAATCAATCTCTTGCTCAAATTCTGCTTCATCTCGGCAAATTGCACGACCAAGATCCTCAGAACTACACGGAGGCCGTAAAGTATATCTCCACGTTGCAGCCCGTCCAGGTAACATCTAGGCTACCTCCAGATCGACGTTGTACTGACCGTTTGGTGACAGTGGCAAGCCAACCCTTGGCAACCAGTGGGAGAGCAGCCAGTTGTCTCCACTTTCTACGAGGCACATCGCGTTTCAGAGGTACTTGGAATGATGTTTACGCGTCCCTGCGTCCCTGCGTCCCTGACTTCGACCTAGGACATCAGAGCAAAGATGAGGCTGATGGGTAACCTTTCTGGCGTCCCCATTGAACCTCCCGAACAAACGCGACTCCTAAACGGATGTGTTGGCCAGGCTGGAGTTATTGGCGGCGGCGTCCCCGGAGGTGAGATCAATGTCCCCCCTTTTTCCCAGTGACTTGCTCATCTCCATCTTAGCTGGTGGTTACGACGCTATCTGGCTCCTCGTTTGTGACCCTGTCAACTGCGCTCCTGAGAGATCTCCTCTTGAACGCATCGAATACTACTGGTCCAACTATGCCGAACTCAACGTCTCCCCACTCTCCGCCAAAGAAAGTCTCGCCAAGGGTGCACGATTGGAATCCCTCGACTCAATCCCAGGACTGAAAGCTGCTGTCCAGGCCGCATGATTAATCCAGTCCATTGTCGAGATTGGGAGGGAATATTATAATTGTACATAACATCCTAGCAAGAAGCAATGAGCGGTTGTTGGGTTAGTCCAATGAACGAATATCTAGATTACGATCTAAACTATATGCATAATTTAGCGCTACCTTCCGTTGTCCATGCTTTAGCGAGAGCGAGGAATAGTGAGATGATCATGACCATGAAGCCGAAACAGACACAAAGAACAGAGGGAAGTTTGGAGCGGTGGTGCCACGGGAGGTTTTTGTCGAGGAGCCTGTAGTAGCAGGCAGCGGGAAAGATGAAGGCGAGGGCAGTGGCCGATACTCCTCCGGTAATTTCAAGCATCACACCCAAATCGCAGGTGATGAGAGCCACTGATAACGGGTGTTAAGAGAGACCATTGGAGAAGGAATGCGGTCTAGCACTCACCGACCATGGCCGAGAACAGAATGACAGTCGTGAAGAAGAAATGACGCTGCATGTTGAAGGACTCATGCGAGAAGAAGTAGTCTTCAATAACCTGCCAATGGTCCATTAGATTACCCCTTCAATTGAATCTGGATCCTCACCTCTCGGCAGACGAACAACTCCAGTGGCAGAGTTGTAAACATATTGAGTCCAAAGCAGAACCTTGCAACATTGATGAGGGTAGAGGTCTGGGAAGATAAGTCGTCAGTCAAGCTTTAACAAGGTCCAGGGTGGAATCTGACCTCAGGGAAGTTGTTGAGGATATTGCCTTGCGTCTTATCGGTAAACGCAACGTAACCGGAGATGGCCAAGGTCGAGCAACAGACCAAAGAAGCAAACGTGGAGATGTGGGTCACTTTGGCGAAGCGGTCCAGTGTCGGTGTACGAAGACTTCCGTAGATCATCAACGAGTTGTGGTGACACACTGGTCTCAGGACTCAGCAGCGCGTTCTTCGATAATCGGAGAGGCAACTCACCGAAAGCAAAGCTCATGACGCCGATAGCTTGGAAGATCCCCCCATCGATAAAAGTAAACCTTTTGGCTGGATCGCCTTTGGATTCTGGAGGGGCGTGTGGGCCCTCGATGGAGACAGAAATCACGATGATGAGCATTCCTACCAGGGCGAGACCCGAGGCTCGAGCGAGTTTATGGATATCTCGGTAGAGGGAGAGGGGGTATGAGATGCAGAGCGTGCAGAGTCCAATCATGAATTGGCGGTTAGCCAGAACATGTAGCACGGGCATAGTGGCAAGTTTCGGAAAGGCAGAACGCATAACATGCGGTATGGTATCACCAATGATAATCCCAAAGGCACACATCCCTAATCATTCGGCGTTTAATATACAGAGGTGATCCAATGACTTTGAAGGTCTGGTACGCACCGCCGAAAGCGAAGGCAAATTGAAAGATGGACACCGCTGCACGTCCGGCGGAGCCAAAGCAGTGGTCCATGATGTCGATATACGAATGTCTTCCGCTCATTTTCGCGTTTCTAACGATGAGACGAATAGTCCAATCGGTCACACCACACAATATCACCAACAAGGTGAGTCCAGTGAAGAAACCAGCTTGTTTCATAGCATATGGGAGACCTGGCACACTCTCAGCATCGGCCCAGTGTAGAAAGGTCATTTCATCTCACCAATAATTCCTAAGACGAGCGATGAGGGGTGAACTACGAATACACGGGTAGTTTTGCTCACCAGCGCCGAGAATTGAATTGGCCATATTCGCAACAGAATCTATCAGCCCTCCACCTGCTGTCCGCTTGGCAGCAAGTTCTTCCAAATCAACATGGATCTCTTCACCATTTCTATCCCGGAGTGGCATAGACGCGTCCAGACTGCGACGCGAATGAGAGGTATCATAAAGGCCAACCAAGAGTGGCATTTGTTGGTCCGAGTTCCGTCGAAACCCAATGGGTGTTTCCAGGTTCCTTCTTGAGGAATCATCGAGCTCATCGGAATCTAAGTCAAAGGCTTATAAAGGGTGTCACCAAAGTCCATTACGAGGGACATGCTGGAAGCTAGCGCATACACACCTGCTTCACGACTAGCTATCGTCGACCTAAGCGCCGGTGCAATAATTCGAGCATTCTCCTCGACATGTCCTCCCTGTCCACGATGTTCAGTCCTAGCGGTATATGGTGTGTTCAAGTCTCCAAGTACTCCGTCGTCCGAGTCGTCCGACTCGTCGTCGACTGCAAAGAGGGTGGTACTTCCTCCTTGGTCTGATTCGGCTGGTGTGAGCAACGGTTGGGTGAACTCGATGTCGCCGAGACCATTCCCGCTACTGCTTTTTGTAGTTGAGCGAAACATTATGGCAAGAACATAGGGTAGGGCTTGTCTTTGGGCTAAGGACAAGCTGGTGGAATAGCGATAAGCTACGTGGTGGTGGTGGGGCAATGAACGCCGCCGCTGGGCAGGGCAACCAAGCTTTGCTGACTAATCCATCAGTCAACTGCAGTCTTGTACTTGCTTTCTCCCATTAACATCAACGCCTGAGACGCGATATCCTCGACTTTCTTGGTGAAACAGGCAGGGCCGGCGACGAGATATAAACTGAACCAGGTCCCTGAATTCTGGAAATTCTTGGAGCGGAAACCACCGTTATTCGGGTTCCCTACTGCCTTCAATGTTTTCTTTCCTTCTCCTGGCATTCTTCTCGGTTCGCGCTGTGGGGCAGCACATATCTCCAGGGGACTTGGCCGCTCAATATAGCCTAACAACAAGCACCAGCTTTCCCTTTCCGACCGCCACCGCCTCTTCGCCCGACACTCAGTCTCTCCTGCTCAACGAATGGTCGTTGGGCAGAGGACGCATTCAAGAGAACCCCAACAATCTCGAATTCGTTCGGGACCCATACCCCAATAGTGGCAGCGCGTCCTCTGGACCCGTACTCCAAGTAATATACCCTGCGGGAAGCTATACCCATGCCAGTGGAGGAGGTGCACAATTCTATAATCTGTGGAATACGACGGATGGATCGACTTTTGGAACCATGCTTCTATCATACGAGATGGCCTTCGAAGCTGGCTTCAATTGGGTGAAAGGCGGGAAGCTTCCTGGCCTTCGTGGTGGCTTAAACTCGACTGGATGCAGCGGCGGCAATCTTTCAACGGGCAAAGAATGCTTCAGTGCGCGCCTGATGTGGAGGAGAGCTGGGAGAGGAGAAGGTGCTATCCCACCCTAAACCACATGCATCTTGCACTAACACTATCCTCAGTATACGCGTACATTCCGAAGTCCAACAAAATCTGCGACCGAGTAGGTGTAGACTGCAACGAGGACTTTGGTATCAGTTTCAACCGCGGTTCCTTCGTCATGAAATCTGGAGAGTAAGAACTTGACAACATTCAGTATCGTTTGGGTTTAAACCGAGCCTGTTCTATCAGATGGATGACGCTGTCACTCCTCGTCCGCCTCAACGACCCGCCTAATGTTGCCAATGGAGACATTCAGCTATTGTGAGTGGACCCATCAATGTATCCTACCTAACATGGCTGATTTCTCCTCGACAGCTACAACGGTCAACGGGTATTGTCTGAGGAAGGCCTCCAGATTCGCAGTGCGGATAGCGTGAGCATTAATGGCTTGTTCTTTTCGTAAGTGGACACTGTGAATTCAACCTTTTATCTGACACTGACTTCTTGCTTCAGAACATTCTTTGGAGGCAAGTCTGAGGGCGCCATCTGCTTGTTAACCTATTTTACTCAATCTTTCCACAGGTGCCGACAGCAGCTTCGCTACGCCTAGGACGTTCCACACCTACTATCGAAACATCCAACTATGGGGAAGCTCTGCTGCGTCCAACCTTACGGGTCCCACAATCAGCAACGCACCTTCGACGCGCTGCAGCAGCTTCGCGGTCTTGATCCCCGCTTTACTTGCGCTTCTTGTGGCGTGAACTCTCCTTGACTACTTCTATAATTTATGGACCTGCATTTAGATTAACCACCATAGATCATTGCCTTTTCTCGCAGTGTATTCTAGTGTCTCATTTACCCGCAAAGATATACTTTTTCATTCTGTGAATGTTTATATATGACTATTGAAGTTTTGTGTTCGGCCGATGCCAGTGTGGCGGTGCCGTGCCCAATCGCGGGGAAGATGTTTGAAGGTGGCGGAGCAGCCTCGTTGATCTCAGTCAGCAATGGCGCCTAGAAACTCAAAACAATTTCTGGTCTCCTACCCCCATCTTCTGTTATCGCTATGGCCTTCTCAGGTACCCTGGTGAGTCCCTTTCTACCTCACTTTGCCGTGAAGCCAAACTCTGATCAGCAAGGCAAAGTAGACCTTGACGGATCTCAATGATTTCATCTCTCCAGCACAAGCGTGTATAAAGCCTGTAGAGGAGGTCAAGAAGACTGACGACCAACCAAAGACCGGGGCAAAGGTATGTCGGACCTTCCTTGTTGCTCTTCTCGACGCTGAGCCAGGCTCTCCCCAGACCGAAATTGTCATAGATTCGACTGGGTCGTACTATGAAGTATCCAACGAACCCTCATATGGCTCAGTTGACATCTCTAAAGGCAATACGAGAAGCTCTTCCTCGGGCCAGAAGCTCGAACAGGCACAAATAAACCTCAACGATTGCCTGGCTTGCAGGTATGTCGTCTCCGATGCACCATACTCACTTTCTGACTTGGCTTGCACAAGTGGTTGCATCACCTCCGCAGAATCCGTCCTCATCACCCTCCAGTCCCATACAGAAGTTTTCAACTTTATCGAATCCAACAAAGACGCTTGTTCAGATACCAAGAAGCTTCTGGTTCTCTCGATCGCACCTCAATCCCTCGCTTCGCTCGCGGCCTCACTCACTGCCCGTTTTCCTCAAGCACTCACAACTCCACTCCAAGTCCTGCGACGAGTTCGAGCGTTTTGTAAAGAGACACTAGGATTCTCCGAGGTTTTTGATACGACATTTGCGAGGCACCTGTCACTACGGGAGCATGTGCTGGAGTTTGAGGAGAGAAAGAAGAAGGATAGCCAGGGCGGGCAGGAGGCAGAGGGTCAGTTACCGATGTTGGCGAGTGCATGTCCTGGGTGGATATGTTATGCGGAGAAAGCACATGCAGGGATGTTGCCGTTCATCTCGAGAACCAAGAGTCCCCAGCAAGTTATGGGCACCCTCGTAAAGGAATGGATGGCTCAGAAGTGGAACAAGAAGTGAGTTTGCCTGACCTTCGGGACTGGACTCGTGCTAATGAAGGCTTTTTAAGGCCTGATGGGATATACCACGTCTCCGTTATGCCCTGCTATGACAAGAAACTAGAAGCTTCGCGGCAGGACTTTTACAATGACGTCTATTCGACCAGAGATGTCGACTGTGTCATTACCACCGGCGAGTTGGAGCTAATGATGAAGGAGAAGGACTGGGACATCTCCAAATCCGTCCCCCACGAGCTTGATGAGCAGCAGACCTCCCCATCCGATGCTATCCACCTTCCCGAACTTATCCAGCACCCGGGGTCTTCATCTGGATCCTACCTTCAATCTATCATCGACCACGTTACCGAGACATCGCCTGTCACGTTGGCTCTCAACACCAAACTCATGCGAAACGCCGATTACGAGGAATTTACGCTCGCGGAAGAAGCATCAGGCAAGATAGTGTTCAAGGGTGCCAAATGTTACGGCTTTAGAAACCTTCAAAACATTGTCAGGAAGGTGGGACGTGATAAGGGTGTCCGCTTGGGAGGCGGAGCTGCGGGCAAATTGGGTGGCAAAGCTACAGGTGGCGTTGGCAGGAGGATAGCAAGGAGGAAGGGTGCAGATGCAGCAGCAGGAGGAGGCTCGGGAGAAGCATCAGCAGCCAATCGGCAGTACGATTATGTCGAAGTCATGGCCTGTCCCAGTGGGTGTGTCAATGGCGGTGGACAGCTGAAGCCGGTGGCTTCTACGACGTCTTCGTCAACAGATGCAACAGTGCCACCCAACACGACCTCAAATGGCAACGTCGACGAGGAAGGGTATGTGCGGAATTGGGAAGAGAGCGGCGTGATGCAGAGCAGTGCGAAATGGGGAGATAAAGATTGGACGAAGAAAGTGGAAGAGGCGTATTGGTCATCATCGTTGTTATCGCCATCGATAATAGCCAAAGGGCAGGATGAGATGCGGCAGGTGGAGGGAGGAGAGAAGAACAGGGAAGTAGCCGGACACGGGGAAAGCAAAGGAGGAACGAGCGGGGTTAGAGGTGATGCTGGCCGATATCACGGTGAAAAGTGGGATACCAAGAGTGGCCAGAACGGGTCTGCAGTCAGCGAAGTTAGCGAAATGAGTGGGCACCAGGTGCCTCATGACCTTGATAGCCCACTTTCGACGTCTTCAATTGATATCAAGGGGGGACAGGTGACTTGGGGAGATGCGAGCGCTCAGGGAGGTGATGTTGATCATGGAAGTATTGTGAAGACAGGGAAGCACGAGACGATGGTGGAGGCGGGCGGTGCCATTGGTAGCCCAGAACCCGGCGCGTGGTCCAAATTGCCTCATCTTTCACACCTCATCCGACAACGATTCTCCCTTGCAAACGACCTGGCCGAGAGAATAGTGGAAGAGATGTGCAGATCGAGTGAAGGTGGTGATTACACCGAGTTCGAAGGGCGCCGGCATCGGTTTTTCCGAACGCAGTATCATGCTGTTGAGAGTGAAGTGGTAGGGCTTGCGGTGAAATGGTAGAACGCCGGGTTGGCTTGGGTTCAAGCATTGTTGTGTATTTATGAATGATGTTTGTTATATTTAGATTTTTCCGGGTTTGATGGGCTTTGAGCCGTCAACTACTTACATTGTTTAACGGTAGAATATACAAGTCCTTAAACATGGTATGCTACTTCGTCGGATGTTGATACATCTAAGGTAATGATACAACCATCTGAGAAATTAATGCTGACGATGGGGGGTCGTTGGCTCTTCTTCAAAGGGAACCATGCCTCGAGGAAGTGTGGGGGATGCGGGATTGGGGCGGAAGCTGTAGGAGGTATGCGAATGTGATGGTGGAAAGTGCTGATAGATAAAAAAAACTGGCGATGCTGGTGATACACAAGATACACGAGGAAGCATTGCAAAAAAGCAGGAACGATGATGGATGATGCAGATGAGGGGGACTAGGTGAGATTGTAGGGTAGACGTTGGCGATATCGTTGGAATATTAAGGTGGATAAGTCGAAGATATTAAGGGTGCTGGGCAACATGCGATGATGGATGAAAGCGAATGCAAAATGCAGAGCGACACGGGGAGGAGCAGGCGACGATGACAACGGGGTAATGGTTTTGCTCATGATCCGGGGATGGTCAGCGACGTTGCTGGGATGGCTGTTGCTGCTGCTGCTTTCCGGCACCGTTGAACCAGTAATTGCAAGCGCTGCAAAAGTCGTTTGTTCGTTGGGTAATGGTCTCCTGGTAGTCGGGGTCAAAGTACTGGTGGATATATCAGGAAGGAGGTCAATTTGCGCGGAAAGAAAAATAACGTACGCGCTTGCAATTTGGGCAGTGAGGGCAGTTGGGAGCGTGCAGACGAGAGTTGATACAGAACTTTGAATTGCAGTCTTGCTTGTCAATCTTCTTGGTCTAGATGATATGAGCGACACGTTCTGAAACGAGCAAAGGGATCGACTTACGATGATATAGTGACCACAGCCGTGCTGTGTGCCCTCGCTGTCGGGAAGCAGGTCAGAGGCTGGGGAATGGGGTGAACAGCGACGCAACATACGTGTTCAAGCTGCACATTCTGAAGTGTTGAGGGGATTATTGGTACGATGAGGTGGGGAACTGGGGAACTGGGTTGTCGAGAATGGAGGGGCGGGCATTTATAGGGAAACGGAATGAGTTTGCGGGTCATCACACAGCTTCTCCGATCGGACATTATTCTATTGCGTCAGACCGCTTTTTGGCGCCGAAAATCACACAAATCCGGATCAGGGTTAGGGTTGGCCCTGTCACCATCACCCGTCCCTTATTCCGCGGTTGCCAATGTCCTCGTCGTCCTCGACGTCCCTGGAGCCTACAACGCGTTCAAGGACCTCTTTTTTCCTCTCATGCCGCGACTCAACGACACGCACAACACGTTTTTCTCGACGCCGCTCTCTCTACACAGATGACCCAGCAGAACCAGCCAACGACGACGAGCATGAGCGCCTCATCGGATCGTCCAGCCACGTAGCCCTAGATGTCCAGTTGCCTCCAAAGTGGTGTGTGCGGTCTTTGTTCATCGCCGCTCCTCTCTTTGTTAAAGCCTCATGTTAATGCAGGGTCGACCTTGCGGATCAGGTAGAGGAGATTTTGCTGGATGCCCAGTCCAAGAGTGCGTACTCCACGTCCTTTCTCCTCGCGTAGCCCCTCATTTCCCGGCGTCCTCTGGCCGAAACCATTGCCGGTTTGAATTACAGTCGCTGCGCTCGACAAACTGCATTCCAAGCATATTTTGCCCGGTTTCTCGGACCGAAGCCAGGAGGAGCAGGAAATTGAAGCATTGACGACCGACATCACAAAGGTCAGGCAACCAACCGGATTTATGAAATTCATCTTGAATTTTTCTCCACAGGATTTCAGACGATGTCATTTTCTCATCCAAAAAATCGGTTCATTCCAGCCACACAACTTTCCTCCTGATCCCCAATCTTCGAAGAATGTCCTTCTGGCGGCCAAGAATGTCCAGCGCGGTCTCGCAGCCAAACTCCAGGATATGAGCGCTACATTTAGAAAAAAGCAGCGTGTCTACATGGAAAGTATGTCCCCATATATTCCCCTTATCGTTCCGTCCATCTTCCCCAGAATTTCCCATGTGTTCTCTGTTCCTCCGTACCTGATCCGTTGTCATCTTCTATCGATTTTGTCACGAGTTCTTTTTAGCCTCTTATGCTACAACGCAGGTGCTGACCATAGATTCGCTATGTTGTTTTGCAGAACTCCAAGGTCAGGCGACCAAGAACCAAGATCTTTTGGTCGCTTCAGGAGCCATAACCTTGAAAGGTTCCGAAGGCATGAGTGCCGTCGATGACGACGTTCGAGCAGCGGTGGGTCTCCTCCTTTGTTATTGTGAATACTCCGTCTCATCCTTACGTTCTTTCCCTTTGAATGTCCAACAACATTCCCGTTGTATGAAACTCGGTATTTTTGCGCCACGCCACTCCCTCCCTTTCATCCTCTTATCCGGACCTATCTTTTTCCTTTCTGCCTTTTGGTCTCCAAAAAAAACCGCCTCGTTCACCCCTGTTCTTTCGTCGGATGTTTCAAAGACACACACCCGTGCTCAATCGATGTCCTTGATGCACGCCGACCCCTCAGCTGAGCTGCGGGCACGCGACCGAGAACTGACAGAAATCGCAAAGTCCATTGCAACGCTGGCGGAGCTATTCAAGGACTTGTCCGTTCTTGTGATTGACCAAGGAACCCTTCTCGATAGTGTGGAATATAACATTGAACAAACCGCCGTTCAGCTGGAACGTGCAGGTGAAGATCTCAAGGTTGCTACAGAGTAAGTCTCTCTGGCCTTTCTGTTTAACACCTTGGCGGCAATGTGACCGACTGGGTTTCAAACTGTTTTTAGGTACCAGAAGAACACTGGAAGACGGAAGTGTATCTTCCTGCTGCTTCTGATCATATTCGGTTTGATTGTCGTTTTGATTTTCAAGCCGAAACGACACGGAGGAGGGGCAAACCCACCGCCGCCACCTCCTTCATCGACTTTGCTACATCTTCTTCCCCATGACCCCTCGCTTCCTTCTCCGGGACAGGCGATCAATAAGCGCTCGAATCTAGGTCGGAATCTATGGTTTCGACCGCAGGCATTTGGGTAGGTTGCGCTGGCTGTAGCTTGTCCAAGTTGTTGTATTATAGTTTATTAATGGAATACTGGGCCACTTGTCGATTTGGGACCAACTGTTAGTTTCGGACGAAACAGTGATCATCGCAGGTGTGATTTGGAAAAAATAAACTGGTCGTCATCCGCGTTGCCATTGACCACATGCAATCTGCAGGGGAAAAATTGTGTCCGTTGTCGAACACGTAACTGATTCAAGCTTTTCGTTACGGCCAGCGACGGCCGCCTCCACTATGAACGCTTGCAAAAGCATCTCTTCATTCCACTACACACTGTCGACATTTTCCAGCCCTGAAATTGTTTCATATAGGATTTTCCGACGCCCGCTTAGAGGTTTCACAGGGTGATGGCAACGCAGAGTGCGCCTAGGGGCCCAGCGGAAAGCCACCGCCACGAGGGAAAACCATTTCTCGACAACGACGACGACCTTTCCGAACTTTTTTACCGACCTTCAAACAATAACAAGGGAGGTGGTGCCAGACCGGAGGCGCCTCCTAACCCGTCCACGACGTTGGACAATAAAAGCGGAGCTTTTCACCCTTCGGGACCTTCCAACGCCCATTTGCATCCAACTTCTAGCCACGTTCCTTTCATAGCAGACTCTACCAATTCTTCTTTCGTACCACATCACAATCTTGCGCAATCACATCGACACGAACCACATCTAAACCTAAACCGCATCTCCCTCTCGGACCACGGTTCAGTGCGCTCGACAGACAACCTGAACGGCATGGCCACCCCTTTGGCCTATGATGCGGCAGAACGTGCCCAATCCGACGATCATGAAAAGAAACGTCCGTCCAACTCGCGACAGAGCAGCAACTGGAATGTTTTAGGAGGGATCAAGAAGCTCGAGCAGTCCTATGACGAGTTTGATACCAGAAACGCCAGCCAGGCCCACCTCATCTACGCTGACGGTGATATGCCAAAAAACAAGGTACATTCTCTCCCGTTATTCGTTGTCTCGTTACCTTTTTGCCTTTGTTGTACAACTCGTGTTCGTTTCGTCATGGGATGTGGACCTACTAGTGTTACAGAGGAGCGCCTTGCTTTGCCATGCAATCAATCCTTCTTTGCTCGAGGCCTTACCTTGCTTTCAAGCACTTATCCTCGCTTCTTTCATGGATACGGAGTGACTGACTGGATGGACGAACCTTTTCAGGTTTCCAAATTCTACCATTTCTTGTTGAACGTGTCCATCGTGACTCGATGGTTCTTGTTCATCGTCCCTATTCTAGGCATCCTCTGGGTTCCCGGGATCTTGGGGGTGACCTCCTTCCCCAATGCCAAGGTAAGCACCCACATTTCCCTCCCGCAGGCAATGTGATGGGTTGACGAGAAACCGAATTGACTTTCTTTCATCTTGCTTTGCCTTGATGAATTTGATTATGTCCGTTTCAATAGGTCTGGGCGGTCAAGCTTATATGGTGGAGTATCTGGTTGACCGTGCTTTGGGCCGGTAAGTACAAAGCCGGTAGTCTCTTTTCTTATTCACAAACTCATTGGCTTGGTAGGATGGTGGGCTGCGCTCGCTGCATGGTTCGTTTATTGCTTTTTACCTAAACCGAAGGTATGACGCCCCTGACATGCGTTCAGTCGTATCATCCCCGCAATTATTCGAGCCACTCTTGGTGTCGTTGCCGTCGGCACAAGACGCTATATTGAATGGCTATCTGCCCTGCATCGGTGAGTTTATGACTTCATTTCCACTTCCCCCCCTTTTTTCTTGTGAAGGGGGCGGGAAGGACCCTTGATTGTTCAGAACCAACCGAGCTGACTTTGGTCTTCTCCCCCTCTTCCCCACTCGCGTGCTCTCCTCCCCCGAATCGCTATTTTCATGTCGGCAGATATATTGCGCTTTTCGTCTGGACTCTGGTCATCTGGATAGCCTGGACTCCACTGATCAAAAACAACCAAATTGAACCTGGCCAGAAGAGTGTAGCTGCAGTCGATTTGATCGCAAAACTTCTCTTCGCGTTTTTAATTTGTGCGGCCGTTCTCCTCTTTGAGAAGTTTGCTATCCAGTGGATCGCTGGAAAGTTCCACGAGAGGTCATATGCTGGTATGTGGAGTTGTCTCGTGTGGCAGCTGTTTCGAAACATGCTCGCACTCTTCTTTCCCCCTTTGCCCATGGTCTAATCTGATCCATCGACTTGTTCTCTCCGTGTTTTAGAACGCATTGCCGATCAAAAGTTTGCCGTCAGGACTTTGGTCACCCTGTATCGACATTCCTCCGACATTCCGGGACGTACTTTGGAAGTTGTAGGCGATGATTCCAAGGGAAGTTTCGTCAACCCCAAACGCATGTTCAAGAAGATCACCAAAGGTGTTCGCAAAGCCGCCACAACCACCACCACGGCCCTGGGTAATGTTGCTTCGGAAATCGCTGGAAGGTAAGTATGGGTTCTAGTCTAATCCCTTCTATGCCAATCTTTAAAACATGGTCTGAATCTTGACTTATTTTTAGTTCTGTCCTGCAACCAAATTCCCCTCAGGCAATCATTAAGACCACTCTGGAATCCGCGAACAAATCTCGTCTGGTATGGAAAATTGTTATACCGTACGATGGCTATCTCTAATCGATTATGTGGATCCAGCTCGCCCGTCGCCTCTTCTACTCCTTCGCCAAGCCTGGCGCAGATTTCTTACTTGTGGACGATATCGCTAGATTCTTCCCGACAAGCGAAGATGCTCACCAAGCCTTTTCCCTGTTTGATAAGGACGGCAATGGTGATGCGAGCCTTGAAGAAGTCGAACTGTCGTTAATGTAAGGAAACATCTCCCCCGAAAACTGGGGTTGCGGAACGTGCAGCTTTGGACTTGGGCTGATCTTTCCTAACAGGGAGTTCCATCGAGAGCAACTTTCCATCGAGAATTCTATGAGCGACTTGGATAGTGCCGTGGGCCGATTGGACAACATCTTTATGTCTCTCTATGTCGTTATTGCTGCCCTGATCATCGCAGTCGCATTGGTGAGTGCTTCTCTTATCTGATTGACAACATACTGGAAGTTGCTGACGGACGGAAACCTTCTTTTTCAATGTTCTGTAGGAGGCTCAATTACTCACGCTTATCACTGGCGCTGGTACACTCATCCTTGGTCTTAGCTGGCTTATCGGAGGAAGTTTGCAAGAAGTCCTGCAGAGCATTATCTTCTTGTTCATCAAGCATCCGTTCGACGTGGGGGACCGTGTCGTCATTAACAACCAGACGTACACCGTCAAAGAGATCCGCCTGCTCAGTACCACTTTTTTGGACGGCAATTCAACCTGCGTGCAGGCTCCCAACAATGTGCTCAATACTCTGGTAAGCTTGCTCTCATTCATCTCATATGTGTTAAAGTTTTCCTTCGATTGAGATTGACGTCATTCCGCCCAGTTCATTCAAAATTACCGCCGCAGTCCTCAGGTATGCGTCCAGCGAGGTGGTTCTGTTCCATTGAACTCGAGGCTCATTGACTGTTTCAAATGATAAACAACTAGATGTCAGAGACGTTCAACTTCGACGTCGCTTATGGCACAACCTTCGAGGACCTCGAGAGGCTCCGAGAGAAAATGCTCAGCTTTGTGCAACAGGAGAGGCGTGATTACCATCCTGTATTTGACGTGAACATTAAGGGTACGTGTTTGCATGGCTCCGTCCCGCTCTTCCTCTTTCAATGAAACGATCAACTCATTCTATCGTCATATCCAGACTTCCCGGACCAGGATAAGATGTCGCTCTCTGTTGACATCAAGTACAAGAGCAACCACCAGCTTGGATCTCTAAAGAGTGAGTAACGGCTCATGAGCTACCTACTCTATGCAAACCTTGATTCCCTCCCCGCGCTTACCAACATCCCCTCCTTCATGTAATATGATAAACCACTATAGCTAAACGCAGGAACAAATGGATCTGTGCATTGAAGCAAGCTCTCGCTGAAACCAAAATCTACGGTCCGAAAGGCGATCCCAGCCCTGCTCCCGGTGTCACGCGTTACACGGAAGTTCCTTGGGACATCATTCAAGCAGAGGATCGCAAGGCTGCTTGGGAACAAACTCAACAACAGCAAGGTGACCACCCGTTCGGAGCCAGCTATCAGCTCAGGGACAAGAATGCAGTCATTGGTATGTAGTTTCCTTAAGGTTGGGATCAGTTTGACCGACTGATTGACGGTGGCCGGTATTGTTTGAATCTTGTAGCCGACCCAGCGGATGACGTGTTTGGTGAGAGGAGCGAGACTATCTCGACGCCTCAGCGCGACTTTCCGCCTGTTCAGATGAGCGGCGCTCCTGCAGGTGGTTATTCCGGGATGCCCGCGCCCTCACTCTCCATGCCTATGCCTTCCTCGAGCCAGCCTCAACAACGCGGCGATGTGATTGAAATGCAGACCCGTCGTTAATTTGCTACCCTCGGCGACGACGGGGATGACGCAGGCAATGACCATGTTATTGCCCTTACTTTTTGGTTTTTAGGTGCCCTTTCTTTTTTGGATCTCTAACTAGAATTTTGTTTCGCTTTCCGTGATTGACCCAACACGCATCCTGCTACCATCTCATATGATATCTAGCATTTTCTTGCATGTACCCAACTAAACTAGTAACACGCTCGTATCGATTAATGAAATAACAATTGCTGTGTCTACGCTCAAGCAGTCCAAGAGCCAACTTGTCGTTCTGGGCTTCCCCAGCCTGAAGCCGCACCTCCGCCCCATCCAGATCCACCAGTGCCCGGACTCGAACTATATGCACTCGTTGCGCCTCCCCTACCTGGACTGCTTCCTCCGGGCCATGAGGATCCAGCGGTTCCCCAAGTTGACTCAGCGGGTGCAGCAGCAGGTGCTCCCCAAGCAGGCATTGGCCCGCCTGCACCACCCCCGCCCATATCCTCGTCGGTCGGCTCCTTCAAACCCAAAATCAAATTTGCCAACTTGGCTTGTAGCTCATTCAATCCCTTCTCCACTACATCCTGCGGTGCCAAACTCCCATCCGTCTCAATTTCGAGATAAAACTTGTTAGGTTTCGCGTTGAAGTCGAATGGCTCATCGTCCCGTGGTGGTTCCTCCTCTTGGGCGTTTTCGGAGAGGGGCCATTCGGCTTGGATGTCGCTTTCGTACCAGTAAGATGTGTGGCGGAGTTTGTTGTAGGGGTCGTATTCGAAGGAGACGGCCGAGCAGGGAGACCATTTGGCGTGCTCTTTGGCAATGCCCTGTGGGGGTAAGAGCAGGTTGAGTCTTGAGAGAGATGGAAAGAGAGTGTGGTCGACGAACACACCTTTTTAGCGATACATTTCACTCTGAGTTCCTGGCCTTTGCGGATCTTGCATATCAGGACTGGGGGAGTGCCAGGTTCGTCTGCAAGGATTGATCAATAAATGAAGCATTGGGTAGCAATAATGAGCCACACTTTTGCCCACTGGATGACCGAACCACTGGGTTCGCTTTGCTTTTTCCTCTCCGTGTTGGATTTCCTCTTGCATGTAGTCGTCGAGGGGAACAACCTCGAGGTGGTTGCTCGTGACTTCCATGGTGGTGTCATCGTTGCAGGCGACGTCGAGGCGGAGTTGGACAGCGCAGTAGGAGCATTGTGAGAGACATGTGCAGTCCTGGGAGCAGTTTAAGCAGAGATATGGACAGAGATGTTGCCACTACGCACTCGAGTGTATCGAATGGCTTCGTCGCAGTTTGTGCTTATTAGAGGGATCTGACCGAGTCGGTGGGCAATGTATTCGTCGGGTAGCACAGAGGTGTTTGCCTCAAACTCGACAAGATCGATGGCTTGACGATATTCAGCACTGTTCGCGTCGACGAGGACGACAAAGAAAGGGTAGCGCACCAACAGTTGGAATGTCGGCCATGACGACGCGCCTGAAGGAGTTGGCGAAACTTTTGGGGGTTGAATATGTGAATCGAATAGATAGGTGTTAGGATACATACGCAAGGTCTACATTTTCGAGGACAAAGTTGACCTTGTCCTTCTTGACTTCACGTACGCGGACAATGGGCTCTGAATCAGTCGAGTTCATGGTGGTGGAATGAGAATAAGAGCGGCTGGTTACGTAATAAGCGCGCTGGTTTCCTTTTCAAGATGGTCTCCTGGCCCGTCCACCGTAGAATGCGGGGAACGAGGATGGAATATGGCCAACGTATGGAGAATGTTGACAAGGGAATTGAGTGTGTCTTTGTACAAGGGGTGTGAACAGGCTGTTCTCGTGCCCACACTCGAGTGTGAAGGTTATCGTGGGCGCTTGGTTGGAGATGTCAGTGGTATGTCGGCTTGGCCTGATCGAGTATACTAGGACCGAACTAGTAGTAAAGGAGAAGGCTCGTAGTCGGTGAGAACCCGACTGGCACCTCCAAAAGGCATAATGCAGTATTTTGGGACCGCATGCTTCGACTATGGACCAAGATTGGCACTGTTTTCAAAGACAAAAGGTTGGTGAAGGGACAGATACTGAAGATGTCAGTTGAGTGAGTGGGAGGTTGTGGCAGGTGGTATAGCCGCAAGGACGACAGTCTCAACGTCGTCTGCCTGATGAATTGAGAGATCTCAAGTCCTGCCCCTTTCGGCAGAAAGATTCGGAACCCGTTCACCCATATTTCCCTCAAAAATCGTGTATAGGCGCCCCCCGCGGACTCCACGGAAAACCCACTTCTGACAGTCGTTTTCCGACTTTTAAAAGGTTCTCGCACCAATGCCTTACCACAACCGATTCCTTTCAGATGCAAGCTCTCCCACCAACTCGCTCGCTGCAAGAAGGTATGTTCTGCTCGTCGTCCCACACGACGTCCACGTCTTTCTTACAACAGCGTCTCCCCTAGTCGAGGCCATTCTCTGCGCCGGCGGAAACCTCCACGCCCTCGACACCGTCCTCGTCGATGGCAGGCTTCAACGCGTCTACAAAAACCTGTGGCCCTCCCTGCGCGAATTTTGGCTTGCAGCCGTCGCCAACTATGCCCAGGACACCTACATCGTCTATGAGGATCAGCGTTTAACCTACGCCCAGGTACATGATCACGTCCTTAAGGTGGCCGAGATTCTCCGTCGTGTTTTCGCTATCCAGAAAGGTCAGTCTCCCTCTCCTCTTTCCCAATCCTATTTTTAACATTGCTCCAGGTGATAGGATAGGCATTTGCTCCCGCAACTGCCCAGAGTTTCTCATTGTCTTCTGGGCCTGTCGTACGTGTTTGATTAGCTTGAGCCATCCAAACTTCACAACTTACTCGCTTCCAGATCTCATAGGCGCCGTAGCGGTCCTTGCCAACGCGTAAGTGATTCGCTTTTATCCCCCTCTTGAACACCAATCGAAATCACTCTCAGATGGCTGCCAATCGGTCCTCTACGTCATTGTCTCGTTCATACTGGTTGCAAGCTCGTCTTTCTCGACAGCGAGCGCGCCATTCTTCTACAGCCTCTGATCCTCGACGAAGCTGTCCGATGGGATAGCCAGTTCGTCGTTATCTCCCCGCCGCAGACTAGGTTCGAAGGCATGCATTCATTTCATGACATCCTAAATACTGTCCTCCCCACTTCAACCGTCGACGATCTGCGAAGCGATATCGACATCGAGCCAGAAGACAATGCAACCATAATCTTCACCTCTGGTGAGCGCACTTTGAGCTCGGATCACCGGTTTTTTAAATTCGTTGACCCGAGTGTTCCAGGAACGACAGGATTGCCCAAAGGTGTTTTAAGCACTCAACGTCAATTCTTAACCAACGTCTTGAATGTACCAGTCATAACTACCTTGACGTCTGGTCTCGGCTAATCCCACTATCTAGGTTCTAGTGGGTGGGTTCCGGGCTGCTCTAAGGCGCGGTGAAGACCTTCCTTCGCCCATGACCAAATCATGTCCACAAAAAGCCGCCCTTGTGGCGGTACCGCTATTCCATGTTACCGGATCGACTTCATACTCGGTCTGTTCGCGTCCGTGACTCTAGCCTCGTCTCTAATCGTCCCTTCTAGATGATGGCTACTATGACTGGCATGAAAATCGTTCTAATGAGGAAATGGGACGTCGAGGAAGGTTCGTTCCATCCCTGTTTCATTCTCCTCGCGGAGCAGTACCTAACCCCTGTGTTTCAACCCTAGGCGTCAGGTAGGCTTTTGGTCTCCGAGCACAAATGCAGTCGCCTGACCCATTGCCCCAAGGCTTATCCGGCGAGAGAATGTAACCGTAGCAGGAGGGTATGTCATCGCGTAAACTTTACTCTATAAACTCCCACTTAACTGAGATTGTCAGGGTCCCCTCTATGGTGTCGGACCTGATAGAAAGTTCTTTGGTTGGCCATAAACTAGAAGGACTACTATTCGGCGGCGCTCCTGCGCCCGATTCGCTGGTCCCGAGGGCACGTAAAGCTTTCCCAAGTGCAACTATGTTCGTGTTCATTCCGTGGTCAATGGCCCATTGAACTCATCTAGACCCACCTCCAGGATCCAAGGATACGGGCTTACAGAGACAAATTCAATAGCCGTCTCCGTAAGCATGGTTTCTGTTTCTCCGTTGCATGTAGTATCTTACAGGACATCTTCAGGCCGCTGGTGAAGACTATATTCTCAGACCCACAAGCACGTCCGTTTTCCCTTTCCGTCTATTCTCTCGATCTTGTCGTTAAATCTGCTTTTCAATTCACAGAGGAAGAGCTTCTCCGGTGAATGACATCCAGATTGTTCACAACGGAGTCAGCGTGCCGCCTGGTTCCGTCGGAGAAGTGTGGCTGTAAGTCCATCGTCTTCCCCAGCCTCTATTCCGAAAGCGAACTGCTTCTGACTTCTGGATCCTTTCCTTCTGGACCTACTAGGCGCGGACCTAATGTAATGAAAGGCTATTGGCGCGATCCTGGTAAGTCGGCATGATGAACGGTCTACTAGCTAGTAGCCTGCGCTGGAGACAATTGGTTACGGCAAATGTACTAATTGAAATCCAAGATGCGACGCAGAAGGTGATAACCGCGGATGGATGGTTGAAGACGGGGGATCTTGGCTACCTAGACGAAGAGGGGTTCCTCTACATCAAGGACAGAAGTGGGTTCTTTCAATTGTCGCCAAGTCGGCCATTTGCATCTCATGCTGACGGCTACCCACGCCCATAGTTAAAGATATAATTATAAGAGGAGGAGAGAATATCGTGAGTAGCGGTTCTCTCTGCTTCCGAACGTTGACATGCGACTGACCAACCCTCTTCTGGTGGACTCGTTCGTTTCTGGAACAGGATTCCGTGTCTGTGGAGAATGCGCTGTATGCTGATCCGAGGGTTCATGAAGCGGCCGCGGTTGGAGTACCAGACGAACGTCTAGGAGAGCTGGTGGCTGCTGTTGTGTCAATAAAGCCAGTGTTCCAATCGAGCATTACCGAGGGTGCACTTATCTCTCAGGTTCGCACTAGGTGGGTCTGGACCCTTATTCATTCGCTTTCCTATCGGCTTGAATTTCCCGACGGTAAAGGGGCTGAATGAGCAAACTGACCGATCCATCTTATTATAGACTCCCTCGGTACGCGGTCCCAGTGATGATAGTTATGCACAACATGCCGTTTGGTAAGTCATGACATCATGCATCTTCTTTCAATGACTAACACCTCCGACATCCACGAAGAGAGGACCCCTTCAGGCAAAATTATTAAAGGGGAGCTGAGGAAGCTTGCCAAACGCCATTGGGAGCTTCGACAGGCGAATGGGACAGCAGGTCGGGAACCACTGGCGAACCTGTAATAATGTCAATGTAGGGATTGAAGGTGCCCGTTTCCGATATCAAAGGAACTGGCTATTCTTAAATTATTCTCCCCCAATACCTTTGCTTCTTCGTGGAATTGCTCCTACCCTGTCGATACTAAGCACTGCGGTTTTGGAATTTTGGACCATGCACGCATTCTGAACATATTCAAGTAACACTACCCCTATGTTGTGTACATTGTCCTATTTTATTGCATTATAATTTCAGTCACTTCAATGTCTCGAGCCAGGTTTGAGCCGTTCTTTTCGTTCCTAGTTATGAAAAGGCGCCAAGGCGCTGGTGAGTGGGCGCTTGTTTTCTGATCGACATTGAGCGTGGGAAATTTCTCTGGGAACAATTTTGAAGGGTTCTTGTTTCTGACGCAAATGTCGCCGGTCGTCCCTTCGACGCGTGCCATTCGATTCGTCGCTCATTTTTATGATCCATGAAGCCGTATTCGACTTGGAAACCTTTCATGATATGCTCTACAATCGTTTAATTCGATGGGAAGAAGGATTGTCCCCAACAAGGTCCACCGACCGTACTGGCAGCTGTACCAACAACATGTCGAAGAGACCCGCGCTCGGGTGCTAGGACGACTTCCAGAGCAACCAACAGCAACTGTCGAAGATAACGAAGAAGATGACGATGGTTTACAGCCTTCTTTCATTCCACCCACGGGTTTCTGGACGGCACAGGAGAAGGACGCATTTTTTCAAGCCCTGAATAGGTACTCGCGTCTTCGGCCTGACCTCATTGCGGCGAGCATCAAGACGAAGAACGTGGTGGATGTGTGTGTCTACTTGGATGCGCTCGAACAGGCTGCTGCTGCGCAACGGAACAAGGATAGATTGTGTGAACAGGAGAGGGGGAAGAGCGTAGGAGGCGGTCGAGACTACAAGGTGGGACGACTATGGATGGAGGGTGCTATGGAGATGTCGAGTGACTGGGTCGAGTTTGAGGAGCTCCAGGCGCGACTCCTGACATCGATAGACGAGCAGCAGTCGGAAAACGAGGACGACGAAGAACAAGGCCTAAAGGAACGTTCCGACTACAACGACCGGAACAGCAGCGCTAGCAACGACAGCAACTCGGATAGCAGCAGCGACGATGATTCTGATGACGAACACGATCCATCTCAGCTCCTGACCTCGGACAAAGTCTTCACCTGTATCGAATTGGAAGCGATGGAAACAATGTTACGCGAAGCAGAGGATGCTAGCATGGAGCTCAGCGTCGTTCCTGATGAGATAAAGTCCAAGTTTCAGGTGGCAGACGAGCAGGGAGGAAGTGCTCGTTCTACTTCGTTATCGCCTCCAACAACGCCTTCTCGCCACGCCGCTACTGCCAAAAATGTTGCTACTAGTTCGACATCGGCACACTTGGTTGTTGCTGCCCAAGGCGCCACCATTTCGCCTCCAGTCGTAGAAGCAACTGTAGCTTCGACTTCGGTGTCTAATCATGGCCACCCGGGTATACAACCTCCGCACCCGGTGGCCATGCAAATTTGCGAGGAGGGAGAAAAAGGAAATGTAGGCGAAGAAGAAGGGCGAAGAAGGGGAGAGGGGGAGGAGAAGGACGATGAAGATTCGGAGCAAGACGAAGAGGATGCCATTCCTGTGGACCTCTCACCCAAGGCTCGCCGCCGGCTACAAAAGAGGCTATATATGAGACGACAGCGTGCGTTGAAGGCGGGTCGAAGTGTTGATGTGACCTCTGTCAAGCTGCGTCCCGGCCGAAAGAGAAAACCGCGAAGGCCTGCGACGTCGAAAAGAAGGACAGACAAGAGGGAATACTCGGAACCCCCATCGACTGTATCTCGCAATTCGAGTGTATCTCCATCAGAGTCTTCCCCTTCTGAGGACGACGATGAGGGGATGGACGATGCCGAAGCCAATTCGGTTCCTCAGGATGGCGAGGAATATGCTCATCGCAACAAAGGTGGATTAACTGCGATTTACAAGGCTAAGCAACAGCTCCTCGACATTGGGATCGATGCCCCAACCATCCACGGGGAAGGGATCGGTTTCTTCCATCTCAGTGTACTCTCAAAATTGATCAAGTAAGTGTCGTGTCTCACTGCCTTTCCGTTCCACCTGTTCAAACTAACCACGACAACCACTCTTTCTTCCTCCATGTGTTACTGAACTGGCAGTATCTTTACTTCCGGCTACCGCGAGGAGGAGGCAGGAGAGGATGGAGAGGAGGCAGTAGCAGTCTCGGCAGATGTGATACGATTATTGACTGGAATCACTGTTGAGTTCGTCACCGAGGTCATTCACCGAGCTGTGACTATCACCGAGCAGCAAAATGCGTACAAGCGGAAGAGTAAAGTTTGGAGGCCGGCCGACAAGGAATTTGTGCGTTTCATTGCTTGCATCCTCTTCTCTCGTGTCTTAATTTGACATTCATAGATTCCCGTCGAAAATATCAAGCTCGCGCTCGAGATAGTGGGTCTTAGGTTACTCGATCGACAGCGTTACTTTGCGGAACTTTTGGACGAGCCTATGGAAGACGTCCCTGACGTCGACGAGGAGCCCAAAGAAACCGCTTTCCCATGCGACTACGCACTGCATAACGATCTCAATCCACCCCATGTCTACCTTCCACCGGTTTACCGCACGCATGATGCAGACGACCTCATGGTCGAGGATGAAGAGGGACTTCTGAAGGAGGTCGAAGAGGAAGATGCTCTAGACAAAAAGGAGTTGGAACGCAACCTCGCACACGAGGAAGAGTTCTGGGCAGAGTATGCTTCTATGTCATATTAGAGCTATTCAACAATGTCCTTTGAAAATATTTACAATCGATGACCTTCTCGTAGACAGGCGACTATAGCCTGGTTTTGGGTGTATCGTCTTCCCGTACTTTGATGACCACCTTGCCCCATGTTTCACGGCGTTCCAAAGCAACGAGACCGTCAACGAGTTTTTCGAGAGGCCAAACTTCGGTGTAGACGACGGGTTTCGTGCGACCAGAGGCGAAGAGATTGAGAATATCCTTCCAGACGACAGGGATTCTCGAAGGCTCTTTCTCTATCAGGGAGGTTAGCGGGTGATGACAGTGGAGGTCGTCGTGAAACTCACGGGTATAAGCACCCCAGTGGAGACCAACGATGGAGACGTTCTTGAGGAGAACGAGGTTCATGGGAACCTTTTCAATAGTTCCACCAGCGAATCCAATAACCAAAGCGCGACCCTTCCATGCGATGCACTTGAGGCAGTCTGGACGCCGAAGAGTCATTCGACTTGCAAGCCACGAAAAATCTGGAGGCAACGTACCATTGATCAAACCCACGGGGTCATAAATGACGTCGACACCGTGCCCCTTGGTCAAGGCGAGGATCTCCTTCTGCCATCCGGGTTTGGTGTAGTTGATACCATAGTCTGCACCGCCAAACTTCTTTGCCACTTCAATCTTCGCTTCTGAGCCGGCGGCAGCGATGACTTTGGCGCCAAGGGCTGGAAAATGGACACTGAGCTTGTCTGTTGACTAGAAAGAATGGACTTCATCAATACCTTTAGCGAGCTGAACCGCCGCGATGCCAACGCCTCCAGCAGCGGCCGTCACGAGTACCCATTCGCCTTTCGCTTGGACTCAGCGGCAAGAGCGAGGAATGTGAGTGATGACTACGTACCAGGCTTCAGCTCTGCACGTCCCACCAAAGCCTCGTAGCTCGTTGGCCAGGTGACATACAAACCTATCTTAGGGTCAGTCCGTATGTTAGAATCTCGTTCAATGCGACTACTCACCGGCGCCTTGGTCGAACGAGATATTGTCAGGAAGAGGGATCAATTTGTCCCAATCCACAGCAACCTTGTCCGCAAATGCTCCGGTCTGAGCCCCAAACACCCGGTCTCCAGCCTTGTAGGGGCATCCAGCGGGAATAGGGGAGTTGTGTGCAATTCGACCAGCAAATTCGGTGCCGTAGGTGAAGGGAAGAGGTGGCTTGTGTTGATATTTTCCTTGTGCTTGGAGAATCTATATGTCGATGCATATTCAACATCTGGAATCGGTGCGTGAAGAAAGACAAAACGAACGTCAAAGAAGTTGAGACCTGCTGAGTAAATGTCGACAACGACCTGTTTTCCAGACGCTGTGGGCTCAGGAAGGTCGTGGGACAGGGGGATCTTGGAGGGGTGTGCAAGCTCTCTGACAACGTAGCCACGCATCTTGGAGGATAAACGGGTTGGTAGTGAATGTGGGGATGAAGGAGGTATTCATTTCAATTGCGGGGTAGATATAACGGTCAAACCTCCGGCAATTCAATGACCGGGTTCCCATCGCTGCTGCCAGTGCCAAGAGCCGGAGGATCAAAAAGTGTAAATTGGAAAGCTATGTAGTTCTTGGTAGTACACATGATTTTGAGAGAATTGTCTAAAGAGTGCTGCTAGAGATACTGCTACAACTGCGATACTGACTTATGATATTCTTCCTTGCAAGGCCTGGAAAGAGCGAACGAAAAGAAAATTAACTGAATGCGAAGCCCTCCCCTCCCTCATTGATGGCAAGCAGCAATTGCTGCCGCAACATCTCATACGACGAATACTGTGGAAGGTCGATCTGGTTGAAGCCTGGGTGCAAACTGTCAATATCAAGAGATTCCACGGGAGCAAAAGGTTTGTACTCACAGGTATGAGCCTGAGGGAGACGGTCATTCTCGCCATAAGCACGATGTATTGAGAAGCGTTGGACACCCTGGACGCCTTGCAGATCCGTAAAACCGTTCAATGGCACCCTTGAAGTACCTGTCGCGAAACTAAGGACCTTGGCCCTCTCATCTCGGTTGAAGGACTTGAGCGCTCTCCACCACCAAACAATGTTAGGGTCGGAGCTAGTGTAGCCAACATAGTCGGTCGCAGCGCGCCATTCATCCACATCGATGTCAGGAGTACCGGAGATGAGCAGCTCGAGCTCTTGTTCATTGAACTATTGATCGAATTGAGCGATTGAATGCAATGGGGACGTGGGCCACTACTTACGATGGTGATGAGGTCCTTCGGGACAATTTCATAGAACCCTGCCGACAAGTTCTCGATTTGCTCCTTGATGGAGGAGTAAAGTCGATATTGAGCGGATAGTTGAACGAATTCGCGCTTGTTCTCCTGAGTGACAGGGATTTGATCCCCTCCCTCCTTCAAAGGAATGACGCGGTTGACGCCGAACTAGAAAAGCGAAGTGAGCTTCGCACTTGCTTTGTTAAAACCAATTATACATACCTCATCGGCCTCCACGCTAAACGTCAGATCAAGAACAGTAGGATCGTTTTCCAAGATCCAGCACAGCGACTTGTAATATTCGGGATCGACCCATTCCACATCCTTGTAGTCCACAGGCTTGCCCAGCAGCTGACGATACAAACTCCTGGCAAAGTAAGCATCCAAGAGCCGACCATCGAAGATAGCCTTGCCAATAACCCGTCCGACGAACTTGAAGAACGACAAGTGCTCTGGGTTAACCCAAGAGTTCTTGTTAGGTTGATAGGTTTGCTTGTCGGCAGCGCAAGGTTGGAACAATGCGTTATTGGGGTCGAACATTTGCCTGGCGAGGATTTGGAACCACTCTCGCGTGACGCCACCAGCATCCACACCTTCCTCGTCGTAGAACCGCACGTTGAGTTTACCGTACTTGATCTGGTCGCCCGTTTTCCTCTGGAGATGCTGGAAGCTATCCTCGAAGACTCGTGCACGGCGAACGTTGAGTTGCAAGGTATGTCGATGCTCCCGTCCGTCAGATGGCCGCTTGTGGAGTTGCTGGTTGAAGTAGTTCCTCTTGTTATCGAAGTCGAGAACGCGAGGATTATTAACCAGGAGCGAGAACGATCCGCTCATTAGGCTCGGGTTATTGCGAACCATGAGATTGAGAAGTTTGCGGTGGTTGTCAGTGAAGGAGATGAATAACTCTTCCATGGCCTCCCTTGCTGATGTCGGCGCTCTCGGTGACATCGAACCTCGGGCTGCACGAGTGGTTGTAGTGGACTGCCCTGCCTTGGTACCAACGTGCTGACAGACGACCATGAGTGATTCGATGAGTGGGAGGAGGACAGTGGCAATGTGTTCAGTCTCTGGCTTGGCACCCACAAGCCCTAAGCAGTCTCCGAGCTTCCTCCACAAACCCGAGAAGTTGAACGATTCGTAAATGTTCTGAACCTTCTCGATATCTTGTTCTCGTTTCTTCTCGTCGGTGGCGGACGACGATTTAGGCGAGTACATGTGTTCGATGGTCTTGAGGACGCGGAGAAGTTTGGCCTGTGTTGATGACGCCGGGGAGAACTTCGTCGAGATGCAGCTTGTCATTGCGTCGGTGTTCTCAGACTGGAGAGTTTGCATCAACTGCTCAAGATCAGCAATGAGGACACGACCGAATTCTTGAGCTTTCGTCCGCAGCTCCTGGGCAATAACATCACGGGCATCGGAGATGTAGGACAGGTGTTGGATCAGGTTCATGCTTTGCTGGAACGTCTTGGCTGGACATTCGCCAACGGTGAGGATGTTGACGATTAGACGCAGCACTGCGTGGGGAATCTGAGGGGGGTTGGCAAGGAGAACCTTCTCTTCAACAGTCTCAATCTTAGGTTCAGCAGTCGACTGTTGTTGAGCCGTTGACGTTTCTAGATACCACCTTTAGTTGGACCGTCTATGACCACGATTAATACTACACGTACCTGGACGAGGGCCTTCTGAGGTTGCAGCTGGCGTGGATGAGGGCGCGGTTGTGGACGACGGAGCGGAAGTCTCAGTTGGTTGCGTCGGGGAAGAGTCCTGTTGAGTTGCGGGTGCTACCTCAACCTGAGCATCCTTCGGGGCAGAGGCATCTGCACTCTCGGAGCGATCCTTGAGTTCAGTAAGGGGTTTGGTCACAGAAGCCAGGAGATTGACAACGGAGTCCATGATTGCAGGAGTTCGGAGAAGAGCTTTCCGGTCAAGAAGTCCAAGGAGGAGGACGATGGGATAATGCGATTGAGGAGCCTGCTTCTCTTTGCCCTTGCCCTTTTTACTCGGCGCTTTCCTGAGACCGGCGGGTAGTTCGTGTTCAGTAAGGAAGAACAAAGATGCATGTGGGTTAGCGGTGACAATGTAGGTAAGAGCGTCGAGGCACTTCTTGGCAACGAGGTCGGGGAAGGCTTCTATTTGGGATGCTGGAAGTGAGAGGGCCGCGAGATAATCAGGACTAGGTTTTTGCTTAGAGACTGATTTTGGAGTCTGTGGCTTCGAGCTACGGACGGACATCTGGGCGAAGCTTTTGTCGACAGCGGCGAGGTCACCAGTGCCATCTTGCAGGATGCTCAACAGGAAGTTGAAGAGCTCCGTCCTCGTCTTTGAGTTCTGGCAAAGGTTAACGAATATCCTGAACAAGAAGGATTTTCTGAGAGCCTTGGGGAAGAAGAGAAGGCGGACAAGGACCGCGACTCCGCCCTTGTCCAACAATTGGATGGCGTCGTGCTGCGCCTTCGGTTTTGACTGCTGAGCCTGTGCTCCTGGAGGGCCTGAGCGAGGAGGTGCTGCGCGATGCAAACGACGCCTTGGCCTGAGATCGTCACGGTACGCTTCAGCCTCTGCAATCATATGTGAGGGGAGCGTAGCAAGGAAGCCATCATCTTGTTCCATAAGCACTGCTTGCCGCAGGGTGGGATCCAGACTCGCGATGAAACTGGCGGGATCAATTTCTGTGGGCCCTCGAGAAGGGGCGGCCTCTTCAGCTTGCCGACGGGCTCGCTCGATAGCCTCTTGCTGCAGAATTTCCGCTCTGATCTCCGGAGGAAGTGCATCCAAGAATTCGTTGCTGATTTGCGAATCGGCGGGACGTTCGACTTGAGCTGCACGTTGGTCGCGGACATGCTGGTTCAGAACTTCTTCCCGCATGTCATCAGGGAGTGCCTCCAAGAAATCGGGGTCGATACCAGTGTCCGTAATATCGACCGGGTTCCCATGGATCATGACTGTGACGCGCTGTACAGGGGCTGACGTGCTTGCCGCGGGTTCTGCAGGCTGGGTTGTTTCCGTGCTTGTACCAGCGGCCGAAGGCTCTGGAGCGGGTTCGGAAGTCTGGACATCCACCATCTCGGTATCTCCATCCGTTCTCGGCTCTTCGGACATGGGCTGATCTGCAGCAGGTCGGTCTTGGGTAGACTCGGATGGTGCCTCCGTTGTTGCCTGGGCTGTCGCCTCCGCCGAGGGAGCGGGGGCGTCTGCGTGGATCGAAGGCGAGGGGTCGGGCGTTCGAGTCGGCTCAGCTTCCATTGCCGCCTCCTTTTGTGCACTTTCTTCTTCAGCCTTTTTCGCTGCTTCTTCAGCCTTCGCCTTTTCTTCCTTTTCCTTCCCGAGACGAGCGGCCTCCTCCTCCTTGAGCAACTTCGCCTTTTTGGCTGCCTCAATAGCTTCGGGCAAAAGTGTTAAAATAACATGATTCACCAATTTCGCGACGCGCTCTGCAACGAATTCACCGTGCAAAATCTTCGCTTCTTCTGTCCATCGTTGAATGGTTACCAAGGGCTCAAATTCCCTGCCATGTCGGTGGCCAGACGGTGGTGGAGCACGCTCTACTCGGATCGCAGTTGAGAAAATACCGTGGCGGCGAGGAGGCATACCACCTCGATCCAGGTTCATGAAGCCAGGGACGTCCAATCGGAATGCCTCTTGCCATCCCCGACTTCCAGGAGCCATGACTTGCTGAACAAGTTGGAATCCTCCCGGTCCTATCATGCCATCCAAGGTTTGGAGAAGATCTGCGGCACCAGTCCCAGCAGCGATGATGCGTTGGGCTTGTCTGGAGCTTCGGCTCTGGCCGGGCAGGGAGCGAGTATGCGAAGAGGTGTTGAGCAACAACGGGTGAACAATGGCCTCGGGACTGGAACTGGGACCGTTTCGCGGTCTTCCGAAGAGGTGTACGTGTTCATCAACTGCTTCACAATCAGTAAACACGGAGATCTGTGTGAATGAAACCGCGACTTACGATTGCCGCGATGTCGCCTTTGTACGATGAATCCGCCTGCATGCCCGGCATTCATGAGCTGCTCAAAATTAGGAATCATATTGAAGAAGCCGTTATCAAGGAGAGGGCCTTCGTCGGACTCCATGTCGCCTTCGTCTTCTTCATGGATTATCTGCACGGGAACTACTGTTTCTGTTAATACAAGACCCCCGTGGGTGGAGGAACTTATCAGACTCACCACCCGTCTCCTCCTCCTCATCGAACTCGTCTCCGATAGCTTCAAGCCCTTGTCTATCTTCACCGGCATCCTGGGATGCACGATTAACACGGGTGAGGCTCAAACAAGAAACTGCAGCCTACCTCCCAAGCAAGTTCGCCTTCCGGTTCCTCGTCATCATCATCGACGATTTCTTCCTCCTCATCCACAATAGATGCATCACCGACGTCCTCTTCCCCTTCGCCCTCGTTTTCAACTAAAGCTTCATCATCATCCTCGACCTCTTCCCATTCGGAAGTCTGTTCTTCGTCCTCCATTTCGTCGTCCTCGTCCTCTTCATCCTCCTCCTCCTCGTCTCCCTCGTCTTCATCGTCGTCGTCATCGGTGTTGGACGTGTCTTCACTACCGGTTTCATCTCCAAATTCCATGTCTACGTCTTCGTCAGTGTCGACCGCATCCTCGTCCATTTCTTCGTCTTGTGGATATCGACCGTCATCCATCTCCTGATTTCTATGTTACTAGGAACTCAAACCGTTGATAAAATGGAAACATACCCCGGTGTACATCCCCAGTGACGAGTTGCGATAGAGGTCCGGTGTCTCCTCGCGAGGCTCCTCGAAGCCTTCTTCTTCGTCAGAGCTCGACGACGCCATGACACTGTCGTCGTCCTTATCGTGCCTTTTGCCTGAGTGACTCATCTTGATCGCAACTTTGGTCCTAGTGGAAAGTTAGGCACACAACTGTTAAATGCATTCTAATCGACTTACAGGTACTGCAGGGGCTTCAAGATAGCTGTCACCAACGATCGCACATGAGGGTAGTTCAGGTCAACGTCCGACAGAGATGCAGTCAGCGTCGCGACGAAGTTCTTCTCGAGCATGACCTTGGCAATGTGCGTCAACGTTTCTGCCGGTTTTCGCTGTGGAGGCATGTTGTCGAAGCGGACGGTGAGGAGGCGGTTGCACAAATCAGAAAGTGCCAGAAGGCGGCCGTATTTCGAGTTCAGGTTGTCATCGGAAGGAAGGTCTTTGATTGCACGACCAAGCGCTTCGAGGACGTACTTCCTGACAGACGCGAGGTCCGCTGAGACATCCTTGCTGGGATTCGGCGCGGCGGTGTCAGCACAGAGAGCAATCATCATATTCGTCGCCCAACTGCAGAGCATGATCTTGTTGCGAAGCTTGTTGTCAGCTTGCTGTAAATTGATGGTCCCAAACGTCAAGAGTTCATTGAGAATGAAATGGAGAGTTCCCGAACGGAATCGATTGCCTGGTTCTTTTGCTGGCGTTTGGAGCTTCTTCTTGGGAGAGTATGAGAGGAATGCGAGCTTGCAAGAGTCGTAGGACAGCAGTAACTCGGAAAGACATTGCATGACGAAGAACACATATTGGTATTTGTCTTGGATTTCTTCTTGACTGGGAGATTTCTTCTCGGTGCTGCTCTGTGTTGTTGACGCTGCCTGCATGGGGGCATCAGTTGGGGACAAACCCGCTGCGTCTGACGAGGTCGGAGCAGCTGTAGGTTTTTCGACTGGGTGAGGTGTCTCGTTAAGGTCCTTTACACACGAAATGAGCTCGGTGATCAAGAGGTGAACAGTTGATTCCGCGACGTGAATGGAGGCTGGTGCGATGGCCGGTGTTGGGGGAGAAGCGACGTTGTCGACTTGCATCTCGGATCCTTCACCTTCCTTAGCTGCCTTTGAGGAGTCTCTGTCTGGCTGTAGTGTTATGTGGTTGGCAATAGCATACGGTTGGTTGAGCTGGCACAGAGACTTTGTTGCTTCGATGAAAAGTTCGGGATCACGAAGGGCCATGGAACTGCAATTCTTGACGTATGTGCCGGCTTCAACGACGCGAGTGCGAGGATGCGAGAAGTACCGCTTGATGTTCTGTTGCATGATGTTCTTAACAGTGGACGAATCCTCCACGAGGTGGCGAAGGATGGTTGCAATGTACGAAGAGCCGCCGCTGACAGGTGAAGATTTGAGGCGCTTGAACATCTGTGCGAGAGCATCAGCCTGGAGGAGGGAATCTGCCATCTCCCTGTTCCGAGTGAACAGGACAAGTAGTCGAAGGACAGATAGCAGTTCGTCTGACTGGAGCTCTTCAAGGGTGAGGAGCCGTAAACACAGCTTGAATACTACTTGCTTGGCCGCCTGGCGACATGGGCCCACAGCGATGGGTTGTGGCTCGATGGGTTCACCTTCCCTGGGAATAGAGATAGCGCGAGGCTCGTCGGAGAGGATGAAAAGGGACTCGATGACAAGCAGGTGCCCCGCAAGCCACTTGGGTGGGTTTTCCACAGCGATGCTCGAAAGGAGTGCCAATAGGTTGTCCATCAATGTGTTTCGGAGATCGTCATCGAACGCGGAAGGTGAATCGGTGAGGATCAATGCAAGCAAGCGGCACCGATTCGCCATTGGTTGCTCTTGGACGTCGTAGGCGTGTGGCGAAAAATCCTTGACATCCTCGACGAGTTGTTGGATAGCCTCTTTCTGCCTTGGACTGGCCTTGGTGAAAGCTGGGTAGAGGTCGAAAAGCAGTTGTTGATGTTCATCGATGAGAGTGAGACCGTGTCGACTGAGACTCGAACCAAGGGCGTCGCGGCCCTGGTTCAAAATCGTTCGCCATTCCTCCGTGGTTCGGGTTGGTGGTCTATGTTCCGCAGAAGGCTGCTCCTCAGCCACCGATTCCCCAGTTGGTTCTTGCCGAGCGTTGTTGCTTGGAGCAGGTTCCGTAGGCTCGGCTGCCATGGTGTCTGTATCCTCTGCAGGAGCTTCTGTCGACGTTGTCTCTGCTGCTTGTCCCTCAGCGGGAGTCCCCTGACTACCAGAAGCTTCTCCTGATCCTTCCGCAGCAGGTGTAGCAGGCTCGGGTTCCGGATCTGGGGGTAATGGGAATGGGTGAGAGATGAGGAGTTCGGTGGCTGCATTGACATTGTTTCCGGCGCGGATCAGAGCACGCTCTGCTGCAGATCTCGGGAAGCCCATATCCGTTAGCAAACGGATACGGGTTTCATCCGGTCCACTGGGCCGAGGGGGGCCTCCGGGGTGAGGCATACCATCGATGATAGGAGTGTCCCCTTTAGACTCCTCGCCTTCGCCTTTCATCACCTCCAATAAGGCACGGACGACTGCTCGTGTGACGGCGACAGGAGCCTGAAGGAGCCACCCTGATTGCCAAAGTGAAGTTAGGAGCGGGAGAGCGGCGACTCTGAGCTTGACAAGGAAGTGATGGGGCTCGAAGTAGTCGGGGTCTGTATCCTTCTTATCCCTGGTGACGATGAGATGGGATTGACCGGATTCCACGACATATTTCGCAGTGATTGTGGGTTGGAGCAGATGGAGAACGACCTTCAAACCACCGTAAGCTTGGACCAATTCCTTCTTGTCTTGATCGTCACGGAAGTCTTCGGGCTTGTTCGTGATTTCCGCAATTCTGTCAGTGAAAAGCTTTGTGGTGGAGAAAAGGGCATCCAATCCATCGATGCGATAGAAGGCATAAAGTTGGATGGTGTGAAGAATCGTGGAGGTTGGACGCTCTGGTAAAAAGCGAGTCAGTGTGAAAATAACGGGGACCCAGAGCCCTGGACTAACCTTCAATCAACAGAAGGGAGAAAAGGCCGAGGACAACCGTGTAGTAGGCAAATGAAGAAGTCCTGTCGGTTCCTAAACGACATGTTAAAGCCTGTAAAAGGTTGAAAAAACGGCCACTACCACATACCAACGTCATATTGGAGGTGCTTGAGCATGATGTCTGCAACAATCTTTGAGGATTCTTGAATTTGTTTCCTCTGGGCACTGTCGGGATTCCTTCTCGCGTGAAATGTCTTGACCATGGCTAGAACAAATCTCAGTCGCCACGTCTTTTCAAAATGACTTCCACGTACCTTGGAAGAAAGGAGCGAGGATATTAGGGAGTCCGTGTGTGATGTGCTTGATGGCGGCAGCATTCGCAACGCGAGGCTCAGGCTGTGGGGTAGGGGAGCTTGAAGAAGACGTGGTAGTGGTGGCAGCTGCGGCCGGCTGCTCAAGTTGTTGAACGCCGTTGGTTGTGCTGGCCGGAGCAGGTGGGGCCGTATCCTCCGGGTCCAATGTGTCAAGATCCAGCGGCTCGGGACCTCCTTCAAGCTGTGTCCCCCCAGGCGCTGAAGCTAAATCGATATTCTTGGCAGCAAGACCGGCGTTGAAAACAATGTTCTCCCAGATGCTGGCACGGTGAAGGGTGCCCAAGTCTGCGATGACATCCGGTGATGTGTTGTTCATGAGCGTTTGGAGAAGGCCAATTGCTGCGCGGCCGTGGGCGTAACCAGTCGTTGAGAAAACATCGGAAAGGAGGGTGATTCGAATATGCAAGGTGACGAGACTTCGGAATTTAGCATTGGCGGCTGCAGTATCTTTGTCTAGGTTATAAAGTGAGCTAAGACACCCTTAGGCGAAGTGTATGATACATACCGGCAAGGTCAATCAGAGAAATAAGCTTGGATTCGTGGGACGGTGTTTTCCAGAAATCAGCCGTCTCATCAAGCGATTCCTTGACGAGCTTGGACAGGTGTTGGATCGTGTCGTTCGTTGCAACCTCAGCCAAAGTCCTCATGACCTGGACCATAGAATCTGAAGCGACACTGTTTGCGAAGTCATAGGGCAAACAGGGTAAACTCGTCATCCTTCCAAGTCGGTTGAGGCCATCAGTGATCGAAATGAAGTCCCTGCAGTGGGGCGTGTGTTGGAATAGACCTTCCAAAAACTACAACAGGTTAGACTGATTCGTTATCAAAGAACATGTTGGTGGCTCACCCTCCCAATAACATCGAGGTAGGACACGATGATACTATCATGAGATTTGGAGTTCTCGTCCTCCGCAACAGTGTCGTCCTCTGTCGCTTCTGGGCTTGACTCTTTGGTCTCCGTTGGTTCATCGATGTCCATTGCTGCATCGCCAGTAGATGCGCTTTCAGATGGTACTGGTCGCAGTTGGTACCACTGCGTGAGGTTCGAGGGAACGACATATTCCAACCCAAGTTCTTCGATGCGACTTAGCGCAGATTTGAGCGCAGAGAAGACCGGTGCCTTGAGGCTAGGATGGTGTCGAATCAACTCGTCAATGGCGGTACCAATGAGAACAGCGTTCTCCTTGTCATTCAGAACCTTGAGGTGGCGTTCGGAGGTGAACAGAGAGAAGACAGCAGGGATGATACTCGGTCGCTTGGCGAGCTGTGCCTGACCAACTTCGTTCAGACACAGGGCCCCGATAGCGTTTGGAATTGCTTGGATGACCTGTTTACAGTTAGTGACCTCGCTTCAACCATTTAGTTAACTGAATTACCTCGATAGCAGGTTCGATTCCTGCTTCGATGGTGTTGTAGAAGGCTTCGGGAAGCCCTGCTTCTTGGATGATGGTCAACGATGTTGGCTCGTTATGCACGAAAGTGGTCATGATATTGATGGCTGAAAACATCTCAGGGAGGGAAGAAACGTGAACAGCGAATGTCACTCACCAAAGGGAAGGATTGTCGGCCCAAAAAGCCCTCTGTATTCAATGATCTTCTTAACGGTCTTCAAAAGGGACATATTGATCAAGTTTCGAAGGCCTTCAGCTGTTCCCGCCGACTGCATCATTCGGTGCATGGAGCGCAACATGTGCTTCAAAACGGCAATCCGAGCGATGGGAATATCAACTAGGAATAGTTCAGTCAGCACCCAATGACAGTGTAGAGAGGACATTCTAACCATCTTCGGCTGACGACACAGTCTTCGGGTCTCCATAAGTCTGAATATCATAGTCGACTTCGTACTATGGGGGCGGTGAGTAACGGTTCGACGACGAGACGTCATATTCGTACCTCAATTCTCTCCACCAACGTATCCAGACCCCGGGCTGTAGTAAAGAGGTGGAAGCCGGTCGGGGCACTGTACAGAACATTGTCCAACAATTGCATCGTCTTCGAAGTGGTGGTCAATCGTGTTGGACTTCTGTTTTCAATGAGTTGGATGAGCAAGGGAACCAAACCGGCTCCGACGACCATACTGCTCCCCGATTGATGCGAAACGATGTATGTTAAGAAGCCCAGCAAAGCGTCGACGAATGACTGGGGGATGGTCGAGTCTGCATGGGGGAGGTCATTGACGGTCTTGCGGAAGAGGCCCATCAGGATTCCATGGTTGATAGCTGCGTTTACGGCAGTCAGAACCTCTTGGAGCTTGTTACGGTATCTTGCAAGAGCGTCCAATGCGGCAATAGCAGCAGTCTGGACACCGACAGGGACACCATTGTCAACTTGAAGGAGTTCGGCGATGTGGATGATGAGATCCGGCTCGTAGACGAAGAGGGTAGACGATGCCCGGCTTTCAGCATGTGTGTGGCAATAGATGGCGATGGCCAATAGTCTGGCGGTGAGCAACTTCTCTCGGTCCTCCCGGCGACCTTTATCTAAAGCTGCAGCGGTTCTGATTCGACAGAGAATCTCAAACTTCTCTTTGTCTGGGACTTTGTAAGTCTTAACTGCATCGGCGAGAACCTCCATAGCGGGCTTGGCCAGGACTTCTCGCTCGTCAATATGGACATTGACCGCTTCAGAGGAGGGGAATGGTGCAGCGCCTTTACGAGGGGTTTCAGGAACGGCAGGAGTAGAACTTTGTGGTTCTTGGTCGGTCTTTTCACCACCATCCGTTCGATAGAAGGTCATGTTTACTTCGCGAGCTTCCACCGGCAAGCTTTCGACTTCTGCATCACCCTTGGGGGAAACGAGGTCCACCAGGCCTGCGCCATATTCTCGTACATGGGGCCATTTCTTTGCGAGGGATTGCAATCGACCCGATGAAAGGCTGAGTGCATGCGAGACGGCTGGTTGTGCGGAATATTGCTGGGCGGGGCGAAGTAGAAGATTCAGCGTCAAGAGAAGGATGTCGAGATCCGAAGTGAACAAAAGACTGTTCAATCGCTATATGACGAAAGATATTAGTAACCCAAAGGATAGAATGATTGGGGCAGGCGCACGTCGTATGAATTATAGGTCTTCCTATTCGTGGAATTTTCCATCAATAAACGCTTGAAGCGCAGGATTTCGGAAACAAGGCGTTTTGTGGAGGGCGAGAAAGTCTTGAGTTGGAGTTTGTCGAGGTCATATTCCGCGATGATCTCCTCCAAAACGGCGTCAAACTTGTTGAGGACCTTAATCCAGGCGTTGAGATCTGAACGAGGCCATTTCCAGACGTCGACTTCAGATAAAATGGCGGTAAGCTCTTCATTGGATGCCTTTAGCGTTCTCTTGATAAATTCCGCTACCTGGGGCGGCTGTTTTGGGGGGTCAGATGAGCTCCCTGACGCGCTGGACAAAACTAATTTGCAAGACTTACTGGCGGAACCGGCTTCTTTGATTTGTGAACGATCTTCATCGTCGACGACGGCGTCGAGGAGAAGGTTGAGACTGTGACTGATAGTGACGGCCTACTAATTTAGGGGGTAGGCCAAAAGATGAAAGTTGTGGTTGTTGTAGACCAGAAGATGGCTTGCCCTGGAAGAGCTGAGCTGAGCCAAACTCCGATCTCCTTCGCTTCAAGGAAAGCTGACGCAACTGCGTGTGACTTTTTGGTAACGCGTCGGTCACACCTTCCTTGAAAGGCAGGCAGGCCCTAACAGCTTCTGTTCCAGTTCCCCTTATTCTCGACCCTAAACGTGTAATTTCTCGTGTTCGACGCGTTACAGCAATGGGAAAACGCAAGGCAGTAGAGAGCTCAGAAGAAGAGAGCGAAGCCCAGTCTACTGGAGAGTCTTCCGCTGAGGAGACCGTCCCCAAAGCCAAGAAGATGTCCAAGGTCCAGACAATAAAGGTGTGCGGCGCCGTTATGCTAAAGGAAGCGGTCGGGTCATAATGTCTACAGAAACCAGCAAGCTCTCGCAAGAAAAGCAGTAATGATAGCGATGAAGAAGAAGAGGCCCCCAAACCTTCCAAAAAGCCCAAGCGCGACGCGACAGTGAGTGCACTTGACGCGTTTGGACCACCCCATCCTTACATGGCTTCCAGGAGAAGGGCGCATCGTCGTCTGCAGGCCCATCTTCCTCTGCAAAAATCAAAACCAACAAACAGGGAGAGAAGTACATCGACCTCGGCAAGAAAAAGTTCGCGACTGTCAGAACGTTCAAAGGCAAACCATTACTTGACATTCGCGAGTTCTGGGGTGACGACGATGATTTGAAACCCGGCAAGAAGGGAATCAGTCTGAACCTTGAACAGGTGGGTCCCAGCTATCTCCTTCTAGCTCATGCTCAATACCCTGCTGTCCAGTGGCAAGCACTTCGAGAAGGGATCGACGACCTTGACCGACTCATCAAAGAGGTCTCGTAAAATACCACTGGCTCTGCTTTCGTCTTTCTTGTTCGTCATTCTAAATCCATGTATTATTACTACTGCGTTAATATAATGATATGGTCCTGTTACGCTAAGGTATTGTTCACGCTTCTATGCGCAGGCCAGCTGCAGCGTCATGCGCCCCTCTAAACCCCTGACGCCACAATCCCCGGAGCCATGCCAGTTTCTTGACTTTCCAACCTTGAAAGTCCAGTAGTGCCTCGTACACAGCGAAGGCGGCGTATGAGGTACGGTAATGCCACCAGCCAGATATCCAAAGGCACAGCGACCGTGTGAAGCCAAAAGTCCGGACATTGGAAAGTATCTGGTGTTGGTCAGCAACCCAGGATGCCTTCAGGCAGTATTTTGCGTGAACGAGGAAGACTCGGACCTGTTCTCGTCAGCCATGACGTCAATGAATGTAAACGTCCTCTTACATTGGAATGAGTGGTCGCAAGAGCACGATCCAATCCACTGTCAAAAACCTTTCAGCTCCCATCCATAGGGCATCGCGAGGTGCTACCACTCACCGAGTCAAGTCATTCAACTTCAGGACCATAAGAATCCGCCTTGGAACCCTTCGCAGTACATCAAACACTGACAAAATGAGCCCGTCCGTGTTAGCGACAGCGTGTCGAACGGCCTCAATTTCAGCACGACTCGTTGTATCGATCATGCTCGAGCCCCTCTTGAACGAAACATCTTTCCCATCTTCAAACGAGCCTTCTAAAGCTGCGCGACCAGTGAGAGCCGCTTCAAAGATGGGGTACTACATGTGAGGGTAAGAAAGGGTATGTGTTCCAGTAGGGCGTGAAGACGTACAAGGTCGGGACCAACATTGCCCACAAGTTGAGCTAGGCGCTTGCGTTCGGCGATAACAGTGGGAGAGGCTGCCGAAATCAAAGACAGCCACAATCTGCTATAGTTCACCCTGAGTTCATCGTCAAGGTCAAAGTAAAGTCCATGGTCCAGCAACGCGATCTCAAAGTTGTACGGGGACTTTGACGAAGGTGGCGATGGGCGAATTAGCAAATTACCTGGATGGGGGTCCTGCATTCAACTAGTCAGAATTACCCTCTCGAATGAGCAAAACACGACAGCACTGACAGCATGGAACCATCCATTATGAAACACCATCTCGCTGAATATCCTCGAAAGTTCCACTGCAACCTTGTTCCTGTCGATATTGTGACGCGCTAGGTACTCCAAATCGTCCACTCGCCCTCCTTCGATGAACTCCATGATCAGGACGCGCTTCGCGGCGTGGATAACTTCAGGAATGTAGAGCGACGTCTTGACGTGTGCGAAATCTCGTTTTGTGCGTTCAGCGTTCTCGGCTTCGTGCACGAAGTCCATCTCTTTTGGGAGGTTGGTCCTCATTTCGTCCTAGGGTATGTTAGTGGGAGGAGGTACTGAGGACAAGAATGCCTACCCCGAGCCAGGTGAATTCGAATTCCGGGAACCAGTACTTGATCCACCCTGTAACGTAGATGAGTCAATGATATAATCTCATCCAAAACGAACTCACCAAGGGTAACATCGACCATTTCCACATCGATATCGCAAAACTCTGCCAAGTGTGGATGTTGCAGCTACGTCCATTTTGAATTAGCATCCCTGAACTTCACCGAGCAGAAAGAATCGCCAACTGCTCACCTTCACGGCGACTCTCCTCCCAGTCGGTTTATGACGCGCAACATGCACTTGGGCCAAACTTGCAACTCCCACAGGATTGGGATCGAAATCCTCGAAAAGCTCGTTCACTTCCACTCCCATATCTTGTTTAAACAATCCTTCCAGCTCTTCGTAGGATGTAGGTTCGCACTGGTCCTGTAACGGCCGCATCGTGCTTGTCCATTCGACAGGGAGGACGACGAGGGTCGCCATATGTTGCCCCATCTTAATGAATACACCTATCGTATGATTAGGTTACGGATAGCTTGAGCCACAGTACGGGACCCACCTCCGTTTGCAAGCAACGCTTTCAAAACCCTCTTTGCACTCCTCGTATGACATTCTGACCATGCACGGTTCACCTCCTCGTCCGAACCGTAGCTTTTGGACATCATAACTTTATAATCTATCGCTCCCCGTATTGCCGCGTCTAAGGAGCAAGATCGTTACCACATTTCAGTCTCCCAATACGAATGAAATTCCATACCAGCAATCCTCGAACACCGCACGACAGCCAGCACAGTGTGCCTAAACCCTTTATGCGTCTTGTACGCAGTGACACCAGCTGCCCCCAGGACTACCGCACATGCGGGATAAAAGATGTATGGTTGTCGCCATTTCCTCGTCGCCGTCGAACTCGAGGAATTAGGTGTGTGATGCCGGGATCGAAATCCACGTCGACCAAGCTGCTCCCAACGTCGCGAAGTCGTCGTGTTAGTGTTCGAGAGAGCAGATTTCCGGAGAATGGAAGTACTATGGAACCATTGAAGTAGCCGACCGTTCTTGAACATGGTACATAGGGACTCAAGAGCCTGTCGTGGAGTCCGGTAAAATTCGAATTTCGCGACACTCCGGTAATTCAAGCGATGCCAAGCGAGTCGGGGAATGACCACGTGGCGTGTCGGGTGTTGATGGCGGTATCACCCAGTTGGGAAGAGGGCGCGGGCAAGGGGAGTTGATGACCTCCAAGATTCCAATAAATAGATATTTTCTGATATATGGTGTATTAGAGAATCCTATTGTTACAAACCCAATATGTAGAGTGATGTCTATAGTCGTTCATGTACAACAAATCTCCAGCGTCGTCATGCGAATTTGTTATCTCAGGTCATTCGTCGATCGTGAACTGCCCCTCTTCAGGCTCCCCATCATAGAGGCTAGTGATATCCGGTTCGTGGACTGTGCATCTGCATTCTGATGCATCGCTTCGGCATATCTATGAAATATGAAAGGACCGTTAAGCAAGACGAATGTAAGGAGGAATATCAACATGGAGTAGTATCACGCACAATAATTTATACCGCACAAGCTCTCCTTCCATTTCCTCGCCCTTCAGTCTTTGCTTGACGAGTTCGTTCTGGAAAGTTTCGGTCGGTAAAAGGGCTCCATCGGTTCGATAACCATAAGCTTACAAGGAGCTCAACATGCTCTGCGTTGAGCTGAGCGAGCGTCTCTTCCAGCGATTTCCTACAGCAAAAGATTATGACCAAGGATAACAGGCAACCGTGAGGCATCTTACACTTGTTGTGACAACTGTCGATTGGTCGTTGTAAGGTCCTCGATCAAAGTCTTCTGTTTGTGAGTTTCCCGCTGCAGTCCGAGTCAATACCAGAAGACAACTGCAAGTCACCAATGTTAATACCATCAGATCCTCATACTCGTGTCGGAACGAGTCAAGCATAAAGGGGGTGATGTTGACGGAGACCGCTTCCTGCACGAATTCGTCAACTCTATACTTAGGTGTTCCCTCCTCTTCTGGCCCTTCCGTTATCTACAGCAGACATGAGTCCTGAGCGCAAGCGGGGATTAAAAGCAAATCGGAGCACAGCACCTGATAAACCTCGAACAGTCTCTTATTCAAAAAGGCCAAGATCTCATCGAATTTGAGTTTGAGTAGTTGCTCCTCATTCTTCCGCAGTAACTGTATGCTAAAACCGAAGATAGCTTCGATGCCGTTGGCGAGGCAGCTGTCGTATATCCGAAACACGACATCAAGTGGAAAGCTAGCGGGTCCGATGTTGAGAAGGGAGGTTTTGAGTTTACGTGGGTCATCTGGTCACTCACCGATAGCTGAACATGGTCAAGAACCATTGGGAACAGTACATCGTGGACTTGACACCCTGCCGCAGGAAATGGACGTGCAGTACTGGTAGCAATTCTTCCACTAACCGATCGAACTGCAAATTGCTCAACGTTAGAACCCGAGCGTGTGTAGATTGCTTACTTGGAACTGCAGAAACAACTCAGTAGTGCCTCGAGGAGTGAGAAGAAAATGACGTACTAGTCGAAGCTGAAGCTTGGGCATTTCTGGAAGGAAGTGGCCCCGAAGGTCGTACACGTACATCAACTTGACAAGAAGCGAGAAAGCCTCTTCGTCTGGCATCTAGGACCGGAGGCCGTGTCAGGGGTGGTGATACGCACTTCCATGAGCGAAGAAGTTACATACGTTCAAGAGCAGAATTGCCACAACGAACGGCAATCCTTGACAGTACCCTACTTGGGGGTCGTACCTAACACAAGAGATGAGTACCAGGTAAAACGTGTTTCGAAGAGACGTACAGGGAGTAGGCCTTGAGGACATTGAATAGGTTCTCCTGTCCAATACCTTGACCGTCTGTGAAAAAGGTATGATGCGGAAATGTTCTGTCGAATGCACGTCATTACGAAATGATAAGATGTGTATTGGCAGACAGGGCTAAACCAACCTTCCTAAATCCCTTGTGATGGCCTTCTCGTGAGCACTCGTTTCCTTGAGTAGCTTGAGGTACGTCGCCTCTAACTCTGGATCTTTTGAGGCTGCCCTAAAACGACAGTGAGCAACAACACGATGCATGTCTCGTGGTATAGCTGTACTCACATATGCTGCCACATCATTCCACGAAGTGCTGGTGGGATTCCGCGAGCTATTGCTTGTGCCAATTCTTGCGGACGCTCCGCCGCGAAACTCTGGTAGTCTTCTCGTAGTCAGAATGCGGTCTGGCATGAGACGGAGACCGAGACGGGCCTACCAGAAATAACTGCACCCCAGAAGTCTAATCATAACGTTCAATTAGGTTTGTAGGTTACGTCGAGCGAAAGCAAGAGACGCACCCCAGTCTATGGTACCGTCCGTCGAAGCACTGTGCTCCATCTCCTCCTTTTGCAATCTTGCAAATTCTTCCTGAAGCATCTGCTGACCATCAAGACTGACTCGGGCTGATGCACGGCGGCGGGAGACATCCTCTTCATCTGAATCCTCCGAGCGATTGGCCCTGAACGACGATCTGATAGTGGTGGTTGACGAGGTTTTCTTGTGTGATTTTGGGTTCCCAATAGGGGAGTCCAAGGCTATTGAGAATACGCTCGTTGGGCGTTCATTGGCGTCACCATTCAATGATGCAGGGGAGGCCGGACGTGAAGATGTGGTTGATTGATTCTGTTGGTCCTGAACGATTGGTTTGGCGGTCGCTACGGACGGCGATTCGCTGGAGTCGTCAGAGTCGAGTGCGATGTCATTGAAGCCTGACAGGGAGGATGCGATTGAATCTCTCTCTGGGAGTTTTTCGGAATCTGATGCAGAAGACTTGTCGTCCTGGACTGCGAATGCTGGGACTTCTGGGGAGCGGAGGGACTCGAGAGGGACAGGCTCAGCGACCTTCTTGAGGCCAGACTTTGGAAGGCTCATTTTTGAAGAGCGAACAGGAGCATGAGTTCATGCAGGTTCTTTTGGCGACAACGGGGAAAGAAAGGATCCGAAGATGGTGATGGCCTCGATGCAGTCCTGTTCCAAACTGAATCGCGATTCTGTGTGGAATATAAATATATTGACCCTACTTACACGAGGCTAATGATGCACGCGCTGGAGGTTTGAAACTGACTGTGTCTAATTAAATAAGAAAACGCTTGACTTGACCATAAGTAACGGACCCAAATCGACACGTGTTGGTCGCCGCCACCGTGACCAAACCAAATTTACTTCATTCACCGTAACCTTGACCAGCCCGTCTTATATTCCACCTTATTATCCCCGCTTCCCCCTTTTTCTGTCCGTCACTTTTTCTTCTCTTCTCCACAGACTACATACCAAATTCACTGACATCACCTTCCCAGTCACTGCCAGCCCCGGTCGCGATGGCGGACCAAGACTCGGTCTCTCGCGAGGAACAGCGGGCCCAGCGGGCAGTCGCCGTCGCAAAACTCAAGCGCGCGGCGTCGTTACCCAGAATGAAGGACGGTCGGCGCCCACCAATGCACTCGGAATCAGTCAGCGAGGGCGAGAAGGGCATTCCACCGACGCCGACCCCACCTTTAAACGGCCCAGACAAGCTCACTCCAGAACCTCAAGACGATGCTACCCCAGAAGCACATTCACCAGAGCCTAATCCCCAATCTGATCAACAGCAATCCTTCTCTGAAGACACAAAGCAGGATGATGCCGAGCACCATCCCGATGCCCAGGTTGCAGAGCTCGAGACGGAGGCAGATGCTGAGCTGGAGGACAGATCGCTATCCCCAGGGCCAACACGCTCAAGACGTCGTCGTTCACGGTCTCGGTCAAGGGGCTCTAAAGACTTCAAGGGGAAGAACCGTGGCGCACCGTCGCCGACACCTCATATCGCCGGTGATTCATCTCCAGACGAAGCGCCTCCAATGCCAATTACGCTCCCCATCTTACCACCCATATTTACGCCGATACCTTCTCCTTTCGGACTGCCACCAGCACGATTTATGCCTTCTCCAGATCCCTCAATGTTCTATCCAGGGCCCTCAGCACCACCAACACCTCTACCTCTACCCAGTTTACAGGAGCTGCAAAAGAACCTGGTGCGTTCGAATAGCGCAGGCAATACAGCAGCCAGTCGCAGGCTAGCATTGGCCAAGTTGACAGGAGGTGCAGACACTTATGAGCCCTCTCCGTCACCAACGCCGCCACCACTACCCGGCAACAGACTTGCTCGGAACAATACTGTCGCAGGTGGCGAGCGAATTGCAGCACGTCAGCTTATGCTGGGACGTCTAGCTGGCCGTGTGGCGAAGGAGACCGATAACGAACAACAAGCCAGCGGTGAAGAACGATGTGCTCCGTCCCCTACGCCAAACCACAGGCGGCGGAAGCGACGATCTCACAGGAGGAGTTCCTCTGCGGCGGCCAATCCCGCTGTCTCCGATTCTGATCCCGCGTCAACTGCCTCCAGTACACCTCTCCCCCCTAACGTTTATCACTCACCCCCGGGTTACCTCCAGCAGCTCCAGCAACTCCGGGCACAATCCACCACTCCTAACCAGGCCTCGAGCTCTCGCAATCAGAGCAGTGAACACATAACCTATGTGCAGACCTCTCAACAAAAGTCGGAAGTCGAACCCGAACCTCACGAACACCGTCGCAGAAGTGTCCTGGTTGAAGATGATGAGGAAGAGGATGACCGTTTCCAACAAATTCCTCGGTCGAGGACCCCTGCCTTTACACCGCCTCCACATAGAGCCTCCCCCCGCATACATATTATTCGACCAATGCACTCCTCCGACTCACCTGCTAGTCATTCATCGGATTCTGTTCCTGGAGTAAACGGAGCCGCATCCTCAAGCACGGTGCCTCTGTTCTTAGGTCGTGGATCCCCCGCACGACATGAGCGATTCCCGAGCAGCCCGTTCACAACACCTCTCAAGGAGAAACAGCCTCTGAGTGACGACGACGAGGAGCAAGTACTCTACCCGGCTGACACTCTTCGGCCCCGTACCCCTGCCAGTACCAGTGTGCCGATTGCAGACTCGCGGCCTCGAACACCGTATGGAGCCGACAGGGACGCTTTCGACAGAGAAATCAGTTGGGTTGCTTCTCCTGGTATGCTTGTGTCTTTCTATGCCTGGCCTATGTTAACGAAATGCGTCTAGTGCCTCAAATAAATCTTCCCATTGACGACCATGATGCCGAGGACGACGACGAGGACTATGAGGAGGAGGGAGCTGAGGTACCTGTTCAAGACGAAGATTATGACGAACCGCCTTTATCACCTACCTCTGCAAACGATTTTACGCAGTCCCGTGTCTACGACGAAGCGTCTCCGCGAGTTTCCGCGAGCACGACAAGTATTGTCATTGAGTCCGAGGCTTCTGCGGACATCCATCATTCTGCACCATCACATTTCCCCGCCATTCCTCTTTCCCAAGCTGCCAGCTACTCTCAGGTAAACACACCACTTCTCGATATGCCCATTCATGGCCTAACCTCTTTTTTGACACTAGAACGGCGAACGGTCTCCATTAAATGGTGAAGCCTACGCCGCGGACTGGGAAGACCGATTACTCAGTCGAGCATCATCAACCAAACCGAGCGTAGAGGGCAGCTCCCCCAGCACATGGGAAAAAGTGAAGAACACATTTTCTCGATCAACTTCCAGTGCAGGGCGGCGGTCGCGGAGCAATAGCATCGTCAATCGGGAACGAAACTCGAGTGTGAGCAGGGAAAGTGGGGTGAGTCTTACCAGTGGAGGAAAGGGCGAGCGAAGTGAATCGTTCACGCCTCCACACCACCACCACCACCACCACCAGCAACAGTCGCAACAACCAGCCGCCCCGCCATTAATGCAGTCGCCATCCGCATCCGCCTCGATACTCTCCCTGGCGCCGCACCACGCCCATATGCGCGGCAATCCCTCTCCCATCCCGCCGGTTAGCGATGCCGACCGCTCCAAGTACCAGAACGACAAGCTATTCCCTTTCCCTGGTATGAAAAAGCTGGAAGAGCAAAGGCGGGATCGTGCACGGGGCGCGTTCCCTACGGCTTCCGCGTCAACCCCGGATGTTACCATGCTGGCCGGCGGGGATGAAGCGCCAACGCCTTTATCGGTACAATCCTTCTCCAGTACTCCCCAAACTCCTGAGGAGCGCAAGCTCTCTCATCAAGCTTCGGACACAAGACTAAACGTCAAATCGGGGCCAGACCGGTTGGCGGCTTCACCCAAACGTCAGGAATATATCGACCTCATCCCGCTGAATGCCTCTACGAGCTCCAGTTCTTCAAAACCTAAACTCCCCATGACATTCACGGATGTGAAGCAATGGTTGAGCAAGAACAAAGGGAAGAAGGCTTCGGTGTCTAACATCGCTCCCCCTGCCCCTGTGACTTTTTCACCTTCTCTGGAATCCCAGTTCTCGACGGAATCAGGACGTCAATTGAAGGCCTCGCTTAATGACATCTTACAGGCCAATATTAATCCCAGCGAGTCCACATCCGACTATGAGCGGACGCCCACGAACGGCCAACCTTCCCGAGGGCAAACGGTCAACATCTTGGATTTCCGAAATAATGGTCGAGAGACGCCCGCGACGAGTGGTGCCCCTACAGACACGGAACGGACACCCAAGGCCAAGAAGATTCTCCCTCTGACGCTGACGTCCTCGTCGGATTCTCGGTACCAGGCCTTCCAGGATACACCCACAGAACTGTCAAAACCCGATCGGTATATGTCGCCTACACCTGATCCTACATCTTCTTTGAGCGAGTTCCCTGCTCAATCGACGTCGGAGTCTTCGTCAACATCGTCGCAGTATTCCTTGGGACCCACTGCCCAAGCTCTTGCTCTACTGCAGCGGCTTGATGACACTTTGGCTAGAGGTCCGGTGCCAGTCGATGAAGTTCCTCGTAAACTCCTTTTCTCTTCCCCCGTCCTCCAAGTCGTCAACCCCAACACTGTCAAGGACAGATTCCTCTTCCTCTTCACCGACATCCTTATCATTGCCAAACCCCTCATCCGGGACCATGGAACCCTCATGGAAACCCCATCCATCATTCCGACGGATAGACGTTATATTGTGAAGAGTGTCGTTCGGTTCCGTGACCTACGTTTCTGTCAAGACCGAGTTGAGCCTCTTCCCAAAGCAGCCAGCCCACTAGCCTCTACACGGAGCCCTCTACTCCGGCAATTTGTTGCCGATTTTACGCACGAGCCGGAGCAAGCTATCACGGATCTCTTCTCCAAGTCAAAGATACACGACGATTCACTGCTCATTGGACAGGTACTGTTCAAGACGCAGGAGTTGAATCGGAAGATATTAGGAGAATACCTGTGCAAGCGGACATCCAAGTCAATCCTCAAGGCGTTCCTAGACAATTTTGGATTCACGGGTCTTCGGATCGATGTCGCGCTTCGCGTATTCCTCCACTCCATCCATATCCCTCAAATCCATGGTGTTTTGGAATACCTGTTGGATTCTTTCGCGGGTCGGTGGTACGAGGCCAATGCAAAGAGTGTGGCCTATGACCGAGATATGGCCGTTCGATTGGTTCGCGCCATCGGACAGTTGAACGAGCTCTTACACGGTGCAATCACAGACGAAGTCGGACCAACAGGACCCGTGCGACGCAACATCACGATGAAGGACTTCTACGACGCCTTTCGACGGTACGACCCTCGCCGATTGGTTTCAGATGAGCTCCTCGAAGATGTGTATTCTTCAATTCGTCATGAACAATTGTCGCAGGCTCGTTCGCAGGCGACTCCGGGTATCGCCATCACCTTCAAGCGTCCCCTCCCAACCCGACTGACTTATAAGATCCAGTCTGATCCTATCATTATCCGACTTCCTCAGCCCGATCCTTCGCTCACCCTTCAGCTCTTTGGACAAGATCTTGTCTTCGAACCTCCGGTCCTCAATTTCGCTAAATCTCCTGAAGCCTCTTTCCGAGTAACTGGGACTTCCCTGGGGTCGAAGTCGCTCGTGATATGCCGATCCGGTCCGAATGCGATCAAGTATGCAGGGATCCCACTCACCTACACCATCCCCGTCGAGCGTGCCTTCATGCGGAACACCTTCCAAATTGCCTTTTTGAACCACAAGAAGGTGAAGAGGAGGTACATGTTCAGCGTGGACGATCATCTCTTGCGGCATCAGTGGGCCCAATCCATCAGGCAGCAGATTGAGAAATCGTTGGCGACTTCTCCCCCTGGGTCCGAAAATCCCATCCCAGGAGCTTCGGACTTTATGCGTGCCGCGGACGAGGTGTCGTTCAAGGTTCTTCAGGAAACGTTGATTGGGCAGTCACCCGCGTCGTTACTTCAACATGGTCAGAATGGGCACGGCGCTTCCAGCCAACAACATCTGTCTGTCGAGAAGGATCTATCGTACAACAGTCCTTCCCATCGCCGTTCCAAGTCACGCAGCAAGCTATATCCTCGACAGGGTGCTGGCAGGTTCGAGTTTGACCTCAGTACCTCCCATCGATACAACACTTCTCAGGACAGCAATGAAACAACCGAGGCTGAGGGTCCCTTCGACCAGTATGGCAAAATTGAAGAGAAAACGTGGACCAGCCGCGAAATCGAGCTACAGTGCCAGCAAAACAGTCTGATCCCTGCTGTCCTCTCCTATCTGCAGTCGCAATCGGTGACCGGACCTTAATCTATTCTGCACGCACCTTTCTTGAGTTCACGTTCCTTAGGTGAGTCGTTCATTTATTTCATCTCCCTTTCGTTCGCTCAAAACTGACATTTCAGCCCAGCTCTTTAGACTTCTCATTCTTTGTGTGATTTCGTTTGAATAACCTTGTTTTGATTCATCTCCAATCGCTATCATATCTGCATATTCTCTTTGTGTTTCTCGTTTTTCTTTCACTCTCCCTCGCTAACATCGTATAACTCTCCCGTTTAAACTTGATCTCGTTGAACATCTGCTACTAAGGACCTCCATTCACAGTTGTGTAGTATTTTCGATAGTATCTAAAGGGTATTTGGTATGGCACTCACCGCACGTTTTAATCTTCCTGATCTCCTTGCTTCCTGTGCATGCTATTCCATCTCGTTACATCTGCGACTGGTGAGCAACTTCTCGATAGTGATGGTTGCGTGATGAGGCCGCGATGCCCTGCCGCAGCCTTTTCGGATGGTGGACAATGATACTCAGGGCGTTCTAAAATAGCTCTTTTCAAATGAAACAACCTTTTGGCCACAAAAGGGCACAGCTGCACGGCGGTAGTCCGCATCGGTCGCAGCTCTGGGCTTCAATGTGTATCAATGATACTCGTGGCATTACATACTGTCGTCGATGATGATAACGCTGAGCCCAAACACGGTGTCCTACCAAATCGATGGCGGACACATTCTGGCCTTGCGACAAAATCCCGGCCACTAGATGTGAAACGGCAAGATTCATTCATCAAGTATCTTCGCCGCATAAAGCAACGATATAATCCTTCGGGGGAATCAACGAGCCATGCTGCTGCATCGTGGCTAACCCCATGACCAGGAACGAGGCGCCTCTTTGTACGTAGCGTAATTGGCAAAGCAAAGTGTATGAAAGAGAAACATTAACGTGCGAGGTGGCGAGGGCGTGTCTGTCATGCGTATCAGAAGGTTCTGTAGAGTGGTTGCGTCACATGCTGCGTCGACTGAGGGTTGAGGGAAGCCTTTACGGCGCTGGCAGAAGGTATAAAGAAAAGACCCTAACTGTGCCCCCGCCCCCATCACACGACTCATCCCTGTATCCCTCTCCGGAGCCCCTGCGCATCTGTCGAGGAATCACATAGATTCATTGACTCTTCCCCAATTCGAGTTCGACATCGACGTCCCTTTGCTGTGCTGCGACTGCCGCTGAGCGGTATCCCTTCGACGGCGAAAGACCCTTGAATTCCCTTGAACGTCTGGACCATGCAAGCTGCCGGAACGCACCGTCACCATCGCCCCATGGGCACTCACCATCGCTCTCACTCGGGCCAATCGTACACAGGAGCGACGGCAGGGTCCATACGGAGAAAGGCCAGCGGAGGGAGAGGATACGAAGAGAGACCGGTGCACCCCCCAGGTCCATGGGAGCAGATGACGAACACATACTCGTGGGTTGTTGAACAAGAGATCCTCCATCGGCCCAAGGCGAGCCGCAAGCCAACAGAAGAATGGGTTCTCAAGCAGCAAATCTACTTCCCCGAAGAGGAGGACCTTTGTTCGAGACGGTACATGCCAAGCCGGTCGTCGAGCATGCGGAGGGAAGTCCCGCCGAGGAGGACATGGGAGGAGGTGGTGTATCGGTACGAGATAGACGCTGAAAGGTGGATGAGACACGAGGCTGAGGTTAGGCGGCTTGCCGAGGAAAGGCAGAGAGCGCAGGCAAGGATTCAAGAGGAGATCAGAAGAATAGATGAGAGGATCCAACAGCGGCGTGCTGCAGAGAAGAGGTTGATCGAGGAGTATAGAATGCAGGGCTGGGCCACCATGAGGGAGAGGGAAAGAAGAGAGCAGCGGAGGATGGAGAAGGTCGTGTTGGAGAGCTGGGAGAAGTACGAAGCTCGCTGGGCCGAGCTCGGGGCGTCGACAGAGCTGTTGTCGTTCAGGAACATTCCATGGCCTTTGATTTCGCCACCGAAGAGTATCGAAGATATTACGCCAGCCGCCATCCAGACATTCCTTCTGTCTCCTGCACATTCTCAGACCACGTCGTCGAAAGATAGGCTTCGGAGCGCACAATTGCGCTGGCATCCGGACAGGTTCCGCCGCCTACATAATCGCATCGAAGAGTCTGAGAAAGCAATGATTGAAGAGGGCGCTGGGGTTGTCGCGAGGTGTCTGAACGAGCTGATGGAGCGGGAGAAGAGCAAGCTATAGGAAGAACTTCTATGGTCGGCTTTGAATGATTGGACCGAGACAATTACTTGTAAAACTCCACCTCGACGACACTCGGATTATTCTTATGCACTGCAGGTAGACCTATATCCTTATGTCCTATGGTTTATGCGCCTATTTCTTTCATGTAGCCCATAGTCATATGTCGTTAGAATGAAATTTGGGAACAAAAGCTCTCACCTTGACAGTGTTTGCATCGTCCAAACCTTACTTGGAATTAAGCGCCCATGACCTATTTATGCTTATTTGTGCGATCAAATTTGCTGACGCATCAAGGTCGGGCCGAGCGCTGCTGGCTTGCTCAGCCAAAATATTCCAGAGTTTCTCGGAGTCCCTCCGTCTGCTTTTCGCCAACGACGCTCACGCACCTATCTTCGTTGCCAATGTTTGCTCGATTTACGCGTCTTCCTCTCAGGAGGTGCATTCACACTGCTTCTGGTTCTGCAAAAACCAGTCCTAGCCTTGGGCGCACCTCGAAAGTGATGCTAGGAGTTTCGGCTGCTGCGACGGCTTATGTGTCATGGAATTTGGCCTCGGACAGGAACAGAATCCATCTCGACAGCCCCAGCAAATCTTCAGGTGCGAAGTTCTACCTCTACAAATTGCTACAGATGCATGAACAGGATGTTTAGTTCCCAAACCATCCACTCCATCATCCACCTCTTCCCCGCAACAACCACCAGAAGTACCTCCTCCCGAGCCGACTACACCTTCTCCCTCATCTGCACCCAAGTCTGAGGCACCCTCAGCACCCTCTACAGAAGGCTCCGAGCCCGCTGAGCAGGGCTCATCTAGCAGCGGAGGTGGAGGAGGAGCGTACAACCCGGAGACAGGCGAGATCAACTGGGACTGCCCATGCCTAGGTGGCATGGCCCATGGCCCTTGTGGTGAACAATTCAAGGAGGCCTTCTCATGTTTCGTGTTCTCAGAGGAAGAGCCGAAGGGTATCAACTGCGTTGAAGCCTTCAAGAAGATGCAGGATTGCTTCAGGGAACATCCCGAACACTACGCTGACGGTACGTATCGCCCAATCCTCTACGCGCCGAACACTGGTTTACCATTCATTGGAATAGAAATTATGGACGATGACGACGACGATGCTGCTCCCCCTGTCAACGGTTCAGACGCTGGAGAAGATTCTGGAAAGGTCGGAGAGGCTGCACCAGCACCCGAAGTATCGACACCAACGCCTGCAGCCCAACACCAGACAGAGTCCACCTCATCACCCTCCCATTAACTTGCTAATGGGATAAAACCGCCTCTCCCTGAGGTCTTTGCAGATATACGCTAATACTAACTTAATACCTATCATTATCGCTGGGACTGTCGGTGCCGACCTCCTCTACCACCACTCAACGCGTTTGGTATCACACATAGATGTCATTTACACAGACTATATACACGTTATTAGACGCAAGATTACAATGAGATACATCACAACAGGTATTCAGCCAACGATAGCAAAAGCGAAAAAAAAAGAATAACAGTATCAGACATCGCGATAACGGACGCGAGTGCGTTAATAAATAGCGAGCCCTCAATCGCCCCTGTCCTTTCGGAACACCTTTTCAATGAGATTTCCTTCGAGTTTGTAACCGTTCGTGGCGAACAATTTGGAGGTGAGGAAAGGCTTGATGTCGAAGATATCGTGCTCCTTGGCCTGGTTACACCAATCAGCGAAACCATACATTGACCGAGGAGAAAGGAAGAAGTCTTCACCTTTTCTTCCAACTCTGCCAATTTGACAGTAACCCTTTCGGGCTGCTCCCGGCGCTGGAGCTGGTAGAATCTGACTTTGTCCTTAATCAGTCCGCCCAACAAGTACGCCAATAGTTCTTCGTGGTCCTTGGACTGCGTAAGGTACTTCCTGAAGCCCTACACACCACAACACAAAAGAGTTAGCCACTTTCCTTTCCCAGTGCCCACATAACCACCGAAATGACTTACCCTCTGCAAAGTTTTCTTGATGCTCATCTTCTGGGCATTGACGAAGCTTCCGATGGCAACCTCAATCGCCAAATCGATGTCATCCGCCCTCACATACTCCCTCAACGCCATCTTCGCACTAGCTTCAGCCATACGGATCATGCTCTCCAAGTGTCTGACGGTGATAGGGTATGACCCTGTGGCCAAGGACTCCCGTCTCAAATCCGCAAAGAGTCGAGAAAGCTTCTCTTGGTCGAGGTCGTACAACTTGGGTTTGATCCTCTCCCGGGCGTACATAATGTACTTCCGTAGGACGTCCTGAGGGATGATCTAATGCACTTTCGAGTGAGAATGCCAACTTCGATTACAAAGAGCCTACTCACGTCTTCGTCCAGTGAGGTAGCCACCTCCATTTCGTCCGTTTCCTTGTCAAATTTAGGATGGCTCCTCAAATGACTGCCAACCACGAAGCGCGCTAAAAGCTCATCCGTGACAGGATCCACATTATCCTTCACCACACAAAGCACATCGAAACGGGACAAAATGGGTTCGGTCAATTCGACATTTTGCGCAAAGGGGATGGTGGGGTTGTAGCGGCCTCGGATAGGGTTAGCCGCTGCGACGATGGCACAACGGGCTTGGAGAGTAGTCACGATGCCAGCCTTGGAGATGGAAATAGATTGTTGTTCCATGGCTTCGTGAATGGAGGTACGATCGGCGTCGTTCATCTTATCGAATTCGTCGATGAGGCAGGTTCCTTTATCGGCTAGTACCAATGCTCCTCCTTCCAACGTCCACTCTCGGGTCACTGGGTCCTTGCGCACACTGGCTGTGAGACCGACTGCGGAAGCTCCCTGGCCCGTCGCAAATACGGATCGGTGGGCGGTTTTCTCAACATATTTGAGAAATTGGGATTTGGCCGTACCAGGGTCACCGAGTAAAAGTACGTTGATGTCTCCACGGATACGGTGCTTATGGTTGATATCCTTGGGTACACCTCCGAACAAGGAGAGAGCGATGGCGGTCTTGATGTCCTCGTGGCCGTAGATAGAAGGAGCAATAGACTTGATAATTCGTTTCTTGATACGCTCGTCACGGGCCAACGCTCTCATAGCCTTCTCATCTTCCTCGGTCAACCTGAATGCCGCAAACAAGTCCTCCTTCTTGTTGATATGGTTGGCTTCGATAACCGTAGAGAAAACCGGGAAACCGTTCTTCGCGTTTAGGGAAGCATCGAAATTGTTTCGATAGATACCGGTCACTTCCTGAAGAAGATAAAAAGGTTAAGGGATGGATTTACGAGACTAGTCAAAAAAGGTAGCGTGACTCACCACTTCTTCTCCGGGTTTAGCACTGTCGATAAGATCCCAGAGAAGAATGACCTCGCGATGCCGAGGAAGGCGACCAGCTGGTACTGAGCCTGGCGACTCTTGAAGTGTCATCTTCTGGTAATTGCGGTACACGGTCTATCCGAAAGGGTCAGGTAAAGGAATAGCAATAAGATTATGTATAGGCATACCTGCTGAGAGTTGACTGGGAAGGGTCCCTTGCTTTCGCAATTCGCGCAGTAACTAATCTTGACCTCCTTGGTAGCATCCTGGTAGAAAGGTCCCAAAACGGCCTTGCACTTGGTACAGTCAAACTTGACATATTTGAGCTGTGGGAACACGCCAGTCCGTCTGGTGACCACGCCAGATACACGAACGAGTTTGTTGAGATCTGAACGCCTGAGATCACGCAGGGATGAGGAGAGGGGAAGATCGGAGATTCGAACATGGACTTCGGAGTGGATACGCTTGTAAGAAGGGTAGTAGACAAGGATTCGGTCGAGTGCAACTTCGTCGAAGATTTCAAGCATAGCGCTTGGGCAGTTGGTGAGGAAGTAAGCAAGAATGGCTTTCGAATCTGCAAGATGGGCGTAGGAGACCTCGAGTGATTCGGCGTTGGCTGTGAACTTTGTTAGGGCGCGTGCAGGACACGTCGCTGTCTGAACTCACTTTCACCGAGGTGTCTAATTCGTTGACCATAAACAGACGCGCCATTTTCGTCAACATAGGTCATGAGGAAGGTCCGGAAATGCTTGACAATCGATCGTCGAACACGCTCGTTGGCAATCCATTCGACAATAGATTTCGCTTTGATATCGCCCAGTTGTTCTAGAGGCAGTTCCTATCGGAGACGTCAGACATTATCTGGATACCCACAACGGGGTGAACATACATCTTCAATGCCTTCCATATCATCCTGGTCCCTCCTTTCATCGTAATGTCGTCGCGTCCTGGCCTTGAATTGAGACAATCCCAGTTCATCATCAACGTCTCCGTCGTCGTCCATGTCATCACTTCCAAGGAAAGTTGGAGCTTTGGTACGTATAAATGCTCGACTGCCCTTCTTTCCAGCGCGTTCCAGTCTGTCGCGACGCGCCATTTGGGCTTCAGCAGCTCGACGCTGGGCAGCAGACAATTCCGCCGCATCCCCGTCATCGTCAATGTCAGCGTCCGAATATCGATCCAAGAGTTCGTTTGGGGCATAATCACTGAAAAAAATGGAATGTGTCAGGAGCTATGAATGCTGAGAAAAAATGTTATCGCTGACGCTTCGAGATTTTCAAAAAGGTCCTCGCCGTCTTCCTCCTCATCCTCGCCTTCAGCGTCTAAAAGGCCATCTCTGTCATCGATTCCGCTCTCGTCAGTGTCTGAGAAAGGCGGTGGAGGAGATGAAGGAGGCAAGTCTGAGGATTGGGATGCGCGTCTTGTAAGAGAAGGTGTAGGAGCGGGCGGTGATGAGTTCAAGCCATTCGGCGAGGCTGACCGCTGTCGCTTGGGTCGTCGAGGTGTTTGATTGGACTTGAATCGCTAGAGTTCAATATTATAGTCGCGAAAACTAGGCAATTAACTGACCATTTGGGAGGTAGAAAGTCGTGGCTAATGATAAAGCGCGACGCGTTGCGGACTTTGAAACCGTGCTTCATGGCACATATTTGCTTCTGTTTTGGTCTCCTCGAATTTATCTCAATTTTCGTTGAATTTTTGGTGTATTTACTCTATACGATGTATAGTCGTTACAGGTGTGTTTGAAGGTACAGTCTCATTGCTTTACCTCGCCGAATTCGGCAGCCAGGCGCTCGAGGTCCAGTGGTGGCGGGTAGCCTTCCACCGGTTTCCTGTTCCAGGCCCTTCAGTAAAAGGGATTCAAGAATAGATACGACCTGAACTGACTCTCGAATGTCCCAAACGTCTTCACTCGACTTGTTCAGCCGTCTGTGAGCCCACCACTCAGCTCTGCGCTTTATCCACGCTTCTCGCTGTTCCTCGGGATGCAGAGCCTTCAAGGACAAGCAAAACTTGAAATCATCTGCCTTCTCTGAACACTGAGGTCGTCCTCCATAGCGGTAAATGGCCTTAACCTGTGATCTCAGAGCTCAATGAACAAACCAAAGCCAATTTAGATACGCTTTTGACTGAAAGCATTTGCTGAGAAGGTGCAACTCACCATTACACCCGGTCCACAACTCGAACAACGACAGACATCCCGGTATATCGTCCGCAGTCGGGTACACTTCTCGCAAGCGCTCTTCTTCCTGTTTGACGACCGTTTTGAAATCGAGTTGGGTCATGGTCGGAGACGAGGAGCAAGGTGTTGTGTCACGCGCCCCTTGGACGCGACGTCGACGTTTGGCATCACGCAACCTCGGCAACGGTGCCTGCCAGCGCCTCTCATGCTGTCTTTCTGGAATTCATGTGTATCGCTCAAAGTTACTCTACAAATCGGCAGCCGGGGCCCGTATAGGTCCCTTGAACTTGTACCACCATGGGCTTTACCTTCCGCAAGCAGCCCTTGAAAGGACTATACCTCGTGTATCAGCTTCTGACTACTCTGTTCGTCCGGTATCCACTTTGGGTTCTATTCTATACTCCACCGTAGGTTTTATTATGCCTTCCATGCTCAACAGCCTAACAAGTCCCTAGTCCGCTGCGTCCGAGGGCCTCATGGAGCCACAAGAAAGCCGTCTGGGTCAAGTTCATTCGACATATGGGCTACATTGGAAGCCAGTACGTCCCACCTGCAAATCTCTCCGGGTACCCCGTTAACCATCTCGGCAGGACAGGGCCCTTTGTCAAAACCCCGAATCATACCGCTATCACCCCCGGCAAAGGAGTGAACGGCGTATGGATCGAAGGCGCAGGTCACCTCCTCACAGGTGAAATTAAATCTCTCGCCGATTTCGCCAAGGTCGTGCCCTGTCGTATACCCGGCTACTGGATCCATAAGAAAGACTCTCCAATTGAGGTCGCCAGTCCTCCCCAGCCCGGAGAGAAAGTAATCCTAAACTTGCACGGAGGCGCGTATGTCCGGCTTTCCGCCCACCCAAACGATCCAACCGCCAACATTCCCTTCGGACTCCTCCAGCATGCTGACGACTCTGTCCAACGCGTACTCTCAGTCGAATACAGACTCTCGTCAGGCGAGCCGTTCATAGTCGCCAACCCTTTCCCCTCAGCGTTGATCGACGCTCTGGCGGGGTACAACTACCTGGTCAACACCATCGGCTTCTCCCCTGCTAGCATCATCATAACCGGAGACTCGGCAGGTGGAAACCTCGCACACGCTCTCACTCGCTATCTCGTAGAGCACCAGAATCAAGTAGCTGAAGGCTCGGACGCCCGGATCCCCGCTCCACCAGGGGGACTCGTCCTCCTCTCCCCTTGGGTCGATTTAAGCGACAGTCACGATTCCCTCCCCGAGGCCTCCTCCGAGACTTGCCTCTCCACCGACTACATTGATGTGCGCCAAACGAACCAGGCACCTGGAGTCAAGGGCGGGATCGCATACGCTAAATCCGCATTCGAGGGACCGCACGGGAGCACGATTGCCAACTCTAACCCCTACGTCTCGCCCGCCTCTCGACACCCTTCGTTCAAGGGCGTCTCTTTCAAAGGGTTCCCGAGGACATTTATCGTGGGTGGAGGAGCTGAAGTGCTCATTGATCAGATTCGGACCTTCAAGAAAAGGATGGTGGAGGACCTGGGTGAAGGGGATGGAGTTGGTGAGGAAGACGGGAAGGTGAGGTACCACGAAGCGCCGGATGGAATTCACGATTATCTGGCGTTTCCGTGGCATGAACCGGAGAGGACGGATACGATTAAAGAGATAGTCAAATGGATCCAGGCTGCATAGCTCGACAGTCCCCATTGTAAGTAGCAGCGCTGTATAACCGATAATCGAATGGCCCTTTCGCCTGCCTTCGTCACCTCCTCGTTTATCGGGCATTGACTGCAATCCTCTCACAAACCCATAGCCATGCATTAAACCCGGAAATTGACCGAGCCGTCAGGTTGAAGCCAATCATAACCTGAAGCAGCAAGTTTAGCCTCTCCACCGGCACTTCTTCAGCTTCCTTGGTAGCGATCGCCGTAAAGACACGACCTCACCGTAGCCGTACGCCTCTACACCACGCACACACCGACTAAAGAAACACCGCCATCTTAACCCAAAGGTAACCTCTACTTTCATGATTCATGTTCCGCCCTTCTTGCTTCAATATCTCAACGAAGCTTGGAAACCGGGATCCCACGTCCACTGCACAATTTACTACATCGTATGGCACCTACCAACTCCGATTCCACCGTCCTACCTTGTCCCAACTCAAAATTCAAACAGCGCGAAAGTATCATTCATTCCTTTGACTCCGGCATTGAGAAGTACATAAAGATATTGTAGATTAGGCTACTAGTATACACGTACCCGATAACGCGAACGCGTCGCAACGGGGTCACCGGGCCTAATGAGTTTAAGTCTGAGTTTGAGCGACTGAGTCGGTAGTAGTCCAGACAAAGTGCAGTCGATATCACCTGAAGAGTCTGACTGATTTGATAACTAGGCCTTTCCGCCTTGTCTTCACCGTGTCAGTGCACTCACGCGAGCGGTGATCAGGCGAGAAAAATGACATTAGGAAGGTGGCTGATACTATACACACATTTAATGGATTAGTACAAAATAAGCAAACGGAAACCTTTGGACAGTGGAAAGTACTAGACAGCAAAGATACAAACGGAGTCGGACGGGAGACAGAGCGAGGAGAGGGATAGAAAATGAACGAATGAAAGCAAGGACGATAGCGACAACAAGGACAAGTCACAACACGAAAGATCAAGACAATGAAAGCGAACGGAATAACAAAATGTCCGAGATAAATGACGGAGACGAGAAAGATGAGAGCAATTATGAAACGAGAGTGGGAGCATGGGAGACCAGGAAGACAAAAAAAATAGTACAGGAACAACCACGACAACACTTGGGGGTGGCCCAACACCTTACCCACGCACCTCCATTTGCCTCTTCTTCAAGCCCTTCCTCGTGAACAACCCTCCACCTCTCCCCTCAGACTCGCTGTTACTCGACATGGGCGACGCGAGCAGCGTTCCATTTCCATTCCCCGACCCATTCCCATGCAACCTCCCATTACTCTCTCCATGATGCTCAGCGCCTCCGCGATTATGATGATGGCGATGATGCACCCCAGGTACGAACAGTGCCCCTCGGTTAAACGAACTCCTCTCTTTCCTTCGAATATGCGTAGGCGCTGGAAATGGCTCGGGAAGACCTTGGTTGGGCCCGTAGGAATAGAAAATCTTGGGTCGCCATGACTCCCGTTCGTCCATGATGCACGAGTTCTTGAATTTCTCGACGAGCGCCTCCTTGCCTCTGTTGAAACGTGCTGAAAGTTAGATCCTCATATCTCCAAGAATGAGGCGCATGGTACGTACTGATAGTTTGCGTAGCTCATCTGAAGAACTTTCTCACTCGAGAACATATTCCTGAGAACCAAAGAGTAAGCGATCAACTTCCCGCCGGAGTAAACATACAAATTCGGAAATACACATACCATTTCTCGCCCAGTCTTGCTTTCGCAAACTTTAGCAAGTCCTCGACGGTGATGAAATTGACAAAGGCATAGCCGACGTTGCAACCTGCATAAACCGAGGCAAATAACGTCATCAGCTCACAGAATGGCGACAAAAACGACTGGCACGCACCGTTCTGGAAATCCATCCTGAGATACAAAAAGTCGATCCTCCGGGGTACCACTTTGGCGATATACGCGATCAGATCCTTGTCGCTCATTTTGTTGGGGATGTTCTTGATCATGACCGTAGTCCTTGTATCCTGGCCCTCTTCAATCTTCTGGATATTCAGTTGGTTCTTCGTAGCGTTTTCGCACTGCGCAGCCGCAGAGACCGAGCCGGGCGGGTAGATCTGGAGTCCGTTGACAACTTGGATGGAACTGGCAGTAAGACCTGGTGGAGCGGCCGGCCCTGGTTGAGCTGATTGAAGGCTGAGTTGGGACAAGGCGTCAGTGAGGAGGGTGGGGGAGGTGGAGCTGTGGGTGCTGGGAGCGTAGACGTCGTGCGTTGGAGGACTGGCCGGTGGGGATTGGAAATGTGCGATGTAATGAGTACCAGGAGGGGCGGCTCCATTCTCCGTTTGATGTGGGATGGCATACATGGGAGGTGGGATGACTCGGGATTCGTCCGGAACCCAGAATTGGGGAGGAGTGAAGGGAAGCATTGGTGAATGTGGATGGGGTGGCGCCATGGCTCGGTTGGTGATCATATTGGGTTCCACTTGCCACTGGTAATTATAAACCTGTTGGTACGCATAGTCCACCGGAGACTGAGCAACAGGCGGCGGGGACATCATTATGTGAGGCATCATTGGGGGCGGCGAAGCAATCGGAGGACCGCAGTTGGCAAGAGTTGGAGGAGTTGGAGGCATGGGGTAGGCGAGCTGGCCGACGATGTGACGACGAGAAGGACAGTAGTTGCAGTTCTGATCCGGTGTAGCACACGACGAGACTTGCTGCTTCATCTCGTTCTCCCATTGCGGGGCCTGGTGAGGATCGTAGGGGTTGCAGGGCAGAGGATTTGGAAACTGGCAACCGTTTTGACGGGACGAGTAGATAGTCTCCGGGGAGTTTTCCACGGGCTCCGCGAGTTGACGGCCGTGGACTGCAAGCTTCATCCCGAAGGCTACTTGGTTGTGGAGGTCCCTGTAAGCGTTGTCCGCTGCTATTACGTCGTAAAAAGAGACGTGGAAGGTCTTCTGCACGACCCATGTCAGGCAAGGATATTAACGAACGGTGAAAAGCGAAATACCTTGTTTTCGAGCTCGTCGCGGATAAACGTGAAGGACGCAAGGTCCCCGACGGCCGCGAGCAGGCCTTTGAGAGTGCGGACGTTGATGGTCGCCGAGCCGTTAGGCAAGGACTGTGGATGGACGGTTGAGGCAGTCAGATAAAATGCGCCGTCGGTGAGTTCACTGTAGATGGAATAGCCGAGTTTCTAAAAGTCGTTAGGACAGTGCATTCGTAAAAGGAGCGTAATGTAGAATACACACCTGGGTCAGGGCATCGGGGGTGATGTATTGGCAAGTCAAATTAGACTCTGAGCAATCGCCGAGAGATTCCATGGCTGAAAAAGTGTTAAACGCCATTCGAGCATGGCGGATATCAGTAAAGACAACGAAAACGTCTCCGTCAGAGGAGAGCAGTCTGGTGTCCACAAGATCAAGGTTTTTATGATGAGTTAAGGCATCGGGCAGAGCGTTCAAGACCGATGCTTTAACCGCGTCTTTGGATGCCTCTGCCTTTAAGTTGCCTAGCTGCAGGGGGGGGGGGGGTCTCATTAACGGATGCTCACGAGAGAGATGGACTAGACGGACCACGATGATTCTCGTAGATTCTGTGTCCGGGTCGCTGAAAAAGTCGGAGTCGACTGCATCAGGAGACGATTCGACACTGCCCGTTGTGTTGATACTCGACGAGGGTGTGAGGGGAGGGGTGATATAGGAAGCCCTGTCCTTTTTTGCCCTGCGACCGCGGGAATAATCTGGGAGGGTTGTGAAATTGTTTGGAGGATGGCGTTTGTGACTGCAGAGGAAGGCTGAGGAGACATTCTTTGTAGACAGGAGGGAATAAAGTGAGGAGTGAATGAGAGGGCGGACTTGATATTTGGGAGAGAAGTGTGGTGTGGCAGGGAGTGAGGGGCGGATGTTGGGCGGAGCATTCTCTGTGGACGCGACGCGTTATGTGGCAGAAGACAAGTCTTTTAAGAAGGTTCTGCTTTGACGTAAATCCCACTCGGCGACCAAAAGAACTCCGAGCTCAAGATCCATCGCAACTCCAGCAAAAACCCTCCTTTGCCAGATCCATGTTTTCCCGAATCATCCCAGCCAATACCCTATCCCTGGGTCGGCACCGGCCATGTCAAGATTCACGATCCACTTTTTCGTTTTTTTCGCTCGAGTCAGAGCGGAAATGAATCTTTTCCAGAGCCATGAACCTGCGATTGGGGGCAGCAGCAGAGAGCCCAAAAGACACCGAACCAAACTTAGCGGACGCCCGGACGCAACGGTCCGCAATCAGCGCGCATCACGTGCACAATTTTACCGCCAAGTCCAGCTGAGCTCTTCGCCCGACGCCGTCACCACCATTGCCAACGACTGTCGACGACCCAAAACATCAGCCAAGATGCCGCTCTACCAGATGTTCTGTATCACAAAACACTACCCTGAATATGTACGTTCATCCGTCCCCGTCGCTGCTTCTTTCAGAGCTCACCACCTCGCAAACTAGAAACATATCCGGGAACTTATTCGTCAGTCTGCAACCCATGTCATGAAGGCGGGTGGCGTCGTTCGAAAGATCGAGTCTTCGGGAACACGCACGCTCCCACAGAGAATGAAGCGACAAGGGCCATATGTCGACATTGGAGAGTGCGTCTATACTTTGTCCTTCCATTCAGAGCCACACCTGAACCGTTGCCAACCAACAACAGCTACTGGTCACTTTACTTTGACACGAACCCTCGGACACTACGCTCTCTGAACGGAATTATGCGACGCGACCCCCGTGTTCTTCGATGGACAGTTCTCAAACTCGCCGACAAGGTCGAAGACATTGCAAAACAGGGCGAGCAGTTGGCTTCCGGGAGAGGTCCTCTCAATTAATCTATTCCTCTGGCCTTTCGGGATACGATCATTCTGCTCTACTCGGTCCTTGGTCTGTCACTGGTCACACATCACTTGCTATCTCTGCCTTGTACACATAATACTGCCCCTCTCATTTTCGCCTGTAGATCTTAGAACAGCCATGATATAATGCCAATTAATTCCGCATCATGCTGTGTTCAATTGTGCGAGAGTGTCTCCGAGACACGATACTACCTCTACGTCCGAGAGATCCTCATTGACTTCCTTGTGTTCATGCTCCCCAAGCGTACCCGGTCTGCGCAATAGTAGCGCTTTCCATCCCGCGTTCGATGCGCCATAATAATCACTAACACGACTGTGTTAGCTCTTACAAGAGCACCGCAATAATAAGTTACACGTACGCTTCTAATTCGTCTCCAACATGGAGACATTCCTCTGGAGCCAAGTTGAACGCCTCTCGAGCAAGGTCGTAGATCCTAGGGTCAGGTTTTTCAATCTTGCATTCTTCACTTAGAAGGAATGGTTGCAAGTCTGCCATTGGAAACTCCAAATCTTCCAGAACCTGGCCTAAGAGAGTAAGGGTAGCGAGTCAGCAACTGTATTGGCTCGAAGATACTTGGCTCTGGAAACTTTCGGTGGCGCTGCGCCAGCCCGCGAGCTCCAGGAAAGAAGGTCGAGTGAGTCCGCGAAGGACGTGGTGGACTCTGAAAGGTCTATTGCACCGGAATGTTGGGACTTACGGAACCTTGAATCTCCATTGCTCACAATGGCAGTCTTAACCCCTGCCTCGTGAAGTTTTTGAACTGAGAAAATTGTAAAGTTTAATGGATAGTTGGTGAGGCATGGACATGTCAACCAAAAAGATCACGGAAATGGAATTGAATCTGTGGGTACGTACGGGTGGGGATCGCGTCCTCAAACGCTTTGTACCCTTCTCGAGAGCTAAATCGTGTAAGGAGGCGGTGTGTGATAGTTTCGATGTCAGATTCCACCACTGCATTAGGGTAGATGAGATTTCCGATAATGTTTACGGTTGTGTCCAAGGTCTCTAAGGAAGGGTGGACATACCCTTCGGATCCGCACCAGCTCCCAGAGCTGTACGCCTGATCACTTCAGTCCACCAAGGAACATGTCCCTGCACGTAAGCAGGGAAATCTTTCTGTACAGATTTTAGGGCTACGAGAGTCAGAAGGACCTAACTCGATGGGAGGAGAACAATGACGCACCGACTTTGAACGACCTCTTCACATCGTCTGGTCGTAAACTCCCTAGTCGATAGGCCTTGAATACTTCGGCATATTGGACGTGAATTGGCTGTCTCGGCGTGATAAGTGTGTGTAGAACGTCAAAGCAAGCCAGCTTAATGCGAGTCATGGTTCGTCCAATGAATGCGAACCTCTCCAGTCCTTGGCAGGCTCGAGGGAGTACTCCGAGCTGCCCGTCGATCAAATCACGGAATCAAATTCCCGCTCTATCCCATTTCGGTCGTCTTCCGGGGTTGGACTCGGACCACCACCTCAACGGCGACGAGCTGCAGCGCTATAGGCTCGGCCGGTGCCTCCTTGTACGACTACAATGGCGCCTGTATGGACTAGACTTGCAACTGCGTTGCTGCTTATACCCTTTGCTCTATGCGAGCCGATACCACGATCGCGTCTCCCGACACCGGAACCACTGGATCCCTGCGCAGCGATAGCAGGTCAGAAATGGGTCTTGCCTAGTGAAGCAAGAGCATGTATCCGCTCGTTCCCATTGTCTCCCGAGGTTAAAGCAAACGTACGCACCCATACCCGCGCAACTCCCTATAGACGTCGGAATGACTCTGTCCGCATAGGTGATAGAAGTGGTCAACAAGACCCTTGCATTCCACACCTCGGTGAACTACCAAGTCCAGGCTCCTCCACCATACCACAATGACGTGCACGAGGACTTGCATGGAGACCTGGACAGGATATCCCAGACTGAGTACGACTCGGAGTTTGACTTTCACTTGGACGTGTATAGAGCGTTTAAACGTGTTAACGATGGGCATTGTGGGGTCTACAATCGGTGCTTTGACTGTGAGTATTCGATGGGACTCTTTCCCAGTTGTGAGCCAGAGACCTAATGAATGCGGGACAGCTTTATACGTGACATACCTTCCCCTCCCCCTGTCTCTGTTGACAGAAGAAGACGGGAGACAGAATGTCTATATCTCACCCGAAGCGTTCGCCCTCGCTTCCGCCGAGTTCAAGGATTCGATCGAGTTTTGGCAGGATTCTCTCCCTGGAGAGTTGAAAGGGAAACTGGACTCAGTGTGTTAATCCATGTTTTTTTCATAACCTTCTCGTTGTAACGGTCGCCACTCAGCTCTCGGGAGCCAAAGTCCTAGAAATCAATGGTGAAGATCCATTCGCAGCCGTGAACAAGAACGCGGATGTTACTGGAGGATACCAGGCCTTTGCGACTCGTCAGAACTCGTACGCCTTTCTCCGTGCCCATTCGTGGTCAATCTCCTAATTGACCTCAAGGTTCTTCTCGAGCTACCGCCGCGGTGCTGGAGGATGGGAATACAACTTGGGCAACTTTGCGACTCACGTCCATCCTCTTGTGGACTCCGTTGAACTTACGGTCGTACTTACTAACCAACCCGACACTAACAACATCACTTTCTCCGTGCGTCCCTTCCTCTTTTGTTCTTGACACTAGTATTGACATACCCGCCAGATCCCTTACCGTTCTCGATTCGGTTCGGCCTCCAAGAACTTTACCGACTCTGCCTCTCTACGCGCCAACAACTGCGTGGCCACCAAGTCTACCAACGGTATCGACCTGTATGGGCCTACATCCCCAGACCCCGAATCCGCTCTCCTCTCCACGTTCGAAGAATCGTCGCTAGCCACATTCCAGCAGCAACCAGCTCTGGCACCATCGGATCGTCTCGAAAGGCACCCTCTGAACGTCATCCTTGATGGGCTACCACTGACGGATATCGAGCTTCCGGAGGTGCTGCAGCCTGGATTGACACCCTTGAATGAGAGCTATAGTGTTGCCGAATTCTTCATGCTGGAAGACGAAGATGTGAAGACGGGTGTGTTGGCGCTCGGAAGTTTCTCAGCCAAGAACTTTACGAGGTTTGGAGAGAGTTTGTTGGAAGGGATGCTAGCGCTTAAGGCGAAGGGAGCTGAGAGGTTAATCGTCGATGTGGTATGCGATATCGTATTCTCGTGTTGAGTAACAGCGACTGACTTTCGCCTTTTGGAGACCAATAACGAGGGTGGATATATTTGCATTGCTCACGTAGGTCCCCTCTAAGCTCCCAACCGAAATACCCCGCCTGACTCATCCAAGTGGCTACACCGCTTGATCATAGGTCCCAAACGAAGCACCGTGCCCCAGGCAGGATTGGACACAACCCTCCGCGTCGGCCCCCTCGCCCAACTCATAGCCGACAAGATCGACAACGGAAGCGACCCTGCCGGTCTCCTCTACTACAACTCTGCCCAATGGAACAACGAGACGCACCAGCCCTTCCCCACTGACGCAGACACCAGTTGGCTGAACCCGCATAAATTGGAGATTAATGGGAGGGAGGACGCGTTCAGTCAGAGGTGAGTTATGTCGTGACCGTTTTTTGAATTGATTTAATTTGATGTACGTAGGCTTGGACAAGAGTGCCAACCCTTCAGATGGGAAGCACCTCCCGAGGGATTGTTCGAACCAGAGAATATAGTCATCATCTCCAACGGCCGGTACGCCAAAACTGTTTGGATTCCTAGGCCTCACTAATTACGCCACGACAGGTGCGCGAGCTCCTGCTCCCTCTTCAGTGTAAGTCACACTCACCGGCTGCGCCCCTGCCCGAAGCCCTACCCGCGCGCCTTACCTCTTCTCTTGTTTCGGGTTCTAATATATCATTTTCACCAAATTAGATCACGATGTCTAAAGAAGAAGGCGTGCGTACGGTTGTCGTCGGTGGTAAAGCCGATGTCCAGCAACACTATTGCGGGATCGTCGGTGGCCAGTCAACCGATTTCTCCACCATTGACACGGAAATAAAGGTCCGTCATTCGATTCCCTGTCTGCAAAATCTTCTCTCGGGGTTCTGTCTACATGGCTCAATCTCTTCTGCATGCCACTTCCGGGACCCATTGTCGGGCCCATGTTTCGTCCTCACCCTCGCCACATCGTCATCCGTCGAAGAGCTAATTGAATCCCATTTGCAGTCGACGAAACTAAAAGATCATCCACTGGCACCTCCCGATTTGTGAGTCCCTGCTCATACTGCTTTTTAATGATCAACAACCGGACAGATTGAAACGTGCTCGCGTTCAACAGCTTGACGAATAGCATCCAAGGTATTACATGGAGGCTCGGCTATGGAATCGATGATCCCACCGAACCTGAAGGTCAGTAATACAGCGCTTGATCATTCAACGAACTGATTTATTGGGGTTGTTCCCTTTCATCAGAGTGGCAAGATCATTCCGCGACGATTAACTTCCCTGTTACAAAGGATACGTGAGTCTCCATCATCTCCCTGTTCATCGCGTCGAGGAGATAGATATTAAGACGTCATACCACCAGCGTGAACCGCCCCCATGCAATTTGGAAGGCGATTGCCCGAACCGTGCTCAATGACAACCATGCGAAGGCTCTAGTCCCCAGTCCTGCTCCCCAATTCATAGCACAGCAACCACTCGATTACAACATCTAATACTACTCAGATACATTTATATCCTCGGAAACGAGGAGCGTTTACATCACCCAACAATCTACTTGACGCTTTTAACCACCCGACTCTAAAGACACTCCTTTTTTTCAAAAAGGCAGGTCGCCTTTCCGCTTCCTCACTCCTGATCGGACTCTTCAACGTCACCGAACTCGAACATGCCAGCGCGGCTTCTCTTCGCGGTAAGCACGGAGTCTTGCAACTTTTTGAGGACCTGAGGATACGACGTGAGGTACCTACAACCCTTTCGATCAATAGAGGCCAATCCTTCGGCCACGAGATCAGCGTTGATGCACGCGCTGGGGTCGTCGGCGGCAGCAGGGTCGGATGGGTCGATCAAACGGAGATGCAAGGTAGAACCCTCTTTGTGGTCGACGTTGGCAATCAGTTTTCGGCCTTCACACAACGACCGGAATCGTTCGACAGCTTCTGTGTAGTAATCGCTGTCGTGTTTGGGAAGCTTTACGAAACTAAGGAAAAGAAAAGAAATTTAGAAAAAAAGATAGCTTTGTAGAAAGGGTCGGATGCTTACCTGAGGCGCGCGTCGTGTGCTTGCCCAGGGAGAGAGCGGAACTTGGGATCGAGGGGGCGGATGTTGGAGAAGCTCACGGTATCTTGGTTACCATAGTCGATGAAAGTGACTTCTGCCTCTTTCTTGATGGGTGACGCCCGACGAATCTTCGCGCGGTACCAGGCACCGTCGGAGAACTTGGCTGACACCAGATCACCATTCTTGGGCGTGAATCCAGGTGGACTGGCGATGGGAGAACGGTGATGGAGCGAGAAGTCGCGCATGAGTTTCTCCAAGGATGCGATACCTTTGATACAGCTGGTCAGATCGATGCTGGAGAAACGGTCACGCAGCACCCACCCTCAGTGTTGAGAATTTGCACGGAGAACCCAAAGTTGTTTCGCGTGCGCACGTCGCTGATAATGATATCGATGTATTCAGTCTTGAGAGGGCCGGTATTGTCCTGTTCTTCAGTGGCTTCGGGAGCGGCTTCTGCCTCTGCGTCATAGTCAGCCCAGATCTGGAAAAAGTGGGGTAAGTCGACCGCTTCAGATTCTCAATAGGCGTTCTACTAACATTACGCCTAGCTTTCTTTGCTTCCTCCTACAAGTCCAGAATTAGCGCTAAAAGGTGTGATTGAGTGAGATCCACAATACCTCGGCATCGAACAGCTGCTTTGCCCAAGGTAGAGCCTCAGCCGAGTAGGCATGGACGGTCGCCAAACCCTCCTTGACAAGCGTAACGGCAGCGTTCTCGTTCTTGTTGAAATACAAGGCGCCGATAAAGCCACCAGATTTATCGGCGGTTTCAATCTCAATCTCTACATCTCGCTGCATGTAGCGCCGAGTCGAGAACTCCATGGCCTCATTGCCATAAGGCTCACCCTTTTCCGAAGGGTTGCGAGACGAACGGGGAGCACGGATACCTGAATGAGCGGTAGCGTAAGGTGTGTGAAGAGACGGTGGTATTTTGGCAATACTTACCTCCCAGGACCAGGGTAAGATTCTGGTTATCTTTGGGCAAGAGGATTCTAAACAATCACCGTCAGAGGTTTGCATCGATTAAAAAATAATGGCAAGTCCTCACTTGAATCTTGACCCTGCAGCAACGTAATCGACGATGGCAGGAATGCGACCCGATCGCTTGAAGTTGTTCAAGAATTGGGTAGCTCGTGACGCAGACTATGTATTTCGATCAATCTTCTGCAGTGACAAGGACATGAAGTGGAGAAAGCACCGACTTCCGAGATGTTCAAAGGTGGTCTGGGTGCAGGAAGATCCTTGCCTGAATGGATACCCCGCTGTTCGGCTGCAGCCCTGAGAGCGCGACGAGTCAGACCCTAGCAGTGCATCATTTGAGAGCGGACTTACGCTTGTTCTGCAGCGATGAGTTTGTCGTAGTCTGGTGAACGATTTTCATCATCCCGCCTGTGGCGTACAGCGCTGGCGAGACCCTTCTCAATGATTTGCTCCGCGATATTCCTAACCGAATATCCTTAGCGAACGGAGAATAGGGACAAATGATCATGACTTACGCGCCCTGGTTACCGTAGCGGATTGTGGCACACTCTCGCTCCTCAAAGTCGCCTTCGGGAGGACGAACAAAGTCGATGTGGACCTTGACATGTTTGCCGATGAGTTTCTTTCGCAAGAACTCTCTGGCGTCGTGGGCATAGGCTGCCTGTCTGGGATCCGACAATCTACACCTCTGATCAGCACTGCCGGAGACGAGACACCGGAGAGACTTACTTTGGGCCTCGTACAGAACTGAGCTGCAGTCGACGTTCCTTGCCAGTTTCCTTCTCAAGAACAGACACCTGGTCACCCGACCAAACTCTGACGACCGTGCCGTCAAACTCTCGCGAGAGGCCATTAGAGACAGCCCCTGGCTTGCTTGCAGTTTGAGCCGGGGTTGGCCCAGCAGAGGCGTAGAGAGCAAGTTTCTTCTCTTTGGCCACCTTTTCAGCAGCACGGAGGCGCTCCATGCCTCCACTGGCAGCGAGCATACCGGCATGCCAATCGACGACACGTGCAAGCCCAGAGGCGACCAAGTGCTCAGCAATGTTACCAGCGGGGTGGAGAACTGATGACAGCGTCAAGATCTACGGGAGACGGAGGTGCGAGGTCTGTTTTCATACCGTTTCCAATAAAGACGCTTGCTGATGTGTTGGCGGTGATATTGGCGGATTGTTGGAAAGGCGTAGGAGCAGCGTTGGGCAAGGAAAGGATTTGAACTTTGACAGGTCGTTGCAGGAGACGAGATTCTGTGAAGTAACGGGCCTGGTAGCACATTCGTCAGAAGCATCGAGAGAAGCGTGGATCAGGACAGACCTCTTCTGAGAATGGCTCAGAAGCCTCTCCTGGTTTGCTTGCGGTACGTCCACTCTTGACTCCGGCCAATGCGATGTTAACCATTTGGTGGTCACCGTCGGGGAGGAGCAGGCGGATGCGAAGAGTGCTTCCATCTCGGACTTGTTCAACAATACCTACAATGAGATTAAGTATAGGTAGAAGGGAGAAGAGATCGATACGCTACTTACCGTCAATGGATTTGCCTTTCCATTCAGCGACGAAAGCAGGGGAATCTGTGGGCATCATGTGGTGGACATTCCTGGCCTGTGAACGGTTAGACGCGCTCAATTCTTGAAGTGACACTGTCGACTTACTTGCTGGCCATGGGGGTTCCAGATACCGCGTCCGGCAGCCTTAGCTTCAGTCTCTATCTCCCGTTTCTTCAGGTCCTCTTCGGAGGGCTCGCGCTTGATCTCCTTCAACTTGGCCCAGCCAGCACGGAGCAGTTCGGTGGTCAAGTCCTGGCCATTGATCTCTCCACTTCCAAGGTCCCTCGGGACATCGTCGGTGGATGAGGAAAGCGAGTGGATAGTTGTGAAGGTGATTTCTTTGCCAACCGCGAGTTGTCGGAGGAATTCACGGGCCTCAAAAGCCCATGGCTACCACGTTCTTCGATGAGAATCATTGACGAAGTTAACGAAAGGGTAAAGAGCAGGTACCTCGTCTTCCCTGGTCGAAGTCCCTAGCCTAGGAGCTTGGAGATCGGCAAGATGGAGCACTCTGGGGTGAAGACCGTTAACAAACAGTTTCCGTTTCGAGTCGTGTGATGTACCTTTCTTTGGGAGGTTGACCTTGAGGACCTGGGCGTCCACGCAGCACAAGACTATCACCGGAGATCACAGCTAGTTCAAGGATTCAATCTCGAGTTCACAATAAATGTACAATCCGGAAGAAAATACATTTGACAATCTAGTAGCACCAGATCGTCATCAGTTATCAGGCGACCTCAATTCAAGTCCAACAGAATACATACAGCTTTCATGGCCATTTTGGTTAGCAACTGAAATAAGAACGGAACGGTTTGGGGAAAGAGATGAGATCTATTTCGAGCTCAATATTGCCAGCAACCACTTCGCGGTAACGCTAACGTATCCAGCCACGCGATCGCTGCCAGGCGACACGTGATGCAACGCGCTACCCCGGACCTGCCCCCTCGCCTTAGGGGCCGACGGTAAGTAAACTGATAGTTCAGAAGGAAAGGCGAGTCGTAGACGTAGAGATAGAGTACGACTAATACATGAGAGGCCCAGCAGAAAATGTTCGAAGATAAGCAACAGATAATAGATACAATACACCGGCAGATGAAAAACGAGGTGTCATGAGCGAGCTTGTTTCGAAAGCAAGTTGACGAATTTTCGGGCGGCAACCTTGAGCCATTGGTAGCAAGGCTCTGACTCGGTCGACTCTTGGGCTGTTAGGCGAAGCCAGTCCTTTGCATTGTATACATCCCGAAGGATGAATGGATTCTTCTGTAGAGGCGGTTAGGGGCAATGAACAAGTTTATATCAGTATCGACTTTCGTACCTTCACTTCCGAGAGGGGCATGCGATCTCTGGGATCCTTTTGAAGCATCCCTTCGAGCAACTGTACCACCAGGTATCCATCACTCGTGGCATCCCTTGGTCTACGACCTCCAGTTGGGATCCGCTCGGCCCCCATCACGTCGTCAATGGTCCAATCTTGGTTGCAAATTTGGTGGTAGAGCATGAACTCCTGGTGATGGGGATTGTCGTTCTCAGAGGAAGAAGAGCCTGTGAATGGGGTGTGTCCGAAAAGAAGGCAATAGAAAGTTACTGCGAGAGCCCAGATATCCACAGCTTTGGTTATCGGCGGGCGAACTTTGGGCATTGAGAAGGTGCTTCCAACCACAGTGTCGGACGGGCTCTCGAAAGACGTAGGCAGGGTCACGTCGTAGGATGCGGAACTCGACAAGTCAAGGGTGTCGGAGAACCACACCACTTCCGGTGCTAGGAATGAAGGGGTCCCGATTCGCTTCAACAAGTCAGACCGGGTGAATAAAGACCTCTCGTAGGCTTCACATTCGTCTGCGTCCAGCTTTCGTTTCTTGTCGGCTGGTGGGTAAATGATATGAGACACGCCAAAGTCTATCAGCTTGACAGACCGGCGGTCTTCGGTGTACATGATGTTGGAGGGCTTGATATCTCGATGCAGGATGTTCCTAGCGTGCACTGAAAACTAGTTAGAACACAACCACGATACCAACAGGGAGACCACGAACTGAATTCGAGACCCAGTATGACGTCCCTCATAACGCGACGCGTCTGCGCCAAGGTCAATAATGGCTTGTCGTCCTGGGTCGACCATTCGACAGGACCTCCGGATAGGTATTCCATGACTGCAAGTGATTCAGAATACGACCAACGCCCTACAGTTCATCTGCCACCCACTAAGGTATATCTTTTCCTCCTTTGGATCATCAATGACTTCGTACAGCATCGCGAGATTAGGATGGTGCCGACACTGCTTCATGACAGCAATCTCTTTCCGTATGCTGTTCTCCGTGCTGCTCAACTTGGGACGCTTCTGCGGTCCCGATTCATCCTGCTGTTGATATGTCTTCCTCAGTAGCTTAATCTTGTCCTTGGGATTGCTTCGTTTGACAGCTTTAATCGCCTAAACACCGAGACTAGAATGAGCGCAAAAGACCACAGGAATCCTGGGCGCTTCACAACGCACCACTTCGCGATGGCCATCCCGACATAGATAAACCTCCCCATGTCTCCCTTTGCCTATTCTCTCGCATTTGACGTATTGGTTGAGTTTCTTCCGTCGACTCGACCGCGTGTGCAAGCGTGTAGTGAAGATTAATGGTTGTGTCGTTTCGAGTTGTAACGAGTCAGGGGTTTGGTATCCCATGGCACCACCCTGGGCCATGGCCGTTAGTTGTAAAGGGGCTGCAAAGGAGCAAAGAAGCAAGTCAGGACATTGGGGTCGGGGTTTAAGTTCATGGTAATATTGAATTGTCCCGTCACATCATCCACAATGGCTTTGACAGGCGTTTCGGGGTGCTGACCATTCGCTGGTCCAATCTTGCCTTTTCTGGCAACCGCGCCCGCCCGAGCGCCGAGAAGGAAGCAAAATCCCACAGCGTCCGGGCGGGCGCCGCCGTCGACACCGTCGACCGTCGGGCCGACTCAGCAGCGCGCTGGCTGTTGACAGCGAAAGGACATGATTTGGGTGAAAAACAGAAACACAGTGGTTTGTATCGAAGTATGTATCGTCCAATAGTCAAAGGTCCCGGCGCTACTATTGTACACATAGAAAAGGCGGCGACATCTGTCAGGTTATAGGCACCTAGGAGAGGCTAGACTATCCCGCCAGGCGAATCTTTATCTGGCCTCGATTACGCTGTGATTCCATTCTCGCTAGAGGTTGTTGAGTACCCGAAATGAGCGACAACGAAAAAGGTGTACCTTTCATTTCTTCTGCTTCTTCTCGTTGCTCGTAGTCCAAAACTAGCTGTTTCAATTGCTGCTGCTCGACCTTGTCTTGGAGTTGCTGAGACTTGGTGGCCACGGCCAGGGTTGATGTAGATGGCACGGCCAATTGTCGCGCCTTGCAACAAGATAAATACCGACAGAGACCAGTCGAAAAGTGCAAAGCACATACCACCTGCTTGTTGCCTCGCTTAGTGAGCACCGTAAAGCTGGTCACACCGCTCTCCGACGCTGCCGGATCGCTCTCCACTTTCTTCTTGAGAACGGCAGGCGGTATCACGGTAGAGTCCCATAGCGCTTGCGCGGTCTTCTTGTCAACCTTTCTGCTTTCCGTCGAAGTGTCGGTGAACATCTTGGCCAACTCTTTTGCAAACTCTGCTTCAGCTTCCTCTGAAGGACCCAAGAACTCCTGGCGTTCCTTTGCAGAGATGACAACATCAGGTTCTTCTGGTGACTGTGCACGCTTCTCGACCTACAAGAATGACAAAGGCTTAGATCGAGTTAACGGAAGAGGGGACAAAAAGTTTACCGGGGATTCAGGCTCGTCTAAATCGCCATCCTCGTCTCTCGCGCCATCTCTTCGTCCTTCTTCATCGCCATCACCCTCGTCATCGCTGCCTTCTCCTTCGTCGCTCTGCTCCTCAGGAAGGCCCGCAGACTGGAAGGCCGTGTTGAACATCTCATCCACCGCCTTCGCAGCTTCCTCGATATTCTTCGGCATCTCTAGCTTGGGTCGTACAGCCTCCAAGGAATCGGACAAGACAAACTCAACATCCATCGGTAGAGGGTCCTTGCACTGAACATAATACTGCAGTCTCCTGTTAAGCTGAGTTGCAGTCAGCACTGGAAGAATGGCTCACCAAAAAGAAGGTCAGGAAGTTATCGAGTTTCTTCTTCTGTGTACCACGGTCGAAGCACATCCCGCAGGTATCCAGCAGGACACAAACAAGCCGAATTCTGAAAAAGTCGTCCGGCATGTCTATTGGGACCATTTGGTGCGGCAGTGGCCGACCTTCCGCTGTTGGGCACTATTCAGTGACTTGTCTCTCCATAAACTGAACGAGACTCACGATGGCCGAAGGTTACGATCGTCCAGAGCGTGTCGAAGATAATACCGGAGCTCAATAAACGATAGATATACAACTCTCCGAGATATTTGACCGTCGCAAGTCTTCGCTGGTTCGTGCTGTAGACATTCTGCTCCAATCCGCGCCGAATGTCTTCCAGAATTTGATCCACCACAGCGATCGCAAACGCCGGTCGATATCGTTGAAGATCGTATGTCAACATCGCCAGCAGACTGATGTTGCTGTATCTAATCTTCCATGGTTTGGTAAAGACCTTATGAAGAACTCGCCGAACATTCTCGTCGTCCCAGTCCAACTTCCGGATCAGCTTGAGGACCTTGTCAATCGTCTTCTTGCTGAGAACGTCGTAAATAAGGTGTCGGATAAAGAGTTCCATAGGCGTGCGAATCTTTTCTTGCCGTGGAGCGCGCTCTGGTGGATTGCACTGAAGAGGAGTTAGCACAGGCAGTCCTGGAGGCGACATGTGGCATTACCTGATAATAGGCATTCTCGAGGAGCAGCAGCTGGCGTTGATCAAGGTGTTGCATCGTTTGCTTCCGCTTCATCAATTCCAACTGACAGCAATGGTGAGCCCAACAACTCAAACGACAAAATAATACACACCATGGTTCCGAACCGCTCCCTTGTCTCCTCCGTTCTCAGCAAGAAGCGTCCGCATCCCTCCAGCAGCAACGCAATGTTCTCAATGTTGGTGCCAGCAAAGTCGTCCAAGCATACTTTGAACATGTGTAAGATAAGGTGGAAGGGGACGACCCGGAATTTGGTCAAGTTGGAAAGAAAGATGATGTTCTTCATCCTAACTTCCGCTAGCTCCTTGACGACGTTCTTCTTCCTCTGGAGGTACCTGAACTCTTCGTCCAGCTAAAAGCTACGTTGTGAGGAACTTGGAAGGGGTTAGACATTTCTGCACTCACAATAGACACAACCTCACTCCCGATATCAGGCATGTACTTGTTCAAGATTGCAATCAGCCTTGAATAATGGGGTAGTAGATCAACCCGATTTTTGGGAACTTGGGACATGAACTTTAGGATTTGAGTTGTCAATGCCACTGGGAATAGAGAAGGGTCGTACCTTGATGAGACGTTTCCGAGCGGCTTTGGAATTCAGGAATGCAAACTCAACTGCCGCTTGGTCGATCATAGTTCGGCTAACGGCATCAGGGAGTTTGGCCAGAAGGGCAGTCAAGAGTTGCGATGGGCCTTGTGGAGCCAGGTGAGGGGAGAGGGGCGGTGTTGTTGCTTTCGGGGTTCCAGCCTTGGGAGTAGGGAGGCTAGAATCGCTAAGTTAATTGTTGAGATAAGACCAGAAATGACTGGACGCACTCGTCTTCCACGTCTTCAGAGTCTCCGGTCGCAGGAGCTGAAGCAGCGCTTGAACCACCAACCTCCAGCTTCTGAAGCTCCTCTTCCAGCTTTCGGACCTCCTCTTTCTCTCTCTCAATACGTTCTTTCTCCTTGGCCTCTTCTTGCTCTTTGCTCTCCTCCTCTGACGCCGCCTCAACACCTAGAACACTACTGGGGACAAAGTCGCGCAGATCTGGAATCTCTTCGTAGAATCTTCGCTCTTCTTCATCTTCCCATTTGCCTCCCGTAGTGATATTCTCATCTGAGTCGGTGAGAAGTGAATTGCCGCTTGAACCAATCTGAATCGAATCCGATTTTTGGGTTGATGTAGGCAATTCCGGAAGGGGAAGATAGAGAAGTTCCGACAGTCTAAAGCCAATGGTCAAGCATGGCGCGGGCCAGACGATGTGCAGTATACTTACGACTGGCAACTGGAATGAAGCTTCTCGTAGCTTTTCGTCATCTTCTCATACGCCTGTTGCCTATCTTCGAAAATCTCTCCAGAACGAATGTAGGCTTCGTGGTTGCGCTTGTCTTGCTCCTGAAGACGCTTATGTTCCTTGACGAGCTTCTTGCATACACTCTCGAAATAACCCTCGCACATACGCTTGAATCGGTCTCGGATGTCTTGCTCAATCAACTCTTCTTCTTCGGATACCGTCGCAGGTTTTCCTTCTTGACTTTCATTTGCAAGGTTCTCGGATAGAGTACCAGGTTCTGAGTCGGAAGGAATCTGCTTAGCCGTTGCGGGAGGAACGAGGCCAAGGAAAGGACGGCCGTATGACTTGAGGAAGGTTGCAAGCAGAGGAAGAGAAGATAGCGCGGGGTCATTGGATAGCTGCGACGGCGTCAGTTAGCCCAAGGATTGTGAATGGCTGAACTTACCAGATCCTTCATTGTCTTCATTATCCACTCCCCACCACTTCTATCCGGTGAATCACGAATGATTCCAACAAGTGCAAGTTCAGAACAAACGCGTAGAATAGGCCTCTGACGCGATATCCTCGCATTGTCTTCTTTCTCCCGCTGCTCCGGTGTCAGGGTGGCGAGATATGCCTTGGTTGGCGGAGTAAGCGCTGTTGCTAAAGAACTTATGACCGCAGGTGTAAATGTATTGGGAAACCGACGGTGAAGGGCGCAGATGACCTTAAGCCGAGGTTAGGCATGTACAGAGGATAAAGGTGACAGCGTACTTCGACAGCGCCCCAGACGTCCCGTTCTGTTTTGCATCTGGACAAGCCTTCGACCACAGCTCCAGCTATCTCGTCTATGTATTTCTCCAGTGACAAGGAATCGATATCTTTCATGATATGATCCTTGTTGTCAGAGGCCATAGACTGTCGAATACGCTTGATTAACGCTGTATGCTTCTTGAGCGACGAGTCCAGCCTTGCTGTTTCTGTAGATACAGCCAAATTCATATCAGCAAACGACCAGTGTCTGCAAGGAGATCCACGAGCCTGTTTCATTGGTTCCCGAGAGATTTAGCTGCTTGAGCTTGATACGTTTCTGTAGACGAGCGGTCTCTTCGTCGACCTTGCCTGGAGGGCCACTTGTCGTCGCCTCCATGTTGTGGTTGGTGCAAGAGTCAGAGTCTTGCCGCAGCCGAAAGTGGAAAGGCTTGGCATCTTGTCAAAGACGCGCTTATTTGTCCCTGAATGGCCTCGCCAACTTTCTTTCTCCGCCACGACCTTCATGACTTTCTCTGCAAATGGACAACTCGGACGACTACTTTGACGATGACGACTTTATCTTGGACGAAGAGACAGCGGCTGCCCTCGACGAGTCGGAGCGTCGATATGCAACGCAGGCACCACCAAAGCAGGCACCTCCACCTCCTCCGAGGCCAGTCCACGTTCAGCCAGTAACAAAAAGACAGAGGACGAATACAGGATGGACACCTGGATTTGGCGCGCGTACAGAGTCTCTAACAGACATGGACCTCCCCGATATTACGATCCAAGGGAATGGCTATGCAATCTCGAATTCGAATTCGTCAGGTGCCGGTAACACGTCCTACAACGTCCAGCAACAGCCTGCAGCTGCTACTCGTCGAACAGAACAGAACTTTCAATACCAGCGACATCAAGAAACACGACAAACTCCAAATCCTGCTGTGCCGTATCGCCCGCCTGTGACGAGACCATTGCCTCCTCAGAGAAATGGGTACTCAAACCATCGTGCGGCCACTCCAGTAGCTCAAGGTTTCTCGCGGGCTGGGGACGCGTCCTTTGTAAATGCAAGACCCGCAGTCCCCACTCCAAATCCATTAGAGGTGGAGATGCGACAACTTCAGGCTAAATTAGAAGAGGTTCGAGGTTCATTCACTCGCCAACTATGCAGCATTGTCCAACAAATTCCATATAGTTGCGGAAATCGAATGAGAAGATGCAGGCTGAATTGAATCATGCGATAGAATCTAAAATGGCGAAGGAAGGGGAGGTAACTATCCTCCGGAAGACAATCGAGAAGGTACAATACCCTTGGCCCCCCATCACCATGTCCGTTTCCTAAGATCTTCCACCAGAATGCGCAAAATCATGCTGGAGAGCTGGCCAGACTCAAAGCGGCGAAGGAGGAAGCAGATGCACAGATACTTCGGGCCCAGAAGGCCAAACAGGAGGAAGTGGAACGCCTAAAGACCCAGTTCATGTTCAAGGTGAGTTCCACCTTGATCACAACCCCACAACTAGATGCTGACCCAACGTACAGCAACAAGAAATGGAGGCCAACCTTCGCAAACCGCCAGGTTCTGTAAGGTCGAAGAATATGAAGGTATCACGCGAATTACCGGCCACACCTCAGGCTTCTTCCTCCCGAGGGACATGGAACATCGCGTCCCAACGCCCTGCATTCAATCTCGATGTCCAGCAGACACCAAGTAGACGATTGAGCTCGCAGGCATGGCCTCCCGATCCCCCCAGGTTTCCCTCTCCCAAAAAACAGCTGTTTAAATCTCCAGAAAAGCCCAAACCAAAGCTACCGGGATTCCAGAATGCTTTCGCTGCTACATCGACACCAGCACCTTTGAACCAGAGAAAGGGAAAGGTGCCAGAACACTTCGACGTGCCTATGTTTAGTCAACCACCGCCTACAATACAGCCATCGGCCCAGCCATTTCTGAATGTGTCTCAAAAACACGAACCGAGCCTTGAGATACCCATGGCCTCTCCAGTGAGACGAAAACCTGCCCCACCACCTCCTCCACCAGAGAAGCCCGATGTCTTTGCTGGAAGTTCTGTCGATCAGGATGGCGACGTCCCCATGGATATGGACGAAGATGTGTTCAATCCTGACGACTTTGAAGACGTACCTCCGGAGATCTTGCCGCCCTTTAACTGGAAAGCGGAGGTACGTTGCTTCAATTCCCTTACTGTAATCGAGATACTTACGCTACGCCAGCTTTCTCGAATCATGCTCACCCATGTGAGACCAACCTCAGAAGTACTGACGTTACAGCAGCTCCTCAGTGCCAACGTAGAGGACGAGAATAACCCTGACCGACATGGCCTCTATATTAGAGCGTATAGTTCCATGATCAACGTGCTGTCGTATCCAACCAACATGGATGACTTCGAACAAACCCTCGATATCGTCTGTTCAGCGTGTCTTACCATGGCCCAAGTCCTCTCTTCTTGCAGCCTTGTAAGTTCACCTTTCGACTCGTTGCGCCAACAATCTAATTCTGCCATAGGTTACTCCCCTTGCTAGTCTATTCAGCTTGCTAGAAGCTGTAACATGGCATGTTCCTATGTCCCGTTCGCGGTTCTGCCGTCAAGACAGTCCTGAGACACCCAACACATTCGACGTTGTAACCTCTGTGATCGCGACACACTTGACTTCAGCCAAAACCAACGCCGACGCTCAAAACCTCACCGTTGGCATCGAACTTGCAGGATTCCTTGAAACTCTGGCCATCGACACTTCTGAAGACGGAATCCTGAGGTCAGCGGTGTGCTTCTTCCAATCGATATTGAACTCACGGCTGCACAGATTTGAGAAGTTGCTGGGTGTAGAGCAGTATATCTTGACCTTGTTGGATCCATCGCAACCTCTATCATTACTTGCGAAAGCAACGCAAGTGGTTGCACTGCTCGCCACCCGTAAGAGCTCGACCTTGTCCGCGAAGTAATTAAACATTCTCACCCTGAATCCATAGACCCCACACTCCACCGGGCTCTTCTCTCGATATACGAACGTCAACAAGGTGGCAGCGAATCGACGAGGAGGTCAAGGGTTATCTTGGAACGGATGTGTAGCTTCCTGCTCGATCACAATATCGAACGAGGCCCAGAGGTAAGCTTCACCTCATCGCTTCAGATCTGAACCAATGCCAACACTTTCACCTAGTGTCAGGAAGTGCGAATAAATGTTATTGCGTTCCTTTCCCAATTGACAATGCAACCGGAATCATTGGGCGTCCTGACATCATCTCCGATCCCCGTCCCTTCACTCGTATGCCATCTCTATAAAGTAGCCTCCCCACTTTACGAAGAAGACCAGTCTAAGAACGAAAACTGCTCCTCGTACGTGCCCCTTTTTCGGTATTTCTCCATGCTCCCTCCCATCATACATTACTTTCAGGACGGTCATGTTCCTAGGCCAATCTGTCTTCCTCCTCAACTACATCATAACCGCCGATCCCAGTTTCAACCTGCGCCACAAACTACAACACGCTCCCCCTCGGCCATTCAACAGCGTCTTGCAAATGTTTGTCGTCACCTTCGGGCGGCTTGCTTACTCAACTGCCCCGGAATGGTTCAACGAACATGACAGGACGTTTTTATCCAATCTAGCTGGTACGTAAAAGGCTATTTGGTGTCTGTCGCTCTACACTAACGGCAACGTATTCAGAAATGGCAGTGTCGATCTTTGAAGCTGTGGTAGATGGCCCGGAGGGAGATGGAGTGTGGTCGACATTTCAAGAAGGGTCTTTCCATGATGTTCCCGACTCTGAGGATGAGGCGGAGATGGAAGCTGAATTATCATGACAACGAACTGAATTCTGACAGTCACTACTAGCACTAACACCACTAACAACGGCCATCTTTCGGATTACCTTCTAAATGTACATTGCTTTCCTGATCCTCCTGTATAACCGAGATTCCCGAGTCAGTCTTGTTTCTCGCATGACAAACTCAATGCCTCGAGGTAAAGGTGAGGCAGGCATTCGGTTAACACCTGCACGTGATGGACCCGCGTTGTATGTGTACCCTAATGCCCAGATTGGGATGAAAACGCGGTACTTGCGCCACGAAACAGAATACGGCGGACGACGGAAATGTAGCGGAAAGCACTCGGCGCACACCAGCAGGATAAGGCGTGTCGCTTGTCTTGTAACTGGGCCGTGGGTCCAGAACTGATATAAGAAAGCGAAGCGACTCAAATTAATATCGACTACGAGTCTTGAACTTCTTTCCTACTGACAAGTCGAGTATCCATCCCCAACGATCAAAATGCCTGTTGCAATGACTCCCGCGCCTTCCTCTGAGCTTCTCCTGCCCGAGTACGTTTTCTACCTCTTGCTTCTTGCCGTTGACGACGGGTCTGATGACAAAAAGCTTAACGGTCGACAGTGGGACGCCTACAACTCCCGATGTGCCCACTCCCATCCTGAAATTGGCTCGGGAGAGTTCCAAGTCGTCACTACGCAGGTCAAAGTCAAAGTCATCCAATCGCCGACACCACCGCGATCGTGACCGCAACGGCGAGAAGAGGGATAAAGACAGAGAATCATCGAGGAAACAGTCCCGATCACCTCGCCGTTCGCCCTTGCTGATGGCACGAGCCATGCTTGAAGAAGACCAGCTCAAAAGCGCCCTCCGCACCACCACCGATCGTCTTGAACAAGAACAGCGACGCGCAGAAGAGGCCATAGCCCGCGCAGAAGCCGCAGAACGCCGTGAACGCGAAGCTATCGCCAAGATTGGGGCCCTGGAGGCACTCAAACTCAAACTTGAAACCGAACTCGTCGAGCTCGAGACGTCTTCACGGAACCTACAGGTCCAGCTGGAGATTTCCGAGCGCGAATCAAGAGCCTGTCGGAGGGATCTGAGCCTTCTCCAAACCGAGTTCGAGGAACTTGATATCGAGTATAGGCAAAGTCAGAAACAGTGCCGGAGGTATCAAAGCGAGTTGCGGAATTGGGAGTCGAGTGTGAATGGGCATCAGAAGGCGATGCAGGTGGCGGTCAACAATGCTTTCCAGGAGGGGGAAGATGCGGGGTATGAGGCGGGGTACGAGGATGGGTATGCCAAAGGCAAACGAGACGGCAAGCAACAGGGAATCAAGCTGGGTCGGAAAGAAGGAATTGTTGAAGGAAAGGAACAAGGTCGAATCGAAGAACGTCGAAATGCCATGGATGCGATTGACAAGTTCTTTGCAGAAGAAGGGGTAAGTTGCCAGAAAACATTTCGGCCAACTTTGAAGCTGACCCAACCCCAAGTATGATCCAAGCCGAATCCGTCGTTGGGCACAGTCTGTGTACTGTCCTGAGGGACAGGCCAGCTTTTCCGATGCAGACTTTCGCTCCGCTGTCTCCTAGACAATTGTACTGGATGGGGAGAGAACAAAAGTAGACTCGGGAACATTAGTGATACATAGCCATGATGATCAACAAACGCTCTGATTTGATTATCTTACCCACATCGCCCTGAGCCTCTTATAGTCAGGGATTACAACCTGGAGACCATCTTGAAGCTTGTTCTCTGATTCTCATGGCCACCTCTGTCCCTCCCCGTCGTAAAGGTCCCAAGGATCTCCCCAAACTCCCCGCATCTGCCTTTGTGCCTCCCAGTTCTGCCACTGACGAGTCGTTCGGCCTTGGTCCTGACCCAAGCGCTCTCCAGCCCGAGTCTGTCATCGACGCCAATGTCGTCGTGAAGGATGGCGACATCACACATGCACAGTGGAAGAAGGATGCCGGTCAGGTCCTCGGTGGAAAGATTAAAGGAGTCGTCCTTTCTCTCTCGGGCGCTGACCTCGAGAAAGCAAGCAAAGAGTGAGTTTGTCCGCCCTTCCGGAGACTGAGCGTAACGTGCTGATTCTACCGTCTATTCGCAGTCTCGAGTCCAGCCCAGATCGTGATCGAATCTTGTCCTTGATTGTCCCCTACGACGCTGAGAAGCCGGATCCTGCTCTGGAAGGGCAACTGGCTTCGACTAAGGTCCCAACCTCATTATCGACGATCTACAAGGGCGCTTCACCGGAAGTCATTGTCGGACTCAAATGGGCCCTCGAACGCGGGCGTCCTGTTGATATCGACATCCAGGTCGACCTCAGTGAATCGACCCTCGAAGGTTTCGAGGACACCGTCTCGAAGGCGACCGAAGGCTTGACCAACATACCTCCCATCGTTCTCTGTGAGTCGCCTATGAGACTGGCTAAAAGCGCGCGTTGTGCTAACAGGAATTTGTACTATAGCCAACGTCCTCCCTCCTCCTCATGACCTCGACCTTCCTATTATCCGATTGATGAACCACCCTTCATATGTCGCTTTCCAAACCCAGGTTGCCGCCCTCTCCTTGCTCCCCAACGCGTACATCAAATTCCTCCCTCCCTCTTGGGACTCGCCCACCCCACAAACCCCTTATCCTGGCAGCTCTTCAGACACCCCCGAGTCCAAGATCCAGCGTGAATGGAAACGCAGGATCAAGATGTATCGTGAGTGGCCCCTGAAGGAAGAACCGCATGTATCCATGTTGACTTTGTCTCTTTCAGTCGGCCCTGTCCTTGAGGCCTTTGGTCACCAACGAATCATGTTCGGCTCGTCTCCCTCGACCTCTTCGCGTGGTCCTTCAAACGCTGGCGACTGGTACGAAATCTCGAAAGAGTCTTTGGCAGAGCTCGTCGCGGATCAGGAATTCCTTGATGCGGTCTTCTATACCAACGCGCAGAAGGTCTACGGCCAGGAAAAGAAGACAGAGGCGTAGTGTTTTTCGACTGTAATTTCCAAGTGGCTCTTGTGGCTTGTATTATACCATTGTAAAGATGTACAAGTAAACCCAACCTTCGTTCACGACATTTGTATTTGACGACGCGACCAGGCTCCATGACATTGCCATCAAATGTATGAGAAAAACAAAAAGAGACGCGCTTGTTGAATTCTTTGGTTGATACGGGACCCTGAATGGCTCTTGAACTCAACCGGCCATCCCGGCCTCGTACACATTCTCTTGTGCGGTGTGTGCAGTGCAGATACGGGATTGCACACAAAACGCTGTCGCATTATCGATTTCATAGAAATGAAGCTCAGATAACGCTAGCCCAGAACCTAGAAGACGCCCACACACTCATTCCTGAACCCCACCTTCGTTACAATGCCAGTGTCTGACTATGAGTTTGGGAGAGGCAGACAATATGATTCCTCGTACGTTGTATTTCTCTGCCATTGGACGTTCCTAACTGGCTATGCAGAAGCAGCAGAGAGTCGTCTCCTCAGCCCGCGGTAAGCGTATCTCATCTGGTCACCGGGAAGGTTTAAACCTCACACTATGTGTGCAGAGAAAGAAAATGCGACCATTTGTCCCCCGTTCCGACGACGAAGACGGAGATGGAGACAACGAAATGCCCCCGATTGCAGACGACGATACGCCTCCACCACCAGACAGGCCTCTCATCCGCCAAGGACTCGCGTTCGGCGCTTCTGCGTTTGGCACTATCGGGACACCCTCCATCATCCCTGCCGCAACGACCATCGAGACCTACCAAGCAAAACTCCCAGAACCGACCAAGGCAACTATCTATCTTCCCGGTCAAGCTCCCGTACAACCACCACCACCCAAGAGGAAACGGAAGAAGAAGAATGAAGAATTCAAGGCTCAATCGGGGCGGTTCCGTCTTGAGGCATACAGCCCTGCACCTACACCTGCGCCGATGGTGCAACCACCACCTGTAATGCACGCAGAGGGCTCTTATGCTACTATGTTTCGCGGCGTTCCTCAATACCCCCAATACCCTCGGTTCGATTCACCTGTCGCGAGCAGTGGGACTTTGACTGACACTAATACGATCCCTGTTCCGACACCACCGCGCAAGTCAAAACCCAAGAAAACGGGAGAGTCGAAGAAGAAGGCTGCCCCAGTCCCTGCTGTCGCAATGACCCAGCCTGTCCCACACGCGCAACACGTTCCACCGAGCTCAAGCCCTGTACGAACATCGATGAGTGAAGTCCAGCCGACTCCTCCGCCAGGAAGCGGAAGGTCGTACTACCGACACGACTACGACGCTGGAAAACCCAAAGAGCAGAATGCGGTGGTAACTTCATCTAGTTCTCATCATACAGAAGGACATGCAATTCACAGTGATCGTACGTCTCTTTGCGTGGAACCAATTCAAGTATTGACATTCCCTCCAGCCCCCAGGTCACCTAAACATTCGCGGCGACCTCTGCGGATGGTTACAGTCCTTGTGCAAGACATCAGAAGTGGTATAACCGATTACCAGCTGGTGGAGGTCATGGTGCCTCTCAAACCTCACGAACATCCCGAGGATGGATTCTGGGCAGATGCTGAACACATCGTACGTCAACTACACAGCCTCCGGCCATCCTTCACTTGACTGAGCTGCCTGTTGAGCAGATTGACAAGTGGCAGAAGTCTCCTGCTCGAGTGGATGGTGCGCAAATATCGTTTTGGTGTGTACAAAAGTTGCTTATGCAGCGCAGGACCGGCGAGGGTCTACACTCTTCGCGGGAAGTACCGTCAAATTCTGCTGCGCGTGAGCGCCTCGAACGAAGACGACTACAGCTCTATGAATGTTCTAATTGCGCCTGATCGAACAATCAACGTCGTCGTCGAGCCAGTGAGTTTTATATCTTACGATGCAAACGGCTTGTCACAACCGCATCATAGTTGCCCATGTCGGGCACTCTTCCCCCACCTCCCAAGATTCCACCAGACCTTCTCCCCGCCGAGTGGGACAGTTCACATGAACCAGCAGACAACCCTGAGCCTGTGTCAGAAACGGCGCTGGTAACAACTCGGCAACACTCCCCTTTCCCTGACTCGGATACACTCGATGGAGACGTCACTGTCACCAAACATCAGACATCTTTGTCACCGCCTGCAAGTTCTCATAGGGTTGTAGAGTCTAGCGAGCCAGCAGGAACTTCTGCTCGAGTCATTGAGCCGTCCAGGGGCACTGTTGTAACCAGACCGCTTCCGCGTCGAGGATACGAGACCCCCGACTCTGATGCTGAGCCGGATGAGGTTGACAAAGCTATCTGCAAGGCCACAAGCCAATTGCTGCTCAAGGATCCAGGGTGGAAGGAATACTTCAAATTCAGGGGACGTCCTGCGAGTGTCCCGAATATGCTCCACCAGTACCGGTTCGTTAAGCGTCTCATGGACGAGTTTGCCGGCATGACTGCTCCTTTCCAATCGAGACACTTTTTGATAGAGGAGGTGTGTGGTCACTTGTTCTCGATTAGCCGGTACTAATACATAGCCTCCAGAAACACATCATCGGAGGTCTTCACATCGAGGATGAAGATGGCAAGTTTGCCTCTAGTTGTAAAGAAACGCTGGGGCTCTTGGAGCTGTATGGGCCCGGTGGGAAATGTTACGAAAACCCTGAAGTCGTGAAACTCGTCAATAACAACGATCCCCCGGAGTACAACGCAAAGCCTATCAAACGGCTTCTTCATCTCCTTCGTGATGTCGACAAAAAATGGAAGGAAGAGAATCCTGAAGTGGAACAGGCATCTTCTGAGAGAGACGGGGACGGATCAGATACCAGCGAATCTCCCAACTCATAATCTAGGCATCCTGTATTTATATGCCTTACCTATCGGGATAGTTTGGCGAGAGGAGATAAATGTTTTTCTTGAGCGCCTACGATTGTCAGCGTGAGAAAGCAATGACAAACGCGTTTCAAAGATTGTGATGGGTTAGATCGCAGGCTTGACGCGTATTAGGGCCTTGCTCTCGTCTCTTCTTCGTCCTCCGAATTCACTGACCAGTCGCGATGGCGTCAAGCATAGAACTCATTAACCCCAAGGCCGAGAGCGTTCGTCGTGCAGCGGCGCTCCAGGTAAGCGTTATCAGTCTCCTTTTGGCGTTGGAGTTGCTCAAGGGACTGGGCAGGTCAACACCAATGGTGCCATGGGTTTGGCAGCAGTGGTCAAGGGTAACCTCGGTACGTTCTAATGATTCAATGTTTTTGTCTACCAATAACCTCATGGATCTCCAAAGGCCCAAGAGGAACTTTGAAGATGCTCGTCGATGGTGCCGGCCAGATCAAAATGACAAAAGATGGCAAAGTCCTCCTCACCGAGATGCAAATCCAAAACCCCACCGCCGCCATGATTGCCCGTGCCGCCGTCGCCCAGGACGACCAAGTCGGCGACGGAACCACCTCTGTCGTTTTACTCGTCGGTGAACTCTTGAAGCAAGCCGATCGGTATACATCTGAGGGCGTCCACCCGACCATCGTTGCGGAAGGTTTCGATCTTGCAAAGAAAGAGGCTCTGAAGGTGCGCTTCAAGTGTTTTTTTCATGAATTATTTGGCTGCAACTGACTATATTGCGAATGGTAGTTCTTGGACACTTTCAAAGTCCCTACCAAGCCAGATCGAGCAACCTTGATTAACATCGCCAGAACGTCTCTGGATACCAAACTGTCCTCTGCATTGGCCAAACAGCTCGCTGCCGACGTTGTCGATGCCGTTCTCACTATCCGTCAACCTCCTCCTCCAAGTGGTACGTCAACAACTGTAACATCTATCAAGAACTTCCCTTAGTCCCGCTGTAGACGCGCTTAACCAGTGGAGAGAGCCCATCGACCTCCACATGATCGAAATCATGAAAATGCAACATCGAACGGCATCCGACACTCAACTTGTCCGGGGCCTCGTCCTCGATCACGGTGCTCGTCACCCCGACATGCCAAAGCGTGTCGAAAATGCGTACATTCTCACCCTGAACGTCAGCTTGGAATACGAGAAAACGTGAGTCGCCCGACGTATATCCTAGCCGATTACTGACCGACATCCGTTTACAGCGAGGTCAACTCGAGCTTCTTCTACTCCTCCGCTGAGCAGCGAGAGAAACTCGTCGAGTCCGAGCGCAGATTCACCGACGCAAAGTGCAAAAAAATCGTCGAACTCAAAAATCTCGTCTGCGACCAAGCTGTTGGGTCGAATGAGAAGCCCAAGAACTTTGTCGTCATCAACCAGAAGGGTATCGATCCTCTCTCCCTCGATATCTTTGCCAAGAATGGTATCATTGCGCTACGCCGCGCTAAGCGTCGAAACATGGAACGGTGCGTAGCTTTCAATCGTCCATTCGCATTCAAGATTGACGAGATTCTCCCAGTCTCCAATTGGTCTGCGGCGGTGTCGCACAGAACTCTGTCGACGATTTGACGCCAGATGTTCTCGGCTGGGCTGGTTTGGTCTACGAACACACGCTGGGAGAAGAAAAGTACACATTTGTCGAGGACGTCAAGCAGCCCAAGTCCGTCACTCTTCTTATCAAGGGCCCCAACCAGCACACCACACAACAAATTCAAGACGCCCTTCGAGATGGTCTTCGGGCTGTCAAGAACGCGATCGAGGACGAGGCATTGATTCCAGGTGCCGGTGCTTTCGAGGTGGCCTGTTCGGCGCATTTGAGCGGCCCTGTGAAGAAGGCTGCAAAGGGACGTGTCAAGATGGGTGTTCAGGCGTTCGCCGACGCATTGCTTGTCATTCCGAAGACCCTCGCTGCAAACGGCGGTTTCGACGTCCAGGATGCAATCGTCGCTCTTCAGGACGAACAGGCAGAAGGAAATGTTGTCGGCCTCGATCTCCAGTCAGGCGAGCCGTTTGACCCAACGGTCGAGGGCATCTGGGACAACTACAGGGTGAAGAGGCAGATGCTCCACTCATGGTAAGTGGCCCGCACCGTTCATTGAGACTGCTGCTCATTTCACCTCCAGCTCTGTAATCGCCGTCAACCTTCTCTCAACCGACGAGATCTTGCGTGCAGGGCGCAGTTCGTTGAAGCCTGACGGCCAATAGATAAAGCAGTGTACTAATACGTCTTAATTTCATCGATGCGCCCTTCCTGTAAACAACCGACACAGACTCGTTATATTACAGTGGTTGCCAATTACAAGATGCTACTAAGCTTCTCTGTTGAGTTTACGGTGAATACTGATCTACGTACTAGGAAATGTCCTCTAAGGTACCGCCAGGAGAATGGAAGATAATGAATCAATAAAAAAACGATAACAGCAAAAAGCGATGTGGGGATAATAAATAGGGGACCAAGAGAAGAATTAGGGACGGCAAAATGTTCCTCGTGCGTGTAAGTATGATATCAAGGCCATTATTCTGAACCATCTGATGAACTGTCCCAGCCTGCATTGATCAGGCATGGGGTGGCTGCCGGTACTGTCAGAAAAGCTCGAGTCGAAGGCGTGGCACCACCCAGTGGCGTGGTCTTCAGCTTCCCGTTCGTCAATGTTTCGTCGGAGATTCGTCGTAACGGATACACCCCATCAATCGGTGTCAGGCGAAATTTGGATGAAACATCCTTTTGTTTAAACAAGTCAAAACTGAATTCTTTAACGAGGTGGCCATGATGGATTAACTCACGTCGTTATTTACAAGGAAGGACTTTGTCCAGCGGGGAGTAAACGAATGTCCGCTCGCGGAGCTGGACCTCTCCTTTCTAGAGCTAACAGCATGCTCGGGTATGTTCTCGACATCCTCCTCCTCCTCTTTATCGTCATCATCATCTTCCTTGTCGTCGACGACGCTGTCGCCACTGGCAAGGCGTTCCGGGAGCTGGGGTAAAGACACCCAACGGCGTTTGGAAAATGTGAATGGCGAAGGCTTATAAATAAGTGGTGCGCGGTGGACAGGGGCTGGTAGGAGTGTTGAAGCGTTGAGTTCGGGGTCTTCTGCGATTTCGGGGCCTGGAGATTGAATATCTTCAGGGGTTTCAGGCGTGGAGCTTTCTTCGTCTTCCGACGACTCGTCCAGGATAACCGGGCCAGCCCAGGCATGCAATGCGAAGTTCAGGGGGCTGGGGTTTGAGAAAAGTTTCGGTCCTCTGAAAGTCGAAGTGGGGCGTGGCATGACCCGCTGATGTGGTTTCGGAGCGCTGGATTCCTCCTTCTCGTTTGGTTCCTCCATCTCTTCCGTACGAACGTGTTTCCTCTTCGGCGAATCTTCTGCCATCTGGACATCTTCATTGTCGTCGTTCGCGCGTTTACGGCGTGGCGAGGTCCAGGTGGGCGAGGTCGGTACGTCCTTCTTGACCCTGGGTGACCTGGGAGTAGCGGAATCTGCGGGTTTCTTCTTCTGACTTTTGTCCTTCTTTCCGAAACGTCCATTCTGGGCGCGGGGCTGAGAAAAGACGCGTTTAGCAGGAATCTCGGGAGCTTCCTCTTCTACTTTCACGACGACCTCCGAGAGAGGCTTCACCTTGGGTCGGAAGCGAGGGGAGGACAGACGGGGCCGTCCACGCTTTCGCTTCACTGGCTCGCTCTCGGTGGTCGATGTGGAAGTGGAGTTGGAAACCGGAGTCTGCTTGAGCTTGACAAGCGGAGGAGGAGGATCCGCTTTCAGCTTCTTCTGAGCACGGGGATTCTCCTCAACCGCCTGCTCCCTCTCGCGCTTATTTGTCGCCTTGGATGCGGCCAACGACCTGGACACTTCCGCCTGTTTCTGAAGGTATTTGAGAACCTTCTTCGAGGACTTGGCAACAGGGTCAGAGGGGGTAGTTGCACGAGGGGGAGGAAGAACGGCGCCGGGTCCCGGGACCCGAGATGGCCATGTTTGCTGGTAGATGGCAAAATGGCGCATACACCTGGGTTCCTGCGTGAGCTTTGGTCCTATGAATCGACGGAAATTTAAGAGATACCTTGGGCAATCCTGCTTCTTCTTCTTCGCCTTCTTACTGTCAAGACCTAGGCCCCAGACAACTTTGGAGTCGACCAGGATAACAGGAAGGATATTACCACATGTGGAGCAAGTTGGCAATATCTTTCCATCTGGACCTCGAGGGGGTTCCTTCTCCGGACCTTCCTTGGAAGGCTCTGCAGCGTTAGGACCTGACGGGCGCATGCGAAGGACTCGCTGTTCCGCTTCCTCCTTGACGACGGTGTCCTCCCTTCGCGGCGTATTGCGACCACGGGCGGACGACGAATTGGAGACCGGTGTCCTAGTGGCGCGCTCCTTTCCGTTCACAGGAGTGGACCTACGCGACGACGCGAGAAGGGAATTGGTGGCTCGGGTGGAGCGTCTAAGAGGAGTCGACGACAGTTGAGAAGTGCTGGCTCTGCTAGCGGCTTCCCTACTTTGACGCCGCGTCGTGGTCGTAGTGAGGGAAGCTGCTACCTTCGCCTCGTCTGAGGACGAAGAGGACAGCGAGGTAAGGGAAGACGATGAACGAGAGACAGGTAGGCTGGAAAGGGATGAGAGAGAATGTGTGTCGGACGGGGGGTTGGAGGTGGGTAATGAAGTTAGCTCTGAGGCGCTGTCCAGATCTGCGGTCAGCTCGACTTCACTGTCGGCTGGGATATCTCGCGCTCCGGCTAGTGGTACAGTGTTGTCGTCATCGTTCTCGTTCTCGCTATCTTCGCTATCTTCATCCTTGGCAGCGGTGATAGCGTAAACACCGCGCCTGGTCCGCCTCTCGTTGAGATTGAGTATGGGCTCCGCCTCGGCCTCGCTCTCGGCGTCGCTCGATGAACTTTCAGAGTCTGACTCTGAATCCGAATCTGAGCTAGAAGACGAAGTCCCATCGTCGTCTGGGTCCACTGGAGCGTATCCACCACGTCCATTCTTCTCGCATGTTTCGCACAGGCAATGCTTGTTCTTCTTGCCAACTGAATTATAAACCTGTCAGTCCGAAGCCTCCGCCACAAGTAACGTACACTTACAGTAACCGTCCCCATAATGCGCTGTTATCTCCTCGCCTACAGCTATAGGTCTGAGAACTCTGAATGTGATATAGCGGCCTTCCCGGAATAATTCGCAGTTGTTGTCGCAGTCATGCTGTCATGCGTGTCAGAACAGAGGAGATACAGGAGCCGGCGTGTAAGCTCACATTCACGAATCTGGCAGGTCCCAGGAATAGATGATTCTTCTTCATCGACTTTGAGTGGATAACGCTGAAATCCCTTCGAATGTCCGAATTAACCATACCAGCCCTCTTCAACTCCTTATCCTCCTCGTCCGTCAAGTTAGCCATGGAGCCCTTCAGTTCGGTAATGACCATTCCTGGGGAAAGGGGTCGTGTGGCTAGAACGCATAGTTCGGACTTCCCTGTATGGGAAGAATAACGAGAAGTGTGGGCGATTTCTATAACCCCAGAAGGGTGGTAGAGCTCGAAGTACCTGGAAGCATGTCTGGAGAAGACGACATTCATTCAGTGTGGGACGAGAAGAATGAGCGGTTTGGACTCACGTGGCGAAGGCGTTGATCTGCTTTTGGGTATATGATTTCAAATAATAGCGAACGGCGGGAAAGCTTGTGTGGCGGGGAACGTGAGTACACCGCAGATAGCCCGGGAGGAAGCGCACATACGTGAGGAGTTCGTCGACGGCCTGCCGTACTGCCTGCTGAACGGGCGCCTTGGTAATAACAAACTGAACGATAGGGGGTCGCGTCAGTCGCTTACGGCGCGGGGAGAGAATATGCGCCGACACGTACGCGTCGAACGAGACTCATGAGTTCATCGGCGTCGGTTTTGGGCAGTCTTGCTGAAGGGTCCATCTTATGAACGACCAGCGGTACCTGACCAGTTCCCAGTTTCTCGACTAGGAGGTGGCTGAGGAAGTCGTCGTCCCGGGAGAGGTCGTGAACATTCATTATTTTCGTTGGCCGCCATGTCAGAGGACCCGAGTTGACAGGCGTCGACGATGAGGACGAAGCTGAGGCCATTGGGCGCTACAGCAGCGGGGACTGTTGACGGCGATGGCGAGGGGGTTGGGGTCGGTGATGGTCTAAGGCGAAGGAAGGATTGATTCCTCAAACCGGTCGGTCGCTTTCAAGTTTGACGTCGAAAACGGATGCATAGCCCTTAGGTAAGCATCGTCATCCGTTCCTAACGGTGAGTCTGACGGCTGTTTCCCAACCTCCGACAATCGACGACGATGGGCTGTGGATGGTGAAGATTATTGTCTTCAAGAGCTCATTACAATCACCCGGAGTGCATTGCTTTCTTACTAAAACGTCAATGTTGGTTACAGTAGCTATAATACAGTGCGATCACGCAGGACACCACATGTCAATGATATACAGTCGGCAGTGCAATCATGAAGAGATGTCAGCAGGTACTCCCCAACCGGACTCAGAAACCACCACGAAGGCGGAGAACTAGGGGAACAATCAGCGCTCTGTTGAAACATGCCCAAAGGAATGACATACCCAAGTGAAGAGTACTCTCTTTCTGAATGTTATAATCCGAGAGGGTGCGACCATCTTCGAGTTGCTTGCCCGCAAAGATAAGGCGCTGCTGGTCAGGAGGAATACCTTCCTTGTCCTGAATCTTCGCCTTCACGTTATCGATGGTATCGGACGACTCGACTTCAAGAGTGATGGTCTTGCCGGTAAGGGTCTTGACGAAGATCTGCATACCACCACGGAGACGGAGGACAAGGTGGAGGGTCGACTCCTTCTGAATGTTGTAGTCGGAAAGAGTGCGGCCGTCTTCGAGTTGCTTGCCGGCGAAGATCAAACGCTGCTGGTCAGGGGGAATGCCCTCCTTGTCCTGAATCTTGGCCTTCACGTTGTCGATGGTGTCTGAGGATTCGACCTCGAGGGTGATGGTCTTGCCCGTGAGGGTCTTGACAAAGATCTGCATACCACCACGGAGACGAAGAACGAGGTGGAGGGTCGACTCCTTCTGAATGTTGTAGTCAGAGAGGGTACGGCCATCCTCAAGCTGCTTTCCAGCAAAAATGAGTCGCTGCTGGTCGGGAGGGATTCCCTCCTTGTCCTGAATCTTTGTCTTGACGTTATCAATGGTGTCAGAAGACTCCACCTCGAGGGTGATTGTCTTGCCGGTCAAGGTCTTGACGAAGATTTGCATACCGCCACGGAGACGGAGGACAAGGTGGAGGGTCGATTCCTTCTGAATGTTGTAGTCAGAAAGAGTGCGGCCGTCCTCGAGCTGCTTGCCGGCGAAGATCAAACGCTGCTGGTCGGGAGGAATTCTAGAAATACCGTCAGCCAGAGGAAACTATAGCGAGGCCGTGTGCATCACTTACCCCTCCTTATCCTGAATCTTGGCTTTGACATTGTCGATGGTATCCGAGGACTCGACTTCGAGGGTAATGGTCTTTCCGGTGAGGGTCTTAACGAAGATCTGCATGCTGGAGCAAAGGTCAGTCGAGATCACCCTGGGCGGGATCGCTGAGCAGGACGTACATGGATGGCTGTCGTTGTCGCTGTCAGAAACGATGGAGACGTGGATATGAATGGGTGGGGTACTCACACAGGCTTTGGGGATGGTAGTGGTTCGAGGTCAAGGGCTATGGATCCGGGCGAGTCAGCACACAGCTCCCCTTAATAGGTGCCGCTTTGTCATCTCCGCTGCCGAGTTACCCCATACTCGGCGTTGACGGTGTGATGGAGCCCGAGTTGCCCGGGCTCTGCTCGATAGGCCGGTGAACGTCCGGTGCTCCTTCTTCCACCTTCACCCTCGAATCCCGTAGAATCGACCACTATACAAATACCCGTTTTCAAAGGGCATAAAGATGTTCCTGGATCTCTCTCGGCTGTTCGACTCCTACAAATTGCGTCCCTGGGGGGCCTGAATCAGACCCTTGTACAACTCGAAGGGCCGGCCATTTGCTTGCAAGCGACACCATCATCGAGGTCCAGATGGAAAGCACATTGTCTGGACCTTTTCGTTTACTGGTGTTGTGAGATGGACAGCTTGCCCAAACTTGCTCCACTGAATACAGAAAATTGCCTCCATCCAGTCGATCTTCCTCGAGCACGAATATACTGCCGCCAACTTTTCATCTCGCTTGTTGAATGGAAAAACATAAACTCCTTTCTTCTCATGACATCCCCATCGGAGACTGGAACGATTCTGGAAGGGCCCCATTACATGATCTATGTGCTTCATCTGGTCTACATCTTGCGCGACAGCAAGTGACGTGATACACAAGGGCGACTTCCAATGGGGTTTTGCAGGTTTAGACGTTATCTTCACATGGAGGTTAGCTGGTTACTACTTCTTTGCAACTGGGATCTTTCTTTTCGATTTCGTCATGCGACCCTAGGTTATACCTGTGGACTCTGGCTGGTATGGTAGCTGGGGAACCTTTTTGCGATGCACCCCATCAATCAGACTGGATTAGGCGCTCAAACTGTCCACCTCCATCGTCGGATTTCCGTCGCGGCCTGGCGCGCCCCAAGTTATGTTTGGGACGGCATGGATTCGGCGCACGAATAAGAGACGGAGCTCCTCTTTCACCTTTCCTTTCGGTCATGGTTCTGGTCGGTGTCAGAAAGGGGTAAGTAAGCCTTTACGAATGGTTCATTCTCATGGCGCGTGTATTCCGATGTTCGATATACCCACCAATGAAGGACCGTCAAGTCGAGCAACAGTGGACAGATTGATCATTCTTGAGGTTAAAGAGAACACTGTAGGCACTGTTCCCCTTGTCCGTGAACATCGAGTGCTTCCTTATGGACGAAGATCGCACTCCTCGATAAGCAAACTTGATGTGGATAGAAGCCGACATCCAAGGGATGCAAACATGGGGGAAACCTTGGGAAAGGGAGCACTAAACATGCTGGATGTCATTACCGAGTCGGATGCAGAACATTCAGACCTTCTGATCACAATCGAAAGGAAAGGTCAATATGGTAATGGGACTGCAACATAACGTTGTCACCGCTTCCGCGACTAGTCCCCACTTATCTTGCTCGAGAGGGCGAATGGGGCAAGTCAGAGCTACACTTGTGCTTCCCAGATCTGGTCGTTCTCCCGCATGTCATTGGTTCAACCCAGATGCATCTCATGTTAAGAAGTAAGAAGGCGGAAGGAGCCGCAGTTCCACGATAACAGACTTCAATTTCGTGATTGGTCGATTGCTCCATTTGCTGCGAACGCCATCCAGAGACCTAAGCAAGAAGATAATCTGAACTAATGTACAATTGTTTTTTGTTTTCCCATCCCGGTGGCTAGGGTATCTTTCTATCTACAAGTAGTAAAGAAGTCACAAAACAGCCCAGGAAACAAGAGGGAGGAAAGGACATCCGGTTAAAGTTGAATTTGGAAAGAGGGAGCGGAGGTCATCATTGTAGAGGAAACATGCGTGAATGCCTAGCGTGGGCCAACTACAAATTCCAAGGATCCCAAGGAATGAGCTCCGTTTCCGTGAAAATGTGGAAATTAGCGATCAAACTGCATTTCAAGCCAACGAGTCTCCGAATCAGGGGAGTCAGGGGACCATGGCCTTCTTGCTCTCTCGTCGTCGTAAACCCCTAGGATTTCCCCACCACGCGTCAGATGATGCCAGAACACGCATTCGCCTGCTTTTAGCCGTCGAGCAGCGGGGTGTTCCTTGTGTTCTGGTGGTACTGGGGCTTCTGGATGGGATGTAGAAGTATGGTCTTGATCATAGGGGCCGTCGTCGGAAGAGGGCGGTGGATGTGATCTAGCGCTGAAATGATCGCGAAGGTGCGGATGACGTCGGTGGTAAGCTGGATTTGGGTGTTGGTGAAGAGGAGGGAGGTTGTAAGGAGGCTCCTGTGATGGGCTGTAAAACGCAGGGGACGCGTGTTCGAACGTGCGCAAAGGGGGGAACGACCGGAGTGGGACGTCCGGAGTCTCATATCCGCTCACGCCCTTCTCCCCGGGAATGTATCTCCGTTCGATGGCCACAATTTCACTTGAATGAAACACGAAACGATGACCGTTGGTCGAACGATTGGATGTCGTGACGGAGGACGTGCATCGTGTACACTATCATATGGATGGGGATCATGGCTCAGTCGAGATGTCAGGATACATCCAGAAGCATGGACTTACGGGAACCACAATCATATACCCAACGGAATTTCCACATCCATGGCAGCAGAGTGTTTGGGTTAGACACTCGCAGGTCCTAGTTGGGTTCGAAGTCCGCCGACGACGGCGTTCAGAGTTAGATTCGTCGTCGCTGGTATCCAGGGAGTATGGTGAGCAATTCGCCGGGTGAGCATCCGTCGAGTAAAGAGAGACGTTCGGGCGAAGGAGTAGGACGGCCTTGAATTGAGAATATTAAGGCTCAATCGGAACAGCGAGACGGCTGAGGCTGATGTACCAACCTTCATGCCTCTGTTAGTGAGGAACGTGCCGCACGACTTGCAGTCGAGTATCCATACTTTGTGGGCTGGTCTGGGTGGAGGAGGACTTGGAGAAGGGGACGGAAAATAGGGGTTATGGTGGTAGGACATTTTTGCGGGTTCACGGGGAGAGGCGAAAGCTAAAGGGATGGGTTTATATCTACATTTTTATATTGCCGGGGAGAGATCTGGGATCGCCAGCTTCCCGAATCTCAGGCTCAGGCAGGTTCAGGCCGAACTTGTGGCGCGTTTAGAACATACAGTTTGCCTTCCAACTGGAGGAAGCAAGCATAGACACCGAGCACTTCCAAGAATCGTCCCTCCGATCAACTGCTGACTAACCACCAATCGCTCTCATGCAAACCAACATCGCGACCCTCACAAAGTCCTACAAAGCCATCGCTGCAAAGCGAAAGGCGAAACAGAACGAGGTCAAAGAGGTTCTGTTCGACGATGAAGCAAGAAAGTACGTTCTGCCTTCTCTACCCCGATCCCCTTGACTGATCATATCTATCAGGGAGTTTTTGACCGGTTTTCATAAACGAAAAAAGGCCAAAATAGAGGCTGCACGGCAAAAGGCGAAGGAAAGAGAGAAACAGGAAAGATTAGAGGAACGCCGTGAGGTAAGTATAGTTCAAGCCTCATCTATGGAACAGTTCTCACCCCATGTGCAGCGCAGGAAAGAGCTGCGCGAGCGAGCAATAGAGAATGCCGCTCAGGTGGAAAAGGCCTACAGAGCTCAGTTGGGTAGGCATACTTCTGGAGTATTACCTACCCGTCTCCGCCACTGACACGTTGATAGGCAACGATAGCGAAGAGGAAGACGATGAATGGCAGGGAATAGGCACTTCTTCGGCAGGAAAAGAACAGGACGAAGAATACGAAGGGGAACAGGTGGTCGCCACCGTCACTGTCGTGGAAGATTTTGACCCAACAACCATTACCACTGGCCCCATCCCTCCCCAACAACCCCCGGAAGATGACGATACCTCCGATTCACCGCCCCGTCCTACCCCTTCCTCATCAAAACCAGACTCGAAGCCCGGATTGAGTAAATCCAGGCCCAAGGTCAATAAGGTGCATTACGAAACCAAACAGGCACGGAGATTCGAAAGAGAAAAACAACATAAACGCAAGCTCGAAAAGGCTGCTCTAGCGGGCAGCAAAGCTGGCAGGAAGCAAAAGTCAAAGTCTAGGCGATGAACGACATCCTTTCACTCGTCATCCCTTCCTCTTGGTTCCCAACTCCTTGTCTTGTCCTTCAGCCTTCTAATGTCGCTCTTTGTGTCACCTCCTGGAATCCAACTTGTAAGTTCGGGTCCGAACTTCGTACGCAAAAGCGTCTTCCAGGCATCTCATGTTGTTAATTCCCGACTTGCTGGGTCTCTGTCACCTAACCGTGTCGTTAATATATGCCTGGATGCCTCCTCCATCCCACGAACGGTGTGATCATTTCATGCTTTCTTGTCCCTTTTATTTAGACAGAATTCATTGAACTCTCGAGGCGCCTACACCATTCTTAGAACTCTTTTGCACCCCATCGCGGCCTGCAGTCCCAGGTGTGTACAAGTAACTCCATGCACAAAGTCATTACTCCATCGATGAAAGTGTGTGGATGCGTCTTGTGGACGTCTTTTCTTGTTTTCCGGTAACGACCGCACATGTGCTCACGAACTTCCTTAAGGTTTTACGAGATGAACGCCACCATTACCCTTCCTGTTCTCAAGAGCTCTTTAGACCCATCCGTCATATTCCCTGAAGGTTCCCGGGTTCGCGGGTTCGATTGGACACCCTGCGTGGAAGGATTTAGGCGTCCTTCGATTGGTTTTGAGGTCATCTGAGTACTTCCTGAGCATTTCTCGTGAATCTACCCATGATCCCGAGTTATCACACAGGTAACTTTATTCACCTTCCCCCTCCCGCACCATCCCGCCAATACGTACAAATGGTGTTAACAGGAATGATCTATGTGAGAGGGGGAAACAATGGTGCGGTCCGATCGCATGGTCCTCTGGAGAAGACTGAGCTCGGAGTAATTCCGTTCAAATGCATAGTCCTTACGTCGATAAGGAAGACACTACGTGCTGTTATATGGACATCGCGTCTTCGTCTTCACATGAAGCCCCTAAAATGATAAGACCGCCTCTCACGACGCTGAGCGCTGGCCACCCTGCGTTGGGTCCAAGACAAGCGCCCATGGACTGGCTGTCACGTGGACTGCCGTCCGGCGGCCGGCGGCCGCGATGGGCAGGCAGGCTGATGAACACGTTGAACGGTCACGACGACCTCTAATTCAAGCTTCGACTTGGAATCTCGGTCTATACGGCCTGAAACACAATGAACTCGCTGTACACAGCAGGCGTGCGGCAGACGAGCTCGCTACAATCTGACCTGGAAAGGCTGAGAAGCGGGGATACCAGTGCTGCTCTGTTAGGTAAATACTCTGTCCTTTTGCTACTAGGATTCATTGAATTGACAACTGAAGGTTAATCGGTGCACCCTTTTGTTAGGACAGATCTCTGCATCGTTGGCGGCCTTCAACCGCACAATTGAAGATTACGATGCCATGACCAAACGCGAGATGATTAAAGCAAAGCAAGAGAAGGCACAAATGTGAGGAGTTTCTTTACATCGAAATGACTTCAAAAAGGGCGCGCTGTAACTTCTCTTCTTTCGCAGGCGCGTGTCAAAGTTTCGCTCAGACTATCTCGAATTGCGAGGGCAGTTCGAAAAGTACAAAGGGGAGGCCACGGCAGCGGTATGTATTCAATGTAGCTTTCAAGTGCGCACACCTTCGGTTAAACTTCCCGTGTCTTTCACATAGGCCACCGCAGCACAGCGGTCAGAACTTATCTCAGCTTCAGGGACACCCATTTCACCCTCCGATGCACGACGGCGATTCCAAACCACATACCCACCGTCACAATCAACATTGCACCCTGGCCTCCGACCGCAGCCAGGCGAAACGGTAGCGGAATCGCCATTCCGGACACCAAGTGTCCAAGGTTTTTCTGCGCGGGATGCTCATGCTTTGGATGAACACACGTTCATTCAGAATACGAGTGACAGACTGGATGAGTTCTTGGCACAGGGACGGGAAGTGTTGGACAATCTCGTTGACCAACGGCAGATGCTCAAGGGTACCCAGAAGCGACTGCTTGATGCTGCCAATACACTTGGACTGAGCAGGGATGTGATTGGCTGGATTGAAAAACGAAGGTAAGTTCTCTCCCTTTTCGAATGCATTGACGGCTCTGACCTGACTGCCTGGAATCACAGCACGCAGGACATGTTCATCTTCATCTTTGGTGCAATCTTCACGTTCATTTGTTTCGGACTGATTTGGTATTACCTTGGTTAGACGGCTTGCTTTTCTGTTCTGGCTTTCGTTTTTCGTCCATGTTGTTAACCCAGACTTGTGTATTTTCTGCTAATCCGTACACTGTGACATTGAACTTTTTGAAGAGGTTACTTACTTGAGGCGCAGAGTACAGCACCGGCACCGTTAGTAGGAAGGGCTATTGCTAGTGTGGGAAGACTAACATTGCTTCATACTGCTACCACGATGTTGTTCATAACTGTCCTCCAGCTCAGCCTCTGGGTTCTGGTATGGGTCTCATGCGTTCGTGCTTGGGATCCCATCGATTGGTTTAAAGGTCGGCTTTCTCGTGAACAGTCAGAAATCACGTTTCCTGATTCCGTGGCCCCTCTCCCTGACAGGAGCCGGTATGTTGGGCTAGAAAAACGTAGGTAGTCCACCTTTTCCCTGTCTAATCCTGGTCTCATCTACTCTAATTCAAGGTCCTGGCTTCTGCTGACGTTGGTCGAGCCGCCGATATTGTTTCGGGTATCCCAAGCCGCGAGAATCTCGACCTCAGACTATCACAGGCTCTCCCTCATGTGGACATCAAGGGCCTCGAGCAAGTATACAACCACCTCCAGCAAGAGGTCCTTAGTATCAAGCGTCACCTCGAGCAAGTGCTGAACGCCCAAGACCTGAAAGAATTCACAAGGGTGTTTGCCGAAGAAATCGACCGTCACGCAAACGATCTTAAGCAAGAGTTTCATTTCTCTGGCAGCGAGGAAGACAATGACCGGAAAGAATGGGAGTGGTTGGAACGCCCTCTTGACGACGCCCTGGATCAGATTGAATCTGCGTTTATGGCCGCCTGTGACGGTACGGGAGTTGCCCATATTGGTCCTCATTTCAAACGAATCAGGGAACCCCTCAAACAGACTATACTCGGTGCTGGTGCGCTTTTGTCTCCCTCGACGCTGATCCCTTCACTCACAAATGGAATAGCCAAGGCAATCGATCGACACCCATGTCTTTTGAAAGTGCTTTTGCAAGTCTTGGGCCTACTCGTTTCCAGAGTAATGCCCCTCTCCTGGGTCGTCCGCGCACTCCTGACTGTCTTGGGTTTCGGTGTGAGCGGCCCCATTAAAGGTTGGATGTACTCTCGTATCAGCCAGACCATACCCGCTCATGCGATTTCCTTGCAGGGAGTTTTGCTGCCGCCTTCCAAAGCCGCGTCTTCAGAGGCGCGATTCCCAAGGGTAGTTGGTTCGCTTGGGGACAGAGTGCAGGAATGTCATTTGGAAATGGATTCTTGAGCTATTTGGAAAGGCCCCTAATTATTCTACCAATTCTCGCGCAGTGCGCACTCTAGCAATTGGCAGGACAATCCTACTTCCTTGTTCTTGGAATTGACGCCTTATGATCTTTCCAGAGAATGCCGCTGAAAACATATTTACAGCTTTTGGCACTTACGTATTTAGCTGCGTACGTGAGAAGCCTCGTGTCGCAAGCTTACTTATAGGAAGGTCGCCCACAGCAGCTCTCAACATTCTTCGCTTCTTCACAGCCCCTTGCTACAGGAAAGCCCTGAACGATGCAGTTCAAAATCCTTCATACGATAATTCTATCTTTCTTAACTGCCTTGATTCTCAGCAGCTTCGTTTCCGCTATTTCGCCTGGGCAGTTCGTTCAAGAGGGTAAGCGCCCGTACACGTTATCATCCGCCATCGATTCCAACTGACCTTGGCGGACACCAGTCCTTTCTAATCGACATGGTGAGTAGAATCGAGCAGACCTTCCTCGAATTATCGTCCTCACGTAACATTAGCCTCACTTAGCAGATATGTATCGACCACTGTCGCGCCGACCTTGGAAGACGTGTGGCGCAAGATCGTTGAACAGAGCCAAAAGGCATTCGCAGTTTCCAAAGTCCTTTTAGAGGAGGGGAAAAAGGAATTCAAGGACGTCTCCCTCCAGATTGACGAGTTCAAATCCCACATGGAAGAATTCATCGAGTTTTCCAGGACTTTCCGTCTGGAAATACAAGATGCGCTGAGGAAGGAAGGCTTCACTGAAGACGGATGGTCGGATGCCCTATCTCGCGAGATGGAGAAGGTTGTCGAGGCCATCATGAAAGAGTTCGAGGACCCCTTACCTGAAGACCAGGACGAAAGGTATCGCCAAAGGGAGAAGATGATTTCGTTTGCCCTTGATGAAATCGAGAAGGGATTCATCAGGGCTTGTGCGTTGCTCAAGATCCCTGAACCCGAAGCGCGGGCCAAGTTTGCTTTCATCCGCCCCAGGCTCCAGCATTATTTTATGATTGCGGGTACGTTCGCCAGCTTTTTCCAGGCGCAGTGGACTCATGCGAGGAATCAGGAAATATAATCGAGCGCCATCCCCAACTCTTCAAGACGCTCGTAATCTCTGCTGTCTGCATGCTCGTGGTAGAGCCTCTCATCTTCATCCCGGTTCTCCGTGTATTTGGATTCGGGGTCCTCGGCCCCGTGAAAGGTGAATAGTCGTCTTCTCAACTCAACAGACAAACTCCCGAGAACTAACAACCGTGGACCAGGGTCTGCAGCAGCTTGGTTACAGCGCAAGTTTTGGCGAGGGGCCGTAGAAAGCGGCAGTTGGTTTGCTGTGCTTCAGCGTGCTGGCATGAAGCTGACGGCGGGATGGGGCTGGAAAGTCATAGTAGGCATTGGGGCAGGAATCGGGGTTATTGGTGGAGGACGTGGCTGTCGTTAAGTGTGCTTCGAGAGCGATACGCCAACTTCCTTGTTGTCATTACGAAGATCTGTAAATAAAGACATACATAGACACAGGTCTATAACCAAGCGAACAGTAACCAAGAAAACACGACAGCGATAACAAGGGTATATAAAAGGATCCAAGGACATACATTAATCTAGTCGTCAAAACCTTTGCCATAATGGCTTTGAAAGGCTTGCATTGCCTGGGTAGAACTAGTTGACCCTCCCCCCATCATACTCATCATAGCGAACATAGGAGAAACCTCGTCCCGCTGTGCCGCCATCCTTCTACATTCTTCCAGCAATTCGCGGAGTTCTGCATTACGGTTCTCTGTCGGTAGTGGTGGTATTTTGAAGCCAAAGCTGCCCATTTCCTCTTCATCGCTTTCTTCGTCATCATCCTCCCCTTCTTCATCCTCCCCCTCTTCTTCGTCATCTTCTTCGTCATCTTCTTCGTCATCGTCGTCCTCTTCATCGCTGTCTTCGACGTCTAGGCTGTCGTCGCCGTCGTTGAGAACCAAGCTAGGTCCATCGTCGGGGTCAGGTAAGTTGCCCAGAAGGTCCCCTGTACAATCCTCCAGACGGATACCCTCGCCAGTGCATCTATCCCACCACCTCTCCCATCTTTCCATACCACCTAGTTCCCTGGAAGGCTGACCTGCCTCATTTAACTTCAACAACATCCCCTGGTTCAGTGCGCGAATGCGTCTGAGGTTGGGGAAGTTCTTCCTGTTAAGTGCCGCCATATTCATGTCATTCGACCGCTGCATTATTCGGGAGTGGGTCAAGGTGGCGGTCGCAACAGCCAAGCCCACTCCAAACGCGTGGGTCAGCCCATGTAGGCCTATTGTCGTGATAGTGGGGCGGGGTCGTCGAACAAGCTCGCTCTCGATATCGTTGTTGGGGATGATTCGCCAATCAGCGTTGAAGGTGAACGCGTGGAGTTGGGGGCAGTGATCTAGAATCTTGGCGATGTCTACTACAGACAGGACATCCAGATCCAAGAATTCCAGTCCTTCGCCATGCTCGGCCAGGAATCCGACCAAGTCGCCGATACTGCCCGTATTGACCCCACTGTTAATGGAAAAGATCTTCAAGGCTGGCATCGTCCATCCTATAGCTTGTTCCAAGAATGCCTGAGTATAGCCCTTGATGGTGAGTTGGTGGAGGTGTTTGAGGTTAAGCGGGTAGTCGTAGGCAGATCCCAAAAACTCTGAATCCTCTTCGTCTTGCTTGTCATCGTTATTGCAATCGGACCCTTCTAATTCGATGTAGGCCACCACGATGTGCTTCAATGAATCCAGCGCCCATATAACTTTGGCAAGGTCCTGTCGCGGAACGTTCCAGGTGATTGACCGCAGAGACTTCCTGGAGTATGTCTTGAGAGCATCTGCTACCGGACCGAAGGCATCCTTCATTGGCCATTCTACGTGGAATATCTCCAGGTTGGGGCAATGACTGATGATGAGAATGAAGGCCTCTTGCATGTCCTCGTTCGTGAACCCTTTCTCTTCAAGCTCCCAGGGGGAGTAACGACCGACATATAGTTTGCGAGTCCACCATCCAAGGGACGATGTGACGGTTGTGGCGTTGGCTTTGGACGATTTGAGGATCTCGCAGAGGGTGAAGAGCTTCGCCGGGCTATGGAAGAACAAACAGCGGAACATGAGTTCAAAGGCGACTTCATGCCAGCGTTTGCAAGTCAACATGATAGCCTGCCCAGTCATCGTAAGCCTCTGAATACTTTGAAAGGGCACCCATCTGCCTTCGTCCCATTCCTTACATACCTTCTTCGTTCGGTAACTTCTCCTCATCAGGAGATTAGCTGCCTCCTGAGGTGACCTCAATGTCCATTCTCCATTAAAGTGTTTAAACCATGATGAATTGGCCAGGCTAGTCGGGTGTCCGTGTTGAAATATGAGGTCCTCGTCGGACGCAAGTGTGAAGATTTGAGTCCACACTTCTGAAGGAATCAAGTCCATGGCTCGTGTCTGTAGGCGTATCAGCACAGTTCCAATATCTGTCCCTCGGTTACGCACCTGTTAACTTGACTGCCTCGAAAGTAAAGTGGGGGTTCGGAACAACCTGCCCCGCCACCCTTCAAACGAACACACCCCTCCCATTAAGGGGATAGCACCATTTATAGTAATCCGCCGACGTCTAGCCACCGTCGTCCCATTCCCACGGATCCGTTCCGTGGGCGCTTAAAACATACACAAACGGGCAGGAATTGGTTGGACAGAAATTCAACTTTAAGTATGATAGGTAGTCAATGTTAGCATGGAACTAGATAGGCTATATGGAGAGCATGCTAGATCGTAGCGACTACTTTACTTTTGCGCGCTTACTCTTGCTCTGCTCCTCCTCATCCTCCTCATCGCTGCTTTCCTTACGTTTGCGGGGCGGGGCCTTTTCACCCTTCGCCCTTGGTTCATCTTCCACAGTCTCCTCCTCATCGCTGGAGGCAAAGGGATCACTCGCTTTGGCTTTCTTCTTGAGCTTGGGTTTGGGCTTCGCCTTGGACTTATTCTCCTCTGTGCCTGCGCCCTCCTGAGTGGCAGAACCCTCCTTCTCCGCTGTTCCTGACTTGGCGTTGTTCTCTGCTTCTTTTTTCTCCGAGAGCTCAGAGAAGTACGCTTCTTTCAAAGACTAGTGATTCGGCAGTAAGTATGTTGCTCATTGAGTTGCGACCATGACCCACCTTGATTTCAGCGTCAGGGAGAAGTGCCGTGTTCTTCCAAACCTACAATTCCTGGTTTAGAAAGGCGTCAACAATTGGGGTAGCTCAACTAACCGTTGATTGAATTCCGCTAGGATGTTTGCTATCAATTCCCAACATTGTGTAAAGGTCGGATTTGACGCCGCTAAGATTCAAACCGTGATTTCGTAGCAGAACCTTCATGACCTACGGGATGCCAAGTTAGACTTATTCAGTAAGGTGTCACAGGTGTAATTTTACCTCGAGAACCTTTGGCTTATCATATACGTCGGGAATGTAAACGCAAATGATGTGCTGGTAATGTTGGCTTTCGGTTTCCGGTGAGGTCGCGACTTTCGCGGAATACGCGCAGGTTGACGACAGAGGGCCAGAGATAAGAGAGGCTGGTTTAAGCAGAGTCTGTCAGTGATTGGGTCCAATATGAGGAACGACAGCACTCACTAGCGACTGTAGACCAGATGGCGTCAACTTTGTCTGGTGGCGCGAAGACCAGCCTGAATTATGCAATGAGCTTGGCGACAGGAAGACGTAAGAAATACCATAAATTTACCATTTCCCATTGACATATTTATGTTTTACGGAAATGGCTTCCAACTTTTGAGTAGCCTCCGCTTGTGCCTGTAAGAGGGAACCAGATGAGAACATGACGTGCGCATTGGAGCGGTGAGCTGCCATACCGCTTCGCGAACCTCCTTCTTGCTTTTGACTCCGGTCTTCTTACTTCCGCGTACGGGAATTGAGTCGTCGTTCTGTTTACATTGCTGTTAGAGTCGGCAGCATCGTGGTTGAAGAGATGTACTGAACCTTGATGCTTTCCACCTTTTCAGTGAGGGCTTTCACTGAAGGTCCTCGGCTTTAGCTACTCTATCCCGCACGGCCTAGAAATACACCTACGGATTTCGCCCCCTTCGGATAGGGCTGCTTCTTCATTTGTCGACTCATCCTTGGCCAGCGATTCGCGGTGGACCCAGATCCACTAGATGCAAGCAAAACTCAGTGCTGAGCGCACAATAGAGGCTCCTCTGCTCTTACTGGCTTCGTCCCATCATCCTGCACCATTGAAGGTCTGAACTAATTAAGAAAGTAAATCTTCAGCATCTGGCAGTCGCGACAATTAGGTTTGACGAACCTTTCTGAGGAACTCCTCCAACGGCTGTTCGGATTCATTAGACGGTGACCAGGAGTACTTGTAGCCACTTGGGACTGTATCGTCGTTTTTGGGTGCCATTTTGCGGTTTGACTGTCGAATAAGGGGCAGTTGGACGCACAGGCGCGTTGGGTCGTCCAGATGAGAGTCGCGTCACTGCCAAGCTTTGATGTTGAAATGTAGCCGAGGCTGTGTCGCGTTGTTGACGTTGCTTTGGCTCGAGGTTTGGTGGGCGCTTAACAGTTTGTCCGAGGGCTTGACCCGACTGCGCTACTGCAAGTGGTCACGACAGACTCATATCGAGATGGGGGACTAATTTGGTTTATTAGAGCTTGTATCCTGACAAACATTGACACCTTGAAGTAATTTGGGTTACCGAGACCGCAATGGGGCACGACCTTGCCATCCCAACACACATGTTTTATCCGCCTCTTCCCTCCAATCCTCGACCATTTTCACGAACATTCCATCCACTTTCCCTTGCTCCCTGAGTCTGTTCATCCGCCTCATATTTACATTCCAGGGCTTTCCTCCCGCCGAAAAGTGGATAACTTGGCTCTCTTCCTCCCACAGTCCCTGCAGCCCTTTCGTTTTGTTCTGCATCCAGTCCGGAAGCTCAGAGCTCTCCCAGTGAGAGTTGAGGGTGCAGTAAGACCCAGGAAGTACAAGCATCCGTGAGGGATAGAAGAGTCGATTGACCAGGTCCATATCGTACTCTTTACTCCGGATCGTAGTGAGTGCCGTCGTGACCTCTTTCGACAGACGTTTTGAGAGGGAGATCACCATCAACGCCGAGGTGGTATATTCCGTGTTCTCGAGCCAGTAGGCAACGGGTGCAGCTACCTCCACCTCTGGAAGGTGGAAGAGGTGATGAAGTGGCTTTCGTATGATCTGGTCCGAGTCCATAACGATGATGCGCTTGAGATCAGGCAGCTGTTCTTGCAGTTGGAATGCTCTCAACTTGAGTAGGGCAGACCAGTAGTAAGCGTCGCCTCCACCTGCCAGCGGAGGGGGTTTCAACTTTACGATTGTAGTGTTGAAGCGTTGAAAGGGGACGAGATTCCGTGGAAGGAAGGTGGGTGGGACCATCAAAACGGTCGAGATTCCCGGGGAGAGGGAAGAGAGCTGCTTGATTAGAAGTAGGGCACCGCAAGCGTAGCCCGCATTGGTGGCGTAGAAAACGAAGGCAAACGGATTGCCATTGGGGATCGGTTGGTCAGAAGAGGAGAAAGGCGCCCGGATAGTTGTTTCTGGGATGGAATAGAGATAGAACACCACGGCTAGTAGGAGTGTGAAGGGAAGCAACAGAGCGATAGCCCCACGTCGTGCTTGATTTCCGCACCTCATGGGTGCCAGGGACCAGCCAGTGTAGGCGTAGGGAGATACTTGACCAGTATCGCTGATGAGATGCAGGGAGCAATGACCACGCGCTCGGTGTTTGAGCTCGCTGGCCAGCGCCAAGGATGCGTGAGCGCTGATTTTCCGGCCTGGTCACACTTGGGACAAAATCTTGGCATTGGATATACTGATACAATGTACATGTACTAGTAGTACATGCTCGCCGATATCTACGCTCCTGACCCGCGGGTGGTGATACAACAACTATGAGCTCTGATAAAACATGGACGCCTAAGCCTTCAGCGCAGTGATGATCCTTGACGACTTCCTCCCTTCTGACCATGAGTGATACCAGGGCATTTTCGACGTTCTCCTGGGACAGGAAGTTCAGCGCCAGGTGGTAAGGTCATTGGGGTGGCAACGACTGTGACTTCAAGGTCCTCCAAGTCGACAGGAGTTCCGTCAGCCTTTGAAGCAAGGAGTCAGTCCTCCGTGCCCAGTCCAGGGATAATACATCACTCACCTTCTGAATACGCCAAGAAAGCTCACTGGTCAAATACGGCTCCACAACGTCTGGGCTCAGGTCAGACAAGCCGGACTTCTGGAGGATACCTTTGGTCAAGGACACGAATCCTTCTTCAACAATGTTGACCTGGCCGCGGCAGTTGGCGCAGCTGCTGGCAGCACTATTGACAAAGGCGTAATGACATCCGACGAGGTTCTCGTTGGTAAGCCATTCTTCAGAGTTCTCGTCGTCGGGAACAGCACCAAGGAAGAGAAGGACGTAGAAGCTCGTGCCCAATTCGTATTTCTTGAACTCGACACGAGCCGTCCATTCCCAAATGTCCCCGGGTTGACCTCCAGGGTTGACTTCAAAGTTGACTTCATTGTCGTCCTCGTGGGCCTCGCCATTGGACTTGGGCTCCACAGCGTCTGCAGCTCGTGACTCAGCCGCCGGTGTACGAAGTGCTGCTTTGGTCCTTGAAGCTGGAATGGGTTTCTGAGCCGAGTCAGCGCCTGAGACGAACGAAGCAAGGCGGGGAATAGCTGTAGTTCCTCCGTAAAGACGAGTGATGATTCGGGAGATTGCGGTGCGGACAGCTTGCGCATTGCCCATATCAAGTCCATTGAATTCAGGGTATGTGTAGCCGAATCTTTCTGTGGTTGTAACATTGCTGGATGCCCAATAGGTGGTTTCCGTGTTCCAGAAGGGGGTGAGGGCTGCATGAACGTCAGTATATATTGCATACTTTCAAGCGGACTTGTCTCACGGGTATCGCGATTGACCGGCACTTCTGGTCGAAGTGTAAAGGATCCATCTTCGGAGTCCCCAGGACTAACGCCGACTCCGGGGTTCATCGCAGTCCACAATGAGAGCAGGCGGTCCACGTTAGTATGGTGAAGAAAGAAGAGTGGGTCGAAGGCTAGACCATGTGTCAGCCCGTGTCTTCATGCGATGGTACCGTTCGAAACACTGACCAGCAACACCAGGATCACCCATATGCCCGCCGACGAGACCATGTATGAGGTCGTGGATGATCTCGATACTGTTACTGTCACTCCCACCGTCGCTTACGGTATGGCTGCTGAACTCGGGCCATCTACGAACACGGGTTAACATGTTGAAGGTACTGGTGGTGATACCAGGTTGCGCCCGGCGAAGGACACTACGACATTTGGAAAATTGAGAAAAAAACAGCGTTCTCATGTAGAGTGATGAAACTTACGTTCGAAGTCGCGCTACATTACTAGAGGCACCAGGTCCACCTGACGTCGGCTGACGAAGGGTAGTCGGCCATTGTTGATACATCCTGGGGAACGTGGGTTCCATTGGTTGGAAACGATACGCGAGAAGTGGGTTTGGGACAGAAACACGCTGTCCCCTTGAGTTGGTGATAGTCACTTGCTGTCGCTCAATGACCTCGGCCGGTGGGACGGCGTTGGTAGCCCAGTCCCAGTATGGTTGTCGCAGGTCAGCAGCAGCTCTCTGCCATTCCTCTCTGTCTACAGTATACTGGGCGGCTATATCTTGCGCGTGGCGCCATAAGGTTTGCTGTTCACGACATCAGCTGGGTTAATTTCAAAAGCAATTGCATCCTTACTTCAAAAAGGGCCATATATGGCCTATGCCAGGTTGGGAAGAGAACAGACCCGTGGACGCAGTACCCGCCCCATTGGGTGGCAGGGTTGAATGGTGCGGTACCGGTGGACCCGCCCCAAGGAACGTAGGGCAGCCCATGGATTCCCGCGATTTGGAAGAAGGACGTTGGGAAGGTTTGAGGGTTACCGGTATACATACGCTCTAGAACAATAACATATTAACATCAGCACTGCTGGCAGAGTTGATGTGAGAGCACGTACGAAGAGCTTGAACGTAGAGCGAGAATTGTTTCTCATCTCTAACTAGATCATTTATCTCGCGACGGTTCGGTGCTGAACCACCTGAAATCCCAGAGACGATGATTCGAGTAGACATGATGATGATGGGAAAGTCGCTTGGTCCTGCGCACGGGAAGGGAGTGCAAGATACAATGCTGGGGGATGTGGGACTGGGTACATGGGTTTATAATCCCTCTGATAGGAGGGGCCCAGGAGCGGCAACGTCAGGTGGTTCCACAAGATTTCCGGAGAACCAGCTACAGGTTGTCGCAGGGCCTTCGAGAAGAATGGGAATGAAGCCAATGCTATGAAAGATTGGATTGATTCGCATTGGTCCGCCGGGGATCTTTTGTAACCGATAATTTCGTCGACGGGGCCCGTACGTTACTTCATTTCCGCTTGACACAGTTGGATACCTGAGGCTGACCTGGAGGCGTCAGGTGGTGTGCATTGTACGGCAGTGGGGATGCCCTGCGGAAGGAACGGCGGACATTCCGGCTTTCATGTGTCCTGAGTGAATAGTGAGATGCCTTGCTTCTAAGTCGAATGCGCTGGCCCTAGACCTTACCCCAACGTAAAACAGGGAACCCCGGGTCGCTTTCAGTTTAGACACAGCGCCCATCTAGGGCTTCGAGGCACCTAGCAGTGAACTGCGATCTACTTTCTCCAATAGTGAGGTAGCGGAAGGCTGGCCAATCTATCCCGGTAGGCATTTTCGTCTTCTTCGGAGAGTTGCGGTAGGAGTGAGCGCAGCCCGAGGAAGAGGGATTCATGCGAAGGGTAGGAAGAGAGTAATTCCCACAGTAGTGAAGCTACTATTGCAGGGGAATGACCTAGGCCTGTTTCAAATATGCCGCTCGTGTCCGAAGAAGACGGATGTGTGGCGGAGAGGTTATAGAGAAGGCTATTGGCCAAAAGGAAGTGGTGTATGGCGCTGAAATCGGAGACATGCGTCTTGATCCATTCATTCAGTCGTTGGCATTCTTCCACCATGACAGCGAGTAATTGTCCTTGGATGTGGGTGTCAGATAGTGTGTAACGGAGCATTGAATGGCAGCCGTCGAACACGAAGTGCCAATGAGACCAAGCGTGATAGTTGCGGGGGTATATCGCGCAAGCAGCCCGGATTAAGGTAAACTCTGGGGCGAATGCTTCCACGGGTAGGTTGGGGAACATAGAGGCTTCTGCATGTGATGACCAGCTCTCTATAGGAGCATTCGCTTGACAGGTAGGCTCAGCATGAATTTGGCCGTACGCCTGCTTCAGGCACCATCGCCGATGATCCCATAGGATCGTCTCCTTCGCGCATGTTTTGATTCCTCGTAAAAGCAAGCCGGTTAAATGCAGTTCTCGGTGGACGTCCAGCTGGTGAAGAAGGATAAGTCGCTTTCGCGCATTCAATGCTGTCTGGTGTGCCGGGTTGGTGATCATGACGCAAGTCGTTTTGTCCAGGATTTCTTTGAATCGTTCGTTCAGCGCACGAGAGAAGTTGTGGGAGTAGGCATAAGCGCGATAAAGTACTTTCTTTGGTATCCCAAGATTCTTGTCCACCAAGACGAATGGGAATTGGGCCGTGGGTGGGTTGTTTTCCACCCCTGTGGAACTCCAGTCGGACCAATCTCCAGGTACAATCTCCAACGAAGAGCTGGAAATTGAGTATATAAGTAAGGAAGTCAATGTCTTGTATATGGACATACGTGTCCTGACTGAGTACCAGCGAGCTTAGTGTCGAAAGTATTTCGTCCATGGTAGGCGCCGTTGAGGATGTTGTGGGAGTGTTTTTTCAAAGTGCCCGTCGACGTTGGATCAATCCGGGGTCTATTTGTCTTTGCTTATGAGCGCTGCGAGTCTTGTACGCCGAGCGCTTCCATGGAAGAACTCTCTCTCCTGTCGTCAATTCCAACGATTCGACAATCGACTGCGACCCTTCTCGCAGATTAGCAGTCGAAACATCGGGACCAGCACCCCTTGCTTGTCCCCGTTGGATTCTTGGTTGAGGACAAAAATGGCACCCACCCACAAACCCCTCGAGTTCGACGATGGTCCTATCGTTTGGGTCGACCTTGAGATGACGGGGCTCAACCCTCAGAAGGATAAGATCATTGAGATAGCAGTGAGTCGTTCAGGAACTCGAGACGCGTACCAAGGTGCTGACGCGACGGACAGGTCTTGATCACCAATGGGAACTTGGAACTCGTGGACGATGGCATCCAGTATATCATTCGGGCTGAAAAGAGCCTTTTGGACGGGTCAGTGTTGCTCTCTGGACTCGCCATGGATCTACTTTGACCCTCCGGCATAGAATGGACGAGTGGTGCACGAAACAACACGGTCAGGTGCGCGAACTTTGACTGTCTTGCCACAATAAGACTGACGGGATTTCCTGTCCAGTCTGGCTTGACCCAAGCCTGCTTGAGGTCGCCATACACGACCGAATATGTGAAGAAGGAGGTTCTTGCCTATATCAAAAAGTGGATTCCACGTCAGAGAGTCGGCGTACTTGCGGGCAACTCAGTTCACGTCGACCGGACTTTCCTGGCTGCAGAAATGCCCGAGATTGTCGACTGGCTTCACTACAGGTATAAGAAGGGCCCTGCTGTCTTTTTTATACACCTTAACTGATCCCCTTCTGCGACATCCTCCAGGATCATCGGTTAGTGGGTTGCCCCTTCCGTTAGCCCTTGGATTAACAAACAATCTCCAAATCAGATGTATCATCCGTCAAGGTAGCTCGCCTTTCGGTCTCTCCTTTTGATGTCAGCTCATATGAACTCCAGGAACTGTCTCGTCGATGGTTCCCCAATAAGGTCCCGCCAAAGAACCCCGAAAGCTCACATCGGTATGGTATCACCTTCAAAGGTAGAAGGCATGCTTATCTCCCTATGCAGAGCTCTCGACGATATCCAGGGATCTATACAAGGTCGGTAGCATTCGTGGCTATCGTTAACCGACATCTGACCGCATGTATATGGTAGAATTGAAGTGGTACCGCGAGAACATCTTCATCCCTCCCGATGAGTCTACGGCCACCGCGAATCACTAACGATAAATGCTGAAGGTAGGGCGAACCCCTCTGCCGATCTAAACAACCACCATGTCCCGTTCCAACATGATGTTCGAAACTTGCGTCTTTCGATTCCGAGGCCAATAATGATACATGTTGCTGAATACATTTACAATGCTGAATTATACATCGAAAGCCGACATCTTTAACAAGACGTCCACCCAACCCAAAGCTCAAAAGTCCCATAGTGTTCCCTGTGCGCGCGTCAGCTCCGTCACAAACCAATAAACTTTTGCAAGGACATACAAATGCAGGAATCCCCGCCTCCTTGCAGCCTTCCATCATCTCCCTATTACCTTGATAATTCGAGGTGATAAAGACGACCTCCGCCCCCCACGAGTAATACGCCTCCTTGATCAGCTTCATAACGTCTGGTCTCCCTCCTGAAAGTTAAACGCGTAAGCTCGGGTCAAGTCTTGATGATAGGGCCTCTAAACTGACCTCGAGCCTTCGAATCCCATAGAGTGCACCTCTCAGGTTCGATATTGCGTTTAATGAGCCCAGAAATCGTCGGGCCGAAGGTCTTTTCCTGGTCCGAACCAATCCATATCAGGTACCTGTCAAAATTAAAGAAAAACAAACGTTTTGTTAGTTCTCGAGTCAATTTCAATAGAAAAGTCGCGACTAATGGGAGATCTGCGGATCAATGGGAAGTAAAGAAGGCTGAGCTGAGCTTACCAATTGGGATTCTGGGGTTGGGACATGTGAGTTTGAGCACAACGACTGAAGTACAGAGCGGGAAGAGCTTACCTGGATACATGTCGACAGTGCTGCACCGAGGCCTGTTCCGGTGCAGACACGGATTCCTCGCCGATATAATGTTGAAGTGTTAGAAACTCCGGCAAACTTTTTAAAGGGACGGAAAGCGGAATCAAATTAGTGAGGTCCACACACAAGAAGATCGTCAGAAATGACCCACCTTGAGTTCTCGTGTCCAAATACGGGTGGGTGGCCTCTCCACAAGTGATCTCGTAAAGTCCCCTTGTACCCCGCAAATGAGATAATGATAATCGGCGTGCTTCCCCTCCCTAAAACCCCAGACCAAAAACAGCAGTTGAAGGAACCGTCACAGTCACAGATAACGAGGAAAGAGGTAATGTTTATGAGCCCTGCGTCCTATGCGGAGGAAAGAAAGGCAAAAGAACGTACGAAATGATACCAAAGGCATGGTACTCCATAATTGAACTTCGGCTTATCCTCGCGAGTAGACCTTGTTGCATGCCTCTTCGGAATCGGAGGATTGCCACTTTGGGAGAAGGCTGGAGGGGAGAGGGTAATCAATGACCAAAACCGGGTGAAGCATAGAACAAGTTCGAGACTTACGATCTCGACATCTACTTTGACTTCTCGAATAGTGAACCAGGGAATGAGGACGCTAGAGCAGACTTCTAAGTCTGCGATTTCCCTCCGAACAACGAGTACTCACAAGATTGTCATTCCCAGAGCGAACCAGAAGTCTTGGGAGCGGACAATTCGCAGTCCATCAGGATTCCATGTATGGGTGGCAGGGTCGTAGCTGTCGCCCAAGATGACGAAGATCCACGCTAGCAGGAAAAACTAAGAAGTGTTATCAGATAAGGAAATGCATCTACGTACTGGCAATGAGACCTAGCCATCCCATGAAACGATGGTGTCGTTCGAAGATGCTGGAAAAAAGGTATTAGAATAAAACTCCACTCCACGATTCATCCGAGTCTTACTTGTGATGTGTGTTTCTAACCCAAGGGAAAGCCGAGGCAATGGAGATCATAACGATAATATTGGTGATGACGCCCATGACCAGAACCGAGGAATGGTTGATTCTGTGGTTAATAAGGATAGTCACCACTCGATAAAGCAGCCAGATGCAGCCGGACGTCGCGCAACCAGAGTGAATGCCGCCGAGATGTTGGAGAGCGGAGGTACAGCCGAGTCTGAACTGGAGAGGGGGCCACTGGAAAAACGGCAAAACCATATTAGCACTTCATCGATTCTCAGCGGGCTCGAAGATGAGAGGAATACTAGCGTACCTTGGCGAAGAGTGTGTTAACCAGGAGATAGAGGAGTCGTCCGAACGCTTCATTTCGAATAAGGATAGCAACGTAAAGGTTACCCAGGACCATAGCACCAGTGTACCGACGAGGATAGTCCCAGACGCCCGCGATGGCAAGGAATAGAGATACCAAGTTGAAGGTTATGACCACTGTGAAGAACTTCCTGCACGGAAATGCCCCAGTTCAGAAAGGAAGTCCGATGGTAGAGGAAAGAATATAGCGCACCGATATGTGTTAAACCACAACTGCCATCGGATCCATCTGCTGACTTGCGACTTGTATTTGAGTTTGTGTTTCGGAGTGAGCACTGGACGCGGACGCGAAACCTCCTTGACCTCGACAGCGGTTCCTTCAGGTATAGGAGGTTCTGTCTTTGGATAGTCGGAGGCCTTGGGTTTAGGTGCGGGTGGGATGGCATGTGCGGGAGGTTCCGATGTGGCTGAAGTCGACGACGTCGTGGTGTTGACAGTACCGGCTTCGCTAACCCATGAAGTTGAAGGGGCGATTTGAAGAGGGATGTTGACAGCGTAGGGTTCCTGTTGGGGAACGCCTTGTTCTGCATCATTCAGTGGGTTGGGTCGTGCGGGGCGAGTCATGGTGGGGAGGAGGGAGGGGTATGGAAGAGGCAGACAGGCGTCGCAGGCGTGGAGGGGTTGGACGAGTTACTAGGCTGTCATGCACAGTAGATGGTTTTCACCATCCACATAAATACCTTCGACTGGTACAGGCGTGTATAGGACACGATCCTAAGTGACCGTCTGCTGTGTGCCCTAATCTATGGCCATGAGTATATCAGAGAATTTGCCGAGGTGAGGGCATAGGCATGTTCACCCGAAGTGAACGCGAACATATTGGTTCCTCGTGGAATTGGGTTGATGGGACCGGACAGATTTTTCGGAACGAATGAGCTTCTGAGAATTCCGGAGGAAATGACGGCGGACCATCAAGACCATTAACTAGCAGGCGCGCAATAACGACCATGTTCCCGACCGATAATCTACGGTCCAGAAACGCTTCCAGGTCTTGGTTTCGAGGCTCTAATTGCAATGGCGATTGCCACAAACTGGACGTACACTGCTTGGTAGACGATGATACACCGATTTCTTTCCACGGATATACAACATTGGTGGAACGCGTCGATAGTCTGTGTTCTGCATGGTTTAATGGATAGCGATCGACAAACGACAAGCAGGGGTGCGCCTGCCGTGCGGCATCGACTAGGAGAAGGCCACAAGTAATACCAATTCAGAGCAGAATCTGTTGCTTACCTCGAAGAACTTTGAAGCCGTGTCGTCCGCGTAGTGCAGGAAGGCCAAGGTTTCCAGTGTCTGCTCCGTTCGTTACGGTTTATCTCGATTGAGATAATGTTCTGCCGACGATTTAGATACAGGCTCCTTCGCAGAGATGTGGCTGCAGTATCGATCATTTCTTGCACAACCAGAGGATCTTGGAGAAGGGCGAGAAGGGCAAGGCTAAACGCAGCTTCCAGATGGGGACTTCTGAACCTCGGACTGATGACGGGATAATTGACATCACTGCAACGCGACGATAAAAAGGGACCGATACGAGGGAGGGTGGAGGGGACGGAGGGAGAGGGTCAATTATATGGTTACCGAAGGAAACAAAAGTGGCCCTGTCGAGTAATAGAGGTATGTTTCGGTGTCTGAGAATTACCCCAGAGACCGGAGCAGTCGAAGATGCGGGGTAAAATGTCGGGGAAGTAAACAGTTTCGTCGGCGCAAGGTTGGCGAAGACCTCGCTCCATGGCGACCTCGAAGCATCCAGAATACGAGATGTAGACCGCTAACTAGAAAGAAGGTGTTGGCAGGAGGGCCACGCGACAGTGTATACAATCGCAGAGGTGGAAGCTCGGACGCGACGCGAATGATGGCAGCCATGGTCGAGACAGAATTAAACGCGCGTTAGACGTTTCCAAAATACACTCACGGAATTCTCAGCCCTGTCTTGGTCGATTTCACGCTGCTCGACGCATCATAACTTGGCGACATTTTTTTCTCGGATGGCGGGAGTCGGAAAATATTTACTGAGGGATCGACCGCCACCGTTTGTCCAAAATCCAGGTGAGAGCCTCACAAATAATGGCTTTGGCGTCGTCTACCTACGCACAGCGTAGGGTTGTGTGACTGTCGAAGCGATGGCAGCAGCGAATAAGGATCGTTGTGGTCAATAGGGAAGAAGTTTCGGCCGTAAGGATCAAGGGATGTCGGACTTGGCTGGTTGGCGCGCCGAGTCATGTTAGCGCGTGGTAAATTTGTGCTGGGGCAAAATAAAAAAGAAAAGGGTCCGCTCAGGCCAGCGCTTCGTCGTCTTGTCTTTCTCCTTCCCAACGTCGGGCTCGCCAACATGGCTCTTGCTCGCCTCCAGTCTCTGGGGCGACAAAGCTTCCTTCGCCCTTGCATACGACCATTCTCGACAACGCCAACGTCAAGGTTCACCAACTCAAAACCTTGCAACGCCGTCGCTGCTCCCGCTGTTGGGGATTACCAGCCAAAGGACGGGGAACATGTGTTGAACTCTCCTTCAGAAATCGCCAGGCGTATCTCTGCAAAGGTACTGCCTAAGATTCCCCGTGCCAACGTCCAAAAGGTTCTCGTCGTCGGCAGTGGAGGCCTCAGCATTGGTCAAGCTGGTGAATTTGACTATTCCGGTTCCCAAGCTCTCAAGGCCCTCAACGAAGAGGGTGTCTCCGCCGTTCTCATCAACCCCAACATTGCTACGTGGCAAACATCTCACCAACTTGCTTCCGAGGTCTACTTCCTCCCCATTACTGCCGACTATGTCGCGTATGTTTTGGAGAAGGAGCGACCGGATGGTATCTTGTTGACTTTTGGTGGCCAAAGTGCCCTCAACGTTGGTATTGCACTTGACCGCATGGGTATCCTCGACCGTCTTGGTGTCAAGGTTCTCGGAACGCCTATTCGCACTCTGGAAGTGTCCGAGGATCGTGACCTCTTCGTACAGGCTTTGAAGGGTATGTCCTTTCCACTTCTCGAGTTAACCTCATCTCACATCACTGCACAGAGATTGACATTCCCGTTGCGACATCGACCGCGGTGTCGTCAGTCCCTGCTGCACTTGAGGCAGCGGAACAAATTGGTTATCCCGTCATTTTGCGATCGGCTTTCACTCTCGGTGGTCTCGGTTCTGGTTTCGCCAACAATCCTGAGGAATTGAGCAACCTTGCTGCAAAGAGCTTGAGCTTGTCTCCCCAGGTTTTGATTGAACGATCCATGAAAGGCTGGAAGGAATTGGAATACGAGGTCGTTCGTGACGCTGCGGACGTGAGTTACGCTTTGCCTAACACCCTCTCTGTTTTGCTAATGGCTTGTTTCTCAGAATACTATCATCTGCTGCAACATGGAGAACTTTGACCCTCTTGGAACACACACTGGCGATTCCATCGTTGTCGCACCGTCCCAAACGCTGCCCGACGATGAATACCACATGCTTCGCAGTGCTGCTCTTAAGGCTATCCGGCATTTGGGCGTCGTTGGCGAGTGTAACATCCAGTATGCACTCAACCCGACCTCACGGGAATACTGTGTTATCGAAGTCAATGCTCGGTAAGCTACTCTATTTTTTATGCCAGAACCCTTTACTGAACCAAGTCCGCAGTCTGTCTCGCTCTAGGTAAGAATGCAAGCTCCATATGTCCTTGACCCGTGGTGTTGAACAAACCTTTCAAGTGCCCTCGCTTCAAAGGCTACCGGTTATCCTCTGGCTTACACTGCTGCCAAGATCGCTCTCGGTTACACCCTCCCCGAGCTTCCCAATGCCGTCACGAAGACCACCACGGCCTGCTTCGAACCCTCTCTGGACTACATTGTCACGAAGATTCCCAAGTGGGACTTGGCCAAGTTCTCGTCTCAGGTCAACCGTGAAGTCGGTTCATCCATGAAGTCCGTCGGTGAGGTCATGGCTATCGGTCGCACCTTCGAAGAGAGTTTGCAAAAGGCTATTCGTCAAGTCGATCCCCGATGGAAGGGTTTCGAGGTCGTCATCGAACCCAAGGACCTCGACCATGCTCTTTCTGTCCCTACGGATATGCGTCTCTTTGCCATCGCCTATGCCATGTACAAGAAGAACTACTCCGTTGACAAGATCCACGACTTGACCAAGATTGACAAAGTGCGCCTTCCTCCCATGCTGCAGTCGTAGCTATGCTGACTTGGCTCTTCTTTCAGTGGTATTTGCACAAGATCGACAACATCGTCCAAACCCGTCATGCCCTTGAAGCTGCTGGCTCGGTTGAGAACATCAGCTACGACCTTATGCTCCGTGCTAAGAAGATGGGCTTCGCCGATGCTCAGATCGCCGACATCTTTGGTTCCACCGAGCAAATTGTTCGCGCTCACAGGAAGTCCCTCAACATCACGCCCTTCGTCAAGCGTATCGACACTCTCGCGGCTGAGTATCCTGCTCACACCAACTATCTCTACACCACCTACAATGCCTCTGAACATGATGTCAAGTTCGACGAACATGGCACCATCGTTCTTGGAAGCGGTGTTTACCGTATTGGTAGCAGTGTTGAGTTCGATTGGTGTGCTGTCACCTGCGCTCGCAAGCTCCGTGACATGGGCAACAGGACTGTCATGATCAACTACAACCCCGAAACTGTCTCCACGGATTTCGACGAGGCCGACCGTCTGTACTTCGAGGAACTCGGTTATGAGCGTGTGATGGATATCTACGAATTGGAGCAGGCACAAGGTGTCGTCGTTAGCGTCGGTGGTAAGTGGTGGCATTCCCCCCTGTCGTCTAGCTTGTCTCAACGTTATTGTGTCTAGGTCAACTTCCTCAAAACATTGCTCTGCGCCTTAAGGATGCTGGTGTCAATGTTTTGGGTACTGACCCCGCCCAAATCGACAAGGCTGAGGACCGACACAAGTTCTCCTCCATCCTCGACAGTGTCGGCGTCGACCAGCCCGAATGGACTGAGGTGACTTCCGTCGAAGCTGCCAAGGAATGGGCCAAGAAGGTTACCTACCCTGTCCTCATCCGGCCGTCCTATGTCCTCTCTGGTGCTGCCATGAACGTCGTCTACGAAGAGTCTGAGCTCGAGCACAAACTCTCTGCCGCTGCCGACGTCTCTCCTCTCCACCCCGTTGTCATGACCAAGTTCATTGATGGTGCCCAAGAAATTGACGTTGACGCTGTTGCACACAAGGGTAAACTCCTCGTCCATGCTGTCTCCGAGCACGTCGAGAACGCTGGTGTTCACTCTGGTGACGCCACCCTCGTCCTCCCTCCCTTCTCCCTTGCCCAGAGCGACATCGAGCGTGTCAAGGTTATCGCCGAGAAGGTTGCTGCCGCCTTTGAAATTTCAGGACCCTTCAACATGCAGATCATCAGGAAGCCCACCTCCTCGCCTGATGAAGTTGCCGAACTCAAGGTCATTGAGTGCAACCTCCGTGCATCGCGATCGTTCCCCTTCGTTTCCAAGGTTTTGGCCCACAACTTCATCGACACCGCCACTTCTGCTATCGTTGGCCAGCAAGTTCCTGAACCCGTCGACTTGATGAAGCAACAGCGAGACTACACCGCCATCAAGGTCGCTCAATTCTCGTGGACTCGATTGGGTGGTGCTGATCCTTTCCTCGGTGTTGGTAAGCCGCTTTGGCTATCGTATCTCTGAGACGGAGGCTAACTTGCCACAGAAATGGCCAGCACTGGTGAAGTCGCATCCTTCGGCAAGGACGTCTATGAGGCATATTGGGCATCCCTCCTCAGTACCACCGGCTTCAAGGTTCCCAAGGCTGGCTCTGGTGTCCTCATCGGTGGTGACATCCGCAAGCCCGAGATGGCCCGCATCGCGAAGAAGTTGACTGATCTCGGCTTCAAGATCTACGTCTCTTCCCCTGTGGTCGAGGAACACCTCAACGCCATCCCCTATGTCGCCGCTAAGCGAATCTTCTTCCCCAAGACTGACAAGCGCAAGCTCAGGGAAGTGTTCGACGAGTACGAAATCCAGATGGTCGTCAACCTTGCCAAGTCTCGAGGCACCACTTTCACTGATGAAGACTATGTTGCTCGACGGTGAGTTTTCCTTTGCCTTCTTTGTCATGTATGGTTCTGATCCATTCGATTATTTTAGAAACGCCGTCGACTTCGGTCTTCCTCTGTTGAACGATGCCAAGACTGCTGAACTCTTCGTCGAGGCTCTCGCTCGCAAGATTCCTCAGGGTGGCTTGAGGCCATACACCGAGGGAAGGATACCATCCGAAGTCCGCTCCTGGAGCGAATTCGTTGGCGCCCGCGTGTAGGATCTGCCGTTCAGAAAACTTGACATTTTTTCGTCACTTCTTCAGAAAGTATAGCTATCTAAAAAGGAGTTGAAGGATTGCTCCATGTATAATGTATCTAATTGCTTTTTTACGCATTGCATCGGTATAGACAACTTGCTAGTTTCTCTGGGTCCTTTGGGTACATGCAGCTCGCAGACTTCAACCTATAGCTTCGTCATCGGCTGCCAGAGTGTTGTGACATCGATTTCCTGGGTTAGACCTGTTCGGGAAGCGTCTTTTTGTGCCATCGTGCGACCCAGCGAGAGCTTGTTGACAATCGACGGTTCCAGCTTGTTTTCCAGAAGGTCAGCCGTGAGGCACCCGATAACGGGTAGGAACTAGCGGGGCAAGACGTCAACCGTCTACTTTCCTACTGTTCAGCTTGTGATAGCAGACCTTGTAGGCGTGACCACTTCCTGCCGTAGCCACAAACAAGCCTTCAACGTTGGGATATTTTGAGATAATCCAATCCCCGTCCGGTGAATCGTTGTACCTGTTCGCATATGCGCGACCAAAATCCTGGGCGCTTACCAACACAGTCTTGTTGCGCAAAAGGGCCGTTCCTGGAATTCTGGATAGACGCCCACCAACCCTTCGCGCAGCTTGGCCATCGCTTCCATTGGGATACTCAGCCCGTCTGTGGGATCTGAAGTCAAGGTGCGCGGTGTAGATATACCCGCGACGGTGTTGGTATACCCGGCTGCGTGGATGGCCATCTTCATAATTCGGTCCTGATTCGGCTGGGGATCAGGAAGAAGTGTTACAGATTAAGTTCTCGATCGGGTGCATGTGTGGGTGTAAAGCTTACAGGGAAGACATAGAACCCTGTTTCAAAGTCGAGCACGACTGGGCAGTCTTTGCATCTCGCGGCCTCCTCGGGCGTGAGCTCTATCATCGCAACGCATTGGCTGCGAGATTCAGAAGTGCGTCATTAGTGATTAAAAAGTTACTGTAAAGGCGAGTTACCCGGTGGCAAGACAAGAGTCCTTGAAGAGTTCAGGGAATGTCGATGGTGTCCAGGATCCAGTGGCAATAATTACGATGTCTGCTTCATATTCTGTGCCGTCAGCGCAAACTACTTTCTTACACTTCCCAGGATCAACGATGATGTTTCTGGCTTCCTTCCCGGGTACAACGTTTCCACCAAGCTTCTTCACCTTCTCAATAATCATTGCCAACCCTTTTCCGGCGTTTACCCATCCCCCATCTCGGTTGAAATAACCGGCCCTGTTTCGAAACGACGCTGGCAAACCCCTGCTTGTCACGCTCACGCCGGCTGGGAACACGGATTGAAAGTCTTCCTTCGAGTTTGATCGCAATAAGGATACCCTGGCGCCTAAATCCAGATCATTGAGATACGCAGCCTCCGCATACGGGATTTCCCTTTCTGGGGTCGCACTGGTGTCGGTCCCGCCATCCTTCGAGTCAGTCAAAGGGAATCCGAGAACGACAACACCAGATCTTGTTTACAACACGATTGGTGGGAAGACGTGAAGGGAACATTGTCACAGTGGAAAGAGGATTGTTATGTCATTGGCCCCGAGTCAGTTCGCTGAACGGCCGCGGAAGCAGGATATCGATGAAACAGACGCACTCATGATAGGTATCATCCCATTCCTCCACGTTCTTCCAGGACAGGATAGCATGGCGAGCGAGTTCGGCGTAGAATTTGTCATTGTACGAGGATCTAACGACTATCGATGCAATTCGTTCAGCAAGAGCAGCCCCGAGGGGACAATCAGCACACAACCACAGCGAATGGAGTCGGTAGGTATTTACTGCGATTGATATCGTTACTGGCAGCATCCGGAGCGGGTAGAGTGGCTGATTTGTCGAGTACGGTGACATTCGCATACCCCCTCTGCATTAAGTGGAATGCAGCGGAGGCGCCGAAGCACCCACACCCAAGAATAACGATTTTGTCGGACGTTTGGACTCGGTGCATGAGCGCTCCGAGTCTGCACCTCCAAGCTTGGTCAGTCCGAATTGCACTGTGGGAGATGGGAGGAAGCGGGGAGAAGCAGGAGCCTATAGAGCCCCAGGGGCGATTGAAACGTGTTCTTCAACAGCAACATCAGTTCTTGATAGAAGCACAGCCCAGGGATAGTGGAAGGCAATCGAAAAGCTATGATTAGCCCTCGACTATTACTGGTACAATATATTTGCAAGAATATATAGTTAAATATGGTTATGTGTAAAATGAAACGGAGCTTCAGTGGTGCTATGCTACATGTGGATTAAATTGCGATTATGCTTGGCTCTAAGGTAGGACTTGGTTGTGTACCTCAATGCGAATCTAAGAGAAAAGATTTGCGACGATGGTTTGCATTTTGCCATCCCTGATAGCCTATGAATAACCAGGTTCGTTAGATCGTTATCAGGGGACATGAAACAGGGGAAAATGCACCTCATTGATGATTGACACTTTTTCGCCTACGGTAACATCATCAACCCCAAGGCCATTCGCAAAGAGCGTTAGGTTTTCTCTCCCGTGCATCTTGATGCCAAGGGTAACTCGCACAAACTCGTATACCGGTCGTGTCTTGTTGAGGTATGGACTTGCAGGTGCCGGGCCACGAACGCCGGTCAGGAATTCCTTTCGAAGCTGCTCCATCAGCGCAGTCAGTCGTGGAGTGACCTTGCTACGGAATTTCGAGATGGAAGCGACTGAGGGTGGGATATCCCCGGGGTTTGATATAGAGACGTCCCGATGGCAGAGGAAATCGAAGAGTGGTTGAGTCGTCGAGTCGCCAATCTTGATCATGCGCTCCACATTGTCCATAGTGCTCGTGGTCTCGAAAGTCTCCTGCATTGCTGAAGAGAGCCTGTCCTTCAATTTGGCTAGATCATGCTCAGTCAAGGAAGAGCCGAAATACGAAGTGGCTTCTTCGGAAACGATCTTCACCATCCCTTCCCTAAACTCGTGCTGCAAGGCACGGAGGTCGAGAGCTATTTTGAGAGTCGCGGATCAGACGTCATTCACTGAGTGCATATTTTTAAACCAGAAGCTCACCTTGACAGAGAGCATAGAGATACGAGGCGGTGAGGATGGTGAGGACTTCCAGAGCGTTAATCGTGGCACGAGCTGAAACGAGGGCCATGGAACTATCGCGTAGCGTTGAGAACCATATTTCGTCAATGCGATGGACTGGACTTACTTGACAGCCTGGTTGTGCATCTCAGCAGATTGGATGTGGGTGGAAACAGGGCTTGCAAGATAACCAAGCTCAGCAACATAGGCCGCTGTGGCAATGTCGAGTCCCTTGCAATGGTAGTCGAGGGATGGGTCGGTAGCGGCAAGCGAAGGTGGCAGGCCGCGGTTCATGTTTGGATCCATGAGCTCCGCGCATTGGGAAAAGAGTAGCTTTCCAAGGTGGTGAAGACTCAAACGAGACTTCTCCATGGCGTTGGTCACGGCCATTGCTTGGAAGTTACCTCCGTGATGGACAGTACCGGTTTCACCGTCGATCAACGGATTGTCGGTTGCTGGAATAAAAACTTATTGAGAACTGGTCATCGCACAACTGTGAGGAATACTTACTTGAGTTACACTCAATAGTAATAGTATCCAATGACTGGATCAGATCCTCAACTTGAGGCCCAATGAACTGGGCAGCCGTTCGCAAAGGATATCTGTCCTGACGAAGGACCCCTTTATCTTCAAGGATGGTAACTTCTTCCTCAGTCGTCACAGCAAATTTGCTACCTTCGAGAAGATCCCAAATGTTTTTGCCAGTCTCGATCTATCGTATTCATGGATAAGGAACGGAAGGCATTGTACGAAAGATAACAACTTACCTGACCGGGGTGAGGGCGTGCGGTCTTGTTGATAAATGAATCAAACGAGAGACGAGTTCCATTCAGAGCTTCCGTCCCCATGGCAGTGCAAACCTGGGCCAGGAGGGCCAAATGAACAGCGTCGTTCAAGGCTAAGGCAGCAACCGAGGCAGAGAAGGCCGTCCCATTGAGGATTCCGAGGTGCTCCTTGGAGGCAAGTGGCAAGGGAGTAACACCGTGCGCCTCCAAAGCTCTAGAAGCTGGGACAATTTGGCGGGGACCAAATCCCGTTGGACCATCGAAAACTTTAATGGTAGGGTTGCCGATCAGAGTGCCAGCGATATAGGAAAGCGGGGATAGATCTAACGGGAATATGGACCATGAGGGGCATGAAACACGAATAAGAACAGAAAACATACCACCAGAGGCAGAAATGCTTCCTCTCAATGGCACGACCGGGATGATGTCCTTCTGGAGCAGTTCGTTCATCTTTTCGATGAGCTCCCATCGAACGCCAGAGTGGCCGCGAATCAGGGAGTTCATACGAATCAAGATAGCACCACGAACCCATGATTCGGGCATGGTGTTGTGTGACAGCGGATCTAACAGCGGGAGTGCATCAAGCTTATTCGTGGAGGTGGGGGTGACTCCGCTGTGGAGCAGTTGAAGGAGAGCATTGCCCAAGAGGATAGGCTTGTCTGTCCGGGTGTGGGCACTTCCTCCAAAGCCAGTGGAGACACCGTACACGCTGATGCCATTATCTACCTTGTCTGTCACCACCTTTCTGCTCTTGACGAGTCTTGCTCTCGTATGAGGCGATTCGTCTAGAACAGCTGATGCGTGATGGCGCGCCGTTGCTGCAACCCCTGCGATCGACAGCGTTTGACCGTCAACGAGGACTGTCCTTCCATTTCTGATCAGGTTTCGTTAGCCACGACGCTCTAAACAACGATTACAAGGGGTGCATACTTGTAGCTTTCCAGCTCTTTAACGTTCTGGATAAATCGGTCGACGAGCGTGGATGATTTTGCTGGCGTAGAGGGAACTGTCGACGTGGGGGTGAAGAGGGTCGTTGGAGACGCAACTACAGGTGAAGACACGTAGGTTTTTGACCTGGAACGTGTGGGGGTCGGCCTGCTTCCGTAAGTCTCTAACTTTGACAGTTTGGGGGAGTCGCGCGCATAATAGGTGCTCGAGGTGATCGAAGAGCGGCGAGGCGTCTTGGGGTCAGCGACAACGACGGCTGGCATCGTATAATAAGGAAGGATAGTAGAGTAATGTAAAGAGATGAGAAGGAGAACTGGGACTGAGGAGATGTGGCATTGCTGAAGATGCGAGGAGCTTTATATAACTGTTCGGACAAGAGATGGGTCCATAGTCAGTGCTCGCTGGAGGAGGCGATTCCCCATTTGGCGAAGCAGATCACGCGATGCGTGATCCCAGGATTTAGCTCAGGAATCCTGGCGTTTATCAACCCGCTGCTGTTCGCTCACTAACCGGCGCCAAACTGAGCTGATACTGTTACACGTAGACTTGACGTAGACTATCGCTCACGGATGCGAGTAAGTTCAAGGTTATCGGCTATTCACGACCTTTCTCTCTGTTATTTTTCTTGCTTTCGTCCTGGTTCGCTGCTTTTTTTGATGGATAAAGTGCCTTGAGGCGACTGAGTGGCTGTTCGCAGCGATGTTAGCGGAGACAACCTAATGAATGTTTATGGAGGAGTACATCTCCCTTCTTTCACCTTTTTGTTTTGGGGTGACTTGAGTGATCTTGACCTGTCCAGTGCCTGAAGCTGTGAAGATCCCATGACGTTCGTTCGTCACTTCTTTGCTTGGGGCGGAAGGCCTCGTCGCTATGCAGTGCTCCTTGATACGAAATCGGGAATCCACTGCACCTCAACTCCTCGAACACTCTATCATGATAGAGGTTGTTGACAATTCCATCTCAGTTTTGTTTTCGCCGATGCAGGGCCTCGTGTATTTTCGCGTAGTAACGACCCTGTACGCTCCCCAGCCTTCCCCAGCATTAAGCACTCAAGGCCTGTTTCAACCTCTCCAGATACCCTGATAAAATAGAACTAGGATGATGGACGCTTCGATGGCGCTGCACAGGTCTGATGTTTGGAAGGACTTAATTAAGGCGCCCACAAGGATTGCCCCCGAAAACGTGACGTATTTACCACTCTCGAGCGCTATGACTCAGTACGGTTTCCAGATGGTCGCTTTTTGCTGACTACTCGATGGACACCGGGGTCCTGGACTTGTCATCTATCGAACCATGGCCAGATTCAAACTAACCATGGGGACATGTCTTTCCTAGTTTGCCTTGGGTGTGGTACCATCAGAGGAAGTATGTCAGAGCATCAAGTTCCTGTCAGTGTTGTACTCTCGCAGAAAATCGTGAGGCTTTTACAGCAATGCGCAAGCTTGGGCTGGCAGCCAGTATTGAGAAACACGGATATTCTATAGGGCCCGGTCTGGATCCGTGCGGCTTCTCTCACTGCCTCGCTTATGGAAGGCAGAGTCTCCCTACACTTTCACTTGGCGCCTCAATGACGGGAAACGCTGTATACTCAAGTGGAGCGCCTTTGCAGTACCGTAACACCAGTAGCTTCATGGTATGTCTGGGACCAAAAAGAACCGTAAGAGAAGATCACTTGATAGGTAAATCGATGACCTATGAGTCAGGAACCTCGAAATCTCTCTGTCATCCGCCTGGCTCTAACCGACATTTTTTCTGTTCGCAGTACTTTCCAGGCCAAGCGTAATGATGTACATACCCGCCTCCTGAAAATCTGCACGATTGGGTAGAAATCTTCCCTTGATAAAGATTGGTCGCGGCATTTGAACGCGTGCCGTGTGCGTTTCTCCGTCTCCCACTGGCTACGGGTCGTCGGCGTTAGATGGACCGGAGAGTCACTTCTTTCCAGGTGCTCTGAGTCCCAATGCGATGATTCTGAGATGGATGTGGCCATAACTTGATCTCTCCATCGGCGCTATTGATTTTGATTGATACGAGTTACTCGGATTAAGCGCCCAAAAGGGACCAAGAGTAGTTCCCACGCTTGGCCGTGTCCCCATCATAGTGTGGCGGTGCTTGCTTTCAGAACAATTCTTGTTCTGAACCCCCACATCCACAGGCAGGCTGAGCTTCTACCGCTTAGTCCACACGATCAACCATGGTGAAGTCCTTACAATAACAGACGATGACCATACTTCTGATGGATAATTTAGGGCAAAGCAAAGAAAACCCGAAAGTTCGCAACCGTAAAACGGTTGATGCACCCAAACGATATCAGACTGTACGAAACCTCTTGCCGCAATAGTTGTGTGGCCCTGACAAGTCCCCGCTTTCAGGAAAGAGAACCAGCTCAAACAACAAAGGAAAGAAGAGGAAGAAAAGGCAAAAGCCGTCCGTCGAGTGTCGGTGATTCCAGCGACCGTCTCAACACCCATAACTAACGTATATGCGCCACTAGACAACAATCGGCCTCCTCGCTGTTCCTTCAACATAATACTGCGCTCGTGCCTCCGTACAGGGTTCTCATCGATACCAACTTCATCAACTTCAGTCTGCAGAACAAACTGGAACTTGTAAGCGGCATGATGGACTGCCTCTACGCTAAATGTGAGTTGCAATTCAATCAATTTTCCATCCACCGCCGGGTTCTATTCTCCACCCGGACAAGTCTCGTTTCATTTTTCTGATTGGTTATTTATGAATAGGTATTCCATGTGTAACAGATTGTGTCATGGCGGAATTGGAGAAGTTGGGACACAAATACCGGGTAGCCCTTAGGTGAGTACAGAGCACGAGGCGCTGGCTTCAGATGGCCGGCTATGGTTATCATCCAGAGACCAGCATAGGTTTACGGATCTTTCCTCTCATCCATCCGCCCACTGGTTGTTCTTCACGTCTCATCCATTCTGACCAAATTGCTTCTATTAGGGTTGCGCGGGATCCAAGATTCGAGCGGCTACGGTGCTCGCACACCGGCACATACGCTGATGACTGCCTCGTCCAACGAGTGACATCCCACAAGTGCTACATCGTCGCTACTTGCGATCGGGATTTGCGAAGGAGGATACGACAAATTCCTGGCGTTCCGCTCATGTATATCGTGAGCAGGAGATACGCCATTGAACGCCTGCCGGACCAGGGCGCCCCAGTATGACCGTACTTTATTTGGTTAGCCTTCATCATGTGCAGGTATATGCCACCTTCCCTGCAAAGGCGGTGTTGACCAAAGGCTAGTCTCGACCGAGTGCTGCTGCACAACCGAAGTCTTCGAGGGTCAAAGATCTAAACAACGCACATCCTTGTTCACCTGTTACGCTTCTGGGGAGCAAGAAACGATCTGTCACGGTCGTGTCATACACGATAGAGGGGGGAGCGTACAGTAGAAATATAGACCTTTCACAAAACCCGCCATGCCACAAACTTGTGCAAAGGCCGCCTTCAATTACAAGAAATCGACATTCGAATGTGGACTACAAGGTCACGAAGGATAATAAGTATCGCCACTAACAACGAAGCAAAAAGTAAGATATTGACGCGGAGAGTCAGCTCGACAAACGCAAAACGTAGATAAGATTCGATATCAACAAGCCCAATATACTGTCATGCGGTAAGCTACACTTGGTCAGCGCTGGGCTGGATTTGCGGGATCGACGTTCGCCGACGATGCCGGCACCGCGACGGATTCTGGGGTTGCTTCATATCCTGGCGGCGGTGCGGCGGGAGAGACCATGGTTGCAGCCAGAGTTGAACTAGGGTTCGTCGTAGGCTGGCCAGGCTTGAGGACTGGTTGCTTCCATTCCTTGATCTTCTTGACCGGGCGAGCGCCATCATCGAGGACAGCCGCGTCTTGTGCTCCGATACTTTGTCTTGCGCGTTTGAGAGATTGATGTCCAATGAGAGGAGAGGGTTCGTTTGGTGTACGACTGGCTCCACTTTGTCCCGGTGTCTGGTTAACATCTTGGGCTGGCTGTGGCACGTCTCCTGCCTTTTCCATCCGGAAACGACGGGCCTTCTTGGGCGCTTTTTCTTCATAATCTGAATCATTGTCGTCCTCCGAACTCTCGCTGTCGGTATTGCCCATCGCCGCGCGTGCATCGGCCTCGAGGTCCCTCTTGAGCACCCCGGACAGAGTGGAATTTGATGACCCATTCGGAGCTGAGCGCCCAAAGTGACCAAAGGATGACGAACCATGAGCGGAACGGCGGTGAACCACCTCTTCACCGGGTAAGGGAAGATAGAAAATTTCACCTTCCCTGAAGATTTCGGTCCCAACGAGGAGGCGTAAGACGTTGATGATATAGTCCGGCAACCCCTCAATTGAATCCACATCCGGGATCATGCGCTGACTGTCCTGATAGGTCGCATCGCCATGGTCTACGATGTCCTCCTCTTGGATGGTTTCTTCCTTTGTTAATGAACAGCCCGGGACAATGAAGTACAGCCTAGGACCCTCCTCGTCCCTCGGAATACTGATCTTGTGGAAGCGGCAGTGGGATCTGGTGACCGGTGTACTAGTCCATGTGTGGCTCCTGCGCGCGGGGTTGGTTGTCGTGGTTGGGGTAGTGCTGCTACTAGCGGTTGCAGTCGCAGCCTGTACTGGTGCTGCTCTTTGAGGAGCCTCGACTCGAGTGTGGGTTTGAGGTGGCTCAAGATGTGCAGCGTGGGTAGCGGTGACAGGAGTGGTAGGACTGAGGGGCGAGGCGCGATCAGCCATCTTGGAGAAGGAAGGTGAGACCACGGCGGCGCGAGGGACGTGTGTGGCTGTATGTGTAGGCAGCGTAAACTGCATCTGTAACTGTTTGCGCTTCTGCCCGTGAACATGAACCCAAGGGTCATGAGGATTGGGGGGAGGGGCTGCTGACATCGGTTTGTAGACCGTCGGAGAGGGCTGTGAAGGGTGCTCGGTAGTATCGTTCGTTCCAGTCGAGACAACTGAGGAAGCTCGCGAGCTGGGCTGCAACAACCGAGCAGCAGAGCTTGCACTCGATCCTGAAGCTGTACTGGCCGTAGATGGCGGGGCGGTCTTCTTTGCCTTGTTGACTCGGGAAGCCAAGACTTTAACAGGGTCCTTTGCCTTCCTCTTGCGAGGAACATGTATAGAGGACAGATTCTGACCGGCATCGGAATCGTTGTCTTCCTTGGTCTGCTTTTTTCGTGGCTTTGCTTTTCGCTTGCGCTTGCCTGCCTTGGTTGTGCTCGCCGGGGTTGACTGTGAAGATGACGCTACGGCGGCAGCCCTACTGAAAAAGCACTGAGTTCGGCGTGGCGGATTCTGGAAACGAGGTCAACATACCTCTGTTGATCTTGGTCAGGACCAAAGACGTCAGGTACTGCAGCGGGCTTAGGCCTAGAAATTTCGTAAGAATGATATACAATGGGAGGCACGAAAGGAAACGAACTTTTCAACTTGAGGAAGGGGCGATTTGACACTCAATGAAGGGGCTGCCTCGACGCCATCATCCTTAGATTCCGCCGGGAATACATTCATTCCAGTGCCCATCAGCTTGAACGGATCACCTTCGTCAACAGCGGTCTTTGTGCCCTTGCGCCCACGCTGTACGGGAGATCGTTTCGACTCTGGTGAAAGTCGACCCCGCTTGGGAGAGGCGGGCGGGAGAGGAGAGAGTGAGGAGAGAGAAGCAGCTTCTAAACCAGCTTCCCGGGGTGTCGAAAGACTGGCCGGATAGGGTTCTGATTGCTGTTGAGGGTGAATCCCATTCTTTGTCAGGACAGGGATCAAAGGTGAGGGAGGTGCTTTTGGTGACGCCTCCTTGGCGGGCGTCGCAGGCTGGGATTCGACTGGGAAGGCATCTTCATCCTTAGTTGATCGCGAAACCTGGGGCGGGGCAGATACTTCAGGCTGTGGTGCAACGGTAGCTATTTCTGGGGGTGTTTGTTGCTCGACCTGAACTGGAACATCTTCGGTCTGCATGACAAAATCCTCGACCCTGTTCTCTTGAGTGTGAGGTTTTTCATGAGAAGCAAACTCCGTGGATAAAAGATCGTCGAGCTCCTTGACCTCGTCGGTACTCGTATCCGCCGTGGTGACCGGTGGGGTGGACGCGATGGACTGGGTGTCAAGGTCCCCAAGTGTTGGCTCAGAAGTACGTTCGAGATGTTCGACTTCCTCTGCTGCTGCTACGGTCACCTGTTCAACGATTCGAGCTTCCTCTGCCAAGTCATCTTTGTTTGCCTGGTCAATTGTCACTGAAGCATCAGGCTCAGCCCCCTTCGATAGGTTGTCACCAATATCATTCACCACCGCGTCCTCACGTGAGGGCTCTTCAGGAACCGCAGGGATGTCCTGAGCCGCATTGAATGCTTCCTCAGCGACGTCTTCCTCAGGAGAAACCCCAGGGCCAACAGGTTCAGAGGAGGGTTCTTCGACAACCGGCTGGGGTACGCCCGCATGCTGCGTATACGGTGAGAAATCGGTCACAACTGCGACGACCAAACGCCGACTCACCGGAATCGGGGACTCGTCAGCATTTTCCTCGACCTCTACATCATACGCAGAGTGATCTACATGTCCCATAATATCAACACCACTGCTAACGGAGAGAATCTCGATATCCTCTGTGTCCTCTTCTCCGTCAGCGTCTTCATCAGTAAACTCTTCTCCAGTTCCCACAACCGACTGGGGCTCGACGATGGAAAACTCTTGCATCTCCTCTTCGGGGATAATGGTTTGAGACTGCACAGGGGCGGGGTCTTCTGCAGCTTTCGAAGGCTCAATGATTATTTCGACTTCCTCGACATTTTTCTTGGAGGATGACGACGACTCTGGTTCATCTTCGTCGGTCACCTCCTCGATCTCGACCTTGTACCGTTTGACTGGAGCCGGCGACGGTTCTGGAGAGTGTTCGAATTCGATAGCATCGGACGCTGGACGGGCCCCATTGAAGATGGAGATCGGTTGCGATGTCGGTTCAGGAACCGCGCTTTCTATCGAAGTGCAGGAGGGAGCTGAAAACAATGCAAGTTAGTTGGAAATGGCGAAGGAGAGAAATTATGTACCCGTTTCAACAGCCATCGGCTCCGAAGGCGGTCCTTGTTGTTCTTCCACTGGAACAGCGGTAACTTCATCCTTGCTGATTTCGACGGCGTCCTCGTCTGGTTTTGCTTTAACGGAACTCTGCGACAAGTCGGTCATGGAAACATCGCGAACGGCCTCGTTAGAGGCTTCCACTGAATTATCCAACATAGTTTCGACGGCGAAGGACGCGCTGGACTCGGCTAAAGGTTGAACAAGAGCAGAAGCAGCCGCTTCGTCTTGCTCCTCATTCGGTGGTTCTTCTTCGGGAGTAAACAAACCGCTGGAATGAGACTGAGGCTCTGGCTGCGCGTGCTGGATGTCGCTGGGTGCGGCAGAACCCAAGTGCTTTTCCCGTTCCTCCTCCAGGAGGTGCGGGTCAAGCGCTCCATTGGCTTCAGCTTTGAAGTCGCCTCCAGAGTAGAAATCTTCCGCAAGATTTCGGGGCCCTTCCCAGACATCGGGCAGTTCGATGGGTGCTTCAAAACCATTGTCCAGAGTGAGATCTATGCCTGGTCAGACGAAGTCGACACTATATAGATGGGGATGTACCTTCACTTTTTTGCGGTTGGTCAGCGTCAACCTTGCCGGAGCGTTCCACTGCCAACTCGTCTCCGAGAACGTCCGGGTCTGTAGTGACCCCTTCAAAGATAGCTCGATCGCCTCCAGAGTAAAAGTCTTCAGCAAACATGCGAGGTCCTGACCATGGGTCTCGGATAGTGAAATCGTGCTGTTCGGCAACCTCTTTGTGAGGGGGAAATGCTAAATCCAAAGGCGTTGGTTGAGGAATGGGAGAAATGTAAATTGAATACACGCACAGGTATCATCTTCCAATGGTTGTACTTCGTCGTCTTCCGGGTATTGGAGATCTTCCTGCGAAATGTTGGAAAGGCTTGGAGAATGATCACGTTGTAATTCCTCAGGTTCATTCAATGTGGCCTCCGCTTCTACTGGTGGTGAAGAGCGAATGTCTTCTTCCGTGTCGTCGTCTGAAATAATCCTTGGAGGAGAGGGGCGATCAACTGGCTCCGGTTCTTTGGCGGGTGATGAGAGTTCCTCCGGTTCTTCTTCCTCCTCGTCGTCGACGATTTCGATTGGAGAGGACCGAGCATCGACCGCGTCGCCTTCTTCAACGTCGTACTCGAGCTCGTCTTCTTCATCCTCGTGAATCTGGTCATCAGAGTCGGAACCAGGTTCCTGTTGATCTGCACTTTCGACATAATACTGCTGTTGGCGGACGCGTCGCGTTTCCAGTTCACGCTCGTCAAACTCTTCTTCATCGTCATCACCCCCATACGCTTCCTTCGAAGACGCGCCGCTACGAGATGCCGAATCCTTCCAACGCCTGTATTGAGTTCGACTTGGTGAAAGGTCGTCCCGGGGCCTGAGCTCTTCTTCGTCTTCAAGGTATTCTTGTTCCCCTTCCTCTTCATTCAACTCAGCTTCCTCCTCGTCTTCATAGTACTCCAATTCCTCTCCCTGGTTCGGATCTTCATCCTCTTCCTCGTCCCATTGATTCTGGGTCAAAATGTTCTCCGTGGTTGACTCTTCCTCTTCGTCATCATCGGAAAGAAGCTCGATCGGCTCGTCCTTATTCCATCCCTCTCCACCCAACCCAGGTCCTTCGCGTGGATCTCGCGCTTTACCTTTCGCGATACGACGAGCTTTGAAGTCCGCAAACGAGTCTTCAAAGATGCTTTCGTCTCCTGGTTCTGAACCCATATCCACATCCTTGAAGCCAAATCCCTGTGGCTCTGTGGTTGGACCCGCCGACTCTGAGGTATTGGTTTCTGGTGCTTCAACGTCCTCCTGTCCAAGTGCTTTGCGCAGTGCACTTGTTATTCCACCAATCCATGAGTCGAACTCTCTTTGGTTAAACTTGTCGAATGGGTTTTGAATTGGCGGCCGCGTCGCTGACCTGCTGCCCAGCCTGGCTGACGCCGACGTGCGCAAAGGAGTCGGATTTGGCGGTGCAGGAATACGTGGAGAGTAGCCGTACGGCGACGACATTGGCAATAACGGAAGAGTGCAAAGAGCAGGGTTGTGAGCGTGTGCTCGCTGCCAGTGCGCGGCTTGCAAGTGTAAGACATCGTCACCGAATTTTGGTCGCGGCAAAGGCGTGATCACATGTCGCTTCCCACCCCTAATTGCAATGGCCCCACCGTCATAGACCTGCGCCTCAGAACCTGACTCACGACAGCGACAATGCAGGGAACTCTTGACTCGTTTATTTCTTCCAAAAAACAGCTAACTGGACCTGTATTTACTTCTCAGGAAATTAGAGATCGCGGGTCGCTTTTCGTCGCCAATATCTACCATGCAACGACTCCTCAAGAAGCAAAGGCGCGTGTCGAGCAAATGAAACGCGTCGTCCATAGTGCCAAACCAGCCGCCCATGAAATCTCAGCGTGGAGATGCATGGTATTAAAACCAGGCAAGTCAGGGCTCAATGGTCCTGAAGATTTTGAGCTTCAAGCCGGGAGCAGGGACGACGGTGAAAGCTGGGCAGGAGCCAAAGTTTTGGCCGTCATGGAAAGACTGAGCATTCTCGATGCAGTAGTCATAGTCAGTCGATGGTTCGTCCCCCTTTTCCCTTGTTCAGCTTCGAGACGCCAATTGACCCTTGGTAGGTGGGGAGGCACTCTTCTTGGGCCCGCCAGATTCACCCATATCGAAACCTGTGCGCTCGAGGTCTGTCGACTGTTCAAAGACAAGGAGGAATTGGCCGAGCTACAAGCACTCCTGGAAAGCCTGGATGACCTCCTTGCAGATCTGCGTCAAGAATACGGACTCCTTTCTAAATTGCCCTCCACTGAGCCCAGCACGCCGACCAGCTCTCAAATCGATTCAGCATCGACGGTGCGGAAGAAGTCGAATTACTCGGGAATGGATGCCCAAAAGTTGAAACGGCTCATACGTGCCCGGGAGGGCTCTATCACTTCTGTAAAGGCCCTGATCGCCAAACGTCAGAAACAGCTACCGGAAGAGCAAGAAGACGAACAGACACCACCGCAATGACCGAATGACAACGTACTTTTCTCTCACAGAACCATCTAATCTTGTATCTACGTGCTACTAATATACCTCCTACTCCCATGCCCAGCTCCCCTATTATCACAGGGAAACGCCAAATCTGCTTCTTTTCGCAATGGTCCTATACGCCTTCCCAGATTCTGAAGTCACGCGGCCCCTCGCCCTTAACCCATCTTTACATCCCGAGTCCCGACGCGAACATCATTGGACTGGGTGCCAACCTGAACTCAATGGATCTCAACGATTCTCTTTCGCGACATCAAGGGTAAACGACAACGTTCAACATGTCTCTGAATTCCCTGCATCTACCTAGTAGTGCGGGGCAATCCTTGCCGCCCTTTGACCTCAAGACTCTGTTTCCACCCGGCATTCCGTCCTCAACGTCCAAGCTACGCGCTTGCAGTCGGCTGGGGCGGCTCAGCAATGTCTCGCTTATATCTCGGGTTGCACCTTCAGGACGACGCACAATCCTCGGAACGGAATGTCCACCGTCTCCTCAAATTGCTATTTGACGCGCCTTTACACGATTGTTCGTCGTCTCAGCACCAATGGGTTTCATCCGCCCCCAGCTATTGCTTCTCGGGTGCTTGCTGTCGACGTACGTCGCAGCAGCACCCTCCCTTTCCTACACTTGGAAGAACGTGAAGATTGGCGGAGGTGGAGGGTTCGTTCCTGGAATTGTGTTTAACACGAAAGAGAAGGTGCAGTTCCCCAGTGCCACATATATTCATGCATTGCCCTAATTTGCCATTTAGGGCCTCGCATACGCTAGAACGGACATCGGAGGCGCGTACAGGCTGAACCCGGAAGACCATACCTGGACTCCTCTCTTGGAGTTTGTCGACGATGAGCGATGGAACTGGTGGGGTGTAGACGCGCTAGCGACGGACCCAGTTGACCCTAACCGCGTGTACCTGGTATGTCAGAGGACTGACACAATTGTTAGGCTCCTCCTGATTGCATCCAAAGGCGACTGGAATGTATACCAACTCCTGGGACCCAAACAACGGTCAAATCCTGATTTCTGCTGACCGAGGCAACACCTGGAACTCTACCAAACTCCCCTTCAAAGTCGGAGGAAACATGCCTGGTCGCGGAATGTAAGCATCCTTGTCGCCATTCCCTGCCTGAATGAGACTGATACGAGTGCTGCAGGGGAGAGGTACCGCCCTCTGCTGCTTTGCCAATGCTGCCTCAACATTAACCGCTATGACAGCGTCTCGCAATTGACCCTCACAGCAACAACATCCTGTATTTCGGGGCCCGAAGTGGCAATGGACTGTGGAAGTCGATCGACTACGGCGCGTCATGGACGAATGTCACCCAGTTCCCTAGCGTTGGTGAGTCCACCCAGGGTATCTTGTGCTTCTATAGCGTGTACTGAACCTAGGTATCATTAGGCACATACATCCCCGTCCCTGGCGACAGTAATGATTACAACACTGACATCGTCGGTGCGTGGCCATGCGACATTACAACACGTTCTATTCTAACCTGTCGCTATAGGCATTTCCTGGGTTACTTTCGATGAGACTTCCGGACAATCTGGCCAACCAACGCCAAGAATCTTCGTTGGTGTAGCAAACAAGGGCTCAGACAATATCTTCGTGTCAGAGGATGGCGGAAACACATGTAGGTCTGGCCTTGGCTGCCTTCTATTCAGCTCCTCATCGCGATTTAGGGTCTGCGGTTCCTGGCCAAAATAATGCATTCTTGCCTCACAAGGGAGTTCTTTCGCCTGTTGAACAATCTCTCTACCTTTCCTACTCTGATGGTGCTGGACCGGTGCGTACCGTCCTCGTGTGTCTTATACTGCTTTCTAACGACGTCCGGTAGTATGATGGTGGATTTGGGGCTCTCTACAAGTACGATATCACTTCCAAAACCTGTACGCCTGCCTCAGTCAAAGTCAGCCTCTCAGCTCTCACTCACAACCTTTGCCAGGGACCGACATCACTCCTGTCTCCGGCGACGACCTCTACTTTGGGTTTGGCGGCGTCGCAGTCGACCTACAACGCCCCGGAACAGTCATGGTCGCCGCTCTGAACTCTTGGTGGCCTGAAGGTCAAATCTTCCGCTCGACCGATGGTGGGGCCTCTTGGTCCACGATCTGGAGCTGGGGTAACTGGCCCCATTTGAACAAACACTACTCGTATTCGAACAGCCGCGCACCGTGGTTGGGCGTCAACCATGTGGAGACTGAGGCTGGCATCCTGCAGGTCGGTTGGATGATGGAAGGTGAGTTAGTCTTTTTCGCCGTTTGGGGAGGGATAGATGCTGATGAAGTGGATGTTCAGCACTGGTCATTGATCCCTTCGATTCCAACCACTGGCTGTATGGAACAGGAGCCACAATCTATGGTGGGCATGACCTCCTTGAAGTAAGAAATTGTCGGCGATCCTTGGAGGAAGCTTGCTCATTGGTGGTTTTACTCAGTGGGACAGCAAACACAACGTGACGCTTGAATCTTTGGCCGATGGTGTCGAGGAGACCGCCATCCTCGGGTTGATCTCACCCCCTTCTGGCCCCCAGCTTCTTTCAGCCGTTGGTGACCTCGGAGGTATGCACTTACAGGACATTCTTTGTCAGGTCCATGCTCAATAATCCGCTGCATGCCGCAGGTTTCGTCCATCATTCTTTGTCCGAGGCACCAGCAGAGGGTTTCAAGAACCCAACATGGGCAACCTCTTCCGACATCGATTATGCTGGAAAAAGGCCTAACATTATTGTTCGAGTTGGGACTGGCGATAGGTTAGTCATCTCGTGGCTGTTTGCTAGGCTACGACTCACACAAAGGTTTCATTTAGCTCATCAGGCAAGCAAGTCGCGATTTCCTCTGACTCGGGAACGACATGGTACGTTCTGCTTTGAGTCGACAATATGAGTGGCCCCTAAAGCCACACTTCTTAGGCAAGAACACTATGGGGCAGCGGATAACGTTTCGGGTGGCAAGATCGCCATCTCGGCTGAAGGGGACACCATCCTTTGGCGAACGAGTGGAAACGGGGTCCTTGTGTCTCGACACATGGGCTCTTTTACTCGAGTCACATCTCTCCCTTCATCTGCTGCCATTGCCTCTGATAAATTGGAGAACAATATCTTTTACGCAGCCGCCGGTTCGAGTTTCTATGTTTCCACCGATCATGGTACCACCTTCGTTCAAAGAGGCAGTCTTGGAGACTCGGAATCTCCTTTCCAGGTGGCTGTTAATACTAACCAGACCGGAGATATATGGGTGTCGACGGACAAGGGACTGTTCCACTCCACCGATTCAGGAGAAAGCTTTACGCAAATCGAGGGCATCACTCAAGCGTGGTCGGTTTCACTAGGAGCACCAGCAGCCAGTGAAGATTATCCTACCATCTTCGTAGCCGCGAACATCGATGGGATCGCTTATTTCCGCTCAGACGATGCTGGTGTAACTTGGGCCCGAATCAATGACGAAGGTCGTGGCTTCGGAACACCTAGTGCCAACTGTTTGGTGGCAGATTCTCGCGTTCATGGCCGGTATGTACCCTCAATGATTTCGATCGATTGCATGGTTCGCAGAATCTAATGCCCCTCTTTTCCTTCCAATTAGTGTCTACATCGGGACTAATGGTCGTGGAATTTTCTATGGCGACTTGGTTGCCGCCTAGCCATTGGGCTACTGTAACGTGTACTTGATTCCTGTTTTATTTGGCCTTAATGAAATTTCCTTTTGGTCATCTGTGATCTGCGTGTGGTCCATTGCAATGCCCGATACAGGGATTAGTGGATGGAAGAAGCCGTCATCGATTGTTCGCCTGCAGAGTGAAGGAAATTGGGGTGATCTACGTCTGCTGTGCCTCCTAGGACCGAACGTTGCATTGTCCTTGGAGGCTTACTCCCCTTTCACACTTTTTGTGAAGAGAGGTGTCTAGGCCATAACTAGCGCTAGAATACACGCTACCTATAGGGTCTCTTGACCCTGTGGAAGTGTGATCTCGTAAAACACCCGATATCCTTCTCGAATTAGCAATATTCTCAGAAGTTCCCGAGTCAACACGTTGGAAGCGCCAGGTCAGCCTGTCTCAATTGCATCTAATGAACATCCATCCAGCATCACGGCGCCACCGGGTTCGGCATTTTGAGAAGGGGGAAGAACATGTGGACAGACTCATCAGTCCCTATTCTCGAACCCAAAGCTTGTGAGGCTCGAAGGTAAAAAAACCTTGGTTCATTACATAGTGTCGTGAAGTTAAATGGAATTCGATTAACTACAGATTAAAATGGTTCTAACTCCACGCGCCCCAGCGCAGACCTACACGATACCCGTTCTACTAGTGAATAGGAAGGCGAATAGATATGAGAAGACAATATATGGTATATGGTGAGAGTATGGTACAACAGCAGATTAACGAGCTGCACTTCCATAGCGTGCCTTGCGACCAAAATCGAAAGGAATGTACTTGTACTTGATCATGTGGCTGGGTGCAAGGAAACAAAATTAGCGCCTGCTCAAAACGTCATGATACGTGGAAGCCTACCTAATCTGTCTTCGCATGGTCAGGGTAAAGAGTACGAAGAAATAGACGACAAGGATTGGCCAATAAACCGGGACGTCAAAGACATCAGATAGTGTGCAGCCAAGGGCGATCAAAACTGCCTTCGTCGAAGAGAGCCTGTGCATAGATGTCAGCATAACAAGATACAATACTTTGCAGACATGGATGCATTACCAAAATTGCCATTCAGGCAATCGTCGGACAAATGGTCTGAACTCGTCGTCCCTCTGCGAGGGAAGTGGGCTGACAACCTCTCCACCTTCTTCAATCTCGTCGGCTAGAAGGTCTTCCTCGAGAGAAGGATCAAACTTTGGTTGAAGGAAGGCAAGCAGAAGGTTGAGGAGGTAGATTGCAAGTGCATCTGAAGGAGACATTAGATTTCTTGCCTGGGGCAGGGAGAAACAGTATCACTCACAGCATACTGTTCAAAACGAACCGGATATCCCGTCAGTTGTACGATCCCTGCATACGAACACTTGTACTAACCAATATACCACTGAAAACGGCGAATCAGCTTGAACTCATTATGGATGTGACTTTTACATACCCCTTGTGCGAGTACAATTCGCAGGAAGAAAACAGTCAAAAGACCAGCCAACGCCAACCACCGGTGAAGAACGTGAGGGGTCCATCGGTCAAGAATTTGCTGGTATTGCCGTGTCAATTTTGTCCATTGCGCTGAGATGTTCTGGAGGGGAGGTGAATCGAGCCCTCCGGGACCTGAGTCGGACATCATGATGGTCGTGAAAGAGTTGGAAAGCGGGGAACTGGCCCGTCGGTTGTCGTAGAGAGTCGTTGATGACGGTGAGCGCAAGCGACGTGGAACGTGGTTGACCCCGTGCTGTGTGGGCAAACCACATTTAAGCGGAGCTTGAACTTGTTCTCGTCGCTCCACCCAACAGCGATGGAACTTTGAACTGACGTCGAGCTCGAGTATCGCATCTTACAATGTCTGGAATCGGACTGTCCAAAACAGTCGAAGTGCTCAAGTCGCACGTCCTTTCCCAACTCGATTTGAGAAGGGAGCGACCGTTGTTCGTCGCTTTGCAGGGACCACAGGGGTCAGGGAAATCATGGGTGTCCGGGGAACTGCAGAAGGAGCTAGGGAAGGGGACAGATGCTCTACGAGTCGTGGTGCTTTCTATCGACGATCTTTATCTCCCTCACAGCGGCTTAGTTTCTTTCGCGAACAGCCACACTCATAACCGCCTGCTCCAGGGCCGTGGACAACCCGGCACTCATGACATCGGCCTTGGAATCGAGATTCTGTCGGGTCTGAAGGTCGGACGCGACAAGGTTCGCCTACCTCGCTTCGACAAGAGTCGGTTCAATGGAGAAGGAGACCGGGTCCCTGTCGAGGATAGTCCTGTAGTCGAGCAGCCTCCTCGGGTTGACGTCGTCATTGTGGAAGGCTGGTGTGTCGGATTCCGGTCCTTATCCGACCAGGAGCTATCTGCGAGGTGGGAGACATGGGAGCAGGAGAGGACGAAGTTGGAAATACCAGAAGAACTCTGCACTCTACGAGACATCCAGGAGATTAATGAGAGCTTGAAGCAGTACGACGCGCTCTGGGATTTCTTTGACGTCTTCGTCCAGGCAGGTGTCGGCCAGTGCTTCCTTTCTTCTCCCGTATCGTGACCCAATCCTCTAGCTGGGCCTCCCTCCTTCCGCCGCGGAGGGCAGATCACGCTATAGCATCATCTACCAATGGCGCCTTGAGCAAGAACACTATATGAAGGCAAAGAATGGCGGTATTGGGATGTCTGACCAAGCAGTCAAAGCGTACGTTTTTCGCTCAATCCATACGGTTCGACGCCACTTGACGATCAGCTTGCCTTAGGTTCGTGGACGTTACATACCTGGGTATGTCTTCTTTGCGGCGCTGGAAGCAGCTCGAGCGGCGCGAAGAACACGCCCAACCTTATCTTAATCCTTGACGAGTCAAGGAAGTTGCTGGAAATGGTACAAACGTCACCTTAAGCGTTGGGTGGAGTTCAAAAGCCACCTTTTTCATCGGAGCGGTCGTGCGATGGGGCGGAATGCACATTTCCCTGGCGTGGGCATGTCTCGAAGAGCCTGGTGCTCCAATCCCGTCCTGGGCGGAAGCGTCATTGCATAAATGGGCTCTACAATTGTACCTGTGACAGATTTACATAGCAAAGCTTGAGAGCTACTTAGTAGGAAGCCTTGCGTTTGCAAATAACCATCTGCTTCTGTTGATTTTCCGATGATACTCAGGTCCCGGAATGCGCTTTCCCCAAGTTTAAATGATGGGCCTCGGACGACTGATGACGGCTGGAAGGAGTGGCCATGGGGTAGAAAGTTGTGCATATCCGATGCCGCCATGGGCGCGGCGTTCCCGAGCCAGCTTTTCTCGCCAAGATCATGGGGATGATCAACCGGTTTTCCACTCGGCTCTCAGCCTTCCAGACCGTCTTCGTCCTCACGAGGACGCTTATGAACCACTGCAACCGTGCTTCAGAATCGTTGAATTCAGGCTGAAGTTTTCAAGATTTCAATCAGTCAGAGTCATTATACAGTCTAAATTGCACATACAGCTCCATTCTATATGAATGTTTCGAACCTTGGCCCCTTTTCCCCAAGCATTTTGTCGTCTGAGAGGGTTTGCGGCGTGTTTGGCCTTTTGCCTGCTCCTGAGCTGCGGCAATGACGTGGAAAATTTACACGCGGACGCTTAAAGATACGAATATAATCCTCGTGTCGGCTACATATATATATATATATATTTCATCATCCTGGATTCAATGACCATGCTTTCATGGGGTGGAGAGGGTTCAGGAAATTCAGGAATGAACGGTTATTCATCCGAGTTCCCGGTGACCCAGGCCCTGGCTGTCCACCGGCGCTTATTAACCTTGGCGCTTACCCGGAAAGAAGCAAGGTCATGCTCAGGCGCCCAAAGGTGATCACCGAGGGACCCTGCACAAACGCCGAGTTCGCCGAGTAGCTAGTGCTTCGTGTGGCCGGCAACTAGACTATTTTGCCACTCAAATCTCGAATAGTGAATTGCCATATCATCATTCTCTAATATTCATGCTTCCACTGCAGCGCTATCTCTTCGGAGGTACGAACGTATTGAGCTGAGACGTCTCTGCAGAGGCCCTAACGCATCTTGTGATTGCAGATACATCAGTTCTTCTCTCAATCATTATCAGTGGTGGCGACGGAAAGCTGTTAACATCAGGCGCCCAAGAACGCCTCACTCGGAGGCCGCAACCCCCGCACGGCCCCCCGAGAGGCCTAGTTTGAGTTCTATACTTACCCCTGCGGCATGCCAATAGATGTTTATGTGCAATAAGATGTCGTATTACTTCCATATCACCGCTGGCGGAAGGAGAAGATAAGAAAGGTATGATCTTTGTCCAAGGTTGTCCTAGGGTAGGCATTGCGGTACAGCGAGAGGGCTCTTTGGGGCCACTGTACAATCCATTGGGGATCTCAAGTGACATAAGTTTATGAAACATGTCTGCCCACATATCATAGCTTCTCTGAAAGCCCGGAGTGTCTGGAAAAGTCAGCCATTTCTGTAGTCCCCTGTTCTGCCCGGCGCCGAGTCAAGTTCTGAGCAACCCAGTAACAACCATCGAGGTATCCAGAATACCACTTCAACATCGTGTTCCGTTCCGTATAACAATCAGTGTGTTTAGTGTGTAAGTAACCTGTTCTGAGTTTCTAGTGGGTCACAACGCCTGTATGAACCTGACTAATCTCTAGCAGCGTCAGACTCGGCCGTCAATAGCGTCGACATGGCGTCAACGTCGTGCTTTACGACCAACTGCAGAACAAACACCAGTTTGTCGCAGAGTAGAAGGAACGGTAATCGCACTGCACTGGAATGTCCCCTCTACAACACTCTGTGGGTCCAAGCTGTATGCAGGTCGTCAGGTTCATGTCTGTGGAACAAATGATGTCTCCTCAAAGTGTATGTCCGGTTGTTTTTCCTACAAAAGAAGATCTTCCTACTTCTACAAGGAACGCCCCGGCCCTATACACGTTCACCGGAATCTGTTACTAAACGGAGGAGCGTACTCGGGAACTCTCACACATATAACATTGGCGCTCTCTCTTATAATTGAAAGACATGATGTACACAGGATGGATGGTAACTTACGTACTTGCATAGAAAGAGGACATTTGTGCTTGAACAAACAAACAAATGAAAGGAGGCAAGTAGCGGCGTAAACGTCGCTTTCTCTACCGTGGATGCGTGACCTCCTCAGTACTTGCTGTTGCAATAAAAGCCAACAATAGGATAACGACGAGAAGGAGGCTGAGAGTTCGAAGGGGACCTCATCGCACATGTGTATCCACGCGGAATAGAAATGGAAAGCTCGTCGAGAAGGGACGATTCTGCCCATTCCCAGTGGCGTGGTATCTATCTCCTTGTCAGTGGATGACTCGCGTGTACCAGTGTAATTCCACCCAATTGTCGATTTCAGGCATTCATACTGCCATAACCATCCCATTGTCACTTCGAAGCATGAAGGTACACTGCAATTCGCGCTCTGGGACCGACCGATGCCAATCCATCAAATCAGTCGGTGCCACTTAACCAAGTTCTCGCGATTCGCCAAAGCAGGAAGACTTCAGTGACCGAGTCAGATCCCTGACATTGCTACTTTGGCTCATAGGAGAATAGAAGCCACGGATCGGGCCCTCTTGCCCCCTGGCAGTACGCTCGCCAATGACGTTCGACCCTCGTTTTGAACTCCAGCGGCCTTGCGCGCTAACCTTGGCCGGCGTCCTGGTTGATGGGCGCCTAAAATGTCGATTCATCGCTCACCTGTCCAGGGTCAATTTAACCTTCCCAGGGCATCTCCGGCACCTCCACTCGCATGACCCATCGGATAGACGCTAGCACGGAAAGCATATCCTGCTGGCCCGTCCATTCCCTTTCAACCCGGAGTTTCAATCTTGCCGTGCAAGAGAAAAGCACCCTCACCCGTCGGATCTCAGCCAAAACTCGAACTCTGAAGTCAGAATGAGTGGAGGATGAAAATGATTGACAAACGTTTGAAAGTTGGCCTGGAACAACCACGGCGTACAGCCTCCTGGTCCTTCAAAATCCCTCGCCGTCCGCGAAAATGCGCGATGGGACCAGTGCGAAGAAGTGTGATCTGGAACGAGTGGAGAAAGGCAGGGAAGGCGCCTAGCACAATTCCATGTGCACGACGAGTATTATTTCGAGAGCTTTCTCTTTACACCGAGCCAAACCTGTTTTGGACGAGAGGAGCTGATTACAATTATTAATAGATGGGTTAATGCAGTAGTTGGAAGAATCGAAGCATATAGATACAACTTGGAGATCACTATCGGAGAATGCTTAGGACTAGGCATTGAGTGGAGAAACCCGATTGACCGGCGAATCGTTATGGTGCTAGCATTCTGGGGGAAGAGAGCCCGTCGAATCGCCACAAGGTTTTGAGAGGGAAAAGAGGAACAAAGGTGGAGCAAGGGCCCGACGGCACGTGCTAGGGAGTGATTTGAGCAGGCCCAAGGTACATACGACTAGTAGCTTGAAGGGTACCGAAAACGACATGGACCGGAACGAGGTTGCCTTGCTGCAGTGCTCTGATCCTCGCACTTGGGATCCCTTCTCACACGAGCCTCATGGTTTACGGCCGCATAGTGTCGCTTGTACATTGCCTCGCGCTTGCCCGACTATCCGAGGTTTGGGGTTGGCAAAGCGGCGGCTGGCATCGCCGCAATGAAATGGAGTCACCAAGCTGTGTACTCGAGGGCGGCAAGGATAGGTTTGTATGTAAGGGATTCAGGACTTGGAGAAAGGCCGAAGTTGAATCATAGCGAGTCGGAGGCCACTTGGCACAGGCATATAAAGATAGTAGTAGGGACTCAAGGATGATTCCCCACCATTGCACCCTCCCCGCCACACAGACATATACTCGACGACGAGCAGTAAGAACAGCACCATTCAAGAGGCTTTGTCAGTGCTGTGACTTTTGAGGTGAGGATATGGTTCGATACGATGGGGATGACACGTGTCCATGTCACAATTGCTAGTGTTGGCCGGTTGGTCTTGGCGGAGTGAAAAAGTTTTTTCACCCCCCCCATTTTTGGATGCCCCTGATGGGGATGGCGGATGCTTTATAGTTGACGGGTGGAAACATGGAAATATATGTACTGTGGTGGCAAGATGAATTGACTATCCCTTCGATCCCTGCAGACCCGCGTTCGTCCGCCGCCTTCCCCCTCCACCAGTTCGCCATGTCGATGACCACAACCGCTACCACCACCATCACCCACATACCTAAACAGGCGGTCCAGGGCCATATCGACTATAGAAAACCCCATGTCGCACCTCGAATGCGCTCGAACCAGACTGTACCGGTGAGCGCTAATCTTCGGCATTTTCCTTTCCAGCGCTAAGTTGCTCTCTTTGTTCAGACCCAAGGACAGACGACTGCGGTATCTCGTCCCGATCCTTTTTACGGACACGAACCAATGGCCCGGATGTGCGCCCGCTTTATCACACATCTCTTCGCCTGTCCCGAGTATCCCCCAGCGGCCACACATTCCCAAGCAAAACTTCCCCATTTCATCGCATACGCCCTTCACCGGACAAAACTACATTCCTCCGTAACCTTCGCCGCTCTTGTTCTCCTCCAACGCCTCAAAGCACGCTTCCCAACCGCTCGGGGCTCGTCGGGTCATCGATTATTTATATCCGCTTTCATGATCGCCTCCAAGGTTATCTGCGACGACACCTATTCGAACAAATCGTGGGGCATTGTAGCACAAGGCATGTTCTCATTGCGCGAGATCAACCAGATGGAACGGGAGATGTGCGGCTATCTGGAGTGGGAGCTAACGGTGGATAACCCCATCCTCGCCAACTTTGAAGCCGCAGTGCGAGCTGACTTCAGCGAAGACAAGAAGTCTTATCCAAATTATCCCCTCACCAGTGTCTCGAAAAGAGCCGCTAGGGCTGCAGCTTCAGCATCGGCGACCCCTGTTCCAGAGCCCGACGTCACGACGAACGCGATCCCCAACTTTGGTGGCCAGTATCGTCATTCGCCGTCAGCCCGGATACAGGCATCCAAACCGTCACCCACTCGCAGTACACCGTCGGGCACCCCTTCTCCAACTTATTCTGCTTCCACATGTCCTGCGTCTTCCGCATCCCCCCAAACTCCTGTCGGCCCCGAAGACAACTCTGCGCGGATACACGGCGTCGACGATTCTCCCGGGTTCGCTGTCGTCGAAGTTCATCCACAGGTACATCCACTAAAAGGCCAGATGTTCGCGTTTGCGCTCCCGTCGAAGTGGTAGCGTTTCTACGACTGGCCATTCATTTTTCGCTATCCAACTCCTTGTCGTTCGTTATGCCGCCGCTCTCCCTATACCCCTCATCGATCTATACCGTGAAACTCAATCATCAAGTTGGACAACTGTAGCATTATCCTAGGTAGACCCATTTACACGGCATGGCTCACACTGCATGTTCTCGACAACCAATTCACCTTACTGACCTCCGCATGTTTTCAACCAGCAATTGTACCATATATTTTAACACTACTTTATTTTCTTATGCATCTTACACCCAATCGATATACGTTGTTTGGAATCCAAAATATCCTAGGGCAAGTTCCCGAGCTGTAAGAACCCTGCAAGATGCTGCAACGAGGCTCGATGAATGGATAAGATCAGTTTTTGTTCGGAACCCGAGAAGCGAATGATGCCTTCCACTCGCCTTCCACGCTCGGGACGAAGGGGCGAAAGCATGGCCTCTGCATGTTTCTGCCGTTCACAATCATGTCATTCATGCTCGTTATGGATACCACCTTTAGTTCTCCTTTCTCTTTTACGAGAGCCTCTGACCCATTCGGCCGTAACCTGCCAGGCCAGACTTCAAGAAGGGTGTTTTATAATTGGTTCATCAAAGTAACCATCCACGAGGGCTTTACCCAAGCCAACACGAGGCACTCCCTGCTGTGGCTTGAGCGCGCTTATCTTTGATGTACGCCTCTCAGGTCCGTCATAATTCATTCCGTGTAGAAATTCTGATAATATCGTACCCCAACACGTTTCCCCAGAGTCGTCTGACCTACAGCCGTCGAAATGCATGCTTTTGTTCCAACCCATTTCGGTGTGTAGTGTCTTCATGGCGCTTGGAGGTGGGCCACAGCAATCCAAACCTGGTTCCCCCCGAACGACGCGTGGCGACGCCTTGCCCGGATAGTGAAACTGGGAGCTTCCACCTCTCCGAAGTCCCTGAGCACGAGGATGAGACCGGTAACCCGGCTTCTTCTCTGGGGAGGAAACACCCGACATCTTTCCACCCCGACCTTGCCCCGACCTCATTCGTCCGCCTCGGGATATTACGCCATTTGTGCAAACCTTACACCTAGCCGCTAATAGTAGCGAACTCGGTGAAAGCTGACGGATATCTGATGTGCAGGTGTGTGCTGTTAAAACATCGCTCTTTGAGATCTGGAAGACGTTCGATTTCGATCCAAACTGTTGATTACCGTTAGCCTTTGGGCGCTAATTGAGGTGATCCCGCTGCGTCGGCGGTGCCGCTTGGATAAAGCAACGTCATGATGTCGAGGGAGGTTCTTCACGGGCGCGGTTGCAAAATGGACGCGCGAGCGCACCAGAATTCGACCCCGACGCCCATCCCTTCCTCAGCGTACACGATCCCTTGAGGGGTGTGTTCTGCTCTGCAAACCCTTACGTCCGGAATACCACAGTCTTCACTACCTTTTCCCATGGCCAGGTGCACCGCAGCAAAGGTGGTGTCGGATCCTTTGTAATGTTTCAGGCCTGTTACTTGACGACCCGACGAGCGCCTAAGGACATCATGTAGATCCCTTGTCATTCGGAAAGCTCGGACGCCATATATATGACGAAACAACGTATTTGTCTTCATCTATAGCATTCCTCTTCTTTTTACTCTGGACGGGAAGTGGTACAAATGATACGAATAACGGGGTTGATAACCACGTCCATTCTTCCTGCTTGTAGTGGACTGATCATAGTGGGCGGAGGTCGCTTTCGAGTTTGAACCGCCGCTGATGGCCTTATTCGTTAAGATTCAGCGCTGCATAGCAAGATTGAAGTTATGGTGTGTCTGGGCAGGACGCGAGGGGCTGTTCAGGGCCCATAAGTTCATCAGGAATCTTATGTACAGCTTGCTCCGAGCTAAAGGTCACTGCAAGACCGAGGTCTGAAAGCTTCTGGTATAGTACGAAGGGGCTCAGGAGAAGGAACCTTGTTGACTCGGGGAACAGGGCGCTTCTGGTTGGAGGTTACATGATGTAATCTGGAAATCTCGAAGGGGATGGTATAGACTCCTCGAAAAGGGAGACTCTGGCTAGTAGGTTCAAGAAGTCCGATAAAGCCAAAATAGATTGCCTATATTTGTTAACGGACACAGCTTCATTGAAAGACAGTACTATACGTTATGAGATTCGTTCAGTGGTGTGTCAACTTTCCATGCTCAGGTAAACATTTTATCTCGTTCGGAAAAGGACTGACGTTTTCTGTGAGTCGTTCGCAAACCGCCCGAGGCAGGTTCGAACGCGGATGAGCACTGCCACCTAGGACTTCCGGCACGTGAGTATGGTTCCAAGTATTTTCAAGCTCCGCTTCAAGCGCATTGTCGGCGTAAGCGACGCTGTGGACCGTCACGATCTGCTTCAACCACAAACAACCACTTTGACCACAGGCATGCCGTTCGGACTAACGATGGGAACGGAAAGGGCGGATGCCTTCCAGGTACGTGGAAGCGATGGTGAATTTGGATACGGTACTGACGAGACGTTCATGACTTTAGAAAGCGATCGAGGATGAACTCACAAGACGTGGTTATACGTCTGAACCCGGTGTGTAGCCCTCTTTTGCGCACTGAGAGTGATTCTGACCATTTCCTAGACTCAGTTATGGCGGAATATATCACAATAATGGTCATTAATAACAAGACCCCAGGTACGAAGACCCCAATGTCGCATTGGAAAATTGGCTGACTCGTCCTTTCACAGAACAAATCACTTCGGAACTCGAGGATTGTGCGTTTCTTTCCATCACTGCCATTCGAATTATGTGCTGACTCTTATTTTCAGTGGTCCCAACAGAAATTGGTTCGTTTCGCTACCTTAACCAATACTTGGAAACTAGACTCATCACCAGTGCTTTTCAGATTCAAGTTTCATATCTTGGCTGTTCGAAGAAGCCGCAAAAGGCGCCTCGGGTACCGACGCTCCCCCTCCTACATCCCCTGCTCCAGTCGCTCAATCCCAAAGGCAACCCGGACCCTCGAAAGAAGCCCCAACGAACTCCAATGACTCGACATCACGGCGGCCACCAGGCGCTGGTCGCAATGGTGTATACCAGCAAGCAATCTCCCAAGTAACACCTGGAAGTGCGCAGAAGCGGTCAGCGTCGGCTCGCTCTCCTTCACCGAGTCATCCCAACAAATCGAGGAAAACAGACCTCCCTACCGGCCCCAGAGCGATGCAGAAGGAAAGTTCTTCCAGCAACTCGAGGAGTTTACTCGACAGGATGGGTCCGGGTCGTGCGAATGGTCATTCGAGGGATGAGATTCAAAGAAGGATTGAGGCTGTCACTGCAAATGCGCCGGACGCTAGCATGATGATGAACCCCGCATTCGCCGGTATGCCGCCTCAGGGGATGGACATGAACATGAACATGATGAACCCCGCTATGATGCAGGACATGGTCATGAACCAGATGGCTCTCATGGCACATATGGCGACGTCAATGGGCTTGCTCAATCCCGCGACTGGTCAATTCAACAACCCTGGATTTGTCATGCCGAATGGGATGGGAGGGGATATGGCGATGATGCAGAATGGGTTCCCGGGACACGGTCCGCATGGAGGACCTCAGCGAGGGCGTGGCAGTGGAAGAGCAAGAGGTACTGGACGGAGAGGGAACGCACCAGCTCCAGGGTCGACGCATGCCTCTCAATCTCAAGAGACCACCGCTGAAGCCGCACCTATCGCTGCCCCTGTTCCCGTTACCCCGTCCCCGATCACACCAACTGTTTCTGCGTCCGGCGCAGCTGCTGAGACGAAGCCCGTGGGCACATATGCCATCCCCGAGCGACCTCAATCACCAACGCTGTGCAAGTTCGGCACTAAGTGCACCAACGTCCACTGTCGCTATTCGCATCCTTCACCGGTAGCCACGGCGGAAAGTGGTATTGTGCTGAGCAACGAGCCTTGTGAACAGGGCAAGGAGTGCAAGGATAAGGATTGTACGAAGGCTCACGTCAGTCCAGCGGTTCTGAATCCCAAAGGTGTGTATGTCATGCTTTCCGATCTTGTTCTCAGGCTGACTTTCCCTGAAGCGGAGGCAGCGGTTCCGAATGCCACAGCACCACCCCCGCGACACTCACAGCAGAGCGGCATTCCGTGTCGCTTTGGTCTGGCTTGCACACGACCAGGCTGCTCTTACTCCCATCCACCTCGACAACCTTGCCGCTTTGGCGCCGCTTGCACTCGGGCCAACTGCACCTTCCAACATCCTCCAGGTCGTGTGCTGCCATCCACGTTCCATCGCGGATTGTCCACATCAGGCGGAATGGTCAACGTCACCACACCTGAGACTGGTTCCATGGGCGGCGCAAGTCATAACAAATCTATGACGTTTAACGTCTCTGCGACGTCGAAGAAGGAAGACTTGGAGAAAAAAGTGAAGGAGCTTGAAGAGCAGAAGCAGCAGATGGAGAAGGCGATGAAGGAAGCCGCAAGCAAGAAGGCCGATAACAAGCCTGTCGCTCTTGCAGCCTAGATGCTGATTCTCAATCGAACGTGGTGAGGTGCAGAAGAAGTGCTCCCACTTAACCACTAATGTCTCTTTGTCGTCAACGGATCCTTGTTTCATTTTCTTTTCATTTTTCTCTTGGTCAGTGTATGTTATGTATAGCAACTTTTTAAACCGGTTGGTTCGGTGCCCTGCCTACCTGGTTGCATGTCGTTTATATTGTATTACCCGCTTACAGCTTCAAGGGCTCATTTGCCTTGCTTATCTACGTGCAGTAGTTTACACTGTTTATTACTCTACATATCGGGACGCTCAAAAGAAACACCGAACGTTTTGGCGCCCAGGACTCGCTTGGGTTCTCGGCACTCTCTCCACATCTTCTGCCCTTGACCAAGTTCCACCCTGTTACCCAATGAATCGGCGAAGTCCCTCGAAAACGCTCCAGATTTCCGTCAACGCAGAACCTTGAGCTTGCAGGTTGAGTGATGGATGAGCTTGAGGCAGTGGCGTACAGGGGGACACGTTTTATGCGTGGAAAATATTCCTGTCCTATCTCCAGCGGGGAAACAGTCGGCCGGATTTGCATAAATCATTTCTTTCTCTTTCTTCGTGTTTCTTGCTACAAGTCGTTCTTTACTCGATGTCATCCGCTCGAGCCATTAGATTGGCTTTGGTGACACGAAATCACAGGCCCTCGGCGCCACTGCAGCGTATAGCACGCAGTTATGCGACCACTCCGGGCACACCTGGCTCCAACTCTTCAGGCTCGTCTCCTGGTCCACACCACCACAAGCAATCTGCAACGAAGTCAGTAGCACCTAAACCATCTCCGAACGTCCAAAAATCCACGTCGCCCGTACCTACACCGCCGGGTGCTCGACACGAGGTCCACGAGGGCACGGCGGCGCTCTCTGCTCCCTACAATCCTCCTGGGGGAGGTGGACCTGGGGCTGGAGGAGGCGGCTTCACATTCACAAATTCACCCGTTCTCGATGCTGTCCTCACGACTTTTATCGGCTTGGGTGCCGGTGAGTCCAGTCATGGGCCCCTGTTACCTTGATTGACGCGTGAGTTTCAGTTTTCTTTGGGGGTATCGCGTACATGAGGTGGTACAAGGCAAACGTCTTGGACAAGGTATGACATACCACAGCTACCGATTTTCAATTCGAAAATTGAAAGCCTATACACAGATCGAAGAGGCCTTCAAGGCTGGCTACGATCCCGCCCTGGAGCTTGCCAAGGCGCAACCTGGTCGTAAATCAAAGAGCGGCGACGACGATGACGATCCTTTCGACAGCGACGAACCATGGACGGGCGATCTGCGACGCAAGGAGCAGGATCTAATTGACATGATTGTCCACGGAGAGGAAGCCGGGCATTATTTTATGCTCTTGGGACCGAAGGTTGGTCTTGTTGGACTTGTTTAAGCTAGAAGGGAATGACACGCTCTTGCAGGGATCTGGAAAAGGCACGATGATATTCGACTCTATGGCTGCTAATCAAGCGGACGGGGTATCTTTCTGTGACGCGCATCCTGACCTGGAGGTTTTCCGCCTGCGACTTGGCAAGGCCTTGAATTACGAATTCAATGAGGATACTCAAACCGGTCTCTTCCAACGGCGTGATCCCAGGGAAGGAGGTGCTCCTTTGGATATTGAACGGGGTGAGTCTCGCTCTTACCCCTGCTGGGTGATCAATCTATGGAACTCACCGTCCCTTTCAAGCCCTGAACAAGCTCGAGAAGGTAGCTCTACAGGCTGCGAAAGACCGCGGAAAGCCTTGGGTTCTAATCATCAACAACATCCATTACTTCCAAAACGATGACGAGGGCAGGAACTTTATCCTACAGCTGCAACAAAAGGCCGAGGCATGGGCAGCCAGCGGTAAGCATGAACCAAGTTTCAACCACATCGTTGTACCTGACACCTTTAATAGGCATCCTCACTCTCGTCTTCAGCTCGTATGTCTGCGGTTGAGGTCACCCTGGTCTATGTGTCTGACACACTTGTTATCTTGCCTTAGGGACGAATTCTGGCCTTTCCATGTAATGCGTAAGTGTTGAACGAATTCGGCTAATGTATACCTTGCGACCGTTGTCTACAGGGAAGTCCGGAAGTCGAATGCACGTTATCAGTGTCGAAGACCTTAAACGCTCGGATGCCATGCAGGCGCTTGCGCGAATGCGAGCTAAGGCTGGTCGTCCCAAGGAATCACCGGAAACAATCAACGAGACGCTTGACTTGGTTGGTGGGAGGTTAAGTTACTTGTCAAAGGTAAAGGATTCTTTTGTTCATCGAGTGTTTCTCATTAACCATGATATCTGTTGCTTAGGTCGCCAAGGCGAAAGATATGGTGGGTATGGCCAAGCACTTGTTAGCAGTTGAAAAGGGTTGGATATTAAGTCGAATTGGTGGGTTCTCTCTGTCTCCATTAATGTTAAACGTGTTGTTGACTCGAAGTGCACCGTAGGATTGATCCCGGACTGCGACGACGACGTGATGGACGAGGTAAGTCGACTCAGTCACTGTGCGCTCCTCTTCGTGCAATTGCTAACTTTCGTGCGATAGCAAAAATGGAGTTCCTGTTCATGGCTGTTACTTCAAGAATTCGTCAAAATGCGGAAGGAACAAGAGAAGGAACGGGAGGAAGCTATTGCTCGAGGAGAACTCGATCCAGAAAACCTCGAAGAATTGCCTATGCCCGCTCTTTCCTACGTTAGTTGTTCCGCATTTCTCGCACCATCACATTTCTGATGCTTCTGTGTGTAGTATCGCTGCCGCCAAATCATGACACGGGCAGACTTTTTAGAGGGTAGGCTGTTCTCCCCCATGTTGTGTCATCATTGACGTAGAGCTTTTGTTTCGATGTGTACAGACTTGGATCGAGCGAACATAATCGCAATCGACGTAAGTATTTTGATTCTTCAGCATGGGTGGGCTCAGATCTGACTCGGGAACTGACTGCAGATCAACCACGACGTTAGACCGGACTCGATGCTTACCTTACAAGCGGCGATTGAGGTTGTGGAGGAAGAAGGCTTCGAGGACTTGTTAGAGAACGTTCGAGATCGTATTGACGAAATCGAGAGTCTGCGCCGAACGCGTGAATTGACGGTGTGTTCTATGTTGTTCCATTCCGACTTGCACACCTTTAACACTCCTGTTCGTACAGTTCAAGGACGTGGTCAAGGGCGACATGATTCGTCTCTCGGTTGATAAAGGAGGCGCTGAATTGATTGAGACCATTAGAGGCAAAGGCGGTGACGATGACGACTAGGTTTAGGAGTGACTGAATGTTGTTAGCACTGGACACCGTGATTGAGGTGGGCTAGAGGTTCTTAATTGCGCTGGAACGCATCGGACAGTGGTTTGTTCTATCGTATGTGTCATCTAGTATGATCTATTCCACTTGTAATTCAAGAGTTGACTCTTCTCTGACACTTCGGAATGGTGCTCGAGTCGCGCTCCTTGTTCCGAGGGCTGTGCACTGGATAGTGACGTAGATTCTCGGAGGTGAACTGGGGAAGCATTTCCATCCCACCGAATGACGCCAGCTCAGGGAGCGACCTCAGGAAGCTGGTCAGGGTGGGCAATTGAATAATGGGCTCTGCGTGGTCGGACGACCCTATGTGCTAATGACATTCAGCCCGTCAGGTAGCCTCATTTCAACGAAAGGGTGTTATATAGCAGCGCGGTGATTGGAAGAAAGTAGCGATTGAGGTGATTGCCGGTGAGTTATGGGTGCATCGAGGTGCATGCAGGTCAACCACGAGGCAGGGATACCCAATTCCCGAGCCCGGCCCTGAGTTTAAGCAACACAGTTTCGAAAAGGCCACCTCGCCAGCTCAGCGCTCAGTAACAGAAAGGAAAATGCAGTCACCCATTCAATGGAGCTTAGTGAGCGTTGGTGCACGATAAAGGGGGCAGCTCCGAGCGTGAGCAAGATACGGTTTAATCAGCCTCCTGATGCACGAGCACCACCAGCCTATCCTGAGCATTCAGAAGTGAATATGACGATGACCCTAGGGTGATTCGTAGTGAACCGAGTCAAGAAAAGGGTCCAAGGGCTAGCTTGTAAATAATACACGAATCAATTGTTGTGGGGCAATTTTTGAGGCCTGGTTCTAGCCTGGGCAAGGCGTGGGAAAGTAAGAACAGCAGCGAGTGTTGTGGTCATCGCCCGGGTCTCTTCTGTAGAGTCTTTTCCTCTCGGAACGCTCATCCACAGCGTCCGTTGCTTTTTCTTTTTAGACCTCAAACCGTCTTCCAGCTGCTTTTTTGCCTGCTGGCAGGTCATTTTTGACGACCAACAACTCAACTCAGAAAAAAAAGCAACGCAAGAAAAATATATACCGAAGAACTAGCTTTTTCACAGCCAAAATTCGTGAGTGCTTTCTCTACTCGTCGTCTGACCCGTCCAGCTCATCGCCTGCCCTCTTTCTGCCGTCTCGCTCGGTGCAGAATGAGCAAATCTTCAACGACATCAACGAACAAGTCGCTTCCAGCAAAGTCAGCTTGGTCAAAGGGCCCACCACAGACATCAGCGCCATCTCCCCGCTCTCAATCTCCCGCCCCATCCGCCCAATCTCAGCCCCATCTGACCCATTCCCGACGTCCTAGTGCCCTTGGTCAAGCTATCCCTATCAAAGATGGTGTCAGCGTCCCTCGTAACAACGTAGGAGCGGCGGCAGCCAAAACCGGTACGTCTCAACCAACCACCCTTACAAAGCCCGTATCTGACCAACCCGTCCTCCAGGTTCTGCAGTAACTTTTGGATCTATAGATGACGCTTCGGCGCCAATTTCTTCCTCGCCTGCTGCCGCGCCTCCTACACTCAAGGAGACAATTGTAAAATCGTTCGGGACCGTTCCAGCGGCTAGCAGTAATGGTAAACCGACGCAGCCATCTCGCCCAGCAGTATCAACTGCATCGGCATCCACAACGGCTACATCGTCCTCATCCGCCACTCCATCATCATCGGCACCTCCGGCGAAACTCGACAAAAAGGACATCGCAAAGCTCTTCCAGAGTTCCTCAGCTCCTGCTCCTTCACCATCGGAGACGCAATCGCCTGCCCCACGAAATGCCAACCTTCCATCCCAAAATCAGCCTCCTCCCACACCGACATCATCCTCTCAACCTTCACAATTCAACCCTCACTATCGGACATTTGTTCCAGGTGGATCGCAACCTCAGGGTTCCGGTCCCAACAGTGGACCATCGCGATCTCCAGTATACCAGCGTCCAGTGCCTAATGGCGCTGGTCCAAGACCACAAGCACCCCCCAACGGTGCGCCCTCGGCGGGCATGTCCAGTCCCCGACTCGGACCTCCTCATGCTCAACCTGGACCCCCGCCTGCAGCACCGCCGGTCCCAGGTCAACCTCACATGCCTACTCAAATGGTCTGGAACGGAGGCTACTACGTTCGTCATTTAACTTATCCCTGATTGCACCTACTGACTATGACCCCAGTATCCTCCAGAGTATGTACCCTATGGTGCCTGGGGCTATGTCCCACCAGGAATGCCCCCTCAATCCGCTCACCCCCACCCTCCTCCGCACATGGGCCCTCCCCCGCATATGACTCCTCATCCGATATCGCCACACAACCCTCCCCGCACACTTCAGCCTGGAACACCTACTATGCCTCACGCCGCTCCTAATCCTGTCCACCCGCCGCACCCTCCCCCACCTCTCTCACAGCCCCACAGCAGCATCAACACCATGAGCTCACCACCTCCCACGCCTTCTGGCGGGCGCCTGAACGTGAACTCGAACGCATTCGTTCCTCAAACCTCCAAAAGAATTACGCTCAAGAACTCGGAAGGAAAAGAGGTCGCCATCGAATCGCTGACCAAGCCCACTGCCACACCCACCACTACCGTATCTTCTGGACAGGGAACACCTTATCGGCAGAACAGCCCCGCCAGCACGCCTAAGCGCTCGAGCATCCGGATAGAGAGCGAGGATCAGCGACGTAAGCGATTGGCTGAAGAGGAGGAAGCACGAGAGAAGGAGAAGCGGCGAGCACAGGAAGAAGCGGAAGCCAAGGCCAAGGAGGAGGAGAGAAAGAAGAAGGAGGAAGAGGAGAAGGAGAAGGAACGTCTCCGGTTGGAGGAGGAGAAGAAGGAGGAGGAAAGGAAGAAGAAGGAAGAGGAGGAGAGAAAGAGGCGCGAGGAGGAGGAACGTATTCAGAAAGAGAAAGAGGAGAAAGAGCGAGCTCAACGGGAGGAGGAAGAAAGGAAGAAGCGTGAGGAGGAGGAGCGCATCAAGAAGGAGGAAGAGGAAAAGAAACGCGTGCGCCAGGAGGAAGAGCGCAAGAAGCGAGAGGAAGAGGAAGCTTCTCGCAAGGCCAAGGAGGAGGAGGAGCGCAAGAAGAAGGAGGAAGAGGAGGAGAAACGTCGACAAGCCGAGGCAGCGGAGAAGGAGAAGGCCGAGAAGGCAGCACGCGAGCAGCCAGAAGAAGGTGAAATCCAGGAACCTGCACCACCGACTGTTCCCAAGGAGGACCCGAAGGAGAAGCTCAAGGAAGGCTTGAGGATAAACACCGCGACCTCGAACGCCGCCGACTTGGGTAAACGACGCCCCGCCAATCTCGACCTCTCCGCCACCAAGGGCGTTCCCGTTGCTTCCGCCCTCTCTACCGCTCGCAACCTCGAATCGCTTGACAGCATTAAATACCCCGAAGGTATTCAGAGCCCTAAACCAGAGCTCAACGAGAACGCCAAGCCGGGTCGCTTCAGGTATGACCGGGACTTCCTGCTCCAGTTCAGAGAAGTTTGCAAAGACAGGCCTCCCAACCTTCCTCCTCTCGATGCCATTGGTTTGGAGCCTATCGACCCATCGGCCCTTCACATTACTCGTGGCGGCTCTCATCCTGGCCGTCACGGACGAGCATCCTCAACTGTCCCTGTCCGTCAAGCCTCTGTCGGCTTGCCCTTCGGTGGGCCCGGTATAGGCAAACCTGGATTCGGTGGTATGGGTAACTTCACCACCCCTGGACGACTCTCCAGCGAAGACCGGTTTGCCATGTCCAACGCTGCCAATCGATCAGCCTCTGTTGGAGGACCTGGAATGCCATTCGGTCGACCTGCCGCGATGCAGCGAACTGCCAGTCAAGGCGGCCAGATCCGCGAAAGAACGAGGAGCAAGCGCGGAGAGAAACGAGCGCCCGCTGACGGTGGGAAGGACCGCAACGCGTCTGCTCAGCAACAGCTCAACTTGGAGCCCGTCGCCCCCCTGCAAATGTCCGCCAACCGATGGGATCGCAGAGCCCTCGCCGCCGACAGTGATTCTCCTGAGATGGTGGATCGCAAGGTTAAGGGTCTCCTCAACAAGCTTACCATGGAAAAGTTCGATTCCATTTCTGACCAGATCATCGCCTGGGCCAACAAATCCGAGAAGGAGAAGGATGGCCGAACTCTCATCCAGGTCATTCGTCTGGTCTTTGAGAAGGCCACCGACGAGGCGACATGGTCTGAAATGTACGCCCGTCTCTGCCGCAAGATGATGGAGCAAATCAGCCCCAAGGTTCAAGATGACGGCATCAAGAACGCGGAGGGCAGGCCCATCGCCGGTGGTCAACTTTTCCGCAAGTATCTCCTCAACCGCTGTCAGGAAGACTTTGAGCGCGGTTGGGTGAACAAGGAAGCCACCGCCGCCGCTGCCAAGGCCAAAGCTGCAGATGATGAAGCTATCAAGGCAGCCAACGATAGCAAGAAGGACAAAGAGGGCGAAGTTGAGCTGTACTCAGACGAATACTATGCGGCTCAGAAGGCGAAGAGACAAGGTCTTGGCCTTATCAAATTCATCGGTGAGCTCTTCAAGTTGCAGATGTTGACGGAGCGAATTATGCACGAGTGTGTGAAGAAGCTCCTTGGCAACGTCGACAACCCAGAAGAGGAGGAGATCGAGAGTTTGTGTAAACTTTTGACGACCGTCGGTGCATTGTTGGACACTCCTAAAGCCCACGCGCACATGGACATCTACTTCTCCCGGATGAAGGAGCTCACGAAGAGCCCGAACGTCAGCCCTCGTATGCAGTTCATGTTGCAGGTGAGCAACGACCCAGAATTTGTCGACTGCATAAAGATTGACTGTGTTGATAGGACGTTATCGAATTGCGAGAGCGTAAATGGGTAGCTCGTAACGCTGTCGCTGCACCAACGACCCTCGCCCAGGTACACCAGAATGTGAGTCATTTTCACTTTTGAGCTAGTTGCCATCGGCTAACTCCTCTTCAGGCTGCCAAGGAGGCCGCTCAGGAGAAGGAGAGTATGCAACGTGCCATGACTATGTCTCGCACCAGCTCCAACCGTGGACGAGGACGCGCTACCGACGAGCAACCGGATGGTTGGGCTGTCGCAGGGTCAAGACCTGTATCGACCAAGGCTGGCGACCTTTCCAACTTTGGCAAGATCAGCAAAGCGCAACCCATGACCTTCGGCCCCAGCAGCGTCTTCTCGAAGAAGGACAAGCGCGAATCGCTGTCTCGTTCCAGCTCAAGTTCCAACATGTTCTCGATGCTGCAGAACGCTGAGGTCAATCCTGAGCCCAAGCCCGGTACGTATCACTTGGGAAATCTTCACAACTGGCTGTGTGCTGACATCTCCCTACTAGAACCGCAACGCAAACGACTTGCACTCCTCCCACGGACACTCCCCAAACCCGACGAAGCCAACACCAACGCCAGTGGACGTGATAGGTCGGAGAGTGGTAGCGAAGAGGAAGAAGAGGAGAAGGCAGCGCCGGAGATGAGCGAGACCGATGCGAAGAATAAGATTGACGAAGACTCGAAGGAGTTGTTCGGTGTCCGGAATCTGGATGAAGCCGAAGTTTACTTCACCGCCCTCCCAGCCAAATACCATCACAAACTTGTTGACAAGCTCGTCAGCAAGGCTGTGGAATCCAAGATGACAGATGCGGAATTGGTCGCGTCATTATTCGAACGTGCGTCGAAGAAGCAGCTTTGCTCTCCCAGCGCCTTCGAGGAAGGCTTTGCCCCGATTGCGGAATTCCTCGACGATATCGCTATCGACGCTCCCCATGCCTTCCAGATCTACGTCAAGATGGTCAAGGGCGCCAACCTCGACGCTGAAGCACACTCGCGGATCGCTGCGAAGGATCCCAGCGAGAAGCTCGGTCCACTTCTATCATAGGCATTTCTTAATATTGTACTTGTTTAGCCACGTCTCTCCTTTCTTTCGCTGCATTCTCCTACATCCATTGTATTCCTCGACCACATCCTGTCTTTCTCTCGGTCTTTCACCATGTTTTAGCAGCCCCTTCTTGGGTACATTTGGCCATTCCTTCGTTCTCTTGCAGAGAATATCATCTTCTTCTTGCTCCTACCACAGGCACTGGTGATCATGCATAACTTATGTCGTGTTACATGTACATATATGTATATTATTCTGAATTTCTTGCCTGACGGACGCTTGCATAGACACCTTACAGATAGTCGACGGCGTTAATTTGAGACCGTGTTGTATTCAATGTGTTCGACTGAGGAATGGGTGATGTTTGATCAGGGCGGTGGATTTCCATAACGAGAGCGATGGATTTGTGGAAATAAAAAGCTCAATAGGTTGCTCCGTTTGAGACACCATTGGGCCGTTCCAGATGTTATAGCACAAACTCTCACCCAACCGTACACACTTGCGCCCCTTTTCTCGACGTCCACCAGCTACGTCGCACGACGACGACAACGACGACAACACGACCGCTTTTCGACCGACGGGCGCGAGCACCCTTGGCATGGCAGATTTGGCGCCAGTGACAGATTCAGAGCATGACTCGAACAGAGGTCTTTGGAGACGCTGCACAAAGCACCTCAACTTCTATCGGATCCATATACTCGTCTTGTACGGTCTCTCCTTCAAATCTTATCGTGCATTCTTACACTGACGTTGTCTTCTGAATTTTAGCACCTTCACACCTCTCTTCTTCTCCGTCATCTTCTACCTCAGCAATGGCGAAGTCAAGATCTCCTACGTTGACTCTCTCTTCAACTGCGTCAGCTCTATGGCCGTTTGCGGGCTGGCCACCGTGGATTTGAGTTCTTTGACGCCATGGCAGCAAGTTATCTTGTTCATACAGATGTGCATTGGGAACCCAGTGAGTCGGCCTCTTGTTACCCTCCCGAAATGCGGCTGAACGCCTCGGAAGATTGTTGTTTCTTGGCTCATTGTCTTTTCCCGCAAGTAAGCACCCATCCTTGCAGCATGGCGATACCTTGTATTCTTACGCCAGGTCTCAAGGCGCTATATCGAACGACGCTGCAGCAACGCCCTAGCAAGTTACATAGACCAACGGGAAAAGGTTGAGAACGTTGACATGAAGAAGCGCAGTCCTTGGGCACGGTTCATGCGTTCTCTAGGCTTCCTCACACCGAATCACTCTGTGAATGACACGGACACTGAACTTGGAGAGAAGCCGAGAGCGGGAAGGTCGATAGACCCGGCCAATATTCGACGCCTGGAAGCAGCACCTCGCCCTGTGAACCCGAGTGGACAATATACGGACCAAGACGCCTACGCTATCGAAATCACGCCGCCCACTGAGCGCAATTCACCAGTACCTCTATCCCGGGAAAGCACTCCCTCTTCGTCTAGCGCCGAAAGCTCCACCGGGTAAGTTTGTCTGTTATCACGTCAAGTCAGGCTGTTCACGGTCCTTCCGCCCAATAGAAAGCGGAGCCAGTGTATGTCCTCATCCTCATTTCCCGGGTGATACTGTGCTAACCCAGAATGCATCCAGTTGATGACTATGATGACCCTACCGCTTCTGAGGGTCCAGGGCTCCCTCGCACTGTGACATTCCAAGAGAGTGAAGTGACATCGAGAATTCGCCATCGCACGGGGAAATACAACGAGGGGGACGACATTGTGACTGGTCAGTCTCTTCCACTCCAGCGTTGCGTCCGCTAATCATTTATTCTTAGAACACCTTCGTTCCGAAGACCCTGGGACGAGGCAATCTAGTAACCAGGGAATCCCAAGAACGATGACCCACCAGTCCACTCGTCCATCGTTGCGGACCTATACAACGAATGTCTCTGTTATCTCTCAGGCACCTCGTAAGAACCAAGGTTTCGGTGGTTTCCCTATGCCTTGGACTGTGCTCTCGTCGCTCTTCCATTGGCTGTTTCCTGACCTTGGAAGGAAGCTGCACCGCACTATAACGATGCCCGTTACCGCAACTATAGCCTCGGGGGCGGGTAGCACCAAGCCAGGACCTTCGTATATCATTCCGGACGACGAGCCTGTTATAGTTGGCAAGAACTCTGATGTGCAGGCGAGCAACAGCCAATTAAAGAACTTGGCGTACCATGAATATAAAGCATTGATCCTCCTGCTTTGGATCATTGCATTCGTAAGTCGCGAGTGTGGGGCACTGGCGTACATTCTTTACTAACTCGATTGACAGTATCATGTCGGAGTCCAGCTCATCGGGTTCGCCATTGCTGCGCCCTATATCTCGACATCCCGCTGGAAGGAAGCTTTCGTGCCGCCCCAGCTTGTCAGACCCGTCAACTCTGTCTGGTATGCTTAATGCACCTTGCCTCCTTTTTGACATGCTCACAGGCATCCAGGTTCTCCGCCTTCCAAACCGTATCTGCTTATACTAACACAGGATCCTCACTCGTCGACCAATCTATGCTACCATTTCAATCTGCTTACGTGCTCATCCTGGTCATGATCTTTCTCATTTACGCTGGCAATACTTGCTTCGTACGTGCTTCTCCATTCTCTGCTTCATTCGTGCACTCATATCACAACAGCCAATCTTGTATGTCCCCTTGGAGTTGACCCTTCACCTTATCTGACACCTGGTATTGTGACAGCCTTCGCTTCGTCATGTAAGTGTCCTTCAAACTGCTGGGTCAACTACATTCTGACGTGTAGTCAGATATTGCCTATGGAAATTGACAGGGCCAACGAGCAGGGTCGGCCCGACTCTCGAATTTCTCTTGGACCATCCGCGTCGCTGCTACATCTACCTCTTTCCCTCGCACCAAACCTGGTTTCTATTAACTGTTGTGATTGGCTTGACGTGAGTGCATATCAGTTCGCGACTAGACTTGCTCTGAAGTTTTATTATTATCAGACTTCTTGACTGGATATTCTTCCTTATCCTCGACATTGGAAATGCTGTTTTGGACGAAATCCCCACCAACATCAAAGTCTTGGATGGGTTCATGCAAGCCGTTGCTGTTCGGGCTGCAGGCTTCTCCATCGTACCTCTTGCGGCCATCGCTCCTGCTGTCAAGTAAGTTATTTACGACTCTATGCTGGTAGCAGTGCCCTCATATCTTCGTAATCAGGGTTCTGTATGTTGTCATGATGTACATCAGTGTCTGTAAGTTGCCCTTTCGCATTTGAGTCGACAGGATTTTACTAATTGTTTGTTAGACCCCATTGCTATGAGGTAAATCGGCCCGGTCTTACTATTTGCAGGAGTCGCTAATAGCTGGCAGCGTTCGGTCCACCAATGTTTACGAGGCCAATTCGCTGGGGATCTTCCCTGAACTCGAAGACGAGGAGGAAAATGAAGAGAATTTCAATAACCAGGGACCTCGTGTTCAGGTCTGGGGTCGCTATCTTATGATGCACATTCGCCAACAGCTCTCGTTTGGTCAGTCGATTAGTTCTGCTTTCAAGGGAGTTTTCAGCCTTACCATGTCTATCGCGTTTTAGACATGTGGTGGATTGTGCTCGCAATATTCTTGATATGTATTGTCGAGGTAAGTCACTTTTACTTCTCTCTGTCTGCATCTCAACCGATCTGCTCTAGTCCGGCAATTTGCAAGATCCTGCCAAATCTGAATGGTTTACCATCTTCAACCTACGTGCGCTGTTCTCATCTGTCACTGTTGGATTCTAACTGACAGTATGTTACAGTATTTGAACTCGTTTCTGCCTATGGCATTGTGGGGTTGAGCCTGGGTATACCAGACGTGGGTCTGCATTTCGTATCTTCGCTTCGCTTTCTCATTTCTTCATCAGGGCAACTATTCCTTCTCTGGTGCTCTCAGGCCGTTGTCCAAGCTGATCATCTGTGTCGTGATGATCCGTGGACGTCACCGGGGTCTTCCTGTCGCCATTGACCGAGCAGTGCTGTTCCCCAAGGAATTCCGTCGGGAACAGCTTGGCGCGGACAACTTTGAGGATGGAGTGTCTCTGTCGGGCCTCACCGCTAGTATGGACCAAGACCAGGACGCTGCATCCACCGGCTATAGTCGCTCTCGCCTCTCGCGCCACCGAACCTTGTCGCAGACGATATCCGTACAACGATCACCGACACAGGTCTCCATCCAGCTTCCATCCAAAGACCTAACGCATTCTCCGCAAGTGCACTGGGACAATCCCAGCCCACGGGTGGCCCGCCAGTCTTCCCGGCAGTCGAGACAGGCCGACGCTATCTCAGAGATCACCCCATCTTCATCGAACTCCACCGAGGCTCGTATAGGAAGGCAAGGTCGTCCGGCACGCCGTTCTACGGTCGACTCTGCGAAATCTACACCATATTAATCGACATTGAACTGTCATCTCACGACCTTCGATGACTTAAACCGACTATGATGACCACACCCACGAGCCGATGAATGATACACACTAGACTAGATTAACAATCTCGGATACCACACTTCTACTGTTATGCGGTTCTCTTTCCCCTTTACTGGTTCTTCAAGCGCACCTTCTGACTGATCCTCGCCATTATTGTATTCGCTCTGCTAGTACCTTTGTTGTCGATTGTTCCATTATCTCTTTAGAACCTTCTGGCGCATTCGCCTTTCATACTCTTGCTTTCACATGTTGTGCCTCGAGTCTGTCAAACTTGATCTCTCTCCCGTCTTGGAAAAGCCCGCGCAAAGAACTCATGGCCAATGGAGTGCCACTAACCATGAGGTTCGTGCAGTCGGGCTGGATCCCCCCAACGGCCCCTTCTGGACACAATGCGTCATACACGCGGCCTACCACGCTGCTCCAACGAGGCAAAAAGTCTATATTTAAAACCGGAATAGGTAAGAGACAGGCCAGTTGCCATATCCCCTCTACTTCTGTTCTTTCGCGACCCTTGACTATTTCCGCGCTATCATGTACCACGACAGATCCGTCTACATCGTCCAAGAACCCGAGGTACGTCATTAAAACACCAGTTGTCTCAATGAACGAAAGAACTGAACAGATCGCTGTGGCACCTGTAGCAACCTTCTCCAATGTCGGCACACTTCGATGTAGACCTGTGCCAACTGCTACAGACTATGAACTTAAGTGAGAAGCAAGTGAGTTCACAAATCTTACACGCTGTTGTTCATTCATTTCCTGATGTCACTGTTACCTGGAGAAAGCAGTCGGCAGGCGCCTACGGAGTCTCAAGTATTCCCGTAAAGCACACCGAAGACCAATTGATGGACTCGGATCCCCACTACCACGTAAGTAGGAATGCTTTATGAGGTCGCATGTTAGTCGAGATGACCGACCATCGTCTCCCCTTTCAAGTCGGACGCGAGATCGGATTGCTCGGAATCAAGTGCAAATACAGGGCCCGCCGAAACCTATTACGGGTGTGCCTACCTCCAGGCTATTCAGTCGCAGATCGACAACTACCCAACCACCGGAGGAGAATACGTCGAGGCTATATTCACCCATCGCGAGATCTTCGCAGCGCACCCGGTGGCCCATCGCGATTGCGCGAGAGGGTTTAGTGATATTGCGTCTGTGCTGGAGAAGAGGGCTTGGAGGGCGGATCGCGAGGCTGATGTTGAAGCTGTGTCTGCGTTCAGACATGAAGCGTGGATGGTTGCGAATTCATTGTGAGTTTCTTGACCCGTCTAATGTCATTGGGTGGGATCAAAGCTGATGAGACCGTTCTTGGTGCTAGACCATCCGTATTGCCGAGAAGCTCGTAGTGGGGAATGGATATCCCCTGTTCACATATGAATCTTTGCCATAGCCAAAGCCACTGATTATTTCGTGGTTATCTCTGCGTATTGTATGTTTATACCCACTGTCTAATTTACTCCAATCATTTTGCACGCGCTTGATGTGATGTTGCCATCCTGCATCAGCGCTTATCAAACAAATAATGACTCGAGTGACATTATTCTGGGTTCTCGCGATTCTTTCTCTAAAGCCCAATCCTACAACATCATAGCATCGTGGGCTCAGGTAAGGCTCACCGGCACGTACCAGCATGAACACATGTTTCTTACCTTCACAGGAACCGAGTTTGGCCTGAGCTATGTCTGCATACGGAGAGGTCAAGAGGTCACAAGCCAGCGTCGCACCTTTGCCCAGCACCTTCTGGCGAACTTCGCTTGGAGCAGACTCCAAAGGGGCGCCGGAAACAATAGCTGTGCACCATCTCACGCTTCAGATCATAGAAAAATACGATGCCCTATTGGACTATCTGCGAGAGGTTTTTGCTGCGGTCGTTGAAGAGGGAAGAACATATCCACAGGAGGGAGATATCAACGAGAAATCATTCCAGTCCTATTTCTTTGCTGCAGACGTCTTCGTGGGTGTCGCGGTCACTTCCCCATCATCACAGGAACATCAATGTTCAGACGGAGCTCTGACAAGTCATGAAAGCCTTGAGCTCGCTTCCAAGGACTGGAGGGGTTCTGTATCCGGCTTCTACTATGTGAGTCGGTACCCATTTCTTTCAGCGACGATGTTTAAGCAGCAAGTCCAGGTTAAACCCAATTATCCTGGAAGATCTTCACATGTACATCCCTTCCACGGGCGCTGATACCTTCGAACTGACCCAATGCTCAGATCTGTAACGCAGGCTTTGTCGTCCCTCCGGTTATGAGAGGTCGGCGATATGGCAAAGCACTGGCCAAGTCCTACCTTCACTATGCCCCGAAATTAGGGTACAAGGCGAGCGTCTTTAACCTGGTCTACGTGAACAATGTCGCCTCGGTCAGGTAGGCGTATTTATATTGTCACTCAACTTCCACGGGTTGATCTTATCCACGGCATAGAATTTGGGACAGTCTGGGTTTCACCAGAGCGGGGTTAATTCCGGGTGCAGGCCGATTGAAACGTCAAGATGGAGATGGGGAAGAATATGTAGATGCATTGGTTTTCTACAAGAGGTTCTCAAACTAGTACACACATCCACAGGGTATAAATTGTCTACTTAATTAGTAGTCTTGCTTCTTTCAAAGGTCTTGCCAAGACCAAAAGTGGGCGCTGACGGCGTCAATTCAAACAAACCCTTGATCCCCCTTGATCACGGAGCTTCAACCATGACATGTTGACAAGAAGAGCTTGAGCGTTGAACATGGCTGATGACGAGAGCTCGCTGTTTTCCTGCGGCCGGTGCTGTGAACTTGTCTTGGAAGTCGCTCTGGAACCACCACGGGCGCTGTTCAAGTTCTGGTCGAGCCTTTCTTGCTTCACCATCCCCCCAAGATGCGTCGCCATCGGTGCTGCCTGTCCAGACTCTTTACAATCTGGTGTCTTTCATTCAATCTGGACATAACCACAGCGTCTGAAGGGCGCAGCGAACCACTAGAACCGCGGAACGCTTTCTACGATAGGAATAGGGATGGATCTCCGTTTGTCTGGCTGTTGGAAGACACTTACCAAGGAGAGGACTTCCTGAAGTCAGTTCCCAAAACCCAAGCGCTTCGTAGCTGTCTCGACTGAACTCCCTGCAGGAACGTCAATTTCTTCTCCGGTCATCATGATCCCACAAGGTTCGAGCTTCACTTGGTTGACGCTCGTCAATTTCCCGTCTGACCTTCAAGGGCTTCCTATATTCGTTCAGTGGTTGGGTGCGGTAAGCCAAGTCCTTTCTTGTTCGCCATGGGATTGAACTAAATGGCGTGTCTTCCATGTATAGATATGTCGCCCGTGAAGAGGCGTATCAGAATAGACTGGCATATGTCGCCGATAATGGGAACGTCATTCTAAAAGCTGACGATACAAACCAACTGCCCTTCGGCGAGAATCGCACAAGGTATAGGCTTAATCCAGCGTCTCTCGGTATTGGAAGCAGAAGACTCATTCACTCCTCAGTGTCCGGGTCAATACTGTCAAGGATTACAGTGGAGGTCTTTTCATCCTGGACCTAGACCGCGCACCATGGGGTTGCGGGATTTGGCCTGCTTGGTGGTCTACAGCCGTAGGCACTGGTTGGCCTGCGGTAGGTTCAGTTCTCTAAGGGGCACTCCGCGACATCATCCATCTAACGGAAACCTCTTGCAGCTCGGTGAAATAGACATCATCGAAGGCGTCCACGACAATCAGCATAATGAAATGGCATGGCACACGGCCGAAGGATGCCTCTTGGACACCGAGGAGGATTTCACTGGCAATGTCTCCGTGAGTGACTATCTTCCCGGCTCATTGGACCCAGTCTAATTCTCGTTTTTCTAGATCAAACACAACGGCCCGGCAACCAATTGCTGGGCTCATCTTCCCGGAAGCAACAACGTTGGATGCAGCATCACGGAATCGAGCAGGTCATTCTTCGGTCCTTATTTCGAGTCACAGGGAGGAGGCGTTTTTGCGATGAAGTGGGATGAAAATGGGATCGCTATCTGTGCGTTCTCTTTACCTCGTTCCTTCCCTTTGACATTCGCCAATCCATACCACAGGGTCATTCTATAGAGCTGCAATCCCACAGGATATCACAAACGGGACCCCGAATCCGAGTTCGTGGTACAAACCTTCCGCATTGCTGGGCCCCAAAAAATGTGACATTGAGAAGTATTTCCGGAACCATACCATCATTCTCAGTGGGTACAATGTAGTCCTAATGCTGAAGACCTCACTAACGCCCATCTCTAGACATCACCTTTTGCGGGGATTGGGCAGGCAATACATACGAAGCAGCCGGCTGTCCTGGATCGTGTCGCGAACGATTGATGAACCCGGCCAACTTTGTTGTATGTTACGCTCCTGCGGCCAGTGTTGCCCCTCGCTGATTCCGTTTCTATTCACAGAACGCAACTTGGAGCATCAGGTCACTGAAGGTTTACAGGAAGCAGCTCATTCATGCAGAGTTCGTCCGAAACGGAGGGTCCTCGTCCAGCAGGGGAGGGCCTGGCCTGTGGACGATACTGGCTTTGTTGCCTCTCCTGAGCATCGGTTTGCTCGGGTGATGATTATTTTAACGACTGTAACGGCTTCAACGCTTTGTTAGGATCCATGGGGGTGCTGTGAGTGCTCTTGCTGGTTGAGTTACGAAATGTGATTGTACACGGTAGTGGAGAGGCGATATAAAAGCGGTGGCCAGTTAGCCGGGGAGACAATAGTAGGTGGGGTGTCGACGAAGTATCGAGCAGTAATAACAGAGGGGTATGACATACAGTGAATACGATAATAATACAGCGGAGATAAGGTAAAGAGAGAAAGGCGGACACCGAAAAGGCGGATAACTGGCTAGTATGCGAGGCAGCCTGAGGTCAGTCGCGTTGGGCTCGAAGTGAGCTAGAAGGGTGACTCACGTATATGAGGTATACTAACGACGAGCATATTAAGGCCTGTTAACATGAGGGCTAACCATTCTGTCCCAGTGTTGCTGCCAATTCATGGCAACGGCGAGGTACGAACGAGACCTCACGCAGGACTCTTTTTGACAGGGTTTGTCGTCAAAATCTTGCGCTGCTTTCGCGTGGAGGATTTGAGCCCCCATACTGGACCCCGTTGAGATCAGTTCGTGAAGGTCGAATTCCGGGTGGCGATGGTCAGAGGCAGATTCCAGGTGCTCCGAAGCGTCGGGGGCAGGTGCTACAGTGTCATGGTCAGTTGGGTCAAGAATGGGTGGGGTGTACGGATGACGTACTTGTATCCGGTGAAGCGAGGGGATTGGGCGTTATATCCGCCATTTCCGGTGAAGCAAGCTGGCTTATACTGGCGGCGGCGGCGGCCTGAACTTCACGCTTCTGCAACACATCTTGGAAGAAAGCATTCTGCCGGGCCATATTTTCCTTATCCTGGACAAGGTCATCGTTTTGCCTCTTCAACATCTCGTTCTCTTGAACCACTCTGTCATACTGAATCCGGATGTCTTCCTCTTCTTTGGCGATCATCTGGTTTTCCATGGCCGACTTCAGCCATTCCACATTACGAGCGAGGGTGTTCATATGTGGTTCATTGGACACTGGATGGAGCTGTTGGAAGCTCTGCAGGATAGGTTGCAAGGACGAGTTGAGGATCGCGATTTGTTCTTGCACTGCCGACAACTTGGCGAGGATCGCGTTGGGATTGAGATTAGACTGGGAGATGGCACCGAGAACCTCCCTTTGCTGCTGGGCGAGCAAGTTGGTAAGCCCAGCAACTCCCGTCTTGATTTCCTCCACCCCTGCTTTGGCTTCATTGATATTATCGCGGATTTCTCTGCCGACTTGGTTGTTGGTTGATCGCTTCTCACTGGCAACAGGTTTCACTTGGCTAACGCTGCCAATCGACTTGGAGGCGTTGCTCTCGTGGGATGACTGTGAAGGGCCAGAAAGAGTTGCGGGTGCGGAAGGAGGAGGCACAGATGCCTTTGGAGGCGAGGTAGGAAGTACAGGGGCGGAGGTCGGCGGTGTTGGCAGGGGATCTATCGACATCCTTTGAAGTTGGGCAGGGGGCGTAGGTGGTTTCTGAGCAAGTGCGTGAGTAGCTGCATGTTCAGACCGGAAAACGGACGGTGTCTGTGTAGACCGACTTGATGACGCTTGCTGCACAGAGCGGGCGTGCGGCGGGGAAGATCGACTAGCAGCGACATTTGCGGCGGCCTGACTGGGGCGTTGTGAGGCTGCGACAGGTATCAGCAAATACCGACTCGTCTTGGACGAAAGGACACCTACAAGTCGATGGCGCGTGGTTCTTGTCGAGAGGGGGTCGCACTGGCACTAATCATAGCGGAGAGTTAGACATGAGCTGACCGGGGAGGAAATATTGCTAACGAGGTGGGGCTGGGACGCCTGGCTGTTGCAGCACATGTTCTTTGCGAGGAAGGGCTGTCGAGCTCTTGCGGACAGCTATTCGGGCTGGCGAAGTGTCAGTACGTTGAAACAGACATCAGACGGTTTGCAGTACATGCAGAATCCGAGTCGCCTGGAAGATTGTTTCTTTCAGAACCAATGTTTGAGTCAGCCATATAGAAGACCCACCTCGAATTGATTTTTCACTAGAGGAGTGGTCCAATTTAGGTTTCTTGATTCCCTGAGGACGGTTGGGTTTGGCATCCACTTGGTCAATGGGTCTTTTAATGTGACTCGATGTAGACGCAGATGTTGAGCTGTTATTCGAGTTGTCTTTCTCCTTTTTCTTTCGCTTGGCAGAATCGAGGTATTCTTTCGCCTTCGTCGCTGGCCAATCCAATTCCCTGCAAAGATGCTCCATTTCGAAATGGTCTTTATTGCTGCACCGTTGCCTGGTAAGCGTTGCACAGGGAACACAGGCAGTCCGTGACTTTTCTGTATCCAATATACAAAGGGATTTCTCTCTCTGGCAGTGGGTGTTATTACAAGCCTGAAGTTAAATATTAATATGGATGATCGACTGTAGCTGTCGCTGTTGACTACTCACGCGTTGCTCTTTGTTAAACCATCTTTTAAAATCGTCTCGGTCGAGGCGACCCAGGACTTGATGAGCTAGATGCTTGTCTTCTTCAGAGAGAGACATTGTCAGAGGTGAAGGAAGGGCCGTTGCAGAGGATATTTTTAGGATCCGGGAATATGGATTTATGAGGCCCCAACACCTGATCGGCGTCCACAAAGGGCACTCTGACTTGTTTAGTTTCAACAAGTCTCGGAAAGCTGCCCTTTGTCTTGAAGATCCGCAGTATTGGACCCTTTCCCAGTTGGCAGGTGGTCGCAGGGAGCAGAATCTAGGACCACTTTCAAGTAGAAAACAGAAACGCACAGAAGGAAAGAACAGCGCAGAACATTCCAAATCCCAATTGCAAAACCTGCGCGATGCGGCGACCAATCGAGTGGAAGAGGGCTCGAGCGCTAAATGGGTTAACGTGATGGCCAAATACAGGCAAATAGCCGGAGTCGGCGCCCGTTGACAAATTTCGGCAATGGCCACCCGTGAGTTTTGATACCGCGCCTCGTCCTCCGCTCTCCGCATCCACCACTCCAGGCGCCAAAGCCAAAAGCCAAGGCTACAAGCTACAGCCATCTAACCAGGCTTAGTCGCAAAAAGGCCCTGTTGTCCGGGGATTCATGAACCCAAGCACAAGTCACCTCCCAGGAAAGGTGCCAATATGGGCACCAGGCAAGGAACCCCTTCCACCTGGCTGGACTGAGGAAGACCGGCCAATGTGGAATCAGCAGAAGAAGTGGGAACGCTTCGCTGGGATGGCCATGGAGTCATGTGTGGTTAAGACTGTACTTGCTGGTGGTGCTGGTGCGTTTACGACAGTCCTGTTCTCCTCGTACCTCGTCACTCACAGGTATACGTAGGTTTTGGTATTGGTGCTTTCTTCTCTCTCATGTCTGCATCTTTTGCATATGAAGATCCATACCTACGAGCACAAACACAAGCTGCAATGAACACAACACAAAAGGCTGGCCAGATCTTCAAGGAAATGGGGAGGGGCATGTGGACGAGTGGACGTGGCTTTGCCAAAGTCGGCGCGTTGTACGCTGGTATTGAGTGTGTGATCGAGTCGGTACGCGCCCTTTATTTCTTGTTTGTTTCCCTTCTTGACTGAATTCCCTTCGACTATAGTATCGTGCCAAAAACGATATCTACAACTCTGTCGGTGCTGGGTTCCTTGCTGGTGGTGTGTTGGCACGGGGTTCAGGACCAAAAGCAGCAGTCGGTGGTGGTTTGGCATTCGCCGCCTTCTCTGCTGCAATTGACATGTTCCTACGGAAGGAACCTGCCGAGTACGTCCATCCCTCCCATGTCTTGTCTGCACTTGACTGACCAACCGTTCAGCGACGATTAGACGACTTCGACACTCGGCCCCACTTGCACTAGACTCATGTACCACTAACTTATACGACACTCATTCTAGACCCACCGCTACTCTGTATCATATAATCGGAAAAACATCCCCAAAATCCTTAATTCACGGCGCATACTTGGAACAAGAGCAGAACCCTGACATTAACCATTGCTTGCCTATGCTACAAGTAAGAAAGGTATGTAAGTATGTGTGGTAGTACAACAGCGAAACCCTCCATAAAAAGAGGATATTAACGTGATATACTAGTACGCGGAAGATGGAGCAGGAGAAAATACAGAATGGCGAGAGCATACATACAAAACCAAACGTGAAAAGATCGATACAATGCAGCAAAAATGTAATCAGATAGCGTTCGTCCGCGCTCTTACCAGTGGGGTGAAGGAAGTCCCAGATGGCGTATAAGCTGGCGGGGGCTCGCCAAACTCGCTCTCGAAACCAGCAACCAGGCGTTCGAATTGCTGGCTCGTTTCTAACGTTGAAACGTCGCTGGATCCATCATTCAAATGTGCAGGAGGCTCGTGCACAGGCGGGGGTTCATGCTGGTCGCCTTGCGTCGTCGATTCAGAGTTATGATGGTGATGGTGGTGGTGTAACCGGCTCAAGAGGCCGCGGTGGTGGTGTGGGCTGAGACATGTCTGCTCTTCTTTCATTTTCTTGGTCTGGCAAGGGCAGGTGGGATAGATAGGCGCATCATCGTTGAACGTCTCTGAATACCGCGGCAGGGATACCCATTCAGGATTGCATCGACACTGTCGGGGAAGGAGAAGCAACCATTGATCAGCAGGCATTCTTGACAGGTAGCGGATGCTCGGATAATGTCTCGACTTACAGAGAGAATCTGGATCGGTGTTTGCACCACGATATCAAATAGCTTTCTCTTTCCATTCCTGTCGAGGTGAAGATCGTCGCCTCGTTCTACCCTCATAACCACCTTCAATAAATGCGATATGACGATATTCGCGCGTCGGTTCTTGTTCGTGAACCTCATCGTCTCGCAGGAATCGGGTAGTTTCAAGTCTTGGTGGAAGGTCCATGGTCCTGGACCCATCAACATGGATGCGACCTCTGACTCGTCGTCCTCTGGATTGATAAGGGCCTGAAGAGGTGACTTGCGGAGGATGTCTACGTCATCGCTTTCCAGAGGGAGGATATGTGGAGCATTCTTGCCGCCTTCGTGTTTAACGCTCAGCAATTCGAACTGTTGGACGGGATCGTTCCTGGCTACGCGGTGCATACGGGTGTAATAGTCCACACGTTCTACGAGAGACTGTCGTCAGTCCCGGGGAGCTGGATATGCAGTAATTAACCTACCTTCTATATAAACCATCAGTCGATACACCTTGATTTTCGCCAGAGGCAAAAGTGCAAAGCTGACCGGCACTGTGCCGCCAATGTAGAAGCTCTTCCCCGATATCGAAATCAGATACTGAAGTTGATGCTCCCAGTGTCTCTCTACAATGATATTTTCCGTGTCCTCTGTGTCTTCGTCCGTCGGGCAGGTGACAACCGTCACCTCTCTGCTGATCGCCAGTTTCTGCTTCAATACCCCTGGACGGTGAACAGTAGCATTGAGTCTCCAGACAACAGATCCCCAATTGGCGTGCAAAGTGGGTGGTGCGGTGTTGGGGATACTGAAGGAAATGGGATAGGTGTACGTTCCCGCTTTGAATTCCTTCCACCCATTGCCTTCCTCCTTCCGCTGCAGTTTCTCCCGAGGTTGAAGGTCAGTGTCGAATCCTGCTCCGAATATTCGTCCGAGTTCGAGGCTTGGTCGGGGCCGAGATTTCCTGCTGCGTGAAGTGCTGGTTCGTCGGGATGGGCTGACACTGACGACCCCGCCAGCATTGGGAATGAAGAGGGACGGTATATCCCGTCGGTCCATCGTTCGGCCTCGAGGTGCTTGACTGCCGCTTCGTTCGCCGTCTATGGATCTGGTGCGTGAATGTGCGCGATCAAGAGCCTCGGCCTGTGACAGAATTCGCGAGGATGAAGGGGAGCGTACAGCGTTTCTGAGTGCACCCGCCATTGAGGACAGACTGAACCTTGAGCGACTACGTCTACTCCTGCCATCCGCACTCGCAAGACCGGACGCTGACGAGGTTGAGTAGTCAAAGTTTCCGCTGGGAAGGCGGGGTGAACCGTTGCAATTGGCAGAGGTACTGTTGGCAGGTATGCCTTCCCCCGAGGCTCCAGAGAGTGATGGGGAGCTCGAATTGAGACTGAGGTCTGGAGATCGCGGTATTTGACTGGGCCCTGCTTCCGGCAGCGATGAATCCGAATCGTGGAGAGAGCCACGCTGAGAAGGAGGCGGAATGCCTTCATCTTCGGGCACATTATCCATTCCACCACTGGGCACGCGGGAAAGGGAACGGTCAGGTATTGATGGAACAGAATCATCTATGTACGTGCACAACGTCAGTAAACGGCGATTGAGGGGGACGAAATGACTCACCACGCTGAAGGTTTCGCAGACTGGTATTCAGGGATGCTCTGAATTCCTCTAAATCATGAGCGGGATCGTGAGTAGCGGAAGGGCTTCTATCGCGGATTGGGACGAGGTTGACTGAGGATTGGTCGGCAAGAGGAGATGGAACCCAGGCGGGTGAATTCAAGTTCGGGTCGAGGGGGGAATAAGGGGGTATCGGGATATCGTGTGGGTATTCGTCATGATAAGATACATGGTGTCGTTGGAAGAAATGAGAGTCCACGCTGACCCTGCGGTTTCTCGCCAGGAGTGGATTGGGGTGTCGTCGGCGCTCTGTAGGATTGTTGGAATCATGGGCGGCATGGGGTCTTCGTGAGTGGGACGTAACACTATTGGAATGGTTGAGGTCGACATTAGTGGCCGGTACGACATGGTCGTTCTCTGGATGTAAAGGATCGTCGATCTCTTCATCGTCTACGGCATCCCAGTCGTTGTCGAGGTCAAAAGACGATGATATGATTCCTGGACCAACGGATGCCGTTCTTCTTGTCGAGTGAGCCGATTTACTAGCTCGGAAGAACACTGTCGAAGCATGAAATGCACGGTGTTCTTCGCTGACCTCGATGCGTCTTGCACCCGTGCCTGTTAATATATAATTAGGTTAGACTTCCGCATACATGAGAAATGGCCAATATGTACTCACCTTCAGGCCAGGCATTGAGTGCTGTAGCGGTGAGCTCCAGCTCGATGCTCGACACCTTCATCGGTTTGGCAAGCTCGAGCACGAGCAACCCGCGCAACATTGAAGAACCTGGGTCCGCATTTCGCCTGGAACGACCACTGGGATTGTCGGTTCTAAGATAAACAGCCGACTCTGAAAGCCGGATCGAGAGGGATTTCTTTATCGGCTTGAGGGAAGCGCTCCTGGTCATTTGATCGAAGGACAGGCAACGACCCGTCGCTTGGGGGATGGGGTTAGAGAATGGATGGAGAGTTCGAGTAACAGGAAAGTCGGAAAAGCATTGAATGGAATAAGTCACTTGGTTGTCCAAAGCCGGGTCTTTCGCACTAGGTTCTCGAGCGACTCACATTTGATCCACGATATAAATAGACTCCGCAACATATGTTTGCACTGACTAATCGAACTGGTCTAGCCTCTCCTGCACAGCCAATTTCATCCTTGCTCCGATGTTCTTCAGCAATACACACTTTCTTTTTTCCAGTCTTGACTCTATGGCGGCTGTCGACCACTTCGGACGTGTGACTCGGGAGGCATAGGAATGTCACTGTCAGGCTTTTCATAGTCAGTGGCAGCGTCCATTACAACTACTGCGCAGTCAAAGGTCCCCGACTAACGCTTTGGGTGCTCGAAAGGTGAGACCCGAGGACCTGCAATGACTGTCGGCTGCCTCCTGCCCAACTGGAACACAAGCACAAGGCCGCCCTGCTCGATACGAGCCTGATTCTGGTCTAAGCTACATCCAGTACGTTAGGCGCCACACCTCTTTTCTCACCTGTAAACTAACTGCTCGTGTTGACAGATCTTCCTCCGCTAGCCTGTGAATCTCATCCATAGTCCGTCTGTTATTCTCGGAAAATACAGGCGTTATCGCTTTTCATGATATGATGAAATCATGACGGTTTCGTTGATGTCATTCCCCCCAAACTCGACCTGAAAGCATGCGTCGATCCCTCAAGCAAAAGCATATCACCATAGCAAGTACTGTCTTGAATTCATTTTAGCGGCCTTCTGCGACTTCGATTACGTCCACTGCCAATGGTTGTTGGCTTCCTTCGAACAGACTTAAAGTTGGCCGTGGGTAGACATTTTACCACCCGCGTCTTCTTCTCTCTTCTCTTCCTCTTCCTCTTCCTCGACGTTTCCTGTCTTCCCCTGTGGCCGCGATGTTGTCTTTCCTGTACACCCTCTTCTCATTCGCGCTTTTGGTGCACGCGCGGGATATCATCATCACGGTTGGCGGCAACACAACGGAAAACCCAGGCGCAGTGTTCAGTCCTCAGAGTGTCACAGCTGACTTGGGCGACGTCGTGATCTTTAACTGTTGAGTAACCGTTATCTGACTATATGAATATACTTGTTAAACTCACCCTCCACTCTCAGTCACTCAAGGCAACCATACTGCTATCCAAGCGCTTTTCGGGTCCCCCTGCATCCCAGCCCACGAGATCGACTCCACAGTCAATGGATTCAACTCTGGCTTCAGAGACGCTGGAAACTTTAGCGCTATCACTCAACTCTCGGTCCCCATTACCGACCCTAACGCGACCCTCTGGTTCTACGACTACAATACGTGCGCAGAGGGCGGTGTGGGTGGTATCAACGTCAACGAGTCCAGTTGGGAGACATTGGATGGCTTCACGGTGCGTAGACCACGCTTATTCTGCACGTGTGACGAGCCGTGCTAAAAGTAACCTCTTTGCTTCTAGCGCAATGCCATTCGTCTGAACGGAACAGGCGGCGGTGACGCTAGCTCTACCCTGTCCAGGACCTCTCGCCCCACCAGCACTGGTTCCTCGGACGGTTCTGAGCCCACTGAAGAGGAAGGCGCGGCTAGAAGGGCGATGTCCGTTGGTGTCTACGTGGTGGCACCTCTCTTGGCTTTGGCCGCGGTGTTCTAAACGTGCTGCAAAGGAACTTTCATTTCATCAATCATGACTCTTCTGTGACATTCTTTTCTCCGATACCCGTCCTTATATTTAGTCCTTCAGATGCTTGGGTCAATTGTTCGAGACGCGGACTTTGCCCACGTCCCCTGCTTCTCGGGAACCTTGCTGACTATTACCGTTCTACGACATCCTGTCTCAGTTCCTGTACTTTGACTACGTCCTTTCGTCGAGGTTGACTGCCTAATTTTACTCAAAAATTCTTTCGCCCGTTTCAGGCATTGATGGGTTTACAAGCCCCTATCTCTTTCACGCGTCGCGTGTTCCTTGTGTTTTCGGATAAAAAGCGTCGGAACGGTGGAAGCAGTCCGTTGATCTGCCCGCACAGCGACCATATGCTCTCGGAAAATGACTCTGACAGCGGGTCCGTCGCAAGATAAATGTCACCTTTCGTCCTTCTCTTCAACTCATACCTGACCATCGGGTGTTCTAGCTGAAAACCATGTCCTCCGAAACACTCTCACCTGTCTCGGCGCCTACTACCCTCTACTCACCAGATAAACAAATCCGTCTGACACCACCCACATGCGCCGAAGATGAACAAGTATCTGTCCTGCGTTCCGACCCCATAGTCCGACGTTACCTCCGCTTCATGCCCCCCATCACCGTCCCAGAAGTCACTCAACGGCGTCTCACCCGCTCACAAGACCCGCGCATCCTCGACTACAACGTCTTCCTCGGCGATACCACCGAGCTCATCGGCATGACTGGCGTCTTCAACATCGACACCCTCCAGAAATCGTGCGAGGCGGGGATTGTCATGGCTTCCAACGTGCAGGGAAAGGGATTGTCGACCAAGGTGTTCTATACACTTTTGAAGGATGTATTTGAAATGCGGGGGTTTCACCGGGTGACGTTTGAGACGGGGGAGGACAATGCACCTATGAGAGGGTGGCTAGAGAAGGTGGCTGGTGCGAGATTAGAGGGGAAGAGGATAGAGGCTTGGGTTGATAGCGTGAATGGAGGCAGGACGAATGTTTGCAGTTACGCTATCCTGGAGTGGGAATGGAGGGGAAAAGTCAAGGATGCATTAGAGAAAAAGATGGGGATTGTAAGTCATTAATATAAAGGGCTTTATTGAAGTACCGTGTTACAGATAGAAAAAATCGCTTGTCCATGTAATGGTCCTTAAGAAAGTCCAATTGAATCCGGATGGCTCTCGTGCATCATAAGCCACCACGGTTCCCTGAAATTCTCCGTACACAACTCTTCAATATCCAAATGCTCATTCAACAAATCCGACTCTTGCTTCTTCAGAAACTCGACTGTATCCCCATGCGAAAGGAACCTCTTCAACCCAACCCTCATCTCCGCTCTCGCCGAAACAATCTTACACAAGGCCTCCTTCAAATTCATTTGCCTTCGGTCGCTTTTGGCTGTCATCGCTAGAGTTTCGAGTTTAGGCCATAGCGGTGGGTCGGAAGAGAAGGCAGCGGCGAGATGCTTGAGGTGGAATAGAGGTGCTTCGGGAATGAAGAAATGCGTGATGTTGGGGAAGACGAGGCCGAATTTGTGGAGGGAGTGCATATTGTAGGAGTCGAGGGTTAGATATTTGAGGTTCGCAAACTTGCTCTGGCTGGCGAGGAACTGCGGAGAATCGAAGAGGAAGTCGAAGGAAGTGGTCTCGGCTACGAGCCATAGAGACTGTAACCTTGGTGCGTTGATTGTGAGTAGGAGCTTGACGAGTAGACCTGGGAAATGCTCTGTTATTCTGAGAGAGCGAAGGGACTTGAGGGTAATCGAAGGTCTGGCAGTATCATTGGGCCACGCTGTGACGAACGTTTGGGCTTCCAAAGAGAGGTTCTGGAGGTTGACAGATTTCGTGGAGATATCTTTGAAGACATCGTACGTGAACCAGTCTGGTTTCAAGTTGTGCAGATGGAGAGTGACCAGACTTCCGAGGGGAGGGAAGGAATGAATCCCCTCGATCTCCAGGAACTGAAGTGAAGGAGCACCTCCAGTCAAGACGTCGGGGTGCTCCAGGTCTCTTGGGTTGCTGTCCACGTCCGGAGGGAGGTTGTTAATGCGCAGCCTTTCCAGTTCCGGTGCGGCTGAGGCGCTGAGGCTTTTGACGATGGCGCTGGAGGTGGATTCGCGGTACGTGAAGATCAATAGAGTCTTGCATCGTTCAATACACGACTCGAGGAACGCGTTGAGGGACTCGAGGAAGGTGTTTCTCTCCTGGCGGTCCCGTGTCTTGCGATCCCAATCATACAACTCTACGCGCACGTATACCACGGAGGTCGGCGCGGTGCGAGAGAGGTACGCGAGGGCCCTCGGAAGTGTTTTGGGAGAGTGGATGGTGATGTTCGTCCATACTTGACTATCGGCCAGCAGGGTGTTCCTCCAATCGGAACATACATGGCTGAAGATGACCTCGAGTGGAACGAGATGATACGGTCGTCGTTTGGCTTTGGCGAGGTGGAATATCTCAGAGAGGATCTCTGGTGGGAGTGGAATGTTGGAAACTTTGCCCATGATCTATCGTGTGAGGAATCAGCATTTGAAGGCGTGCATGAAGGTGGAATTTAAGACGCACATACATCGTCCGGGAGGTTGGGGAGTTCCGAAAGTAAACCGCAGGTCCAGGTGCCGAGTCCGTAGTCCTCAGCTGGCGCTGCGCCGCACAACCTTGAGAGTTTTAAGTGAACTGCGACGGACGTTCGAGTCAGCATCACGACATGAGGTGATAGAAGCGCAACACGCGAGTCATCGCGTCGGGAGGCGGGCGGCTCTCACCAGCAGTGGCGTCGGTGGCTGTAGCGCTAAGCGGATGGCGCACGGCTTCTGTTCAAGGCGCTCTGGGTTGACCAAAGAGGCGAAATTGGTGGTTGGAGATGGGAAGAAGCGACGGGCTGTCGAAACCAACCTTCAAATGTCTGGAATTGGCGCTCAAAGCGTATCCAAGGCGCAAGTTCTGGTTCACCAATAAATGGTCGACGGAGTTTCAGCTATCCCCGTTAAGGAGGGGCGGGATCCTTCGCACGGTCCCGCCCACACCCCACCGCAGTTCTGAGTCGGGTTTCGGGTCACTTTCACGGTATCATTTTTTGCATGGGAGTCAAGTAAGACTCGAGCATGGATTCAGGACGGAATTTCGGTTTAGGATACAGGTCCCTCAAGTGATATGCATCACGTCGGCGTTGAAGCGCAACACGCCAACGAACACCAACTCATAGGTTCTGTACGATGTCGTCCAGGTGAATTACTGACATTCGTGATTACATCTAAGGCTAGGATATGGTGGTGGTCGTGGATGCTGTGCCGAGGGGGCGTGGCTGGTTCCAGTGTACCCAGCGTGTGGATACGAAGGGAGTTGTGATGAAGATAGCGATGGCTATAACATTTACCGCTTCTTCTTTGCACGTCTGCTGTCGTCTGTACGGAGAGAAATGAAATCTGAGCCAGCAGCACAAAAAGTGGACAGTTCAGCGACGCACCTTTGGTCTTGGCCTTCTTCGGCGCGCCCTTTCCTCTCTTTCTCCTGGAAGTAACATCTTCGATACGCTCCATTTCCTCCTCGTCAACGAGTTCAAGTTCAGGTAGTTGCCGTGCGAGGGCAGAGATGTTGAGTCGTGTAGGGTAGTACATGGTCATAGCTGGACCGCGTAGCTTTTGCTTGAGGTATTTGGCACCAGTCCGGACTCCAGTTGGGTTGTACGTTTGTTGGAAGATGCTACAGCGGAGCTTTGCCAGCGCCGCAAGGCGCGACGGTACGATGGCGCTCATCGTCGTGAGTCGGGTGTGAGCAACGTCCTTGACGCCGGTGACAGCGTACTAACCTCGAAAAGCGAGGTTTCCCCCGGATCAGTCACGGTCCGTTGACCAAAACAAAGTCCAAATATTGGTCAACCCGCCAAGAAGCTTGATGGCAAACGAACGTTCGCGGTGCTCTCTCTTGTACAACCGCTGCTCGCCTGAATTCCGATCCGCCTCCGCTCTCCGAAATTCACGATTCTATGGATACTGCCTGTTTCTATGCTTTTCTGCCTTTCAAAGCATGCGGGTCATGCAGCTTCTGGAAGGCTAACACCGCTCAGAGCCATCGAGCTCATGTCTCTCAGTGGGCATCTTTCTCTCTCGACCATGTCATTTGGTCGTGTGCCACAAACACGCTCTGTTCCTTGATTCATGTGTCAGAAAGGGGCGACGGAATAACAGGCCGAAATACACGCCATCCAATGCCCTGCTCCACATTCGAGCATTCGGAGGTCTTTGACGAATTTGCACTCTCTGGACCTGGCCAGTTGGAGTCTCTTCAAGTTTGATGCGATCCGGTGACACGCCACGCTTGTCTTGGAATGCAATTTGTTGCCTATTGCTTTCCATCTAAAGTAGAGTTGCGGACGCTGCCGAGCATGGGATGTATCATGGCGCTACCCCTGGCGGATACGAACGTTCGAACGTTCGCCTGTAACCCAGCGCCCTTACAACGTTCCTCGACTAGCGGCGGGTATTAAAGCGCGCTCAGAACTGGGAATCAAGAACTCATCGGCCTTTCCCAACTCCTCTCTCCCCCTTCTGCCGTGTTCCCTCCCTGTAGGCGCCCACCATGTCTGGAACCCTTCACCAATGGGACTACCTGTTCGCCATTGGCCTCATCTTCTCTGCTCTCGATGCGTTCATGATCGGAGCAAACGATGTCGCCAACAGTTTTGCGAGTATGCACATTCTTATTGGGCCTCTTTCACTGGATTGACATCCGTTTCTTCGATAGCGTCCGTCTCTTCCAAGTCCCTTACCCTGCGCCAGGCTTGCTTGGCTGCCGCTGTCATGGAATTCCTTGTAAGCTGGCACACGACCACTTTCAAAAGTCTAATGGTTTTATTCACCCGCTTTTTTCTCAGGGCGCGGTTCTGGTCGGTGCTCGTGTGACCAGTACCATTAAGGACGGCATCGTACCTGCCTCCGTTTTCGACAACAATGCTGGTGTACAACTGCTTGGTTTCACCTGTGCCATTGTTGCCTCTGCTTGTACGTTGCCCCTCTGTCGTGTTCTTTGACCGCCGCTGACCCATCCCCCGCAGCATGGTTGTCCCTTGCCACCCGCTTGTCGTGGCCCGTGTCCACCACCTATTCTATCGTCTCCGCCGTCATTGGCGTCGGAATTGCTGCTGATGGCTGGGACGCTCCCCGATGGGGATGGAATAATGGCAAGGGTATTGCCGCCATCTTCTCTGGCCTCGTCATTGGTCAGTTCGATATGCCTAGCTCGTCAACGACATTGCTTGACACTTTTCTAGCGCCCGCTCTCTCTGCCTCCTTCGGCATTGTTCTCTTCCTCTTTGTCAAGTTTGCCGTCCTCCTCCGATCCAATCCAACTCGATGGGGTCTCATCACCTCCCCTATCATCTTCTTCCTTGTCGGTGCTGTCCTGACCATGTCCATCAGTAAGTACATTCACTCACACAGGACCTGCAACGAAAGCTAACCTTCTTTCAGTTTTCAAGGGCTCTCCCAGCTTGGGTCTAAAGAATATGGAGCCTGGCCCTCTCGCCGCTGCCGTCCTCGGAACTGCCTCTGTCGTTGCTCTCCTCTCCATCCTCTTCTGGCTCCCATACGTTCATGCCAAAGTGGTTAAGAAAGATTACAGTATGTTTCTCACATCCTGACGCCGAATCGCTCTGACACCTTGATTAGCCCTTCGCTGGTATCACTTCTTCCTCGGTCCTCTCCTGTGGAAGCGACCCCCTCCTCCCGATGCCGGTTCCGTCTCTGCCGTTCCTGACTACCGCATCCGAGACGTTAACGAGCTCGACGGTCAGCACCAAGGTAAGTTCATCCTCTGGCTCGGTCCTTGTCCAGTGTAGCTAAGTTCCTTTTAAGCCCCTCTCGAAGCTGAAACCGACTCTGAAAAGGCTAGCAACCTGAAGGAAAAGGACATCGACTCTCAAGAACCCACTCGAGAGCAAATTCACCCCAGCGCCCTCGCCGACGAAGTCGAGAAGCACCCGATCGAAGGCGCCTGGGCCGAACCCAAAAACCTCTGGATCATCCTCCGCTACCGTGCCTTCCCCTTCATCAAGAAGTTCCTCACCCACGGAACCTCCGTCGACATTCACGCCCTCCAGCAACAGAAGCAGAACGCTGCTACTGCCAAGCACATTGCCGATGTTCACGCCCGTGCCCGTCAATTCCCCAACGAGACCGAGCACCTCTACTCCTTCATGCAAGTCTTCACCGCCTGCGTTGCCTCATTTGCCCACGGTGCCAACGATGTTTCTAACGCCATTGGTCCCTTCTCCGTCATCTACCACACTTGGAAGACCGGTGAGATGGCCGACAAGACCCCGGTCCCTGTTTGGGCTCTCGCTTTTGGGGGTGCTATGCTCGTTTTGGGTCTTGCTCTTTGTAAGTTTTATTTTCGATTGCCCGACGCGTTCCCTCGCTGACAACGGTCTTTTAGACGGCTACAACATCATGCGTGTCCTCGGTAACCGCATCACCCTACACTCCCCCTCTCGCGGTTTCTCCATGGAACTTTCTGCCTCTATCACTGTCATCCTTGCCTCTCAGTTCGGTATCCCCGTCTCCACCACGATGTGCATCACTGGTGCCACCATTGGCGTCGCGCTTTGCAACGGTGACTTTTGGGCTACCAACTGGCGGGCCATTGGTTGGATCTATATTGGATGGATCGCTACTGTCCCTATTGTCTCCACTCTTAGCGGGTGCTTGATGGGTATTCTCCTCAACGCTCCTCACTTCTAAACGTCCCAGGTTGGCCTTTATACCACTTACCGCATAGCAGATTCTCTTCGACTTCTATCACCTCTGTACTCTACTATTTAAATTAGACCCTGTAAAAACGTGTACGCGTAGTTTTTAATTCACGGCTACAATCATTACTGTAACAGGCATTACATGGGATATTATACAGGGATTTAAGGGGCTCCTAAAATTGTATCAAATCTACCATGAGCTCTACAAGGACAAAGATTCTAACTCTACTACGAGTAAACTGTTTTGACTCCATACTCTTTCCAGAACTCGCTCGCCATGCCACCATCAATCGGCCTGAAGTCCTTCCATCCCGTAGCCCACTCTCCGTACTTCCCTTCAACTAGCACCAACCGCTTATCCTGTCTCGCGACTTCCTCCAACATCTCCCAAATGTTCGACTCTCTGACCGGCTCCGGCTTCCAAGTGTCATTCCCCTCTATGACTGACACAATCAGCACCTTCAAAGAAGGGAATTCGCCTCCCTGCAGGATACTCTGTACGTCGTCGACGAAGATAAGATCGTTCTCCTGGTTCGCGTTTGCCCGGCGCGAGAGCTGGAGATATGCGAGTTGAGGCGGATTGCCGAATTCCTCCAATGCATCCGCAGGTCGCTTCCATCCAAACTCTGCAGGCTCCGCCAGCCGCAGATGTGTCAATTTATCCCAAAGCGATTTCAACTTTCCTTGGAACTGGCCAATGTCCGCTTCCATGTACCGCGTGGTGATTTCAATGAGGTTGGGGTGCCAATGAAAGTCGGCCATGGCCTCGGGCTCGAGGATGGGTATTTCCAGCGTATGAATCTGCGTGCATTCTGCGATTATACCCCGTATTTCCTTGCTAAGGTTTAAATACGCTGAATCGGATTGCCAAGTAATAACGAGCTTCTTCACGTAGCTCAAGACTTGCTGGTTGGAGCGGGCTGTGCGGTGGAAGAGGCGGATGGAGTGGGCAGAATCCAGGACTACGACTCTGTAAAGGATGTCGTTGACGTAGTTGTGGATGGTTTTGGAGAGGGCCGAGAGGTCGCTGGGTTTACTGCCTAGAAGGGCGAGCTCGAAGATCTTGGTTATCAACTCTGAAGGGAGTTCGAATAGCAAGCTGGAGCGAGCGTGGCTGGCAGGCTTTAGGAGCGCTCGCTCGTTGGGAGCGTCGTGGACCGTCATGGTCGTCAGTAAAACCATGTCGCTGGGCGGGGGGCGTGAGTTGGAAAGAAAATGTCTGTCAGGCTTTTTTTGTACGTCTAGGCTTTATGTAAATCTTGATAGCACCGATCGAGATAGGGAACTAGTCGGACATGAGGTATGGTTTAGGATTGCGGGGCCTATCCTCCTCAAAGTCATTATTGTCATTATTGAGGTGGCCGGGGTTCCACAGTCGGAATGGATGCAAGTAGTTGGGAAAGATCATACCTGGACGGGCTAATGATGATGCCGCTGCAGAATGCAAGAGTGACAAATGAGGAGAAGCACCAAACTTCGACCCTCAAGTGGCTCGGATCAATTGCTGAACAAAACCTATATTTAACCTTTGCAGGCGTCATGCCTGGGCTGCAGAGCTGACTGACATTGGTTGGTTAACATTATCTTGACAGGAAATCCCGACGATGAATTCGTGGGGCGGACAGGATAAGCGAGGCCGTACAGCTGTGGAACGGAGGTGCTCCCCGAAGCATCTACGCCTATTCTTACGCTTTGGTCCAGATCTCCTTTCCTCGAACCCAGGTGCTTCGCAAATGTCCCTGTTTATCAAGTACGACAAGGTCTGCATGCGCTCCTGGTCGGAGGGTTCCCTTGATGCTTTCTATACCGAGGCATCTAAGCATGGGTGCACGTTTAGCACTCGCTAATTTAGGGTTCACAACGTTGTACGCACTTAGCAGGGTTGTAGGTGGCACATTTGATTGCCTCCCCCAAGGAGCAGCCGGTGAATCGAGCAAAGTTTCGGACGCATTTGTCAAGGGTGACGACACTGTAAGGGGGAGTCAACGAGATGTCACGGGAGCTTGCGAAGGGACATTACCTTCCAGCTAATGTGTCCGTTCCCTCCAAATATAGACGCTCTCCTTCCTTGACAAATCGCTTTCCGTCGCGCCACTCGTGGACCCCGTCCTTTAGATTGGGGTCCAGAATCTTCATGGCTATACGCATTTCGGTTAGAGGAAGAAGGGTTTTGGCAGAAGCTAACGGCGCACCATCGGTGACCAGAATGCATCCATCGAGATGAGCAGAGTAAGCGAGCTGAGTATACATCAGTCTACGACGCGCTCTAGGGTGCGTGACAGGAAAGGACGACTTACCCTGACGGAGTTCGGGTGGCAATGAATTCCATCAACGATGATGCCATAGTATGGCCTTGCGAAGTCCACTCGTTGTGAGGTCCCCTGTCCGGACTAGTACCACTTGCATTCGAGCTTGCGCTGGCAGAATGATTGAAGGAGCCATTGAAGCCGTTAGAAGACGTCGGTGAGGTAGCTCCCCGTTCCAATTGGATAGTATGAGCAGGGTCGCAAGTTACATAGGCCAGCGCTGTCGGCCCAGACGCATCACAGTGAGGGGAAGCACCTAAGAGACCGATTATAGATGGATCCCGATGGTGGAATTGAGGCATAGCATTGAAAAGGTGCGTAATGAGGTTGGCACCCTTGCGGACAGCAGCCATGGCCACTTCCGTTCGCGCATTACTTGAAGAACGTTAGCAAATCAGGTTCGCCGCTACCGACGACTCGACTTACCTATGACCAATCGAAAACACGATCCCTCGATTCCTGAGAGTAGGAATCGCATCCAAAACTCCAGGCACTTCTGGAGCAGCGGTAATCATCCGGATACCGATGTCCTGGCCTTCATTCATCACCCAATCCTCCTTTTCAATCAGGTTCTCTGGCCCATAAACGTCTTCGAACGATTTGAACCCATCCGGTGCGAACCGAAGGAACGGGGGCGCATGGGCACCCCGTTTGGTAAATTCCAAGAAGGGGCCTTCAGCATGCCATCCCAGCAAGGTCGCTGAACCGGGGGCTGAAAAGGGGCGTAACAAACCAAGCAACTTCGGGTATAATGCCTTTTCTTGGGTCTGCGGGATACGTCAGTTGTACTTCTCGTAACAGAGCAAAGATGAGTGCATACAATGATCGTTGGCAACAAACTGCATCGGTTTCGTTGTCAATAATTACCCTAGGTGAAGAGGATAGGTGGTGCTTACGAAGTCACCCCAGTTTCAACTATTTTCTCTGCGACCGTCTTGAGTCCTTGACGGTAGGCATTATCGTCGTTCTCGTAGACGGAGAAATCAAACCCGTAAGCTCCATTGATCTGGATATCTAGAAGACCAGGGCTGGAGGTGTTTCGCTGAGCGACGGGAAACATGAGCAGTGCAACAGCCCATATTCACCTCAAGATGTTACCATCCAAGTCGATGGTACGATCAGGCCTCAACTTTCGCTCAAAGAATGTTTTCTTCACGGTGCGTCAGTTCTATTCAGCCACGAATGCAATAAAGCGACGTACATTGGGATCTACAATCAAGCCATTCATCTCGTCGATCCAAAGATCTTTCTTGGCTAGGCTCCCGTCCTCTTGAGCCAGGAAGCAGTTCGTGAAGCAAACGAGTCCGTTGGTCAATACCGTCATGATGGTGGTTAGCGGTCAAGAGTCAACCAGCAGGCGTCGAGTCGAGGAGATTGTGAAATATGGGAAGCAGAAACTCGGATCTACCAGGGGCCATGGGCTAGCAGCAGCGAAAACCTCCTGCATACCCATTAATGGTACTAACACATGGGTTCTTGCATGCCTCGATTCCCCAGGCAGAGGTCAAGAGACCATTCCATGCGTTCGTGTGAAGGGTCAAACGTTCGAAATTAGTATTCAGAAGCCTTCTTGCGAGAGTTGGTCTACAGCGGCATGATATAGCGTACCGAAAGCCGTCCATACCGTTGCCAGTTTCGTAGACTTGAGCCAGCGAAGGGGGAGAAGAAGGAAGAGAAGAAGCCCCTATTGACGTGGCGGTGATTTTGATTATCGCTTCACATCACGTGGGAGATGGGGACGCGTCGTGGCGCGTGATTTTGGCGGATGCCAGCTGACATCCGCGCTGGCGCGCGTCAAAAATGAAATTTCCGACTCGGTTCTCTCTTTCCGCCTTCTGTGCATCGTTGCAGTACGAGCGGATAGTCAGGGTTGTAGCTGGATTGTGCTCCGCGGAAAGAGGAGATGGGCGCTGCGAAAAGGACGAGATAAGTTACCCCAGGTATATTGTGCCTCCCAGAAAGAGTAAACAGATACCCTCGCGATGACATGTCCGTGGAGATCTTCGCTGCAGGCTGAGAAGTGAATAGGATAACACACCACAGAGATTCTGACGACCCCCTTTCCTTTCCAAGGCACCCCTAACGTGCCTGTTCTCTCTGACGAAAGAATGTCGTCTTCAACCCACCAGTTGTCCGAAACTTCCGGCGACGGTCTGTTTCCCATATCTTATCTATCCAAGCCACCACGATGACATCCATCAGTATTGCAAAAGACGGGGTGTCTGACCCGCCGTTCCACCTCCACAAATCCGAATTAACCCTTTGGAGCCTTGCACTCGAGGCGGAAGCAAAATAATCTACCGCGCCTTCCGAGTGATCTAGGCCAGCATCTCCAAGCACTAGGCACGGTGAATTGGTTCAACAAAGGGATTGCAGGGTCCTCTGTCTATTCGACCTCTTGGGTGGACCAATGAAGGACTTCAAATCCAACGCTTGTAACTGGTCTACGCCTGAACAACGTTCAAACCAGTCTGGCTTCGTACGCCGCATAATCTGGCTTATGCGTCTCCGCACCGGACCACTGTGCCCATTAATGTTGCAACTCAATTCACAATTCGCACTTCCTGTTCTTTCCGAGTGGAAGATAGATACGTCGCCAGACCACAAGTGCGTTTCTAGAGGGTTCCCTCGTGAAGCTAACCTAAAATTTCGTTCGACCCTCGGACTCCACTTCCGAAACTGAAATCATCTCGGGATGCCTGCGATAAGAGCGACCGCAGCAAGCCTGACGTACGGATGGGCTCAGGCTATCGCACGCGCTATTTCACTTATCCTAATATTTGGTTGCAAGTACTAACAAAAAAGCCTGCAAGCAACAGCCGTTGCGCACCACTCGGAGTTGACTTGAAACGTCTTCTTCCCCTCTATCAGAAAACTATCAGAAAAAGAAAGGGAATCAGAACGGTATCCATCCACAGTTAGAGTTCCTCCAACTCCGGACCCTCGCCACACAACGACGCGTAAATGACGTTGGATCTTACACTTTACGCCCCAATGATATTGTACACAGAAAGTCCGACAGAAAGAAGGAAGCACACGGACGGGCATTTTTTTGCGCATGTCCATGGAAACTTTTGCACCCCATTTCTTCTTATGTATGCAACCTCACGAACCGGAGACCTGAAGTCACAGGGGCGTCAGTTCACTGGAGTTGGCAGGTGCATCCACACCCCACTCCACTCCCAAGGACGGTATGGCCATGGTCACCGTCGCAGTTGCCCCTGCGAAGGTGAAGTTGTACAAAAATACCGAGCATACGGACGCCTTTGCCAGCCGCACATCTCAAACACACGCCGAAGTCCGTTAAAATCTCGCTCTCCCACAAGGTCTCACCCGCTCTCACACGAGGCGCAAAAAAGTTCTCTTGAGATTCTGTACCAAGGTGCTTGTCGCGTCGTGCGCAGCAGCCAATTGAGTACCTGACATTCAAACGTTCCCAAAGTCGAATGAGACCAGAGATAAAGACCTTTTTTTTTATATGCATACATACGGTGACAAGATTACTATGAAGTATTTTGCGTTTTGAATCCATAATGCGAGTGGTTAGAGTAGAGTCTAGGGGGTCGACGAGAGCAAGGAAGGAGGGCATACTGTGGCCATATATATAAAGGGATTTGAATGAAAGAAAGAGGACTCGTGCAATACGACTCCAACCAGCCTTCGCGATACCCAATGCTTCATCACACGTTACCACAGTCAAGTGGTCGCCAGAGAAGCACCAGGTACGAAGAGAGTAGCAGTCGCAAATGATGAACTCGAAACGAAGAACCTGCGTACTCGAAAGAAAAAAGGAAGAAGAAAGAAGTGGGGAGTACAAGACCTCGAAGCGAAGCGAAGACTTCTGAAAGATGAAAGAAGGCGAATAAATGTACAGATGGGCAACAATCCAACCCAACCCAAGAAGAGGGGGTATATATAGACAAGAAGAGATATCGAATTGTCGAATTTTTCAAAGGGAAGCCTTGAAAGGGCAAGGGAAGGAGACGCGAGTCTCCCTCAATAGAAGAGGAACGATTATTTTTCAGACGAAAAAGCGGACCAAGGTGAGGGACTAAAAGGGTGCGTAGGTATGAGAGTAATGCGGGGATATATGTATGGTAGCCAGTATGGAATATGATGAGGGTTGGTAACGTAGAGGAGGGAGTGGGAGGATAAATGAATGGACATGGTGTGCAAAGGGGATGTGGGCACCCACAGGGATGGCGGACTGGCCAGGGGATGTGTATAATAGAATACAAGCCTCAAGCACGAGGGGTTTATGACGATGAAAGCAATAAACAAAGCGACAGAGAAAAGCGAATAAAAAGAATAATAGGGCACGATGGCAAGTGCGGCACCTAGACGCCCCTTGAAAGAGCGAATGAGTCCCACACGAAAGCCATAGTGCCAGAGAAGGGGATTAGAAAGAACCATAGATATACATTGAGTGGGGGGGTTGTGGTGGGTTGATCAGCAAATCTGAACTTCCCATTCTCCGCCTTCAGAGCTCGAAGAAGGTGGTGTTTTGAGGGCAATCCTCACTCGTCGCTTTCCACCAGAGTTATCTGGAACACTATATTCCGACCCAAATCCAAAATCGGGGAACGAAGTCTCGTCAAGGTCGCTGAACGGGCTGCCGTAGTCCATACCGAGGAAAGGATCCGCAGTTGAGGAGAGTAATGGCGAGTTGGCGACCGACGAGAAGGAGGAGCGAGCATCCGACCATGATTCCATGGGAGCCGGCGATCCCGCTTTCGATGATTGCGAACTGGCGGGGGGAGAACTTGCCCGTGAAGACGCCGAAGACGATGGATGAATCCGTACGCGGATTTTGCCGTTGTCCGTTGAGGATGTATCAAACGAGATGTCCAAACCGCCGAGATCGCCCAAGTCGCTCGTATCAACGCCTGCGAATTCCAGTTTCCGGGGGGCCGAAGATGGGAAATTAGAGTTCTCCTCAGTATCCATGTCCATCAGGGAAGTGCGAGTCCAATCAAAGTCTCCAGGGATAAAGTTGTTCTTGTAGTCATAATTGCTGAGAGCCGATGAGAAAGGCGACGGGACTGAGAAGCTTGTCGTCGATTGCATTGGCATGGACAAGAGGGTTGGAAGGGCACAAAGAAGGACCTGGGAAAAGGTGTTAATGAGGATTCAATAGGAGGTCAACCGAAAATAGAAACTCACCATCAAACCGAAACTGGCAGCGGTCTTGTTAGGGCCTGATGATGGAGAAGGCCTGGAAGGCGATGCTGGGACATAGCTTTCCGATGATTCGACCTTGACGGACACAACGTCGTCCTTGGGCGTACTCTTCAGTTTCTCGCTGAGTTCACGTTCCCGTTGCTGGGCAGCGGCCAACTGGGCACGGAGCTGCTCAACCTCTGAGGCGAGGTTGTCCTGCGGGGCCTGGCTTCCGTTTTTGGTAAGGGCCAAAAGCCTCGCGTTCTCCTGCTCGAGTTCTGCAACGCGACTGGACGTAAGAGAAGAGGGTTAGAAGGCGAATCTTATCGCAACAGGGGTAGGGAATCACGTACATTTCCATGTTTTCGAACTCTTCTCGCTTTCGTTGCCTGCTGAGGAAGGCTGCGGCTCGGTTCTTCACTAGACGAGCTTCCCGCTTGCTGAGACCGGAGACATCGGGGGGCACAAAGTCCTTGCTGAGGATTGTGGCCCTCTTCTTCGCGGGGCCTGCTGCGGGGCTGGCTGAGCGCTTGCTCGCGGTTGAGGCGACTGCGGTGACCTGGGGGTGCACTGGGGGCTGCTGGGGCTGGGGTGGCGGGGCAGCGCTCGAGGCACGGGACGTTGGGGGTTCTGAGAGCTCGAAGACCTGGTGTGTGGGCATGCAGAGGGGCTCCTGGGTGGAGTCGGAGGTCGAGTCTGGAGACATGCGCATCTTGAGGACCTTTGAGGGGACTGGGGGGTCCGTGCACGACTGGGATGCTTGTGCTGCCTGGAGATTATAGTAGGAATAATTGAAGTTGAGGGCCGGGTCTGGGCAAGAATCCCATAGGGAGTCATTTGAAGCGACAGGGGAGAGGAGAGGAGCGTCTGTAGCGATTATGGAAGCCATGGTAAGAGCTGGAGTCTGGGAGGCCATTAGGAAGGGAAGGTAAAGAAAGTATAAGGATGATCTAGGGGAGAGGCAATGAGCAGGAGTAGAGAAACAAGTTGAGATTGGGAACCGCGCTCCCAGATCAACCTTTTTCGACAAGTTCTCAGGCTGTCCGGACTTACATCGCTCTTCGCACCCACGAATAAAATATCATTCATATTTCTTTTTGATCCCCCAGATTCGCAAAATATACTTCCATCTATCTATTTCACATGCCTTCTCAGGAACATATCTCTCCTCTCTCAACATAGATATCTACCTCAATCGCAGAACCTTCCCCACTCTCTGACCTCATCCGTGATGCTCCACCCTGTCCTCGCGGTCTCTCCCGCATCCCATCCTCCTCGTTCCCCTCCCCACTTTTCCTCCCCCTTATCCTCTGCTATCCTCCAAGTAGAAACAAACAAAAATAACGAAGGGGTCCTTTTACGACATACCATCAAGCCGCATGTCAACCAGATGCCACTGATGAATCTAACCGAAGCGTGGCTAAAGCCTACTTTTTACAGGGTCCTATCATAACCCATTTGGGCCCTTCATAACACGAGGTAACCAAACTCCAATAATATTCCACTTCGCTGGGGCATTTGGTACTGCTGCTCCTCCACAACCGTTACCAGAACATACATCAGTGTCTTTCGATTGCGACATCCCTCAGTGGCCCCCTCCCTACCTACAAGCATTCATCCCGCCCTGAAACTCCGAGAGGCTTGGAGAATGGACCCTACCCAATTCTAACGAATAAAAAATGCGGTTTTGCAAACTTTAACGTAAATGTCCTGATGTCAAGTTTTCGCTCCAGACGGCGACCTTCGAGCAAGCGAGACGAGCCGTACAGGGTTCGGAAGGGTACTACCAGGGAGGGGACCCAAGTTCAACTCTTTACTCCCTCAACAAACGCGACCGTCTTCGCCCTTCGATCCAGCGATAATGAACGGAAGATTAGATAGACGGGAGCATCTTCAAAAATCAAATCCCTCGTAAATGGGACCCTGAAATCGGTGCTATGGGTGATGCAATAGCTCCCGCGCGTCGGCCACTCTGAATCTGCAAGATTCGCCGGCAAAACGTGGTCTCTTGCGAGCGGTGTAGTTTCCTTTTTGAGCAAGGCCCAAGCTTCGCGCCCGACTGCTTCCGACGCATAGCTGGGGAAGAATTGATCACCGTCGTCCGCCTATGGCTAGCCCCCACCAGTTCAGGGGCCCTCTCCCCTGTCCAGATCCCGACTCAGGGTCGCGAACTCCTCGAGGAGGACGCGTGCTGGTCCAACCGTTCTGCCTCAACCACCAACCACGACTGCACCATGCTGTTTTTTGTCTTCAAAAGTATCCCGCTTCTCGAATTCGGGTCCAAGACCCAATTAAAAAACGGGGCGCTCTCCTGGTGGTTACGAGTCTAACCAAACGCGTTAGGCGCTGTTAAGCATTACGGAATCTCGTTCGGGATTCGGGACGACATGCTATACGCGTTAACTAAACGAAACATTGGCAAGTGGCGAGCACCTTCTCGGACCTCAGCTGCACAGTGGGCACGGACGGTGCTAAAAATTCTGCCCGAGACGCGCTTCTGCTGGAGCGAGCGGATGTACAGCCAGGTCCCCACCATTGTCAATTGCTGTGCCTAAGAAATTAAAACGAACGGCGACCCCCCTCCACCAATGTTCAAACCATACAACGGCGAAGAAAATCCACACAGCAACTGTCACTTTGTGCCACTTAACGCCATTCCATGTCGCCTGTCGTCCTTGCCGACCCCACCGAGAATGAATGCTCTCCATCGGTTGTTTCTTCATTCAACGTTCGCCTAAAGTCAGACAAATGGACTGCACGTCTTACTCGGACCTTCGACGAATGCTTTCCTCAACCGGAAATTAACAGTCTGTCCCAGTTTCTTCGACGTCGGTACTTAGCTATTTCACGGGGGTTTCTTCAACGTGCTTGGGTCCACGGTCAGGTCAGACAGGTGTCAGACGTTAGGGCTGTAAGCCTGTAAGTATATAAAGGCGTAAAAGTTCATTCATTCCATGCAGTCGTACATTTGCAAGCTAACTATCAAAAAATGGACACAATCTAATGTTACATGACGGACAGACCAGACATTACTCAAAAAGACACAGAGGTATCGTCACAAAAGGGTATACCGAATTCGAGTTCAACCCTTTTTTCATGCACCCCGAAACACATCCCAATAACCACGCGCTCGTCAACTCGACTTTAAAGCGTGTACAAGAAGCCAGGTTGGCCCTCAAGCGGTTCGTCCAGCTTGCCCTCCTTCGCCCTCTTATTCCAGTATCGATGCCTAATCGTCAAGGCAGCAATCAAGACGATAATGACCACCTGCGACAAAATTGTGGCAATCAAGCCAGGGATGTACTTGGGTCGGTCCTGGCTTCGGAAGCAAGTGGCAGCAAGGATACCACCCATCGAGCCGAGTGCGACCATCATAGCGGTTTGTACACTGCGCTTGCTGTGGCTGACGACGTTGTTGCTGCTGTAGGCGAGGATGGTTGGGATAGAGCCCGAATTACCCATGTTGGTAAGGAAGACACCTGTTGTGGAATGGGAGGGTGAGCCTGTGGAGGTAGAGGGGAGCCCTATGAAGGGACATACCAAAGTAGCGAACGCCGTTGTTGGGGTGCCATGCGGTCAGACCGTTACCGAGGAGGCAGACACCGACGAGGATGACGATGAACGTCGAACGGTGCTTGTACTTGTCTGCGAGCCAGGCAACGAAGATGGTCACAGGGATAGCAGGGAGGTACGGAGGAGCAGTCTATTGAGGGGAAGATCAGTTGCCGTGTATCAATAAAAGCGCCGATAACAACCACTCACTCGAAGGAGAGTTCCCTTCTTGTCGTAGCCCATACCGGCAAGAATAATAGGGACGAAGTAGCTCTGCACATAGTTGGGCATGGTAGCACACATGAAGATGAAGCCGTATGCCCAGAGCGTCCAGTCACCCAAGTGCTTCATGACCTTGGCGAATGTGATTTCATCGGGGAGAGCGTCACCTCTGTCATCGTCGATACGCTTGAGAACGAACTCGGTCTGCTCCTTGGTGAGGAACCTGTTTTCGTCAGGGAAGTTGGGGATGAAAAGGAAGGTGATGATAGCGAGGAAGACGGTGATGGCACCTTCAATGATCTGCATACATCGTCAATAAAGCGCGCCAAGGAACGGAAACAGTTGGTGACTTACGAAGATCCAGCGCCATCCTTCAATGTTACGCTTGCCCTCGAGCAGGCTCAATCCATAGGCCAAGAGAGGGCTCAAGCCACCAGCGGTCATCGAGAGGAGGTAGAAAGCAGCCATTCGCTTCTGGACTTCATGGCGCTTGTACCAGGCAGAGATGATCCAGAGGAGTGAAGGGAAGAAGGGCGCCTAATTGAATCAGATACTGTCAGCAATTATCGACGGGCACCTAGTGCATATCAACACACCTCGAACACACCAAGCAAAATGCGGGTAATTAACAACTCCTGCCAGTTCTTCACGAAGCCCATACCAAGCTGGACGCTTCCCCATGCAAACACCAAGAAAGTGAGCCAGTTGCGGACACCGAGTTTGCGCAGCACAACATTGCCGGGGAGTTGGCTGGAGGGAGACGCATGTGTCAGACATGGTAGCGAAGTAGAACACTTTGAGTTTAACTCACAGCAGGATATACGGCACGAAATAAAGACATGTCACAATACTGTATCGTGCACCAACTGTGAGATCCTAATAACGGGGATTGATTTCAAATCAGAACACGAAACGGGATTTCGTCGCCAGCAAAAGAAACATACCAAGGTGACATCCATCCCCGCTGCATAAGCGGCGCCCAAGTTGATTCGGTCAATGAGGGCAAAGGAATAGACGAGCGCAAGGATAGGCAGGATGCGGAAGTCTATCCATAACCTACAGGTAAGCAAAAGGAAGGTGTCGTCAGCGGAATCCTTCAAAGATACTTGAAGGGAACATAACTCACATAGTCCGCCTCTCCCATTTGGGGTCATGGCCTTGGGAGGATGACTCGACCTTGTCGATGGACGTCGTTGACGAGTGCTTCTCCGACTTGGCCTTGAGGCTGTCATTGCCCGGCAAAGCCGTCGTCGTGGCCTCCTGCGCGCCCATTTCTTTCGACATGGCTCGCTTCTTCGGTTCTCCTCTCGTGCACAAAGGTGGGTGTAGGCCGGTACGAGTTGGCGCTAGCGAGGGAGAGGGAGGAAGGGGAGAGGGGACGGAGAGGGAGAGGAAGAAGCACGAAGAACCGCCTCACACCTTTGGCAATAGAGTCCTCTCGTTATAAGGACGGCGTCTCAAAGATCCAGAGGCACCAATTGCTGTTTCTGAATCTCCTTTGGTCCTGGTTTGTTCATGTCACCTCCCACATATCGGGACGCCTATCACGGCACGATTCATTGATTGACAGAAAGAGTGGTTCAGGCGTACCCACAGAAGCAACGATCTTTACCGGAACCGCAAGCGGTTTTGAAGCTTCTCCGCCGTCGAGCCCACCTCTTGAGGTCTGCATCGATACTATGCGGGCACGTAGTACCCAACGCTCTCTTCCCAGACATGCATCCAGAACTTGAACTGTTCTTCGAGGCCAGTGACCCTCAGGCATGTGGGCAGATTGTGGTTAAGTACCGGTGAAGTAAGGTCAAATGTGTAAAGGTGGGATTCTGGTTAGGTTCAGGCACCCGTGGACCCTGTCCGTTCCAAAGAAGGCCGTTTACCGCACGAAATTTTGATTCCGCTGGGCTTGGCGCTCCTTGAGCCACAAAGATGGCGCCCAAGTTGCGACGCATGGCAGTTGGAAATTAGCCCCGGATTCCTGGAGAACGTCCAGAAGCAATATTGCGTTCAAATCGGGCTTCTGGAATTAGCGTCCAAGAAAACAAAGATGCCAGTGGCTTCAGATCTCTGCCGCTTTTGGCATGGATGGAGGCATGAAACAACACTTCACTGCGAACCCAAAAGGTTACCAACCCGAACAGCAACGTTTGGAAATAAGCGCCCGCACTCCAGGAACAAGGTAAACAGCGAAATCCTGCTCAGAAAGACCTGTCCATTGTGGGAGACTGTTAATACTTATTTAATGTTACGTTCCTGTCTCGACTGATGCAGATTCGCGGTACGGTTGACCTATGTACAAGCATCATCACCAGGAACGAAGTTCGGTTGAATTGGAGAACAAGGAACTCTGTCTGATCCTAACTACGGATTTGGACAAAAGAGGGAGGCACAGCTCTTCCTCCATGTTCACACCTGGCTGGCCAGGCGTCTATTCTGCAGGGTGACATACAAGGTCATCCACCCTAGTAGCGCCAGCAGAAGCACCTGGCACGCTATGGTCACCCAGATCCCCAAGATATACCTTGGCGCGTCGACCTGGCGAAACACAGTCGATGCAAATATCCCACCCGCTCCACCAAATGAAACCAGAACGGCTGTCGCCACAGGGCCCTTGGAGTGCGAAGCGACGCTGTTTGTAGACTGTGGGATGGGTTGAATGAATGGGTGGCAAGGATGAAGTAGAGAAAGTTCGTTAGCGCCAATGTGGCCTACGCCGAGCCATACGACTGAATAGAATTGGTGTGTACCCACATACGCCAGAATTCCAGGAATACTAGCCCCCGAGCCGGCGTTGCTGAGGAATATCCCTGCGTTTCAATTGCAATTGCTAAGTACTTATCGCTCGGAAAACATAGGCAGCCGGAGAAAATACCTTACGTACCCGCATATCTCCACCCAGGCAGGGGTGCAAAGCCCGTCAGCGCTAAACCAAGAATGGCGAACAAGGTCTGCGCTGCGATCATAAGCGCCCGCTGGCAACAGCGGTCGGCTATCTTGGCAGAAATGAGGATGGCGAGTGCCTATGGGTATCAAACTCGAAATGAGCGGCTATCCAGACTTGATCCAGACGGTTATAGAGGACTGAATTACCGTAGCCAGGTGAGGAAGGGCGGCCTGCATTCCATACCATTCGCCAAGTCAACAATTGTATTGCTCGAAGGCTTTGTGGACGTACTAGGAGCAAGGCAGCTGATGGGTTCCAGCCCATCCCAAGTAATATATTGGTCAAGCACAGTCTGTGGAACCAGTGTGAGTGGCTTTGGGTTGGAGACCACAATGAAGAGGCTCCCTGAGGCATTTACCCGATGGCGAAGCCAGGAACTGTGGCACAGAAATACATCCATCCTTCCTATCTGTTAGAACAGCTCCAGAGAGGATTCGGACAAGCGAGGCTTACCAAAGGCCCAGAGTTTCCAATCCAATAACGGTGACAGAAGCTTCATCTTCGAAGATGAACCCTGCGCAGAGTCGTTCCGATCTAATTCAATCCGCTCGAGGATGAGTTGAGAGTGTTCCTTGCTCAGAAATTGGTTGTGGTCGGGGGTGCCAGGTTGAAACATCCATCCGATAAGTCCAAGCACCATAGTCAATGTTCCTTCCAGAATCTAGAAACCAGTTCAATTCAGTAGGTATCAGAGCACTTGACCAGTGCAAACCCACAAAGATCCAGGACCAGCCTGGGACGCCGAGTTTACCATTTAGACGCGACGAAATGTATGCCATTGGAGCACCGCAAGCGGTCATGGCACTGGAGAAGACGTAAAATGCCGCAAGTCTATTAACCACGATGTTCGTCAGCTGACTGCATAGACCCTCTCCGAAACGGAATTGCGTGCCTTTTCTGCGCCTCCTGTCGAGTGTACCTAGTCAACGCAACCGTTAATCTCGGGGCCCGTCGAGTTGACCGGAGGATCCGGCGAGTCCACCAACCAGGTCGTAATGACGAGAACCAGGCCCGGAAAGAAACCAGCCTGGCAAGGGAACACGGTGCGTAATGGAGCCCAATCAGAAATTCGGCAGATGGAAGAAAATACGACCCCCGAACCTGTAAGACACCCAGAAAGGATCTGCATATGGCGAGATGCCACCAGGAATGGACAAAACCCATGCCCAATGACACAGCTCCCCATGAGATAGTGTAAAATACTAGCCCGTTCGAAACACCTATTCGGTGCAGGATAGCACTCGCCGGGTATTGCCTGGATGCCAGAAGCAAAGTGTCACTCGATAACTGATGAACAGGGGCAGAACGGTCGCTTACAGAACTATGTTTGGAATGAAGTAGACGCCAGATACCAAGCTATATCTACTTGAGACTCTGAGTTGCTATCAGGAAAAGTATGTTAGTTAAGGAAGGATATGATAAACGTGACCGAATGGCTTACCAGGTCTTGTTCCATCCCAGCGATCCTGGCCAGTCCTAAATTGCTACGGTCGATGATATACATGGCGTAAAGCGCACCCAGCCACGGTAAGATGCGGCGATCTACTCTCAGCCTAGGAATTGATCGAAAGTGAAAGGTCAGTCTGCAGCAAAAAGCGAGCACACAATGAAACCCTTCACATCGTTTTTCGCTCGTCTTCTGGGACCCATCGTGCCCCCGTGGGATGGGAAGGTGAGAGACATTTGCACAGGTGGCGAGCATGGCCAGGAGGGCAGTTCCCAGTACAAGGCATTGGTTCTTGCTGCTTATCATCGAGAATACAGCAGCAGGTGGTGGTGACAGGGCTAATGGCTCGATCCTCCATGGCCATAGCCTCGTAAAGGTGGCATTTTGAGGGATCCAGGAAGAGCAGAGAGCGTACCAACGTTCATCGTTGGCGCATATCATTGGCGGTGAAAGACGAGCTATACAACTTCCATAGGTGGATGAGGTAGCAACTGCTTGACTGGAAGTGGCATTTGGATTGAGATACAAGGCGAGTGGCCGGAGCTGTCGTGGTTTGGAGGGTGAATCATCCATGGAATAAGGAACGAGGAGCTCGAATGGCAAATCGCCCAGCAGGCCAAGACGCCTGGAAATGGTTTCTCGTTTCTAAAGGAGGGATGTACCCAGTGTCAATTGATTAATGAAGGTGGTCTCCAGGCGATATGAAAGGGACTCGGGCGATCATCGTGACCCGCAAGCGCCGTCGAGACAGTTAGAGAAGTTGTATGACTTTATGGATCTGTCGAGTTTCAATGTGGGTTGCGGTCAGGTTCTGACCCTGATCCAGCATCGCGTCCCCGACAGGGGCTTCCGCCAAGCACGACCATACACCAACGGTGTTCTTCTTCGAGGGAAATTGAAACTTGAGTGAACATGAACACTTCCGACCCCCCAATAAGATATACATTACTTGCCAAAAGAAATTCTAAAAGTACATGCCCTACAAGATACGGTCTGCAAGGTGCTCATGAAGATCGTCGATGCAGTGTGTCCGGATCAGCCGAGAGTCCTGGGACGAAAAAAAAATTGCCGCGTATCGATACATTCTCTAAAAGCACGGAAACTTGAGTGCTGAAAGCGATGCTGTGCGACACGGAATAAAGACGTGAAGTTCCGAAGTTGATATACAAGTGTCTACCCCATTAACACTGGCGGCAGCTTTGAGTTTTAGTTGGCTGCGTCGAGGCTGCTTGAGGGGGTGCTGAAGGTATCGTAGTCGATGCAGAATCCTTTTTAGCAGAAGAGGCCTCTCGTTCTTTACCCTTCTCAGCGGAGTTGGCGGCGTTGATGCTCTCATCCTGATACAAACCGTGGGCTTCGATGTAGTCGACCACCGAATTCGGCAGCAGATATCGTACTGAGAGTCCTCGTCGGAGGAACAAACGGACCTGGAGGGAAAATCAGCCCTAGGTCCAAGAAAAGGGACAATGGACGGACCTTGGTACTGGAGACGTCGTTTTGGATCAGTTGGGATATCATATAGATGTTGTGCCTCCACTTGGCAAGGTTGTCTGTGGCTTGGTCCATGCCGGACCCTGCTCGTTCGACGATGAAGACACCATATCGTCCCAGGATGTGTTCAAGCTAGAGTCACTGTGATCAGAAGCGTGTCGCTAAGCGGGGGGTCACAGAAGAGGCCTACATCGGAGTAACTCCAAACGCCTGGCTCGCTCATCGTACTGATGAGATCCGAGCCAGCCAGTAGCATCACACGGACATTCCGTTGTTCGCCACTCTGGGTCTTTACCCCACCCCGTACAGTGTTGATTTCGTAGTCAAAGTGGTCGAGTACAATGGCCGTTCGTTGGTACGACTGGAATGCTTCCCAAGAATCGACCATCAGCCATCCCCCGGAATCTTCTGCAGCAAGGTTACACATATTGACTCTAGGTGTTGGCTCGTCAGCATCGGAATCATGACAGAATTGGCGTATCGAAGACAGAAGAAGAAGCACCCAAGGGGTATGCTGACATGGAATCCAACGGGAGACCAGTCATGGGAGCACGCCATTCGGCAACTGGACCGGAAACGGCAAGAAGGTCTGAGGACCATCGAAGTCCGAATCGTGACGAATCACCGTCACGCACGGTCGTTGTAAATAAAGCGGGAAGAATTGGCGCAGAGGTGCATCGAAAGGGTCAAATAATGTGAAATGGACCAGTACTGACCGATGGCGAGCGTTCAGGAGACCAGGTTTCTTGTACATGTCGCTGACAGGGCTAAGGTATGCCCCAACGATTTCAAATTCTGTGTTGTGTCGGATATAATCCCTGGCCATTTCGAACATTCGTAGGTGAAGATAGGTGACCGGGCTGAAGGAACCACAGGCGACCAGGACGACTGGAGTCTTGGAGTCATCGTTGAGGGTTGTCCGCATGCGGTGGTAGGGGAAAGAATAATTTGGAGGGTTTGTGAAGCCCTCCGTGACATAGCCGGACGTCGACGACATTAGAAACGAGAAGCCAGGCGACGCTGACGGTTTGTAGGCAACGGAAGGGAAGAGAGTGGGTACAGCCGAAGATTCTCTGTTCAGCCGAAAGATGATACCAACTCTCTTTCCCACGCTCACAGCTATTGAGGACAAATTGAAGATGGCGTGCTCCAGTCCTGCGGCTCTTTCTCTTATCTGCGCGCCTAATTGCGCTGAATACACTTGCTTTTAACAGCTCCAAAAGTCTATTCACTTCAGTCTGCAGCACCGAGTACAATGGTCTCACGTATCAACGTCAGATAAGATATTGATCCTGGCCACATCTTATCTACTTAATGAGCCCCACATCATAACGCCGTCATCGACAGCGGCGCCCTCTCTTGACCTGCGACACACGCGATGCGAAAGCGAATATGACCCCCAAGAGACCACCAGCCAGGCGCTATAACACAGGTTCCTCGTCCTCAGGCAACGAGCGCTCCCACAAACGCGCTCGAACAGCCTTCTCCCCCTCCCCTACATCAGACTCCGAACAAGATTCTGACGTCTTGAAGGTCTACCTCGTACAGGCCAAACTCGGACCAGCAGAAATAACAGAGCTTTACCAACTAGTGGAATCTTGTCCCGAGCATGGCGGGGACCTGCATCTACAACTCGTTCCCGAGGTAATCGAATCGGACATCATCATAACTGCAGTGCGGATGAAGCGCCGGCTAGAGCGCCATGTCGATTGGAAGATAGCCGTAAGTGTTTCAAATTGACGCACTTCCAGGTACTAACGGAGTCTCAGAGACAAAAGGCTATAGTGACGCCACAGTGGCTGAAGGATTCCGTGGAAGCAGGACACGGCCTTCCATGCGGAAAGTACGCCGCCATTGGAGAGCTCATAGAAGAGACAATCGAGAACTGTCCTGATCCTGACAACTGCGATGACTGCAGTCATAGCCATGATCATCCTCGGTCCCAATCGATGAAACCACCCTCCTCGGCCAAGGGTGTAGCCAATCCCTCACCAGCCGTCGAACCCACACCAGCTCGCGTTCACGCGAACTGGAGGGCTAGGTACGCGTGCCAGCGTGCCAGCCCTTTGAAATGCCCCAACCAGGGCTTGGTGGAAGCCTTGAGCGTACTCTGCCGCGACAGGGAGTTGGAGGGACTGCATCCCAACGCTTTGGCATACCAGAGAGCCGTCGCTGTTCGTTGCCGACCCGATTCCTCGTTGTCTGGACTAACTGTTAGCACGGGCCACAGGTGATCAAATGTAAGGACAGCCGTGAAAAGCCACCCGCACTGTCACTAAAGCTTTCCTTTAGCATACCCGCATAAGATCGACCAGGACAACCTGGAGAGCGAGGTCTCCAAACTCCCAGGTATGGGAGGGAAGATATTCTCCAAGGCCCGTCCATTCTCAATGTTTACCGGTCGCTGCCCTGCTTATTGCTCTACCAGGTCCAAGAATTTCTCGAGAAAGGATCGATATCAGAGGTGCAAGAAACGCTAGCTTCGGACCGCTACCGGACCCTCTCAACTTTCGCAACCATCTATGGTATCGGGCCAGGCAAAGCTCAACACTTCTACGACATGGGAATGCGAACGATATCTGACCTCGAAAGATACTACGACATTGACCCTCCGTCAGCCGAGGAGGGGTATTCCGCGACTTCCGTCGAGTCCATGCAAGCTGTCGAACGGCTCCTTCGGGAAAGGGAAGATTGGGGATACGATGTGACCTTCACGCCAAACGGGAAGAGGGTACCCTCTAAAACATCGAAACGAGGCAATAAACCCCCGGACTTGACCGTCCCAGTCGCGTTGGCACTCAGGGGAGAATTCGACCTTCCCATCCCTCGTGAAGAGGTGGAAGAGATGCGCGATGTCGTCATGCGCGAGTTGGACGAATTACAGCCTGGATGCGTCAGTACGATTGTGGGAGGGTGAGAGGTCTTGCCTATGGTCCGTCACGACGCTGGCTGAGCCTTCGTTCAGGTATCGACGGGGTAAACCACAGAGTAACGACGTCGATATCGTATTCAGCCACACTGACTGGGAGAATGGTGCTGAAATCATCAAAGGATTGTGCACCAGGCTCACTGCGCACATGCACCGGAAAGGTATTACTCCCTTCCCGCTTTCAACTATTCCTCCTCATTAGACCTTCCCATTTTCTAGGTCTCATCACACATGTAATGCGTAAGAGATCACCTGCTAACCCAGCAGTCTACACGGCTACTTATCCCTCACTCTTCGCAGATCTCTCCGGATTTCACGCCCATGACGCTCTGAAAACAGATCATTGGGACTCACTGGAAAAATCCCTTTGTGTCTTCCGATTACCCGAAACGCCCACGAGTGGCCCGCGATTACATCGGCGCCTGGACCTCATATTTGCAGCACCCCAGTCCTATTGGACTGCAGTAATCGGTTGGTACGTCGATCTGCGCTCAGAACAAGGGAAGCCAATCGGCTAACCCAAAATGAAGGACCGGATCGAAGATGTTTCAACGCGATCTACGTCTATGGGCGAAACAGGAAAGGTACGAGCTTCACGGCTGCTACATTTACCCGTTAGAAATGCTGAACATCATACCCGACCATCCTCTCTACATTGGACAGAGGAATGAAGTTTGACAGCAATGGACTGTCAGTGACGCGCAGAGTTTCTCTCATTCTGTCTTTGCTTGACACGCACTGCATTGACAGGACACGAAGACACGACACGCGATTGTACTTGCCCAAGAGCGAAAAGGAAGTTTTCAGTATCCTTGGATTGGACTGGATCGATCCCACCATGCGAAACGCGGACGTCTAGTCGGGGATGTCGAGAAAGTGCAATCCATAATACCTACATACATACAGAAGGCCACGGTAATATCGCGACTTTTACGCTATGTTGTACAATACATAAATACGGGAAGGATGATACTTTAGTGTTGCTGAGGTGGTATTTTTGTGGCCAGTGAAAGGTCACAACCGAGAGGTCGACCGTTCGTTGGAATCTAATGGTCCCAACGAAGCCATCGTCGGAGGATGCTCTAAGAACTTGTCACAATCAAAGTAACCTCCACAGCACTCCGCTTCAAGGTCCTCATCTTCTACACCGGGGGTCGATTCTGGAGGTGGAGGCGGCTGGCCCACCGATGGTGGCTCGGAGTGTTCTCGAGGTGACATACTCCGTCCCTGGGAGACTGTACTCGCACTCGGAGCCATGTCGACGTCGTTGTGTGACTGTCCCATCAACGGGACGGAAGGGACCGAAGGTGTTTGACCAGACATCGGATGCTGCTTTGCAAAGTCTTGAAATCTCGTAAGAGCTTCAGAAGCCGCGGAGAGATTCCTCAGCAGCTCGGCGGACAGCTCGACCTGTGCAGCGTAACCCACACCAAAAAAAAAAACAGGGGGAAAAAAAGGCGAAGCAGAGTTGTCCTCAATGAACACGTAAAAGATAGATGGGATGTCCAAGGCTCACCGCGGCAGGGTCTGAAAACATTGTCGTTCCTGTCGCCGTCGTCGATGCAGCAAGGGCCGCATTGGCTCGAGCGATTTCGAGTTGGTGCCGGAGTTGACGGTTCTCTTCCTCGATTCGTTTGCATCGTTCTTCGAGGTCAGCGATGTATTTGGCTCTGCGTGCACGATAGTCCCTCTGTTGAGTAAGAGACCTGGTCGGTGGGATAGTCAGATCCTTTTTACGTCCTCTCGCCATGTTCGCAGAGGTTGTAGCCTGTGGAACTGGGAAGGTAAAAGTGGGAGATGTGGCGGGTTCGGTTTTATGTGGTTCGAGATTTCATACGGTTAAGCGACGCTACTTAAGTATCATACCAGGACATAATCAGATTCCTGGGCGTCTGGCTTTCCGTAGTCGTTTCGTCGTCGTGGCTTCGCGGCACGAAGCAGAACGGTGGCTCACAAAGACCGAGTGGAGCGTTGCAATTTCCAAAAATACTGGCTGCGGCGGAACCATTTCCAATTTCAAAACCAAATTGATCCATGCGATGATGCCATCCCAGGAACAAGTTCAGTTCCCTCTGAAGGCTCTTCATTCCAATACTTGACGACAAGGTTATATGGATGTAGATGTATTAGTTCTCAAGTCCTTGAAAGCAGAGCTTATCTTGTTCAAATACAAAGTCAGATGGTGTCTAAGTATGAAAATGCAATATGGATCGGTAGCTTCTGATAGCACCCTTGTGATCGACGCCATTCCCAGCGCTTAATTTGCGAAGGCTGGGATATCCGTGATTGCTTTGCCAAGAATCAATGCATGGATATCCTACGAGTGGAGAATCAGTTGAAATTCTTCGAATTGAATGGACAATTGAACTCACATGGGTGCCTGTACGCCCGAAAGGGAAGACGTCCGTCAGAACTATCCCAAGGCCCAGACAGATATGCACCTACCTTCATACGTGTTTGTAACCTGGAGGTTGGCGACATGCCTGCCAACATGGTACTCGTCTGCAGAAGCATTTCCTCCCAGAATATCAATCAAGATTCGCGCGTGTTGCAACGCCTTGCCGCAGTTGTTTCGCTTCACAAGGCTGATCATTTCTGGTGCGACCTTTCCTTGATCCTTGAGTCTACCAACTTGCAAGCTTGATTGAAGGCCAAGAGCAATTTCTGTGTGGGCGTCCACAAGTTTCTTCTGAACGAGCTGGAAAGATGCGAGAGGTCGTTTGAATTGGTAGCGTTCGAGGGCGTATTCGCGTGTCCTGGCTAGACAGTCTTCAAGGGCACCCATGACACCCCATGAAATACCATAACTACGGACAAACGATGAGCACAGAGAGCCAATGAGCAACCGAGGCGGACACACCGAGCAGAGTTGAGGCAAGAGAATGCAGAGCTCAAACCCCTCGACTTGGGCAGAAGAGCGTCATGAGGGACGCTAACGTTGTCCATGAAGATCGAACCCGTTGCAGAGGCACGCAATGCAACCTTGTTCTTGATGGCTGGGGCAGTAAGGCCTTTCATCCCCTGTACAAGAATTCAGTCGAGGCAACCGTGCGTGATTCGTCGCCCTGACCTTTTCGAGGATGAAGCCCCGAACCCTGCCGTCCCACTTGCACCTGGCCCACACAATGAAGACGTCGCTAGGAGATAATCAGCTTTGAAAGGGCCGACATACGAATCGAGGGCACTCACGCGACCGGGGCATTGGTGATCCAAGTCTTGCTTCCATTGAGGACGAACCCGCCGTCGACCTCCTGCGCCGTGGTCTCCATTCCTCCAGGATCTGAACCGTGGTTAGGTTCAGTCAAGCCCTGGGCGGTACATTGGTTAACGGCGCCTCTTTCGACACGGATGGGAAATACACACGAATGCCCCAACCAACTCTCCCTTCGCTAATGGGGAAGATCATCAACGGACGCCTTGGTTAACAGAGAAACACACGCACCCAATCTCGGTAGGTACTTTTCCTTCTGGGCCTCTGTTCCAAATTCATTTATGGGATGCATCACAAGAGAGGATTGTACAGAGGCAGTGGAACGATATCCAGAGTCAACCCTGAGTTGAGAACAACATTCAGAGATGTGATGTCAAAGGTTGGGAAGAAGGCACACCTTTCAATTTCCCGAGCGACCAAACCATACGCGACATTACTTGCGCCGGCGCAGCCATAACCGGTAATTGTTGGACCAAGCAGTCCGAGCTTGCCCATCTCAGGGAGGATGTCACGGTCGAACTCTGCGAACACGGTCATTGCCGGTCTCGGGGTAAGACGGTGTGGGTCGGACGTACCTTCAGTCCTCCAGCCCTTGAGCACTCGAGGCATCAGGTTTTCCTAGGTACCGTCAACACTTGTCTTCCGAACTCAACAACGTTCCAACCTGGCAGTATTCTCGTGCCATATCCCTACAAAGCGGGCAGTTAGCACAAGACCGCGGGGAGATCAGGACAGGAGCTGACCGAATGGCAATTTCTTCCTCCGTCAACTGCGACTCTAAGCTCAATGGGTCCTATATTTCATGTGAGGCTTTGAACGATCGTCACCCTCAGGTCCATACCTCCCAGTTGTACTTGGCCAGAGCTATAGGGACGTCAGTCTCGAATTGACGCGCAGGGCTTCGCGCGACGTACTCGATGCCTTCCTGGATCCTTGGCCTCGGGTCAATTGGGTTAAACGCCTCTCCTGGGCGCGCAGGAGGTTGGCACGTTGGCAGCGAAGCGACGAGAGCATGGTAGTGGTGGTTGGTCAAGAGACACTCGCTACCAGGGTAGTTGAATTGACGGAGCTCCCAAGATCCGTGGAAGCAGCCCCGCCGGCTATAAGTGGACCTTAGATCCGTTCGCAACGCACTAGCCTTAATTGGTTCAAACTCAAAAGATATATTCCTCAGGGCTCAAAATAACGCTTCGAGGGCTGGCATGCGATATATCATAGTGCGCGAGGAGAAAATGGTGCTTGCATACAGTCATAAAGCGACATATGATTGTGTAATGATAGTAAGTGAACAGCCAAAACTTAGATGTTCGAAGGATAGAGCATCTGTCGAAGCGTAAGTCGGCGAGTCCAAGGATAGGCACGAGGAGGTAGCATACCACTCGGACGCTGGCACCGAATGCGTGGGGAGGGAGATTGGATCGGAATTTTGACTTGACGACACCTGAAGAACCGTGCGGCCGGGTAACTCGTCTGAAAGGCGATTTTTGAGATGGCGAGATTACCAGTAGAATCAATGCAGAACGCACCCCCAGATGACACGGATTTTTGAGCCCTGAATCTCCCTCTTGGCCTTGTAAACGTAGGCAACACGCTAGATCCAACCAAATGAGCATAAGAAACCCAGCGACAATAATTTCCTGCGCACCTTGCCCAGGTAGAATTGGGCGTCCTCCTTGGAGGCGACACCCTCGATCTGGATGAGGGAGGTGTTGGGGCGAGTGTTGCGCTTCCCCCGCTTGTGTCCCAAGACACGGCCCTTGCTGTACAATCTGTTGGAGAACGTCTTCAGCATCCTGCCCGCCGTAGTGTGTTGCACAGAGTCCGAAAATCGAAAGGCGGCCTCTTGTCATCCAAAATCATCCCCTCGCCATCCACCGTTTTCCATCGCGATTCCACAGCATATCCACCACCAATAGCCGCATCGAACGTCGTAGAGTCGGTCCCTCACCTGGTTGAGCCCATTTTCACGATCTTGAAATATGCCGGCGCCGTCGACCTAAGGGAGTGAGTTTTGTTGATTCGAAATTTCGCGCGGAGACGACAGCAGGAAAAGCTTGGTTCTGCCAAGCGTCCCCATCGCCGGTCCCACGGCGATCGGGGCACAAAATGGATCACTGTATATGTAGGACGCCGGCATGGGTCGAAGTAGCCTCAATCGAAAGGGACAGTGTGTGGCTTCCTGGATGGAAGCATACGTACCCTTTGACATTAATTGAACGCAGGGGTTCAGGCGAAGAGACAAGTTTCTTCCCAATATGCCAGCGGTGACCTCCGGGCTTCCGAACGACCGGCGCCGGCGCGTCTTTCGAGCCTCCGAAACTCCGAGTTGTGCCATGTACTTAACTCCCGTGCTCCAAGGAGCTGGAATAGCAAGCTCTGGTCGCAGCGTTTGCCTGCCTTTATTCAAAACGACTCCTACTGTACACGTTTGTTGGCAAACAATTCTTTCAATCTCGCAGATGGATCATGCTGGGTCCGGGATGGCGGCGGAGGGCGAGCTGTTAGAGGAGCTCTGACGGCCTGCTTCTTGGTAAATGCGCCTTCGGGATAGACACCTACATTCACTGCGGGTCTTGGAGGATCGTCCGGGTGTATTTCGTGTGGGTTGGAGACACCCAAGAGCTGCGACGCATAGCGCAGTGCGGCTCGAAGTCGAAGATAGTCAGTTTCTGGTGCTTCAAATAGGTCTTGATCGGCGATAGGCTTTCCCCTCATTATAGGTTTCAAAGGTAAGGAACGACCCCATTCCCAAAAATCTACCAAGTCTTGCTGGTGAACTGCGGGATCTGCCTTGCAGGTCATTGGTGCCGGCGTATCCAGTTCTTTCTCTAGACATGGGAATGAGCGGCGGACAACACAAAGTCAAGAAACAGCGTACTCGAATGCATTACCCTGAAGAACAAGACATTGTCCTTCTTCAATTCCTTATCCGCCCCGGACATTGGTCGTGCTTTCCCCCTCCCATACGATGGATCACGGTCTTGTGCCTCCAGAAGCCATTCAATGTCCTCCCAACCGACGCGTTCCCGACGTTCTTTGTAAGGTACAGGCACACTCATCTCGAGACCAGACGGCGGTACCGCCTTAATGGCCTGTGGATCCATAAAGGCAGCAAATATCAAGCCAAAGTATTTGTCTGGCATTTCGTAGTCCTAAGTAACAGTTAACAGTGTTCAATTAGCGGAAATATAACGCACCCTGATAGCTTGATACTCGACGAATTGGCCAAACTTGCGCTCAACAGCTCGTATCACGGCAAACACCTCTGTCATATCTCTAAACGGCGCCCATCCCTTGATTACCACTGTCCTTTTCTCTCGAAATCTTGGTGTCGGCAGACGCGGGTTGTCCTCAGAGGCGTTCTCCTGTGCGCGTGAGGCCGGCTTGTCGTCATCGGGCTTGTTGGCAGCAGTTGAGAATTTGGCTAACGTAGAGCGTCGACATGGGTCCAAGTGAGTGTTTTGACTTGCCTTTCGCGTCGTCGTTGATGAAATAACGCGCGAAATACTTCTTTTACAATGTAGGCTGCGAGATAACATGGGAGACGAACGGCAAGGCGCGCGAAGCTGGCAGACCGATGATGAAGACCGAGTTTAGGGTTAAGGCTTAATTTGCCGCCGACGTCGCGTCTTGTCGGGCCTCACCAGACGACCATGAGCACTCCGAAGCCTGGGAGATTCGCTGCATACTCAACCGCTCTCCAGTCCATCGCGAAACGCACAGGAACACCTCTCTCATCGCTTGTCCTCTCTTTTGGAATTCTCCATGAAGTCACGGCCGTCGCACCACTCTTTATCATCTTCTACGGCGCGCGTACTTTCGGTGTTGGAGACCGCCTCGTTCAAGAAATATCTGAAGACCTAAACTCTCACAATGCTGGGGAGGATGGTGCACCGGTGGATGCTATGCAGTGGGGTAGGCGGAAACTAGCGACGTGGATGGACGACGGGTACGCCTGGACTGCTCGAGTTGGGACGCGGTATGGGGTGTTCGGATACGAAAAGAGACAGTCAGGAGAAAAGGTCGACATCGAGGCTTTGAACCAAGTTCCTGGACGCCTTGCTGGGGATGTAGCAAATGCTGTCATTGCCTATGCCGCCACCAAGGTGCGCTATCTTGACATTCCCATCCAACAGCGCTCTAACGCTCAAATGCAGGCCATGTTTCCACTTCGAATAGGACTATCCCTCTATCTTTCTCCAGCATTTTCAAGGGGAATCGTTGAACCTATCCGCACATCCGTTGTAGGACTCTTCCGAAGACAATAGCCGCCGCACCACAGACGCCTCGTCTTGCGCAGCAACTAGTCTTCTTCTGCGCCGTGTGCCGCCACACGATAACGACTGTCGCTACTTCTCAAACGTTTGAAGGAGGAAGCTGCAATGAACTCCGGTCTTCCCGAGTAATTCGGCTCTCGCAGTGGTCGAGGCCTATCGTTGCTTCTATCATCTGTCCCAACGAATCCAACAGAATCCCGCAACAATTGCGAGGGCATCACACAGAGACGCGACCGAGGCGATTGTAACAGGCTGGTGACAGGTCGTGATACAGCTGGAATACACCTATGAATACATACAGAGGATACAAGCAGGTGGATAGTGTTACAAGATACGAGTTATTACACCGAGACCCTGAACACGCAATGGTTAGCGTCTCTCTTGGAGCCACGAGAGGAATTGCCGGCTGCTTACCTTCGTCTTTCCCTCACGGAATAACAGCTTCATTCCTTCCTTGACAAACTCGGGGTGGGCTATGAACTCAAATTGGACTGTGGCTCGATCACCCGTCCGCAAGATTCCCTGGGGATGGTCCATCCCTATTATTCGTACAGTCTGGCGAACAGCCTAAGGCATCAAGGGAGTCAGTCAACGGCGTGGAAGTAAAGCAACGTTGCGTTTGTCACGCACCCCGCAGTGAAGCATAGCTTGGTAGTTCTTCTGTAATGTAGTATTGTGACTGCAGCGACAGTGAGATACAAGGGATAGGTACAGGTACCGCAGTACTCACTATAGAATGAGGACTTGTCCTTCGAACTGGCGGATCGCTAGGCAAGGGGATAGCATCATGACTGAGCCCTTCACACGACAAACGGGAGGAAACGCACCTCGAGGAGGAGTATCGGACTTGTGAACCAATATCATGCCCTTACGAACCGCAGACCTTCGTATTCGCTTCAAGGCCAGCGAAACGCACTGTCCCGCTTCAGCAGTGTTCACATTCGCCCTAATTGCGGGCCCTAAATACACAGTCACTGTATCAATGAAGCAATCGCACGCACCTCTTCCTCTGCATACTTTTCACCACAGTGGTTTGATAGTTCCCATTCGAGTCGGGGCCAAGCATAACTGCATCACCCGCCTTGACTGTCCCCGAATTGACTATCCCATTAACGACGGTCCCCACATAGGGAACGGACCAAACTTCTGTTATTGAGAATTCGAATGGTTGGTCGACGGCGAATTTGTCCTTGTCATCCTCGCTGGAGGGAAGCAAATTCAGGAACGTGCGGACATGGTCAAGTCCTTGACCTGTCACGTTGGAGAGTTGGAATATTGGGCAGATCCTGTGAGCGAGAGTAGGTTATTAGTGGTGGGCGGAAGGACATAGGTTACTGACTTGTCCGAGCCGAAGGAGGTGGCAATTTCGACGGCTGTCTCGACGGACTTGACGAAAACGGGGGTTTTCCTTTTGCATAGTGTCGGTCAGTTGAGCGTCGGATTGAAAGCCGAACGGCGTTTATACCTGCACCCAGGGCTCTTCAAGATCTTGACGACCTGCTTGATGGTCTCCGCCAGCACATTTGGAGGCGTCATATCAATCTATTATATATTTAAGCAAAGTCGAGCTACTTCTCAGGAAGAGGAACACACCTTGGTTATGCAAACTACGACGGGAACACTCAAGGCAAGGGCGATGGCCAAATGCTCCTTCGACATTCCTATCAGCCCAGCATTGGCTCCAACTATTAAAAGGACACATGACGGCGCTCCAGATGTAAGGCCGTATAATGTGGTCTTCAAGTACTTCTCGTGTCCAGCCAAATCTATTCCCCGTACATTAGTGGAGAACTAGAACATGGCTATTGCGCGTACCGATGAAGGAGACTATCTTTGCCGCCTGTATTGAGATTTCCTCCCATCCGAGTTTCTCCCGACGAACGACGTCCGGGTCAGTGGAAGAAGTGTTGTGGGGTAATATTGGATGGCCAGAGGGAGCGAATCCCAGAATCTGGAATGTCGATATAAGGTCAAGTACGTAACCACTATAGCAAGGCAAACTGACCTCCATCCCCACACTCGAAGTTCGACCTGTCTCTAATTCATGCTTGTGACGGAAGAGTCCAACTCGAGCACGTCCACGGCCATCGTCGAGAACCCCTGGACGAAGAGGTAAATGAGATGACAAGGAAATAGATTCATGGAAGGGGAGGTACCTCGAGTTAGAACGCCCAGGGTAGTAGACTTCCCACTATCGACGTTCCCGACGACCGCACAGCGAACCTCCGGAGTTAATGAGACATTAGGCGGAGGGAGACGGAGTAGTATGCTCGCTCGAGGATGCCCTGTCTTGATCTCAAATAACGAAAGGGCCTGGTGTTGTCATGAGTACAGTGGCGGAAGGACTCGAAAGGCCAATTATCTCACCTTACCCCCAACTTCTTCGACCGTAGTCGTCAAGCCTTGTATTAGCTTCTCTACCTCTTCGGAAGTTCTGGGAGTCCCAGACCACCCAGGTATTGAGTCATCCAGTTCATCAGCGAACAATTCAGTCCGAGGAGGACGCTGTCCTATCCGGATGACGGCCTCTCCGTTATTGTGTGTCAAGAGGGCGGCTATCTGGTCCCTGGCAGCATCATGGTCTCCAGGGTTGCTAGATAGAAGTAGCCCCTAAACAATTGAAAACAAAGTTCAATGAGTGGTATGAACGTAAATTCGATATAGGCGTACCAATATCCGATCCTCGACTTCTTGCATATTGGCTTCGTCTTCGACGGTAGGAACCTCCGGCTTAATTGAAGGAGTCGCTTCGTCCGTTACTTTTCCCTTGGGCATCTTGTTCTCTTTGTCCTTGTCCTTGTCTGCTATTGCAATGCCCGCGGCTCGTTGTCTCGCCACCTCGCGATGGTGGATCTCCTCGATTTCGTTCTGGAAGGACCGTAATGTTGCCATGTCGCTAACCAGGGAGGGGAAAGTTATAAGTGCGACGTGTGGGTGGAAATGACTCGGCAGTAAAGAGTCAATTAAGCGCCAGTTGACTCGATAGATGAAAGGTGGCCGCTGTCGAGTAGTGTCTATTTCCTTGTGGATACAATATTGGGCAGTGTCACGTTGGGACCAGCACAGCGCTGTTTCAGGAATAGCTTATGTCATTTTGGATTGCAGATCTTACACGATGTCGTTTGGGAAATACAAAAAGCTGATAAGGATTTTTGAGTTTCTTCTATGAGTCGTCGACATCTCCTGGTCGACATGGCGTTCGGGAACATGGCCAATTGTTGTACTCAACGTCAAGGGGCTCGCCGTTGCCGAGCGCGATCACGTGCGGTCAATGACATTGATTGAGGGCCATTGCGACTTGGCCGCTTCCACCATAGTTTATGATTTCGACCGACGCAACACCGCTTTCTTGACGCTTACGACTCGGCACGACGACGACGACGACGACGACGAAGGGATGAATGGACTCTTCCCGTCAGCAGCCTCAAGCAGCGGAGGCAAACCGGTGGACCTTCTCCACGCCGGCAGCACACCGGGAGCTCTCGACCCGTCACAGCGCGACCGCATCCTCCGAGAGCCTGGCTCTCGACTATATTTTGCGGCGTTTGACCCATTAACTGCGGGCGGTCAGGGCGCAAGCTTAGATTTTCGGAAAATGTCTCTGAGCGAAGAACAATACCGCCCAAAACGTGTGGTGATTGAAGTCTTTCCCAATGGACAGAGTACTTGGCGGTTTGTTCCCCGAGCCAAACTAGACGATGGTGTGATAGAAGAGGGCTTCTGGCCACGAGTTATTGACATTTGCGGGTGAGTTGCTATTGAATCTTGTACTTTGTGCCACTCACACAGCTTGCCACTTGTGAATCACCAGCCAGCTCGTCAATTGCACACAAGAACAATGGGACATTTACAAATTAGATCCCCTTTACGACTGCGCTGTGAATGCATATCCTAAGATAACCACTATCACCCTGCGACAAACACCATTACCTCGTCCGCCATCTCCTTTACGAAAGCGCCCCCATTCAAGCTCAAGCCCTGGCGAACCCTTGCCCGCAACCAAGAAGGTGCACTATGAAGCTAGCGTCACCATGCGAAGCGTTAGCAGTCTTACTTCGGAGGAAAGTGACACCGACACCGATGTTGAAGCAGAAGAAGTAGAAGAAATGGTAACTGACGAACTGTTCCGCCCTAATACGCCAACCCTGGCCCATGGCAAACGATTCAAACCCTCTTCCCCCGCCAAACCTACCATCCGTCGCACTAAACCTATCTCTCAAGCAGCAGCAGCACCACCGCCTCCTCCACCAAATCCGATTTCCTACCACCAATCTCGCCAATCTCAAAGCATGCCTCCAGAAAACCAGAAGAGGAAAGGTACAGTCATGTTCATAGAGTTATGGTCGGTCGCTGACCACTCCCCAGCATTCGAACCCACAGATATCACCAACAACCCAGTAATGGAAGAAGCCCACTTGGCCGACGACGAGGGGCCTGTCAGGAAACGAGGGCACTTTGAACCTTACAGCATGCCCGACCGGACGACGTCCCCTGGAGTCGCACTACGGCAGAGACAAGCAAAGCGTCGCGAAAAACAGTTCCTCAAGCGAGAGCGATGGGAGCAGGTGCTGCAAGCAAAGAGGACTGCGCGTGAACAGAGACTTATGGACGAGATCATGGCAGATGTTCCCCCGCCTGTACCTCCTCAGGGTATGTGTCTCCTGAGTCCCCCAATCGCCTCAAATTGACTTCTCTTCAGGCTCATCGTCCATGGGCTCCTCGTCTTCGGGATCGCCGTCCTCATTGGACCCAGACGAGGCTGCACGATTGGCAGCTATAGAAGAATCTCGCAGAAAGTTGGCTGAACTTGAGGCGGACAGGCCGCTATGGGACGCAGCAGCAAGGGAACGACGGGCGAAGGAGGAAGCTGAGGAAGAGGAAAGACGGCGGAAAGCTGAAGCTAAAAGGCGCGCTGAAGAGCAGCGCATCAAACAAGCACGGGAGAGGCAGGCGCAAAAGGAGCGTGAGGAAGAGGACAGGCGACGAAGAGAGGAGCTGGAACGCGAAGCGGCCCGGGCAAAAGTAGCTCGAGACCGAGAAGCCAGGAAAGCCAGATGGAGTTCGGGAAGATGGACCCATAGTCGCGCTGTTGAGCGATTTTCGGAGACCTGCGACTATTTCGACATGACGCGGTTCTCGGAGACGCACCCCCTGACGATTGAAGATGTGCCGTGGCCTACGCTGGTGCACCCTCGATCCTTCTCGCTCGAAGATATTGAGTGGTCTTCGGTTGAGCAATTCTTTGACGTCCTTAGGACGCATTTAAGAACACAAGAATATGTCGCCGTCGTGGAGAAGTGCCATAGGCGGTTCCATCCAGATAGGTGGAGGAGCCGGAACCTGTTCAAGGCTGTACTCGATCCCTCTGAAAGGAATTGCATGGAAGTTGGTAAGTGGCGAAACTTTGAATATCGTTCTTGTCTGAGATTAATTAACGAAATATAGCTGCGACTACGGTGTCTCAGGCAATAACGCCCATTTGGCAAAAGGTTCGAGCCATTAGGCAAGCATAATGTGGATTGGGATGTACGCTGTAATTTAGAAAACCCCTTGTATATTAGGACGAAACGTGGCTGGTACAGCCTTTGAGTCTGCGCGAGTCAGTATTATGCCGAGCAAATTCTTGTGATCGCTGTGCTAGCGAATGCAAGCCATATCTCGGCGTTTCCATTTCCAGGATTCTGACGCGCGGACCCACCAACAGCCTTGTTCTTTTCCCTCTTACCAACACCCTTCAACTCGAGCTCACCGCTTCCATTGACGAGCTCATGGGCGCTTATAGCCTTCTCTAAGAGGCTTAAATAGTTCCACCAAAGCTCCAAAGCCTCGTTCCTGAACTCGCCATCGCCATCGTCATACAAATAATACCCCGCAGTACTTGAACTCAAGTTTGAAGTGATGTCCACTGCACAGGACCAGATCTCCAATCGAAATACGTCGGAAGGACCAACGCCGCCAATTCGGAGGACGAGATCTGCCAACGACCTGGATACCCTGTCTCGCAATAACACACCTGCGACCGCCGTAGTTTCGGAGAGTGGTGCGACAGAATCGAGTGGGAGTGTAAGGCAGGACAGTGTCCCGAATGTCACTACACCCTTGGGCATTATGGATCCTCCGTCTTCGACCGCTGCTGCTGGTGGAAACAATGGGGACGGCCCTGGCCCTGTTCGTCGCTTCTTCTCGGCGCTTGGCATCGGCAGAGGAGCGACGCAAGAGAGGAAGACGCAGCTGTCGCTGGTGTGGAACTTGTGCTGGGGCTTTGCGCAGGTGAGTCGCTTTGCCTTCCGCTCTGCATACTGGGTACTAAAGGCCGAATGTATAGGTCACAACTATCGCTACACTATCCGGTCTGTCAGGGACCGTTTGGAAGAGTCCTATGTATCCTGATCAAACAGAGTGGGACGCCTGTGATAGACCGCTGGGTATCTGGGCTTGCTTGTGGGCAGGTCGGGTGATTCTAGCTTCCGGTCTGGCGTATTGGGATTACAAGAGGAGTTGTGCACGGTACGTTTCTTCGAGCTGTGAATCAATGGGATAAGCATCTAATGGTGCTTCTTTTGACTGTGACCAGAGCTGCCATCCAAGCAGCACAGAATCCTGCACAAATGGCCACTCAAACCGGTGCATCATCACCAGCACCTGCGACACCTGGCCTCTTCCCGCTTCAACAACCTTCTAGCCCCTATGAAACACCTGGGTCAGGTTCCACCAATAGCCCGAACAACAACAATAATAACGACAATATTATCTTGCCGCATAACCTCCTCTACTCTCGGTACGGCACAATTTCATCGTTCCTTATCGTGAACATCCATTCACATAAGTCCCCCCTTAGGCTGTCACTGTTCCTGTCACTCGTGACACTGAGCTGGTTTCTGACCGCTCACATCCTCCAATACACCTCCCTGAATACCTGCCGTTATACGTCTCCCCACGTATGGTGGCTCACATTCGGCATCCTCTGCATCATGTATTTGATGGTCCTGGAGGTCATCCTTCTAGGTTTCATCGTCCTCGTCGTCGCCCCCATCCTCTTCGTACGCGCTTCCTGGTCCACTTCGCTTAACTCATGAACTCACATTAATCCAGGTCTTTTGGAACATCTTCTTGTTCTGCATTGGTCGACATCCAGCGCAGAACCCACATATGATCAAACCCGACATTGGCAAACTCTCCAAATCAATCGTCGACCGCATACCACTTGTTATGTACATCCCACCACCTCCTGGCTCCGAGTCAAATGACAACGCCGATAACGCAACTACACCTACTTCACCTCATGCATACCCGCCCATCTCGCCTTCACAACAACAGCAACAACCTCAGACGCCTCCACCGAAACGCAGTCGATTTAGGTTCTTCAAAAGGAAGCCTTCGTCGAAGGAAGCTGGTGCCACAGAGCAGGCGAATGGTGATACCACCAACGTCGACCTCGAGAAGGGCAAGGTCGAGCAAGAGGTATGGGAGGGTAATTTTGAGAAGGGAGATTATCCGTTTGTTGTGTTGGAGGGTAACCGTGCAGCGTGCGCGATCTGTTTGATGGACTTTGAAGCACCAAGGCGTAAGGATGAGGTCCCACCAGATGCTCCAACAGCCTCGAGTAGCAGCTCGCCATCACGCTCACCCCCTCCTCTCGCTGACACAAACTCCGCCCAGCCGTTGAAATTGACGGATTCTGGCGAGGGCGCTCAACCATTGCGATTACTTGCATGCGGCCATGTGTTCCATGTGCGTTGCGTTTCGTTCCCATTAATTACCTTAGAAACTGACGAACATGCCGGTATAGCAAACATGTTTGGATCCATGGTTAACCGACGTGTCTGGACGATGTCCTGTCTGTCAACGACCTGTGGATGTCAGCGAACTCAAGAAGAGAAAGCGAAGGCATCGTTAAGCTAATTAACATCTCATTCGACATTCTTTTAACTCGGTTTTTGTGGTGTTTGGTTCATTCGTTCGCTATCCTTGCTTTACCATAACACAGTATGCTTTTAATTGTACAACATGCTGCTTTCAATGTCATCGTTTTCCGTTTTCGGTTGCAGAAAATGTTTTGGATTGAGACATGCTGGGTACAAGGCGTCATACGGGGATGGCATAGGGCAAGAGGCATAATGTGGCAGCATACATCCCAGGCTAATGCGGTGGGTTGCCTCAGTGACAACTGGTGGTGTGTGTGCGAGTCATGGGTGATCGTATTGAAAGCGAGGGTAGCTACAAGTAAGATGTTTACTTCTGCTTCGTTGTCCTGAGCTTCCTGAGGTAGAACTAAGAAAGGAGTTAGGCTTCCTCTCACTTCGCAGTGTGCAGGAGGAATGAGACGAACCTCGAGTTCCTTGCCCTCAAGAATGTAGCCATCAGCACGGCCAGACTGGCCAGGTCGGGAGGTGATGGCGGCATAGAGACGACCGGCACCGAATTGGGTTTCGAGAAGAGGATCGATTTTGGCGTCTGGAAAAGGAAGTGTAAGGACTTGAAAAGGCCACAACGGAGGGATTGATTTGGCAATCACCTTTCTTCCTCTCATCCAATTTGCGCTGGGCGTGGTTGGAGAGTTTTTTGGGCTCAGCATCGGTGGGGATAGTCGACTTGCCCTTTTTCGTGACGGGTTGGGCGTACTGAGATGAAAATAGTTGGTTAAATCTGAACCAATATTCCACCGTTGAATCGCAAACTTACGTGGGCCTCATACCACTGTCGGAAAGGAGTGGCATCGATCTGGATGATGCAGCCCTTGACGAGGGTGTTGGTTCGGACAAGTTCGTTGTTCGATGAGTTGTAGACCTTCATCCCCACTCAGTACCTGCCCACCCTAAAAATTGGATGATCACATACGACACCGATAAGCCTGGTCTTGCGGGTGATGCTCTCAGAGCCCCATGCGAAGTTGCCAGTCTCGAGACGAAGGGCACGGTACTTCAAGTTTCCTCCTCGGCCACGGACGGTGTGGATTCGCTTAGGACCAAGCTTGGTGTTGGCGGGCTGGCGACCGAGCTCGAACTTTCGCTTCTTGCGGTAGTGGGCGCGTTGAGCACCAGTTTCGGAGCGCTTGTGCCGGGATGAACGAGAGATACCTGGGCATCGTCAAAGTTTCAGGAAATGGGCGATTCAGGGGACGAGCAGCACTCACCCATGTCGCCTAGTCTTGAGGATGGGGGCGGTGGTGGACGACGAGCAAACCTTCGGTCCCTTCGAGCGTATGTTTGTACATGTTAGTTCGTGATCCCATAATTAGAGTTTGAGGCTTACGGGAGTTCCCGTGGAATATACAGTTTTGATCGGCAAATAAATTCGTGCCGACCGCGACTCGCGCGAATTCCAGTTTAGCAACCCCTTTGGTGCTTCTTCGAAAGAACTCATTGAAAGGGCGTAACAACAGAAGGGTGAAAGTAAAGGTAGTTGAAAACAACATTGGCCTTCACAGATGGGCCTCCTTACCTCTTTGGTTAGGTCTGCCTATCTAGCTCTATTATCCTCGGTCTGGTTTATTTTAAGTCTCGCTACCACTAAGCTCTACTTAAGAGCGTAGGACGGAGCTCTTTGACATTTGTTTGTTGGCTTCCACAACACCACCTCCTGGGCCAAGCATTTCGAGCGAGCTCATCGACTCCTTCAAGCGCGGCAAAGCGGTTGACATTCTTGACACTCCGACCGGAACTCGCCGGCTCTCGTGCCGGCCATCCAAGCCTTTCGATTGCCTGTCTTCCCCTTCCTGCTCGACGTCCTCGACGACGCTGATCGTTCTCATTGCGCCCCGTTCTCGTTGGCGACCAATGTTCCCTCGTGGAATTGGCGAATGCGGCTTCGGACTCGACATCAACAAGGATCCCGAGATTTCGACATTTCCACGGAAATATGATCTCGGTTTTGAAATTTAATTGCATCATTGAACAGGTTCTTCTCTCGATGACATGGACTCTTTCGACAGTCTTCTGGACCGCAGTAGACCGTTGGCGCGTCAAAGAACAAACGCGACTCTGAGAGACCGACGCGAGCGAAGCTTGACCGTGGCTAAATATAGCACCCTCTGATCAACAGCGGCAGTGTTGTATTACTATCGCAGTGACGCCCAACGGTGGTCCAACATCAAAGTCCATTCTTTGCCCCAAACCGTCACACCGGCGACGAGCTAGAGCTTGCGGACATGGTGTGGTGCTGACTCTTATTCCCTAGATATCCCTCTCTGCTCTTCGACGCCGTCCTTCACCATGCCTCGCTCCTTTCTCTCGATTTCAAGCTCGACCCAGAGTCGTCCAGAGCAACATGAAGACTCGCGCCGACCAAGCCTGTTGGAAACCAATTCGATGATGTATGACTCCCCTACCACTCAGGACTACGGCTATTCGACCTCCAGGAGCCCAGCGTTCGAAACTCCAGTACGACTAGGACGTGGTATTCGAAGCATATCGTCCCCCATAGCTATGCGGCAAAGGATGGACAGTCCAGGAATCTCATCCTCCTATCAGAGTGACCGCCAATGGTCGTTGTTCGGGCAGCTGATGGAGAACGAGGGCCAACTACCGCCCTCGACCCCCCGGCCAATACCTCACAGGACTACGTCACACCGCAGTTCAAATCTCGTCGGAAGCTTGGGCGCCCTCAGCGACCAGCGGAGTTTCTTGGCATTCAACCCCCCACCTGGAGATGACGCAACCCGCCATCAACGTCGCCTATCTGAAGAGACTTTCGTCCCCGATGCACCAGAGTACGATTCTGTGTTTTCGGAATCTACTGCATCTCTCATTCGCCCGCAACAAACGACCACCACACCCGAGAAAAAGCAAAAGTGGTCTCCTTTCGCATGGATTCCAGAATTATCCGTCGCTCACAAAAATGTCCTGAAATGCGCTATCGCATACTTTGTGGCCTCCTTATTTACCTTTTCTCCACTCTTGTCCGGTCTGTTCAGTGATTTAATATCGTACGGGCCTGGCAAGCATACCCCACTTCCAAGTGGCCATATGATTGCAACAATGTAGGTTAAATTAACTTTCTCCATCTCATTTACGCTCACAGCACCCTTCTCAGAGCTGTCTACTTCAATCCTGCAAAGACTGTTGGTGGAATGATCGAAGCAGACCTGTTCTGCTTCCTTGGCCTACTGTATGCCTCGTTTGTGTGCCTTGGGTCGATGGCGATGTATTGGTGGGTCGAGGAAAAACATGGGTGGGAATGGTTGGCGGATATCATCGTTCTCCACTGGGTCGGAGTCAGTATGGCAATAATTGCGTTCATGAAAGTCTGGATGGTGCGTGTAGCTAACATTAGATTGTGACGGGATTCAGAGCTAACTTCGGCCGATAGAGTAACCCTTCATTCAATACTGGTACGGGGTGTCGCGATCGCGTCAACCATAATACTCGCTCACAAATGGGATTCAATAGCCTGCAGCATGATGGCCATCATTGTTTTCGTTGTGTGGGTCTCCCTTCACATACTCACGGTGAAGTAGACGAAGTGACTGACTATCGCCTGAAGGATTGTCAAGGAAGGCGGGTTGATGACCTTGCTTCAAGTGGCGGCCATTGCAATATGCGGCTCCACCATTGCGAACCTGGTCTGCTTCTTGATCTGGCCCCAAAGTGCAACCGCAAACCTCCAAGCAAACATGGTCAAGACCCTGGATTCGTTTTCGACCCTTCTTTCTCGACTCACGAATGTCTTCTTACTCGACGACGGCGATGAGAATCACATTCAGAACGTAGAACAGCTTCACCAGGCTGTAGAAAACCACCAGAACAGCTTCACAACTCTCAAGAAGATCCTCGGAGAAGCGCAAAGCGAGTGGATTTATCGAGACTTCGATGTTGATGGTGATGACATTGCATCTAAGGGTGGGAGCTTGTTACGAAGAGAATACGCAAGCTACCGAGGATACGAAGATGCCGTCGATAGCATGAACCGACTCGCCCAACACCTGAACGGCCTGCGAAGCAGTACCCGTCTTCAGCACGAACTCACCAGAGCTGGGGTTGTCCACCAAGGGACGCCTGGAAAGGCCAGGGCTATTGAGGACGATGAAAGTGCTATTTTGAATGCTGCAGCAGAGATGTTCGGTGATCTGGTCGACGAACTTGGCCCACCTCTTAGGTCGCTCACTGTGAGTCGATCTACTGATCTGTGAGCAAGTGTCGTACTGAACATTGGATAGGCCGCTTGCACGTCGACCCTCGATGGACTGAAGGATGCTTTTACCAAAGCCAAGACGAAGTCCTTGGAACCCAGCGACATGATGCAACCTGAAGCCTTCATTGAGATGGCTGAGGGGATCGAGCGCGCCCTCTTCGTCTTCGAGAGCACCTCCAATCACGCCGTTCTTAGGCTATACCGAAAATCTTCTTCCAATCCCTATTCCCCTCGACCAATGTCGCCCAGCGCCCGTTCTTTCTCCTATTCAGAAAATCGCCTTCTGACGGAGGATGAAAACGAACACGTCTTCCTAGTTTATTTGTGGGTTACAGCTGCTTTTTGTATTTGAATCCACTGGCTCACAGACCGTTCCAGCTTCATCTTCACTTTGCAAGAATTTGCTCGAGAGTTGGTTGGCCTTATCGATGCGATGGAGCGCATCTACACCTTTGAAAGACGGAGGCTCATGCAAGGTGGTTTCCTTCGTCGGCTCTATTCTTTGGTCATCCGACGAACAATGTTGTTCCGAATGTGGTTGAAGAGACCGAATACCCAAGTTAGCGGTCTGCGACGCAGTCTATGTAAGAGCTTTACCATTGTAGTCGTGCTATCTTGGACTAATCTACCCTTTCAATAGCGTACATGATCCCACAACACAGAATCGCGCATCCATTCTTCCCTAAAATCCGGCCTCACGCACCAGATACGTTGCAAACGCCCTCGATGAGTCAGTTGACGTTCTGGGGCAGGATGAAGCACCGTGTTTGGGAGTTGAGTAAACTCCCGAAGCAGAGGAACGTCAAATATGCTATGAGGGCTGGAATCGCCATCGCCCTTCTGGCGATGCCCGCGTTCTTTGATGCTACGAGACCGTATTTCGTGGAGTTCCAGGGCGATTGGGCTTTGGTTTCTGTGAGTCTTCAATGACTTCTTTCCGGTCCCTGTACTGATGGAGAGTAGACATTCGTGGTGATATCACCCACCATTGGAGCAACCAATTTCATTAGCATTCAGCGAATTCTCGGAACACTGTATGTGCCTTCTAGACGTGCTCGAAGGCAATGGAATCTCACCTCTTTTTTACTTTTCAGGGCTGGAGCGACGGTTGCGGCTTGCATCTATTCTCTCTTCCCGGAGAACGCGGTTGTCCTTGCCCTCTTTGGATTTTTCTTTTCGATTCCTTGCTTCTATACTGGCATCACCAGGCCTCGACATATGACTGCGTCTCGATTCGTGCTCCTCACTTATAACCTGACTTGCCTCTACTGGTGAGTAATAACATCCTCCCCTTCTGCATTGTGTCTGAGAGAGTTATAGCTACAATCTACGACAGAAGGATGTTTGGGTCTGGGATATTGCTGTCGATCGTGCCTTGGCGGTTACGGGCGGTGTAGTCTGGGCAGCGATTGTTTCACGACTCTGGTGGCCTTCCGAAGCCCGTGCAGAGCTGAGCAAAACTCTCGGAGAGTACGTTAACCCTCTCTTCGTGTCTGAAATCCCTGACTCAGCTCTTCTCTAGCTTCTGTTTGAATCTAGGATGGCTTTATACCCGACTCGTAGCTTCCAACTCCTTCGCGCCGGAGTACACTCCGGTACCAGAACCGCGCAATGACACTGAGGAAGGAACTGCCCTCGTTGGACCTAGCAATATGGTCACTACACGGCTTCACAACTCCATCCACGAATTTATGGCAATGGAACTACACCTTCAGATCCAACTCATCGAAATGCAGAATCTTCTGGCTCAGGCACAGCACGAACCTCGTCTGAAGGGTCCTTTCCCTGTCCAACTCTATCGAGAAATCCTCACAAGCCTTCAAACCATCCTTGATAAACTTCATAGCATGCGCTGTGTCACGACGCGTGAGGAGTGGTACACGGTGAGTTTCCTTCTCGTCGCTTTGTTTGCTTGGTGATTGACGCGGATATCCAGGAGGTGCGAAGGGATTTCATCGTCCCAGTAAATCGAGAACGTCATGAGATGGTCGGCAACATCATCCTCAGTTTCTCAACCCTGGCTTCAGCGTTCAGGCTCAAGGCTCCGCTTCCTCCTTATCTGCCACCAGCAGAAAAGTCCAGGCAGCGGCTAGTCGCAGCCATTCGAGAACTTGACGTGGTCAAGAACCGAGAAGTTCGCGGTTCTCGACAGCTCCTCTTCTTTGCCTACGCAATCACTATGAAGGGAGTGACCGAGGAACTCGATCGACTGGGCAAGACCCTTCAACATGCTTTCGGTGTTATCGGTGGGTCGGCTGAGGCATTCGAAAGCCTTTTCCTCGAGACAGATGAAAGGCAGCGAATCATCGATCACGTTTCCTGAACGGACATTATATCCTTTGCTTTTACCTATTTCATATCCTCATATTCCGCCTCGATCACGGGTTTTCTTTAATGCCATGTACGTCCTAGATTGTTTGCTCTGTCTGTATGCATTTCCCATGTAGTTAGTCCGTGCTTTCGCAATGCATTTCATTCTCGTTCTGCGGTCAAGATTTCGGGGGATTCTGTAACGAATATATGGATTTTGTTCTTTTAAGCAGTGCCATACAAAATCGGGAGACTATACTACAGGCTAAAGGGTTTCAACAGTCATCGAAAATCGAAAGCAATATTGATACAAAGGTGGTCAAGTCTACTTCATGAGAGGTATCATGCGGAAGCCGGTCGTTAATCGTTTTTCATGGTCGCCTCTTGAGAGCCTCGAAGTGCTTCTTGATATCCTTGGCGATGTCAGAGGAGAGGCTAATGTAGTCGCCCCTGAACCAGTATGGCATGTTGCTGGAGAAACTTCGTTAGTCTCTCGTTGGAGCCTGGTGATAGAGGGATAAAACGTACAGCTTAATGCCTTCGGTTCCGGCTTGCCAGTAGAGTGTTCCGGCAATTCCGGACTCGACGATTTGGTCAAGCCAGTGAGGGCGGATTTCACTTCCCAGATCGACCAAGAGGACGGGCTTCTGGAGGCGCTCCTGAGACTTTCCGTGAGCATCGATCCATTCCAATGGCTCCTTGGAATGAGTCGGCATCTCATAAGAGGCGGGGCGGTACTATTCATGGCGTCAGCAAGGACCGGGTCTAGCATTTCGAGGATACACTCACTGCGAAAGTAGCGTAATCGATGGTGTTGAGAGCAGAGTTAGCCTCGAAATCCATTCCATCCCTGCCACTGCAGGTCCACCGATCAGTCCTCAGTTCTAGATTTACCCTCTACGACTCGAACTTACGTGTAGACGTAGCGGCCGTTGCTGTTAGGCCTGTTGAAGAAGCCTTCGTCTCCAACAGCCACGAGGTGGTTGGAATCGATGGACTTGATGTGAGAGGACATCTCCTTGATCCATTCGGTAATGATTTCTGGGTTGCATTGGGGATTCCTGGGGCTGACAGTCCCAGAGTGGATTAATGTCGGTTCTCGAGCTACATAAGATGGCTATCAGCTCGACTTACTTCCAAGACACCGCGCACTTCAACTGGTGCCCGAGTTCCCAGGACATGATGGTCTTCTCGTCCTTATACCTGCTTACGATGGCACTAACATAGTTCTTGAAGATATCCTATAAGTATAACCGTCAATATCAATCCACTTCGTGAGACATGTGAATCCGACCTTGATCTCGGGGTGAGTGAAGAATGCATCGTTGGTCTGGCGGCGGTTCGGGCCAAGGACCTGATCCATGTAGGTACCAGCACCGCCGACAACCCAATCTAGGTTATAGTTGCTAGTACTGTCCACCCCTACGCGTCAGAATCGCAGCAAGTGTCGTAAAGTGAGTAAGCTTACAGGACAACGATCAGACGGAGGTTGTGCTTGCGAGCACTGGCAATGACACGGTCTAAAATGCCCATTAGCCTGCAATTCAAGGCAGTCGTAGAGAGAGCACTTACCGAAGTATCCCAAGCCGCTGGCGCTGTAGTTCACTACAGCCTTGTTTCCGCGCCAGAGTTGATAGTAAATGCCATTTTCAGCGATGTGCTCTTCAGCCATCTCGTTGAATCCCCTGAAGCAAGTCAATGATGTGAGTATGCAACATGCAGCCAAAGAGACTTCCGGGCCACCGACCAGACGCGAACGGTGGTTGCTCCCATACTGGCAATATCTGCGAAGGACTTGTCCATGTCGGCGTCACTGAGACCCGCCTGGCTAATCCAATACGCATTGGCTCTGTTACAAGGCGGCGTTAGCAACAGAGAACGTCGGCGGGGCGCAGTCCACGTACCCCACAACGGTGTATTTATAGCCATCGAGCGAGAAATACGTCCCGTCAGTCTGGACGAATCCTGGTGCTCGACGAGAGATAGCAGCGGCAGAAGCCATTTGGAAGAGGCAGATCGCCGAGAGGAGAGCTAATAGGAACTTCATCGTTGCGGTGAGCTGCAGTTCATGGCTCTAGAGAAGCTCGCTTTTATACCTAGTCGCCGAAGCTAAGAAGTCTATCGGTAGTTGTCGCGCCTTGCGGGGGAGCAGAAGTGCACTAGGTGGAGGGAGTGGAATCAGCGAGAAAGAACCGAATTCCGCGTGAAGGAGTGTATTGGGCAATACTGGAAGAGGTAACGTACCTCTCATGTGCTGCTCTCGTTATGCTGAAAGTAGATAATCCATCCCAGGTAAGTCTTTGATGGACACTTCTTGGTCACAGCGCAGCCTTTGGAGTTATCCCCTGTAAGAAATAGATTGTGACCTGGACAAGCTATCCTTACACATCAAACGAGCGTTAGCACAATATGGCTTATGCGCGTCACCACTTTTTTGTGCTCATGAGGGCGAGAAGCTGAAAAGAAGCATGAAGTAGGTGTCTGATAGAACTTCCGAAGTCCATTCCGTTCGGTAATGCAGCGGCTGGAATCCGTAGTGTATTTGCCTCACCACAAGCCATCAATGGTCTCCGCATCGTGAATTAAACGACTGGCAACGCGGTTGGAACTGCTGCTGGCAATGAGTGTAGTGCCCATTTAAAGGGTTGACATGAACTGGGTGGATGTGTGCCAGCATCGGAGTCTGGTGCCCGCAAGTCTGGTTGGCATATTTTCCCGTTGTTTCACCTGAAACGCCCGAGAGGAGGTCGAGCAGAGGAATGCCGTACTGGAACATGGGATCCGGGGAACCAGGATGATCACACGAATCATGCGTGGATGATGAATAACCCGATTCAGCAAGCCCTTCAAATCAAGAGAATTCGTGATTCAGCGCATTTGGACGTAAGTTCGAGGGTAGTGAGACTAGCAGGGACTTTTGGAGTTACCTGTAGTGCGGTATACGTGAAGGATCGTATACCTTCCATGTCAGATGCTAACTGGTGCGGGCATGTTACAGCATTCGAGGGTATTGAACATGTTTTGGTGTTCCCCGGGGGGGGGGGGGGGGGGGGTTCGTACGGCGATATTGTCCAGATATAGATCGGATATGGAGACCTGTGCCCTACTTTGAACGCCGACCCTGTGACATCGCTCGGGAAAGAGTGTCGAAAGCGCACCTGCAACAAGTATCGGCCATGATGCATGACGCTGGAAAAGACGAGTGAGAGCCTATGGTAGGTATAGAACACTCCAGAGCGGGTCTTCTACGGTCCGCTCACGAATGAAGATGACGTCGCACCTTGGCAATTTCTAATCCTTCTCGAGGGAACTCTCGCCCAAGCCACTGTGACATCGATTGAAAGCCCACGGGGATGGCGAGCCCCAATCTGAAGAAGCCGAGCGTGTCCGAGAGGATGGACCACGTTTGATTACTGTTGACCTCGTTGAAGGGAACACGGGACCCATAAAAGGTGTTGACTAAATGGCACCGTGAAATCTGGTCGATCTCTCAGGGAATTCGAAGATATTCATGGCAGCAAGCAGGAAAAAGAAGTCTGTTCTGTGCATTTCTTGAGTGAAAGACGGGGGAGAATACGGAGGTTAACACTCACCTTGTCCCATGAATGGCTTTCATTGTATTTGAGCGTGAAGAGAAGGTCACATCCGATCCGAAGTTCCAGTTCAACGCCAGTAAAAGCCTAAACAGCTGCATAGTCGTCCACTGCCCGGCTTAGAGCCACCAGTGCGGGATAGTATCATTTTACCCCATGAATCGTCGAAGACTTCTCGTGACAAGGCGAACAATGGTCCCGCAGACCATATATGGTTACAAAACTCTCGACGGTGAGATTGCTATCACAAAGGTAGCAGCAGTACTCAGATGGGAGGTCTGACGCGACATGCACAAGCTGGGAAGGCCATAGTGATTACTGACAAGATCTGCTATTCCAGGAGAGAATTGTGAGCGATTGACAGATAAAATACTCCGAAAAAGTGACGAACCCCAGCATTATTGGGACAAAGTGACCATCGTACTCCTAGTCCACACGATCGCGAGTCGCGACCGACCAAACGAAAAACGAGAAACCAAGCGGCTGCGCGGCAAAGGACATCAATTCCCACGCCCGCCTCCACATTCTACTCTTCAGATTCCTACCCATCTGCCTGTCCCCGTCGCCTTCAAAACTTACCTTCTCCTCCATAAATGACTCAGTTCTCTTCGCCGCTGAGAGCAGGAACATATTTCCCAGCGCCGTTGCATCTCAATATGAATATCTCAACCCTCGAGAGGTTTGATTGCCGAGTCGGATGCGAGAGAAACGGAAACTCTTCCCACACCTCGAGAACTAGCCTCAACAAATTCAGCACCTCTTCTCGCTGTCATACTCACACAGTCTATCTCTTATCACTCATAAATGTCCAAGACATCCCAAGGGCGGTATGCTCGAAAATAAAAAGGAGTGTCAATTCTGTTTTTATCGAATATTTCACATAGTAGGGAGTGAAAGAGGGTGTGACCTGTGCAAGAAATAGATAGACGGAGAGGCAACCTGTAACTTAATCGTAATCTCTGATGGGCTCGTATCTCCTGTTACCGACAGCCCAGCGGTGTCCTTTATCTGCCGCTAGTCCAGTGACCACGACTCCAGCCGTCACCAAGAAGCTCAACACCCAGGACAATATGCAGAGCACATATCCCATTCCTGCAAGAAGAAATTCGCAAAGGGCGTTAACGCGAAAAATCCGCCTTGTAGCATATGGAATGGTTTACCCACCTGGTCTAGCGTGTTCGAATCCAGGGTAACGATGCCTGCGATGAGTATCGGTAATCATAGCGAACGTAATAACCTGGGACAGTGCTGCAAAAACCAATTAGCCGACTATTCAACCAGGGTGGGATGGATTGCTTACTCTGCATCATCGCCAGCCCAGCCAACGCCCTCCACACCCTCATTCTCCTGGATCTCGTGCTCATACCAAACAAAATGGACAGCAGCGCGAGCGCCCCGAACCCAACGCTGACATAGTCAACGTAGGCCGCTCCTGTCCAGACCGCGCAGAATCCTTGATTTTTGCCATCACAGTCATCTTTGACCTTGTTGGGGAAGGGACGGCATTCGTTGTTGCGGTAGGTAATCTTGCCGTCACCTTCCCCTGGACCTGGCACTTGGGTGATGGTCAATTCGCAAGTGCGGTGGAGACCGTATGAGTCGGTGATAGTGGTGTATAGCGGTTTGGATATGGTCTTAACGACGAGCCTGGGCAGGTTTAGTGTTGGTTTACTGGGACACCGTGGATGCAGAAGAACGCACCAGTCCACACGAGCTGCCGAAATAGCGCTCTGAAGGAAGGGTTAATTAAGCCTAGAGTCCCTGTGCAGGAGCTCACGTACCAGAATCAAAGCAATCGCCAAGCTAACAAACGAAACCGCGTATGCTATCTTTCTCATTCTGAATTCTTGGTACTGAAATGACGGTGAATGGATATATGAAGGGAAGTGAGAGAAAGGTAGGACTGCGTGCTGTCAATTCGAGCAATGTTTGCAGCGAGTTATACAGGCGGTATGTGTTCAGGAATGACGTCAGGATACGGGGTAGCCAGGAGTATGCGGTGCGTCATCCCGAGCAGGGCTGCTGCGAATTTGGTCGGGTAGTCTGAATGCAATCCAAGTCAGAAGCAACAGTACTCCATCGATCCCACCCCAGTCAACTCGAAACAACACGCAGCAAGGGAGCCAGCGCGGATGGGGCCCGATGAGCTATATCCGCATCGACGGAATGAAGACAAGAACACATTCTGCATTATAGGCATGAACGAAATAGTGTTGGATATAATCCCACTGTAGTGTACTAAATTGACTTGTCCGAATGGGGGAAGGGAAAGGATCTTGGGAAAGGGTATTGCTAGTCGTCATGTCTAATCCTACTCAGTACCGAGGCACTCCCTGAACAACGTGGGGATAGACGTCGGCGATCATCTACAGGCAACGCGGTTCAGCAGAGTCACGACGACAAGGAAAGGGTCACATACGCCAAACAGTTCTGGTGCACGAATAGCAAGGACACCTGGATCTTCTCCAAGTCCAACAAAGCTGTGAACGGGGATCAGCACTCGAGAACTCCAGAAAGCTGAAAGGGACACCTACATGGTTGATACACCCGCCTCGATAGCGGAACCAAGGGTATTGGCTACGAATCACTTAGCCCGCTCGTCTCTTGGAAGAGGTAAAGAATGAGCACTTACCGCAAACCATACCGATGAAGAAAGAGAACAACAGGATAACGGGGGTATACTGGCCGTCCGCGTTGTATGGTGGATCCGTAACTAGGTGGAAGTCAGATTTCCGCCAATTCCTCGAAACCAATGATTCAAACACTTACTCCTGAGGTAGAGGTATGCGAATAAGGAGGACAAAAGTCCAATTGCGTATGCACCCCACATGAGGGCTAAATTCCGTGCAGTTAGCCGCAACCCAATATTACTGTGACACGAATACTCACTCATTCCCACCAAGGAGTCGTTCACGAGGGCATCGATACCTAAAATGGCTTATCAGCACTAAATATACGCGTGAGGGTGAAAGGGACCCACCCCTATCCTTGAACAGCCTCCAGGTATCCTTTGCAGCTGGGATATAGGCCTTGCCGTATAGCGCGATTTCAATGTACGCATATCTACGCCCCTCTTCAGTTTCGTACAGACACAAGATGGAATTATGTGCTCACCTGTTGAAGTATTCAACGAGACTCTCAATGATTCCGACGAAGCAAGCAGCACAGCACGCAAGAGCAGCTTGAACGGCTATGACAAGACCAGAGTCAGTCCAATCCTATTTTTACGGGCGGGAAGAAGGCCGAAAAGAAAAATCCTCACGATGTCCTTCTGCACTCGCATTATTCTGGATCGCCTGAAGAACCAAGCGAATCATCTCCAAAATGGTGACGATAAGAGATCCAAATGCGATTGATCCTAGGGAAAGTGTCGAGGCCCGTCCAAAGGCTGAAAGCGTAGGATGTTTGGGCTGGGAAAAGGGTATATTGTGAGACGGCTGTCAACTGTAATGGAAAAAAAACGTGTTCCTGGGCTCTTCCTTGACATCCAAGCCAAGCAACACAAGGACGAGATGTAACGTACCATTTGACCGAGCTCACGAGGACCAAAGTAGTACCACGATCCATAGGGTCCACCAGCGAGTGTGGAAAGGGCTACATTTCCGATAACTTGCGATGTCCAGATGAACGAAAAGGTTTCAAAGAAGATGAGGCCTGCGACTTTGCCGGACGAGCACCCCGATGTTGCACAGCCTTGTTCAGTCCAAGAAATGCGGTTACCTCACTGTCAAGAGAACACATGGTTGCACGAAGACTTACTTGGCGCGCCTGGTGTCCACTTTGCATAGCTAACACGCAAGAGGTGTCAGGGTCCGGATGGGAGGTAGAAAGAACTGAAGGGAGACATACGTTGCGATGACCGTGAATGTGTACCACCTGTTTCATAGATATCAAGCTTCAGTGATATAGAATGGTTGCAATGATACGGTGGTTCACTTACACCGACAATGCAGCCTCAACGAGGAGAGCAGTGAATGCAACGGCGTACACACTCAGGTGGTGCTTGGAGACGTCCATAACCACCTGGAAAAGAAGCGCGGCCAGTGGGATTCGAGACCTGAATCCAAAGTAGGACACGACGGAAAGGATGGCGATGATCGTGAAAATTATAGCACCAGCTGAGGGGGAAAATGAGATCGCTTCCAACATCAAGGCAAGCGAGGCACCCACAATAGTACTTCGTAATCCAATAGTAGATGCAGATGGCGCTGTCAGGCGAACTATTAGTCCACGGCGATTGGGAAGGCCTTGCATAGCACATACATGTTCAGAATAATCGTCAGAACGAGGGTTATATGCATGATAATCTTCGTGAATGCACGCGTAAGCATCAGGTATAGGGAGGACAATAACACTGCGACTGCAGTGACCAGAAGCATCATGTAGACGGTGCTCCTACAATCGCAAATCCCAGTCAGAAACCCAGTTTTCAGCTGAAGTTTATAACGCGCAACGCACTTGTTCAATGTAACTGCAGAGCCGGTCTTTCCACCAGTCTTTCCAATCCCACCGCCCAATCCACCTTCATCGATCCATGACTTGAGTGCGACTCCAGAGAGCGCTGCAAAGCCCAACAACTGTGAAGGCCTGTGAGCCTCGGGTCCGCTGTATGGTACATCTTGAACGAACCTGAAGGATAAAGAGGATTAAAAATATAGGGTCGTTGATTTTCTTCTTTGGCTTGAAACGGTCATTCTCGAATGGATTCTTGACGTCGCCGCCATAAGTTGGTGGATAAGCTGGCGGCGTCGGAGCGTACGCATGGTTGTAGGTAGGCGTCGGCCCTGGATAGGGAGCCTGAGACTGGTACATGGTGGCGGACGATGTCCAAGCTCAGAAACGTGGTGAAGGAAGACAGAAAAGTGGCAACGAGGTTTACCGAACGATCGAGGAAAAACGTAATGAAGAACGACAAGGTCGCGGCTTGGAAGGTTGCCTAAATCCACTGCCAAGGGCGCTAATGATTCCGCAAGTCCGTGATTGTGATCCCATCCGACGAGTGTGACGCATGCCGGTATCATTCATTCATTATCAGTGGATCCTAATCAGATTACAGGAGGAAAGAAAACAACAAGCAATGGAATAAATACGAATGGAAGAGGCCTTACAAGATCAACAAATTCGACACATTGTACCGATGTAAGAAAACTATTTCACCAAGGAGTCCTCAAAATAAAGAAAACGAAAAAGGAAATCCAGGAGGAGACGATTAAGCAGTCTTGGGTTGTCCGTGTTTGAAGCGAACAACGATAACCGTCACGTTGTCAGTCGTGTGTTGAGAAAGAGCATGCTTGAGTAAGGTCTCGCTAGCAACCTGTGCATCTTCGATATCGCGGACAAGCTCGACGGCAGCCTGGTCGTTGGTGATGTCCCACAGCTAAGAAAGTCTTCAGCATACTTGGCTCCGCACACACAAGGCTTGGGATCACTTACACCATCGCAAGCTAAAATCAAGAATTCGTCTTCTTCGCAAAGCTCCGTTTCAGTGGTATAGGGTGCTCCAACAACAAACTCCTTCATCGAAGCGTCGCCCAAACTCCTGGTCACTGCGAGAACACCATTAACGCGGCCGCTCATCACGAATCCACCGGCATCCGTGATACGCTTGGCTTCTTGCTTATCAGAGCCCTTGTGGTCGTAAGTCAATCGTATTGCCTTCCCTGCACGGCACAGAACACCACGAGCATCTCCAGCATTGGCACTGTAAAGGACGCGTCGATGAGAATCAGGGGGAATGGTGACTGTGATTCCAGTGTTGGTAAAGTCGCGGGCATCTACAGGGGAGGTGGACCGGGGAGTTGGAGCCTTGGATCCTCCTAAACTGCGGAGTGCCTTGCGAATGCGCTTCCCACTAAGCGAAGCCGACTTCTTCTTCGTCTTCTTATCTGTCTTTATCTCTTTCGATTCATCGCCAGAGTCGAGCGCGGCAGAACTTTGCGTGCCACTAGGGGTAGGTGGGGCAATATCGTCCAGGGAGGAGACGGGAGATTCATTCGAAGACGATGACGATTCGACTGGGACGACAAAGGATTGTTGGCCATCTTCATCCTCAATCCGCAAGAACGCAGTAACAGCTGTGCATCCCGAGTGAATCTTGCCGTCGGACTCGGCACACATCTTGGAAAGGGCATCATCAACTGCTTGGAAGGTCTGGTTCAGGATATCGGGTACAGTCATTTGCGGGGAGCCGTGTATTGCTGACAGGAGGTACTACAGCAATAATTAGGCCACATCCCTGGAAGATCTAAGTTGTGTACCTCATGGAAATGGTTTCCACACCATTCAGCTGCATGTTTTCCTGCATGGCCGTCGAACACTGCGAAAAAGCCTTGCCCTCGTATTGAATCAAAGTCGACCACAAAGGAGTGTGCGTCTTCCATGGTCCGCCTTGTCCCCTTGTCTTCGGAGACACCGACCTGGAAAGTTGGATGGTTCGCAGAATGACGATTTAGGACCTATCAAATGATGGAGCTTAACGGCTGGGTGCGTCGTGGACGACGATGAGGACGACGTACACCATATGTCTCGAGATCTGCTGTGGTTATGGATTTTGAACGTGCGTTTGGGGAGTCTGAAAACATTTGTGAGATGAAGGAAGACAATGAGTTGTTGTGGACTGGTCAAGTGATGGAGCGGCGGGCGGCGCGGGAGTTCGGCGTTTTCCGCGGATTATCAGTTATCTGGTCCAAGCCCAAACAAAGGTTGGATCTGACCCAGTCTGTTGACCTTCCCAGAGTCTTGTCCATAGCCAGTGCATGTCTCAGCAAGCAGCGACTTCAAAGCCTTCGCTGCAGGGGGTCAGAATAAAAGCAAGAAAGGGTGCTGTAAAGGCCCAGGCTAAACACGAACCAACTGGTACGCTTTCTTCGTCGTCGTCCTCGGCGCTCACAACACAAATCTCACTTCAACCCCAACAGTATTCAGAGATCAACTCTACAAATACTTTGAAACTGTCAACCCTGGCGACTTCGACGCCTACACCACCAAGTTAATCCAGGCTGGTTCGTCACTCGAGTTCCTCAAGTATGCAGACGTGCTCTTCGAAATCATCCTTGTCGGCGGCTTGCTCCAACCCGGCGGAAGCTACGTCGACGATGGCGCCCCAACCTCGCCATTCACCATCTTCAACGCCAGCGAGCCTGTTCAGACTGAAGAGATAAAGCAATACGTCGAGGTTCTCAACAAGCTCATCCGAAGGTTAGTCGTCCGACCCTCATTTTTCATTTTTCATCTGTGCTGATAAATCATCTTTTATCAAGGTACAAATACCTCCAAAAGCCTCTCGAAGAGTCGTCCTTGCCAGGACTTCTTCAATACGTCAATCGATGGACAGATGCTCAGAAGAACAAGCTGTGCATCGCAGTCGGTTTGCTTATCGCCACGGGCCTGGCTAACGCCTCGTGCCTGGCCAGCTTGACCAAGGACCATCTCGTCAAGAATGGTACGTTGCTTCAAAATAATAGTCCACCTGAAAGTCTTACCAACGCCCGCCCCTCAGACGTATCGATCAGCGCCATCACTCTCATTTTCCGTGCATATCTGTCGGAGCAATCGATGGACCACCTGTCCGCGACTTTGAAGCGCGGCGGGATCAAGGACCTCTCCGCCTTCTTCCCTCCCAACAAACGCGACAACAGGGTTTTGGAGGAACATTTCAAGAAGGAGGGACTCCCTCAGGTTGCTGAGTGGTGGACCAAGAAGCAATACGCTGCCATCAAGGAAAGCATTATCAGGGAGCTCGCGGAATTGGTCGAGCGCGGAGAGAGCCCAGATGTCATGGTCTCTTCCATCAAGGCTCTTTTGGACGAGTCCCCAATCCCAGACACCGAGGTCATCGGGTGCATCTGGCAAGGCCTCATGTCCAGTGTCGACTGGAGCACGCGTGCCGATCAGAACGAGGGTCTCGCTCTGCGCGAGGTTACCGTACGTGGCGATGCATACATTATGTCGCGTTATCTAATTTTTCTGTTAGAAATTCGCCCCGATTTTGGAGGCCTTCACCTCTGGAGCTAAAGCTCAAATCACCCTCATCAACATTGTTCAGGTTCACTGCTATGAGGACACTCGCATCATGAAGGCCTTCCCTCAGATCCTCAAGGTAAGCGGATGTATCTGACTCCTTTTGCATGTCTAACGTTGTCCCAGGTGCTCTACAACAAGGACGTTGTCTCTGACCAAGCCATCATTTACTGGCACCAGAAGGGCTCGAGGCCTCAGGGACGCCAGCACTTCTTGAAGGCTACCGAAGCTCTCGTCAAGGTGGGATCCTTTTCCGCCCTGAGAAAATCTACTTTTTTACTGACATTACCAATCCAGTTCTTGCAAGAGCAAGAGGAAGAGAGCGAAGAAGAGGAGGACGATTAAATACCTTCCCTTGTCTGTCGTACACTATCACCCACTCGTTTGCCTGGAGCATTTCCCTTCCCTCGTTTTCTCTTCATCTCATGTACAGTATCGACATCGAAGGGCGCTTAGCCTTCTAGTTTCGGATGGATAAATATGGACTAAATTGTTCTTTTCATGTTATACAATAAGGGAGACAGATTCAAGAAGGTACAATGGGAGTCACCAGGCTTCGGGCATAGGATTGAAGTCTCCAGTCCAGCCATTCGTGCCTTTGGTTTGAAGGAAGATACCCTCAGATCCATTTGCAGGCAGACCCAAGTCGGTCAAGCTCTGCCAATTTTCGTTAACACCCGACGCGGGAGAGTATAGAGAAGGAACGAACCTGTTCTTGCAACCAAGGAGGGATAACTGCAGAATTGAAGGTGACGCCCTCTTGCGGCCAGGCGAAACCAAGCTCTTCCATGGTGAATGGAGGTGGCATAGACGGATCGGCGGGGTATGTCTGAGGAGGAACCACCATAGTCGTCGCGAATGACGGGGGTGGCATAACGGGCAGAGGGTTGCTCAGGTGAACACCAGTCTGCATGCCGACCTTTCGGCGCAAGTTGGCGAGCATGATACGCAAGGTGAATGCATATCTAGTCACAATGTTGGCAACCATGAGTAACGATTACAGGAGGGGATAGAAACAGAAAAAACCTACCTCTCAGCAGCGACATCGGAGAGCAGCTGCGCCATCTGCTCGACCTGGGTTGTCGTTGCCGCCAGATCGATCTCTCTTGGGAACAAGCTCGCCATCTTGAGCAGAAACAGTCCCGAAAACGCCGCTGTGACCAAGCTGTCGTGCACCGCGTATCGCAGGGAGGCCCTGTATTCTGCGGAAGTTAGGAAAATGGCCAGACAATTAGAGGCAGCTTCTTTGGCCTGGAAAGCGAGCTCGCGTTGTTCGAATGGCATTTTGTCCCAGGAGGCGCCGCGCAGGGCGAGGCAGACTAGCCAGAGCTTGGCATAGTGCAGGTCGCCAGCGAGCAGTTTTCGGAGGAGGGATTCTTGGTCCATTGTTTTACCTGGGTCGAGGGGTAAGCGGTCGTTGACAACAAAATAAAGAAGAATACGAACGGTGTAGTTCGTCGTGTTCAGTCCACCATTTGTCCAGTGCAACGTTGGCCCTGCGAATGAACGACAAGGTATTGTGGTTGACTTGACCGTCTAGAGGTCCCAAAGTCTCATAAATCTGGGCTGATAAAATATGCTCGTCAGCGTATGTGTACCGATTATGGAGGAGGCGACCTACTCTTTTGGGCAACCATTTCAACCAGGGCGATCAGCCTAACATCGGTAGGTGAAGCCATGGGATGCGACAACAGGAGACGACAATGCCGAATGCTCGATTCATCGCGAAGGACTACAGGTCGCCCTGTTCCCAGACTCATCCTGTACACTGCGTTAGTACAAACCGAAGAAAAAGGTGCACGAACGTACTGATGGTCGAACCAATAGAGGCAGAGCCAAATGCGTGCAGAGACGACTAGACAAAGGGTGAACTGAGGAATCCGTTGATAAACCGGATTCGCATACCAAGGTTCCTTTCTTCTTCTTCTGACCTTTGCTTTCCACTGTCATCAGCAAGCTTGTCGAGAGCACGGTGGAGGCCAAGATCCAGGGCCATTCTCATGGCGTGCCCGCTTGGGAGCCAGCCGTTGGTGCTCCACGCCGCAAGCAGGAGCATTCCTGTGTTTCAGTCAGTAACAATCTCAAATCCATGGTAAATCGGGAAGTACCTTGAACTGCCTCCTTTCTGACGACAGGTCCGAAAAGTGAGGACCTTGCGATTCCTTGAGCCTCCTCCAGACACTTGTAGAACGTATCACTGAGAGGGCCATTGCCACTGCGGATCTTTGCAGCGATGGCTAGGATGGCATCAAAGGTCCAGGGGCTACGTTCTGATAGACTCTCGTAGGTATCATATGCAGGATCGAACAAGGGAATGAAAAGGTTGCATCCTGCGAAGAAGCTGGAATGATAAGATGAGCACATGGCGAGGAAGATGGATGGGGAGGTACCAACATGTTGAAGAGTTCTCGAGCCTCTTGCTCCGATACAAGCCCCTATGATCCATGTCAGTATGTCATCTCTACACTCGCTTGCTCGAGGTGACCTTTTCAACGACGTGAGGAAATGCATTCCTTGGTGTCGGCTCTGCAGCCCTCTTGCGCTTTTTCACTCTGCGATGGGGAAAGAAATGAGTATCCGGCTTACCTCTCAAGCTAAATATAAATCCACTAACCTAGGAGAGATGGCGGAGGGAGCTGCAGCAGCTTCTGCAGCGGCATTTGCGAGCCCTTGCAAAGCTTCGATCGGTGCGTTGATGGTTGATCGTGGCAACGTATCCTCAGATTCATCCTCGGAAGAAGCAGCTGTGCTGGGAATAATGCCGTATGATGCATATTTATGAGGCTACGAGTATGTGTAAGGATAATTCTCGTGGTAATTGGCATCAGGATAGCGCACTGGTGGGGCAAATCCGGGGAGAGGCGGGAAGCCTCGCGCACGGTCGATGGGAGGGGCGGGCATCTCGAAACCGTTACGGGGAGGCTGACCTGGGACGCCGGGTGGATTGGGAGGAGCCTCCATAGCGGGAGGGGGGTAGGGAGCCGGTGGGTGGCCTGGCAGAGGCTGAGGAGGGACAGCATGGGGCGCCACTGCAGACAGGATTCTGTCCAAGGAGGCTTGCATGCCAATCATCTGGCTTTGGAGAACCTGTTGGACAATTCATCTTCAATATCACGCACAAGTTGAAGTCGCAAAACACATACCAGATACTGGCCCTCGAGCCTTTGAAGTCTCCTTCAAATTTCGTCAGTCCATCGTTGGAGAACAAAGGGCCAAAGTGACTCACTCATTGCTGGGTCCTGCCAAAGATTGTACATTTTTCTTCTCTGGCTTTTCAAAGATACAGGGTGTCCCGCTCGCTTGACATCGTTTGCATGGAGGCTAGAGAGTGAGCGAGCAGACCGGGCCGGGTCGGTGGTGGCGGGCCTCGTTAGCAAGCGGGACGGACAGGACCGTTTCATGACGGCTCACCTCTCCTTCACAGCGGTTTTTGCCCTTTCTGCAGTTGGTACAGGCCCGTGCACCTCGCTTGGGAATATGAGTCGGAGGCGGCTGAGGCGGGGCGGTCACTGATTGCTCTGGTTGGGTAACTGGGGCGGTTGCAACTGGCCCAGCGTCAGTGCGTCTCCTTTTAGCGGCTTGCTCAGAATCATTGGCACCTGTTGGGGACTGGGACATGGTCGCTGCTGGTTGGCGACGATGTTCGATGGGGAAGAAATATGAAGGCGAACGATTTTGCAGGTGTCCGAGCGTGGAAGGCAAACACTTCTCAAAAAGGGAACACAATCCTTATCGGGCACGTGGCCGCTCTCACCCTGCGACTCCCCGAATTTCGTCCACATCGTCTCGCACGATGACCACCAAAGTTTCCCCGTCTTTGGACTGTTCGCTTTGTTGATTTCCTAGGCCCCTTTGTCTGTGAAAACAATGACTTTATTACAACCTGACCTTCACCTTGTGCAAACGTAACCTTGGGACTGGCTTGACTAATTGGCGCGCAACAAAGAAAATGAGGAGACCCCTATTACTACTGGGCTATCTCATTAACCGCCACCATGTCTGAACCCTCCGCCATCGTCCCAAGCTCAAGCTCAGGCTCGACCAAGAAAAAGGAAAAGGAGGTACAATTCAAAGGGCAATCTCGTATCGAGGGGGTCTGCCACTGGTGCAAACGGGAAGAAATCCCAGGTCAGAAGCGCTTCCAAGCTTGCGGGCAGTGTAAAGAGGTGGGTGAAATAGTACAAAGGTCGCCATAAGAAATGCGCTAATAATACACACCAGATCATTTATTGCGTATGTCCGAGTCTTTGTTCTTGGCTCTGACCGTGCTAACGCTCTACAGTCACGAGAATGCCAAAGGGCTTCCTGGCCCTTCCATAAGGCAAGCCAACCGGATTTCCGCCGGTGAAGTGACTTGATTAACCATCTTTGCAGGCGACATGTAAACAGAATGCTGAGATGAGAATGGCTGCCCAGGCCGCAAGCCCGGACATCGCAAAAGACATTGCTACATTCAAGAAATGGTGCGGCGCTTACCTCGTTTTCCCCGATCTGGCACGTACTGACGACAACGAAAACACTACAGGCATGCATGCCACGGTGAACTATTCAAACATGCTATCGTATGTGCCCTGGACCTGGGCAAAAACCCCAAGAACTACGATAAAAGCATGTTACTTGTGGAAGTCAGGCCGAGGAAGGATCACGCAAAGTTGTCAGTGAACCGAAAATACGAACTCGCCGCAGGATGCATTCTCACCATGGAGGAGGTCCGGGGCATGTTGGGTATGAGCTCTTTGGACCTAAACATCTCGACATGGTGCTGACTCCCCAAAACAGGCCCGTCTGGCGAGCCCATGCTCGATTCTTTGAAAGAGGAGAGTAAATTCATGCAGAAGAAGGGAGGCATTGGAATGGCTGCCATTATCTTGGAAATGGGAGGAATTGTCGATCTTGTCAAGGTGATCCTCCCCAAACCAGACGGTGCTGCTCTCATGCAAAGAGTAAATAATTGGGGGAGCGAATGGGTAAGTCGAATCCTTTTTGGTGATAAGCTTTCATCTCTTATTCTGTGCTACAGTTTGTAAACCTCGCTGGAGGAGTGCTGCATGCCTGAATGATCTTGTCAGCCGCAGGGTAAAATAACACTTGTCGTAGCGCATCACATACTATTCCGCAGCGTAATCCCCGCCTAATATATGTCCTCATAATCCTCTTCAATCTCCAGATACTTCCGCACATCATCGGGGTTGACCTGGTTCTGCCTTGTAAAGTGGCTCAAGGTGGAGCAATAGTTGTCTATGGAAATCAGATCCGAAAGCTTTCTCCGTCGAGAAAGCACCTCACCAGTCCACCTCAAGGCAGCCTCTTTCGCCAAAAACACGGCTCTCTTCAACTGTTCCACCTTCACCGGGTCCGAATTTCCGTAGGCGGCGAGTTCGTCCTGTAAGGCGATGTGTTGCTTCTTTAACGCGGCCAACTTGGTCAATAGCTCTTTTCGCTCTTCCTGGAAGACGTATGGTCAGTTCGACGGGTAGTTATGCATACATGGACCCAACATACCGAGTCAGGTCGCGCCTCTTGCTCTGCCATGATAGTCGACCGGAGCTCTTCCGCCTGAGTTTTGAGCGACTGGTTCGTCTCTTTCGCTTTCAGCAGCTTCGCTTGCATCTGCCATGCCGTGAGCAAGGGAGACGAGAACAAGCTCAAGGATGCGAGCTGACCGCTGCTCCATGTTGCGAAGGAAAGCTCCAAAAGACTGGACGGTAACATTAAGTCTGTTCTGCTTGCTGACCAGATGAAAAAGGAGCCTGAACATACAGTTTGATGACCCAATCTTGTCCATTTGGACCAGACCATCATCTACAAGGCTCTGAAGCACTTCCTTGACTGATTGTGACACTAAACAGCCTCGTTTATCCTTCCCAGAGTGCATATATGCGGAGGGAAACCAACCAATCCCTTTCATCTTTGGTCCCAGCTTTTCCAATTCTTTGAGCTTTGCCGGTTCGCGTTCAGCTGCTGCATCGTCTCGGACACATTTCCTCAAAGGATACCTGATAAAAGTCCTTCTAAGGGACGGAATGAGAAGGCGTACACCAGGGCTGATCTAGCGCAGCTTGGCCAGCATACTGTCTCGTGAAAAATCTCCAACAGCTTAACGCGCTTTTCCTCAGCGGAAAGTCCTCTGGGTGCCTGGAACTGGCAGTGAGAACAGATACACCAGAGAAAAAACGAGACACACCATTTTCAAGTAGCCCGGTGCTTTGTAGGGTGGGTGAAGACAAAGGCAGAGTCAGTCGGCAGGTGCGTGACATCGCTTGCATCACCAACTGTCGCAGTTCGGGGAACTGCGACCAACATAGCAAGTCCCCTTCTCCTTTCGGCAAATTTACTCCTTGGCAGCCGTAACAGCTCCCACCGCTGCAAATTTCGCATTTTTGAAACCTTTGAGATGCATTCAAACGGACGCATAATTAAGATGAAGAATGTTATACGTAGAAGAAGAATGTTATACGTAGAAAAGGAAATTCGTACATAAGGTCCTTGGTATGAAAAAAAGAAGCGGGGTAAGGAAAAGAAACTGGAGGTGATAGGATAATAACCGATAGCACAATGTCTCGGCAGAAATGCAAGGCTCGAACAAACCGAGTAGGAAAGGGAAACAAACTCGAGGAGGGAAACGAAGGGACCAGCGAAAGGAAAGGGAAAATGGGCCAATAATCTGCGAGGGGCTATTCCGGAACCGATTGGTTGTTGACTTTCATTGAACGACGATGCCATGATGCCTGAGGATGAAGGGAAGAAATGACAGAAGAGGAGGGAGGGGTCACGGTATTTTATACTCGGATACAGAGGGAAGAGGAGGTAGGGTAACATGCAAGAAGTAAGAAAAACCGGTGCGAGACCACCAAATCCGCTGGTGGCATCACAACTAAGCCAAAGTGGGTGAACCAGAATACATGGATCCATCATAACTAGTTTCATCTGAGAAGATCAAGACGCTGCTCCGTGGATGGATATCGGTATGCCACAAATTCGGGGTCCTGGGAGACGAGCTCATTCAAGGGTTTCCGTGATAGAATGGACGTCCTGTTCGTTCGTTGATTCTCAAAGCTTCCAGGAGCGCTGCCGTCGTCGTAACGTCCACCACCCAGCGTGGGGAACGGTTGCGCAGCATAGTCAGAATAGCCCTCTTGCTCCTTGGATTTCTTCCCACCCAACAAAGAAGAGAAGCCAAACTTGCTCTTTCGTTTGGTGGTGGAGTTGGGGAGAGGTGACAGGGCGCGACGCCCCTGGGTATCATCCGAGTCCCAGTCCAATCGGGCGAGACTCTTCCGCGAGTCGCCAAATTCGTCGTATCGTGATTGTCGAGGATCAAATTGGGTAACTGGCATGGTCTGAATGAGTAGATTGGGCTTAGACGTCACGCCACTGAAGGATTGCCTTCGTGAATCGCTCTGGAAAGGAGCGGAGGGAGGGAGGAAATCGTGAGGCGGTCGAGTTCCGGGTGGTAAAGGTCGAGGGTCATAGGTATAAACCGTGCGGGGCCTGTCAGCGGGGGTGGCAAAGGCGGGTGCCTCATCAGTCGGGATGGGAGGAAGGGATTTCTCTCTCGAGATCGCCATTGATACCCGTTGATTCCCTCCGTTAGGGAGGCTAGGCACAGGGGGGATGGGTTCCTGATTGACAGCGCTTTGTCGAAGGTTGGGTTCCGACGAGACCGGGTGGAGGCGCCACTCATTGGACTTGTTCTTGTTGCTGCCACTGTCATCGCCAGCCAAGGTCACATCAGGGTCCCCATTCAATGGCCGGGTGGAAGTGGGAGAAGGGAGTGCACTAGACGGGGCAGTCGGTGGAGATACACTCGATCCTGATTGGCCAAACATGGGGGAACCGAGGGGTGGAGGAATTGAATTGGCGTGTCGAGGACTGATGTGATCGGGAGAGCTGCGGCCCACGAGATAAGACAGCGGTGGTGGCGGCGCGAGTGGAAGATCGTCATCCTTTTCCAGTGACGAGTCGCGGACTTGGAGGGTATCTGGCTTGTTGTGTCCCGTCACCATCCTCCACCATTTTATCAACCCGCTCTTCTTCTTCTTCGCCTTTTCCTCCGCAGCCGTCGCTGAGATATCCGCAGGAAGATCTGAGTGCCAGAGCGTACTTCTTCGAGAAGTATTGGCATCATTGGGAGAAAGAAGGGTCTTGCGCCGATCTTCTCGCTGCAATGCAACGCTGAGAGGGAGAGGTCAATGAGTTAATAGCGATACTCAATTAGTAAATAGAGACGTACTGCATATCGACCATGCTTCCAGACATCCCTGAGGGTGCAAAACTCGGAGCAAGGCTATCCTGACTTCGCCAACCCGTACTGAGATTACGCACACCGAAGAACTTCCTCTTGGGAGATGAGGAATTCAAGCTATGAACGTCAGAGAACGAGGCTTGTGAATAAGCTCGAGGAAGGTCTGGACGATCATTAGAACCGGTGAAGACACTATTGGGACGTCCTGAAGTCGAGTGCGAGTAACCTGAATGGGGCTTGAGACTGGAGTCGGGGTATGGGCCGATGCTTTGCCCTGAGATGACGGAAGTCGCGTCCATAACTGAACTTCGAGATGATTTTCGAGCCCGCTTCTCTTCTTTGCGGCGTCGTTCCTTGGCTTCCTTTTCCTCTCTGCGGACGTCGACATGCTCGACAATCATGCCGTTTTCGAGTAACGTCACCTCGCGAGACTGGGACCTGAGGTGGCTTTGCGTGTAATTCTGACCAGTCGGAGAATGGGGTGGCTTGATACGAACGCCGCCGCTATCGTCTGTGGGTGCTGGAGTGTTGCCGAGGTCGTAGGCGGATCTCCTCAATTGGGAGTAAGCATCCCGCATCTTGCTGTCCAACCGCTTGGCCTCTTGCATTGCCTGGGCATGTGCCAAAGCTTCGGCTTCAAGCAAGGCACGCTGGGATTTGACATAGGTGTTGAGGGTCTGTTGTCGTGAGGCGGGTTCCCTTGGGTTCTGGCGGTAAAAATCATAATGTCAGGAGTGCGCGGTCGTCAGGTGAAACGGACGACTCACAATGCTTAACCAGATCTTGAGGTTTTGCTCGGTGAGTTTCCCCCCTACTGCTCGTGGTCGGTTGGGATCGGGGTTGACGATACCCTTGGCTCGCTCCTCCTCCTCTCGCTGCTTGAGTTCCTCGAATAGGACATCGCTTGTCCTGTCCCAAACGCCCGGCGAGGTGACATCAACATCGGCCATGTCTTGGTCCCGCATGGCACACTCGACACATACTTCCTCTTGTGGAGGAGGCATGGGTGTGTACACAGCATCCACAGGATTCGGTGGGTTGGAGGGGTTAATATAGGTAGGTTGTTGAGGATAAGTTCGATTTCTTGATGCTACTGGAGGCACATAGTTGGGTGAAGCTGACAGGGGCATGATGGGTGGAAACTGGTTGCCATTGGTCGTTGCAGAAGCAGAAGAAGCCAAGGCTACATCAGGGTGTCTGGGCGTGCTGGCAAATAAGGTTGCCGGAATCTCAGCGTTGACTATGGGCTTCGCTGGTTGAGGTGTATTCGAGCGAGTTGGCGTGTCCACGGAGAACTCGCGGCCGTTCTGCCGACCCGTCTCGGTTGGTGTTTGAGATTTGTCGTTGGCAGCAGGAGGGGCGTTCCCGTCCAAACTATAGCGCTCTACGACTCGACGTGGCACGTTCTCTGGAAGCGCGTACGAAAGCGAGGACCTTGACGAATCTTGAGGTTGTTGAGACTGAGATTTAGCGGTTTCAGGAGTCTGGGCGCCTCTCCGTGAGGCCGTGCCCTCGCGACCTTGGGAGGGCGGTCGTTCCGCATTGCGTGGCGGGCTGCCTTGTACACCCTGGGGATCGAAGCTCCTCCTGGCTAGTTGTGCGTCGTGGTTGGATCGTCTCTCCATTGTAGCCAAATCGGCGGATAACGACGCAGGGTTGTGACCGAGGTTTCCCCTGGATTTGGGCGTGAGGGAGGGATAGCGGTTGTCTTTGAGGTCGAATTCGGTTAAGAGGTTTCGTGGGTAGATATTTGGATGAACGCTGGGTCCAGCATCGTTTCTGAGAACCGGCAAAGCGGTGGTCATGGGGGTGACACTTGAAGGAAAGAGTGTGCCGTAAAGAGCAGGTGACGGCGAGACTGACGCGGAGCGGGTCGCTGTGACTAAGTACTGGGACGGAACACCGCCTAGGGCGCTGACAACCGACTCGAGCTCGACGACTGCGACGACGACGGCGACAAGCGCGTGTGGAGAAAGAAAGGTATGCGGAGTTGCAACTCGCCCACCAAGTATCCCTCAAAATTCCATTCAAGCCATCGCATTTGATTTCGATTTCTCACCCTTTTGGCACCGTGTTTACCGCTTTCTATCATGCCGAATTTTGGCCATTCTGCGTTTGTACCCCTTATGATGGCCACAGGCCCTTCCGTATTCACAATACATGATAAATTGTAGGAAAAAGTGTCTAGCTATGAATCTACTGCAAGAATTGCCAGTACTCCTTTACTTGCGGTACCTGAAGGGCGAAGGGGATCAGGGGAGACAGCATGATCCGCAAATCAGAACAAACTCACCAGAGGACACCCTTGCGACTGCGTCGCATTTTCCGTTGAAGCTGCAGCATTCCGTAAAGCAAAGCCTCTGCTGTAGGAGGGCAGCCTGGCACGTAGATGTCGACGGGGACAATTCCTATAAATAGCCCGGTTAATAAACGGCGAGACTGGTCACAAAATCTCAGAGCAACTTACGGTCACAACCGCGGACAACGGAATACGAGTAGTGATAGTAACCTCCTCCGTTCGCGCACGAGCCCATGGAAATAACCCATCCTTTGCGCAAGGTAAGCAACCCGCACTACCACCCTTAAATACCAAGACTTACGAGGTTCGGGCATTTGGTCGTAAACCTTTCGGAGAGCAGGAGCCATCTTGTTGGTCAAGGTACCGGCGACAATCATGATATCGCTCTGTCGAGGACTGGCTCGGAAGACGACACCAAGTCGATCCTGGTCATAACGGGCAGCGGCCATGTGCATCATCTCTACGGCGCAACATGCCAAACCTAATAATACTGTTGAGACTCAATTTGAAGGCGAGTGCTTGGGGACCCACCGAAAGTCATGGGCCACATGGAACCCTGTCGAGCCCAGTTGGCGACCTTGTCAAGGGTTGATAGAACATATTCTGAATGGTGCGTAAGTCATTCCGCCCTTTGCACGAAAACTTGTCTGGACAGTACCAGCTTTGTTCTGAGGGGTTTCGAGACTGAGCTGGTTGGAGCCTTGCTTCGCAATAGCAGTGTAAGGTTGGGTTGAGGTCGCAGATTCCGGCTGAGCAGCTGATACTGGAGTCGACGAGTGTAACGAGCGGATGCCTGAACAGAATTCTGGTTGGTCAATTGGTTTTACTTCGAATTTGAATGCAACGCACCAGGCAAAACGGCGGAGCGGTGACACGCTGTCCGGCGGGAAGCGTTCAGGACTGTTATTACAGAGGTCAGCCTGACCCAAACATGGAAAAAATGGAGACATACCAGCTGTGCGCAGACCGAGCGACATGGTGGACTAGAAAGAGAACGAATTCAACATTCAGCTCGCTGAGCGACAAGTGGAGAGGGCCGGGAAAGCGGAGTCAGCAGCGCTTGCTGATTGGCTGAGAGCGTGGGAACTCTGACTGATGGCTCAGCCAACGGCAATCTATGCCTTTGCTCCTCAACGTTCACGATCTCAAAGTCGACTTGACTCAGTTCAATTTTGGTATGCTCCATGGTCATATCGTATTGGAGTACCGCTAATGTATTACGAAGGTGCTATATGAATAGGGAATAATGTCGCTGAGAAAAACAGACAATGCTACAGCTGGATGAAAGTGCACTACTATACAGTGAATGAGGAATCCAAATATTCTACAGATGGACGGAAGGGTTCCAAATAAGTTACCGGCGCACAATGCAGAGAGAGCCGCTCTATGAAACAACCGATATATGGCTTTGTTGCAACCAAGGGTGTGCTGCAACTTCCGCGATGGTGATGCGCGTTTCTGGATTCGGATCCAGGCAGGCACGCAGAAGATCCATAGCGCTTTCCGAGGGCTTCAATCCCAAGGACTCTGACAGGAAGATCCGCCCGTCGACAGCGTCGCGGATGGTTGGAAAAGGAGAAACACCGGCAAGCAGATATGAGAGGAGGACACCAAGTGTCCACACCTCCGCTGGTGCTGCCTGGTATTTCTTCTTGAGGAGAATCTCTGAAGATGCATAGGCGGCGGTTCCGTAGAAAAGGTCGTAATACGGCCGTGGTTTGGAGGGATCAACGATAGTAGCGCTTCCAAAATCGATAAGTTTAATCTGATTCTCTAGGTGAGTCCTTCGATCCGTAGCGATCATTGGAAATGGGACTAACCTTGAGATCGTGGTCAATGACAAGGTTCTCGTCCTTGATATCGCGGTGGCTTATCCCGAGACTGTCAAGATAATAGACAGCATCGACCACTTGGGCGAATACATAGCGGGCCTGTTCCTCCGTTAATCGCTTGCGTTCCGATTGCTCGATGCACTCGAACAGATCGTACGACGGCCGCTTGCAAATCTGGTGCTTCGGTTCCGGCTCGTCCTCAATAGGAGAAAGATCCCCGCTGGACGACGTGTGCGTAGGGTCGTTAGCAAATGGGATGGGTAGTGACGGGTAGCGATGCGGGGGAGTTCTGGGCGAATCCGGAGCGAGCGAGGTTTCAGAGGTCGAAGGGGAAAGGGAAGGCGTGGAGAGGGACGCTGAAGACAAGTCGCTGCCTTCCAACGTCGGCCAGTCTAGCGTGTATGCCTGCGACCTATTCCAGGGTGATCCATGAAGCTCCTGGACCTGAAGAACGATTCAGCATGCAAATCCACAAGGGCGTTGAGACGCGACATACGAGATAAAAGTAGACCGGATCTTCAAAAACGTCCAAGCACTTGACGATGTTATCGTGATTGACGAAGCTCAAAAGCACAACCTCCATAGGTAGCTTGCCGAAAGTAGGGTCGTGGATCCAGGAGTGCTCGGGAACCTTGTCCTTGATGATAAACTTCACAGCGACCTCGAGCCCACTGTATCGGTCAATGGCGGTCATCACGAAGCCGTATCCACCTGCGCCCAGTTCATCCTGAAGCTGGTACGCCTCCACAAATTCCGACTCTAGTTCGTGGCCCTCCGGAAAGTGATTCGAGAAAAGCCGTGCTGACCTCTCGCAAGGATACGACAGCGAGAAACGAGCTCGGGTGGTCGGCGAGCTCGCTGACTGCTTCTCGCGAGCCAGAGGAGGCCTGAAGCGTCGCATGTCGTCGGAAACGCTGGTGGAGGGAGAAGACGGATAGGAAAGGCAGGTAGTATGATTGGGTTGACGGCGTTTGTTTATGTTGGAACGCGGACGGTTCGGCGGATAATTGACGAAGAGTTTTGCTGTAAATTCGGTCGTTGATTTATCGGCAGAACTTTCGATCGCTTTTGGCGATTGGTCCTCGCTGTTTGTAGTTTCCGCTGTACGAATCCCTGGGTCCTGGAAATGAACCTGGGAGGACGATGAAGCGATAGCGGTTTCAGCCGGTAGTCGAACGTTCGATGTCGAGGGAGAAGAGGAGGTTGAGGGGAAGTCGGATTGCGGAGTATGGGGGCAGCGTATTTTAAGGGTCATCCTCGTTTTTGATTCTGTCGAACAAAGGCAGTCAAGTGCTATGAATGGAACGCCAGTAACTGCGTGTAGTTCAGATTTGTCTAATGTACCCAAAGAGGCTCAAGTGTCTGAAATGTTTCAAACACCCAGCGCGACAAAAGGCATTCAGACGGGGGTTCTCCAACAACTGTTTGCAACTCCAACAAGAAGCTTGCGGTCTTTTGAAGAAAAACTGCCCTCTTGAATATTTGAATTCTCGGTGAGCCGCGTCCAACGCAACGGAACGCCACTCCCTGTGAAATTCCCCCGGATGGCAGTTACTTAGGGGTCACTTAACCTTTTTGACATTTTACTTCCGATCATCTATGACCTCTTGCTTGCGCACTTGGTCTCCACTGAAAATAAAGGTATATAGCACTACGTTCTCCACGTATATACATATCAGCTAGTACTTTATGCATTCCAACGTCTACTTTTTCTCTGAAGAGTCTGCCAGCGACCACATGTAATAGACACCTGGAACATATCATTTCATCCCGAAAGATCACGAAGGCAACCGGAAGTGGTAGGAAGGGCAAATTTTCAGCCACATGCATCCCAAACGACCATGGAAATTGTACACACCGAGGCTTCGGTATGGCCTCCAACTCTCCGTTAAATCTGTCATCTCCTGTGGGGTCAAGAATGCCCCTCTATGAGGCGAAACCACTTTCGTCAGCTTTCGTCATTCGACTTCATAGGAGCATCATAGCTTACTTGACCTTCTTCCCATCCAAACGGCTCTTCAATAACGAAATGGTAATGCCTGTAGGAAGAGGCACTGCCTTCTCTGGAGCCTTGGACAAGGTTTTCTGAATGGAGGGCGTAAACGGCGGAGGGAGGAGAGTTGATGCGCTCGTGTCTGATGTCATGGTATCTCCGTCACGATTGACCCCGCCAATTGCAGCCGCCTCTCCGCCCTCCAATTTATTCGCCGAGGAAGCTACCGTGGGCAGCGCGTCGTCCTCGACATCGTTACTTGCATGGTTTGTCTTTCTTCTCTGGAAGCTCGTGGACGCGTCAACCTTCTCTGGGGAGAGTGTGTACGTGTGTGCTGGAGAATGGAGAGAAAGGAACCAACGGGCGAGGCCCCGTTGGACCCCTAGGTCACCTGAACAAGCAAGACTGATTAGAGGAAAGGAGGCACCGAAACCCAGGGCTAAGGGGGTGCTTAACCTACCAACAGGAAGGATGTCGGGGCGACGTAAAGAGAAGATCGCAAACATGTCCACTGCAGGCAATATTCAAGGTCAACATACGAGAGCTCTGTAGGTTTGGCTCAGAGGTATAGACTCAGTAGAATCACCTGTCCACTACAATCCAAAGGTTAATCCAAGGACTCGAACTCGAGAAGTAAATAGACCAACTAACTCTGCCTATTCCTTTAACTTCAATAAGCATTTCTGCCAGTTCCTCGTCGCTAGCATTTAGGAGTTTATCGGTGCTTAAGCGACCGTCTGCGAATCTAGCGGCAAGATCCTGGACTAGAAGCGCTCTAGAGTGTCTATGCCATTGATCAGGTGGACAAGCAGAGACGCACTGTATTGGGCCTTCCGCTCGCTCAAACCTGCAGTTCGGAGCAGCGAAACTTCCGTCTTCGACACCTGCTCCGGGGTAGGGAAGACTTGCATTGCGGCCGCTCGGGACCTAGGCATGCGGGGTCAGAGCGATTCAAGCCGTCTTTCAAACAGAACAATAATCAAGGTATCGGAAGTGGAACATACTCATCCGTCACTTCTTCTGGGATAGAGGGGCTGTAGAGCCTGATGAACTTGTGGGTAATTGAGCGCGCAGCTTTCCATGAGATTTGCTGCCCTCTATGGCAATGGGAATGAGTTCCTTCCGCGACTCAAGCACGGACATCCGCTTACAGGATAGAGATCGATAGCGCTCTAGATGGAATCGAGGGGTGAAAACATTTTTCTGGAACTGAGGGAGAATAGCCTCTACCGGAACGGATGCACTTGTTCAAGTTGTTCAAAGGGCCGACAGGGCATCCTGTCGAACAAGTCCTGGAATCTTGGGTCCACGGTAATGAGATGACGCATAGCCTCATTAAAGTCAAAGCTTAGGACGGCTGGAACAGGGGCATCTGCGTTGGTATCGCTGGGAGCACGCGTTGTCTGGGGGTTGGCTGTTGACCCTACTGTGGTCGAGCCAGCACCAGTCTGAGTCTTGGATTTCTTGAAGGCCGGTGCTTTGAGTGCCGCGTTGTTGTTCTTGCGCTTTCCATTGGAAGAGTTGGCTGGGCTTGAGATTGTTTCTTCGCTGGTTTGCATTGCATTTGCCTTGAGCGCCAGCCGAGCAGAGGATCGGGTTGCCGCCATCGTCAGAATCAGTCTCTGGTTGACAGTAAAATGCGGTCGAATACAGTCTTTGGCGAGTTGTCTATTAAACAAGAAGCGTAACTGGGGTGTCGTGGTTATGTTCATAAACCATGTTAAAGATTCAACACGGGTCCAAATAGTAACGTGAGCATATGGGTGTAGAGTCAAGTTGATGGCATCGGAACCGAAACCTGTTCAAATGACTAATGAGGCGGGGCGAGGGTATACGCTGATATACGCATCAGGTAAGAAAGCTACATAGGACTATTATCTCTCGAAAAGCATACTGATCCTGGAAGTAAATAGAGCGTGAAGGGCGGCGTGAATACGTCCTCGACAAAACGATTATAGTTCCTGGCCACAGGTGAGTTCTGAATGGGGACCGGGAATCAAAGGCGGGTGTCGTACCGTCATGGTCAGATTTCCGGATATCAACCCTAAGGACTGTTAAGTTGCGGCACTGGAAAGCAGCGAGAAGGCCGTACTATTTTCAAGGCTGCACCCGTCGGGAATGTGAACAACTTGCCCTTCGTTCGCAGTGACTACACAGGGGACCCCTTCAGAAACACAAGTTTACAACGGAAGCCAAAACGTACTGATTACAGTGCCACGCAATGTGACGTCTCTCCCGAAATAAACGTCGCCAGAAACTGTGAGGTGGTCGAAGTCGATGATGCTGGGTATTTGTTTGAATCGCTTGTCGAATTGGGAGATCTGTCCGAACAATCCAGCTTGCGTTGAGGTGCCATCTGGATACTGATTAGCCCTGCAGACTCACATGCTTGAAATGGTCTCCGAGTTTGATGAGCGGGATAGTCTCAAACACCCGGGCTTCGTTTCTGACCACATGCGATCCAGAGGTGACTGTATACAGGTCACTTCTGAGAAGGTGGAGGTCTGAACATGTTTTGACAGGAAGGAACCGCGAGCGAGATACGGTCAGCCCACAAGCCTTAGGAAGTGCTTGATTATGGCACCCGCAGCTGTCTCAAGCTACAATGGGTCGATTTGTAGTTTCTCGACGTTGAGAGTCGATAAGCATACCTGTAGGACGGATCTCCCGCCATCAATCTGCCTATAATTAGGGATGGTGTCAAGCTGTAGACCACCCTGCAGCCTGCTCCATGGTCCGTCTCAATGCTGTGACTGTAATTAGCATCCAGCGAGGTGCGCGCCTTGAGTGAGCGTACCTGGAAGATTGATCCAAAGGTTATTTGTGTTGAAAATCTTGAAGTTCTTTGCCGATGTAAATTCCTCGACGTGCTGTGTCGGGACCTGCGCCAACTCCAGCAATCTTAGAGTTCCCTCATAATCTACGAATTAAAAGGTCTATCCTCAGATGAACCGGAAAAGTTTTCTTACCGACAAGCGTTCCTCCCTGTCGATTCATTGGGTCAGCCGGTATCATATCGCATCAATGACAACTCTTACTTTGATATCTGCCTTGGTTTTCTCGGTGATTTGCATGATAAACTCGGTCTGCGTTTCAATCATATGCCTCAAGATGCGACGATCGACCCTAACAGCACAACGGTGAAAATATTGTTCGACGAAGAAAGCTTCGAATACGCACGTCGCTCCTAAATTGTCCGAATTTGGCACAAACAAGTACTCTTTCCCTTCTGCAAGCAGCCTGTCCAAGGTGCCAGACCGGACCAAAGCGTTGTAGAGGTCGCCATGGCCAGGCGGATACCGCGTCTGCCGATCGTCTTGTCTGGGCTTTGCGATGGGGAGCAACGATTCGACGTCCAGACGTGGATACCGGGATTGACTGAAAGTTGAGATCTTGGTAGGGCCTTTAGCGTACTTGCGGATGATACGGTTGGTATCCTCCTCTGTGTTGAACGAGGTCATGAAGAGCAGCGGGATGTCAACACCTTCAGTTGCATTCAGAGTTTGGATTTGCCGTATAGCGAGGTCAATGAATGATAACTTGTTCTGGACCTCAAGGGCTCCCTTGGCGCCAGACAGTTCTAACAACTCGTACGGTGAGTGACTGCCAGTTGACAAGTACCGAAAGCAGGCTTACCCATCGATGTCCCCAGCCCGCCGTTAACCTTGAGAACGGCGAGGCGGTGAAGGGGCTGTACGTCTTCGGCGTCATTGAGGTCCTTGTATTGAACGATTTGTTCAGAACGCGGGACAGAAACTTTGTCCCAGTCGCTGTGGAGTGCCCAGTCAGCGGGTTGCACTGGGTGCGAAAACGCCAGGATTTACATCTCTGGTTGCGCATGATTCTCAGACTGGTATCTTTCGAAGAGGTGAATAAAAGATTCCAAGTCATTGGCCACGGCCTACCAATTGCTAGAGTTAGCAGTTGCACCAGAGACATGGGCAGACTTAGGCACATACCTTTCGCTTTCGCTTCGGAATGGACTTGACCAGCCGCGTAAGCACGGTACGGAGAGCAAAGGGACCTCCTTCCGCAGAGGCATGGGAGGTCTTGTCCTCACGACGACGACGAAGACGAGCTGGCAGCTTGAATAAGAACATTGGTGGGATGAAATCGATTGCCAGAGCCCCAGACCATGACAGATTTTATCCCTTCGCCCAAACAGCCACGCAGTTCGAGCAAGGTCGAATGGCATCCGGCATGGATGTAGACAGGTCCACTTCAAATCTGGTCTAGGGCACCAGAGAAGCCTAACATGAGGTACCGGGACAGGATTCCTGCAGGCCCTTTCGAAGCGGATGTTCATCGGAAGCATAACAGTCGCATGTACAGTTTATATAGGAAGACTAGAGTCGCATTTACACGAGTAAGCGGGTGGAGTTTACGTTGGACTTTGAGCATAGTTGACGCCTGTGGTGGTTGGAAAGAGAACTTGAAAGAAACCGAACGAAGATCCCGACGACGCGCGCTTCACGTCGGGATTTGAATTCGCTCCAAACGGGGACCTCGCAGCGCCTTGGGCTTTGGTCTGGTTCCCATACATTTTCCACATTTACATTCCGAAAGACTCCTGAAATGTCTGCGCCACCACCGTCCGCAGCAGCTGGCTCATCAGCAGAAGCTCAGGCAGCAGCATTCGCCGACGACCCAAGGTGTGTCTAGCCGCTCTACTCTCCAGACGAACAATTGACGTACTCAAGAATTCTCGGCGCGTCATATCAGGGTGTACTTCAACAAAGAATCCAATACATGGCGACTGGAACAAGAGGATGGCCCCGAACTTGAATACGACTCCACGAGAGGCACCTGGGAGCCAGTCGTATGTTCTACCTTCGCATTTCAATCTGGGTCAGTGAGGTACTAACCTATTTCCTAGCTGGATGACCTTATCAAGCGACAGCAAGCGGCATACTCAGTGGCCGGGGTAGATGAAGAGGTAATCTATCTTTATCAGACTATAAAAGATTACCGTGTTAACACGATGTAGACCCCAGCAGCCCCAGTACTCAAACGGGAAAACAAGAAACGGAAAGTACAGGACTATACTTATGCGCCCACCGAAGGAGAACCCTCGTCAAAACGGGGCAAGAACAACCAGGAGCGGAAATCCAAGAACACCGCAGTCTACGTTACTGGTCTACCACTGGACGCTGAAGCCGACGAGATTGTGGCGAGGTTCTCAAAGTGCGGTGTGATCGAGGAGGATGATAACGGCGAGCCCAAAGTCAAGATGTACGCCAAGGAGGATGGAACGTTCAGTGGGGAAGCTCTAGTCGTCTACTTCAAGGAGGACTCTGTCTTGTTAGCGGAGAACCTTCTGGATGAAGCGGAATTGAGACTTGGGGATGCTTCTACTGTAATGAGGGTCCGGCAAGCAGACTTCACGCACAAGAACGAGAACAAAGACGGGGTATCCCAACCACGTCGGGTGGTGGACAAGAAAGCAGCAACACGGCGGATAGGAAAGATGCAGAAGTGGGTTTCCAGATCCCCGTCTACGTTGACCAGACTGACAAGGTTCTAGAAAGCTGAATGAATGGGGCTTTGACGACGGCTTCGGGCCACAGCCTGACCCTGAAGATAAGCCAGTGCCCAGAACGAGCCGTGTTGTAGTTTTGAAGCACATGTTTACCATCGAGGAACTAGAAAAGGACGCCACGCTGCTACTAGATTTGAAAGAGGATGTCCGAGAGGAATGCTCAACGCTGGGAGAGGTGACGAATGTCACTCTTTATGATGTGAGTGCCCTGATGACTTTATCAAAGTTATGGACTAACATTCCTACAGAAAGAGCCAGAGGGTATCATGACCGTCAAGTTCAAAGATCCCTTAAGCGCCCAAGCCTGTGTTATTGTGAGTCGTCCAGTTGCGTTTCAAGATCGTTCAATTCCTGATAAGATTGTATAGAAAATGAACGGGCGTTTTTTTGACGGGAGGAAGATAGTAGCAGAGCTCTTCGTCGGAAGACAACGGTTCAAACGAAGTGATGCAAAGGATGACTACGGCGAAGGAGAAGAGGCAGAGAAGAAACGACTGGACGACTTCGCCCAATGGCTCATGCAGGAAGGCGAATAAGTCAGGCTCCATTTGCCGCTGTCCCCCTCGCCGTACACCCATCCTGCGCTGGTCAGAACCTATCTCAGTTGCACATACATCTACTCTAGATATCCCCTCAAAAAACCAATAATGTAAGAATATAATGTACTTCTAGTCCTGCTACCAACAAGAACATAGGGGCGTTTTCTTGACAGTTTCAAGACGCTACAAGATTGGCAGAACATCAGGACTTGCGATATAAACACCACTGTCTTGCTCACCTCCGCGATCATGGTCCGTTTCGCCGGTTCGTCCTCTGGAGATATCCACTCCAGACCGGCTGTGGAGATCGTTCCGATGTTGCGACTGAAAGGATACCCGCCTTCCACATGTGAAGTCGACTTGGACATCGCAACCAAGTCTTCTTCGTCGATAGAGCTTGTCGAGCTCCTACGCGAAGTTGACCCGGATCCTTCTGGTACCGTTGCCAGAGGACTTCCGGGTGGTGAGAACGGTGAAGGACCGAGTCCGGACAAGGAGCGTTGATGCGATGGCCTCGAGGGCAAGGGTGCGGAAGCGACCCCCATATCAACCTCCTCCTCGTCGACTCCGAGCCTCTGCAAGCTGGCTTCAACGGCATCGAGTCGTTCCAGATGTTCAAGGACGGTAACACCAGTGGTACCAGGATGTATTCGCTGGAATTTGGCCGCAAACGGCACAGGTCGAGGTGCTCCAGATGCGTCTGTTGATGTTCTTCGCATGGGTGGCGGGAATTCACCATAGCTTTGACTCCGCGACCGTTTAGGTATTGGAACACTGCTGATGGACATCGTTGGCGACGCTGGAACTTCGTTGGCAGCATTGTCGAGCTCGGCCACCTCCACTTCTTCATCCCAAACTAGGACCTTTATTCTGCGCGTCAGTTCCAGAGGACCTGAAAGGAAGATGAGTCGAATGGAGCGGCAATTCGGGTCCATGGTTCTAACCTTCGTCCTAGAAGGAATTTAACATGTTAGACTATGGACACGGGTTTGGCAGCGTAGAGAAATTTCCTCACATCATGTTTTAATGACTGCACGATATTCCAGGCCTGTCCCTTGATCACGGCAAGTTGGCGCTGCACAGATGTCGGTCAAAATCCCGGCTTCGAGTGGGAAGAACTCACAGCGAACATCTTGGGATGGAAATCGGGATCTACGGAGAACAGCTTCTCTAGCTGGTACGTAGTTTCTTCCCACCACGCTTTGGATGTAAGCAATGGCAAGAAGTGATTCCGCGTCTTCTCGCTGAATGGGCGACCGATGATACTAACAGGAAGGTATAACCATCCATATGTGTAGGAACGCCATCCTTGTGGATGTTCATGGGGAAAAGAGAGCGAATTGTCGATAGCAGCAATGTGTATATGTGGTCGACGCTTCCAGTCAGCATGGGGTGTTGATGACCGAGATGGTATTTGAGGGGAGGCGGTTGAGGAGGCGGCGCGGTTGGACGAAGACGAGGACGCATTGGGTTGCGAATTTCCAGGTGACTCCGTCCGGCGAAGTTCACTCATGACTGGCATTTCTAATCGTACAGAACGTGTTGGAGCGACATCAACGAGTTTTTCATGATCTCCTTCGCAGTATTTGATCATGTAATTGTCAGCGCCACGATCTGTGTTCAACATTAGGTAGTCTGAGGAGTGGGTGAGTAAACAATATCCCAACGAAAGCGATTCAAAGTACCCAAGATAACAAGCCTGCCAAGGATGTCAGCCAGTTTACCGAAAAGACTCAGTATCGCACTCACTTCTCAAGCTCCTCGCGGAAGCTTTGCTGAAGGCCTTGACTCCAGTAAAAGGGTCTTTGGGCATCAGATCCCTCAGTCGCGTCATACAGCGCTTGGTCTTCCTCAAAATCCGCCTCATCATACACATCGTCAGGTGCCCCGGTCCTTCCACAGATGATCTTGAGGGCACTTAGAAATCGTTTCGAGAAGCTGCCGTGTCGGTGAGTCGAATCATCGAACGTGTCTGAAATCGCACGGCCAGGCCAGGGATGTTTCCTGAGGAATTCAGAGGCGTCTGGAACAGGGTACACATTATGGCACTATGAAGAGCTTGACAAGATTTATCCTTACCTTGGTATCCGTGTAAGAAATACTGCATGCTCCCAATCTTCTCAGGAAGAGGCTTCCCTTTCTTAAAGGCATTCCGATCAATCCAGTCATAGAAGAACGCCTAAACGCGGGGTTTAAATAGGTGAGGGATGAGAGGGAGGCAGCGCTTACTTCACTGGACAAGGAAACGAGCTTCGTGGGCGGGACAATGTGCAGGTCTAACCTGGTGTCTAGCAGCGACGCCGCAGCTTCTGAGATGTAACTTCCAGCCCAGTCAATACTCCCGCCCATAAGATGATGAAATGCAAGTCACCTCAGATTAGGAATGAGACACGCCCGTCCGAATGGAATAATCCAACGGAACTGCCGATGCAACCATTTCGTTGTCTAAGTTTGGGTCAATAAGTTGATGTCCGCTGAGAATAGAATGATACTGAGTACCTTTGGATTCAGTCTCCCATACGGCTCTTCGTCTTTAGGTTTAAATACCCTGAACAACTTGAGCGCCGAAGTCCCACAACCTTCGAATACCAAGACCAAGACTCACGCAACGGTCTGAACCCTCCCATTCACTTTCGCCCTCGCAAAGTATGAACCGGACGAACCCTTGCTGATCATCTTGGGATGGATACCGTCTGAGATAGCCGTCTTCACAGATTTCACGATGCTGGAGGAAAGTTCAATGACAGAAAGTAATAATTCGCGTTAATGACGTACGCGTCAAAGTCGGCGTCCGTCATGGGCGGTTTGTGGTCCAGCGTCTTGACCTATATTACTATTGAGTCGGTGGCCACGGGGAATGCATGTAAGCATACCGGTCCAGGAGACGGCACTCCAGGAATCGTTGGTTCAAATACACTCCGCCAGATCTGCTTGCGCTGACTTAGGTCAGGAACCTTGGTCTTCTTTCGTTTCACCTTCTGCGCGATCGACTCTGTCCATCTGACCACCCAGCGTTACCCTTATTTAGTCTCACAGCTACCGTAGTCGAAGGTTGACTACACACCGCTTGAATGCATTGTCCAGCTTAGCCAGGTCGATGCTCGCCCCTCCTCCAGTCCTCCGGCGACCACGTGGAGTAGAGGGACCTGCTTCATTAGATGCAGTCGCAGTGAGAGGTTGAGTCTCATCGACGTGGTCCGCGTCGTCATCCGTCGAGTTGCCCAGAGCCTGGTAGTCCGAGTGCGGTGGTCGCGCCGACATGAGCAGTGAACAGGGTCCGATTGGCGTCCAGCAACTTGGAGGGCGGTCGTGGTCTGGTCGAAGACGTTGTCCATCATCTCGACCTGCCAACGATGCCGCTCGTGGCTGTGCTTATTGATGGCTCGATGGGGATATGCTAAACGCTTAAAGGCCTCCGAGTCTATTCCAACTGAATTGAATGCATGGGTATACAGGTTGGGATGCATAGTAAAGTAAACGTATGATCGGTCAGACAGTGCCCTCAACAGCGTGGCTGTTCGTCCTATGTCTCCCATCCTTCCACTTGAATGGGTTCATCTGGTCGGGAGTCGATTCGGGGAAGATAGAAGTGTCCCAGGTGTGAATAACAGTCGGGGCGAGCGAGAGTACCCAAAGCAGGAGTACGATGCCTGCGGAAAGGTCAGTGTTGATTTAATTACATCTCAGACAGATTGACTTACACGACCAAATCACCCCAAGATAGTTGAAAAACGGACTCCCCATCACTTCTCCCAACTGTACCGTACACAGCGCATACACACCATTGGGGAACACCGAACCCCAGTAGGTGAGCGTAAATGGGATTTCTCCATCGCTGCGGACAACGACAATAATCGTGAATATCGATATAAGAATCCAACACGTCCCCATCGACCAAAGCAAGAAGGACGCGCAGAAGCAAACAGCGAATACTATTTGCCCTGCGAGTTCTATCCTTGGGAACATACCATTCAGGTAAGTCCCAGGGAATACAGCGGAGAGCGTCCTCCCGTTCAATAACAGTGCATACCCACCAGTGCCCAGGGGGCTGGTGATAATAAATCCAGAGATGACGATTTGCGGTTTGGGTGGTCCGTGGAGGATCAATCGAGTGAGGAAGAGCGTGATGATCATAAGCGTTAAGCTCATGCCAATGCCGAACGAAACGAGCGAGAATCCGGTCGTAATCGTCGCGAGAGTAAGGCTGGACCGGTCAAGGAGTGCTTGCGACATGTTGCCTCCAGTGGCTGAAGCAACGATGAGGGGGATGATGGGTAAGACCCAGAGCGATGTTGTTTCTTTGATCATATGGTTGTGTGTGCACATCCTGCAGGGTTTCTCGTCAGTGCCGGAGGCAGCGCGACACTGGCCAAAAATCTTACATGGCATAAATTATTCCAAATGCTGTACTGTATGCAATGAATAAGTCGACCCACCAAAATGCCCAGAGGGTATACAGAAACCCGCTCCCGGCGAAGCCGTATCTATGATTGAGCACGAGGGCAGCGTCGATGAGGGTTGCAGAGGCGATGGGGAACGCGCCGAGGAAGAGACTTTCGGTGGTGTTGAATACCATCTTTTTAAACAGCTGGAACAACTCCTGAGTATTTGGAATGTGGCGAAAGACCGAGAAAGCACTCACGAAAGGAAACAACCAGAACCGGGTGATCGTCGCGGAAAGGAAAACGATATAAAGAAGAAGATTCAACAGGAAGAACACGATGCAGAGTATCTCCAACGCCGTGCTACCACGTCCAAAATAGAACCGCGCTGCCAGCAAAGAAACCGTCCCGGTCCCCATGTTAATCGTGAACCATGCTGGCGTAAATGATCTTGAGGCGTGCGAGCAAGAGAAAGTCAACAATCCGTCTATAGTCATTAAGAATCATAATCATATACCGTATACAATGCTTTAGAGATTTGCGAGGTGGCCGCGAGGGAGTGGAAGACGCGGAGGAAGACATTGATTCGCTGGCTGTGCCCACTCCCTCTCCTTAACTTCATTTCGGCCTGTTGGATCTGTGTGATGTCATCCAGTCGTTGGGGAGCGTGAATCGGATCTAGGAGTTATGATAGGGCCCGTGAAAACTGTTTTCCTGAAGTCTTCTGGCGTTCATGTTTTGCTCGGGACTCATCGCCGCTTTGCTCTCCATTACAGGGAGGCACGCTTCGTTTGCTAATCGCTTGAAAGCGATCAGGGATCGAACTGCGATGGAAAGCCATACACAGATGACGACAATTGCGTAGGCAGCACCGTATATCCGTAGGCCTGTCGAGTCAAACGCCACACTCAAGGCAATCGTTAAATTGGCGTAGACACCCTGAATTGGTAGACATCAATAAACGCCAAGACATATGTGATAAAGAAGAAGCACGAACATTCGGGAAGACAAGGCCCCAGAATGACATCCTAAATCCAACTGGATTTCTCAACACGGTCGCGTGAAGGGCGAGCAGCGCATAAAGCATCCACATTGTCGCTAGGGACCACAGGAGGAAGGCAGCAGAGACGCACATCGTGTAAAGGAATTCGCCGACCATGGGGGATGAAAGGAGGACGGACTTTCCCGCGTGTTCGTAAGGTACCAGTGTTCTGAAATTTGCCCCGATGAGATAAAAGGCAAACCCTGACTGTCCTGTAGGACCGAGTGGAAGGAACACGGAGAGTACGGTGACGCCGGGAGGAAGGCCGTGGATGATTAGTCTGGCGAGATAAATTGTCAGGATCATGAAAGCCAGGGTTAAACCGACGGTGACGATGAAGATAGAGAAGACCACTGTAAGGAGAGCGTGGTAATGGGAGTATGTTTGCAGTGCTTGAGCGAGGACGCCGCCCGACGAGGCCGCGACAATTAGCGTCACCACCGGTAAGAGCCACATAGCGGTCATCTTGTTGAACGGGGGATTTTGCTTTATGAACCTGACAAGACTCGTCAGGGCCGTTATGAGATGAGGATAATGCAACTCACATCATGTGTACGCCCACCCAGCAACAAACAACTGAAATGGCCACGACGACCCACCAGAACCCCCAGAGGGTGTAAAGGAAGGTCCGACCACCGAATGCAAAGTAGATGTTAATTACATCCACACCGACGTTGATCAGGGTCGTCAACCCCATAGGAAAACACCCCAAGTACAGGCTTGTGATGGGGTTGCGGATGAGGGCAGACCATCGGTCGGGGTATACGACGTATTTCGCAACGGAGAAGGAGAAGAATATGCAGCAGAGTATCAGGTTGAGAAAGAAGAATGCCAGGCTGACAATCATCATGCCTCGAGACCCTCGTCCGTAGGGGAAGACCTCGAAGAGTATACTGACGGCACCGGTACCTGGAGGGGGTCGGAGTGTCAGGGCCAGGGTCGACGTCGGTGCATACATGAACGAAGGAACATACCCATGATGACAGCGAATAGGACTGGATTGGCAATTCTAAAACAATAGTTCAGTTCTGAGCATCTAATGAGCGGACACAATACATGTATACCTAGTCAACAAGCCAGCCAAATTGGTGGCCCTCTCGATCCAAGGATGTCTAGACGCCAACATCGTGAAGACCGTAAAGATATGCTATGAGGGCATTTCAAGGCGGTCCTGTAAGATATTGGAGGCGCTCGGGCTGGTGTGATGGGAGTCGGAGAACGGAATGCAATGACTCAGTTCGTGAGCACGCAAGTTTCGAGAATTTCTTGTGAGCTTAGACGCGGGTCAATAACGGTTTGGGTTTAGCCTCGACACACACCCGGGGATATGTAGATGCCATCACCGCATTATTCAGCAGATCAGACCTCCATTCTGGATCTCTTGGCGTTGTGCTGCTTGACCAGCTCGACCTTCTTTCCAGCCGCTGCTGAGCTCATGTTCCTCGTCGCATCGCTAGGACTGGCCTCGTAAACACAGGAAATAGCCTGGGAGGGGTCGTATACACATCGATACCAACTTACGACATTAAACGAGCCTCAGGGCCCTCACTTCTTTACATTCAGTTACCCCACAACATCACGAAACTATTCCGAATTCTATCCTAGGAGGTGCCATACGCCATTCTCAACAATATGTCGCCTCTCTCTAACCAGAATTGCTAGGAAATGAACCTATTGTCCTATTTTTATTACTCTTCCACCTCCCAGACTGCGACTCAGTCGAAGGATAATGTTTCGACGGAGACCACAGTGAGAGAAACGGCGGAACACCACAGTGGAGATGCGGTCGTTTCTGTAACCACCGAATCCGAGGTCAAGACAACGACTGTGGTTGTTGAAGACGTCCCCGATTTCCCAAAGCCCAAAGCCAAGAAGCGAGTTTCGTTTCGTCAGGCCATCTCCTTGACGCGGGTGGTCCCCCAAGTGGACAAGGGATTAGTCGTTCCTGCTCCCTCGGCGCCCGCTGAGGCCAAGCCTGTCGAGTCAAAGCATCGCAAGGAGCGTATCTCCAGAGCGGACAGGCGAGCGAAGAAAAGCGCGCAACGGCTCCAGTCCCTCATCGTAGGAGAAGCAAGCACAGCTATCCCGGCAGTCACCCCAGTGGTCGCTAAAGCTCGCCTCGACAAGATCAAGTCGCAACTTTCGCGGCCCAAGACGGGTAACAAAGTTATCGCGGAACTTCGACGCCTTCCTGTCGGTGAAGCTGACCTACCCAGCGAAGCGCCTATCCATGCTGTCTGTCTGGCGCACACGGACGCAGAGGAGGACTGCCTTCACTTTGCGAAGTTGAAGTCGGAGAACGGAGGGGCGTTATATCAACTGCCGTCATTTTCGACAGCCTCCCTGACCACGGCTCCGGTGGAAAAGCTTGCAGAGGTCCTGAACGATTTGCAGGTTGTGGATTTGCTTCAGGCTCCAGATCTTGGACTTGGCCAACCGGGGGATGGGAAGGGCTTACTGGCAGGCGCAGTCCCGACACCTGAGACGGTTCTCAACGGGGTGAAACAAATTACACCTCAACTTATGGCCCTGGGTCGTGCTACTGGACGCATGATCCAACCTGATCACAGAGGTACGTACTTACAACAACCATATCCGTTTACATCCACATGAAATACGCATATGCAACACAGGTGTATATCCTCCAACGGATCGTTTCTCTGTTTTAACTTGTAAGTTTCGTTCTGTTCTTGAAAGAACTACGCTGACACACATCCAGACTGGTGGGGCCTCGAAGTGCTCATGCCTCCGCCCACGTTGGAATATTTGGCGGTGAGTCACAAGCATGCAAATCAGTTCGTTTTGCTGAGTATCTTTCTCAGACTGCTCAATCAATAGCTGCTTCGGTCGTGAACTTCTTGTCGGCTATGGCTCTGGTCCACAATGGGATTAGAGAAATCTTGCCCTTGGTTCGATATATCGCACAATACATTGAGATTGAATACGCGTCCATCAAGGCTCAAGACAAGGGCAAAGGTGTTGTCTGTGCAGCAACTTGGTAGGTACTTGAACTGTGCTTGACCATGCTGGATACTCATCTGCACTCCAGGTTGATGCCGGCGGCCTTGGTATGTCGAACACTTCCTTCCATTTCTTCCACATGCTGAAAATGTCATTGACACATTCCCCAAAGGTTCCACGCCCTTGGGACTTTCCTGATCCACCCGCATCGACTGAGCGCCCCCAAGCATTGGCGCAAGTCAAAGATGATGATGGGAGCAAGAGCCCCTATGAATCCCGGCCAATATCGTCAATGCTGGATATTGTTACACCGGCCGTCTCGGTCCCTTCTGTTGAGGCTTGAGGAGAGTGTCATGCTTTACGACGTTCACGACTAGTTACGACTGTTTTGTATGATAGGATACCCTAACTTGAATGACGATTGATTTGATCCCGGGGGTGACATGAGCCGGAGCATCACGGCCACGTGATGGCAAAGGCCGGAGCTTGGCCACGATAAATAGGGAGGATGCAGGTGAAATTGAGATTGCAAACACCAGTTTCTGGCGTACTTTGAGGATCTCTTCAAGGTCAGACCAGAATTCGAAGGGACCAGCCACTGTATCCTTGACCACACAAAATGTTGTCCAGAGTCGTTCGCGTTAATTCTGCGGTCGCTCGTCGTCGTCTCGCACAACCAGCAGCCCCAGTCGCCCGTTCGTTCTCCATCAACGCTACTCAGCGTTCTTCCGTCCCGGCCACCCGGTTATCGATTGCTGCCAATTCTCCTCGTCACATCTTTGCCAGAACCATGTCTGTCCACCACGGAGAATCCACTGTTCGACCAGATCCTGACCAGGTTTTGGTCGACATTGCCGACTATGTCCACAACTACAAAGTCGACTCAGAGCTCGCTTTCGAGACAGCCAGGCTTTGCCTGATCGACACCATTGGTTGTGGTCTCGAGGCTTTGCGCTTCCCAGAGTGCACCAAGCTTCTTGGTCCCGTCGTCGAGGGCACCGTCGTCCCCAACGGTATGTCCATCTAGCACCTGATTTCCCCGCATTCTGATCCAACACTCTCCACAGGCACCCGTGTCCCCGGTACCAATTATCAACTCGACCCTATCCGAGGCGCTTTCAACATTGGAACTGCCATCCGTTGGCTCGACTTCAACGACTGCTGGTTGGCTGCTGAATGTGAGTTGACCAGGAAATCTACGTGGGGAAAGGATGGCTAACAGCGATTTTATAGGGGGCCACCCTTCGGACAACCTCGGAGCCATCCTTGCCGTGGCTGACCACCTCGCCCGTCAAGGCCAGTCCTTGACCGTCCGGGACATCCTGGAGGCTATGATCAAGGCCCACGAAATCCAGGGTGGCCTCGCTTTGCTCAACTCCTTCAACCGAGTTGGCATTGATCACGTCGTTCTCGTCAAGATCGCTTCGACTGCCGTCGTCTCCAAGCTCCTTGGCCTCAACCGTGACCAGACCATCGACGCCATCTCCCAGGCATGGGTTGATGGACAGGCCCTCCGAACCTACCGACATGCTCCCAACACTGTCCCTCGCAAATCCTGGGCTGCTGGTGATGCTTGCTCGCGCGCCGTCAACCTCGCCCTCCTCGTCAAGAAGGGTGAGAAGGGTCTCCCCTCTGTCTTGACTGCCAAGACCTGGGGCTTCTACGATGTTGTCTTCAAGGTACGCAGATTCTACGTATATTGAAACACACTTTACTGAACTCTTATCAGGGCAAGCCCTTCCAATTCCAACGGCCCTACGGCTCGTACATCATGGAGAACGTCCTGTTCAAGATCTCCTTCCCGGCCGAGTTCCACGCCCAGACCGCTGTCGAGGCCGCCTACATCATCCACAACAAGCTCAAGGAAATGGGCAAGACCTCCGACGACATCAAGAGCGTCCGCATCCGCACCCAGGAGGCCGCTATCCGTATTATTGACAAGCAGGGTCCTCTCGACAACTTCGCCGACCGAGAGTATGTATATGTGGCTAGTGTGTTATGCTGCCCGCTGACCGTCTCTCCTTTAGCCACGCTATCAACTACATGGTCGCCTACCCCTTGATCTTCGGTGAACTCACCTCTGAGAGCTAGTACGTCTCCGTTTTGCTGGAAGCTTATCGTGATCCTAATCGTCCTTAAGCACCGACGCTGCCGCTGCCGATCCCCGTATCGACGCCCTCCGTGCCAAGATCTACTGTGTCGAGGAGCCCAAGTTCAGCACTGAGTATCACGACCCCGAGAAGCGCTCCATCGGTAACGCCTTGTTGGTCGAGTTGAACGACGGCACTGTCCTCGACGAGGTTGAGATCGAGTACCCCGTTGGTCACAAGCGCCGACGTGCCGAGGGCACCCCTCTCCTCATGGCCAAGTTCGAGAGGCACATTGCTGAGCACTTCGATGCTGCACATCAGAAGGAGTACGTGTCCACTCTGCCTTTCCCTGGTCAATGGAAACTAACTGATCTTTTTTTAGGATCTTGGACCTTGTCACCAACCCTGAAGAGCTCGCCAAGCTCCCCGTTGACAAGTTCACTGACCTCTTCGTCAAGGCTTAAATTAGTATATAACAGAATGCCTAAAACACTGTATCATCCACATTCGTGTAGCAAATAGACCTTTTTTTTTCGTGGAGATGGACTTGGTTGAAACTTGAAATAGGGACTTCTCCAAAAATGGAAGGCATGCGGACCGAGTCCCTCCCGCGAGGTGATGGGATCCCAGAATAGTGTTCCTGCAACCGCCATGGCGCGAAGCAATAAAAACGACGTTTAAAGCCTTCCATCACCTCCCCTGTACTCCTGCTTGCCAACGCCCACAGCAAACGACGCATTGAGCGATACCGGGTGAAGGCCACAACGCGCAACATGCAGAAACAGCGTGATGTGGAAGTCCAGAGGCAGGCAACTCTGGGTATGTTGAATCTCGGGTGCTCCGGGTCCTGCCTTGCTCAACACGTTTTATCGCCAACACAGGGCTGATCAGGAGGACGAAAAACCTCGATAAGGCGGGGAATAATGGTGCCCTGGTGCGTAGCAGCCAAGTTCTTTCTGCGTGGCAGGGTCGTGACTGAGATGTGCCTTGCGAACAGCGTCGAAACACCCTGCAAAGACTCATGGTCCTGTCCCAATCTCCCCATCCGGAATTGAAGATCCTCGCTGCACAGAACATACCCATTTACTTTTCAGACGACCCAGAGCAGGGAGAACAAGCTATCAACGCGATATACGACCTCTGCGAAGACCAGTCTTCTCAAGTCAGTCCGGACACCGTGGTTTCTCCGGTTGAAATTAACTGACCCATTCTTCTTTCTCATTTACACCTTCTTACTCCAATCTAGGTCCGAATTGAAGGATACAAAGCCATCTCTGAAATATCTCGGCTTGACAATAGATTGCTGAAACGGAACGCAGATGTTTTGTTGCAACTGTTGCAAAGTGGTGAGTGTGTTCCTCTCAACACCAGTCGTGATCAAATTTCGTGGACGTCTAGCCCCTTCCTCGTCCCTACCTTCCATTTTACGAAACGGAATTCATTTGTCAACATTGATTCCATTTAGATGAGCCAGAGGAAGTAGTCGTTGTGAAGAAGGCGCTCGTGAATCATGTGAAGATGGGCCCGGAAGTTACACTAGGGGTTTTGTGCGATCAGCTATCCACAGTGGAAGAGGGGTTGGACGAGGAAGAGAAAGCGATCAGGGAACGACTGCGGAAGCTTGTTTGCAATTTTCTGCAGGAAGATATGGGGAGCCTGATTGAGAGCGATGGCACCAACCAAGGTGACGATTTAGAGGAGGTCATTTTGCGAAGCTTCCGTGAGGTGAGTTTCCCTATATGTATAAACAGTGTTAGGACTTACTGTTGGCCCTGCAGGTCGTGCCGAAGTTGGAAATACCGACAATAGAACGCATCGTGAAAGATCTTGTGCTAAAGCTTCCTATCTTCCAGTCGCCTTCAGATCGTGGCAAGCCCTTGGTTGACGCCTTACTCGAAAGAGCCTTGCTCGAGCTTCGCAGTGCTGGGAAACCTTCGTTGTCGACTGCCAAGCCTCTTCTCAAACTAGCGCAAGATCTGGTCATCGTTCACCGAGTGTCTCCACCACTATCGCTTCTCCAGCTCTACTGTAATTCTCTCACAGGGCGAGTGTTTCTGCAGCAGCTGTCGCGCGACGAACGACCGTGGATTGTCCTTAGTCTTGCTGAACTGCTCTCGTTCTGTCATCAAAATGCGTCTGGCGACCAGGATGTGCTTCAACACCAATGGAAGATTGTCGATGCTACACCGTTCTTACTTGAGGTAAACTTTGTCACCCTCTCTCAAAAGCCTTGCTGACGCGCTATTCAGACTATGCTCACTTACATTAGTACTAGGAAATATAGTTCCACCTGCATTACGTTGCTCCGGAACTGTCTATACGTCAGTATCCATGCTCATTCCTGGTGATTGTACTCAAGTCTTTCCGATAGCGACAGAAAAGTCAACAGTGGAACATTACGCCCATCCTGAGAACCGCATTGGAGAAGCTGCGTTTCATGGTGATGGAGGCAATCCCAGCTGGAGACGAAAACAAGCGGGAATTGCAAAAGCTGCTTCTGGTTCGCATAATTCTTTTCTCTGTTGGCTCAAATGGACTCTCACTTCGACTAGTTCCTCATGCCTTCGGATGCCGTGAAGGGGATAGCGCCTCCTCCGAAAACAAGAACTCCTGAGATTGTAGCCCCTGCTCCTATACTTGCAGCTGCTCAAACGGGGCCCCGCAGAGCAGCTCTACAAATACCACACTCTCGACCCTCTAGTTCTGCGGGACCTAGTCGACCTAGCTACGGTGAAAGCAGGCCGACTTCAGCATTGTCTTCAAAGAAGCGCAAGAGCATCGGCGATTTATGCGAACCTCCTGCCAAAAAGTCACTACTAAACCGTTTACAGTCTAATACGCCAGAACCCTTCATGGCCTCCGCACCGCAACCTCAAGGCTTGTCGATCAAAGGTGCTGCTTCCAAGTCAGACGCGACAAGCAATCCCAGCAGTTCTATTTCCCCTCAACCCCCAAAATCTGGCGGCGGTTCATCCAATTCCCTTTTGGCTCGCTTGCAAGGCATGGATGCTACTTTTTCTTCCTCGCCTCTGTCAGAATCATCTGGATCGACATCTGAGTCCAGACAGCGCAGGAGAAAAAAGAGATGACGACACGGGGTAGAGGTGACCATACCAGTACATATGTCGATGTCACGACTATTATTTCTTTGGTATCGATCTTGGCTTTGGGTTGTGTGATATAGAGGCTAATTTTACGAATATACTTGTGCTATATTCAGTCTTAGGAAGTCCTGCGTAGCGGGCAGAGCAGTCCGTTCAAGAAGTGGATGCGAGTAAGCCTTTTTTTTGTCGTATCCTCGACTGCGGACTTTACAGCACTGAATACCGTGGCCATGGAGTGGGATCCGGAGTACCCACCGGGGGATGAGGGCTGTGCGATTGCTCACTCTCCTTTTGTAAAGGTAGGCTGTGTGTCGAGCTCGGTACTAAGAAGGGGAAGTCTTTGCTCGGGATAGAAAGCGGGGTGAAAGGCCCGCTCCAAGACCTGCCATAGAAGTGGCCTTCAATCGGGTAAAAGCTTGACCCGTTATCTACCTGCAGACCTCACTGATTTGCTTTGATTTGCAGTGTACTCAGTACTGTGTGGACTTAGACGTCCGTGCCCTTGAGCGGGGTTGCAAGTGTGAAGTTATTAGAAGCAGCGCAAAGGCCCCGAACATCTCTTGGTATTTGAAAACTCGACAACAAAGTGGCTGCAAGTGTCTATTCATAGCCACGTGTATTGTTATCAAAGGTAAATATCGCCACTAAAACGAGTTCACCAAGCCAACAAAGCTATCGTTATGACCTGAATGCTGAACCTTATTATAGCTTTTTTTCATCTCTTGTGAGAAGCCCGTCTCTCGAAAAGACAACTTTCCTCCGAGCGCTTTGGGCGAGGCAGTGAAACGCCGAGCGAACAAACACTAAACGTGCCATTGGTTCGAGTTTGCACATGCCGTTCAACTCCCCTTTGAGATTGCCGTTGGCCCGTTGCCATAATCACTATCTTTCGAACAAGATCCAAGGCCATTTCTTAGGTCATGGCGCTAATCACTGTTGGCAGTTAAATACCTTTGGGTTTATGGCACCCCTCGTTTCCACTACAACGTATACCAACCCCGGGCCCTCACCCTTCTGCTTCGAGGATGAAGTGCATCGGTTCTCTAGCGCTTGCTCTGCTCTCTGTTACTTCTGTTTTAGCGACAGTGGGTTCTCCATCCTCTCCGAGCTGACCGCCCCGCTGACTGTCTGGCCTTCTTGTCACTTGTGGCTAGGGATCGCTCTATCCTAGGCGCCCTCCAGGTGGTGGACATGGAGGTGGGGACTCCGACGACATGGACTTTCCACCTGGGAGCGGTCCAAGTCGTGGCGGAGGTTCCGGCGGAGGCAACGAAACCTCTTCAAGCCTCCGAGGAGATTCAAGATGTGTTTCCGTACGTTGTCCTTGTTGACAGAGAAGGTCCTTTGACTGAAGTTTCCTTCATTCTAGACTATGTGCATTGCTGCAGAAGTGAATGGGGACACCGTTCGATGTTCGTGTCGTCAAGTCTCTTGTTATACATCCCACTAACTTGGACGCCTTCGTTGTCTTTCATGCAACAGACACGTTGACAAGCCAGCGTCCCGAAGTTGGTTGGATGGCTATGTACGCTGATGATTCATTCGACCGTCAATTAGAACTAAATCACGGCATTCAGTGGATTTGGTCGCCAGATGGTGCGATCCCCAATGGTCATTCTATGGGCCAATTCAGATGGATCGATAACCTTGTCACAAAGACAAGCCGCTCGCCAGGTTGAGCCCGATGTGGTGGCCGCCCCTCCACGAGTCGCGACCCTGCAAAACTCTTTGTCAGTGGTAAGGCCTTGTCCGTTTCTCGCAGGTTGGACTTCGGGAACTGATGACCGTACTCTTCAATTTTCTGTGTGCTGCGGAACCATGAATAGGCTTCTGGCAACAATCAACGTTATGTGTTCGATATTCCTGTGGGTTTCATGACTTCCGCTTGTTTTACCTTTTTGGTTTCTTGAATTGACGAACCCGCGTTCCTGTTCTCGTCAGGCCAATGGCGATACCCAGCAATCCCTCATCTGGGCCTTCTCTCCCGTCCAACCATCTTCTTCTGACGTTGACGCCCGCCTGGTGCAACATACGTCTCAAGGCACGATTACTTTGGACTTAACAAGGACCACTGGGGGCGGCACGAATGGAGGCAGTAGCGACGATGCGGGCGAAAGCGTCCCATTAACGGGAAACCAAAAGACCCTCCTAGCTCACGCGGTTGTCGCAACCGTCGGTTTCCTCGTAATTTTGCCAATCGGAGCATTGATTCCCCGATATCTACGCACATTCGCCAGTGGATGGTTCAAGTTCCATTGGATTATCCAATTCATCCTTGGTGAGTGAATTCGGTTTGAGGTATGCTCTTTCTCATCACTGTTGAATTGAATTTCAGGTGGACTCGCCGTCGTCATTGGCGTCATCCTTGGAATCGTCGGTGTCGCCAACTCAGGTGGAACTCATGTCAACTCTACCCACAAAGTGAGCCCTACCGACATCTTGCAAGGCTATCTCGTACCCGCCCCACTGATACCAATCAATCTGTATCATCTAGCGTCTGGGCATTGCGTTATTGGTGCTCTACATTGTGCAGGTCTCCCTCGGTGCATTTATTCACTTTGTTAAGCCCAAGAATCGCCCCGGCCGGCCGCCACAGAACTACCTACATGCTGTCTTGGGTATCGCTATCATTGCTCTAGCGCTATGGCAAGTGAGGACGGGATATAGACAAGAATGGCCTGAAAGCACTGGGAGGCCGGCCGCCAATGGTGTCAACATTGTGTGGCATGTCTGGGTTGTCGTAGGTGTCATTTTGTTCTTTCCTTGAGGCGAGGGCTTACGGTGCATCCTAGCTGTTACCAGTTGCCTATGGTGCAGGACTTGCTCTCTTGCCCAGACAATGGAGGCAAGAGAGGAAGGCAAGACAAGGTGCGCTCACAATCTCACAATGCCATTCCATCTGTTCATGGAACATCGCCAGGCCACTAACTCAGTAAATATGAGCCACCCACGAAGTTCGACGCTCCCGCAGCTCGAGATTCCAAAGAATAGTGTATTGATTTTCCTCTGTTCGTAATCGAGAAATGGACTCAAAATGAAATCGATGGACCCACAACCCAGTTCCCTTTGGGTAGATAACCGCAGCAATGAGGTCATCATTCCTGGAATTCGCGAAGAAGTTCTGCAAATTGGCTGATGTGCGAGGGTCCTGTTCGACAACAACCTCCTGCTATCAGCTCCCTCCATCCTTCCGCCCCGGTCTCCGAGAGGACTCCCGTAAGGACATCTCTAAGTGCCAGTCCCCATTGGCGGTCAGCGTCAACGGGATCCGGAAGCCAACGCTGATTGGTCGTGTCATAAGTCCCTCCGTTTGGGTAAAGCACGAGGCCTAGTTGCGACAACGGACGGAACCTTGGAACCAATCGACATAGTTCCAATGTTCGTGGCAGAAGTGTGCCGAAAGAGGTGCAGTTGATCCCGATGGCAGACGGAAGGTCGTGGCCTTCACACAGAGCGGAAGAAACCAAGGGGAGGACCGAGGGGTTGGTAGCATCTGAGGGAACGACGAAGCTGATCCACCACGATTTGTCAAATGAGCGGTGTTCTTTGAATAGGTGTGTTCTGAGAAGGCCGACGGCTTTGCGAATTGCAATGACTTCTCGCGGCAGAAGCAGAGTTTCGAACGCGAGGTATTGGATAGAGTCCCACACTGCAGAGTTTTGACTGAACACGAGGAGACGGTCAAGGTGAAACTGAGCAAGAGCACCGATTGCACGGGCCTCCGCTTCATTTGAATCAAATGCCTGCGTGTTGGGACCTTCTGGATGATAAGCTTTTGGTCCGTAGGGGGGAGGGTAGAATCCTTCGAATTCTTGTGTTGGCCGCAAGGTTGCCCCAAATGGACCCAACGAAAGTGCGATGGATGCATCGGAATCAGCCGCGGCTTCTTTGGCCAAAGAGACTGCCTTCCACATAAGTTCTCGAGCTTCGTACTCCTGTAGACCAGACTTGATCAGGCCAGGGAGGGAAGCTTGATACCTGTGAACTAAGTTCAGAGCGAGCTTTTAAGCTTCCGGAGAAACAGGACATACGTAGCGGTTTCGATGATCGTCGCGCCTGCATTGATGAAATTTCTGTGGGTTTTCAAAACGCTCAACGGATGGCTTATGACAGCTTGTGTCGACCACAGGGGTCCTTTCGAGACCTCATCTCCTATGATATTTTCCAGATGCGTGCCCTTCAGGCATTGGAGTCACGACATGAATCATGTCACGGAACGGGACCTGGCCATCTGACTCACAAGGCCACCGTCAAGAATCGCAATTTTCGGCTTTGGCATTGTGTCCTAGAGACGATAAAGAAAAGCAAAGGGTAACCATTAGCCTTGTTAAACGTGAATAAAGACAAGTCTTCACGTACAATGTTTACAGAAACACGGTTGCTTGGACACGCTAGGCTGTGTATCGCGAGTGTCACTGTCAATGGCAAAGGGCCATCAAAAAACGCGTGTGTCGGCCCTTTAAAAGTTCAACGCGTCTGTACAGTCCGCTGCCTTTTAAACCCATTCCTCTACCTACAAACATTTTTACCCGCCTTTCATCTTCATTTTCATCGAACAGCAACCGTCACTGCGCCCGCGATTATGGACGACGAATTCAATGAGCCCATGCACCATGAAGCTTACGACGGGGAGGAAGAACAGCAGACACAATCAACCCAAGAGGCCTCCCAGTCACAGTCACAGTCGCCCGGTCAGGCCGTTGACGCGCACCTTTGGGGCTATCTTCAACCAGTGAACGACAAGCTCATTCGAATCGACTTTTGGAGAGCGGAACCTTCTTACACCATTGGGCGCAACACGACTTGCAACAGGATCATCTTTCCGGGTTTCAAAGTTAGTGAGTATCATGTCATTCAACCAGTCAAGGTGCCATTTACTTAGCCCTTGTGTCTTTAGGTAACAAGCATTGTACCATAACTTGGAACGGCAGCGACAGCAACGGCTCGGTGGTCGTTTTAGACCTGTCCAGTAATGGTACCTTTGTGAGCGCTTATCGCACCTCCTTGACCATTTTCGCATTCTAAGGCGGCCAACAGATCAACGGTTCAAAGATTGGCAAAAACAACTCTCGTATTTTGCGGGACGGTAACGAGATTGCGTTCGGTACCCCCTCACCTCAACCCAACAACCCTCATGAAGACTACCGTACGTTGAAAGCAATTAACCGATCGATTCTCTCCCGCATGCTCATCGTTGCAACGCAGGTTTCATTTACCGCCACGCCGCCAACGGTCCTCCTACGACAGGCCTTTATGCTTACTACGATGTCAGCACAGAGCTCGGCAAGGGTTCGTTTGCCACTGTTATGAAGGCTGTTAACCGGAAAACTGGGGTGTGGTATGCGGTGAAGATGATCAAGGACAAGCGGGCCGCCCACGCTGGGGACATTAGAAACTCGGCAATCGCTCGGGAGATAAGCATTATGGAGAAATTGAAGCATAGGAACATCTGTGAACTCAAGGAGGTCTTTATGGAAGAGGGCAGTAGTGATATCAGTGCGTTCAACTGTTCTCAATCCCCGTTCCTTTTAACTGACCCTTCGTTTCCCTAGACCTTGTTTTGGAACTTGTAGAGGGTGGCGACCTGCTAGAATACATTCTTAATCGTGGGGGCCTTAGTGAGTGTCTCCGATGGGCGGTCGCTTTGAATCGGATTCATTGACAGGTTTTGTTTGTAGGTGAGGTGGACGCAAAGCATATCACACACCAAATCTGCTCCGCACTATCGGTAAGTTTGTCGGCGCATCCCGAGATAAACCAGTTGACACAGGTACTTTTAGTACATCCACCAACAAGGCATCGCCCACCGTGACTTGAAGCCAGAGGTGAGGACCCTCTGTGACCATCCGATGCCATCTCCGCTGAACGCTTGCCCTATAGAATGTCCTTCTGACCAAGTCGAACCCTCCTGTGGTCAAGGTTGCCGACTTCGGCTTGGCCAAGATCGTTGATAGTTTGACGATGCTTCGCGTAAGTCGCCAGAGTATCGCGTTGGCGTCACCGCCGGCATCTTAGCTTCAATTCATTGACCGCTTTTTGGTATCACTACAGACTATGTGCGGCACGCCAAGCTATCTCGCTCCCGAGGTCGTCAAGCAGGTTAATCAAGAGGGCTACGACAATCTAGTCGATAGTTGGAGCGTTGGCGTCATCGTGTTCTCAATGCTAACCAACGCGAGTCCGTTCATCGAGGACGAGACGCAGCGAGATATTCGCACTCGGATAGCCGAGCGTCGCATTGACTGGTCCGTTTTGGAAGCTCAAAACCCTTCAGCCGAATGTATGTCCATCCCTGCATGTTTTCGGCCCTTTTCAACGGTAATCTAATTGGAAACCTTTTTCACACCACGGCCAGGCATCCATTTCATTCGTTCCCTTTTGCAGGAGGATCCTTCGGTCCGCATGTCATTGACGCAAGCTCTGGACCATCCGTGGCTGCAGTCATACATTCCCGTGCACCAATCGCAAGACCAATACCTTCTCGCCGGGGTCTCTTCTTCCCCTGATGTAACCTCCCCGAGCGCTGGCGTCAGCCATGATTTTATCGGGCTCCAAATCCAACCCTCTGCTCCCAGGCGTGAAGGGTCCCGCGGAGCTCCTCTCCAAAGGCGAAGCCACGTCCTGTCCCAAGCTGCCGAAGAAGGTCGACCCGTACCAGAACCATCTCCCGAGATGATTGCACAGGCCACCAGGTCCCCCAGGGATCAGACTAAGCGTAACAAGCGTGTTCGTGGCAATCTGACACCTCTCCAGGAAGAATCGGATGCTTCAGGGTCTTCTGGCAACAGGGCTGGGTCGTCTTCCTCGAACGGAAAAGCGAACAAGCGTCCTCGTCTTAGGTCCGCCGCCGACGACGACTCAGATTACGATTAATGGATAGTGCTCCCACCTGATTGCAGACATTTTTGATTATGACTGTCGCTCTGCAGCATGGCTATCTTTTGACTTTCGATATACCTTTCCATCTCAGACTTACCATAGACCCGTTTACCTGCATATTTGATCACTTCTCTACATCGTTTCGCTTTGGGAAATGCTTTCTGCACCTTATTCATTGTACATATACTGTATCAGCTGTTTTCTTTCAGTGTATATTATTTGACGACCGGAAATTGAATTTCGTATTTTGTCCATGGCAGCCAGTAACATTTGCTTAAGGCCTGTGTGGCAGAGGAGCCCGCAGACGGAGGTAAATGGCAGGTACATGTAGGTGGCGTAAGGCAGGCATTAGGACTGTACAGTAGCTGAACGTCCGAAAGGACGAGTGAAAGAGGTTGACGAAGTGTTGGTATGGATAATGTTTGAGTAGTCGATGAAGAGCCCAAGAGGAATAACGACAGCAAAACGACATAACAAAGCGAGAACATAGCGACAGCGTAAACGATAGCAAGACAATTGAATACCAAAAAGGAAGGATCAAGAATAAGGAAAGGGAAGGAAATGGGAGAAGCCGAGAAGAATACTTACCCAGAGTCGTTCGGTACAAAAAAGAGGGAAATCGGCAGAAGCACAGAGAAGACGAAGGGACTAGGAGAAAAGGGAAAGACTAACGAGCTTTATAATTAACGTTTCGTGCGTGCAGCCTTCGAAGAGGTCGGTTTCGCCTCGCTCTCCCCGAGGGTTGAAATAGAACGCTTCTTCCTCATACCACGCCGGCTTTCAGAAGGGAATTCACACTTCAACGACCGGCGGTGACATTGACTAGAAGGAAAAATAAAACGTAGAATTGCACGAGTGTCCACCACCTGTCAGCGCTCAATCATCTCAACGATGGACAGGGTTACTTACTTGCACGTATTCTCATCTCCGCCTGGCACGGGTGCACCACAGGCGATCTTTCTTCCTCGGCAAAACAAGCAGGCAAGAGGGGGCTTCTTGTCCCCGTTCTTTTTGGCCGGTTTAGACTTCGTGCCAGTGTTGCTGGGCGTGGTGGACGCTGTTTCCTCAGATTCAATCGGGGCTGGTTGGCCCATGGGTGACGGAGACGATTCAGGTTTGACCACTGTGGATGGTGGGGACCAGCTCGGGGGTACTACGTTGGAATCGTCACGCGAAGCATGGTGACTATACGAACCGGGTGACCCGGTATATTGGGTTTGATGTGTTGCGTTGTAAGCGGGTTTCGTATCGTAGGAAGTAGGTGGTGGTGGGGAATAGGCGTCGGGTTGCAGGGTATAGGACGGGGAATAGGTCGAAGGCATCGGTGGGCGGTCCACAATAACAATCTGTTGCACGGGAAGGTTGGGATTAGGGACTATATGCTGAGATTGTAGTGGCTGGGGGCCTTGTGGGTACCGCGAGCCCGAAGCGCTCATCGGCTGTTCCAACGAGCCCATTGCAGGCTCTAGGTATCGGCCATTAGTCTGCCGAGAATGACCGGGCGTCTGGTCAGAGTAAGGCGAGAACGCGGCTTCGGAGGGAGGTGGATAATCTTGAGACGGGACGATGGGGACGTCTTGCGATGGAACGTGCCCCCGGTCAGAGTAGCTCAAGGTTGACCCAGCCTGAAGGTCATGGCACTGCATTATGAACAATTCAGAAAGACCCAGCCCATTAATCACTTACCGCGGAGGTTTCTGACATCTGGAAGGCAGCTGTATCCAAACTTGAGTTGCCCAGGGAGGGTGTTGGATTCTGTGGTCGCCCATTCGCAAAGGAGGATGGAGACGACGCCTGCAGCGACCCGTTATTCGAATCGTCGACCCGCATGTGGGTGTAGGAGTCGTATGTGATGGGAAGGGACGGAATGTGCAACCCCTCGTTGTTCAACGAGCTGGGGTACTCGCTCTCCGAAGCAGCAGTTTCATGAATATAAGGATATGAATCTGCCGGACAGGCAGGCTCCTGGGTCATGTCCCAATTGTTGGCCAGGAGCGCCATTCGAGCTGCCGGAAAGGTATCGAAGAACTGTTTTTCCATGTCCCTCATTGTGGTCGCAAAAAGACTCTCGCCAGGGGCTGAGTCACCTCCAGACCAGTAGTGGCCATAGGCGCTGTCGTCGTTGTGGCCGGGGTACATTAGTGGATGGACGATGGTGGGAGTTGCTAGACAAGGGGCGAAGATAGGCTCATTGGTGGACTCGAAAGAGAAGAGGGCCTGAGAACTGATGGACCTACAGCGACCGACCGAAATTATACATCGAGTTCCTGACTTTTTCGCTTCCTTTCTCACATGCTGAGCGTTTTTGATTCCTCCTCTCTGCCAAACCATGTCAATCAATGAGATTTAATTTCCTGACACAATCAGCTATCCTCCTCCTTTTTACAGCATCTTCATCCTCCTCAATAGGCCCAGAACTTGTTATTTCGACCCGTTATTCTCTACCCCCAGCATGCACTGAAATGACCTCAGTTGCCACCACGAGTACACATTGATACCGACAGCTGGCTCGATGGGGTTCACGTTGTTCAATCCTAGTTAGAAGGGGATACGGAACTAAAATAAATGAATGGCAAATGAGCCAAGAAATCTTGACATACGCACTTGCATCAGATATCGCTCCCAACAGACCATCCATTGCAGGCAAAAGTCGTTTGTACCTTGACAGCACATCGCTGCATCTATACCAAATTAGCAGAATCTTCCCCCATATACCAAGCTCAGATACTGAGGCAAAAAGCGGTCTATAAATACTGGCGACAGATAAGGGATATTGAGGTCATATTAAGAGGTGATTCGTTCAAGGGAATCCCCCGACAGTTGCTAGTCAAAGCAAAATCCAGAGCCCGGGAAAGAGTACAGAAAACTAATCGTCCTACTTCTCCTCCGTCGTAGAATACCCCTCAGCATCACTGCTGGTGGCGGCCGCCCACTGCTCCTCAAAGCGACCGTGCCTGAGGGTGGGGATATTGGCCCCCCTTTCCTTGAGGAAACGAATTATTTCCTTTACAGAACGGTAGCCCTGTACCTGTTCGGGGTCTGGAATACCGTCGATTCCCTTTGAGTCTGAGTGCGATTGCGCCGGCGAAACCGTCTCTCCATATAGTTTTGCGAGGTGGAGGGAGGACTTCACTCTCTTGTCCGAATGGTTTTCCAGCTGATCAAACATACTGGCGAGGGCATTGATAGCCTCAACACGCGCTCGCAACACATGTCGGACAAGCCGGCGTGAAGGAGGCCTGCGAGCCGATCGACTCTTCACCGGGGGTTCTTGCTGCAGTTTCAGATCAGTTAAGGAGGTGGACCTTTCAAGAGCTCCTTCCTTTGACTCCTCATTCTTGGGAGAAACCCGTGCCTTGTCAATCCAGGGATTGGGTGGAGGAGTCTTGGGTGTCATGAACTGAGACAGAGCACCCATGGAAAGGTCGAATCGTTTCGGGGTCCAAACGCCAACAAGCACACGCCACGCTGCGACAAATCGTTTCGCCCTGAAGAGAAAGTTCAAAGCTGTTCACCAATACAGAGTCCGAAACGCCTACTGACCGTTCATAATTGCCTGAATCGAGACCAACCATGAGTTACAATCCGTGGTGAGTGGAGTTCAAAATACTCACCATCGATCATCTTAGTGTGATAGAAAGCGAAAAGATAGACCAACGACCCGGCGAGGATGGCACCAATGGGCGTATACCAGAATAGTGCCCAGAGGAAAAAGAATACTGCCGGGTACAGAAGAAGCGAAGTGATCAAGCCCAAAGCGACCTTATTTTGCGCTTGAGTCTCCTCTTCGTCTTCCACCAACCTCGCTCCCATTCTTCCCATCATGTAAACGGGGAGATGGACAATGAGGGGGAGGAAGAAGAAGGGAAGGCCGATCAAAGCAGTAATCGAATCCCGAACTAAGATCAACAACGTAAAGAGGCGGCCAGGTGTCGTGGTTGGAGTGTTGGGGTCGAGTGAACGTGGTAGTGGCAAAGAAGAGAGTACGCCGTTTGTGAGATGAGAAGATTGAAGGAGAGAGTAATAGGTCAACAAGTGCCGTCGCACCGAGTTGAAGTTGGGAACGATATCGGGGTTGGAGAACAGATCGACGAGGCTTCAGACGGAGCATGAGCATGGATCGGATCGAAGAGGACTTGAAGCATACGTTTGGGAAACGGGGACGAAATTATCCAGTCCGACGGAACGGTCTCCTTCCCACAGCAAATCTTTAGCCATTCTAGCCGCGTAAAGAGTGTCCCTGCCATGGGTTCAGCTGCAAGGTCCAGCTGGTGCATTGGGAAAACATACCAATCGGGCGCATTGATAGTTGATTCCACAAGTTCCGATTCCAATGTCCGGGTGAGACACTTGACTGCGCTTCGCGGAGCATTCTCTTCGGTAGAGAGGAACTGCTCCTTGAAATCGGCCGCTGAGATGGGCTTCCCATACCTGTTCGAAGTTAATGAGGTCACATCTTCGTCCCACCCTATCCAAGTGAGGTGACATACTCAACAACGACCTGCAAGGGCCTGTAAATTCCAGTTACATACAAGGCTTGTCCATTGACTTACGCTACTGCGGTACTTTGACTTGTTGGTGTAGACGATGGCCGCGGGCACAATCTTGACGTCTGGTTGATCCGCCAGCTCCGGGTGCGCCTCCTTGTACTTGTAGTATTCCAAAGCAGCCCAGGCCGCTCCGTCCTTGACCTGCATGATGCGAGGTTCCGTATAGCTGGTTCCTTCAGGGAACAGGGCAACTGCGTTCCCCTTCGCCAAGGCCTTGAAGGTACCATCGAAAAGTCGTTGCCTATCCTTGGATTTACGGTCCACGGGGATGTTGCCAGACGAATAGAGTATCCAAGCGACGGCTGGGTTCTTGAACAGCTGAGCTGCGAGCGGTTCAGCACGCAGACTAGCAAGCAGGGGACTGTTGATAACTCACCTTTACTCCAGTAGTTCAGCTTGCGTTTGTGAGGGAATGTTACAGCTAAACATCGGCAATTCAGTATTCAACCCCTGATTGCAGGGCTCGGGATACTGACAGAGAATAACTGGGTCAAGCATCATGTTATGGTGAGTTGCAGTCCTGAATCCAACGTCAATTCGGCCATCTTCAATGTACACTTCTCTCGAGTATGAACGTACACGATGATTGGGCCGTCCTTTGGGACATTCTCCTCCCCAATAACACGGATTTCGTGGAAGAACGAGTGTGACGAAAGATATGCAAGGAATCTAATGATTCTATGCAGTAACATAAAATCTTCGCCCTGCGGTGGTGGTGCCATGGTGGTCGTCGGTGAGCAACTCTCAGCGTTCGTTGGCAGGGCGCCAGAAATGTGTGCCACAGTCTACAGCGGCAGGCTTCAAAGTTATTGCTTCCGGCCAGCGCGTGCTCGTAGCGTGTGACACACCTTCTATTCCTGGACAACGCGCCCCACAGCATCTTAAAGTTCCCCCAATATTTAGGGAGCAGATATTTCATGTGTTTTCAGCCTAAGCAATTGAGGCGAGAGTGTGATTACTGTGTGCTTGTATAATTCCAAAACTCGGTGCTCACATCGCCTTTGCCTTGAATCCACCGTGTGGAGCGAACGGAACCTATTACAGGGCATCCAGATTGGCGCCACGGGCGCCAAGTGAACAAGGAGACAGGGGCCAAATTGACGCGCCCCCCACCCCCGACTTTACTATCTTCCATCAACTGAAAAAGGCAAGGTAGAGATGTCCGTCAATTTCACATTATTTGACAATGCTTCTCAAGAGGGATCTCGGATTCACCGCCTGACAGAAGCAATGCCAAGCGCCAGATTGGACAGCCAGCCTCGAAGGCAACGGCATGTTTCTGGGTCAGGACTCCTTAGATCTGATGCATTCTGTACACCAACATTCGTCCCGTGCCGTAGCAGCAACCATATGTGTGAAGTCACCGCTCTTTCTTCGTTACTCCCCGGAGTTTGCGAATGCGCATGCCGCAGAAGTCTTGTCGTGGGTTGAAATATCGATTCTAATGAATAGGGCCATCATCATCACAAGCCAGTCCCGAGAACACCATTTCAATAGATTGTTCCAGTCCCTGCTATCTTTGGGTGAGTATCGGAAGCGGCATTCACAGTACAAGATCCACTGTTCCCGAAAAAGAGAGAAGAAGTCTCTCCCTGCGATGTTCCACATCGCAGACGGGTCGTTATTCGATTCCAGTATGTACTTCAGGTTGCCTACATAACTCGGTGGGAGTGGACACGCCTTTATTTCACGGTCACGCCCATTTGATAAAATTATATCACGAACAAGGGCCGTCCACGACCCGTTAGGTGCACGAAATAAAATCGAAGTTGAATGTGACGACCGCGGTTCTATAAAATGAGCGACAGGCTGGTAGATAAGTGTCGTGAACAGCAAGTACGAGCCCCTATTTTTCCTTATCTTATCTTATCGTTTTCATCGCCCTTATCACCTTTTCTTTATTCTCATTTTTGCTCTTATTCTCGACACGGACACTTTCTCCCATGGAACACTGCCTCGTTATGCCCCTTCGCCCTACGTCTTATTGTTCTCTCCATTCTTGCACTGCCTCGTTACTCTGTTATTATCTTCTTTATTCTTCGCGCAGCCTTCGCGCAGCCTTCGCGCAGCCTTGTGAGTCTCCTTATTGTTCTTTTGTATTTCACCATCTGTTCGTCATCTTGACTCATCGCGGCTATGTAGATTGTAGAATAGGTATATAAGCTAGGTAGATCCCTCTGTATTTCCTCAGCTTGACCTCTTCGTCAATACATCGCTTCAGCATTCATCAGCATTCGTCGCTCATCGCTCTTATCTCGCTCGCCGTTCTTACCTGCTCCGCATCACTGGTCTTTGGTTTGGTTTAGTGTACGCTCTTCGCGACAATAAGCTTGTCTATCCGTTAACCCTTTGAAACTTCGCCGTCGCGAAGTGTGAACCTTCCTCTTATGCAGTAGGCGATGAATATCATACCTACGCCAACAGGCCACGAGACCCGATTTTCTTGCGAGTATACTCCAAGCAGAAGCCAAAGGCGGCCCCTTTATGCTTTACGTTTGGAATTACCGCAATTTGGCTTTGATTTCTCCTTTCTAGCCAAGAAACACCGCTTCTATTCAAACCTACCCTAAAGGCTTGCGGACCACCGGAACCTTTGGTCATTTACCTCTCTCTTTACATACTGACCATGGATCATGTGTCCTCTCCATTCAATACCTGTAACCGCGTAACCTGCTAGCCTTTCGTAAGTTACGAGCCTATTTCTCATCCTCTCCCTTCCCTAGGTGATTGTATCTGGGCTGCAGTCAGAATAGGACGGGGTATGTGGTCATTCGCAAACAGTAAAACAGTCTGTAACATGTTAACAAAGAAATCAAGATAACGGAAACGGGTACTAGTTGGCAGTCATGAAATTGATAAGTAACAAGTATGGAATAGAAAAACAATGCCTTTTGAAACGGGAATCAAAGCTTCAGAGACAACTGTGATGTACAACGCGCCCTCAAAATGTTATCTGACGCTCAAACATGACCATTACAGCGGAGATCTAGAATAGTTAATCACTGGTTCGTGGAAGGGTTAGTATCTGGTAAGTCCTGGACAAATGGCCACCTTGAGTTAGGCGGTCTTGGAGTCTTTAGTCGGATGGGGTGGGTGTCGTAGAGGAGAAGGTTTGTCGTGGTCCAGGGGTCAAAGGCTCAACCTCTTCGTCAATCGTGTCTTCGTGTCGGTACTTCTGGCTAGACCTTCGTGGCCGTTCATCATGGGGTTGTGCACCGTTGAGTGCGCGTTCCAAGGCTGTTCGTGTTACGTCAAGACATGGTCGACTGAGAACCAAAGGTCACCCATACCTTTCTCGCCTCGTTTCTTGAGCCTCAAAGTCATCGCGGACTGGAGTGAGTCGATGTACGAGTCGTACTTAACGATCTCAGTCAACAGATATTGCGATTTCTTCTCCCAGTTGCTCTGCGCCTTCATAGCATTCGCCGTGCGGGGTTGATACTTCAAACGGCATCAGACCCAATCACAAGAAAATGGAACAATCGAGACAAACTCACCAATGCTGACATAGCTTCTCGTAATTCGTTGTGAAGTTCGAGATCTTTCTTCATCGAATTAACATGCTTTCGCAACGCTTCCAACTGGGTCTCTTCATCGTGAACACTCGCCACGGAAGGAGGCATCGGCGGTTTCCAATCGTTGATGAATATCTTCTCTGACCACGCCGAAGGGGAAGCCCGAGGTCCATCACCTCGCCACTTGAACTTGCTATGTCCACTCTTTCCGCTCTTGACGCTCAATCCATCCGAGGTATCGGCCAGGGTATGTTGCGATTCAGATTGAGAGAGTGAGGTGCGTTGGCCGTTGAGATCTACCACGCGACTCCATCCGTATTCCATATTGGAGACGCCTCCAGCCAACGGTTCCTTACTGGTGCGAGCGGCCCAATAATTGCAGGTCGAGACCCATTCGTTGACTAGTTCTTCAGTGCCCGCCTGGAAGAAATAGACACCGCCATTCGATAGGGTCAACACCATGCAATGTGGCCGCTGCCTATTATATCCAGGTGGGGGTAATGGATGCGCGAGAGAATGCGCCAGATGCACAGTTCCGACCGGTTGGGCGTTGTTCTACTATCTCGTCAGCAAGCAGTGCGAAAAGGGAATAAACAACAACCCACAAGCCAGTTACCGCCGCCAAGAGCACCGGATCCCTCTCCTGAATTTTCACCAAAAACAAACATATTGAGTTCCCCTCGTTGGATGACCACAAAGACGTCGAGCCAATTTTTGTCCTTCGCCCGCTTGCCTGCAGACTCCCAGTATTGCTTGCGACAGAGCATGCCTTCTTTGGCCCACGGAGCGCCGAGCAGCGCCAATTCTTCGTCAGAGATACTGATGGACGTTGAGGTGGTATCGTCGCTTCGGATACTTCGGTCATCGTCTTCCTGTGCTTCTTTTATGATTGTATGTGACAGGTTGGAGGCAAATCCGAGTGTAGGATTCAAAAATGACGAGCTTGAACCGTACATCGCCTGCAATGTGAAATTTCAATGCGTTATCTCGAGGATTTGAAACGGCGACCTTACCTCATGGGTAGATGCAGCGAAACTGGGGGAGGGACTCACACGGCCATCAATGCTGCTATTGCTGCTATATGGACTCGCACCCGATTGTGGACTGAGGATCGAAGATATTCCGCGTATGCTCCCTCGTTTGAGGGTGGTCAAACGATCAGGCTGGCCCGCACGCAGACTCCGATTTCTCATAATACCTCCTCCTGGGCTCAATGAAGACATAGACGTCCGCCCAACAGAGCCCAAGGGTTGAAGAATCTGTTGATTCTTGATCGCATTATACATTTCCTAGAGTAGCAACAGGATGGTTAAAGCGCCACCTTGAGGGTTTCATTAATGTTGACCACAAACCTTGAGCAAGCTTTCCATTTCGATTTCCCAAGAGCGACCATAGGATGGACCTGAGGCGCCTGTCTCATGTCCGTTGGTGATGTGGAAGGAGGGTGTACTGCCATTCGGCAAGACAGCAGTCGATCCGTTGACAGGGGTGGTGGGAACTTCATGAGATACGCTATCCCAGCTAGTGATACTATCACTCCGCTTGGTGCGTGTGAGGACTTCGCTGTCTTCGCTGCTTGCGGTTGGCAGGCTGCAATCGTCGTAGGTTTCGGATTGAGAAGGTGTAGGAGCCGCACTGGGATTGGTCTGGGTCTGGATGGCCGTTATGGTGTTTCGGACGAATTGATTCCGCGACATTCGTGTTGATAATTCAGCGACATGAAGATCGGTGTTGAGAAGCAGAAGGGAGTAAGCGACGGCGTGTACAATATCTACGAAAATATATCAGTGGCGACCAATGGGATCGGTAGGCCGCAACTCACTGGCACTGCCATAAATTCCGCCAGGGTTGCATTCCCAGTATCTTCGACTGAATGCCTCCAAGATTCGGTCGACTTGTTGCGTTTCACCCTTCAAATAGAGCTTGGCGCAAAGTCGCCTTTCACCACCCAGTCAGCAATCAGAACTGGGACCTTCAAGATGTCACATACCTGAAGGCAAGGTCCAAACGTAGGCCCGTAAAGTCAAAGTGATCCATGTAGTAGTGGAGTGTAACCTTGTTGATTCGGCCACTGTTGGTATGTTCAGCGAAAAACCCATTTCGGCAGGAGTAATGCTCACGTTCCGCCCAACCATTCCGCAATCTTCTCTTTAGGTAGGAAGTCATCGTTTTCATTCTGGCATCGCGCAGCAAGTTCCTTCCCGCGAGTGTCCAGATCCACGGTTTCGTCTCCGCCGGGCGAGAGGGTTGCTGCACCATAACGCGACGAGGACAAGTCTCCGGAAACTTTGAGAGACAAGTCCTGATGAGATGTTCGACGAGCAGAAGCAACTGCGGGATAGAGATCGCTGATCAGTACTGGTTTCATGAAATGAAATTAAAGAAGTAAAGAAGCAACATACTCATACGTGTATCGTGCTCTGGAAGGAGAGACGGTTCTGAGCTGGATGCGGTGGAGCGGTGAAGGACCCGTAACCGGTTCGCATCTCTCTGTGGGGAAAGCATATTGACGGGTCCGCTTTGGGATCTGAACTGCGAAACGCCCAATCTCGAGTTGTTCAGCCGCGAGTTAGGCGGCCCTCCAGATCCCAAGGGAGATCTAGTCTGTAACGAGGAGCTTCGTGGTGGAATGACTATGGATTGGGGAGCAGGTGAAGAGAAAACGTCAGCAATTTCTGGGCTGGAAGGCTTGCTAGCAAGAGACGAGCCCGAGCTGGCAGGCGCAGTGTCAATCCTTGGTCCTAGCCGAACCTCGCTTTGGTAGCTAGACCCTGATGACACTGATGTCCGACCTTGTTTTTGTCGGTAAGCAATCTGACGAGCTGGAGTAGAAGGATCGTGAAGGTCCAGCGAACCTTGAATGGGGTCGAGTTGGGAGAGTTGGCCTCTAAATTCGTCCAGGATTCCATGCAAGGCGGAATCGTCTGAACCACGAGTGCTTGGCCGGTTCGGCTCGGCAGGCTGCGGTGGTGGTGGTTGAGGTTTCGACTGGGGGACAGGCGACGTTGGTACAGATTTGAAGTCCACTTGGCCAACGCTCAGGCTACGTCGCTTAATCGTGCTGGCGCTAACAGGGGATACGGGCGGGTCGGGTTTGTCGGTTTTGCTAGGGAGCGGTGGAGGGATGGATGATTTCTCAACGAAAACCATAGACCTATCGTCTGAATCGTCATTAGTTTGCATGAGCCGTTGCTCTGCGGTGATAACGGGAAGTGGCTTGCTTGTATCGAGATGGGGCCTGTTGGCTGAACTAAACACGTCTGCGATGGGCGACGTTGAGGGTAGCCTGTGCTCTGAGGGAATGGGAGGGACGGGAGGTGGAAAAGCGTCGAAAACGGAGGGGTGGCTCGGGTAGATGGAAGTGCTGTTGGCAGTGGCATCGGTTTTCTGGCAATATTCATGATGATGAATGGCTGTAACTGGCAGGAATAATTGGATAGTCTTACTGATCGTTCTCTAACGCTAGACTGGCCAAGCATCTTGCCGAAAAAGTTCCTCACTGAGGACTTGGACTAGAATACGGATGGTGGTCATTTTTCAGCTCATAAATCATGGGCTACTGCTGGACATACATTCAAACGCACCTTGGTTCCCTGTTCCTTGTCCTTCGAGAACCCTCTAGTGCTACTGTCGAATTCACCCTTGTTCTTCTTCAGCGTCGCAGGGGACGAAGGCGTCGACGAGGGGCTTGTCGTTGTCGAGGACCTTGGACGGCCTTCCCTCTCAGGAAGAGGCGGTGGTGATTCCCGGCGCTTGTCTTTCTTCAGGTGATGTGGTATATTGACGGGCTCTCCCCTCTCCTTTGCTTTCCGTAGCAAAGTGGCCAGGTCAGGACTGCTTGACGTGCCAGGCGAACGATAAAGGGACCTCCGGTTGATCTGTCGTTCCCCGTCCTCGGCATCGTAAAACAATTCTTGCGAAGACGACGAGGAGGGTGATGAAGCCTGGAGTTTGTTGCTCGAGTTCATGTTGGATACAGAGGAGGCAGCCGACACCGACGAGGAAGGGCCTTGTTGGATGGGTGACGGTGTTGGCGGAACGACGACTGGGGTTGAAGGAGCAGCGCCCCGCGAAAAGCTTGGTGTTGTCGGTGCTTTGATCGTGGAATAACTCTTGTTCGCGGGCGATTGGACTGGGCTATCGACGACCCCCAATGCACTCATATCCAGCCCTTCCTTCAGAACAAATGTCCCTTCATTCTGCAGAGCCTGCTCAAAATCCATATCCGTTCGTGAAACACGTCGCTGGATGCGCCTGTCATCGGATGAAGCGACGGGCCTTAGCCCCTGCTGGTAACCATTGGGACCGTCGCGGTTGCTGTTGCGGTTAGGATATTGTTGCGCTTGTGAGCGCGACGACGACGCCTGCGGTCGGAAGATGGACGCCAGGGCGGGCAACGAAGCTTGGAAGCAACTGCAAGTACAACCAGGCGAACAGCCTCCCTACCCCAACCTCGATTTCTTCCAAATGCCGCCGCCGTCTCAGGTGGGAAAATACGCACACGCTCACACAATTTAATTCAGTCATATATGATGGCACTGACAGCAGGTACTTATAAGTCTACAGTTCGTTGATACATATGGGTAACTGGAATAGTTAAACGTAGGAAAGAAAGGAAAGGGCTACATAGGAAATATGTCTCAGAAATCTGAAGCATGTACTACATCATTGCGCATCCGAAGAACCAACTAAATGAATACCAGATGTCCGCCGTTGTCGTTTCATAGAAAGCGTACCACCAGCAACCGCAACAGTGGGCGCAGGGGCGGCAGCACGTCCAGTAGGTGTGCGAGTAAGACTCGCAGTCAATGTAGAACTCGACTGCGACCGCGGTCGCGTAGAGTACGAAGCCAGCTTGGGTAGAGTTTGCTTTCGAGAGTTGGAGCCTGGTGCCGTTCCTGACGTACGGTTCCTGGGTGCAGGGTGTTAATGAATCGTCAGGGCGATGACGAGCTTGAGTCAAACCCACCTCTTCTTGATAACATCCGTCTTGAGCGATAACGGTCGAACGACACCGTGCAGCTTCTGTGATCCATTGTCAGTATCCAAAAGCCGGAGGGACCAGAGGCGATGTGCTACTCACAAAGAACAGTCCACATGCATTACCTGTGATGATAAAGGGGCGTCATGTTTAGCGAAGGAAAGCTGGAATTGAAACGGGGCGCGACTTACATAAAGGTTGTCCCTCTGGATCTCGTCGCCATAATGGGGTGTTGGTGGTCTGGCAATTAGTGCACTGGGTAGGCGGCTGATCCCCATCCTCTCCATTACCCTTACTACTTGTCGCCGGCTTCGTCGAAGTCGAGGACGACGCAATCTGTTCGTTAAGATCGGGGGTACTGGTGGCACTTCTGGCGTCGTTGCTCCCGGATTGTTTGACTGCAGGTGCAGGCATGGACTTACGTCGTTGGAGATCTTGCCCACCTTGATGCAGTGAGATGTATTTCCGCTGTTGAAGTGAGGACGTGAGTCCACCAGGGCGCACTGTCGCTTGAATTTGATTATTGGAGGACGAATGTCCTTCCGTGGAGGGTGGGGTCGAGGCATTTGATGCGTTGTAGGGCTCAGGAGAGGCGGCCGTGCTCGAACTGACACCATTCCAGCCATCGCTCGAGGGGCTAGCGTGGAACGCAGCATATCCGGTGGCATCTACTTGTCCCACAGATACCAGCTGGGTGGGATCGACGGTGTAGGGGATCTGGTTATCGGGATAGACCAGACCCATCAATTGCCTGTAATCGAGCAAATCATCTGGAATGTTTTCAAGCTGAGCGTACCCCTCCGCCATGACGGCTGTAGCGGCGGCAGCGGCAGCTGAAAGCCCGCCCTCGGGACCCGAGGTGGAAGGTGATTGCCCTGGAACTGAGGATCCTCCATTCACAAACAAGTTTGCAGACGACTGATGCTGCTGTTGGCTCGCAGCTAGGGGCGAAGGAGAGACTGTAGACGTTGCTGGAAGATCGAATATGCCTTCGTATGGCGCAAAGGCAAAGCTGAAGTTGCTAGTCGGGAAAGGACTTGTGGATGCGACGCGATCCACCTCCTTCTCGATCGGCGAGTGTATATCCACGTTGGAAGGATCCGCACGTAATAAACTGTCGAAGTGAACCGCTTCGGCGGGGCGTTTAACCCCAGGAGACCACGGCTTTCCGTTGACCTGATGCCTGCCCTTCACGCCCGCATGAAGATTGTCCTTGGTGACAGTGTGGTCGAAGCTCGTTTTCCTGACATGGCGAGGGAAATCGAGAGGAGGTACTTGCTGCTGTTGCGGTTGCTGAGGAGGCACATGTCCAGGAATCATCAAACGTGAAAGAGGTCCATGGGCGGGAAGAGAGGCCGGCGCGAATGAAGGTGAATTGAAGCTGGAAGCAAGCTGCCTGCCAGGAGGATAAGCGACATGAGCGTACCGACTTTCTGCGTTCTCGAACACGGAAGGAAGCTGCTGGTACTGGGAATTATAGAAATCCCCCAGGTCTGACTGACTGATACTGGACGATAGCGGGCTGTGACGTCCAAGTGAAGGCCCGGGAATGTTCAACGTGTTTGCCCTTGGCATGTCCTTGAAGTCCAACGTTGGGTTGGGGGCAGATGCTGGGAAACCCAGGTGGCCGGGTGCGAAGATATCATTCATGTGCTGGTCGAATGTGTGGGTCGACTCGGGCGGCCTTGAACGAGACCGACTTGTAGCCCGCCAATCCATTGAGACGCGCGAACGTGAACGGCTCATGGCACGCCAGTCCATGGCGACAACACTGTATAAGAGTAAAAAGGGGGGACTCGGCGGTTGTTTGCACATATAGATCGAGAATGACGTACTCGTCTTCCTCTATCCCATCCGGGTTAGTGCCATCAAAGCCCACCACCCGGACTCTCGCCTTACCCTTGTCTATTCTTCGACCACGTTCGTTACCTTCAGGTTGATCGACCTCTGACTTTGGTATTTCGGGGGATGTGGGCCGTTGTTGACTGGATTCATTCTGCTTCATTTGTAATTCGGCTTCGACGGAGCTGCCACGCCCCTCTTCCTCCTTCTTTTTCAGGGCCATGGCCATCATCCTCCAGGTAATGTTTTCCATCCGTTGGGCATGCGGCAGATTCGCTTTAGTCCTCGCATACATCTTCCACACCTGCGTGGCAAGCGGGTCCTCTTTCGCCATCTGTTCTGGGTCCTTTTCAACTTCTGGGGCGTGTTGGAAAACGGGGGAGCCACCTATACGAGGTGATGTGAAGGGTGATGTGGCCTGGGGTGATACGGAAGGATTGGTGGTCGTAAAGAGGTCATCAGAAAACAGATCTGTAAACAGTGTCGACTTGGAATCGGTCGTGACAGAAGCGGATGGTGAAATCGGGGACTGAGTGTGGGAAGATCGACGAGAATCTGGGATAACAGACGGTGGAGAAGGATCGTTCAGCCTCTGGTACGCCTGGAAAGGCGCGCTGGAAGAGGACGCGGGGGACATCCAAAGCGACGGAGGTAGTCCATGACTTGGACGCTCACCTGGGAAGGATAAGGTGGGATTGTATTGGACAGAGGCAGGGCTCCCGTCACCGGAGGAGGCCTGGCGGGGGAAGGAACCGTGCTTTCCCAACGTATCGAGACGAGATACATGAATACTATTCCGGGAATTCTGGATCCCTGAAGAGTGTACATCGTCTACGGAAGAATAAAGATAACTTAGAAGTCCGTTGCTGGTGCATAGTGGGACTCCTGCAAACTCACCATTAGCAGAAGAGCCTTTACCGTGAACAAACCCTTGACCTGGGGAAGAGGGGTTGGTCGCTGCAAGTTTAGACGGGAAGGGTCCTGCGGCGCCGAACATTGCAGAGGGTTGCGTCCATGAGCTGGAAGCTGATTGGATATTGACGGCGTTGTTCGCTGCCATATTGTACGAGTTGGTAAACTGCTGGGGCTCAGTCGAAGGCATCGCCGATGGGGATGCCATGACCGGTTGGTTAAGCACACCGCCAGCAGCCAATGCTGCGAACATGGATGGATTCAATGGAGCAGAGAAAAGACTATTCCACTCTGATTCCGACAGGGACGAGAATGACAGATTCAAGGCTGAGTTGAGCTGGGCTCCCTGAGCGTCGTCAGATGCGGGCTGGTTCGTGCCCACAAACTGCTGATTCTGGGGCCAGGTAGAAGAATCAAGGTGATCTGCCGCGGACGATGGGCGAGAGCTCAGGTCCCTGCGGTGAGCGGTGGAGTTCTGGTTCTGTGACCATGGACTGGCATCGACGAAAGCCTTGGTCGACGCCGAACTGTGTTCCATAAACCAGGGGACTGGACAGCGGTACGGGGCGGTGACCTGGTGGTGGTGGTGGTGGTGGTTGGGAATAAAGAAACGATGAAGTTGGTAGATGTGAGGACGAGCAAGAGTTGCTCACGACGATGCGGACCGCAAAAGCTCAAACAGGCACAGAGACCCTTGACAGTCTGTTTTGGCACGATCTATTTACCCCAAATCTCGATCAACTTGCCATTCCGCCGTCAATCGGACAAATTCTCGCTCGTTCTCACCGGTCCCGCCCGGCCTCAAATTCCGCCCATCGACCTATCCCTGAAACAGTTCTGAACAAGGAAGCAAGGGTCCTGGCCCTGAAATCCGCAGCACTCGCTGCTGTCGCTCAGCGCTAGAGACAGACTCAGCCTGGAGACATGAATTTCACCGCGGGTGATGTCGCGACCCGGAATGACTCACTTCCGTTCTCGGTTATCTGCTCATGAAAAGCCCTAAAAACACCATCTCTTGATCCTATCTTGCGGTACAGACTATAGCTCCTGACCACTACCTAATAACCATGCAGAGCTCAAGGAGCTCAAGAGCAGTCAAGAGCTCTCTACCAACTGCAATCTGTCCAAGTCAAGGCAGAGGACAATGAAGGCGAGTCACGATCAGAGAACCAGAACCTTGAGGTATTTCTGTCCTATAGTTCCCATAAAGGAACAAATCGGTGTAGATCTCGACTTGGAATCGGACCGAGTTTAATTGGCGCTTGTTTTTGACCAAATTCAAGGACCGAATTCCCGGTCTGCTCACATGCACCTGCTTTTCAGGCTTTTTCAGGTTGAAACTTGAAGTGACTCTCCAAGAACATATTCCCCCGACGTCAACGTCAACTCAGAACAGCGCGTGGTGGCGCATGTCTTCTTTGATTTTGTTACACGAAGTTTCTTAAGAAACTGGTCGCGTGGAGAGGGACAATCCAACGACCTTTGCTCAAATGCGCATAAGACCCCACTGCGATCCATAACGTTGGGACCTGCGATGGTATTCCATTTCTTTCCAAAACGAAAACGGCTGTTTTGATGAAGGATTGCCACTCCCTTGGCTTTTATCGAAAATTCCCCGAAAGCCAAATTCCTTGGCCAACCATAGCAAAGTGATTTCGAGGGAATGTAGCAATCTCCAGATCTGGGGCCGCCTGGAATACCAAGACGCTGTGCGTTCCAGCATATTGCAGCCTCCAAAAACAAAACCTTTGCACAGGACTTCCTCACCCCGTGTTTTTGCCGAACGCGAAAACAGATATCCGTCCTTATCCGCTTGTTCTGTGCTGCTTCCGCTGCATTTCTTGGTCGATCGATATCGCGATGGCGTGCCCATCACGATAGGCCCGGTGACAGACAATGACCACTATCACTCTTCCTCGTACTAGGAAACCCAATGCATTGAGCCGGGCCCAATCAATTTGATCCAAGGAACTAGACCACTTGTCTATTTAGGCGCATGGCCTACCATATTGGGAGCCCACTTCAAATCTCCCGCCGGCCAGACTGAAGGCCTGCTATCATTAGCCGCTGGGCGCAGCGCGCTTAACGTCGGGATTTGCTTTACGTTGTGACACCAGGATTCGATGGACATTCGATCGTCCGAGTTACGGTACACATTGTAGCTTGACACTTCTCCAATGGAACGCTAGCCGAGAGCCTAGAGGATAGAAGTATACTCTGCGAAAGTATGATACCATCACGACATCACTTATCAGAATACGCTTGCATCCTTGGGCTTATCGTGTTCCAATAATATAGGCTACTCACTTATCTCCTGCAACCTGCTTTCCGATGAAGTCACTCCTTCCTTATCATATATCTCCCGAACGCTGTATAAAGTCGAGGTGGACTTCTTGAGATAACCTTTCTGACCTTCCACCTTTAAGAGGCCGTGATATTGCTGTGGGCAGAGCGCTACTACCGACGTTCACCCCTCCGACACAGACCATACCCTTATCGGCTGGCATGGAGCGAGGGGCACGCAACCATCGTGTGATTTTGTCGTGTGTCGTTCTGTTTTCCGTCCCACCTATACGGCTGACCACTATGTTCTTGCGCGCTCTAGAAATATGTGAGCTGCATAAGTACACCATGAATAACAGTGACAGATAAAAGTTATATTTTACCTCAAAACTAACTTGGCTCTCGCTCTCTCGAGAACCATTATCATCCCAAGTGGACGACATCCGACATCAGTGTGCCCCACCCTCAAATCCGTTCACCCCCTCCTCCCTGATTTCAGCCGAGGTCCCCCGCCCTTTACCAACCTCTTTCCAAACATTCAAGTTCACCCTTGTCCTGCGACTGACCTTCCTTACTCGACCTCTCCTGTTCCGGTGGCAAGTCGCTCCAACTCCACGCATCCGAGAGCTCTCCATGAATTGCTGCCGTGTCTATGAAAGACAGAATGCACATTGGGCCACAGGAAAAGAGATCGTGCGCACATTCAACCAAATTTGGAGGAAAAAATGGCCCGCTCATTGCCCGCTCAAAGAAAGTTCATCACACGAGGCATCGCCGCCCATCACTGTCAGGCAAGAAGACCCCCGAATACCTTCCAAGGGCCAAGCCCAGCCTGCTGGGAGTTTTAGACGTCCCTCTTCAAAATCAATAGCGAGGCAAGAAACACCGACAGAAGAAAGGAGACGCCGTATACGCGAGGCATTTGGGGTCCAGGTGTCTTGCCACCACTAACCGAACATGTTCCCGACTTCGACGAATGGATGCCGCGAATGGGGCGCTTGAGTCTAGGAAGCGGCTTGTGGGCGACGTTGTTGTCACAATTGCACACGGCTATGTATTAAGAACGTAGGTCGTCAGTGTAACAACATGATTTCAAATTTCTTCTCTTGATTGAAGGATATGCCTAGGCCGCCAGATTTGCATCCGCTGTTGACTTTCTACCATCCTAACAACACCAGTAGGGATCTCCAACCGGCCTCCAGAAGCGATACGCTCTGAAGAAGTCACCACCGAAAAATAGGATTTAGGAATACCGAGAGCATCCCGGAGGACAGATACAGAGAAGAGCGCTGGAAGGAAAGGATTCAATGAAATCAACCAAACTGATCAAACACCTGCATAAAGCACCGAGTGGTGAGGGGACATGTGTTTCCATAAGCAATGAAAAGAAGCCGCCACAACGGAATAGGCTCAAAATTGCGCGAAGTGAAGTGTGACGAAACGAAAGAGGGTTGGAAACGATGTGATTCGAAAACGTCGCGGGAAGTGAAAGCACATACTTACGGTGAAGTCCCTGTTTACGATTAAGGCGAGTCTCTCGAACTTCTCGTACGTCGCTCCACGAGGCGAGCTGCGAAACTGATGACTCCGGGTTGCAGATGTCAGAGCTCCATAGAATCCTTTGGAGATGGGAAGTCGGGAGTGCTTCTCAACTACATCTGGAAAAGGTTCGAGGGCTGTGATAACCGCAAGGGAACGTCGGGAGAACCAGAGCCTGTTAATCCAACTCACCTTCTATAGTACACTGCCAAATCCCCCAATGTCAAAGTACCATACCAGGAATCAAAGGAATCAAGCAGTCCCGAAGTACGTTACGATCAAGTGCCGGGGACTTTACAAGGCTGGAGGCCAAATCTGAAGGAATGTCAACGCAATCACAGGTATGAAAGTCCGCGCAATAGCACACTCACTCAGCTACCAGGAGCAGGATGCCAGTAGCGTCATTCGCTCCTGTTGCCCTGCTCGGCGCGTTGTCACCATTTGAGCCATGATTTCGGACTGGGACGAAGGAGATCGGCGTCAAAATCCTGTAAACGTGCCCCGAAGCTAGTAAAACGCACCAGAACTTGAACGCTGTATGAACCCGCTTAATTTGAATGGGTTCTCGGTGAGAGCAAGCCCTGCACACATCCCGAGCCAACTCGGTCACGTCCACGGATAGCGCAGTGTCGTGAACCAGACTCAATTCCTGGAGAAGATGATCCCCTCCACCGCATAGTACTGAACATTTCGTGCCTCCGACCTGGACTGGTGAAGTCCAGTGGCATAAGAACTCGGATCTCGAGGCAATGAAGGTATCAATCATGTCTGTGGTGAGTTCGAGTTAATCGGTCAGCGTTTTCAAAGAGTAGCCAAAAACCCTAAGCTTGAAAGTTTCGACAGAGCCAATGGGCGAAGTTGGGACGAGATGGCATATTGAGGCTGAACCTAGGGGACAAGGACACACTGCCAATTTCAAGGATGGATCAAAATGGACACCACCATAGAATTGTAAAGCGGCGAGATTCGCCCTTGGCTTTTTGTACATTATGTTTGAAAGATCTATCTTGTACTGACCGCCATAATAGTCGTATATCTATCTACCCGCGAGCCTTCATGGCGGCAGCGTGGCTTCGCAAGAGCTGGTAGGCTGGCTGGTCAGGGTAGACAGTGAATCCGTCGTCATGAGTGCTACCAGTTGGGAGTCGAGATCCCGCTTGCCTGTATAATGGTTAGTCGCGTCGAGTCGGTGAGCATGACATGCTACCCACCAGTAGAGGTCCCCAGCAAGGCCGGAGGTTTGGATGGTCCTGAGCCATTCAGTGTAAACGGCTGGCTTGTTGGTGGTTACGCCGTATTCCTCAAGGATGACGGGCTTGCCGTATCTCTTCTGGGATTCGGCGTGGTCCTTGATCCAATCGTTTCCGAAGCCCACTTCGTTGCCTTGCTGACCCCAGTGCTCAGGATAGGCCTTCGGTGAAAATGGTGAGTACGAGTCTACGCCGATACCAACAGTTGCTCTTACATGGACAGTACCAAAGTCGAGGGTATCGATTTGAAGGTTGACGTCGAAGTCAATACCTTCCCCGCCCCTAAAAAAGGAACCGATGAGTCTTGTACATAACGCTCTACCAAGGAATGCATGCATACTGGTATGGGTAGACCGGGTGACCGGGTTGGTTGTAGAAGCCTTCGTCTCCAAGGGCCACCAGGTGGTTGGGGTCAATAGACTTGATGAAGGCAGACATTTCCCGTGCCCAAGCCGTAATCGTGGCCGGTGTGCACCTGCCAGAGGTGGTGCTAAACAAAATGATGAGAAAATCCGACTTTGGTTCTTCAAATAACGACTCATACCCGGTGCTTCCACGACACCTTGGTTCGTTCGCAAGCTCCCATCCAAGGATACCTGTTTCATTGACGTATCTCCCGACGAAAGCCCTAATATAGTTCTTGAAGGCCGCCTAGATAAACGGGAGTCAGGTGGCGTGAACTAGCACAGAAAAGGCAACCTGAAGGCACGTACCTTGACGTCCGGGTCCGTGTAGAACAAATCGTGGTTGTTGGAGTTGAGAATTTGTCTCACATATACGTCCATGCCGCCATAATCGGACCAGTTGTTCGTCCTGTCGAGTAGGTATGAATATTGAGTAGCCTTGGGACATCTCTTCGTGAATTTGCTTACAGGGCAACGATGAGCTTGATGCCGTTGGCCTTGGCCGCGGCGATGACCTGGTCTGAGAAGGGGTTCAGCAAATGGCAAAGGCGCTTTCGACATAGGACTTCTCTCACCGAAGTTTTGAAGACCATTGGCGCCAGTGTTGACGGACGGCGTCCTTCCGTTCCAAATCTGATAATAGGGGATACCGCCATACGCAGTGACTTCGTTGAAACCCCTGGAGACGGCCTTCGTCAGAATCACTACCTATTTGAATTTCCTCTTACTCACCAGGTTCGGACAGTGGTGCCTCCAGCAGCTGCAATGTCAGCAAAGGCCCGGTTCATATTGTCCCTGCTGTGTCCAGAAAGACCGACCCAGTACGAGTTGGATCTGCATACGTGTTAGCACTATTCAAAGTGATTTTGGACTAGGGCGCTCACCCAACCACAGTGTACGGCTTTCCGTCCAAAACGAAGCGGGTACCGTTGGTCTTGACGAAGCCAGTCGCAGAGGTGGGAGGTGGCGGGGTCACGACGGGAGGAGCGGCAGTGGTCGACGGCTGGGGAGTGACGGGAGGGGGAGGCGCGCTGGAGGTACCAGGGACGCATTGAGAGTACCATTCGTTGTGCTTCTGGCAAGTATAGCCGCTCTCGCAAGCTGTCATTCCATACGGTGAGGGTGATTCTTGGCTGAACAGTCAATGGAACTCACTCGTTGCACCACTCCATCCACTACCACCACACTGGCCCCAAGGGCCTACAGCTTGAGCAGAGGCAGAGGTGACGGCAATAGCCAAAGAAACGAGTCCAGCAGAGAGCTTCATGATGGCTGAATTCCTTAACGGCTTCCTATGGCGGTCGGTCCGCTTTATATCGTTCGACGAAAGTCACATTTGCCCAGAGTTCCTGCGGTATGCATTGTCCTGCGTGTTGCCCACAGGGATTTCGCGAAGATCAACCGGATGGATGCTATAGAAGGTGCGTAGAAGGCCAAAGAAGGGTGTTGGTGGATCATCTTTAACAGGGATTAGCGCCAAGCGCGGTGCGGACCGCTCCCACTAAAAGGCTTTTGGAACGGGCGCAATGAGAAGCACCAGTCGCTATCCGTTTTGGCGTCACAAGGGCACAAGTCTGAGAATGTCGTGAAACCTAGACTGAGCCCCGTGTAATCATTTTGCTTCGTTGTGAAAACGCGCCGGAAAATCTTCGTCAAGTTGTGTTCCATCGAAAACGAGAAGATATATGGATGCAATCGCAAGGCCCAGTTTTTCAGGTGGTGGCCGCAGTAGTCCTAGAAACCTGGAAGATTGTCTGGTTTCGAAACTGAAAAATTGAAGGTGAGAGTCAAAGGTAGGTCAGAATCAGATCACACGGTCACCTCACTATGTAGTCACGTCACTGAGCCATCAATTCCTGGCGTTGCTTCCGTGAGGGCAAATCAAGTCCGAACTTCTTGCTCAGCGATCGTCAAATGTGGGGTAAACCGGAGCGGAAACCGCTGAGCGCTGGGCCTTCCTCATCTACATAACGCGGACTTTTTTTAAAAAAAAAAATGCGACTGAGCAGGCAGACGCCGCTCAAAGCTCGGCTAGTATGTACATCACGTAGAAGACCCCGGCCCGGAGACTATGTACTTACTACGCTAGAACCCCAGCCTAAGAGGTACTATATACCCAAGGTTGCCCCTGACATCATCGGCTCGTATTATCGCTACCAAGGTCCTTTCTCCGACTTGCATCTGAGCATTTGCGGTGATAGTGAGAAGTCGATCGTAAGATACATATTGACCCGCCTTGGCAACACCTTGGGAAACGCGAAGATAAAAAGCATTTTGCAGACAAGTTACAACGAATCTAATATGTACCAGGCACATTGAGATGGGGAAGCATCACTACCATCCAGCAGCGATGCCATTCTTTCTCGAATCGCTAGCCGCTAAAGGAAACATATAAGCAAAAAACCTTTTGCGAACATTTAGCCCAACGGACATACCATAGAAAACGCCGTCCTTCTGAAGCACTAGCTGGACGACAGCCGCCACTCGATTGACATCAACGACTGCGGACAAGAATCAGTACTTTCTCTTGATTCCCCACAGAAGGATTTCACGATAAGAAAAGCTTCGTACCTGTAATGTGGTGGCCTCTACGGCGGAGATCTTCAAGGATATCTTCAGGGTATACACTGTCGGCATCTGTGATATCAGGAAACAGTTGATCATGCAAGCGCCCAAATTCCACCGCTTCACTCGCATCCATCCCCCAGTCCAAATTAAGGACCGCTTGATACAAGGAACCAAAAATGCGCGATCCGCCGGAACCACCGATGGCCAGATAGAATGACCCATCTTCGTTCTCGATGATGGTTGGTGCCGTAGAAGAGAGTGGCCGCTTCCCTGGTTCGGGATAGTTATCTGATTGTTGTGACAAACGCAAGTTAATCACTGGGTGCCGAATCTCAGATTAAAGCGAAATCACACTCACAAGGGGAAGGCCATAGTCCGAAGCCATTTGGAGTACCAGGGGTAGAAAAGTCGTCCATTTCGTCGTTCAAGAGGATACCCGTGACAGGATCCAGCACTTGGCTCCCAAATATGAGATTGACTGTTGAAGTCAAAGCGACAGCCATCCCAGATTTGTCGACTACTGAGGTATGGCTCTGTGAACGACCATCGGTCAGGAACCCGTGCGCGTGGCGCCGCTATTGGGATGTAATCGCATACCGTGCCGTGATCTGTTATGATATCGTATTCGGGTTGATAGTAGTTGGGTGGGTGTGTCCTATCCTGGTAGAGCTGTCAATGGACGTTCCGTGGTCGCGTACAAACATAGAGACGCTCACATCTGTGAGGTTCTTGCGTATTTCATGGGCATACGCCTTCGTCGGTATCTGGTCTATCCTCTCCGATGAATTGGTATAACTGGGATCACAGATGCGGGTCCTACGCGTTTGTGAGCATTTAAAAGTAACGCCTATTTACAGAGAATGGATTCACCTGGCAGCGAAGCCGAACTTTAATGCCTCGACAAGCCTGTGGACGTTCAACCCATTGAATTGGGACATGTCATAGCCCTCGATCAGGTTAAACATGTGAAGCAAAACTTCGTTCGACATTCAGCATTCAATCCGTGCACCACCAATAAAACTGAATACCTGGACCAGATGTAGGCGCGTGCGTCGTGTAGATACGTCGCCGATTGTATGATCCCTGTAGAGCAGGGCGCGTGATGACCTTGTAGTTCTCAAGGTCTGAATGGGTCATTATCCCCCCAGTTTGTCGAATCTTCTCGATGATCGAGTCTGCAATTTCGCCCTAAGCGAGGTAAATGTGGAACCCCTCGTGATCACTTCGTGGAAGGTGGTACTCACCTTGTAAAAGGCATCTGGTCCCTCTTCAGCTATTATAGACAAAGTCCTGGCTAAATTAGTCCTCTTGACAGTCTCCCCCTCGTTCAAAAACACTCCTCGAGGTGCAAATATAGAACTCCAGTCCGGGTTTTTCAACATAAGGTCTGGGTACCACTATCGAATTGGATTTAAAACCTGACATAACTCGCAGCGACTGATGGACTTACCCTTATCCGCTTCGCCAGCTCTGCGTCCACCTTCCAGCCCTCGGCCAGTTCCACGCTGGGCTGAATGAGGTCTTTCCACGGCAATGTTCCCCATAACCTATGGGCTTCTTCCAAACCACGGATCTCGCCAGGTACGCCAACTGAAAGGCCACCATACCGTGCAGACATGGGGTCATGCTTGAACATGGTTTTGTTCGAAAAGGTAGGTGCTGTCTCCCGGAAGTCAATTGTATAAACTTTAGACGTTTCGTTATCTGAAGCCGGCGGAATTCGAACTGTCATGAACCCGCCTCCACCTATGCCGGAACTGGCCCTGCTCGTTAGAACTGAGGAACGGGGAACGCCAGCTGTTCACGTACGAGAACATGTTGACCACGCCAATACAGAAAGTGGTGGATATAGCTGCGTCAACCGCATTCCCTCCCTGCTTTAGGGTCGACACCCCTAATTCTGAGCATAGCCTGTTCTCCGACGCGACTGCTCCGTTGTAGGCTTTAACGAGATACGCCGGGTTCCGCGAAATGCCTGTTATCCCTGCTCCCACAGAAGCTGATATTCTTGACGTCGGTTTTCCAGTGTCGCGTTGAAACACGGTCGCAAGGGATGAAGAAGCGTAACAGACGGCCAATGCGAGTAATGTCCATTTCCAGATAAGAGACCAGGTTGGGTGGAAGTTCTTCGAACTCGCCAAGGCTGGTGAGGGAAGCGAGACGCTGTCCTGCTTCATGGTGCGAAGGTGGTGGACTCTGTAGGCTTTGACATATAAGTATCGAAACGACGGAGAACGGCCCCATTCTTGACAATACCAGTTCCGGAACCAGATGACCACCGCCAGGCTCAAATGGCGAAATACCCCCGTGGGAAATTGATTTAACCCCTGTGTTCCCGGATCTTTGTCCTGGTTCGCGACCACCACTGTCTCATGGCGAAAAAACGCAGATTCTCCAAGGAAGCTGATGAAGACGATGTTGAGAGTACATTCTTGCAGCCTTCACAGCTGTAAGATCAACGCACTGTATCTCCCTCTTATCTAACTAAAGCATCATTCCTTCAGTACCAGTAGGTCGACCGAGCAATCCATATGCTGCTTGGCGGATAATCAACGCCTGCAGACAAGCGTCGGAAGTCTATGGTCAACAACAGAAACGCCAAGTTCGATGAAATGGTCAGGACTATGCGCGTAGTGCCGACAGGTGGCGCAGGGAAGCCAAGGACCACCAAGAGTTCCTTTTCGACCTCAACAGGCTACACGAAAGGACGGAAATCAAATACGGCAGGGCCTCGTGCAGCACTAAAACTAGATCCCATTCCATCTTCGGCTCGTCGCAAATCTGAGGAGCCGAATGAAGGCTTGCAAGCGCAGGTAGTTATTCTTGAATTCATTCTGAACCTCGGAACGGATTAACGTGATGGAGCTTCCAAAGGGCAATCGTAGCTCTCTTCCATCGTGGCTCATGAATACCTTCAAGACTTTGGTAGATAACCATCCCTTGAAACTTCTTCTACCTTCTTCTGCCCGCGCCTGTCCATCGTCGACCACGTCTGTTTCGCCTGGGTTGGATTCCGTCTCGGATTCAAGTACAACCTGCGTGGAATCCATGGAACCCGCATCAACGAAGGAGCGAATTTTTGCTTTCGACCCTTTCGATCCTGATCAAGAGTCGATTCAATCCTCGTTGCATGGGCGTACAAGGCATACTCCCCCGGTCCAGTCAATGCATGATCCCGACGTTGGTCTTTCCCAGTATCATGTCAGTAGAACCGTTCGAGCAGAAAGCCCTGTCAAGCCAGCCGTCCGGCCAGGTCCCAGCTTCTGGTCGTCGCCAATCTGGTCGAAACGTATTCCATCTCACTCTCCAACCCTCGTCTCACGGAACCCAGGACCGACCCCAAAGCACATCACTAGCTTCGATCTTTCCTTCTCTAAGCCCGATTTCTCCAACCATGCTTCCTCATCGCTCGCGCCTGCTCAAGACGATCCGTTTGCTATAGAACAACTTGATTCTGATTACTTTTCGCACATATATGCTACTGCTGGGCCCTGTTCCTCTGTCATTGGTGTCGGCTTTTCTGATCAAGGCTCGGAGGAAACATCGGACGCTCAGGCGGATTGTCTGCATACTCATCCCGACTTGGACGACTTCTCGACAGTCGGTTTCACATGGTCAAAGTTTGACAGGAACAGCATCCAAGCTCCTCCGCTTCCACAACGGCCTATCTATCGACTGGACGAAGAGTACATCCATTCCGTCTTTAACCTTGAGGACTCCGTTGTCCAGGATTTCGTTTCTGAAAGGATGCAACCTGCAGCCGATCCTTCAAAGGACACTGCCGTTCAACCTGAAGCAAATCGACACGCCTCTCAGCCGCACTCCAGACCGGCTACGCCGTGGATCAACTCCAGCACCTGGGAGCTCATGGACAACTCATTCGCAACTGGGAATGCCAGAACCCCCTCTCCAGTAGCCTCGCCTGTTGTCAAGGCGGCTAAACCTGCTTTTGCCCCTGCTCCTGGGATATTTATCTCACCTTTGCAGACATCAAGCTCTTCCCCGAGCAAGGTACCTGCTCTTACGAAATAGCTCCGTCTCATTCAAATTCACGCTTCTCTTATACGTAGAAGGCAGGTCGAAGGCCAGAAATAGGCTCATTATCGCAAGCATCACAAGATAGTATTCAATCGTGGTCAGAATGAGATCATGACTAGCGTTCTTCCAGCCTCAAGAGCATTCTACGAAGATCGCGGGGTAATTCGGTACACAATTACGAGGCACTACAGGTGGGGGATAATGGGAAGAATAAATTATGACAGCAATGGAAAGCAATAGAAAGCGAAGTAGGGAGACAGTAGTGTATCGTTAGAGCAGGAGCTTCTGGTTACCAGCCGACCTCACCACCCAAGTAAGGCTCGATGGTCACACCGTTCTCTCCCTTGGCTTTGCGTAGGATATACCGGTGAAGGCTGTAAATTTCGTAGGATTGTGCTGCGAGGCGCATTGCTTTGATGTGATGGGGTCGAGAATTCGCTGCTGCTGCGTGTTTCCGACTTTGCCAGATGCAAGTGGCGAGGTTCATTCCCGTACGAGGGTTCGGGATGCCATACCAATACATAATAAGCTGTCCAGGAGAATTAGGCTTGAACTTGGATCGCTGCTGCTGATATACACTCACCCCGCCATTGGAAACCGCCTCTTCATGAGCAAGTTTGTCAGCCTCGTAGAGCGCTGAAAATACATTCCCTCGTCATCAATATCGGGGTGGAATGACAAAAATAGGCCGACTTACAGTCACCATCGCTACCAGCTTTCCGTTGACTCCGGAATGCCACGCAATACCACTCCCGTTCCTCGTCTTCGGGCAATTCGAGGTGCGACCAGTTGAACGCTTGGTCGTAGGGAACTTCGGCGTACTCAGTCGTCACAGGTCGGAAGTGGTGGAGGGCTTTGTGGAGCGACAGCGATGCAGGATCAATGTCAGGAAGGCGGGTTGCTGTTACCATAGGGCCATCATCCTCTGTCTCAATGTTGAGAGCGGGGACTCGCTCGGGGAGGGAAGACAGCAGTGGTGGGAGGTAGAGAACGGGTACTTTGTGCTCGGCGAGCTCGAAGGATGGTAAGATGTGGGGGTCTCGGTCCGGGTAGTCCTCCGGTTTGACTGCATCCAGCCGCAAAGAAGTTTTCTCGTCCACATGTGAAACTTTGACTTCAGCATAGTGGGGGGGATGAGAGTAGATGGTAGACATTTTGCCAGTGGAAGAGGTAGGCGCCAGAGGTTGGGAAGAAATAGTCAAAGTCATAAGGGAGCGAGTCACCGAGGATTTATACGCCTATTATTAAACTAGCGGAAGTCCTAGGAGCAACAATTGCACAAGCTGGGGACGCCAATTGCGACATGCGCACGAAATTGCGCGATCGAGAAATGCCGAGAAACCCAAGAGCATCGGCAGGTGGATTGGCGCCCAAGATGACACCATTAGAACCCTCCTTTAGGCTATAGCTTCACTTTATTAGTCATTTAATCGCCAGCAGGAAAGTTTAGGACGAGCGGCGAGTGTTGCATGGAAGATGAATGATGGGTTCAAACAGGAGGTCTTGGCATTCGCCCATCCACCGAGCCGATCAGTTGTTTGCTCCACAAGGTCATAACCAACACAAATAGGCGCTCCCAGGATTCGAGCCTCCCAAATGGCAGTATCTCTGTCTGAGAACCAAGTCCCCCGTTGCGAAGAAAGGCATTGACAGATAGGAGCAGCTTGAATGAAAAGAAGATACCAAGCATTTATTTGTACTTAGGGAGATTCGCTATTATTACCTCAAGACGAATCTCCCATTCTTTGGCTACACCAAAGGTTGTGTGGGCTGGGGTTCGAACTTGAGGCTCTGGATGTGGATGACTAAGCATCGCTGGCAGTCCCGAACTTTTGCCAAGCCATTCGAAGTTGGTCCTCTCCGTTTGCGTCCATCATGGCAGCCAGCAAGAAAGTCGCAGAGTCGACGCTCTACCACCTCAGTTCCAAGGGTTTCTGGAAGAAATTCAGTGAGTAATGAACTCCTTCTGACAGGCAACCTAACTAAACCGAAAAACGATGTCTGTAGGGGACGTGGTCGCTGTCAACCCAGCAATTTCGACCGGTTTGCCTTTGCCTACTGAACACCGTTATCCACCACCAGCTTCGCGACCCGAGAAGTACTCAACTCCTGCTACCAAAGGTTAGAAGAAGGAACAAGCTATGAAAATCAGTCGCTGACCGAATTGTAGCCTCCGACATTGCGCAGAATCCTTATTGGAAACGAGATGTCCGACGCGCCTATCCTCAACTCTCCGTCGTCACCCAGGCTGAACTTTCTCAGCTTTTGATTGAACACTCTGCAGCACCAAGGTCAGTCTCCGTCTCAAATGATACAGAATAAATTATTGACGGTTGTGAATAGCGTTGCTGCACCCAAGGAGGGCGAAGCCGGTGTACCCGCTGCTGCTGAGAAGGTCGAGCTTGCAGACGCCATTGCCACCATCACCAAGGACAACCAGGTCTATACCGAGGCAAAACTTCCTCCCGCTCTCCCAACTCCCTATAAGAAGTGGGAACCCAGCCTGTCTCCTCCTCCCCCTCACAACCCTCATTCCTACTTCCCCATGTCGTTGTACCACTAAGCGTAGAACATCCAATTTTATAGCCTGGATTTAGAGGACAATATGATCAATTGGCATTGCAGCCATTCAATGACATTTCGAACTCTCAAGATACAACTCAGAGCCAGCCTAGATCGATGTGCTTTCCGACGGTGAAGGAGTGTGAGGGGCTAACATGGCTACCCCACACAGTAAATGTATTGAGGCAGCCAAGAAGGCCAGTAAAACAGACAAAAGTTAGAAAAGTGGGAGAACGACTACGGCTACAAAAGTTTGGCGAGTACTACTCGACTTGTGATGATGGCGATGGGGCGTCACTATCTACTCGTAGACTACATAAACGTGAGTCGTAAAGCAAATAGACCGTCCATGTATCGTCCATAAGGTGTATCGTAAAAAACCCAGTGTCCGACGAGTCCGTTTTCTCGACAGTTATCAAGTAGGGCTATGAAAAAGGGTGGGGTCGTAAGAAGTCGTAAAGTGTGAGGCCTATTGTCCGAAGTTGAGACTATCGTATAAGGTCCATCAAGTCCGTGTGTCGTGAAAAACTAAACGAGTGTGGTCCAGGAAGGCGTTGTATCTGGATGAGTGCGCAGAGTCCGCGGTTTCCTACGAAATTAAAGCAAAGAAATAGGAATAAAAGAAGATTATAAAGTGTGTTACCGAGAGGCCTGGGGATGAGTGTGGATACTCATGGGCAGAACAGGTAAACCACTGGGTCAGAAGCGGCCGAAGGTGATTTAGGCCAACCGCTTCTGGACCCTCGACAAAGCAGGAGCTAGAAATACCGTCAGTGAACCTCGATTTGTGGAATGACCCAGATATTGACTGACCGACGACAGGGAAGTGGTTGCCGAGTTTGGTCATTGCGTAGAGGAGAATCCCGAGTTCGTTAATCACATCGGAGGTATCGCTCATCGGCCATGCTCGCTCAAGAACATCGAGACGGCTGACGGTGTCGTCGGCGACCCAGGACCAGCAAGGCTAAACGGCAAGATAGGTAAGAAAACCGAGGCAGATTGGTTTAACTGACTGCTAAACGTACCCCCATGATGGGATCCAGGAACACAAACTCGCGCTCGTTGAGATACCTGATCAGCGCAATGCAGGCGCGTGCAGCTTGAGCACACTTCTCAACGGAGACGGGATTCTCAGAGACAAAAGGTCGGTGGAGATGAATCATTGCGCAGTGGGCAATGGTGTGCGCCACGATGGAATTGAACTTTTCTTCGGGTGTCACGGTATCCAACTGATCGGGCTGAACAAGCGTTGACAAGAAGAGGTTGATGATACGTTCAAGGTTGTTGATTCCGTCAATGAGCTGAGCGGAAATCTTCATTCCTATGAAACAATGCATGATTCGGTAAGTTATCCTCATGCCTTGAAACTCAGAGAGCACTCACCGGGGCACCATTGCGCAGCAATGCGATCTGCCTCCGAGAGCAGTGCGGACGCTTTGGTACGCAAGGCTGCCGACGAGAAGCCAGCCGCTGACATGGATCCGGCAAGGAAGGCCTGGATCGTAGGGGAATGGCCGGAGGCAGAAATACGGGAGTGCTGTAAAAGATGAAACATAAGCAAGGGTGATTGACAGAAGATACCCATCTAAAGCCACACACCTGCTTGTAATCGGCAATGTCTTGGGGCCAAGGGCAGGTGATCATGCTCCTTGTATCGGGTCCATCTGAAATGAGCGACCTCTTGCGCAAAACGACAGACCAAGTCTTGTCCAGATTGTACACTTGCCAGAAAGTGAGGACCCTTTCGGCGCAAAGCTCTTGCTTGTCGTCAGACTCAGTAAGCGAGTTGCCGAGTCCGATCTGGTCGGCAAGCGCAGCGGCAGCGCTTGCGTGGTAGCTGCCTTCGAGGACGCGGCCGTTAGCAAGGAAGTAGGTGGCCAGCACGCACGAGGTTCGAATGACATCGAGGGATTGTCCGGATCGCAGAGCACCAGGAATAGCCTCAAGAGACTGCCTGAGGTAGTAGTCCTCATGTTGGCAGAGGGGCTCTGGTCGGGAAATGAAGCAAGCCCAAAGATAGATGGCGTTCATCAGAGCCGGGTGCTTCTGCTCAGCACCAGGGTGTCTGAGGTTGCTGCGGAGAGTATCAATGTCAATCTCCAAACCGGACTGGCGGCTGTGTGGAGCAAAAATATCCAGACTGCGAGGCTAGTTAGCATAGGTTTGAGCGATACTAGGAAAGCGAAGCCCACAGGATCATCGAGATATCATCGGAAGGCGCGAAAGGCGAATGTCTCTCATCGAAGAAGATGTCTGGCATCATTGGCGGGTTCATCGGAGAAGCAATGGACTGTATACCAATTCAATACGGAGCCACTGCCTTTAGAGAAAGCCAATCGTACCTGCAATTGGGACCATGGCGTGGAAGGGGATGCTGAAGACTCTACAGAGGGATCGGTGAGGTTTGACCGTAAAGTGTCGAGGATAATGCTCACCAGTGTGGGGGAACGCAGACAAAAATGCGCTGTCCGGGGAGTCATAGGAGGAAGGTGGGGATCCAGAGCCTGAGAACGAAGGGTTTCGCTGGTGGCCGTTCTCGCTTGGAACGTCAAAGAGCATAACAGATGCCGCGAGATAACTAGGATCTTCCAATTCTTTTACCCTCTGCTCAAGTCTAGCAATGGTCTCTTTGAGCAACTGAGTCCTGGTCTTGCCCTTTCCATCATCGTATTCGCAACATTCGGCCTTCTTTGCTCGGGTACACTGCTGGCAGGCGGGCTTTACGCCATCACATTTCTTTATCTGGTGTTAGCCAGCTGTGGGCTAATCGCGAATACAAAGACATACCATCTTCCTCTTCCTGTGGAAAGGTGCCTGGTCAGGAACCATATGCAAAGCGCAAACACGTAATGAAGATACGCACCTGCATCGAAGACAGGCCTTGCCTCTTTGTAAGGTAGTACTGGAAGCTCCCACTTTGTCGTATGGTTTGTTCGCCATGATTAACGCGGCTTAGGTTGCGATTATACAGTTCTGTGATTTGGAAGCGGTTGCTGCAATTGTTGGTTGGTTGCGATTGAATCGAGTGCTGTATGTATTAGAGTTGGCGATATCCCGAGGCCTGGAGAACAGGGCAAGCACAGAAAAGGAACGAAGGAGAAAAAAAAAGGAAAAAAAGAAAGACGATGGTAGAAGGGAAAAAGACTAGAGACAGTGTAGCGTGTGGACCTCCATGATATATACGTTACGAGCCTGAGCGCGATGCCCAGCTTACACTGCCTCACCGGATACCCGTTTGGACGGATGTTGATGGTAAATCAGAATTTGGGAGGTAGTCATGGTCGGTGCCTTTAGTCCAAAACTCGGAGCGCGACTTGCTCAGCGACATGGCCGACGAGATTACTCAAGGGCGCGCCTCAGCAGCAAGGTTAGTAACCGGAGAACCTCCATAGGCACCAGATTACCTCGTTGACGAGGGCGCCTAAGTTTCTATCAAGCAACCACCTGTTTCTCCGAGATCTCTATGTACCCCCTCAGACGAATATGAAACCTCAGCGAATAACTTCTCGCAAACGTCCGTAAACAGCGCGCACGACGTCTTCCTCTGGGGGTTCTGAATCTTCACAGTCAGCTAAGGGTCGCGAACATTTACGGTAGACATATCACCCATCTCCGGACGAGAAGCCACGAGTATCAGATCCTCCTTTCACATTGACTTTCCCAGTGATCCAGCAAATCTGGCCATGGATTCCCATCCCGGCCATCTTACACCGCTTTTTTACTATTGTCGACGTCCACCAGGACTGTAGTTTGGTGGAAGTAAAAGGAACTTGTGCCCTGATTCAGTAATCAGCAAGCATTCCGAACAACAACGATAATGGACCAAGTCAGTACTAGCTTCCAACCTGAAAGGCCATTGATTACTGAAGTGACATTTTGGAAAGAATACTTCTGATCGCCCGGGCGGCAGTCGGGAAGGAAATCATCCCGAGCTCCGTCCTGCCAGGAACTCAGTCCGCCCCATCGGCGTTGCCGCCCAACAGCAACGCGAAAGATCGTCAAAAAAGCACCTTGAAGGATGGCTTCTCGGTCGAGCTCAACCCGATAGTTTGTTCTGACTAACGGCGAGGGGGAATCCGCATGGACATACAAGCACTCAACTAGTTCCCACCTCGACACCAGCATGTTTCAGTACCTGAGCAACAACTGCTGTAAAATCGTCAAGACAGCCAATCCGAGGTTTTGGGTTAATGCAACAAATTGAGAGGACAAACTGCACCGCCTTGACCTGGCCTTCCATTACTTCTTCTCTGGCTCGCGGCTTGCGCCTGGCAGCCCAAATCCCCGAGTTAAGGAATTCTTTCGTTGCAGTCGACTAAACAAACAATGGACCCAGTTGAGCAAAAACAAAGAGCTGGAATAGGGACGGAATCAAAATAGAACAGAAAGTCGAAGAAATGTGCGTTAGTCTCAAAAATTGAGAGACCTATCGCTAGCCACGGAATTCGAGTGGGCTCGAGCAACGGGTCCGGGGACCCCGTAGCTAGCGTCGCTGGCACCCGGATATCGTTGATCATATTGCAAATCAGACACCGTTCGGCGCTCCTTGGCATGAGCCTGCCGGACATAGGCATAACGCTGGAAATGATTCAGCGCCTGAAGGAACAACACTCCAACCTAATCCGATAAAGGGGGAAATGATAAAGTGTCAGAAAACACCGCGTCCTCCGCAGCTGCGAATCGCAAGAAACGCTCACGGAATAGGATCGAATTTGGTTAAACAAATCAATCGTTGCATCTCGAACGGCTTCATGCGGGTGGAAGAGCCCAAAGGCTATGTAGAGAAGCCCATGACCATGAGGCAGGCAAGCAAGAAGCTAAAGCAGAGTCCTTGAGTAAAGGAAGGCTAGACTCATCCATGGGAACCCACCTCAACCACCTGCTCATAAGTCTTGACATTGTCCGCAAGTGTCTTCATTATGGCCAATGTTTCCGTGTCGCTCATATTCTTTGCATACCGGAATCTTGCCAATTGATGAACAAGGTCGAACCCTTTGACAGGACACGCGGCCTGGTATTTCGCATAGTCCTGGACGAAAACCATTATATAAAGTCCTTTGATGTCGGAAGAATGTCGCGCACATACCGCTACAAGATACTGATAACTGTTCGTCTTCTTCCATGCTTCAATACGGTGGGCATTCGAAGCTAATTCCTTGAGACAGCTCGCTTCGTCATTGAAAGCGAGCCCACTTCCAAGCTGCGGAGGTTGTCCAGGCACTTCTGTGAACGGAGAACTCGGGAAACCAAACTTGGTCGACCCCGTCGTCTCTTCTTCATACCGTGAAGCAAGTCGCACAAACCTCAAGACATATTCCGTGAACCTTGTCCGCACTAGACTTTCCCCAAAGTGATCTTCAATGGCCGCTCTGATCTGCAGGCGAACGGATGTCAGTAAAGCCGCCACCCGATCAACTTCTGAAAATAAACTAACATCCTCAATGAAGATTCTATCAGCATTGTTGTCTTTATACTGGTAGTCCTTGCCACCTTCTTTTGCAAGCCTCGCAATTTCCTCTTCACTTCCAACGGAGGATTCGGGTTTCAGAGTGCCAGAGCGGGTTATTAAGGGGGCTGAGAGACCAATGGTGTTTGACACTGGGTAAGTGACGTGGATGTCTTTGGCGACCGTTACGTTGCCGGTGCTAATGTCAAGAAGGAGATCCCACATCTTCGAAGCCTCGAAGATGGGATTGGTTACACCTGCGATATAAGCCGGTCTGCGGAAAACAACGTTAGTGCTAACCGGCAACAACGAACCGAACACCTACACAGATTCCCAATCATCCCTGTTTCGAAGGTTGGCGTAAGGGAATGCGCGTTCGATAAACCCTCTCAAGACAGCACCGCATCCAGAGGCAAGAGCACATGCAGCAAGAACGAAACTGGAGACTTCTCCTGCGGGTCGTTTGTGGCCAAGGAAGATGATGCGCTTCCCTGTCACCAGGGCATTGAAGAGGATGATGATCGGATGAGTCTGGGGCCCATTGGTATGTAGATGCGGGTGTAGTGGTCCAGATACTTGCTGGTGGTTAGAGAACACTTTAATAAGCGTGATCAAGGAATACTAGAGGGCGTCAGCAACCTAAGCAGAATGATAGATGAAGTCACCTCTTACATCTCCAACTTCTTCCGCAAAGGTGGCTAGAGGCATCTTTATCGGCAGTTGATGGTCCTTGTAGCCGACTGTGGTGTGGTAGAAGTGTGTATCCTTGACAACGTTGGAACGGTGGAGGTCGTGGAGACCATGGGGAAAGGGTTTAGAAGGGAGCTCTTTGTTCATGAGATGAGAGGAGGATGAAGATGCGTCAATGGACCGGCGTTGCTGGGACGAAGCCACCAAGGTGCTGCTGCCTGTGTGCGATGTAGCGCTATGAGAATCACCATTCGACTCCTTCCCAATCAAATCCAGCCCCGTCTCATCTCCAACCCAAACAGCACTTCCGCCCAGCGAGAAGGATGAGTCCGAGGGCGAGTCGCGGGACTGAGAAGGCGGAGGTCCTGGTGCCGTCCCATTCTCTTCCTGCCGCATCGGGTGCTCTTTCCGTGCAGTTTGCTTGTCACGATCACGAGCCCGCATCAACAGCCCATCTTCAAAGCTTGAGTATGAATCGTTAGAGTTGGAAGACTTGTGGGTATAAGCTTTGACTCCCGGTGTGTAGGCCGAGTTTTGTTGCGGGGCGAGATGGGCGAACTTTTCCAAAAATATGTCTTTCCTCTCTGACGACCGCATGACCAACTTTTCGCTCCGACTGAGAACCGGTGCAGCAGAGAGGTCGATGGCGTTCACTGCGTCGAATAGGCGAGCTAGACAATCTTGAGATGGGTCCGCAAAATAGTCATCCAAGGCCATGAGCAACAGGGGCTACACAGATCGTTAATGGCGTCCAGCCCTCGAACACACGACTACCCACTTTGAAGATTTGGATGAATGGGTGGCGGGTACAGATGGCCAGAGCCATGACTTTGGCTCCCCTACGGACGATTAACTTAGCTTCGCCACCCCCAAACACGCCAGAGCAAGGCTCACCGATCCAAAGTCTTGTCGTGTTTCGTCCGCACTAGGTTAAGCACACACAGCAGGTCCTGCTTCTTGCCCTGGCCTCCATCGGCGCCTTCTACTGGAAGGTCTATCGAGCGCGTTTCTGGTGTATCAAGAGCGAGAACCGGGGAAATCGTATTGAATGGGGTCTGGTTCAAGAAGAATATTGTCCAATCATCCAGTTGTGCCTCCGCGCCATCCGGCAACATTGACATGGCCAGAATGCTGCGAACCAGTGAGTTGTCGAGTACATCGAGACGATGTAGTATTCACCTTTCATCGACACCGAGTGGTTGGGGAAACTGATACTTCAATTGTGCCCCTTCCAAGATATGGAATTCGGCAAGTAAGACGAAGGAACAGTGGTTGCCATTGATGCCCATGGAATTACGAGTAGAAGCCGAGAGTAAAACAAGATATTCAGATATATCCTGGTCGAAGGTGGTATTACAGTTGTGGTCGTTCTTTAGTTTGACCTCGTCATTCGCAGCGAGCGGGTCGATATGTTGGTGGTTGAAGCGCGTTCAAGGGGCTACGAGCCACAACGGACCCTATCTCCATCGGTCTCCGGTGTTTGGCACCATCTTCAGTCTCAAGCAACCTTGAACGGGCGCCTAATCATTTCTGGGACCAGGCAAACAGCACTATCAAGAGGACAGTTTCATAGATAAATAGTCTTGCGATGATTTTGAACACAGGTTTTTCCCCCTAGTAGTAAATGGGAACCCCTATCCGACGCTGTCACATTCCCCCGGGACAAGCTGCCAAGGTATTGGTCGTGTATTATATACCCCTGCCAGTAACCTGCATAGTCGCAAATACAGAAGTTCCATCGGTCTGTGAAGGCCGGTGTTCAGGCTAAAGTTGAGACCGACCACCCGGGGGTAACCAGTCGCAATCGATTGGCTGCGCATCCCATCCACCGAGCAGAGCCTTCAAGACTAGCAACCCCTTTGACTGGACATGAATCCAATGTAATGCCATCGGTGGAACCTAAGAACCCATTCTAGATTCCATCCTCCTCTCTTCTTCATCAACTAGATTACACCTGGATCGTCGTACAGAGTCGTAGCATACCAATATCATGCAGGAGAGTCCAAGAGAACAAGGTCCATATCCACCAAAAATTGAAACCAAAAGATATATATTCGAAGCAATAAGGTATATCGTGTGCGTTCGCGTTTGAGTTCAGATTTAAGAACTCGATTATTCGAACGGATTCGTTTTCCCTGCCTGTGATAGCAGAATCAGTGGTCTCCTCCCCAGGGTAGGGCAAAAATACATCATCGAAACGATGTATGCACTCACTTGGTGGTCACCTCCACGATCAGGGCCTTCACCACACCCGCATAGCCATTCGTGCCACCATTTCGTGGGTTTGTCATTGACGTCGTCGGTGGATGTAGATTGTGGTGCTGCGGGAGATTGGGCTATTGGGGGTGGAGTCTTTGGCGGAGGGAGGCCCAGAGGTAATGCAGGAGGTGGTTGTCGAGAGGTGAAAGATGCAGGGCATGTAGGGGTTAAGGGTGCCAATGCTGATGTCTGGGCTAACGAAGGATCTTCCGATAGGCTAGCACTGGATGCAGATGGCGTAGGGTCCGCGAAAGGGGACCGGGCTTCTGTAGGTGGATTAAATGGATCATCTAAGCGTTCTATATCTGCTTCTGAGCGCGACGGGGACGGCGTTGGGCTGGCAGGGATAGAAGTTAAAGGCAGGACATCCGAGTTCAAGTCGCTATCTTGGGTAGGCAGGGGTGCATGTGTCCCGAGGCTGGCATTTGATATTGACCCGGACTTTCGATTTCGACCAGACAGCAGTAATGAAGCCCGTCTCGAAACATTGTCAACCAATGACGGTGACGAAGCGACAGACTGTCGTGCAGCCTTTCTCCGTTGAAGCTCTGCAGCCTCCCATTGTTTTAGTGTCTGTATGGCAAGTCAACATTCAACCCAAATCGCGACGAGAGCGGATTCGCACCTCTTCAACACGACGCGATTCTGCTTGCTCGTCGTTGGTGGGCGGATATGACGATGGAGAAAACCCAGGACTATCGATAAACTTGTCGCGGTCGGTATCTGTGAAGCCGTCCGCAAGGTCTTTCTCCTTTCCCTTGCTCCGCCTCCGCTCGATACCTGCTTCTTCGTGATCCCACGGTCGCGTTCGAGCAATATCTTCCTCCTCGGAAGGTGCTACAGCTATCGTCGCTGGTGCGGTCATTCGTGGCGGTTCAGTGTCAGGTCGAGGAACGGTCGAGAACGATGACGCTCAAAGAGGCTGCCAAGGTGTTTGTAGGAGACGAGTCCAAGCAACTCAAATTCGCACCGGCGAATATTAGTCATTATTTCTCGATCATAACCGTTGCACTGCTTCGAATGTACGGTACGATGGGAGGCAAGCACATAACTACGGATAGGTATCGAATAAAAATGTCTCTATAATATGTAAAGCGAAGTCAATGTCCGAAAGGTATCTACGAAATGCAAGCTTTAAAAGCGGTTATCTGCTTTCTTCGCGGGTTGGTTGAGATCTTCAAAGTCAGAGCTGTCATCTCCCACATAGTGCCGCAAGCCCGAGGATTTGGGTCCAGCATTCTGCATCATCGGTGCATGAGATTCGTCTGACAACTCCCGGCCATAGAGGGTACTGCGGGGGCTGCCTCCGTTGGGAAGAGAGAGGATGGATGCACGCGCTGCCTCGCGCATCTGCATAAGGTTTTGGTGGAATGCGTTTTGCTCGCGCCAGTATTGGAGTCGCTTCTCGCGTTCGATGTCGCGTTGTTTCCTGTGGGCGAGATACAAGCCGGTGAGGGTGCCACCCATGCCTGATAGTCTTCAGTTCCCGAACGGCGACAAGGTTAAAGTTGACACTCACCTCCGAGGATACCGATTGCGACCAGGACGTAGGCCCAGATGCCGAATTTATGAGGAGTTGCTGCCGGGACACCGCAGACTCCGGAGCTCAAGCAATTCATAGAGTCGCACCTGGCCAAACGTGGTGAGCCTCCGGGCGGTCAATGAAGACACGGCAAACGCACTCTTTATCAGCTTCACACTTGTCTCCTTCCAGTTTATTGGCCAGACATTTGCGAGTGGGTCCATCACAATAGAATCCTGTGCGGCAGTTACCTCTGGCACATGGAATGGGTCAGCGACGTCACTTGGGCCCCACGGCGAAACCCTCGTACCGGGAGACGATATTGATGAATTCGCCCTCGATTCCGTACGCGATGTACGGCGTATTTTCAAGCACGCAGTCATTGCCCTCCGTTTCGTTCGCCCACCTGTAAGTATACATCAGCGATACGCAACACAAATCTTGAAGGTGCGACATACATGCAGATGTTGTTGAGACAGATGGCGCCGTTGACATTCAGACCGCGACCAGTCTTGTCCGCGAGTTCGTCAGCATTGGGTGGTGGTTCACATTGGTCTAAGGGGAGAACATAAGATTTTATTGTCGCAGGTAGAAGAGTGAGACTTGCCGTCTCGGTTGAGTTGGCAGGGACTTCCAACAGGTAGCAAAGGCTGGCAATCGCTTCCTTCGTCCGGGCAAAAGTGACCTTCTGGACATTTGTCGGGGAAAGTCATCCCTGGTGTATAGCCAAATGGATATTCGTCCTTGCGACACCGTCTTGCTACGCAGACACCCTCCTCCTCTGAGCAGAAGCTAACGACATCACATTCGTCCCAGTACTGGTAGGTGCCGAGTTGAAGACGGTTCTCGCTGACGGAACAGGCCTCTCCTCTTGTGAGATTACCGGCATAAGACCGTTGAAATAGAGATAATAGAAGGAGCGTGGGGGTCAGATACTGCATCGAAAAAAAGGAAAGGAAAGGAGGTGAAGATGGCAGAAACAAAGTAACTGAGCCGCTACGCTATGGTGTCCATGCCAAGCCGATGCACGCAATACAAGCACAAACAACCAAGACAACTTTTCATTTCTCTTTCGCCTGATCTACATTCAATCCATCTACACGACACTCTCTCCATATACTAGTCGCTGCAAGAACAGCCCCAGGTCCGACTACAATGGTGCCCATGATATTCCATACGATGACCAGCGCCAACTCTTTCCTGGTCGTGGCAAACCAGCAGCTTCCCAGCATGAAAGTCCCGTAGCCGAACAGCAAATCCCACTTCAAGAACATATCCACCCCGTCGCGGATCGAAGTCGTTGGCGAAACTTGGCTGCTCAGCTCCCAAAGCCGAAGAGACTGCGCGTACTTGACATGCGTCACGGCCGAGACCACAAAGACGATTCCATAAACGCGTCCGATGATCCCCGTGCCGCTCCTTCTGACAACCGCTCCTTCTGGCGTTGAGAATACCCTGGAGAAGACGACGTCGCTGATCCAAGTGAGCAATGGAAACACTTGCCACGCTGCGGTTGCCCATGGATCATGCGAGAACATCATCGCCGCAAATGGGAGGACGCTCCCTGTAATGAAACTGGCAACAACGGCTTTGGCTTTGCTTCGCGGGAGTGCTTGCATGTCGAAGCTCTTGCTCGTATTGTGGTTGGAGTGGAGAATGAATCCTAACCAATACCACGGCGAGCCAACGCCTATTGTTATCAGCTGGTACAATCCCCACATCACCATCGCCGCGCGAACTGGGAAGCGGCTTCCCCTCCTTTTGCTCTCGACTAGGGGGATAAGAACCAGTGGCCCATGCGTTCCAAGGAAGTATTTGAGCACGGGCAGTGGCGACGGATCGAGCGCAGGCTGGAAGAAGGAAACGAGGGTGCAGAGTAGTTGGTCGATATGCAGGATGCCGGTGTAGCGAAGGCGAAATGGGGTAGCTTCTGGCGGTGAATCGCTCTTCAAGCACATTGGGTATAGGAGGTGCGCCAGCCGACTCTGCTTCATGTTTCCGAAGATAAGGAGAGGCGCGAGGATCCCAAGCACCCCGAACACGATGATGGTCAACGCTCGACCTGCATCATCAGTTAGTTTCCAATTGGGCAAAACCGACACGATTGCTTACCTCGACACGAAGAAGACATCCTGCGTTTGCTGCTGCTTCTGCTGGAAACTTGAAGCACGTACTCTTATACCTCTACTTCATCCTGTCTATACAAGCTGTCTGTCGATTGCGTTCCAGACGACACGTATGAATGTATTCGTTGACCGAAAAGAAGTCCAATTATCCTTGGAGGGATAACTAGACCATTGGTCGTTTAGAGCCATGCATCCCGTTTTCTGTCCTGCAACGTCTGAAGCGCGTTTGAAGTTGCAGAATTTTTGCATAGCCCCTGATGGACGCGGCTCTTGTCCGTGATCCACCAAAAGAACGCGCCTCGAGGCAAGCATTGGCAACAGGCAAGACATCGCCAACTGTGGCGCTTTTGCCTTTGACCTTGAACTCTAGCCTCGAACACTTGAACTTTGAAAGCTCCGCCAACCATGCTTGGAAGGATCCTCCGGGCGCTTTTCAACTTTGTCTGCGGGTCGGATTCTGCGCAAGCCCAGCAGAAGCCGCCTCAACAGCAATATCCCCCTTCGAAACCCCCGACTGTTCCTCAGCTTCCTGGGCACTACCCTACTCCTCACCAACAGTATCCACCACCTAGGCCCGAACATAAACCGACCAAACCATCCAAACCATATGGCAAATACGAGGTCCGCCCTAGTACAGCTTCTAATCTATCCCATTTAACCAATACGTGCATGTAGGACGACAACAAGATCAACCAGGCCAATGAATACTATAGAGATTTACGAGCCCGTGCAAACGAAGAAGGTGACAAGATGGCGCAATGCTTCCAGCAGGGACATGAAGCGTATGCCCGTGGAGACGGTGCTTTGGCCAAGGAGTTCTCGAACAAGGGAAAGGCACACCAGAAGAACATGGAGGCGTTGAATAAGCAAGCCAGCGACTGGATCTTTGAAGGTCCGTGGATAATATTTTCATAACAACTGAATTGAATGCTGATTTGGGATTGTAGCAAACAATAGGGTGGGTCTTATTGAGTGAACTACTCCAGTGGTCCTGATGAATGCGCCATGTTACAGGATAGCGGACCCGGCGAGATCGACTTACACGGTCTCTATGTCAAGGAAGCCATCTCCCGCACAGAAGAGGCTCTAGAAGCTGCCAAGCGCAGGGGTGACACGGAACTAAAGCTCATCGTCGGTGCGTTCTCTGTGAATATGCGGCCATTAAAAGCAAGAGTAACCATTCCTTTCCCCCTCAGGGAAAGGTCTTCATTCTTCCAATGGGGCCAAAATCAAGCCGGCCATCGAGAACTTGATGAAAAAGTGGGTTTGGGGCTCCATTAGATGACTAGAATCTGACATCAGAGCCATGCATAGGTACCAATTGGATGCAGAGCTGGACCCCAACAACGGTGGAGTTTTGGTGGTACGGTTGAATGAAACCCGGAGACGTTCCCGCATGGGGGCTGACGAGATCACACGGAGGATCGAAAGAGGAGACGAAGGATGCACAATTATGTGATATACCGTGGCATACAAGAGATTGTCAGTACAAGGTACGAAATGAAGTGAGCAATATAAGAAAGATTCTCTCAAGTTGGGTGGACATATCGAACGTTCGAGAAGAATGGAGATACAAAGAAAAAATGCTGTTGCATACAGGAGACTATGACTCGATTATAATCCGGTTTCAAATCTCGAGACCGACGAGGACGAACGCAGGATCCACCTTGAAGGGAGGTTTGGTTACGACGGTTCCTCCGACATACATCAAGGAGTGGAGGAGGCTGCTAAGATTGGGGGATGAGCGTTCGAGGGAAATGACAAGAGCGTTGCAGGCAAGACTTTCGTCAGCCAGATCGAGTAAGGCGACGATGCTGGTCGGAAAGATTAGACTGAAATTACAGGTGGCCGATTATAAGCGAAACGCACCTTTCACGGAGGTTGACAGCGGCCGCGCGCTTGCCATCAACGTATAGGGTCTTGGGTTGGCCTGGGAGCTCCAGGACGACACCTTCAAACTCTGCCCCAAGGTTCGGGGCGGAAATTGAGACTCGCTTAGCGTACGGCAAAGCCTTGAGGCCATGCTGAGGGAACAAAGTCATCAAAAAGTCCAAAGCGTCGTGCTCGTTGATAGAGCTGTTGCTGGAGGCACTGCTGCAGTCACTGCCTACATCGGGGGTGAGGGGAGGGGTGGCGATTTGGGTATCAATCCTGCGAGGGATGGGTCGTGGTCCAGACTGAATGGGAATCGAGCTGCTTCTGACAACGGGCGAGTTTGTGGGAGACTTTGAAAATGAAGAAATGGACGTCGGCGAAGATGAAAAAGGTGCATAGTTGGGGGAATTTGGCGCCGAACTGCCTCTCACACAGTTCGACGACCCTCGGTCTGGAGGGCATTTTGCTTTGGGGGTGTCAAAAACGCCACTGTAAGAAAATGTTAGCCAATAGCTGAGCACGAGGCCATCGATAATACGCACCCCAGGCCCTCCCGAGAACGTAGTAGAGTAGTAGTACATATCGTCCATGCCCTGAAGATGGCAAACCGCTAGCACATCCGACCCGTTGTCAAAGGAAACAGCCCCATCCCCAACGGCTTGACGACCGTTGCTGAAAATCGGGCAGTCAGTACTCGTCGTCGATTGCAGAGAGATTGCAAAAAAGTGAGACATACGTGGGGCAAAGACTAGATGTGGGATTTAGAAAATTCGACATTGTGGACAGCGACATATGTTGCCAACTTGCTAACAGGTTCTTTGTGATAATAACGTTGAAGGTGATATACCTAAAAAGCGGATCCGAAGAATGCGTACGGGTGCCTCGAGTGTGGTGAGAAGCAGACCTTGCCGCCGCTTCATAGTGGCAGTACAGGAGCATCTCGTGCTGACTCAGCACAACGGTAATCTCCGCTCTCCCAAAGGGGAAACACGGTCAATTGACCGGAGCCTGGATGCCCCTGCAGTGCCGTGACTGGCATTCTCGTCGAACAAGGTCGACCAGGAAGGAGCACGTGTAGAGGATAGATCTGCGCACGCCACCAGTCCTGTGCAACACGCGTTCAACTGGAAAGGAAGAGGTATCTGCGCGCATTTTGCCTCCGGCCGATGCCGCAGCGTCCCCCGTAACCCAAAAGCCTCTCCCACGCTTTTGATGGACTGATCGTCGAAAAACAACCCCCAAAAACCACCACCACCAACCAGCGTCGACGACAGCGAACTCGACATCCTGTGAGTACCGAATCTATGCTGCGAGGCCGTAGGGATCGTCCAGCTTCGCTTCTGAGCATCCCCGTTCAAGGATTGCGCCAGACATGCGTTGGATGACCCAGGCCGAGTTTGGATGACACTGACCGTCGATTCGTTAGATATCGAAAAAAATGGCTGACTCTGCACGAGGACGTGGTGGATTTGGACGTGGCCGTGGCGAGCGGGGACGTGGCCGTCGTGGCCCTCGTAGGGGTGGCCGCAGGGACGAGGAGAAGGACTGGTGATTATCGCTCAGTTATCGTCGGCAAACCGTCTATTCATTTATCGCGATCTGCCAGGGTCCCCGTTACCAAGCTCGGTCGTCTCGTCAAGGATGGCAAGATCAAGTCTATGGAGGAGATCTACCTCTTCTCTCTCCCCGTCAAGGAGTACCAGATTATCGATTTCTTCCTCCCCAAGCTCAAGGATGAAGTTATGAAGATCATGCCCGTCCAGAAGCAGACTCGTGCCGGTCAACGTACCCGTTTCAAGGCTTTCGTCGCTATCGGTGATTTCGACGGCCATGTCGGTCTCGGTGTCAAGTGCGCAAAGGAAGTTGCAACTGCCATTCGTGGCGCTATCATCCTCGCCAAGCTCTCCGTCATCCCCGTCCGAAGAGGTTACTGGGGTGCTGCTCTCGGTCAACCCCACACCGTCCCCTCAAAAGTCAGCGGCAAGGTCGGATCCGTCATGTGCCGACTTATTCCTGCTCCTCGTGGAACTGGTATCGTCGCTGCCCCCGCTTCCAAGCGACTGCTCCAGTTGGCCGGTATTGAGGACTCTTACACCCAATCCAAGGGTTCTACCGCCACCATGGGTAACTTCTTGAAGGCTACCTTCGCAGCCGTAAGTCCCGTTGTATTTATCTTATCTGGCTTTAATTAACCGTTTTTCTTTAGCTCACCAAAACTTACGCCTTCCTCACTCCTGATCTCTGGCGCGAGATCCCCGTATCCAAATTCCCCTACGACGAGCACAGCGCGCACCTTCAACTGGCTGCCAAGAAGGTGTACTAAGTTTCTAGTATTTTGTAGTTTTCCGCATTTTGTATTTCTGTCGCGCACATAACGCATTCGCTCATCGATCACTCTGGCTCAGATGAAACGGGACTTGAGGCATGTCATGATCACACTCTTTGGTTCCCTCCACCAGGTCACCTCTCAACATGAGCAACAGCGACCACTGGAGCGCCAGGGCGCCAACAACGACGAGGCCATTCTCGCTGTTGTCCAGTAAATCTCTGAATAATTTGCAACGCGAACCCGCCCAGTCAGTGGCAGCACAAAAGTCGGCACGTCGCGCCCAGCGCATCCTACCTGGCCCTGGAGGCCTCATAACCATGTCGACTGGGATGCTGGACAGGGGCTCATTAAGGTCCGCCGTTTCCTAGACATCGCCTAATTTCGATTCCAACTCGCTTAGCAGCCAAGGGGCAATCGCCTCTTCCAATGATCAAGACACGGAAACTCCTATGGTGTCTTTCCAAGACGCGGCGACAAGCTTCATCGAGTCGAACAGCATGCGGCACCGTTCTATCAATCCCCGTAAATCCCGACGACTGGCGACCGATTTTGGCCTCGACGCTGGGCGAGGTGCCCCTCCAGAACCGCCTTTACTCTGGCAACCGCTTCGCCGACCGCGTTTGGCGAGCTCACCCCCACTATATCTAGTCCCCATTCACTCCGTTGAGTTTATCGGACGCATATACCGCGTCATCATCGTTCTTCAACCAGGGAGCACTCTGCATACGACGCAAGGCGGGGCTCAGCGAGGGAGGCTGAGGGAATTCAGAGGCAAACCCAACGAGACCCTGGAAGGAGGACGTATCCACGACCTCATTGGCCTCGTTTATACGACATCGGCGTTGTCTAGTGTTGGCCGAGAGTATCAGCTCCTCGTGGACAAGGCGAGCGCAATGGACATGGCTTTTCCCTACCGTGCCTCGGACGACATCCAGACTCTCCAAAGCGACGACACAAGCTCGTATGGATCCCTGGCGTTATCTCAGCGAGCTAGGCTGCGTACCCGAGGACTGGATTTCGAAATGGTTGGAGAAGCTTTGATTGAACTCGACATGAACTCGCCTCGGGCCCGCCCTGAAGTTCAGGAGCATATGGATAGCCGCGCTTCGTGGGCCCATCGTAGTAACCGCAAGACCTGGACGACTGACGATTTGTTGCAATGGTCTGTCTCGCATAGAATGCAGGCTCGTGAGTCGATGGATATCTCAGAAATTTCCGTGTCCTCCGCGCGGCAGGATCGTCGACCCGCCAAATCCCATGTGGACAATCGGCGATATACCCTGTGTGCTAGTAGGCCAAAGGAGGCGACGATAGAAAAACCTCCAAAGGTTATTCGGAAGGTGGCCAGTATGCACGACCGAACGAAACAAACGGACAAGTCCACCCAGCGCCCCATACAGAAGATCAAATCATTACGGTTGTTTCCTTCCAGCTCAAGGCGAGATCTCAACCGCAACGGAGAAACCAAGCATCGTAACTGGCTATTCTCGCGAACATCTCACCGTCAAAACACTTCGAGCGCGGACTATGGGAAGACGGTTGTCAGGCCCCCACCAAATCGTACTCCCTACCCTTCTTATTCTGCTCAGGAGATTCCTTCGATAACGAGGTCCCGAACAACATACAGCAAGAGATCTGGGGCCCAGCAGCGCGACTCTGTCTGGCTTACAGGGCTTGGTTTTTCTTTCACCGAAACTAGATCACAAAAGGACGGCAATGCTAGCCTTGACGACCCTATTTCCTTTGTTGCACAACATCACGGCACTCATTTGACGGCTGCGAAATCCCATGGAAATCTTCCTGACACCCTTGACACCTCTGAATCCTTTATCTGTATCACTCCCGACAAAGCCAAGGGCGACAAGCCAGCGGAGAGGAAAACGAAGGTCCAGAAGCTGATTGCCAGGGTGAGCAACGGGTTCCTTGGATGGGGAAGGCAGTTGACCAGCCGCCGACATCAATCTCCTGGAACGAACAGGCACTCACCGCAATAAAACCCTCACTCCCATCGGTGTTTGATGTTGATCGCGATAGGTTGTTTCGATTGTTTCTGATGATACCTGTATAATTGACTCTTGTCGACAAACACAGATGTTAGCAATTAGGTTATTGTTTGGAGCAGTACGTTATAGTTTGCAGAGAACAGGGAAGTTGAGGGGTTGAAGAACATGCAGTGTAAATGTATAGTACAATCGGAATGAAGATAGCGTGTACACGACGAATAGGAATGAGGAAGGTTTGAGGATAACAATGGATGCAGGTATGTAACTACAATGGATATGGATGGCGTGTCCGTGGTATTCGTCGTGAAGGGTCGTTAGCAATGGTATAAGGTAACACAAGGGGAATCTGGTGGGCTCAAAGAAGCGAAAAGCGGAGCTACTACCGTTTTAAAATCAATGTTTGGTTAGTTGGAGCTGTCCTTTAAACTGGGTTAACCCGGTCATCGTCCCGTCCGTCCAGCAGATCAATTGGCGATGTGAAGTTGATCAGCTACAAGCAAAACGCCGGGTTAGTTCGCGCGCTCCGAGTAGGCCATAGGCGGTGGTTCACGTACGTATGGATGTAACTGTGACCTTCTCCTCGAGTTTGTCCTCCGCAACGGTTCTTGAGAGGGTGGATGAACGATCCCAACCCTCGTGATCTTCCCGCCTCGGTTGTAAATGAATGGGCCATCCGAGTACCGTCTCATCGACCGAAGTGAAGACGAAGGCCTCCGGTCATCAGGATGCTGGCGGTCCCAGATGGTGTCGTCAGATGTTGCCCCGCTATGTCTGCTATGACCAGGCTGGGAGACGGAGTGCTGGATAGGGTGTGCCTGCATCGTTTGGGAGGTCATTGCTATACTCTCCGCATCAGAGTCGTAAGCAATGGAGAGATCCCCCGTGTCCCCAGAATCCCGCCGTCGCCGGGGAGGACGGGATGTTCGATCGAAATGCTGAGGTTCTTGAGGAAAACGGAACGAATGCATCCGGATAGCTGAGGCTGGGCTTGTCGGGGATTCCAGTGCAGAGATGGGACGAGCCATACCAATTTCATGGTCGTAGTGATCATAGTAGTAGTAGTCCGGTGGAGCAGATGATGAAATTGTTGGTGGTTTTGCTGAAGATTGCGGAGATATTACTTTGGCTCGGTACCCGGACTCTTGAGCGATAGACCGGGGAAAGAAAATCTGTAAACAGTATTGAGAGGTTACTCAACTAGATGTAAGGCAGTGTGACTTACAAGAAGTGTGATTCCAGATGAGATGAAGCATCCGATCCCGCCGACCATAAGCAAGAAATCTGAGAGGGTGACGAGAGTTTAGAGACAATACCGCACTTGGATGTTGTAACGTACCCAAAGAAAAACTGGAAAGGGAGGCCATTAGCACTGGGTAAACGTTAAGAAGGCCGGAAAGCGAACTCACGCATTGCCCACAATGGGGTAAGGACCACTGATGGAATCGGCGGCAATGAGGAGTGGCAGAGTAAAGAAAAATCGGAAAACAACTCGGATGCACTACGAAAGGGATGAGTTGGTCCAGAACCCGGGTCGGTGAAAAGGACTGGGGTACCCACATTAAGTTGGTAAAAAGTGGTTAGGCGAACAACGACGTCAGGATCGGCACCTTCTGCCTTGACGTGCTCGAGAAATCTGGGGAAGCGAAACAGGACATAAAGAAAGCAAATAGTGGTTGATGTTCCCGCACTCGAACCAGCTAAGAAAATCCAAGCAAGACCCTATACGACTTCGTGAGCGTGACATGAGAGCAATCAATGAGAAGACTGACCGTGTTGAGCTGATGTCGGGTTATAATGGTTGTGACTGGCATTCCCAGGACAGCGATAATACTCCCTAGACGCGTCCGTTAGGCCGATTGTTTGGAGATTAGAAAAATACCGTCCCGTACCGATATACCAGGTGCGAAACTCCCAACTATGGAACCAATCTCGCTTCCCAGGTCCTTGGTGGAGAAGGAATAGCCAAAATGCAAGTTCTGAGTGGGGTCACGGTTGGGTTCGTGAGAGATCCTTTGGGCTGAAATTGAACAAATAGTACCTTCCAGATGGGTAACACTGGAGTGGCAAATTCAGTGACATCGACGTGACAGGATGGCAAGACAACGCACAGTTCTAGCGACCAAGCAACGCTCAGAGTGAAAAAGAGGGGCAGCAGATAGCGCTTGTTTTCTGGACTCCACTCAGTGAAGGGACGGGGTACGACTGTGGTACAAGGGCTGGGTTACTCCAGAATGGAAGCAGAGTGAACGACAGCTTACTTCGCCCGTCCGGTGCCAAGATGAATCCTGTAATACAGCGCCCAGTAAGTCTTTGGGAATCCCACTGAGCTCGAGTGGCGCACCTTCCTGAAATTTTATGGCGGTCATGGCCACACTAAAGCAGACTAACAGTGGAAGGGTTCCCAGATACGAATAACTGGCAGAATTGGAGGTGAGCTGGACGCCGAGTGACTGTAGACATCGGTAGAGCGTACGTCATGACCCTTTTGAAAGCGCCTGGCTGCCTCCCGGAATCCCATCTTAAACAGTTGAATCGATCGTAGAGCCATAGATGAGTGATTAGGAAGCCGAGAAACTTGGGGAAGCGTTAATGTTTCTTAGCGGTGGGGTAGGCCAGGGGCAGGGGACCTACGATGCATGACAAGATGGCCCAAAGCAAGTAGGCGGTTGGAGATCCAGTGCTCATAAAAAGCAACGCTAGCTGTCGGGGAGAAGATATGGAAAAGCCAGTTTCGAACCGTGAGCAAAGGAAAGGAGGCCAACAGCAAAGGTAGAGATGCAATAATATATTCAAGGTACTTGTTCTTGCATTACCTGGCTGATGGTGAGAAGTCCCACCTTCTCACGTGTCCGAACTTACCTTTCTCGGCACCTCCGATCTGGAATAACCTCTGATCGATCAATACAATTCCGCGAACCCATCAATCAAGCCAAGCGAATGCAAATTCGTTCTCATCCACGAAATGATCGTTGTGCCCCAGTGAACGTTCGACGGACGTCGATTGCGCGTCGCCAGAGGGATCGTTACCTGGTCAAAGACGCCCGACATGAACACCAATACAATAGAATAGGCGAATGTTCGTGTTAACCAAATCGATGCAACAACAACTGTATTCGTGCAAGGTCCAGTGCCAGGCTCAGACCCCGGATCTTGCAGGCTTGAAGCTGTGATGAAAACTCAGAGGATGCTCGCATTGGAAAAGAGGTGCCAACCAGCCAGTCATTCCGAAAGAAACGCAACAGCACCGGCCCAGCATTTTAACCCCAGTCCTCGGAGGGAAAGCGCCGGAAATGGCACCATTACGCTCTGGTTGCCCTCAACGCTTTTCCCAACCTTCGGACATCGGCAGCTGCGTCAACTTCCACTCGTCTCTGGAAACTCGTCGGTCGCGTGTGGGTCTCGCTAGGGACGACGAAATAGACACACGAGGTGATCATAATGAATGGATCTACAAGGGCGTGAGTGAATCGTTCGCCTGTACGCATTAGACGGGACGAACCGAATATAAGCGCCCAACAGCCATCAATCCTCCTCATCTTCGTCTTCCTCGTCTTCAACTTCATTTCCATCGTCTTCACTATCATTCCCGAAAAATTCGTCGTCCTCAATGTCGTCTCCAGGTTTGCTGGACTGTACACCAGATTTCGTGACCGGGTTTGAGCTTTTCTTTGAAGGGAACTGTGTGGATGCTTGGGGTCTTCCTGGACCAGAGCCAAGCTGCGTTTCGGGTTCTGATGGCAGTTCCTTCTTCTCCATAGAGTCTCGTATCCATTGACGAATTTCTTCTCGTTCTCTGTTCGTCTTCTCGGCATCGGTCTTGGACGCCTCGGTGACCTCGCCTTTCCTGACTTCGGGCGGGAAAAGAGATATGTATTTCTTGGTTTTGGGGTAATGCTGATCGAACTGGTCAGTACCATCGCCATTTGTTTCAGGCAGACGCGTACCAAGATATAGTTCAAATTCACGCGTTCCTCTAGTAGTTGAGCCTCCAATTGCTCTTTTTCCGACCCATCCGCAGAGTCTAGGCGTCTCTTGACTTGGTTCAGTTTCCGCGTCACCTTTTGCCGTTCTGCGGTGTGTTAGAATGCTACTCAGCAATACACGGGTGAATACTCACCAAAGAATTTCACTTTATGATACCGGATGGCCAGTGCCCTCTCCTTGTGCGCCTGTTCGACCTGTTGCAACTCTGCCTCAAGGGCTTTCAGTCTTCTCTCTGCCTCCACACGCTTGTCTGCAGCCAAATTTTCCTTTAAGACGAAATTCAGATGATGAACTATCCACAGTGTGCAGATATGCAGACCTTGGCTAATAACCTTCGGACCTGCCTCAGCGAAGACTTTATCTTCTGTTTGCCTGGCAGGGCTGACGCCTTCGGCTGGTGATTCGGTTTTTTCTTGTGAGATTTGTTCGACTTTGATGACGATGCTTCAGCATTCTTGTGTTTGTCTTTCGTTCGTATTGGAGCCATGGTGTAGAAATCGAGGAATAGGTTGTGGTTGAAGCCGAATGTGTAACACTTGTCATTTGTTTGTTCTGATTGGTCGCTGATCAAAAATCAAGTCCGCCAAGCAAGCCGATCACATTTCTTCACTCTCATCTTATCGCCTCGAATACCAAAAAGTATGAGGAACCTCTCTCTGATCGCTTCGGATTTCACCTCCTTCAACTATGCAAACGCAAACTGGACAGCGACCGCCTTGGATCTCGACGAAAACGTTCTTTATGCGGCGTCAGAGCGCAAGAACTTGGACGGAGAGGTGGAGGTAGAACTCTGGCGGGTAGCCTCCCAGAAACCACCGACCAATACTGAAGTTCAAGTGTGCATCATACCTTCGTGGCTGCCAGCAGGATATTGGTTTAATATTATCGTTTTCCTCAGGAATCACCAATCATGACTGCAACGTTCACGACGACTGCTTCTTCAGCGTTTCCGAAGGCATCACAAATAGTTTCACTTCGAGTAGTGGCCGAGACGCGACAGGTGGTGGTAGTTATGGGTGGTGGGGATATTGTAATAATATCCATTGACGAAGATGGATCACCCGTATGTGCTTTTTGAATAATGCGGTATTCTGTCTTGACGCATTAGACGAAGACCGAGGTCGAGGGTACTTTCGAAACCGGAATCTCTGCGGCATCTTGGAGCCCAGATGACTCTCTTCTGGCTATCGTGACCGGTGCGTACCAATATATTGTATTTGACTACCCCTAAAATTGTCAACAGGCGACAAAAAGCTCATTCTTATGACCTCATCCTTTGACGTACTGTCTGAGGGACCTCTGCACCCAAAGGAATTCGGAGAGGGTTAGTCAATCCTAGTCCCATATATAATATCGCTAACTCTTCCGTGCAGACGCGCCAATCAACGTCGGTTGGGGTTCCAAGCAAACGCAGTTCCACGGATCTCTGGGAAAGAGTGCTGCTCAAGCGCCTAAAATCCTCAAGATAGGCTCTTCTCCAGATGACGACCACGCACCTCGGATAAGCTGGCGAGGAGATGGAACATACTTTGTGGTCTCTTCTCTCGCTGAAATGGACGAACTTGGGTTCCAACGACGCACGCTACGAGTCTACGATCGCAACGGGACCTTGCAGTCCACTTCGGAGCCAGTTCCCGGCCTCGAGCATGGATTGTCCTGGAGGCCGTCTGGTAACTTGATTGCGGGTACTCAGCGTTTCGGTTTCGAAGGTGGAGGTGCTGGAAAACAAGAACGACACGACGTAGTATTTTTCGAACGCAATGGCCTGAGGCACGGCGAGTTCACGCTGAATCCCGATTGCTTTGCCCCGAAGGCAGGGACCAGTTCCACTCCTGAGCTACAATGGGGATACAGCGTACGGGAACTCTCGTGGAACTCTGATTCCAGCATATTGGCTGTGTGGGTGGAGACGCCAATCGGCCATGTTGGTACGTCTACCACTTCGGAGACACTGGTCCCGGCCTGACCATCCCTCCCCAGTGCAACTTTGGACCACAGGAAACTATCACTGGTACGCTTCTTTTACTCGGGCGCATTGACATTACTGACGATTTCTCAGGTATCTCAAGCATGAGATTCTTGCACCCCCTCCGTCAGAGGGTGTCCCTGGGACATTCACTTCACTCCAATGGCATCCCGAGTCAGCATTCCACCTAATCCTGACCACCCCAGGTGCGTCCGTGCTTCTGCCTTCCGGTCCACTTCTAACCAAACGATGCAGTTGCTATCATTCAAAGATACTACGACCTCGAGACGTTCATCTCTCCGTCAAAGCCACCCACCGATTCCGGCCTTGTAGCAGTCCAGGATGGAGCTCAAATCCTGCTAACGCCATTCCGGACGCAAAACGTCCCACCACCTATGTCATCCTACCAGTTACCCGTCAACCTTTCCACTCCTTTTAACAAATCAAGTTTCAAGGTTAAAACGCCTGTCTACACTTCCTTCTCTCAGGATGGCGACGCGATGTCCATGCTTTGGGAAGATGGGTATCTTCAGCTGTGGTCGCTGAATACCCGACTTGGTCCCGGACCAGGGAAGGTTATGGACCCCAAGATGTTGTGGGAAGGAACGGTCCCAGTCACTGAAGAATCCCGGTGGAGGCAGGTATCGCTCCAATGCAGCAACCAAGAGTCGGGTTCATGGACCATTGGCGTTGTCGGAGACCATCTTTCAGGGCAAGATGACGCATTCGTGGGCTTGCAACTAGAAAATGGCAAAGTCGCAAAATCGGATCTCGTGACCTTACCATCGCGCAACTGCAGGATCATTGCGACCGGAGCGAAACTCTTTTTCGAGACACCTACGGGAAAGGTTGTCAAAGGTGCGTCATTGGCCATCCCGTGCGTGAACTTTGCACTGACATTAACTCCAGTCGACGACAATGGCAATGCTGTCGACGTCGCATCCTTCCCAGAGTTCTGTTCGAACACCCAAGTCGTCATGACAGAGTCGAGGGAGGAATCTGGATCTGGTTCACCTCAAACAATCTTCCTCGGCCTCGGAAAGACAGGAAAACTCTATATCACCTCGTCCCCGGACTCCTCTAAGATAGTGGCCTCGAATGTCAACTCGTACACAATCGCGTCTGGTTTCCTCGCTTTCACCACGACAGCTCACGAGTCCAAGTACGCACCTCTTGATGAACTGTCTTTACTCCTCGAACAAGAGGAAGGAGGAGAAGGAGCGAAATCCATTGCAGACAACTGGGTAGTTCGCAAATTGGAACGTGGTTCTCGAATTGTTGCTGCAGTTCCAAGTTCGATGGCGCTGGTGCTCCAGATGCCGCGAGGAAACTTGGAAACGATTAATCCCAGACCTCTGGTGATGCAGGTGGTCAAGGAAGATTTGGACGCGTACGTGTGTGATTTATGCGCATTTATGAGATGCTGACGACAACCCCAAAATAGCACCAATTATCGAAAGGCCTTCATGGCTTGCAGGAAACACAGGATCGACCTCAATGAACTCGTAGACCACAATCAAGAAACATTCCTGCAAGGGGTGCCTCTTTTCGTCGAGCAGATACACGAGATCGACCACCTCAATCTCTTCTTGACGATGGTTGGGTAAGTTCCTTGTGGGATCGAGTTCCTTCATGGCACTGAAGCACAATGACAGCCGTGGGTCTAGCTCGCCAGAGACTGTGGCCAGAATTTGTGACGCAGTCAGAGGAGAGCTAGAGAAGCGCGACCTCAAGAAGTACATCAATACCATCTTGACTGCTCATGTCGTGAAGACACCTCCCGATTACGAGTCCGCGCTTGCAGAGCTTCATCGCCTCAAAGGTACGAGGCATCCTTCTTTAACCCGTTTATTGTACTAACGAGCCACACAGAGACCGATTCCACCGTCGTCGAAGAAGCGGTGAAGTACGTGATCTTCCTCGTAGACGCCGAGAAACTGTTCGATATTGCACTCGGGATGTACGACTTCTCACTTGTGTTGATGATCGCACAGCATGCCCAGAAGGTACGCCAAAGGAATCACCTAGTAACTCCATCATTTCGTCTCACCTTGACTAGGACCCTCGGGAATATTTGCCATTCCTTCGAGAGCTTCGTTCACTAGACAAATACTATCAACGCTTCCGCATCGACGACCACTTGAAGCGCTATGAAAGCGCTTTGAGGAACCTGAGCAAAGCTGGGCCCGAACGATTCGAAGAGGCCTTGCAGTACACCGAGCGACATAATCTCTATGAGCCCGCTTTGAAGATCTGGAAGGGTACCGAGCGATACAACGTGCGTTTGTCAGATATTCTTGTTCGTCGTCATCTTACCTTTTAGCAGGCCGTCCTGGAACTCTACGGTGACTGGCTCTATGAACGCAAGGAACTCCCTCAAGCCGCATCAGCATTTTTAGAGGCCGGAAAACCTCTCAAGGCCATGGTTGCTTTCGAAAGGAATTTACAATGGCAAGAGCTGTTCGACTTGGCTTTGCTCAACAACACTTCCGAGGAAGACATTGTCACCATGGCCTACCGAGTGGCAGGTAAGTGATGATTTTTTTTTTTGGTTAGTATCGTCTCACCCATTAATTTTCCCTTGCAGAGGATTTGTCCTCCAAGAAGCGGTATTCTGAAGCCGGCAGAGTGCTGCTCGACTACGCCAAAGATGTTAAAGAAGCTGTTGTCGCGTTCAGTCAAGGAAACGAGTTTTCTGAGGCTCGGAGGATTGCAAGTGTCTCCCGTTTCCCCTTGGGTGACTCCTCTGACGCCATTTGTAGTCGAATTATCACAAGCGAACCGAACTACTCGAAGAAGTTATCCACCCCGCTGCTTTGGAAAGTCGAGCGCAGATTTCCGAAGACCTAGGAGAGATGAGGGAGCAGCTTCGCAAGCAGCGCAATCGAATCAAGGAGCTCAGAATTCGCAAGATTGAAGAACCCGGTAAGTCAACGTTCGTATTTTTGTTTCTGGGCGTTTAACCTGACGTGACCCGGGATAGACGCATTCTATGGCACAGAGGATGTGGCCCTGCAGAACATCGACGTGATGACAGATGTCTCGATGGCCCCGACTACTTTCACTCGGTACACACAAGCGCCATCGACCTCGTCGAGAAGGTCCAAGTAAGTGTTTGAAGCTTTCTGGCCGTGGTGTGATAGCTTATTTACCCTATCTAGACAAACTTCGCGGTCGAAAAGAAAGGCTGAGCGTAAGGTTAGCTCCGGAAGGAAGGGAACCGTGGACGAGGAGGAGTATATCCTCAAGTCACTCACGAAGCTTACGGCCAGGTTTGCTTCAAGTCGAGGTGCGTTTCCCATCTTTGCGTCTTTACGGGCATCTCTGATGGCGTATGTTCTCAGACGACGCGCGTCGACTGCTTCCCCATCTCTTCCAATTCTCGGAAGAGCACAGGAGCGAAGGGTTGGATCTGCAACTTGACGTCAGCAGCTTTGAAAAGGAGCTTACAGAGGCGATTGACGAGGTGTGGACTAAAACCGAAGAGGATGGAAGTACCCCTGCTGCCGATACGTGGGCGTCCAGGATGGCCGAGGTGGAGAGAAATAGGCAATTTAACCCCATCGACCGAGTGTCCAAGCCAGAATTGGGAGGAAGGAACGACAAATGGCAGATTGATCTTTACGAGATATAGAGGGAAAACGGGAGGTTGGATTCCAGTTGTAGGTGTCGTCCGCGATCTTCCATTTGGCTCGAGTCATCTTAAATGAATTGGCTTTAGCTTGATGCTAACGCTGGGTTCGTGTTGGTGGATTGGAATGTGAATGTCTGTAGCTCGCACACATTCCGCCCCGGATCGCTTGTGCATGAATCTGGTGATCCTAGTCCTGTTTTTGAATGTAGAAGCACTGCCCTGCCTGTATGATAGAGCTGGATATGACTTGTTCGGTCCGGGAGGCTTTTCTCAATTCAATGGATCATAGATGCGATTCGCCGTATCTTTGCTTTCGCCGACCTCAAAACCGGGGTCGCTGGTAAGGATATAGGAACAACCCCTCCTCGCTCAACGTTCATGTGCTGCTCTCGCAGGGCTGTGTAAATATTTTTTGATACTCCGGCGTGAAAGGGAGATCAATCGGGGGTGATCCCAGGTATGGGCGTCGGTTTAATTGGGCGCTCGTATCAACCCTCAATCAAGTTCACATCACTACATACGTCTTCTCTTTCAATCCAGATAGATCGCCCGTCATAGTAACCAGAGAACTCGATTTTCCGAGGAAAGGTTGACGAACGAAACTCATTGCTATTCTCCTCACGACAGCTCTCAACCCTTATAACTATTGGTCAGATCCAACGAAATGGCCGCTCGACCACAACACTCGGCCTCATCACTGGCCAGATATGCAACCGCTCGTGCCCCGGATGTCGACGTTTTCAATGGTAGCCAATCGAGGGACTACTGCAACTCGTTCTGGGGGCCAGGAGATGACGGTCCCAACATCCTTTTCACGAGGATGCGGGGTGCTTGCAAAACCACGGACGAACTGGTGAACTTTTGGAACGAGAGGTGAGTCCGCGAAGGCGTTCAGGGCTCGTAGGATGACTCATTGGACCATCGTATCCCAGGTCCCTCATCGAGGAAGAATACGCTCTGAAGCTGGCGAAGCTAGCCAAGGTGCCCATTGGCCAAGAGGAGATCGGGTGCGTAAGCCATTGCTGTAGAGGTGCCCACGACTGCATTGACTGACAACGATCGTTGTCCAGTGAATTGCGCACCAGCTTGGATACCCTGAGGTTGGAGACGGAGAAGCAGGCGGAAACTCATCTGGAGCTTGCTCGCCAGATTCGCGACGAGCTAGAGACCCCGACGGCGCAGTTCCACGCCAAACAAGTTAGCCATCGGCGGAACCAACAGAGCAATGTGGAAAAGAAATTCAAGGTTAAGCAAACACAGGAAGCGTATGTCCTGAAGGCGAAGGAAAAATACGATGCAGACTGTGTCAGGATCAACTCGTATACTCAACAGGCAAGCTACATGACGGGGAAGGACTTGGATAGGATCAACATGAAGTTACAACGGGCACGGCAAACGGTACAGGCAAACGAGAAGGATCTTGCTGCATTTACCAAGACTCTGTTGGATCTCCTGCCGGAATGGGAGGCTGAATGGAAAAACTTCTGCGACTCTTGCCAGGATCTGGAGGAGGAGCGACTAGATTTCATGAAGGACGTTCTCTGGGCATACGCAAACGATATCTCCACCGTCTGTGTCGCTGACGACGCGGTGAGTTCCTACCTTATTGGCTGGTGCATTCTTGCTAATGACATGGCTTCAGTCGTGCGAGCGCATACGCACCGCGTTGGACCAATTGGATCCGCTAACCGATGTCGAGAATTTCGTGAATGAGTATGGTACAGGTAACACTATCCAACAGCCCACAGAGTTCACTCCCCACTCTGGCGGCTCCCAGAACCCGCCGTCACTTGCACCGACTCCCAAGGTCCGCCCTGCAAACTTCGTTCGCATCTCGACACGGCCGCCGGTCACCTATCAGGTAGACGATGGAGCTCAACTTCCACCCGATGCTGTTCCACCAGGCGCGATTCCCAATGGTGTCAACGCTACCGCAGCCCCACCGCCGACAACGGCTCCACCAGCGCGCTCGGCTACTCCCCCTCAGCGCGCACCGGCAACTACCAATGCGCACGCACCCACGACGAATGGGCATCATTCAGGTCCATCTCATACATCCCCACCTCTTACTAGTCCTCCGTCTGTGCCTCCTCCTGCTGTTCCGTCTGCTTCATCTAACGCGGCGCCTAAAAATAACCGGGTGTCGCAACCTCTTCCTGTTTTGCCTTCTGGTGCTGCTTTCCGATCCCAAAGTCCTCCACCGCCTTTGCCTACGCGTGAACCAACCAACGACAATTCTAACCGAATTCTATTCTATGGTATGTGATATCATTCGCCAATCTTCTGGACCTTCTGTTCTGATCATAACAACAACAGTGAAAGCGCTCTACGATTATACCGCGACGATCGATGAAGAGTTCGACTTCCAAGCCGGAGATGTCATTGCAGTCACGGCTACGCCAGACGACGGCTGGTGGAGTGGCGAGCTCTTGGATGAGAACAGAAGAGTTGAAGGACGACACGTTTTCCCGAGCAACTTTGTGTGCTTGTTCTGATCGTTTCGTTGAACGCTTCGCCATCTTTTCCGATGACGGTGCATGTCTTCGGGCACGGGTATGTAGGGTCCAGTGGGTACACTTTTTCTGATTTTATCCGATACAAGTTTGTTTTCTTTTGCGCTCGTTTCGGTTGCCTTGGGCGTTCCAGACGCAGTATATATGTATGTTGTATCTCCCCTGTGCTGTATCTACTCCATGCTCTTGATAGCCTCACCCTGAAACCTGCCAGAACCTGAATTCAGTTGCTAACGGTGCTCCGAAAGTTGGCGATTCTGCGAGAAACATCACAAATGATGTTTCCGTTCTGGTGGCTATCAAACCGGGTTCGAAGCTCTATATCGACGGGAGCTGTAGAACCTGCAGAAATGTATAAAGTGATTCTGAATCAGGGTGAAACAAGCACGAAGGCCATGTACAGCTGACAATTAGGGTCTGCATCGGGCTTCTTCAGCGACAAAGGTAGAAGTTACTACGAGCTTGTATGGTGTAATTGTATGGCGCAGGAGTTAAGGCCGACCGTGGGCGTTATTACGTTTCGGATTGTTAACGCTCTTTGACTGTACCTTAAGTACAACTTGAACTTTCTCGCTAGCCGTGACATGGGACTGAAAGCGGCGGCGACGGGGGCACTTTAGCGAGTCCACCAAGCTCTTAAATTCGGACCACCATCTGCACCAGTAGATGCAGTCTGAGCAACGACTCTTCCTCTGTTCTGCTTATCTGCTCACTTTTCGCTGCCTCGAGGCACTGGGTTCCACCTGATTCCGCGGAAACTCCATCAAGCGACGTCTGCCCATGACCACGACACAAACACGCCGCCGGAGACGCTCAGCATTGGCAGCAGAGCCTCATGTTCTCCCAAGGCGTGCCTCAACCCGGTTTCACCCCATCTCCAACATATTTGGGATCGTCGAGAACGAGCCAATAGGGTTGGATGAGACGTCCTATGGTTCCCACCGTAATCTCTTCTCTCTGTCCGTTACTCCGATTGAACGTCGACCAGAGACGTATTCAATCGAGGGTGGTTGGACTGAGGGTTTGGATGGACGCCTGGTTTACGTTGAACACGGAAGAATAGAAGAAATTGACGACCTGGACGAAGATTATGACAATGACAAGGAGAATAACGAAGACATGACAACACCACGAGCTCTGCCAAGTCTATCAAGTCCGACCAATAGCGCCGGGAGGAGAAACACTTTTGGAATACCCATCACTGACCCTTTACCTCCTTCAACTACACCACCACCATGTCCACGCCCAAATAGACTACCGCCACAGCTCTTTTCCTCTCCAAGCGTCATGGCACCGCACGCGGGCACAACCACGTTCCCTTCAAAGACTCAATCGGCTATCCAAGGCTCCATGCCGTCGGTCCTTGATACGGGGTCAGAGATAGCCCTGCTACAGGAAAATCTGAACCTGCTTTCAACCGTTTACAGAGACCTCCAGAATCTGTGCACAGTAAGACGACCCATGGCCTCCTTAACGACGTGGTGATGGCCTAATTTAATTGTTTAACAGTGGTTCTACGCCCAAACGCCAGTTGAAACATTCTCCGAACACATCGACACCTGTGGCTTGATCGAAGAAGACGTACAGTCTATCCAGGATTCTTTGAACAGGCGTCGCAAACTCGGGGAGGAGGAGTGGAACGTTCGATCTGCCGGATGGCATGAGAAGTATTCTCAGCGCCTCTACTCCCTCAGACGGTGGGGTTTACCGTTGTTCCGTTTGTGGGGCCAAAAACTGATGCTTGGAGGTCGCAGAACGCTCGTCCGCCTCCTGGCTGTACGACCCACGGTTGAACGACGAAAGCTAAAGCCTAGCCACATCACACTCGTTTTAGAAAAACTACAACACCACCACCTAAAACTCTCGGATCTATCTAAAAAGTTTGCTGTACGTGTCTCCTATGCGTTCTTTGTTTCTCGCCAATGACGGTCTGGTTAGGCATCTCTTGAGAGACTACGTCTCCGACACATTCATTACCTGCTAACACAAGCACACGAGGCGGCACGTCAGAAAACTGAGGCGCGTCGAGAAGACCAGGCGACTTTTGAGCGCCATTGGTACGAAGACAAGGCTATTCGCGCGGATTTGAGAAGAGAATTCTTCCAGGCATATCGGACTACTAGACAGCCTTCGGCTCAATGACTCTCGAGTATACCCACACCGCATCTTGGATTATTCTTTGACGACGACCTCGTAATGACGGCCCTACCCCTCGCATTTACTAGCTTTGCTATCTGTATCATTATTGTATCTCGTCCACGCTGACGTTCATCCCCTGTAGTTACACAAGGACACTTATTGCTAAGTATTATAGTCTTTCGCTGTACATCGTTGCTTTCATTTGCTCTGTATATAACTTTGTTTTTCCTCCATCTGTTACATTGTCACCAAAAGGCAGGGCAAGGAGTCTTGGCAGAGCGCGTCGCGTCCGCGGTGGCGTGATCTTACATAACGTCATGTGACCTCTGGAGTTGATTTATCTATTATTTAAATTTGGCATTTGCTAAGGCTTAGCAGGCTGTGCCGAGAGCGAGTCGCGGTCAATCAAGGACTTCACAAGTTACCAAGTTCCAGTTCACGACCACCTCTCCGCGTCTTTACAATGTCCACAGCACACAGACCGACATGGGATCCCGCCCAAGCCAAAGACCAAAAGGCGGGCTCGAGACAGTTCTCTGTCCGAGATATGGCTGCCCATACCAAGTTGAAATTCCGGTACGAAACTCCCATTCAGTCCCATTGAACCTAACCAACTTCATTCACGAATAGACAAGTAGGCCAAACCTCTGTTGACGAACTCAAGAAACGGGATCTTCGAGCGGAACTGTTAGCTGCTGAACGTGAAGCTATGAACAAGAAACGAAAAGCAGAGGGAAAGCCGCCTCTGCCTGAAATTGATACACCGTCCTCGTCCACGTCGGGTTCTGCTGCTGCCATTGCGGATGATGAGTCGAATAAGAGGAGGAAGTTGTTGCAGGAGGCTTTGGAGTTGGATAAGGATGATGACGACAGTGACGAAGAGGAGAAGAAGGCGAAGGAAGGAAAGGATGGGTCGGAGGACGAGAGGTGAGTCTGGTTTCAACACGGTGGTCGGCTGTTCTAATGAAACTGTCGTAGTAGTGAAGAAGAGGATGACGATGATGACGACGATGATGAAGATGAGACAGACGAACTCTTGAGAGAACTAGAGAAGATCAAGCGAGAACGGGCGGAGGAGAAGGCAAGGCAGGAAAGAGAGCAGTCTGAATCAAGTGCAGCACAAAAGGAAGCAGACATTGCAACGCGAAATCCATTATTGAACTTGGCTGCAGCATTGGGCCAGACACCTACGGGAATCAACACTACAGTTCCAGGCACATTCCAGGTCAAGAGGCGGTGGGATGACGGTACGTGTATCCGTTTCCTTCGCCAGCGCTTTTCTATGACGTTAGCAATGCACGTTGCTCATTCATCTCATTTGTGCATATAGACTTGATTTTCAAGAACCAGGCTATGAACAACAAGGAGCCGAGTGGCGAGTTCGTGAACGATTTGTTAAGGACAGAGTTCCACAAGTATGTTCCCTCGCTCAACTTTTGACATATTCCCTGACCGCCTTGTTTCCAGGAAATTCATGTCCAAATTCATAAAGGTATGTTTTGCACAACCTACGACCAATACCATCTCTAACAATTCTTCCCGTCCAGTAATCTCAACGTCTCTCCATATACACATACCCTGCTCGACACTATCTATCCAATACGATGTATCCATTCTCGGGTATCCACACTGTAACTCGCTCGAACACGTTTGGGAGACTCTATTCTACCTTCAACTCTGATCCCAGGTCCAGCCAGGAGCGGCCCATTCAGGCATCTCAGTTTCGAACGACCCCAAACTCGTGGTGTACTTGCGCGCATGCAAGAAAATATACAACTTCTCCGGTTTCGGGTCTGGATGTAGGGGTAGATAGCACTCGGGGCAATAAAGGTTGTCGGATTCGCCTATTACGGCGGGGATTGTTGCGGTTGTGTTTGCAGAACCGTCAGGAGATGCGTCGGCTTGCTTGACTTTCTCAACAATTTCGGCTTCGGTGTATTGAGGTGGATTCGGAGGGGCTGTAGTTTCTGCGTTTTCTGTTGTGGTGGGCGTGGTCGGTTCGGAAGGCGGCGAGTCGTTGGCTCCATTGGTCGGCGCGTTTACAGGCTTCTTGGAAGACAATGTTGCTTTCCCGCCTTTCTTCCGTTTGTTAGGGAGTGGAGGAGGGCTGACTACGAGGTGATGTGGGTTGAGGGCACCTTTCACTCGGAATACTACGTCGCGCCATCGACTCCAATCTTCATCTTCGTCCTTCAATCCGCGTTAATGACTCGTGCTTCCACCGTGAGGAAAACTTGCTTACTTTCATGTTCCTCAACCGGGTGATAACACCAACGGCTTCCGCTGACAAAGGCACAGGGGAACCCATTCCAATGTCATCTCCCGTTTCGCGTGGAAGCAGTTTAGGTCTGGGTGCTGCAGAGTCGCCGTTGGCGGGACTCGCATCTTTACTGAGAGACTCGGGACTTCCGACGCACTCTGTCAGCGCTTGGAGATGCGGAGGGGGAGCAGGAGCGCTTCGTTCGTTGCTGGGTGTGGTGTCTATGCCCCCTTTTCCGCATTTCTTGCCCTGGAAAGGTGTGAATGGAAGTTGAGGGAGATGAGGAGAAAAGGGGCGCACCCATATCCGCTCTTCAGAGTATATAGGGTCGTTGGCGATGGGATGCCCGAGGTATTGAAGGTGTACGCGAAGTTGATGTGCTAGTGAGTTGTTAGTCTTCGCTATGAATGACGGAGGTGAGCACTAACATCGACCAGTGTGGGGTTCGCCTGGAGAAGTAACGAATGAGATCAGGGTTGGGAAAGATGAGCGAGTAGAAGCGGCGCACATTTCACCACGCTGCTGTTGGTGTTTTCGTCGTAGCGGATGAGGGTGAAGACAGTCTTTGCAGGCTGGATATAATCGCGTGAGTTATTGGACGAATACTACGACGCCGGTGGAAGGGTACCTTTCCGTCGGGATGGACAATATTCAAACCCATTTGCCTATCAACTGTGAGGAGGGGCTGCTCGCACACTACAGAGCCTTCAGGGAACTTTCCCTTTACCCTCGCGACGTATTCCTTCTTGACTGTCCCAGCTGTAAACTCTTCAGTGAGCGTACGTGCGCGTTCCGGGGACAAGGGCATGATCATTAGTCCAGAGGTTAGACGGTCCAACCTGTTTGCAGCTGTGGAGGGCATTAAATTCGGCAAGTCCTGAGCCGAGATAAAGGTGACTCACGATAACATTTCTTTATCCCAAAGTCATGAACGAGGATTTCAATCAACGTGTTTTTGTAGTATCTTCCGGAAGCATGGACAGGCTGTGATTGGATTTAATGAGATGGCGAAGGGGCGGTGATAGGGTTAACGAACGAACGATGCTGCCTGGTTTATCCACCACTATGAATTCACGTTCATCGTCTCTGTGGAGGATGCGGACTGGAGTGTCGGTTACTGGTGGTTCGTGGCGATGGACGACGTTTCTAACAGCGAGGGTTAGTCAGGTGTGGGAGAAGGAAATGGAAAGGCGACGCACTCGATTCGGTCTCCATCTTTCAATATCGTAGTAGGTGAAGCCACCTGGCCGTTCACAGTCGTCACACCCGATTCCAGAGCATATCTCTACTAGGCCATCAATCACACTTGCACCGTTACTCGACGCAATGAATGGACGCACATAATACTCCATCGACCGATCCCTAAACTCTGTTGAAACGACTTCCAAAAGCTCCCTCCCAATCCACCTCATCTTGGTCATCGTGGTATACGGATACCAATACGGTGCGATCTTCTTGAGCCCTGGAGGCGCGGGTACGCTCCGGGGTTTTGTAAAGTCGAAATCGTTGGACATGAGTGTGGTGCGGATGAGGTTGTAGATGTTGTGGCGGAATTGCTCGAGGGGCGAGACGGGAATGAGGCGGTAGTGGGTTTTGGTTGACCTGTTTAGTTGGCTTAGAAGGGTGATCTGAGGGGAAGGGGGCATTTAAAAAGAGGACCTTGGGTCCGTCTGGGGTGCGTCGGGTGTCGCCAGAGTGGTAGCTGTTGATTTCCAAGGTTAGTCTAGAGCTCTGAAATAGTATTTGGTAGAAATCACCTGGTATATCGAGCAAACCCGGTTTCTAAACGGACAGCACTTGGAAGAAAACTTGAAAGCAGTAGCGCTGGACGATCGCCTGCCAAAACGAGACCAACGGAGTTAACGGACCGCGCTGCCGATAACAGTGAGTCCAAACAGAGTCCACGGCTCTTCCTCATTCTCTTTCCTTCAAACAACCCTCACGAAAATATCCACAAATGACATCCCCCTCTCCAGGACCAAGCAGCGCACCAGGGACAGCCACATACAAACATGCACTAACTCCCGTCGAAAAGCAGCGTTCGCAACTCGAACGACTGCTCAAGGATCCTGCAAAACCAGCGTATATCCCACCGCCTCCCAAGGAGAAGACGATCAGGCCGGCGAGGGAGATGATGAAGAACGTGCAGGGCTCTAGTGCTGGTGCTGGAAGTGGAGAGTTTCATGTCTACAAAGCTGCCAGACGGAGAGAGTATGAGCGGTTGAAGTTGTTGGAGGAAGAAGCTCAGAAGGTGCGTTTGTCCCTTCCTTGTTACAAGTCCCGTGTGCTAACTAGATACGACAGGAAGCTATCGCGGCCGAATTTGAGCGCAAACGGAAGGAAGCGGAAGAGGCTGCAAATGCAAAGACCGCGAAGAACCGTGCAAAGAGGCAGAAGAAGAAGGAGAGGGCCAAGGGTGCTGCTAACAAGGAGAAGGAAGCGTCTGGAAGCGGTGACGAGGCCAAAGCCGTTGACGATGGTTCGTCTGCGCCTTTGAAGAAACGACGATTGGTGAATGGGAAGGAGTTGGTGTTCAAGAGGCCTGGAGAGGAAAGCGGTAGTGAAGATGAGGGAGAAGAGGTTGGCCCTCAAGCTCCACCACAACCGCAGGTGCAAGAACCTGAGCCAGCGCCGATACCTATTGTCGAAACGCCACGAATTACGATTATTGAAGACGATTGAAACTTATATCCTTGTATTACCTATGCTAGCTCAGTTTAATTGTGTCACTTGGGGCTTTCAGATCCGAATATCAATGCAAACATGTTTTGCAAAAAATCTATACACAAGTGTCCTAAGAAGACTTGTCTGTCACGCTAAATACTGTCAAGAGAGCAAAACAACCATAGAGAAGGCCGACGGGGTAAGCTACGAGTAACCGCTGTTCCGACATTTGAAGGACGGCGACAAAGATACCTGATGCGGCATATGTGCACCAGAGGATTGAAAGAATAGTGAGAAGGTATCCGAAAGTTCCGCTAAAGTATCGCGTTAGTGCGTGGGGCATGGATGGCATATTTGGAAACTCACTCTAGGGCGATCATGACGCTGATGAGGCCCACGCCGACCATGGGCAAGAGGCAGTATCCGAGGACTGAAGCGACGCGGTATGCATCGATACCTCGAGCAGACATTAGGTTGAGAAGTAGGTACATCGAAACGGACCCAAACAGTCCGACACCATAGATATATCCAAAGTTGGGCTTTCCAGACTAAACATACCAATTGGTTAGTCTCGTGAAGTTCATGCATGAGAACACATACGCACGAAGAGCAAAGAAATACCAAAACAGAAGAAAAAGATGATAGGGCCAGCAAGGTCTGCGTCGTCCATAATTCGGTTGTCAATTGTTTGGAGTGGGTTAAGGACAGTTAATGATTTGGCGCGTATATGAGAAAAGTTGATTCCAAGTTCTACCGTCAAAATATGAGATATTTGGCATTCATAGTAGAAAGGACAAGACGTACCTTGAAGTAACGGCGGCTCCCCCTCGAATCCGCCGGTTCCAAATGCCGTCCACCATCCCCCACCGGACTGAATGTTTCCACCAAACCCAGGTGACTGAGAAATACTCCCCTGAGTCGCTTCGTCAAGACTGGGCCTCGACCCAGGATATGCATAAGAGTTAGGATCCAACCCGCCAGAGTAGAACTGCAAAGGTTCCTGCGCAGGCGCCTGATAGTATGCTGGCTGGGCCTGAGACGACGATGCGCCGTATGGATTGTTCTCTTGCCACATCGTTTCTTGTCGTCGTCGTCTCAGTCAGGCTTTGTCCTTTTATTCTGTGATCGTGAGCTTTGGGGTGTGGTCGTCGTCGAAATGTGGTGTTGACGACACGCGAATCTGTGGTTGCGGGCGATGTGATGGTCACCGAACACGTCAAGACCGGGAGATGATTTGGGACGTCACGTGCGCAATATTTGAGTCCGACGCGGCACCGCTTTTGGGTTTTGGTTTTGGGCAACTTGATCTTTTCGTCCGTGCAACCATGGTGAGTCCTCCAGAGTCAACACTTTGGGCAATTCGAGAGACTGATGTACTTTTTTCTGCTCTTTAGCCTCAGGTAAATGGATTCGGTCACTGAAGGGGATAGCCTCGAAGCTAATGCCAATGTTATTAGAACGAATATATCGAGGAGCACATTAAGCGGCATGGAAGACGGCTAGATTACTTTGAGCGAAAGTGCGTCCTATATTTCCTCCCCATTTCATCACAAACTCACCTGAGTAAACTACAGGCGTAAACGCGAAGCTCGAGCCGTCCACAAACAATCCGCCGTAGCCCAAAAGCTCTTCGGTATCAAGGCTAAGATCCTGCACGCCAAACGCCATGCCGAAAAGGTGCAGATGAAAAAGACGCTCAAGGCGCACGACGAACGCAACGTCAAGCAGCCGGATACCGCAGCCGTCAGCCAGGATGCACTTCCTACTTATCTGTTGGACCGTGAAAACCAGAAGGATGCCAAAGCGTTGTCGAGTGCGATCAAGCAGAAGAGGAAGGATAAGGCTGCGAAGTATTCGGTGCCGTTGCCTAAAGTGAGGGGTATTGCGGAGGATGAGATGTTCAAAGTGATGAGGACGGGCAAGAGTAAGAGCAAGTCGTGGAAGAGGATGGTCACGAAGGCTACGTTCGTTGGGGAAGGGTTTACGAGGAAACCTCCGAAGATGGAGAGGTTTGTTCGGCCTATGGCATTGAGGTATAAGAAGGCCAACGTTACGCATCGTATGTATTCTTGATTTCTCAAATTGGGATTTGCCACTGACTCGTGTTGACTTGTGTAGCTGACCTAAAAGCAACGTTCCAGTTGCAAATCTTGGGTGTCAAGAAAAACCCTCAGTCGCCTATGTACACGCAGTTGGGTGTGCTCACCAAGGGTACCGTTATCGAGGTCAACGTTTCCGAACTCGGTATGGTCACCACTGGAGGAAAGGTCGTCTTTGGGAAGTACGCTCAGATCACGAACAACCCAGAGAACGACGGTTGTATCAACGCTGTACTTTGTACGTTGTTTCTTTTATCTCGTTTGAATTTTCACTCATTTCTCTTCCAGTGGTCTAATTGTGGCAAACCCTTTGTAGTTTCTTCTTATGATCCTTCACGACACTTTTTGCATGTAGCTTTAGCCCCATATACACCCTGTAATTTGTTCATCTTGCACCACACGCTATTTCGTTGCAATGGATTTTGTTGCGTCAGCATGATGCTGGACATCCCAAAAACTAATTGATTCTGGATTCGGATGCAAGAAGCCCGGATCACTTCTTCTCTTTAGCTATGACCACCGAAACTCAGGCGAGTCCAGAGATCATCGAAGTTGACATCGATGCAGAGGACTCTGCTACAATCTTTGGCGAACATCTCGTCAACAGCATCCTCGAACATGAACCTCTGGATACTATAAAACAAATTCTAGAGTCGGGTGCTCCAGTCTGGTACTCCAGCCAAGCCGAGGGGACTTCTGCTCTCCATGCCGCTGCCTACACTCGAAACCCTGAACTCGCTCGTATCCTGATTGAAAAAGGCGCGATTTGGAACGCTGGTATGTCTGGAATCTCTGTTATCTCTCATGGTGCACGATTTTGACAGACTTGGATAGTCGATCATCTGGGAATCACAGCGGGAGAAATTGCCCTCTCGCAAAACGATACAGAAACCTATACCATCATCCGCGATGCTGGAATTCGCGCAGGTGCACAACCTCCAGCTCTATATATCCCCGATACCCGAGTTCACATAGACCCATCCTAGAACTCCTCCTCAACCTTCTTTCTTCAAAAGCCCTGAAAGCGGGCAAAACCACCGACGCCAACCAACTCGAAGCAGATAACTTGCTCTTGCGTGAGGAAGATTTGACGGCGGCAGGCTCGACGGAGACGTTCTTGTCTTCCAAGTTGACGTATTCGGTGGACAAGTATGGGCAGAAGGTGTGTACTGTGCAGGCTGGGGATGATGAGGTCGGTGTTATGATGGGCTGGGAGAAGGGGATTATGGAGGAGACTGTGAAGAAGTTGTGTGATGGGCACCCGAATTCCAAGGAATTAAGGGTATTGAATGTGGGATTTGGATTGGGGATTGTGAGTCCATTCGTATCTCGGTGTGTTGGTACACTGATTGGCCGGCCCTTTAGATCGACGAGCTCTTTCAATCGCTACCTACACGTCCAGAGCACCACGTTATCATCGAGCCTCACCCTGACGTGCTGAAGCATATGAAAGAGACAGGGTGGTATGAAAAACCAGGTGTCAAGATCCTGGAGGGCAAATGGCAGGACTATATCGAAAGCGAGGAGTTGCTGGCTTTTGGAGGGTTCGACGTCGTTTACACGGATACCTTCTCGGAGGACTACGCCACTCTTAGACTGTTCTTTGAACACCTCCCTAATATCCTCGCGGGACCTGAATCGAGGTTTAGTTTCTTCCACGGGTTGGGAGCGACGAGTAAGTGCATTATCCATATAATTACTGGTGGCCTTCTGATGTGGTGCTCCCTAGATGCTTTGTTCTACGACGTGTATACACATATATCGGAGATGCATTTGTTGGAGGTGGGGTTGAAGGTAGAGTGGTCGGATGTGGATGTGGTAGGCGACGAGGAGGAAGATCGGTGGGGTGAGAGTCGCGAATATTTCAAGGTACCTTTGTACCGATTGCCCGTTGCTTCTATGGCGCCTGTATCATAAGTGAACCGATGTAGTTGTAGACAAGGCTATTGGGGGTTATCTTATCTAGAAGAACCTTACAATAGATCAGACCGTGAACGCGAGTTGATGCCAGTATTGGCTTTGACACCGACCACCACAACCACAACGGACTTCCAATTCTCCACGGCCCAAAACCACCAGAACGACCGCCATGACGATCAACAGTCTCTACATCTTCGACAGGCGTGTAAAGGTCGATCTCTACACCATCCATCACGCGTGCTAACAACCTCTCCCGTCCACAACCTTTCATCAGACACTGCACCTGCGTCTACTACCAGGACTGGCACCGCACACGGCGGCCCAAACCAGCAACTGAAGGCGGTCTACTACCAGGTGTATCTGCAGCCATGTCCTCAGCTGCAAACGCCGTCGATGGAAGGCCAGGAGGGCCTTCGTCTGGATTCGATAGCCCGCGCAATACCCTCGCACCGAGCACGGGAACGGTGGTCGCGATCAACGACCAGACGGCGCAGCCCCAGATACCAATGGCTCCAACTGGCGTGACCAGCACAGGACTTCCCTTCGACGAAGAGGCAAAGTTGGTGTATGGAGTGGTCATTTCCCTTAGAAATATGGTCAAGAAGCTGTCCGGGCGGTACGTTCTTCCCATCGTTCCTGTCGAGAAGTATACTGAATTCAACTTCGTGTAGAGACGAGCAATTCACAGGCTACCGAACTTCAGCATACAGACTACACTTATTCGAAACGCCGTCGGGGTACAAGTTCGTCATGCTCACAGACCCCAAATCCGACTCGATGCGTTCAGTCTTGAAACAAATATACCTCGTTGGATTCTTGGAATACGTCGTCCGCAACCCTCTCATCAAGATGGATTCAAGAGAACAAGGAATCGACAATGACAATTTCAGAAGTGCAATCGACCGTTATGTTAGGGGTCTTCCCAATTATAATTGATGTAGGGATGATAGTGCAGACAGGTAATGGCGGTACTAAATAGTTGTATATGTATTGAACTTGGAACCAAGCGAGATATGTTATCGAAAGCGAGAGTCATGGGTAAATGAAAAGCAAGATTTCAGAGCTACGTGTGTGTGTGTTGGTGAAGTTACTTCTAAGGAGAGATCAACAAGTCCGTTAAGTACCAAGAGGAGTTAATCCAAATAATATGGGCAGACGTCAAGCCCAGCCAGCCATCTCAATCATTCTGCATTTGTCCGTCCTCAGATATCAAACCTTCATAGATTTTTCCGCCTCCTTTTCTTCCTCCTCCTTCTCCAACTGCCGTCTTAACACTTTCATAAGGGAAGTCTTGATCGCCTTCTCAGGTGCACTTTCCTCCTTTCCTTCAGTATCGCCTGCGACTGCCTCGTCCAAGGCCAACTTGGTTTCGCCGAGCTTTAGCATGTCTTCTTCTATCGTTCCGCGGGAAATGAGCTTGACAACGTCGACATCGCGCTTCTGGCCAATGCGATAAGCCCGATCTTGGGCCTGCTTGTCATTGTGCGGGTTGAAATCCTGGTCGAACATCACGACGACGGAAGCGGCGGTCAAGTTGATACCCATGCCTGCATGATGATTAATTCACTGGCTGGATGGTGGGACAGACTAGACGAGCTCACCTCCTGCTTTCGTCGACAACAAGAATATAGGTATATCCTCGTCTTCTGTGAATTCATCGACAAGACTTTGCCGCACGTCGACAGGTGTGCTACCAGTCAGAACCAAGAATTTGATGCCCTTGTTCTTGAGGATGACCTGGAGAATGTCCAGTATTTGTGTGAACTGTGCATAGTATGTCAGCGACCTAGATCCCCAGGACAAAGTGCTTGAAGTACCTGGGAGAAAATCAACATCTTCCTATCCTCCTTGCGATACCCCTCTATCAGCTTCAGCAGGGTGGTAACCTTTCCTGCGTTCAAATAGACATCGTCATTCTTCAAGAACTTGCGAAGGCACTGATGATTAAGGTTAGAACGGCCACGCCAAACCAAAGAAGAAATACATGCCTTGTACGTCGAGCAGAACACCTGCAACTCCGCATCGGTCATGACCGTCATATCCTCCTTAACGTACTCGAACAGCGCCCCACGCTTCTTGTAATCCGGCTCCTTAAGCAACTGGCGTGCCATCCCAGTCAAGTTATCATCTGTAAACAACGTCCGGAACAACATGGGATGTGATGCTGCCTTGCGAAGGTCCATCAGAACATTCGAGCTGTTCTCAACATACATCTTATCCTTTGGACGGATTTTCTTCTTGGTCGTGGGTTTCCCCGTGCCAGTGGGTGTTCCTGTATCTGGGGTATCGAGTTCGGCATCGAGAATGGTTTTCCGGGAACGCTCTAGGGCGTCGTTGTAGATTGCTTGTTGCAACTCTGTCATCTCGCACCATTCTATCCGTTCAGACTTGTTAGGGAGATCCTTCAAAACCTGCTGGGAAGGTTAAGATGGCGTCGGACAGAGAACGTCGACCGCACTTGCCTGATCCTTTCTCCGTCTTAGGACGAAGGGCGTCATCATCTTCTTTGCTCGGGATATCCTCTCTTGCGAAAGTAATGAGACGCTTGCATTTCCCTTGGCCTTAAAGATAGCTTGCAGATCGGAGAACTGCCCCGTAAATTGGTTTGGTAGGATGAAGTTCATGAGAGACTAGAGACGTTTTAGCATTCACTCGCGAAGGTCACGACGGACGGGACATACCACTAGTTCTTGCAAGTTATTCTGCAATGGCGTGCCTGTCAACAGCAGCCGCCAATTGCATTCGTACTGCACCAGGTCTTTGTACCGCTCCGACTGGTAATTCTTGAGAACGTGGCCTTCGTCAAAGACAGTGCACTACAATACCAGGGTGAGTGGTACCAAAGAAAACGAAGGAAAGGAATGCGAACGTACGTCCCAGTCCAACTTCTTGAAGAACTTGCGATCATGTTTATCGCCCGACGCGAGATTGTATGTGGTAATCAAGACTTCCCAACCCTCTTTCTTCTTGCTGCACACGGTATCCAAGAGCACAGCTCGCAGAGAAATCCTCTCCTCCTTTCCGGCATAGTACGTCTGCACGCGAATGTCAGGTGCGAAACGTTTGAATTCTCGACACCAGTTCTCGAGCGTTGAGGATGGTACGACTACCATATGTGGTCCCCGGTTGCCTTGTTCCTTCAGATGGGCAAGGAAACTGATGACTTGGATGGTCTTGCCGAGACCTAAAATTACACACAGGGACTCAGAATTCGAGGGACAAAACGCTTTGAATGGACTCTCACCCATCTCGTCTGCCAAGATACAGCTATACCCCCGACGGTACAGCAAGTTGAGCCAGTTCACACCAAGAAGTTGGTAATCCTTCAGCTGAATGTTCTTGGGAAGCATTGAAGGCTGCTTCGTCAAGAAGTTCTTCGACTTCTTCTCGGATACCTTGGTAAGCGACCGGAGACTGAGAGCACCGTCTTCTACTTCATCAGTAGGGACCGCTGTCGAGGACGTTGAAGGCTTTTTGTCGTCGGTGATGGTCCATGAAGCAATGGCAGACCGCAGACTTTCGCCGATCCTCTCACAGTCTTCGAGGACGGAGTCGACCGATCCGTACCCCTTGAATATCTTCACCACATCGTCGAATATACGCGGGGTAAGGCCACCTAGTGCAGCCGCCTTCTTCTTTCCCCCACTGAACTTCTCGCTGAAATCCTCCTGGGATTCATAGGGTCTCTTGCTAATAATAATCTCCGCCTGCTCAGCGGTGCAGCCTGATTCACGGGTTAGCAAAGCTTATTCATCGATATGGGAAGGGAGGTCTTACCAGTCAGTTCTTGTAACGCTGCAACATCACGGGTATTAAAGTAGTTGAGAGCACGAGTCGTGTAACTGGATTCAGCGACTCTGGCCTTCTTCACCTCACGATCGTCGTCACTATCGCTGTCATCGGCCTCGGATTCAGAGTCCAGCACCAATTTCTTCGTCCGTTTAATTTTGCGAGCAGCAGGAAGGAATGGCGTAGCTGGTGATACTGGAGAAGCCACCGCAGTTTCAGAAGCAATCTTAGATACCGGTGGGGTAGAAATATTGGTCTCGAGAATAGGTCGGTTGGCGTAGATCATGGACTTCTTGCCCTTCTCCCTGACTGCAGCACGTTGGAGTTTGTTGGCCTCGTCGATCTCCTTCACTCGTCCTGTTTCTTTCTCTGCGCCATTGCTCTGAGGTCTGGACGGCGTCGGCGGTGACCAGGATGGGTTGGATAGGAATGCTGCAGCCTTGGACTTGTCGCCGCCGGCTTGTGTCCAAGCAGCCCGAACACGGGCATCCGAGTCCAAAGGATATGCCATTTTGAACAGTTGATACGCGGCGTCGTTGGAAGGTGTGGATGATATACTTGGCGCCGGAGACCCTTGGGTAGGCCTGTCGCGTACCAATCGCGACCTGGAGGAGCCAGAAATTGCCGAAGCAACGTCCGGTAGTGAGTCGTCTTCCGACACAGACATCTCCATGCTGTCTGAGATGGTACGTGGACGACGACGAACGGCAGCGCGTTCGACCTCTGGTGAGGAGGGAATGTCGATCACTTCGCGAGATTGTTGTGATGGACCCCGGTTTAGTCTTTTGCGAGGGGGCTCCTCCTGTTGGATCGTAGACCCATCTGTAGTGCGCTGTCTCCTCAATGAAGAGCTACTAGCCGTGTTGCTCGAGGTAAATGTGGTAGGAGCACTCAAAGGGTCCGCGCCGAATAGGGATCGCGCCTGCGCCCATGATGTCCCATGTATGTTCGCATGGGCTGACAGTGCTGGCATTTTGGGAGGATTTCGAGGGGCAGGTTGGGCATTGTTGATGATATCGGCGGGGTCAGGACTTGAATTTGGAACGAGAACTTTGCCGTATGAAGAGGGTGTGTTCGGGGTGGGGAAGAAGCGGGAGTTGACTGTTGCGTCTCTGGACTGGGAAGGAGGTTGAGGGTAGCGACTCTGACGAGCCCCGTCGGTGGCCAACGACGACGACGATGAGGATGTTGAGCTATTGGATTTTTCCTGTCGCTTTCTGAACCGAAGTTGTTCGAGAAGTTTGGCCTAAGTCGACAGAATAGTGGTCAGCTCGGTGTTCCGCCCGCAATTTTCTGTCATTTATTTTTTTACCTTATTCTCTTGCGATGCCGTCGAGCTCGACATCGTTTAGAATGTATGCGTGATAGGCAACAAGAGGAAAAAAATGAAGAAATGTAGTTTGGAGTTTGAGGCAGGGTCGCTCGTCCAAGACGGTGGTGGTACAGCACACAGGGCAACGAGGGCACGCTTTGGTGTGCTTCTTACGTCGGAGAGTCAAATTAGTGTGGCACAAGAATAATGTATTCGTGACTACAGAGCAATACGGGTATCCGACACACAACCTATATGATAATTGTGAACCACAATCCAGGTGAAGAGTAGCCTCCAAAGACGACTGTAGATGCAAGTATGAATCGCCTGCACCCTTGCAAATCTTCACCGGCAAATGCTGCAAGATGATTGAGATAATACACATGAGTAATAGCTGCTCACACCCCGAGCCAAAGCGCACCGACAACGGGATGCATCCACGATTATATGCAGCATGCTTCAGTAGATAATAACCAGCTCTAGACCTTCACTGTAAAAAAGCAAATCAGGAGAAGAAAAGCAAACCGTCCTAATAATGGATAGGGGAACGTGCTCGTTGGGACACAATGAAGGCGAAGGATATATATCATTCATTGTTAGTAGCACCCGAAGGCTCTACATGGAAAGGTAAGGACAGCAAGGATCATACACATTCATGCGAGGTTCAGAAGGCGGGCGCACATCAAACAGGCACTATAACCAGTGCCAAAACCATGGCATTTGGGTATAGTTTTCCCGCCAGGACATGGGGGATATGGAGAAAAGAAACAGATCCGGATGTCATTTGTTGCTGTGCCCAACAAGTGCGCGATGAACAATGTCCTCCTTCACGGCATGCATGGGACATTGGCGGACCAGAGGGCCATGGCACGGTAGCGAGTAGCCCGTGCAGGGCGACGTTGGCGACCAAGGCGGTCGGAAGTTGCAAGTCGGACGATGACCTGTATAAAGCAGGCGGCGACAGAAGACACTTGTTGAGCGAAGCAGTCACAACGTGCGGCGGTGGTGTCGGTTCTCCTCGTACCCTTCCGAAAATTTGGGGAAAAAAGCCAAGAAAATCAAGCAGCACCCAAGATCGTAGAGCAAGCGAGCGTTCAACCTGCGCGATGTCGCATTCGATTCCGCAACGAAAGATTCAAGCAAGTAAGAGAGAATGCGTTGACATCCATGAGTGACAGTAAAAGCAGTGTTATGATAAAAATATGAGGACAACGTCCAACGACCGATGGCCAGGCGAGAAACCTGGAGAAAACGGTCGCAGACGGCGAAAAGGGATGGTGGTGGTTGAAAGGAAAGAAGTGTTTTCAAACACCGCAACTCAGCCAGCCTCTAAGATTTTGTTTTGCTCTGTTTCTCCTGCACGTGCCGCACCCCATCGGCAATGGGGCGGCCATCAGTGTCACTGATCCAATCAGCCAAGTCAGCTCGCCAACGTCAGTTCATCGGCGTCAGCGGTGAGCTGCGCATATCCACAGCCTTTCCTTGAAGTCCTTCTTCCCAAACTACAACCATGGACTTGGGATTCTTTGACCTTATCTTCCTGTGGATCACCTTGGCCGTAGTAATGGCAGTGGTGGTACCATTCACAGGCGTCCTTGTTCGATTCCGCGCCAATTACAACCCTAAAGGCCTCCACCTCGATGAAGAAGGCACCGCAGTACCTCATACCGGCCCTGTCGTCAAATCCTACATTGCTATGTTCACGAGAGTGTATCGTTTAGAAGTACGTGTATATGCTATTGTGGATTGGCATGCGGACTTACACCCGTTTCACAAAGGGTTGGGCTGGACTTTACAAGGGTCTGAGTAAGTGCTCTTCAGTAGCATTTGACCCTGGATCGACCTGACAAGGATTTTTGCAGTGCCTACCGCTATCACGACCTTTGCGCTCACTATCTTTGTGGTCCTATTCCTCGATGCTGACAAGCCAAGACGACATTCTAAGTATCGGGCGCCAGATTCTGGCATTCTGGTAAAACATGCCTACCCTTGGTTAAACTGACTGTTTCTAATTAATTTACAGGGTACCCTCTTCTACAGTATCCTTATGCTCATTGTCTCGCTGCCATCGACTATCATCACCTATCGGTACGCCTCTATCCGGTCTCGTCTGATTCAAGCACTTAAACAGTGAATAGATCAATTACCACGCCAGCCAAGCTAGGCTACTTTAACGTAATGCAAGCCTTGCGCGTCCTTCTCACCCCAACAGAGCGCCAACGCCCATGGGTCCTCTACCTCACTCCCGGTCTCATGGCGGCTGAAATCTCCCATATCGTTTGGGTAGTTGTCATCCTGGGACCCTTCCGCCGCCTCCTGTTGCCTGCCTTTTCCGCGCCAGAAATGAAGGTTGAGGGTGTCTCAGTGATGTCCATTGTGCTTTACTCTGTGTTGGCAGCTGTCAGCACCGCCGTTATGACCCCTCTTGAAGTCATCGCGACCAGACTCGCCATCCAACGCAACCACGCCTCGCCAGAGTACAATTCGGTCCATCAGGAGGCAGACGGCAGCGATGGCGAAGCTGCAGAAGACTATGGCACTGATGAAGATGTTATTGGGTATGTGGACCAGTCTATTCCAGTTTCCAATGAAGTTAACGTCTTGCTGTAGCTTGAGAGAAGAAGCTGATCCATACCTAGGATTGGTCGATTGCGCGAAACGCATTGTCCAAGAAGAGGGAGTGATGACTCTGTATCGTGCTTGGTGGCTCACATTCTTTGGAATCTGGAGCAACGCGTTTGTTTGAATCTGATCTCTTGTATATTATTTCAGCAGGTCTTGCTGTAGTGTTCCGAAACATCCATTCCACTTCAATTCCTTCCAAGATTGCGAGTATATCGGTCTCTATACGCGTCACGCCAATGAAACCGCGTTTCGCGTTCCGACTCCGACCCAACGGGAGCCCAGCCGACCTTCGCAAGTTTCCTTTAGTCTCCTCTTCAGATCCCGGAATGCCGACTTTGGATGCTACCTCTGACGGCCTCTTCCTTAGTTTCCTGACTCCCACGATACTTAACTTGCATATGGAATCCGACCGTTATGGCGCGACTAGCGGCTTCTATATGGCACGCAATGGGAGAGCAAAAGGACTGCTCTAGAGGTCTACTAGCTGTCGTGAGATAGCATTCAGAAGATCAAGAAGCTAACGACGGTGGTTCTGTGGATTGAACTTGACCCTCTGGGGCAATCTCTAGGATAGATCCAACACAGGGATCACTAATTTTCCAGAAGGGAACGCGATGGCGCTTACTGGTTGAAGTTGGGACTATCGAGTATCTGGACGATGTGGAATCGATCCCATACTACATAGGGTCTATCCTTATTTCGAGGCGTGACCGTCATGCTGACCCATCGACAAGGAGGGTGCTATGTCTGATTTGTGAGTTTAGCTATCTCCGGGATCCCCTTTGGATACTTATAGAGAACAAGGCAGATGTACGAGCAAGAGGATGCCTACCTTAATCAGGGTACGCTATGCCTTCTTTATAGAATGTCCATCAGATTGACTCTTGAACACCATCGGTTTGCGTTATGTTGAGCGACAGACTCTCATCCGGCGGGGCCAGAGTGGTTGTAAGACCGTGCCACAAGGAGCCAGAGAGGCTTTCGTGGCAGTCCAATTATGTAGGTGGGTTTCGCGAATATTAAATAAATGGTTAATTAATTAAAGAGAGAGAAGAGGGAGAAGGAGGGGAGAACACCTCCCAACTTTCCGGGGATGGTGCTCTCCCATGTCCGTGCCACCCCTCTATGGACTTTGACAGCGAAATTCGGGCTGGTAATGAGGTTATTTATAATTTTCGTCCGCGCTAGCGCGCGAATGGTCATCAACACACGATAAACACCTGTGTGGTGTTTCCCAACAATTAGGAAGTGAGGGAACGGGCCAAAAACTGAGTCCATTACAGTCGCTAGGGCCTTCTATATCATCCGTAAGTGATTTTTCGATGGACGGTTCGCAGTAGTCCAATTTTTTCGGGCGCGCTGATGCGCGCTTACCGTTTCTACCCACCGGGTCACCCGATGGGTGCTGCAGTGCCCTCAGAACTTCGCAGACCTAATTTATCTTAAGTCAGAACAGTGAGGATCTTCATCTTTCTGTACTGACGTCGCTTTGAGGTCATAGAATGGCGTCGTGAGTGCTGCAATATATTAATGCAAAGCGCGCCAACTGCCCACTGAGCCCCTATTCCCGTTCTCGCGATCGAGAATTTCAAACTCCGTTTGGTGGTGCCCAATTCCAGGTACAGTTTGCGTCACTGTAACTCGTCTCAGTGGCTCAAAAAGCTACCAGGCATTGTTGACTTTTGATAAGGTCCCATGTTTCAAGGTTTTTTTGTTTTGACTGGGAGGAGCGCTTTCGAGAGTCTCGAGAATGTGGGCCAACCATGACCCATTTAGGTGAGGTTTTCGAAGTCCACTAGGTCCTAACTGGCCCACCACCATAAGCGGACTGCCGCTTTCGTCTCTCGAGAAGGCACCGGCTTGAAAGGTTATAGTTAAGCGGTTCAGATCGGATAATGCTATTTGGCAACCCCCCTGCCGCGAGCAACCCCGGTTGTTTTCAAAGGTGTTATTCTGCTACCATACTCTACTTTTCAGTTAGAGGCACAGAAGCACGTAGCCTGATACTGCTAGTCTTCAAGCCTGGTCTTCTCTCACATCGCTCCTGTCGTCGACTTTCCGAATTTGTGCCTATCGCTTCCATTGACTGGATGCTATTTTTAGGCCAACTAGACCAAAACTAGACACTAGACGAGGAGGTCTGGAGAGTAGGATGACAAATAGAGTAGCTTTCTGATATGTTGGGGTGGATTAGGTGCGTGCCGGACTTTATTCTTGATATTCACTTTCACTTTCCACACGAATCAACACTTCTCAGACGTCGCGGATGTGGTTCTTTTCGAATGCCCTTGTATGTTCTTTCTCTTCTTACTCACAGCTATCACAGGATATTAGTCCTATGGGATAAAACATGCAGCATAACGGCAGATGAATGTGGATTAGGCAAAGACTTCATTCATTCTGAAACCCCGTAAGGTTACGACCATCACCTTTTTAGTTCTCGAACGCGTTGCCGCGATTGCCAGTGGTCCCAGCCAATCGCAAGTTGCATGTGGTGCAGACGCAATGTTGGCTACCTGCAGCCATAAAGGCGACTTCATTGCGGGAAACGATTGACTTCCGGCAAGCGGCGCATTGGTTGAGGAAGCATATGCACAGGCTTTCAGTAGTGTGTTCTGAAGGTATAAAAGCGCTTCGACATGTCCTCTGTTCACTACACTGGAACCTTTTCCAAGTGACCTCTCTCTCCTTCCTGACCTGCCCGTCGCTTCCCTGTCTCTGCCATGCGTTTCTTCGCTGCCTTCGCGGCTGCCACTGTCTTATTGGCGGAACCTGTGCTTTCAGCACCAGGGCCGTCCTTGAAGTCGGTGGAAAGATTCCCCGGACAGACCACCGGGAAATACATTGTCAAGCTCAGACCCGGTGTGTCGCGCAAGCAATGGATTCGCAAGCTCAGGCTCGCCGCCAACACCGTTAACTGGGGCCTCATCAACGGGTTTGCTGGTTAGCGTTCCCTACTATCATGGTGTCAATGTTTCGGTCGCGACTGACTTCCAATCTCACCTAGGCATTCTGAACGACCAGGCTCTCAACACCTTGAGAGAATCTGAGGATGTAGAGTACATCACTGAGGACGGTATCATGTACACCATGTCCCCTGTCACCCAGTAGGACATCCTTTCACGTTCGGTGTGGTTGGGTGTACTTACTCCCCTGGATCAGGTCCGATGCTCCTTGGGGTCTTCAAAGGGTCAGCCAGGCCGCGAGGCTCAGCAACACGGATGTCGCGTACGATTAGCCTCCATTACGCCTCGTCTGCGCATTTCTAATCCATTCCGAAAGTGCACTCGACTATCAGTACACCTACGATTCTTCGGCCGGTAGCGGTGTCGACATCTATATTGCCGGTGCGCGTTCAATCTCCTCTTACTGCCTTCGGAAGATCGTGGCTGACATTTTCGGATAGATACCGGTGGGTAATCGTTCTAATTTTATGACTTGTACAAAGAACCATCTCACCATTCAATTTGATTGGCAGGTATACTGGTCTCTCATGTGTGTCTTGCCCCTCGTGGAGCATGAGTTGGCATGTGCTGATCGACGACTGTACAGTCCCAATTTGGTGGACGAGCTCGATGGGGAGGTACCTTCGGTGTCACAGGGTAAGCCCCTAGCCCCTGAACACCGCACACTGACCGTTAATGGTCTGCTTCATCAGCACCACTGATGGTCACGGTCATGGAACCCATTGCGCGTAAGTTATCTCGTCAACCTCTCGCCCAAATCTCTAAAGCTCATTGGGCTCCTATATCTTTAGCGGCACCGCTGCTGGCGCCCAGTTCGGTGTCGCAAAGAACGCCTCTCTCATCGCCGTCAAGGTTTTGACTGATGGAGGGTATGTCTCCCTTCAGTTCGCATCCCACTTGAAGGCACCACTGACACGCCTATCTGCAGATCTGGAAGCATTGCTGGAATGTGAAGCTCCTGATCCCTTTGAGAAAATCAACGGTCTAAATATCATTTCCAGTGTCTCTGGCTTGGATTGGATTAGAACCCAAGTTGCCGCTTCTGGAAGACCCTCGGTTGTTTCCATGTCCCTTGGCGGCAGTGCCTCGACTGCTCTTGACAATGCTGTCGCCAGTGTGAGCTCAACCCCGTCCCTCATGATCTGGGTTTGCCTGACTTTCCTCGTCTAGTTAACGGCCGCTGGAATCCACGTTACCGTAAGTCGCATCTGAAGAAATCTGCCGTCACTTACTGAACACCTATTGGTATAGGTTGCTGCTGGGAACGACAACAGGGATGCTGCCAACACTTCTCCCGCAAGGACACCCTCTGCCATCACCGTTGGTGCGACCGACATTCAGGATGGCAAAGCCTCATTCTCCAACTTCGGCGCGGCCGTCGACGTATTTGCACCTGGACAGAATGTCATCAGCGCATGGATCGGTGCCAGCAACTCGGTGTGTTCCTCCCATGGATGTTTCTCCGGGAGTCTCCTGACCGAGTCATGTTAGGCAACCAACAGCATCTCTGGAACTTCGATGGCCACGCCCCATGTCGCTGGCTTGGTCGCGTACTTGATCTCAAAGGACGGAAATATCTCTCCTGCTGCTATGGAGGCCAAGATCAAGGACCTTTCTGTCAAGGGAGCTGTCACTGGCCTTCGTACGTGTCCCAGACTACACGCATACCTCGTCTAATCCATCATTGTAGCTTCTACAACTGCCAACAACCTTGCGCAGATCGGCCCTCTGTAAAGTGCTTAAAGGAGCTGTTTCATAAAGTTAGGATGATAAAGTAAAGGGAAAAAAGAAGTTCCTTTTCGTTTATTTAACCACCACGGGTGGCAATCATCGTGTATGCATTCCATCTCCCAATTCAACAAGAATCCTTGGAAAATGTGCGTTGTATGCCTTGTCAGAACAGATCCTGGAGTAAATCAAAGCAAAAGTGATGCAGAAAATTCTAGTCCTCTCGTTCGTTCTCCACCCCATCCACCCTTCAGCTATTTCATGACAAAGCTGTGGCACCCACTTGCACCCTGGGCGCTTAAGTTCAACCGGCGCCGGTGGAGTACACTTCCAATTTGGGAAGGTCTGCCGGAACATTCTGGGGCAGTTCGGAACCGTGAGAACTTACTAATGGAGGTATGGTTTGCGTGCAGCGTCCTCAACGCCTCTGCACTCGACGTCCATCATCTTTGAACAAAAACTATGGCTTCGCACTTGGTACGCTGGATTAACAGTGGAATTGGGTGTCTTCTCTGACCACTTTACAGGCTAACATCTTCGGTACAGAGCAGGACCGCGTAAACTGCTCTTTCTATTACAAGGTGCGTCCAACCATCTTCTGAGAATCTTGCAATATTGACGGGGATTGTATAGATTGGAGCTTGTCGACACGGCGACCGTTGCTCAAGAAAACACATCAAACCACCATTCTCCCAGACCATCCTCCTTCCAAACGTCTATCACAACCCCGCTCACGACCCCGTTTGCAAACTCACAGAGAAGGAATTGCAAGAGGGTTTCGATGCAGTGTATGAGGACCTCTACTGCGAGCTTGCCAAGTTTGGCCATCTTCTCGAACTTCATGTGCGTGTTTCTTCTTTTTTCATAGAAGGATTTACTGACTTTGGACGCCTAGGTTTGCGATAACGTCGGTGACCACCTGATTGGTAACGTATACGCTCGGTATGAATGGGAAACTGAGGCACAAGCGGCGGTCGACAGCTGCAACGAGAGGTGGTATGCAGGTGCGTAATGCGTTTCTTTTCATAAAAATGCATTTTCTAACATCTTCTACAGGACGCCCGTTATACGCTGAACTTTCGCCAGTGACAGATTTCCGCGAAGCCTGCTGTCGCCAAAACGAGAACGGCGAATGCAACCGTGGCGGATTCTGCAACTTTATGCATCTCCGACTTCCCAGTCCTGAACTGCTCAGACAGCTGCGCCACGGCCAACGTCTCGAGCGTAAACTCAATCCCCCAAAGAATGAGAACGGTGCTGGTGGTTGGGAGCCGTCTAAGCGGGAAGGTGGAAGGGGTCGTAGCGCCAGTCCTGGAAGGAGGACAACCCACAGTGGTGAGGATAGGTGGACCAGGAAATAACCGCTTATAACTTCTAGTGAATGTCTTTCAAAAGACTGCTTTCCGGTTGTGCTTTCCCGTAGTCTGTATCATTTATACTATTTGTTCCAACGCTTTTACACTTTAGGTTTTCAGGTTTTTAGCATCATACCAAGACCCCATGGTACTCCCCTTTACCGGGTCCTTGCAATTGCGGCCATTGTACAATAAATCTAGGTAAATTCCATTGCATGAGAACGTCTACTTGCGAGATTAAGACGAACTGACCTGTCGACCATAGGTCGAATCAGCTTGCCGGTTAATGAGAGACCTTTCACGCGGGTGAACGATTCGACATAGATTGTGGTTGGAGCTGGTAGCCCCAAGAGCTGTCTTTCTGTGAGCAGCCTTCTGTTTTACCGCCCAAAGAATCACGGACCTTGTTCCAGTATACTGCAACACAGAGAATGAAGCAGGTACCAGGTCCGTTCATTATGAGTACCTCGGGGAACGGGCACTTCTTATGGAAGAATGGTTCGACCATGAAGTAATATACACATGCATAAGTAGAGATTAGGGCGGTCAAGGGGGTGGTAATCAGAGGCTGATGAACACGGCGAGCACGAGGTATTGTTGTAACTCGGTATTGGGAGCTAGAATTCTGTAGCCAAAGCATTTAAGTACACACATAAGCACTACCTTCTACGACAACGTACGTTTGCCCTCGACTGCTCAAATTGGACAACCTGCTTGACACTGAGGTTGTCACCTTCACTGACGAAATAATGTCGTGGCTGGTATCGTTGGAGATCAACTCCCTTCAACAGGGCAAGCGCTTCACTGGTGTGGCCGCCTGGAACGAAGGATTGAGTGAGAGTCCAAAGGCCGCCAAGGAGACATACCAGAGCCGAGGAAGACCGCAAGGCTGCAGGTAGCGCTAGGTTTCCGTGACGCGGGCTTCTTGAACCTGGTCGCAGGGAGAGTGAAGAACAACCGAAAGAGTAGCACCAGGGAAAGTGCTGAGAAGCCCAGAATAGCACTGAGCCAAATTGTCATGTCCAGAAATACTAGGTCGTGCCTCCCAGATATGTCCAAGGTAGATTTGACCACGAAAGGGTTGAGTTCAGATACAAGTCATGGTGAAGGTCGAGGAAGTGATGATGGCCACGCCATCACGCGTGTCGCGATCAGCGTCCGGTTTACGCGAGGCGCGTCGATTCCAGCTTTGCTTTCGACGATGATGTTGGGTAACCCAATTCACTGAAACAGGTCAGTTCCGTTATAATTTAAAATGACCCTAAAGCTAATGTAGTAGCAGAGGATATAGTTTACTATGACCGACCCAATTACTCCCAAAATCCTCCAGGAGATTCGAGCAGCAGTCAAGGACTGCTCCGACCGTGGTCTATTCGTAGCAGCGAAATGGTGTGGATTGATTTACGACTCTTCGAGGAAATTCGTGTACCAATCTACTCAGGGCAACAGATATACTACTGGGTATCCCAGCAGAGAAGAAGCAACCCCTTCACGGACCGGTGGATCCTGCCCCGGGGGGTTCTGCCAATCCCTTTGAAACCTCAACACCCGCCAGGCCAGCCGCTCCTTCAACGTTTACATCCGTTACACCGGAACCTGCTCAGCCCCTGGCTCCAAGCCTGGTCCCTGTTTACAATCAACATCCTCAAGCGCCGAAACCGATAGTGTTGTCCCCAGAGCAGCAACAACTCGAGTATCGGGCTCTGGAGAATGAACAAGACCTGTTGGTCGGTGCCAAATCCTACTTCGATGCTCGAGAATTTAGGAGGGTGGCGTTCATGCTGCAGGGATGCAGTAGCTCCAAAGCTCTCTTCCTCAGCACGTATAGTTTCTTCCTGGTGAGTCTCCTCAGTCAGCTCTACAAAGCATATGGTGTATTTATTTCGTCAACGAGAAAGGCAACTGAAAGACAGGCCTTGATCGACTGGCACAAGCTCGATAGTGTGTTTCTTTTGTCACCGTGACTTGATGAGACCTCTTGTTGATAGCTATCCAGGTAATCGACATCAGCCTCCACTCCCGGTGAACGACTCCATCAATGCAATGTTAGAGCGCGTGAAGGATTCCCAAGATCCCTGGTGTCAGTTCTTGTGTGTGCAATAAATCGTACCGGCCCCAACGCTATGCTAACTTGCACCAGGAAGGCGCTCTTTTTGTCGAGATTATCACGACGCGACGAAGCCATCGCCACAGCTCTGCAGTCGATCGCAACTTATCCGTGGAACTGGTCGGCGTGGTCCCTCCTCGGCAGCTGCATCAACGACGTAGAAGAGCTGAACTCGCTACTTGCTCTTGTCCCTTTGCCGGCAACCCATCCGCTAGTCCAGTTCTTCATCATAAAGACTTCTGTTGAGCTGCAGAATCCATCAGAAACTGAACTCGCAATGTGCGATCGCTTGCTGTCTGAAAACTACTTTTCGCATAGCATGTGGTTGATGAGCTTGCGCGCTGCTATCCTTTATCATCTTCACGGTATGTCTTTTCACCAATCCTGATGACCTCCATCTAATGCCTCGCAGATTACGAACAGGCAGAGCAACAATTTGACCGGATATTAGGCATTGACCCGTACCGAGTCGACGACATAGACATCTTCTCCAACATCCTCTACGTTCAGGACAACAAGTTGAAGTTGTCGCGGTTAGCGCAAGATTTCCTTGCCATCGACAAGGACCGTCCAGAGATATGTTGTCTAGTCGGTGGGTCAACCGCCTCGTAGACATGCGTATATTCTGACTATCTTCGCCAGGAAATCATTATTCCCTTCGTCAGGAGCACGAAAAGGCGGTCAAGTACTTCCGCCGGGCTACGCAGCTGGATCGGACATATCTGACCGCTTGGACGTTGATGGGTCACGAATACGTGGAGATGAAGAACTCACACGCCGCTATTGAAGCCTACCGTCGCGCTGTTGGTACGTGACCCTTGAAAACCCGTTTTGAAACTCGCTGACCTTGTTGCTCTGCATAGACATCAACCGGAAAGACTATCGAGCGTGGTATGGTCTGGGTCAGGCTTACGAGCTACTGAGCATGCACCACTATGCCCTCTACTACTATCAACATGCAACGGCCCTAAGGTAAAGCCCCCTACAACTTGAAAGTGGACGGACTATCTCACTCCCATTAGGCCATATGATGTGCGACTATGGCAAGCTCAAGGCTCATGCTATGAAGAGATTGGAAGGTTAGTGTGGACCGAGATTCTGTCGAGGAAGCATTGTTGATAGCCCCTTAAAAGGCCTAGGGAAGCGATCGACTGTTACAAGCGAGCTCTGATTTCTTCCGAGGCGCATGAAAGCACATTGTGTCTCAAATTGGCAAGGCTTCACCGTCTGCTTGAAGAACATGCTGAGGCTGTGGGGTACCATCGGAGGGTGGTGGAATTATGCCAATCCAACAGTAGGTTGAAATCGCTGACTTGGCCTTCTGGTTGTTGACCTGTCTTCCTCTAGACCGACCCATCACAGAATACGCAAAATCCAGCATAGAAGTCGCTGAATACCAGATGACGATACCTAACGGGAATCTTAACTTGGCGAAAGAGTATCTGGAGGCAATTGCCGCTAGCAATGCAGAGGATGTGGGTCGGGCGACTGAGATGTTAAAGGTTGTGAAAGGTCGACTGGCCCAGGCAAGTTAACCACAAGAATTGCTGCATCGAGGACTACGACTACTACCTTATATAATTCGTGCTCATGTACAGCAGAAATACCCTGTTAGGCCTGAATTCCAACCTGCTCTCCATTGCAGAGATGGGAACAACCTTCTTTTTTGAGCTTGCTCCGGAGGCGGGCCTGCCCTAATGAAAGGCTCGGTGCCGGTCACGGGCTCTTGGGCCCAAACTCTAACAAACCAAAACGACAAATGTCGACAGGCGTCGCCTCGAGCTTGAACACCGAAAGCACTCAAAAAGTTCCAAACTGGACTGCATCTGTCGTGAAAAACGGTGCAACTTCCAATGGGTACACTGTCGCACCATCTCCTGTGGCCTCGACCTCGTCCGGGTCCCTAGTCTGGCAGCCTCCCATCCAGCCGGCAGTCCAACAACCTGCTCAAAACGAAACAAGTTATCCTTCTTCTGCGTGGAAACCACACAAGGCGGAGAAAAGGACAGCTGAGGAGCTAGAGATTACTGCTGCTACTGCTGCGAGGTGGGTCATCGATGTCTTATCATCTCTGGTATTGGCCTAATCAGGTTCCAGGGTTGCAACTCGAATTGCCGAGGACCAGGCTGCTGTGCTCAACCCTGATGTCGACACGCCTTTTGAAGACGAACACGATGTTGTGAAACGGCTCCTTCCTTATCACATTTACCAACAGCCCAAGGACGATCTCCAGGCCATTTTGGACAGCAAAGGGAAGGGCAAGTCCGTGGACCGAGGACTCGAGGCCGAAATTGAAGGTTAGTCTGTCACAAGCAGCATCTTTTTTTGGTTATGCTCAGATTGTAACAGAAACCAAGTTTGCCATTGAGTGCTATAAGCGTCTTGAACGGCTAAAAGCACGTTGGCGCAGGGTTAAAATTCGAGAGGGACAAGTATGTCATGTCTATTTCGGAAGGTCCCGATAACTCATTAGGCTTTAATAGCGCGCTTCTCCGGACGACCAGGCCTATGTGTTAGCGCAATTGGTTCTCGAGGCGGAGCGAACGGAGACAGCGGTGTTAAGCAATGAACTGAAGACGGCCAGAAACGAATTGGATCGGATACAGAAGGAACAGCGCTTAGCTGCCAATACAGCTAGGATGACACAGTTTCCTGCTGCTCCAGCAAGTACACCGACTACTACAACGCCAGCACCAATATCGGCGCCGTATTACCGTTCCTATTCTTATGCCTACGCCCAGCCGTATGGTAACCCCGCAGCCCATGCCACAACATCAACATTTCCTGCGACGCCGACGACAGCCCCGAGTCCAACAACGTACACACCGTATCAGCCTGGTGGTGCCATCCCTGTTCAACTTCCCGTATCATCATTACCAGCGCTTCACGCTCTTGGAATCATCCCTGTGCCGGCAACTGCGCTACCGCCAGAAGGACAGCCCCAACCACCAGCTATTCTTAGAGGGTCGTCTGCCAACGGTTCGATGTTGAGCTTAGAGATTAACGTCTCTCTGCTGCAGTCTGCGCAGATGAGCGGTCTTGCGATTATCCTAAACTCGTTGGTGGCGCGGAATACTAGTTTGGCAGCCTCGGCGCCTGGAGCGTATGCGGCGCATGGGACAACAATGACAGCTCCAAACCCGACGACCAATGGAAGTAGTTGAAAGCACATAATAATGTTGATGTATCATAATACTGTATCATTATTACAGAATTTTTGCACCTGGGCTGGCATGAGAACTGTTCGGAAGTTGGACGCGGGGTGAATATGTGATTGCCATTTTGCGGGTACTTGGCGACATCACAAGTGACACTGGAAGTCTGGAACCGTGGAACGGGTTCTTGTGACAGAACCACCACCATCCCACCTTTCTCCCCCTCTCCCTGGCCATGCCCCCGGGTGCAAATCTCACCGATCCACGAAATTATAATGCACCACTCGACCCAGAGTCTCGCCGTGAACGGCTACTGAGAATCAGTAGTACCGCGACGGTGCAGACGATATCCGGGGTCAATGGCAACCGGGATGAAGATGATGAACAGGAAGAAACCGGCCAGCGAGGCAGGGCAAGGGGACATTCAGTAGCGACAGAAACGACGTCCCTGCAGAACGAGGACGCGAGCTCCTATGGAACCCTACCCCGACGACGGAGGCTCAAGAATAAGGCCTCAAACACATTCGCGGGAGGGCGGTTGGGTTCGGTACCCTTTCTCAAGGCCTTTTCACGAACAAACACCATAAACAGCGACGATACACCAGTCTATACTCCTCAAAGCCTTCGAGGGTTCGCGTACGCTCGTCTCAGCAGCGCGAGACCAATATCCGCCTATGACCCGCCCATTGATCACAAGGATCCCGAAGAAGTCGACCTGGACGCTAAAATCAACGGAATCCGAGTCTGGTACTCTTCGTACACCTCTATCGACTGGCTTCATGATGCTATCAAAGACTCTCTACGCTTCTCAAAGCTACGCAAGCGCAAATCGATTCGTGCCCGTCTCCGCCTGGCGTTCGACAAGAGTTTGGGGTGGATAATCGTCACCATTGTCGGTTTCCTGTCAGCTGTCGTGGCGTTCCTTGTCGTGCGCAGCGAGCAATTGCTGTTCGACTTCAAGGAAGGCTATTGTGCAGATGGCTGGTGGAAGGCCCAGCGGTTCTGCTGCCCTGTGGGCGACACGCCTGCGTCAGGTTCGCCGTCTGAAGCAACCGAACTCTGCGATGCCTGGATCAAGTGGCCCGAGACATTCTCAGCTGGGGAAGGGCACCAAGCAGTCCTAGTGGAGTACACTTCGTATATCGGTGTTGCGGTGAGTCTTGGCAGCTATTTCGGAGTTGGCTTCTATCTTCTGACAGAGTGCTTGGTGTTTTGATATATAGCTCTCCCTCGCTCTGGTCTCGTGTTTGTTGACCATCTACCTCACGAAGTCGACAACGTTCGTAACTCGGAAGGAGTCCGGTGTCGCTGGGATCAAATCCACGGGAGCGTCTGGTTCGAAGGCCCCGAAGGTGCCCGTTACGCACGGGCGCAAAGTTCTTTACTACGTGAGCAACATTATTTCACGGGGAACTTCGTGGACATTAGGCTGATTGTTGGATGTAGGCTGCAGGAAGTGGTATCCCGGAGATCAAGACCATTTTGTCAGGTATGCGTTTGGTTGATTGATCCTGTCTAAATTGGATATCCCCTGAACACGATGGCTAGGCTTCGTCATTCACGGTTACCTTGGTGTTCGAGTCTTGTTCACCAAAGCGGTTGGTCTGGCCTTGTCTGTTGCTTCTGGTCTGTCCCTCGGCAAAGAAGGTCCATTTGTTCACATTGCAAGTTGTGTTGGCAACATTGTCAGTCGTATCGCTTCGAAGTATGAGCTAAATGAAGGTGTGTAAACCATAACCATTCGTTACCCCGCCTGGACTCAACTGTAGCTCAGCCAAACGTCGTGAAATTTTGAGTGCGGCCTGCGCTGCAGGTGTAGCTGTCGCTTTCGGAGCCCCTATTGGCGGAACACTGTTCAGTCTCGAGGAAGTCTCCTATTTCTTCCCTCCAAAGGTACGATGCGCGCCCAAAACCTTGCTATTCTTACTCACGTACCACTCTTTCTAAAGGTTATGTGGAGAAGGTCAGTGACATGACAAGTGGTTCCTTTCATCCTGTCTAAGGTGTCGCCTATAGTTTCTTCTGCGCCATGATTGCTGCTATTACCCTCAAGATGCTTGATCCGTTTGGCACAGGAAAGCTTGTGCTATTCCAAGTCACTTATGACAAGGTGCGTTAGTACACCAGCCCTCACATCTGTACTTTCTAATCTCCCGAAAGGACTGGCATGCTTATGAACTCGGCCCATTCCTTCTTCTCGGCGTCCTTGGGGTAAGTCATTTTCGCCGATCGTCTTTCATTCATTTATTGAGGACATTACAGGGATTGTATGGTGCTTGCTTCTCCAAACTGAACTATCGCTGGAGCAAGAACATCCGTGGCAAGACGTGGCTTGGAAGGCATCCTATTTGCGAAGTTTTGATTGTAAGCGTCCCCCGGTATCCCCCGTACGATCATCGCTAACGTTCGCGTAGATCACGTTCATTACCAGTTGCCTCTGCTTCCTTAACCCCTACACGCGTATGGGAGGGACGGAACTTGTCTACAACCTCTTTTCTGAATGTCGTCCTGGAGGCGATTCCCATTCAGGCCTCTGCATAGTTAGCCCTGGGTCCTGGGAACATGCCTGGCCTGTTGCTAAAGCCATTCTCATCGCCATGATGGTGAAAGGTGGTCTTACGGTCGTAACCTTTGGAATCAAGGTCCCAGCTGGAATCTTCATCCCCACCCTCGGTGTTGGAGCATGTGCAGGTCGTGTCATGGGTATTGCGATGCAATATCTCCAGATTAGAAACCCAGATGCGAGGCTGTTTGCTTCGTGCCATGGGGACCTAGGATGTGCGTTCCGTTTGTCGTGGAAAGTGTTCTCTTACTGACTTGGGATAGGCATTGTTCCTGGTCTGTACGCCATGGTTGGAGCTGCAGCCACTCTTTCTGGTGTCACTGTACGTGACACACCGCTCCCAGACCATGGCCATTCCTAACACCATATTTAGCGCACCACCGTTTCGCTCGCCGTCATCATGTTTGAGCTCACGGATACCTTGACGTATGCGGTCCCAGTCATGCTTTCAGTCCTCGTTGCAAAGACGGTGGCGGATGCTCTGGAGCCCAAGGGTATCTATGATCTGGTCATTGAACTCTCTGAGCTGCCCTACCTCGATTATAAGAATGACTATGTCTGGGGCAATCTCCAACTTAGCGATGTTGTAGGTTCCCAATCGTGCTTATGGGTCGATTCAGCATCTCACACCCAGTCCTTGGCAGATTTCGAGAGATATGGCATCTATCAGGATCGACGAGAAGAACACTGTCCAGAGCCTCAGCGACAAATTGCTTACGCTCATTTCGACTGGCGCTCACGATCTAGGCTTCCCTATTCTGAGACCAGACGGTAATGATGATGGTGTGCGACTTGTTGGATACATCGGTACCAACGAACTTGAGCATGCGCTCAGTAGGTTCTTTTCCTTCTCGACCTTACGGGTTGTTGATCTTTCTTTGTAGGTATCGTGGCTGATAACCCGACGGCTGAGGTGTATTTCGGTGCACCCTATACTAACGATATGGCTTCTTCGATCTCGTCCTTTGCCGAACCTGCGATGCCCACCCATTCGTCCAGCGACCCCTACGATTTCACACCTTACATGGATCAAGCACCCTTGACGCTCACCAACCAATCCCCCTTGGAGATGCTTCATCGATTCTTTGTCAAGTTGGGCGCTCGATACGTCGTGGTTGTTGACAGCGAAGGGTTGTGTAAGTTGCATTTGCACCTTTGGATATCATCCCACAGGTTATTAATGTTCTGGATTTGACAGACGAGGGAATTGTCGAGAAGAAGAACTGGCTCGCTTTCCTCACCGAGTTCGAAGAGAAGTAAACGTGCCGTATCGTTTCAGTCTTCTTGGATACGGATACATACCCCTCATATGCGGTTCCTGTTTCTTGCTGTTTCTCCAAGGACGGTTCATATCCAGATAAAGTGATGGACAACGCCGGTTCACTTTGGCCGTTATAAACTATACTTTACACCTCACGACTTGACACGCTGTCTCTATTAATCATTTCTGTGCTACATTCCCTTTCGCGTAAAAGGACGTTTCCCGCTTCATTTTTTGCTGCTGACATGGCGGTTTGTTTGCTATATCCCCAACAACCTAAAGTGGCCTTGCTTCACTCTTATAACTACCTCCTGTAAATGCGCTCTCTCTCTTTCGTGTACATCGTCACTGCTACTACATCACCTGTAACCTCGAATCCCCATGTTGTTTTTGCTTCCGCCCAGGCTCGAACTCTCCCACTATCCAAAGAAGGAAAATGCTTCCCGCGTCCTCGATCATCCACACGCGTCGGCTGGCTTGCATCTTTTGCGATCCACTAACCCTGTTCAGTTGTGCATAAACCCTACAAGCTCCTCGCGCTATATCTCTCTACACCTACCCAAAGGAAAGTATCCTCCACAAAGACGCCTATAATCCAAAGCCACCAGCACAATGGCCACCTCAGGACTTGGAGTTCCCGTCAAGCTTTTGCATGAATCTTTGGGACATATTATCACTGTTGAGTTGAAGACGGGGCAGCTTTATCGTGGAAAGTTGGCTGAAGGTGCGTTTCTTTTTATACATGGAGGATTGGAATCTGATTGTTACGTTTTACTTGTGTTTGCTTGTTTCTTGGTCTGGTTGGGTGGTGAATCTGTGTGGATCTATCGGTTGGGTTTGGTCCATTGTGGAATCGTATCGCGATGTGGGGTGCTGGGTGTTTGTGTTGCGTTGACTTTTGCCCTGTTCTTGCGATGAACGCTTGACCCGGCTATCCGCCCTTTCCAATCGATCCGTGAATCGAAACTGCACTCGACGCTTGTACCAAACCTCCAACAACGCTCTTCATCCCCCACTACCAACCATCCAATCATAAACCAACCACCTCTAACCAACTGCTTATAACTCAACCAACGACCCCCCCAACCAAAACAGCCGAAGACAACCTCAACATCTCGCTAAAAGACATAACTGTCACTGGACGTGATGGGCGAGTTTCTCAGTTGGATCAAGTGTACATTCGGGGGAGTATGATTCGGTTCTTTATCGTGCCTGATATGCTGCAGAATGCGCCTATGTGAGTTTTTTTGTTGTTTTGTTTGTGGAGGTTTTTGTGGTCTCTTGTGCTTGCTTTTGGGTGGTTGGTGGTTTTTGGGTGGGTTGTTGGTAATGTTGGGGGGTCTGGGTGGTTTGGGTCATTCTTTTCCTTGGTTGGATTTCTGGTGTGAGGGCTTGGGGTTGTTGTGGGTCTGGGAGAAGAGAAGAAAGTCCTGGACTCCCAGGATGCAGTACCTTGTTGGACGAGGATAGCGCTTCGATGAGGATGCACGCTTCATTGATCTTTGTCCATCTCGTGGTCTTTATTTCGTCATGTGAGCATTCTGATCGTATACTGATTACGCTCATCTCCCTAGGTTCAAGCGAGTTGGACCCAATGCTATGAGGGGAAGGGGTATTGGTACGGCGCGTGGTCGCGCGACCATTATGCGAGGTGCGTCTCTACTGTCAATACGGTGTTCGTATTCTCACTGACTGATCTCTTCGTTGAACTTTCTGTTTCTGCGCACCTTTTTGTCATTCCCCGAATAGCCAACGGTTAGTCTCTCTCGTTCCTTAATTATCGCATTAGGACACATGACTCACCTTTCGTTTTTTCCCTTTCCTGTTTAGCACGGAGAGGAAGGGGTGTTGCACCGGCTCCTCGAGGAATCCGACGATGATCGATGTTGTTGTGTTCTCCTCAAGGTCATCTATCATTCCCCCATGTTCAAGTCTGTGTCTGTATATCATTCAGCGCGACGGTATCGTATAAGAGATCGAAGTGGAAGGAGTGGAAAACGATGTATATGGAAGGGGCTTTGAGCGCTTGTCTGCTACCACTGCGATGCCCTTCTGATCTCTTCTTCTGTACGACAAGACTAATGTCGGGGTTTGTATGTTGTATTTACTCTTGTCGCCAATCGTCAATGCTTTCTTTCTTTCTTTCTTTTGTTGTATGTTTCTGTAATTGCTCGAATTGCGATCTTCCTTTTACTGTTTAGCTCGTTTGGTTCTGATGCTTAGATGATTCTGTTATGTCTGGCCGCAAATCCATGTTTGGAGCGAACCAAGGAACAAACCGATGTGGCATCTCAAAAGGCGTTCATCCATTGGTCATGGTTTGCGTAGTTTCTTACGCCTTCTCTGACAGGTGTGGAATTTGCCCATGCAGATAATGGAGGGCATTTCATTCTATGCTACATTCATACGTCTCGTACAAGAACGGATTGTAGTGCCTGGATGGACGGAAGTTGGACGGAGACGAGATGGTTGGAAATGGTAGTATTATTTGATTTGAATAACCTCCATCCCCTTCAACGCGACGCTTGTTCGGAGGTACCCTGAGTTGCGGTTCCGAGAGGGATGATTGAGGGTTCAAAAAGCTCCACAAATTGTTGACAAGTAATTCATGTAACCCTGGACTCTTGAGCGTGAGCGACATTCGGACCCCAACTTTTTTCATTGTCCATGTTTCATTGGCCACTAAACCCGCCTTGGCGCAAAACTATGTCGTAGAAAGCGCTAGAAGTCGGAAACGCGACCTTTGAAGCTCCAATCGCCGCCATCCTCTGTCCACTTTCCTACTGGTTCGCGTTTTGGACCGCCCCGTTCGCCGGTGGTAGGGTTGACTTCGCCCTCGAACTCGGGTTGGACTGGGGTGGGTGCGTCTGGATGGGAGGGTTCTGAGCTTGTTTGGGCTTTGCGTTGGAGTTCTTCGAACTCGCGCTGCTGGGCTGCTGGAAGCGGGGGTGGTCTGGGACGGTTCAAGTCGGCATATGTGCGTCTTTGGATTGGGGCCAGGGTGCGTGCCCTTGCCCTAGTCGAAGCGAGTGCCGAACGGAGCATGGTGTGTGTGCAGCGTGAGTTGGTGAGTACTATGCAGTCAGCAGAGCTGCTAAGTGCTATGTGGAAATTGAGCCGGTGAGTAAGCATGTGTTTTCCACGGAAAAATGAGGTATTTAACCGGGGTTGGGAGTGTGGTTCCGTTAGGTCCTGGTTCGGTTCGGCTTTGATCTGCAAGTGTGTGCGATCATCGCTATCCCCGCATTCACCGCTGTTGCCCCTGTTGCTGTTGTATTGAATTAGGAATCCCCGAAATGACAGGACCACGACGCTCAAAGGGCTTCAAGGGGTTTTGCTGCGGAAGGGAAGGGATGGGCGCTGCAGGGCGGGCAGGGGCGAGGGCGCGGTGACGCTATGGTCCATGCAGAGTTGATGTCGAAGAGCGCTTCGAACATTTGCAGCTCACCCGAATCTAAAAATAAAATGCCGCGGGTTATCCGAGTTGGCGGACTTTTGGCTGCGAGGCCATGGCATAGACTCTCTCTCTCTCGAGATGGTTAGGATTTTGAGCGCTACAAAAGTCTGGCATTCGGGCAAGGATGAGCCTCACGCGGACAAAGCTATTGGCGAAAGGAGTGATGCAATGGATGAAGCGAACCATGGCTCGGAGCAGAAGAATTCATTTACATAATCGTCATTTGAGAGTTGCAGGGTGAGGGTTGAGTGAATTCAAGTCCAAGATTATTGATTGAAATCAGCGACCTTGTTGCCTCTTTCCATCCCATCTCAATGCGGAATGCTATCCGCCACTTCGTCCCAATATCCAATCTCGTATCCCATCCCCCGCATCTCGACCAGCCATACCCAAATCATCCCCCCGCTAGCCAAGAAACGCAAGACAGATCGTGCTTGCGACGCATGTAGGAGGAAGAAGTCCCGCTGCGATGGCCCGTGGGCACGGAACAACGTCTGCTCAAACTGCATTCAGACAAAAAAGCAATGTACCTATCTGTATGTCGCGTCAACTCCTTGATTCTTCATAAACTAAGCCACCCACAGAGAGGCCAGCAAACCCCGTGGGCCGCCCAAGGCGTACGTACCTGCCCGTCCTGCACGATGCGGGCGCTTGTTGACTCTTGCCTAGCTATGTGACTGGTCTGGAAGATAGGGTCGAAGAGCTTGAGGCCTTACTTGCGCAGGTAATTCATAACGCTACGCTTCCAAGTCATTTACAGACGTTGCCTTGGTAGATTAGACCGAATACCGATTTCTCCGACGAACTTGGACCACCCATTGTACGGGACTCGTGGAAGAACCCAGAGGATCGCTCCCGGCCCGCCTCGTCGTCCCCAGTCCCTCCCCAGCCTTCCCATTCCCCGCCCAGCAGGCAGTCTCCCGCCTCGTCCCCACCAGCTGCCTCGCCTTTACCACCGCTGATGATACCCTTCCATCGCCCAAACCGCGAATCCTCAGATACCCACTCTGTTTCTTCTCGCACAACGCATCTCATCTTCAAACCTCGCCGCGGTTTGAAAAAGTCAAAGTCAAATGCGAGCTCAGTCTATACGGTTTCCAGCAACTCTGGGTCTTCGGCTATCACGGCGAGTCCGGAATATCGGTCGCCTTCATCGTATCCCTCATCTTCAGAGTCTGAGGATACATTCGAGGAAGGCTCCAGTTCGGGCCCAGAGGAGCTGCTCGAAAGTTCAGCTGGTGGACGGACGCGTCTTGGTCTCAAGATGAATGAGACCCCCGCCGTGGAGAATAACCGCATTCTATTCCATGGACGCAGTAGTACGGCGGGCCTCGTCGAGACCACCCGCAAGTTCAAGCACATGCACATGCAAGAGGCCATGAAAATGGATATCGCCGAGGATGAACCACTGCGGGAGTCTGTCAAGAAGGAAGAAGTCGATTCCAAGGGAAAAGAAACCAAAGTCAAGGTACAAGGGCCTGATAACAGCCGAGTTGCTATGACACGCAGACCCACCTATTGGCAAACACCACCGGTATGTCGAATATACTCTTGCATATCTGCATTCTGACATTCGGCTTTCGACAGTGGGAATTGAAGTATCAAGCCCTACACGGTAGTTCGCCCTTGACGTCGATACCTCACATTCTTGCAGGATTTCCCCCACCTGATCTCTGTCTGACACTGATCAAACTCTACTTTTTCCATTCGAACAACCACTATCCACTACTACACAGGCCTACTTTCGACCGCCAATGGGAAGAAAAGCTTTACGAACGCAATGTGTGGTTCGCCTCAGTTTGCCTCTTCATATTTGCGGTCGCCAGTCGGTGGTGCGAAGACGAGAGGGTGTTGGAAGAGTCGCTGAGCGAAAGGGAGGCAAGGGAGCTGGGTAAAGGTGAAGCACCTGATCCCAACTGTAAGGATTGGACGCGGGCTGGGTGGAAATACTTTGAATATGGAGCGGGTGGGTTATCTCGAATCTTTTTCCGGTTTCTAGAAGACTGACATACCTCCCCAGAGATACACCGGATAGGAAGATCATTATTCTATCCCGCAAGCCTCTTCGAAGTTCAGAGCTTTACGGTAAGTGTGCATATTCATTCAAAGAAGGGCGTTCTGACCAGGTGACCAGCTCATGGGTATGTTTCTTCGAGGTACTCGATATGCACCAGCCGCGTGGTCTGTTGTATCCATCGGGCTTCGGAAAGCGATCGATGTCGGGGCGCACAGGAAAAGCGTGTATCAGCAGAAACATAATGCTGATGACGAATTGTGGAAACGCGCCTTCTGGCACTTGGTGGTGTTCGATAGGATAGGGGGAGTGATTTTAGGTCGTGGAATTGGCCTGAGCGAGGAGGAGTAAGTCGTGTGTTTTCCGTGTTTGTGCAGTGTTTTTCTGATAAGACTCAAAAGTTTTGATGCAGAGCTGCCGTTGGAGGTGGATGATCAGTTTTGGAATGGGACGTGGAAGCAACCCCCAGACGTACCGGCTCGGGTGGCCTCGTTCAACCAGCTCATAAAACTGACGCAAATCATTGCATTCACATCCAAGACAGTGGTATGAATGTTTGCCTCCTATCCTCGCAGTTTTGGGTCACTAACGGGCGCTCCTAGTATGGTATCAACAAGCCCAAGATCTTCCGCCATCTAATCGAGGGTGACTGGCGCGTGGAGGTTATCCAGCAACTGAGCACCGCTCTCAAAGAATGGCGGGAAGCTGTCCCACCACACCGTTCGTTTGTTGCCCCTCTTCTCTCCGTCGCCCATGACTTACTCCACCTTAATTAGTGCAATGGTCAGACCAGATTACAGATCCCGTCTTCTTCACCCAATCCGCCATGCTATACACAACATACCACTTGATCACGATGCTTATCTTTCGACCTTTCATCCCCATGCCGCCACTGCTTCCTCCATCTTTGCAACGTGACTCCAAAGTCAAGGAATCCGCTTCCTCTCCCCCCTCCCCGTTCCCATTCCCGGCCCTGAAAAACTGTATCTCCTCTGCGTGTGCCTGTGCTCGGATAGTGGAGGTGCAGTTTAGAAAACGGTCCTGGGACTATATCCATATCCCTGGGTTTGTGAATACGGCATTCACATGTGCGGGTGTATTGCTGTTGGCGGTGTGGGACCTCAAGGCGCAGCAAAAGGTGCTTATCAAGGTCAAACAGGCTGGTGTCATATCTTCGCCACAGGAGGGGGGTCTCGGGGACCCCTCAACGACAGGGGCGGACGAAAAGGTGGACGGATTGTTGTTGGCTTTGAACGAAAAGATGGAGGGACTTGCGGCTGATGCCAAAATGCTGTTGAGCGCTATTGAATGGGTGCAGGATCGGTGGGAGTTGGCGCAGAGTTTTGCGTAAGTGTTTTACTCCTCTATTTTGACCTGTGTTTATCATGTGTTGTTGTAGGTCGCGTTTGAAGGAATCGTTACCGAGCGAGGAGGATTTGCGGTGTAATCCAGAGGCGGAGGCTGGTCGGGACACACTCACCATCGTAAAGCAACTGTCCTTCCAGGACTTGCGCCGGCAGCGTCTCCAGGAACAACAGGAAAAGAAACCCCAACGGAAGCAATCGCACCCACTTGATCTCGGGAGCGTCACAGGGGAGCGGTGGACGACGCCGCCTGGGCGCGATACTGATGGGCAATCCAGCCGCGGCTCGGTCCATCGGCATTCGGTGCCTCTACCTGAAGGGTCCCCGATGGGTGTTGGTGCTGTGGATGTGAACAGGTTTCTGCAGGACCATTATCCGGATTTGCATACCTTTGCCGACGAGGAGTTTGACCCGTCGTCGCAAGATGGGTCAATTCAATTGCCTACTATTCCTTTCCGGGTGACTCCTCCTGACCCAGGGCGCATGGAGCAAGGGCAAGCTGGTCCTTCTAATGGTGTCCACCATCCATCCCGACAAGCTCACTACAATACCCCGCATCAGCAGTACCACGAAGACCATCGTATGGGTTCCCATACACATCCTCAATCATCTGATGCTACTTCGTACTCGTTCCAGCAACCTGTACCGGTCCGTCGTCATACCGCTGGACTATCCGTCCCGGGTCATGAGGCAGCTATGAAGCGGCCCAGTGCGGACGACCTGCTCAGTTTGGGCACACGACGCGAATCGGCATCGACTTCTTCCCATCATCATCTGACACAGTCTCCTCACCCCATGCACTCCCCGTGGAGCCTTGACCGGGCAACTACCGTGCCGATCAACCGTCCTGTGTCCTCGCTGGATGGGTACATGCATGACCGAAGACAGACGCTCGCCATGTCGCATGAACGCGGGGGTCACTTTGACGCCTCTGGACATGTGGCCTACCAGGACAAGTACCATTACAGCCAGGAGCCTGTCCATCACCACCACCAGCAACACACGCCGCCTTCGCATTCCTGGACCCACCCTAGCCCAGTGCAAGCACCACCGTTCGCGCCTGATGGGCAGTACAGTCACTGGGGACAACGTCACGATAACTTTGCCCAACAGCAACAGCATGTAAACCAGCACCAGCATTCCTACGCGCCTACGCATCACCAACAGCAACAGCAGCAGGTTCGCTCTGGACATCCTGACCTTGTAGTCCGCAACATCTCGCACCGGCATTCGTATGCCGACCTTCGTCAATTTGCGCCGGGACCGTCTTTCGGATAACAAACGTTTGAAGACTGGAGGGACCTTTTTTCGTTCGATTTGCTCGTCGTTTCAGTAGTGTATTGTATACTATTTTATCGCACACGCTTTTTGTTTGTTAGCTCAGCAATTTCGTCGTACTTAATCATGTTGTTGTCCTGTCCGTTGCCGTAGCTTATTTCGCATACATACACGCTCATGCTGTCCACTGCAAGCATCCGTATCGTTTTCAGTTTGTGTTGTCTGATTGGACTATTTACCGGTACTAGAATTGTATATCAGGGAAAGAAAGGACAGTGAAATGACATGTTATGTATGAACTATCTAGAAATCTAGCAAAAACGTGACATATGCGAAAGTAATAATTTAAGCTATAGGTTACAAGTCGGGTATAGGTGAATCAGCGGGAAGACTGATCGTCTCGTTCATCTGGTTCTTGAGCAGTTGTTGGCTATAGATCTTGAGCAAAACCTCCATGATCTCTTCCAATGGAATGGCAGCGTATTCGTGGACGTATTGGGGCAAGGAGTCTTCGAGGTTGAAACCGGCCTTTTTCATGAAGAAGGGATGCATCACGTCAGGCGTGGCTTCGCCGAGTTGGCGCATCGTGAGCCTCTCGATGTGGCGTTCGCGAGGTTCGTAGGTGATCGAGTTCCTCTTTGCTGGGGCGGGAGAAACGTCCCTAGCTTCGGTGTCTTTGCCGCTGGAGGAAGGGAAATTGACGCTTGAGGATCTATCCCTTCCAATAGTTGCAGACCTTGGTGCCTTGATGGATGATGAGCGGCTAGGTTGGTCGGCTGCAAGCTTAGCGGTAGATGGAGCAGAGATGGACATTGGAGGGGGATTGGTGACGGCGGTGTTTTCTGGTGCTGGCGAGAGGAAGTCGTGCGTGAGTTCGAGTGGCTCTGGGACCTTCTTCCGGACATTGCCATTATTGCCGACAGGGGGGTTGGGGCTGCTGCCTGGATTGAAAGCGGATCGCCAGTCCTCTGTTGCACGGACTTGATCCATTTCTCGAGTTAGGCTCTTGCGCAGGACAGTCAACCAAGTGTACAAGGACATGTTCAGAGTGATGAAGATATCCTCGTAGGCTTTCATGCCTTCGGTGCGGATGAAGCGGCTCCTAAAGTCGTACACCAGCTGGCGCGATGCCTCTTGCAGTACTTCCTCGCTGACCATGTGCATGTTCATGGCGGGTAGACCAACGATAGTTGCTTCAGCTGCTCCTTTGAACATCTCTTCGAGCCACTCCCGACCATCCAGCGCTTCGAGCTGCGATGGTGTGATCACCATTGCTTGATTTTGCGTGTGCTTCGATATCGTCATGGAATAGAACGAGAGTCGGAGGTCGCGTTTGGCGGGCATAGTGTCGGAGGCTACGAGGCGATCAAACTGTGCAATGACTCGGCGTCCAACAAACTGGGCTATCTCGACATCGTTCATTGATCGAGGGAAGACGATCAACCGAAGCAAATCCAACCTCGCGCTCATCTTTTGACGAACGACATACGCCAGACCAGACTCCACCTCCTTGAACCGAGTTCGAGCGGAATGCAGCATCGCTTCGGCAACAGCCGACAGAGGGTTATCCGGCTTGGGGGCACGAGTGGCCCTAAAGGTCTTCGACTCGCGGCTTGCTCCTTGTCGCTGTGCCTCCAAATTGCTCTTGAACCTGTTCGCATACGACATCATCTTCGGTATGGTACCAATAGTCGCCACCACGGCGATTTCTGGGCACCGGACCACGAAGGAAAGTTGGAGCGAACGATCTTCTTCAAACCGACCCGAGGCTAAAGACCAGTCGTCGAATATCTGAACCTCGAGCGGCTCGGCTCTACAGCACCTATATTAGCTGTTTGTGCCTTTTGAGTACGTTTCGGACTCACCTGTAGTGCAACAGCCTTTGATGATCCGATTCCAGCATTGCCACTAGGGGCCCGCTCGTCATCATGAGTTCTAACATCCGGCTTTCCGCCTCGTCTTGGGAGATGAACTGTTCCGAGCGCCGAATGGTCTGGAACAAGCAATCTGGGACGTGGATTCGACCCGAAAGGTTTCCCTTCGCAGTCACCGAAACATCTTCGACGAAGATAGAGAGTTCCTGCATCATGTCTGTTATCTTGGTCCGCAGGACGGCATTCTTCAGGTCAAGGACGGTGAAGCAGATGGATTGGCCCAAGTCTACGGAGACCTTGATTTGGCGAATGCGAATTAAAATCACAGTCGAAAGACTCTGATCTCTTGTCGGTTCTACTGGGGATGCAGGAATGACAATGGTTTTCGGAATGTTCTTTGCCTCTGGAGGTGCGTAGCTGTTCCAGATAGGGATGCGATCTAGCCAGACGGCTTTGAAGCAGAGGATGTCCTGCAATCGAGAGAAGCGAACGCCACCAAGGAACTCAGTGTCGAGGATGGCCGAAACAGTACCCGCCGTCCGCCCATCGAGGGTGTCCATCTTGCTGAAGGCGATCGAGAACGTCAGGTTTCTCGCATCGAGATTGACACAGTCTTCGCTTAAAAATCCATGTCGTAGGCCAATGGCAAGTCCACCAACTGCACCGGTGAAAGACACTCGTCTAGCACCGGGGGATACATTGAGCGTGAACCCACCACTTTCCCAGTTGACTGCCGCCACAACATTGACGTCTGGCTGACAAGTCAACTCGAGCCTGGATTTGTCGATACGAAGACTGAAGCTGAGTTGCATACTCGAAACGGCTTCCGTGTTGCTGGATGGGAGCTTTGGTTGCGGGTAATCCATAGAGACCGGTGTTTCCGTGCCTGGAATATGAGGCGGGAGGGAGCTGATCTTGCGCATGCGAGTTTCGACACGGTTGAGAACTTCCGTCAGGAATGGAAGTAGTTGAGGTCGCAGGACATTTCGAGAGGAATGGACAGTGCTCTTGAACATCAGCAGGGATGGCGTGGGACGTTCTCCGTCCTTCTCTGTCAGTTTCCGTGCTGCTGGTGTCGCGCGGTATTCCGCCCAGACAGATACTGTAGGTAAGTTGAACACTTCAGCACCCATGTCGAGGACCTGTTCGTCGGTCAGGTCTTGAGAGGCGGTGGATAGTGACAAGGAACGGCTCCGGAATTGCTTGACAGCGGCGACACTGTACGCCCTGACCTTTCCACTCGAAAAGCGTAGAGAAGCGAACACGTTCGAGGTTGGTATCTCGGTGTAATGTCTATCATATGGCTTGGGGAGTTCCACCGAAGGTGTCATGGCGGACGGAGTCCTGGGGATGGTCGCCGACAACCGCTCTACGCGTTCCTTCCCCTTGCGGTAAACGTCGACAAGGGAAAACACATAGTCAGGAACACTGGAATCAAGGTCCAGCAGAAAGCCGTCCACGTTTGCATCGATCCAAACCTTGCGTGATGATGCAACAGTAGAGGATCGAAGCTGAGCCCGCATCTCAGGGTACACGAGACAATTACGCGCGTGATGTCGATCAGCTGCGAAGTCTTCAGGAGAGGACTGTCGGAACCTAGGATATTGATGATCGTCAGAAAAACGAGTCGTGAACCGTCGGATGTGCAGAGAACGTACTTTGGAACAAATTGGAAGCATAGCTTCTCCATCAATGCCTCCCCTGTTTCCCCTCGGTCTGTTCTGAAGGTGATGGAACGGATTGAGAACAGGAACGCTCTGACAGCTACAGCATCCGCGGATCTGCCAACGTCCAGCTGATGATCATGTGCAAGAGGGAAGGCAACTCCGATATTCTGGATAGAGACATTGATGATATAGTCGCCTAACCAGGACCTGGCCTCCTCTCGTGGAACATCCCGGACTTTGACGTCGAAGGTTTTCAAGATGCTCTGCGTTTTCTCTTTGAACTCTGCGAGCTCAATCGCACGTTGCTCTTGACGATCGAGCATTTCAGCCTGTCCAAACTGTGAGTCAATCCTACTGGACGCCAACGCTGCTAGCTTACCTGGAGATGGTCGATAAAGTCCCCGACTTCACCTATGGAGCTTGCTTGCATTACGGCGTGAATCTTGGTGACGGAGAGGTCGAGGGTCTTGACAAGCGAGATGCCTCTGTTGTTATCGCCGCCGGTGACCTTGAAGTCGATGGAAACGAATGCAGAGCGTTGTTGGCGATTGTATGGCAGCCCTCCCAAGGCCCTTGGCGCAAGTGAAAGGGCGAGGCCGGTGAGCCCGATGTCCCAAGATACACCATTAGCATTGTTCAATCCCCCTCGAATATCGACACATTCCAGATAGAGCGTGGACGACAACCCTTCCAAACCGACACGGAAACCCTTCATCTTGACAAAGACGCCGTAGTTGATTGACGGGCCGGGGTTGGGCTTGGGTTCTGGAGCGGGACGGTTCTGTCGGGTCTCTTGCACCAAGTTAAGGAAGTCGTTAAAGTCCTGACCAAATTTCTGTTGGACGGCCAAGAGGGTGTCCCAGTGCGACGGCTTGACTTTGAGCTCGATAAACTCTACCAAGGCGAGGGTACGGACACAGCTCCCATCATAATCCCCTGCCACTGACATTGGGGGAAGTTGCAGTCGTACCCTCGAACCAGAAGCAGCTTCATGAAGTTTCGAAGATGAGATATTCAGGATCATGGATCCGAGTTGTACGCCGAATGTGTAAGTGGGGGAGGTACCGCTGCTCTTGACGGGGGATTTCAGGTAGCCGATGATCTTCTCCACCTCCCAGGTCAACCAGGTACCGTGCATGACCTGCAGTGTAACCCTTACGCGATTGACGGAGGCGTTAACATGCAGCTCGACGTCGTGGGCGGTAGGACTGCGCGTCGGTGGAGCCGATGCGGCTGCGGACTTGGTGTCAATTTCAGACAGCATGGCCTTGACCGTGGATTCAATTCCTGGTAGATAGTCAGCTCTCCATTCTTCCGCGAAGCGATACAGTCGCATTGCGCTTCGAGGAACATCGATCCGGAATTGCTCCAAGGAAAATACAACGCGGTGTGATAGCAAGGGCACCGAGTGACCGGCCTTCGAGAGATAGTTGGCCTTTCCGCCTTGAAGGGCAACAGCTGCCAGTATGTCATGCTGCGACTCTTTCTCCGGGCTCGATGGAGACCGTGCTTGAAGGTAGATCTCTTCGAAGTTGGCGACGTGGTTATTCGAAAATTCGGTTGTCGTTGTGGCAGAAAGCATGGCAGAGGACCCTTGGAATCCTACCAAACCGAGTTCGAATACGAGGTTCGCAGCTGCGGCCCTAATTCGCAACCGTCTCAAAGAGACGAGCACATTGATATTCACCAATTTTGAAACTTTGATGGATGGGTTGGGTTGGGTTGGGGCCCGCAATTGTTTACTTGGGGACCGCGTCTGTCGTCGGACGCGCAGGGCCTCTTGAATGAATGACATGAGCTGGGGGAATACTGCAACGTTGGTGTCTCCAAGTGCCGCAGACACAGCGAACCGTCTCAGCGGACGCGGCTTCTCGCGAAGAGACGTCTGGGACATGCTTGTTGGGAGTGCAGTCGAGAAGTGCACCAGGTCCACCTTCTCCTTCCGAGCCATGAACTTGGACTCTGTGAGCTTGAGCTCTGTCGCGGTCGACCCAGAAATATCGAAGACAGTGAAGACAGCTTGATTCAATTCAAGGCTGATGGAAGAGATTTGGTTGTTCTTTCTCATCTTGGGCCCTGGCGGCGATTCGGGTTTTACACCAGCCCCCTTGAAAACCGTGAGCAAATCGGGAAGATCGGCGAGTTTGATGTTATCTTGTTCCAACGCGAAGAGCCGATCGTCGAGGAGCGCCGTGAGATCATCAACGCTGACCGAGCTTGGACCGGGTACGGGTGTGTCAATACAGTTGCGGAGGTGGTAAAGGAATCGAAATCCCGGATCGCTTCGTAGTCGCCAAGGGATCCCATCTTGTACCAGGAAGGACGGTTGAATAATGGAGAGAGTGTCGACGATGGGCCTGTTCTGGGATGCAGTGAGGATGTTGTAGATACAGTCTCGAAGGTCCGTTTGTCTATCGTCCTTGAGTTGAGGCATTCGCGCGGTGGCTGTTTTCACGGACTGAAGAACCGACAAGGCCATAGAAACCATGATTGCCGGTCCTCTATGTCCGATCTTCCCGTAAATGTCCCTAACGTAGCAATGTAGGCTTTGGCGGGATAATTCAACGGATAAGTCGGAAATGGATAGATTGAAGGCGGCTTGTTCGGATTTCGTAGAGGACAGCGTGCGTTTGTCAAGGGAGGTGTCGACATTACAAAACGCCTTCCCAATGGCCCCTCGAAGAGCGAGCTCCTTGTCTAACTTCCCAATGGTTAAGTGGGCAGAGGTCATTCCTATATCCAGAATGGACGTGGTGTCGAGCTTTGATGGAACACAAGGCGACGGCAGTTGGCCATCCGGGGGAGTGGTGATACTAGGCGAGGTGTGATGGAAGAGAACTAATCCGGTGGAAGAAAGGCCAATATCAAGGAGTAGGAAGCTCGGACACTTCTCATCCTTGAGGAGCCTGTCCAGGTAGGCGGACATCATACTGTCCACTGACATCTCCGGGTCTAAGGGCTAGTTATCCGGTCAGAAATATTCGATGAAACATGTCGAGTGCACGCTTACAATATTTGAAATATCCTCTTCGAACGGGACGCTTGCCACGATTAACAGTGGCGTCAACTTGATCTCCGATGGCTTGCGTGTCCGGATGCGCACGATGGTTGTGCCGCATTGCCCGTCTTGGTCAGAGAGGCCAATTGGTAACGGAGTAAACGGTCTTGGATCAGTGTCGAGCGATGGGCGTCGAACCTTGAGGGGAGACTTGTCCTTAAATAAAGTTAGGCTAGAAATGGATCAAAGGAGGTGTTGACGACGAACCCTTGCAAGAGTGAAAGCTGACCCTCCCCAGCGCCCCGGAGAGCCTGCGGGGTTCACATAATAATGTCGCGTGAGAGGTGAGAAGAAGGACAGCATCGAACTATCAGGAGTCGCATTCGGAGAATCTAGGTTGAGAAAATGTTAGGGTATTGTTCTGCAGTTCAAGGGGACGGGGATGCTCACCAGCGATATCCGACCAATCGCTGTTCAACGAATCGCCATCAGTCAGGTCTGCATCGTCCGACTCATCACCACTTGACATCGAATCATCTTCACGTTCTTGCAAAGGAAGCCTCGTCACAGAGAACCTTGCTTTCCTGCTCAATCATTAGTCAAACGTCCTTTGGCTTTGGAAAGTGTTTGTTAAAAACGTACGCCACGTGCGCGTCTCGATCCGCTTCCGAGAGCGCGTCATCTCCATCCGAATCGGAGAAATGTCCCAAAGTGGAAGGACGCCAAGACGGCTGGCGTCGGCGCGAATGAGACGAACTGTGGCGATTGAGGTTGACGGCTCGGGGTTTCGGTTGGGGACGACGCGAAGTGGGGAGAAGAGGTTGGGGTAGGAACATGGATCCGGCGTGATTGGATGTATCGTCTGAGGTTGCTGGGTCTGTGGTGTACCTGTCCCTCCTCCGAAGGTCTGCTAACATCCGTTTGACTCTACCGGTTAGTTGATCTTGTTCTTCTACATAATCCGTTTGAGCTTTGTTTTGAGCTCGATAGTCCTTCGGGACATCGTATATGTCAAGATACGCGTCCGCAACAACCTCTCCAGCTTCCAGCCAGGAAGTCCCTCTTGATGAGACTGAAGTTACAAGAACCTTCACATTGATCCTGGGAATCTGAAGGCTAATGACTTTGCGGTAATGGTTGGAAGCGAGGTCGTTACTCGCAAACTTGATTCCCTCTTCCAGGGAGACAACCAGCGCTGCGGTAGGGGTCTTCCACACCAACTCAGCAGAGGCCACGCCGATCTTGTAAAATGTGACTGTTTAATGATAAGCGTCAAATGACAAAAACCCAGCTCGACGATGAAGACGTACTATCAGGATCAAGTGGCGGCATGAATTTATCCGCAGGTGCATTGACGGCGTCCACGAAATGTACCTTAAACGCATTCCCTGCCGCAGCGATTGCCTTAGCCTCAAACGCAGTCAACTGGCCCTTCACACTGCCCAGACTAATCTCCCAGATACACAAGTACGTCGAGGTGTTGGGTTGGGGTCCAAACAGTCGGTTGGCAACGACGTCGATTCCGTCGATGAACAGAACTTCTTTGCCCTTCTTTTGCAGGGTTTTGTAGTCCATCTTCTCTGGAACGCTAGTATCCATGAGGCCTCGGACAGTGTCGACGTTCAAAGTCATCTCTACGCAGGATGAGGCACCACGACGACAAGAGGAGTCAGTTCACTCACCCATGAAATAGTCATGTAATCGAAGGTAGACCTGAAGGCGAGGGAAGGCCAACATCAAAGCAGAGCCCGACGGCTCGGTGGCCGTACTAGAGTCGGTAAGCATGTTGAACGAGGAGGTCCTGTAACCGAGAAGTCCAGAAGGTAGCACAGCCGTCCCACGATCCACATCCAGAGACAATTCCACTTGAAGCATATTGTGCTGTTCAGTTGTCAGTTAGAGTCTTGATGCAAGTCGAAAACTCCCAAGTTTCTTACCTTTCCTTCTCGATACTTCAACTTGATCGGATCCCCGACTGGCTGGTCTTGGGAGTCTCTCTTGCCAAGGTACTCATTCAATGTCGAGAAGTGTGTGAAAGAACCGAAGTAGTTGTCTTTGATAACCATGATGTACCGGATCGCCCAACCGAGCGCTTTCAATGCCGCATTCGTAAGCTGTCAAGCATAGTACGTGAGTTCAGGGTCCGGGAAATGCAGAGCACGAGGAACACTGACCTGAATGTCTAGCTTCAGCTGGTCCACATGCTCTTCATGCACCTCTCCATAATACCGATATGACCCCTCCAAATGCAGTGCGTCAGCTTTGAGAATACTATACCCGCCCCGAGGTGCGTGTAACGCATGTGTGCTCCACCGAGGGACAGAAAGGTTGAAAGAAACGTCGGGTGCATCGACGATGAACGGAACACAGTATGTCAGGGGACGGAATTTGTTCGACGGCATTGTCACTTTTGTTTGGAGGTCAAGGCCGCTGAGGGTGAGCAGGGCTGAAAAATCAACATTCAGGGTAAAATCTAGTTGTTCGCAAGAAGGGAATTGCATACCATTCTCATCCCGAATCAGTGGCTTGTCAATGATGTTATGGTCATTCGCGTACAAGTTGATCTCGTAGTGGTGTAGCTTGAGCTTGACAACGTATATCATTGGGACGAATTTTTGCCAGTCGGTAGGTGGCCCTGAAGCCCAATCTTTACCAAGATCTGTGAACATGTTGATATGGTCCCTCAAAAGGAAGAGCACAGGCTGTCGTAGCGTGATCGAATAGGTCCAAGTACGAACTTGGTTCCACGGGAGGGGTGAAGGGTGTTCACAGCGTATCTAATGAAGGCCTTTAGCAAACATGAAAGTGCCCTGTAAAATCCCAAAACAGACTCACCCTGCAAGATTCCGCGGAAATCAGTTTGATGTCGTTCAAACTGGACGATACAGCAATAGTATCCAAATGAATTTCAATGACCGGTTCATAGCCTTTCTCTCCAACAGCCATGGGCATCACATAGTTTATCGAAGATAAGTCTCCAACGGTGACGTTGATAGATGCAGGTTCGCGCCTCCTGGGCCGTCGAGGAATAGTGCTCTTGCCATCCCATTGCCAATCCTTGGACGATTCCCTGAACGGTATGTGCAGTGTGGTTTCGTCACGCAATTCGATGAAGACTTGAAGAGCCGTCCATAGTCGCTTATCACCAGGTTTCAGCCTGGTCGTAGGTTGCGTGTCTTGGTACGAAGGCGGAAAGAATGCACGTTGCAGTTCTGCCCTGTGACATTGCCATAAGCCTTCGCCACATCAATCAATACCAAAGGACGCCTCACCTCTGCCGATCCGCCCAAGGTCCATACCTAATGAACCCACTCTTGACCACCAAATGGAAACCCCACTCCGGTGCAGTCCCTCCATTCCCAACATCCACAATATCGCCCCTCGAAAACGGGTCCACATGCGGCAACGGCGGAACCTCACCCACCACATCCACAAAATATGTCAACTCCAAACTCGGCGCCTCCAGAATCTTCCTCTCTATGGCATACTCGTGTGTGGAGAAGTCGATCCCTATAGGCGTCTCGTCGCGAATTTCTTTCTTCTTGCTCTTGCCGTTGCTAGCCAAGCTGTTGGCGAGACTTCGCTGGAAGGCGCGTTGTTCGCGGCGTTCTTGGAAGTACTGGATGACGAGGGAGAAGAGGCCAACCTGCCGCCAAAGACGGCCGAAGGAGCGGTAGGACATGTAAGATCGTGGGGTGCGGTTTTCGTTGTATCTTGGGTGCCCGTTGAGTGAGTTGGGTTTGTAGTATATAGCGAACTCGTACCTTTTGATTCTGTCGTGCAAGATAGCTCCAAGGCAATTCATGGATTCGACATAATCCTCGTTATCCACATAGCGCACGAGGGCGTGTTGGAACTTGAGATTCAAATTCTGTTTATACAGATCGTACTTGGACCGTGACTGTACACACAGCTGAGTATATATTGCGATAGGGAAGTTTAAGCGGGACTTACAGGTACGACCCCAAACGTTCCGTCCGCATTCTGAAACTCTGCCACGAGCAGACTGGGGGTTGATGCATTACCCAGGATAATAGCACCAGTGGTCACTTCCACACCCAATGGTAGCAAGTCCTTGGGGTCCAAACTCGGAAGCTGGTTCTTAAGCCAGTTGAATGCTCTCTGAATCGTCAATGGAATAGGAAGTGATCGTTTGCCAGAGCTCGCTGGTGGATATGCCGTTGAACCTCCGTCTAAACACCCAATAAGCATTAAGGAACTCGCAACGTAGAAAATGCACAACCCACCTTGTCGGCTCTTCGACCTCCGACCTTCACTAAACCTCGAGGTAGACCTATTCAAATTGGACTCCATCTGCGAGACAATATTGTCGAAAGACGCCGTCCTGTTGTACATAAACCATTCGAATCCTTGGAAGGAAATATGGATACGGCACGATAGCCAGCGACCTGATGGGGTCCAGGTGTGTCAGTTTCAGGCAACTGAGGTCTGGCGTAGGACGTACGGCCTCTCCCAGTACTAATCTCCTCCTCGGTCATAGGCCTTCGAATCCAATACCGCCATTGCAACTGACCCTTAACAATCTTTATAGTTTGATTACTCGAGTGATAGCATAGGTCCTTGAAAAGTATACGTCCAGCGGGTAGCGAGAAATGTATAGAACCTGAAGACCGTCCCCGTTAAGTGACAACTCGAAGTGCACGTCAGGTTTACCCACCGATTTCGACCCATATGCTCGACCCCTCCTGGTTCCAGTAGAGAACACGAATTATCTGAGCAAGAATAAATGCAATAAAGCGATTCCAGTAGAAGAAGTAGAGGATCAGAGCAATGACAATGCAGATGCAGGCGATGAGGAGGAGTTTGCTGAACATGGTGGCGAAACCGGTGCGTCTAAGACGGGTGGTGTGGCGTTATATGCGTGCAGGTCGAGATAATAGAATCTTCATAGACACATTGTTGTATATCGAGTGTCGTCGACTGGCCCGTTCGTCAATTCCGCCCTGTAGGGACGCCTAGTGCTGGCGGAGGTGATGGTGCCAGTGAACCCTTGCTAAACGCCGCCAGAGTCGCGTCTCGGACCCTATTGGTGTCGACCAGGCTTCTCCGCTTCCACCACCACGATGACCACAGGCAACGCCGCCTCAAAGGCGACTAGGCCTATTCAACGTCTCGCATACGCTTCGACAGTAACCTGCGCTGCTCAGGCATCGGTGTATGGGAAATGCGTTGCTGCAACCTACACTGACGTCAGCAAGGATATCTGTCGCGCAGAATTTCTCAAATTCAAGGAATGTCTTCGAGACGCGGTGAGTGATTCCAACGCCTTTCATCGGTCCAGGTCCTGATAGTGTTGCAGATGAAGAAGCGATAGACCCCCCAGACTCATCCTACCACTAACCATCCATTACACTCTAAACGACTAGATGTATACAAGTTGCCCATGAAATAATTATCACGAATCTCTATCCATAGACCCCGGAATCCTCTGGACATTTCCCCGCGATGGCCCCAAAGGTGAACCGCCTAACCTCGTCGGCGGGTTGGTCTCAAAAACCCTTCTCGCTGCCTGGGCACGCATCAAACTCCTCATCCCTGGTGGAATTTGAAATGGCGTAGTGTTGGGGAAGGGTAAAGAAAGGGGATCTGTAGTCGTCCGTCGGGTCACCGGTGGAACGGGGTTGCGCAATCGAGCTATGAGGGTCTGTAATCGTAGATCGAGGATTTCGGGAGGCATGTTGGTGGTAGAGTTGGGTTTGGGTGTGGTATATATACTTCTTCTGAAGAAGGAAGGCGTTCGTGAAGAGCTGGGTGAAGGCGGTCGGGATGTAGCCGGTGTTGGTAGCGATGATGGTAATGGCGTGTCGGGGGTCGTCTGGTCTGGGGAAAGGAGGGTGTCTTCGCCGTCCTCACTGTTGGCGGACACCGCTGTTTCGTATGATATCGCCACAGTGATCCATTGGAGGGATAGGATTGTGATATCAAGCGCGAATAACTGCAGTTTCGAGGGTATATATGCTGTTGAAGGCTTAATTACACGCGCCCACTCAAGGAAGCGAGAACGCACCCATTCCAATGAAATCGAGGATGATTGCTCTGCCTTCCGCCGCCCCGTGGAAGATATGCGTCCACAAATTGGGGAGATTGAGCAAGAATACGATTGTGAAGTGGGCCCGCAGCGAGCGGGAAATGTCGATATCCTTAGGGGCGGCACATTGGGATTGTGAGATGATTCTGAATACAAATGACCATAGCGACGGCGAGAGGAAGAAGGAGAGCGTGTGTAGCTGATAGAGAACGCTGTTGAGCTGCTACGCTGACCGTTAATGACGAGAAATAGAGTTTGTAAAGGGCAGGCTCACAGCTTTAACGAGGTGCTGGCGTTGACCATAGTATTGCTTGGGCATGTCATGTACTAATCCCTTGAATTGAGAAAGTGATTAGTAGTGACTGTCAAGGCAAGAGTCAAGAATCGAAGAGTTGAATGGGGATCATCAGCGTCTTGTGACCGCTTTGTGTGGGACGAAACGTGCGCACAACCCAACTTTTTGTTTCCAAATGAACTGCTGACACTATTTGCCCTTTTCTACCACATCCATTTCACACAATCTTCCCTTTATCTTCCCTCTTAGTTTGAACCAGGTCCTCTGTGGGGAAAGACACCAAGTGTAGTGGCTCAAGCCTCGAGACTTGGTGCTTGCTTTCTCTTCGTAAGTCCCGGCGCTTCCCTTTCTACATTTTTCCTTTAATTTCCAGCGCTGCCAGACACGACCAGCAAACCAACTCTATCGTCAATGAGCTTAAAGCTGGCCAACGAAGCAAATGTCGTTGCAAGTCCCGCCGTGGAAGGTCTTTGGCGACAAGAGGACAACGACCGGCAGTCACAACGGTGGCGAACAGCACTTTTGAATCCAGACTCGTGGGCCTACATTCCAGATGACACCGACAACAACGACTATCCTCATCGAATACCGCCTCACAACTACCTCGTTTCCCATTCATCAGTCAGAGAATTAGGTTCATCGACCGACGACGACGCTCCAAACCAGTCCCGTGACGACCTGCAGCTGAATCCATGCCTCGCAGGCGTTCGAATCGTCGAGAGTGCCATCGAGCCCTACGAAAACGCTGTTGGCTTTCACCACACCGTATTTCCAAAGATCGAAAACTCGGATTTCGGTTTGCCGCCGCCTTTGAACCTAACGACTCCAGAGGAAGAGGTCATCGACAACAACAAGGACTGGTCGGAATCGTTGAAAGAATTCATCAGTGCAATTAGAGAAATATCTCTTGCCGCAGACAACGAAGGGTCGCTTTCGACGTCGTTCACAGAGTCAGAGCCCTCCTCAGGTATGGCCGGTCCTTTCATTTCACCACTACAGACTTTGCATGCTAACACTTTACATAAAGGTTCTGATAATTCGACCGAGTTCTTCGCCATGCCTCTGACGCCTGTTCTCAAAGACGGATGTCTTGCCGACATCTTTGTCAAGACTGTGTCCCCAAACAGCAGTATAACAAGTGTCGACGAGGTCCTGTTCAACACACCTGCTCCAAGCAAGACTCTCAACGCCCATGCTTCCTCTTTTGTCCCTTCATTCTCTCCGCCGGCGCATACTGGAACGTTCCCATATCCTTCTATCAATGATTCGCTCAAACAGAAGGCCAGCCGCAACGCCGCTTCCAAACCGCGGGAACCTGAGTCCAAAGCAACATTGCCCAGCCTCTCCAGCTTCACTTTCCCAACCCTGCTCACACCGAACAAATCCACCACTCGTCTTACCACTGTCAAGATCAAGAAAGACGAACAAGGGTTTTTCACGGACGTCCAGGTGGACAACCCAGTCAAGTCGGACCACACCGCGGAATCATTACTCCTTCCTCCCTTCCTCCAAGAACCTGCTCCACGTCGCCGAGCCCGTGTCTCCAAGACCCGGGAAATCGTCGATCGCTTGCGCTCCAGCCAATTAGAAGCGCCTACCGTCTTGGACGATGGGGAGGTGAAGAAACCCACGTTGGATTTCTCCTTCGATCTATTGCCAAAATCGTTCAGTCACAGTCCGAGCCCTACGATCCAAGATGGGCCAGCTAATTGTGTTCGACCTCGGTCCAGTGTATCTGACGATGGAGCTAACCGTGGCAGGCAGACAACATCGTCGACCCCATCACAGGAAGACGATGATGAAGGCTGGATTGACGCCTCGAATGCCCACCCTGCAGCTGAGAATAATGCCGTCTCCAAGGTGAAGCGGGCTAGGGACCTCTTTTTGGCGTTTACGAGAAGGAGGACCGACTCGACGTCTTCAGAACCGGTAAAAGATGCGGCCCCGACGTCCTCAGAACAACAGCGAAAGTCCATATCCGGTTCGCTCGACGGTCGTCAAAATGGAGAGGAAGCGCCGACTAAATCGGTTCAAGGCCAAGCCGGGTCGAACCATAAACATCGTATCTCTTCCAGTAGAGATGGCTGGATAGAGGGTGTGGCAACGTCTACAAGCACGGCGGGAAGCAGAGGGCACACAGGTTCTGGCCAGCCCAGCAAGCCAAACCCTGTGTCAACGTCTTCCAACTCCAAACCGTCGCACCGCAAGAAGTCCTCGCAGCAGCACAGGCAGGGTTCAATCTCGTCCATGAGTTTAAGCCCTACCCGGCCGGCATTCACGACCCTCTCGAACCCACCGTACCTAAACGTTCCGCTGATGACCCCGGCCTCAGCGCATATCGGTCTCATGCCCGCGACAGCACCAGCTCCGTTCTTCTTCAACCCGACGGCGCCTGCGTATCATCCTTCGATGCCTGTTGCATTTGCTGGGCCCACTGGGTACATGCCTGCTTCTTCGCCGTTTGGTATGTCGCATACGCCGTACATGACGGCCCCTGTGCATGGCACGCATGCTGTTCCTATGGTGCCGCAACATCATCGGAAAGGGTCGTCATTGTCTGCTTGGTGACGATGTCGTCTTCTTCCTTTCCTCTTCATTGTCCTTCTTTTCTGCACACAAACCCGCATTTCTCATGTCTTTTACGCCCCTATGAGTGACGATTTTCTTTACTTTGGTTATGCTCCTTTCCTCTGATTATTCTATTTTTTGATCAACGAACAAACCAATGTCCCTCCGAATTCGATTTTCCTCTTTTTCCCTTTTTATTCCGCTGGTAGTCCGGACTTCAACTTCAAAGCTTGATTGAATGGTCTTTAGTAGTATTTTTGGTGTCTTCCTCCAGTCCCTTTCTCTTCCTTTTTCTTGTCGAGAATCCAAAGCATCAATCATCATCCATCCCATTCCCAATATTCCAACCAAATCATCATTATCATCATTATTCATTTTTGTTGGCTTTCTCATTACTTATCCAATCGCGGTTTCTTCTTTTTCTTTTTCTCTTCGTCGTAGGACTCGAGAATCAGAGTTTGAATGAGTGAATAGCAAACCTTTTTTGTATGTAGTTAGTAAGTAGCGTCTGAGCCTTCCCCCCGTAGATTCGTATGTCTTGTCTTTCCCGTACCCTGTTTCTTGTACCAGTGTATTTATATCAGGATGAATCATTTATTGTTCACAAGTCCAGACCTGATGTGTGTACGAAGTCATTCAAAAGCGATCAGATCATGCGGTAGATGTACAGTGGGTAGTAAGAGTCCAGGGTGGTAAGTGCTGTTGCATGCAAGGTAACTACAAATGTCCAAGAAATGAAGCTATGAGAAGGAAAGTGCAGAACTATCTCAACAAAGAAGGATCTGGTGGTGCACCAGGTTGTGGAAACTGAACCGCAGGGTCGTCGGCGGTGGTTGTGTACGCAGGGAGGGTGTCCACTTCATACTGTGGAACGCCCACTGGCCCATGGATGGATTTATGTTCCTCCCTCCGCCGAGTTTTCTCCTCCTCGGTCAAATCCTCCACCCCACTGCTCGTAGACGGACCCTGCTGCCGTTTCAAGCGCGCCTTCTCCTCCTGCGAGATATCGGAGAGCGTCCACGATCCTCCTCCATATCCCTCCTCGATGGGCACCGGTGGCCGGGTTGGATCGATGTCGCTAGGTTGCCGTGTAAGAACTGAATGGTCCCTAGTGTGTAAAGATGATTCTTCAACGTCAATCTCGGCGTATGGATTGAACTCCGGGCCTCCGCCCTGTCCTGGATTGTGCACGGGCTGATAAGGGAAACTGCGCGTCTTGAGGAGGAACGCTGTGTCCATGTTCTCTCTAAACTCTCGATTCAGCTGCTTCTCGCGTTTGACCAGGTTGAGATAACGGGTAGCGATTATGGCGCCGTCTAAAACGTCAATCAGCTTTCATGTTGCTAGGATGGACAGAAAGACAGGTGGGTGTGAGAAAAAAAGTCGTAAACTTACAGAGTTCGATGAACAAGACCACGCTGGCGATTACGATATAGACGGTTGCGGTTATGCGAAGCAGGCCTTTACATTGGTCTTTGGAAGTAGGATCTTGGATGGTATTTTCGCAAGCTGCTTCGTTGACGTTTTTCTGGAAGGAGACGATCGAAAAGAAGAGGTAGGCTGCGGCACCTAGGTTGGCGAGGAAGTGCCCATAGAGGATGTAAGCGTAGATTTGCAAGAAGGATTGCTTGCGGACGATAGCGCCGACAAATCTAGGAAGGGAAGCAAAGGGGTTAGCAAAGGTTGACAACATAACGAAATGCGGCATACCCGAGTATCGATGCGGCGAATAGAATTGTTTCGAGCAGGGCTGCTATAATGAAAGCTGCACGCTCCCCAGTTGTCATGTTCAGGGTGACTGAAATATGCCAGTTTATTTAATCGATGAGAGCTACGAAAAACAAACTGACGGAGAACTCACCGGACACTTCAAACCATAGGACAATCGAAAGTAGTCCAGCTACTAGTATACCCAGAACAGACATGGATATAACGCCGAATCGCACTGGGAGGCAGCAGCAGAAGGTCTTGCCGCCACAGATGAGATCCCTGTAGCTGAAGGGCATGGCTACTGGTCGACGATGGTGGTCAATGTTCAAGGAAGTTTGTTTGTTGTCGAGCTCGTGCTAATAGTAGTCACGGCGATGCGATGCTTGCCTCCTTAACGCCTGGTGCCCATCATCGCCCACGGGCTCTTGTTCGGTGCAGCACACAGCATTGCGCAGGTCAATGACGTTCGTCTAGCGCTCGTCGTTGTCGCTGGATTATCAGGAGAGGGGCAGAGGCTCTCGTTCGCTGCGACGACCGGGCCTGTGAGAGGGGGACATTGATCGGGGGTTATGCGAATAGGGCAACATGTGTTCTTCCGGCGGCCTCAGGGACTGGCTTGGCCGCCTATCGACACACTGCAAACGGCCCCCTGGAAAATGGGTGTCCAGAACTGAAAGAGCCCCTGCTTCCCTCAGGACGACCACCATCACACTGTCTTTTCTCTACCTAGACTGTCCTCCAGCGGAGGGGGGAGGCCCCGACACACGACCATCTCCCTCGTCAGATAGAACACAAAATCTGGCCGTCACCTAGCGAGAACAACAACCGGGGCTCCCGAATTCAGTTTTCATGTCGGGATCCGGTTTCCAAACGCAGCTGCACCAGGATTTGAATCGGGCTTCTGGTGCGCGCTTCTCCCTTCTTCCTTTGCCGCGTGCTGGACGCGTATCTGACTGTAACCTTTGTGCGTTGTCTTCGCAACTTCTCGGTTCCCCGCCACGTCGATCAGGGGCTGCTTTGGCTGCTATTCTATGGTACGTCTCGTGGAGCTGGGTGTCGAGGGTGGAGCTAAATAGACTCTGATAGGGATTGGGCAATTACGTTCGGCGATGAGGTCGAGCTAATCTGGTCGTATGTCTACCAACCCGCTTCTTGGATTGTTCAAAATCTCTCAACAAGCCGTGCTACCCCAGGAAAAGCCATTCGTCATGGTTGAAGTGGATCTTTCTGTTCACGAGATACTATATCATCCTCGCGTCGATGTACGTCTTGACTTGTTAATCCAGCATTATTGGCTCACGAACGCGACTTCCAGAGCGGCCAGAGCAGTTGAGGCTGTAATGGTCTTTAGCGACCATTATCTCAGCTGGACGTCCCTCAGGGTGTGGTACTCTTGTCAAGTCCTCGTCGCGTCTCATGCAATGTCGGCTCTGGAAGTCGTCCTCATGATCAGAGGCAAGTCATTTCATGAACTACGACTGGAGTCAGCTAACTCGTTGTTCAGTGTACGCCCTGTACAACAGACCACGGTGGATGGCAACGTTGTTTGTTCTCCTTCTCTTACTCGAAAACGGCATCGTGCTTGTCGGCATCATCGCCCACCTCCCAAAAGACAGCTTCCACCCAATGGACCTCGTTGAGAATCTCCCCCCTTCGTTTTCTTACTTCGGGTTCGTCTCCGCTGTCATATACCTCGTCTCCTTGGGCTAATCATTCATACCACTAGATTCACAACTATGGCTGTTCAAGGTGTGATCATGTATCTCACTGTTCGAAGATATATGCAAGGACCCTGGAAGACAATACCACTCGTCAAGCTTATCTTCCGGGACGGCACTTTGGCATTTACTGTCCTGAGCAGTAGGTCCCAAGATCAACCCTTTGCTTTCCTTTCTCACCTTGCAACCCAGTTTCTTCACTCGTTATGGCGATATACACCCTTTGCGGACTTCCATATGCTGTAGCAGGCTACCCGTACGTTGGCTCATCTGCCTACCCCAGCTTTCACTCACACCGTCGCGCAGTTGGCTGCTCGTAGCAATTTCAGCCGTGGTAAGCTCACCTCGGTCCGTTCTCACCCTCAAGCGTTCTCACCACGATGTAGACCTGCCGTATGATTATCAACATGCAAAGACTACCACTGCAACAAGAGCACACAATCAATGGATCAACCGGAATTCAATTTACAACTTTCTTTTCGACTGTATATGAAACCTCCCAACGGACACCGTTCACTGAACAACTAACCTCGACTGATTTTTCTTCACCATGGCATAGTACGCATTATAACTATAGGCCAGATCTGTAATTTTACTACCAAGTAGAAATGAATACCCTTCAGTATTGCACACCTGGTTCAGCAAAGACCAACCCGCCACTGGGGCAACGATGAGCAGCAGTGGTTTTCTGGGCGCTTGTGGGCGTGGGAGTTCCTTTATTTGTACCTGCTGTAATCAGAAGGCGATGGCTTCCGGCGCGCCAAGTTGGGTTCTCAGCGATCACTGCTTGGTCGGGTTTTCTACCTGATTATACCCCGCTTGTCCCATATATCCCGTTCCTGGAAAGGCCACACCGAATACGCGCGCCATGAGCGTTTCTCAACTACCTCAACTGGACTCAATGGACGTTGACAACCCTCTCAACGTCCGGGGTCCTTCCACCAGCACCAATGCCGACAGCAACATTGCAGGCCCTTCCAACTTGACGCGCTACCTACCCAATGGCTTGCCCCGGGCTTCTTCGTTGCCTGTTAGCTTTGGGAACTTGAGTGTCGGCTATGTCTACTCTGCCGACATGATGCAGCACTTCAACGAAGAAGGACACCCTGAACAACCAGCCAGGATTAAACGCATATGGGATCTACTCGTCGCAAAGGGCTTGACCGAGAAGATGCGGCGGATCGATATTCGAAAGGTGAAGAAGGAAGAAGCGATGCTAGTTCATAGTGAAGACCACTGGGACAAAGTTATTCAATTACAATGTAAGCTTATCTCGCTGCGTTTGGAGTTTTTGTAATGTTATGTGAGAGCTGAGGGGTATGCTTTGGGTTGTGTGTTGTATGATTTCTTCGTTTAGATATGGACGACCAACAACGTTTGGACTCTGCGGAATACTACGAACGGATGTCGCTTTATGTGATGAAAGGCACGACACCGGCGGCTCTACTCAGTTGTGGAGGAGTAATTGAAGCTTCCCTCGCTGTTGCAAGAGGGCTCGTTCAAAAATCCTTCGCTATCGTTCGACCACCAGGTCACCACGCCGAACCGGATGAGCACATGGGTTTCTGCTTCTTCAACAACGTTGCAGTAGCTGCTCGGGTCGTGCAGCAACTAACACCCCTCAAGAAGATACTGATTTTAGATTGGTAAGAAGCTTCTCGTCTTTGTACGATACTTCGTATTGAACGTGTTTAGGGACGTGCATCATGGTGAATCTCTTCTGAGTCGACAACTTCTTCCACCGCGGTAATACTCATCCCGTCCTGAACGTAGGCAACGGCACACAGCGCGCTTTCGACGACGACCCCTCTGTCCTTTACATGTCCATTCATCGATACGAAAGTGGACATTTCTATCCTTGTGGACCATTTGGCTCCCTTGAATCTTGCGGGAAAGGCCCAGGTGAAGGATTGTAAGCTTCCCACCCATTAAGTGAAAGCATAGTTTCACTAATTCTCTTTAGCTCTGTGAACGTGCCATGGCCAAGAGCTGGAATGGAAGATGCGGACTATTTGTATGCTTTCCAAAAGGTTATCATGCCCATAGCTATGGAGTTTGCGCCAGACCTTGTCATCAGTGAGTCCAACTCGTCTATCCACGAAACACTCTGCTCACACAAGCACCTGTCAGTTTCTGCTGGATTCGATGCAGCTGACGGAGATGACCTGGGCGAATGCCATGTCACACCAAAGGGCTATGCACACATGACCCACATGCTGGCTGGTCTAGCAGGGGGAAAGATGGTAGTCGCGTTGGAGGTACGTGATCCCTCCCTACGTTCACCTCTCACCAACTAAGCACTATGTTTATCATAGGGAGGCTATAACCTGGACGCCATTTCCGACTCAGCACTGGCTGTGACAGAGATTCTGTTAGGGCAAGCGCCACCACAAATAGACCCAATGATTGCATCGGAGGACGCGACGGAGACAGTCTGGCTTGTTGCTAAGCATCTCAGCAGGTACTGGAAGAGCTTGGATCCTAAGGCCTGCGAACCTCGAGAACGTAAGGAATGCCCTTGTTGTCCCCGGAACGATGCTCATAATTTTAATACAGAGGTGGAGGAAATCAGCTATTCGATACCAGGTATGAACTTGCCCCTCTCACTGAATTCCGGAACTGGTCTGATCAAGTCCAACGACAGAAATCCTGAAAGCACATCGACAACACTATCTCTATACCAACCATGATATGATGGAGATTCCTTTAATGACGGCGGAGCTTGATCAACGATTTTCCTCACAAGTAATGTGCACGTAAGTGACTATACCAGTAATTACTTCGCGAGTTGGTGCTAATACTCGCCAAGGCCTGATATGCTTGATAACGACACCATCGTATTATTCGTTCATGAATTGTGCGTTATTTTCCGGATTCATCTGTACAGGGCTGACCCTTTCCTAGTGGTAATCTACGAATAGAACTCGAATCATCTGCGACATGCGACGTCAATCTCCATCGATCGTACCTCGTGAGTTCGTCGCCACAACACCAGTCCTCCTGGCTCAACAATCCCGCTCCAGGTCGACTTCTCCAAAGAACTTATTTCTTGGATAGACACCGAACAATTCGCCCTCATTGACGCCAACCTCTTCCCCAAACCTACCGAAATTCAACAAACTGTGAGTTGCCTTATAACACCGGGGAGTTATCACCAACTTGTGTTTCAGCGTCGGGCGACATTAGAATCTGACCTCGTTCGAGAAGTCATTTTGTACTTGTGGGATAACTACATCCAGTAAGACTTTTTCGTCGACCCTCCGTTCGTCATATCCGCTCATCAAGTCATCTATACAGGCTATCGAAAGCCTCGAGGGTCATCCTAATTGGCCATGGTCCAGGCTGTCGTGCTGTGGCTGAACTACTTACCCGTCGAGGTACGTCGATTCTGCGTTTGTTGTCACCCCACCAAAGCGTGACACTTGTCTTCTAGCAACGGGAGTAATGAAGCTCGTAACAACTGTCATCCAAATTGTTGGATTGCAACATAGCGCCTGTGCTCCTACCGGTTTCGAAGATATTCGGACGTGGTATAAGTCGGTACGTACCGGTCATATCCGTAGCCCTGTGCTTCATGTGCTAATACTTATTTCGACACGAAGCATTCCGCAATTATACTCCCCGACAACCATCCGATGAGCTCAGGCCGGGAATTGGCCAAAGAGATTCGAAAACATGGTCGAATGATCTATGTTGGTGAGTAGTGCCCGATTGCGGTTTCGAGCAATGGCTAATGGAGCTTTCCACTCTCAGAGGAAACTCAACCTCTCAAGTTGGTCATGAAGGCGTTACCCGCCGTCCAACAAATCATTCGCGAGTCGAATCCCCCACGACCAGATGCCAATGGAATCGAACGATGAATGACTTTGCGATGTTCGATTATACGACGTACTGATGTTCTTTCACTCTCGTTTGCGCCCAGCGCTGTAGTTTTATGATTGGTATAGAAGGGGTATATAGTAACGATATCCTGATACACCTTAGACCAAGTTGACGCCACCCTGGCGAGAGGAGATGATGCCCACGACCTGGCCCTCAAAGTCATGGAGCGATCCTCCTCTGACAGCGACGAGGTCAAGGTTAGGTTTCTTAATTCCCAGCAGCTTCTCCAGGTTGCCTGTGGCGAATTCGATCGCTTCGGTCTTGGAGATTCGTCCGCTGGAATCCAGGGCGGTCTGCAAAGTTATCTACGGGTTAGATGCGAACAGTGAGCCATGAAGAAGCTTACCCATCCAACATCAAACCGAATATTTCGTGATTGCCATTGCTCGATGATACCGAGACCAACGGTGACGTTGTGTTCACGCAGCACAACAGCGGATGTATCAGCAGAGAGGGGAGGGCCAGGCAAGCTATGAGCCGAGGAGTAACCTCTGTCAGCACTGCAAAGCATCTTGAAGGAGGTTACTCACAATCGTTTCTTCCTCCATTGGTCGGGATAAGGTCGAGCAGGAGCCAAGATGACACCAATGCCCGCCTCCCCAATCTCCTTGGCGAGGAGATGGGCCTCGGTGGCACCAACAAAGGTAAACTTGACTCTCTTGTGGTGCTTGTCGATCTCTTCCTTCAGTTGGATAAGGGAAGCCATGATGTCGGCGCTTTGCACATCAATGACAAGCGGGAGATCGCCCTAAGGGACCGTTAGTCCACTGCGAAACCGTGGCATAGATATGCTCGTACCTTTGCAACCCGGGAGAAATACTTGCCCAAATCACCCTCTCCCCCTCCATTCAAAAGATTCCTCAAGGCAGCAATTTGAGTGCTGATACTGGGTACACCTTCCGAGTAGAGAAGCGAAACGTGAACGGCAGTGACTTCTTGAACGATAGCACCCTTGGCCAGCTTGTGGGAAGCACCAGTGTCGAAAGCGGTGGAAAGCCCCTTCAAGAACTTTCCGCCGAATGGCGCGGTCACTCCGACTGTCGCCCCTGCCTTGTATCCAAGCCTAAAAAGATCGGTGAGCGAATTAAACCAACGAATCGAAGTGGCTTACAGAGCATCCCGAGTTTCGAATTGGAGGCCATCAACAGCACGGATGAGAGGACCTTTTCCGAGTAATCCAGAGTTGGAAGAAGTGAGTTGGTCAACAATGCGACCGTCGTTGGTGGAAGGCTCTCCATCGATGTCATTAAGCGCCAAAATGCTGCCGTAGCTAATTAGGGCTGGACTAGGAATAGGTCAGCACAAGCATGCTTCGACGGTACCGGAGGGAGCCCTTACGAGATGGAGCCACCTAGGAGATCGATCGTGGTCGCTTGACTGGACTGGAGTTCTTCCAGACAGTCGGGTTCGCGCACACCATCGCAGAGTAGTTCACCTTCTAGGAAAGCAACAAAGGTCCACTCGTCTTTCAGACCAGGATCGAAATTGAAGACCTCTTTGACTGAGAACCCTTCACGGACGTGGAGGCTGTTGACCCCTCTGAAGATGATAACGTCACCCTTCGCCTTGTGCGGGGCAAGGGGAGGGAGACCCTCGTATTCAAGGGTTGCCTTGACTTCGTCATCGAAATCAGGTGTGCTCGGGGCTTCCTGCAGCGCTTCTGGCTTCTGAACCGTATGTGGATCTTTGAGTTGGGCGATACCGTCGATGTAGACTTGCTTTGGTGTAGCGCCGATTTGAAGAGGGTGACTGTCCCAGATAACGACGTCTATAATGTATGAGCAACGTCTCGGTGACACTGAGCTCAACTATCTTACCCGCATCGTAGCCTAGAAGCTCAGGTCAGCAAAGTCACAAGTGGGTGGCAAAGATGATCCTACCTTTCTTGAGGAAGCCAATTCGATGATCGTAGCCCAAAACGATTGCTGGGTTAGAAATGACAGAGGCGAGGGCCAAGTTCTCTGGAAGACCGTAGTAGTGCGCTTGCTGTGCCTCGTTGAGCAGGAAGCGGGAGTCGAGAACAGGATGGTCGCTCTGCAGATGCAGAAGTCAGTTGGGTTCCGAATGAAAACTGGTCAAGAAAGTAGTGCCGATGTCTACCTTCATCACAACCCTGAGACCATTGTCGGCGAGGATACGGGGCGCAAATTCTGAGCCACGATACGCTTCTCTCTTGTAGCGGGCATTTGTTGCGAAGAGTGCGATTGCAGGAGGTGAACCTGCGGATACAGCCGTCAGGGGGGAATGAAGTACTTCCCAAGCGCACATATATACCGTAGGCATTCTTTAGTAGGTCAGGCACAAGATAGGTCTCGTGTGCATGGTGGAATGCAGCAATTGAGAAGTTGAACTCGTGTGTTAACTACATGTTGTATTTAGCAGCTGCGAGTAGGAACAAGAACACTGTGATCACTTACTCTAACCATGTTGTCTAGATCGACAGCTTCGTAGCAATGATTGTGAACCTTGACGCGTCCTCGCAAGACATCGACTAGTGCTTCCCATTGCAAGTCTTCAGGGAAAGAGCCCAGACCATCCCACTGTCCAGCAAGGGCTTTGGCACAGTATTCATCCTGGCTGACTTTGATCTTCCTTGCCGTATCATAACTGAGAAAAGCTAAGCAAAGGTCGGGTCCAGAGGGTGCACCTTGCTTACGCTTGTCTAAAGGCCCATTGCGTGTCCATCCTTGTCCCATCATACACGCGACCTGAGTATAGCTTAGACAAAGGGAGTTTCATCACCGCGAGTATTTTGACATACTTGGGTTTTCGCCTAGAACGCAAAACTGGGTTAGTTCATTGAAACATTGACATCATGAATGCACACCGACCGCACGCATGCTTCATTTGCCTCCATCTAGGTCTGTCTGAGAGGACAGAAGCTGAAGCATTGAGCGAGAATGGGGGTTCCAGAAGACGTGAAGTGGTGGTTCGCTCCTTAGTTGGTCGAAGTTTGACAGTGAAAGCCTGACCACCTATGAAAGGGACGTTAGTGTACTAAGTACATCGGAAGCAATATATGAACCGAGGCCTACCTATAGCATCTGCAGATCCTGGAAGGACGTTCGCAGTCGTAACCCCCCCAGAGATTGAAAGGCGGTATGCTTCGTCGTGAGTGTTGATACCATCCACGACTCTCATCCATGGCAGAGTGAGGCCTTTGAACGAGTTGTAGTCAGTTGCACCGTTGAGTTCCGGCGCGCTGTCAGCTCCCATGTGGGAGTGGACGTCTATGATTCTGCGGCATGGCATTCAGCTTTGTCGTGCACGAGATAGTATAGGTGCACAAGTACTGTGACACATACCCAGGAGTGACCCATGCACCATTGGCGTCCACCGTCAAGAGATCCGCGTAAGCCTTCAATTGCACACTTTCCACCTCTCCTACAGCCTTGATAAGCCCATTGGCTAAAAGCAAGTCCCCTTTGATGACCTCCTTGCCATCGTTGGCACCTGTCCACAGCGTTGCATTCCGGATGAGTACCGGGAGTGTCCCTGCTTCGAACCTGTCGGACTCTGTTCGTTGGTGGAAGTTAGAAGGTGGCCCCGGGATGACGTTCAACGCTTTGCACTGGTTGATAATCTTGTCGGCATTTATGGGGATTTTCGTGGCCGGTTCTCTGCTGCCCAGGTTTGCACTCAAGTAGGTCAGAGATACTGTCGCGAGCAGAACAGCCGCTAACAGACTCTTGAACGCGGCGTTCGCTTTTCTGGGTCGTTCCACTCGGTGCCGAGGTTCATGATATGCTGGAAGCTTGTCCATTGGGGAGCAGGTGGTGGTCAAAGGACAAGAGCGAACTGGGGGATGGCACCATCACTGTTGCTGCTCACGCGAACTATCAGGGCGCTTCCGACCTCCGATCACGCGGCGAGTGCCCCTATTTTTGGCGTCTAACGTCCCAAGTGGGGCAGCAGAGCGACTATACTAGTACTCCACTCTCGATGCGTCTGACAATTGTTCTTGCTGCGTTAAGGATGGTCGTGTTACGTGTAGCTCTGAGATTACCCTCGTCCGCAGTTTACCCCTCTCGCAATGGATAGGTAAAGGAAGGAGATTTGCTCCGCATCCATGTGCATGGGCGCCGTGGATGAGGGTTCCTCCGCAATGAACCGGCGCTTGTCCAAGTTTGGGTCTAGGTTCGAAGAGTAGGTGCATGCCTTGGACTATCTTCTGCCAATTATCCTCGACAAAGGTATGCAAAGGATGATCTACGTCCCAGATTATGCCACTACATGCCCGCGACCGTGTTCTAGTCTGAACTTTCGAAGGCCTTGTTCCTGCGTCCAAGGAACCTCGCTGTCCCAGTGTGTGACCAAAATAACCGCCTGGTCATTACCAACTCCATGGCCACTATCAAAGTAGGCCTTGACAGCCTTAATCATCCTCTCGTCCATCCCGCTCCATACCTCGTCCAAGATGACCAACGGTGGCCGCCCAACCAGAGCGCGCATCAGTAACACCATTCGCTGTTCCCCTTGCGTAAGCGAGGTGAATGACCGCGCAGCAAAACTACGTGCGTCTGTTGAAACACCGGTCTCTCTGATCGCGGCATTCGAGTTGCCCCAGGTCTGCGGCCCAAGGTGCTCCAAAACTTCCCAACACCTCTTGATTCGCCAGGCTTTGACACTATCTGCGCCCTCCTCCCATGTGTCTACGTAAACATCCCCCACAGGCTTGTTTGACGAAATGAAGGTTCCACTGAAGCCAGTTTGAATAGCATCCCAGACGGACATGCCAGGATATCGTCGAGGGAAAGCGTCGAAGAGCTCGGGGGAAAGGACCCCGATTAGTGATTGTAAATGGGGAGTTGCTGTCCGTTTCCGGTGCTCGAGTCGCCAATTCCGTTGTTCATGGGGCTTCTTCTCAGGTGATAGTTCGACTGAGGGGATTTTCAAGTGTGCTTGGGTATATGATTGAGGATGGTCTCCGGTCAGTAAAGATAGTAGCGTGGTTTTCCCCGAGCCTGGGTTTTCATTCAGAAAACTCTAAAAGCTGAGAAGCATACTATATCAGACATACCGTTGGACCCCTGTAAATGCCACCTGTCGCCTTGTTTTATCTCCCAGTCGATGTCGTCCAGAACCTGTCTTGGACCGTATTTAACACTGACATTTCGAAGATGTGCAACCGTTCTTCCCCGTTGGATAGGTGGGATAAATGTGGAATGCATGTTCCGGTTGCGTAGCCCATCGGCAAGCTTGGGGGCAAGCTGTTCAAAGAAGTCCTGTCGCTTTCCAGCCCAAAATCGGTCTCCTTCACTGAAAAGGAGATGCGTTAGAAATTTCGGCGCGACGTCCCTGACTTCGCTTCCGTCAAAGGACACGATCTCTTGAACCCTAAAGCTGCTGATAACATGCGGCGAACATGCATGGGATCTTGTTCTCAGTCGCTTGAACAGGTCGGTGAGCCGCTGACGGGATTCCACATCCAAACCAGCTTGAGTTAGAGCCAGGTGAGTGATGTACACATCAATCGTATGCAGGGAGCGCTTACTTAGAGGTTCATCCAACAGCAGAATCGTCGGATTCTTGAACAAAGCCTTCGCGATTCTCGCCCGTCGCATCTGACCATTACTGAGACCAATTAGAGGAACTTGCAGTAAAGGAGTCAGCTCCAAGCTGTCCAGAATACGGCTTTGTTCCGCAGTCGGCAGGCTACTCGTCGCGACAGCTTCTCGAAGACTCGACTCCAATGTCTTGTCGTCTCCCTCTCTTAGAGCACCGTATTTGGCCGTGTAGTCGTAGAATCCACCACTTTCACCTGACGAGACAGCATTCGAATGCCGGAACGGAACGAATTTAATGCGAGTGAAAGGATCTTGGTCTTTCAAGCTTGGATATAGCCCTCCTTCGGGAACTGGGTGGATTCGGGTATGTCCTAACAGTGTCTTGTGGAACAAGTTATCAGCATTGTGTTGCTCTAATCAAGAGATTGCCAGGCGCACCTGGAAGACGTTAGATTTTCCTCTTCCAACGATACCCCATGAATCTTGTTCGTGCACTGTCCAGTCAAGGTCTTTGGTTTCGAACAAGGGTTCTGACCGCTTGTTGGCCGCTCCGAACGCATACACCGCCGAATCCTTGGGTATCCGTATTAAAGGGGCCTGGTGGTACCTACGACAACCATAGGCTAAGGCCCTTCTGTATTCCCTGGCTGGAGTCTTGAAGACGAGCATAACCAAGGAGGAGAGGACAATATTGAATCCATTTCAAAACATTTGGAATCGAGCAGGAATCGAACCGATGATGTGAGCCCTGTGGGAAGAAAAGACGCGAGCTCTTGGCAATGATTCGCCATCCGCGGACGCGAAAAGAGGTGGCGGACGGTGTCGTGTTCGCCCCTTTCTTCGGATCCATGACTTCGAGACCGGCGACGTCGTCATCTGCAGCGAAATCTGGTGCACCGCCAGTCGTAATACCCGCTTCTGGCAACAACATCATAATAAATCCTCTACAGGTGCAAGCGTTATATGAATAAGGTCTTTGAGGGAAGCTCATGGCCTAGGCGACCAGAGAGGGAACCCTGTGCTCGAATGCATCCGAAATGTAGGCAAGGAGTTTGGAGATATCGTCGCGGACTATCAAGTAGGGAGGACAACTGGAGTCCTATGGCTGAGGTACGTTTTGCATCCACTGGAGTCAGTGATCATGGAAATGAACCACCCGCTAGCTTGAAGTACCACCGTCTACACCCTGAATACATCCATACCCGCATCGAGAAACTGGGGAATTCATACGGCCTACGTTTGCTGCTTATCCTGTGCGACGTCGTACGTCTGTGCTCTTTACCGATAACATGATCTTACCTCAGTGCAGACAGAACATAAAGAACACATCCGAGAGCTAACTAGAGTATGTCTGATCAACAACATTACAATCATCGTCGCGTTCTCGTATGACTGTTTCTCAGCTTTGACCCCATGTTAGAATGCTGAAACATAACCTTCAGGCTTGACGAGGCTGGCCACTATCTCTCCACTTTCAAACAATTCGAATTCAAGTCTCCTGACATGATCAAAGAGCGCACAGAGAAGGACCACCACTCTATCCTGCGTGCTGCGCTCACTTCCATTAGCAAAGTGAATAAGACCGACGTCGAGACACTCCGAACTGCCTTTGGTGTGCGTGTCTTTCTGCAACTTTCCCTTTCTGCCCTGAGTCGAACTATGTTTTGCAGAGTTTCGCAGGGATCTCGCGAGCAACATCTGACCAGCTCCAGAACCTTCCGGGTTTTGGACAAGTCAAGGTCAAGAACATGAAGAATGCATTCGAGAAGCCCTTCAGGAACAACGCTACCTCCACGTTAACCTCGTCTCAGTCCCAAGCTCGCGCTCCAGGCCCTTCAAGTCAGCGCGAAACCCAGGGCGCTTCTGCCGCAAGGAACAGTAATATGGAAGCTGGGACGTCATTGGCAACCCAGCGACGACGAGGGAATAGATCTCCGAGCCCTGCATGGGACATCGAGCTCGACTTGGACCTCCCAGATGCTAATGACCCGGCTCCGACCCCACCTCCCGCACCACCTCCCCGGCGCCCCTCTCCAAGCAGAGGGCGGAGTCCCGACCTTCACGCCCGCGACACACCACCTGACGGCGGGGACGAGCTCATCCTCGATCTCACATAAATTATGAGGTATAACCTGAAACACGAGTTGTGTGATGTACTAAACCGCACGATATGTGCCGCAAACCCGTATGTACTACCATGAACAAGAAAGAAAATACATCGCGACAAGTAATCTAAAACTATGGTTGAATTTATGTACAAAGAAGGATGTTGAAAAAGAAACACAAAGGAGGAATCATCCAGGTTACTACACTGTACATGGTATTGCAACGCCAACTGAAAAAGTAATGGATTCTGGGGTGGTTCAACTGATCAAATGGGATTCGATCGAAAGCATCTGGCCGTAGGAAATAATGTTGTGGAGGGTGCTGAGAAACGCGGAAGGGAAGGAAAAAACCGAACAGGAACAACACTGACAATGTCACAAAGCGAATCGGAGCTTCAGCATATCAACGCAACATACAATAAACCAATAAAGTAAGAGGCGAATGCACGAGGGCGTGGTTGGCATCGTCGTGTGCGAGAGAGGAAGGTTGCAAGCAAGCGTCCCGCCTCAAAACAAGAAACGTGCTCAATCAGCATCCGCCAACCGCCTGGTTGAGGACGGATGCAGCCTGAAAGAAAGAAAGAAAGAAGTCCACAGTTAGGCAAACGGATTAGTGTTGCGGGATTTGGAAAGCCAGTGCTTGACGCTAGTCCTTTCGGTCTGGCGTTCAACCCAGGCTCGTTCGTACATTGAGCGTTGATAGTAAATGCGCATCTGGAGTTGCTTCAAAACGGCTTTGGCTCTTGACCGGTCGATGTGAGCAGCGCGGACATCGTCTACAAAGGGTTGAGAGAGTTGCAGATAAACAAGAAAAGATGGGCATACCGATCATGCCATGAAGTATCTCGAAGGCGGTGTGTAGCAGTTCCATGTCGCCAACGGGTTTCTTCTTCGAAGGGCTGCGAGGAACGGCACCTGGAGCGTGACTGGCCTTCAATGCCGATTGCTTCTGCTCCTCCACATACGGCTCAATGTTCGACATCGCAACACCAAAGATGTAAAGGTATCGCCGCATGTTTGAGTAGTCGGTTTGTTCATGGACCTGGAAGATTCCGGGTGGGTTGCTGTCATCCGACTTCTGCTGCACCAACAAGCCCACGAGTCTTGTGAGAGGAGGAGGATCCCTGTAAGTGCTCTGTAGAGGAAGGGTCAATCATCTCGCTCAAAATACGGACGCGATGAACCTACAAGTACAATGGCCTTCGCCGGCACCTGCAACAAGATTGCGTATGCGAGCATGCGGGATATCCGCAGAGTATTTCCTGTTCCAGCGAAGATGAACGATAGAAGAAGGGCTTTATTGGCGGGGTGATAGTCCTTGACCAACCCCACAAGTCGTGAGGCGAGTTTGCACTCCTGTCACGGTGTTAGACCCTGCAAGGCAAGAAACGACAGACACTCACCGAACTCAAGTGCTTATCTGCTGACAGCAAGTGGCAAAGGAGGTTAATAGTGGCGGAGATTTCCCTTCGCAGTTCAGGAGGTGTCGAAGAATCCAGACCAACAAGCAGGAAGCACACGACAATATTGCTCACGTCGGGAACAGCAACGCGATTACATCTGCAGGAATGGTCAACCTTCTGAAAACGCATTCCATCCGTCAAATCCTCACCTGGCTGCCAGCTGTACTATGGTCAAGGCTCGGAACAGTATAGCCTCCCGATCCGCAGATTTGATATCTTTGGCTGCAGAGCTTGCAGGGACCGGGAGCTCTGCAGACGCCATGACAGAGGGCTGGGCTCCAAGTTGCCGGAGTGTCTCAACGATGACCATCGATTCAAGTTTCCAGGTATCAGGAATGTCTTCATGATTGCGCTGGAGGAGCTGGCAGGTAGCGGCGAAAGCAGCTTCCGAAAGGGCGGGTTCTTGCGTATTTAGGGCTACAGCAGGGAATTAGACCAGGCTCTGGAGTAGGAAAAGATGCGTACCGATCTTGCAAAGTTGACTGAAGAAATTGGCGTCACCATCAAGGTGGAGAACCCTGAAAATGCCGGATTTGAGGACCCAGACGGCCTTCGAGAACTCTGCGCGACGCGTCAATAATCATTGACCAATGGAACATAAACAGAAGTCCTACCCTTGGCACGAATAGCGGCGCTAACACTTCGGATAGTATCACTGTTTCCGCTATATGGGAGTGAAGGGAGGACACTATCGACTGTCATGTCTTCGCCTTCCCCTTGTGACCACAGTGGCGATCCTTCTTGCCTTTCGTTTTCTTCCTCTTGCCTCCTGGCAGTCCTTTCGCGATTCAAGATGTCGTTGATATTACCACCACCATCGCCGAACCAACTCTGTCGATTTGCCTCATCCAAGTGGACGCCCTCCATTGCACTGAGACTCCCTTTCCAGGATAATGAAGCGACGCCGCCTTTGTACCTCTTCATGTCATTCTCCTCGCCCTCCAAGTCGAGCTTGGGGAGCTCCATGAATGGGTTGGCCAATAGATCGTTTGCAACCCGGTAGGCTTGCTCTCCCTTGCCCGCCTTCTCCGCCTTCTCCCTTTCTCTAAGCAGGTCTAGGATTGGATTTTTAGACATTTTAGGTTTCCTGGGTTTGGGGGATCCGCGATCATCGACAGTGACTTTGGTTTTGGGAGGAATCTGGCGCGATGAACGGCGAAGGTTTTGGTTTTCTGAACTCGGACCAGCGGACGCGTTTCTCGAAGACCTATTTCACATAAGAATCGCGTCAAGGAGCTGGATTATCGGGTGGCATACCTGGTAGCCCTGACAGGAGGCGTAGGTAAAGCAATATCGGAATCCGAGTCCGAGTCGTCGCTATCGGTGGGTAATTCATCTGGAACCTCGATGGGGATCACTTCTGGACTTGAAGGCTCGAATTCAACTTGGGCCTCTTCGATCTTGCTGAGAAGTCGCTGGGTTCTCTCCCTGGCAGCCTTGGCAGCATCCACAGGTGAGATCGGGGGAATATGAGGGGCCGAGTCTGTATCTCCATCCGAAGAGGCATCGGTATAGGGCGGCGTCGGTGGTTGTGTTGCTGCATGAGCGCTTGATGTTGCGGAAGGTGAGCTAATCCCGTCTACGCAGGCAGTAGCCCACTCCGAGACGGGGGTGGTTTGCCCAGAGAGTTCTCCAAGCGGCTCATCGACGTCCATAGTATCGACAGACAGGGGTTGATTAGGGCCGTCACGATCGGGCGTGGGCGGTTGTGCTTCTTTCATCCAGTGATTGATAGCAGCATCTGACTTTTGAGGCGCGCGGGACGTCGAGATATGCGATTCCACTGTAAGCTCTTCTTCATCGGACTGGCTGCTCGGTACCGTCGAGGTGGATGCAATACTGATAGGCGATGAAAGACGGGCCTTTTTCCGTGAAGTTGAGCTAGTGGCGATGTTCTACACGATTATAGGTCATTACCACGTAAAAGGAAGTCCAATTTCGTGTCGCGCGTAGACTCACTCGAGCAGTCGAACCTTGTTCACTAGGTTGCGTGTTTCCATCTGAAACTGTCGATTGCATGGTCGAAGACCGTTCCCTCTTCGCGCTTGTGGCCGGTATGGCAAGTTTATCAGCTGATTTCACAGGCGAGCTACCGCGTTTCGATCCACTCGTTCCGTAGGTCGAAGCATCGGCGCCTTCTTTTGCCTGTGTCGACAAGGAATTAGCGACTGTCTCGCCCTTCAACCGCGGTCGTCCAGACGCGGTGCTTACCCCGCTGCTCGCCGAGCCTTGCGACAACGAAACACGCGCAAAAAAGCTGGTTATAGGCGGGGTCGATTTCGGAGGTGCTTTTTTCGTGTTTTTCGCCATTTTCAGCGCCTGTAGGTGAAGGCGAGCGGCAAGATATGGCCTTTGACGCTGACAGCGTATTGTCAAGACAAAATAGCGGACGCGTGGCGGAGATTGAAACTCCGTTAAATTGGGTAACGGGACGACACGTGATGGAAGGCTTGGCAATTCTGCTGGAAGCGCGTTCCTGGACCTTTTGGACTGTAACGCTCACAATATGCCTCCACGACGAGACGCAGGATTCATGGACGTTGACGATTCCGACTCTGACATTTCAATTGACAACGACATTGAAGGTCCCAGGAAGAAAAACAAGGGAAAGGGTAAAGCGACAGACAAAGGAAAGTCGGCCAAGAAGAAGACGAAAACCAATGAAACAGTAAGAGTCCTCGACATGCTTTAATAGATTTAGCTGACAGAAAGATTTAGCTGGCATACACCTGGGAAGCCTCATACACACGATCATGGGATACTGTACAAGAAGATGAAGCAGGAAGTCTCCAAACTTCCGTTGAAGAGCTTATGGCTCGAGGGAGGAGACGTAGGTACGCTGCATTCCAAGAGTAATGTCACCTATCCAACCATCCAATCCCTTTGAAGACTCCTCGCACCTGCTGCTCCAATACGAAGAACGATCATCCGTCACCTAATCATCATCCTCGACCTCTCACAATCCATGATGGACCGAGATATGCGTCCTACACGATTCGACTTGACATTACAGTACACGCGAGAATTCATCGCAGAATGGTTTGACCAGAATCCGCTTGGTCAGATTGGGATTGTTGGGATGAGGGCTGGGTTGGGTGAGAGAATCGGGGAGTTGTCTGGTACGTTGATTACAGCGTCCACCTTCGTGAAGTTTACTGAATGTAGACGCATAGGAAACCCTCAAGAAGTTCTACGTGCAATTGCAGATAGACATAAACTAGAGCCCACTGGAGAGCCCAGTCTCCAAAATGCCATTGAAATGGCACGAAGCAACATGAAGTTCGTTCTTGTATCAATCCACTTGAAGCAACATTGCTAACGAGTCCGTCTCAAGTCACCTCCCGACGCACTCCTCCCGTGAAATTCTGATTCTCTTTGGCTCACTGACGACCTGTGACCCGGGGAACATCCACGACACTCTCGAAACGTGTATCAAGAACAAGATTCGCATCTCCGTCGTCGCTCTGGCCGCCGAAATGAAGATCTGTCGCGAACTGTGTGACAAGACTGGTGGTGCGTGGTCTCCTCCATTCTGAGAACGTGTACGTTTCTAAGACTACATTCCTAAGGAAGGTCAATTTGGCGTTGCAATGAACGAAGGTCACTACAAAGATCTCTTGTTCGAGCTGGTTCCTCCACCCGCTCAAAAGGCCGCACCCCGTCCCGCAGGTCCGGGTTCTGCGCCGCAACCTCCATCTACCAACCCAGCCGCTGACCTCATGATGATGGGTTTTCCAACTCGCCTACCCGAATCGTCCCAACCAACCCTCTGTGTCTGCCACTCCGAACTGAAAAGCCAGGGTTTCCTCTGCCCACGGTGCCAGTCCAAAGTCTGCGACGTGCCCACAGATTGTGATGTCTGTGGGTTGATGATCGTGAGTTCACCGCATTTGGCGAGGAGCTATCACCATCTGTTCCCCGTGAAACCGTATATCGCGATGTAGGTGCATCGTTCGCCCAAGTTTATGTAGCTTGCTGATGCGATATTCTACGTGCAGACCATCATTGCAGGAGATAACGAACACTGCTCCAGCATGCCACGGCTGCTCACGCCCTTTCCCCACCTCCCCGCCTGCCAACGCCGTCGTAACGGAAGGGGTATCCCCCGTAGGGCGTTACAGATGTCCAGAATGTAGCTTTGACTTTTGCTCAGAGTGCGACATTTTTGTGCACGACGTGGTACATACCTGCCCGGGATGCGCCAAATGACCGATAGATGTCCAGCGTAGATTAATACGAGGTCGTCGTGTGCGATTAAGGATCTATTAACCGTTGCCTGTACAAGTACTTTGCGAAATAATCGTGATGCTGTCTAATCGTCATAATAATAACAGGCCCCGTCCAGGGGCCTGAGCCAGGAACTACCGAAGCTTCCCCTGGTCACCCTTCGACATCCCAAACACCTCCAACTCGCTCTCCTCGTCTACTCCCTCATCTCTGAACGGGTCCATCGATCTCCGCCTTCCAACCTTTCCCTTTCCCTTCCCCTTGACTTTATCCTTCATCCTGGCCATCTCTGGGTCACTGCTACTGTCCTCCCTATCAGCAGCATCCCCATCATCCTCCTCCGTTTCGCCCGCCATCAGCCCAGTAACCTCCGAATCCCCTCCCGACCTCGTCTTCTGCACCGACCCATTCGTATGCCCATGACTATTCCGCCTTTGAAGCGGCGACCGATTCATAGGATGCAAATGATGATCTATATCCGGATCATCTCCCTCGTCGCTATCACTCACTTCACCCACCGCCCACAGCCGCTCACTCTCCCCCGTCTTCTTCCCTGCCAACTCTGAGGTATGCATCTGCATCTCTTCGTCATCGGCGTCGCCGGGGAGATGCGTTCTTCGTCTTCGTCTGGTGGAATCGGACGTGGGGAGGCCGGTGCGTGGTGTCGCTGCCCCACGGATGCGGGTGGTGACAGGCTCGGGTTTCTTGTGCGTGAGGAGCACAACGCCTGAGACCAGGACAGAGATGGAGACGAAGATGAGGAAGAGGGTCCAGGATTGGTATGATTCGACTTCGTTATTGAAAATCAAGGAGTTCAGGAATCTGTGACCAGCGTGAGCCATAGTTGTACTGTGACTTGGACGCATATACGCACCCAGTTGCAGTATACACTCCGTAGAAAACGGGTACGACGAGTGTGGAGTCATATACACGAAGACCTCTGTTGAGACAGAGGATTTGCATCACAGCTGTAATTGCGAGGAAGATGATCGTGAAAATGGACGAAGCATGGCCGAACTGGTTGCCCGTATTCACTTTCGATAGCGATCCGGAGATTAATTTCACACTAAATAGACAGCCTCGTTAGAACTTGCACGGAGCTTTGCGAAGTCAAGACCTACGTCGCTTTGGCGAACACCAGACACCCTCCAGCAAGCCCGCCTCCACAACAAGCCCAGCCGATACCCAACGTCCATGCAATCTGCTTGTCGTCTTTTGGACCTGCCCAGTGCTCCACCCAGTCCATAATCCATGACATGCCCCAGTCCCACATCGCCTTCACAGTTTTGAAGAACCCCACGACCTTGCCCACAAAGCCCAATCTCTTTGCAGGGGCGCTACCAAAGGTCGGACGTTGTCCAGTAGCCGGTCTAGTGTTGTTAAGATCTCCACGGGCGGCAAGGACAGCGTCAAGGCAAGAGGTGAATACGAGTACGAGATAGAGCGCTCCGCCCATGAAGAAGAAATAGCCCAGCCAACCACCGCGTCTCCAGAGCTCGGTGAGATGGGCGGCGTCCGTTTCTTGGGAGAGACCGCTATTGATGGAGCCGAATGCGACGATTCCAATAACACCGAGTACAACGACTATGGTTCCCTACAGCAAGGTCAATCCCGGAGGCTGCGCAGTGGTGTGGAGGACGTACCCATATGTCGCTTTTGGTTACTGGTGTTCCGACTAGGAATCTAGCGAACAAAAAGTTGAACACGAGGGACGAGGACCCCAAGGGTGCAACGTATTCTGAAGAAACGGATCCTTGTCAGACCAGATCGACGATGGGATGCAAAGAGCTTGCGCACCTGCCCTCATGTATTCGAGTGCCAATGTACTTCCAATGAGTTGTGATAAACTATGGGAATATCAGCATTTAGATTTCACAGTGAAAGGTCCTACGCACATGTAAAGCAACATTCCGAGCAACCAGATGGGCCTCATCCAGTCTTTTCTTCGTTCCGACTTGGGTAAGGCACTCATCCTCACCTAAACGCGTCTTATGTCACTATGCTCTATTTCCGAATGATATTGAAAACCTACATGGTCATATTTCGTCAAGTTTAATCCAGCAGCGTTCATTATAGATGCAAGGAGTATGATGGACAGGCCAATCATGAAGGCAACGACTGGATTGTGGCCATGACCTGGTGTCCGGACTGGTATTGGTGAGGCTGAAGCTGAAGCTACAGCGTCGAGTGTCGTCGTCGCCGTTGAATTTATTGGTGGATCCATCGTGTGGACGTGTCGTGGTGGGTTATGAGGCCTTCAAGAGGCCTGCGGATCCGCAGGGGAACGTCCAGCGAGAGATTATGGAGGTGGTGACGGTCGATGCTGCGAGAGACGAATCCGGTGCCCATCAACTCGGACTCCTCCTTTGATGTGATGCGCGTTGCAGAGTCAGCATGCTGACAACACGTGTTTGGTATTCACAACTGAGACAAATAATGTAGATTGGTATGCAACGTCAGGGGGGAGGCACAAGTACAAAAATGTCTATTGTGATCCTCTCTGCCTGGAGACGACTCCAGTTGTGGCGCAATGGATCCTAGGTCGACAAGCGCCCAATTCAACCCCCGTTTCAAGCTCAGATCGCCTCGGCCCTCTCGGATCAGTTACTGTTGGCCTTCGAGCTCGAGCTCGTTTCCGTAGAGGACGACGTGTGGGACGCTCTTCTCGCTCACAGAAGCTTCGAAACTACAAATTTTCAAGTGTCCTCGCCGCCTCGATTAAGGCTGCCAGCCTGTCAACATGCCGAGCTTGACTTGGATTACCAACCGACCATCGATTTCGTCATGCGTCCCTAATATCCCCCTCAGCCTAGTCTTGGGCTGTGTTTCTTCTTGGAGCTCCAGTTCTCCTGATTCCTTTTACATCTCACACGGGTATATGGGAAACACTGATACCTGCATTCCCTTACCCTGGACTTGAACGGCTACAAGATGTCCTCCTGGCCTCCCAAACTCACGCGAGATTCTGACCTCTGGTCCGATTTCGTGCGTACTGCGCATAGTAAAACAGCTTCGTAAACAAAAAGTTGAATGACGCATTATACAGTCAGATAAAACGCCCTACCCTTCGGTCGCTCGTACAAGCTTCAATTCCATGTCCTTGTCGGGAAAGGTCAGTGACTTCTTTTTTCCAATGCAAGGAAGGAATATCAACCCTCTCGCAGTACTCTTTAACAATCGATCCAAGAGACTGGGAAACACTAGAAAGCGACCTCGAGGAGGACGAAAAGACGGGGACCCGTGGTCTCAGAAGCCTGGCGTACAATCCCCTATCCCTACGAGGATTAGGGAATGTGGCATCGTTGAGTATTCTGCTGGGAGGGTTGATTGCACTTTTGTAGGCCTTCTTTTCCTTCAACAAACCACATCTGACTTCAATGTCCTAACAGCGTTGGATACCCAGTGATATCCGCTATCAACAGTCGCGAAATATCAACCCTCGGCGGGTTCAACCTAGGAGGCATCAACGCGTCTGGACAGGTCAGGCACAATCCGTTGACCTATCCGCTCATCAATAATCGAACATTGGTGTAGGTCCCTGCCATGGGAGGACATGGTCTCATCGACAGCGATACACCGAGATCAGCTTATGTCCTAAGGTCCTGGGACAATCCCTCCCAAGAGATGCAACTAGTTTTCTCGGACGAATTCAACACGGACAACCGCTCGTTCTATCCAGGAGATGATCCCTACTGGGAGGCTGTTGACCTCCATTACTGGGTAAGTTTGCGGTTAGCATATTACTTCCCAGGCTCATAATGCCCAGGCAACGGGAAACTTGGAATGGTACGACCCAGCAGCAGTCACGACGCAGGACGGGTCCCTTGTCATCACCCTCGACCAGAAGCATACCCATGGTATGGATTACCAAGGTGGACTGATATCTTCCTGGCAAGTAGCTACTCCTCCCCCCTCCCCCTGTTCTAACATTAACTACAGGAACAAATTCTGCTTCACGGGCGGCTACATCGAAACATCCGTTATGCTTCCAGGAGCGAACAACATCCTTGGGCTGTGGCCTGCAATATGGACGATGGGCAACCTGGGCCGTGCGGGATATGGCGCGTCCCTTGAAGGAGTCGTAGGTCCCGTCCCATCCATCTACCGCTTATTTCCAAATCGCTAATCCTCCCTCGTATGTGTACCCGAAAAGTGGCCATACAGTTACGACAGTTGCGACGTCGGTACAGCGCCCAACCAAACTATCAACGGTCAGCCAATCGCAGCCACTCAAAATGGGAATGCCGCGAATGGCGCTTTATCGTTTCTGCCTGGGCAGCGACTTTCGCGGTGTACGTGTAGGGGCGAGAATCATCCTGGCCCAAGGCATCCCGATGGTTCCTTTGTCGGCAGGGCAGCGCCTGAGATCGATATCTTTGAAGCGCAGGTCTGTATACCGATGCCTTACTTTACGACTTGGACTGATTGAGTTACTAATTGAAGATCGACCGAAACACACTTGTTGCCGGCGTCTCGCAATCTGCTCAGTGGGCAGTAAGTGGTTCTTGTCCCTTCGTCTGCTTCTGCTTGATGGCGCTGACCGTTTGATCCTAAACAGCCGTTTGACGATCAATATACTTGGGACTCGTCCCCCGAGAACATGATCATTCCGGACCCGTCCATCTCCACACTCAATACCTTTGTCGGGGGCGCAACGCAACAAGCCACGTCCGTCATAACGAGGACAAATCCTAACTGCTACGAAGATAACGGGGGCTGCTATTCCGTTTATGGATTCGAGGTATGGAGGACTGAGACCATCAAAAGAACCGCTCACAGTGCTAACCTCTTTGGCGTCGGCAGTATAAACCAGGATTTGATGACGCCGTACGTGCTTCTCTTGCTCCAGCGCAGTTTTAAGGTCGTAGGCTAACTGATTGCTGGATCTCGTCGCAGTACATCACATGGATCTCTGACGGAGCCGTCGCTTGGACGCTAAAAGCGGGTGGAGTAGGTCCGGATCCGACAGTGCAGATCTCAGGTCGGCCTGTTTCTCAGGAGCCAATGGTGCGTAGTGCCCTCGCTCGATGCCGACCTATCTATGTTTTGACAACTGTTGACAGTACATTATCATGAATCTCGGAATGTCGAGGAGCTTCGGACCAGTCGACATCGCACACCTACCTTTCCCTGTACAAATGAAGATCGACTATGTCCGAGTATACCAACCTGCGAACGCTATCAATATTGGATGCGATCCTAAAGACTTCCCCACAAAGTCGTACATAGATCAGTACGTGTTTTCTTCATTCCTTTCTGGCCAAGGTGCTCTGGGTGGATGGGAACTGACATTTTGAACAATGCAGGCATATTGAAGCATATACCAATCCAAATCTTACCACTTGGGTAGACGATTACAAACAACCTTGGCCTCGAAACTCGCTCCTAGATCACTGTTAAGCGCGAGCTGGACCTTTATACACGTAGTCTTGAGCATTTGGACAAAATTCATGTACTACGACACAGCTTATTTTGCTTCGCTCACTACATCTGTATTTTTACGCATTCTTAATTAAGATACGCTACGCTGGCATTTAAAGCTTCACCTTGACTGGATCTAAGTAGCCCGAACACTATAGAATCCGCAACGCATGAAAACCATGCAACCTCCGGAGGATTGCAAATATCCTCCTTTCAGGCGAGCGCTTAATCGTGATGATGGGAAGTGCTTGGTCAGCGGCTGATCCATCCGAGTTTCCTTCGGCAAGCTTTGAGCACCAGTGGTTCATCCCGTCGCTCGTGGTATCTCCGTGCGTTCTTTTGAACGACGCGAACGATTCTGGGGGAGCTGGTAAATCATCATGCGCCTGCCATTTCACCCGAGACTACGAGGGCTGGACGTGGAAGATCTGGAAGTGAGAGTTTCCTGCGCTTTTGCACACTCGCGTCTGATAATGATTCCCAGGCCAGAGCTATATACACACGGCACCCTTCCCCCTCTGAAACGCCTCATTCACTCCCGAGGTCAGCATGATCGCCGCCAAAAGTTATCACGGTCGCGGTACTCGAGGCGGTCGTGGTCGGGGTCAACGTTGGGGGTGGCGGGGTGCACCGAACAAGTCCAGGACATGTGTAATCTGAGGTATGTCCTGTAACGAGGCATTGGGAGTACCCTATGAGCCACCATCGCATTCCGCATCGCCATCAAGGCCGGGTACAGTGTTAGCGCCGACATTTGCAGGTAAGCGCCCGTCAAAGTGACTCACAATCATTGCGGACTGTGCAAGTGTATCCTTGAACACATTCCGTCGGTCCCTCCCTGTAGTCCCAGAGGACATCACGAGTTGAGGGCTTGGTAAATAAACAAAATGCTGCCGGTGCTTACCATGGCCTACCACCACATTGACCGTACGGGGGCACAAGAGGCGTCTGAGAGGAGACCGAGCCAATGGCCAAGGACAGGATGGCAGGTCTGAGGGTGGAAAGTAACATAGCTGCTTGGGTGACTTTCTGGAGCTTCACCCCTCATACCGAACCTCTTTCTAGGCAAAAACGGAGATTAGCCGCAGAAACCTAGCATGTGGGGTAGCAAGAAAGGAATATGTTCGGAGAGGTTTGGAATTCTAACTAAACTTATGCCTTGTTCCTCTGAGTCCAATTATAAACACAATCAAATGACTCAATATCTCGTGTAACTTGAAACTAATGTACACTTTTCACCTCTTGCCTTCGCCACCAAACTTCTAACACAAACAAGGCAAATGCATCGTAACCATATTACACGACCGTCCAGGCGGCGACGCATTCCCCTGCCCCTGCAAAAACACATCATAGAAATTCCTATCATTTGTCGAACATGCCAAAAAGTTCAATTGGCGCGGGTTCCGAATGATAATCGTGTCGCCTTCCAAACCCCAGTTGGTTGTCGTAGCGGTCGTACCGAACGAGAGAGGCTTATAGGAGGCGCCAATGTCGTCTGCGTTGAGGTAGAGTCGCGTTCCGTCAGCTTGATTCAGCGTGATGGTTCCGTTAATGATGAAGCGTCCTGAACTGGATTCGGGGCCTAGTCTTGGGACACCACCTGTAAAATGTGAACGTATTAGTAATGTGCGCTACATATATCAGAGTCGAGGAGAGGAGACCCACCGTTATTCTGCAGATAAAAGTGGTACACAGGATTCGTGACAGTGCGGATCTGGGACCCGGATGGCGGAGGGCCAATAATGGTGGTGGATGGCGGTTGCACAACCGTAGTTGTCGGGGGGACGACGACAGGGGGATTGGTCACAGGAGGAGCCGATCCAGGTACGCATTGAGAATACCCTAGTCCATTCACCCGCATTTGAGAATTCGGTCCTCTGCCGCAGTAGTTTACTCACATTCGTTGACCAGGTTACAAGTATATCCTGATACACATTGGGTTGGGCCCGACCTTGAAATTTACTGTCAGTAACACTGTCCAGACCAGCGGAACTCTGCGGCACTCACCATCCTTGACCTCCACATTGTCCCCAAGCAGGGGCCTCCGATTGAGCAGAGACCAAGGGGATCGTCAAACAGAGAAATATGGGAGCGATCAAAAGGAACATAGTCACTTCAGAAAGAGGGCTTACTTGGGAATCGAAAGGCCCATTAATGTGAATATGGCCTTCATAACTCGACGGAAATTCACCGCGTAAACTTGGCGCAAAGGTGCCTTGGAAGATATTCGGAGAGGCTATTCCTCGGAACCAGTTGAAACCCGCAGTAGAGATGCTTCCTTTGAATTCCGTTCAATGGGCGAAGGCTTCGTTCGGATTGTTAATTAATCGAACATGTACATCTGTCCCGTCGAGAGGGAACATCGTAGAGACCAATGAGAGCCGGGGTGTCGCGAAAACATTTTACAATTTCAAAAGTACAATCAATTTCGAACTTCAGTTGTCTTTCCTTTGCTTCCATTTCCTGGGGCCCGGTGTCAAGGGCAGTGTGTTCTTCTTGTTGCCTTTCTGATGCGTACTCGAGCTGTCTGGTTTGCCTGTACGACGAGCTGGATCCACGGACGAATATGAGTTAATTGCTAATCGAGAAAGTATCAAGTCCTGGCGACGACTTGCCGTGTAACCCTCGTGTGGCCCGGTTTGACTGTTCCGGATTCTCCGATTGACGAACGTCAAGATGGCTGGAACGATCTCCTCCTGCTACCCGAGGCTGTCCCCGTGACGGTAAGCCTGCTGACGACGGAGGATTACGAGAATACCGAACACTAGACCCTCTTGCGATTGGACCGTGGTCCTCTTCCAGAACAGTAGCCAGCTGCTTTTGCAAAAGTCGTGCCAGGGGAACAGACCGAGGTTCTTGTACAGAGAGGCTTCGTCGGTGGTTTGCCAATTTATTCTCGACAGGACCAATGCGACGAGTGCTTGTTGTTGGGAAGGATCCTGAGGGGGGGAGAGATGCCATTTGGCTTTCGACACTCGGGTGACCGCATGCGAGGCTTACCTTCAAATAGACTGGCCAGGCGTTGATGGCGACTTAAACTGTGCGGCGCGTTGCTTGTTGCCGGCTTAGGAGGGTCGCTAGGCACGTCGTGATCCTTCGAAAACTGGAACTGAACGTTCAAGAATTCCTGGGAGTGAACCACAGGTGAATATTCGTTGCCCACACTCGCCAGAGACTGCAGCTGCAAAAGTCCCAAAGTAACGGGCTTCTGTCCCGCGAAAGCTACATCGATATCGGGAGTGAGAGGCGTTCCCGGAGTCAGGGGCAACTGAGGCGTCCAAGGAGAAACGGTCAGAGGAGGAGTCAGGAAAGTCGGACTCTCGTAGTGATCGCGAAGAGATTGGCGGACAGAAATACGGTCAGGGATAACTTCAGGAGCGGGAATCTCGAAAGGGTTCTGGGTCTGGAATGGAGAGAAACTCGATACCAGTTGCTGCGGCGAGCGACCCAAAGCGGCATATTGTAGCTGCTTCAGGCGCCTCGTATTCACTTCAGAGCCAATTCCCAGGCCAGCGAGAGCCTCAGCACTCTCCCGTGGGTTCCGCATGACTGTCCGAGGCAAAGCACTACTCGAATCGGAGGATGACTGGCTCGAGCGTTGGTTTTGGACGCTGACGGTCTCCATCTGCCTAGTAATGCCTATGACCGTAGGTCGGTTCCAGGAAGGGTGATCTTGAGCTCCAGAAGCCAAGTTAGGCCTCTCGCGTTGATGCCTTCGATACGGAAATGAGCCCATCTGTGTTTGAGGATGGCGAGATTCCTGCCCTAGAGGAGCTTCGCCACTACCAGCTTGGGAGTGTTCGACAGGATCGAGTCCCCAAATCATCGTAGAGGGTTGGTCACCCTCAATGATCGTCCCTTCTGCGCCCCTATAATTCGAAGATTGTCAACGAGTTCCACCACAACGCCCAATAGAACTCACGATGGACACCGAGCATAAGGCAGGGAGAGTGGACCATGTAAAGCTGGGATAGGTTTAGGCGGCGAAGTCGTCCACAACGCCCAGTCTAAAACTAGTCAGTTATATGAAATAGACTACAGCGAGTTTGCCAATCACTATCTTGACCAAAGTCAGGAGGCGGTGGTGGAGTTCGAGGAAGACAGACAGGAGCCCCATTTCGAGAACCCAGATAATCGCCCAAAGAGAAAGGGTCCCCAGAGCCAGAATCGAAAGAAAAAGCGTCCAAAGGGTCCTCGTCGCTCTCCGGAGACAAGTCGCGTAAGAAGCCAGGTAACGAGACCACGCGAGGTTGGATAATAGCAGGACCGTCCCGAGACTCGCCTAGTTCAGGTAAAGAGACCACCCTGTTCGAAGCGCGTTGTGGGATGCGAGGCAATTGACTCGGTCGGGCGATGGCCGAGGGTTTGTCGCCGCCGATCTTTTGAACATGCAACTCGCCAACGTCAGGATTGGCGCTAATTTGACGTTTACCATGACAGAAACAGTCGCAGTTGTTGCTTTCCAGAGTCAATGGAATTCCGGACGTGTTGTACTGTGCGGCGTTCGGGGATGGCTCGGTCTGTATCCCGCGTTCGACATAAGCGCGTTCGTCCTGATGTTCCTTGTGTGAAGACATGAAATCGCCCAGAGGGGGTTGAGTTTAAAGTCGAGAGAAGTCGTGCTCGTCGTGAGATGGTCAAGGAAAACGAAGAGAACCGCGTTCAAAATCGGTGAGAGTGGAAGAACCCAAATTTGCGGAGTTTGAACACGAACCTCAGCTGGGTATGTAGCAAGAAATAAATTACACGAAATACTATGGTCACGCTAAGACTTGGCCTTCTCCGCCTTATTGAAGAAACTCGATAGTTTCGCCATGCCGGTAGTATTGACCTTTTTGAGTTGCTCGACGCCATGTGAACCCTTTGCTGCCTTTCGCTTCTTGCCATCTCCTTCGGCTTTACCTGCAGCGCCCTTCTTCGTGTTTGTCGCGCTTTTGAGAGGGACCTCGTCTGCCATGTTCTGTCTCAAGTGTGCCTCCAACTCGGCGAAACTGAGACAGGGAAACGCTCAGTACTAGCACGTCAGGGGAACGCGAGAACGTACTCGTAGGTTGCCAGTAAAGTCTGCTTCATTTCGGGAGAGAGATACTGGGCAACGAGATCGAAAGCGGCCTTGGTGCGACCGACTGCGTGTTAAATGAGTACTCAGTTAAGGCTTTATCAGAGCGAGCAACGTACCAGCCAACAGCTTCTCCCTTCCATCTTCCATGAGACCCTCCTTCGCCAGATGACGAACAATTGTCCTTGACACTTCCAGCGTCTTGGAATTCTCTAACCTGCCGATCTTGCTACGCAAGTACTGCTCAGCTTTTTCTGGGGAATGCCTATACACGACGGTTCCGGGCCCAAATTCTCCGAGAAATTAGTCTTCATTACACGGTAGCGAGAATAGCTTCTACCTTTAACGTCGCAGATGAGTCGGAGAGCTTTCTGTGCACATGGCAAACCGGCCAGTGTTGCTATGCTTCGTTCTAACAGGGTTTTGTTGTTCCCTTCGGATTCCTCCACAATCTTTCTTGTTATCTCCTCGAAAAGGTCCTCGCCTGTACGGAACACGTCCGACTGGAACGATGAGCACTACTGAGGTGGCCAACAACGGTGAGACATACCTGTCCGGCCTTGAGTAGAGGTAGAAGAAGGAAAGCTGGATCTATTGGGGTCATCATTACAAGCCTCCCATCTAGATGATGTCTGAGTGGAATTCGAAGAGCCCAAGGTAGCCGACTGACCTTCATATACGTGCTCCCCAAGAAACCACGAGCGGCCTTCAGGCGGTGAAACTGCTTGTACCTCAAGGATGGCATCGGGTGTTGGAAGAAATAGGGACAAGAGTCCTGAAGACGCGTGAATAAGGTCGGCTAATCCATATTATCCCTGACTAACCAGTCCTTGGGTGTGGCAAGGAGAGAAACTGAACGACTTCGTTCGGTTGCTCCAATTGCACCGAGAGAGTTTGGATGATGTCTGTCGCGTTATGTTAGATACAGCGTCATAATAATGCATTGATTTCATTCACCTTCAGGGAGAATCGCGAATCGAGCAGTCATGGTCATCGTCGAGAGCGTTGAAGAGAAACTCTGCTGGGCGGGAGCGCGTTGTTTTGGTGTATTGACGCGGTGGAGATGAGTGCTGACTAAGCGGAAGTGACGGGGATGGAGGCCGTTACCAAGGGTTAGCGGCGAGAAGGCATCCCGGAAACGAGCATGACTGGAAGCTCCATCGACCAAGCGTACTGAAGACGACCTCACCCGCCTCAACACTCATTCATGACAATCCGAACGCTCGTTAGCCAAAAACTATGATTCTATTGCATGCGGACGACCGCAAAAGCATCGACAAAGGGACAGACATCGTCGACGGTTCGACCATTCGAATCCCAGAACATGCCTTGGGTCCACCTCGCTCACGAAACTCGGACGTATCCTCGTTACCCGACTACGATACCTCTGAGAAAGAGCATCGAACCCTGGCTCAGCAACCAGACACACAAGCTCAGAAGCAGAAATCACGGTTTTACCTCAATGCAAGATTCTGGAAAATATCCTCATATGTCATGGCCGTATATGTGGTCCTGTCACTGGCCATAGCAATCCCCCTTGTCCTCAAATTTGTAGGTAGCCCTCCTCTGACCAGAATCTTGCTCCTGACCCATCCTATCTAGAAACGAAACCACGAATCGCTCTGGGCTTTCGTCACTGATGAATGGTCCTCATCGTCCTGCCACGGTCCAGGCCTCGACTACAATGCCAAATGGAACACGAGCGCAGTGTCAAATTCCACTTTTCTATGGGGGTGGCAGGATGTCGACCACGGCCTCTGCGACGAATTCTCATCCGTCGAATATGAGGGAACCTTGGCAGATGTGGTTCCCTCACCGCTCACAGCCTCCATCATTCGGTGCGTTTTCCCACTCCTGTCCATCCCTCCCTCAGACTGACGGCGACTTCAGAGCCGGCTATGTTCTGCAAGATGAACCCCACCAACTCGTCGCCATCCGTTCCAATTTCACCCAGGACGGCACTTTCCCCGGCAATCTCATACAAGGCATCCTATCCGTCGACGTTAACCCGGATGAGCTGCAGCATAACATCATTTTCAACGTCACCGTCAATGCAAGCAATCAACGCACCCGCTCGAATACACGCATTTGCTTCAGGAAAGAGGGAAGGAACAGAGGGCTCTCCATCTACGTGCGTTGCATTCCTTGTCGGTGTCCTTTTGTGTCCTGACCACACCCACAGCCACCCAAATCCGTGAACGAGACTGATTCCATCACCGTCGCCATCCAAGTTTTACTCCCGCAGGCGTCTACCATCGACGACTTTGTGACATACCTACCGTCACTCAGTCAACACTTTGGCGACCTTTCTGCAGTGAAATTGGGTCATGTTGGCATTGAAGGAGCTGCAGCACCTCTTATGTTCGAAGTGCGTTATCTTATCTGTGACCCAGCAGCTCGGTGCCTTATTCTGATACGCGGTCTCAGTTCCTTCAAGCTTCACAAATCTCGATCAAGAATATCTTAGCGCCCGTGAGCGGTACCCTGGCGAGTACAGAACTGATCATGTTCGACGTTCTACAGGGGTAATGTTTATCTCACCTCCCAGTGCTTTCCGGCGTCTGACATACGTTGGTGCGCAGAGAAATCCGAACAGACATCTCACTGCTGCAAGATCCTCTGTCTGACAAATATACTCTACTCTCGATAGAAGCTGGCAACACGTGAGTGCGCACGCTCGTTCTCTAATTTGTTAGCTCAAACATCTTCCGTCTAGCCCAATCGACGCAACTGTGGCACTAGGGCACTTTGAGACCTCAGAGGCGAAGGTAAACACACCATATTTCGTCACCCAGGTCAAAAGTTACAACGGAAAGGTCAATCTTGACTTTGCCCACGATTACGAACCTCCAACAATTGCGACCTTGCGCTTGGATGTTCAGAATGCCTTGGCAGAAACAAATGTCCGCCTTGACCCGGGATTCCAAGGGGAATTCCTTGTTCAAACCCGGTTAGCCCAGGTCAACGTTACGGATGGCGTGCAACGGCAAGAAATCAGTGGCAATAACACCACTTCAGTACCGCTCTCGCATACGAACGTGAGCGATGCCGTGGAAGAAGGACGCATCACAACGTATGATGACTTGCGGACGGACAGAGCGGTTGGTTGGGTCGGCTGGTCCGCCCGTCCGAAGTCTGATTTTGAAAGGCTGAAGCAGGGACGTGTTTCCCTCCGATCATCTATGGGACCAATCAACTTGGACCTTGTATAATACAGTACTCACTCACTTCGTTCGCACACACTCACAAGCATAATTACCCATGTAGACTACAAGTACATAACTTATGATACCCTGCGCATTTACCTCTAATTTTGCTTAGATTCAAGGGCACCAGAAAGTCACTTGGCTTGATTGAGTTTGGTTTCCTCGATATCGAGAGCGGAGGTCTAAAGTGGACGCCAAGACATGTCGTCAAACCGCCGCAGGTTTGCGTTTCTCACTTCCCTCGACAGCTTTCCCGACTGTCACATTGGCGGACCAGTGCTGCGAACCCATATCATTCCCCTTGGCCCTCTTTTCCCTCCGTCAATCAGAGGCTTTAGTTCACTCATCGGAGGTTGTATTCTATTCAAAAGGGTCTAATCCAGTTCTAATGGACTACTCAGGTGATCTTTGCGCGTATTGCGTGATCATGAACCATCCATGAGCAAGCTCCCTCTGAGGAGCGACTATTAGAGCGAGCAAAATTTGAGGCAAAAATGCACCAACCCTCTCCTCCTTCTTCATCTTTTCTCTCTCGCAAAAAGCTTCGAAAAGCCTCTCAAGATGGTTAACACTCCTCATGGTGGTGTCCTCAAGGTACGGACGCGCGAGGTGCTTGTGCCGATCAAGAATTGTATTGACCCTCCTTCCTTAATTAACAGGACCTTGTTGCGCGAGACGAACCCATTTCTGCGCAATTGAGAGCAGAAGCTGATACCCTCCAAAGTATCACCTTGACCGAGGTGTGTATCATATAAAAGTGCATCTCAGCGAGCCTCCAGGCTTAATAGCTTCTCAGCGTCAACTTTGCGACCTCGAACTCATCACCAATGGTGGATTCAGCCCTCTTGAAGGCTTTTTGAACGAGAAGGATTACACCAGGTGCGTTTTCTAGTCCGTTCCTTGTCAAGGACTTCATGCTAAATTCCTTCTTTTAGCGTCGTTGAGAACTTGAGGTTGGCCGATGGCACTCTTTTCCCAATTCCCGTCAACCTCGACGTGTCCAAGGAGGACATTGAGGCCTTGAACATCGTCCCTGGTGCCCGAATTGCTCTCCGAGATCCTCGAGATGACCAGGCTCTCGCTATCATCACTGGTTCGTACTCTTATCCAAAGTTTACTCGCCCTGCCTCTTATTCCAAATCCCGACAGTCGAGGATGTCTACAAGCCCGACCAGGTCAACGAGGCCATCAAGGTCTTTGGTGACGACGATCCTGCTCACCCCGCCGTTGCCTACCTGCGCAACCGTGTCAAGGAGTTCTATGTCGGCGGCAAGCTCCAAGCCATCCAAGCCCCGACCCACTTCGACTATGTCGCCCTCCGCTACACCCCCGCCGAATTGCGATCCCACTTCAAGAAGCTCGCCTGGAGGAAGGTCGTCGCTTTCCAGACTCGCAACCCCATGCACCGTGCCCACCGTGAACTCACTGTCCGTGCTGCCCGCCAGCGTCAAGCCAACGTCTTGATCCACCCCGTCGTCGGTCTCACCAAGCCGGGCGATGTCGACCACTATACCCGTGTCCGTGTCTACGAGGCTATCATGAAGAAATACCCCAACGGCCTCGGCCACCTCGCCCTCCTCCCCCTCGCCATGCGCATGGCTGGTCCCCGTGAAGCCGTCTGGCACTCGATCATCCGCAAAAACTACGGTGCTTCCCACTTCATCGTTGGCCGTGACCACGCTGGTCCTGGCAAGAACTCCAAGGGCGTCGACTTCTATGGTCCTTATGATGCTCAAGAGCTCGTGTCCAAGTACCGCGAGGAACTCAACATCGAGATGGTCCCCTTCCAGCAGATGACCTACCTCCCCGCCACCGACGAGTACCAGCCCGTCGACGAGGTCCCCAAGGGTGTTCAGACCCTCGACATCTCCGGTACTGAGCTCCGAAGGCGTCTCAAGACTGGTGCTCCCATTCCCGACTGGTTCTCTTATGAGTGGGTATTTCTTTTAACGGAACCTCGGAATGAATCTAACTAACAAATCTACAGGGAAGTCGTAAAGGTCCTACGAGAGAGCTACCCCCCACGAAACAAGCAAGGTTTCGTCCTCCTCCTCACCGGTCTCCACAACTCTGGCAAAGACATCATCGCCCGAGCTCTGCAGACCACCCTCCACCAACAGGGCGGCCGAAGCGTCTCCCTCCTCCTCGGCGAAACCGTCCGACAGGAACTCTCGTCCGAACTCGGATACTCGGCTGAAGACCGACACACCAACCTCCAGCGTATCGCTTTCGTCGCCTCTGAGCTCACCCGCGCTGGTGCAGCCGTCATCGCTACCCCTACCGCTCCCTACGAGCGATCCCGACAGGCCGCCAAGAACACCATCTTGCAGAATGGTGGACCCGGTGCCAACTTCTTCCTCGTTCACGTCAACACCCCTCTGGAGTACGCTGAGAAGACTGACCGAAGGGGTCTGTATGCCAAGGCACGCAGGGGAGAGATCAAGGGCTTCACTGGCGTCGATGACGTCTACGAGACTCCTTCCAAGGCTGACTTGACTGTCGATGTCTCCACTCAGACTATCCCTGAGATCGTCCACAGCATCGTCCTCCTTTTGGAGACCAACGGTTTGCTGTAATTCGGCGACACCTCTCTTCATTCATTGCATTTGGGGTAGTTGTTATTTGGATGGACTGGAAGTATAAACTATTGCACGTGTAAAAGTATTCTGTATCATAGACCGCTAGATTCCCCAAAAATACCATTCGCTATGACTGGTCTCAAATATCCCCGATCCCCATGACGAACTAAACGAACGTGAATTGAATGAAAGGAAAGGTCCGTGTAGTCGAATAAATAACGATAAATGAATGTGTAGTAGCGGTGTGCTAAAAATCGTCGTAGATAGTCGCTCCTGGTCCATTTTCCTTTCCTGACGTTCGGAAAATGACACTGACCGCACGAACAAACCTCCAGAACCACCGAACAAAGACGTTGATGCAGTCCACCGTACTGATTTTGCAGAGGTGGAACCATGATCTCAACTCTTCTGCCAGCTGGTCGATGAAACTGATGGGTACCATCGCACCGACTTGAGGAGATGGTTTTGGCTATTGTGAACAAAGCAATACATCCTTCAGTGGTCCATTCAGAAAAGGCTAAAGTTCGTCGCGCACTAATGCTGTTGCTGTACTTTCAGCTTTGGATGCTAATGATTGAGTTTCGTCGGCATCCAGCTCTTTCCACATCTTTCTGAAGTCGTCAACTGCTTTCAAGCTCTCGCTGAAGCGGAACAATGTGTTCATCAACGCCACTATTTCAGTGCGCTGGAGCACGTGGGACTGGGGGCTGGGGGAACAGGGTCAGCCACGAGCGGTGCCAAACGATTGTGGGTGAAGCTTACCTGAGGGCGGTTTCATCGAGCTCGAAGAGGACCTTGAGGGCGGTAGCGACACCCATCGTTTGGATTTTACCCCACAAACGACATTTATCGCATCCGACACAATCCATGATTCGGGTGACATTGCGGAAATGCGTCTTGAATTCCTCCTTCAAGATCTAATACGGGGATTAGACAGTGTTTGGGCAGAACAAGCCTAGAACGTACATTGGCGTTCTCCCCGCGGAACAAGACGCCCTCATCGAATTTACCCGCTACTTTGGCAATATCCGTGATCTTGCCGAGATACTCATGGGTACTTGCATCGTCGATTTGACTTCCGGTAGAACAATAGTCATAGCTCTCCAAGTATGGGGCCAACCGCGAAACGGCGCGCAGCATTAGAATTGTGTCGAAGTAGATGTATTTCAGCCGTTCTGGATGCGACGCGACGCGGTCGATGAAGCATTGCAGGTTAGGTCCCTATGCAGTCGGTTAGTAATGAACTCGGGCGAACCGATAAGTAAAACACACCCATTCTCCGGTTGTCTGATTAAGCCATTCATGGCAGATATGGATAGAAATAGATGTGTGTAATCCTGTCCCGTTGGTGTAAGTGGAACTGACAAGAACGAAGGAAATGGGCATGATGCGCACCTGAAATAACCTTATAGTAGACCCTCTTCTCTAAGCAATGACCATCTGACTCTTGTCCGTCCATATGTAGAGGTTCTATCATCGTGTCCGGTAACGACACTGGAGCAGGGGATTTCCCTGTCATTAGATTGAGCTCTGACAGGCCGAAACAGTTCTCTTCGTAGATGGCGCGCCATACGCGTCGCGCATCTTGTCCTGAGTAGCCAGTGTAACGTTCAGGGACGAGCTGAAGGTCATAGTAGTCTCCCTCTACAGTCAAAGCCCGTCAGCTGGGTTTGGGCCGTGGAGCAGTCAGTGGACAACGTACCGGTGTGGTCGTCGAGGAAACAGAAATCGGACTCGCGATAGTAGCAACCGGGAAGTTGATGTTTCTGCGTGATGATGTGAGTTTCAGCCAATGTACAATGGTGCGGAGTACTTACTATGTCCCGAGATGATGGGTCGACCTCGCTCAGAGCCTTTGCCCGCCATTTCTCCGGAATTTCGCTCTAGACCGAAAGTTCTAGACAAATAGAGAATACGAAGACGTGGGGGACGTACCTCGTCCACTGTTGTAATTTGGCATCCCGCGTTTGAGCACGAACCATAGTCGTCCCAGAACGGACACTCTCGGTAGAGATCAGCCTAGGGTTGACCGTTAGCTTGATGCATTCCAAAGGTAAGAAACCCCTTACGCGGAAGTACCGGAAGAACGGCGTCTTCACCAAGTCCGAAAGGTTGCTGAATAGTTCATCGTTGAGACTCTCGATTGTCTCATAATCGCAAAGAGTAGTTTCGATGGGTCCAGTTAACTAGGCATCAATCAGGGATCAATAATGACGCTCGTGCGGCTGCACGGAAGGAAATGCATACCACTGGCTTTTCACATTTGCTCTTTGCAGGCTCATGTTCCAATACGCTCTGCACCTGACCCTTCCTGAGCAACGTCTCCGCCAAAAATGTGTCTTTCCCGTAGACCGAAGTTGCCGACCATCCGAACAGGTGCAGTACGAAGGCGAATTGGAACGCCCGGCACATTGAGGGCTTCATAGCGCTGGTCGTTGGAGCGCTGTAGGCTGAGTTAAGAGAACCAGGGGATCTGGTTGGCGAGAACGATATGGTGGTCTGGTTTAAAGTGATTTGGACCCAAAGTTCCACGTCGGTGCATCGTTAACCAAGGCAGTATGCGTTAATAATTCCCACGCGGCCGGCAGTCTCGTCTAATCCAGTCTCGGAGCCTATTCGCGTCTTCATCACCCTACGCGTCGTCCAGCGTCCTTGTCGCAGTTCTACCGTCTCTACACTCCAGACAGCGTCTGGGGAGCTCTATGCGCGCATAGCCGGTGTAAAACGACGACTGCTACCCCTTAAAACGCTTTTGAAATCCCTGCGATCGTCTAAGCCTGCAAGAGGCACAGAAAAGACCTCTATCAAAGTCTAATGCCCAGGTGACCTCGAAGAATCCGGCCCAAACTCTTGGTAGCTCCTAACATGGTACACATCTCGTCTGGAAATGTGGGGAGTTGTGAGGGGCAGGCTCCCCTTGGGTTTTCTTAGTGCGGCCTAAAACTTGCCCTTCTGGTCTTCGTTCTCAGGGATGTAGGCCTATTCGAAGCGAGCTCGATGACGGCCTGCTGCACTGTCAAATTCTGCACGTTAAAATGTGCCAGACGTCGCAATTCTGCGGGGAAATTTCCTGCTTATCTTCGAACATGCCAACGTCTTGCGTGTGTCTTGCATGGAGGAGGTTGGAACACGTATATCGGTGCCAGTCAGGTAGGCGCCAGCTGATATCATCTCGTATTGAAATGGACAGATAAAGGGGCTCGTGGTCACGTACTACCTTTCGTATACCTGAATTAGGTGAGAATAGCTGCTTCCTAGGGCCGAATGTGACATTGACAACTCTTTTCCCTGCCATCGACTCTAGTCGCTCGTCTCTGCTATTTAATGCCACCTTCCCTGCCAGCCCCACCGCAAAATGGCCACCAGCATGCTGCCAGAGTACCCATTACCTGCAGGTGATCCTCCAGCGTACACCAGCAGTCCTTTAGCGGACGAGAGGACAGTTGCGCACAATCCGCGTCCTGGCTCAAGTCGCAATCAAACAGGACAATACGTAAAAACCTGGAAACAAGCGACGCTTATACTGAAAGACCAAGACGAAAATGCTCGATTTCCGGTGTATTCGCGTGGAGGCCTCGTGGACGGGGAGATTGGTTTGACTTGTCCTGAAGGTATCATTGAAGTTAGCGCTAAGGTACGCCGCTTCCCACTTGAGCATTACTTTAGCCGTTGACCGCGACTATATCGCCCAGTTATTTGGTCAGATGAGCGTGATGGCAGCTGACTGTGGCTCAACGGGCGCTGTCGTCGTGTGTGATAGTCGCGTTCTTTGGACGCAGGAGGATCCCAAAGACCGGTGTCCATCCATCCTTCCGTTCGCAATACGATTCCCATACACGTTCACGGATCCTAACGGCAAGACTTGCAAACTACCGCCTTCGTTTGAAACACACTACATGGGAATCCCCGCCTTGTTCGCAAAGGTCGTCTATACCCTGACTATCTCGATAACGAAAACGAGGCGCTATGCGCTGGCCTCATGGACAAGTTCCAGAATGTAAGTGCATCTATCGTCAAACACGAACTGCCTTGAGTCAAAGTTTGCTAACACCCTGTTTATTCAAGGTTTACGGCGGTGCTTGACTATCGGCCTCGCACCCGTCCGCAACGCCCTATCGTAATGGTCGACTCTATTTTTGACTCGATAAAGCCCATACCGGAGGAATGGCAGCAACATATTTTGACAATGGAACCGCGGTCAGACTCAGGGCCAGGGGCAAACGCTGGAGGGATCGAGTGTCATGTAAGCCTCAAAACCTTTGGCAATCTTCCAAACATTAGTGTTAACTATAGGATCAGTTCCTTATTCCTTCAGTGCAGATTTATTCGATAACGGACAGCATACCTTTTCACCTCCAGTTGTGTGGTTCTCGGGAATCATTGAATGAGCTTCTACCCCCTAACAGTTCCCTCCTGGACCCCAGGCTAGCTGGCGATAGTAAGAGAAAGGAATCCCTCGATTTGAGCCCGACTGGGCCCCACCCCATTCGGGTCTACCTCGCTCGGCAAATTCATGTCGAAGTGAATGGAAGGAAGCGGTATCGGACGTATACGGTTGGAACATCACAGATGTGGCCAGTACCGCCTGTAATCACACGGGACGGAGTCGAACACTCGAACGTCGGAAACGAAGTCTCTTTGGATTGGCAGGGAGAGCTGAAGTGTCGGACTGAGGCTATGACTGCGAGCTTCTATGCAGGTCTTTTGATGGTCAAGGTGAGAGGGATTGTTTCATCGTGACATTAGACACCCTGACCCTGTGAGTGTAGGACTTCATCGTGGTCGGTTTGGCCCCCTATAACATACGTTCATCATTCCTTTTGCCCGTTCAACTTGCATATCCCGTCAGATTGGTGACGGATTCGTGGGTAGATCAAGAGGTGGTGCATCCTCAGGACCTGTGAAGAAGCAGGAGGGGTGACGGATTCCCATGTCGAAGAAGGTCGCTGCCATGATTGTGTCTCTCAACGAAGGGCTCGGAGAGGGATGGACAGATGGGAAAGATTTATGTACTTGTGTTCACGAATTTTGTATCGTATCGAGGGATGACATGTAATATTTATGTACATTTTAACCAAATTGGAAGAGACTAGAAACAAGGAGATTCGTCGGACTGCGGTGATTGGGGGGTATTGTTTACGGCAGCATTCATTTTGGTCATCAGTGGGCAAGATCCAGGGCTATTCGACCACAAGGGGAAGGGAACGGGATACGCGACGGCGATTTGGATATAAGAACCAATTACAGGAGGATTCTGTCGCTTTATGCCGCATGCACGTTTGTACAGTGAGAAGAAATTTTCAATAGCAAGTCCTATAAAATCGGGTAGGTTATATCCTTGGTCGCCCAGTACAGTTTCGCCGCTCTCCCCAACCGCCGTCGACCACCGCCGTCATCGTCCAGACCTTTCCGCGCGTCGTTCATCCTGGCTCTGCGAACCAATCAGCGAAGAGCCTGAGAACACCCGACGTCATCACAAACGACCCCCTCAACGGACAAATTCTGCGCCGCAACTTCTTATTTCCACAACAACAACAACCCCAATACATATTCATCACTTGGAGTCCGTCGCCCCATTTCTTATCTCTCCACCATCGTCCTCTAACCTCTCCTCATCATCCAGCACAATGTCGGCCTCCCTTATGCCCCGCAGCGACTCCTTCAATGCCCGTGTTCGAGGCACAAGTCACATCGACTTCAAGACCGCCACCACCGGTGTCGCAGCGAAGTCGATGAGGAACGAGATCAGCCGTCTCGTGTCCACCGTCGAGGATCCTGCAACCAAGAAGGTCGGTCCTCGTCGTCTGCCGCATCGATGGACATATCGGATAACCTCGGAACCCCATCTAGGCTTTCGACACTGAGATGCAGTCGTTCTTCTACCTCTTCACGCGATACCTCTCCGAACGCGCAAAGAGCGTCGAGCTGTGAGTCGATATCGTGCATCGCACCCTGATTCCTCGCTGACGATCCTCGCTAACAGTGATTGGGACCGCATCAAGTCCCCCGCTGCTGATCAGATCATCCCCTACTCTGACCTGCCATCGCCCTCAGACACCAAGAACCTCGACAAACTCGCTGTTCTCAAGGTCAATGGTGGTCTCGGAACTTCCATGGGCATGACCGGTGCGAAGAGTGCTCTCGAGGTCAAGGACGACATGACCTTCCTCGACTTGACTGTCCGACAGATCGAGCATCTCAACACCACCAACCGCGTCGATGTCCCCCTCATTCTCATGACTTCATTCAACACTCACGAGGACACCCTCCGCATTATCAAGAAGTACGCTAACCAGCAGCTTCGCATTACTACCTTCAACCAATCTCGATACCCCCGAATCTACAAAGAGAGTTTGCTTCCTTGCCCCAAACGTGCTGATGACGACAAGAGCCACTGGTACCCACCCGGCCACGGTGACTTGTACAACGCTCTCTTGCACTCTGGTGTCCTCGATCAGCTGCTTGCCGAGGGCAAGGAGTACCTCTTCGTTTCCAACTCAGACAACTTGGGCGCCGTGTATGTTCTATCTCGGTTCTTCCGTTCATCGCCCGTCGGCTGACCGTCACTCCAGCGTTGACGAGAAGATCCTGCAACACATGATTGATACAAAGGCGGAGTTCTTGATGGAAGTCACCGACAAGACCAAAGCCGACGTTAAGGTATGCTCCCCCATCTGATCCTACCGCCGGGTACCATATGCTGAACGTTCTTTCTAGGGTGGAACCCTCATCGGTTCGTCGTATCCAAGCTACCTGCATCAACAATATATTCATGCGTTTCTATAGATTATGAAGGCTCTATTCGGTTGCTCGAAATTGCCCAAGTTCCTTCCGAGCACGTCGAGGACTTCAAGTCTGGTATGTTTCCCTCTTGGCTGTCCCGATTTGGGAACTCGATTACTGATTTTTGCCAGTTCGCAAGTTCAAGATCTTCAACACCAACAACTTGTGGATCAACTTGAAGGGTATGTTGTTTCTGTGTGTTAGACCATCTTCCAGCACTAACATGGCTCATCAGCCCTCAAGCGGGTCATGGAGAACGAAGGCCTTGAGCTTGACATTATTGTTAACCCCAAGATCACTGACGAGGGTCATGCCGTCATTCAACTTGAGACTGCTGCCGGCGCCGCCATCAAGCACTTCAAGAATGCTCATGGTGTCAATGTTCCTCGAAGCCGCTTCTTGCCGGTGAAGAGTTGCTCTGACTTGCTCCTCATCAAGAGCGACATCTATTCTCTCCAACATGGACAACTCGTCATCAACCCTCAAAGGATGTTCGAGACCACCCCCGTCATCAAGCTCGGTGACCACTTCAAGAAGATCCAACAATTCCAGAAGAGATTCAAGAAGATTCCCAAGATCTTGGAGCTTGACCACTTGACTGTGACTGGCGATGTCTACTTTGGCCGTAACGTCACTCTTCGTGGTACCGTCATTGGTGAGTTATCAAAGACCCTGTGAATTTGACAAAACTTAGCTCGATGTCTGTAGTCGTCGCCAACGAGGGTCAGCGAATCGACATTCCTGACGGCTGCGTCTTGGAGAACAGACTGCTCTCTGGTAACCTCAACATGATTGTAGGTTCTTCCACCCACATCTCATGGCAAGGAAAACTAACCCGTGTCTTTCAGGAACTCTAAATGGCCTTCCACACCACCAGATTAAAGACGCGAAGCAATGGACGTTCTACATCTACTTACCACCCTTTTTCCATATAATCTCCACCTACGTTCCAAACCCTTTCTCCTGGCGATGATGCTATGTTCGCCCCCTTTTTCGTTCTCAATACGCGGTTTTAGTATACGGTTTTTGGCGCGTCGAATTTGTACGAGTACTTTCAAGGACTTTCGGTTACCCCTATACATAGACAGAATTTGATCATTTGGATTACGTTGACACCACCCTCTGAAAGGGGTTTGTTGTGTTCATTGTTGGCAGAATCTTTCATCGGGACTTCAACGTTTCAACTTCGAGCTTCTAGGTCCGTCGGCCGTTTTGGACGCTTCAGGGAAGAACTCTCTTGCATTTCACAGCGTCTTGCGGTGATTGTTTCCCGGTGACGAACGTTTGTCCGGTGAACGACCTCCACGGTTTGAACTTCGACCGACGGCATGAGTTCAGGAGTAACTCAAACGATTGAATCTCTCATTGGGCCGCCGTCTGAACCTATCTCCGTCTCAGAATTCCTGACTTCTGATGAACATGCTCGGAACCGACAAGCTGTAGCGGCGACCACGCAAATCTGGAACGGGCTGTCTGAGGAGGAGCGCCAGCAGATCGAGAGAGATTGCAGGTACGCGTTTTCCACCAGTCCCCCGTCGTAATCACTCCTTGGAAGTTAAAACTCGAAACTCAAGTATGCAAGTTGACTAGTGTCGATGACCTCAAGGAAAATCTGGAACGAACATGGGACGACCCAACGTTGTCGACCTATATCCTGAAAGAACATGAGTCGTCTGCGAACGCGCTGTATCAGGCAAATCCGAAGGGCAGGGTTAGGTCAAGCCGGAAGTCGTATCTACCTGATCCTGAAGATTTGCCTACTGAAGTGCTGAATCTCCAGAAGGAGTTCGACAAAGTTCCGTTGGAAAGTTGGAAGTGAGTGACATGGGCAAGGTGGGAAGTTTAGGAAAATCTGACGTCTCTTGCCCTTTGAAGAACAAATCTGGAGACTTCGTTGTTCGTGAGGCCTCCCCGGAACGCAGACTATAATACCCTCGAGAGTGTGGTGAGAACATGCGCCATTCAACCTTCACTTCGTGGTACGGCCGCTCAGACACGTTCTTGTGCAGAAATCCTCCTTTCGTGAAGTTCTGGGAGCAGAGAAAGAACACCAAGCTGTTCTGACTGCTTCGATCTATAGCAAGGTTCCTTGGGGACCCAGCTATGTGACCCGGATATGTCAACATGCGTACTTGTCTTGCCAGACCCTTCAGGATGTCTGTGATGCTTTACCGTGCGTGTACAAGGTCGCCACAGGAGGCGGAGAAGAAGATTGGGGTTCGGGAGAAGCTGGTGTGAGGCCTGGGTGTGTGATTTGTGTAGAGGGTGTGCTTTATAGTGAGAGAATTGCGAGCGGGGGCGTTGATTATGCTGAGTTGGTTCTGAGTTTTCTCTGAGGAGGATGAGAATACTGATTCACTGGGTTTTCTTAGCCGGGTTATGTCTTTGCGAGAAGCGAGGAAAACTCCTGAAGCTGGGAATACTCTAACCAAGAGCTTGGAAACGATGGACAGAGTCAAACTGTCTTCTTTAACAGTCTGCCTGCACAAACCGTACACCATCCTCCATTCGGGGAATTGCGAGCATTTCCTAGTGTTTGAACAAATCCGGTACGAACGTTTCCTTTCCTCCATTCTATCTATCTCCCTCAAACTTCTACTTGAAGACTCCGACATCCGTCCGATCCCGTTTCAGGTTATCCACAAGTGCTACAAGTTACACCAGCCCTTCCGGCTTTGTGTCGTGCGTGCCATAAAGTGCCTGCGGTTTTGTCCGTTGTGGGAGATCTGAGGTTGGGTGAGAGTCCGTGCTTGCTGTGTGAGCCTTGCTGGGATGCTATGGGCCCACCTGCTCCCATGGCAGGCGCAGAAGGCTCGAAGGTGAATGTCGTTTCTATACCGTTTCTTCCTGCTGTTATGTAGGTTGTGGTTATGTAGGTTGTGGTTGCCAGAAGGTCTCCGATATTTCGTTTTCTCCTGCCTGGACAATACATATCCCAGTCCATATGCCCTTGCATTTGCGTTCTATCCCTGAATACATTGTGGTTCGCGTTCGGCGTCCCTTACAGGACGAGTCCGATCATCCCATCAAAACTGAGGACATCCAGTCCGGAATGGCTTGAGCATGTCATGTCTTTACCATCGTCAAGCTCGACCGCTAAGCTCATCGAATCTCTCGAGCAATACGACGATGTGACAGCTTGGATAAATGATTCGCTAAACGCGCAAGAAAATGTCGACAACCTGAACACGCCGAGCAATGCAGACCTCACCAAGCTCGACCAATACATCACCCAGTTGGTATCGACTCTCGACATCGCTTGTGAAGACACGTCGGCCCAGCTGGAACGGATTATCGACGATGTTTCGCGTGGAATTCCTCGACTCGCGTACGATGTTCACTTCATGAAGGATGGGGCCTTATCGCTGCAATCCTCATTGGTCGAAGTGTTGAAGAAATCGAAGGATGTCGTTCCTCCAGACACAAGTGCCGCATTGGACAACTTACACCAGTTGGATACCATCAAGAACCGTATGGAATCTGCGAGGGAGGTCCTGCAGGAAGCTGAAAGCTGGAGCACGCTGGAGATGGAGGTCACCACGCTCATCGGGGAACGCAGCTACGCCAAAGCTGCAGAGCGACTTTCAGAAGCGAGCAAGAGTATGGTTGTGTTCCAAAACACCCCAGAATACGATCCTCGACGCGCCCTCATGGTCAACCTCCAGAACCAGCTGGAGGCGTCGCTGAGCTCTGCCTTGGTTGCTGCCATCAACTCGCAGGATGTCGCCGCCTGCAAAGACTATTTCTCCATCTTCTCCGTCATCCAACGCGAATCAGAATTCAGGAACTACTACAACGCAGCAAGAAGAACGACCATCGTCACTTTGTGGCAGAATGCGAATCTTTCCGACAGCGATAATAATGACAAGTCCGCGACTGGGCCTCGGCAATCGTTTGCGGAATTTCTGCCCAAGTTCTACTCGTCGTTCCTCGCGTTGTTGAACGCTGAGCGCAACCCCATATCGTCCATCTTCCCCGATCCACCAGCCACCCTCGCACATTTCCTCTCATCGACTATGTCGGCCCTCCAACCCACCTTCTCTCACCGACTCTCCTCGTTTACCAACTATCATGGGGAGGCGTGCCTCTCGCAATTGGTGACGGTCCTCAAGGCCACTGAAGACTTTGCCACAGGAGTGTGGAAAGTTATGGAGAAGCTTCAGGACAGTGACACTGCGAGACCGAAGCAGCTCAGTCCTTCAGAACGGCCATCTGGCCACCGACGGCGGTCCAGTCGTATGTCCATCTCTTGGCGTCCCGGTCAACCACGCCCTGCATCACTTACCCTTGGGGGAGGCTCAAGTACATCGGAGAGCACAGAATGGGATCAGGAGCTGTTCCAACCCTTCTTGGACCTCCAGGTTGACTACTCGTCCCTTGAGCGCAGGTTCCTGGACCACTCGCTCCTCGAGATCATCTCCTCTGATACGAGGGATAACATCCAGGACTTGGAGCGTGCAAGGTTGTTCAGGGAGAGGGCGGTGGATATTGTCGGAATTGCCGAAGGGAGCATGGTGCGATGTAAATCATTCACGCATGGATACGGTTCGGCGGGCCTGGTCCAAGCGCTGGATGGTTTCTTTGCCTCCTTCGTGGACAGTTGGACGGCAGAGTTGGGGAGCCAACCGTCGAGCTCCCAAAACTATGCACCATCGTCCTCGGAGCTGGATCTGGCCGATCTTGACTACTCTGCAAAAGATTGGTCCGCCATCCAGCTCATGCTACACATGTTAGGCTCAGCGAGAACGGTATCGGATCGCGTTACCACCTTCGAAACGAAACTGAGGTCGTTCTTAACCCAAATTTCATCACATTTCCGAATGGCACAGGCAGACCCTCAGAACTTCACGATCGCGGCGACGAAGGGCGAAACACAGCTACTCGAGCAGTCAACACTTAATTCAGCAGAGCTGTTCTCTCTCCTTTCGAGTGTGGACGAAACACACCCACCTACCACGGCCTTGATTACTCCGCACTCGAGCTCCTTCCGCCAGTCAACATTCCAACAACCGCCTACACCAGAGCCTCTCTTGACGGAGACGCGGAGCTCGTTGTCTACCTTTGCCAAGACGTGCCAGGTCTCAATGCAATCGACGATCCTCTCTCCCCTCCGCCTTCACCTCTCTACGTACCCGTCGCTCGCCATATGGTCGTCGAGGGAGGACCCCCAAAGTGCCTTAGCTGCCGACCTCAACATCCCAACCTTCTCGCTCTCCCCCAGTGACTCTATGCAGCGAGTCGCAGAGGGTCTCTTGAACCTGCCTCGTCTCTTTGAGGTGTATGCAGATGATGACGCACTGGGTTTCTCGTTGCAAACTCTCCCCTATGTGGACCCGGAGATGTTGAAAGCTTCAGAACAGCAGCATCCGGAAGCTTCGAGTCAGCCCGGCGGTGGTCACCATCGCCGCACTTCAGTCGCATTCGTCAAGCCAACACCTTTGGACCCCGAGGTCATTTCCTCCGCCTGGCTCATTTCCCTGGGTCACACCTTCGTGGCGCATCTGACCAAAGACGTCCTGCCCTCGATCTCGTCACTGACGTCGGCGGGAGCTGCACAGCTGGCATCGGATTTGGAGTATCTTACGAATATCGTAAGGGCGCTGAACGTGGAGAACGATGTGTTGGAGAAATGGAGAGTTGCGGTGAGCGCTGAGGAGAAGGATGTTAGGAGAGGTATTCAGCAATCTTCTGCTGATGCTATTTTGCTTAGAGTTGCCAAAGCTCGAGGATGGTATTAATGGTACATTGTTAGTGAATACCGTAATGAATCGTACAATTTGGAGGTCTTTTAACAGCTCTCCACCCGCTCCTACCTTGAAACTTCAGAAGCGTATTGTCCAGACGTTCTAAAGCCAGAGCTTTGGAGAAGACATTCACTCAGTTCAAAGACCCATGTGTATCACACTGTCAGATGCAGATAATGGTACTGTGCACATAAGATAATGAAGTGATTAGTGGGCCCTGTTAAAACCTGTTAAACCCTGTATACTGGTAGAAGAAAAGCGTGAAACAGTCGAGGAGGAAACAGTACGCGTCGGAATCCGAGTCGGTCGCATCAATACTCGGGTGCCAAGCCGAATGACTCCGATTCAAACTCAGACGGAACAGTGTCTTGATTACTCAGCGGCCGTCCTCCTTTCCTCCATAGGCTGAGCTCGAACCCAATTACTGCACCGCTTTCCCTATTTCCACGACTACACGATGGCTTCAGCAACTGGTACGTCGTCCGTTTAGAAAATGAATGACAATACTGATAGCTTATAGGAACGAAGCTTTCAAGGGAGGAATTCCGAAGACAAAAGGACCTTGATGCGGCGCGGAAAGCGGGTACAGCGCCTGCAGCACTAGACGAGGAGGGCAAACCCATCAATCCTCATATTCCTCGTAAGTACTGTCTTATTCCCCTAGTTGGACAAACTTGAACGATGTAAATAGAATATATCTCTCAGGCCCCATGGTATCTCGACACTGGTGCACCCTCCCTAAGCCATCAACGACGCCCTGAGCATGACGATACGAGCAACAAACTCGACAATTGGTACGACAGAGGCGCAAAGGCGGGGCCTGCAGCGAAGAAGTACAGGAAGGGTGCTTGCGAGAACTGTGGTGCCATGACACATAAGAAGAAGGACTGTCTGGAACGACCACGGAAGAAGGGTGCAAAGTGGACCAATAAAGACATCCAAGCGGACGAGGTTATCCAGGATGTAGCAGTGGGATACGATGCCAAGCGTGATAGGTGGAATGGATACGACCCAGCGGAGTACAAGAAGGTGTACGAGGAATACGCCGCCGTCGAGGCTGCTCGTCAAAAGTTGCGAGAGGAGGAAATCGACAACCAGACCACGACGGATTTGGCTGCGGTACGAAAGGTGGCGAAGGCGAGCAAGGCTGAAGGAAAGACGGCGGATCCAGACTTCGGTTCTAGTGACGAGGAAGATGAGGATGAAGACAAGTATGCGGATGCTGCTGATGCCGTTGGTCAAAAATTGGATGCCAAAACACGAATCACTGTTCGAAACTTACGTATCCGAGAAGACACCGCCAAATACCTTATCAACTTGGACCCCGACAGTGCCTACTATGACCCCAAAACCCGTTCCATGCGTGATGCACCACTGAAGAACATTCCTCCGGAAGAGGTGTGTCTGTGTTCACACTTTACGCTCAATTTATGGCTGACGATCCACGTAGGCAAAATTCGCCGGTGACAACTTCCTTCGCTACTCTGGAGAAGCTGAAGAAGTCCAAAGACTGCAGCTGTTTGCATGGCAGGCGGCTGCTCGGGGCAACGATGTACACTTGACCTCCAACCCAACTGCCGGGGAACTCCTTCATCAAGAGTTCAAGGAGAAGAAGGAGCAACTCAAGGATTCTACAAAGACGAGTATTCTGGCGAAATACGGTGGTGCAGAGTATCTTGAAGCAGCGCCTAAAGAACTTCGTCAAGGCCAGACAGAGAATTACGTCGAATACTCTCGCACTGGTCAAGTCATTAAGGGCAAAGAGCGCGCTAAGGTCAAATCGAAATATCCAGAAGATGGTATGTAGTTTATCTGGGATTTTTCGTTCTTGCCACTAATGTTGAACTAGTGTATATCAACAATCACACATCGGTGTGGGGTTCGTACTACGATCCCTCGACCGGACAATGGGGCTACGCGTGTTGCCACTCATTCTTGCACATCTCATACTGTGCTGGAAAGGCGGGCATCGAGGCTGTCACGGCTTCAAGCGCGCAGCAGCTCCTTGCATCTTCGTCCCAAGCCGAATCATCGACATCGTCATCTAAACAGCAAGAAGAACCGCCGTCGGAACGGAAGGAGAAGATCGAGCAGAACTTCTCCAAGAAGCGGGTTGGGGAGGGCGATGTTGTATTGGATCAGGAAAAACTGGCGAAAGCACTGAAAGAAGAGAGGAAGAGAAAGGCCAAGGGCGGATATGAGGATGTTGATCGATACGGAAAGAAGTCGAGGAGCACGGTGGAGGGCTCCACTCATGAAGTTACGGAAGAGGAATTGGGTGCGTTTTGCTCCGTTGTCGAATTTCCCGTCTGGGTCTGATTCTTTTGTTACTTTACAGAGGCCTACCGCATGTCAAGACGTATGGCCGAAGATCCCATGGCCAATTATGTCGACCAAGAAGACTGAAATCGGCGTCCCTTTCATTTGACTGTTCCTATCTATCCTTTCTTACATGTATTACTATTCTCTTAATTCGACGCATGACATCCGTCCTACACGGATGGATATTTCAGAAGCCACTGGACGCTACCCTCATCTGGTCTAACTTCTTCAAAACGTCTCCAACCGTGCGATCCAATTCCGATGCAATTGCGCTCTGTTTCGAGCTGGACAACCCGCCGTATGTTTCGCATAGGTCGCCATCAATTACCGCTTTCACCGGCACGTAGTATCCCCGCCAACTCAAATGATCCCTCCCGACAAGGCTGCCTTGTTCGTTGCGAATATGTTGTTCCAGCATGGTTAGGAACTCGATATCCTCTTTAGACGTCAATGGGACCAGTATCCCGATCGTCCCCTGTAATCCAGTATAAAGGAGCACTTCGCGTCCGCCGACAACCAAGGAAACCTTGTGAATTGAAGTGATGATGTCCCCTACGTGAAAGTGGGCGAGCATCTTGGTTTTATGTGGGGCGCCATTAAGAGTTGCTTTTTCGTGAAGAATTCCCGCGCCGGTTGGGTCTTCGTCCACTTGATCAGAGATTGTCGAATCGAGGCGGTTGACAAAGATGTTGCCGAACTTGTCTCCCACAGCGACGGTGTTGTAGTCGACCATGGTCATTGCGGATACCCATCGCGGTTGAGTGTCGTCCCCGAAGATGAGCAACCTATTTTCCGCTTCCTTGTAAACCGCAAACAGTGTTGATTCTTGCATGTCTCCAATGACGATTCGAGAACCCTGAGTGGCAAGGGATACAATGGCAGTGGGGGACTGGATGGTAGCTCAGTAAGCAGCACGTTGGGGCAAAAAGCGAGTAGCTCACCTTGGTTTCCGCTTTGCGAAGAAGCTTCTTCTTCCCGAGGTCGTAGATTCGAAGGGCCTTTCCGACGCCAGCGAGCAGTCGCCCTTGAAAAGCCAGCAACGCGCGTGGTAACTCGCTATCCTGGATTGGCGTCTACATGGTGAAAGATGGGTCAATTGCTCGAACTGTTTATCGTTGGACGTGGTGCGACATACCTCATGCAAAAGTTCAAGACCCGTTCCTTCATTGACAATCTTGTAAACTTTCAAATAAGAGGCTGATGCTTGCGGTGGAGTGACCAAATGGTGCATTGCAGTGCCTACGACCAGGTGGTACTCTCCCCCCGTTGAAGCAAAGGGGACCACGGCAATGGAGAATGCAGCTTCATTCGCTTTCAGAGGAAGTGTCGCTACTGTTTTTGCCTCCATAGGGTCGAAGATATGTATGCGGGACGCCCAGTGGCCAGCTGATGCTCTGGTCCTCCCAAAAATCTTGGCAGGGAGTTGAAGAATGGGGTGGTCATCCCGGGATATGTTCTGAAGTAGTGTAAGCAAAAGCCATTGCGAGAAGAGTTAGGACGCACCAAATCAGCGAGTTTCTTCTTCTCTTCCTCCTCGCTCAGTGTCCTTTGATCACTTTCTATCAAATAGAAGAACCGGTTACCCGGATGGGTGACAAACTTTCTAGGGGTGAAAGCTAGAGGGACAGACTCCTGTTTGAGCTTCATTCCGAGCTTGCTGACGGTTGAAATCCTGCAGGGGGTGGTCAGAAGAGGGTGCCAACATATTGCAGAAGTAGGGTGCGCACGATAGAGTATTCTTGGCAATAGATATGATGCCTTCAGGACACGACTCTCCAGTGAACGACGAGGCACATTCAGGGGTTTCGCATGCCAAAGGAGTGAACTCCATCTTCTGCTGGTGGGAGTAATTCAGCCATACTCTCGATGAGATGGCTAAAATGGCGTCTTCTCCCTTCAGCTTTACACGAAGTAGTCGGACTGGCTTGGTACCCAGGAACCTACGGCAATGGTCAGGTCCACGGACATTTAATTTACAAGAGGTGATCTCTCTCACCTTGTCCTAGTGTCCGTCAGCTGTCCATTGGTACCGTCCAGTACTGTTCGGAGGAGGACGCCGTTAGCTAAACCGATGTTGACAAACATACTCCGCTGGACTTTGTTGATGCTCGCGTCCAGCATGTAGGCAATGCATATCGATGACGGAGGTGCGGTCAGTGCTTGTAGACTGATAGTTTCCAGGGTGCTGTCAGGATCCAGCGACATCACCCTTACTGTTTGGTCTTCACACCCAACAGCCTTCACGGGAAGTGAGTGAAGAATATTTTAGAGACTCTTATGGGGGATACTCACCAGGTAGGGAAAACGCAACCTTCCTTCGGGTACTTCGCCTAGGCCTAGCGCAAGGACAGTGCTCCCCATCGCCTTCATATCCTGGTATTCGTTGAGTTGGCCCTCCTGGTCTAACTCGAAGTATACGATCTCAGCAGAACTGAGTGCAACAACGACTTGGCGGCGGTTCGTGTTGGCTGCAACTATTGTTTGACCCTGTGGGACCTTCCATTCGTTTACTTGAGAGTCGACTAGATGCCTGATACCGTGGGTGTGAACCTGAATAAGACCATTTTCGCCGATTTGCTGCACTGCCAAAGTCGGCATACTGGTTAGAAAACCGGAGTCTTTGACTTCCTCCATGCTTTCACCAATACTCAAAACGATGGTGGCGTTTTGAAAAGACATGACTAAGAGGTTATCGTAATGGTCTGAAATGCAGGCAGTGAGTAGACGTCTACCGTTATCAGTGAATTGACTCACCTGTTTGCATTCGCTTGGTTGACCACAACGAATGGGGCGCCAGAAAACCAGGTAGCTCGGAGGAAGCCATTTCGTCCACCTCCAGCCCGTGACTCAAGATTTTGAAAGAACTAGCTGGACCACGTCCGCACGCCGCAAAAATCTTGGGCGCTTCCGAGTCTAGGGACGGCTTTAGAATTTTGGCATCAAGGACTGGGTTTAGTGACGACAACTCGTCGATTAACATCAGGTTTTCCATGGGCCGTGGGTCGAAGGAAGCGCGAGGCAAAGGTTGCTCCGGTTCAGCCATGCCATAGGAAGGGTACGAGGATGAAGAAAACTCGGGCTGGTCATCGTCGTCTCCGAGTTTGCAGAATCGATACAAATGACTGCGAAACGTAAGTGAGGGTTCTTCTAATTTTATGATTACTCACTGGTTGCCAAATTCTGATGCGACGAACAAGAGTCCTTGCTTGAGAATGCATAAGTTTGAAGCCACAGGGACTGTTTCAAAGTACTTGATCTTGAGTGACGACACCACACCGTCCTCGTGGTCAACTGTAGCCTTGAATACATCACCGTCTTCGGTCTGCAGGAGAAAGAAAAAGGACCCCTAATGCGATGTCAAGGCGTGGTGATTACTGCTAACACAGATAAGAGGCGTACCTTCATTTTATGCATCACGGCTGCGACGATGATTACGTCCTGGTTCGGGTCCGCGACTGGGTCCTGGCGGCGAGGGATTGGAACACGATGGGAAGGGGCATCGCCGTGCTGGTAGATGATATGGTTTTCGCAGCAAACCAGGACACCCGACGGTCCGTCGTGCGTCGCCCCATTGGTAGACTGGCCACCTGGAACCTGGACAAGAAGGTTTGCCCTAGGGTCGGTTGGTTCAGACCACTTTCGAACCACGTGGTTCAAGCCCAGATCCAGTTCGTAGTAGGTTAACAGCTGCATAAATACAGTGAACTTGATGTCATCCGAGTTTGGAACGAGTGAACATACCTTCTCAGCCCTTCTAAGCGCATTTCCTGTAGGATCTTGGTCAGATTGTGAATAATCCACCTCTAACGCCGCGTACACTGGGTTATCGAATCCTACATCAACACCAACAACATCGTGGACAATTGTCGAGGCTCTGTGAGCTCCCAAAGGTGAAGAAATTGTGAGGTTAGTGGCCACGTCGCGATTAAGGACATAGACGAGTTTCGAATTCTCCATTGCTGCAATCATAACGCTTCGTCCTCGAGGATCCGTTGCGAGGTATTGGCCCGGCACTATCCTTCGCGTGCCGGACTTTCCATATGTTTCCTGGTGTAATTTGTTGAAAACGTTGGTTTTGGGGTCATACTCAAGAATTACGATCCGCCCCGAGTCCGATCCGACAATGGCATAGTCTTTGTGAATCAAAGTCTTCAGTAAGACCCAAGGATGAATGCTTGTGCTTACCTTTACTTCCACCAGTGAGCCTGAATGCCGCAAGAGACCTTATGGATCCAAAGACATCTGCTCCGGCGACTGTCGACAACTTTCCCGAGTCGTTGTCGACTTGCAGCAGTTCCAGACGAGTGCCGTTGGAAACCAAGATCTCTTGCTGACGGAGACCAGAAAAATTGCCAACAGCAGCCTGGACTATCGCTGAAGACGGTTGAAGAGTGTAGTTGTACAGGTGCATGAGGAGGAGGAAAGAGTTGCCAGAATCGAGTCACAGGCCCAACTTCACTGAAGACAATAGCAGTCGCACCCACAGTCCCAAACTGAATGACTCTTGGAACTCGTGATGTTTGGTATGCCTAGTCAAGTGCCTCGAGGCTTGCACTGCAGATAATAGGTAGAGTTCCATCATCTCATGAACCCTTTACAATTGTCCTTTAGACAGCTTCATGCCGTGACTCTCTTCCAATACTAGTATTATCAACACGCTCTGAAGCAAGGTCAGAAAGATAATGACAACAACGGACGGATTCCTACCATTTAATCCACAAATCGATACGAGATCTTATGGGTATAGGTTTACTCAGTAAACACCGGGTCATGGTGGTAGATGGAGGTTGAGCCCATTCCGACCGTTTTCTGAGTTGCAACTCCGATCAAACCAACTCGGGAGTCAGAAATGAATCGGAAGCCGTCTTTGACCTTCCTCTGTCGACATCTCCGAGTACCGTCGCATTCCTATTTTGAACACTGACCCAGAGGGGTGAACCTCCAAACCCAGCACCTCACACAATATCCCAGGTTTCTGGGACCTGTGCTGATTTCTTCTCGCCAACTGAAACTCGCAAGGAAAAATCGGACTGTGCCGGGAACCTCGACTTCTTCGTGCCTGGACGCACATGCCACGAAAAGGATTAGTCTTAGACAATTTTGCGGCTGTGGATTCCTCGGTTGTCGCTTGAATCTGTCTCGAAATCTAGTCGGCGAGTCTATTCCACCGGACCCGGTCACTAAACTACCCTCGGGTAGAGTTAACCAGTGTTGACACCATCGAGGACGACAGGCGCCCGTCGTTCACTCCTCCATGCTATTCCAGCACTTCGGCGCTACGCCCATTTGGAGGCGTATGGTGCGACACTGATATGAGTCAGGGTAACCATCTCCAATAGTTTCCAATCCACCCGCAACCCTCCGATATCATGAAACTAGTGTGGTCTCTGCGATATCGGCGGCTGTTTCATCGCTGTTCTGCGTAAAACTTACGGAAGGACCTAGCCTGTGGAGGAGTTGACGCGGCTATGTCCTGAGTATTAAAGGTGCAGACTGCGTCTCAACACCTTCAGTACCCCACCATGTCTGCCATTCGCCCATTCACTATCGACGTCAACAACGAGACCCTCGACTGGATCACCCATCGCGTAAAGACTGCGAAGATACCCTCTGACATCACCCATCCCGAAGGACATGAATGGGACGATGGCATGCCCAGCAGTGTCCTGGAAGATCTCAAGAACTTTTGGTCGACGCAATATGATTGGCGTCAGGTCGAAGCGAGACTCAATTCAACTTTCAAAATGTTCAAAGTGGAGCTGACGGAGGGGGACGAGACTATCGACCTTCACTTCGTGCACCACCGAAGCCCTAGAGAGGATGCCGTCCCTTTGATCTTTGCTCATGGGTGGCCGGGCAACTTTACCGAGGTTCGTGCCTTTCATCGCGCAATGTAGCGTTTTTTGAACTTCCACCCATAGGTTAAAAGTCTGCTGTCTTTGACTGATCCGTCAGACCCCAAGCAACAAGCCTTCCACATTGTGGCACCTACCATCCCAGGATTCGTGTTCTCCTCCGCTGCAAAGGCAGGGCCTACTTCACTCTCGTCTCAACTGCTCTAACGGCTTTCCGTAGCGTCCAGGGTTCTCCATCGCCCGTATTGCGCGAGTGTATCATAAACTGATGGTGACATTGGGCTATAAGCACTACGTCGCACAAGGCGGAGACTGGGGAAGCTTCATCCTTCGTTCGGTCGCTATTCAGTATCCTGAAGCCGTTGTGGGACTTCACATCAACTTCCCTGCCGCACCCATCCCTTCTCCCCTCAAAAACCCCATCACATTGTTCTGGCTCGCCATCGGGTGGCTAACACCAGAGGAAAAGAAACGCATCAACCGCATAAAATGGTTCTTCGAAGAGGAAAGCGGATACTCGAAAATTCAAGGAACGAAACCGCAGACCATCTCGCACGCACTGCTCGACTCGCCCATCGGTATGCTTGCCTGGATTCGGGAGAAGATCAACGCAGGGGTAGAGCCCGACTACGTATGGGACAAAGAGGAGGTCATTACATGGACCATACTCTATTTGCTCGCCGACAGCGCGGGTGCGGCCAGGATTTACAAAGCTGCCAATGCTAAAACCCTTGCCGAAGAGGTATTGAACCCAAAGATCTCACGCCAAGTTGCATTTGGTATTAGTTCGTTCCCCCAGGAGATTGCCTATATGACACGCTGGTGGGCTGAAGCCTGTGTTGCGGAGAACATCACATACTGGAAGATGCACGACAAGGGTGGTCATTTCCCAGCCGTCGAGGTTCCAGATCGCCTACTTGAAGACATCCTTGGTTTTGTGAAGTCTATTCCTGTAGAACGTAGATCGCTTTTATCTGGCCAGTAGACACCTCCGAGATCCCTGCTATATCACCGCCTTGTCTCTCTCGAAACACAAATCAGCCTTTCAGAGAATCGAACTTGGGACCCACAGGCAGGAATTGCCTATGTAATCACCGAAAACATTGCTGACACATCGTTTCGACAGACCGTTTGTCCACGCTCTGCCTGCACCCTAACGTTGGGCGAAAACATTGAAAGAGCAAATTATATACCTCTAAGATAACAAAGGAAACTTAAGCACATACTATTTGTGCAACCGATGTTCACGTGGAAAACATGTGTCAGACTTAGCACACACAAACGGTCAGTGGAAACGATTTGCAGGCAATGTTTTCGGGGATTAAATTGGCAATTCCGCCCTGTGACCCCTAGTAAGCCTTTCAGTCGGAGATCGAACCGTTGTGATCTCCGCCTGACTTTGGCACGGACCGTTGGCCCCGCTTTGTCCGTCGACGTCGTCTGCAACCTCAACCGAAAGCGCTACCACCGCGGGCGACGTCGCCGAACCACCATGTTCTTCATCGTGAGTGACGATAAATATGGAAATAACATAAACATCTGAAAGAATACACTTCATCCGCCCCTAATGGCAACCAGAAAGAACTCACGCACACAATTCTGCTGCACCCGTCCTACTTTGGACCTCAAATGCTTTCATATCTCGAGACCAAACTATACAACGACGTCGAAGGAACATGTTCAGGTCAATTCGGATACATCATCGCAGTTGTATCGATATTGGATATCGGAAAGGGGATGGTGCTTAGCGGAAGTGGTCAGGCAGAGTTCATTACACGGTACCGTGCCATAGTGTTCAAGCCGTTCAAGGGAGAGGTGGTCGACGGTGTGGTAAACAACGTCAACAAGGTACGCGTCCGTTGTGTAACTTCTCAGCTAGCTCAACCCAACAACTTGTACAGATGGGCTTCTTCGCGGACGTAGGGCCGCTGTCGGTCTTCGTATCACATCAAGTGCGCGCCCCCTTGTTTGCCCTGTTCCCAAGTCTCACAACTATCCCCAACAATAGCTCATCCACCCGGACATGAAATTTGACCCCAACTCCAACCCACCGTCCTTCGCGTCAGAAGACCAGGTAAGCAAGCGCCCTGTATACACTTCTACAGTCCATTTATACCGGCCTCCATAGATCATTGAAAAGAACACAAAGGTTCGGCTAAAAATTGTGGGTACGCGTGTTGACGCGACGGAGATTGTGAGTATAGCAGTGGTAATCTGGTTTGAGTCGGACTGAGAATGGCCTAGTTTGCTATCGGGACGATCAAGGAGGACCACCTTGGGGTCATCGAATAGATTCCGTGTCCATCCTGTTTCAATCTATCACCGTTGTATTATATGTATAATAGGTAATGTCTACTGTCATGATACCATCTTCACCGTTAGGCAGACTGGCCATAGCCGATGCGCCCTTCAATCCTCCATGCTACCGAACTCGCACCCCTCTCCGCATACCTGCTTCCTTCAGCTAACGGGCAATCGCGGTTCTTCTTCGTCGACATCCCAAGACGAATCTGCGACCATCGCTTCTTTCTCTCCACTTCTGTCGTCATCCTCATCCTCGTCACTATCGCTGCCCTCCGTCGACCCTTCCGAACTCGAAAAATCGTCCGTCGAATCATATGAAGAGTCTTCGTCCTCATCCTCATCTGGCCATGGGGCATTGAAGCCCTCATTCCGGATAACACCATCCCTATACACCAAATGAAAGTTCAAGAACTGTAATTCGAAGCCGTCATCGAGGTTCCCGTGAGGGTCAAGTCGAGGAGGAATTTGGTTAGGAAGGTCGGTGATGAGGACAAGAGACATCGACAGTTGCCGGGTTGCACGAAGGGAAGGGAAAGTCTCCTGCATTTCGTTTAATGGCTTCAAGTACCCAGGGGCTGGTTCCCTCGCGACGTTCCAAACGTCGAGCCATTCGACCGTGGGGTGCGCTATCGGCCATGCAATATGGGAGTGGACGATCAAGTGCTTCAAAGCTGGGCAACAGTCCAACATGGGTTGTATCTGGCTACCTCCGACAGGATATTGGTCCCCATTTGAGGTCGGCTGCAGGTGAAGGTATTGCAAATGCTGGCCATGGGCTTTGAGGAGATCAGGGATTGCATTGACTGGGATACAGTTGAACAGGTCACTGCGACTGGGGACCTGGATCGTAAAGTTACGCAAGGATGGGAGTTTCCATGTCACGATATTTCGGAGATTGGTGAAAGACCAGGGATGGATCAGGGTAAGGGATTCGACGCAGGGAAAGCTGAGGGAAGACGGTATCGGGATGGCACAGGTATCGGATAGAAATTGAAAGTTCGGCTCGCCCAGCCCGAGCGAAAGGTGGACTAGAGTGGAAGACATGCTGGAAAGTAAATTGTTGAGTCCGATGTCGTACGTTGGGCTGATAGTGCCATGCACTTTGGTGTAATGCATTGTGAATGACGTTATTGGGGATCCTTGATTCCGCACGATAGGCGCCAGTATTGTTCGATGGGTCATCAGACCGTCGGAAATCGTGGTGAATTCAAGGGCGGTCAGGCGGGGGCATCGGTCTATAACGAGTTGAATTGTCTGAGGGAAGGTCGAACCTGTGAGTCGAGTAGGAACAACGCATCCTAAGCGGAAGCCTCTTATCAGCGGTCCCAGCTGTGGATTTTCCTTCAGGGATCGGAGAAGAAGAGGGATTTGAGTGGGTCGACGAATGAAGATGTTCTCGTATAATAGCCGTGTACCTGCGCGGTGCCATGCTCGACACACTGTCACGATCCGCCGTTGCTGTTCCAGGTGGCGCCCTGCCAGGGAATTGGGGTGAACGATGTGGGAGTCGAAGTGGTGGATCATATACAGAGGCAGAAATGCGCGGTCAAAAATCGCATCCCATAACTCTGGCGACAATCTTCGTATTGCGGGTTCCTGGACCATCGCGTCTTCGTTCTGCTCTTGAATCATGGCTTGCGAATGAATCCTGGGCTCTCCATGTAATGGTGGCTTCCGAGAGTGGCTGTAATACATACCCAAATCCTGCGCAAAGATATGAATGCCCTCGTAGACCAGTGGCAGCACGCGCTGCGGGCGAAAGAGGGTGAGTATCCTCAAAGCAACATACCCATTTACTAGTCTCCGTTGCTGACCTAATCGCCAGAGATGAGAAGTCGATCTCTTGGCTGAAAAGGTCTGCTCCCATTTGCCGCGTCTTTGGCTGGTGGGTCGATTCGGCCATCTCGGTGATGGAGACGCGAGCCTTGAGAGCCCAAAACGTCATGTGACAGTCTCGGATATATTCGAATTATTGACCTATTTATTGACTGAATTACCGTAGAGTTGCTCGATCGTGGTGTAGAATGTCTCAATCACTGTAGATTGGCGCAAATAATGTTCATCGTGCACGCATCCATCGTCTCAACGATGTTCGGGTCCATTCCTTTCAATCCAGGAGCTCAAACTCCACAGAAACCAAGGCCGGATGGAGGCCAGCCTCCCCAGCCTCCTCCCCCTCCTCCCTCAGCCTCCAAAACCCCTCGAGCATCTGCGCGAACAGCTGAACAGAAGGTCGATAATGTCCTTCAAGCCATAACAGACAATAACCTCAACCTCGCCACGTTTTTGTACCTCCTCTTCCGGCTCGAGAAGCGTGATCCCCGGAGCAAAGGTGGCCTGGATGGAATCAATCCTTTCGACAAACTCCCTGCCCAATCCGATCCTAATCGAGCCACGCGAAGCGAGAAGCATCAACGTATGCTCACAGCATTCTTTAATGGCACCTCAAAGCCGCACCTTGGGGTAATATTAGCAGAGATTTGGAGAAATGCTCGAGAGACAGGAGACTCCCCAGCAACGACACACCCCTTTGAAGATAAGAAGCCTTTCACGGAAATTCCCCTTGCCATCAAAGCATTTGCCACATTTGCGAGTCGTGCCGTCATAGATATGGTTGGAGAAGAAGCTGAGCGGATGGTAGAGAGGAGGTCAGGCTTGCATATCCGTGCCCAGCTGAAGGAAGGAGGCAGAGGGAGCCGTGAAGACGAGAGAGCTAGCTGGGCAAAGATAGAAGACTTCAGTTTTGAGAAGGGTGCACAGATTGCGAAGGAGAACGCACCGGTTCTCTGGAACTGCATGCTAAAGTTCACGGGTTACAATGAAGAAGAAGATCAGGGCCCGGTAATTAAATACCGTCCGAAGCGACTGGTACGTGTCCGTAACCGTGATGTTTGTAGTGACACTTAACGGACATCTTAGGTTTGCACTAATGCTATAATGTCACTCGCCTTTGCGAAATCCAATCGTGCCAACCTCATTCCTTTATGTCGAGGTATCTGGATGTTTTCGGCGCTTGCACCAAAGACGATGTTCCGTGTTGAGAGCCGACTCGGAATGTCCGTTTCCTACTCATCCACCCATCGAGCCCTCAAAAACATGTCCAAAGAACAAGGAAAGGAGGTAAGGGAACTCGTGGTCGGTGAGAGGTCGTCGAGGAAACATGTGTGGTGTGTCAGCGACAATATCCAAGCCTACAAGAAGAAACGCGACCACGGTCTGGGGAGGGTTAGTGAAATGGTCAAAGGAATGGCGGCAACTGCAATACAGATGGATAACATCGACCCAGAAGCTTTCAACCTGACAAACCTGCTTGAACGACAGGCGAAGAACGAACGACGCACATTAACAGCTGATATGATACTGGACGATATCGATTGGACGCACCTTGAACGAGTAGCCGCCTACCAATTCCTCTCCGTCCTCATCCATCATGTACCCTCGCTTTCCAACTCCGACCATCGAAAACACCTCAAACAGTTCTCCGACAGTGGCCTAAAGAAGTTCGAGCGTCCGAAGAACTTTCAGTCCAAGGTATATCCATTGGCGACGAACAGTGCAGACGAGATGAAGGTTCAGGAGCTGAGAGAAGCAATCATTGATTTCGCATCCACTCAGCTCGGCATAACGGAGGAATCCATCGACAATCGTTGCTGGCCCTTCTCCGGCGATGGAAAGACATTTGACGCCTTTCTTCGCCTGCGGAAGCAGTCTTCAGTTGAAGAGCTTACCTTCGAAAGCTTTGGTTGGATGATCCCACTGCTGGAGGTGTGGCATGCCAAATGGACTGACTTATCGCGGGTCGTTCGAGGACATCACGGCGACAGCACCGACCCAAGCTCTTTGGCCTTCTTCGCTCAGCTCACCGGTTGTCCCCAGCCAGCCGATCTCCGAAAGGTTGATTTTTACGATGGCCAGCACCTTGTGAATCTTTCATTTGAGGCATTGGTGTTGAATGTATGGGAGTGAGTGTCGTCTCTCATCTGTGTATCGAGCAAAATGATTAACTGAAACAATGCAGGCAGGAGTTCAGAACAACCGACCTCGTACAACACTTCGAACACATGAGTACCCTCCCTCCCTTTGGGGATCTTGTCTCTCGCGCCAGACGGCTGTCTCATAGCCACGCATCTTCACAAGCCTATCAATTTGTGTCTACTCCTTCCCAATCCATGAGGAATCCCGGCATACCTGTTGGCACTGAGTGGACAACCTCCGAAGAGATACAATCGACAACTCCAGCAAATCCTGCTCCCAATCCGACACCAGGTACGGGACCAGCGACAAGTGATCTTCAAGACGAGGGAATTGCGATTCCAGACCCCGACCCACTCCCGGTTCCCCAGCCGCCCGATACCAGGGAAAGCGATAAGGCTGCAGCCAATATCACTTTATTTTTACGTGACGCGCTGTGGTGGCGGGAGGTCTGCCTTGCCGTTTCCGAGGGTGACACAGGTCGATTGCTTGAAATGTTCAAAGTGAGTCGAAACTCCACAGCAATCGCACTTACACTCACCGTTGTTCATCAGGTTTGGATCTTCACATTTGCTGGGAGCAAGAACCCATTCTATTCAACCTTCCTTCTCGAGATTTACTGCAACTTCAAATGGGAATTCTCCCCGGAACTCCGACATGCGTTGATGTTCTATTGGCTGGTTAATTTGAGTGGTCTTCCGGGTTGCTATATCGAACTTGACCTTTTGCAGGAGCATTTTAATTTCTGGCTGGAGGAGATGGTTCAGCACAAGGGGAAGTCCTTCGATGATCCTTTCTACCGCGAGGTTGTCGCCCGAAACATCCACCACTTCCTTAAACTGAAAGATGAAATGGAACAGAGGGTCCAACTGCAGGCACGGACAAAACGTCACACCAACCCAAAGCTCGACAATGAACGGAATCTTCTCCTCAGTCATATACGGCAATTCCAGTTGAACAAATATCGAGCTGGACGGACATACGGGTTCTCGGTTCAAGACGATTTTTCCGTCGGGCACGACAAGATTGTAGACGGCAAGTTAAAGAAGTTTATTGCGCGGTCGTCCGAATATGCTACGCGGCTACAGGCACGCGGGTATGGAGCTATCGAGGAAGGGAGCGAGGCAGAGAGGCTTGAGCTGGATGAGGACCTCGAGTTAGAGGACGAGGACTTGCGAGACGAGCTGGAGGACATACCAGTGACATCACCTCGTCCGCGGATGGTCTCTGTTGATGGTGAAGTCTTTGTAGTGGAAGGAGACAACGAGGAGGATTAGAAAACGGATGTCATCAATAGGTAGCTAGTTAGACTTACCGTCGTATGTATCCGCAGTCGCTTTGCAACCGTGGGCTGGTTCTCCTTTCCGAGGGACTTCGCATTTCGTTTGCGGGTTTGAGACGATGTGGTGCACCCATCTATGATTGTGCACAGAACCGGGGGGTTGTAGCTGTCTTTGAGTTCGTCTGGCACGTGCAACGGGGGTTGGACTCCCTGTATGATTGTTGACAGTGGCGGTGGGTCGAACTCGTCTTCTAAGAAGTCGGGTACTTGTGATAAGGTCGAACGAGGTGGTATGCGAATAGTCAGCGGCAACTGTGGTGGCGGTTCATCCGGTCGTGCTTCAGCATTACGAGCAGCAGTGAGTGCTTGAAGATCATGTAAGTAACTGGACACGAGAATCACCGAATCGACGTACCTTTGTTTCGTGCTCTCGTAGCTGCAGCTCTTGCGTTCCTCACAATCCGGGCATCCTCAATGTGCTTCACGTACACTGAGATCAGTCTGGTAAGCTGCTCAAAAAGAAGCGGACCGTCGTCCTCTAGATATGCCCACCCAGAAACCGCAGTCTCGAAACTGGTGTACGAATTAAATGTCGAAAGCCGTTGACTAATGACTGATACTTGGATTCCTTTCCAATACCTGTGAAACGGGGCATAGCGCGCTTCTGGAATGTCCTTCTGGCTCCACTGCTTGCGCGCAAAGTCGTCCAGCCATAGCTTGAGGTTGTCGAGCATGGATTTGGTGAGCTTGGAAGGAAGGCCCGTGGTTGCTCCTTCGGACGGTTGCGATGTTGAAGTCGGTGGTGGGTTTGGAGCTGCGCATAGCTGATCAAGCTGGATTAGAAGTGGAGCCGAAGTGTTGGGAGTGGAAGTGTCGGGCACGCTCGGTACGGCGACTGTTGGGATGGTCGAAACAGTCGGTGGTGGTGGTGGTGGAGGTGGTGGTGGTAGGTAGCGTTGAAGGCGAACGTGCCACTGAATGTCACACGAGCCACATGGAAGTGTACGTTGGGCGGCGGTGCATGTGACAGCAGGGTCATAAAGCGGGTTTCCCAAAGAGATATTCTTCTCGCACTCGAGGCAAAGGCCTAGAAGGTATGCGAGAAGAAATCCCCGGAGATACACATCCAGGCGATCGACTGGATCTTCCTTAGGTTTCTTGGTGGTGTTCGGACTGGGAACCCGGATTCTCTTGAAGGCGATGGCCCGTTGATACAGTGCTTGAGGTGAGGCGTCGTCGTTGTTGAGTTCGGCGATGTCCTTCCGGAGAGAGTCGAGAATGGATTGGGGGACGTATGTGAGTCCGAACGCCTCCATCATAAGGTTCCTCCCTGCCCGGCCATTTTGTTGCACCAAACTTTCCAGGCTCTCAGGGACACCGAGGTTGATAGAGAACTGAATGTTGCGAACATTCATTCCCATGCCAAACGCGACCGTTGCAACGATGACAGAAGTCTCCGGATCTTGGGCGAAGAGGTCGAGGGTTGTCTGGTTGTAACTCGCGGATGTCATGCTGCTCCAAAGGCGAACAGCTCGATGTTGCCGGCGCAAAGGGTAGAAGCGCCATCCGTACGATGCAACCCGCCATTGTAGGTCAAGCGAGGCCACATAGACGACCGCTTTGATGCCAGGCTGGAATAGCCATTTGAGGTCGGGAAACGAGGTCGACGTGATTGGGTGGGTGAGCTCGGCGACGGCAGTGCAGATATTGGGACGCTGGATCGTAGTTCGTAGGCAATGGAATGACCCTGGAACGAGGTGAAGCTCCTTGCACAGGTCGTCGAGGCCCTTCTGAGTGAGTGTTGCTGTGACGGCGGCAAACGCGCAATGTTTTGGTAGTCGATGACGTAGTTGGGCCATCTGGCGGTATGCGACGCGGAATTCTTGAGACCATGGGACTAGGACGTGGGCTTCGTCGATACCCAGGAGTACGAGGTTGTGTCGAAAGGTGTCGTCCTTCAAAATCGTCCCAATTTCGTCTGACGTGAGCCTTTCAGCGGACAAAAACACCATCGACCACTGACAGTGCTTGATCTCCTTGTAAAGATCCCGCCCCTCCTCCCGTGCGACTGCCAACGTATGACTGTTCACAGAAACAGCCCGTATCCCAAATAGCTTCATTTCCTCGGCCTATTGCAGCGCTTTAGTGAGCCATTGAGCCAAAAGTCATCGACAACGTACATGTGCATTTCCGAGCTCAACCAGAGGTGTGACAACCAAGACCACCGGTTTGGGAGGACAAAAGGATGGAACATTGGGTCTGGGGTTTGCACCAAGGTACTGATAAACAAGAAGAGGCGTGAAAAAAGTCGCCGTTTTGCCCATAGCTGTCGAAGCGATGACGATGAGCGGCCTTTTCTCCATAACGCTCGCACAGGCCTCTACTTGAAAGTCCCTGGGTCCACTGGGCCATTGCTCGATTAGCGATTCAAGAATTCCGCGAATTAAGGCCCTGTTTGCATCATCGAACCACGAGAAGGGCGCCGACATTGTTGAAAGGGGGCAAAGACATGTCTTATTGGAGGATGTGGTATGGTGACAGAACAAGGACCAACAGATCAACGACGCGCGACGCGGTGCCCTCCAGTGCACGTGAGGCCTCCTACCAAATTAAGGATGGCCCGATTGATGTCCGATCGGGTTTATGGCCTTAGTAGGGCCGAATCGACCCACCAGCCAAACGCGCGGCCAATGGGACAAGCCTACCCATTTACCCGCTAACTGGCTCAATCGGTCACGAGTGTCACGATACCGGATGCTGATTCCAGAGCCCGGTCTTTATCCGGATGATTTATCTTGGTAAGAGAAGAGATGTGACCTCGTTTTCTTGCCATGCTAACGACTTCAGTGAACTGGTAACGATTGGGTGTATGAAGAGAGTGGTGTCTTGAGATCATCCAGTTGGGTCGATCCCCTTCGACATCGGCCAGTGTTGGGAAGTAAGGTTCATTCCTTTCATGATCAGGTTGCAACGATAGTCCAATTGGACTACAAGAATGGTAGTCTACCCTATCGTAAAGTACCAAATCAGAAGGAAATTATAATCAGCGAAATAAGCGCCAGAATATGCAGCACTGCGGATAGCAACAGCGATCGTAAGGCCTTGGCTCACCCTCGGGGACTACCGCCTGTCCAGGTGGGTCATTGGACAAAAGGTACTGTTGGACCTCTGGATCGTCGTAGTGTAATTCCGGCATTTTGAAGCGATGAAAAAGAATGAGGGTCACTGAATGGAAGACTTGATGTGAACAACGTGCCCAACACAGTGCACTCGATTGAAACTCATGTCGTCGCTGGCTGACCAAGCAAACCCCACGCAATGTATAAGCGCCCAAAGTCAACACGAGCGCCTGAAGCGTCACACACAGGTCAAAAACGATGAGGTACGCCATGGCACCTAGCTCCTAACCTACCAACCACATTTTTCAAATCCATCCTACCCTAACAGCCTTGGCGTCAAAAGAAGCAGTTCATTTTATACAAATACAACATTTTTATTGCAAGAAAAACAATTCTGTACAGTAATTGGTACAAATGCAGTAGGTAAAATGCATGTCAGAAAACAAAACGAAAATTGCGTCGTAGTGATGTCATTTAATAAACATTGCTACGTGTAGTAGTAGGAGAACAAGAGCGTGCGTGAATGGAGCGGGAGCGGAAGAGGAAGATGGTGTGCGAGAGCAGACGTGAGTATGTATGTCAGTATATAAGTATCGAAACAATCCAATCCGGTCCAATGTAGTGCTACAGCAAGATTGTAAAAATGTGTTTGATCCAGCAACGAATGGGTGAGAAATGAGAGAGAGAAAAGCAGTCTGTCAAGGGTCAGGCATTAAGATGGTATATGGTAAGCAGAAAATAAGGGAAGCGATGCGATGCGTAATGTAAGAAGACGTGCGCGTGTTTCGTGAATGGTCGTCGAGAGTCGGGTCATGAGCCAGGCGAGTTAGATCTAGATAGCAACGGCAGCCGCATTCGAGAAGGGGTTAACCGCCATACTCTTCCTCACCTCCCCCCGCGAAGGATTAACAACCTCCACCCGATGCTCATCGTCAAACGGGGTGATGAACGGGTTCTCGCTCGTCAACATCCTCGCAGGCAACGAAACCTGGCTGCTCATCGGACTAGCAGTCAGCCGATCAGTGGATGCAGCATTCGTTACCCTCCACACGGCGGCCGGATGACTCGAACTTCTCCTATGCGTCTTGCTGGCGGAGGAGCCCGAGGTGTTGCGGGAGAGTGCAGAAGGGTCGTTGAGGTAGGGTGCGACGAAGCGTTTGGGAGGGGAAGGGGCGCGCTGGTACGGGTTGTTGTTTATCGCGGGTGCTGCAGCGTGCAAAGGGACCGGGTATATACCAGGGACGATGGGTGAAGGTTTCCTGGGGACACTGACGCTTGCCATGAAGGGATCGTCAAACGAGGCACCAATATCAGTCGGGACACTAGGCTGACGCTTGAGGCCCGAGGCAGCCGCGCTCATAGACGGGGGGATGGGCCCGATCGACGACGAACCGGAAACCGCAGGCAGCTTCTTATTATTCGAACTCTTGGGCGAAAGGAGCGTTAACTTCTTCAAGTTCCAGCTAGTCTTGGTGGGACCAGGTGAAGTCGACCAGCGCGAATTGGGTGGAGGGGTGTAGATATCCGCACCTTCGATGTCGGCGGAATGACGGAACGAGTTGCCGTAGGTGTCTTCACGATCTTGGTCAGTGTCGACGATAACTCGAATGTTGGGTCTCGCGGTGTTAGCGTTCACAGTGTCCGACGAGGCGTTGTAAGAAGTCCAGTAATCCGGCGCTTGATCGGCATCCTTCTTCCCAAATACACCCTTCACTTTACCGAACAGCCCAGGTGGATTGTCGGAAGCCTTGGAATCTGCATCCAACGATTCAGTACTCTTCCCCATCAACTTCAGCCTGAACGCCTTGAGCTTGGACACTTCGTCAGCGGCAACCTGTGCCATAGGGCTAGGCTCCTTCTCCACATCCTTCGCTTCACCAGAAGCGTCGGGTTTGGCAGGGTTCCAGAATGGCTTGAAGGCACTTCGGCGAGGCGAAGGAAGAGGTGTAAACTGTGGAAGCTCATCGCCTGTCATCGCCAACCCGACTCCTCCGTTCCCTCCACCTCCAAGATTCTTTTCATCCCTCGAAGGCGGAGCACTTCCATCCCTATACGGAACCACGAATCCGCCCTCCGGAAGCATCCCCTTGCTTTTCTCGTACTTGCGTCTCCTCCTCTTCTCCAAAAGTGGTTTGCCAGTGGAGTGCCAGAAGAGGACGAACAAGCCCATGAGGACGACGACGCCCCACAGCGCGAGGAAGATACCAAAGGTGACGCGCTCCTTGCGGAGGGAATCGGCGTACGAGTTGACGAGGCGACCGATGAGACCCTGGTCGTCATCCGTGCCTCCACCCATGGCAGCAGCAGCGATAGGCGCCGAAGCCTCATTGACTGACTCTGGGGAGAGCATCAACGCGGTATCGTTCACCCTCGGCATGTCCACCCTAAGATTCTCGTGCAAGAACGTCAACGCATTCTCAACCGCATCCACCTTGCTCCCAATCAAGCACCGAATGAACTCTGTCGCAGCCGTCTCGAGGATGGTGCCCCCAAACACGGTCTGAACAGCGTTCTGGATGTCATCGTAGAACTCGTTGATCGTGGTGTTGAGCGGAACGATTGTACCGTCGACCCAGCCAAAGAGGCCATCGTTGATTGTGGTTTGGACTGAATCGACACGGCCGTTGATCTCGGCAGCGTAGATCGTAGACTGGTTGAGCATGCTCTCGTTGATCGAGTTGGCAATGAGAAGCGAAAAGTCTTTGGTCGTTTCAGCGGCTTGTTCCTGGTACTTGTTCACCAACGGGCCCATGGCGAGAAGTTGAATCTCGATGAGGAGAAGACCAAAGACTCCGATGAGCAGACACGCCGCAGCGGGAGGGTGGAAGATGTAATTGAAGAACCACTGCATGTGAGTGTGAGTCCGAGGCGAGAGTCGAAGCTTTTGGGAGAGCTGGTTCGTAATCCTCGTCACCAACGGGTGTTCCGAGTTGGCTTGGAGGACCATGAGGTTGTGGTTGCTCAACGCAATTTGAGGCGTGGCGGAGATGGAACCCTTGGTTTGCATGGTGGGATCGGTGTTCCATGCTTGGCGGGTGTACTCGAGGTGAGCCTGCATGCAGCGCCACTTGTACCAGGTGAAGAGACAGTTGAGGCCGATGAGGACGAGAGCGATAACGAGGAGGATGACGATTCCGATCTTGGCAGACTTGACGATGTCGTTTCCAACATCGTCGACGACAGAGAGGTCGAGGTCTGAGCAGAATGAAACCTTATTCTGTTCTGGGACGGGGAGGGTGTCGGCCGAGAAAGAAACAGCAGCAAAGGTGTCGTTGATATCACGTTTGACAAGTTCGAAGGGAGTGCCGATGCTATACAGTCATCAGCATACAGACTCGAGAGTAGCGTTGAAAACCCACATGTCCTGAAGCTTCTCCTTGATCGTGCTCACAGTCGGGATGGTATCATTAAGTCGTAGCAAACTCTCCTGGAACGAATCCGGGAGAGAAACATTGTCCAAACCGTCAAGGTTCGGAGGGTCAAATGTAGGGACAGGGATATCGCCAAACGGGTTGATTCGGTTAATTCCCTCAATGGTTTCCCGAAGTGCGTTGTTGAGAGTCCCAACGCTAGCTTGAATTTGTGTTCGTAAACCAGACGTAACAGTGGCAAGGACGTTGTTGATCTGCATTCTCCTCGTCAATCGTCACTAAAAACAATAGAATACGGCTACGCACCTCCTCAACAGCACCAACCAGAATAGCAATTCCACCTCGCACCACCAACTCCAGAAAGCAGAGGAAAATAGACCGGTAGAGGTCGATGATAAAATTGATGATGGCCTCCATGACAGTCAGGGTGAGGATGAGGGCAGCTCGGGCCCCTCTGAGGGTCGCATTGACGGCGTCGGCGACTTGCTGGTTGGTGGCTATCGCCATGTAGCGTGGCAAGCTGGCCGTCGAGGTCGCTGCTTCTTCAGCAGCCTTGCAGCTGGCGAGGAGGTTGGATTTCGCGCTGGAAATGGCATCTTCTGACGAAGCAAGGGACGCTTGAAGCCTGAATGCGACGAAGATCAAGGAAAGGATAGGATAAGCGAGCCATGTGAGGGACAAGAGGTGGGGCAGCTGGAGGTAGGAGGTGAGTGTTGTGTGTTCATTTGGCGGGGTCGTAAGGAAGGACATTGGTCAAGCAAGTCGACCGGCGACGATGGCTGAAGAGGCGAAAGAAGCGAAATGCTGAGTCCCATTATCTCTCTGTTTATTCCCTTCTCGACTGCCATTGTCTTCACTCTGCCTCTCTTATTGTTGGTCCTCATTATGTAAGCACGTTGCCTTTTTCGGAACCCCATTGTCCGCAAATAGATTAGTGGCCAAATAAACTAAAACAAAACAATCATCGCTGTCTCAGGTCGTCCCCATTCGCATTCTCGTACTCTGTCTCGTTCTGGCGCTGAGCCCGCATAGGCTGTAGAGCGACAGCCTCTGCCTGGCCCTGTCCAACCACCTCCCGCAATTTGTTCGTCGCCTGCTTCTGGACCTGTACAGTCGTCAACGCTAAGCATTCCTTTGTGCCACAATAAAGACTCACCTCGGAAGCAACGGCACGCGTCACTTGCAGCAAAGGACCCGTAAGCCCGAGTTGAATGATCATATACCTGGAAGCAAGATCCGTATGTCAGTCCAATTGTCCCTAACGTCACCAAGTGCTCCGAGCGCATGTGGTGCACAGCGCGCAGGCGGCCCCGAGAAAATCCCAGGAAACAAAAAGAACAAACGACTTACGCAGAAGCAAGAGCGAACAACAAAAACGTAAAGTAGAGCGGGTTGAAAAGCACCGCCATGGCCTCGTTCCAGCCGAGTACGACGAGGACGCCATACATCCAGTATGGAATCTGCGCAATGCTTGACACAGTGCTTCGCTTGGCTTCGACATAATAGGCATCGGCGTCCTTTCGGAACTTGTTGATGAGGTCGAGAGACTTGGTGTCTGACAATACGGTCAGCGAGGAAGCGAAATCGAATTCGTCGTTGGTAAGGTCATCGGAAGACCCGTCCGAAGGAAGCTCGAATTCAAGGGAAGAGTCGGTTGGCTTGATACGAGAATACAAGGGAACCAGTTCCAGAGTCTAGAAGAGTACAACGTTAGCTTCCACCGCTCACAACCTAAGGCGTCTGCCTACCTCTTCCTTGGCCTTTTTGAAAGCACCGTCGATATCATCATCAGGCTTCCAGACACGAGGAACACCCTCTTCATCATAACGGAAGCGCTCTTCAAAGTGCCCTCGAAGTTTCCCAAGCAACGACTGGTCTGACGTTTGTTCCTCAATCTTGGCTCGAAGAACAATCCAAGCTCGTCGCTTCAAGGACGCGAGAGCGTTGGTGTTCTCTTCCTCCGTGCAGTTGAAGCCTATCCAAGCAGGTGAGTAGGGAGATCATTCGGAATAGCGAATCACGCACTCTTTGCTTTGGCGAGATACGTAGACTCGGCCTTGTCCAAAGTATCTTTGAACGTCTTCATAACCTTGTCCCACATATCCGTCGAAGGCTTGGTAAGGTGCAGTTCAACAGGCTCAGAGATCAGTTTCTTGACATTGCGCTATTCAACTCGATTAGCATCCAGTTACCCTGCGAAATCACATACGCAACACCCACCTCAATCAAGTTTATCATCTTCTTGGTCTCATCCTTCCTGCACTGGTCAGCAACAGCCCCAACTTCTTCCATCAACAACTCCATCTCCTCCTCCCAACTCCATCCCGCAGCACCCTCCTCAACAACGGCCTCCTTCGCTCCCTCGCTAAAGGTCTTCTCGCATTTCGTCCTCGCCTTCTGGACGACAGTGCCGAAATCGTATTCGTCGCCCTTCAAACCTTCAAGGATCTCCTTCTTGAAAGTGACAAGGCAGGATTTATGCAAGTTTTTAAGTTGGCCGAGGAAGAGCGGTGAGAGGGTAGAGTCGATGACGGCAATTAGGTCGGTGCGTTTGCGAGTGTAGACACCCTTGTGGTACCGGGAAGCTTCGCGGTCGTACCGAGCTGAATGAAACGAGTCAATGGGAGTCTTCAAGTACTCTAAAGGAAGACCACGCACTCAAAGCCTGTGTCCTCCAATTCCTCATCATGTTTCCAAGGTTCTCGACAACACGGCCAGCCTCGATAGGTCGCTTCTGTGGCTTCGCCTGTTCATTAAATTCAGCAAGAGCAGCCGCTGAAATTTCGTCACAACGGAACTGAGCAAGCAGTTCTTGTTGTGTAGGAAGATCGAGGTCCTTGTTATTCTGGACTTGTTCCTATATCACGCCCCCGAGTCAGCTCCAAACCGCATCTCCAAGAAGGGGCCAACGCACCCAGATGTTCTCCATGTAGAAGGCCACACCGTCCGCGGGAATCCGCTTGTGATACACAGGCTTGAACAGATACCCTTCATTGTCTTTGTCCGTGAACCTCTTCCTCAGGTTGGCAACCTCAGCCTCAAACTTGTCCGGGACCAGTACTTTGTGAGGGAGGGTGGTGAAGGCCATGTCAAAGTAATCAGAGAGTAGGCGATCCTTGAGGTCGTCGGGTTTGCTCAGGCTGTCCCAGATGCGGTTCAAGTCTTGAATGAGAGTGGCTTGGAGGTTTGCGAGAGGAGTTGTGCCAATGTGGTCTCGAATAACGAAGAGGAGAAGAGTTCGACCACTCGTGCTGGATTGGAACGACCGCCTTTAGCATAAGAGTGGAAGTATCTGGAGGAAGCAACGCACCCATCGTTAGCCTTCTTTCCGAACAATCCAAGGTTCACTTCGAACACAGTCTTGAGCAAGCCCATGTTGGCACCCTGGTACAAACCGACTTGGTGCTCCCACATGTTGACGATGAGGACTTCGGAGGAGGCGAGCGAGAACAACGCGGATTTGCGTTCAAAGTCCTGTACCCTCGTCAGTAACGTTCTCTCAAGCGAATGGACCCTAACGAACCTGATCCTCGCCACGCTCTCGGCCGTCGGTGCCCTCCACGTCCATAACCATAACGCTCATGTCCTTGCCTCGACACATCCAGATACCTGTCCATCAGAGCATATGCACACACAGAAGCGGGCAACGTGGTTTCAATGAGTGAGGGATGCTACACCACAGACGGGGTGGAGAGACGCACCTTTCGTAGTCTGCTGCCGTCTTGTTTCGTCCATAACGTCAAAAGTCGTTCCAAAGAGTCGATTAAGTAGGGTACCTATGCGAGAGTCATCATGCTTTAGCAGTGCAATCTCAACCAAGGAACATAGCGCTTACTTTTTCCAGTAGACTGTGAACCAAACACAGCTACGAGGTTATAGTTGAACCCAGAATCCCTCAGTCCCCATCGTTCAATCTGCTGTGTGAGGTCGGGACTACCATACACATCTCTTCAATACAAGATACAGCGCGAATGCGGAGACAGACTGACGTGAAGGTTTTGTTCTCGTCTATGATTTGGATCCTCTCTGTGCTGGCATCTACCACGCTGTCAGCGACCGAAGCCCCAAACTAGTGGAGCGCTCTGCTCACCTCCGTTGGGAAGCTGTTGCCTGTCGTTGGCGGTGGACGCCATGTAAATTGAGCTATCGGTAGTTGTGGTGGGGTTGGTTCAAGTTGGGGCTGCCGCTATATATATACGTGCAGGTGACGCGCTGGCTGCTGTCACGACGAGTGTGCTGCTGTCAAGGTTTGAGTCCGTCCGAGTCCGGGCTGTGGTCGTTATTCAAGAGAAGAGAAAGGGAAAGGCGTGAAGCCTGTTGAAGGGCAAGGTGGTGGTCGTGGTTTTGGACCTTAGCAGCGGCGCTCTGGGCAGATATTGGAGTCGGCGTGATTGCCACGTGGGACTCCAGCTCTCGCTAACACTGCGCCCATCTCCTCGACCACCGCCAACTCTGGATTTATTTATCTCTGGTGTTACACTCGTTGCGTTCCACACATGTTTACAGGGCATGTGGAGAGAAATCTGTTTCAAGACCATGTTTCGAGCTTCAGTGGTTCAGGGGCTAACAGGGGCTTTTTGGGAAGTTTCGCTGATCCCAGAGTGAACCTTTGGTAAGAAATACGATTATCTCCAGTTCGCATAGACGCGTTCTAACTGCATTCTTTTCTACAGACTTCGCCGACTCACATGGTCGCATCCAAGGAACCAAGGCGTCCCTTCCACTCTAACCGGCAACGGACCCGGATCAAGGAGCTCCATCCAAGGTTATAACCCCTGAGTTCACCAATCGTTCCTCCTCCTCCTCCATTTTCTCCTCTCTCTGGCGGGCCAAGGCACCAATACTCGACTAATCAGGAAGACATCAGCCGTTATGACCGACGCTAACAGTTACTTTGCCCAGAGTCGGCTCATTTGGAGTCCTCAACGACCAGCTTTGACTTCTGTAGAGGCGTTTAGACGATACGTGAATAGGAAACATGGCTTGAAGCTTGGTATGCCCGGAGCTTCGGATTCTGGAATGGAATAACTGACGCGTTGTTGTCGCAGAGAACTACCATGACCTTCACCGATACTCTGTCCAAGACTACTCATTTTGGCTGGACCTCTGGGAACATCTAGGAATCGTATCTTCAGTACCTCCGGATCCTGTGCGTCCTCTTCAATGCCCTATTCGTCTTACAGAACGCGTTCCACTAACTCCCATAATCGTCTAGAACCACATTATAGACCACCGACTCCTCCCACAAACCCCCATCTGGTTCCCCAATGCCCGACTAAACTACGCCGAAAACCTCTTAACCAGACGCGACGACGGGATCGCTATCACCGAAGCAGGCGAGAATGGGGTGGTGAAAGACTACTCCTACAGAGAACTGTATAGAAGAGTGCAGGAGCTAGCCGCTGCTTTGCGTGCCAATGGGTTGAAAGTCGGGGATCGAGTTGCAGGTGCGTGTTCAACTTGGGAGCTCTATGACTTGGTTCTGAAGGAGAGAACAGCGATCGTCACCAACTCTATCAACGCTATCGTTATTGCCCTCGCAGTAGCAAGCATTGGAGGTATCTTCTCCAGTACTGCAACAGACATGGGGACGCAGGTACATATACCCTACCTTCATCCTCGCAACTCACGCCCATACTCATCGCACTTAGGGTATCCTCGATCGATACAGACAAATCCAACCAAAATTTGTCTTCGCCGAATCTGAAGCCTTCTACGCAGGCAAGACCGTCGACATGCTTCCCAAAGTCAAAGAAGTTGTAGAAGACCTCAAGAACCACGGGTTGCAACATTCAGTGTTACTTCCTAGCCGGATCACCGGGAAGGAGTTGCGCTTGACTGGGGTGTCCAATTGGTATGCAACTCTTTCGTGCAGTCCAGGAATACAACGAGCTGATGAGGATGCCATTAGTTCAACGCTGTCAGAGTTCGTTCGGACGGGTGGTAAAGCACCGCTTGTTTTCGAGCAGCTGCCGTTCAGCACGCCTCTGTTCATCCTCTACAGCTCAGGAACGTCAGGAAAGCCAAAATGCATCGTACACTCTGCTGGAGTAAGGTCCACTTCCCAACTTCTAACTCCGTCAACTCAACCTTGGTGCAATTAGGGCGTCTTGCTGCAAACCAAGAAAGAAATCGTTCTAGCTCTGGATGGCAATCGCGATGATACCTACTTCCAATATACGACGGTGAGTGTCTTTAACTTCTGAGAGGCTTGCGATTACATACTGATGTTTCCTGGAATCCAGACGGGTTGGATGATGTGGAACCTCATGCTCTCAGGGCTTTCCGTTGGCTGTCGGGTTGTCCTTTATGACGGCTCTCCCTTCCACCCGAACGTTGAAACTTACCTCAAGTTCATCAATGACCAAGGGTATGTTCCCTCCCTTCTTCGTTGTTTCAGGGATCTCATGTTCGCGTAAAGGGTCTCGATATTTGGTACAAGTCCCCGTTTCCTCGCGGAAGTCCAGGGTCGCGGAATTGATCCACGTAAGTCCCGATTCTTGTTCTGTTTCGTGTTTCGTTATTGGCTTGCGATCTTCCTTCCATCGCTTTCTTGAAATTACCCTTTCCAGCGACGGTGTTACGGTTAATGCCGTCCCCACCCTCGATTTCAAGCGCCTTTTCCACCGGGATCGGTTTTCGATAACTTTCAATTACCACACCCACACGACTTCCCTGACCCACCTTCAACTTTCTTTTTCACATCCCTCTTTCTTGTCATCGCGGAACAACTGAATAGCAAAACCACTAACGCATCCTAAAATGCCCCACCGCCACACACACACAGAATCACTTGGCCATTTCGAAACTCTAAAAACTCTAAGTTCGACGGGAGCAGTCTTAACGCCACCCATGTTTGAATGGACGCAGAAGGCATTCGGTGGGAAGTTCCATTTGGTTTCGACCAGTGGGGGGACGGACATTTGTACTGCCTGTACGTCATCTGTCTATGAGCTTATGACTTCTTTCTCTGAAGTGTACGGAATGGATGTGCTGATGCTCTCGTTATGTTCGACGCCACACCATGCTCGACGATGCGACCTCTGATTTCGAAAATCGTTTGGTGCATGGGACACAGTCGTTACAGGAGCACCTTCTTTACCAGTCTACGCCGGTGGTGGGTAAATGTTTCGTAACTTTGACCGATTCCCAGTCCGTCGGGGAACTCGTTCACGGAGATTCTAACACCCCATCCTTGTAGAAATCCAGGCCAAGTCTCTAGGCATGAAAGTCGAAGTTTTCGATCCTAGTGGCAACAATATGGAACACACGGGACACCCGGGAGAGATGGTCTGCACTCGACCTCATGTTTCGCTTCCTGTTGGATTCTGGAACGATGAGGGAGGGAAGAAGTTTATGGATGCTTATTTCGGGGTTTACCCTGGTGAGGAAAATTCAACTTTCCAGATGCTATTATCGGGGTGTTCTTGCTAACCTGTGCGAAATAGGTGTCTGGAGACAGGGTGACTTTATGGTTGTTAACCCTGAAACAAAGGGTATCATGATTCTCGGACGAAGGTATGTCTCACCGCCAAGCACACTGTGCATAACCATTCCTTATCCTTGTCCCTCGCTTCAGTGACGGCGTCCTGAACCCCAGTGGAATCCGCTTCGGCTCCGCGGAAATCTACACCGTCCTCGAATCCTTCGCGTCCGAAATCGACGACTCCCTCTGCGTAGGCCAGCGACGCCCGCACGATAAAGACGAACGCGTCATATTGTTCCTCAAGCTACGCCCTGGAAAGAAACTGACAGCCAAGTTGGTCGGTGAAGTTAAAGCGTCTATCAGGAAGGCACTCAGTGCGCGACATGTACCCGCGTACATCTTCGAGATCGAAGAGATTCCCGTGAGTCAATGATATTCTTTCCATAGGTGAATGAAGCTGACTGTATGTGTAGTATACGGTCAATGGGAAGAAGATCGAGATCGCTGTTAAGCAGATTATTTCGGGGTCGAATTTGCAACCAAGTGGGACAGTCGCGAATCCCGATTCCTTGAACTTGTATTACAAGTATCGGGACATCGAGAAGGTCGTTGGAGTTGCAAAGGCGAAGCTCTAGACTGAAACACATCACGTAGAAAATTCGAAAACAATGTACAATAACCATCTGGATGGACGTATATCGAATATTTCATGCCTTGCAGTGACCGCAAGCCCACGACTTCGATCGCCAAACTCCAAATCGAGTAACATACCTTCCGCAATCGGACGAGATCCCCCCCACTGTTGGATGGAATGGAAGTGAACCTGTCAACCACACAGAACTCTTCCAAGCCTTAGATTTCTTTCTGACTCCGACCGTCCACCGAGGCTGTATGGAGTGGCGGACGAGTTGTATGGGGACCATTGTTTCGTCTCATTGGTGCCGGCGTTAAAAAGTCGGGATTTGGAGTCGCTACTACCTCGGGGAGGGATAAGAGTATGCCCGGGGCCCGGTATGTCTGAGCTTTGGAGTAGAGGGTACAGCGACGGGAACTCGGTCGAGATAAATAGTTGAAGGCTTGCGTGGTCGTTGTCTTGGTTTCGTTTAAGAAGTTGCTCGACGGTGGTTTGTGGGCGGGCGCATGAGCGTCTTCCGAGCTCGATCCGGAGTTCTTTAGTCCGGGTCCATGGTGTTTTTTTTTTCTTGAGCTTCTTCAACATGCCTCTCGTAGAGACCTCAGCTATCGATACACACAATCGAAGCCGAACATAAGCCCCGAGGCGAGCAAGACGATGTCAGAGCAGAAATCGTAGTCCGCGACCAATGTCGTCATCCCAATTCAAAGCTTCCATTCCTCGGGATGAGTTCGAAAACCGGGATGTATAGCGCAGGCGCGCTTATTGGTACCCTGGAGCGCCTGTCATGGGGAACCATTACTCCTCCCGATGCTCTTCTCCACTGAGACCAGGCAGCACAAGGCGTCGAGGAAAAACCTTCGCGGGGAAAATGGTATTAGCGTGGATGGCGCTCGTGTATGCACAGACGCCAGAGGTTGGATGAATCACACAGGGCTGGTGGGCCATGGGACTTGGCTCCGTAAGGGGGACACTAGCTCGGCGGATAGTCGGAAAGAGTCATGGGCTTCCAAGGTGGCATTTGCATCTGCGGAACACCTCCGCTCGTTATCTATGGGCGCTTGTTACAACCAGAGGATTGATTACAGTCATTGAATGCTTGAAAAGGTATAGATCATGAGAACCGGGATAGGTGACTAGAAATGAATCCAGAAGCGTTTATATGATACGATCGTAGCCGGGTCCGTACTGGGTAGGTCGTATTGAACCGCATCGGGGCTTCACGAATCCAATTCAATCGAGCGTCTTTTAGATGGACTGAATGGAACGTGGAACGGGTCGTAATCCATTGGTATCTATACATGGCTTGAGTGGTTGAAGAGATGGGTACCTACATATTGCCATTTTGTTCTGCCTCCTGAATGCGCCGAATCAAATCTCGATGCCTGTCACAGCCCTGGGTTTCTACGAGAGTTTATCCGAGTCGACGTCGAGCGGCGAACCCGTCGATGGAAGAGGAAAGTTGGAAGGAAAGTACAGCATATCGAGAACATAACAACTGACATGAGTGATAGAAGTTTAGTTCGAGCGCGATGATCGACATTGAGAAGTCGAAGTTGTTGTTGTCTGGGTTCTAGATGTTGGATTCGAGAACGTGGGTCAAGTGGATCATTCAACGAGTTGAAAGGCTGAGGTTTCAAGACATGTGCGAGTCGGAGATGAGCTCAAGAGTAGATGACCGTTCACGGCCATGTTCACCTATCTCGGACGAGGAGGCAGAATGCCCCACATTCCATCGGGGACTAGCAGACCGGGATACCGGGAGTCAAAGGCTCAGCTGCTCAGGCGGCATTTTCAATCACAGCGGCTGACGGAACAGAAACCGTCCTTGGAGTCTGGAATGTCGCACTGTCACTGTCAGATACTAGTAGCGCACGAACAGCTGAGCGCTACTCTCACACACTGTGGAGCCAATCCGTCCGCCATCGCGGCTCACGATGGATCATCGGTCCGAGCTAGCGAAGGCGCCTTTGCAGAGACGGAGGTCTGGGTTAACACAGCGCTTGTGCGTGCCAGTATACGTACTTACTTGACGGAAGACGGAGGGATGAACGTTTTCGAAACGTTGCAGCTACTACTGGAGCTTACGAAGAAAGGAAGGATCAAGGGTCGCATGCCCCTGGTAAACTTCACAATGGGCTCTATACGCCACGCGTCTGTAGTGCGGGTAGAAGAGTGAGAGTAACCCTTGATATCAGTGATAGAGTTAATTATTTCAATCGAGCCTTGTGCCACCCGAATTAGTGCCCGTCTCCTCGATGATAACAGGGAAAATCAGAAACGAAAAGGCACTACCACTGGTGTGGCGCGTAGGGAACGCCAAGGCCGACTAAACCTGTCAATTCCCAATCGTGGATGGAAAACAAGATGGGAGACCAACCGTGGAAGCGCGTAATGAGAACTAGCGGGAAGAACCGCTCCTTAGCCCTCCTTTCACACCGGGACCACTGTAATCAAAAGCCCTTTTGAAATTACCTGAAATTACTTGCTCGGCCTCGAGTATGGGAGAAAAGCGAGATGAAAGTTGTGTGCAAGGGCATGCTCCTTAGTACTTGCTTTCTGAGGATGTATTCTCTCATATGGCGAAACTCATGCATCATATAGCCCACTTTACGCCCCTCAGGGTAGCTCAGACAACTGTGTTAGAGAGGCGAAAAACACACTATTGCTATCGCAACCTAGAGAAAATATGCATATCATATCATTCAATACCTGGTTTACATGTTCCCATTCTCGATTTGTCAGGAGCACTTATTTTTGGGGAGGGTTCGAATGGTGTGGAACATGAGGCAGATCCAGATGAAAGCACGCATGCACGCATCTTCTTGGTGCTAAAAGTAGCGTCGAAAGTGTGCGAAGCAAGAAGTGCGCGGCGTTTGAAGCTGTGTTCCGTTCCATGTTTGGCCTCTAACATGCCGTGGGGCGAGAACATGCGTGCCAGGTGCTTCAAGGGCGAAGAGGCGCCTCGGGGTAGAAGCGACAAGTCTTCGGAGTTCTGGGGTTTTAGTCTGGAGCCTTGGCTGACAGAAAGGTACATCCCCACCACCGGTTTCATTGTTATTTCTGGTCCGGGTGCCTTGGAACGAGGCTACATCATGCCCGGTGAGGTCCCTGGCCCTCTCGCCATGAGCGGCACTGCACTGAGGCCACGCGATCGAGTGTGTTTATCGATTGCGGGGCCTGTAACGCGAAAGAAAAGCTTGTTGTGAAGTCACCACACAAGATTTAAAAGCCACGTTTGATGGATCTGGGGAGACAAGGGACCAATAAAACGTTGTTGCGGAGTCGGTGGAATATTGTTTCGGCTCGAAACCTCTGGAACGCGAGAGAAATGGTGAACGCATGAGCAACTGGAGCTCGGACGGACATAGAAGCAGCTGCCACCGTATGTCGTAGTTCGGAGAAGGGTGTCCGTGGAGAGCGCACTGCCCAGGATGTAACATTGCAGCACACTGGAGATCGGGGAACGTATCAATTGCGAACGCCGATGTTACTGGAGATAATACCACGCGAGTCGCGTGGCATGGACGACATATGTCACTGTGAAGATCAATGAAGTGGGCGTTGATTGACGTTTTGCGCCTTGATTTCTGGTTTCTTTCTTGCAGAAACTATGTGGGTTTCATTCATTTGCATGGGCAATACGCTTGGAAGAAGTAGGGTATGACAAGGGTCTTTTTTGAAGAGCAAAAAGGGAGGGAACAGGCTCGGAGTTTGTACCGAACAGAGTGATTGCCGTCAATCCCACGTGGGATCGATTCTCTTGTTCCCGAAATAGTCAGAAGCCACGTGACGGGACAACTGAGGTCGCCTGTCCACTGTACAGTGGGTCTTTCACTCCTTCCGCTTCGCTACCTTCGTCTGCCGTTTTTTTCGTTTCCTTTTTTCGTTATTTTCCTCGATATTGGGCACGATGAACCTGTTCACCATGCGCCGGCACTCGCGCAACCACAACGCCGCCGCCTCCAAGAAGGCGCAGCAGACAGCCTCAGCACCGGCCTTGCCCAATTCCCCGACGACCTCAACCTCCAGGCAACCATTGGTCCCGCAGACCAACCTCAACTTCAGCTCGTCCCAGTCTTCAATCACCTCAGACGGTTCTCGCAGCGGCTCATCAGAACACGGGAGCTCACACAAGTCCCTGTTGGGTAGACCAAGAGACATCCAGGAGAGCAGTGTTATCGCAAAGGCAACCCCGTATGTCCCCAGCTATTTGCGGAGTTTTTCTATTTTCTCACTGGAAGAAGAACAAGGGCCGGTCGCTCAGAACGGTCAAACACAGTGAGCAGTATTCGAGAAGGCAACTCGGGAGCGATGTCAATGGCAGGGCAATCGTCGTCACAGAGATCGGCCTATGCATCCCATCCAGATCTCTACACCCACAACGCCCTCAATTCCTTTTCCTTCGGAGCTGCAACCTCGACTTCCTCAAAGTCTCTGTCCATTGATCCCCTGTCTCCCCGTGACGACGCTGATTCTGAAGAATATCGTTTTAAGGCCGACACAACCCCTCGCCCGTCCCTCGCAGGCCCTTCTTCCCATTTGCCCCCAAATATGCCAGACCCTCTCTCCACAATAGTCCCGCCGTCTCCACGAAGCCCCAATCTTCGCCTCTCTCCTCAACACCGCCGCCGACGCAACTCAGCAGCCTCCACCAATACATTTGGCACGTCCTCTGCCTCCGCATCGGCCACATCCCTGTCAAGCAACCCACGAGGAGGGTCCGTAACAACACCACACACCTCAGCCAATGAATTCACATCCGACGACGAGGACGACCAGTTAGAGCATCATCACCCCTTCACACCCAACGACTACCCCTCCAGTTCCGATTCTGACGAAGAGTTTGACGACTATGATGAACGAGACGATTCAGACCCCGAAATCGATGTTAGTTCAGAAATCCACGAAGACGTTGATCGCTTGAGTGCCTTCCATAACCCTAGTCGTGATTCCTTCCAATCAGGTTTTCCACGCAAAGGCAGCCTCGCGGTTCCGATACCTTCTCCCTCCATTTTTGAAGGCCGCGATCGAGAAGACAGCGTCGCAACCCTTCGTCGCCCTAGTCGCAGCCTAGAAGACCTCAAATCGGATAGCCTCGCACAAGCTCAGCTACACGCCACCCGCTATGGTGAAAATCGCCCGGTACCGCAAGCCCCCACTTCCATGCCCGAGTCTGATGTCGACTGGCGCGATCTGCGGCGCCGTTCAATCCAAAAGGAACAAGACAGGGCAAGGGAAAATCAGTCTCAATCAGCAACACAGCATGGCTCTACCGCTCGCAACGAAACACCCTTATCTTCCACAACTGCCCCTGGGACATCGCAAACGTCCGTCCTTGACGGCTTCGATTCAACTTGGAATATCAACCCAGCTACAGGAATAGTCGACCTCGATTGGGATCAGTCAGAGTTAGCAGATATCGTTGGCGGCTTCCAAGGTCCTCGCACAGCCGAACGATCTTTCCGGAGAAACAGTTCCAGCACAACAGATTCTGGCCGTCGACTTAGCACCACGTCCATCAACAGCGACCCTTTTACTCGACATCTGAACAAATGGGGTGGACAGCAATACTTGGATGAGCGCGCCAAGTGGACGTTTTCGCGAGAGAAAGCAGATCGGGCGGAATCGCATCGCATGGTCAATGACCGCGAAAGGACCAGCATATCAAGCTTGTTCAATTCTCACTCTAGTAGTTTCAGCGGTTCTTCCAGCATAATCGGTTCCAGCACCAACTTCCACGACCAGATTGCCCCGTTCAGAGATCGAATTGGGCCCAAGGAGAAGGACAAGTCGAGGGAACCGGGAGTTTGGAAGGGGATGGCGATTGATGCAGAAGAATGGTGGTCGTCGTACTCGAATGGGAGATACAAGGTCGTTAGGAAAAGCATGCCTTGTGCGTTGTTGCCCTCGTGTCGTCATTTTCAATTACCGACTCTTAACTCTTGGTTGACTATTTTTAGCAAATGAATCTGGGAAGCCACCTCAGCAACGTCTCAATATCTCCCACCACCGCACGCCTTATGTATTCAAACGTGATGCTTGCGATGGGCCCACCGTTACTATTCACAAACACTCAAAGGCGGTTGGCTTCTCGATTAGTCGACACTATCGAGCCAAGGCCCCATCGTCGTCTCAAGCTCTAGGCCGAGTGTCGACTTCTTCCCGAGCAACGCTCAATGCCCCGGCGACTGTTGACAAGAAGAAACCATCAAGTATGATTCTGCTGGCTGCGCGCAAGGTTCAAGAGGCGTACACAAGTACCACGACAACGCGCAAGCTAGAATCGCATGGTCTCCTGAACGAGAACGGTCGCCAAAGTGCCCGGGATGTGGAGCGATTGGAGAGGCTTGAAAGGGAGAGGCGCGAGAAGAAGAAGAAAGAGGCTGAGCGGGAGAAGCAACGTTTGAAGGAGTTGAAGAAGCAGGAGGCGCGAAGGAACAAGGAGAAGGCGAAAGCGTCCAAGAAGTCGCGCGGAGAGGTCGTGGCTGATAGCTCGGAAAGTAGCACCGGAAGCGTCAGCAACGATCACTCGACTTCTTCGCAAACCTCCTCCTACACCTCATCTCATTCCTCTTCGTCGTTGCATCCTCCCATTTCCAGTGTCAGTCGACCGTCGATCGACTACTCTGTCATGAGCCACGAAACGAATTCTTCGGGACGGACTATTGTGTGGAATGGTCGTCGAGGTTCGGAGGATATCTTGGACGATGATGACGACGACCCCGTTCTACCTAAACCTCCTGGTAGGACGCCTCATGGCGAGACCTACGCCACCCTCCCACCGGAAGCATTCGAAACGTATGCTCTCCAACAAGAGAATCACTCCTCCAGCTTCTTCCCTTGGAACAAGAATCGGGGGAATTCTATTCTCCAGCGACACATCCATCAATCCTACAACCCTCCGTGGGCCGTGGCTCATAACCGCAACTACGGCGATCGCAAAGGCATCGTCGAAGACCTCAACACATCTTTCCAAGACGTTGGACTCTTACCCGCCGTCGATGAGCAGAAAAGCTCTAGCCAGCCTTCTAAACGCAAGCGATACCAACAAAGCGAGACGAAGAGCTCGAGCAGCAAACATACCGTCGAACCACCTAGTGTCTTCCACAGTTTCTCGTCCGAATACCTGTACATGCTCCTCCCTCTCTGGCCTGGCGAAACCGACTTCATCTCGGCTCAGAAACACCCCTTCCATGTTCCTTTTATTCCCGTCGAAGAACGTCAATACCTTCTGATCTACTATAAACCCGACGACGTCCCTCCACCCGAAACCGAGAAAGGCAAAGGTGTCCTCCGCGAAAGCAAGAAACGATCCCGAACCTCGCCTACCTCTTCCCGCGACTCTGTAGGCAAGGCGGGTGAAAAGTATGTTCTGTACGACAAGTTCCACTTCTGTGCCCGGATCGTAACGTATAGCGATATCCAAGGGTCGGGCGTGCGCAGTCCTGATGCAGGTCTGTCCGTTCTGGGTCCGCTTCAAGACGCGTACGATTCGATGCCCACACATGCCTTGATCGACACGTTCCAAGTCATCGGTGTGTGCTCCTCACGGGAGAAGGGTATCGAGTTTGTTCCGGAGGGGTTGGAGAAGCTTGGGTTGACTAGGAGGATACCTGACCCCACTTTCTCGAGGGACGACACGGATGATATCAGCAGTTTGGCCAAGTTCAGCATGAGGAGCATCGAGGAACAAGACGAGCCGTCGGATTCGATCTTGACTTTGACGCCGATTGGAAGGGCGGTGGTAGAGATGGCCTGGTTGGGAGCTATGGCTCTTACGAGCTTTGGACCGGGTGTCTAAGTTCACACCCCTTCCTGATTCACAATTCTTCATCGGCCATTATGGTCGTACGCGTATCGTTCATGCTTTGTTTCTTGTTCCTCGTCACGACCCCGTTATGACCCCCCACCCTATTTAACACCAGCTACTACCAATTCACGTTTATTGCAACAACCCATTCGTTCCTCTGGTTCGTATACACGACTTGCACCATCCGGGTCCATACCTCGACATGGCCTTTTCATCACTCCCTCTCTCGTGCACCCACATGCCCCGCCCCACTCACTACATCTACTGTATCAATTGTCGTTCTGTTGTCGTTTTGGACGGTGTTATCGGTATCCTTTTTTGCAATGTGTCTTCGTTCGTTGGGCAAACATTTTGTGATTTGTTTTCTCGTCGATGTTTTCTCTTTATATCTCTGGTTCTCTCAAGTCGATCATTTGCTCCTACCATGTATCTATCATTGCTTTTTCTCTCTGTCTCTTGATCTCTCTGGTACATGTTTTCTTTGGAATGTTGTCGTCTAGCGTATACCAATGCTATTGAATTAGGAAGTAAGAAATAACAGGCTTGAGTGCGGGAAACAGGTCGTCCAGCGCACTCAATCACTCGGCAGCGTCTTCACTATCGCCATTCTCTGGGGCATCCACCTTAGATTGCTTTGCGCGCTTGTTCGACTTCCGCCCTTTGGTCTCCTTCGTCTGATTCGTTGCTGGTGGGCGCAGAGATTCTGGGAGGGCTGTCAGCGAGCAGACTGGACAGGGCCTCGGGATAATTCACCATGTTTGACAGGATGCAAGTCATATATCCTATAAAATTCAAACACAGCCTGTTCCTTGTCCTTTGCCTTGAAAAAGAACATAATCATAAACGACGTGGCCACAAATTCATCCTCTGAAAGAATGCGCACCTCAATCATCAGATCTGGAGGGGCGTGTCAGTCAATCCATGCGACTAGTGACAAGGTCGGGAAGAACATACCCATGTCGTCTGGCAGATCGTCAGGAAGCTTGGAACATCTGTCGGCATGAGCTCGTCTTTCCATCAGTGTCACTGCTCCTGGCCTAGGCTCGCTCAAATGCTGCTTTGGGCGAATGCCACGGCGCGCAAAGATGGAGTTTGCGCGTTTGATGACTTCTGCTGGTGGGATTGAGGATGGGAAGAGGAGGTCGTGATGGTAGTCTATTCCCTCGCGAGGGTGAGCATGGGATAACGAGCGGTGGACTGGAGCAACTCACCGAATACGAGAGGTACATCAAGTTCTTCGCATAGCGGGAGAAGATCGTCTGCGTTGTAGCACATCTCGTCGTTCTCCAGCACGAGCCTCTGTCGCACGTTATGAGGCAAAAGGTTCTTGATGGTATGTTTGATACGCTGTAGGGCAGCAGCTTTGTCTTCATACGTCCCACCCCCGTGTACAATCATGACGCCGTCTGGACCAATACCCATCAAGTCGAGCATTTGGCAGTGATAGGTCAGTTCACGGACTGCCGCCTCGATGACCGCGGGCTTGTTGCTCCCGAGCTGGGTGTATTGTCCTGGGTGGGTTGTTAACCTGTGCCCGTATTTATTGGCTAGCGCTCCTGCTTGTGCGAGGAGGTCTGCGCAGTAGTCAAGGGTGTATCCGTAGGTTGCGTGCGAGGCGAACGGGAACATTTCAGATGATAGTCTGAAAAATCGGATGTGCTTAATGGTGAAGAGTGTCAGAATGAATGGGACAGGTAGGTGGGGTGATAGGGCTGACGTGGTCTTCGTTCCATTGTATCACAGTGAGCAAGTCTTGGACGTTCTTTCGGCCCAACTCCTTGAGCCATTCGACCCCGTTCTTCTTGATAGAGTCTATCCTGGAAGCCATGTCTATCAGAGTAATGCTGCACGTCTGGGTTGGAGATGCTGACCTGCACGTCCGAGAGCAGAACACGGATTCGTCGCTCGGGTATTTGTTTCTGAGAACGGTGTTTAAGCACGCGTATCCTGATAAACGGGACGCGAGTTAACTTCGAGTCAGGAGGGCACAGCTAAAACGGAAACTCGCCTAAGCGCCCTTTGAACGTCGTCGTTTTCTTCTCTACGTCGGGTATGATGTAAACGGGCTCCTCTCTGACCTTTCTCTTCCTCTTGTTGGGTTTGGGCTGCTCGTCTTCGTATGCCTCATCGCCATGTCTCGAAGCAGTTTTCGTCTTCCTTTTCCTCGCTGGTTGCCTCGGTTCTTCTTTTTCTTGAAGCTCCTGTTCCACCTCTGGCTGTACAGAAATCGACTCTTGGACCACAGACTCATCTGCAGAAATCCGAGGACCGCGCAGAGCAGCAACCCTCGCACTACGTCGTGTTACAATCATCGCTGACATGGTCGTAGACAAATTTCTAGATCTGTAGGACGAGAGACACGGGTTGGAATGTCGAAGGAGAGCACGTAGCATGAACCAGAGAGGAGAAAATTCATTTTTTTGGAGCATCTATAAGAGGACATCGCTGCGCTCGATCGAGGACGGACTCCAGTCGTGGAGATCGAAACCCAAGAGTCATCGCGTCGGTTTGGCTGCCGAACAACGTGGAATCGAGTCAACACATAGAAATAGGAGCCCCAACCCTGACGCGAAGAAGGAAAATCTAGCTGTGGCTTGCAGGACGACGATGAGGTCAATGTCGAGCCTCTGAGGAGCCGCGGGAATTTACTGATGGTGAGCATTGGGTGAGCGCTGAGCGCTGATCTATACCACGACTGCCACTCGCTCAGACCGCAATGCTGCCTTTCGCTGACTTGGAGCAGGATGAGCTCAGGGACCTCTTGGGCACGCAGGTCATCGTCGATTTCCCCTTCAATGTTCAAGGCCCGATCCCATACCCATTGCACTTTCCTTCCGAGCTGGTAGTCGAGGTGTTCATGCACATTTTGACACCGTTTACCCAGGACTGTGCCCAGCGCCATCGCTTCAAGACACTGCGATGTGTCTGTAGACATTGGCGGGAGGTCGCGTTTTCGACTGCCAAGTTATGGTCAAAAATTACCCTGGATAGCTCCGATTGGAATAACCGCAAAAAAGTGCTTCTAGTAGGGGCCCGGATGCGTGGCTGGTTCGACAGAGCGAAGGCGTCCCCTCTTTCTCTCTACATCCAGAATGCACCTTTTTGCCTCAGCCACGTATACCCCATCATCACAGAGGATCGAAATTGGTCCGACATCCACATATCGTTCGCCCGCAGGTATCGTTACCATGTTGACATGAGCAGCCTCCTCGATGGGCTCAGGGACGCTCCGTACCATCCGTGGAGGAATCTTCAAGCTCTATATATGCACTATAGGACCGGTTCTCTTCACTCCGGTACTCCTGCTTACCCCTGCTTGCACCCTGTTGACCAGCATCTTCCCAATCTCGAAAGCCTTGACACAACGAGCCTCATTTTGTCCCGTATCGCCTTCACTCCTGGCACCATCTTACACCCTACTCTGACGACCTTCAAAATCATCCTATGCAGGCCCCAAGAAATCAAATGGTGTATTGAGAAGATTGTGCCAAACCTTCCTGCCCTGGAAACGTTGGTGTTGGAGCAGTCGTACTTCAATGCGAATGAGCGTCTCCCTGGCGAGGATTGGGGCTACGAATCAGACCGAGAAATGTCTGGCCCAGACTTCCCTGAACGCATTCAGCACCCCAAAATCCGTCATTTCACTTTGGTTTATGGCTATTTGACCACACTTCGATTCTTCACACTTCCTGCCCTGCGAATCTTGAAGCTTGTTGGAGCCAGTCGGTGCTACGACTTCAACCCCGGGCTCGAGAATTTCTTCTCGTTGCTCACTCGATCGGGATGCAGACTGGAGGAGTTGGACATCTCCCATTTGCACCTGCACGGTTCTCTACTGAGCCTGTTCCTCCGGAGACTCGATGAACGGGTCAGGACACTGTCCTCTCTTTCCTTCCACAGCGCGAACTTCAACAACCATCTACTCCATGACCTTTCGAGCTCAGATCCGGACCTCGTGAAACCACTTGCATTTCCAATGCTCAAGCGATTAGAATTGAATATCTTGGGAAGTGGAAGAAGGCTCCCCCTTCAAGATTTCATCAAGTGGTTCCACCTTAGGAAGGCGGCCCAGAAGATACCAACCGACTCTCAGTCCGACGACGGAGGTCGAGAGGAGCCAAGCGTTTTCCGACTAGTATTCAGAGCCCAGAGCGGAATCACTGTGGACCGGGCGTTTATCAAACAACGCATGGAGGACCTGTGGGATATTGAGAAGGAGGCTCTATCGCAAATGCCGAAGCTGGGGATCCGTGTTTTTGTGGAAGGCATTGATCTATACGAGTTTGCATTTGAGGGGGGTTGGTTGACTGGTTAAAGAGTTTCTAGTTCGGAGCTTTCAATTCGATCGATTAGTTCCTTGTGTAACCTATTTAACTGAACCGTATACCATATCTGCTACCCTTACCTCTCTTCAGACGCCTCCCTCGCCTTCTCACTTGCCCAGGAGAGTTCACGGCTAAAAGCTTGGGCGCTTGCCTAGGCGGTTCCCAAAAAGGAAGGAGTTTCGACCGGAGTGACGTGGTCGCCACCAATCAGAAGTTGCGCCCCTGAGATTTCTGTGTTTGCCGCTTGACCACTAACCTCCACCCCCATTTTTTCTATTTTCCGACGTTATAGGACTGCCTATTCTCAAAGGGTAGACCTACAACCATGCGGATAGGCTCTTTTGTGAGCGCAGTCTCGCTCCTCCTCGTCGTACACGAAGCAACAGCATTCAAGGCCCACGACTTCAAAACATGCAGCCAGTCCGGGTTCTGTCGACGTGGTCGCGCGTTGTCTGCGCGTGCTAAGGATGCAGGGTCGTCCTGGAAATCACCCTACTCTGTCGACCCAAGTACCATCTCCGTCGTAGACGGTGAAGCCGTGTTCAAAGCCGGTGTCAAGTCCTCGCTGTACCCCGAAATCAATTTCGGACTCGAGGTTCGCATTCAAGAAGATGGTGTTGTGCGGGCTAGGATGGACGAAGTTGGTGGATTGAGGAAGAGATACGATGAGGCGGCTTCCTGGGCGCTCATTGCTGAACCTAAAATCAGCAAGGATATTCGGTGGACGGTTGGGAAGATGGATATTCGGGCCAAATATGGCCCCAAGAAGGACGTCGAGGTTGTTGTCGACTTTGAGCCCCTCAAGCTCACTGTGTATAGGGGAGGTAAAGAACAAGTCGTCGTCAACGGCCAAGGATTGTTCCACATGGAGCACTTCCGCAACAAGGCCGAGCCCGCCGCCATTGAGAGCTCGTCTTCAGACGATGCTCAGCCTACCGATGAAGCCCAAGCTGTCCTCGAGCCACCAGTTAACCCTCGCGCGTGGTTCGAGGGAGACCAGGAAGATGCTTTGTGGGAGGAAACCTTTGGAACCTGGACCGATACGAAGCCTAAAGGTATGCCTTTCACGACACTATACCAAGCAGATTCCTGACGTTCCCAGGTCCGGAGTCGCTGTCCGTCGATATCTCTTTCCCCAACCACCCAGTGGTCTATGGTATTCCCCAGCACGCGACCGACATGGCTCTCCCGACTACTACCGGAGAGAACGCGCATTTCAGCGACCCCTACCGTCTCTACAACGCCGACGTCTTCGAGTACCTGGCGTCCTCACCAGTGTCTCTCTACGGTTCCATCCCCCTCATGCACGCCCACTCCAAAGATACCACTGTGGCCGTCTTCCACGTCGTCGCGTCAGAGACGTGGATCGACGTGTCCCATGCTTCGGATAAATCGACGGAAACCCATTGGATCTCCGAGTCCGGAATTCTCGACCTCTTTATCCTCCCCGGTCCCACTCCTGAGGAAGTCTTCGCTCAGTATGCCCGTCTCACTGGAACCCCTGTTCTCCCCGCTCAGTGGAGCTTGGGTTATCACCAGTGCCGATGGAACTATGTGAGCTCAGAGGATATTCGAACTGTTCAGAAGCGATTCGACGAGGAGAACATCCCCGTCGATGTCCTCTGGCTCGATATTGAATACTCTGAAGGCCACAAGTACTTCATGTGGAATGACAAGACCTTCCCCGATCCCGTTGAGATGATCAACGATGTTGCTGCCGCCGGCCGCAAGGTATGTTCATTCCCCACCTTTCCATGAGGCTACATGCTAACTATTTTTGCTGTAGATGGTTGTCATTGTCGACCCTCATCTCAAGCGTGAGCAGGGCTACCCCGTCTTCAAGAAGGCTTCTGAGCTCGAGGTCCTTGTCAAGCCAAAGAGCGGCCAAGGCGAGTACGAAGGATGGTGCTGGCCTGGAAGCAGCTCTTGGGTCGATTTCTTCAACCCCAAGTCTTGGGATTGGTGGAAGTCTTTGTTCAAGCCTTACCAGCTTCCCAGCGGTGAATGGTCCTGGACCAAGAGCACTGAAGCTGTTCACATCTGGAACGACATGAACGAGGTATGTTGGCAAAGGCGCTTTGTACAAGTCGTTATGCTGATGTCTCGCTTTGTTAGCCCTCTGTTTTCAATGGACCTGAAATCACCATGCCCAAGGACAACATCCACCATGGAGGTTGGGAGCATCGTGACATTCACAACATCAACGGCATGCTCTTCGTACGTCCTTCCAGCATCGTTGTTTCAACACCCCGACTGATGATTCCTTCTAGTCCAACCTTACCTGGCAAGCCGTCGCTGAGCGCTCTGACCCGCCCAAGCGACCCTTCGTCCTCACCCGCTCCTTCTATGCCGGCTCTCAACGCTTCGGTGCTATGTGGACCGGAGACAACCTTGGAACTTGGGAGCACATGACCGTCGGTGTCAAGATGGTTCTGGCGAACGGTCTTGGTGGCCTCAGCTTCGGTGGATGTGAGTTGCTGGCCTTTGTATGAGATAAATCATGACTGACGACCGTATGCAGCTGACGTTGGCGGTTTCTTCGGCAACCCTGAGCCCGAGATGCTGACGCGATGGTACCAAGTTGGAGCATTCGCGCCATTCTTCAGAGCGCACGCCCACATCGACACCAAACGACGTGAGCCTTACTTGTTGGAGGACCCATACAAGGGCATCGTCTACGAGACTCTCCGTCTCCGCTATACCATGTTGCCCATTTGGTACACTGCTTTCCGGGAGACTACCGTTACTGGCGTTCCTATCCTCAGGTATGTGATACTGGTAAATACAGTGACGACGTAGCTGACGTGGTTTGGGTCTGCTCAGGCCTCAATACATCATGTTCCCCAAGGACGAGTACGGCTTCAAGATCGACGACCAATACTATATCGGCAGCTCTGGTTTGCTTGTCAAACCCGTTACCCAGAAGGGCGTCACCGAAACTCTCGTCTACCTCGCCGAGGACCAAGTCTACTATGGCTACTTCAGCCACCACGCCTTCCGCGGTAACCGCCAGGGTCGCTTCGTCGTCGTCCCATCCGCTTTGAACCAAATTCCCCTCCTCATCCGCGGTGGATCCATCGTCCCCACCCGCGAACGCCGTCGCCGTGCCTCCACTCTCATGGCTCAGGACCCCTTCACTCTCCGTGTCGCACTCAGCAACACCAACTCCGCCCGAGGTGACCTCTACCTCGATGACGGCGAAACCTGGTCCCACGAGAAGGGTCAATTCGTCTGGCGCGAGTTCATCGCCTCCAAGAAGGGCAAAGGCATCGAAATCGCAAGCACTGATCTCGGTTCGAAGAAACCCGCGGAAGCGGTTGACGGTGTTGACCTTGCTTCTGTGTACAACCCCGAGAACGAGTACGCGAAGAGTATCGAGGATGTCAGGGTTGAGAGGGTTATTGTGATTGGGTTGAAGAACAAGCCTAAGAGTGTCAAGGTTGCTGGCAAGGAGGTTGGTGAGGATACATGGGAGTTTGTGCCTGGCGTGGCGAGCACGGATAAGGCAGAGGAGAGGGCGGCCACCCTCATCATCAAGAATCCTGACGTGAAGATTGCGCAGGATTGGAATATCTCGATCGTGTAAACAATGGACCTTAGGCCTTGATGCTTGAATGTTTGATTGGCCCATATGTCGTTGGATACATTTAGAACTAATACAACAGAAACTATTCCGAATTGTCCAATGGGCAGTTTGTGTGGGCGCGAGTGGTTTCGTTGCTGTTTGCGTTTGTGTGCTCGTTTCAAGTGGGTCCTGATAGGTGTTGATGTCTCCACGTAACGAATTGTAGATCCAGGTGCTTGTGGACATTGGTGAGGGGGACGAGTCGGACGCTGCAAGCGCGAGATCACCGACATGTTGTTGTTTTCGAATGGGCGCCTGTGGCCCCTAAAGCTTCAGTGGGTTACAGTAGCCCCCGCGTCCGCCACACCGACGGAATGTATACGGTGTGCACGTAGTCTATGATCGGGCGCCTACAAGCTGGACATCTGTAAGCTACGCATGTGTCCCGATCGTCTGCAATTGTCTGTCTCTCCTTGTGGTCTACAACCTTCTCGAGCCCCTTTCTATAACTCCTGGTTACTACGCATGTCCGAAACAAAGTAATCATGACTCGAAGCCGTTGTTTTCGTGTTTCTTTCTATTGTGGTTTCCCGATCGTTTCGCGCGTTTAATGCACCAGCCTTTTCAGGGGATGGTATAAATGGGGACTGCCACAGCGAAATCGAAGTCATTCAAACCGGTTCTAACGCCTCGAGCTCTCTGCGATGCCAGATACCATCGATTGCCCTTTAGGCTTTCACAACCACAATCCTGTTCCCTTCTGCCAATTTCCGCCATCCCTGCTCGTCGGCCCAGAGCGAGCCGTCTGCAGCAACACCTCCACTCGTAACGGGAGGTGTGTTGTCCTTTAGCTGATAAGCAGTCTGGTCAAGCTAATGGTGCCTTTTGCTCCCGCGTAGGTACTCGCAGTGAGTGTGTTGCATTCCCATCCCGTGAGGCGTCTGCAACACCTCAGGCCGCACTAAGGGTGCGTCAATTTAAGCATCTTTCTTCCTCAGAGAGACTGCTGACTATGGTATCTACTATCTTGTTTCTCTACTAGGGCTAATGCGCACCACCACCGCCCCAAGTCCAAGTACCAAGGACATAAAGAAATTATAACAGTTGTAATACAATCCAGATAGTGTATTCAATTCAATCTGAGCTGCTGACCTCGGCAATAAATGTGTGCATATGTATGTAGGAAGTCTATAAATTCCTCAAGCCAGTTAAAAGAGACCGACTTGGGCTGGGAGTCGTATGTAGGCGCCCAGTGACCTCATCGACGCCAAGGGCCTTAGAACGGCGGGCCAAGCCATTCTGTTCTCACCGGCGAGATGCAACACAGCCACACCGACGCTCTCTCTGAGACATCCATCTCCACCTCGTCTTTTTCTTGAAATCTGGCTCTCTGGCACCTCTGAGGCTCCGGAATCCGTGCTAACTGTGGCCACGGGTGTAGATATTCCCTCAGACGTCTCTGCTGTACTACTCTTGACTTTTATGGCTCCATCACTTCTCGCCGGGGATTCTGGAACGCTACGGTCGCCTCCTGTATTTTTCTGAAAACTCTCAGAAAGATTCTAAAAAGCCAGGACTTGCGGAACAAGTCTCAGACAACTGTTATAAAGGTCCTCTATGATGTTTCTGCATCGCCAGCACCATTTCTAGGATGTCTGTCGTCGCCGACGTCCGGTTTATCTGAACAAGCTCGGTCGGATTTCCGGTGGCTCTGCAAGGACCCTCACCGCCTTTTCTGTCTTTTTTTCGCACCACGTTCACCACCCAAACGGATTACCAGTGTCGACAGAGCCATCGACGCTCATCAAGATTGCTTTTCAAAACCAACCTGTTCTCAGTTCTGCTGAGGGCTTTTCACCGACAACAGAGTCCTTTTTTGAAGACGATCGTTCACAAGAAAATGCAAGTATGCCTTCGACGAGCTACGAGAGTCCCTACGTCCACCATGTCATCACACTCCCGCCAGCACTCCCCAGCTACCCACCTGCTACGATCTCAACTCTTATGCATCCCTCTATGATTCCCTTATTGCCAAGTCCTCTACCAACCGCCGCCCCACCCGTGGACAACCCGCCATTCAAGGTGATCAAGACCCCAGATCGCGGGTTTGGCATGTTCGCTGCTCGTCGTATTGAAGAGGGATCTTTGATCATCGTAGAACACCCTGTATTCGTCGTACCGGCGATGCCTCTTCCCCAAAATGCCGGCATCGAGCTCTACGAAGGAGTAGCACAAAGGATGCCCCGTCCGGAATACGAGGAGATGACGACCCTCGCCAATTGCAGAAGCAACGAGGAATGCCCTACCATCGTCGAGGGTGTTGCCCGAACCAACGCGCTCAACCTCCAGTTCCGGTTCCCAGAATTCGCCGACAGCACGTTCGAAGGAGGGCGACACTATGGAGGCGCGTTCCTCAAGATCAACAGGTGCAACCACAGTTGTGGGCCCAACGCCGCCTACAGATGGGATGTCTCCAAGCTCGCAGCAACGCTCTACGCTCTTCGCGACATTTCGGAAGGAGAGGAGATTACCATCACCTATGCCGACCCCCTCCAATCTCGCGCTGCACGTCTCAAGAAACTAGAACCTGATTATAGATTCACATGCGACTGCCATTGGTGCACTTTCAAAGATCCTCTAGATCAAGAGAAGTCCGATGCGACACGAGAATACCTCAAGAGCTATGTCTCCACTCACCCATCGTATCGCAAATGGTCCACGGACCTCTGTCTCCCCGACACCTTTGTCATCGATTCCCACATGGCCGTACTTCCCATGATCATTCAGGAAGGCGTAGAGGCCATGCTCCCCTTGTTCTTCGAGGAGATCCTGAGGTGTTATGCCGAACTGGGACACGAGGACCAAGTTAAATTATGGGCTAAGAAGACGATTCGCATAACGCGTTATTCGAACCCTGCTCTCGCTGGCGAGCTGGAGCGCATTGTCGAAGACCCTGTTGGCCATTTCGCAAAATGGGGTTCGAGGACCAAGTTGCGCCAGGTTCAAGGTCGGTTTCATTCATCCCTGATCTTGAACTTATTTATCTAACAACGCTCCAACATTTCCTAGGCCGTCGAGGGAGGAAACAGATCGAAGTGGTAGACGACGATTTCTTTATGGGAAATCTCTTTGGCTCATCCATGGTCGAAGTGGAAGGATAGCGATACCCCTAGCCTCTGCCCAACAATCATTTCGTTAGATTTTGGAAACATACCACGAGTAATAGTACACTGGAATAAAAGTAAAAGTACTTCGACGCGACAAAACGAAACTACAAGATCGTTCGTGAATCGTGAATGAAGGATAGCATAAGTAAGGGTACCTGAAAAGCCCAAGACAGATCAATATGAGTACAATTACACCGAGACGTAATGAAGAGAGGTGGGAGAACAAAGCGACAAGGGCATATAAGTAGCAACAAAAATCCCAAAATAAACGGTATATAAAAGAAACGCAGCAAATGCCAGTCTATCTAAATCCAGTCACAAATACCCCTAACTACTCTTTTAGACAATGCCAAACTTGGCCTTGACAATACCATCCACCAACGCCGCACAACAAGGTCCCCCACATGAGTGTGCCTGCGCCCTCAGCTCCGTTTCCACCTCCCAGATTTTGATCACCGTCTTCATCCCCAATTGTTCTCCTTCTTCCAACGTCACAGGACGACCTCGCAGACATAGCTCTCGATACGCTGACAAGTTCCATTCAGGGATGTGGTATTCTGCAGCGAGTCGAATGCGTTCGACTGGTGTCGTAATGGAGGAGAGTTCCTTGATAGCTCGCTGGCGCAATTGCGGGAAGCGCCACTCAGTGGACAGTTTGAGGATCGAAGTCCATTCTTCCGAAGTCTTGAGTTCGGTGGGTTCAGCAAGGTTCCTGCGGATAACAGCGCGTCAGACTTGTCCAACAGACCAAGAGTCGTATACTCACAAAGGATAGAATAACGATAACAACCTCTCAAAGTCCGTCGAGGACCCCTGGAGAACAATGCGCTCTTGCACAGGCGTGGAGTTCAACGACTCTTTGAAGAAGGTCGAATGCTGCTCGAAGAAATGACGATGGACACGGTATTCCTTATCTTCGACCTGGAAACAAAACGCAACCGTAAGGACACAAACCACCAAGTGAACGAAATGATTGAACTTACAGAGAAAGTAATTGTAGAGTCAGAGAAAGAGAACCTCGATGACGTCGATCCTGTCGCTGTTTGGGAAAGCGCAGCGCTGTCCCATCTTGCCGTCGCATTCAGGGTTGCGGCCGCATTGACAGGAGCGGGCATGCGGGGCGTGGGGAGATAGTGATGTCCAAAGTAACTCGCCGACGGCGGAGAAACACCATACATCGTCCCAGGGGTTTGCCAGGGATATGAAGCCGGCAGGTTCATCGTCCTCTGAGGCAAACTCGACGTTCCATAAGGCAGGCTCGAAGGACCGAGAGCAGGTGCCGGGGGCGGCATGAACGGGGTATTCCCATATGGGTTAGGGAGGCAGGAGAGACCTCGAGAAATGGCCGTCGCGGGTCGAGCTTGCCAGGAGTTCCAATTCGGTTGCACTTGAGCCTGTGGGCCGAAAGGACCTGGCTGGGGGCCCCACGTGCCCTGCCAACCTACAGGAGCGCCCCACTGCCCTGGAACGTGTGCAAGAGGCTGGGTGGGAATGGGCTGTGGAAGCGGAGGAGGATTGGGCGCCGTTACTGCAGGGCCAGCGGGGTATGTTGAAGGTCCGTCTCGCACCCCGGCATCGTGGAAGGAGTCCCTCGCTTGGTCGTACCCCGAAGCAGGCGGTCCGGCAGTGGAAACGCCTGCCGCTGGTTTGGCGGGGGTGCCCTCATTTTTGTCAAGGGCCTTATCACCTCCCGATTGGGCGACGGTTGGAGCGAAAGGCCTGCACGTCTTTGGTGACTCCGTAGAAAGGAGCCCTGACCATGAGAAGAGGTCCGCGGTGGGTGTCGGAGGACGAACGGTCAATCCTGGCGCGATGCATGACTGCTCGGTAGTTGTGCTTGCCGATGAGTAGTAGGTGCCGGTCCATGAAGGCAACTGCGTCCCTTCCTTCGCGGCCAGGTGATTGTGTTGCAGGGATACACCCGAAAGCGGAGGGGGAGTGTCACAAGTACTGGCTGTGCCACTACTGCTCTCGCCGGGGTAACTGACAACATTATTCCAAATCCGAACGCGAGGTCCTTCACGGAAGGTGACAGTAGGTGGAGCGGCCATAGGGATGGTTGACGGAGTGGAAGAAGTTGAGAACGGCGGGGAGGATGGGGAAATGACGGTCGCTCGCCGAATAGCCGCAGCAACTTCAGGCGAGCTTGGGATCGAAGAGCGGTCAGAAGATGCGACATATGAAGGAGGGACGAAAGGGGGAGGGGAGAGGGCCGACCTAACAGAACTGCCACAGGTAGCGCCGGCAGTGCTCTTGGCGTAAATGATTCTACCTTTATTCGCGTTGCTAGATCCTTGAACCCTCCAATCCGGAGTCAACCTGTCTCCCATGGTTGGCATCTGTGTCAGAGACGGAGGGACAAATCCAACAGGGCTGGCAAGTTCGACGGCGTCACTGACCGCTGTATCATGGGGTTCGAACCAACGGAAGTCACGTTCAAAGTCGCAGAATTCGGGGTAAGGGTCCCAATTTTGAACTCGGAAATCGCCAGAAGTTGGACTCCAGGCAGGTGTTTCCAACGTGGGTGGTGAAAGGTGACGTTCAATGGAGCTTCCGGCCTGCGACATAGAGGTCGAGGTGGCTTTGTGGGGTCCGGGCGAGGTTAAATCGTTGGTCGACGAAGGGATAGGAGCGACGTTGTAGTGATGGAACGATGCCTCCTCGAAAGGTGCTTCTTCAAAAGGCGCAGCCTCGGAATCAGACGAGGAAAACGAATCTTCACTTTCCGTCTCACACTCTACTGTGTAACGTCGAGGCTGGGCGCCAGGTAGGCCATTTGCCGACAATGACGAAGGGTGAGATGGGAGCGAGGTTGGCGGTGGCTGTACTGCGTTGGCGGTTGGATGTGAGGATCCGCTGTCAACCCCGCACTCCGACGACGACTCCTTCCCTTGGTGCTGGTCGCTTTCCCCATCGCGGCGCCCGATGTGTAGCTCTTGAGTCTCATTTCCGTCGGATGGTGGGGGGTTGGGCGGGTTTAGCGTCATTCTCTGAGCAGAGAAAACAAGGCGAGCAAGAGCATTCGTTAAAGCCTTAGCGTCACGGTCGTTCAACTCTGAGAATTGAGGATACTGGGATGCAGATCCCAGGTTTTCCTCTTCCTCAAAGCGTACCGACGGTGGTGGATTGAAGCCGATCCTAGGGAAAGGCCGTGACGTTCCGGTCTTGACGGGACTGGCGTGTTGATTCACAGGATCTACCCGTTGCTGGGGATACTCGCCGACTATGGACAAGCGAACGGGCAATGGGCGGGACGGGTGCGAAGTTGGTGATTCCTGGCGCTCAGATGCGACAACGGGTTGAGGCTTGTGGAGGTCCAACGGGGGTATAGCGGAGGCACTGCCCATGGTTGGGGCAAGCGGAGGAGATGGAGGGGGCAGACCGGCGAGGATGGAGGTATTGGATCGGTCCGACCCCTTGTATCCCGGCCTGATAGTTTCGGCATCGCTAGTTGCAATGCTACTATCACACTCTGCTCCCTCCGCGCTGAGGTAGGGCTTCATGGAAACGATAGACGCCAGGACAGACGGCGGCGAAGGGCTCGAAGGTGAACCTGTCCCTTCTGATGACGCCTTTACGGAGGCGCCACGGGGACTAAATGCCGCTTCTTCTCCCGAATCACTGGTCTGAGTCGATGTCGGAGCCTCAACGTCGAAGATCGAAGTCACCGACGTCGGAAGCGACGAAGGCAGATTGGACGACGAAGCATTGAGAGAGCCATAGGTGGCAACCTTGGTGATGCCTACGTCATGGATGTTCAAAATCGGGGATTCGTCAATGTGACATGACCATCCCCAACGATATTGACTTCCGCCATTCGTCGAGCTGGGCTGGTGCACCGGCCAGACGCGCATATCCTCGCTAGACGTAGGTGATAGTACCGTGGTCGAACCCGAAGAAGGCTGTAAGTGATGTGCGTCTGGCGATAGCGTCGCTCCGAGTCGTGAGCTTGAATCAGATAAGGCATCCGCTGCGCTGTGGAATGGCTGTGATTCAACCGCTGGAGGTGAAGAACCCTCCGGTTTTGTGGTAGCGGTGGGACTAGCGTCCGAAGCGCTCGATGCTTGTTGGCTCCTCCTCGAAGTTGCGCGGGAGAGTAGCGTTATGATTGGTGTCGTGTCAACATTCGGTTTTCGCTGTGTCCGCTGGACGTTATCAGCACCGCCCATGCTCGAAATGGAGTCTAGACGACGGCGAGAATCAAAGGGTCAGTCAGCACATCGTCTCTTCTTAAGCAGCCAGCGTACATACCGCTGGCAATATAACGCATTGGAGATTGCTCCGCAGTCTGAGGAGCGCTGGGATTGCTAGCACCGCTCGAGAAGCTTACGATACTGGGCGTGCGCGAGCTTAATGAGCCTAGCAACGAGAACTCGGATTCGTCTGAGAGGTCGTCGACGGCGACGTCGACAATCTGCGGGGAAGACAGGTTCCTTGGCGAGCTCGAAAAGCTGGTTATAGGGACTGAGCTCGGTGGAGGGGTACTAAAGCGACCGCCAATCTCAGAGGTCATGGTGGTTTGGGAAAGGGATAAGAATGGCAGGCAGTGCCCGATGATGTGGACCCCTGCGAACCCCGCTCTGATCTATTTGGACAAGCTTGCCACCTTCCTTTTGATTAGCGCCCGATTTATACAGCCCAATGAGAGCGCAAACAACGCGAGTCTGTTCGGCAATCTAGCAAACCCGGTCGTCTATCACATTTTCAACATGGATTTTCCCGCCAAGATGCACTTTAGGGCCTCGTGTATAGACCCTGCAGCTGCGAGCGTCCCAAACACACTTCGAAATCAACTCGTGTCAGAAGTTGCTGTGAATGTGACCAGACCCTCCAGGAACCGCGCCTCCAGGCAGGGTTTTATGTATCCTTCAAGATTCGAAACATTCGTCAATTACCGGGGCATTGCGATACAAATACAGTTATATACATCATAGAGAGGTTCAGTTGATCCTTCATGCCCTTCACTCACACGTTTTGATTCCGAACTTCTTCTTGATATAAGTTTCAATCGCTTTCATGGCGTGTGTGTCGACGTGAGGGTAGTCACTAGCGGAATTTTGAGGCTTCGCAAGACCGCAACAAGCACGGTAGGTAGGCCGCATGACGTCTGGGAAATGAGTCCTGATTTGGTCCTGGGCGTGCCAGATCTTCATAGCGGTCTCCAAGCCAAGTCTTCGGGCGTCCTCAAGGGTGACTGGGTTACCTCCAAGACAAAGGCCTTTGAGAACGTCGAGAAGGTATGCCTCCCAGTCTGGCTTCTCATCATCGACCTTCTTCGCATCTTTCAGCGGGTCCCAAGGTGTGGCCATGTTAGCGGGGGGTATGTAAGGACTGTAAGGGCCGCCCCAGGTGCTGAGCACAACGGGTTCCTTCGCCGGGTTGAGTTTGACGTATTTCTTAGCGACGATGAACCTATCGACAAGGCTTCCAACGTCCTTGTAGTGAGCCATGACTTCCTTGCAGAGGGTGTGGAATTCCCAGCGCGTGGCGAGACTGAAGATGGCTTGCGCACGCTGAAGAGAAGTCATGGACGAGCCCGCTTCGGCTCGGTCACCTGTGTTCTCGAAAATGTTCTCGCCAGGCCTATCAGAGCAACAGACTTTAGGTTCCCATAAATGTGGCGAGATGAGTGGGAAAAGACAAACCTAGCGTACAACGCCTTCAAGAAGGCTTCAAAAGCGTCTGCCGTTGCCGTATAAAGGGAGATAGTGACAATGTTGTCCCTTTCAATAGGGAATGACGCGAGTGCCTTTTTGAAGACGGCCGAACCATTTTCAAAAAGGTAACGATGGACACGGAATTCGTAGCCTTGCACCTAGACGTCGACTCGTCAGTGAGACGTTCGTTGCATCACAGCACCCTAGATGCATACCACAAAAGCAAGACTGGCATCCGAAAAGTAATAAACCGGATGTACCACCCCAGATTGACCAGGATAGAAGACACGATACGGATAGATCACCTCGCCGGATAGGCTGCACAGCGACGGACCCCTGGTGGGGTAGGAGTACAGACTAGGGGCGGGCGGTGCGAACACGCCTGTTGGAGCGACTGGTGGTGCAAAAGGCGGATAACCACTGGGTGCAATCGGCCTCCCTTGTGGATAGATGTATCCATTCATTGCGTCCCAAGGTCTGCACGCGTCACACACCGTCGATCCCGTGTGCGCAAGAGGGACAGAGCACTTGCTGCAATACCCAGCCGGGGCAAAGGGAGGCATGATAAGAGGGGGCGGGGAAGGACTGAATCTTGGAAAGGGAGCTGGGACAGCTGTTGGACTGGGAAGACTCCGGTTCGATGACCAAGGTGACTGGGTCGGTGAAGCCAGAGATGGGATATAGGGCGCAGAGACAGGAATAGGCCCGGTGTTCGTGTCGCGAGTATCCCCCTGGTTAATATTCAGTAAGATAAGAGGTTGACGTTACGAAGAAACACGAACCTTGATCGACTGCGGGAAGAGAGGTTGTGGGATCGGAAGGTCCGGCAAAGGATTTCGACTACGCCTGCGAGAGAACCGAACGTTCTTGTTGTCCTTGTCCTTGACGCTCATCCTTCCAAAGTTGTTCGCAAGAGCTTCAAGGTTGTTGTTGGGCGCACCCATGAAATCATATCGGGAATTGATCAGCACAGTATTTATCGCGGCTTCGGGACAGACGTCGCAGGTCTCCGGGGTGGAAGGCGATCGAGATCGTGGGCTGACGGTGGTTGCGGGCGACGACGACCTGGACCTGGACACCGAGCGAGCGTTGGAGCCAGAAAGCTTAGCAGACGGTACGGAATCTACACTGACCCAATCCTTGTTGCTACGGCCAGAGCCATCGCTAGAGGGGGGTACAATGACAGTGGGCCCAAGAGGGCCGGGTACTGCGGAGGAGGTATCGACAGCGGTCGGGACCTTCACTTGTGCGGGACCACCAATGCCAGAAGGGAAGGTGATGGGCATGGTCAAGTGGAGGGTGACCTCTTTAGGTGCGCCCGGGGTGTTGCCAGTGGCGTGTGCGGTAGGCTCGACGGCGGGAACCTGAGCGGGTGTAGGCACCCCCTGGTTCTGAGACCGGCCAGATCCCGTGGCGGGATGGGTATTGGAGACGTCTCCTTGAGATGGGTTTCCAAGTCCAGTTAAGCGTTCTCCAGGGTGGGGAGCAGGAAGGTATGATCGTCGCTTGGAACGACCAGACGTGCGACGAGAGGGGACAGGCGGGGCAAACATTCCATCGCCCCAGCGGCCTTGAAGATCCTCCCTACTCATTCGAGGAGGACCAAGGTAGGGAGCTTGGAGGATGTTAGGTGGGTAGTAGGACGGAGAAGCAGAGGAGGCGTTCGTGTTGGTGGATGTCATGTTATCGGGAGGAGGGAAAGATACCATCCAGCCGTGGGGACCTAATAGCCCTCAAGTTACACCTTTATACAAAAATGAGTGGCTGGAGATAAGAATAACCTTTGTCACAACACGCCTTTGCGGTTCCATTTCCCCGAGTCAGAACCTTGTCATGCAAACCGATGCTGATTGGGTGAAAAGCGGTCGAAGAAGCTGTTGGGCGCCTACTGGTTCAGCGCGTGATCTGGACCTTGGCATACTAGTAGTAGTCATAACCGATGCCCGTCAATCACTGAGCGCGGCCATATGACCCTAGGTTATCGTTTATTTTTGGCTACCCAAGTACCGCCTTTGTTATCATCTCCTCGAAGCCCGGGTTGACCCATTGGATGCAGCTCCTATCTATCAGAGGGTTATCGATTAGACGGTATAGAAAATGAGAACTTCCAGTGGGACTAGTGACTGGGAACATCGAACAAGCAGGTCGTCAAGCGCGAACGACGACATTCATGCCTCTGGATTAAGCGGCAATTGCCGGGCGTCGGTTCCCACTCGCCCCAATCAGACCGCCACGCGTCGGCGTTTAGCCCCTAATTTGAGTCTCATCACCGCCCATCGACGCGTCAAGCTACTGCCTGCTTAATATAAATACAAGAGGTGAACCCGAAAATGTCATACTACCGCCCAAGCACGATTGGATCCTGCGTTGTCCCCGTACCAGTTACAGCTATAGCACTGCTCCCTTGGTATGCTTTCGACGACGACTGAGCTGGCAACTTCCATGAAACCGTGTTGGAAGAGTCTGGAGGTCCGCGACCGGATAGATACAGCTTGACGTGGGTCTTCAGTAGCCGGTCCACAAGAGCACCATCAACTGTTTCTGTCTTCATTCGATTGCGCTATAAAAAGGGGTCAGAATAGTATGATTGGAGATGGAGATGGACGTACGATTGCAAAGCAGACGCCTCGATACACATATCCGTAGAGATCCTTCCATTCAGGATGCTTCTTGTCAACAACGATATTATCGCGCGTTGGGTCCTTGGTCTGTGCGAGATAGGCGATCGTTGCCTTCTTGATTTCCTGAAAGCACCGCAGTCAGCATTCTCGCGCAGGCAGCGCATACATCCACGACTTACAGATTTATTCGCCTTCTCCAAAGCGGCGGCCTCAGCCTCCTGCCCACTGACTGGCGCCTTCCCTTTCCCCTTCCCATTCTGCACTTCAGCCACATCTCCAAATACATCCTGCGCCTTTTCCTTCCCCTTGCTCTGCCTATGGGGTACTTCTGGAACCTTGAACACGTCGTTCGAGCTGGAGGTACCTCCAACCAGTTTAGGCCTCTTCGTAACGCCATTAGCAGAAGCCGCGAAGCTTCCACTTCCAACGCGTTTCAACTCGTTGACTTTGCCGATCTTTCCTGTGCCAATTGCGAAAGCCAAACTCCCTTTACTCTCCGCTCTCTGTATCTCGCGGGCAAATAAGATAGGTGGCTTCCGTGGGATGGGATCGTCAGGACGTGGTAATCGTTTTTTGGGCTGAGGTCGTTGAGTAATTCGGCCAACGCACAGTCGGATGGTTTGTGCCGGGGCCGGTATGGGGTTCGCGGATGTCGAGGGTGCATTTGGATCTATTATTGTTGTTGAAGGCTTAACTTGAGCATAGATAATAATTTGCGTCGTTTCAGGACCATCTGAGTGCGGTTCAAAGACGGGCCTCGCGCACGAATTCACTGGACCCTTCACATACCACTGTCTCCCAAAGCCACTTTGACACCAAAATCGGACCGCGTTGTATTCAATTGAGAAGGGTCGGAGGAGGAGAATGGCTTAAGGCAAAAGGTATTCTCAAAGTATATCCGAGACAGCATGGCTCTTGGATGGATGTCCCTGTGCGAAACGTGAATACTGTGCGATGCAGAAGGTTTGGGAAGGAGACTCACAGCTCGACGTTTCCAGTCTCGTCCATGTAGATATCTGCGAGTTTGACGATACCTTGGAGCCTAAGACTCGGCCGGCCACGCATACTCTCCAACGCCAAAGCCAACGGATTCTCCAACAGGGAATAAGATTTGGTGTGTTTGGAAGGCGAATCCAGTCGCGCAGAGAATGTCAGACCATCTAGCAGCAGATGGGAGTCTGGCAGAGACAGTGCACCACGGTACAGAAGTCGATAGGATGACGAGCATTGATTAGGCGTCGCGATGGCCTTGGGAGGATTCGACTTCAGCGACGCTCCTGGTGTCGTCGGCTCCGTCTTGCTGTCCGTTTGAACGGGAGGAATGACGTCCAGAGCCATTTTTATTGTTTATTTTGGGTGTCTTGACATGAGGTCGACCAGCGGAGCGGCGAGGGAATTCGTAAACGTCGAGCTCACTGTTTGTGACGGAAACGACAAACAGGCGCTCGCGAACCGTCACGAATCACATGACGCGGCTGTCACGCGTTCACGTCACACCCGTGAAATAGGGGCAATGTTTCGCGTTCACGATTCCCTCCTTGACTGTCTCGAACGCGTGAGCCACATTTGGGAGAGGAGCTCCTTTCGACATAAGATTTTATATTAACACAGTAGCCACGGACACATTAAGTAGAGCATAGCTAAAAATCGAAATCGAACGATTCACTGTTCACAAAGCAAAAGGCGAGTAAAGAAGGTCGAACAATACCAACCTTCATTATGCAAATCTGGCGCCGCGAGTCAGTTCAAAGACGCAAAGAAACGGGACCTTCGGTCAAGGAGTTTAGACACGGAATTGGTCCAGTCCTCATGGGAATCTTGATCGTCCTTTTCAGAATCCTCCACCCAGGTTTCCCCATCCAACAAATCTTTGCCAAGGTTGAGAGGAGAGCCCCAGTGTTTGGTGTCCGAGTCAGACTCGTCCTCGCTGTAGTCGGAATCCAGGACAGGGACGATGCCAATCGGCAAGGTTGCGTCGGTGGATTCAGAATCGGAATCGCTGGGTTCTCCGGTAATGCCGGAGACATCAACGGGGAGGCCAGAGAGGTCGACAGGAACGGAAGGAAGGTCCGAGTCAGTGGGTAGAGAAGTGATGTCCAACCCAAGGTCCTCGATGTCAACAGGAAGCGCTCCGGATGTGGTGTCGTCTCCAGTGACAGCGGTGATGTCAACGGGCAGATCGTCAGCGACAGAGCTCCAGCCATCGCCAGAGCCGGTCGAAGGTAAGACCGAGCTTGCTGGGGATTTTGAGCCGCCAAACCAGCCGAAGAACTTGGAGAGGATGTCACTGGAAGACTCGGAATCATGGACACCGACACCATGATCCGTCGTGCTACCGTCATGATCGTTTCCGACGCTCACATCCATATCGCTCTTGTCGGTAACAGCGGGAACTGGCTTCTTGTTCGTCACGATCGTGGACGTCTTGTCTATGGTATCTGAAGGGGAAACAGGTAGGCTGATCCCTGCAGCCTTCGAGTCGGCCTGGTGATCGAGGGTGGACGTAAGGGTAGGTGCGCCGAGTGGTGACTTGGGATCCTTTGACAAGTCAAAGTCGAAATTGTCAAGAGGGTTCCCTCCGTTGGAAGCGACAGGAACAGGAAGGGAGGGAGTGTACCCGTCATTGAGAATGTTCGAGTTGGCGTTGCCACTGGGAATGGGAATGGGAGCAACAATGGCGCCAGAGTTGCCTGAAGGGTTGAATCCTGTGTTTCGTCACATTGTGAACCAGGAAAAGAGAACACTGTACGTACCATTCGTATAGGGCAAGGAGGTACCTGGGAAACTGGCAATGACATTGGGGCTACCGCCGGTCCCTGCATTAGAGGACGCTCCCGTTCCAACCGTGTTGCCTGGGACTACACCGACGTTAGACCCAGGGATAGCAATGGGAGCCGGCGACACCCCTGTCGATCCAGAGAACACGGGGATCGAGTTTGCGGTGGAGCCTGCGCCGTTGACGTCGGATACGATGGTATTACCTGCGGAGCGACCGGTTAGGACAGGGTTAAGAGGGAGAAATTACACAACGCGAACCTGCGTTTCCAGGAAGAACAACTCCTCCATTGGAACCGGGTACAGGAATCGAACCTGAAGATACACTGGTGGATGAAGTGGAGCCAGAGCTGATCGAACCATTCGGGAGGGAGCCGGGGGACACGGGAAGGGGACCAAAGGCACCAGTACTGACTGGAAGGGATCCAGCGTTAGAGCTTCCGTCGCCTAGGGGGAGAGAGCCTGTGGTAAGATCTGACCCAATGGCCTGAGGCAGAGTGTTCGCGCCCGAATCAGCGTTGACGGGAAGAGAGCCGGTATACGCGCCCGGATTGATTGGAAGAGAACCTGTGGTCGACCCCGCGTTGAGGGGAAGAGGTCCTGCATTGGGAATAGAGCTGACAGGCAAGGGATTTCCATTAGAATCGAGGCTCGCAGGGAGAGAGCCTGAACCAGGAGAGAAGCTACCCGTGGTGGTTGTGCTGGCGCTGAGCGGGATCGATCCTGCGGCGGGGACAGATCCGATAGGAAGAGGATTTCCGTTGGCATCCAAGTTTCCGGGCAACGAGACTCCACCAGAAGCAGGGTTGATTGGAACGGACGAACCAACATTGAAAGGAAGAGAGCTTGTGTTAGGAACAGAGCCGACAGGAAGAGGGTTGCCGTTCGAATCAAGGTTCACCGGGAAGGCGCCTGAACCTGGAGAGACGCTCGTAGATACACCTCCAGACACGGGGTTAATAGGCACGGAGGAGCCAGCGTTGAATGGCAGCGATGCTGTACCTGGTGCAGAGCCGACTGGGAGGGGATTTCCATTGGAATCAAGGTTCACAGGGAGGGAGCCCGAACCAATGACGCTGGTCGACGGACCGGCGGCTCCAGTGTTGGGAAGCGAGCCGACAGGAAGGGGATACCCATTGGAATCAAGGTTACCTGGGAGGATGACTCCACCCGAAGCAGGGCTAATAGGGATGGGGCTTCCAGACACTGCGCCGCCAGCGTTGAGAGGGAGACTCCCGGCGCCGGAGACAGGGAGAGAGCTGCCGGGAAGGACAGCTCCACCTGAAGCAGGGCTGACAGGAATAGAACCCGCGGCGGTTGAACCGGCGTTCAACGGAAGAGATCCAGCATTGGGAAGAGAGCCAGCGGGGAGAGAGTCAACACCTGAATTAGCGCTGCCTGTGAGGGAACTTTCGATGGTTGAGGCAGTAGAACCAGAATTGCCCGCCGCAGGGCTGACTGGAAGACCTATGGTCCCAGTATTCGGAGCCTTGACGGGGAGGGATGGCGACGAGAACGGCGAAACTGGGAGAACCACACCATTCTGGCCAAAGGTACCACCGGTACTTCCTTGTCCGAGGACGACATCAGCGCCTTTGGAGCCAGTAGTAACACTGTTGGTGTTCGCTCCCAGAGAAGATAGCTGGGAGTCCACGTCGTCTGAAACCGGGTTCGAGGATGTAGAAGTGTCCGAAGAGGAAGAATGACCACTGAAGAAGTTCTTCAAGACGCCATCGCTGCCGAAAAGTCCTCGTCTATTAAGGATCTGGGCCGCCTTGCTGGCGTCAGCGACGTCGGGGGTTTGGACTATCAAAGGGTGTTAAGACGGAAACGATAGTCACTGCAAGAATACTCACCCAGAGCAGGAGGCGTAGCAGCCGCAAAATCAGCTGCATGAACCTGGCGCCTGTGTTGAAGGCCAATCCGTTGATGCGGGATGGCTAGGCCCATGTTGACGACCGTAAGAGTCGGTATAAGAATGTAAAACGAACGCATGGCGTGTAAGCCGAAAGATTGAAGAATAGTATGAACTTGGAGCTTCGAGCAGAAGAACGAAAAGAGACGCTGGAGGGGCCATAAACGCTCAGTGAGAGTCCTTATAGGGCCTGAAATTGGGGCTGACTTGCACCTCTCGCTGGTTCTATTTCAAAAGGCTGTGGCCACCGTCAGCCTTTTGATCGTTCTTTGACTGTTTTGAAATGCGTGCTGCTCTGATTATCGCTTGAATACATTTGTTTGAATGGCCAACATCGAGGTCGAAGAATAAACCGCGCAGTGGCCATGTGGATGAAGACAAATGCCGGTTACATAGATTGCCGGATGCCGTACAACCGAAGGCGACGTCCCGCGTGCTTTTGGACAAGGCAGTGATGATGTCAACACACGAGACGCGCTTCCAGCATCGCTCCGACCTCAAAAACCTTGTTTCCAACTTCCACATCGACGCCCACGTACACCCAAATCCACCATGAGCGACAAAACCGACATTATAGTCTTCGGCGCAACAGGTTTCACAGGTCGACTGATCACTGAATATCTAGCAACACATCCCCAGAAAGCTCTGTTCTCGTTAGGCGTTGCAGCTCGATCCGAGTCTAAACTCCGTGGTGTCTTGCAGGAACTGGGATTGGGCGAGAGCGGCATACGTACCGTGACGCTAGACGTGACCGACCCTGACAGTGTAGAAAGGGCTGTGAAGGCGGCTCGGGTGGTCGTGAACACTGTTGGACCGTATTGGAGATGGGGGACACCGGTTGTGAGGTGCGTGTCATAGAGATTGTCTCGAAACCCCGTTGCCTCACACGAATGACAGGAGCTGCGTCCGAAACAACGTTCACTACGTGGACTTGACCGGAGAGGGCTGCTGGATTCATGAGCTCATCACTCAGTGAGCAAGTAATTGCTTGATTCTACGATCCTAACTCACCGAGACCCTCAGATTCGACTGGCTGGCAACGAAAAACCACACCGTCATCATCCCGTCGTGCGGATACGACTCTATCCCTTCTGACATTTCAGCCCATCTCGCTGTTAAGACTCTCCATGAACATGTCGCTGCTAATCATCCGGACATCCTTGCCAGTGTCGGACATGTTGGTCTCAGCACTTCCATCAGCGCTCACCGCCTCAAAACAGGAATTTCGGGTGGAACGTTGGCCTCGTTCATTACTGCTATTGAAGAGGTTCCTCCAGAACTCCGTAAAATATCCGGAAACCCTTTCTTTATCAGCCCCAGTGGGTTGTCTCTCCCTGTTTTGATGAACGTCAATGCTGAGCTCCTCCAGTCAAGGGTACGCCTTTGCCATTCCCCAAGCTGGTCTACAGTCTGCCCATACCCGGTGGAAACCCGATCGTTGGAAGCTTCTTCGTGATGCGACCAAGCAATGCAGCCATTGTCCACCGTACAGCAGGATTGATCGAGTTGCAAGCGCGCACCGGTGCGTTCTCAGCGTGCCCTCTTGCTAGGAACTTATCTGACAAATTTGGCACAGCTCGTTCAAAATTGCACCAGGATCCTAAACTTGAGATTCAGCGTTACGGTACATCCTTCGCCTATGATGAATTCTTGGCCGGGCCGTCCAAGTTCTCAGCCTTCTTCTCGTCGATTTCCCTCATCTTTGGCCTCCTGCTTGTGAGGCTCTTCAAGCCAGTGCGTATCACCACATGCCCATACCTTCCTACCCGCTTGCTTATCCAAACTTCCTACAGCTGCGCAGGCTTATCCTCCAGAAGATGCCTTCAGGCTCTGGGCCTTCGATTGAGTACGTCCTGCTCTACGACTCGTGTGGCAACTCTATTAAGTCGTGTGCCGTTTAGCCAAAAGGAAACGGGATACCTCCACCTCACAAACATCTCGACTTCAGCCGACATCCCCTCCCTCCCTCCAGTCAAGGTCAAGACCGACGTGAAGATCAAGGGTGATCCTGGCTATTACAAGACCGCAGTTATGATCTCCGAATCCGCCCTCTCCCTCCTCCTGCCTCCCCCTTCTGCACCTTCGCATGTGAAAGAAAACTACAACCCCTTCGACGCGTTGCCCAGCATGGCGAGAGAGGGAGGCATCTTGACGCCCATGACAGCCCTTGGTGATGTTTTGATCCAGCGACTGAGGGATACTGGGTCGTTCGAGTTTAGCAGCAGCGTCGTCCAGGATCCTGAGGATCGCAAGCGCATCTGAGTGACCTTTCGAGTGTTTGTTGCATGGACCTTTGCTTCGTATTTATTCATTCGCCTTGGACTCTAGTTTATTACCTTTGGTGTTCTGGCCCACTCATAATCCTTTTGGTGCAGTACTTACCCACTCATTTCCCCGTGAAGCCCGATGCACTCTTTGTTTCTCACTTGTTGCCGCTAGACACGATGGCTCGGATGTTTGACGTGTAGGGTATCGATTCGTCCTCGAATTGCACATCACTAATCCGAATCAAAACCAGAGAACAGCTCGAGGCCACCGTCCTCATCGGTGGACATTTCGCGTAACTCGGAGCCGCTAGTCTCGTATCCCGACGAGGTTGCGTATTCCCACTCGCCCCCGTCGTACGACGAATCCTCACTCCCATATCCACTCTCTTCTGGCGGCTTGAATGCATAAACTCCCCCCACTTCATGGATGATACAAAGATCCATAAACCGAACTTCGTACGAGTCTCTAGGTGAGATGACAGACCAAGGCGGGAGTCGATAGGGAAGGTCTTGGAGGTGGTGTAGTTGATAGTCGAGGATTCGCACTCGACGCAACGATGGGAAGAGTTGAGTACCAATAGGGTATCGGTTACGTATATCACGGTAATACGCCTCGATTTCAGGACGCCAATTTCGATCCGTAGGGGCTGCACACCATACATCGATCCAACGCAGTGCTGGATGTGCAAACGTCTGATACCCAAAGATAAGGTACCCATCCAAAATGAGATGATCGAGGGAAGGACAGAGTATGGCCAAATCGAGTACATCGAGAGCGGGTCCTGGGTTGTAACCCGTGCTGATTAGGTAGCTTCCGCCTTCTGATTCAAGTTGCAGTTCTTTTAGGCCTTTGCCATGTGCGGTGAAGAATTCCTTGAGTATGCCTGACAGCTCTTCTACGCTGGGTGGACGGAGGGTGGGGAGCTGGAGCATCACCCGCCGTAGACGAGGCATCCTCCAGGTGCCCTTCAACCCAAGGAACCGGTAGCGACACTCTAGCGTCTCCAGTCGCGGCAAGTTCACCTTCAAGGGCCTGTCTTGTCTGTCCGCGAAGTAGCGTTGGATGTTGACATCCAGGGATAACTGGGTCAATCTGTCAAAGACCCCAGACCCATGGTCGAGAAAGTCTCGGGAAAGCACGCCCACTTTGAGAGACGAGTCGTATACGATCTTCAGGTGTGACATTGGTTCGTGCTTGAAGACCGGAAAGCGTAAGCCGCACGGGATGGAGCAGCTGTCGGCCCAGGGCAGGTTCCAGCGTCTCATTGAGAATTCCCTGAGATTGGGTGCGCGATCGACGACCGATTGAAGAGTTTTGCCGAATTTGTGTTGCCAAGTTATGCTTATCATGCAGTTGATGTGCAATACTTTGATCAAGGACTGGTTGTCGGGATGTTGTTTGAGGGATTTCAGCAGCAAGAACAGTTGGATAGGGTGTCTGATCTGGATGTATTCATAAAGGTATGGCTTGACGATATTGTACCACTCTTTGCAGACCGACATGTGCGATTTTTGCTCCGATGTCACCAGACAGGCGTAAGAGAATTCATCGAGGGCATGATCTTGTTCGAGAAGGTAGTGCGGTGGGAACGTTCGGTCGAAGATCTGCTGGAGTATCTCGACTGGAGGTTGGACAAAACCGAGTGGCCATGGCATGCGTCCGTCCGTTGCGAGACCCCTGGAAGCGTTGCTTGTTTGAATAGATTGGTTGGATTAGTTACAAAAGCCTCACCTCAAAGGACTTGTGGTGGTGATGGTGGTACCTAACAAAGCGGTCGACTTGACTCGAGATCTGATTCGATCATTACATAAGGTCACTCCCATTTGTAGCTCCGCCAAACTCCGAGCTCTACGGGCATTGGGCGCTAATCCTAGTTGCACGCAATACCCCGCAAAGATAGTGGATTGATTCGAGTACGGAGTACTGAAGGCTAGCACATGCTACAGTTATTCGGAGTCAAAGCCAGAGAAGAACTCTTTGCCCCCATCCGATTCTGGCTCTGAAGACCATGCCTCGCTCGAGCTCCCCTCGCTGCTCTCATAATACCCTGAGGAACTCGCATATTTCCACGTCGCGTCCTGGCCGCCCGGGCTCTCATTCTCCGGCACCGCGGCTGTGCCAAACACTCTTCCTTCTTCGTGCCGAATAAAGAAATCTGCGAAACGAATCTCGTACGAATCGCGAGCTGAGGTGACAGACCAAGGTGGAAGTCGGTGAGGAAGGTCTGGGAGGTGAAGCAACTGCGAGTGGAAAAACCGAAGGCCAAGGAAAGATGGCAAGGACTCGCGGGCATTGGCGTGCTGGAGGGCTCGCAATCGCAGGTACTGCTCGCTTGTAGGAAACGAAGAGTAACGTAACCAGACATCGATCCACCTGATGGTCGGGTGCGCGAGTGGTACGTTGCTCGGGGAACCCTGACGAACAACTAAATGTTCAAGGGAGGGGCAAAGTAGATGTAGATTAAGTTCAAGGGCAAGAGTAAACGCGAGCTCTAGTCGTCGTAGGCCGCGACCGTGGTCGTGGAGAAAGCCAATGAGGGCATGTGGATCGCTCCAATCGATTGAGAAGTTCTTTAGACGAGGCATCTTCCAGGTTCCTCGGAGTCCGGTGAACTCCAAGTAGTGGTGAAGGTCCAGAGTTTCTAAGACAGGTAGGTCCAGATCAAGAGCTTGATTCTGACTGTCTGTGAAGTATTTGTCGTAATCCACATTGAGGGACAATCGCGTTAACCTGTCAAAACCTCCATGAGGGAAATCTTGAGGCTGGGTGTGGTTGAGCCGCGAGTCGAGCGTAGTAAAATACGATATTCCCAGCCTCATATTGTCTTGCTTGAAAACGGGAAAGCGGAAGGCGTCCGGAATGTCGGGGTCTCCAGTTACACTCCATCCTTTCATCGAGAAATCCGTGAGATTGGGAGCACGATCGACAACGGATTGAATGGTCTTGAAAAACTTCTCCGCCCAAGCTGCCCCCACCACGCAGCTCACTGAAATTCCCTTGACTAACGGTTGATTTTCCGGGTTTCTTTTCAGGGAGTCCAGGAGCATGAAGAGCTGCGTCGGGCGTCTGATGTGAATCTGCTCGTAGAGGTAGGGCTTGACCACGTTGTACCACGATTGGCAGACGGACATAAGCGACTTCTGATGGGCGATCGCCATGCAGGCAAATGCATGTTCTCCAAATGCATGCTCCCAATCGAGCAAGTAGTGGGGTGGAAACGTCCGGTCGAAGATTTGCTGAAGAATTTCAACGGGGAGGGGCGGGTAGTGGGCCACGGTTGTTGGCTCTATCGGTGATTCTGCCATGGCCAGCATCTGGAGGTCATCGCAAAGATCACTGGTCTCCGAGTCGTCAATGGAGGAGTCATATTCTGACTTCATCTCCAGCTCATCACTGTCGTATCCGGCTAGTCTCCCTCGCCTCAACTGCTCAAATGCCTGCACCATCATCCACTCCCGGCTATCGTCCAGTCCATAGCACTTCTCGTATTGCTCGATAGTCGCATCCACGCCCTCTCGTATCCCAGAGAACAGTCCTTTCTCGTAGGCCACATCCCAAATCCAGCGGTGTTCGATGGGCAAGTCGCTCCTCGTGGTCGCCCGCTGTTCTGACGTGAGAATATGACGGTCTTTCTGAGGTCCTTTGCCGTTCGAGGTTGATTGTTGAGCCTTATCCTCTGGATCAGCGGACATCTTCGGTTGAGTCGTAATCTCCAGTCGCTGGATCTTCTTCGTAAATCCTTTGGTGGGCCGTTATATAGCTTGGTGACTGGTGTTGGGCCTCGTGGTGACGTGCTGGCGATGTGCGGTAACTAACTGCAGCTGGTCAACTTCTGCTCTTTACGTTGCGTGATGTAACAGTCAAGTCGCACATTTTTCACTATATGAAGCAGTTCCCGTAGTCTCTATCGCTGGTGCTGGCTAGGAATCGCGTCGAGGCACGTCGCTGGTGGTGGCAAGAGCAATGGGGCATCGATTGATCGAGGAGCTATTTAAATTGCCTCCGAGCGATACTAGTGGTTTGATCTAATCTAATCTCTGCTAGTACTATGTAGACGAGTCCCACCACTACCTAAGCTTCAAGTTACACTCGCAACGTTACCAGTCAGCTCTGGATAGCGGTGCATCTAAATACCATTACATAGAGTGAAGCGGATTATGAATTGGATATCTGAGTCACAGGGGGTGATCGTGTCGTATGCATGATAACACCACCCCTCCCTCCAGTCGTTTTTGAACTGGGCCACCAGAACTCTGGAAGCCCCTTTCTGAAAAGATATTTCATGGATCACCACTGACAGGTATCGATTAGTCCCTGCATTCTCTTTTATATCCGTGTCCATTTCTAAAAGCAATGGACATACTCGACGAACTCGCCAAGCCTGAAATACCTTTCCAAACCTTGCTCGACAAACGCAACTATTCCCTCTGCATGCGTCACCCCCAATTCTATTTCTCAGACGGGAATGTTACCTTTCTTGTAAGACTCACCAGCTTCATTTTTAATATCGCTCACTCCCATCTGTATCATTAAAGGTCGAATCCGTACTAGTCCGAGTGCATCGCTATTTCTTCCAACGAGATTCCCCCGTCTTCGCCTCGATGTTCTCTCTTCCCCCGCCTCCAGGGGAAGGTCCAGAGGGAGCTTCCGACGAGGGCCCAATAGTGCTGGAAGGAGTGAAGCTCGGGGACTTCGAGCGTTTCCTGTCAGTCCTATACCCCAAGTACGCCATTAAGCGCCCGTCTCATCCCGTCTGCTGACTCCGACCTAACAGGGATTTCCATAGTGGAAACACATTAGCTACAGAAGGTTGGATATCGACCCTCAAGCTAGCGTCCTTGTGGCAATTCACATCAATCACCAAACTCTCCCTATCCAAGCTCACCAAACTCACCTCTACTTCCCCAATCGACCGTATTCACATCGCGAGGCAATTGTCTCCCTGCATCCCCGAACTCAGCACCTGGTTCATGACCGCATACTTAGATCTGTGCACCAGAGACGAACCGTTGAATTTGGAAGAGGGCGAAAAATTAGGGATGAAAGACGTCATTCGGATCGGGGTGGTCAGGCACCATATTCGATTCGTCAAGGGGAGCGATTTGGACAGGTCGAAAGACATGGTGCTACTCCTCGTTGCACAGACCTGGGGGAAGGATTTGTACCATTAAACGCGGTCTACGATAGAGCGAAGGTGATTGCTTGTCGGAGTCATACATGGGGAGGTAGGTACATACAAGGCTGGACAAGAAGCAAAGAAGGGGTACAGGTAGCACAGCGGAATGTCCATATAGTTACAACACATATGAAAGGAATAGAAAGTAGTCTATGGACAGCAGGTATCGCATGAGAGTCGTAAAGTGCAAGCGTAGAAAGAAAGAACGTGGAAGTTAATGCAGAAAGCGTGCGTAGAAATCAAACATACTCGAGGCCGGGACTGGGACTTCTCTGCCGATTGATGTTCATGTTAGGGCTCAAAGTTTGCGGAGCAGGCTGCCCGTCTGGCGCATTGAAATACGCAGGATCCAGGTACGTGTCCGGGTCGTATCTCGAGTGCATCGAAGAACGCGACGCAGATCGATAAATGACCTTGGGTTGGGCATCCAGGTACTCCGTTGTTCCAGAGGTTGCGTCGCGAGGATTGAAGGAACTAGTGCTAGCGGGACGAGAGGCCATTTTCGGCGGTCCTCCATCAGGCGCCAGTAAGTCGGAGGGATAAGTCACAGGGCCCATGGCACTCGCGGAGCGTGAATGGCTGCTTCGCACTGACCGAGCATCTGCCGGGCGGGCAGGAGGCTCGCTGTAACTTTGAGTGACCTGATGTCCAGACTTGTAGCTTCTCTTGGACGTAGTCGAAGACGCATAGTTCGGTTCTCGTCTGTGGGTAATAGGAGGCGTTCGAAGAGGTTGGTAGACATAGTTTGGCGATAGATGGTTATTGTCCATTGGTCTTGGACGAGCCGAAGGTTCCGGTGCTGCAGTCTGTAAGTGACGAACGAAGTAAGGTTCACTGTAATGGTTATCAAGTAGCGTACTCACTGCCGGTTGGACGTCGATCTGGATGGTGTCAGAACGACCAGTCGAGTGGCTTTGGACGGGCATTGGAGGAGGCACCTGACCCCAGTGGGCTTGTACGGAGGGGTGTTGCAGCCCATTGGGATTCTGCAAAGCTATTTCAGGGGGGCGACGTTTCCCAGTTCGCGCCTAATAAAGTCAGCGAAACACTGAAGTAGGAACTACAAGAAAACGACGAACAGATCCAGCCTCTGATTGACCGCTGTGGGCAAACAGCGGAGCAGGCATAGTGGAAGTAGCACCTGCAGCATGGGGCTGTGGGTGTCTGTCCACCTGAGGGGTATTGCCGCGACTAAGAGGGTCTTCCTTGATGATACTGAGCTTCTGTGCGAGTTGCCGACTCGCGCTGCGACCGGATATGCTGCCTTCACCTTGATACCGTCCAGGGGCCGCACTGACCATATCCAGATCCGAGAGACGAGTTGACGCTCTCGACAACCGATTATCCCCACCATCGAAGGCTGACGCAATCCGACTGTGTCGACTCTTCGTGCTCTTCGGTTTGGTGTACCAAGAAGTAGGCGCCTCAGGCTGGTATCGATATACGTCGCCGTTTTCGGTGCCACTTGCAGTAGGGTTTGACATCCCCGGCGCCTGTTCCGCTGGCTGCCGCTGCTGCTGTGGTTGATGAGGGTCCTCGTCCGGATCAATTTCAGGTTTACTCTTCTTGCGAAGACTGAGTGAACGGTACCACGAAGCAGCTTGAGCTTTGGTTTTCGACAACGAAAGGAACCGTGGCTTCTTGATTGAAGTAGCGCCTGCGCTTTTTGGAGGCGTATCGTGCTTCTTGAACGCCGAGGGAGGGAAAACGGGGGCTGGTGGAGGCGGCCCAGACTGGGGAGTTGCTGCATCTGGTATGACGAAGTACACAGGGCCGGTTACCTGCTCGAGAGGGACAGGCTCCGCTGGAGGGAGGTGTGGCTGTTGGGAAACTGGACGTGCAGGAGAAGGTGCGCCATTGATCTCCATATGCTTCTGCGCCGTTACCCATTCCTTTCGGTTTCCTTTTACAATTTCATCATGAGGGGGGATGTCGATGGCGTAGTGTGAGATAGGGATGGTTGGGTTAGGCGATGGTGCTCGAGGTGGATGGGAGACAGGCGGGTGTTCAGGCTCTGGCTCGGGAGGAGGTTGGTGATTGGGCTCTTGGAACCGCGAAGGAATGCCGATGTTGCGACTAGGTTTCCGAGCAGTGAATGGATCCGGACTTTGCAGAGCAATTTCTGTCGGAATAGTGTCTTCCTCTTCAAAATCGTCACGACCATTGTCGCGGTTCTCCTGTTCTACCTCTGTCTCTGAATCAGGCGGAGGGGTGGGTCCTCTTCGTCGGCGATTCCGAGAAGAAGACTTGGTATTCCTTGAGCCTCTTTGAGTTGACGGGGGCGGCATTTCGATTAGATACTGTTCCTGAGCTTCTCTGAGACCAGCCTCGAAACCCTGTCTCCGACCTTCCTCTCTGGCTTGCCATACCAGCTGCCTCTGGTACAGCTTCCTCGCTTTGGCACGAGCGCGAGCAGCGGACAACTCTGCCTCCTCTTTCTGCTTCTCCAACTGCCTGACCGATTCCTGGGCTTCTTCAATCTGAGCTTGCGCGTTCTGAAGCTGGAACTGGTACAGACGAAGTTCCTGGCTGGTCTTGCTGGCTTCCTTTTGAGCCTGGAGTCGACTCTCGTTCAGCTGCTGGAACCTTTCAGCACTCTCCCGACTGTTTCGTTCCAGTTCCGCGGCCTTCTGCGCTTCCTCTTCCAATCGCTGAAGTGTACTGTAGAGGGTCTTCCTGAGCTTCTCTGCCTCCGACTCTTGCTCCATGACCAGCTTCAAGAGTTCTCTGTGAGAGGCATCCGAGCGATCCAAGTCACGGTGCCGGTGACTCGAACTGTGCCTTTCAGAGCTGCTCCGACCACCATGTCGTCTTCGGGAGGAAGAGCCATGTCCAGATTCAGAACGGTGTCGTCGGTCGGTTGATGACGGGGATAAGAGTTCCGATCGAGGTGAAGGACTTTGTGGCTCCCCTTCATCGACTGCCTCCAGTTGGGTCTGCAGTCGGGCAAGTCTGTATAATTGAAAGGGTTCATGATGAGCTGTAAACCTGTGCAGCGCTGTTACTTACCGCGACCCTCGCCTGCTCGACTCTCTGTTGCGTTCACGTTTTTCTCGAGAATGGGTGCTGCTTGAAGGCATCGTCTGCGATTTCCTTTGAGTCCAGTCTGCAACCGCCAGACTAGCACCCGGGTGCACTTACAGATGTCTGGGTTTAACAGCAACGCAGGCTATAAGACCATGCTTATATTAACGGTGAAATCGGTGAAGCAACGTCTGCCAGGCGGGGAGCACGAGGCATTCGGGTTGTGAGAGAGGACAGGCGAGCTAACCCGTGTGACGCTGTGTGCAGTACAAGAATTCGAACCATTTCGGAAGCAATTGCGATTCGCTCATATCTAATCGTGATGAGCGCCCACTGGAACAATACAGTTGTGAAGGGGCCCAAAAGAACTCTGTTCTGGATGTTTATTTCAAAGTACAGTGTGTGTTGGTCAACAACTGGAAGAAAGCCTAATCTGTACAACAAAATTCGGCGAAACTGGAGCTGGTAGTAGTACAACAACGGGAACGAATTCGAGGAAAAGAGTGTGTGAAGTTGGCTCGGCATAGTGGGCAAGTCTTGAGGGTATCGAAGGAGTGGGAGGGGTTGCGCATAACGATCTTGAAATTTCTCCGAAGATATGGTCGGTGGTTTCGTGGGGGAGACGCGAGCGTGGAAAGTAGGTTCGTTCGACTCATGTGTATGGGACCGGAGGAACCTAGGCCTGTATCATAGTGAAATTCATCTAAGAATAGCCGTTGCAATCAATACGATTTCCAGAACGGTGGAACAGCCATACACACCTCTCCCAGCAATTCCGTAGGCGAAAGAGCGATAGCAGAACAGGGAACATCGGCCTCTCGCTCGATGCCGTGTATCCAAGGGAGGGTCTTCTTCTCCTGCTGAGTACTCTGCGGCGAACACCACGAAGTCGTCAAGGTTGACAGATTAACCGTACTTGTCATATTCGTGATGAACGACGTGTCCAACAGGAGGAAGGTGCCCTGGGAGTCTACGAGCCCGCCTTGCTTCGTGGGCGCTGGAATGGACAGTTGTCGTTGGTGGTTGGCAACCCTGCTTCGCTTGGAAGAGATTCGAACCTCTCTTGTGGGAGTGTCGGAGAACCGCGTATCTGGGAAACGAGAGAGGGGCTGGTTGGTGCTTGCTTTCTGGGTTTCTGAGTAAGGCTGGTAGTGGAATGGGCGCGGTGGGGTCGGTGGTTGGTAGAAGCGACTGTCAGAGGGGATATGGATGACCTGAGCCCCGTCCTCGTCGATGGTCACTTCCAGCCCTCCATCGAAGTCTTCCCAATCTTCAAAGACGGACTTGAGGTCTGAGGTGAACGGTTCAGAACCGCTTTCCCAATGCTCGTCAGTTGGCCAACAACCAGCACTCTCGGAGCAGGACATAGGAAAATCAAAGTCGACGTCCTTGTTGGCGGCGAGTGAGCGCGGGCGAGGATAATCAAAGAGGTGCATACTTTGAAGTCATCCTCGAACTCTGCGTCGAAACCCCCAACGGGACTGAGAGGGAGATGTAAGTGTGTCGCCCTGCTCTTGTATCCTCGTCGCATTTCGCCCTCGGAGACTGGGTTGACGGTGAGACTCGCCATGTTGCGTGGTGAGTGTAATAAAAGGAGTGTGGTGGAGATGGATACCCTGTAAAGAAGAGCCCGCCAGTGACGGACAGACCAAAAGAGAGAAGAGAAAAATGAATAATAGGAACAGGAGTTTCGACAAAGTCCCTTTATATATTACGGCGACGGGATCAAGGAAACTATCACTCTGCCGAGAATATTGAGTTATTAGCAAGCGTACATCAAGGAAACCAACAACATTGGAGATCCTAGCGACCAACTACTAGTGACTGTGGTCGTGGGTGAGACGAAGCGTGTGTTTCGGAATTTGATGGGGTGGAACCCCGGGCAAGAGGGGCCTCAAACTGGAGCCTGCGGATAAACGGCAGGTGTCGGCTCGTCTTCAGCTTAATCCGGTCCCGACATTGCCTGTATGATTCGTAGAAGGTATCAAACAGGGCAACAGCTTTTCCGTGGGTCTGTTGATGAAGTAGCAAACGGTGTGTGGGTCTCGAGAGAGTGTCCAAGAAGCAGTACTGGACTGGCCATGGCAGATTATGGCACCGGGCGATGACAAGGTACCGGAAGAACTCGTAGAATGCGGGAGCGCCGTCTGTCAATGTCAATGTTCTGGTAGCAACGGAGACCTGAAATATAAAATGGATGATATCATCTTAACCAAGCATCAGCTAAAACCTCGGAATACACAACTGGACATACATATTTAATCATGAAACGTTAAAAGTGCGGACTCTCCGACTGAGAATTAACCGTCCGAGGCAAAGGTCGTCACGGCCTTCTGCCATTTGTACAAGTTCAGTCAAAGCGCCAAGACTATTGTCGTTGAACTGGTGAGTGAGTTTGCGCTTCTCAAGCCGTTTGTATGCCTTGGTAGTCTGGGCAGGTGTGGGCGTGGCTTTAGCATCCCAGACAGGATATTCAAACTCAATGTCCCATTGCCTTCTCTTCTCAGAATGGACCAAGAAGGACAGGTTCTTCGTGACCTCGTGCGGCTGGCCTCGCGTCTGACTAGAGTTGTACAGCAAATCGAGAGTCTGGTCCACTAAATTTAGTTAGTTATCTCGCCAAGAGGTATCCGCATCGTTCACGTACTCCTCAAATTCCAGACCGCAAACCATTTCGCAATCTCCTCCTTCCTCTCCTGGTTCGTTCCATCGCGATGATATTCGTGCATCATCATGGACGCTGCATCGAACACGGGTCGGTATATCAAACGCAGATGTCGTGTGGCCTTGGGCTGATGCAGAACGGTTGCTGAGCACGACCGTAACACGAGGCGATATAAACTTTTGAAGCTAGCAGGTAGAGATTCCATCGAGACTAGCTGAGACAAGGTCAAGCAACGCGACCAGGCAAGCTCGCCAACTCGAATGCCGGGAACCGGCGCACAAAATCTTCCCGCGGTTCGGGTTTTGCCGACACTCCCGACGGGCGCTCGATCGAACTTCGAGGCGCGTCCCGCTCGTACTCGTCTTCGCGTCCACCTCGGCCAGTCTCCGCTCTTTTGTGGCCCTCAGGCATCATGCGGTCTCTAGGGGCGCAATCACAGATAGATGTGTAATGGAGATAAGATCAGAATCCAAGCCTACATCTGTCTATGTAGATGTAAGAATATGATGGTTGGTGATGATGCTCTACTACTAGTTAGTGTACAGGAATGTTGATAATTACGTGCATGAACAGAAGCGAATACGATAAGGAAAAAGCAAGAAAGCGGGAGAGATAATGAAGATATTGTGATGATAGGAAACCGATGTGTAGGGTGCAGGTGGGTGACAATGTAGGTGGAGAACGGGTTATCCTTGTTCGGAGGCGGTGGAGCAGTGGACGGAGCATCAGACACGACTAAACCGTTTCAAGGTTTGGTCGCTAAGGTGTTTCTCTTCTGTTGGATAAACGACTCCGACTTGTCGCAACGGCTGCCGTCAACGCACCGCTTGCTTCCTAGACGGGCGTTGGCGAATCAGCACTCGCGACGACAGCGGGGACGATGGACGACTCACCGAGGTGGGCTGCTCGGTATGAACACGATGCGTCCGACTGCCTGGTGGATCTTCTCCCGTCTCACCACCATATACATGCAGTTTTCCGATGCTTGAACCACCTCTGATGCTGATACATTGCCTCTCCGGAACAGCCGCCCGCGCACAGGTTCTTCGCAATCGTCGTCGGGCCCTACACCACCATAATGCCGCGTTGAGGCCTGCTTTGTATGGGAGGTTAGCAAACGAACATGAAGCGCGAGCTCAGATGACGCGCACAAGAGAAAGAGGTTCCGGTCTTCTGATCCCGCCTGCGTGTCGTCCCATGGCTATTGAAGACGTCCGAGATGTGAGTGGGAGGTGTGGAATCGAAGGGGTGTCGCGAGGTGAATAGATTGAGCCGTGTGTCCTCTTTAATATGCTTTATAAGAGGTGGCAGGGGCTGGACATTGACTTGGACAGGAAAGTTAAGATTTGACGGAGGCAGCTAGAATCGCTGAAATGTCATTTGCCACGGGGCTTTAAATCTACCCTGGTGGAATCGCTTTGATGGGTTCATTAATGAATCCACCCTTGTGTACGTTAGCGTTTCTCACAACCCCGTTCTAACTCTACTGCAGATGAACTGGTACATATCAGCATTCATCCGATTTCAATCGCGTTCTGCTCTCGCGTTTCTCCAGACCAGTACCGGGTGAGGGTGACCCAAGTTGATCAAAAAAGTGGCTGCGCCTTCTGATACCAGTGGTAGGCGCTAAACTTATGTAGTCTTAACTCTGATGCTTTGATATCTTTCCTGTCGAGCTCTAGAGGGCAGTATCCCTTTGTTCTCTCTCTTGTCCTCATCTTTAATCAACCCCTTCGAGATGTATGCAGCCGTGATCCAGAACCAAGATAATTCAAGGGATTCCGGAATAAGCCACCTTTTTGTCATTGATACAATGACCCTTCGCGAAGGTCATTCTATGACGCGGGTGGGAGTCTACCTTCTAATTCCCTTTTCCACTTCATATCCACCTCGCCTGAGATACGCTGCACAAGATCTTCAGGACACAGCGATCTGGTACCCTTTTTCTGTCATTCCTTGTCGCATCAGCGAGCTCGACAGCAACCCTGGCAGTGCGGCAACTAACCGCCACTTTCAACTGCAAATTCAGCCACCCAAACTCAAGGGAAAGGGTCTATCGCCGAGCTCGGGATTCTTCATCCCGTATCTAAAAATCACATACTTAGCTGCGTAACGAATAAGGTTACCTTTATTCTCACCCACCTGACTTAACGGAGCTCAGCAGAGCCAGTATGACTGTTTTTCTCCCGAAAGAAGCGACTCTCTGATAGATACGTGGTTCTTCCAGGAAACTGAGATACTGGAACGGAAGGAGTTCTATATACGTCCCCTCTTTCCGCTCCATCCGACTGCTATTCCGCGGTAAAACTCCAACTTCGCCGTCCGAATAGTAGCCTGGAGTGGGTGGGGTGGATGAAAAAAGAAATTGAAAGCCCTGTCCTGTCTCAACTTCGAGGCCGCAGTGCACCAGGAGGTGACATCTGAAGGCTGGAGTTCGCCACCGGTGTTTACTTAACTATGAAGGAAGGCCTTTACTCTTCAGTTGACTTAGGCTCTGTTACTCGAACTCGGCTTAAACCAGTTTCCAAGTCCGCGACTTTAGTGCACTCTTTTGGGATAGGCCCGATAGTTGACATCGACCAAAGTTAACCACTGTTCACAGGGGGCGAGCCAGCCAATGTCCCTCGAATTGCGGTCTTCCCGCAAGAGCCTGTTCACAGGGTCTGATAATCGAAACCACTGTAATGAGAAGAAGTGATTATTAAGGTGGTCTAGTCCTACTGGCCCTGACCCATCGTATCAAGGAGTTGAGGGCATTGAAAGAAGACCAGGATGATCAGGTGCCAAACCGAGGTCCCCTCTCCATCCAACCAATGCAGGGGCTGAGTCGCAGGAAATAAATGTTTTCATCAAAGCATCGACATACTGGGCTGATTGAACGGGATGGATGGATGGGATGGGATACTAAGCGTAGGGGAAAGGGGATAGTAGGAACAGTAGCGCTAGCAGTGATCCGGTAATAGAAAGCCGCGGTCGACAGTGGTTTCGAGTCACCTTCCATTACATGCAATGTACACTCAGTCTCCGACGAGCCAGAGTGAGAGGTGGAAGAGCGGCGACCTTGCAAGACGATACGCCAAGCGTAGATCCTTCGAGTAAGGAAGTGTTTTCGCTTTTCAAAGATTCCGAGAACGCCAGGGATGCAGAAGTTGCCGTTATCCAAGGAGATGCTTTGTCGTTTTATCGCTCCTGGATCGCCGAGGGAACTGGTCGGATTAACACTGCTCCTCGAGGGGCCCGAATCCCAGCAAAAGCAGGTCTGCTTCATCCGGTGTCATTCCATCAGAATGCAAATGGGCGAAGCGGTTATCCTTGACATTAAATATACGATGGATCTTGGGGAACGCTCGATGCAAGTTACACAGGTACATCTGCGCCCCAATAGATTGGAGACCGCAGGGGATAGGATACGGCATCAAAGAGTATACCATATCTCCATGTAACCACATAGATCAGGACGATGGTAGACTTGGACGATGTATCACAGGACAGAATAGATAAGGCCACTTACACAGCTTCAACACTAGATCCTGTTCGTTGCCAGTGTTTTCGAACCAGTCGTGATCGTGGAGGTGAGAGATGAAAACGAGCGCGACGCAACTTCCCAGCCACCGGAAAATGAGGCGTGATTGGAGCGTGACATACACGTGAGAGCGCGGTCGCGTTTCCTCCCAATTTGGCAGCATCGCCAGCGCGATTCCTTCGCTTTCACCACTGCCAGGCGCGACGACGAACATGGCCCTCAACGCCCTTCCACAGACTCCTGTTCGACGTTCAAAGCGTTTCCAACCTTTAGCCACTCCTTTCTTGAAGCAAGCAGCGCCAGCAGGGCTCGAATGCTCTTGGGATGGGGAACCAATCTTTACTCGGCCGTGCAACCCAGATTTAGACCTCATGCAAGAGGACCTTGACGCCAGAGAAGACGTACATGGAGAAGATGCAGAGGCTGAAGAAGACAATGGAGAAGGAAGCAGCAGAAGGGGGAAGAAGGGGGAGGAGACTGTGTTCTACGCGTCGTTCACCATGAAGAAGCAGCGGCCAAGGCAGCGCGGACGTGGGGATAATTCAGCTAGGGACGCTGCGCAGGTCTACCGTCCAGGCGACACAATCCTTGTAGAGACCGACGTTCTGTACCGACAGAAGCGGCCGCCCAGTATTGCAGTGATTATGTCGATGTGGGAGGTGAAGAAAGCAGGTGAAGAGGTTAGCGGAGATCCTGCTCGAATGAGGCTGAGGGTGCACTGGTTCCTGCGGCCTGGAGAGTTGCCTGCTATCAGGCAGAAACGAGACCATGTGGAGGTGCGTATCTGACTTTTTCTCTCGCCCACGGCAGACGCTCATTTCCGTGCAGAACGAGATTTACTACTCCCTCCATTCGACGGACATCCTAGTTCCCACTGTTATCGTTTCGCGTTGCTCAGTCTCCAGCCATACTGCACACATTCAGAAGACCGTCAAAGCCACAGGTCGCTCAAGAGGCTACCAAGAAATTGACGATTCAGAAACGGGAGAGCAAAAGTTCTTCTGCCGCTTTGCAATTAACTCACAGAGGGGTCTCTACTACGAATGGAACTGGGATGACCACCATGACAGGGCCATGAAAACTGTTCTAGCGGTGCCAGACGACGAATCTTCGGAAAGAAACACGTGGGGGCAGGGACTTGAATGGAACGTTGACACCACAGAGCCCAGGAAACCCAAGCCTAAACCGACGACGAAAGGCCAACCTCCACGGAAGCGTGTCAAGCTAGAAACTGAAGAGCAGGAACAGGAGGCAAGCGGTGACGAAGACTCTGGCTCCGAGGCTGACATTGACTCCGACGGAGAAGAGGATGATGAAGAATTTGACGACGTAGTGGAGGAAGGCGAAGAAGAGGAAGGTAGTGAAGAGGAAGAGGATGAAGAGGACAACGACTTTGGAAACCCAAAGACGCCATCCCGGCGAAAACGCAAACGAGGCCAGAGTTCAACGCAGCCAAAGACCCCTCGTAAATCGCGCAAAAATATCGCTCAACCCACCCCTCACTCCAAAGCAGCCCTGCGGAAGAGGAGACGTCTTAGGGACAGCGCAGCCGACGTCAACTCGTCGCCCAGGAAGAGGTTACCCCTCCGCCCTCCAACGACCCTGCCATCCAAGTCCGACTTGAGTCACCTTCCTCAGGATCCCTGGCGCAGGGCGATGCATGTATTACATGTCGGTAACCGTCCCGATGCCCTTCCATGTCGAGAAGACGAATACGCGAGGGTGCTTCAGTGCGTGGGTGATCTCTTGGAGGAGGGCAGCGGGGGATGTGTTTGTAAGTCGAAGGTCTCTTTCCTTTTTTCCGTGCCCTTCTGACGACCCCTCAGATATTTCCGGCGTTCCTGGAACAGGAAAGACCGCCACAGTGCATACAGTGGTCCGCGAATTGAAGCGCATGGCTGAAGCCAATGTGAGCAATCTAACTTTCTCTACTCTATTTTCCCAACGCTCATGTATGAACAGGAAATTAACCCGTTCACCTACGTCGAGATTAACGGCCTGCGGATCCCAGAACCCTCTGTCGCCTACACCCTACTATGGGAGGCGATACATGCTCCATCCGGAGAAACGGGGATGCGTATAAGCGCTAAAGAAAGTCTGAAGGCCCTCACACACCACTTCAACGGACGCTCTCGGGGACCTGCGGCCCATGCCTAGTGAGTACACAAACGCTTTCTCTATGCCTTTATAACTGACAAGCCATGCAGCGTTGTTTTGATGGATGAACTCGACCAGCTTGTAACAGCAAAACAAGACGTGATCTACAACTTCTTCAACTGGCCCACCCTAGCTGGAAGCAACCTGGTGGTGATTGCCGTCGCCAATACCATGGACCTTCCGGAGCGTGTCATGACCGGTCGCGTTCGAAGTCGGCTGGGTATGACCCGAATCAACTTCCAGCCTTACACCACTCAACAGTTATCGGAGATTGTTCGAGCACGGCTGGAGAGTGCTAAAGAAGGATTAAAGGAAGATGCTGCTTCACAGGTTGTGTTGACTGAGGACGCCATCAAGCTTGCTGCTGTGAGGATCAGTAGAATTACTGGTGATGCTCGGCGTGTGCTTGATGTCTGCAGGTACGTCTCGCTCCAAATTGCCCTCGACCATTGCTGACCGTGCTTCATAGACGTGTCGTGGAGAATGTCAGCGCGACCAAAACAGCCGGTGGTCCCAAGGACGTTTTAAAGGTCCTGTCAGTCATGCAAAGCAGTCCAACCGCAAGTTACCTGGCCGACTGTAGTTTGCATGAAAGAATCATGCTCGCGTCCTTGATCAAATGCGTCAAGCGGGAAGGAGTCGAGGAGATTAAATGGGGTGATGTATGTTGTCTCTCTGTACCTCTCGTGCAAACCCTCACCGTCTTTTCTCATTCGTAGGTGCAATACCAACACATCAATTACCTTGGAGCCCTAGCTGGAGTCGGTGAATCGAGTCGTAAACCAACGTCGGCTGAACTAGCGATAGTCTTGGACTCGTTGGTTGCCTCGCGCGCAATTCTTCTGGAAGATGGTGCCGCTGTGGCCCGGAAACCAGAGGAGGAAAGACGAGTGCTCTTGAACATCGAGCAGATTGAGGTGGAGAGGGTGTTGAGCGATATCGGTGGGCCTGCTTGGAAGAATGTGCTCAGTGCGTGATGCACAGTCGCTCCTTCCTCCATTGGGAATTCCTTCCAGGACTCGTATATGTCATGATCTGAAATTAATGTGAGGCGGGGAAAGAAGTGCGTGATAGCCGTTGTGACTCCGAATGAAGAGGCAGAGGTCAGTATTCGATAGATTGATTCCTGCACTGTATATAAATTTCGGCACGACGTTCGCAATGTCAACATTCAAAAACAATGGCTTCCGGGAGTATGTGAGAAGACGAGCCGATGGGCAGTGGTATATGGCAAACGGTGAAGGAGTACGACGTTCAGTTCCATGGAAGTTCGTCGATGTACAGCCGAACACCAAGCTTTGAAATCCTTTGTAACTGGGTAGCGTTGGCTTCCCGACACCAAGGTGGCCTCAGATTCAATTGGTCAAGGTGGAATATCTTGATATTGAGGGTCGGGAGTGTTGCACCCGAAGTACTCTCGGTTGTGGGAGGTTGAAGGCCTGCCCATCTTGTCTCGAGACACTCGATAAAGTCGTCCAAATCAAAGTCGGGCTGTTGGCCGTATAGATGGTGGTCTCGAAGCGATTTGCAATATAGAGGGTGACGAGCGGCGCCTATCCATCCCAGTCTTTCAGAACGCATGACACCCAGAATGTCTTTGGTCCAAATGGAGATGAATTCCAGGTTACTGACATCCATCTTGGAGAAGAGACGGCGAAGTTCCTTTGGGCTGAAGTACAATCGATGCAGGGAGAGGTGCTGGATTGTACATCGGGATTGTTCCAAAAACTCTTCCAAATAGACCAGGTCAGTGTATTCGATGGCGCGGTCGTTGATATATCTTGCACCTGGAAGCTCGAGAATCCTGAGTGCCGGAAGGTTGAGGTAGTGAAGTACCATCAGCCCGTCAGTGCTGACAGTGAGAGATTCGACTCCTTCGTGAACCACCCTGCCGGAGCGCTCGGGGTATATATAGTACAGCCCGAGAGACATTGCCAATGATACCGATAGTGGCCCTGCTAATGAATACTGAATTTTCTTCAGACTGGGAAGGAACTTGAGGTTGGGAATGAAATCTTCCAAAAGACTGGGTATGACATGGTGAACAATGACTTCCAAGCATGTAATGCCTTTGTGCGAGATGATTGCGTTGGCGTGGATTACTGAGCTAATAATTTCGAGCGAGAGGATGGAGAGGGATGGTAGGAAGATATCCAGTGGTATATCTGGGACTGGCCAAAACATCTTTCCACGAGAGGCTGTGCCATGGCCAATGACGTCGAATGGTATTTTCAACTCTTTTAGGTTTCTCCAGGGGCGATAAGAGGAGGTATGAGCCCGGAGGACAAGTTTGGCAGCCAAGACTTCTGACATCCCGTTCTCTTTGGAGAGACGGACAGTCGCCCAATTTCTGTCTTCAGCGGCGAGCAACACCGTGCTTTCGTAGGCGCCCCAATCAAAGTCGGGTTGGTATCGATAATCCGCGAATATGTAAAGTGAAGTGGGGACATCCGCGGCACGGTCGAACCAGGTGCGCACTCGCGAGGGCAGTGACGACGATGGCAGGGCTCCCTGCTCCTTTCGGAGGAAATCGTCCTCAGACAGGGTGAGGCTCGCCCAGAGTGAAGGGGTATCGTATGAGACCTGACGCCACAGTCTTGAAATACATCGCAGCGTCATGAAATGGCGACGTTGGTCGTGGTCGTGGACAAGGGGCGAGAGCGAGGCTTTGACAACCTCCGCCACAAGTTCAGAGGGGAGCCGGCGAAGTGGGGATAAAATACCAGAGACGGCCCATTTTTCTTCGTTCAAAGAGTCTATTCGCTCTCTGGGGCAAGCGATCATTCCTTCCACCTTTTGAATTTCGTCGGAAATCTTCTGGCGATGTCCTTCCAAAGCAATCCTCTGCCATTCCTCCGGAGGTTGGTTTGTAGAGGACAACTCCTGAATGATTTGGTTCAGATCGCACTCCATAGGCATTACTATAACTCCTATGTCAGTATCATCCAAGAAGAACGCAAAGTACTCAACTAACAATGGATGGTATCCCGGAGATCGTTGCAACTCGTGTTCAAGGACGAAAGCCCCTATCCATCAATCGCTGGATAACCGGATGCCGCTTACAGATATATTCCCACGTTGCATCCCGCGCCAAATGAGCCAGCCAGGGCTGTGCAAGTCGTCCTCCGCAATCTCAGAACAAGAACCTTTGTCGCGCAATTCTCGAGTTCGCTCGCCACAATGAGCTGGGTAGGGTGAGCACGCACAGACACGTCAATAGAAACGCATCATATAACTGAAATCTGGCCATCGATAGCTTCAAGAAATCCGTAACCCGAGCAGGAACAACTGTCAGTATCATATGAAACAGCGGTCCCGTTTCAAATCCTACTATCCAGTCACCTTCAAAACCTGACCATCGTCTCTTTTCGTCTTTGGATTGTAAAACACAGCTCTTGCAAAAGACGGGCCAGATTGAACGAACCATCGACCGGGAATTCACAGAAGAAGAGGAGAAATACAGGGTGTGCGTCCGATTCCACTTCCCCACTGTCGCGATGATATCACCGCTCGTCGTTCGCCATTTACCAAGGCTAACGCAACTGCCACAGCTTCGAGAAAGAATGTCAAGCACTTCAGAAGGATAGCAAGGGATACTGGGATGCCATGAAAGGTGCGTCCGCCGCCGCCGCTTGCCTTTACGCTCCGTCTCCTTACGACAACCATGCGCACCCGCAGCAATGACCTCAGCACAGGCCCGCATCGCCGATACAATCGAGATCTTTTACGGTGCAGCAGACCGAGGTTCAGAAGGCGCGATGGCCGGACATGCGTATAAACGCTCAGTCGACGAACTCGACTCTGGATTCACCCGTGAACTCGTCAGTCGACCCTTTCTCAGAACGGTAGAGATTGAAATGTCTGACCGACGGTTGATGCACGATGGTGGGGTTGGAACTCATGCAGGACGTACCATACCGAACAGCCATCTTGGAACCTCTGGGCAAGATGTGCTCTTATTTCCCGGTTATCAACGAACACATATCGAAGCGGAACAAGAAGGTCGGTTGGTCGCTCAACAGCCCTGTGGATCTCCCCTCACCCTGTTCTACGAACCCAGCTCCTTGACTACGACTCGGCACGAAGCAAACTCAAGAAACTCATCGACAAACCCAGTGAAGATCCTACCAAGCTTCCTAGGGTGTGTATTGCCCACTCTTGCGCTCCCTTGCACCACTTCCCTCACTTCCCAACGCTACGTCTTCAGGCACAACAAGAGAACGATGAAGCCAAGGAAGTATTCGACATGCTCAACGACCAGCTTATCGCCGAACTTCCTCAACTCCTGGACCTTCGAGTGCCCTACTTTGATCCCAGCTTCGAGGCCATGATTCGAATGCAATCCAAGTTCGCAGAGGAGGGGTACGAGAAGTTGAGTGGTGTTCAAAGATATTTTGCGGATAATGTCCGGGACGACTACGCTGCCGGCCAACTGGATGCCCAGGTCTGTCGTGTTCCACTCCCCCGCTACACCAGGCTCACCATTGCATACCAGGTCGAAGGAGTACTGGCTGAGATGCGGGAACTCTCAATATGCGGCGGAAATTGATTTATATATTCATGATTGGAGTTTCGACAAGGCAAGTTACGCATGTAGCATAGGTTATGCATATTATTTCGGTCAAGAAGGGATGTTGGCCATAACAGTGTCCGAAACTCGAAGTCGAAGAAAAGAGCGAAAGTGAACGATAACGAGAACTGCATATATTTATTGGACTTTCTGAAGGCCAAATCATCCACCAATGGAGGGATCAGACATCGGAAAAACAAGACACGAGCGACGACGCTTTACCTGGATTCGTGTTCTTCGAGAGCAGGTGAAATCTTGTCTAGCCGAAAAACGAAAACGATTCTTCACGAATATTCGTTTGGAGAGGAAATGCGATTCCTCAACCCTCCCGAACCACGTCCACCTCTTCCACCTCCACGGCCCCTTCCCCGGCCACCCCCACGACCACCACGAGTAGGAGGTGCATCTGTCAGTCGTTGTCCGAGAGAAATCCTTTCTGCTTCACTGTCGTTCGAACCCGAGCGCACATAATAGTCATAAGGAGCTGGCTCCTCATCGCCGTCATAGTCCACGACTTGTTCCTGGGGAGGACGTTCAATACGTTCTATGATACTTGGATGCTGCTGCTGCTGCTGCTGCGTTTGGAGCTCCTCGGTTTCGGTTTCTAAACGGGAGAGGAGCGAAGGTTTGGACGAACCGTCAGCATCATCCCGTCTGTCGTCGTGGGATGCAGGGTGGCGAGGGGGATTCACGCTACCGTTGCGATAAGGCGCTCGAGGGGGGAGGTTGGCAGGATCATACGCGTCAACGCCCCCGGAAAGACGCTCTATCGAACCAGATTGCCATTGACGGCGCTTGTTGGATGAGGACGATTCATTCGATTCGTAAGGCCTTTTCCTGCCGATGCTAGAATCTGAAGGAGGCGGAGATCGTTGCTGTGATCGAGAGCGTCGGAACGGTGGGGATCGTGGCGGAGAAGGTGAATAGTGGTCGTGGCGAGGGCGACTTCGGTAGTAGTCGCTGGAGCCACGAGGGGATGGAGATCGACCACGGTAACTTGAGGAAGGATAGGGGGGAGGAACGTAGGAATCCATTCTGCGACGAGGTTCGGGTCGACGACCTGAAGGTGAACCTGGTCGAGAGCGGCCACTCGGTCGGCTGGGTGGTGGCCTAGAAGAAGGGCCTGTTGGTGGCGGGCGAGACACCTGGGTGGACGCAGGAGCAGGAGCGCTCGCCATGAACGGCGGGGGATTGACGTGGGTGGGAGCTTGCTCATGTGGTGTAGCTAGGGGCTGTGATACGCTGGGAGGAAATGCTCGAGAGGGGAGGGGAGGAGGAGCAACCTGCCTGGTCGATCCATTTTGAGATGACGAAGACTGAGACTGAGCCGAAGGCTGAACGGAAACCGCGTTCTTTGGTTGCGTCTGTGCGGAAGCTTTGGCAGGCCGTTGTGCAGGAGCACTCAGATCAAGTTTCACCTCGACAGGTTCTTCCTTGATAAAAGGCTTGACGTCGGCAACTTGCTGCACTTGAGCCTGAACCTGAGCCGGTGCTTCAACCGCACCAATAGGCACATTCCTCGTATTGATTAACTGTACGAAAGCTGGGGGTTGTGGCGGCTGGGTGATATCCAAGTTTCCGCCATCAGAGCCATGTCGGTTAATGGTCATTTGGGATGAGTCTGATTCCCATTCCTGAGATTTCTTCTTCGCGACTCGTTTGCTGCGTTTGCTAAGCGGTTTCGACGAGTTGGTGGGGGATGCGGGTCGGGAAACGGAGGGGGCAGTTAAACGAGGATCTCGAGTGGCCCCATTGGCAGTCGGTGGGTTATTCTCGTCGAAAGATGAGTTGGGAGGGGAAGGGAGCTGAGGAGCCACGCCATTTTGAGCGCCGTTGGGCAGAGCCGTCGCTGGTTTCGGTGGAAGCCCGTGAGGTCTTGTTGCAAGGGCGACGTTGCTAGATACCGAACGAGAACTTCCGGTGTCCACTGGCGGCTTTTGAGAGGATTGCCCCGAGTTAGATCGAGGATGCTGCATCTCGGTAGGAGAGACCGAGGTCGAAGGAGGCATGCTCCTGTTATCGTGACGATCAGCGCCTTGCGTTCTGACCTTGAGCTTTTCGCGCAAAGCAGCTTCTTGACGTTGGGCATTCTGTGCGTTGGAAGATCCGGAGGGCGGTTGTTGCTGATTAAACGTGAAGGTCGTTTCGGTGGGAGACAGGGACTGAGTGCGGCGTTCGAGCTCCTTCTCCACGGCTCGCTTTACTTGAGCGGCGACCTGGGGATTATTGTTGCAGTGCTGCATGAGAAGGGATTCACTCTGTTGGTCAATCGGAATACCAGTGTGCCGCATGGGTTGCGCCATGCTTGCTTGCGCACGGTGTATATCGACAGAGATGGCGGGCGGTTGCGGTCTAGTGGGCTGGGCGGGAGGCTGTTGATTCATAGCCGGCTGCATCGGTTGTTCGACCTGGACCTGAGGGCTCGCCCGCTGAGGTGTCGTCGTTTGACTGGGACCTTGTGACATTTTCTCCGCCAACTTGCGATCCAACATGGCGTCGATTTGCGACATGAACTCGGGACTGTCGAGGGGAAGAGCTTGTCGAGCCTTCAAGCGGCGAACCTCGGCCTCGAGCTTCGCCTTTTCCTTCAACAGCGCTTCTTGGGCGCCATCACGTTGCTCGTCCTCCTTCAGCCGTTTGGCGATCCACTCCTCACCGGCGCTGATGGCACCTTTGAGTGCCTCATCCCACTTGCGCTTTTTCGACACGTTCTCCTTGGATAGCTCCTCCAAAGCGAGCGCGAGTTCTTTGTACCTGGTTTGGAGGGACTCGGTCGAGGCGATGCACGCTTTCGCGTTCTGAAAAGATTCTTGGGCAAACGTGATGGCCTGCTGGGCCAACTCCGCCGCCTTCTGGGCAGCTGTAGCTGTCGAAACTGTATCCTGTTTGAGAGCCTGTAGCGATCGTCCCATCCCCTGAACATTAGGGAAATCAACAGGTGGGATCGAGGAGAAGATGGAGCGGAGTGCAGCGAGGTTGTCTGGCTCTTGCTCTCCGCCATTTGCACTAGACATGATTTGTTGGGAAGAGGAGGGGTTAAGAGTGGGGGTGGAACGTGAGGTTGACGGTGCAGAATTGCGAGCGGAAGGTCCTGGGACGACAGCAGCGTTTGCCGGAGGCGGGTTGCGTGAAGGTTTAGGAGCAACAGAAGACGGGTTGCCTGCTGGTTTGGTCGCAGAAGTTTGGGGTGCGATCCCTGGGGTTCGGGTAACGGTTGTCGGAAGCGGGTTGCTCCCTGCCGGTCGGGTAGAAGTAGAAGCGACAGGCTGGGCGGGGGCCACCATCTTCGTAGACGAGACTCGTGGTACTGGGGCCGTGCTCGCCTTTGTCCCATTGGCTAGCCCTGAAAACCTGTCTTTGAGGGATAGACCCTGAGCGCCGGGGTTCGAAGCGAAAGCTACGGTGGGATCCCAAGTTTGGGGCGCATCCTGCATCTCGACGTCCTGGCCGAGGTGATGCCCCATCTCGTCGTCTTCAGCAGGTAAGAGCTCGGCACCCAGGTCTGGGGATGAAGACGATGACGCGGGACCGGACATCTCGCCATTGGCGACTGGCGCGGAAGAAAGTCGACTCAGCAGAGCTGGGTCCTTTCCAATAGTCTTCCACGTAAAATTGCCGAGTACGCTCATCGTAAGGTCGTCGTTCTTCGTTGGGCGGGTTCGTTTGTTACGTCTTCTGGCTGTGTTTCTGGGTACTTGATTATGAATGCGGTGATGGTTTGACGCTGGTCAGCGAGAGTTGGGTCAGCCCTGCGATGGTGGTGGTGGCGGTCAACGGAAAAGGACTGGCAGGCTCCGTTGTCGTCTCCTAAAGGTAGACCCAGACCCCAGCCGTCCACACTCACATGAAAAAATACGTGATTATTTGATACGAATGGCTCGCAGTTCGGGGATGCGGGTGCAATTATACGGTGGACTGGGGTACGATAGAGACTTTCAGAGTATCGAACGCTATAAAAACATGGAAAGCTGAGAGAGAAAGCTGAAAGAGAAAGCGAAAAGAAAGAAAACTGGATGAAGGGAAGAAAGAAGAAGCTGTGTTCAATTATGCAGGGTCTCAGAGCTTTGGCTCGGTATTTGGCGTCACGCGTCGGTGCCTGAAGTCGGTTCCGCCGCTCGTCATCCAATCAACGACGGCCTTCATTCAGAGCGACCACCACGTTCAGATGTAAATCCAAACCAGAACGCTTTCAAGGATCCACGATACAAGTTACAAGATGATACAACGATAGTTCAATAAACTATTAGCGGAGCTTGACAGGAGCGACCTCCTCCTTCAACCTCCTCCCGACACGACTTCGAGCCTCCAACGTGGGCAACTTGGTATTCAATGCTGCCTGAACATCCTCCAATTCATGTTCGCTATGATCCTTGATACACTCTTCGTGCCAATTATGCTCCTTGGTCCGTTCGAACCCCTCGGAGGCTTCCATGAGGCCGTTGCAGCCCAGGCAGAGCGTGTACGGATTTTTCTCTGTCGCGCGGGCACCAGAAATGCGCACAGGGACCTCGGTGGATTCACGAATGTCGTGGTCTAGGACTTGGGGGAATGCGATTAAGCTCGACCAGCCGCAGGTAAATCACGACTGGATAGACTCACATTGTACGACCATCTTCAATCTAATCCAATTTTTTATACTTTATAGTGCCGCCGCAGCAAAGGATACTCTACAACATTAGCCCGGGGTGCAAATACCTGTCACATAACATGCTCACCTCTGGCCAACGCCCAATCGAGGTCATACAAGCAATTTGGATGGGGACGAAGCAGAGTCCACTTATGTGAATGCTGCGGGCAGAGTCTCGTCTGATCGTCACCCGTTCAATCCCATCTCAGCCTGGTTTTCAGCCCGATTATCTGGTTAGCGCCCAGAAATTCCGTCACCGCCCCCGTCATCGGCGTTGGAAACGTAATTAGACGTTCAAGTGGTCTAACAAGTTGCCTAAGCTTTACAAATTCGATAACTTTTGGGCTCCGCGAAGGTGAGAGCGGACAGCGTCACATCCGTTTCTGCAGTTCGTATTTCTCTTTCTGATACTCAGTACTCAGTTGCCGTAGAGATTCATCGGCACCTTATCCAACATGGCTACAATTCTCAAGATCAAGCTTTAGCTCAATGTTTATGACTGAAGGACAAATTTAGGGCCATGAGAAAACACGAGTTCAAGAACAGCTCAACTCTTTCAATTTATGGTTGCATCAGGTGACAGAACAAAGGGCACGTTGCCCTTCAGAAGACCACCAAGGCTCTGTTGAGAATCATCTCCGCCCCTGAGGTTGCCCACAAATCGTGAGTTCGACAATCTTGTACTACCATCATGAGTTCACGTTCGTAGAAATCTCCCTGGATTGACTTTTCGAGATTTCTACTTCAACATAATGATCTCGCAAGGATCTATACCCTCGTTTTCTATATCTCGAAGGTGATCTGAAGGGCCAGGAGCTTTTGAATGGTTACTCCAAGGTACATTCCCCGCCTCGCATAGATGGTCCGTCGGGGATCGAATACATTCTGCTGTCCACCCTCCAAGTTAGCCTGGTTGCTAATTCAGGGTCGCGTATATTACTTTCGGTCACGAACAACTCGGTCGTGCCTCATGTACTCCTCGCGACCTTTCAAGTTGGAAAGGAGTGGCACGCAGACAAAGGGCAGGGCCCGGACCTCACGACTACCCCCTCGGTTCTGGTGACCTTGAGGCTTGTTTCCCGAAATTACACCCAAGGGATATCCAAAACCCTTGATCTAGAGAGAGATAAACGAAAAGGCAGAACGTTGACCTTCAGAAATGGTGATAGAGCGGCTAAAGTGGGAGGCGCGTTTCATCTTGACAGCGTCGAAGCGCGTCGTTCCGTCATCCGAAATCTCCGCACGATCTGCCCCTCTATTATTTTAGTGATGTACTAATTGGGACGTGTTTTTTGGTTAACTTGAGGTACGATGCAGGGTCCTTCCACTTCTTCCTATATAAGCTTGAGCTTGGCCCCTGGAAGATGCCCTCCACAACCCAGTCCTCCTCCCTTCTCCCACTGTAAGTCTTTTCTTCATCCATGTTGTGAGGGTTATGCATTTATTGCTCTTGATTAGATTGTAACCGTTCATAGCCATCAAATATGAGGCGCGATCCATTACTTTCAGGGCCAAAGGAACTCCTGTGCCTATCCTCCTCATCCACAGGCTTGGAATACATAAACCATGGGTACGTCGCGCCATGTCCTTCCTCTAAAACATGAGCTCACGATCTTCCAGCAACAGACCGAAAATATTGATCCGGCCCGTTGCCAAACGCGTTGTGCAACCACAACAACAGACCCGAATCATTCTCGAGTGCTTCAGCAGCAGACCAAACTCGCCTTCAACTCCAACTGAAACACAGCGAAAACAAGAGCCTACAGCACCCCCAACGCCCCCACCTGAACCTGTCTATGCGCGCCGGCCTTTACCTAAATTCCGTCCAGCTCCTAAATTCGTACCAGGAAGACGCGAACCGCGGGATATATTCAAATCTCGCAAAACGTGCGGAGGAGCAGTTATGGAAGGGCGGATTGAGAAGCAGAAGCCCAGACGGCCAAGTCCGTCGTGGTCCTTGTCGAGCGCGTCGACATCAACGTCGGGGTCTTCCAGCGAGTCTAGAAGTCTGCATTCAACACCACCTACGCCTTTACCACCAGCTCTGCCAGTACCAACAACAATAAAACCAGAAACGCGTGTATCGCCCAGTCCAATAGCTTCGAATGGATGCTGCTCGCGTCCAGAAGACCTCACGAAATGCCCGTGCTTAGCGAGACACCGAATGGAATGTCCGCGGTGCAGGGTACTACGATTGGCGGATAGGTGCGTTGCGTAGCCCCTTAGCTCCTATATGCATGGATTAATGAGGATTGCTGGATAGATTCTGCAGTATCGTAACAATACATTGCGAGAAATGGGCCACGCCGCGGTCCGCCCCAGCGATTCAGTGCCAATGAACGTCGCCTTCGCCCAAACGATATTCGTGCCGTAAATCGAGGATATTGGCGCGACGGCCCTTCGCGTCCAGCAGCAGCAACGCCTTGTACATTTTCTCTCGACAACCTACTGTGTGTTGTAATATAACTTAACCACTCACTATTTATCGTAGATACCTCTTGTATTACTAGTTTTTCTCTTCGCAATCGACGCGTTTGCAGTACACAGGTACTGCAGACACTTTTTTTCGCTCTTCATCTTTGCAACGACCGGGAAAGTCGGGAAATCGGTCACGCGAGGACGCAATCACGATTCTCATGCCGAAGCCGGGTGCCTGCTTTTTTCAAGCCCAGCCACTGATGCCAAGGCACGGCTCGATTGGAAGGACTCGACGAGGAGTCTCGGCGGCAAAGTCAGTGACGACGTTCCTTGGACTTCGACCAAGTTCAAGTTAACCCAAAAGGTTCTCTTACCGTGCTCCTTGAATAGGTGCATGTGCGGTTTCAACAACCACACCAAAAAATGGCTACAATAGCCTTGGCCAAAAGCTGTAGCAGGCTTCTACACGCTTCGACGAGCAGAGCTGGAGTGGTGGGAGCGGGAGGAAGAGTTGCTGGAGGTCTGGGAGTTCGCTCGGATGTGGTCGACAGGTATAGCGTTATTCGAAGGTTCTTCAGGGAGAATGTGGCCAGAGGGATGCATACATCTGCATCTGGGGTTGGTTCGGGATTGCGGTTAGGTGTAGTGGAAGGGAGCGCGTTTGGGAGGTGCAGGTTGTCGGTTCAGGCGTCGTGGACTGCCGGGAGGTTTGGAAGACTCCACAGCGTTCGCGGGTTTGCATCGACCACGACGTTGTGGAAGGACGTGAAGGATGAAGGTCCGACTTGTCGACAGTGTTCAAAGCCAGTGAATGGGTCGCACGACCATACACATACGGCGTCTGGATCACCACCGCCCCGGTCAACAGAGTCTCCAGAGCAGCAGCCAGTCCAGCACCAACATGACCACAGCCTTGAAGAATACCCAGCCTTCTTTCGACGTCTAGCCATGTCCTTGCCGCATGTCCACCGACCTACAAGAGAAGACTTTTTGAATGTCGCAACCAGCTTTTGGCAGCGGCTTCGTATACGCTTCAAATGGTTCACTATCAAGTCTTTCCGCAAGTTCAACGCAGATGACATTTCGGCGTTTATCACTTGGTTTTTGATGAGCCAGACGTTATGGATTTTGGTTGGAACGTGAGTCACTTCACCTTTGATCCCGGGACGTAGAAGTGACAGTGAGTTCTCCAGGACAACCTTTTTCTCAGTTATCTTCGCCATTGCCAATAGTCTGCAACTCCAACGTGAGTTCTAGAAAATGTTCCGTGATATCCATCTCTGACATATGCCCTAGACTATATCGCACGCGCCATCAGCGACTACCTAACCTCCGAAACTGGAGTAACAATCATCTTCGAATCCGCCATCGTTCCCAAATGGAAAGACTCGCGCATATCCTTCAAGAACGTCTACGTCTCTCGTCGGCCTGCCGACTCCGACATTGGGAGTCCCCTAGGAACTCCCCCGAATGAAGAAAGGTCGAGAAACATGGCGGGTGTTGGATACGATGTCGGGAACCATCCTGCGTACCACCGCGTAGGGGAGGAGGATGAGGACAACGCGGATGGGTTCAGACCTTTGGAGGATGAGGATTACAACTACACGATGTTTGATTTGACGATTGATTCGGTTGACGTGACATTGTCTTTGTGGAGGTGGTTGGACGGGAAGGGGTTGGTGGAGGACGCTGTGATCAAGGGTGTGAGGGGCGTTGTTGGTATGTTTTCTTCCTTACTCCATTCTCCCATATCTCTAAACCATCATTTTCAGACCGCAGAAACGTTTTCTGGGACCCAGACAACCCCCTTGACCCAGCAGCTTTCCGACACAAATACCAACCCGGCGATTTCGAGCTCGAACGACTCCAATTGGAAGACGTGCTGGTGACCGTGTACCAGCCGGGCGAATTCAGACCTTATACTGCGTCCATCTTCCGAGCGGATATCAGGACGTTCCGGAAGAGGTGGTTGTTCTACGATTTCCTGGCTGCGGAGAATGTCGTTGGGCAGTTCGATAATTGCTTGTTCAGTTTGCATAAACCACAGAGCATTGGACGGACGACGGAGAAGGATTTGGAGCATGGAGATTGGGGTATGATGGTACGTCTCATCGTATTGCCGAGTTGTGTTTTTACTGGTACTAAGGATTGAACCCCAGACCCGTATACGCATCGACGGCGTCAACATTGACCACCTCCAAAACTCGACGACAATGGAAGGTCCCATCTCCTGGATAACCTCCGGCAAAGTAGACGCAGTCCTCGACATTAAATTCCCTCGCGACCCGCAAGACGGTCTCGCACTCAACGCCATCCTCGAAGAAATTGCCGACGCCATCACCACCTCCCTCACCAACAGTCAGGAAACCGAAGACACGCGTCGAATCCCTGGTAACCGCGAATTGGCTAAGCCACCCATATCGCCGCCTAGTCTGGAGCTATTGGAGAGCGTTGCCAAAGAGGATGAGAAGCGGAAGGTGGTGGTTGATATAGATTTGAGGTTTAGGGATTTGAAGGCTGCGGTGCCGATCTTTACGTCGGATTTGTCGTATGTGAATAATGCGTTGATTAGGCCTATCGTGGCTTTCATGAAGTGGGTGTATTGGTATTTTTACATAATTTCCTGGTACTGACATTTGGGTTTCAGCGCTAATCGGACGCTGGTCCCCATTCACTGTCGGATCGTGAAAGACCTCAGCGACTTTGACGGCTCATGGACGATGTGGGAGAGTAAGTGCAGAACATAAATTTCTCAAAGACTCTGACTGATATCCTTCCGCTAGCTGGTCTAATCGACGAAATCTCTCTTAATGTATGTTTCTCCTCACCTCCCCCCGTCGCTTCTCTAACCCCCTCTCGATGTAGGTCTATGAAGCCATGGCTCATCACGTCTCCCAATCCGCCATGAACCGACAACGAATGAAGACCGTGAGCTGGTGGAGTCTACAAATGACAGCCAGCGCGATCATCTCTGCACTACGCACCATGGTCGACCCTGTTTCTGCGCAACTCAAAGAGGTATATGCTGCTTCTCAGTCTATGCCTGCACGTTATAACGACCTTTACATCGTTCCCGACGTCTAGTAACGACGTTTACCTTGGATGGTCGATGGACGCGGCCCACATCCACTCTGTGCTAAGTACCATGCTATCTCTTCACCCCAACTTACCGCCTTGCTATTTTCTACTCTTCTCTCTGTCCCATTGATGACGCCCGTATGACGCACGCCCTTTTTTTCTTCTCACTCACGATAGACTTTTTTATGCTTTGCTTTCTAAAAGATATCCAAACGAAATTGGACACTATCTTACAATTCTCTTCTGCATACATACTGGTTTAGACATGGTAGTTAGTTTAGACATCTACGGCGAATAATGGGATTTGGCTCTGAAGCTGAAATTTAGTATTCTTCGGGGGCTAGTACATGTAGCTTGAAAGTTATCTGAACACGAATTCGTAGAAGGTGCGTTTAGCTGGTGTGTCGGTTAATGGCATGACTGGTCCGAGGACTCTTCTCCGTTCGCGAATAGGGGACCTTGAGGGTGAAGAGCTTGACCGGATAACGCGACGGGGGGAAGCGCCGAGAGGGTAAGGTCGGTGGAGTGGCCGGATAGCCTGGGGGATGTTATCCGCTGTAAACGTCTTGTCTGGATCCTCTTCGTCAATCTCGGACTCTCCGGCTGTTTGTGAGATGGAAAGTTGTTCCACTCCGGCTTCTACAACCTCCAACTCGTTGCTCGACTCGACGTCTGCCTCAGTCTCTCCAATGAGTGACCACGCCTCATCCCCATCTTGCGTAGGCGATAGGTGAGGCGAGTCGGGTGGGAGAGAGCCTTCCCGTTCGGAGATTGAGTCTAGGATGTTGGTACTACCAGCCCTTTCGGCGCCTTCGACATCAGAGTCCAAGTCGCGGTCAGAAATAAAGTCAGAGTCGATGTTGCTATCCGTGTCGATATCTGGGTTGGACGAATAGTCGATATCCGTTGCAGGTGGTGTATCAAGACCTGCTGGAGCTCGACGGTCAGGTCGAGTCACGTTCGGTCGCAAGAGGTAAGTCAAGCGGTTTCCAGCCTCCCCTTTGCCTGCAGTCAAGAATTAGAGATCCTCATTCCCACATATACAAGAACAGGATAAGACTCACTGAAACTAACTATTTCATGATACCTCGCACAGCAATGGACGACGTACCGCGCAAACGCATCATCCGGAATCCTCCAAATGAGCTGCAGAGGCGTCCTCGAAACCTCCACAATACTCGTATTATTCCCAACTGGAACACCCTCATTCATCATTGGAGCATTGGGTCCCATGAACTCCTGCGCTCCGGGGGCGAGGACCGTCCCACCGTCGACAAGCCAAATGAGGATCGCACGTTCGATATCGACGACGAGGGATTCAGCGCGCCCGCCCTGTCGACGGAGCTCTTTGCGCATGCCTTTGAGGCTCAAGGAGAAGCGGCCTGCGTTGGCTGAGATGGGGTTCGTAGGCGGCAGCTCGGGCGTCGTGGGTAGCTTGACTGTGCGGGGTAGGTACGGCGGGAGAGGTTCCGGGAATGTTGGTTTAATCTGCGGCGGGGGAATAATGTAGTCTTTTCTCGTTGCTTGTACGATGTATGGATTCCCCACGAACTGAGCTAGAGATATTCCATGCCATTATAGAGAGAGAAAAAGAGAGAAACACCATCGGCGAAGGACGATTTGGATAGTGGAATGAGATATACAGACCGTTATCTTTGCGCCTAACCCAGCGCTTGCCATCGTTCTGGTCTCTGCGGTGCTTCTTGAACGACGAAGTCTTTGGGGACTTGCGCTGGCGTTCGCCAGTTTCTCCAGTCAAATGCGCAAAACGACTGGTAATTCCCGGGTTGCGAAGGATTGCGGGGAACGAAAGTGGGACTGGGGCCGAAGCTTGCATTGTCGTCGTCGTCTCGACGGCGGGGGTCGCCATCACAGGAGCAGCAGTTTCAGCCATGATTGCAGAGCAACTAGAGACTTGTTGACGGTTTAAAGTAAGAAAATAAACGCAAGTGGGGACAAAAAGAGAGAGGTTGCCCAGTACGGTTCCGAATCTACAATAGATGTCATACACAGTCAAACTGATAAGATAAGATGCGATCCATGCCCTAATCTACAAATGTCCGAGCAGAAACAGTACTGAGTAAACTATGCGCACAATGCAAAGTATAGCGTATGAAATGAAGGGGGTGAGGACATCAATGCGACAAGATACAACACAAATGATTTAGTAACCAGTAATAAATCTTGCGAGGAGATATAATGTTGATCCAGTAAATCTCTGAAGGTAGAGGTCAGCGAGATGGTCATAGGGATAAAGGCAGAACAAAGAGCTCACAATGATATTCGTGATAGCCGTAAATGCGAGAATGAACACCAGATACCCTTTGGTTTTGTTCATCGATTCTTCAGGGGCAAAAGCGCCTCCGCCTCCACCTCCACCAAAGATGACAAGGAGCAGCAAGCCCTATACACCCAATCGCGTCAATTCATGCCGATCAATTCAACACGGGAGTACTCACGTTCGACAATACCCAAGCAAGAAGAACGTTCGTCCGCACATCCGCGTAATAGTCTTTGGCCGCCTGCTCTTGTTCCACAAGAGATTGTCCGGCACTTTTCGTCTTACTTTCAACAGGGACGCGGTCACGAAGGTTTCCTAGAGCTTCTTCATAGATACCATCCACATCCGCGGGTTCACTGTGCATCTCGAGGTCGACTTGGGAATGGCTATCTTGAATGACGGCACCGAGATCTGTTTCAGGTTCCGAGTCTTGTTTGGTACCCCATGAAATCTAGAGGGAGAGTGAGAAAAAGAGGGAGAGGAAAACAGTAGAGGGAGCTCACGTCGTCGAGGTTGGTGAAAGCGTACACGTTCAATATGTTGATATACGTCGGCGACAACAGCATATACGGGATGAAGCTCGTGAACATGTGCCAGGGGTCGAACGCCAATATACTGCTGAAGGCATACACTATCCCCGAAACTCGTCAGATAACCATTTCCTCAAGAAGCGCAAACCAGGAAATGAATACGCACGTCCATATGTGATGATGACGCTGAACAACATGATATTATTCGCGGTTCCTCCCTGCTTGGCAGCCTGGATACCGACAAGGATCGAGGTGAAGAGGAGGTAGACCATCAGGACGCCGAATAGGATTGCCATGAGCTTGTATTTCCAGTGTGCGCTGTTTAAGGGGGTAAATGAAAGCCCGGGAGTAAGATCATGGTAGACGCACGTTCTGGGTTTGTTGCCCATTGAAATGAGGAAACACCCGATAACCAGAGCCGTGAGTATGAATTGAGTGGCAGCGTTGAAGTAGTTGATTCCCTTCAAACCGAAGATCTCGTCTTCAATCGAAGTAGTCAAGACAACCTACAAAATCCTAGTCAATACACGCCCCATCGGCCCTCACCGAAACAACTCACAAAGAACAGATAGAAATTCCCCTATAGCCCAGCGATGTCAGCTCCGTCCAACACACCGTCGATGAAAAAAGTACTCACAAGACTGAACCAAGAAAACACCAGATTGATAATATTGTATATCGTCTCAATCATCAGCATAACCTTGCGTGTGAAGCTATGCCCGGAACGCATAATCTGCCCAACGTGAGCAATGGCGTAGGTAGCCGCGAAGAAGGATCCGTTAAGCCATCGGCGGCGCTGGCCGATGAATTCGGGGAGGGCGTCGGGTACGTCGGTTTCGCCAATCGCGCCTTTGACGTATTTCAGGACCCTGGAGAGAGGATGGGTTATCCAGCGGTGGGGCTTGAAAGGGGAGGGAAAAGCTTACCAGTTACAGTTTTTCTTGGCGACGAGTTCAAAGCAGAGGATACGCTACAGGAGGCGGTTAGAAGTATACTTGATGGGAACTTGCTCGAACACCTACATCTTCGGCCAAGTCTATGTCGAGGAATCAGTAAACGGGCATCAACTCGTAAAAGGGTGTCACTTACACATGTTGGAGGTGAAGATATCGGTATCTCGACCATGGAGTACTTCTCCCTTGAAATACGACGCCAGAGGTCCTACACCGAATTCGTCGTTTTGAAGTGCAATGTATCGGTACGCAGAGAATGCGCCAGGCTGTGGTCTAATCAACATCCAGATTCAAACAAAAAGTGGGCAGAAACGTACCAATACACTGATGTACCCGAATAACGATTCCGTGGGCTTGTCCAAGATGGAGCTAATCTTATATTCAAAGTTCTGTGCGGCAACTAAGAGGGAAACGTAAAGTTAATGAAACCTAAATTGAAAATAGTTGAACCGAATACCAACCTAAAGGATTGAGCAAAAGTGACCAATTCTTGCCCTTGTAAGCTGCGATTTCACCGCACGCGCCGGCAACGTTCGAGTTGAGATCGAATGTCTTCCAGAGTCGGTATATACTCGTCTTGCCGGGCATAGTTCCGACATCGAGCAAGACGCATACGTTGGGCTAGGTGATTAACCTTTCGTCAGACTCAGTTTTAAGTAAAGTAGCATTTGACGTTACCTGAAGCATGGGGGCAAATGCATTAAAGAACCACCGATGACTATTAATCTTCTTCTGATTCTTCTCCTTCATGCAAAAGATGATTTGAGTCGGGACGATCCCCTTGTCGGGGTACTTGAAGTGCAGGTTGGGGTCCAGTGCAAAAGTGGTAGTGTATTCGAATAGATGGGCGGTGACTTCTTTGTTGTTAACCATGTTCTTCATGTGGTCTCCAGACTGGTAGACTCCGAGGAGGGTTAGGCAGTCGAGGACGCGCGGGTGGACCTTTTTACGGCCGTCGGCTACGATGCAGACTACGACCTGTAAGAGGAGTCAGAATTTGGATGGATGTGTTGGAGCGGCTCGGGTTACGTACCTTCTCCCAAGCATTAGGTCCCCAGGTTTGAGAGTTCTTGCGCGTGCAGAGGTGCGAGATGTTCCTCATGACGCCATAGAGTGTTCGACAGAAGAGAATCTCATCTTCCTGAAGGGGCCAAAGGAATTAAATCGACGGAAAGTGAAGAAAAGGATGAAACGTACGTTGTACATGGTGATCACGATGAATAATTCCGTCCTGCGTCCCGTCTCATTCTGCCTCAAGAAGAAGCCCTTCTTCTCGAACTCATCGGGGTCGCAAGTGACAGCGGTATACCGGGTATGTGTAGTCTCAGATTCTCCTCTCCGAGGCAGAACGAGTTTGGGTGGCACCTTGAGGTCAACCACGAGGTTACCATTGGTAAGTTGAACCCTCTTCTTAGTTTTGTGCCGTCGAGTCACCCGTCCAGTGGGCGCAGGTCCAAAATGCCGAGTCTCCAAAGTCGGCTCTGGTAGCGAGTACTGGCTTGACTTGGGTGTTTCGGGCTCAGGATCGTAAACGATGTTATGAACTTGGTAATTGTTGAGGTAAGGATCGCTCTTGTGGAAGTCGACTTTCTCGGGGTCGCCCCCATAGGCGCCGGTGTAATGGAAGCTTTCATCGCCTACGATATGGTAGTCCTCGTCGTCGGGGGCGGGAGTTGGGGATCGTGAGCGAGGTGGGCGATAAGCCACCCCTGAGCTGAGACCTGAAGCATATGCTTCCGTATCGTACCGGAAGTGGTCGACTTCAGGGGCACCTGCGTAAGTCGCATCACTGTCGTACGACGGATAAGAGTGGTGGGAAGGTGGGTGATATCCTTCAACATAAGTGTATTCGGACCCATGACCGACGCTTTGTGCTGGGTCATAGAAAGGATCCAGAGCTGGTTGCACAGTGCTGGGCGATGTGCCAATATCAGAGCCATGGTGTTGAATCTGAAGAGTTTCTCCTGTGATGATCGGTTCGAGGAATTGTCCTGGTTGATAGGGTCTGTATTCCTGTGAAGTGTTGGCGAGGCTCGTCGTGCTCGAGTTCAAGTTGTTGCGTCTAATGTCGTGAATTGGCGCCACAGGCGGTTGGGCGGCTTGAGTCGTATCGATATGTTGTTGCTGGAGAAGCTGGTTCACAGCTCTGCTAATTTCGTCGTCATTTCCGCTGCTGGTCACTATTTCAGGCAATACAGGTGCGTCAGACAGGCTGTAGCGCTGGACGCTGGGATCTACTGGCGGCTGTTGTGTTGGTTGGGCGGCATTGTCGGTAGGGATTTCAGCACTTGGAACTGGTTTTCGTTTTGCCATAATCGTAATCGTCGTCGTCGGGGTCGTAGCTTGAGTGTTGAGGTCGTAAGAGTCTTGAAGGCACTGCGCAGGCTGCGTTAGAACATGAACCGCCTCGGCTTACCGGATTCGGCAATCCAAGCGCGTCGCGTCACATGATCGCGTCTACAAACTCCGAAGGACTCCGACGGGACATGCGGCACGGCGGTGCGGCCAACACGAGGCAACGGGCCATGAGGCGAGTGGTCAGTGCTGGCTCGTCTATTCACTTGTTTTCTCTGTTTTCCTGATAATTGGTATGTGGATTCTCCAGTTACATAGAACAAAACTGACCCGAGCTAGATCTTACGTGAATTTGCCCCGTGTATCTAATATCTGTCTTCTAGAAGGTCTATTATATGACCCAATAGACAGTCACACACGAGGCAAAGGCTTCATATACTCGCCACGCAGGTTCACTGCAGTCCCTGCATTTTGAAATGCTTCACGACCCCGACCCTTTCACAGATAACAACTCCACCCTCACCACATGGATATCGCAATCTCTATCGTAGCCGGTCTCTCCCTCCGAACCTTCCTCGTCGGCAAAAATGTCGCTTTTGTCTGGCTCAGCCCAGCCGTCATTGGTGCCTTCGAGGGCGTCGTGGTCCACCAGTTGTCGAGCAGGTCCAACAGCGAGGTCGATCATTTCCTTGCCTTTGGTCTGCGCTTGATCATTGATCATCTCCTCTCCGGGGACACCTCGAGGACGGTCATGATTGTTGTCTGGACAGCAATTGGATTCATAACCTCTGAAGTGGTCACGCCCCGGACGACCCTGGAACCACTCCCTCCCATCAAACGTGAACGCTCGGAAAGGCGTTATAGATCGTCGAGGACAACTGGCACATCCTCTCGTATCAGAGCATACCAAAGTCCAACTTCCACAGACACCCTTTTGACTAGAGCAAGGACTACACCTACACCCGTTATTCCAACCAGACTACCCGGCCTTCGTCCTTCAAATACACCAAGGATTCCAGTACACCGCCCACCATCCCCTCCAAGCACATTCCTTCGAGATGGATCAGACACCCTATCTCCCATTCCACCACCTCTACACCCCCTCGAACTCTCGCCAACACGGCCGCCCACCGGTCTCGCTGTCTGCCTCGAAGCGGACTCGGGTGGCAGCACTCCCTCGCCTAAAGGCGTCCTCCCCACGCCCCCTCAAAGCGCACCATCCGAAAATGTAGACTATACAACACGAGAAACAGGGTCCCCTCGTCGACTTTCTACTATTCAGGAGATCTCGTCAGACCAGGAAATGTCTCCTCGTACGCGACGTACCAATTCTGGTTCTCGCGCACTGGAGCCAGAAGTGCCTGTCCAACCACCACCACCACCGTCGCAACCAGCGGTAGCGGCACCAGCCCCCTCAGGTTCTCGTCCGTCACAATCGGGCGCAAGCTCAGAAAAGGGGAACCACACTCGACCTGGCTCACCATTACCGGTGCCAAACCTCACCTTGGACGGCTTCGCCCTCTCGCAACCCTTCAAACCCGATGACGAAATACAACACAGCACGCCCTACTCACAGACCATGCAATCTGCCCCTGTCCCCGTCCCCAACCTCACCACATCAAACTGGCAACCTTGCGCGGGGAGCCAGGCGGCACAAGAGGACGGTGATTTGTTGTCTCCACTGAGCGATGGTCCTGAATTCGGAGCTCGCCATGCACGGAATCCCCAGGACCCTCCGACTGAGGAGCTACTGTCGCCCCTCAGCGATGGGCCGGAATTCGGTGCATCGCATTCGAGAGGGGCTTCCGCACCTCCACGTACGCCTGACCCCGACGACCTGCTATCACCTGTCAGCGAAGGGGAGGAGTTTGACGAACTGCGTACGCCTCCTCCAAGAGGTTACAAGAGAGGTACTAGCGGCAAGGGCAAGGGCAAAGCCTCAAGCAGCAATATCAGAGTCCCCCAAGAAATTTCAGATGACCCATTACGCACTCCTCCAGAGCTTAGGTCACCTGAAGCATTTTCCCCTTTACTGGTGGACGAACCTCTAGCTTCAGGCTCGAAAACACCTCCAGCTCGATTAGGATCGACCTCCACAAGCCACACGAGGACATTCGGAAACCCAACTGGATTCCAGCCTTTTGCCGCTATCGACACAGGATTCGACCTCGACCTTGAACCGCCATCAATTCCAGGTTCGATGCCTTCGCCCGTTGCTCCTCTTCCTCCTCAGGGTGACCAAAACGATGACGACGAAGCACACGGCGGACCTCCATCCGACCCTGAAACGGTCCTCTCGAACGCAACGAGTATCCTCTCCACACGGTCGCCGACCAAACTCACGCAGAAAGCCGAAAAGCTGCGGAAAGACGCGAGGAACCTCGAGAAGGACCTGCAGTTCCTCCGGCACGAGTATCAGAAAGCGATGAGGGAGAAGAGGGTGAGGGATGCGTTGACCTTGAAGGGAGAGATTGCGGAGCTGGAGGAGGAAGCCAAGTTGCTGCATAAAAGAGCTGCAAAGAGGTATTTTGCGTGTAGGTAGCATTTCTTTCCTCTGAGAGCCCATTTTGTGAAGTTTGGAGACTGACTGACGATTTGTTCCTTCTTTCTTGCTTTCTCTCTCCCGCTCTCCATGCGCAATGCAATGCCATACAAACCCATCGGACATCGATGTTTAGCGCTGAACGATTTCAACCCTAAGAGAAGAGAGCACACGATTGACGTCCACGGTTTGCGACCTTCGGAAGCTCTGGAGAAGACTGAGAAGGCACTTCTTGAACTCTTGAAGAGCGGTCATTCGACACTCCGGGTTATCGTTGGCAAAGGTTTACACTCTGTCAATGGTCAACCGGTTCTCAAGGGTGCCATCACTGCTGCAATGCAAAGGTAGGTTTCCCTTCCAGTTCTCGTATACCTTGGTGTGCTGAGTGTAGCGCTACCTTCATAGGCAGAAGATCCCTTGCGAAGTTGACCCGAAGAACACGGGTGTGCTCATCGTCGAGCTCCCCAAATCCTAATACCTACACCATTTCATCGGACATTACCCTGCACGTCTTCTACGCTCAACAATTCTTGCTTTCTGCTTTGTATTTATGACCCGTGACGACTGCATGCACGATCTATTACGCCCCATCTTGTATATATAATTACACTGCTATGTATTTGTAGGTTTCTACCGTTGCAAGTGCAACCTGGGAATCCAGCCGCCGCACTTACACCACTCTCCGACCGCGAGCCGTACTCGGTGGTGCTTTGCGTTTCTTGAACATCGGAGCTGGAGCTTCAGCTGGCTCTGGTGGGACTGATTTGTCAGGGGATTCTTCCTTGACCGCAGGTGTAGTTTGGGATGTGGGTTCAGAGGGTTCGTCAGTCTTTATGGGCTCCGAGGGTGTCGAGTCAGGTTCTGTCTTGACGTCTTCAACGGGTGCTCCCCATGATACCTTGGCCCACTTCGATGCAGCAGGTTTAGGAGCCTCTCCTTCCGTCGTCGTCGCAGGCGCAGGTGTCGATGACTCGGGTGAACCAGAGGTGGGTGTCAAAGTCGACCCTTCCGCACGAGGTTTGAGTGAAAGAGGCGCCCATTTGGGTCGCTCTTCCGATGGCTGGGATGCAGACTGCGATGTGCTGGCTTCAGCAGCGGGTGGTAACGAAGGTTCTTTAGGTTCTTCCTTCTTCTTCACCTTGATAGGTATAAGCCCCGGGTCGTAAATCTCGCCTAGCCCAGTATTCAACCTCTTCTTCCTGATTTTGAACCCATGTGCATCCTCGTCGTCTGCAGGTCGTTTCTCCCCTACAACTGCTGACCCTTCAATGTCTGGTTTAACGTCCTTCTCGTCTTCCAGTTCGGGTGATTGCGACGTCTGTGGTGTCGGTATTGTCGACACGACCTGCCATTCACCCGCAACACCCTGTGACCTCCTCATCTCCTGCTCCGCCGCCAACCTCTCAGCATCCGGATCCGTAATTCCCAACTGGGCAGCTGTCGTATAATTGGCGTACGGATTCGACGGTTTGGCAGGTGGTTTCCTCGCAGCCGACGAACTTGAAGCTACTGGTGCAGAAGGCTTCGCCACGCCCGACCCAATATCCTGAGCAAAAGCCGCATTCGCCGCCCTCTCTATCTGTGCCATCTCCCGCTTCTCCTCCTCCAAATCCTTCTTTCTCTTTTCACCTGTCTTGTAGATCCCGCGGATGTACCGCTCGAGGTTGCCTTTGTGTCGCATTCCATTTTCGTGGTGTTGTCGGGAGGGCGCGTCGTCTGCGATGTAGATTTCGCAGTACTTGCAAAAGTACTTCTTTTTGGAGACCCAGTATTCGGACATTGTGGGTTTTCTTCTTCTTCTGGTCGACGTTGGTTTTGAGTTCCAGGCACGAACCCAAAGGCGGCCGGGTAGGAGACGGTGATAAGTCGGTGGTGGGTGTACTTACAAGGGAGACTCGGAGGTGAGAAGTTTCCATCAATGGATTGTTCACATGAAGCGCCCAACCAACAGGTGATCATCTTCCCCCGCTTGTCATCGCCCAAACGGCTACTTGTCCCGGACTGTGGACAATCTTTTAACTGTGTGTATCAATGGATCCAGTTTGGAATCTACGTCTTCTTCTCCCTCTATTTCCATTCCGTTCGCCGGCTTTGAACCATGGACGCCAAACAGACGGCGACGACGGAGGATGCAGTGGTCCAGGAGAAGCAACTTGAGACTGCTGCCAGTGACAAGGACACTGGGAGTCTCACCAAGCACTCTAACGCCTCAAAGAAGAGCCTGTCGAAGGAGGCAGGCTCCGACCTGAAGGCTGACGGTGCAACAGTGGAGGCCGTCACAGCTGAGGAACCCGTCCAGTACCGGCTGTACAAGGCTAGGTTCGCTGGACTCGTAGCTCTGGTCAGTTCCCTGTCATTCAGCTCTCTTGAACAACGCTGAACAGTGTGCAGTTCCTGCTCAATGTGGTGTCCGCCATGGCCTTTTCGTGGTTTGGTCCGATATCCAACCGAAGTGCGTTCTAACGTCGACCATTCCGTTCCGCGCTCCGTCTGACGTCGAGCTCAGTGGCTGAGGATTTTGGTATCACCCTTGACCAGGTGAACTGGCTAGGTATCGTCGTATCGTGCATCTACCTCCCCACTGCACTCTTCATTCCCGTCATCGTCTCACGATGGGGAATTCGTCGCTGCGTACGTGCCCACAACAACGCCCTTGGCACCGCTCCCGAGCTCACAGCGCTCTCGTCGCATCCCACAGTGTGAAATCGGCGGTATCGCCCTGATCCTCGCTTCCTGGATTCGATACGCTGGGACAGTTACCTCCCTCCCGCCCAAAGGCGCATATGCCTTGCTATTCTTCGGCCAGGTCTTCGCAGCCATCGCCCAGCCCATCTATCAAGTCCTCGGCCCCAAATACTCCGAGACATGGTTCGACCTCAACGGCAGAACGACAGCCACAATGGTCGTGGCTATCTGTGCGTCTTCTTCCTGGGTGCTCCATGACTTCTTTCTGAAATGCAGTTCTTATTTTTCTGATGTCCGTTCCACACTACTACTTCGACTGATGCAGCGAACCCTATCGGCGGTGCGCTGGGACAACTTATCAGTCCGTTGGTCGGGGACACTCGTCGTTCGGTGAGTACTTCAGTTCTTTCCAGGCCTTGGGTCCTTGGTCTCTGTTACGATAGTGAGTGATATTGATCGTGTGTGGGTGTACACAGATTTTGGTTCTGGGAATCCTTGGTACTGCAGTGACACCTTTCATCCTTCTCGTCGGCCGGGCGCCGCCCACACCACCCAGTGCGTCCTATTCCACTTGGATAAGGGAGATAGCGATACTGACTTGGCCATCGTTCAGCTTATGCCGCCTCAAAACCTCCTCTCAGTCTGAGCAGCTTGCTCAAGGCTATGCTTGGCAAACCTCCTTCACCTCAAGCAGCCATGTCAGGCAGGGAGCGCCTGGACTTTGCAATCATCACCCTGGTCTTCGGTTCTCTCGTTGGCGCGTACGTACTCTCCTCGATATCACATATTCTGTCACTAACTAGAACCTCCTTTGCAGTTCGAGTTCCTTCGCAGTTCTTACTGCCCAGCTCTTCGTGCGTTCCCATTTCACCGATAAAATCATATGCTTCGTTTCTGACACCTACAAACGACATAGGAACCCCACAAGTATACACCCGACCAAGCTGGGTTCTTCGGAGCGTGTCTCCTGCTGACCGGTATCGTCGGAGCCATCATTTCCGCGCCCCTCTTCGACAGAGTCTTCACCCACCATCTGGCTCTGACGACCAAAGTATTCGTTCCGGTCACTGCGGCTGGATGGTTCTCCTTGATCTGGGCTAGTGAGTTGCCAGTGAATTGGTCATTGTGGTTTCTGGGATCTCACCTTGTTTCTCCTGTGCAGTTAAACCTGGAAATCTGGCGGGATTGTTTGTGATCATGACCATCATCGGTGTGAGTTCGGTTACGATGTTGCCTGTGGCCTTGGAATTGTCTTGTGAAGTCACCCGGAATCCTGATGGAAGTTCGGCTATCCTCTGGTTCACGGGTAACCTCCTCGGAATCGTTTTCGTGCTCTGTAAGTGCCGCATCCTCCTCTTGGCCTAACCGAGTCGGAACTAACTCGTCCTCGAATGAACAGCTCAACAAGCCCTCCGAGCACCACTAGACGCTGACCCGCCCCAACACCTCCGCCGGGGCTCAATATTCAACGGAGCATGGGTCCTCGCTGCAGCATGCTCAGTCTTCTTCATCCGCGGTCTCCAAACTCGCAAACGACTAGACGAAGAGAAGAGGCGTGAAGCTGAGCAGAGACAGGGTGATAACTCGGAGTTGTCGCCTGTTTCCCCTGCTTGATGTCTGCGTTTGGTGTACGATGGGTTACTTTACATAAATTATAGACTTTCAAAATATTCTGTGATGGTGGATCCATCTGTTGATATCGACGATCGAGTGATGGCCGCTTTTGTTGGGTTTGCATGGGCATGGTGTATTCGACGCGTACCGTACGAGCATTTATGTGTATCTTAATACATCATCTATTCGCTATTGGAACTCTTTGGTGAGAGATTCGACTAGTTCGTCTGCTGTGATGGGTCTCTCGACGCATGCGTCGAGATGGCGCGCGATGAGGGTGGCAAGAAGGTGTTTGCACTGAGCACCAAAGGTCAGTCGTGGCCAAACCGCTTGTTTTAAAGCAATAGTGACTCACCATAATATGCGTGCCGGTTGAGAGCACTGAATACGAGAACGCGGGGCAGGAACAGTAGAAAGGGATCTCTGCTGGAAGGTCGAGGTGTACTAGGTATGTTGCTGTAGTCCCAAGAACTTGGTATTCCGTCTTGTTTTTATTCCATGGAAATATCAATTTTAACACTGTTCATTGACATTAGCCTACTGTCTTCCAGATGCTCGGGCGTCTATTGTGCCCCCACGTACCGTTCCCTCTGTCTACCAAGTCGAGAGCAGCAACAACCAGCGTTTCGGGAAACAGCGCACCCAGCTTCGCGTAAGACTCATCTGTCACTGATATTATCCGAGTCAGCCAATAATAAGCGGAGATATCGTGATATCGCCTACGCGTATCGGTCTCGAGCGAATCGAGGATGTTGAACACTACAACGAGCAACTCGGAATTTAGGACTACGACGTCCTTGCCAGTCTCCATTGCAATAAGAGCCACTGTCCATGAATTTAAGTGTGAGCCTGATTAGTTCGGAGGCTTGTAGGTGAGGGAAAAGCCTCTCAGATCGTCCTTGGTGTAGTGTACATGGAGGTTGAGTGTCAAGAAGAGCGGCGCCTAAATTTAGACGCGTCGTGGCACGCCTCCCATCAAATGCGTCACGCGATTCGAGATTACCCCTAACTCTCGAGTTCAACGCTCAGCTTCCGTCGGATTCTCGTTCGCGGATGCAAAAATTGGCAGGGACAGAGGTGCGAAGATTCAAGAGAAGAGGCTGAATTTGGACGTCGAACCCTATGGTGATAGATTTTCACGCCGTTGCGCTGTCGAGGATGGTCAGCGGACACGGGAGTTTCGAAGGAAGGTTTCCATGCATATGTCTCTACCGGTTTCGGGTCAGGACCAAGGCAGCGTGTGCTTAGGGGAGTATTGAAAAGTAGTTCGTGAATACACCAAGAGACGATCAGAAGGAACTCAGTCATCACAGTCGTCTCTCCAGTATTCTCCTTATTCGTACATCCTCCTCCCACCATACCCATGATAGCCCTGACTCCGCTGCACATCTCGTCCCCCACTGTAGGCTGTGGCTGGTGAAGCAACCCGTTCAAAGTACTCGTCCTCCGTTCCCCTCGAATTATTTCGGCTTGGTATCTGAGGAAGTGGTCGGATATTCGAAGGCTTAGGTGGGCTGAGTTCTACACGGCCCTCTGATTGTTGATTGGAGAAGCTCAGACGACCCTGATGTCTCCGCGGTTGAGGTGCATAGTTGTCACTTTGCACGTAATCTCGATGAATGGCCGGTGGGCTCTGATTTGTCTGTTGTGACGCATAGCGATCGAAGTGCTCTTGGGGATCTGGTGTTCGGGATAACGGAGGAACAGGCGCTTTCCAGCTATACTGAGCGCTGCGCTGTTTTGCTTTGCGGTGGAGGAAGTAGGCAATCCAGAGGAAGATGAGAAGTGCGATTCCGCCAACTATAGAGCCTAGGATAGTAGGCAGCGGGCTCGTAGAAGCGTGGGCGTCGCGGCGTTCGAGGCTGTGGATGAACGGACGGTGCGGATGGGGTTCCCGTTGGAGGGTGATTGATGGGTGCGACCTGAGCTCTTCGTCTTCTTCAAGGGCAGTGTATCTGAAGGAGGCTTCGTTGAATGTACTGCGCAGTGTGGAGTATGACGGAACTTACATGAACGCATCAACGTTCAATGTGGAACTCCCTGACCCGGGAATGAGTCGGAGGGTATGTTCGGTGTTTTCGAGACCTGTCTGGTACCACACTATTGATGTACCAGCGCCTCCACTGGGAATGGAAAGATTGATGTCGTCTGAAGACGAGCCGTCTAGCTCCACTCGTATTGACTGCCCCTCAATCCGGGGAGTCGAATAATAAACGGCAACACCTGCGAGCACGACCTAAGATGAGTACTACGGTGACGACAAGAGGGCCACGTACCAGTGAAGCTCAGAGTGACTGTTGGCTGTGACGAGCTCGACGACCCAGTACACCAGGAATAGGAACCACTATACCCTGTGCCACTTTCTACAACCCAGCCAGATCCGTCGCAAAGAGTGGGAGAGTATTGCAGTCGGCCCCTATCCGAGTCATCCACTGTGACATTGCGCATGGCTGTAGGAAGCCTAGTCGTGTGGGGGGAACAGAAGACTATAATGCGGGGTGGTTGTCGAGAACGAGAATAATCCGACCCAGGTTGGGTATTTGATAGAGATTTCAGCTCGGCAGGGCATTTTGTTACACCTGGGCTTTGATGAAAGTGCTGATTCCAAGACCCATCCTACGGTTTCGACGGCGCCGCCGGGGCTGAGTGACTGATGTGTACCCCACATACCAATTGAACGGATCTGGGTTAGCATCTGCCTGGGACATGTGAGCCCTCGCGGATATCCGTCTGATTCTGCTTTTCGCCTGCAGTTGCGCCTGGGCTGAGCTACGTCGAGCCCAACAAATGACAGTCGTATTCTCAGGGCAACTATGGTGGTCTAATGAAAACTCTTTCAGTGGATATGTTCCATGTGGCCTATATTGAATCCATCAGGAAAACCGACAGGTTATGGGAATCGTACCTTTCGGTTCTTTGCATCCTTGAGAATTGCGTGAGCTGCATCAATTTTGCCTATCTTCGCAGACTCTGGTTCGCAATTCGCCGCCGTCCGACCTCTGTGAGAGAGAAACGTCGTCAGGACCAAGAAGCCAAGAGCGCCCAAACCGCTGAACGCGCTAATTCAACTTCCGACGCGTCACGATCGCGCTCGATTCAGCCACTCAGCTTGTTCCTTTCTTGTTCTGTAAGACCTTCCAACCTTTGCTCAGAAATCACGAAAAATGTCTGGAGGCGAGAATTGCGCTAGGTGCCAGGCTCCTAACCCGGAGAAGAAATGCTCCAGGTGTCGTGTGGCAGGGTATTGCGTGGGCAGAATCTACTCCATTATAACGGATTATATCGCTAATTGGATGCTCAACAGAACGCGGAGTGTCAAAACGCACATTGGAGAGAACACAGGGCGTCATGTATCCCTGAAAGTGTGCAGGGCATTGTCATCCGCTGCGAGGGCGAGCGAAAGCCGGGTGGCCCTTTCGCCGTGACCCAAGTTCCTCGCACACATCCTCTTCATACCAGTGGCTTGAGGCCACCTCTGCCAAAGAAAGTTGGAGTGCCTCTCATTGTGTATCGGTGAGTCCTGGGTCAATGAGACACGGCCTCGGTTAACGATTCTCAGCCATCCAATTGATCCTGGCACACCTCGAGGACCGCGGCTTGATAACCAGATCGCCACTTACCTGATGATTGACCTAAGGACAGGATTCGCCCCTCCTGAGTACGTTATTTTGCTCAGCTAGCATGGGGGATCGAACTCACTGTATCTTTCCTTTCTCAGATTCCAACAACAGGCTGGGACTGTAGGCTTTTCACCCCGCAATGAAAGCCCCATTCTCACAGCCATTCTGATTTCAGGTCACTGTGATTCGCGCCGACTACAAGCCACTGACAATGACCGAGATTGAGACAATCTGGATGTACCACGACCACATTCTCGATCTCTTTGGAGATGGTCCTCAGGTGGCACACTCTGCCATGACAAAGGAACGATTCCAATCCTTCTGCCAGCGGTACAAGGAGGAGTGCTTGATGAACAATCGGAAAGAGTTCGAGGACCTGAAGCTTCCCATCTGACACGGCATCTTATGACCAACCTTTTGTTCTGGTTCAAGGCCTGTACGACCTTTATTGGGCCTCTCTTTTGTTTCGCCAGCGATGTTAATCAATGTTACACGTCTTTCTTCCCTGGATACTACACAGCTTAGCATATAGTAAGTAACAGAACACCAACCATCAACATTGAGCCCACATTATACGCCAACTATCACGGAATGGTATCACACACAATCGAGCATCCACAACCCTTGCCTGCGCAATAATCTTAGGTGAGTGGCACAGCCCGCCTGCCACAGCTGCCCGAATGACCCCGTCTTCTTACGTCCATAGCCTTTATAAACTCGACATCCCTTTCTCTACCCTACCCCCTACCCTCATCACGACCAACCCATCGAGCGCACAATATGCCAGAGCCCAATGCGCCTTGTACCCATTGCGGAGTACCTTGGGGAACTGTTCGCCTTCGGTGCTCTAATGGATGCATAACCGTGAACTATTGCGTACGCACTTTGAATGACCTTCCTACACTGGATGGATGCCTGACTTATCCTACCACTTAGAGCAAATCCTGTCGAACGGATCACTGGGAAATGGTCCATCGGTCCGAGTGCATCCCAGACGAGGGTGTAGAAGGGCTCGTCGTCTATTGCAACGAGGACCCCGACCCTCAGCGACGCGGGAACGCTGAGCTCCAGCGTATGTCCTTTTCTCGGGGACATCGAATCTTTACGGAAGGGAACATCTCACCCATAACTCGAAGGATAGGGTTCCCCCTGATCGTCTCTAAGTAGGTCGCGTCTCTCTCCGGAATGTAAATGCATGGCTTTAACTTCCATAGGAAGTATATGCCTGCACCCACGTCCTTCTACTCTGAAAAAGGCCTCGATAACAAAACTGCCAAAATGTTGATGCTAAGTCCGAAAACTGGACATACCCCGGAAGAGTAAGCTTTGGCACTGATCACTGGGCGCCTACATGTGGTATTAATCTTGTTTACTCGCATTAGATGGCAGCAGAACGTCGGCACGGTGGGTGTGGCTCGAATCGTCCAAATCAAATCCTGACTTCTATACCCGCGTCAGGTCTATATCATCAGGGCTGACTACCGTCCCCTCCACGAGCTTCACCTCGACACCATCAAGTCATTTATTCAGGCCCTCGTCCTGTCCGCATCTGATGGGCGCCGGCATGGTACTGGCTTTGGCGAAGGTGTACCCAAACAGATCACGGCAATGACCTTTGGAGAATGGCACAAGGTATTTAGGAGGTGGAACATCGAGAGGGGAAACACAGTCTTCACTTACATGAGTGACTTGCCGATTGGTGGATGATTTGAAATAGTGCCCGATTTCTCCCTCGCTTCCCCTAGTGATGACCTGAGCTCCACAAGGACTGTGTATTATCAATGTATTATTATCCTTTTTAACCACGTCAGAATCAAACGGGATCGTCGCGTTCGAATAGGATCTACTGGCTCCTACTCCTGTCCCGCACCTCAGCGTGCAGACGGTATGTGATCACTATTGAAGACTTGTGTGAATGTAATGACATGCTCAATGCGGCCTTGCGCAGACGTTATTCGTGTCGTCGCTGTCCCCAGTGTCCCGAGCTGCGACAGTCTCCTCGTCCCTTGGTCACCAGGCCTGGGTCCCAAGAAGTTCGACATTCAAACATAAGTTTCCGGGAGAACGTGCTCATGATTTTAAAGACGGTTTACGCAATGAGCGCTTGTATGAATTGAGGCTGAACATCATCATCGCCTTTAAGTAACTCGAGGGGCTGACAGAGGCTCACAGAGTGCCAAAATCTAGAACTTCGATAGGATTAATGGGCGCTTATCAGTAGAACCGTCGCGAAAGAAGACCGAAGACCGGTGGTATCCCACGTTGTCTAAGAGAGTAAGGCTTCTCGACATTCTCCGCAGTTTGCGCAGCAGAGGGAAAGGTATATATACGTGAACCAGGTTATTCTGCCCGCCATCGAGACGACTCGTACTTGGCAGCATGGTTTCCAACGCCTGCATCAATTGCAAGTCGGCTGGTGCTACAAAGCGGTGCGCCAGATGCCAGAAGGTCTGGTACTGCGTGAGTTAATGCTTGATTCTGATCATGCTCGAGGTGTGCCTCATTCAGTTGTCCCCCCTCGCCCGCAGAGCCCAACTTGCCAGAATTCTCATTGGAAATTCCACAAGGAAGGCTGTATCCCTGAGCACGTCACAGGTGTCACAATCTACTGCAATGGAGAACGGAAACCGGAAAGATTCTCTGGTACTCGTATTCACAGAAGCGACGCTGTTTTTGGATTTGGTTATGTCACTCCCGTACCAGCCAGGTTCGGTGTCCCATTGCTAATCTTCAGGAAAGAGTATGTGGCCCTTCACACAGTCGAGCTCCATGCCCAAATTTAACGTCGTTTAAACTCGCAGTTCCCTGCCTGAACCATTTAGACCTTGGAGAGGTACTGAACAAGACCCAAGTTCTCTGGACAACCAAGAAGCAACATACCTGATGATCTCCACACAATTTGGCCTTGCCCCACTCGAGTGAGTGTCAGTTATCCGGCATTAGATCTTGCATAGAGGGTCTAATTTTGACATCGAAATAGATGGCAGTGCCAAGTTGGAACGGTGAGTGTTTGCCGGAGCCAGTCGTAAACCCATTTTCTCATTTTTCGCGTTGAAATAGGTCACCGTTGTGCGAGCGGATTACAAGCCCCTCACCCCCGCCGAGCTTGAGACTATCTGGGCATACATATCGCACTTGATCTCTAACTATTATGGCCTAGGTGACCGAGACCCGGATGGATCTGTAGCAAGGGCGCAGATGACCAAGGAAAAATTCCTTGCTTTCAGCGAGCTCTACAAGGAGGAATGCATAAAGAAGGGACGTGCCGAATTCAAAAATCTCGTTTTACCGATTGGCAAATAGGCTTCAAGTAAATCTCTTAGTGTCTGAACTATCTACATTGATACCATTGAATCTTATCATGTTCTGTACCCATGAACGCCCAGGCCAAGCCGAGTTTTGATGGATCGCGACTCGGACAATAATTCCTTTGATCGATCATTTCAAGTTCTCTGGATGAGCCCTTTCAGTTTTGACCACCACCAGATCTCGAGAGAATGCCCCAATATCTGTTCCACTTTGCTCAAGTACACAACGATTTTCGGATACCAGAACTCGACTCGATATCAGAACTCTACGGGTTCAGCTACAAACTCGCCGAGAACAGCGGTGGGCACGGAAATGATCCTGGCCGACCGTTCATGGTCCTCGAGCTCGCCGATGAAGCTCAGGCGAGGCTTTTAGCTCGGAGATGCATCTTAGTGAAGTGTGTATCAACCCATGCTCCCCCTTCTTTAGAGAAATGACCTCGGATCTTCAGAGCCGTGTACGAGTACTATGCTCAGGGAACGACCTATGAACAACTTCACGCCGCCAACCAGCTCCCAGAAGCTCGAGAAAAATGGTCAAAATACATTGAAGATACCAGCTTCAAGTTCATCATTACAGCCTACAACCACACCATCCCTCAAAGGCGACAAAGAGCCGTCATCGAGAACTTCTCCTACATGGGGTTCCTCGGCAAGATCGATATGAAGAACCCGGAGATATTGTTGACCTGCTTTGAAGAATGTATGTGAGTTGATTTCTTCTGCACACGTCCCTCCAGTCGTGCAAGACCGCAGGGCTGACGTTTGAATGGGCTAGCTAGATGACGACGAACGTCGGGCAACCCCTCGAGCTAGACATGAAGGAGATGGGGAATTCCGACAAGTATACTTTGGGAAATTGGTAGGTCTCTCGCATACAGCTTTGATCGTATCCTTTTACTTGACATCTTTTTAGCTAGAGGAAGGCTCTGCTCGCCCATTGGTTGGCGTTTTCGATGTCAAGAAACGAAAATTCTATGGTAATACGAGCATGGAGGCAGAAGTCTCCTTGCTGATGGCCAACCAGACCCTCGTTCGTCTTACCCTCTTCGCACCATAACAAGTCCCTAACACCGATCCAGGCTTCGCCAGGGAAACTCATGTACGACCCCTTCATGGGTACAGGGAGCATGGCATATGTGCGCTGCATTCCATCTGTACAAACTATCTCAGGCTCAATGATTCCTTCGCATCCAGCCTGTAGCACATTTTGGATCCCTCGTGTTCGGCTCAGACATTGACGGCCGCCAAATGCGAGGAAAACAGGGCATGCAATCTGAGCCTGGAGTCATCCGAGCTGCCAAGCAATACAACGTCGACCACCGAATTCTCGATCTCGCCACCTTCGACATCACGAACCACCCTTGGAGAACTGGAGGGATCTTTGACGCTATCATTACTGACCCACCCTGTACGTTCCACCTCGTGTCGTCCACTGTGTCACAAGTGTTCTGATCGCGCATCGGTTTCTGTAGATGGTGTACGAGCAGGAGCTAAACGGCTAGGAAGGAAGCGCGAATTGTCGGAGCGGCAGAAAGAGCTGTGTAAGCTTCACAGGGAGAATCCTCGTCCGTAAGTACCGACAACCTTTGTAGCCCAAAGCATCTTTACCATCGATGTCCATACAGAGACGATGCCCCTTACATTCCTCCAACAAAACCGTACGAACTCTCACACCTCGTAGAAGACCTCGTTCTCTTCGCTCGCTACATCCTAAAGCCGAACGGTCGACTCGTGTTCTTCCTCCCAACAATAACAGACGAATACGAAGAAGTGGACATCTACACCATGCTCTGCGAGGGGATGGAAGTGATCGCCAACTCTCTGCAGGATTTTGGAGGATGGGGAAGGCGGGTGCGTATCGTCTAGATCTCATCCCTGTTCCCAGAGATTGAAAAGTTCTGTTAGTTAATCACAATCAAAAAGACGACCGACAAAGAGTACGGCCCACCGGCCTTCGAGCAACGAGCAGAAACGAATGGAGAGCCAAAACACATCCCAGCTCATAAAGACTTCCGGGAAAAGTATTTCCAGGGATTCAAAAAGGACAGGTCGCGATCGCGGAGCGGGACTCCAGAGGTAGTACTGGACACTCCCAAATCGTCGTAACAGCGTTCCTCGGGTTTCGGCGCGATTGTAAAGAAGAGTGCTACTGATTCAAAAGGGCATATTAGGAGTGGCAAGGTGATACATACTGGTGCTATCCTATACTCAGCCTATCATAATAGATACTGAAACAGAATACAAATCTAGAGTAAGTACAGGGCAATAAAGGAGTGTACTAAATGCACAACTAAGGTTAGGTAATCGAATTATAACCGAAAAGACGGATGAATTCAGAACAAAAAGTCGTGAAGGTTTAGAAAAATAAACGATGATGCATCGTATGTGATACAGCCATCCAATAGGTGACAGCTTTGGTATAATAACAGATGTGCCGCAGCAAAATGAGGTGTTGGAATCGTCAATAATGCGAGATACTCAAAGAATGAAAATATGGTTGAATTACTGAGCATAAAATCGTTCAGGTGGAATAGCCTTCGTCTTCGCGCTTGAGCTCTTCACACCGTTCGCGCTGGCGGTGCCATTCGTCGTAGTCGGAACGAACGCCTCGTTAGGTAACCGATACCTGTCATCGAGACTCCTCCACTCCAATAGTTCAGCGAACTGCTTCAACTCGGACACCAATCGTTTGATAGGCGCATCCTGGTCGTTATCCGCAGAAGCAGCCTTGTCTGACGACCCCTCCTCTTCATCCAAACCGTTATCCGCTGCAACCCACTCGGCGAGATGTTTGATGTCCTCAGGATGTGCGAACGCGTACCACCGCTCCTTCTCCGGGTCATCCTCATCCCCATCCACGCTCATAGCATCTTCATCGTCACCGCCCTGTCGAGGCACATTCGGACAAAAGGCCTCCTTCTCATCTGGCATCTGGCCCCACACCAGCACCATCCAACTAAAGTCAATGAACTCGTCCCTCTCTTCAGCTTTAGCCGGCCGAACTCGCTTCTTCAGCCTGAGCTTGGAATTGACTTTACCGCCCTGCTCGCGGATGGTGTGCATAGTGTCGATGTACTCGACGGCGGCTTCACGTTCTGCAAAACCGGGCGAAGGAATGTAGTATACTCGACCGTCGGGGTCGGTGCCTGACGGTACGAATCGAAGTGCGAATTCAGACTGAGCGATCGTTCCAGAATGGTCAAGGGCTGACAGAATGTCTCTGTGGAGTTTCCTTGCGAATTGGAACTGTACGCCAAGAATCAATACATGCTACTAGACGCACTGTAAGACGAATACTTACCCTGTGCTTATCCTTGGCCTTCTCTTTATCCTTCATGCTCTCTCGCTCTTTCCTAATCACCTCCCACCTCTCGCCTTCGCCCCTGACGCACTCTCGAACCTTGCGCACCAACTCCTTCGAGGTCTTCAATCCCTCGTCCAGGTCTTCTCTAATAGCGGAAATATCTTGTTGCAAAAGTTGATCGATCATGGAAAGAATAACGGGAATGAATTGACTAGCACTGAGGATCGAGATCGAGGAACCATCCGCCATGGTTGTTGCAGAGGTCATACCGCGGGTTGCACGACGGCCTTGGTCAACGGCAGCGAGGATGGTAAGGGGAAGAGTTTGAGGTTCGGATAATGAGATGGCTGAAGGACCGAACAGCTCCATGTCGCCCTCCACTTCGACCCCATTCACTGACGGAGAGCGAGAGTTGGAACTGAGATTTGTTAAAGACGACGAAGTGGACGCGCTTTCATGAGCAGTGGAAGGTGGGCCAGAGGGAGCGTTGGATGTGGATGTCAAGGCAGCGTTCACCGCGTTCTGCCATTCGACCAAGATACCCCAAACTTTGCTAAGGTGAAGCCCAGCTTGACGAAGTGCCCGCACTGCAGCATGAGAAGCACGGACAGTGGTGACATCATCAGCGCGAGCAAATAAGCCAAGAAGACCGATGAATATCGCTTTGACGCAATTGTCCCCCACCCAAGCAATTTCGTCCAGCTCCTCAACCCCATGGATAGATTTGCCGTTGCCATTGAGCTGGTCGAGTTCGTCAAGGTGAGCCTTGGGAATCGCGGCCTCACTGAGATGGTTGAACCGGAGCAGGAATTCTCGGATATACAAGCGTTCCTCGAGCTCGGATTGGTCCAATGCAGTTGCAACCCGAGTCCATTTGACAGGTGCAAGTGTCTTTATCTTGCGTTGAGCTTTGGGACGGGCCTTCTTCTTGTCCACTGGCGCGGTTGCATCGGGTTTGGTGGGTTTGGCCTTTGCCTTCTTCGAAGAAGCAGACTCGTTCGGAAGGGACTTGCGGACAGCCATGGCACTGTAAGGGTTGAGTTAGTTATGCTTTGAGAGTAAAACGGCGATGTCACATGCCCGATGGGTTCCAATCCTTTCAGCTTCCGGCAACGAGGGCAGTTGCATATATCTTGACATTTGGGACACCTATGAGAGCAATAAGAGACAGTCAGAGACACAGTCATGGGATCACTCACTTGAAGTAATAACCCGCGTTATCCAAGTGGCCCGGTTCGCGCTTCTTATTCGTCTTGAGAGCATCAAGGTCCAGGTTATACCGATTCTTCAAACACGGTCGACAAAACTTGTTGACACATCTCTTTGACTTGACGACTTTAGTCTTTCCGACTTCGCGCTGTTCAAGAGTGGTGCAGTGGATCGTGTCTATTGACGCCTGTCAGTCCCAAGGAGACACTTATCAATGGAGAATGGATAGCTACCTCCCAAATCACGCTTCTTGCAGCATTGATGGCAGTACGTCCATCCATTTGGGAACTCGGGGCATGCCTTGCTGGGGTCGACCTCGATAGTCTCGTCGACCGTTCTGGCAGATGAATTGAGCTGGCTTGGTTTGAGAGGGGCACTGGCGGTCGGTGCAGATGCACTGGCACTAGAGAGGGACCTAATCCGTTTGGAGGCAGAAGAATCCGAGTCTGCACTAGGATCTCGATCGCGGTCGGTGAATTTACGCTTCATAGAAGCGGACTGGGGAGCAGAACTGGCAGATGAAAGCATTGTCTGGCTTTTCTTGGAGCTCAGACGTTGTAGGGGTTGTAAAGGCGTGTTTTCTTTGAGTTTGCTGCTGGAAAGCGACACGTGTGTTGAGGTAACTTTGTTGTTGGTCCGAGTCGCGCTGGCACCGGCCGTCACAAGGGGACGATAGCGCTCCAAATCAAGCGAGGAAGATGTAGGGACTTGGACGTATACAGTTGAGCTCGCTGTCGAATGTCTTGAGATCGCTGACGTTGGCGTCGCCGTCGGGGACATGTCAAGCGCGGCACGACGACGATAAACGACCCAGTGATGGTGGTTCAGAACAGATTCAACACAAACTCAATTTCGCATCTCTCAGGGAGACGCGCTTAACCGAGCATACCACGTGACATAACAGCACGTGAAGTTACTGACATGGCCGAAAAGTTTCACAAACCCCGCATTTGCGTTCTGACCACCTACCTGACCTTTACCGCGTCGCTCTCGTCGTCGTTCCCAACGTCGAGCTAGCCAGTTTTTAATCCTCCCACAAACCGTTCCTTGTCGTTGTTACCGTCCGTCCCGCCAAAAACATGTCTAGTGATCATACGCGCGACCCATGCCCTTGGGTGATCCTCAACGACTTTGGCGGCGCTTTCTCGATGGGTGCTGTCGGTGGTGGTATCTGGTATGGCATCAAGGGTGCAAGGAACTCCCCAAGAGTGCGTTAAACGTCTTTGTTAACCTCCAATCCTAACACGCCCCCAGGGAGAGCGATTCGTCGGTGCCATCTCACAAATAAAAGCCCGCGCACCAGTGACAGGCGGCAACTTTGGTATTTGGGGTGGTATGTTCTCGACATTCGACTGCGCGGTGAAGGGATACCGGCAAAAGGAGGACGCATGGAATGCGATCATCTCTGGTTTCATGACTGGTGGCTGCCTTGCTCTGCGAAGTGAGTTGGCGTGTTGTGCTGGCGGCTCCCGACTGACCGGGCCTTATTCCAGGTGGCCCAAAATCGGCACTAGGGTCCGCCATTGCTTGCGGTATCCTGCTCGGTGTGTTCGAGGGTGTCGGTGTTCTGCTGGGACGGGTGTTCAGCGAAGGCCAGGGACCACCAATGGCTCAATGTACGGCGTCATCTTTCTTCCGCTCAGCCACGACAGTTTTAATGACCTTCCCTTCCTACAGTACCCCCTCAACCTGCACCAGCAGCATGATCGGCGCACACAACACCATCTACTGTAAATTATTAGACGGATTCCATGATCCACGAACAATCACCCCCATTCACCACTACAGCAATATCCAGCGTATACGTGAAAAGATGTGGCTTCGCCTCTCGCATAATGACGTGCTCCACATGATGTTCGCTTTAGAGTCGCGGACACTGGGTTCACTGGCATCTTTACTTACTACTACCATCTCTATGCTAATTCGTAGGCTAATGCACCTGGATCGCACAAACGGATGTATTGTTTCTACCATGCCATTCGAATCCACATCTAATGACGATACCAGAACTTTCGCTCGTCCACACCGTCGAGTCTAAATTTACCCGTAGAAGCGCTTTCGGAATCCGTCGAGATCCCTCAAATCGCACAATGTCGCCAGGTCTGCTCGTTGCATATGCAAGCAGCTGGTCTTCAAGCTGTCCCACAAAGCGTTCGAAATGACGTCTTGCTTGTCACCGGCAGAGTCCATCGTGGCATCACTCTCCTGTAACAGCAACGCATCAAGAACATGCTGCGCGGCTTCTTCGTATCGCTGAAATGAAAGCACATTCAATATCTCTGCTTCTCCTATGACGACGCCTAGACTAAAACTCACCCTGAGATTGATGCAGGCAATTCCGAGGTTGAATCGAGCGCGGATGTAAGTTGGGTTGAGCTCAAGCGCCTTGTAATAGTATTGCAACGCTTCCTCGGGTTTGCCGCTGTTGGCCATAGTGGCGCCGACACGGTTGTACAACAGCCAGTCCTGGATATCGTGTGAATGCAAGTCCTGTGCATTGCAGCAAACCAATACTTACTTCTGGACGAACTGCAAGTGCGGTTCGGAAACAATCTTGGGCCTTCTCATATTCCTGAAACATTGTCAGCTAGTCATTCCACCAGTCCCCAAAACCCAAAACCCACCTCATTGGTATTGAGCAGCACAGCGAGCGCAATCTGGATATCCGCATCGACTTCCGAACCCAAGTCGCTCCTCGCCATCGCAATCAAACAATCAATGAGCCTCGTAAATTGGTCTCGCAACCTCATATCCGCCCTCGGAGGGTTCTCCGCGTTGAACCTTGCGACTGCATCGGCATACTTGGTGTTCATTTCCACCCATTTCGAAATAGCTTCGTACGTCCCAGTACGGTTGCTATCATTGGTGTACGAAATGCCCAACGCAAGCCAGGATGGTAGGTGGGTAGGGTCAAGCTCCACAGCGCGTTCCAACGCTTGCAGCGCCTTGTGCTCGCGCTCGTTTTCTTGTTGTTTGACACCGAGCTCGTACCAAATGGAGGCGTTGTTCATGTCTCTCTGGACAGCCGCTTCGAGCTCCAAAACACTCTGCACAAGTACGAATACCCATATCAGAATTCATATCTCCCAAACACAGAATGGAATGTTACGAACCTCGAGGAAAGCCTGTCGTCCACCTCCATGCAACAAATGATGTCTCGACTTGGACGATTCTCCAAGGAGATATGGGTTCTGCTCCTGGAATTGGTATGTCGAAACAGGCTTAACACCCGTCGTCGTGGCTTCAAATTTGTCCCAGTCTTCCTGAAGGCGATCCCACATTGCCGTTTCAGGTGTATCTTTGGCTCCCCACCGAGCACTCTGCTGGTCGTTCCAGTACTTGGCATAGTCGGCATTCTCCTGACGGAAATACGCATCGTTAGGATCCTCCTCCCGGACATCACCTTCGTCCTGATGGACAGTCTGCGGTTCATTCACCTGTTGGTGCATAGCCATGCTCCCTCCGTCAAGACCAAACGCTCGAGGCGCCGAGGTATTGAGAGGTCCAAGGACCGGGTCCACGGCTCTCCCTTTGCCCTTGACGTCAACATTCGCAGACGCCGACGTCCTCGTCCCGTCGCTCTCAACCATTTGGTTTCCTTCCACGATGACCTCCCCGTCCCGAAGCTGTTTCATCAGCTCCAAGAATTGACTTTTCTTGAACTTTGGGTTCGTCTCATGTTGGACATGATCGAGGAGCATACCAGCCGTGCGCGCCAATTCGTCTCCGTCGAACTGTTTCTGAGCGGGTGCGGATTGTTCTTGCTGGGGTTGTTCTTGGACGACTTCAGGGACGTGTTCAGACGTCGGTCCGACGTTGAGTTCCAGGGCACTGAACTCCTTGTCCCACGAAATCCCTACATCGCCATAACGCAAAATCAAATTAGCCAAATAAGCTCCTATATCGATCACCCCAAGAAAAAAAGAAGGGGACGTACGTTTACTGGTTGTCGCCGCCGTTGCCTGCGGTTGCATTTGCATCTGCGGCATAAAGCCAGGCTGCATCTGCATCGTGTTCATTCTAAACGCTGACATCCCCGGATTCCAAGTTGGGCCTAATTGCATCGCAAAGAGAGAAGACAAAGTTAGACTGCGGTAGGCGGCGAACTGACGTAACAGACCCACCTTGCTGGATATTAATCGACGGGGCATGCACATGCGCAGCATGGGCTTGAGAAGTTTGAGCAGGCTGATATGTCTGGGTCATAGGAGTCCCTCCCATCGCCTGCTGCATAAAGTCCATCCCCCAATCCGCCGTTGCAGCCGCTCCCGGTAGCTCAGCCTGCTGTTGAAGCGCTGGGGGCCCATGGGCGTGCATCGGTAACGCCTGTCGAAGAGCAGACACATCGAAATGACCATCTGGGGCGAGTTGGCCGAGGGCACCGCCAGGTCCGTTAGCAGCAGAGAAGAAACGGGCAGCGTCTTGATCAGCTGTTGCTGAACCGCCAGCAGGTTGAGATCTGAAGGCCTGTACAGTGGCGTTAGAACATATGTCTGCTTTGGCGTATAAGAGATGAAGCACCTCGCGGGAAGACCCAGCTCGAGCTTGGTTAAAGAAATCCTGCAGATACAAAGGTTGAGTACCAGATTTTGGGGTAAGGAAACGAAAACCGTCCGGACCTGCTGAACTCCTCGATCTTGTTCAAACCGCCTTGAGAGATCCTTGAGTGCGTTCGAGGGCCCGCATTCAGAGCCACCAACGAGCATAGGCAACGCCATCCTGAACGACCTCAACAGAGAATGAAGTGGTTTAGAGCCAAGTTGTAGCGACCAGTAGCCGCTTTCGGTTGCCGGAATCTAATCCCGGCGCTTGCGGCTTCTAAGCAAAAAGTTTCACGTGCTTATTCCTCGAGCTCCATCCGCCAGGAACCGCTAAGTCGTTCGTCGCAGAAATCAGTATTCAGGTTATTCAGGTTACAATTACAACAAGTACAGGAGTATAGGCTACACAGGGTAGATTGTGTAGGTAGTACTACTTCTGAGGCACCCATAAAAACGAAAGAAGCATCATCACCACAGTGGCATCCGACAGACAGAGAGAACATACAAGGGGAAACCGACATACTGAGGCGCAAATGGTCGCGCGAAGTCGCGACCAATGTAATTAAATAAGTAACAAGGAGGGAATAAAGAGAATAACAAAGCGACGATCCGTATGTGTGAGGGACATTACAACTATTGAGGAGCAACAGTTTGCTCAGCAGCCGGTGGAGGGGGTGCTACGAGTGAAGCAGGCGGAGGGGCATTCGGGCCTTGGATGACTGGCATCGGCGGCGGCGGTGGCGGAGGGTGTGGCAGTCCACCAGCAGCCTGCTGTTGCTGCTGCGCTGCCACCTGTTGTTGAGCAGCGGCCACAAGAGCAGCGGCTTGAGCTTGAGCCTGCGCCTGTGCCTGGGCTTGCGCCTGTGCTTGGGCTTGGGCTTGTGCCTGTGCTTGTGCTTGTGCTTGCGCCTGGCGATTTCGCTCATCATCCGCGGCCATTTGCGCAAACTTGGGGTTGTGTTGTCGACAGTCAGCGCCACCGTCCGATCGAACTGTAAAAGCAAACAAGGGTCCAGTCAGTCTTTTAATACATTAAGCTTTTGAGGGGATAAACTCACGATGCCTCTGAAAGAGGAAGGAGAGGGAAGCATTCATGTTAGCGTCTACACGAGGAAGCGGATCGGACGAGTGGTGACGTACATTCAATGCATCCAACCGGCTGAACGTCTTCTTGCATCCCAGACAGATATTATTCTGGGATTTGGCGGTATGAAGTGCCTGGTGTCGCCTAAAGGCAAGTCGGTGGAATTGAGAAAACAGTCAACCAAACGGACGGGAAAGGACATACTTGCAGTCGTGCTGTCGAGCAAACCCTTTCTTGCATCCGGGCCACTCGCATACATATGGGCGCTCCTCCGTATGTGATCTCAAATGACCTGTAAAGGTTCTATCAACAAAGAGGATTGACAGCCACCCAAAGCGAAAGAACCAACCTCGCAAATTAAATCTACGAGTGAACGTACTTCCACACCCAGGGACTGGGCACTGGAAGTGAGCCTCGTTCCGTCGCCGACTCGCACTCGCCATCTGAGTCGCAGACGTCGTAACCTGCTGTTTCTCCACTTGGAGAATGGGAGGGAGTCGGGTGACACCGTTGGCAGATGGGTAGTGGTTAGCTCCAGGTCCAGTCATTGCAGCGTCAGGGTTGGGTGGGTTGTTGGTCAATCCCAGACCTTGGGCATGGTTATATAGCTCAGCGGCGTTGGGCGCTAGGAACAAATCAGAGGAAGATTTGGGACTGCGCTTGGGAGGAGCCTGGCCACCCGGAGGCGGAGGAGACATCTGAGATGAAGTGGAGGAAGTAGAAGGTTGGAGGTGAGGAGGTGGCGGTAAATGAGGTGCGAAATGGATAGGTGGTGTTGGTATTCCTGGTGGAGGTGCATAACGCCCGTAGTCTCTGGGAGGCGGTGGGGGACCATCGGGGTGAGTCGCAGGACCTTCAGTGGGTATGCCTTGAGGAACTGGTGGACCAGCAGCAGCCTGATACAGATGTTCTGGGGCTGTTGGATATTGGATCCGCGGCAGAGTGTCGTGAGCCATGTGTTGTGGATCTTGGGCAGGCGGTTGGATCTGGGGTGGCGACGCCGGGGACGGTGAGTCCCTTGGCGACGCCTGCTGTTTCGGTTCGGGCGGTGGCGACATATTCTTGGTCAACAACAGTCCTTCGTCAAGGCTTTACCAGATGTCGCGCTCAAAACGGGTCCTGGACGATGGAGGCGGGGGACAATGAGACTCACTGTGGTTCTGAGCGTTCTCGCGGGGGCGCTTAAATGAGCAAGTGCACAGCCTGCAAATCGGAGTCTGTCAGCGGTGGGATGAGGGAAAGATCATGAAATCGGATGCTACAATTTAGGAGAGTTTGCCAAAACTGTGGCAGAATCGGGAGAGTATCGAATTGTCTGAGGAGTGATTTGAAGAATGTGAAGGGCAAAGCCTGGCTGCGAGAAGATCGTGGTTGGAAGAAACGGAACAACGAACGTGGCTGTGTGCCTCTGGACAGCCACTCCCCTTTTGGAGTTGTGCGAATTTGGCTCCACTGCTGACAAAAACAGCTGTGCAGGTTCTGCAAAATATCCCGTTCATTCCCAGTGAGAATCGGGGTGCGCCAAATCTAGCCCAAACATTCCCAAATTTCTGGGCTTTTTCGGAATGCCTCGGGGTGGTTTGGGAAAATAAATTTGACAAAACTGCTAGTCCTCACATAGCTCAAAAAGCCCCATACGAAAAATTTGTTATCATCCACTTTTATAGCATTTCTGGTTGATTTCTGGGATATATTTAGGAACATCCATACACTGCCCCAGTACACCCCAAATATGCCCAATCCACCGGTACACCAGACCATCCCAAATCCACTCCAAATTCAAATACTGCCCAGTCTCCTCCTAGCCACTACAAGTCCGTAAGTCGTGCCGTTGCGATATCGAGGTCGGCGGTCGGAAGGCGAGTCTAGAGACAGCGAAAACACGTCAGAAAGGTACATGGGGAACGTAGGACACTTACGAGACACTTTTCAAGATAGTAGAGGCCTGCGGGACGGATGTTAGCATGACGAAAGCGTCGGGGGTGAAGTGAACATACCACGAGGCTCAAAACTAGGAGTACATCTGTTGTCGAGAGCTGGTACAGACTATAGCGGGTCGCGTAGAAGCTGAGGAGCTGGAAAGGCGGTCACAGAAAGGACTGGCGGGATGGAGTTTGAAACACGAAAGGCTCGCCTTCTTGTTCTACTCCCCTAGCCCTATCTGCAATTTACGACGTCCATTGCCAACACTGCTGGCACCCGCCGCGGGCCCGCCTGTGAGCTGAATGCGCGCTGTTGTCCTTCATCTCGGTCGATGGTCAAACGGAGGGGTGGGTAGCAGGGCGTGCTGCACGTAGAGTGGTGGTGGTGGTGGTGGTGGTGGTGGTGGTGGTGGTGGTGGTAGAGTCCAAGACGGGTATGCGGCCGACACAGAGTCTAGCCAAATCGAAAGTCACCTGGCGCCCAGGCCTGCGCGTGACCAGAGCGAGGACTTCACGATTCCTGGATCTAGGGATTTGGCGAAACGACAGAAAATAATGCGGGACCTTTGTGATTGATTTCGTTACATCGGTACATTTGAGAGTGGTTTGGGCATATAGCAGAGCGAGAAAAGAAATTGGATCGAGTGACGAAATGTCGACGGAATGACCAAAGAGGGTGTCGCCGGCTTTGGGCGTGTCTGGGGTGTGTTTGGGCATGCTTTGACAAGCTCTCACGGTTTTCGGCACATCTGAGCAAGATTTGGCGCACCCCGATTCTCACTGGGGTTCATTGATCGTGTACCACTACAAACTCTAAATTATGGCTTCTGCTCGAACAAATGAGAGTCCTGCAACCGTCTACGTTGCATCAACTCGCTCTCCGTGATCGTCTGTCCAGTCAAACGGGGTGTCGACGCCTTTTCAGGCGTTCCAACCTCAGACTTGAAAGTCTTGGCGGCGTTCAATCCAGAGCTTTGGCTCGACGAACTGCCTACAATGGTCTCCGAACTGTCTGACAATTCGAGTGATGACTTGACCAACGTCTTCACTTCCTTCGGCCGTGGCATCGTAACTGCTGAACTCCTTCTTGACTGTTCTTGCAACCGCTTGGGGACCAACGTGATTGCAGTGTCACCGTCCGTCTCCGTTTCAGACGCAAGGGGGCTTGGGGAGGGAGGGGGGATGGAAAACGGCGTTGGAGGAGAGGGAACACGAAGCGCAACCACATTCTTTCCCTTGCCTCCATTCCCATTTCGACCACCCTCAATACTCGACGCCACAGGCTTGTATCGTGTGAACGCATCGTCTATCCACTCGGCCAAATCCTCGATCACCTAATTCATTAACATGTCGTTAGCATCATACACACTACCTTGAAACACAACATACCGCCTTGGCTTCGCTCATCAGGGTGGGCATTTGGAGGTATCCGTGACTCCAATCCGAGAAAAGAACCATCTGCACCCAGTCCGATTCACTCTGACTCGCCAGTCTGTCGCGTTCGCGTTTCAGTTCAGCAGCCGTTTTGCCATCCATGTCCGCCACCTCTTTACTGCTCATGCGGAGAGTTTCTCCGAACCGTGCGCTCTTTCCAGACAACGCCAGATCCAACGCGGCTTTCCTCGCCCGTTTCGCTTCGCGTACACGTCCCGCAAAGATGACGGTGTCATCCACGAATGGATCTTTCTCACCGCATTGCAAGAGCAACGGAGGGAATTGAGCGAGGAGGTGGTCAGGAGTGAGGAGAGGCGAGATGCGGTAATCTGTGCCAAAGTCTGGGTTTCGGTGAGGGCCAATGTAGAGAATCGCCATAGCTCGCATCTAGCAAATAGCGCATCAAGACCAGGCGTATCGATAAATGAAATGTGGACGACGCACCATACTGGGAGAGATAATTCGATCTTGGAAATAGCCAGTCCTGCTGGTCATGGTAAGGCGTGTGCCGATCGGTTCTCTGGCCCTCTCCATGCTAGACTGGGCAGCCTCCTTGCCAGAGATAGATTGAGTAGCTTTGGAATTAGCTTCCTCGACGGCCACCGACATTTCGTATTGCTGCAACTCCATTGCCGATCTACTGAGCGCAGTCGAACCGTCGCCATTAGGATATTTATATTTGACACGTGCTCGAATCGGTTTGTCTTCCTCTCGCCACTGATCGAAGTTCTCTTCATCTTCACTTTCAGCGTCTCCAAGATTCCCTTCATCCCCGATACTTCCAGACCTACTCCGTGAGCTTTCCAGTTGAGGGGGAAGCCTCAGTTTCGATGATGACTTGCGCGACAATTTCGGAGGCTCGAGTGTCGCAGGCTCCTCTCCACCACTAGCGAAACCACGGAATTTGTCCTTCCAGCTCGTCTTGCGTTTCAGCTTCTTTCGTTGGTTAAAGGGTTTGCTTTCTCGGACCATACTCAGTGGAGACTAGAGGACGTCATTCGCTTTTTGATCGAGAGACGGAGAGAAACAGCATGGACGTACGGTGTTCTTCAAGTGGTCTTTCTGTTCGGCCAACTCTCTCAAACCAGGGAGGTCTCCGCTAGACTGTTCTGATCTCAAAACACGGAGGTTCTCTGGAGACATCCAAGAGGTGAAATTGAAGTCCAACGCTGGGTAGCTGAGCAGAACGGCGATGGGAAGCGGGAGGTTTACAGGCCGCGCGACCTTCATGTTTCTGAGCTCCAGGATCCTCACGACAACGTTGACTGCGAGTGTTCCTCCTCTAGAAGGTATGTCAGAGGTATACTGACCATGAGGCAACGGATCAGCTTACGCTGAATCGCCACAGATGACAACACTGAGCTTGCGGCCAGACATGCCAATGAGGGAGCCATCTAGGAACGAGGCGTTGGAATGGGGCCGTCGCAGGAAAAGGAGGGTGGACTCACTGGACTCGACAAGCACGCGGTAGGTATCGAAGGCCTCATCGATAGCGAAGGGATAGGGATCTGACTCCTCGCGTAAGTGGTTGCCTCAGGTGCAGAACGATGAAGCTTACATTCAGGTGCTTTGCCATAATCAATGGCTAAGACGGGTCTTCCCGACGTCACAGCCCACATTCTAAGCCTTTCCTCGTGATGCTCAGGGGTCATCGCGACAAAGCCACCTCCAGGGAAATCCAGGATTAGCTCCGTCTGGTTGGCCAACTCGCTCTCGGGAGGGGCAAAGTAGAGGTACGCGGTGATGGGTCGGTCATAGGACGACGAGTTGGGCCGGGGCAGCAATATCTTCCTGCGGACACCCAAGCGAGGAAGACGGAGGTTCGTTATAAATCGTATCTGGACAGGAAAAGGACGGGTGAATAAGGCGGCAGCGGCAGGTCATGTCAACTCACATAGGGATTGGTGGTCTTCTCCCATGTTGTGCGTAACATTTCGACAGTGGGAACAGCCCGGAATCTACGGAGCTGTTGACAGATAAGGCATACAGATTTCTGAAAAGGAAGAGTCTGGGCATACCTTCTCATCCGCTTCCTGGGCGAATATAATGTAATATATCGTGAATATGATAGACGCGATGTCTCTGAGCCATTTGGGGCGGATTGACATTGCTGTTGCGAAGCCGGCATCTAGTCCTGTAACGATCCATGTTGCTCGATAGTAGGATGCTGAGTACTGGACGAAAGCATGAGATAAGGGTCGTCCACATGGTGGCGGTTTCTATCGACTCACGAGGCGGGCTAGAGGTTCCGGTGCTGAAACCGAGTCAACGACCTAACAGCAACGACATGTGCGGGGTAGAAGACTCACCAGTCAGTCCCAAGATATGATCCAAATTCCTAAGTGCATAAACGGTCGTCAAAGTGCTGAGAATAATCTGCCATGGAGTGAAGCGCTCTAAAAGCCCCTGTCAGTTGCACCAGATACTGCGGGAATGATGGCATCAGGACGCACGAAGAGCACGGTTAGCTCGAGGTAAAAAGAGGATTCGTGGTGGGCCTGAAGCGCCCCGAACGATTCTCCAGAGCCAGAAGAGAATAACCAAGAAGACCTGGGCATCAAGAGAAGGACCTTAGTGTCGGCATCGGTGGTGCAGAAACCAGAGTTTGTGTGCTCACCTGGGTCCGCTTCCAGGACGGGTTCGGACGACCAACGAGATGGTCAATCATGGTGGTGGTGGAACGAGTTTAAGAAGGAATTAGCATTGTCTATTGCGGTGAAAATACGAGTAATGATGAATCTCGGACGTCGTAAGGTCCAAGGAGACGGGTTGGCGAAGACAAAACGACGCCCATCGCAGAGAGCTTTAAGAATACACCTGCCCTTTCCTTGTGATTCTCACTGCCCATTTCTAGTCTCTGACCCTAACCCTACCACACAAACTAATCATGGCTGCCCCTCTCATTTCCATCCGCAGGACAGACGACAAAATCGAAATCGTCGACCAGCTTCTGCTGCCCCATGTCACAAAGTTTGTCGAAATAAGCTCGATTGAGGAGGCCCATGAAGCTATCAAGTCCATGAAGGTTCGTTTATTGCCCAATCACAATTTTTGATCTCGTATTCAATTATCTGTCCAGATTCGCGGTGCACCTGCGATCGCATCCTTGGCTTCTCTCTCGTTGGCCCAATACCTCACAAGAGCCCTGAGGCAGACTCCAGAGCCAGAATTCCTCGCTTCAGGCCAGGCGATCAAAAACCATGTCCAACCTCTGCTCGACTACCTCCTCACATCGCGTCCGACCGCCGTAAACCTCGGAAACGCAACCAAGCGCCTCTCAAAACTCATCGACGATAGCATCGCGGCTAACGAAGCTCCCAAGTCGATAGTGCATTCTCTGATTGAGGATGCCAAGTTGATTGCGGATGAGGATGTTGGCAGGAACAAGGCGATGGCGAAATGGGGAGGCGATTGGCTCATCAAGAGGGTTCAGCCATCTACCCCGAAGAGCTTGAACGTCTTGACTGTGTGCAACACTGGATCATTGGCCACTTCCGTAAGTCTATTGTTCTGCTTGGGCTTTAAGTTACTGATTCGCGATAGGGATATGGAACCGCTCTTGGTCTCATCACGTACCTCCACGAGGTTGGGCAACTCAACAAGGCCCATTTCACGCAGACCACTCCTTACCACCAGGGATCGAGGTGGGTTCTTTGATCCTTCTCTGCCACCCTATTTCTAACCATGATCCCAGGCTAACTGCTCTCGAATTGAAGACCCTCCAAATCCCCTCCGTAATGATTTGCGACACCATGGTTGGCTCTCTCTTCCAACACCACGACATTCACGCTGTCGGTGAGTCATCATTACACCAACCTTCATTCTCCATAGTAAACCAACGCTCCACCTTGATAGTTGTCGGCGCTGATAGGATCGCAAAGAATGGTGATACTGCCAACAAGGCAAGTTCCATACCTCGAGTCCTCCAAATAATTGACATACCCTGGTTAACTCTCGACAATAGATTGGAACTTACAACGCCGCAGTTATCGCAGCACGACATAACATCCCGTTCATCGTTGTCGCCCCCATCACCACTGTAGACCTCGAAATCGACAGTGGGGCTCAGTACGTTTCTCCCTTCTCTCCCCAAACCCCGGTCCTAACGTAGTGCCTCACCTAATCAGGATCCCCATCGAACAACGACCACCCCTCGAAGCTTGCTTGGTACGCGGGGCAGTGTACCCCCTGCCTGAATCCGGCGAAGTCGAGCAAGCCCAGGTGTTGTTGACCCCGGTCGGCCTGGAGGGAATCTACAACCCCAGCTTCGATGTCACACCTGCCGAGCTGATCACTGCGATTGTGACTGAAAAGGGTGTTGCAGTTAAGGCTGAAGGTCAGAACGTGTTTGATCTTACTCCTATCGTTTGAGTGGGTGTATAGAAGACTGCGAAGGTCAGACGAGGGGTATTGTTATTGATGGGATGGATGTACTTTTATTGCTAGATCTATAGATTTGTACCACTAACAAAAAGTAAAAATGGACATTTGTGACTACCCCAACCAAAATTCGGCGGTAGACTCTCTACCTCGACCATCTAATCTGTCCTCTCCGAGTTCACCAACCACCTCGAAGATAGGGGCTTCATCTCCCCAAACAGGCCCCCTCCGCAAATCCAGCGCCGAAAATCGATCGATCAAACAATTGCGTAGTGGCGACAATGACCGTATTCCTCCTCCTTCCAAGAGCTTCCAAGCGTCAAGCAACTTTCAGTTTCATTCATTGCAGCGTCGTTATTGTGGACCTTGCATCCTTTCTCTCAATCTCAAGCTCCGGCGTCCAAGTACAAATTAAGCGCCGGAAAGCGGTTCTGTGCACGCGACGGTAGAACTGGACCACCCCACCCATATACAATTGCAAGAGCCTTATCCAACGACACGCACTCACACACCCAGTTTCCGCCTAACTGACTTTGACTCAGTACCTGAACTATTCGACATATTGTTTCATCGCAGCTACGACGACCGTCGAGTCGTTTCCGAGTTCCGGCGTGCTGACTACATCATCATCATCATCCCAGTCAACCTACGCCCTTCAACGTTTATTTCAAGTTACAGAACTACCAATGGATCGGAGAGCATCTACGAGCAATGGAAGGCGACGCGGCGACACGCTCGTCGCGCACGCCTATGTCGCCGTACACGGAGGTGCAGGTGTGCACCGCGAATCCACCGAGAAGGAAGTTAAACAAGCTATGAAAGAGTATGTCCCTCTAATGGGCTTCCCTATCATCCTCTAAATATACGTATACATCCGACGCCACTAACACCCTAGCCTTTCCAGCGCTTGCATTAAGGCGATCGAATTAAGCGCCAAAACCGACGCCTCGGCTCTCGACATGGTCGAAAGCGCGATTTGCGTCTTGGAGGACGAGCCGCACCTAAACGCGGGCGTCGGCTCGAACTTGACGCTCGACGGAACGGTGGAATGTGATGCGGCGATGATGTCTGGTCCGTGTCATGCGTTTGGAAGTGTCGGTGCTATTCCAGGTTCGTTGGTCCTCGTCACTCACGTCAATTGAGGAAGCTGAAATGTGTCGTGGGTGCCGTGTACACAGGAACTAAGAACCCCATCAAAGTCGCAAGGTCCATACTCGAGTATTCAGCAAAGGAAGACAAGTTGGGCCGTATCCCGCCTCTGTACGTCCTCCTCCTCCTGCTCCCCTGCAACCTCCCGATACCAACCCTCCCATAGAACACTAGTATCCACAGGCGCAGCCTCATTCGCCAAATCCAACGGAATCGAACCCGTCTCCCCATCCTCACTGATAACACCCGAATCCCAGTCGCAATGGAAGAAATGGAAAGATAGGTTGCGGTCCCCGAATGCAATAGACACCACTTCGTCTCCAAGTTCACCCCCGACAACGAGTTTCAAAGAGAAACTCACAATTGACGAAGTCCGGTCTCCCAACGAAATGCAAAGGAGATTGGATGAATCGCTGCGGGATAGGCAGGACACGGTAGGAGCGGTAGCGTGGCATCCGAGGGAGAGAAAGGTTGTAGCGGGCGTGTCGAGTGGTGGAATGCTGTTGAAGCTGCCTGGGAGGGTCGGAGAGGTATGTATTGCGACCTTCTGTGCGATTCACAGAGGCGGCTGTTCTCACGACTTCTGGTTGTTTAGGCTGGAGTTTATGGTGCAGGTTGTTGGGCCCAACAGGGGGAGAGCTTGGAAGGGAACCACGAGATTGGGGTAGCTTGCAGCGTCTCTGGTACGTCCGTATGTCTTCACGAACAGGGATCTGTTACTTATAAAGAACGGGGTGTCAATAGGAACCGGCGAACATATAATGCGGGCCCAACTCGCTCGAACAATCGGTGAACGGGTATTCACTGCTCTGCAAGCAAGATCGGCGCACGAAGACGAACCAACGAAAGACGAAGCGGACAACGAAGACGAGGACGACGATTTTGACGAAGACATTGAACACGACCCTTTGGATCCACACACGATCCTTGAGCAAACGCTCGGGAAAGAGTTTTGGGGTAAGTTGGTATATTGCAAACAACGGGAATACAACGGTATTGATGGCTTTTTTACAGAGACGTTCAGGAAGGAAGGAGAGCTCAGTCCGAGTGCAGGGGTGCTGTTGATGACGAGAGAAGTCGACCGCAACGGAGAATGCTTGGGTGAGTGCATTGACGCAAACGAGGCGGAAAGATACTGAAGGCAGACGGCAGTGAGGCTATGGTGCGCCTTTACCACCCCAAGCATGGCCATTGGATATGCATCTCCCAAACACCCAAGGCCCAAGGTGAGGATATCAAGTGGCTGTCAAAGTTAAGTTAGGCTGACGTTGGGCGGCGTCGTAGACCATGATCTTGAGGCACCCAGACGCAGGTAGTACTCGTTGCGGCGAACGACCGAGGATGTACATCACGTCCGTACTGCTTTAGCGCGAGAATGAATGGTCCAAGTTCCAGTTAGAAGGTCCATAGATCGATAGCAAGGTCTTCCTTCATGGGGTGCTGGTAGGACCATCACGGTCAGGATCCATTGGGTTTACCATTCCGGTGTGTACCAATCGAGCTGCTGTGCGGGAGACCTCCGATACTACTGCTTCGGTTAGGCATACCTGCGCCAGCAGGGAATCCATCAGCTACCCGGGGTGGCTGTTGAGACTGTGTTCTGCGTGCTAGCGATGGTGTTCGATGATGGGACGGAGTACCCGAGGCCGTTGGAGTAGGTGCGTTTGATGGACCAGGTGCTGGCGAAGGCCGCGGGGAATCGACCGCCATTGGTCCCCGAAGGGCATTGAGACGTTGTAGAGTTTTGATGGGGAATTTTGTCCTATAGTTGTCAGAATTAGATCGAAGAGTAGTTGGAGCTCAGTGCGGTGTGCACGAACCTGCAGGTGCTACAAACAGGACTCGGCTTGCAGAAGACTGTGGTCAAAGTCAGTGGCGCTCAGGGCACGGCAAGGTCGGCAGGACATACTGGATAGACATACGGAGCAGACGTATCCAATGTCGACGATATTCTTATGGCAAAAGCATGCAGCGCGAAAGTCGATGCGGTCTTGGGTTGGAACAGCGAGGATTTTGCGAATAAATGGCGGCGGGAGGAAGGACATCTGGGGACGAGGTTATCGGCACGAGGATCCGGGGAGCACGACGATCAAGACGTACTGTAAGGTATTGCAACAAAGCATCACGGCGTTCGAGAAGAAGATAGGATCCGCCCGTTAAGTGCGCCGCTTGCTGGAGGAAAACAGTTTCGCCGCCATAGATTTGGCAGGCATCGATGGTCACTTTCTTTGTGTGTGTGAGATATTGGTCAGAAAGTGGGGACCACGATGAACATACAAGCTTCTGGGCCGAGAAGATAGCATTCATAATGGGTATGTAGGACGTCGATAAGTCGGGAGAGACCGAAAGAATCAGGATTCTTGGGTCCAGCTGTGGAGGGACGCCCTGGGATCCATTTGGCAGTGGTGTCGTGGCTGTAATGCGATTGACGTCTAACAACGGACGGGATGAGTGGCATGCGGTCTGGACGGGTGACTAACACTCACAGCATAGAGCTTTGGTGAGCGCGCCGACGAGGGCACAGGGCACTGGGAACGATGGAGTCCATAAGCGTCAAACCGGCGAGTCATGTGTGGAACGCACCTTCTTCTTCATCGTGAGAGTCGTCCAAAGCGTCGAGCTCGGCGGCTATACTTGTGACAACGGTGTTATCGAGCAGCTTGAACGGCGGATACGAGTTGGCATCGACGGAGATGGAGGCCGTTTGGTGCTGGTCAGTTGAGGCGTACAGCATGACACTGCATGATGGGGATGATAATCAGCGCGAAAGAGGACAGCGTGCAGAGAGCCCCACAGACCTTTTGCCAGGAAAGGCGCCGAAGACGGCGAGGGTATTTTCATGCATGCATGCGATGTGGGCATTGAGGAAGGCAAGGAGCTGAGCGAGGAAAGCATTGAGGGTAATAGGTTGGGGATCGTTGGCGGCGCGGTGCCATTGTGCCGGAGAAAGGTCCAAGACGACGGCCAAGAGGGTGCCGTGGTCGTTCATGACGGTGAGGACGAAGAGGAAAGAAATTTAGGCCGGATTGTTTCGTTGGATCCGATGTCTCGGGACGATTACAGCGATGGATTGCCGCAATTAGCGCCACTTTAGACGAAATTTTTACCACCCTGGAAGTCACGAGCGCCGGTGACGAAGGCCCTTCCGGCGTTGGCCGTGGCACTGGCGATGGGCGTAGCGACGCTGCCCGCGTGTGAATTCTCTCTGTTGACAATGCCTGCCGCCCAGGGCTGCCTTCCTTGAGCTCCCCCCATCATCATCCGCATCCTCCAACACCATGTCCTCATCGTCAGACAGTGGACACCTCGACAATCATTATGACAGCGACGACGGCATGCACGTCGACTCTCCCGACGAGACAAAGCACCAACACGACCTACTAGATGCTGACGGCGAGTCCGTCGACGAGGACGCCTATTCATCCAACAACCTCGCCGGCCACCACTCTGTGCCAACAGCGAGCGGGTCTCATTCACTGCACGCTCATTCTGTGAGTTTCTCTGTATTTTTCAAACGCATACATCGACCCTAAACGCGTTATCTAGGACGACGACGACTCTGTATGGATCCCCTTTGAGCCTCGTCCTTGACCTCCGTTCTCACCGCAGTGTTCCTTTCAGGGCTATGAAGACCGCGGCGATGATCATGACGACGACGATGACGACGGCACGTACGCCGACGAGGAGTACTCCACCAAGAAGCGGCCGGTCAAGAAGAAGAAACGCACAGCTGCGGCCGCAAGCACCATCAGACCCAGAGGTGAGCAACGTTCTTCCCGCCGATGACACCGCCAAGACTAATCCCGCCCCCTTTCCAGCGCTTGTCCGCAGAGACTCGACATCAGATTCCGACTCAGACTATGGTTCCCGCTCTCACAAGAAGAAGAAGCGGGCCCGTTCATCGACTGACGAAGTCCGCGTTTCCAGCAGAGGCGGCAAGATCCCGAACTACGTTGACGATATCCAAGACTTTGAGAAGTTCGAAGAAGAGGAGACTATCCCCGGGTATTATGTTGACCCCAGTCTCCAGTATGTCGAAGAGGACGAGATCGAACAGGTTCTGGCGCACTGCAGAGATGAAGGCCGCGAAGACGACCCCGAGGATTTGTGGTTCGAGAATGTGGTAAGTTCTCAAGTTGCATTATACTGAGAATCGCTTTTATAGTTTCCCTTCTAGCGATTCCATATCAAATGGAAAGGCTTTTCCCACCTTCATAACACCGACGAAACCTACGAGTTTTTGAAGCGATTCAAGGGTCTGAAACGCGTCGATAACTACATCAAGGCGTACAAGTTATGGAAATCCAGGGTCGAGTCTCCGGACTTGTCAAGCGAGGAGAAGGAATCCTTGCTGTTGGAGAAGGAGCGCGAGAAGGAGGAGTTGGAGATGTATCGGATCGTTGAGCGGGTGGTTTTGCACAGAGATATCGGTGCAGACATCGAGTACTTCTGCAAATGGACTGGGTTGGGCTACGAGCACTGCACATGGGAAGCCCAGAAGGACATCAACCCCATCGCCAGAGACCAAATTGCCGCCTACAGGCAACGGGAAGCGGAAGCGAAATTCCCTTACAGGAGCACCTACTATCCCAGGAACAACCGGCCTCGCTTCAAGAAGATCGAAACGGACCCTGAATACATCCGAGAAACAGGTGGTCAGCTCAAGGACTTCCAGCTGACCGGTTTGAACTGGCTCGCCTACATTTGGAGCAAAGGCGACAATGGTATTCTTGCGGACGAGATGGGTTTGGGCAAGGTATGTATCTATCTACTTTCTTGATACACTCCCAGTACTGACGCGTCTGCAGACCGTCCAAACAGTCTCTTTTCTGTCATACTTGTTCCATGAGATGAATCAATACGGGCCTTTCCTCGTCATTGTCCCTCTATCGACAATCACAGCATGGCAATCGCAGTTTGCCACCTGGGCACCTGACATGAACGTGGTTACCTACATTGGAAATGCCCCTGCCCGTGACGTGATTCGCAGATACGAGTTCGGCACACCTCCCAAGAAAGTCAAGATGAACGTCTTGTTGACCACCTATGAATTGATCTTGAGAGACGCGAAGGAGCTCTGTGAAATCAAGTGGCAAGCCCTTGCAGTTGACGAGGTTTGTTCCCCTCTCTCTTGTTTATGACTTCATCTAATCTATTTACTTTTACAGGCTCACCGTCTGAAAAATTCCGAGAGTCAGCTGTATGAAGCTCTTCGGTCTTTTTCTGCTGCTTCGAAGCTCCTCATTACCGGAACCCCGTTGCAGAACAATGTCAGAGGTACGATCTCCTTAAGGCAAAACTCGATTTTTTGGTTAACCTCTCCTCAATCAGAGCTAATGTCGTTGATGCATTTCTTGATGCCCGATAAATGTAAGCGGTGCATTCCATCAAAACTAGCTACTTACTGACCCCTTACTTCCAGTCGCCCTCACCAACGAGTTCGACCTGAACGATGCAGACCATGACAAGATCAAGGAACTTCATCAGCAGCTTGAATCGTACATGTTGCGACGGCTCAAGCGGGACGTCCTTACCTCATTGCCGACCAAGAGCGAGCGTATCCTTCGGGTGGAAATGTCGGCCTTGCAAACGCACTTCTACAAGAACATTTTGACCAAGGTGAGCGCCGTCTCCATGCCTGCTCAGCACCGTGCTGACCTTTTGTCCAGAACTTTGCCGGTCTTGTCAAGAGCGCCAATGGAAACCAGAACATCAGCTTGCTTAACATCGGTGCGTTCCACTAGACTTCATATGTGGACGACAACTCACCGCGATCACAGCAATGGAGTTGAAGAAGGCGGCCAATCACCCGTACCTTTTCGACGGTGCCGAAGTAAGAACCGATAACAACGAAGAAACTCTCAAGGGTCTGGTCATGTCAAGCGGCAAGATGGTCCTTCTCGACAAGCTCCTCGCCCGTCTCCGCCAGGACGGCCACCGCGTTCTCATCTTCAGTCAGATGGTCAGGATGCTTGACATTCTCAGCGACTACATGACGTTGCGAGGGTATCAGCATCAGCGGCTTGACGGCATGGTTGGCTCCGACCTGCGAAAGAAGGCTATTGCCCACTTCAATGCGGAGAACTCTCCTGATTTCGCCTTTTTGCTATCAACGCGTGCGGGTGGGCTGGGTATCAATCTCGAAACCGCTGACACTGTTATCATCTTTGATGTGAGTTACCGCTCCTCTTCCCCTTCCCACAGCCCGCAGTTGCTTACTCCCGTGATAGAGCGATTGGAACCCGCAGAACGATCTCCAGGCGATGGCGCGGGCCCATCGTATCGGTCAGAAGTCACACGTTAGTGTGTACCGTTTCGTCAGCAAGGACACGATGGAGGAGGACGTTCTTGAGAGGGCCAAGAGGAAGATGGTTCTCGAGTATGCGAGTAAGTTATTTCCATTCCATCATGGTCACTTTGGTACTTATGTCCACGTTCAGTCATCAACCAGATGGATACGACGCAAGCGCACTTGAGTTCCAAAGGTCCGAAGGATACTTCGAAACCGGAGGGCTTGAGCAGGGACGAGCTTACTGCCGTTCTCAAGTACGGTGCGCAGAAGATGTAAGTGTGTCTGACCATGTTGGAGACATTGGCTTACCCGCCGTTCTAGGTTCGACAAGAACGACAACGAGCAGAGCCAGAAGCTCGCCGAGATGGACCTCGACGACATCCTCAGACATGCCGAAGACCACGAGACCCAGACCGGGGTCGATGGCGGTGCTTCGCTTGGTGGCGAAGGATTCCTGTCAACGTTCGCCGCTGTCAGCGATGTCAAGAACGATATGAGCTGGGAGGACATTATTCCTCTTGAGGAGCGCACTAGGTTCGAGCAGGAGGAGGAAGAAGAGCGCAGGAGAGCAGAAGACCTTGCTGCTCATGAGTCCCGTGAACGGAAGCGCAGTCATGCACCGGTGTCATATGAAGGGATGGATGTTGACCAGCCACCCCAGCCTCCAGCACCGAAGAAGCCTAAAGCTACGGTCCAACGCAAGTCGGCGAGCCAGAAGGCTATGGAACTCAAGGAGCGTGACGTTCGTGTCCTTATCCGAAGTTTGCAACGATGGGGCGATATCCGCCAGAGATACGATGTCATTGTAAGTCGTGGCACGCTCGGTTTATCGAATGCGCTCACCGGTTTACCTTGCACTAGGTTAACGAGGCCAAGCTACAAGACAAGAACAAGGGCATGATTCTCGATGTTGCCGACGACATTATCGAGATTTGCTCTCAAGCCATCAAGGATGATCAAGAACAGAAGCGCAGGAAGCTCGCAGCCGGCGAAACGCTCAGCAACGCTCAGAAGAGTAAAGCGGTTCTAGTCACCTGTCGCGGGGTCGGTAACATCAACGCGGAGACCGTCCTTTCTCGTCATCACGATCTCAGCATCCTTTACAATATTCTTTCCGAGCTAGATGACCCCTACACTTGGTCGATACCCATCGACAACATCCGCCCGACGCTAAACTGGTCCGGTCGATGGGGCCCTCAAGACGATTCGATGTTGCTTGTTGGCGCTTACCTGTACGGCTTCGGCAACTGGGAAGCGATGCAGAAAGACCCCAAGCTTGGTCTCGAAGGCAAATTCTTCCTCGAGGAAGGCAAGAAAGGCGAAGACTCTTCAAGTCGACCTATACCAAACGCCATTCACCTTGTTCGACGAGGCGATTTCCTGTTGGGCATATTGCGGGAACATGTCGAGAAATTACGTTCGTATGAGAGTTCGTTGAGGGATAAAGGGCTCAAAGTTTCAACCTCTCCTCCTCCGATAGCTGTAGCATCGACTTCTTCCTATTCGAGTTCCTTGAAGAGGAGGGCTGAGAGTGAGGCTATGGCTACCATTGACGATGGCTCCTCGAGGAAGCGCAAACGAAGACCGACGCCGACGTTCACCGACTCCTCTTCATCTGATGAATGGTATGTTTCCTTTTACTTCCCTTGAGTGACCGAATTCTGATCGGCCCTTTAACAGTCCGTCAATGGATGAAGCTGCAACCAAGGAAGAGCTCCGACCCGTCAAGAGGCAGCTCGTAAGTAACCGTCCTCGGTCGACATCATATCAGAAGACTGACCACGCCTGTAGAAACAACTCAAACTTTCGGGTGAAGACATGCCTCGAGATGACAAGGTGGCCATCCTCAAAGACTCTCTTGCCGCAATCGGTCGACGCATCGAGATCGTCCTCGCGCAGAAGAGCGCTGCTGGCGAAGACCGTGAACGGTGGCGTCGTCATCTGTGGACGTGCGTCGTTATATATTTCTCTTACCATGAGTCGTCGCTGACCTTTTTCATCCCTATGGGATCTAGGTTCGTCACGCTCTTCTGGCCGAAGAAGGTGAAGGCATCCAAGCTCGAAGAGATCCACGCCAAGATGGTCATGAAGGAGTCTGGCCCTCGCAACGTCGCCCATGCATCTTCAAGTGACCCTAACAAAAAGTCACGCCCAATCGCTAGCGGCAGCGGTAGCAAGGCGAACGGTTCCTCCTCGATGAGCAGCATGAACGCCATCCGGTCAAATGGAAAATACCGGTGAAACCAATAGACTCTTTTTTCCTCGTTTCTTTCACTTGACATTTTCCTCTCACTCTTCTCGTTTCCATTCTCGTCTCCTCCTTGGTTACCTCGTCCGACTTTTTATTCATTTCGTATTCGTTAGTTTATTGGTCTCTTCAAGTTCTTTCACTTTCCCTCCTCTCCTATGTCGGTATCTCCGCCCCTTGTATCCCATATACGCGCTGTCGCAACCCACATCATTGTATCACAACCCTCTCAAAGTACTTGTAAATATCGTAATGAGAATGAAGCAATTCCCGCCTGGAAACAAGTGTATTGAAGGTAGTAAGTTGGGCATAGGATAGATTTACAAGAGTCCTAAACGAAAGTGCTACGATAAACGTCGGTGGGGATCTCCTATTATCGATTGGGAGTCCGAGGGGAAGGTTTTGAGGAGGAAGATATCTTTCGTTGGCGCCGCTCTGGTCTGGGTGTTGATGTCGTCGGGGTGTTCTTGGAGGATTCTTCGCGAAGGATACGAGCTACTTGGTCGCGCAGGTTGGAGGAGGATATATCTTGTCGGGATTGTTCGTAGCCACTCTTCATGTCCTTTTCTCTAGCGTCTGTAATGTAAAGAAAATCATGTCAGGGAATCCAACGCGCCGGGATGAACGATGGGCAACGCACCTTCGAGCAGTTTAGCATCTGCCTCTCGATGACACTCCTCCATTAAAGCCTTGAACCGTTTATAGTTCGCCTTTAGCTCTGACGCAAGCGCAAGGTTACCTTGCGACAGCGCCCACTTCCGCTCCTCCCTGCACCGTCGACGTTCGCTGTCTGCCAGCGAAGCCCTAGCCCTCAGCGCCGCAATTTCCCGTTCCAGCGGCGTCATGCTACTCGCTCTGCGACTGCTGATCAACCCAGTGGCTGAATCGACGGACGTGATGTCGGATGTAAAGGCAGCTGAGGATTGGGGTCGGGGGTCGGTGGGTTGGGTCGTGACGCTCCCTCCTTGGACGCTAGCCCTCCATTGTACCGAGCGTGCTGGACGGTCGGGTTGTCGAGAAGATCTCTGCGGTTTGATGTCGTCGTCGTATCTGTGTCGAGACTCGTGCGTCCGGTAAGATTTGCTTGAGGACCTGTCCCGTGAGCTCCTGCTAGGTGGAGAAAAGTACGGGTCGAACTGGGAAGCGAGCAAGTCCGTTCCGACGACCCCCAAAGCGACTCCAATGATCGTTGACATGCATCTGGTCGCATCCTGCGAAGCCATAAAGTCAAACAGCAGCTTGACAACTATCCCAGCGCCGACGAGGAGCGTTGCAGCGGTGTTCTTCCCAGCATATTGTAGAGCTACACCCTGCCAGACTCCCTGAAGAATGGATTGGCCCAGTGTCGGCGGTTCAGCTGTCTGGTTGACGGTGTCGATGAGGATTCGGGTACCCAGGCCTACGAGCAGAGCGGGCGCGGTGTACATGGGCATAGCATTAAAGTCATAAAGGCATGAAACGAGATGAAATGAGGTAGTTTGTGGTGGTTGTACACAGCCAAGAGGCGTTGGAATTGACCAACTTGAACTTCGCGCGCTAAGTTGAACCCAACACGTGGGCGTGCGCGACTGATAAGATTCAACTCCGTTTCAATACTCACGTTCAACTTCAACCTTCTTCTTCACTGTCACCTCACCCAATAGCTCTTCAGTTCTTTGAGCGCTGAGAGAAACTGTATGTTATTTAGTGACATTGGCCCCAATATACTTCTCACAGCAAGTGACAGATCTGGAGTCCCACCGCCCTATTGACAATGGAGTCACTAGGAACGAGCTCACTGTTCAAACAAGTCGATCAGCATCTTCTCTCGACCAATGACCCCCCTATGACCAATGAACAGAGGCTAGCGGCGAAACGGTACATTGATGCAGTTTCCAAAGAAATTCAGGAGAGGGAAGCAGCGATCCAGTTTCTCCCCCCGCTGCCTGGCCTAAGAAGACGCATCGGTAAGCTGCGCAAGACTCGGCGAAAGGTTCAAGGTATTCTCTCGCCACTGAGAGACTTTCCCGAAGAACTCATCGCGAGAATCTTCGAGATCGTCCTGGAACCGTGGAATAACAACCTCGGGGGGCGCCGTGCTTTTATACGGCTACGGTCTGTGTGTCAACGGTGGCGTGCTATTGCCTTCTCGCACCCAGCGTTATGGGCAGCACTCACCGTGGAACCCAGAGAGCTTTTTGGTCCAAATGCACCGGACCTCCCGCAAGCCAAGATCCGTGCTTGGTTTGACCGCGCCTTAGCCACACCTCTTCGGTTTCAAATCTACTCTTCCAACGGCTTTCAAAATACCGCGGAGGAAGTTGCGAGCGCTGTTTCCGTGGTGGCAGACGATAGAAATTGGTCCGTTGTGAAGCTTTCCCTTGACGCCCATGCGGAAACTTCCCTCAACAGCCTCTTTGCCGCGATTGCCAGCGCGTCATATCGCCCGTGGAAGAACTTGAAAACTTTGGAGATTGCGCTGGTTCCACCCTCAGCGACCACTGCAGGAGGTACAGAACATTGGCCCTTTGGTTCACTTCCATTGCATTTTCATGCGCCCAATCTCTCCTCTCTCCTAATGGACGTCCATACATCTCTTCCTGAGAGCCGCACAATCTCTCACCTCAACCTTTCACGGTTGGAACTTTCATTTCGCGATAGGTCAAGGGATGTATATGCATCTCTGATTTGTAACCTTCGCCATCTCCCTTGCCTTCGCTGGCTCAAAATACGCATGGGACGGTCGGAGCCTTACTCACTTCCCGTTCCCCCTGCCCCCATCGTTCATACAGGCATCACCACTGTAATCCTACAGGGCCCACCGAGACTCCTTCAATGCCTGACTCTTCCCGCGCTCACACACCTCTGGTTATCGCCAGAGAACTTGTCTCCTGGACCGCAGACTGATATAGTCGCGTTCGAGGAGTTCTCGTCGGTGGTGAAGGCGTTTCTGCATCGATCAAGATGCTGTCTTTCGGGGTTGTTCCTCCACATGTGGCAACTTCCGTATAACCTATCGTCCCGGTTCCTTGAGGAGATTGAAACTGGGTACATCACCACCCTGTCAGTCTACTTAAGGAATGTCCTCCCCGAACAAGCTCATATCCATCGACTCTTACTTCTACGCTCCATTCGACGAATCGAAATTCACGGAACAGCTTACATCAGGTTACAACCCCTCGCATTTATCGAATGCCTCGAGCAAAGGAAGGTCGCTTATCTCTCGTCGAGTCGACAAAGCCCGGGCGAAAAGGCCGCGGAAGCTGCCCTGCCCTGGCTCGAACTCGTCTTCAAGCAAACAGCGCCGTTCGTTCGAGATCGCAATCGTGACCTTTTGGCACGAGCTTTCCAGTTGAAAGTTCGGATACAGGTCGGAAGCGTAGCGTGGAATTAGGAAGCTTTCCATTGATGGACAGTGTAGAGCGGTAGTAGCAGAAGCAATGTATTCTATGTGCGCTCCAGATTGGTCTCATTCAACTTCCTTCACGGCATAAGCACTTGAGTAACTAGCAGGACCCAAATCTTAATCATGACGGAGTTCAGGGGAGTATGACTGTCTCCGAAACGAGTTTATGGCGCTTCGCGTGACATCGATAAGCGTTTGTGACTGACCATCATCTTTGCATCTGGCCATCAGGGTGGAATCCAGCAGAGCGATTGTACAGGACTTGCAGTCAATCTTCTTCCATCGGGTACAGTGTGTGTATTCATCACTGTGAGACCGTGCAGAAGACCCACTGTTACCAACGGGATCGATGACTTCAACACGTGTACCTGACCACTTGGACCAACGACTCCTTTCAACCAACGAACCCCCCAATACGGAAGAAGAACTCGCGGTACGGAAGTATGTCGACACGGTTTCCAAAGACATCGAGGACGAGGAAGCAGAACCCAGGCGCCTCTCTCAGCTCTTTTCTGACTGCCATGGCCGTATTCGCCATCTCAACGAACACCGTGACAAGGCTCGAGGCATCGTTTCACCGTTGAGACGACTCCCTTCGGAACTCATTGCGGAAATATTCAAGGCAGCTCTCAAACCACACGACAACAATTATTACCAACGCCACGATTTTGCTAATTATAGGGCCGTTTGCAGACAGTGGCGGGATGCAGCGTATTCGCACCCGGAGTTGTGGGCGGCCCTCACTATATCCTCGTCCGATTTCGATTTTGCTGTCGGTGCACCAGCAGAGTTCTGAGCTCGAATTCAGACTTGGTTTCACAACGCAAGAAATGTGCCTCTGCGGTTTCGGCTCGACATAGCACAATCCGAGTTTTTGCCGCATTGCGAAGAAGTGGTAGCCGATGTAGTTTCGGTTGTAACAGAAAACAGAAACTGGTCTGTCCTCCAGTTAGTCCTTGGAACTTGGTGGGCACAGGCAGAGGCCATTCTCCACAATATTTTCTCTGCAATCGCCGATGCGCCCTATCGTCCGTGGAAGAATCTGAAAAGTGTGGAGCTCCAGCCTCTAATCACCACGACGCCGCGACTGTGGCAGATCTGCACCCCCAGCCTGTCTTCCCTCGCGCTCGAGCTGACGCCAAGTTTGGACCCCGAGTACACCACTCGCCTCCTCCAGGTCCGGCACCTAGCACTCTCCCGTCTGGAGCTCAACATTTTCGACTTGAAGTTCGCATTATTTTATACCCTCATTTCCATGATATCTGATGTGCCAGCTCTTCGCTGCCTAGAGGTCTCCATCCTCGCAGGACGCCGCGAAGTCGGGCCAATTGTACTCCCGACACCACAGTCAGTCACCCAGGCATCCGCACCTTCCTCTTTGAAGGGCCTGTCGAGTATCTCCATGCTCTATCCTTTCCGGGCGTCGAGGAGGTCTCGCTGACAGTTGGGATCGTGAATGTGCATAGACACGAAGGAGCTTCAGGGTGGTTGGAAGCCTTAAAGTCCTTCTTGCAATGTTCAAAGCGATTGCTGGAAAGTCGGTTGCGGGAACTGTCGCTTCGCATATGGTGATTCTGTTTCTCCATCACTAAGTCAAGGTTGAAATCATCACGCTCTTACAAGCCTTCTTACCATCTGACAGCTCCCAGCAACAAGTCCTCACGCACGAACTCTCACAACTTCCTTCCATCAGACGCCTGGAGTTGCCCGAGTGGATTGAAGGCCTCGACCTGAGCTCTGAAGAGTTCATCTCCTTTTCCGAGCAGAGAAAGGCGTCTCTGGTCGGCTCTGGGGAAGCCTCAGGCACAAACACTGGAGGGAACTCGATCCTATCATTGGGACTGGTGCCCATCGATCTGGGACTCGAGGACATGACAGTGCTCTTTCTATCTTCTCCAACGGAATCCGTCAAGTATCTATTGGGACAGGCTCTAGAGCTTGGAGCCCGATTCCATTTTGACTTATGTTGAACTAGACCAGGTGCAGATGAGGATTCGTGTATTGAAGGTCGTTGCTAGGAACGAATGCCGTTTAACTTTTAAGGTCGCGCTGTAATACAGGAATGTGCATTATGGACTTGCTATGTTTCTGTTCTGTGGCTCTGCCTACTGTACATCTGTACAATGACCGAATATTAACTTGAAACACCGCGAGCGCGCCTCGGCATCAATAACAGCTCTTTACCTCCTGCCACAACAGCAACCCACTTGGAAGTTCGACGCCTTTCAAATAACACCGCCATCTCCAGTACAGTGACTGTTCAAGAGCTCCTTTTAATTGACCATTGAAGATTACCACTTCGCTCAAACACAAATTCAGCTCCCCAGGGACAGCTTCGGCGGGCATCGATAGACTGTACGTTGTCCAACCGTAATGCTCAGCGATTATCGATCATCTCACAGTAGACTCCGGAACAGTCCAAACGTAGTAGAAATCATCTCCAGCGTACGAATTGCTCGAGATGGGGTCAGCGCAAACGCAAACCTGCAGCAAGTCGGCCACCCAGACGGGTGGCTTTCTGGGCACCGACGACGGCGAGCGAAACGACGGTAATGTAGTTGCCACGAACGCGTCGCGATCCCATAGCTATTGCCTCAACAAATCCACCCAAGCCTCGTATGCGGCAACGCGTACGCTCGGAGGACACACCCAAGCTTCCCTGAAAGACTTCCCTCAAGAACTTCTCGCCAGAATCTTCCTGTTCGCCCTAGAACGCAGCAGGAACAATGCTTACGGCCGCCGTACTTTTTCCGTGTTGAGGTCAGTGTGCAAAAGCTGGAACGCTGTAACCTTATCGAATCCAAGGCTATGGTCTACTCTGACTCTCGACTGCATCCTGTGTATTCGACTTCCGGAGGCACGCGAAGCATCACCCTCCAGAATTCGGGCTTGGTTCGACCACGCCAAATGGGCCCCTCTCTCTTTCCAGGTCATATTCTGCCCCGTCCATCGGTTTTCCAGTGACGAGGAACACTCAGAGGAGCACCCAGACGTACTATCGCTGGCATCGGATGATAGGAATTGGTCTGAACTTCGATTTTGCCTCAACGGCTTGTACGCGCTGCACAGCCTTCCCAAACTCTTTACGGCTGTTGCGAATGCACCCTATCGGCCATGGAAAAACTTGACAACCCTACGTGTTTCTCTTACTCCCTCTCCTGGCGATTCTAAATATTGGCCCTTTGGATCCCGTCCATTGGACTTTTATGCACCAAATTTGGCGTCCCTTCGACTGGACATTCGGACTCGATCACCCGAAGAAAGGACCATCTCTCATGGTACCCTTTCACACCTGACGCTCGACTTTGACTGCGGAACCGAGCTGTCATACAAGTCGCTCATTAGCAATCTTCGTCATCTCCCTGGGCTCCGGTCGCTCAAGATTCGCGCAGCCAGCGTTCCGACACCTTCAAAGCCCATCGTAACTCACATGGGAGTAACGTCCTTAACCGCAAGCGGTTATCCGGAAATCATCAGGTATCTGACTCTTCCCTCGCTGAAAAGCCTCGAGTTGGCACCGATGGATTTTATACGTGATTGTGCGACGAAGTCTGAAAACTTGTTGCCAATCGCACAAGCATTTCTACGCCGGTCTGGATGTCACCTTTCAGAGCTGCACATCTACCAATGGCACCTTCGGAACAGCCTGTCGTCCCAGCTCCTTGACGGGATCGAAACTCGGTACATTAACTCCCTATCCCTTTACCTGAATACGGAGAGATATCGTGGTCGTGTATCTCCCCAACAAGCTTTCATCCATCGGCTCCTGCTTCTACCCTCTATTCGGAAGCTCGCGATTTTCGGGACTGCCTACATCAACTTACATCCACCCTCATTCATCGAATGCCTCGAAGAAAGGAAAGAAGGTTACTACTCGTCGACTGGCGCTCAAACCGACAATTCGGGCGAGCAAATCGACTGTGCCACCTTGCCCAGGATCGACCTCATCTTCGCAGAAACTTCGCCTTTCATTCGAAATCTCAATCTTGACCTTTTGACTCGCGCATCGCAGTTGGGGGTTCGATTTTATGTTGGTGGTAAAGAATGGAATTAGTATGCTCCCTCCTCCCCCATGCAGTCTGTTTTGAGTCCACGTTGGTTACTTCACCTGTTGTGTGCTGTCCAGTGTCTGTAGCTTTTTCGAGCACTAATATATTATCACCGAGTGACAAAGGGGAGATGAGAAGTGATTCATTGGGCTTTCCACTTTCGAACAGTGTTCAACACGCTGTGGCTCCAGCGCATTGTATTCACGCGTATGGGAATGCCCCGGTCAGGTCGCCCCACTTCAACATTTATCTAAGTAGAGGATCCGTTGGGCTATAAACTGGTCACGGCATGCCGTGAAACTCCTAGTGACATGATAATCAACACCAGGAACGCATGTGACGAAAACGCGTGCGAGCAGCGAGCGCAAGCTAGTGGCAATGCTCCCAAAGATCCTCTAAATACTTTTCATCCCGTTGTCTCGAGCTTCCTGCAAGGGCGACAAGTGGCTTCATTCAGATAAGTGTGTACCTTTTGTTCACTGAACCTGGACTTTTGGCCGCGATCCACTGTGATCTGGCGTGCTCCAGCCCGTTCCTTTCACATCTACCAGGAGAACATCTGAGAACATTCCGAAGTTCAAGGGAGGAACGAGCTGATTATGGTGACCGTATAATTCAGGGGTATCAAGGTACAGCAGGGGAGCGCTGTTATTCAATCAAAAGGAAGGTACGACTTGGCTCTGTATAAAACTTTCAAATGGCAAATGGACTTAATGAACTTAAAGTTTAAGAGTAAGCTTCCGCCATTTTGCAAGGCGCCGGCTTTGGCGCCGATCTTCTTCTGATCCGTGTGTCGGCCCCTTGGTTGTCGCCCGTGCCGTCAAATGCCGGCAGCCTTTCGCGACGTGGACGGTGGAGGCCTTCAGAGATGTCAATTTGTTGTCTTGTTGCTCTTCCTACCCAGTTACCAGCGCCTCTTGTACGCAACATCCTTGTCCTAGGATATTGCACTTCTGAACTGTACTGACATGGTATCCTTTCTGTAGATAAAAAGGATGTTTTTACCCACCGAATGCCTGTTCTGCTTGGGGAAGGATTGGCAAAACTTGCAGCGGCCAACGACAGAATCTGATTGATTGAAGCTTTTTTTTGATCACGCACACCGTCGTTCGCTTGGATTTCGGTTTCACCACAAGATCAACTGGATCCTGTGTTCTTTTGGAAGGGCTTGGGGAAACATGACGAGCGGCGGTCCTTTCAAAATCTCGGATACTTTACCGTCATGATGCACTTAAACCAGCAGAAAAGGCACTCTCACCGTTCCTTGACCACCGGTACCACTTCCCGCAATGCGTCTCCTCTCATTCGCGCTCCTGGGGTGTTCGAGTCTCCCACTTATCGCGGCTCAAGCTGGCGGGGGTGTAGGCCTCCTTATCTCGACCGCTGAGGGACCTGTCTTGGGCAATCGTCCAGTTCCAAGGGTCCGTCGATGGCTCGGAATCCCATACGCATCTGCAGCCCGATGGCAGCCCCCTGGCCCGGCACCGTCCCATAGCTCGACCCTCTCTGCCACTTCTTTTGGCAACAGTTGCCCTCAACTCATTGGTCCAGCAATTGCCAAATATCTTGAGTTCGCTCACCAAGATGAACCACTCACCGAAGCCGAAGATTGCCTCACTGTCAACATTTGGGCACCTGCTAAGTCGCGACCTCAGAATACTGCCGTTCTTGTCTGGATGTATGGCGGTGGCTTCCAATTTGGAGCGGTAGGTCTGACATCAGTTACCACGTGTAGTTCGTACGTACTGACGATATTGCAGAGTGCACTATCGGTATACGACGGTCAGAAGTTTGTCGAGGACAACGACGACATTATCGTTGTCAGCTTCAACTACCGATTGAATATCTTTGGGCAGCCTAATGCTCCCCAACTGGTGTCCCCAACCAACTCGCAGAACTTTGGCTTGCTCGACCAGCGAGCTGCAATCGAATGGATCCATAACAACATCGCGGCTTTCGGAGGAGACCCGAATCGCATTACACTCGCTGGACATAGTGCGGGTGGAACGGGAGCTGGCTTGTATTCTTTGGCTTATCCGACAGATACTATCGTGAAAGGTACGAACTCAGGTTACATTGAAACACCATTTACTGACCCATTACTAGGTATTATCGAACAATCCGGAGGGTATGTTCGTTCTTGGTCATTATCCATCACTGGTCCTGACAATTGCTTGAAGGATCTACGGCGCAGCGGATCTCGTCTCTCCTACCCTGGATGATGCTACATGGCATACCGTCGCCGATGCCGTAGGCTGCGGAAGCTGTGAGTCCAGAAGTCCTCGAATACACTCTCCTTGGGCTGACATGCGATGGTAGCACCAACGTCCGCCCAGTTCTCTTGTATGCAAGGAAAGCCATGGCGTGATCTCGTGAACGCGGCTAACGATGCCGGTATCGTCTTCTTCAAGTTGGTCACAGACGGTGAGTCCTTCCCCTTTTGACAGAGGGCACGACATATCTAACCAACTTATCTAGAGCAACTGGTATTCTCCGACTATGAAACTCGAATGGACAATGGCCAATTCTTACCTGTCCCTGCTTTGATCGGAAACGTCGTCAATGAAGCCAATGCTCTGACGGTTGCCCTTAATCTCCTCATTCGTGGCAATTCTCCGCCATTCCTCACCACAGTCATTGGAGAAATCAGCAGCCAAGTTGGAGGTACTTGCCCAACATCAAAGGAAACCCAGCAACGTTTCGATGCCGGTGTTCCAACCTGGCGATACAGGTATCAAGGTAAGTCAAAGCACGGGAAAAGGGATTCAAAGTGCTAACAGATGTTTCTCCAGCTGTCTTCCCCGGTATCTCTGTTCGCTCAGATCTCGGTGCCTTCCACGGTTCAGACATCCCCATAGCATTTGGAACGTATCGTTCCATCGACCCCAACCCCACATCCACACAAATTGGCCTGTCACAGACTTTCCAGAAAGCTTGGGTTGCATTCGTCAGGAACCCTGCATCGGGGCTGACGACGTACGGGTGGCCACAATACAATCCCTCCACTGACACTCTGATACAGTTGGGTGACCGACAGAATTTGAGTGGTGCTTCCTTCGGCTCACCTCATCTCCTGGATGCCACTTGTGCTGATCTCCCTGCTCTTATGGACCTCAACGCTCAGTTCAATGCCTTGCTGGCTGGGGTATAATGCCTCTCAAATTTCTCAGTGTATTACTGTTCCCTTCATCGTTCGTTTCCTCCGTTTCATATCTTATTGTTATTGGTATTTTCTATTGTCCAACCTTACTTCGATGTGTACTACTAGTAACAGACGTAGGCTCCGCTTGTTGTGTCGATCAGAATGTATTCTACCCGATGTTTGTGAATCATGGCCTTAGCGACTACTCACAGATTCTGAGGTCGAGAGATTGCTGACAGATTTCTACGAGGCAAGGGCGGGGAAAAGGTTGGGAAAAGGGCTCGATGTTTCTAGGTGGGAATCGGTAGTTCCGACGCGACGGAAAGCGGTCTCGTGAGGAGACAACGCGAACCGCTCTTTTCCAAGAACCGCCATGGTCACTTGCCCAATACCACAATCCGAGTCCTCGACAACGACGAGCACCTGAGCTACTGTCAAAATCGCATATGACACAGGCAACAGCCTAGCGACGCTTGGATTCTGTCAGTCAAAGTCTATCCCCCAGTTTCTGCTGGCCATAACAACACTGACCATGGCGACACTGACAATAACGTTGCAAGTGGACTTGAACTGGACGGTTCGCAGTCGCTATTGATCCAAACTTGTCTTAACTCGAGGCTGAATGACGGGGCTGGCGACCGCTAGGGCCTGGCGAACTGCTGGCGCTTTCTGAATGGAATGGAATGGCCCGACACGATATCTTCCCGGTTGCTGCAATGCATGGGTTGACCATCCTCCATTCCCATGGTAATGCAGCCTTTCTCTTCGACTTGCATGATGATGCAGCGAAGCCTTCGAGGAACATAGTCCATGGCAAGGAGGTGTGGCCGACCGGAGCAGATGCGCAGCCAATTGAATCGGGTGGGGATGGGGTCGATGAAGGAAGGGGGATGAAGGAGAGCATACGGACCTCGCAACCTTTTATAAGGGCGCGATGCTTCGTACGTCGATGCACCTTTGTGTCTGCGTGTGGTGTCAGTGGTGGCGAAAACCTAGCAGTGACGCTAATAATCGTCATCTGTCCTGGCACGGCAGGATTTGGCGACGTATCTGTGGTCAAAGGTGGTGCGTTCCCATTCAGCGTACCCACAGGGAGAGGTCACTGAGATATGAACGTAGGAGGAAAGGATGGGGAGCTTTTTATCCACTAGAGACGCTGGCTCAACCAATTTTATCTCATGCGTGGGGCCGAGCAAGCCGAAGGACGCGACATTCAATTTGCACCGTATGGATGGCCTGTTGTGAAAACCAAGAGGATGATGGATATCTCGGACGACCCTTTCATACTGGTTTTTCCGCGTTAGCGGGAATTTAGCGCCCTAGATCTGACCATCCAGCCTATCGCAGCCGTCGAATTACAGTACACCACAGTTGCAGCTTCTACAACCAGCGTTGGATCCCGGCGATCCATCGACTCCTGGGACTTCCCCTCCCTTTCGTAATGGTAATTCTCGCGAAATAAACGGGTATCTGTTGTTTGCAGCGGCCGGCCTTCCATGATTTTCCTCACTTTCCGGCTCAGATGGTCTTCCATCTTCATTACCACCGACTGTGCCCTGATCGAAGTGGAGTACGAGACGACGCACCTCATCGGCAACAATTCTTTTTCTCTCACAGGCTCACGTCGAATTGGCTGTGCCGTTCCAGCCGTCTGTACGTCGGTCGATTGGACAAGCCAGCGAAGAGGGAACAGGGACGATCGTCCGAATGCCATGCACTTGGGTGCGTACCTGAAATCATCCATTGTGCTCTTCGACAATTCAATGGAGTTCCCTTCCTCATCCCCTTGTAGAAACACGTGGGCAGCCCTTCGACATCGACAATAGATTTCTCCCTGGATCGTGACTTGTTGGAGCTGCGACTGGCAGTTGGCACATTGTCGGCATTTGCCCTGCCTCGTCCTCAGCTATCCCTCCCCCAACCGTTCGAGGTCTTCCAGCGACGAGCTCCGACGAGCTTCCCTGATAGCGGTCTTTTTCTGGATATCAGGAAGCCTCGCTCTCAGTAGCTGAAAACAGCAAATCGACAGAGTTGACCCAAGAAAAGCTTCAGGATGTACGCCAGAACATAACCAGGCCCTCTCAAAACGCGAGAGATAAGGCTGATACCGGATAACCTCGGTCCGCACTTTGCTCACTTGAACCACGATTCTAGACGACAGGGTGACACGGGAAGGATGAAATGAGTAGGATGGACGTGTCTGTGAGTTCCTTTCCTGTTCCTCTCCGGAATGATTGGCCGACCACGTAAAACTACAGTCGTAAAGCGATTGTGCCAGGCTTTGCTACGCGCCTTGAGCTTCTGTATTCAGCTCGCCTCTAATGTGCTTTGCTCGACAGAGGTCCCACGGCACCAGTGGAAGACGAGCATGGATCCGGATAAGTCTTTATGTCCGAGAACAAGAAGAGAAGCTAGGACCAAGCACGAGCTATTGCCTGGATCGGACTATGGGCTTGGTACTATTGAGTTGGCGGTAATGGCCATGAGCTGGGTGCCAATCGATGCGTAGCGACAGTCGATGCCGCCCGCCCTTGGTCGGTCTGCCTATGTTCTCCCACTCCCAAGTCATACCCTCTCTTAAGATCGTCTAGTATGGGCCAACAGTCACCAAGTTGGCACCTACTTGCCTTTCGCCACTGGCTCCTGGCGGCATCCTGACAGCGACGAGAATAGTAGCTGGTAATGTGATTCAGTAACGGTGACGCGAAGGAATCGGAAATCGCCTTGCAGCAGTTCGGCCTTTCGCTGGCTCCCCGACCACTACCATCCTTCACTTGCCAGAGGTCTCAGAAGTGGAGCGCCACTGGCGACAATAGAGCCACGGGTTCTTTCTGTAGATTCCCCCAATTCCTCGCCATTACCCACAGTACCCATCATCACCCCAGTCGACCACGCTGCCCGCAACAAGACCGTGGGCTCCCTCGGAGCCGTTGCGATTGGGCTCCGGCGGTGAATCCATGGATGACTTTCCGCAGGGACACATCTCCCAACTAACAGGTTCCTCGCCACCGACCACCAGCCGCCGACCGCTGTTGCACAATTGTACACCTTAAGCTGTCTGCATGCTACAAGCTAATCTCAGCTCATGAAACGACTCCGATTATGACTGTGGAGAACGATGAAGGATACTTGGGGATGGAACACCTCTCCACGATGATGTTGTGGGCCTAGGATCCGACTTTGCTGTGAAGCCAGGGAGGATATCCGTGGTATGTAGTAAGACAGGTTCATCTTCCGAGCGTTCCTATGTCGTGGACCTGGTACAGCTTTAGCTGTGAAGTTGCACCCGGTTTCTTATCCAAGTCAATGAAGATACGAGTGTCATTAATGACGGGATCGCTCTTAACAACTTTGGTGCTTCTTTCAGGTTTGACGCCCTCCCGGGAGTTCGTATCGTCATAATCGGAGTTACTCGTCAACCTAATAGCTCTTCATACCAGCGCTAGCGATCACTTTCATATTCGATGGAGGCGGTACGACCATGTATTCGTTCCATGTCCGGACTTTTGAGGTCACACCCTTGGTCTGGTTCGGTGGATTCAAGACACTCGGTTTGGCGCGGCCCCACAAAGCGCGCGTCTTTGGTAACCTCGCCGCAAGGGGATTGCTAGGGCAGTGTGGTTGTGGTGGACCCTGATTAAAACGGGAGCGGGGTGTGGGTAAATCGAGAGGGACCTGGCTCTCTGCATGGCGCAATACGACCAGAAGGAAGTTGAGATGTTTTCACTTCTTTTTTATTTGACCACGTTTAGTGCACGATAGGACTATACTGGTTTTCTCAACGCTCGGCCCAGCATCCTTCACGGCAGACTTCCTGGCGTCTGAGTCCGTGAAGACAGAATGTTACGCGCTCCTCCGCATCACACAGACTTTCCTGCATCTGCCACCACCTAGTAGTCATAGAAGCCCTTTCCGGACTTCCTACCCAACCACCCGGCATTGACCATCTGCTCGAGGAGGATGGAAGGTCGGTATTTCGAATCCGAGGTACCTTCGTAGAGGGTCTTTTGGATGGCGAGGCAGGTGTCCAGACCGATGCTACACCATGGCGTTAGCAATGAGCAAACGGGAGATGGAAGGAAGAGGCGTACAAGTCGGCAAGTTGGAGGGGACCCATGGGGTGGTTCATGCCGAGTTTGAGGGTGGTGTCGATGTCCTCGCGGGTTGCGATTCCCTATACGTATGGTGCATTAGATTGGGAAGCCGCAGGGTATGAAGTAGAGGACTGGCCGAACCTTTTCGAGGTGCATGATGGCTTCATTGATGAATGGCATCAGGAGGGCATTTGAGACGAAGCCAGGGACGTCTTTGGAGACGGTTACAGCTGGGTTAAGGTATCGTGTTAGTTATGGTTCCGTGAACAATAGGGGGTATTGGGAAGCGTACTCTTGCCGCAAGCGACTGCGAAGGAACGGGCTCGGTCGAGGGTTTCCTGGCTAGTTTGGAGTGCTGAGATAAGTTCTACGAGTTTCTGGGTAATGATCGTTTAGTTTTATACGTTGCAAATGGGGTGCGAGGGACATACCATCACAGGCACGGGGTTGAAGAAGTGCAAGCCTATTCAACACGCCGCTTCAGTATCAGCGCGTCTCGTAAACAGGGTAATACTAACCGACTACGCGGGAAGCAATCCTCTTGCCCTCTTCACTGGCAGGAGAGACATTCTTGCCGAGGGTAGCAGCGGCAATCTTGGTGATGCTTATTGAGCTGGTATTGGTAGCAAGGATGGCTTCAGGCTTGAGTTCAGCAGCAAGGGAAGCAAATATTGTCTCCTTGAGTTGGAGATTCTCGGAAACAGCCTACAGAATACATTCCTTAGCACATATACTTTAAACGAAACCAACTAAACGCACCTCAACAACCATATCCACATCCCTCAATCCCTTGAACCCGCTCTCAGCCGGAACGACTTCAATCCGTCCCCTCACATCTTTCGCCTCGTCGTTCGTCAACCTTCCCTTTCCAACGTCCTTGTCCAAGAGTTTGTCGACGAGCGCGAGGCCCTTCTTGACCTGTTCGGGAGATTTGTCGTAGAGGAGGACGGGGACTTTGGCGCGCATGGCGGAGACGAGGGCGATGCCTGTGCCCATTTGGCCTGCGCCGAGGACGCCTAGGCGGCGGATTCCATGGGGGACGAGGGTGGATGCCATTGTGACTGGAGAGTTGGTGGATGTGGTTGTGTGGAGGAGTAGGATAGGTCCGGACGACGTTACGCGACGGAGCTTGCATCATGGTTCGCTCCTAATCAATCGCACGTGAAAAGCTGCCCCTATTCCTGGAACGGCCTTGACATCTTCCGAATCAAACACCGCCAAATTCAACGCGAACCTCTTTCCAGAAAATCCATGCCTTTACGTTTGGGATCTTTCACGATTTTTTGGGCATCGTCTTTCGTTTCCTGACTTGTCTGCACTGAGGTCTTTTCAGAGTCAAAACCTTTTCCTGCGGACAGTGCTCCTCGTGGCTACCCAGGTTTTTGCCGCCTTCCCCGCAATCGAAATTACGCGCTGTTCTTAGGCTGGCATCGGGAGGGACGACAGGGACCACGCTGATCTGACGCCCGTCCGTATCCGAAACCAGCATGACATCATCTCGTGTTTTGTCCGGCGAACTGATTCTCCGACAAGGCATATCGAAATCCACATTGACGCTATCTTCGACATTTTCTGCCCTCTGGTTCTCTTTTTACCACTTACCATCACCATCTATCTCTCCCGTTGTCGTTGTTTCTGAACGAAAACGAGGATTTCTTTCTGGCTTCTGGGCGAATACTACTGGGATGACGTCGACACTACCACCTCTGGTTCAGGCTGTCTCAGGCGCCGTTGGGAGCGCATCGGCGTCGGCGTTGACTTATCCTCTTGATTTGATTACGACGAGGCTGCAGTTGGACTCACCTGTGAAGGCTAGGAGGAGAGGCGGCATTGTTGGCGGACTGAAACTTCTCCTGTACATCGTCTATGGGAGCAAGAAGACAGGGAAGAAAGGGCTGGGTTGGAAAGCGCTATATGATGGCCTAGGGTCGGATTTGTTCGCAACTGTTCTCTCAAAGTGCGCCCCTTATCTTGCTCAGTTCGTAGAGAGGTGTTGACAGGATGTACCCCCCAAAGCTTCTTCTATTTTTATTTCTACTCCTTTACACGCTCCATAGCAATGCACGGAACACAAGCATTACCGCTTCTCCGCAACGGACCACCTCGACCGCACAAAACACACAAGCCTTCCCTTCTCGAAGATATCCTACTCGGGTTTGTTTCCGGCGTCGCCTCTCGCGCCGTCTCCACACCACTTAACATTATCACGCTTCGACTCCAAGCGGAGCGGGCAGATGCGGAGGATGAGGATGTTGTTATTTTGAGCTCTGGAGAGGGTTCTGGCTCTGAGGATGGATCTTCTTCGAGCACTCCGGCCAGCCCGTCTCGGTCTAGCAGCCCGCTCCAGAAAGATAATTTGGGCTTCTTTGATATCGCGAGGTTGATTCACGAAGAGCATGGGTGGAAGGGATTCTGGAAAGGTGGGTATACATTCCTTGTGGGCTCTTCCCAACCTAAAGTGTTGGACATTCGCTCATCTGCCATTTCAATCAAGGCTTCGGTACCTCTGCGCTGTTATCGATAAACCCCTCAATCACACTCGCCTTCTTCCAACTCTTCCGAAAGTTCGTAGTGTATTCTCGAACACGGAGCGCGTTGGCCGCAGGGAAGAAAGTGAATCCTAATCTCAAGCCATGGGAGGCTTTCTTCGTGGGTGCTATCGCAACTTCTATCGGTACGTCCGACCTGCTGTCACGCTAAAATATCCAGTAGGCTGACTTTATACGCCCCCGATAGCGAACACGATTCTATACCCTTTGATCCTCGCTAAGAAGCGATTACAAGCCCGGTCGGGAGCGAAACCGGGCGAGAATCTGCTTTCGGTGTTGGTAGATGCGTACACGGGCATGTATGATCCACATTCCGAAGAGGAATTGAGCTCCGAGGCTCCATCGTCGGAGGCGACGACGAATGGACACGTAGACGCGGACCCCACGAAACGACCACCGCTCACGCGCCGGAGCAAGGGAAGCAGGTATTATGTTCAGCGAGAGGCGGGCAAACCGTTGCAAGGTCCGGAGGGATTGTACCAAGGACTGCAGATGCAGCTTTTGAAGGGATTCTTCAACCAGGGCATGACGTTTTTGGTGAAGGGACGGTGAGTCGCCTTTCTCTCGTTGATTTCATGGTTTACTCAAGGTTGAATATTGATAGCATCGAACAGCTTGTTGTTGCAGCGTACCTGAGACAACGAGCGTTGAAGGCGAATTGAAGGGTGGACTGGGTATCACTTACTGTTGGACTACTGTATACTAATGGGATTCATTTGATGTTTATGGGCGTTTATTGCTTTCCATTCTTGCATGATGTGTTCACAAATAAGGCAAGTGTCAAAGGGGCGTCCCCGCAAGGTCCGGGTCTTACAGCTGGGGCTAGGCGACGCCAAAACGCGTAGAACTTGGTGTACAGGTGCACTGGTAGATGGAGAATCCTGTGGGGTGATTAGTTGTACGTGTTTTCTTTGAAAGTGGAGAGATATCCTGTGTGGATGACTCGATTGGGGTGCTGCGGCAGACGAGCAGTGACAAATACGTCACAACATGGGTTGCGTTATCTGGGGCCGAGCTCTGGCAACAGCCTCTCTCTCCTGAACCACTACCATGTCTCCTTTCTTCCAGTGGGCCTTGGTGGCCAGTTCTTGTCTCGTCTCTGCCGTCGTCGCCACGCCCCTCTCCACAAACCCAGATGGCGTCCCCCGTCGCTCGTCGCCGTTCACTTTGGCGCCCGTCATCGCCAGCGAGCACCCCCACGGCACAGTGAACAACTCGTACATCATCATGCTCAAGGATGGTGTCACCGACCAGCTCAAGACCAACCACTTGAACTTCCTCCAGACCCTGCACCGCACGGACCCACTCGTGAGCGACTTCCAGGGTATCCAGAAGGTCTACGAGGGTATCCACGGCTACGCCGGCCACTTCAGCGACAGCGTCATTGAGCAGCTCAGGACGCTCCCTGAAGTCGACTACATCGAGCGAGACCAGATTGTGCGCACGCAAGAGTTCACCATCCAGAAGTCCGCTACCTGGGTACGCATCACTGTTGCTACTGATGTTGAACTTGGACCGCTGACGTAGTTGCTTTTTGGTCCCGTTATTGTCACAGGGTCTTGCGCGTATCAGCCATCGACCGCGTCTCACATTTGGTACTTTCACCAAGTATCTCTATGATGACGTTGCAGGCGAGGGTGTTGATGTGTATGTTGTCGACACTGGTATCAACATTGACCACGTCGAGTTTGAGGGCCGTGCGTCATGGGGCAAGACGGTTCCCCAGAACGACATCGATGAGGATGGTAACGGCCACGGTTCCCACTGCGCTGGTACCATTGCCTCCCGCAAGTACGGTGTCGCGAAGAAGGCCAACGTTATCGCTATCAAGGTCTTGGGCACCAACGGAAGCGGAACCATGTCGGATGTTATCGATGGTGTCCTATGGGCCGCACAGCAGGCTGCCAAGAAGGCCGCTGCTGCTGACGCCGAGTTCGCTGCAACTGGCCGAACCAGTCACAAGGGCTCTGTTGCCAACATGAGCTTGGGTGGTGGCAAGTCTCAGGCACTCGACACTGCTGTCAACAAGGCTGTCCTCTCCGGTCTCCACTTTGCCGTTGCCGCCGGTAACGACAACCGCGATGCTTGTAACTACTCGCCCGCCTCTGCTGAGAACGCCATCACCGTCGGCGCTTCCACTCTCGGTGACGAGCGTGCCTACTTCTCCAACTGGGGTGCTTGTGTTGATGTCTTTGCTCCGGGTAAGCAGCGTTTTGGGATTTGCTTTCGTGGCGTGATGCTTATCATGATTATATTTTAGGCTTGAACATCTTGTCAACCTACAAGGGTAGCCGAACTGCCACCTCGACTTTGTCCGGTACCTCTATGGCCTCTCCCCACACTGCTGGTCTCCTCGCCTACCTCCTCTCCATCTACCCCCACGCCTCTTTCGACCCCACCTTCGACGCCGAGGAGAACCTCATCAGCCTTACCAACGACAAGCTGCTTTCGAAGACCACGAGTATCTACGCTCTCGCTCACGCCACCCTTCCTCAATGGATCGCCAACTTCTTGCCTTCTCCCTCATTAGTTGAGGCTTCCATCGCCCCTGTTCCCAAGCGACCCACCTTGACGCCTCTTCAATTGAAGAAGGCCGTGATTGCTCTTACGACCAAGAACGTCCTTTCTGGTCTTCCCGAGAATACTGTCAACAAACTCATTTTCAACAACGCTACTTCCCATTAGAGCGTTTCATGATGTTTTGTGTAACGATATAACAGTATAGCTATCTTATTTCGTTGGTGGCCTGGGGGTGGGGTGGAGGAGGGCGTGGTTGTGGTGTTTGTCGTCGTTGATCGTTTGGTGCACGAGCCTCTTTTTGGTTCCGTTGGCTGTTGACTCTGCTTCCTCATCTTCGTTTCAATCCTCCGTTCCTCTTTCCTTTCGTTTGTCTACCAGATCATTATATCTTTGGATATCCTTGGTCGGCTGACTAGTATCGTTTGGGGACGGAGACGTGGAAGCTAGGAGGTTCGTGGCAGTCGATGGTTCCCTAGAGAGGTGGTGGATGCAGATGATGGAACGATGGTGATAGCTACTCTATTCCCTTTTTGGTTCTTCGATGTGGTGGTTCCACCGCCATTGTGTTCTCTCCCCCCTGTGTACTCGCTTTGCTCTCGCTCTAGTTACGCTCATTGTACTATTAGTTTCTCGTTCATTGTCACGTTGCAATCTATTGCATTCACAAATATGTTCACGGTATGAGACGTATCGCTTTGAGTCTGAAGTGACAGCTGAAGTGAAATTCCTCTTCACTGCAAAGGCTGGGGTAGTCAGGCGCCATACCTTACCAGGAAAACCAGTTGTAATTTTGCCATTGAGTACATCTTGTAAAATTTTCGACTGGCTGAAGGTCTTCGAAGTTGTATTGGTGCTAGTTGAAGCGCGGGAGAAGCTTGACTTGGTCTGTCAAGAGTTCAACGTTCAACGTCTGACGTGTAGGAGTAGAAGATGTCAGGTCTGTGACATGGAAGCAACCTGTCATTATCAAATACTTAACTAGGTTTCAGGGAGTTGGAAGCGCTTGTGGTCGATCTAGGATTACCGCCCGGTCCCGCCTTCTAACCCGTCGACAGTGTCCAAGCTCAGATGATATTGCTTTCACATTGGCTCGCTGGGACGTTCTCAATGAATCCTTGATTTTCCGGGGGGATGGAAGGGCGGGTGTCAATCACAAGCAACTTCACCGCAGATGTGTACTAGTAGAGTGGGGCCCTCGAGAACTCCTTGGAATCCAGTGGGGTGGCCACGAAGCGCGACCGACTTTCAACCGCCGGAGAGATCCTCATTTAGTGTCATGTAAGATGTCCGAAGAAGTTTTAAATTCCAATCCCAAGGGCAAACGCCGCGTGAGTGACGTTAAGCGCCCGTCGGAACTCGTGATTCGATCGTCGATACAAAAGGCTCTGGTGACATGGGAATGCATACTGTGGTATGTGCACTCCTTGTTCTCTTCTTGAACTAATGGAAGATGTTGGCACCTAGTACTCTCGAGTTATGGTGTTTCCTTTGGGCGTTGCAGTGAGCGGCCAGCGAGGGCGGAGCCGAACCGAACTCCTGGGAACTCCTTCTTTTTTATTAAGAGTCTTCATCAAGTACCTAGGTTTGCCTCTCATACGCTGCAGAGTCCTTTGCACTCTTCACGTTTTATAGACATCATTCACTGTAATTTCGGTTCGCTGGCAGAGGGGATCTCGGGTGAGCACTCGCGTTCCCGAGTCATTTTTGCGCGATTTCCAGGGCCTAGGGCGAGTAAAAACACCCGTTCAGTCGTGGTCAGGTGTCGACCAAACGGTTTATCTTGAACTCGAAGTTCCTGAGTACAGCTCAATGCTGCAAGATCCACGAAATGGGCAAGATAGGCCGTGACAGCCCCATTCCACTTCCGACTAGTATCTTCTCCGTCTACACTCCGAGTCTGAGCCCTAGTTTCCGACAGTTTTACAGCCAATAGTATCTCCTTCTTCGATCCCTTTTCATGAGGTGCTAGAGAATTCTCCTCGTCCCGACACGGGTACAGTGCTGTAGCCTATAGTGTGACGTCGTCGCCATGGATATGTGGATACGAACACCTCTTTGACGTCGGGGTTGTGAGCTTTCCCCACTAAAGGAAACGAATCCAATGGATCCATGTATCTGCTTGTAAGGAGAGGTGCCCCAACAGCTTAGAACAGCTTTCAACTTCAGTCAGATCTGTCATTGTGTGCTTGTTGTATGCGATAACTTTAGACTGCATGTTGTGGTTACCCACAGGGATTAGGTTCGCACGGGCGCTTAAACCCTCGTCGGGAAGACTTCCCGTCACAGTTCACTAAGTATAGCGCTGATGGGATCGCAGGGCGCTCATCGACGCGACAAACGCGTAGGTAGGCCGATGGCCAGACATGATCGCGCCCTGGTTACGGGATACAGTATGATGTAGAACCTCTCTTGACCACCGAGTACACCGGAAGCCTTGCACTCACATCCCGTTCCCAGCGCTTGCGTATGTAACCAACCCCCTGGAAATTACAAGCCTCCCTGCAAGCACCGGGAGCTGCGCATGCAGCAGACAATATCTCCGGAAACCAGCCCTAGTCAGAAACGCGGCGAACCGAGGAAAGAGGGATGGTCACCTTGCGCGGTATTGGGCACAGTCACTGTCGAGGATCACGGAAGGGAGAGGGAACAGAACAGCGATTCTGACATCTGCGAACACGCCGATCCGAGACCGGGGAAAGTGGCGAAGACGCAAACATGTTTCCATTCCACAGTTCCTCAGTAACTGCCAATGGAGCATTACGTGCATGTCATTGCGGTCTTGAGCAGCGGATGAAGCGATAAGATGTGATGTTTGTGGCCGGAGCTTGCTGTATTTTGGATCCTTACATAACAGGATCTGACTTTCCTGACTCTAGCAGATCGCACTCTATATTCTGCCAGGATACGATATTATGGAGCTTTATTCCAACTTCATTCTGCCTTTTTGGTGGATGAATTCTCCGTTCTCCAAGTATCTGAAGATCAGAAGCGAGGGCTCAATTGGCGGAATATGCAAGCTCCGATGAAGTACTTGAGACTTGACCATTTGAACTATGTAACGAGCCACTGGGCGATCAACACCCGGGATTCAACCGTATGAGTAAATGAATAGACTTCTGGTATTCTTTCACCGTAGTTCAGCTATTGTTGCCAATTAAAATAATTCAAACATACTAGTAGAGTACAATGTTTGTTCTTGCCACTGACAATGTCCGATAAATGAGTCACACCTGCCCATCGATGTCACAAGTACAACAATAACGGCACCATTGCTCCCTGTACTGACGTCGACATCAAGATGGCGATACGCATAAATTATAATCATTGGTATGAGCTCGACCCATGACCTGCACCGAAGCTGTAGCTGTGACGAAAGGGATGAACCGAGTCAGAGTCAACCTTCCACCATACCAGGAGTACAGAAATTTCTTCCTGGTCGTTGGTCGGGGAACCGAGTCATGTTCTGATTGTGCAAAAGGAGAAAGAAGGCGATACATCTACGCCAATCGCCCCTCGCAGTCTTGACAGTACCGTGACTCCGCAGAAGATAATTGGTCTTCGAGAGGTGTGTTCAGATGATGAGAAGATTCACGGCGACCTTTGGCGCCGACGTGTGGGAGGCGTTTTAGCTACCGGGCGCCTAACATATGCGTTCCTAGCCTGAGACAGCGCGTGGACTTACGAAACATAGCATGATGCTTATCCGTTCTTAGCGCCAACGAGCTTCCTCCCCACCCGCGAGCGAGGCGCCTAGTTGGCCTTGCTTCGAAGGCGAATTAAATGTAAAGGCTGTATTCAGAATGGTGTAAACTCCGAACGTGTAAACTCGGAGAGCCTCGCAATGCGCCAAAGGACGCAAACACAAGGCCTGCAGGCAGGCACGTGGGCGCTTAAGCCAATGAACGCCCCCAGCCCACGTCCCGTATCAAGATGATCAATGTTGCCACCACGAGTTTGTCCACCGCGATTTACGTGAACCATATGTATGTTCTATCTCTCGGTTACTGTCCACAGGCGATGAGAGCTGTAACAGTGCCTTGGGCCGGTACAGGCTTCATCAGGGTTTGCTCCTGCTACCCGAATCCTGTCGCCGATATTAATGATATTGCTATCCACTGAGCATTTCAGCGAAGTCTCAACGGCCTCTATGGGCCAAGAAAGGGTTTATTTTATGTATCTTGGCCTATGGGTCGGTCTTTTTCAGTGGGCACCTTCACCACCATGTAGGTTCACCGCATGAGACTCCAGATTTTCATTCCCTGTCTGCAAGGTAGGTGTGGGTGTCAGTAACAGTCTCTTGAGAAGCACCTCCTAGAAGCCTATCCTACAGCCGTTGGAAAGATTCCAACTTTCGTTGACTTGTGGAACTATCCCAGTCCGCGATGGAGCGGCCAACCTTGACAGCGATCGCTGCGACTTCTTGACCAAAAAGGCAAAAGGCAGAGCCGCGGAGCAGCCAAGCTCACCCCTCCAGCCAATTGTCAGGCGCGCACTAGTCTTATGGCCACTCTTACTCTGTTAGCTCTAGATTGGAACAAACATTTGGTGCGATCCCACCACAGACGTTCAGGGTGACTCGGGAATTGAGGATCCCCTCTTGGAATAACTCCGATAAGGTCACTTGTGGAGATCCTTGGAAAGTTAAGTAGCTCCCGCCTTCGCCGAGCTGAGAAAGAAGCAGTGGTATTATTACATTTAGAGTAGGTAGGCTGGGTATAGTGAAAACGAGTCAGGACGGCATCACACGCAGCGCTCGGCTAATCCGTATTGGTCAGTAAATGGACAAATCGGGAGTGTTGTCAGCGCAGTATCAGGACATCTGTAAAGGCCCAATGCCGCAGTGAGTTTAGATTGGAGGTATCTGCCATACTGAACGGTGGTGACCGGGTCGAGAAGTTCTGATGATCGCGTAAAGCTCAGGGTCTATGTTTAATGAAGCGCGGTTGGCCCTTTACAGAATCGCTGTCCCAAAATGTCAAGATCTGAGGATGCTGTTAACCCCAAGATAAATGCCGACGCTAACCACTAGCAAAAGGTTTTGGCCAAGGGTACGACCACGTGTCTGATGAACGACCTAAGTCAGAGCGAAAAACTTGGAGTTTCAAGTTTCTACTGAACTTTTCATTGACTCGACCGGCGCTGCCGATTGAACGGTGTCCCACCGAGCAGGGCCTGGAGGACAAATAGTGTAAGACGGGAATTTCTATACGGAACGGGCACTTGCAGGCTAAAAAAGCTCAGAACACGGGGTGTGGATTGCTGTAGAGGTCAAGGATGTACGAAGTACAATATGCGTTCACCGGTGTATTAGCAACCTGTCCGGTGAATGATTTTGCAGCCTCGCCGAATGGCCATATACCTGCAGAGAGAAGTGAAAGCTTTCAGGCTCCAAGGCGTCATAACAGCAAGCGCCAAATAGGTCCTTTCGGAAAGCTGATGTTTGGTGAGTTATTCAAGGGAATCCCACGAGGTCGCCTTTAAGCGCCCAAGATCCCTGTTAGATTCGCGCGTCCGAACCATCTGTCCGGGCGAATCTCGAATTGGAAACGAGAAAAATATTTTTGGTGGCCCTCATTTACAGCAACCCAAAAAGTCCAAGACCCTATAAAAGCGATATTTCGTTACAGCTTGGAACGGCATTCTTCCTCGTTCTTCCCATCTCCCGCTCCAACGTTCTGTCTTCTTCACTTCACTTCTCTCAACATGCCCGTGCCAACGACAATCACAAACAAGCTTCGCTTCCAATGCCACCAGCAGGCAAAAGAGGTCCCTCGAATTGTCATCGAGGCCATGGAAGCCCAAGCTACACAAGCCAACCACATCCTTCCCTCGCTTTTCAAATACCTGTCCGGGGAGCTCCCTGATTCCGGGAACACCTGGTTCATTGTTTACGGACCTGACGAGCGAGTCCTCTACGTTGCCTCTTGCAACAGGACGCCGTTGGGCGACTACCCCCTCTTCATCTTCACTACAATCCCCACTGACCGATTCACTGACGACATAGCCGTCGCAGACATGAAGTTCCTCTCCGATCATATGTCCCCCATCATCCACCACGAGCGCATCTACTCCGTGTTCGCCATCGACGTCGTCGCGGAGGCCTTCGCCAATGCGTGGTACGCAAAGACGGGGATCGAACCATACCGCAAACCGTTCTACGACTGCACTGGCTCTTTTTGCACCAAAAGGGACCTCAAGCCCCGCAGGCAAATGACCGTGCTCTCCACGCAAGGCATCGACTACGAGATCCGCCGAGGAACAAAAGTTGACATCCCTGAGATCGCAGTGCTCTGCGAGCTCTTCGCGCAAGAATCGGTAAGTGCCTCCTTGGCGTCGAATCCAAATAGAGGACCTAATTCGCTTCGATAGGAGCCGTTCATTCTGACACCATCCCAGGCACGGTTAGAGGCCACACTTTTGGTCGAGCAAAATGCCGTCTGGGTCCACCGTGTCCGCCGAAGGGGTACCGATGACGAATGGGAGATCGCATCCATCGCTGCATGTACCCGGAACACTGCGACCATGGCCACCATCACGAAGGTCTATACCAACCCCGACTGGAGGCGCAACGGCTGCGCCGAGCGCTTGACTCGAGAGGTCTGCAAACAGTAAGTGATTCTGTCAACTGGGATAGATTGACTTGATGACCGACCCGGCATTCCAGGCTCTTCGCGGTCGGGAAGGAAAAGGTTGCCCTTTTCGTCGGCAACGACAACCCGGCCAGGTTTGTGTACGACAAGGTTGGCTTCGTTGGCCTCCGCGATGGTACACCCCGAGTTCAAGGCGTCGACCGCTGGCTCGAGATTGGATTCGACAAGCATCGCGTTCGTCAAGGCCACTGGTAAGCGTGACCAGCGCCTTTTCGGACCATCTCCTTCCGTCCTTCTCGTTCTTGTTACGTTAGAATATCGTCCTGCTTTCCCTGCTTTGTTGTTTTTCTCTAGCTGTCTTTCGCTGAAGCTTGATCCTTCGTGCTCTCTTGTTAACCACACATATCCACCTGTGTACCCAAATTCGAAACTAACCCCCCAAGTACCTGTAGCATAGTTGACGGACCACACTGTAGATTTGGACATTACCTCCCCCTTCAGCACACACATAAGTACAATAGTAATGCACTGTATGGTGTTAAAATATAGGCCATTATGTTCCGCGAATAGAGTATTTGACATTCGAATGTGGTGTTGAAAAGAGGTGGTTTGTGGGCGTATTTGGTACGGAGAGTCAGGATGCAGTGTGATCGGTGTGTTCGGTGGTGTGAGTATTAGGTTGACTTTCCATAACAGATTTATGACGACTGGTTGCGGCTGGGTAGAAGCGTAGTTTGGGCAGCAAGGGCTGCGAGATCTTGCTCCTTTTGCTCGTCCTGTGAAAGCCATGAATACCAGCTCAGCATTTTTGACGCAATAACAGGCATACAGTTTTCGGAGGTTCGAGAGGCAGTCCCAGTGCTTCTCGCTCAGCGATGATCTATATCTCAGCGTTAAGTTCATCGTCTTCTCCCATCTACAGAGCCATTTAGGTATTTACCTCTGCGAAAATGACAAACTGGTTCAGTAATGCATTCCTAGTTCCTATCCGGATGAAGTACTTACCTCTGCCACGCCTTAGGGTATCACGGTGAACAGCAACACCCATACCGATGCCGCCAATCGAAACAGCAACACAGGTGTATACAATAGCCCTGTGCAAGTAGTCCAGAATCCCTAGTCGCGACATCGTTGGCTGGTGGTCGTCGGTGTATGGGCGCAAAAAGTTTCCGTGTCAGCGAGCGCGAGTCCAGCCGCGTCCGGAAGGCCTCGGGCCGGTCCCGGACATAAGCGCGTCGACTGCCGCCGCCGTGTCGGGCAACCGTCGTACACTGAAACCTTACCGCGACGAAATCCTGTGTTCTGACTACCCAAGCTCTTTATCCACAATGCGGGTGCCCTGGGGAGCAGCCACTCGAGAGACTATGCAAATTCTAAAGGACTTGGTGCAGTGGTGTACTGATCAGGGGTTCATAATTGACTCCCGCCTCAGCATTAAGCAAGGCCAAAATGGTTTCGGTGTTTTCACGAATCCTGATGGAGAAATCCCAGAAGATACAACTGGTGTGTTCCAGTCTTCTGGTGTCATCGATATCCTCGCTCATTTGCGCGTTTGAAACAATTTCATGCCGTACGGGGCTGACTCGGACGTTGCTTCTCTCTACTATGACACGAATCAGTGGTCCAGATACCCAAGGATGCCGTTCTTTCTGCTCGGAATTGCAAGTTTTCTGACTCGCTCGAGCCCGTTTCGGTTGGTTTGGAGGCCCAACTGAATCTGAGTCTCGCACTTTACTCCGAGCAGTGGGTCCAATTCCGTTTTTCTTTCCGATCTGTCTTTCCCCGAGGCAGTTTCATGTGTTGCGATCAGAAGTGGCCCTAACACTCCTTCGCAGGCTTCTTGTCGTAGACTCGAAATGGTTCTACTATCTTAAAAGCCTCCCCAAGACCGTAGAGCTTCCGATCCTCTGGGAGTTTACCGCATCTCGCCCGGAGCAAGAGAGAGATAGCGCGAACGATGTGGACCGCCTTTCGGCACTAGAGTGGTTGACTGGAACAGAGGTCCAAAGAATTCTCCTGGACAAGGGTGAACCTATACTCGTAAGTGATAACATATCCTCCTATTTCTGAGAAACTGACAGGTAGTCATTTGACCATGATATGCGGTGCCATCTAATAATCCCGTTCGTCTAGGAACAACTGAAAACCTATTATCGCGAAATCGCAGAGCCTCTCCTGAAGCAAAAATTGCCGAACCACAACTTCAACTTTGAGGGTTTTTTGCGAGCCTACTGCCTTGTATCTTCCCGAGCCTTCATTGTGGATAGGTATCATGGTCTCTCCATGGTCCCTGTCGCCGATGCGTACGTGGTTTCTCATGATTCCGAGTACCTGATGTCTGATGAACACCTCTACCTACCCAGGTTCAACCACGTACAGGAAAACCATGTCCACATAGAGGTAACGTGGATGCGCAGCAGCTCCCTAATTATGATCCTGATTCTACTCCACAACCCAGGCGGACTTTGAGGTTTGCCTCGAATGCGGTTCCGTGGACCAGTGCCCGCATGACGACGACGACGATGACGACGACGAAGCTCCTGACCTTGTTGCGTTGGATGATGAAGGTCAAAAAAAGGACGACAATGCCACCCCTCCCACCAGCTACTACGAGATGGTTTCCGTCACCGACATCCCTGCGGTGAGAGAAGTGTTCAACACGTATGGTGAAACGCTCTCGGACGCCCAGTTACTATCTCGATATGGCTTTGTCCTAGAGGCGAACGAGAACGACCGGATAACTTGGAACTACAAGGAAATCTCCGAAACTTTCGGCATCGATGTCGAAAAGCAGTTCGAAGAGTATATCGTTGACATCAGCATCAAGGAGCAGGCGCTCGAAATCGTCGACTATATGCCTACTCTTCAAAACGAACTGGAAAGCTCTCCAGTTGTCTGTGGAACGACCCGTTCCGAGCAATCCCACGGAACTTGCTTGTACATCGACAGCGACGGAAAGATCTCCGACATGCTCTTCCTCGTTCTGCTCATCACAGCCTCACACAAACTCAGAAAGCCCTACGATTGGTGCGAAGACACCAGGATTCAGTTGAAAGAAGCCGTAGGCTTCATGAGCGTTTACCATGGATTGGCGTTTGATGATGAAGACGAGAGGAATCGTGGATTCACGCTCGAATTCCTTGAACCTCTCGACAAACGACATACGCGGGCTTGGAAGGAGCTTGTCGAGATGCTTATCCACCTTTGCACTCTGCGCAAACGAGGCCTAGGGAAACGTGGATTTGATGAAGGAAAAATTGGAGATTTGATGGAGGTAGGCCTTTTGCTTGATTATGGAAAGGGCCGCGTACTGACGACATGCTCAGAGTATCGCCCACAGCCAACCCCTCACGAAGAACGCGCTCTCCGTTGTCCTTAGCGAGATGACGATGTTAAATGCCTGTCTCAGTCAATGGGAAGGCATCCGCCAGGCCATGACACTCGTCTGATCGGCGGTCGGCGGTGCGACCATAGCGTTTCAAAAGGCAACCGAGCAATCTGTCAAGCAGGTCTGATGTTCTATGTGTTCCACCCACTTTTTGGGGACGCTCCCTTTGTTGGTCGGCTTTAGGAGGGTGGGAGACGGGACCGACAGCGGCGCGCAGTGGACAGTTGTGTACGAACGTGTCAGGGAAGGAAACCAGGAAACCAGGTTGCTAAGAAGTTGAACGCGTTATGAGAGATTCATGAGAAGCCAGCCTCAGAGGCCGCTGTTCTTATTCCAAGGATAGGTCCTATTGTGTTGGTATAGAGGATGACCTTGTACTACCTGAAGTTCCAGGTTTGATCGTGTGATCGACGGTTCCTGGGACGCTTGAGATCTGTTTGTCGCGTGTCATCAAGATTTCGCTATCGAACAATGGCGTTGTGAAAGGAAATTCGGCTCTTTCGCTGTTAGAGCCTCTGTTCTTCTTCCTCTCTCTCTCACAATTATCTTCTTTTTTCTTATTCCTTTCTTTCGACACGTAACTGGTCACCGTCGTTTTCATGATCAAACGCATGGCAGGCAAGCTTACTGCGCACATTGGCGGTCATCATAACGGCAAGGGCTTCCTGGGCGCAACTGGTTTGACCCCTTCATCACCGTCCGAAGCGATGTACCCAGACACGACGACATTACCCACGATACCGATGGCCGTCTCGTCTCTGGAACATCGCGACTCGATATCAACAGAGCGAACCTCGACCAGCATGGGAGACGAGAGCGTCGCGGGTGGGCGCTTCGGTATCGAGGCACCTAGGTTCTCTGCGCGCCCACAGCGACCGAAGGGGACATACCGACTCTCAGACTTTAGTATCCAACGGACGTTAGGAACGGGCAGCTTTGGTCGGGTACATCTAGGTGCGTCCCCCAGGCCACGAGTGCGTTCGTTCCGTCCTGACCACCCTTTGTTACAGTGCGGAGTAAACACAATGGTCGCTTCTACGCCATCAAGGTCCTCAACAAAGAGAGAATCGTCAGGATGAAGCAAATCGAACACACGAATAACGAGATGAAGATGCTCGAGTCTGTGCAGCACCCGTTTATAATCAACCTTTGGGGTTCGTTCCAGGACTCTAGCAATCTGTATATGGTTATGGATTTCGTGCCGGGAGGAGAGCTGTTTACACTTCTGAGAAGGTCAAATGTACGCATTTCCCTGGTTCTTTGTGTCTTTAGCCTCGTGTGTTGACCTTGGCTATCGTTCTCAGCGCTTCCCCGACCCCGTTGCCAAGTTCTATGCCGCCGAGGTGGCGCTAGCGCTCAACTACATGCATTCGCTGGACATAGTCTATCGAGATCTGAAGCCCGAAAACATTCTGCTCAATGTCGACGGACATATCAAGATTGCTGACTTTGGATTTGCCAAACTTTGTGCGACAACGACATGGACACTGTGCGGGACACCCGACTACCTAGCACCCGAGGTAAGTCCATAACGCCGCCCCGAGTCTCGATATTGGTACTAACACCATGGCTTGGGAAGATTGTCAGCCAGCAACGGTACAACAAGAGTGTCGACTGGTATGCGCTCGGCGTGTTGATCTTCGAGATGCTGTCAGGGCTACCGCCATATCACCAACCCGAACCCAACCACCTTGCGCTATACGAGAAGATTATGCGTGGGCCCAAAAACATCAGATGGCCAGCAGCAGCCTTTAATGAGAACGCGACGGATCTCATCTTGAAGCTCATGGAAGGCGATCCATCACGGCGGTATGGAAACCTGCGGCATGGCGCTGGTGATGTCTTTGCGCATCCGTGGTTCAGAGAGGTCGATTGGGATCGACTTGCTGCTAGGGAGATCACCGCACCGTATCTGCCCCGAATCAGTGGCGATGGCGATGCTAGCGCGTACGTGATATGCTTCAGAGTTCCAAGGTTCTCGTGCTTATCCCTTAAATTTCAGATTCGACAAATACCCTGAAGACAATGTCCAAAACACCTACGGCCTACCAGCCTTGGACCCTTATGGGGTCGTCTTCCCTGATTTTGAATATACCGGCTCATAGTAACTTCCATGACATCGTTCTACCACGACCCCCGCGATGCCCACCTTCTCGACACGCCACCACCGTCTAGAACGACGAATACCCTACCATGGCAATGATCACGAAAAAGCACACTGCGATACGTTCGACACGATCGTCACAACCTACCCTTCAAGTTGTTATACTCACATTTTCCATTTTTCGAGCGTTGCTTTCTGCTGTACAAGACCCACACTGTACACTACCCCAGCCTCATGCCCTCAAGTGACAACAAACGAACACTTAGCCCTTAACGTATCTAACGAGCATCTACCCCGGAACCTATCCCCCGAATCCTTGACCACTTGTTTCTTCGATGCCTGTCTGTATTCTAATGTACCCCCAAGCAAGCTGTAGATGATGATGCACTTCGTTCTCACTCGTCGTTTCTTGCAGTGTCTTCGTAATTCTGCTGCTACTGTTCTGTATGTACAACGCTTGTACGTTGTATAGATGGTTTAAATTATTCTATTCGGATTCAACGTTCAACCAACGATTTGGACTCATATACTGTTCAGAATTGAGTTGGCAATGGATTTCCTGACCGGCGAAGGGGTGTGGCCAGGGGCGCGCCGAATCCCGAAGCCTAAATGATATTTGTCGCGCCAAACAAATGGGATCAACCACGAACTTGAGCCATGTCTTCGCCAATACGATATCTGCCATCGACGACTACAACGACAACGAAGAAAACGCCCGGGAAACGCAGCCCTTGAAGTCTACTGGATTATTCAGAGCACAGCGAGTTCAAGAACGCGACGGTCAATACGCTTCGCGACCCTAGTGGGCCTATGCACCCGTAAGTACCAAATGTCAGTTCTGTTGAAGAGTTTGGTTGTCTTATCTACCTCGTCTTTTGTTAGAGTTGGACGCGATGAATGTCTGGAGGTTGAACCTGGAAGCTCGAACAACATGGGCGGTGGGCAGGACGTAGGACGGAGCCTTGTACCCGGAGATCCTATTGCCAACGAAACTTTGACGACCTCGGTCGCGAATGAGAAGGATCTGGCGGAATTCTCGGTCACGAACGAGATGCTCGAAGCTGAGAAGGCGTTGATATTGTCAAAGAAGGAAACGGAGCGCGACCAGGTGTTCAATCGACACGATGACTTGGTATGTGTTTTCAGGCTCTGTCGTTTTTGGCTTCCTGGTCACCTAATTTATTTCATAAAGGTTCGCGAAAAGTTCCATATGGATAACTACAGGAACATGTTGACCTACCACCCTTCGGTACGCAAATGTGTTGTGACCTTCGGCCTTGGACGCGGTTAACGAGGGTTCTGTGTGTAGGCCGCGAAGGAGGATGATAGTCGCGTCTTCCAAGAGGTGTGTATCTTTGATACTGAGCTTATTTAGACTCTACGCAGCTGACAGATGCATTAATTCAGTACAAAGCCTCTTTTGACCTTGTCGGGATGATCCAACCTACAGCAGGTCCTTCTCGCCAAACTCGCCGGACCATCAACGAACGCAAGAAGCTAGTCAATGCTTTTGCTCCAATGCCTTCGTCTTCGTCTTCAGCAGCACCTCCCAGGCCCACTAAACGCAAACTAGTCCCTGATGTGCACGTTCAGAATCGCGAGATTTTCGATATCCTAAACGATGCTTTGGGGAAGGGCAAAGGGAAGGAGGTTGCACCAGAACCGTCACAGCCGACTCCGAAGAGGATGAAGACCGCACCTCCCTCCGAGCTAGTAGCGCAAAAGTCTCCGTCACTGTCACGAAGCTCCTCTCCTCTCACAGACCTCGACGAGGAACTTACGATCATCATACCGCGTAGGAAGCCTCCGGCCGGACCCAAACCTGTAGATAAAGACAAGGGTCCTCGACTGAACGGAAAGGAGAAGAAGGCGAAGATGAAGAAAGCTGCTATCGTCATCGACGAAAACTATGATGGGGTAGAGGCGCCCTTGCTGGAATCGAGAGCAAAAACCACGAAGGGGGACAAGCCCAACCAAGTACCGATCAGTCCGAAACCGCGCCCTCAACCTATCTCTCCTGTTTTAGGGGTACGTTACTTCTACTGTTTGGCCATTGCATTCTACGTTTTAACGGCATTCCTACTCCACAGGACCCTCCCGGCTGTTCATTGGTTCCTGACACCACCGAAGGTCCATCCAAATCCCTTCCAAACAAAACAATAAAACGCATCAAGCTGGTTGTGCGAAAACCATCACGAACATACACCAACCCTGCCCAAATCCCTCTCCCTCCGAAACACGGGGGCTCTCTATCTGCACTCCTCGCGACCTACAGAACCAACGGCCTCAAGGAGATTGTAGATGAGAAAGCGTACCAGCGCAAAATCAAGAAGGAAGCCGAGATTCGAAATCGAGAGCTTTTATTTCGTCGACAGCAGAGGTTTATCCCGGGCAAGGATGTGTACTTCGGCACGCGACTCGACGAAGACGACTCTAATCCTGCGTACGAGCCTCCAAAGAGGACAACTACAGACCATTGGGATGACGTCGTCGAGGCTGCAGTTCTCAATGGCAAGGCGAGGCTGGGGAAGCGGATACCTGTCGGAAGGCAGGTAGCAGGCCAGGTTGCTGCGCGGATTCGAGCGTACTGGGATGCCCAAGAGGCGAAGAAGGAAAGGGCGAGGTTACAGGAAGAGAAGCGACTCAGAACCCTGGCCAAGTCCACTATCAAGCTGGTCGTGGCGGAATGGAAGAAGGCCGTATTCGTGAGTACTACATCACACATTGCTTGAATAGCCATCATCCTAACATCTCCTGCAGCACATACGAGAGAAACGCAGGCTGGAAGAGGAAGAAGAAGAACGTAGGCTTGGCCAGGAGCACCTCAATGCCATCCTCGAGCAGTCCGGGCATATTCTCTCAACGCAGCAGCGACACTTGATACAAGGTGTAACCATGCTCCAAGGTGGGCAAGGCTCTGACGATGAGGACGGAGAAGGGGCTTTGGGAGAAGAGCTAAGCGATACCGACGACTATGTGTCTGACGGGTCCTTACCCGCCAGTCAGATAGCGGACACAGATTCAGAAGGGTCGGGGGATCGACTGGGGACCAACCTGCTCCTCATGGACTCAGACAATCCTCAGAGGCTACGAGACGGTATCCAAGATGGTCTAGAGGACGAAACGCTCATTGACAATATCCTCGTTCCTGATCCGGACAAATCGCCTGTTCGACAATCTTCGCTAGCGCCCCTTGAGGACATCCTTTTGTCTGGCTCCATGAGCTCTGACCCTATTACTCTGTCCCCCTCGCCCAACAAACCGATATTCAACCACGAAAGTGCACCTATTTTCGGGGACGAATATGTGGCGTCCGCCCTGGAACGAGAAGACTTTGGGATCTATTCCCCGGAACCACTCAGTCGGCCTGATACGCCTGTCAATGGCGAAGGCCCGGCTTCATCACGGCCGACTAGTCCTACATCGACAGCCATGGATGTTGACGCTGAGCCAGGCATGACCTTGGAAGAACAGGAAGAGGAGGGCATCGATGAGGAAGGCATTGTGCCAGAGAATCCAGAGGATTCCGACTACAGTCGGATACCCGCCTATCTCCGTCCCTATGCTGTCGCGCCGGTGGATTGGGACCCATCTCGGACCATCCAGCCGCCTTCACTGCTCAGAGGAGTTCTACGACCGTACCAGCAATCGGGGTTGGAATGGCTTGCGAGTTTACACACAAACCATATGAATGGGATTTTGGCGGATGAAATGGGATTAGGGTACGTCACTCCATGTGGTGAAAAAGGTTGTTTTAGGCTCACGTCGGTTCTTGTAATAGGAAGACGATCCAGACAATCGCCCTGTTGGCACACCTTGCCTGTGATCGAGGAATCTGGGGCCCTCATTTAATCGTAGGTCCTTCCCCCATTAGGATGCGGGTGCATCATGCTTACCTTGAAGGACTAGGTTGTTCCCACCAGTGTTCTCCTCAACTGGGAGATGGAGTTCAAGAAATTCCTGCCTGGGTTCAAGGTTGTCAGTTACCACGGGTCTCCCAAACGACGGAAGGAGCTCCGACAGGGCTGGCGAGACAAATACAGCTTCAATGTCTGCATCACCTCGTACACCCTAGCAAGCAGAGATCAACTGGTGTTCAAGCGCAAGAATTGGTACTACCTCATCTTGGACGAGGCGCATATGATCAAGAATTTCCGTTCGCAACGCTGGAACGTTCTCTTGATGTTTCGGTCTTTTCGACGGTTGCTGTTGACTGGTACACCGCTGCAGAACAATTTGACAGAGCTTTGGTCGCTTCTTCAGTTTCTCATGTCGGGGTCAGACTTTGCCAATCTCAAGGAATTCGGCGATTGGTTCTCCAGTAAGTGCCTTGGTTAATCATGCTAATGTTTCTGCGTCTATAACTTTAAATCGCAGACCCTCTCGAGAAGGCAATCGAACACGGCGATGTTGACGAAGAGACCATGCAACGGGTCTCCAAGCTGCACACGGTCCTTCGACCATACCTCCTTCGACGTTTGAAGCGGGACGTCGAGAAGGAACTCCCAAGCAAGTTTGAGCACTTGGTCTTGTGTCCTCTCTCCAAACGCCAGCGATTTCTCTACGACGAGTTCATGTCACGAGCGCAAACGCAGAAGGACCTCCAATCCGGTGTTTATTTGAAGATCGCCAACATTCTTATGCAGCTCCGCAAAGTCTGCAATCATCCAGACCTATTCGAAGTTCGGTCGATTGTCACCTCATTCGCCATGTCACGTTCTGCGATCGCCGATTATGAAATCAAGGAACTGCTCGTGCGCAGACGGTGGTGTGAAGACATGGAAGAGAATGTCAACCTCGATGTTCTTGGCCTTCAATTTATCCACCGCCAGAACGTGTCTCAGTATGCGGCCGGGAGAAGGCAGGAGTTGGATGCTACCTCCCGTTTGCCTTTTTATGGCGAAGGAATCGGCAAAGCCCCGCCTAAAGATACCAGGACCATCGCCGGCTTTCGCAACTACGCTCGATATCTCGAACGAGCCAAGGCAATTGCCCACTGGTCACACATCAGCTACCTCAATCGGCTACGGTGTAGCGAGCACCCTATTGTGAGCACGGAGTGCATCTCTCAAGTTCACTTCGCCAAACCGCTTCTACCTCTATCTCTCACCGACCGCCGCCATGCTTACTTGGATACAGTTTACTCCGTCCACGCTGCTGTCCTGTCCCATACCGATCGAGAACAGCAGATGGCAGGGCTCATCGACCGATTCGCTTTCGTTACCCCCTCCGTCGTAGCTCTGGATATGCCAAGGATAGCCCTCGCAGGGCATTGCGATCGCATCCTCCAATCACCACCTGAATTTGACAACATCCTCCATCGAGCGGCCGTCAAACTTCAGATAGCATTCCCCGAGCCTTCTCTCTTGCAATACGACTGTGGAAAGCTTCAGCGGCTTGCCGAGTTGTTACAAGAGAAGAAGGCAGGTGGCCATCGAGTCCTCATCTTCACTCAGATGACCCGCGTCCTCGACATTCTCGAAGTTTTCCTCAACCACCATGGATATTTGTACCTCCGTTTGGATGGCGCGACAAAGATCGAGGATAGACAGTACATTACGGAAAGGTTCAACGCGGACTCGCGGATCTTTTGCTTCATCTCTTCATCTCGATCTGGAGGGATAGGCATCAAGTAAGTTTCTTCCCCCGTCCCTTGAAGAACACCCCAAACTGACGCAAAGTACAGCCTGACTGGTGCAGACACGGTTATCTTCTATGATAGCGATTTCAACCCCCAAATGGATCGCCAGTGTGAAGATCGGTAAGTACAAGAGTTTGACGACGTGGATATCAAGAATAAGGCTAACTCTCCACCTCGTTAACAGCGCTCATAGGATTGGCCAAATTCGTGATGTTCACATCTACCGCTTTGTATCCCAATACACTGTCGAAGAAGCAATGCTCCGTAAAGCCAACCAGAAACGATCTTTGGACGATCTGGTCATTCAAAAGGGCGAGTTTGATTGGCGAACGCTGTTCAACAAGGAAGAAACTGCTCTCACCAAGGCTCTCGGCGAATATGACGATGCTGAAGACGCGCATGCCGCCGAGCTTGCTACTCGCGAAGCCTTCGAATTGGAAGGTGCGGATGCGGCGGATTTCGAGGATGGGTCTGGGCCCCGTGGAGGTAATCCCGGCGCCGCGAAGCCGGCTGGAGGAGACGAGAACAATCGTGCGGCCTCCCCTCCCCAGTTTGAGGGTATTGTCGATGCTGCTGGAGCGGGAGAAGAGGATGAAGAGGAAGGCGGAACAACTGTGGATTACATGGTCGCTTTCGTTGAATACGATTACGACTTTTTCAGCGATTGGCGAATCTGAGGGTGCCTCTCGCTGTTACCCAGTCATTCAGTTTTGTACATTCTTTAGGATTCTCGTACTACCCTATTCTCATGCTTCGTCTTGCATTAATTATCTACACTACCGTCAAATATTATAGCTCATTACCGTCGTACATATGTGAATAATTGTCAACCTCAAACAGCTCTAGAGTAACGTGAAATTGTAGTTGTGCGAACAGAAACAATGCGAAATGGAATGAATACATGCCACGAAAAGAAAAAAAATGGTTGAAAGAAAACACGAAAGCGAAATGGATGGATGCGATGCAATTACAGAATTGGAATGAAAATGCGAGGGAATAGGCTGTATGTTGTTCGTTGGTTCATGGAGACATTGTAACGGTTGCGCCAGCTTGGACAACCGTCCGCGAATAATTATTGGGAAAGAGCTTGTGCAATGTTGGCTAGCGTCGTTTCGAAGGGGGCCCATAGCGTGTCGAACTCTGCAAGCGAACGCGGCGGGGGTTCGGATTTGGGAGGCGCCGCAGCCCCTTCAAGAACACCGAGCTTGATTGCTTCCAGAACAATATCTTTCTGCGGAGGAGCTTCATGTCGTTGTACATGAGTTGGGATGAAGTCAGGGAGTACGGCGGTGGGAGGTAGAGATGCGGATCCGGGAAATTGACCGAGCGGTGACATCAATGAAGACGACCGCGAATGAGGTTTTACATCGGGGGAGAACCGTTCATCCGTATGAGATATCACAGGTGAGGATATTGACGGGCCGGGGGAAGCTGTTTCTGCAGGGGTGGGTAGTCGTTGTTGGTGTAGCGAGGGCTCGATCTTGAGGGGCTGTGAGGGACGTTGATAGGTATGAGGAGATGGTGGTCGTGTGCCTTGGTACGCGTCGTCGTCGTCGTCTACAGCCATTTCCGATTCCGGAGATGTCGCTTTGCGACGAATGTCGCGTAAAAACGCGTGCACGACGTCCTTTTCGACGCGAAGTAAATTGGCCCATATCGCTATGGTGGATTCTGGCGGCATGCCTGGAATCGGCTCTGCCATTATGCGTAGTTGCGCCATCTGCGATTTGTTCAGGTGGGTCGATGGCGCTTTAAGGATCGTCAGCTGAAGTGTTCGCGCTTGAATGGACGAGAACGCGAGGCCTACCTGGTAGCGCATCGCTTGTGCTGTGGGCGACAGCCCCCTGGCTCTGTGCTTGTTCCCGTTTGCGTAATGCCCTCCTGTTATTGAACCAGCCTTTCAGAGTGTGAAACTGGTAATGTGCGTTCCCAACAGCCTAAAGGGAACTGTACGTCAATTTTGCAAAAATCGCCCGGGAACGATGGGTTCACTGACGCGAATGCGTTCGAGCAAATCATCGCATTCAACGCGTGTAGGATACAGCCCGTTGACATGCTCGAATTCTGGACATTGACAAAACCGTTAGCCACTATGTATTGTCAGTGAGATATATGCTGAACTCAGCACTTGCCTCGGAGAATGGCCACGCCGTCCTCGTTGATTCTTGCCCCTCTTTTGGTTGCTTTCTTTGGCTGCTCTGTTGTCGCGGCCGCATTACTGCCGCTGGCGTGGGTGTTACTGGCGCTCACGGATGCACGCATTGCATGCTCGACCTCGTTAGGTTTCGGTTGTGGCCATGTTGTCCAGGTTGACATATCGTATTTTTAGATTGTGCCAGAGAAAGCTGAGAGCAGGCTCAGCTTTCCGTGCTGTTTTTTTTCTGATGTTGTAGGTGTCTGGGGGTGAATCAATGACTTTGCTCCCACTGATCTCCTTTTTATGCCTCTTGGAATGCCACAGAGACCCTACCACGTTATTTTCCGGTTGGAAAAACGCTATGGTTGGACCATGTAGATTCAGGGTATTTGACCGGAGGGAAGAAAGGATTGGATTGGGCTGAGACTTTAGGCACCAAGGTTTAAATAAGCGGGGACGGGACAACATGAGCAAGAATGTGAATGTTTTCATTGTTCCTGTTGTGACGTGCTTGTCTCAGATCCGATCGGGCGTTGCCGGATTTTATCTTAAGCAAATCCTAAGCGCTATTTCTCATTTTTTTCTCCTCATTCTTTGACCGTGTCATGCCCTTGATCCAATCCAAATAGGGCTGACAGATTTTGTCGCTGCTCGAGCGCCAAAAGCCAACCAGCAGCACGGGCGTCAGTTTTCGTGACCTCGAAATGACGCTCCTGCAAAATGATGGACGCCGTCTGCGCTTGGGCCAGTGGGCCCATGTGGACGCCTCCGGATGAGGTATTATTAGCGGCTTGGTAAGCCATTAGTCTCGGCCAGCCAGACGTTTACTTGGCGACGAACCCGATTTGGGTTTGCCACCGTAAACGTCTGGGAACCCGCCAACAGGAAAGTGGGGGTTCGACACTCCGACGGTTCGGAGATTTTTTCTCGCTTAGATAATGCCAATATCGAGGCTCGCGTCGCGTCGTCGCTTGCTCCCTCCCCCCATCGACGCCTTCTCTGTCCCTCTATCGTTTAAATTTTGCCTCGAAATCTTGTATATTATGTCTTCCAGTAATCCGACACCTCTTAACTTCTCCATATCATCGAGACGCGCCGTTTATGATAAGGAAAATGTGCCAGCAACACCATCAACACCTACCCCGGCCACCCATGTACCAAACTCTCTCAATTATGAGAAACTACGTCTTGATCCCTCAGCTAGGAAGAAGCTACATCGAAATGGATTTGTGGCAACACCCAAAACGCCCTCGTACACGCCCTACTCGGTGGGTAGAAGACCGAAGAAGAAACTGAGTCTCTCGCCTCCAACTGTCCCTCCCCCCAAAGTGCTACCTCAAAATCCGCTTCAAAACCATGAATGGAACGTCCTCGCACATTCGAAGAAGCTATTAGAACGTGGGCAAACGCTCAAAGCGTTCCAAATCGAGGCAGCAAACACGGTTTTGCGTCGCAATCAGGATTTGGCTGTCATAGCACCAACTGGAGCTGGCAAGTCCTTGCTGTGGATGTTGCCTTTGCTTGCTCAGGGAAAGGGCACATCCATCGTTGTAGTGCCATACACAAGTCTCGGATTCCAAGGAGAACGAAGGTAATTCCCAATTCTAATCGTTACCGTGCACTAGCTAACAAGAATTACAGAAGTAGGTCAAGCTGCATAGCTGCGACATTCTTATGCTCCGAAACCGCAAGCTACGAGACTCTCAATCGTCTCAATGCTAATCGTGGCTCTCAGATAATCTATATCTGCCCCGAAATGCTCGAAACACCGAAACTTGCACAGTTGCTTTCCAGCGAGCAATTTCGAGCCCAACTCTCCGGGATCTACATTGACGAAGCCCATACCATTCACGAAAGCGTTTCGTGGAGGCCCGCCAACGCCAACTTACACATGCTACGACGCGTTATAGGGCTAGACGTCCCCTTAATCGTCATCTCCGCCACTTTACCATCAAAATACCGAAAATCACTCGAAGTCTACGCAGGCCTACGTTCCCAATACCACCTCATCCACCTTGGGAACTTCAGGCCCGAGCTATCAGTTATACGACAACATATGAAGCATCCCAAAACCTCCTTCCTCGATCTCGCCTTCCTTATTCCTCTGAACGCAACCGATAACGATGTTCCGCCAACAATTGTCTATTCCGATGACCTCAACCTTCTGACAGCCATGTTTTGGTGGTTCCACTTCCGGTTGAGCTCAGCAGGGCTTTCTCCCAGCCTTGTTGATATCCTCCATGCTGGCCTTTCCAATGCACATCAGAAAATATGCCTTGAAGACTTCATCGACGGCCGTACAAGAATTCTTCTTGGGTCAGATAAAATAGGCGCCGGAATGGATTTCCCACATGTACGAGTTGTCATACAGTATGGCTGTCAAGGTTTGACATTGGTCCGATGGGAACAGCGACGTGGTCGGGGTGCTCGTCGATCTGGGATGACAGCTGTGGGGATTTTACTTGTAGAGAAGTCGATGGCGGGAGAAGAAGAGAAGTCTCCAACTATCCGGAATCCTCGAACCGAAGATCCCGGTTTAGTCGAGCTCGCACAGACTAGCAGGTGCTTGGAGCAAGTTACCAATATCTGGCTCGAAAATCCCTCGTCGACTTACACGTCCCGCTGCGAACGCTGCTCCAACTGTAATCCAGCCCTCAAACTCCCAACACCTTACACTTTCGTCCACGAAATGCCGCAATCAAAATCCGCGACCCAGATCGCTATGAACAGCGACACAGTTGCTGAGATTCACAATCTCTTACTTAAATGGCAAGGGGAGCTTTGGAGGAGGGAATGGAAGGATGAATGGCCGTCTTACGGGCCCGAGTGCCTTGTAACTGACAGTGGCTTGCTGTCGATCGCAAAGAATGCCCTCAAGATTTCGACGGCTGATGATTTATACAATGTGACACCAATCATCCATCTCGACGACCTCGCCCCTTCCCTTCTTCAAACCTTGGAGAACATCACTCGGACTGTATGCGGAACGACAGCGCGCGAACAGCAGAAGCAAATTGAGGAGGCACTTTCCAGGAATTCCGAGCAGGTGGCTACACCATCATCTACGCCGTCGATTGAATGGGCTCCTCTTCAAATGCCATGTCATTTTGATACCAATTAGGGTAGTAGTACACTGTCGTTATTCATACGTGCACTACTACACTAGTACAGCAATCCTAACTCGTTCAACTCTGGTATATTGACATCATCCTCTGCAATTAACTTTGCAAAATCATCTTCAGTAAGGGAAAGAATAAAGTCGATTTCATCCTTATCAATTGCAGTTTGGAGTTCTGGATCAGCATCTAGGAGTGTAGGATTAGTTTCCTCTCCATGGCGGGATCGAAGGCGAAGTTTGTGTCGAGCAAGATGGCGGCTATGACCTCCGTCTGGTCCGGATAAGCGAAGGGCTCCAAAGCGATAGAGATCAACGACCGGGAGGGTCGAAGGCTTGTCGTTCTCGTAGTCGAAAACCCGATGCCTTGCAAAGTGGGCAACTGTTAATTTGACATCATGGTGTTGTGATACGTTGGCATGGTGTTGATTGAGCAGCTCGACACCAAGGTCAATGAAGGTTTGCCGTGTAAGGTGCTGTACATGGCCCATAGCTGGTGTGATCTTCTCAAGGACTTCCGGCGAGGCGTTAGATCCATGGGCATGTTCCTTGACGTGATCGTTGTGATGCTCTACTCGTATGTCGGTCTCCTTGAAGTCGTCCTCTTTTCCCGATGGATTGACAAGCATTCCATTAAAAGCAACATCGGCATAGTCGGTAGGCCACTAGTGGGATGTGGGCCGCTAAACAGCAAGTATCCTCGGCCTGTTGGGTGGACGGGATTTCGTGCCGCGCACTTCGCGCGCGCCTCTCAACCCGCCCATAACCCCAACAGGCCGAGGCTATTTGCCGTTGTTTGCCTTCGGAGGTTGTGAATTTTGTATTGCACCGCCACCCTGTGTCTTCCCTCGAATCACCCTGCCTTCTCCTTAATCGGCGCCACTCGAGCGCTCATTCGCGTTTGTTTACTCATCACTTCGTGCTCGTCGCTGTCATTATCCACTTTGTTGCTCCTTCCTCCGTAATCTATCTACGGTTCCCTGCATCCTTTACTGTTACATCCAACGTCCCCTCATGTCCTCTACTTCTCCCACCAGTTCCGCCATATCATTTTTCATTTTATCCACCCGATCGCGCACCTCCGCCACCGATTGTCTCCACTCCACATCATCGTTTCCTTCTCCTGTTATCACTCTCTCCATCTTCTCCACGCACGACAGCAAGAGTAGAATGACTTCTACGAATCCTTGTGTCTGCTTCCAATATTTGCTGGTCACTATCGCCTTTGGTCAATCGCCGTTCCTGCTCCAAAAATCCCCTAACCACTCGCCTTTATCCAAGTCTGCGGTTCGTTCTTTAACTTGGTCCTCGTTCCATGCCAACCTATGCTCTTGGTGCTCTTCGCGAACCTCCTCCACTTGTGCCTTTCGTCCGTCCGGCATTGCCTCGCCTCCGCCTGCTTCGCCCTCATTGAGTCCGCAATTCCACCGCGTAGTGTTGGCGCACGTCAACGTTGGTAGGCTCACTATGCCTTCAACTGTTATCAGTGGTGATAGCATCGTCGCATCGATCCAGACATCATTCACCGGTGACGGGAATGCGTCGAGCGCTGGAAATGTGTCAGGTGCGGGCGGGGACATATTCTTACCCATTCTCCTTCATCTGTCTCCCTTTAACATCAATTTCATACAGTCGCCATGCGCCCTCTTTCATGTGTTGCTCTTTCAATGTCATGCTTACTTACCCCTTTTGAAATCTACATCACGATTCTCCTTCCTCTCACGCGCTCGGATGAAATAGTCCTTTTCCCTGTTACAAAACCCCTCGTCGGTCCTGTGTACGTATCCTGATTCCTCATCCATTCCCCACTCACTCCTTTCTTATCACACCGTCCCAAATCATGACCAAGCGTAAACGCCCCTCCAAGCGCCTCTCCTCATTCCGCTCATCCCCCTCTGCGATCCCTGATCACTATGATATATACACTTACACAGCCTCCCCTCTCGTTCTTGCGGCCAGGAAGTTTGCAAAGTCCTATATCGACGTGACCCATCTCATCCAGATCGTTCCGCCTATATCGTATTGATCATCCTTTCACAGCAACATCGCGTCAGTGCTTGGGATTTCATTATGTATCCCGCCGACTCCCAGTCGCCCTCTTTGTCGACGCTTCCCATGAAAAGTGGCGCTGACCTCTCTGGTGGCATTGGGTCCCTTGCACTTTCTGTCTTTGATCCCGACGTTCCTGCCTGGGCTTTCATGATTCTCCGCCCATACGTTGTCCATCTCCCTTTCAATACTTTCAACGGGGCTAACGATGCTCTTGTTGTTTACTATTCCGATATAGACGACAACAATCGACACAAGGCGGGTATCCCTTTCGCTCGGAATGAAATGCACGCTGATAGATCAAAAGAGGGTCGTGAATCCCACTTTCGCTGCAATGATGGACGCCGCTGACGCGGACATGGTACTACTCCGTGGTACGGCTCGTTACAATGTACATGCGTCATTGATTATTACTTTATCCGTTCTTTATACTACCCTTCTACCCAATGTCCTACACACGCCTGTTCCCTCGATGAGTAAGAGACTCTCGCACGCTCCCACTAGCCACTCGAGGAGAATAACCTAATGCCTACCCGCATGTGAGAGGCGAAGGTTCCGTTTTTGCGCAATTGCGCGTTCCCGGCGCCCCGCTGTTCGCCCCTTGGCATGATAAGGTTTAGAAAGATGATAACTATCTCCGGTCCCCTGAATCGATTGTGTGTTCCCTCCCAAGTATTGGTAGACCGCCTCTTGTCCCCCTTCAAGTTCTCGCCGATGTGATCTTCGGCCGACGCGAAGTGCGTTGAGGACCTTTCTTGTTTCCCTGGCGGTACGTGTTCTCCTGTTCGCTCATTAAATATGGGCTTCCATCTGTGTCCACCGTATTCGAGCATTTTGTCACAAACGATGTCAATTTAGTGTTGGAAAGTCAAATATGTTTACATCCGAGTCGGATCCGATCCTCTTGTTCCTTTTCCCCTGTCCTTGCTTTCACTGGCATGGGCTGGACCGACGCCCTTTCACCACATGCAGGTTCTCATCGAATGCACCTATCGTTTACATCATTTCCTTTCACATCCCTTTCCGAATGAACATCCTTAAACCGCTCGCCGCACTACTTCCATTTGAAACCCTCAGCATGGGCCTATCTATTCTAAATCTCTCCCCCTTCTTTATCCGACTCGGATGCAATGTCTTCCCTATCCGTCTCTTCGCTTTCACACCCCAAACGCAGTAATTCGAATGAATATTCTGTGAGCGTCCGAGCGTAGCACAAAAGGAGTGCCCTTCGAAACCATCAATCAGACGCATGCTGGTAAACCAAGATAATGAAGACTGACCAAGTGGTGGCGGCGCACACATACCGGATGTCTTCGTACGTTGCATTCACAAAGATGCCCCTTTGGTTGCACAAAACGATAACACAAGGCCCCTTTATGTCCATCCCCTTCGCGTTTTCATTTCCCAAAATTCGGGAGAACGATGGATTAAGCTCCTAGATTATTTCTGTCATAAGCTTTCCTCACAACCGTCATTCTTGAGCTAACACTTACCCTGTAGTTTTCTGGATGCCGCAGTATAAACCCGTGCGTAGCTTCTCCTTGGTATCCGTCCAGCATGGTGAAAGGCATGGGAACACGCCTTCCTGGTCGGTCGGGTGATGTGGGGCCCAGGTAGAAGTCCAGTTTCAGATCCCTCACCGCGACGCGATCCTCCTTCACATGTGCCATCGGAATAATAGCCGGAATTTCTGAGTCTTGCGGAAACAATATACCGTTTACAAACGGGAGATCGTAACTCTGAAGGAGCCGATTAGTTCGTGGGAGAAAGCGATTGATCTTGCAAGGTGCAAACCTCGATGAAGGCAGTACTCTTGGCGATACTGCTTGCTGCTCTGGGAGACAGCTTAAGACGCATTGTGGTACGAGTGTTTCTGTCCAGTCGATCATGGGGGACTATTTGTACTCCTGGTATCCTTCTCGTAATAACATGCATTTCACCTCCCGCTTAACCCTTTCCTTTCTCCGTAAATACGACTGTAAACACACCATCTTAACAACTATTCGACATCGGTACTTGGTGCTGACTCGAACCACATGTCCACTTCCACGAAGCAAACAGCTCGCTTGCCGTGGTTTTCGCAGTGTGGATTGACGCAAGTCTTGGCCAACGTGGCTTTGAACTGAGAACGGTCCAGCAATGAACCTACGTTCAACAGGGCCATGGTGTGCGCTTTGGGCCACTCGCGTTTTCTCTCAGCCCATGTCTTCGAAGCCCATTCCAAGTCCGTGTTCCAACCGTCATATGCGTTCCCCCAGCCGACATCTATCTCCATTGCCCCCTCCGCCAAAGCTTCCCTTTCGATGTTCTGGTTCCAGAAAAAGACCCCCGTGCCGTCGCCTTCTCGACCTTTTCGCGGAAAGATGGGGCACAGTTTACCACACCGCCATGGCCATTCGGAGTTATCCCGACACATCTGCGGTACGATGACATTGTTGTCCCCGCGGGAAATGCCCGATCTGCCGATTAAGCCAAGGTGAGCGTGCTGAACCTTGGGGAACAAGTGGTAGAATCGTCTGCTTGTGAGCAGGACCATATCCCTCGTCGTGTCTGCCGTGAAGGCCACTTGGAGCACCTGAGACTTGCTCTCGATGACCCGTAGATATACCTACCTCGATCAGTTTTTATTCTCCTTTACGACAAATGAAGCATACCTTCGATATCCTCCTCCACTCTCTCCTCCTCCTACTCAACAGTGTGTCTTCGTCATTCCACCCCTCCCAGTTCTCAAATAAATGGTCAATTGGGTCATCAGGCGCGTCATTCATGTTCTGTAACGTCGGAAAGGTGCCCTGTGTTTCGCCAGGCCTCCGTTGAAGTGTCACTTCCCAAATTCCCCGTACGACGTGACGTGCACCCATGCCGACGGGCTGGGGAATCCAACGCCATTCCGATTTCCCCAATAACCCTATGAATGTCTCTCTCCTCCCAGAAGGGACCACCACGGTTAGTCGGGGGATCCTGTCGTACGCTTTCGCCCATTTGGTCCTGCGGTACGTGATGGACAAAACGCAGTTCCCAATCAAAGCTCCGTCCGCCTCATCTAAGGCCGCAACAAAATCCTGGAAAGACAAACCAAGTGCCGTGAGGTTGGGTTCCAGCGCCTCTCGAATCCTGTTCTCCACCTCCTTTTGCACTGCATGGCGCCACGTTCGGCACACGCTGGCAAAAAGGGCCACATCTATCCAGTCGACCTTCTCCGCCACCCTACAAATGATGTCAAAGGCATTGGACCAGCTAGTAATGGCCTGAGACGCCGTGACCTGAGGTACGAGTTCGTTCAACATCTGAAGCGGTGATGAGTGGTGCATCCCTGAAGAACATCAACTGTCAACGCACCTCACGCTGTATGACTTGTTGGGTATCGATAGGGAGAAGGGAAAAGGCTCGTTTGCAGCTACAGGACTGCACACTGGCGACAGCCGTGAATTAATAACTCGGGAGGATACACAGCCACTAATTATGCAGTCGCCTACAAAGACCCCTGATCGATTGATTTTTCTTCAAGTTCCCGCAATAAAGCCCAGCTGACGAGTTCCACATCGCGCTCTTCTATGTCTACCACCGTGTCATCCTTTTGGTGCTTGCACACGACCACGTTTCCCCATAAATCGAACGTGGTTCCAGCAAGTCTGCTGACGAGATAATTGTGGAATTCTTTGCCGAAATTTTCGTCCTATTGAATGGCGTTGAGATTTCGGAACGACCGATGTTCAGACGACTGACCTGGCGAGAGAAGAAAACCAGATAACGATTACTGATGGGCAGATTGCTGTTTTCGCTGTATCTCCGACATCGGATCGATGACCGATCCAACACGGTCACCTGCCGATTTTCAGCGCGGCCCTTGTGTAGGTAGCTTTCTGGGTTCAGGTCCACCACTTTGCACTGCGACTGACATCCTGCATCCACCAAGACAGGCGCAATGACAGGTTGGCTGCCTTGCACTGGAAAAACCAGGCAATTCTTTGTGGCTAAGCTTTCTGACTATGTAATTCAGCACATCGCTTGTCCAGGAGGGGAATTGGGAGCGTTACCTGTGCGATCGACAGTATCCTTCTCGTGGTGCGCGCGATTTCTCTCTCGTTCTTTGGCGTCTTTGGAATTAACATTTCAAGTCGACTGCAATCGTTGCCCTCTCAATTTAAACCTCGTGTTGGGTTAAAAGCCCTTTCGCCCCAATGCTTTTCTGGGTTTTTGGCCTTGCATCTTATGGTTATACAGTTGCGTCATGTGCCTTATTGACCTCGGTATAACTCAGCCGCACCTAGGGACCGCATGGGCATCGGCGCGTCACGAAGTAACTCACGCCGCACGCGGAATTCGCCTTGTTGATCCATCCGCGCACCGCACGCCATTGGCCCTGTACTTCACCGATTGCGTTCAGATTCCAAAACCACTTTGATTCGAAGTATGTCGACAACGCGCACTGCGCAGTAGGCAAGAAGTTCGCTCCTGCGAATGTGTCACCCACCGCTCCCCCCTCCACTAGGACAAACGCCATCATTTCCTGATAACTATCCGCAACTACCGACCTCTTCACGCGCCATCATACGAGCCAACGCTGTTACAGTCTGAGTCGTCGCTCTTGTAGACGTTGATGTCCTTCAATTCTTCCATCATGCGCTCATGCAGTTCCTCGCTGTAGTTTCCTGTCTTCAACAAGGAATTGCGCATAGCTTCGACAGTCTTCACGGCATCTTGAAGGCATTCAGTGACTTCTTTCAGCCGATATCGAAGGTCCCGGTTACCTGTACCAGACGTTAAACGGAAGAGGTCTGGAATGATGCTCTCCAACATACGTTCGATCAGACGCTGTTTCGCTAACCATGTTCTCTGTTAGCGTGAAAGCGAGGTTCCACTAGACGACCTTACCTGCGCTGGCCTCGGCGATCTGCTTCCGTAACGCAGCGATCTGCTGGCGCTGCTCCTTCCCTGCTCCCGGTGAGTACAGTTATCCACTACCAAGTCGCAGGACACTCACGTTTGCTGAATCTCTCTTTATGAATAGAATACATGTAAATCGTGATGAAACCCCACCAGTAGCGAATGGAACTCACTGTCTCGAAGGCGTACCGCTGTCGAGAGTCAATATGTGAATCATGGCCGCGAGCGAGGCTTACCTAGGTTTCCGTCGTCTTCGCGCTTAATGTTCGACGACCCTGGATGGGATCCAGGGGCCTGACTATCTAAACAACCATGAGGCAGGCCGTGCGTGACTGTGAATTCTCTCACCTGCTCTTTTGCTTGCGCTGCGAGTGATCGCCATCTTCGAGGTATACTTCAACGGCGAAGAGTAAACGAACCAGTGCGCTCGTTTGAGTAGCCCTTGGTTTTATAGCCTGCTGGTACGTCGATCTTGATAGCATCGCATATCCCCTTTCCTCCACATCAGACCCGGGCTACAGGAAAGACCCCCCTTCGTCTTCGGTAACGATGAACTATTTTTCTCTTTTCAGTGTGTCCTTGGCAATGCAGCCAAACGCGCCGCGCAAGTAAAGCGCATCCGTCCTCCGCTTCTGGGAAACGGCGGGCGCTCACCTGGACATGCCAAATCACCAAGTGACCATTCCAACATGTGTCCTAGATCCAATCGTGAACGCATACCTCCTCACTATCAAAGTAAGTTTTCACGCTTCTTTCGACTTTTAATTCCACATGTGCATTGACATTGAAAAGTTTTAGAATTCTATTCTCCATAGGCGATGTACCAACAAGTAACCTGGTCACAGAAGTCTGCGCCCTTGACGATGGACACAGTTGACATTGAAACATTGTCGCGAAATCCTCCATTTGAAATCTTTTCCCTGGAAGATACCATCCGAACCGAGCGCACCGTCCTCCCCATTCCAGTTCTCCCCTTCAACGTCTGTCTCCCAACCACACCCGTTTCCCCACACCCACCTGCCCCGGCTTTGTTCGTACGCTGCCCTCCTTGCCCTTTCTTCCTCCCCATTCCAGAACAAGATCGCCGCCCCGTTCCTTTCGTTACCGTAACGAGTGATGCTGGGACACTCTTTCAAGCACGGAAACGTCCAGTCAGAATTCGTGGAAACCGAGATTGGCGAATTGCGAACCACGGTCCTCCCGTCATTTTCGCCTTCACACCGAAGCGCTACGTTCTGGAGCAAAAGGTAGGGGAATAGTATCACCATTCGCGTCGCCGTTAGCAGGGCCATGTCCTCGGTTGAATGACTGGAGACGACAGCCTGAAGTATCGATCCGCGAGACTCTACGACCTTAATTATGCATCTCTGAAAAGAGTTAGTCTTCCATGTTAAGTCGATGACAAGGAAAGCTTACGCGACCACTGCCCTCTTCGCCCGGTATAGGATGAGTACGATCCATTTCGTCTTCCGTTGAAAAGCAGTCGCTCGCCGAGGTGTTATGGGATACTTCGTGTATAAAGTCGCTACAGACCTCGCGCACTGACACAACGCAAGGCTCCGCTCCGGAGTTCACCTCCATCCAGACGGCTTCCGCCTTTTCCAAGCCAATGGCTCTTAGGAATCGATCCACACGACCCGCCGGAACGACGACGGTCAACCGGAAGTTGTCTTTGTGCTCCTCCTCGTACGGTGTGCACCTGTAAAGGATTCGAAGAACGGTCGACCCAACCAAGGCTGAGTCGGTGGTTGCCAACGCGTTGAAGAAGGTGTCCACCGTAATCCCAAACGCCTCCAAGTTTTCCTTCACAGCGTCTTCCACCCTTCGCCTCATTTCCATCTGCACCATCTCCCTGAAGAGAGTGCAGGTGGAAGCCCAGGACCACAGCTCCGACCAAGTTGAATTTGCCGCGATGATTGCGAACACATCCTCTGTGAGTTCGTTATCCCCTCCCATCTCTTGATTACCCTAAGTCCGATCGAAGGTGGAGGAAAGGAGTTTTGCTGGATTGGGCCAATTCGAACAGATGATTCGTGCGAGAAATGGAGGTCGTTGTTCGTGCACTATGGCGCACTGTATAAAAAGACATAGGAACTACTTCAAGCCATGTGCCCACCTACACCTCCGATTTATCGAAGTTCCCATCGTACGCGTTCACAGCCACAATCCAATCGACCAAGCCTCTATCCTTTTCCGTCATAGGCATTAAGGTTTGAGTCCCAGGCTTCGATTTGCAGGCAACGACATTACCCCAAACAGATACCGGCCTTTGAGCAATTCGGTCGAGCAGCCTGTTGTTGGGCCGGTCGTCGGAAGGGTGCTCATTCTAAGCGTGATTATTAAGTGACGCAGCTGTATAGCGCAATTAAAACTTACGCCTCTACTATAGAACAGGGTGACTTCGAATGGCAGAGGCAACAGGGAGTTTGAAGGGAAGTTGCGTATCGTGGTGGATGACCATCCTAGTACGGATACTCGATGCGACACTGTCAGTGATTTGTGCATGTAGCATTCCGGAATCAAAGCAATGGGTGTTGCGTTGACTAGACCATCCTCGATTGGCACGGGAACTACAATCGAGACACTCATGTCCACCGGGTATAACAAACAATCCACAGTTTTTCGGTCCGCGAGCTGAATCCATGTCAGCAAAGTAAAGAAGGTATGTCAACAAAAAGCAACCTGCCTCCGCTATCGTTTCTACTTCGTTGACTTTCAGGAGCACCTCCTTGTATCGCGTCGGTACTATGTCCCGAGGCTTGAACATTTCTGGGTTTGTGCAAATCAACGATGCCTTCGTTTATATCTCCACCACATTTTACAGCATCACACGTCGGTAAACCAGCAAAGAAATGACATAGTGGTCGATGCGTTCCCACCAGTTGTTACTTCTCTCCAGTGGCGATCTCGATTCCACGCGGCTCACCGGCCCACGGATACCATCGTGATAAAAGACAAAATTTCCATCCAAACAGACGCGAGCCACGAAGTGGTCCCCGCTGTAGTAGATTGCCCCGAAAAGGACGTAACGCAGACGCTGTGATGTCTTGATTTCCTCATCAATCCCTGTGTGCCTCATTCGCCCAGCCAGTTGGATACAGAAAAATGGTCCGAAATTTCCTTGCCAGTAGAGATCTCCCCGACATTCACCGCAGCTCGCGTACGGCGTCAGTCGCTCCACGATCTCAGCCCCTATGTCTGGCGCCGTTCCTCTGACCAGCATGCAAGGAGCAAATCCCCTAATTCCCCGCCTTCGCTCCCGAAAGTCGCAGGAATCACATCGTCCCACTGTATGCAAATCTTGTGGTCTGTCTTCCAAGCCCCACAAATGGAATGTGATGGTGATTATATCTGCTCCGTATGTCCCTTCTCGCATGGCTAAAGGGTTTGTATTTCTTTGTCGGAGAAATTCCCTCCATTTATTCCGCACTTCACTCAACCCATAATCACCCTCGGCAGTGGGCCCGCAAGAATGAAAAAGGGAAGTGAGGAATGTGAACGAGGGGCTTAATGTTGCCATTTCCGATACCCACTCCTGCTCGTTCGCTCGCCACATGGAAAACAGAACGAAGATCCAGGCATCGTACGCGCAGCTGTGGTCTGTTGAATCCCATATTGGCCCCATAAGCGCCTGGGGCTCAGTTGATCCGGACGATGTTGCACTTACTCGGGGTCTTTTAGGTGGGGGCTCCTCGACTTCTTCGCCCCTTCGCTTCCTAGAGATACCGTGGATATTCTTTCTTAATCGGACGTCCTTCTTTGGTCTCCGCCACTCATCTTCATCAGGTTCTCCCCTCAGTACGGGATGCCATTCAGCCTCGTCATTACCCTTTGACCACTTCTTGTAGGCGTCAAGTGTTGCCCATCGAGTTTGTTTGATAATACCTTCAGGAAGCACGTTTTCAAAATTCAGTTCAGTAATTCTGTCCAGATAATTTAACTCTCGGAATTCTTGTCGCAGCCATCCCCAGATTCCACCTTGCAGCATTTCCGAAGAGAAATCCTGGATTATGACAGTATCTTCCGCTGTTTTTCCCCTGGATAGACATGTGTAGACGGCCTGGTGGTTGCGACACATCTTCAGATCCACGACATTGATTTGCCTCGTCTTCCCTTGCGACGCATAGTCGGTCATAGAAAAGTTGGGTAGCAGAGGCACTTGTTTGCGAGAGATTTTCACCACTTCTCCGTTCGGCAATTTAGCGTCGATCGTGGTAGACATCTTCGTGAGTGGTACCACGTTAACAGGCAAGCCCGGCAGTTCAATGGTTCTTGGGGGATTGACTAACTCTACAAATAGTGTCTCCAACGCCATGTGGCGGGGGTACCCTGGGATCTCTTTCGCATGCCATCCCACTACTCGTGCTTCTTGTCCTTTGGTAATGCACAAGTCTGTGGCATCGTTATTCCTTATCATGACGGGCATACCTTCACATAACTCCAGACACCCCGGAATTTGTTGGCTTGTAGAAGGTCTCTGCGTCCAAAGAATGCGTTGCTCATGAGGATCAATTCGTGGTTTTACGCGATCGTCGTCGGCACCTCTATCTCTGCGCACTGTTTTGGAGTCGATGCTGTAAAACCGGTGGAGTACTTTTCCGTGCTCGGCCGCAAAGGAGACTGTATTATCAGCATTATATGCATCTTTCTGCACGTTGCGAGAGGTGATAATTGAAACATATTTAAACCTTGGATCATCTAACTTGAGGTTTTCGTTGTAGGCAGGAATACGCGATCTCAAAAATGCAATGTCTTCGTCCGTACAAGCTCTATACCTTAGGTTCTCTAATGCCTTTCTAAATTTCTTATTGTTGTCACTTTGATTGACTTGTCGCATATTCGCTTTAAGAATGACCACTGTTGTAAACTGGAGCCAAATGGACTTTCCAATTGTTTCCTCCTGTTGGTGAACCGTCTGTCTTGGAGACTGCTTCAATGCCACATCTCCGCTGTATAAAGCGTGGCCTTTGGTGGGCGGCAATTGAGCAAAATCACCCGCGAAAATCATGTTGAGTCCACCGAATGGCTTTTCATGGATGTTCATGGCATCGCAAAGCCGGGCACTTATTCTACACACGTCAAGGCAAGACAGCATGGACACTTCGTCGATGAAGATATAGCTGACGCCCATTAGCCTTTCTCTCACCTCTTCCACGGCTTGCAACTCCGCTTTTCCTGAAGACCAATTCGAGGGAACGATGGAAAGGAAAGAATGGTACGTAGTTCCCCCTATAAGCGCCGAAGACGTACCCGTCGGACCCAAGAGCACTAATCTAAAGGGCTCATTCCTCGATTCAAAAAAGGCTATCAACGCGCGAAGAACTTGAGTCTTCCCGGTACCTGCCATGCCGCCTAAAAACATCAGCAATTGTTCCGGGGCAATGCAAGTCGCGTGGTTTGCGACAATCCTGAAACTTCTTCTCTGTTCCTTATTCAAAGTAAACCTTGCTTCTATTGAATCCATCTCGTCCGACCAGCGACGGTTGTGAGGAACGAACGATTTGGACAAGAAAGACGCGTACGCCAAAAACACGCGGTCTTTAATGGGTTTAATGTTGTCCTGATCCATATCTGGGTTATCGTCTTCTATGTGTCCCACAAGCCTGGAGAATCGCTTTTGCCATACTTTCTTCTTTTCCTTCTTTACAATGTCATTCCAGAAGGATGCTGTTTGTCTCGAACTCACACTTAGAGAAGGCAATGCAGCGACATCGCGTTCCACCCCGGACATCGACTTAGAGCATCCCCATCCCGCTGCTAGTAAGGCATCAGAGGCTTGTTGCGCGTAAGTATCCTGGTTGTTTGCCCATTTATCTTTAATCATTTTCCCTTCCCAGGAGGTCTCATCCTCACCGTTCAGATCGTTCTCCGTGTCATCAACGTCTGACCCCTCAGCCTCATCATTCTCAACAGTCACGCTCTCTTCTGCTCTGCGCAGGGCATGGAAGTCATCTCTAGCGTCGTAGCACTCGAACCGGACCCTGAAATGTTTCATTACTTGACGTTGACGATCTGTGAAGGAGTACAATTCAAAAGTTTCTTTCCAAGATCGGTCGCTTCTTCTTAAATCAATGCCTGTCCTCCACGGTTTGAAAAGAGTTAACATTGTCGCATAATAATCATCTTCCTCGCCGGCTTGGTCCTCACGGGGGAGTGGAGGTCCAATAAAGTTAGGGACAATGTAGTGACGCCGTTCAGGGTCACATGCTACGCGGTGGCTATCCCTTAATGGGTGACCTTGCTGGTATCGGAAAAATCGAAGCGATGCTCGATTCATAGAGCTACGTTCACGCACAGAGCACTGCACCCACTCGTACAAGCACACATCCTCGTGCTGAAGGGGGCGAAATTGATAATCCTGAACACTTGATCGGCTGACAAACGCCTTTTTGGTTCGGCGGATTACAACATACTCGTTGAACTCATCATCCTGTTGGTGCAAATGACCGTCCACGTCATCGAAGTCATCCACGACATCCGAGTCGTACTCAGATCGATTTCCGTCCAGGTTTTCGCGAAGAGTGCGAGTGGCATCGGGGCTATCACCTTCCATGTTGCTTTCAAATTTAGCCCACTCTGCGAAAACAAAATTCACATAGTTTTTCCAGTAAAAAGAGACAAAGCTATGACTGGAATAATGATCGGGATTGCCCAAGAGGTAAAGTGCGGCCATAGGCGCCCCAATCTCCATTTTAGCGCTCAAGGAATTCACCACCTTCAAGATCATTTTGCGAGCACCATCAACCGGCTTTGATCCTTCGCTAAGCAGGGAGTCACCGTGTCGATTGAAAGCATCGTACATTGTGCTAAAGATCTGATGTGTTTTCAGGAACGACTTGGTCAAGTAATCGCACACGTAACCCACGATGGCCTTGATTCCAGTACCAGACTGCAGAGAGGTGGTGTCCACATTACAGATGCTTGTATATGTGACAGCAGGTGTAACACTGTTCAGAGATGACTCCAATTTTTTCAAGTCTATGTGACCGTCCTCTCTGTTCACCTTGGATTCTAGAAAGACCTCTCGAGGAAACCGTGCGGCGCACTTTCCATTCGTGCCTCCACAGCCTTTAGCAGTGTACTGAGGCTTCGCCTCATCGGACCCTTTCTTGGGACGACAAACATGCACATTGCAACGGTACAGAATGTCGTCAACAGTGCTCTCGAATTTTTTATACCATTGTTCGATTTCGCGACAGTTATCACAATCGCAGGTGGTCTCTGGACACGTCACCAAGGGAGGTGCCTCAGGTAAAGTCAGAGTAGGTATACGGTACGACTTCACGGCATCCATACTGGGGGGATCCGCTTCCAGAATTGTATGTATGCCTTTACTTTTTGGGAGTGTGGAAGGAGGGATGCGCGATGCTACATCTTTCTTGGAGCCAGTTAGAAATTGCCCTACTTGTACACTTTCAAGGTATTCCAACAGCTTCCTCTCAAATTCAGGATCACCCTTTATTAGTTTATCACGTATTTCCTTGGGAGAGAGAGCCCCCGACACCCAAAGCAAAATATGGAGGTGCAAGGTCATTCGCCCTTGCTGTTCGACCGTCCCGTAGTACGCAGCGGGTACGCCAAAAACCCCTCTTTTCTCCTGGTTCCATCCCAGAATATGTGTAAGGAACAACTCCACTACGAAATCGAAAAATTTGGCACAAGCAACGGGATTGTTGGTGATCAAGTTTTCACGTTGGGCGGATGATTTAATCTCTGGTGAGTAAGTTATTTCTTCGGAAGCCCAAAACACTGACAGAGGGTGCCTGTTATCCGCAGGCGCTATCGTCACAAACCATGTCGGGGCGCCTTTGAACGATATCAAGGACCACAATTCATTCCTCATGTATTTGCGTCTGGCCATGGACCCGTCAACCTGACCTCCGACGTACTCGATTTGGTCAAATAACTTGAAGCATTTGCGCTCCTCCTCTGTTCTTGGCTTGACCCTTTCGCCGTTCCTCATGCGGGCTGCGACGCTGTTCAGCACTAAGGGGTTGACTGCCCGAACGGACTCTGCAACAGAGACGAAGTTGCCTCGCTTAACCATCAAGAAACTCGCCTTTGTACTCTCTTTGATTTGCTGGTGATTGAACGCCGTGATTAGGAAGTGACTGTCTCTTTGGAATCTCTTATCATAGTAGTTGAGTAGCCATTGTACGTGTTTCGACTCGGAGAGCTTACGGAAGTGATCAGTTTGGCCAACCCACCCCATTCCATACGGAAACAACCACGGAAACATTTGAGGATAAAGACCTGGATTATCGAACATTGATTCCGGGTTTGGGCCATGACCAACTGCTAAGGCCGCACCTCCATTATCTTGGATGTGCTGAAGGGCGATGATCTTCCTCGTTGTGGTGGTCATCGTACTGAATTTGGTAGGTGTAAGACCATGAACGGTCATTGGGCAGAATCCCTCGGACGTACCACGTTCTTCTTCCTCATCATTAAACGGTTTGGCGGAGGCAGGTGTATTACCCTCATCATCTGATGTCTTGTTATAAAGTACCTTTACCGGTACACCACTTTCGTCGTATGTGTTGAGTGCATCGTAATCTATAATCAAATCAGCATAATCGTAATGGTTGAGACGAAGCCATCTCAACGCTGCGAGAACGCGAGCCCGACGCACAAGAACAGGCGTTCGTTTCAAATCTTCGTCCGAAGGAGGAGTCACTCCTGTGAAGATGACAGCAATGACATCATCGATATCCTCTTTTCGGGGGGGTAGCCTACGAAAAACCTTCGCTGTAGGGTTGGGGAAAGCGATGACATTGGCAATCATCTTGTAGTGACCGGCGGAAACACGCACAAGAGATCGATTTCGCCGAACACGCGAAATGAGTGCCTTTTCGCCGAGGGTCAGGTCTTTAAGGACCCCTGGTATGTCGCCAAGCCAAAGGCCATTGGCCAAAGACAAAACTGGTCTTCTACCAGCAGACAGTGAGACGTGGCATCCATGGCAAATGAACTCACTCGGGTTTAACAAAACAGGTCCTGCAAGTGGCATGATGGGATCGGAGACATCCCTGCGTTCCCTCCTAGTCTTGGACGTATCTGAGAGTAATGAAAGAGAATAGGCATCCTGGTCAAATGTTGTGAGACCACTGCGTGGCGTCAGCTGTGCGCACACACAACAAGCCGCTTCCTCGATGAAGTGCGGCTGCAAGTTGTCGGTGTAGCCACGAACACATCGAGCTATGTCCTTCTTGTTGATGGCTGTCGGAGGGTACGGCTCGACGTGGGGCTCGTTGAAGACTGGCCATTCAAACGAAACATTGTCATCCTCGCGAACGACGTGTGACTTCGTGGGTACATGATGACACTGGAAGACACAAGCGAACGGAGAACATCCGGCATCGCATTGGTGGTCTCGTAACTGTTCGAGGGCCGTATTGCGCGTCCACTGAGTTGAAACGAGCAAGCCGTGGTACCGAGAGGTCTCCTTTATGCCCGTCTTGGAAAGGCGACCAAGAAGTATCTCGAGGGGGAGTGAAACCGTGAATTCATTGGGATGTAGCACCCCTACATCGCTTAATGGTTCCAGCCGCACCAGTGTACACGTCGTTTTTGCGGGAAGAGCCTTCACGTTTTCATCAGCAATGAACTCCTTCAGGTCACCAAGAGGGAAAATCTTAGCCAACGCTTTCGAATTTGCTTCGTTTTCCGTTTCCATGTGAATCGGTTTCATAAGGGAAAAGAAAACACTACAAGCGGGAGAACAATCATGGTCGGTCAGTTTCGCGGCAAGGCTAGCCTTAGTGTCGCGCCCAATAACCGTAATAGAGTGGTGGGAGCATAACTCCTTCATCTCCTGAACGAAGAGGGTTGGAGTCAAAAGGTTGAGGGGAATGTCGCAAGGAATTAAGTCGGGTTCCGTTTGCAGCTCATCGAACAGCCTATCCTCGCGGACGTATGACTGAAACTCGAACCTGCACATGGTAGGAAAATCATCCTTCCATTGCGGACAAACGTATGGGAATACCTCGTCGTGTGACCATTTCTTAGTGTGTGCACCTCCGCCAACAAGGAAGTCGTCTCCAAGGGGGCAATGGACAGGGCTCTCCTCGTTTTCGGGTCGGTTATCGGTGTCGCTGCCTGCAGCAGATGTGGCATTTGCATCGAAAGTATCGCTGCCTGCGGCAGAGGTGTCGTAGTCCATAGCATATGTGGTAGGTGAAATTTCAAAGTTGGTAGTATGGAGACGTTGAGAAATAGGGGAAAGAGTAGGAGCAACAGAAACGCGAGAGCCAATTGAGTTCGGGAAATCCCTGAAAAGCCTCAAAGCGATTCAAACTCCGACATAGAAAGTAATGGTCTCGGGTGGCACGTTGTTTGGTGGATGGATTCAAAGTAGGCTTGTTACGAATGGAATAGCATCCATTATCATGTATCAGGCAAGACAATGAGGATGAAGAAAAAACTATTCAGTTTATTACGAAGAAACTACACGATGTTATTCTATAGCGCTCGCCACAACAACTATTCGTCGTCGACGGGAGTACCGATTACGATGGCCCACTGAATGTTACAACTAACAGTCCATCTCCCTGCGTTGGACTTGTATACGGCAACAGTATAACCCACCATAACGAATGACCCGTAAGGAATTTCACCCTGCCATGCAGGAAGTGCCTTGGGAAGTCTAGGCAAATCTCTCGAGAGGTTGAAGTCGGGCGCATTCTGTGCATCGTAGATAGGCACTGCACATTCATCTATCAGTAGAGAGTCTACCAGGAAGTACACGTCACATTCTCACCATTATTATTAGACTCCAAGAAGTAGCTATCCGCGTTAACGCGGGCGGCTACCGATCGCACTTGCTTAGTCGAAGGGCTCTGTGTATTCGTGAACATGCCATTATCAACGTCTGAAAGGGAGCAAGAGCTTAGCGAACGTCAACAAGTCCAGGAGCAAGGCCAAAAACACACCAGGGGATCCCTCACCACGATTGGAAACAGGTCGACCGACGAAATGCAAAGAGTCCTTTGCCATGTTGGCATGGAGTTCCTCCATCCCGAACACCATGCACACGAATCCGACGAGACGTTCAAATTCCTGAGAGTGAAGTTTTCCTTGGAGCATGTTTTGAGGGAGACCGAATTGTGTAAGGCTACGGAGGCACGACACTTCAGAGTAGATGCATGAAGTGAAAACGGCCGGGCGATGTCGTGAACAGCCGGTACAGCCCCTATTTTTCACTTTATCTTATCTGATCTGTCTCGCATCTTATCGTTTCGCTTGCCCCTATTCCTTCGCTCCTTTATTCCCTCTATGGACTCTTTCACTCATGGAACACTGCCTCGTATTACCCTTCGCCCTACTTCTATTGTTCTTATTGTTACGCACTGCCTCTTGACTCATTCTGACACTCTCTTGTTCCATTATTGTTTCATCCTTGTTCTTCGCGCAGCCTTCGCGCAGCCTCATGACCTTTCTTATTGTTCTTCAACGTTTCGCCATTTGTTTGTCATTTTGACTCATCGCGGCTATGTAGACTGTAGAATAGGTATATAAGCTAGGTAGTCTGCTCTGTATTTCCTCAGCTTGACCTCTTCGTCAATACATCGACATAGCTTTCTGGTCTAACTCGTCGCTCATCGCTCTCATCTCTCTCGTCGCTCTCAGCTCTCTGGCACTTCCGCTCTGGTTTTAAGGTTTGGTTTGGTTTAGTGTTCGCTCTTCGCGACATTAGGTCAAGCTATCCCTGTGCACTGGCAACGCCGATCGTTGTCCCTGCATCCCGTCGTTACTCTGGTCCTTCTGGTTGACCTGCCGATCAGGTCTTACTCTGGCAACTCTGGTTTTCCGACACCGTCAAGATTAGCTGCGCAGGATACCCACACTTCTTCGCCTCTAGTAAAGACCTCAACCCTGACAAGTGGTTTGGCATCGACTGCCACCTCGATAGCAAGGAAGAGGTTGTAGAGTGTGACAGTTCCCCCTGCCCCTACCGCCTCAGTCTCCGGCCCACCTTTCACCAGTTACGACGCCTCCAGACAGCCAGCTTCTACGCTGCTGTTTGCACCTCCGACAACGCCGTAAAAGCCCGCGAATTTGCCGAATCCAGGAAAGAAGAATCAAAGAAGAAATCCCCACCAGTAACTCCGCCGCCAACCGTCACACAGCTCTTACCAGAAGATTCTCCCCAGTCTTTCCATTCCGCCGACTCTACCCCCGCCCCAGTAACAGCAACCACCAGTACCGCACCGAAGTCCTTTCGCCCTCCGTCAACATCATCTGAAGAGAGACAGTGAGGAAGAGGACGACAACGACAAGGAAGACGAATCCGTAAGAAGAAGACTCCGAAACACCCGTCCCCTTTCACGTTACCTACGCCGCGTTAGCAGAAGCCCTTCCCGCAGTAACAAGTCTCCGCCGCTCCGGACACTCCACCCCCCACCACAGCCCTTACCCTCACTCCTCGCCGCGCCCTCACACCACTTCCCATCCCTAGGGAGTCGGAGGACACGTCTGTTGCCCAACGCTCAGATAACGAACCTCCCACTTCCACCTTATCACCATCTTTATTATTCCCACCCACTTCTCTGCCGCTCGTCCAACAAGACCCCGTTACCGAACCCGCAAAGCCTATCCCCGATTTCAGTATGTCCGACACCACTCTTCTCAAGTTGCTTGCCGAGCAACAAGAGACTACCAGGCGTATCCAGCAATCCCTGGATAAGCTCACGGCTGCTAAGACCGCTTCCACTAGAAGCCCCGTCAAAGCGCCTGAGCCCTTCAAGGGTGACTCCGGCGATACCCAACGATTCCTCCGCTATTTCACCAACTGGGCCTCCGCCGAGTCCGAACTCAAAGGAGATGATAAGAAGTGGATCTCAGCTGCCCTCTCGTACCTTCAGGGTGCTGCTGCCTCCTGGGCTGTCCAATACCTGGATCAGATTGCCGCCCACGAGGCTGCTGCCGACGCTGCTCAGAAGGCCGCCCACCCCTGGCCCTTCAGTGGCGATTGGTCCACTTTTGTGGCCCGCCTTCAAGAAACGCTTCCAACCCGGCCGACCAGGAGAAAGCAGCTGAAGCCCAGCTCGAGGCCCTTACCCAGGGTAAACAATCTGCTTCCCAGTTCGCAGCCAAGTTCATGGAGATATTCCCCCGCACCGGTCTATCCCAGAAGGACGGTATGGCACGTTTTCGTCGCAAACTCAGTTCCAACGATCGCCTCATGCTGGATCTTATCGCCATCACCAAACCGGACGATGCCAAGCCCAAGACCCTTCAAGACTACTGCGACATCGTCAACCAGAACGATTTTACGTTTCACGGAAGCAGCGCCTCCTTCTTGACCCCGACTGCCTCGTCTCGCTCTGCTCCTGCCCGTGACCCCTATGCGATGGACATCGACGCGACCCGTGTTGGACCTAGTGGCCGTTCCCCGTGAGGACTTCCTGCAAGCAATGCGTGGACGATGCTTTGGTTGCGGATCCTCCGCCCACATCAAGAAGGACGGCAACCACGGCTCACTTCGTTGCAACCACTGCCAGCGTCTCGGCCACTCCGCTAACGTCTGCCAAGACAAGTTCATGGGCTATCCGCCCGGTCGAGGACTCACCCAACGTCGTCGCGTTGCTGCCACCCAGGAGGCTCCCTTCTCGCTCTTCGATGACTCTTCCACACCTGCCGCCACCATTGCTGCCACTTCGCCTGCCCCACCTGCCGCCACCTCGTCTAACGTCTCACTCGCCGACCTCTTGGCTGCGCAGAAGAACCAGCAAGACATCCTGGAGCGCCTCGAGAAGATCCAACAACAGGGTTTTTGAAGACGGGTGCTTGTTCGTGCTGCAAAGCATGCACCCTTATTCACCGTCGTACGCCGTCTCTGAATATGACTCGATTTATTCATGTACTATTAGCTCTGTTCGCGAAATACACCCCGGTTCCTCGCATTTTCGCATTCGCATCAGACTCAGAGGCAGAAACCGTACGGCGGACCCCGCAGCAATGATCGACTGTGGCGCTACCGGCAAATTCCTAGACAAACCTTTTGTGGAGAAACACCGGATCACCGCTTACCCCCTCCGACACCCCATTCGACTTCTTAACATTGATGGAACTCCGAATCAGGCTGGTCACATCACTCACTTCGCTCGCTTAGAACTCACAGTCGACGGTTACTCCGAATGGACAGACTTCCTCATCACCGATCTCGGAGGGGAGGACGTCATTCTAGGTCTCCCCTGGCTTCGCAAGATCAACCCTCAGATCGATTGGCGCAAGGGCACCTTGGAGATTCCTCCACCTCGTATCTCCAGCGTCACCATCGAAGAAGTCCCCGACGAGGATGCTCAACCCCCCCGAAAGGAGCCACCCTCCGGCAATGCTATTATCGAACAGATCTACAACGACCCTGATCCGCCTGTTCCCTACCAACGAGTCCCCGGCGTCCGACCCCGACCTTGAACCAAGCGCGCCTCCTCTCTGCCGCATCCGCGCTAACCGAATGACCCGGCGGAGATGGGTTCGTAAGGGGTTGATGGAAGACACAGGCGACGAACTTTGGTGCGCCGCTGGTTTCACCTATTCCCAACAGATCGCCGAGAAGTCCCAGAAGGCCAAGCCCCAGAAGTCGTTCGAAGAGATGGTTCCTCCCCAGTACCGACAGCACGCCTCCGTCTTCTCCGAATCCGAGTCCCATCGCCTCCCCGAACACAAGCCTTGGGATCATGCCATCGACCTCGTTGCAGGAGCACCGGCCACCATGCGCACCAAGGTCTACCCCATGTCGCAGAACGAGCAGGAGGAGCTGAACCGATTCCTCGAGGAGAATCTCAAGAAAGGCTACATACGACCGTCTAAATCGCCCCTCGCCTCCCCGGTCTTCTTCGTTAAGAAGAAAGATGGCAAACTCCGCTTCGTCCAGGATTATCGAAAGCTCAACGAGATCACGGTGAAGAACCGATATCCACTTCCCCTCGTCTCTGACATCGTCAACCGACTCCGTGGTGCCAAGTATTTCACCAAGTTCGACGTTCGATGGGGCTACAACAACATCCGCATCAAAGAAGGAGATGAATGGAAGGCCGCGTTCGCCACCAACCAAGGACTCTTTGAGCCCCTGGTCATGTTTTTCGGCCTCACCAATTCCCCAGCAACGTTCCAGGCCCTCATGAACTCGATATTCTCGGACCTCATCGCTTCAGGAAAGGTCGCTGTTTATTTGGACGACATTCTCATCTTCACGGGCCACCCTTGACGAACACCGCCAAGTCGTGCACGAGGTCCTCCATCGGCTCAAGAAACACGACCTCTACCTTCGTCCGGAGAAATGCGAGTTTGAGCGGGAGGAGATCGAGTACCTCGGTCTGGTCATCAGGGAGGGAGAAGTCCGTATGGACCCTGCCAAGGTAGAAGCTGTTCGCAACTGGTCCTGTTCCCCGTAACCTTCGCGCCGTCCGTGGATTTTTGGGTTTCGCCAACTTCTATCGCCAGTTTTATCAAGGACTTTGCTACCATCGCCCGGCCTCTCAACGACCTCACCAAGAAGGACATCCCTTGGCAGTGGAACGAACCGCAACAACAAGCCTTCGACACCCTCCGAAACGCGTTCACCTCCGCTCCAATACTGACACTATGGGACCCCGACCGTCCAACCTCGCGTTGAAGTAGACGCCTCTGGCTTTGCTACTGGAGGAGCCCTCCTGTCAGAAACTCGACGATGGACTCTGGCATCCTGTTGCCTTCCGCTCCGCCTCCATGCAACCAGCCGAACGCAACTACGAAATCTACGACCGAGAAATGCTGGCTATCATCGAAGCACTCAAGGACTGGCGACATTTCCTGGAAGGACTCCCCAAACCGTTCGAGATCATCACCGATCATTCCAACCTGTGGAATACTGGCGCACGGCACAAGACCTTAGTCGACGACAGGCCCGGTGGTCCCTCTATCTTTCCCGTTTCAACTTCACGCTCACCCATCGTCCCGGAAAGGCCAACACCCAAGCCGATCCCCTGTCCCGCCTCGACATTCATCAGGTCGCAGACGCAGAGGATAACAAACAACAAGTCGTTTCTCAAACCGGAGTTGTTTGCCAAGCTCGCAGCCGCCCACACCGTCCTTGTCAACCCCCTCGAAGACCGACTGCGTCGAGCCAGCGCCCGTGAATCTCAGGTCTTAGACGGACTCGCCCAGCTCCGTAAGTCAGGACCTCGCCGTCTCACATCTGGACTTCCCGAATGGGAAGCAGGACAACGGCCTTGTGTACTACAAGGGCCGTGTGTACGTACCCCCGGACGACGAACTCAGGCGCGATGTCCTCAAGCAGTGTCATGACGACCCCACGTCCGGACACCCCGGAGTGCACGGAACCCTCGAGCGAGTTGAACGACAGTACTGGTGGCCCACGATGCGGGCTTTCGTCAAGAAGTACGTCGACGGTTGCGATGTCTGCGCCCGGAGAAAGCATACCCAGCACCCGCGGGCGGTCACCCGGCCTTTGGACGTTCCCGAAGGGCCTTGGGAGACAGTAGGAGTCGATCTCATCACCCAGTATACCGGAAGCCCATTCGGACACGATGCGATCATCGTCTTCACCGATCACTACAGCAAGGTTCTTCATGCTCTTCCCTGTACATCCGACATCACCACCGAAGGCGTTGCAGACATCTACTACCGTGAAGTATTCCGTCTCCATGGTCTCCCACTCCGGTTCATCAGTGATCGAGGCCCTCAGTTCGCTTCTAAGGTCATGCGCACCCTCCTCAAGCGCCTCGGAATCGAGTCCAACCTCACCACCGCCTATCACCCTCAAGCCAATGGACAAACCGAACGGGCCAACCAGGAAATCGAGAAGTATCTCCGTCTTTACGTCTCTCGCCGACAGGATGACTGGGACAAGCACCTACCGATGGCTGAATTCGTGATCAACTCCCCGTGTTCACTCTGCCCATGATCATTCACCCTTCGAAGTTCTCTATGGGTATATTCCCCACTTCAACATCCCCATTGGCAAACGGACCGACCTCCGCCCCGTTGATGAACGTGTTCAGCAGCTACAAGAAGCCCGCAAGGATGTGGAAGCTGCCTTACGTCTCGAGAAGGCCCAGCAGAAGGATGCGTACGAGTCCGGCAAGCGGACGGCTCATCAATTCAAGGTTGGCGACTACGTTTGGCTTATACGCGAAGGACATCCAGATCAAGGTTCCCATCCCGCAAACTCGGCGACCTCCAACTCGGCCCGTACAAGATTACCGAACGCATCGGCGACCTCGACTACCGCCTCGAACTTCCCCCGTCCCTCTCCCGCATTCATCCTGTGTTCCACGTCGACAAGCTCTCCCCCCTGGAAAGGCAATGATGTCAATGGCATTTTGCCACCCCCGCCTGAGCCTGTCGAACTGGAGGGGGAGCTTGAATACGAGGTTCACGACATCCTGGACAGCCGTTGGAGAGGTCGAGGAAAGAGATCGCAAACTGGAGTATTTGGTCAGTTGGAAGGGTTATGGGTCGACGGACGACACTTGGGAACCGGAGGAGAACTTGGAGCACGCGCCCGAGATCGTGAAGGAGTTCCACCAGCGACACCCCTCTGCACCACGCCGAATTTCCGCTACCATCTTCAGCTCTCTCCCATGGCGCCCACTCGAGAATTTCACCGACGCCCCGCCTACCGACTTTGACTGGGAACTGGGACGCCGCCTACCGTTGGTCATCGAGGACGATGAGGCTTAGAAGGGGGGTAATGTCGTGAACAGCCGGTACAGCCCCTATTTTTCACTTTATCTTATCTGATCTGTCTCGCATCTTATCGTTTCGCTTGCCCCTATTCCTTCGCTCCTTTATTCCCTCTATGGACTCTTTCACTCATGGAACACTGCCTCGTATTACCCTTCGCCCTACTTCTATTGTTCTTATTGTTACGCACTGCCTCTTGACTCATTCTGACACTCTCTTGTTCCATTATTGTTTCATCCTTGTTCTTCGCGCAGCCTTCGCGCAGCCTCATGACCTTTCTTATTGTTCTTCAACGTTTCGCCATTTGTTTGTCATTTTGACTCATCGCGGCTATGTAGACTGTAGAATAGGTATATAAGCTAGGTAGTCTGCTCTGTATTTCCTCAGCTTGTACCTCTTTCGTCAATACATCGACATAGCTTTCTGGTCTAACTCGTCGCTCATCGCTCTCATCTCTCTCGTCGCTCTCAGCTCTCTGGCACTTCCGCTCTGGTTTTAAGGTTTGGTTTGGTTTAGTGTTCGCTCTTCGCGACAGGCGATGACCGACGTAGGCGTGAAGCCAACGGCTGTGGGACACCGTGTCCACCTCGGATCTCCTTGACATTGATCAAAGAAGGGCAGGCCCTGGACGCGTTGATGAACTGCTCGTAGTGAACGAAGCCAATTGCGAGGAACGCCAAACTGATATGTCGGTTGGCAGATGAAATCACCCGGTAATGTAAGCACTCACTCAACATCCCATATTAGGTGCTTGCTTGGCCCATGCACTGAACCGCGCCAGGCCCGGACCAGGGGTGCTATTCCATGGTATAAACGTCCCCCTTCTTTCAAAGTGGACGAGACATAAGCATATTGGAATTGAACGCAGTAACAACCGATCTCACCTCAATCGCGGAAGATGTTCGTAATAGCGAGCCAGGAGTTCATCCTGTAACGCCGGGTCGTTTACTTCATCTCTTTCAGGGAATGTAAATCGCATCCTCGGGGCGCCGTTCGAAGACACGTCCTCTGCTCGCGTTCCGTCAACGTTTCCCATGTTACCAAAGCGACGACGAGGAACCGTGTACCCGGTCTTCTGAGACGCTGACGGTGCCGAAGAAATATCCCCACTGGTCGAAGGTGAAGCGCTTTCGATTGCAGGTCGAGGTTTCGCCTTGGTCGGGGAGGGAGTACTTGAACCGCCAGCGTTGGCTGTGAAAGGGGGCGTGGGCAGCTGCTTCGTAATAGGAGTCTGTAACGATAAACGATGATCCCAACCGGAACTTGAAGGGGACGGAGTGTGAGGGACGGAGGCGAGATGGTTGGAAAGGGGAGTGTTAGGAGGTGGAGTAGAAAGAGGGTGGAGGGTTCCACCGGACGACGAAAAGTGAGACGAAGCGGACGGTGTGGAAGGAATGGGACCAGCAAGCGCAGTCGTTTTTGCGGTGGCCTCTCCAGGGCCAATAGCATCGTCATTTGGTGAACGCTGTGTCGATTGCCAGAGCGATTGAGCAGAAGATTCGCGGCTGCGGCGGATAGCCTCCCTATTCGGTGTCAGTTTTTGCACCTAGCATATACTGTGTAATACAACTCACTCAAGCTGACGACGGTAATATTCGACCCCATATCTAATCCGACCATGAGAAACGTAGCTTCCAAAAAAAAAGAAACAGCGTACTGGTCTTCTGCTGTCGAACGGCGCGGCCCCGTATTGGGTAACCCTTCCACGTCCATCATCACCTCAGCAGATTGGGCAGCCTCGCGAAAAGCAGCATTGCGAGCAATGGCAGTCGCGATGTGGCGATCCTCTTCGATCTGTCGTCCGACTTCTTCAGCACGCTGACGGGCGAAATCCTCAAGTCTGCGGAACAGTTAAAGGGCGTGTTGAGTTGCAATATGATAGCACATACTCGAAGCCCGGCATAGGCGCGTCAATGTCTACATGCTCGCTGTCTTTCGCAGTGTCGCCTTCATGGGTAGCCAGGGTCGAATTCTTGCGTGACTTTCCACGGCGTTTGGGTTTTTCCATGAGTTCCGAGTCGTCACTGTGCACCAAAGTCAGATAGTCGCAAAAGCAAAGGTGTCTAGTAGACGCACATGAAAGGGTCGTTTAAATCGTACTCATCCGGTCCTCCCTCACCGGCGTCGGCAGTAACGTCTTCGTCGTCACAGCGGTCACCTCGTTCCTCGTCGGCCAGCACATTCTCAACGGGGTCGAGGGAGTCGTCCTCTTCTGCTTCGAGATCAAGAAATCCTGTTCTCCAACGCTTCGAGGATCGATAGAGACCATTCAGTTTTTTCATCAGTATCTTCTTGGCCTCTTTCGACTTCTTGTCCCGGGTAACCAAACCACCCAAAACTAGGGAAAAAGTTAGATGGCGGTGTAGCCGACCATAAGCCAAACGCATACTTGAAGCCAGTTCTGGGAGATCACTTGAAGATATGAGATCGCTGTCTTCTTCCACCGAAGGTTTTTTGGTTGGGCTTGAAGCAGGGTCAGAACAAGCAACGACCAGAGAGTGATAACGCACCGTGTGTCTTCCTCCCCGTTGGGCGGAGAATCCAAGCCATCACCCCGCCCTCGTTTCCTATCAGGCGAGCCGTTAGACAATGCAGATGGCAAGAGCGCTGTGCGCTCGATAGACGAAGCGACATCCGCAGGCGGAGTGCCGGCGACAGGCAAAGTAGAGAGAGTAGCCGGTATAGTTTCATCGTCTTCGGAAGAAACTAAAACCTTGGACTTGGGTGTCTTTCGAGCACGGGGTCGGGGTCGAGGTCGAAGTCGAGATGTGGTGGAGCTACGAAGTGGTCAAGAGAATTATCGCGTCGAAAAATACAAGTGCTTACGACGATGGCTGATGTGCAGTATTAGACGAGTCGGCATTGAGCGCGGCACTGGAGGCATCGTTCAGGGTAGTGGGAACAGGCTGAGAAACAATCGACTTACGCAATGGCTGCCTTCTCGGTCATTTTCCTGGTTCGTGCGGGGCGCGGAGCGGTCGCGCCGGATTTGATCCGACTTCGGGTGGCTCGACCTTGGTATACGCTGTCTCCGCGCTGTAAAGGCTTCCTTCAAGGGAAGTCAGGACGAGTGTAAAAGGACAATGGGATTTGGGACAACATACGCGCCGTCGTCCTCGCTCGAGGAAGTTAATTCTATAACATCGTCGTCAGCCTCCATCACGCGAGTGTTGTCTCCAGCAGTGCTGATGAGATATAAGTATATCAGTAACAAGAAGGCAGAGAACAATCGAAGAACGTGATCGCACCGGCCAGGGATGAAGTCGGCTCTAATGAATTGCACGAAATTAAAGATTAATCAGACAACACCACGTATGGAAAAGAATGTACTTCGGGACTTGGTTAATGGTGGAAGGATTGCCATCTGATCGGGAATATGGCACAAGACTGGAGACCAGGTGAGAGGGGGAGCATGAGGGAGACGATTCTACAAACCAATGAGGAGGAACCGAAGGGTGGGGTGCGGGAACTCGCGCAGGTTCAACAGTATGGTCGGCGGAGACAGGGTCCTCACTCCTAGGCAATGGTCAACGAAAGGTTAGAAATGGGAGAGGAAGTGTAAAACCTCGACATGTGCGTGTCGCTGTTGACTTTCAGTACCTCTGCAGTGCGATGCTGATCCTGGGTGTGATTCGCAACATTCACCCCGGCATTTCGCATAGCGGCCCTGTGAATATAAGATTTTCTGATTGGAGGTCATGGAGGACGGATGGACACCTCACTCGTGCCAGGGATGATGCGGCTGCGCGGAGAATACACCATGTTGGTGGGGGCCGTTGGTAGCGAAGGACACAGCTCCATGACCATGTGAACCTAAATTCGAAGACACAGGGCTTTCGTCCTTGGAAGGGACATGGACATAGAGGTCCCCAACGGAACTGGGTAACAATTGGATTCAACATGTGAGGATCGCGACAAGGATAAAAGAGGTATACCCAAAGTGAAGATTTGCGGCATTAACGCTTGTTTGCGTGGGACGTGTGGGACTAGGGAGATGGGTGGTGAGTGAAAACAAGGAAACGGCAAGAGAGAGGCGGCGGACTCAGTGATGGTGACCGCCTCGGCCACAGCGTTGGGCATCGGGGTACGGTTTGCAGGAGAACGTTGCATGGTTTTGTTTTCTTTTCGAGAGTTGGGACAGAAAGAGTTGAAGTGGAACACGCGTCAATGTGGCCTTATAAGTGAAACAAGGGAGGCTACCAGTGAGAAAAAAAAAGCAACATGGGGATACTATGCGCATGTTTTGATATGCTGGAAAGTATATTATGCGCAGCAGCGCGGACGCACCGCGGAATCATGTAAAGAAAAAGGGACCAGTATGTGGAGGATGTCTTTCCAATTGCTTATTTGGGAGGAGGAGACATCTTTATTTGTACGGAAGGGGAATTCCCATGGCTGAGCGAGGGCAAATTAGGATCGAGATAAACGATTGAAAACCATTTGCACGGTACGTGTATGGGTTCTCGTAGTTAGGTAGTATCGGGGGAGATCGTTTTCAGGAGTAAGAAGCAGGCAGTCACGGAAGGCATCCGCATCAAATGCGAGTCGGACTATGGGCAGCGAGAAAGCCCATGTGGAACACAGGAATTTAACAAAAGGACCATGTGCATTGCAACAAGGACAATGAGAGCTGCGAGTCGGACGTGGCCAAATGTAGAAGTAACGGCAGAAGACCATCGTATTTGGGAACAAAATGCAGGAGCAAGACCATGTACTAACGGAATTGGGGAAGGTACAATTCCCATCGTGGCCGGATGGAACTCGAAACCGAAGCAGTGGGAAGTACGACGGTCGCGCAGACGCGTTGTGCAAGTTGGTGAAAATCAGATATGACGGTGTTTCGTTGGCATTTCAGGAAGATCGCAGATTGACTGCGATTTGATAAGAAATGTGAGGGATTTAAAGACGGCCACCTTGTGAAGTGGGGGACGGAACGTTGTATAGGAGCACACTTTCGCGTCCTTTCAAAATGAACCGTCACTACAATTTCGAGCATGCCAGTGAGCTTCCCTTGCTGCCTACGACTGATATTGGGTTCTAACCAGAACAATTAGGAATGTGTATCTCAGAGGCAGCTACGAGGGCAAGCCAGGAAGGACCGGAGGCTCCGCCGTTGCTCACAGTCGATGCAGTAAGTTGTGTTCACTCGGCGATAGAGCAAGAGTTAACTTGGCACAAGGCGAAGAACCTTACGATAAGCGAGTTCCATTACCCCAAAACTTTCAGAGCGGTGCTCAAGGAAAATCCCGAAGAAGAGGCTTACTTTCGTATCGTTGGAGCGATTTGCTCGAAAGTGTTACCGCCGCTTACGAGCAAGCCGTGAGTTAAGCGCCACACGAAGTCCATGTTATCTTCTGATTTCTTTTATCCAGAAGGATACAGACATTGCAACAACTTCGCAACCTTCGCCAGTTTGTGAAGGTAACCGGGTTTGGTCATCACTCATTCGAAGAAACCATTTCAGCGTTGCATGGTGTGGTTCACATGTTTGAGTCGCAACTCGGAGCGGGAAAGATTACTGGACAAGAACCAAAGCTCTTCGAAGGGGATGCCGCACTCGATTGTCATGCACGTTATTTCACAGATCGCGAGCTGGCACCACAGGAGAAGCACCAAGCGTTTGACAAGATCGTCGATCCAAAGCAAATTTTGGAAGACCTGCGGGGAGCGGATTTCATTCATGGTCCCGACAACCGTGTGGAATACTGCAAGAAAATCATCGACGAACAGGGACAGCTCAGGTAAATTTTCGTCACGATGTAAACCTTTCTCTGATGAGTTTGAAGCAGTTTTCGGGAATTTTCGCCGGCGTTATTCAAGGAAGGCGATATTGTGGAAGTCACGTTGGCCTTCCAATGTGTTCCCATCAGAAATGGACAATTTCGCTTTATCCCTGCACTCAAAGCGATCACATTAGTATCTTCGGAAACCCGAGAGGTGAGTAATAGGAGCGGACACGCGTTACACTGATTGACAGCAGATTAGAAGTCCGAACAGGACCGACTTCAAGAAAGCAATAATGTTATGGTACCAGTGTCACCGGTACGGACCCTCAAGCGACGGGCATTGTTCGCGGAGGTTACCGAAAGGCGGAAAATCGCTCGCACAGATGAGGAGATGTGTACGTAGGGTAGCTAAGGTTGATAACAAGAGAACGAGTTACATGGGGAGGAACTGAAGAAAAGATAACAACCGACTGGGGGGGAAACGAAACGTTGTGTGTCCGAGTCGGAAAAACAGAAAAGAAGGGGAGAAACACATCCGTTGACTAACCGATGTCATTCCGGCATCCATCCACATGTTACGCACTGAGAAAAGGCCAGAGCGGCCCAGATGACGGGGAAGGTGTACAGCGGCGCGGTAAGATCGGATGGGGCAGAAAGAAGGAATGGCGTTGCCAGAGGAAAGAAGTCCGAACATCGGGAAAGAAGGAAGGTGATTTTCGGTAATTTCGGATGCTGCAGGTAATAAATGGTCACAGGCATACACGCAGGAGCGAAAGAGAAATGAAACTCGATCATTGGAAGGAAATCCACAATAAAATAAAAGGGGTGAAAACCCACGCACAAATCGGCTTTACCGATGACGGAGAAGACATGCCGAAATGTTCAGCATGTGGACAACATGCGATGTGGGGACTGCAATATTCGCCAAAGACAAGAGGGCCCTGTGAGCGATAGGCACCTGGATGAACGGGGCCGAGTCGGAAAAACAATTGGGATGAGGGCCAAGGGATCCCAAAAGGAAAAGGGGAACGTGCTGGTGACGACAACAATCACGAGGAAAAAAACGAAGAAGTTGACCGTGTTGACAACATGAAAGGGGAAAGCGTGGGGACAGTCAAGGGAAGGGAGGGGAACGACGATAACACGATGCCACACGATGAAAGGGGAAAGGACGTTTCTGGACATGTACAAAAAGGGAGCGAATGGACGGAAAACAGGCAGCAACAGGTAAACGAAAGTACCATGGGCATCTCGTGGTCCAAAGTTCTGGAAAGCGACATAGGTAAGTACGAAACAGTGCTGCATTGTGGTAGAAAGTCTAACCGATGTACGGTCAGGATTGCGGATGTGGCGGTGGTTTCCCAGGGGAACCAAACGTCGCGTCCTCCGCAGCGCATGCCTCTTCCAGCTGCAAGGTGGGGCGAAGTTTCACCCAGAACTGGAAGAGCTCGCGCAAAGGGAGCTCGAGCGAAGAGTCATGCAACTCCTTTCCGGCTACGGCCTTGACCCTCTGAATACGATGATAGTTCTTCACCGATGCGAAGGGTATATCTCTGGATCAGCGGTCCTATGGGTACTACGCCCAGGTAGTTTTCGACCAGGCGACATTGACTTCTACGTGACGCAGTTCCACGCGGGAATTCTTTGGGATTTTTTGACCAGTAGCCCAGGGTGGAGGTGGGTACCCGACGCAGAGCTTCACACCATCGGGAAACAACCAATGCCAGCGTATGCGGAGCTCCCTTTCGTCAAAGAGATATGGTACTTTTTCAAGGAAGGGAGTGGGCAGATAATAAATGTTATCGTGACTAACAACGACGGGTGAGTAGTCGCAACCAATGCAAGAGAGCATGTGCTTACGAAATGTATGGGTTCAGGTCCCCTTTGTGTGCTATCGTGCAGTTCCACTCGACCTTCGTCATGAACGTCATCACGTACTTCGGACTGGTATCCCTCTACCAACAGTACACGTCGAAGCGCATTGGATGGGTTAACCTGAGGGGATCGCGAATGAGACCGCGTGATTACGAGTGGTTAAACAAGTATCAGAGTCGGGGATTTCGTGCGTACCCAGACTCGCGTATGGGGAAGAATGGGGGCCATGTGTGCGGGAGCGATGTATGGTGCACGCAAACGGAGCGCAGTCTGTACGACGAGGGAGTGGGAATGGTAAAATACTGGGGATATCGACAATTTGACAGAACCTTTCTGTTGAACCTTATGGAGGTGCACTTCAAATGGCGGCTGCTTACGAGTCGATGCCATACTCGGGCGAGACCGGGCAGCGGATGGGTGGAGCTAGAGGAAGGCCGACGAGTTAGTCTGTAGTTAAACAATGAAAAGTGGACATTTGGGAAGAGAGCAGTGTTTATGAAAAAGATTTCTCGTATTGGGCTGGTATGGACAAGATGGGACGTTCTCCAAGCATGGTGGTAGGTGGGTAGAGATCGTAGAGGGACGCGCACACCGAGGGAGGAGGAAAAATGAGCAGAAATGAAGGACGACGGGAAAGATTCAGCGTCGAAACACACTTCAGCGTAACACACTTCAGCGTCGAAACGACGAAGGTGGCAAGGGGAGTGGTACGTATGCGGGGAAGGCAGGGTGGAGGAAGAAAAGTAAAGAGAAAGCAAGGACGATGCCAAGCAATCATCACCGAAAGACGCGAGGCGGAGGAGAGAAAGAGAATAGAAAACAAGGACGACGCCAACGACTCGGCAGCGAAATATGGGAGGTGGTGAAGGGGACACAGCCATACAAGGAATACAGGAGATGGAAGAAAGAAGGTGAACAGACATCTGCAATGGTTGCAATGAATAATCAACGAAACACGCGACGCGAGGAAAGGGAGATGGACGTACCGGGAGAAGGCATAGAAGAGACGGATGAACAGCCGAATGTGGGGAGTGAATTACGATGCGAGATTATGAAGAAGGGGGGACAAAGTCATCGAAGGGAAGGGAGGGAATGAGGAAAGCGACAGGTAGAAAAGAAAGAGGAAGAAAAAGAGCGCACAGAAGGAAGGGAGGGAAAGGAAAGAGGGGAAATGAGCGGAGAAAGTAAGAAAAATGGACATCAGATTAAACGAGCATGATAAGATAAGAAATAGATAACGATGCGAGTCACGTGTCGTGAGCGCGTCGCGTCTTGGCGCAACAGAACCCCACTGGGAAAGAACCCGAGACCCAACAGGCCTCGGAATTCGTGGATCATGTTGTGAAGCAGCTCCATGCACTCGTTCGCATAGTTGTAGCTTCCTGCAGCATAGAACATTGGATTCCAATACTTAATCATCCGAAGAATCCGAGAGGGTGTCCTTTCTTGATGGCTGAACGCATTTCGCGAACCGTCATGAGATCGTGCATTAAAAGGGTTGCATGTCCGGAAATGGTGTGTCCTTTCAATGTCTTCACTCCGAGTTCTTCGAGACGACCAGGACTGGGGAGGAGATAATGGTCCACCACCTTTATTGCCAGAGTTTTCAATGTGTTTCGTGTACGTCCAAACGCAGCTGTAAAGTCGTCGAAGTCGTCGGTTTTGAGGATGGCCAAGGCGGACCTTAGTACAAGGCCCCGCAGAACAACATCCAGAAATCGGAGCCAGGCGTAATAATCGATTTTCTTTGGTTTGACGTCGTCGCGATTGGGCAAGGTTTTACAGAGCTCTGAGAAGCTCAAAGGGTCTTTGCTGGCGTCGTTTCCCCAGTAATTGCTGGAGAGAGCACGGATAAAATTGAGGATGTAGTGCATTAGGCCACCCACCATCTTCAGGCTTGAGAGATGGTCAAACGCATGAGGGGAGCGGTCTACAGCGCGCTGATCTTGAGCAGCACGATCACGAGCTGTTGTGAGTCGGTCCCCGAGAATGGTGAACACATTGGATTCAAAAAATGCTGGGTCAATCGAGAGGACTCCAGGGCCGAGGTAATGTTCTAGCACCACCATGTTCCCTCGAGTCGAACCCTGCTCTTGGTCGAATGTTGGGAGGTAATATTCCTCGGTTTTCTTGGGTGGAATCGCTTTGGGGTCTTGAAACGATGGAATTGTTTCAAAGGAATCGAATAGGAGGTCCTTGACTTCATCCGAGATTATCTGCATGACGTGAATTATAGCGTTCTCCCGGAAAGCTTGCTGATCTTGCTTGGTTGGGAGAATGTCTGAAAGCGCCTGGTGTGGTGGAATAATGTGCCGGCGGCCTTCGGATTCCTTGAAGCGCGATAGAGACGTGATATTGAGCGGGTCTGAGCCTTTCGGATGATCCAGAACGACCAGTATTGCGGAAGTTTGGTCGTGCGTTTGGGTTTTGTGTAATGCAGTACTCTCCCAAGCACGCTTGCGCCAATTGAAGTTGTCGTATGGGAGCATCTTAATCTTCTGTGAGTCGTTTGCGACCACTCGGGCCAGCTGCTTCGCACTCTTGCTCAGGGACGAGATAGCGCGAATTTGAAAAGGATAGGAGGAGCAAAATCCGATCCTATTTAGCGCCTGAACCATTCGCTTTGACACCTGGTTGTCCCAAAGCCATAGGGCGTTAATTGCTCCATGGTAATTGACCTGTGAGCTGCGGAGGTTGAGGACCATCGAAGTAATAAATGTACAGCCCTTGAATCTTCAATCTGAGTAAATGAATGATGTTATATATCAGTTGCACTCACAGGATTACGATCACGACTGTTGTCCATCTCAGATCGTACCACAGCCTTGAGGATTGTTTGAAGGAAAGGGGTTGTCGTATCGTAGATCTCCGTTAATTTGGCCAGACGGAACTCATTCACTATGTCAACCGTGATATCCTTTGCTGATAGCCTGAGACGTTCGGCGAGTGCGAAATGGGGACCACTAGAGGCCCGATTCGAGAGCTGTGCAGCTTCTTGCTCACAGATAACAGCAGCCTTCCCAACAATCCACTCTTTCAGTCCTGAATTGCCCTTTAGAGCGCTCCACCAGAGCTCTAATAGTTCAAGATGACCGTTATCTGATAGGAAGACATTGGAGGTGTGCTTCAAAGTCGAGTTCCCCGAGGCAAATATGGTCTTCAAGAAGGATAGAAGGGAAAACCGAGGGTAATAAGTGGCCTTGTAGCCGAGTAGTTTCTCGGCCTTTTGTTCATCGGTTTGGGGTGAGGCTCGCTTAACCGGGGTGCAGGGGCGGTGAAAATCGAAGTCTGCGGGGTCGTCATCGGGTAGATCAAGGTCCATGGAGAAATGGGCATTGTTTATGACTTCCTCTGGGAGGTAATCGTACTCGAGTGGGTCGGGTTCTGAGGTTAGCTGAGCTTCGGGTTCTTCGTAGTCTGATTCAAATAATCCCATCACCAATGGAGAGCGTAAACGTGTATCATCCATTGTGTGAGGTATCGAATACAAAGGAATATTGGAAATGCAGAAGAGAAGGTGTCGATGGGGGGAGGGAGCAAGCGACGACGCGACGCGAGCCTCGATATTGGCATTATCTAAGCGAGAAAAAATCTCCGAACCGTCGGAGTGTCGAACCCCCACTTTCCTGTTGGCGGGTTCCCAGACGTTTACGGTGGCAAACCCAAATCGGGTTCGTCGCCAAGTAAACGTCTGGCTGGCCGAGACTAGTAAGCCATGTTTTTCTATTTGAACCCGACTTTCACCGTGTGCCACTAACCCTGAGCCCTGACCTGACCCTGACCCTGACCACCTTCATGTGATCGCGGCCCGCTGCGGTCAAGGGTTCGATTTCGGCCGAGGACATTTTCTTTTTTTTTTTTTTTTTCCATTAATTTTCAATTAATTTTTCATTGATATTATTTTTTATTTCGCCCTCCTTGAGTTGAAATAACTCGGATCTTGCCACGATGGAATCACTGGCCCACTTTTCGCTGGTACTGTGGACAAACGGCGAGGCTCATAAACGACACAGGATGCTTAGTGTTCACCACGGGTAAACCCCGGGTCTGAAAGCCAGGACCCGGACCCGGACCCTGCCAAAACCCTACCCGCAACCCTGCGGGTTTTCCGCAGGGTTTGAGCTTTATTTCGTCCAAAACGGCCCAGAAATGGGCGAGTTATGCTCAATTTACTTAAATCAAGCATAACTCGGCCATTTAATGGCCGATTTGGACGTGTAAGGGCTTGTTTTAAAGATCGCGGGTACGAAAATGCGTACCCGGACTCGGACCCGCCCTTACCCCTACCCAAAACCCGCAGGGTCTGCCGTACCCCTGCTTTTCACTAAGGATGCTGGGAATGGGTACTACCAGAGGGACACAGTGCGCAATTGGTTCAAATGACAGAGAAGGAAGGCACGATCAGCCGGCATCGAGGTGACAGAGCCTCCTCATGCTCGGAAGAACCACAAAGCGTAGCAGAAAAGGGGCCCACATGCAACGAAATCAATGAACAAGGGGAGGAGATCTTGACAAGTGCGTTAATCTGCGTCAAATGCTGCTCAATTCAATGGAATTCATCGTCGTGCTGACAGACTTTCAAATAGGGATGGTCAAGGGGTTTTAAAACCCCCGGGGTAGAGGCCAAGGGTAGAGCGGGGGTAGGGGTAAGGGTAGGTCTCTGTCAGGGTCGGAAAGAGAGAGAGGAGAGAAGGACGTAGGAGGGCGGAGGGTAGCCTTGGTCTCACGTTATAAGAACGTGTACCCTTCGTCACGGCTCCAAAGGCTGGCTAGGCCGAAGGACCAGACGGAAACGCCTTCCGGCGGGACGACGAGAGTGGAGGACGACTGGAGTTAAAACTTGACGGTCGAAGGCGATGAGAGAAAGAGTTTTACTGAGGAACTTAGACTAAGAGATTCGATGCGTATGAACCTAGTCGAGATTCCGGATGAGGTACCTACTACAAATTGAGATAGTACTTATAGTAAATACCGGCGGGGAATCTACGGGCGAATCGAGACGAAATGACGAAGTCCAAGAGGGAAAGAACAAGTCGAGAACTAGAACAAGAAAGACGAAATCGTACACAAGAAAATCTAGAGTACTCGAGAACGACTACAACTACCAATCGTAACCCGGCGGATAAAATCCAAGCAAGAACATTCGTACGAAAGAGTCATCTGAGCGAACTAGAAATCAAGTGTCGAGAAATAGAAGCAAGAAAGAATAAGTGGCACGGCGGAATAAGAAATAGAAGAATGACAGAATAAGACGTACTTCGAATACACAATAACAAGAACCCGTTTGACAGCTCGCCAAGCGCGCGTCTAAAGTCCACAGGATTATCCGGCGGATCCGAGAGTTCCGGCACAGCCGCGAGGCCGCGCGCGCGCGCCAGTCGTGACCTTTCCCACGCTCCGCGAACGTCGCGCGTCAAAGTCAAAAGAGGAACCGGCGGGCTGAAATGAAGTGGGTATAACAAATAAAATATATTAGAGAAAATACGAATAATAATATCGAATGGTGTTGAGGGGTGAAGGAAGGGTGTAGTTGCACGTATTGAGACCCCGGCGGTTGCACGAGCCCTGACAGTACCCCCCTGTTACGGCTGAGCCCTCGAAGCCAAACGATGAGGTGCAAGAAAAAGTTGCGACTTGAAAATTATGGAGAAATTGAAGCATAGGAAAATAAGAAATAGTGAAAGAAGTCGAACAGAAAAAGGAGAAGAGGCAGACCGGGGAGACGAGGCTGAAGAGGAACAGTATCACCAATCGGGGCCAGGTTTATCGGGATAGCGACGATGGAAGTCCTGGACCAACTCCTGAGCATGGGCTAACTCGGAGTAGCAAGCAGCCAAGAACGCTCTTCATCCGTGTTCTCGTAGCCCAACCAGCGCACTTCGTAGAGAAGTTTGCAGGTACGGCGGCGACGATCCACTTTCGAGTCGAGAATTTCAGCTATCTCGTACTCCAATTCGCCATCCACTTCCACCGGCGGGGGAGGGGGATCATGACGAAGAGGAATTTTAGACTCGTGGTGTGGCTCGAGCATGGAGACGTGGAAAACAGGATGGACAGAACGCATAGAGTCAGGGAGTCGAAGGGTGAAGGAGTGGGTGCCAACCTGAGCGATAATCTCGTATGGACCGAGATACCGTTCAGACAACTTCTTGGTAGGACGAGTGATGCGAGAAGAAGGCAGCCTTGACGAAGACGCGATCACCAACCTTGAAGTCCGGCGGAGGTAGACGCTTGCGATCAGCGTAGTGCTGATAGGACTTCTGGGCGATAGCGATGGATTCCCGGAGGTGTTCGTGCAACGAGGCGAGATCGACGGCGAATTCTTGTGCGGCAGAGCTGGCGAGGTCGCGCTCAGGGTGGATGTTGAGAGCTGGATGATAACCCTTGTTCGCGAAGAAGGGGGAGACGCCCAGTAGTAGCCGACGGTGCGTTGTTATACGCGAATTCTGCGAGAGGAAGGAGTCGATGCCAATCGTCCTGCTGGTAAGAACAGTAAGCCCGAAGGTACTGCTCCAGGGTCTGGTTCACCCGTTCAGTCTGTCCGTCGCCTTCAGGATGGTATCCTGACGTGAAGTGAAGCTTCATGTCCAAGGCCTCACCCAATGCACGGAAAAAATGCGAAACGAACTCTGAACCTCGATCAGAAGTTACGTTTGAGGGTACGCCGTGCTTGGAGAAGACGTGGATAACGAGAGAGGCGAGCAAGCTCAGCGGACGTGAGGTGAGAGTCCGTCGGGATGAAGATGGCTTGCTTGGACAGGCGGTCGACAATAACGAGGATGTCGGTGAACCCACCAGAGGAGGGAAGTTGCTCGATGAGGTCCATGGAGATGGACTCCCAAGGGCGAAGGGGAATGGGAAGCTGCTTCAAAAGACCGTAGGGCTTGTGACGAGGAGTCTTCGTACGGCGGCAAGTCGTGCAGGAGTTGACGTAGTCTGCGACAAACGAACGCAGTTTGGGGCCAAACATAATCACGGGCGGACCAGTTCGATCGTCTTGTTACGACCAAAGTGACCGGCAAGGGGGTGATCGTGCTTGAGCTGCAGGACTCGAAGACGAAGGCCAGGACTATCTGGAACGTAGATACGCCCATCAAGTCGAAGAAGACCGTCGGATGGAAGCTCCCAACGAGGGTCTGAAGGAATAGGAAGTTGTGAAGAGGCGAGGGTGTCCGAAGAATAAGAAGCCTTGATGTCTGCATGAAGACCGGCGGAATCGACCACGAACGAGGCTCGAAGGGCTGGGGTATAGACTGAGGTAGCCCTTAATGACGAAGCCAGTTGTTCAGACGCGAAGATTGGACGGAAGTTGACTGGATTAACGCTGGCGAAGTCACTACCCCCCTGTTTAAGGTAGACGTCCCACCGTCGTGTTAGCGCATCAGGCTTAGTGCCCAATTTGCCAGGACGAAAACGAACGATGAGGTTAAACTGGGAGAGGTATTCAGACCAACGCGCCTGCCGGCGGGTAAGAACCTTGGTGGTGGAGAAATACTCCAAGTTCTTGTGGTCTGTGACGACGTTGACCGGGTCGCCTGCACCTTCCAAATAATGACGCCAGACTTTGAACGCCTCGAAGATGGCGAGGAGTTCTTTGTCGTGGACATCGTAGTTGAGTTCGGCAGCTTGGAATGTGCGAGAGTGGAACGCGACAGGGTGTACTTCTCCCGACTCGAGCTGAATCGAGAGAATGGCGGCCAAAGCGTAATCGGATGCGTCTGTTTCAACAATGAGGGGTCGATTTCGGGTTGCCAATGAACGAGAATGGGAGCGGAAATAAAGGCGGACTTGAGGGTCTCGAAGGATTTTCGAGCGGCGGCTGTAAGGGGACCAGACGCTTTCTCTGACTTCTCCTGTATCACCGGCCCCTATGTGGAGTAAGGTAAGCGTGATTACGAGAATCCTACCTGCAGATTCTCGATGGCTTGGACGATGTGCGTCATACTTCCATTTCGGGAAGTAGTTTTCCCACGACCCCTCCAAAACCTTTCCGACACAGCTTGCTCCACTGATGTGTCTCAGATGCTCCACAGCATGGGTGGCTGCATCAACTGTATAGTTTAGTCCCACGGTCTCTAGTAGTCGATCATCGTCGCTCCGCACTGACAGGTTTCCTTAGGCTTTTGTCTTTGGATTCTCCCCTGTCAGGTAGGCCCTTGTAGTTGTCGTTGTTTCTCAGAGGCTCAATAGACTTTGGATTCTCCCCTGTCAGACCCGTGTGTGAGTGTCCACCGGTGCGGCTAGGGTTGCCCTTACAGTACAAAAGCCTCTACAACCAAGAGACCGGAGCAGCACTGTCTGTATCGCTGACGACCTTCACCACTCATTCCACGATTCACCTTCGCTGCTCCCCTCTCTCCCTCTTGCGACTCTCTCACCAATCATGAGCGACCAAGCCAACACCCAGCAAGCAGCACCCGACCCCCATGCAACGCTGGACTGGCTGGTGGGCCAGATGGAGCAGAGCAA